AGTATACTGTTGAAGAAATCTGATAATGGTGTAGGATGCCTTAATAAAGGTAAAAATCCTCCGTAACTTTACTTCAGAAACATTGATCCACGCATGTAAGCAAAAACGAGGTCTGCTAAAAAACGAGGTCTGCTATTGAACGGCACATATCCCCAACATTTGAAGGCAAGTGTAGCACTCTTTCGCGCTATTTTTTCCTATTTTAACTCCAAGTGGAAGTCTCTGGGTATCATCGCCATAGAGATCCTTGCAGCGATGTATTGCATAGACACAAAATGCGACATTTTGATACAGTTATTTGCCAAGTGCTTCCATGCCTTATCCCTTAAGCAAATATACTCGAATTTCACATTTCTATACCTCCAAATATCTTTCTAACGTTATATCTTTTCCCGGCAACGTTTGAAGTACTAGATAGATGAAGAACCAATCAAAGTAAAGTCAGCTTGAGTGGTGTCACTCAAGTGCTAACAAACCGGTCTCCCTTCAAATGTTCCATATGATCATCCCACATGTGCATCATCTTATCTTGGTCAACATCACCCCATTTTCTACTTGAATTATATATTTTCTTTTGAGCGTCCTTTTCTTCCTTTTCTTCCTTTTCTTCCTTTTTACATATAACCTCTTCACCACCTCATCATTTAACCTTTAAGTGATCAAAAAGAAATCATTCTTCATGCCTGTCAACGTGATCACGACGTAAGTGAATTCCGGGCTGTGAGAGTTGACTATCATGGCCAGAGTAACCACTAACAAGATTCTGTTTTCAGTGCAGGTGAATTCCAGGAATTTATTCTTCATTCCTCGGATCTTGTGGTCCTCGACTGCTATGCAGAATGGTGTGGCCCATGCAAGGCGATCGCACCCTTGATTGAGAAATGGAGCGATGAATATGAGAATATCAAGTTTTACAAGCTAGACGTTGAGAAGGCGAATGATCTTGCTGTTGAACTGAATGTTACCGCCATGCCTACCTTTATGTTTTTCAACAAAGGAGAAAAAGTGACTGAAATTGTTGGGGTAGACCAACGACAGATTGTAGGTGCCATCATGGCCCTTGCTGCTTAAGTTGAAGGAGAAGTTTGAGCATGCTATGATGACTTTATTACTTACTATCATCATCGCATCGTGACACTGTCGAATCTCAATTTAAACTGCCAATGAATTCAATCCAACAAAGACATCTGGATCTTCCAGTTGCATTTAAATTCTTTCAAATCAATTGATGTTGACTTGTGGAATAAATATGATAATATACATCAATCGATAGTACTTATAACAAGTATAAATCATGCCTACGCTGATGCTCTTACATGTGATGCGGGGAGATGCCGATGTATCAAGCACAAGATTTGCAGTGGAGGTCATTCCAGATGTCAACTTTCTACCTCGGACCAACCATATCCACCAGAAATCACATTACAGTGACGATCTCCGGCTTCTGCACCATCCGGGCGATCCTCGCGCTCACTACTGGTTTTTTTTTTTTTTTTTTTCAATTTTCCCCCCGAGCCTTGGTTATATGAGATGATCATACGATGTCGGTGAACCCAACCCGACCGAATTACCGAACATTCTATCAAGTGGAAGATACATGCGAATGAGATCTTGACACATCAAAGCACACTCCTTCGTGTTCAAATGTTCCGATCATTGTATGGCCATGCCCCCGCCTATCAATGCGGGGTTCCTGGCATTCCTCGGTCCGCTCCAGCGTTAATCGGCTCGTATGATTTGGAAATATCTTCCATCTACTCCCGGTTGAAAGGTGATCATCACGTTGCACTAAAGCCACCCTTAACATCAGACCCGCCAAACCGTAGACACATTGCAGAAAGTACAAGGTAATAGATAGATATTCGATGAGTTTATATAAAGCAACATGGAAATATCCAGATGTTTTACATTGGAAGCATGAATACTTTGGACTAATCTTGCAACATTGAAGTGATTTGAACATTTGAAAGATACTCCTACCGTCCCTAACATTGAAAATCCGAGCCATGGCTTGGGGCATAGCTTGGACATCCACGATGGACTTAGGTCACGCTTTTATAAATCACCTAGTGGAGGCATCAGCCCAACAAAAGATCATCTACAGCCTGACAGGAATCACCTTGTATCTGATTCTAGCATCCTCAATTCGATTTCGCCGGTGCAGTAACCTTCACCAAATATACCCCTATCAAACACGTCAATCAATGAGCAAGATGACCAATCACGACGCTTGGGCTATCCAGAAAACAATTCTACAAATGGAGTTCCCTTTCATCGTTCTCAAATCCCTGCAATTTGCGCTGTTCCGGGTAAGAAAGCAAATCTGAGCTCGCTCCAGGGCTACACCAAACAAAAGAAGAAAACGACAGAAAAAAACCAAGGCTAACTGGTACTTCCTAGACCTACGGCATACCAACGATATCTACACTCCTACTCAAAACATCTCAATTCTCCGATACGGCAACTTCTTTCAAACGCTACGCTGATACAGGAACACTTATAGGCGAGTTCATGGCCTTCGACCCCGATTCCGAACGCGCTCAGACAGCTATCGCCCGAACAAACTTTCTCCATAAAGGATACCGCGCAAGTGGAAAGATTCTGGACGAGGATATGCTATATACACTAAGCCTTTTTGCGATGGAACCGATCCGGTTCGTGAAATTATATGAGTGGCGTGAAATGACTGGAATGGAGCGCTGTGCTATTGGGACTTATTGGAAGAGCCTCGGGGATGCATTGGGCATCGCTTACGATCTATTACCATCGGGAAAGATTGGTTTCCGCGATGGAATCCATTGGCTGGAGGAAGTTAGTATGTGGAGCCAGGACTACGAGGCCCGCCATATGAAACCGCATCCAAGGAATAAGGAGATTGCGGACAAGACCCTCGATGTTTTGGTCTATAATCTACCTGAATTTATGAAGCCAATTGGGGTGTATTTTGCTTCGTTTCTGATGGACGAAATATTGCGAAATGCTATGATGTATGCTTCAATGTTGAGTCGGCGAGTCGGATGCTTTGAGGACAAATCCACTGACATTTATCGTTTCAGGATTGATCGCCCCCCTGCCCTGTTCGCTGCAATATTCGGGTCAATGCTGCAGTTGCGTAGACTATACCTGCGCTATGTGGCTCTTCCGCGGCCGAACTTTATGCGTTTGGATGTCTTCACCGAAGTGCCGAATCAAAATGGTCGAAATTTCGTCTTGTTCTACGACGGTGCCCCATTTTATGTGCAACCCACCATGTGGAATCGATGGGGCCCTGTGGCGTGGTTCAAGTGGGGACTCGGGTTGCCCTTGCCTGGCGATGATGGTGATAAGTACTATCCACAGGGATATTATACGCCTGATCTGGGTCCCAAGTATTTCGAGGGAAAAGGACGCAAGGAGTTGGACGTTATCAAAGAGAGTATTAGAGTGCAGCGAATAGGTCGATGTCCATTTCCGTGATGGTGTTCCTCGGTAAGAATGAACAGGGAATTTCATTAAGACGGCAAGAGCAATACACATGAGAGATGGATATTTGAAGTTTTATTTTTCAATAGAGATCAAATCGTTCCAAGGTTGGCCATCAAATGCAATCTTTGATGAGCATCACAGGCATCTAGGTAGCTCAATAAGACATAATCAAACCAAAAAAAATTGAACATCGGGTATTTATCACAAGTATCAAAACAATAGGCGACCGGGTATATCAGGGCCAGATCTACTACCCAGCTCCAATGACGGATATATCAAGCCAAAGAAAGAAAGCGCCGACAGTCAACGCGCAGAACAAAAGGGTGTATCCGGAAAAAAAGAGAGAAAACCAGGACAAGATGCATGCGGGAAGGCGTTATATCAAGATAAGGCGTAACGTGATTCAACAAATGGAGTATGATAATGGGGGTATTTTGCAGACGAAAGATGTGAAATGAAAGACTAAGAAAATTAATCAGTCCCGCCAGGAGACGATGGTAAAGGCAGTAAAGCTGGGTCGGTCAGAAGAGAGTCATCCAACGGATACTCTGGAGATGACATGAAAGAGCCGTATTGGGCCGATGGGCTGAGAAGTGATCGCCCACTCTCGCCGACCTCGCCCAACTCTTCTGGAGATAGAACACGACCGCCTATCTCCACATCCTGAACATGGACATTGTACTCGAGGGCCCTTTGGCCTTCCTTGATGAGCTCTTCAGTCCACCCGAGACACCTTTTCAAGCTCTGATTTAATTTCTGGCTGTCTACCAGAAATTCCTGGTGCCGAGCAAGATCAAGCATGAATCGTTTCTCATCCTGAACACTATGCTTTGCATCATGATCAGCAAGGGTGTCAGGACTGAGGACCCCATCATCTGCGACGGAATCTTCGTCACTGAAATCGGACATCTCATCGTTGGATCGTATAGATGAAAGTTCACTGTTGCCCTCATCCAGTTCACTCGTTGTTGAGAGGGCTGTGCCAGAAAATGAGCGTGTAGAAGGAACCATGGAAAGACGACCAGAGCGACTCAAGCGTCGGAATCGTCGAAGTTCCGCATTCTGTTTCCGCATTTCTCGCTCAAGGGTTCGGTTAATGGCAAGCAGAGAAGAGTTGCTGATTTCAAGATCCATAATCTTCCGTTCTGTTCGCGCATTCAAAGCTACCTCCCCACTATCTGATTTTCCAGGGCTCATAGGAATCAACTGGTATGGGTCCGCAGAAATGGAGGAACCGTTACTAAATACACGGGGGCGAAGCGTCGGGATCTGGTCAGATAGGACTGGGGCAAAACTTTCAGCATGCTGTGTCTGAACATTAGGCATAATGACCGGACTAGCATGAAGACCATTTCGTTGTGACATTGATTGAGTTTGACCTGTGGAATCCATGCTGGACGATTTTCGATGCTTCCCAATCAAAGAGAGCTGCGGTCTGTCCGATTCAATACTTGGTGGTGAACTAAAATGCGGTTGAACACCTTCAACGGTCTGGTCAAGCCCCGAACTGCAGTTGCTCTGGATGTCAATAAGCGGAGACGATGCGTCCGAGACCCTGGGGGACTTCAAACGTGGAGGTGGCAAAGGACCCTGTCTGATAGTGGGCGCAACGCGGGGGAGCCCTCCAGAGCGACGCGAAGAGGCAGTTGTGACGTAAGATCCCTCTGGTGAAGACTGTCGCTCCTGATCACCATTTGCATACATGAAGCTTGAAGTTGATGGCATCTTCCCTGGCTTTGGACGGGGCTGTTCAACGTCGGAAGAATTGGACGATCGTGTTTCGGCGGCATGAAAGAACATGGGTGACCCGGCTGCCATTTCGGTAAAAGAGTTTGGACGAGATATTTGCTGCCCTTCGGCCTTAAGGGTCTTTGCTCTCAAGCTGTTCGATTGTTCTGCCTTCACCCCGCGAGCTGGGCTGCGTTCTCGTCGTACCCCATTGAGGCCTAGACCGACAGTGGGCTGGGTATATGTAGTTTGTGGAGAGGAAACGGAAGAAGTGTTTGTCGGAGATGGGAATACGGCATCCCGGCGAGTGTTGCGAGAGCCTGAACGAGGGGTGACATTGACACCGAGGAAGTTCGGAGGAGTGGCGGAGAGGTCCTCCTTGGAGGGAGTGGAAAAGGGATGAGTGTGGTCGGTATGGGCGAGACGACGGGGGGCAGGATGACCTGGACTTGAACTGGCCAATTTTGGTGTCAGAGGAGACTTATTGGAGCGGTGAAAGGCCGCACTGAGTGTGGGCGTAAATGGTTTGGCGGAGAAGCCATTGTTTTGTTTATCGGAGGTCATAGTTGCGCGGGTGCAAGAGATGGCATTGCGACCGCAAGCAATCAAGCATGATGACACCGGCCCAGTAAGTCTGTATTTTTCTTAACAATTTCAGACTCAGGAGTGGCCTGATTTGAAGGAAGGGGGGTGTTTTTAAAGACGGTTGTAGTTGTGGAGATGGTGGGAGGATCAATAGGAAAACATTGGACCCCGAACGGGTTTAGTCACGGTCGGTCTTCACCGCATCAAACATCCGACAGTCGACTATTATTCTCTACCTTTATGATATCGATAGGACGAGGTGAACAGAGAAGCAAAGATTACATTTTGATATCAATCAATATGATGGGGGTATAGATATCTGAAACCTCATTTTGCCAGCAATTTTCGATCTTTTCTCGGGTTGGCCTGACTTGACCATCCCCAAGATATGCATGGTTCTAGCATGCCGCATGGGGTTCCGTATGTATTCTTCATGCTCCACCCGGTCACCCAATTGGTCAGTCGACCCCGGCTGGGAAAATCACGATTTACCTTTCACGGCATCGGCAGAGCGGGTTTAAGCATCACGACCCAAGAACGTTGGCGTGGTTGGTACGAATGTTGGCAGGGGTCGATTTACATTCGAGATTTTCGATCGGAGATGATGCGCTTAGCGGAAAAAAAGTCGTTTTTGTCGAGGGTCAATATCAGGAGGAGACAGCTGAGACATGGGTTTCCGTTTCCGATTTTGAGGGATGGTGGACTCTTCTGGAGTTTTCGAGGTATCTCGGATGGCTTCACGGATGGTCTGTCGGGAGAGACAGAAGTCGACATGATCATTAAAGACTCGGTCATCGGCCACTTGTGCTCGACCGCAAATGGGGCAGTCCCACTGAGCTGGTAAAGGATCAACCTCAGAAGGTGCAGTAGTATCACGGAGGTGGACTTCTTCTTGACTGAGCTGCTCCAGATCATTCATTTCGTCTTGGATTTCTTGCCTAGCAGCAATCTCGAAAGCCTCTTCAGCCGTAATTTCATGATCGGCAGCCTTGTGCTCGAGATTTTCGGTTGAACTAGGTCTGGCTTGCACGGCTGGGACACCGAAGAAGTTGGTACCGGCTTTTTTTGTACTAACTAGATTCGTGCAACGTAGACCAAGCAATCGGAGCTTCATGCCAGGAATTTCCTTTTCCAGCTTAGCTAGCATGGGTAGTGCGAAATTATACAGATCTTTCGCCTGACAGACAGCTCTAGTCGGAGCTATTTGACGGATCAGTACCTCAAACGTGTGTAATTTCACTTTGAGAACCAACGTTCGGCCCTTAAACTGCGTTCGTGCCAGATCGCCTTCCAGTTCCTGCGATACCCAATGTAACTTGGCACGAATCTGCTCCTTATCCCCAATTTCGTGGAACGTGGTTTCAGTTCCCACACTTTTTCGTTCATGGGTTTCAACTGGCTCGATTTTTGTTCGCCCGAGACCTAGATAGCATTGGGCAAGAAACTGGAATGCCTTTTCCCCGAATAGTCTGGTCAAGATTCCGCGGTATGAGTGAATATCACCGCAGGTCTCGATGCCAATAGAACCTAGTTCTCGTTCAAAGACGCGACCCACACCATTGACTTTGCGCACAGGGAGGTCTCGCATGAATCCCATTATTGCCGCTCGGTCGTTGGGAACCCGGAATTGACCATTTGGCTTGTTATGATTTGACGATATCTTCGCAATTTTCGCATTCGCGGCAATCCCGGCTGAGACAGACACCTTTGTAGTCTCCAGGATTTCAGCGCGCATCCGTTGGACCGTCTCTTCCGGATCCATTTCATTTTCAGCGCAGTATGCGGTGATATTTAAGTAGGCTTCATCGATGCTGGCACTCTCAAACAGAGGGTCATACTGTGCCATGATCTCGCGGATCTCCTTTGCTTTCGCCGTATATTTTTCATAGTTCTGTGGAAGAAGAACAAGTTCAGGGCAAAGTTTCTTTGCCACAAATGATGCCATCCCACTTCTTACTCCAAATTTTCGAGCCAAATAATTGCATGTTGTCAAAACGCCCTTCCCAACGGCCATTGGGACCGTTTTCAGCTCCGGTCGGTCCAACTCCTCAACCGCGGCAAAGAATGCATCGCAGTCGACATGGATCACGTATTGAGAAAGGTCACGAGTCATTTCTAACTCAGCCAGGTACTCATCGGCCCGTCGAAGATCATGAGTGAGATCTAAGGTTTCAAGACGAGCTTTTTCTTGTCGAATGCGCTCGATCTTGACAGTCAGGTTTCTATCGCGGTCTTGCTCATGGTTGAAGAATTTGGAGCCTCTTGATGCTTCATAAATAATTTCAGAGACCTATAAAAAAAATCAGCGATGTCAAACCGTTAAGTATTCCCATCAAGTCCGTACCTTTTGCTGATCAACTGCATCTTGACCCGCTTTGGTTAAAGAGGGCCCGAGTAATTGATACTTCAGCGTGTCGCTACTACCCTCTGTCTGCATTGAACCCGACTCCATATTTTCGGGGGGTCCACCAGGGGACACCATAATCAACTTATTTCCATAAGTTGAAGTTTGGCAATGATGTGAATTGGAGCAAAGAGTATAGTAAGTTCAGGGCCCAGGCAACGACCACTGACGCCTGATCACGTGCTCACGCGTTTCACTTCACGCGGAGCTTGTCGACTGGTTCTTTCTTTCGCCTACAACACTGTCTCCATGTGGATCCTTGATTCAACGAGCGACTTCCTAGATGGTGGGCGATGAAAAACACTAGAGGCTGCAAATCCTGATATTTCTGACACAATAATCAGGGAAGCGTATCTGGTTGCGGCCTGGGAAGAAGCATCTCTTTGGCCGACCCCCGCACGGCAAGTCAACCTTTTAACTATACTTGGAGAGAGCTTCAACTGACCTTCCCTAGCCCACCGCGCAATCTCCAAACAACTGACAAACTCGAATGTGATCTCTCGCAAACACCTCACAATCGAAGTATCTAGTGTTACCCCTCGCGATGGAGTACGAAAACCTATCCAACCCCGATCCAATTGACTTCCGACTGACATATGCGCAGACTCGCCCTCACGCGAGAACTCAAGTTACCGTGACCGATCTGAAATCCAAGAGGGGCACAGTTGTGAACGGAGAACATATTCAAGGTCAAATTCGGGTATTGACTGGGGATGAGCATGTCATTCAGCTGGGTCCCCATCCTCTTCGGTCTGTATTCACCACTCCGATCTGGACGAAAACACCATCTCATACCTTTCACTTCACAGTTTAAAATGGTTTCCAGTGGTATTTAGCTTCTCTTTCTCGTCCAAAGAAATGAGAGCGGAAGACCCCTTGGCCAAAGTTCGCTCTAAGTTAGAGGACCTAGATATCAAGACCATCATCCCATACCTGGTAGATCAAACCACTCATGTGGTCCAAAGCAAGCGGAATACAGCCAAGGGTCTCCAGGCATTGACTAATGGCAAAGCAATTGTCAATAACTCATACATTGACGCTTTAGTTTATGCCACAACCCCCGCCGAATTTGAGAACGACGAAGCCTTATCCCCGCTCGAGACCGATTTCGATGCTGCATGGCCAGATGCGACAGATTATCTTCCACCTGCTGGTAATGAGCCCACCATTCGCCCGGCAGCAGCCTTTGCGCCCAACCCTGCCCGTATCAACGTTTTCGAAGGCTATACCTTTGTCTTCGGAGATGCCGCTCAATTCGAGAACCTTCAGGCGGCGATTAACAATGGACAAGGCAAAGCACTGTTTTTTGAAATCAAATATGGTGTTACTACTGCTGCCGAGATCGTGAAATTCATGAGAGATGCTGCGGGCCAGAAAAGTGGTAGTATTGATGATGATGGGCCCGGCCGAGTCGTGCTGGTGCGATTTCGATCCAAAGGTGAACACGAGTCTTGGTCCATTGAGCTGGGCAATGAAGTTGCTGTCATGATCGATCGGCGCGTGATTGAGCAGAGTGAGTTCTTGGATGCAATTCTGGGCAACGATGCCTCTCCACTTTGCCGCCCTCTTCCGGAAGGATCCAGTCAGATATCTATTCCTGAAATTGCTCCAGAGTCACAACTCGTGCGAGATAACCTTGTTCCGTCCTCGTCGCCACCTATACCTCAGCAAGAATCCCAATCCTTGGCCCCTCCGAAAACGCAACCTTCGCGAGTACGCAAATTTGTGAGCAAGATGAAGACCTTTGATGACGGGTTTGATATAGATTCAATCCCTGTATACATATCCGATGACGGTGTGAAGAACACCCCGGCGATGGGATATGAGCCCCAGCCCTCTCAAGATACTGGGCCTCAAGAAAAATCGGAAGAGGCTGATGAGGACGTGGTCACAGATCTACTGCCCGGTGCACGGGCAATGAAGAGACGGCGAGAGGAAATAGATCAAGGCCGTCATACTCGTCCTGCGCGTGTCGAACCTGAAGCTGCTCCTAGGCCGAAGCGTGCGAAACTAGATATCCGAGAAGCCGCACGAAAACATCGTGATGAAGCGGAGCAACAAAGACAGGCCAAAGAAGACGCTGACCTTACTCAAGATGTCAACATTGAAGACTTGCGGAATCTTGCCATTATTGAGGAAATGGAGATGCCTATCCGAGAAGCACCTTCCCGGGAGGATCTTGGAAATGACCGGTGGGATGAGCAATGGAATGGTCGGAAGAACTTCAAGCGATTTCGGCGAAAAGGAGAGCTGCGCCATGCGCGCCAACGAATCCAAAGTCTGATCGTTCCTCTCGAAGAGGTCAGGCGAAAGGATTTTGGTGTTGGAGAACACCAGTGGATTAACAGTCATAATGAGCCAGCGAGGAACGACGAGCCAAGGGAAGAGGATCGCATGGAAGCTCCTTCTAGAGAACAGTCGATTTTGAGGTCTCAATCGTCGGTGGTTCAGTATGCTAGTCCTGACCAAACCCCCGATCCGCAACCCGCACTGCCACGCAGTCGCATCCACAAACGGTCCCGAGAAGCTCGTGATTCAGACAGCGATGATGAACTACGATTCCGGTTCAGGCGTAAACGCTGAGCATCGTGTAATATTACTCTCTTACATCTTTCCTGATGTATCGAATGGGGGTCTTTTTTTGGTTAGCGTGCTTTTTAGCTATAATGCATCGATACCCTAGCATCATAAAAGTAACGTGAATAGTCGTTATTTTCGCCAGTGGACCGACCCATGTGTAGTAATTAGATGAACCCGAAAAAACTCAGAACACCGCTGGTGACTCTTCCCCTATTGCTACTAGGTACTACTAGTCTCTAGGGAATCATCCACACCTGAGTGATTTGATGGCTTTTGGATGACAGTAACTTCAAGGGGTAGGTGATAGAATACTCATGAAATACGGTATTCAAAACTGAATACCATACTAGTATTCATTTCTGGATACCGCCCTCGTACTAGATGTGCTGTATCTATATAGGATCCGGTTCTTAAATCTCTCTGGTAAGAATTGCATATTCTTTTCTGGATACAGTTTTGCAGTTACCGTTACTACTAGTATGTGTCAGGAGAGTAAATCATGTGACTATCAGGTCACATGGCCTGCTCCTGATATAGTCATATTGCAGCGCGTGCCAGTAGCTAGTCTGGGAAAGTGAGAGCTTCTCTCTCTCCTTTTCTCTTTTCTCTTTCCTCTTTCCTCTTTCCTTTTCTCCCCGTCCCCCATCAGTGAGAAGAATGCGACACAGTTGATCCTTCTCCACCTCATTTCCATTCGTTTTCCCAGATCAACACTGTAGTTCTGCTAGTATGTGATGGGTATGTGAAACCCACAAACTACCGGCATGCTTGGATTCCCGAGGCCAGATCCCATGTCGCTTACTACCTACTAGTAGATGCTGGAAGGTCGGGAATACTTCAAATATTCTCTTGTTGATGGGTATTCCAGACGGGGCCACACTCATTGAGTAGAATGTGCAACCACGGACTCTAAGCCCAATTTAAAGTTTCCCACAATAAATACAATGAACCCTAACATCGCGACTTGTTGCTAATTAGTCGCTCTTCAACTCCCGAGGATTCAAGTCCGCGCTTTCGCCTCCATCGCGGACAATGATGCCCAGGATCCACGCGTTGACAACAAAGAAAAACAGGGAGGCGAGGAATAGACCAGGGATGAAGGCGGAAAGACCGAGGAACTCCAAGTTGTAGCCTTGTTGGAGCCAGAGACCCTATGTGATATGGTCAGCAGGCGAATACGATATGCGCGCATAGTAAGGTACAATACAAACCTGTGCAACCACCCATACGAAGGCAGCCGAAATGCCCAAAACGGGTTTGCGAATGAACTCGGATGAAGGGAGGTAAAATGGCAGGAGAATGAGGTACCACAGAAAATACTGTTGTCATTAGCTATATGGACGCGAAATATTGGCAATACAGGCAAGTACCTGGCTAGTGCACACTTTATTGAAAGTGACAAAAGCAAAAGTTTGGGCCAGCATGGCAGTTGCAAGGCTCTTCTTCGCCAGCACCAATGGAAGGGCTATAACTACCAGCAGCAGCTGGGGCAGGAACGCAAGTGCCTCAAAATGGGATTCGGCGTTTCCAGCCGCAGAAAGGTAGAGCAGAGTGGCGTAGGGAGAGAAATTGTGTCGGTGATCGATGCGGGTGAGATGGTGGAAGAAGGTGTGGTGGAGGAAAGGTATGCCGTATTGAAGATACATTATAATATTCAGGACAACAAATGTCATGAGCGCGGACAAGGTCAATTTCAGTCTCGAAAGGGTGACGAATTTCATGATTCGAGAAATCCAGCTTGAATCACGAGTCGGGACAGCGCCATCACGTTCTGCATCCCACCACCACAGAATCGAGATGCCGTAGATGAACGGATAAATCTTAAAGTGTACAGCTAAGCCAAGTATAGAACCTGCAAGGATGGCTTTTCTTGTCAAGGTAGCCCACAACAGGCCCGCCACAAGTACACCGAGCAACCCTTCGGAGCTGCCACGAGTACTGATATTCGCGACCATGGGGTTCCACAACCAAGTCGCAGCAGCATACTGTAGTGCCCGCTCTGGCGACAATCGATAGAATCGGGTCAATAGCTGTACAACCAGCCATCCAGCCAGAACATCGGCCATCGCGAAGAGAATCTTGCCAAAGGCAAAGGTCACCGACGACCATGGGGCAGGTACTTCCCAGGCTGTTGGAAGAAGCATCCACGCCAAAAGAGGCGTGTAGCGATAAGTATCTCGGGCATATGGCGTCTCTCCCTTTGATACATAGCGGGCGGCATCAGTGAACACCATGTAATCGATGTCTGTGTACTTCAAGGCAGAATGAGCATCTTGCCAGCCCCCGTAGATGAGCAACACGAGTCGCAAAATGATTGCCACGAAAAAGACTCGTGATGCAGAGTCCAATAGTCCCATTTTGAGTTGTTCTTTTCGCGATTGATATAAATGAATGATTTCCGGATTGGCAGAAAAGCTGTTTGGGCAATTTATGGCGAAGCTCCCCTGACCAGCCTATTCCCGGTGTTCGGAGTTGGTTAATAGAGGAGCAACAGCAACTCGGCAAATATCCCGAGTCCAAGCCAAGTCAAATCAATATTTCTCAATAAATCTCCGAGACTTACTTATTGGCTCATCGCTGATACTAGAAAAAGTGTGATCAATTGACACTCGATCGGATTCAACGCTGCTCGAAATGTCGTGGTGGAACGCGACGATGAGTCAGCAATGTCTGATCTGGCAATTTGTCGTGACTCGCACTTGTGGTTAGCGTCAGTCGCTGCTTTAATGCATCATGACTTTAGGAACATTGATTATTCCTCGAGGCCAACATGTCAACTGGTGCGACCAACATCAGATTGTTGATTGCAAACCTTCAAACTTGGAATGTTTACATAAGTATGAAGCTCGATCAATTGATTCAAAATGTTAAAACATTGAATATACATATATTAAATGTTAAAAAAAAAAAATTGCATATACCTAGGTACCAGGGGCTGTATGTACGTTCCAGATGTCCGCATGGACAACATCGGGCGACCAAAGCACAATCTCCACCAGGGCTTCCAAGGTTCCAGGTTTGGTTTCAACTCGCTTGCGGTATCAATAATAAGAGGGCTGATTACCAAAGTAGGAGTCGGTGAAGGGCTCGAAATACGGCTGCGCAGTGAATTTAGAGCCCTTCTCATGATCAGGTGTCAAAACGGCCATTGCATCACCTCTATTATCAAGATCCATGCCAGGCCAAAGATTGTTGTCACTCCAGCTCAGATATTCCCACAGATATTGCCCGGAATCGTCAAAGAACGGGGCAGAGAGGGGGTCCGAGATCCCACCCTCACTCAAAGACATCGCCAAACGTGTAGGTTCAGGTGGCGAGAATAGGGATGTCAAATCTCGGCCAGAGGGAAACATGCTGGTGGGAATAATGCCAGCTGTTGATGTAGCCAAGTCATCGCCACGTTTGCTGGCCTCGTATATGCGTGAAACAGCATCTAAAGATCGCTTTGCAGTATGACCATAAGCTGACATCCGCGCCAAAGTGGTCATTGCGGTCTCCACTTGCGCCTGGCAGGATTCAATTGAGGCACGGGGATCGTCAGCAGTTGGGTCGTTGAGAAATAATCCCACTAGTGGTACTAAAGATGCTTGAAACGTCCACCAGACGGCATTCCAACCACAAAGTTGGTTAAACTGCGCCGTTGCGGCAATATTCTGGATAGAAATCTCCGCAACTTCGCGACATTTTTCGATCGCAGTGCGTTCCTCAACTCGAAGGGCGATGTATGGCACGCGGCGCATGGCATAGCTGAGAAGGGTAGGACGATAGATAAGCATACGTTGGTTGTAAAATCGCCATCGCATGACGGTACGAACGGTGCTGATTGACTCTGTACACGGTTCGTGATCTTTGAGAATAGGTGGCAGATTTTCCCACCACTCAAGGAGTTGAGCATCTGCGTGGGCCATCTCTTGATGCTTAACAAGGGGCGCGGCTGCCAAAGACTCCTGGACCTGTGTTGCGATCTTGGCGAACCGGATGTTCTCTACAAGCGGGAGGATATCAAGAAAGTTTTCCTAGAATCTCATTTAGAACACGAATGATTAGTGTGAGAGATGAAACAAACCTTATCTCGACAATTTGGTGGCTTGACTGTGATGTAAGGACCAAAACGACCCATGCTGGGCCTACCCAGTGTCATACCTGCCCATGTATCCATCACAAATAAGGACCACCAAACTCGACGTTTAAGATCCATGGATGCAAGCTTGGCGGGACCGGGAGCTTGGCGGCTCTCCGCAAACTCCTTGTGCAGCCCAAGTGTGGCTGCCATGCGCAGTGCAGCGCCGAGAACAGAATATGCTAAATTTGGCTGGCTTATATAGTGACAATACCACCCACCGATGAGGCCAAGAGCTTGTATCGTCTCAATATGGGAGCTCCCGAGAGAACTTAAACTTAAGTGGCTCTTGCAGCGTAAGAAGTAGGTCTGGTGTGTCATATCATCCGGACTCGTGGCAGCGATGCTACCCAGTGCTAGAACAATGTTCAGCAATGACAGCCAATGATCATCCTTCCTGTGGCCAGTCATATAGGACTCTCGAAATGATTTTTCATCAATCATGGGGGCAAATGCTTGAAAATAACAAAAGTATGAGTCCAGCATCTGCATTTCACTTGGTGGAATGGAAGGCGGTGGAGGAGTGGCTGGCGGCTGGGGAGGCCATGCGTTCTGAGGATCATATTCAAGATCGACTTCGTCACGCGGATGAATAGGTGGAGTACGAGCAAAAAAAGAGGCGCAGCCTGGATCAAGCCAGAGGATGACTTTGAGAACAGCCTGGATGGACGAAACTCCCAGGTATGAGGAAGGGTGTCTGGACGACAGTGACAATGCATTGACATCGTCGGAGACTCCTTCTACCAAGAAGTTAGATTGACCAGGACGCCCATCGTCCAGCTCTTCTGGCATGCTTTGTAGCGATTCAAGATTGTCATCCTCGTTGGAAAGCGGGGATATATGAGCCTCCATGGACCCTGAGGTAGACGGTGAAGCGGCATGCTGCGTATTGATCTGCGGCGGCAAAGTCGACGGTGTTGCAGATGTAAGCTCAAGTAACTTTTCCCGGGACAGGTTGACAAGTGACTCTGGGGCTACATGAGGGAATAATCTTCCCAAAATGGTCCGATATTCGTCCAATGTTGTAGAGAGCTTCTCGACATGCCTGTTTCATCAATATTAGCCTATACTCTGGCCCTGCATGAGAAAATATACCTGACCAGCAACCCACCTTCTAGATGGCCTGGGGTCAGAGTAATGACATTGATCGGCCTTCTTGTACCAGCGACAGGCTTCACATGGCTTTTCGCCGTCACATTTGATCTTCCGGTGCCGACATGATGTGCATGCGCGCAGGGTCGTCACTCGACGACTGACTGATTCACGGCGCTCGGGGGCGGGGCGGGCTTTGACAGGCGTCGCTGCCGTGGGATTTTCAAAACTCTCAAAAGTGTGGAACATAGCTGAAGGATAGAATCACGGGAGTACAATCACCCACTAGTCACATAATTTAAGCACTCTGTGGTGAATGAGGTGACAGCATTGGTGGGGGTGTAAGCCCTGGTCGTACGATGTGGGTTAGAACAGTAAGAAAACACTGCAGTTTCAAGTCGATTTCCAAAGAGAAAAACTGTATAATCTTCTGTGCTTTGGGTGAGTCATTAAGACCACATCGCGTCACGATAGGATATGCTCATGGACACGAACAAGAAAGAAGGGGCCAAAGAGAAAATCAGGGTGAAGGCCCGCGCGAGGGTAAGATGCTAAGAAGGAGATGAGCAGCAGCTAAGACGTGAGAGGAAACGGTAGTCGTTTCTGCTCCGCCTAAATCTCCCCCGCATTTCAAGTAAGTCTGGGGTCTTTGTGCCCACACTCAAGTCCGGCGTCGCCGGATGTAGACTCGCTTACAGGGGATGTCACCCTTTGAGAATTATTTGCGACATCAAAGACGCTAGTACGATTATTGTAGATGAAATGATGTACGTTCCAGAAACAACCAATTCGACTTCATCAGTTGAATCTCGAAAGAGCCCTTCCAGTCCACTTGAAATTGCCGAAAGTCGGTAGATAGAAATGACACCTAAGTGGAGCTTGAAGTGAATCCCGAGTGACATGCTTACTTTCTTACCGAAAGGTGCCACGCGCCCGCCATACAAGGGTTCATGGAGATGGCGCTGGGGCAATTTACGGACTGCATTCTCGTTCCCACGCCACTGGCTAGTTCCACGCGCCGAAGCCCCTGCCAGAATTTCTCCAGAGAGGGGAACATTCTCCATGTTTCCTGACTTGGCTAGAAGCAGGGCATGTAGTGACTAGTAGTTTGCAGAAGTGGGACGAGCCCTGCAGAATACCGGAAGATCGCTTGTGGGGAATGCTTGAGACCGTATCGCCGGCGAGGGTCACTCACTTCCTGGCACTTTCTCTAACAGAAATCTCAACATCAGATATTCCTTTAGTCCGGGACGTCGGCCCTTGAACTCCTAACCCCCTGTAGGAAACACATGCGCTGAGTGGAGAGCTGCAGTTGCCCCATGGCTAATTTCCATGGCTAAAGCCTCGTGGATCGGGCATGGAATCCAGGGAAATTAAGCGGTGCGGGACCGAAAAAGATTGTTCGTATATTGATCAGGCGGGGCAGGGTCATGCCATCCCGTGCCCAATCACCGTCTTAGTATGGTTGAAGCCGAGACCCTATGGCGGACGCGATATCCACTTTCAGTTAAGGGCCCGACGAGAGAGAGGACATAGCACATGATGAATCCAACCCCAGCTTTCCAATGCCGAACTAGTTGGATATGAATTCCGGGAAACGACCTGTATGCAACTAAAAGAGGCATGGCTTGCGCAAGCCCATGCAGTGTGGTAGAAACCCCAGAGTTATTTGAGGGGGATTGTAACGCCAAGTCTAATCAAATGCCTCCTTTAATGAGAAAACCAAATTAGTACCAAGGGCCGTTGCCTTCCGGACTCCGGGGCGGGAATGATCATTGGTTCGGTTAGAAGGACTGTGACCACTAGCGTGAAATCGGGTCTCGTTCTGAGTGGCTTCGGTGATCATGAGCAAACTGTCTGGCTTTTGAGCGGAAATTCCTTATTCTTCTAGTATCTATAAACAGCCATGGTGACCTCAAACTAAGAAGAGAGAACAATCTTACCCAGTAAAACCCAGCCCTGAATGAGGAGAGGCATATCCTCCGTTGGAAGGGGATGGAGAGAAGAGATGCCGGAAGCTAGACGGAGATGACTGCGTGTCTGACCGGGTAAAGTGCAGATCTTTCAGTACTCTGCCAAACCCATCAGGGGTATCTCTCTTGGCGGGTTCAACCTCGGGGGAAAGCAGCATCGAGACTTTCCCGATCACGCGACGCGTGCTAGATACGGGTGCCTGAGGATAAATATGGTGCCCCTTTTATGAGGTGTCTAGGTCACATGTCTCGGAGTCTCCGCACCCAAACGGGAAGGCGCGTGGGGTAGCTTATCGATAAGGTAATCACTTGTTCATCTAAATAGTAGCTTAGACAGCTGTCTCGACTTCTCCAAAATCAGACACTCTAATCGACACAATCTAACAGACTTCGGCCGTGCATCATGAAGCTTAGTAGCTATACTCTTTCCTCCGGTTGGTTCTTTCGGGACCTGGAATCAGAAGACTGGATGCCCGTATCAACAGTACCCTCCGTTGTGCAACAGGACCTGATGGATAACAACAAGTGAGTTTCATTGCAATTATGTGAAGATGGTCATATAAAATGTTAAAATATCCGCATTAGGCTGGAAGACCCATTTCTCGAGCTAAATGAGATCAAAGCACGATGGGTCAACCAAAAGTCCTGGGTATACCGCAACAAGTTTGAAAAGCCGACCTTCCTTGACAACGCCGCAATTGACTTGGTCTTTGATGGGCTGGACACCTTTGCCACAGTCAAATTGGATGGTCAAGTGATTCTGCAATCCGACAACATGTTTCTAGGTCACCGAGTCAATGTGACGAAAATATTGGAAGCGGAGGGCCAGCACACGTTGGAAATTGAATTCGACTGTGCCGAGATTAAAGCTCGCGAATTACAAAACCAGGATCCATCTCATAAATGGGTAGGATTTAACGGGGACATGTCTCGTCTGGCGGTCCGAAAGGCTCAATACCATTGGGGCTGGGATTGGGGACCGGTGCTAATGACGGCAGGCATTTGGCGTCCAGTCCGATTAAATGTCTATACCGCACGTGTGGCTGATCTTTGGCCTGAGACAAAATTATCTGTCAACCAAGAGACTGCGGAAGTGATTGCCGCATTGAAGGTGGAAAGCACCGGCGTTGAAGAATACACAGCTCGGTTTGCTCTGAGTCTACATGGCAATGAAATTGCTCACCAGGACATACCGGTTGGCACTGACAATGAGGCCCAAATCACATTTCGTGTCAATCGTCCCGAGCTCTGGTGGCCCCACGGATATGGATCACAAACCCTCTACGAAGTGTCAGTGCAGTTACTCCATGGAGAAGAAATCATGGATCAAAAATCAAAGAAATTCGGAATTCGAAACGCGGAAATAATCCAGCAGCCTGACAAGCATGGGAAATCATTTTTCTTTCGCATTAACGGCATGGACATATTTTGTGGTGGCTCTTGCTGGATACCTGCGGACAGCCTTTTGACCAAAATCACCCCCGAGCGATATCGCAATTGGATCGAACTGATGGTTGAGGGGCGACAAGTGATGATCCGGTATGTAATAATATTGACTCCCAGGGTTTGACTAACATTATGACCGCAGCGTATGGGGCGGTGGCATTTACGAAGATTCTTCATTCTACGAAGCCTGCGACGAGCTGGGAGTGATGGTATGGCAAGACTTTATGTTTGGGTGCGGAAACTATCCAACATGGCCAGCTCTTCTGGAATCCGTGCGGCAAGAAGCGATATATAACGTGAAGCGATTACGACACCATCCCTCCATCGTCATCTATGTCGGTAACAACGAAGACTACCAAGTTCAGGAGTCAGTCGGCCTCACCTATGATTTCGAGGATAAAGATCCCGAAAATTGGCTCAAATCAGACTTTCCCGCACGATACATTTACGAGAAGCTGCTACCGGAGGTGACTGCAGAGTACTCGCCACAGACGTTTTACCATCCAGGCAGTCCGTGGGGGGATGGGAAAATCTCATCGGACCCTACAGTGGGCGATATGCATCAATGGAATGGTATTTTGACCCATTTTCTTAAGTACCAGACATATGCTGAACTATCTTAGTGTGGCATGGAACCCAGGAAAAATATCAAATATTCGATACTCTGGGTGGCCGATTCAACAGTGAATTCGGCATGGAAGCATTCCCTCATATGGAAACAATCAAATTCTTCTCTCAACAGCCAAGAGATCACTACCCTCAATCCCAGATTATGGATTTCCACAACAAGGCAGATGGGCATGAGAGGCGGATAGCAACCTACTTGGTGGAAAATTTTCGATTTCCGCATGGCGGAAGTCTCGAAGTAGGACTCCTCCCTATCTCATTTAGTATTTATGGTAGCTCTGACGCATCCAGGCATATATCTATCAAACTCAAGCCATACAGGCCGAAACAATGATGTTTGGGTATCGAGGCTGGCGACGCCAGTGGGGGGATGAGCGCCACTGTGGAGGAGCCCTTCTCTGGCAACTCAACGACTGCTGGCCGACTATCTCATGGGCGATTGTTGATTATTTCCTCAGACCTAAACCTGCTTATTATGCAGTCAAGCGCGTGCTCAACCCTATTGCCATTGGTATTCGACGGGAGCATCATGACTGGAGTGTTGTTCATGCTCAGCCAGCGCTTGCTAGTCGATATGAATTGTGGATCGTCAGTAACAAACCCGAAAACCTACATGGGAAAGTCGAGCTCCGGTTTATTTCTATTCAGACCGGAGAAGAGATACGACCCCCGATAATCCGAGAGAAAGTTTTGATTGCAGGAAACAGCACATCAAACGTCATTACTGACGGAATCATTGATCATGTTGCAGACTCGGAACCTCATGTCTTGGCTGCACGAGTCTGGGTAAACAAGAAACTTGTAGCCCGAGATACTGATTGGCCACAGCCATTCAAGTACATTGATCTGCCAAGACCGCTCATCGAGATCAAACGATTGAGCTCATTATCCGACGGAGAAAATATTCGGACTATCTCTATTTCTGCATCGAAGCCCGTCAAATGCCTTGTCTTTGAAGAGCGCGACGGAGTCAAATTTAGCGATAACGCGCTGGATATTGTTCCTGGTGATGTGCAAGAAGTGACCATCTCGGGATTGTCAGAGGACTCATCAAGCTTGGCCTATAGATTCTTGGGACACGAAGAGTCTGCCCAAGAAGTCATCGTTTAGGTCTCAATAGGTTTTAGAGATTTTAGACTGGCAATGAGATGTCTGCACTTGTGTAGACCGTCTCGAGTTAGAAATTCAAATGATGTATCAAACAATACTCGCATGATGGTATTATTCCTATCAAGCCTGTTGTAAATATCCCATTTATCCAAAAGCTGTCAACTCTTTATGGGTTGAACCCCACGGGATGTATTATAACTTGTCATGATTACAGGACCTCTGAGTACTTCACATCCCCGGAAGGCCAAAAGGTCGCTCGTCCACTTCGCAGATTGTCCCGACATCTGGGAGCGCCCCAGTTTGGAAGTAATTTCTAATCACATTGGTTGTACAGTTGGACGAGGAAGTGATTGAACAATGCTGTCAATATCAAACTTGTAAGCATCTCCATTTGTACCTCTACAAAATAAAGCAAGCATCAAATTCAAAACTTACGCCAAGAGAGTTTTGCTGTAATACTCGAGCATCGGAGAATCCGTGGGACATTGTGATAGCACTACAATTCGTAAGTTGATATCCACGGGATACATAATATAGCAGTGGAGATTCTCACTTTTGTAGAGGTGTTACTGGATCATATAAGTTGCCAATCAAGAGTAGAGGATGAGACGTGTTTTGAACAAATGATCCTTGATAAAAGAGTGATTAGATCCCAGTGAATTGCCTGTACACGTCAGGGATAACCTACCAGTAAAGGGCCATTCCGGTCGAACATTCCAGCCGGCGCATGGTAGGCGGACAGTGGGCCACAAATTTCCAATTGCCTGACTCTGATTCTGGAGTGTATGCCAATACTCCCTGTATTCCTCTTTCGTGATCCCATGGATGTCTTCTCCATCCGTACATAGGATACCTGGTTGTGCCTCAACATTGAACCCTGGAAGATAGGTGGATTTGCGGTTATTGGCCTTGAAATCGGCAAAGGAAGATCCATTGCGCTGAGAAATGTCTACCAGCAGTTGTGCCATGGATGAAAACATGTCCATGGGACTATACAGTGATTGCACAACCATGGTGTAGACGTCGCTGTAGGTGATGATATCAGGTCCTCTGGACACTGAACCGGGAACAGCAACGGGATTTTTGGCAATCTCAGTGAGGATATCGTAATATTGTTCTCTAGTCGCCTGCAAAGTATCCAAGGCAAACGGACATGACGCCGGGCCAGCTTCATGGCAGTATTCGAAGAACTTTTGCAATCCCGAGTCTGAGTCCTGAAGATTAAGAAGCCAGTTGCCAGCATAGTAATCTTTTGAATCACAGACTCCATCAATCACCAAGCGATTGATTCGGCCGGGCTGCATTGCTGCAAAAGTTGCACCTAAAACACTGCCATATGAAAATCCCCAGTAAAGCAGTTTCTCCTCACCTTTTTGCCACTTATTCCGCAACCGAGCATCTCGTTGTCTCGGAGCTGGGGAATTCATTCCGCTGTTCATCAGAAGTCTATCGGTTTCTTTCTCGCGCCACTCGCCGTGTCGCTCGACGAGTTCAACCATATCAGCCACCACGGGGGGCGTGCTCATGAAACGTCCTATCCATTCCGAGTCACCAGAACCAGTACTAACGCTAGAGCAAGTCTCGCCAAATGCAATTGCCCGTGCCCACAGATTGTTAAAAGCGGCATCTGAGCTCCCAAGGGTTCCCTCGGTATCCAGCTGAAGCTGCCACGCACGACGCGCTTCCGCATCCGCAAAACACGAGAAGGAAGGAGTGGTGTTGTTGACTCCTCTCGGATCAAAGCTAATCACATCAAAATACTGCGCACCTGGAGACTGGGAAGCCGGGTGTTCAGGTGATTCCTCAAAATCAACAATCTTTTGGATCTTATGTCCTTTGCGAAAGGCTAAGCTTACCCCAGATCCGCCAGGCCCACCTGGGTTGAGAATGACAGGGCCACCGTATCGGACATCTGTGACTGCAACCTTGGCTGGAAGCCGGATGACCGCTAGTGCGACAGTCGCGCCTTGACCCTCCGTACGATTCCAGTCCATTGGTACCTCTAGTCGAGCGCATTCATAGTCGTCAAAACAAGGGTGATAAATGAGTTGCTTGGTAGGTGTAATCTATTGCCTGTTAATATCTCGCAGTTTGGGAAATTGGCCATAACTCACAAGGTCCCATTCGAAATCCTTATCGACTGGTGTTGGTTGTAAACCCCTGGGAATTTCTCCGTAGTATTGCAGAGTCCACAAAACGGCTAGGATGGAAAAGATAGCGATCGGTCGGGAGACCTTATATCTCCATCGCCTGGACCTGTCTTCCGACTCTGGTAGAGGAAAGTCGACATATTGTTCTTTGAGACTAAGGTGCATGTTGCCAGAGGATGCGGGGTCGCGTTGTACGGTATCAGGGGGAAATCAACAGGTGTCTATACCCGCGGATCTTGGTAGGTATCTTCGGGGAACGAACAAGCGAGAGTTGAAAATAATGCCAGATATGATCAATAAGAGACAGACTTTGTAATACGAAGCCAATCAAGGGGGGATAAGGGAGCCTAAACTCCAATTTTGGACACTGTCGGGGGCAGCTGCGATGCGTAAGCAACGTTGGAATCAATCAAATCAAGTTGCGACATCTGTATAGGTGGAGGCTGTACACTATACCTATTCTGGTTACTTCCTGTCTCCCAAGATTCAAGTATAGTGATAGGCAATATCAATTGATGGATTTAGAGAAAGAATTCAAGGCCAATTTGCAGCCCCATTCCTGCTGTTATAAACTATTCCCAATACCTTCTGCAAAGTTCAAATCAATCTGAAGTCTCCGAGATTCATAAAATGACAAAAAATAGTAAAAAAGGTGGAAGACAAGTGAAGAACAGAGGAAAGAAGGTCCAGTCGGGACGAACAAAACAGGCTAAAATATCCAACACGATGGAGATAAATGCCATACTAAACTCAAAAGTTGAACGAAAATGCGTAGACTTCATTTTGGAATCTCTTGACGACTTTGGCAAGGTTGACCGGGGCCACAGTCGACCTTGTTTTTTAAACCCTCAAGGTCTTCCGTTCGACGTGGTGTGGTTCCCATTAGGAGAATTCTTCCCATTATGACGCATAGTGCTGGTCCCAGAGATAGATGGCCGTCTCGCGCCAGAAGACGGCATTCGACCGTGAGTGGGACTACTTGGACTTCGAATCATCTCTTCCTCTGCCAAGCTCCACAAGGGATGCGATGTTCTGATCTGAGTAACATAAGTGAAAGGATGGCGCTTCTCATTTTCTATCTGGGAGATGCGCGGGAAAATCGTAAAAAAGTTTCCTGCCGTCAAGGGGGTCTTTTTCTCCGCGTGAGCGCTATCTCCTCCTGGGAACTTGAACGAGCTCCACTCAGGATCATCCCAAACCAAGGGTTCGAAGTCCGGCTCGTACTTCAAATGAGCATGTTGGAGTGGGATCCAGACTTGGGTCGCCCGTTCCGCAATTTTCGATATGATTTGCCGAGCTTCTTCTTGTTTATCATCGGAGAGCGATTTAAACAGGTTATGGGTTACATTTCGTGAAACATTTAGGATCCTAGATTGCCGAGATTTCTCTTGCCCCGTCTCGTCAATTGAAAGAAGCATACTCCGACAGAATGATTCTTTCTCGCCGTCTATTTTGGCCAGCTCGATCAAGGCTGTTCGCAGCTTATTGTCATCAAGGTCGAGGTAGTTGGGCTGGAATATGTGCTTATTAATTTCTCTTGATAAGTGGCCTAGAGTCACAGCAAGGCGCATTCCTTTGGCCGCTATACTGGTGGAGGCGGGGAGAGGGACGTTGTGTGGCATAATCGATACGCTGTCCTTTCGGAATTTCTCCCAGGTGCTATTATCCTGCGAATCGGTGAGTAAAGAATTCCTCCAAAGCAATGGACTATACGGTGCCAACCTTCAATGTCTCTTTTTGCAAAATCTTGGACATCTCCTCTGTAGCAAAATCCCAAAGATTGGAAAATTGATCGATCCTGAAAAGGCTCAGTCATGAATCCGACATGCATCACTAAGGATTATGGCTTACATGGTGTCTTCGGCCACTTCCCGATAAGACCCTCGGAAACTCTCCAGTGTTTTTAATTTGGCTTGCGAGTCTTCCATGATACGCGTCATTGACGTACACTGCTCTTGCAGCTTCCCAACCTTCTTTTTCTCGATAGCCAAGCGATCGTTGAAGTTTGACTCGGACGCCTTCATCTTATTGATGATGGCATCTTTTTCTTTCAGGCTCTTTTGCAAAGATGTGATATCATCAGACAATCTCTCGAGTTTCGCCGCGTCCTGAATTTTGTCTGATTTCGAATTTTTGGCATCAGTTTCAAGTGTTTTGATGCTCTGTAAGTATTTCGAAATCGTAGTTTCTTGATCGGCAATGATCTGGCGCAAGGACTCAACTTTCGCCTGCACTTCCTTTTGCTTCGTCTGGTCTTTCTCGATTGTCGAGGCCATCATCTTCATAGCGATGGTATGATCTTTATCTTGATCGCTTAGTTTCTTGATCTGGTCTTGTTGGTGTTCAAATTCACGTATAAAATTGGAAGCTATTTGCAGCTCGGGTTTAGATGCAAAATCAAGCAGGCATTTCACCCAACACTTGAAAGAGTCACTCGTGGGTGAAGATGAATTGACATGCTGTATTCCGGGTTGTGGCCCAGGTGGAGGCGAAGGCTTCGTTGCCACTGACATGATGAATTCGCAGACGGGGTATGTAATTCAAACCTATCAATTGATGGTTCTGATAGATGGTCTACCCGTATGTCTGCCGGGGCATAACTCGAGGATTTATAGATTTATGTCCCTTGTCGATTTTTGGGATGTCGCCTTATCTCCACATGTGTGAAATACCTGGTTATCTCGCCTGTTTCTCCTAAGCGACCCCATTGAATCAGCCGGATCAATGCTAAGGTATGAGCTGGCCACAAGACCACATGGGGTTATGCGTGAGCCATCAGGTCCGAGAGGAGACATCTGGATATTCCAAGTCTGCAGCAACATTCGCGCAAGGAACATGACTCAAGTGTTCAAGGATTCAAGGATTTTGGAACATTTGACAGTTGAATTTTGAAGTTAGGTACCTAGGTATTCCCATGGACGGGTATGCCAGCAATGAGAAATGGAGAATTCAGCCTCATTTTTGCCTGGGGAGAAAAGGATTTTCAAGTGATGAGTTGTCAACTTGTCACATGCATGCAAGATCATGTACGGGGTGATGCTTGGCAACGTGGTCCGGGCTATGTGGGTGCCCGCATTCGTGCACGGGGCCTCGGGGACTATATTTTGGTGATGCGAACCCATGCTTGCATATCATCCATGAAGGTATATGTTGAGATCGGACTGTATATGGTTGCCTTGGATCAGAGGCGCCTTCCTGGGGCGAATTGATTCTGTATCTTCTTTTCTTTTTTGCTGAGATGTCGTTGACGTTTGACATTGTAATTTCCATCGCCTGCGGCGGGAAACATGGGAAAATGGGGGGAAATGGGGGATACTGGGAGATATTGGGTATTGCATATCAGCGAGTCAACTGTTCAACTGATGCCAAGGAAAGTGGATTATGGAAGGTTCAGTTGGATCCAGTTCCAATTTTAGCGGGGCTGTGTGTGTTGGGTTGTGTGGTTTTTCTAGATTTTCTTGCTTTTTCTCTGGTTTGGCAAATTTCCGTGTTTTTTTTTTGTTGCCCCTCACCGCCACAGTCACCTTATCTCTTGCCGGTGGGTTGAAATCTGACCTGAAGTCTCTTTATCATTTTTTTTCAATCCTTTTCTCACACACAATCCTTCAAAATGTCTAAGCTCTACGTCGGGTACGTTGCATCCTGCATTTATACTTGAATCGAAACTAATCACTGGAAAATAGAAACCTCAGCTGGAACACCACCACTGACTCGCTGAAGCAGGCTTTCGAGCAGTTCGGCCAGGTCGTTGACGCCGTACGTGAAACCCCTCCCCCTCTCTCATATTTTTTTCCCTCCCTTTTTTTTTTTTTTTTTTTTTTTTTTTTTTTGCTTCAACTTGATCTTCTTATTTCACACCAATTCTAACTTCCTTTTCTTAGATTGTCATGACCGACCGTGAGACTGGTCGCTCCCGTGGCTTTGCCTTCGTCACCTTCTCTTCCGAGGAGGAGGCTACCGCTGCCCAGAACGCCATGAACGAGCAGGAGTAAGTCTCTTTTAATCCCACTCTCTGATATGGGATCATATATTCCGCACAAGAAAATCCTCCCACTAACATTTTCTAGCCTTGATGGCCGCCGTATCCGTGTCAACGTCGCTGAGGCCCGCCCTCCCCGCTCCAACTACAACGGTGGCGGTGCCCCCGGTGGCCGCTGGTAAATATGGAAATGATTAAAAATCAATGATTTTGCATATGAAAAAATGGTGCGCGATGGTAATGGGGACTATATCTACATTGAATGATGTACGAATATTCTAGAATCTGCCAGGAAAATAAATTATTGTAATTTATGCCACTTTTATCCAATGTCAACAACTGGCACACCTTTTCTGGAATCCTAAATTCTTTATAAAAGTAATGTAGAAAAAAGGATTCCCACTTGTGTGATTAAACAAAACCCTTTGAACAGTCTATCATTCCAATTCCCCTACTTCCAATCTTGTCCCTTTTATTTTTCTTTTTTTTTCTTTTTTTTTCTCTTATTTTTCTCTATTTTTTCTCTCCCTCGATGAGGCCAAATGGCGCCATGGATGAGTCATACTCGTACGCTTAGGAGGTTTGGTCTAATGCAACTTCTTTCTCTGTCACGTTTATCCTTCAATGTTTCGAATATACTAATTTATCTTCCCATCTATAGACTTGGAGGGAAAGACAAAATGGCTAGCACCGTTTATCTCGCCATTGTGGGTATGGGCTTGCACCAATACTATCATTTTTGAACACTGCCCTCACGTACTTGAGCTAAATCGAAATAGGTGTGGGGGTTGTCGGTACAGCGCTACTTGAACAGCTTGCGCAAGTGCCAGAAGCACCTCACCTAGTTTTACTTTCACGCTCTTCAAAAACTCTGTTAGCACCAACTCCATCTTACGCACCCCCGATCCCATTTGTGGATTGGGAATCTGCTACGGTCACTCCCTCGATAACGACGGTGGATGGGTTACGGCCAGATGAGATAGAGGCATACCTCTCGCTAGTTCCTGGTCGGGTGGTTTTGATTGATAATACTTCTAGCCTTGCTTTAGCACAGGCATACCCGGCATTCTTGAAGAAAGGAATATCCGTCGTGACGCCCAACAAAAAGGGATTCTCCGACGACATTTCACTCTGGAATGATATCTTCGCTTCGGCGAATGAGGGAAATGCCCTAATATACCACCAAGCAACTGTTGGCGGGAGTCTTCCCATTCTGTCAACCCTTCGCGGTCTGATATCCGCGGGTGATGAAATCGTGAAGATAGAAGGTGTTCTTTCTGGCACGCTGTCCCTTCTGTTCGACACATATATGCCAGCTATCGGAACAACGGATTCCACATGGAGTTCACTCGTGGCGCATGCTCTCGGGATCGGATTCATGGAACCTGATCCGCGTGATGACTTGAACGGAATGGACTTTGCCCGAAAGCTTACCATCCTCGCTCGAGTCGTTGGTCTCCAGATAGCTGGGCCAGATGCGTTCCCTGTCCAGTCACTGATTCCCATTGAGTTACGGTCAATTCCCTCGTCAGCCGAGGGGACCTCTCGGTTCATGAAAGAGCTACCCAAATTTGATGAGCATATGGCGATGGCCAGGGATCAGGCCCAAAGGGAAGGCAAAGTGCTGCGGTATATCGGTAGTATTGACGTGGCTAGTCAAAAGATTCAAGTTGGGCTGCAGCATGTCGAGAAAGATCATCCGATCGCAAATCTCAAAGGGGATCAAATCGTGAGCATCTATACAAAGGGGTCTGGAGGCAATCCCTTGGTCTTGAAAGGTGGCGGTGGCGGTGGTGAGATCACAGCCACGTGCGTGATGAGAGATCTCCTGGAGGTGATCACACACTTGAAACAGCCCTTCAATAACTCACACATCTAGAGCACGTAGTAGGATCCACGGCTTGCACATGTGAAGTCCCGATTGCTCAAGTCCTGGCCATCCTTGGTAGATCAATTCATGTCCTTTCTAATGATACATATGACTTCGGGAACATGATGTGTATAAAGATTGAATCCTGCATAATCTCCCAGATATCTCCCTTCTATAAGTTCTTTGTTCTAATTCAATCTCCAAATGACAACTGTCGAAATAAATTGCCCCGAATGTGCCCAGCCAACATTCAGCGAGGACATTTGAGATTTGAGGAAATCCAGTCAAGGTGTAATTACTCAAGGATCACTTAATTCCCACCGTTTTATGTCTACAAACCAATATGCTCATGTCTTTCGTCGATCTGTTTCTCAATCCTCTCGGTGTTGATAGTGCGGTGATGTCCGGGCTCAATAGGACGACCACGAGACTCAAAGACGCCTCCGGTAAGACCGCCACTTTCAAATAGATGATCCACATCTTCCAGTTCAAGGCCCTTTGTCTCGGGGAAGAAGAAAAACACCATCGGGATCTATGAGGTTCAGCTTAAAAAATTCGGTGTTTAACCAGGGGAAGCTTACCCAAGCAAAGCAGAAACACGCGAAGATGATGAATGTTCTCCAGGAGATGTTATCAATTGCAGTTGGTGTCACTTGCACAACAATAACTAGAACAATCAGTAAAGGGAGAGATTAATTCTAAAAGAGAAGAAGTCACTTACAGACGCAAATCCAGTTCACGAAGCCTGCAAACGCCTGGCCTCGAGCCCGAATGCGCGTGGTCGTAATCTCACTGGGATAAAACCTGTAATAAAGTAAGCGCTTTTTTGTTTTGTAAAAATTTCCAGTCTTTTGACAGGTCTCGTGAAAGAAGGTAAAGAGCATACCAAGGTACAGGTAAATACCCAACACCCAGAAAGATTTGAAAAATAAAAACAAAGACCGTTGCAGCATATGCACAGTCTGTGCTACCGACAGAGAGCAGGGCGGCGACCATAACAAAGCAGACACAGAGGCCAGCAGCAGAGATCATCAGGGAAGAGCGTCGCCCGAGAACGTCCATGCTCCAAAGAGGGATGATTGAACCAACCAGGTATGCAAGCGAAGTGCAGCCGCCAAGAATCAACGCCAAGTTTCGGGAAAGCCCCATTGCATTCTCATATACCGTTGGTGCATAATAGTTAATCATGTTTGACCCTATTGGTAGTTAATAAGTCTCTTCTTCTGAAGGTGTTCTGGTGGATATTACCAGTGAACTGCTGCTGAACATTGACCAGACCGGCCAGAATCATGCGACGTAGGTTCTGGACCTTGCCTCCGGCTAAAAGCTCCTTATACTTGAATGGGCCACCTGATGACTCAATCTCGATAGCCGATTCAATCTGGCGACGCAGTCGTACTACTTCGGGGTCGATTCATCTGCAGGTTGCTCAAGTTGAAGATGGGCGAGAATTCGGCCCGCCTCGTCACTGCGGTCTTGTTCACAAAGCCAGCGAGGTGTATCAGGAAGTGGGATCATCTGCAAAACCAGACAGACGGCAAAGAAAGCCTGGAAACTGATTGGGAAACGCCATTGAACAGGGGAGTCGACGAAGCTGAGGCCGTAGTCGAGCCAGTATGCTATACATAGCCCGACGATTGTAATTGTTCCCTGCGCTGATAAAAGTCTGCCTCGGCGCTCTGGTCGTGCCATCTCTGCATGGGCCTCAGTGATAGCTCTTTCATGTTTGTTGATTACCGTTAATGTGACTTACCACTCTGGTATGTTGGGACAGTACTGCTGTTGATGCCATTTCCAAACCCTGTGACAACACGGCCAACCAAAAACTGGGTTCTGGTATAGGAAGAACCCAGGATAACGGTGCCAATGACCATGATCGTGCCTCCTGCCATGATCATCTTCCTCCGACCGAGTTTATGACCGACAACAAAACTAAGCAGACATCCGACAGCGCAGCCAATATCATAGATCGAGGTCACTGTCATATAATTTTTTAGCTCGGTTCCAATCGATTTCAGAAATGATTGCTCACGGATTCCCTGCATGTTTGCATCTGGGTGACCAAACTGTTGTCCAAATTGATTGTTGGCCCCGATCAGTCCGCTCATGACTCCCTGGTCATAACCAAGTAAGAGGAAAGCCTGACAGCTCGCCGCTACATGAGATTAGTATTCTCCAACATCAAACAATAATTCTCTCCTGTGATTTGAATATGTACCTGTCACGGCCCAATGTAAATATTTCCCACGTAGTTTTATCATCCTGTTTATGTATATCTCGATGGTTTGGATGTAGCAAAGAGAAATACAGGTGTATTCACAAGACTAGAGTCCAAGTTCCCAAGGGGGTTCTTTTCACTCCGTCGTTTGATCGATGATGATCATATTGTCTCGCGGTGTTGTTCCCCCGAGGACGACCACTCGGTCTAAATGAACCCGGTGTTGCATGGGTATTGGCTCGCTAAAGGCCCAAATCCGGGGATGAGTGGAGTTGTTGTGGAGTCACCCCGCACGGTGTTGACGGACGCTCGGTTTCAAGGAACATTCAGGGCAGGTAAGCTTCGGCAAAGGCTTCGGTGGCTTAGTTTGGCTTGTATTGAGTTGTCAACTTCTTCACCGAGCGACGCCACTTGGAACCTTCTTTTGAGGTAAAGATGGACATACGAGTTATACACTGCTCTCTCTCTCGGGTTGTGTTTGGAATGTCCCGACTTATCATTCGGCTGATAGACACACGGGGATGAAAAAATCAAATTTTCGTGACAGAATTGAAATGCCCAGGTGGAAGCACATGCATGTGTGCAAAGGTGGAGCCAACATTTGAAGGGTTCATGTTTGAATCATTATATTGAATCAAGGATCTTCCAACCTTGGAAGGTTGTACCCTTGGTGGATTGAAACACACAAGAGGTATATCTTCTCTCTGCATTGTCTCATCGAATCTCCTACCTATATTTGCCGCATGTATGAATGTCACCAGTCAACTGGCTTCGAATATCTTGTTTGATCTTGGAACCAGAGCCAAAATATACCTCTTCCAAAGTTGTGGATTTTGAACGTTGAAGGCAACGCTGACTCAACATGTCGGGACAGAGCCATCTTGCATGTGCAATCCGGAGGAAATAAAGTTGACCAAATATATTCAATCATGAGTACTTCCTCTCCAACATGCTCTTCTTATGAATACCAATGTGTGAGCCCATTTTCTGTTTTTCTCCTTCTCTTTGATTTCAACTGGTTGTGAACTCGGCGGGGTTCGGCTATAGATCGCCATAACCGCGATGCGGCAGAGCGTATCGGTATTTCTACAGGTTAGTCATCGGCTTCAACACTTTTAATTCGTAATCCTTCTTCTACTTCCAAGGTTGATTCTTCGCATTCTTTTGAATCTGCCAGTCTCTGGAGCAAAAAAATGGCATCCATTCCTAATCACCAAACAGCAGCTCTCGTGCAAGATCCTGGTGAAAACTTCAAGATCTTGATCCGCGATGACATCCCCGTCGGCGAACCAGGGCCAGAAGAGATCCTAGTCAAGCTAACGTGCACAGGTCTCTGGTAAGTTCAATATACACTTTACCCATTCCGATTCTGACATCAAACAGTCACTCCGAAGTCCGAGCCGTTCTAGCTTGGGCTGCCTACAAATCAATAATTGGACATGAAGGTGTGGGGACAGTTGTCAAAGCGGGCACCAACGTTACTCCATCGCTCCTCGGTCAGCGCGTCGGCGTCAAGTGGCTTTATAGTGCCTGCAAAGAATGCTCCGTCTGTCGGAGAGGGTTCACCCAGAACTGCCCCAAGCAGGTAAACACCAGCCGCCACGTTCCCGGCACGTTACAGCAATATGTCGTTGCCGATGCCCGGTTCATCACGCTGATTCCCAAGGGGCTTGCGGATGAGATCGCCGCTCCCATTCTCTGCGCTGGTCTAACCATGTCTGGGGCTTTGGCGCATCTCGATCACGAGCTCCGAGCTGGGGATTGGATTGTGATTTCCGGGTCGGGCGGCGGACTGGGTCACATAGGGGTGCAAATTGCCGCGCGGGTGAAGAAGCTCCGTGTGATTGCGATAGATAGTGGGGATTCCAAGCGAAAACTTAGCCTGGACTCTGGAGCGGTAGCATTTGTGGATTTCAAGACGGAGGATGTCACGGCGCGGGTATTGCAATTGACCGGAGAGGGTGCTCATGCCACAATTGTCGTGCCTGGGACCAAGGAAGCCTTCCAGATAGCACCATCATTAGTGCGAAATATGGCGACTATTGTATGTGTGGCCTTGCCCCCGAACCAAATGGATATTCCGATTTCTGCCACTATCTGTGCCGCTCGAGGTGAGTGATGGCCTGCTTGCATCTTTACTGGGTCAGAATCCATTCTAATCCCAACAGGACTGACGATTAAGGGCTCTTCAGTGGGTACTGAGAGTCAATTGACGGAGCTGCTGAATTTGGCCTTGGAGGGAGTGATTACTCCTGCCATTGAGGTATTTGACTTCGCTGAAACTGATAGACTTATTCGCCAACTCACCAAGGATGAGATTATGGGTCGGGCAGTGGTTAGGATTCCGGTAGACTAGTAGGAGAAGAGTTTGACGAGAGAGTAGTATGTCAAGTAGGTGAAATAGCATCTAATCACTTATTTATGAAGAAAAGTCTCGTTCAATGATTTTCTGGTATCTAAAAGCCCTACAAACTTGGAATTCCGTCTTGACTATTGATTTTTGACTCTTGAGTCTTGACTCTTGCCAGTGATGTAGATCTTGCCATTTGCTTGGTCAGATAAAGTTGATGTAACTAGTTAACTATCGATAAGTCGATAAACCTCTTATCGCGCAAACCTCACTTTCTCCACCCCTCTCACCTTACACACACACACCACCTTGAAATGGGAACCAAACGATCCTGGCAAGGGCAGCCTGTCACACAAGACACCGATATCACTATGACATCTGAAACCACCACCCCGATAATCACCTTGTTTGAGGGTTTCCGCAATGAGCTGGACCAACATCACGACCGACGCGAGCGGATCATCAAGGTCAGCCGGGACATTACCGCCCTGAGCAAGAAGATGTAAGTCCGTCGCCTAACATTCTCCAGGTCCCACAGTCCTAACATGCTCTCAGGATCTTCGCTCTTCAACGCGTGCGCGCCATCAACCAACCCCTTCCTCCGAAAATCTCGCAAGAAAACCAAACCCGCCTCGACCAGATCAAGGCTCTTTTCAATTCTATCATCCCAGATGTCACAGGCATCAATGCTTGGCGATACCAGCGCCAGATTGGTGGTGGTATCCAAGAGTTCATTGAAGCAATCTCGTTTGACCACTACCTGCGCACGCAAACGTTGATCAGCCACGCTGAAGTTCAAGCCATACTCCCGCATGAGCTTCTAGTCACAGAAGATGATTATCTCATGGGTCTGTTCGATTTGACTGGTGAGATGATGCGCTTTGCCGTCACCGCACTGAGCTCTGGGAATGCAGCCAAGGAGGATCGAGCCGAGGCAGAATCTACAGATGCGACAAGAAAACTCCCGCATCTTACTGCCGAACAGGCTGGTATTGTCATTGATTTAAGAGCTATGCGTGCAGAGTTTGAGGCGCTCAGTGTTCCAAAGCGGTCAAATATGCTACGTGATTTGTTCAAAAAAGTGGAAGTAATGCAGAGTAGCGTGGAGAAGGTGGAGCGGGCAGCTTATGGAATCTTGGTACGTGGAAGCGAGCGCCCAAGTGGATGGACGCCAGATCTGTCAGCGCCGGTTGAGATGGAGATTCATTGATCTGCGAACGTCTCTCCTCAATCTGATGCCTCGAGTTACTCTATCCAAGATATAAATGTTAAAACACAATTATTACGAGCCATATGCATGGAATCTGATGAGAGCTCTGCGCTGTGAGGCAAAGTCCGCGGCCGGGCGGGTAAACGTTTTTTTTTTTTTTTTTACGTCTACTTCATTGAATATGTCTAGGTCTCAATAAATCCGAACCTAGTCTCTAGTAGCTATAGTCCTCGAGGGACACAGGATACATACTCTCAAAGGCATATATTTTATGTAGTACATACTAGGTAAAGACGAGCGCTCAAGTGCTGTAGGTCACTGGTCATTCTAAGTCTACTACTTACGTGTGAGATCTACCATGGATGCACATATAATAAGTGCTTCAATGACTACAACTCCCTTGCTCAATCAGTATTGCCTTCGAATGTTTGTAAGGTTCAATGTTCTGTTGACTAGTAGTCAACTGGTACATTGCTATGCACATATTGACATGTGTTCTGCAACTCTTCAAATTTACCGTCGGCGTGTCTCAAGTACTTTAGAAAAATATAGTAAGCTCTTTTAACTTGTATCAATCAACAACCATCGCTTTGCTCTCATTGAAACTCTGCATATTCCCAAGCAGGTGCTGACAGCGAACCTCAAGTGCTTCAAATGTTGGAAGCTGGCATGCTACTAGTACATAGTATTGTAACTAGTATTCAAGTGCTAGTACATGGTGATCTCAATAAACATCGGCACGCGCTAATCCCCGCCGTGTACTCCACTCTTGATTTTACAATATTAAAAATCCAGAAAGACTTACCTCTCTCGAGTCTATAGCCATATACGCAGAAACGAAGTGGATAAACAGATAATAGCTTACAGAGAATCAAAGATATAGACTTTGCGGGGAAAACAATAAAACGATAACTTATATGTGGAGCAGACATCGACAATCGTCACCGTGACATCACCATCCGCAGAATGACTTGCCCCATCAACCCCCGCAAAATTAAAAGCAGAAGACGAAGAAGAATAAGAGAGAGAGAAACGAAGTTCGTAGGGGAAAGGGGAATAGGAAATAAGGATCAAGTGCAAAAAAAAAAGAAAAGAAAGAAAGAAAAGAAAGGGCGAGAAAGCGCCATTTCCCCTCACATTGGGCCTGCTCACAGTCCCAATCTTATCATCACGGAATCAGGGAGATCAGGTTCGTAACGACCCCGCAGAAACATCATGTGTGGACTTAGGCAGAGCGCGGGTTCTCATCTTCCTCGAGGATACCCTGGGAAATCAGATCCTCGGGGTCGGGACGATTCTGAATCTTGTGTTCCAGATTATCGACGAGCATGTGGCGCTCTAGTTCGCGGGCCTGGGCCTGTAGAGCCGGGGCGGCATTGGTCGAGGGAAGAATGTTACCTGCCATGGTTAGTAAAAACATTGCAATGGCTTTTGCACACAAGGGGGAGAGGGCTGAGGTCGATGCATAGCAAAGCAAGAAAGAAAAGGATAGTAGTTTCAAAGGTGGCTCAGAAAGGTAAAAGAGAGGGAGATATACGCTCCACGAGCTCGTCCCGTCCCGGCCTTTTCCCCAGATTCTTCTTCAGTTCGTCCGAAGCGCGCTGACGGGCGAGTTCCTGATGAGCCGCTTGGAGAGATCTGTTGTCAGTCAGCCACAACGGCTTGCAAGGGGTTGATAATAATAATAAAAGGCGGGGGCCCCGTACGGCGCAACATTGGTGTTCAGCAAGATGTGACGGTCCTTGAGGTCCTGCGGGTCCGGTCGGGTTTGGAGATGCTTTTCCAGCGAGTTGCGGCGCTCATAGGGGGCCGTACCCAGAGGAGTTTCGTCAATCGACATAATGGAGTATTGATAAGTCAAGGAATGTGGAACGAGATGGATGTAGAAAGTAAAGGGAAGGTTGAGGATGAGGGGAAGAACCAAGTGCAAAGGTCATGTAATAGGAAAGTCAAGTGATGCTGGGTCACGCGGGGAAACGCCAACTTTTACTAGTACTACGTAGTATTTAGTGTACACATGCAAGTTGAATGGTTTTTTTTTTCACAGTTTACAGCCTGGTCAAACATACAACTAGCAGTATGGAAAGAAATTTATCTCTGCAAGTGATTTTGCTTACAGTGAAGGAGAAGAAAAAATCAAAATCAAAATCCTTCCTCTGTAAATTTCAGGCAAATAAGAATCTACTTGGCCTCCATAAGTCAAAAAAGAAAGGAAGATAGAAAGCAAAATTCTCATCAAGAAACACGGCAACCCATATTTTCCCCCAAAGAAAATTCCTGGGCAACAAAGGGTACGGAGGGCTCCTCAAGGAAGAATCCAATAGAGCAAGTCCCTCTGAGAATCGGAATCGGAATCGGAGTCGAATCGAAATACCCTGTGGGAGGTACATTTCCGGCTTTCCAACCGTGTTGTGTGATCCTGGGAGTCATGCCGGGTGTGGGAATGAAGGGGAAGGGGAAGCAGAGATTAGAAAGATACGCGTCCTGCAGACAAGCACAGTAACGAATCGCTTTCACCTCGTGCGAGATGCCGGTCCTGTAAGGGAAAGAAGACAAACCCGTCCGGTGTCTGGATACATTCATTTCAACATGTTCACTTGGTCTGCTGAGATCCAATCGAGTCGGTCTCGGCAGACCCGCCCATGGTATCAAGGAACCCAAAGCTTGCCCCGGCCGCGGGTGTTGCCTCGTGCAGCACCACGAGGGGCACCACGAGGGGCACCACGACCAGATCCACGGCTAGATCCACCACGGCGCCCGTTGGAGCCACGCCGGGATGCTGCGTTTCCGCGAGCGGCGCCCTGCGGCGGGCTCGGATCAATGGCGGATGAAGCCTTGGTGGCCCCACCAATGGATCGGCTGAACGAGTTCGGGTCAATAGGTTGGGTGGGCACTTCGATCGGTGCGGTCGTTGGGGGCTCCACGACGGCTGGGGGGTTGGTCTTTACAGCAGGTTTGCGTGATGCCGCGCCGCGCGAACCCCGGGAAGGGCCCTTGCCACTGCCGCGGCCGCGAGGGACAAAGACCAACTCATCTTCGTCGCTTTCATCCTCATAGGACAGGAGAGTCTTGGGTTCGGGAGTCTGATTCTGGGTCTGGATCTGGGTCTGGGTCTTCTCAACGTATTTGCAGCGATTCTTGTATTCGCGCTCTTCGTATTGAATCGCAGTACGCAGTTGGACGATATTTTTCACACCAATTCCGAATTTTTGGGCCCAAATTTGAGTCGCGCGGTCGTTGGATACGAGGATACAGCCATTCCCGGACTTCTCACCATCGGGACCGCTGTGCAGGCGCCACAGGAGAGCACTCAGTAACGGGCGGAGCTCAGCCGGGGCCACGGGAATCGTGGACGATCCTGTGCGCTGATGACCATGCTTTGACTTCCCAGCTTTGGCTGTATTGCCATTCTCATGCTGAGCGCATTCGGGGCTGGTGCGAGAGCTACGGGAGGAAGTGCGCGAGGCTGGCCCGCTTGGGGATCCAGCGGACGTATTAGAGGCCGCTTCAGGATCTTTCTTGAAGTTCAATCTGCTGAGTAACATCTGGGATAAGTCATCCGATTCTGGTGCGCCGGTGGTCTCCCGTCGCTGGGTCGGCGATTTCAGAGTATGGGCATTCGCATTGACTTCGTCGCTCGGTTCCTCCTCGAATTCGGGCAAGAAGAATTTCTCCGCATCCTCCCAGTGCTCGAACAGTTGATTGGGACCTTGGATTTCGATCCTATTGGATGCGATGGCGTCTTTGCCGGAGGTGACTCGGTCGAGGAAACGAACGGCCTCGCGGGCATTGATGGCGGTTTGCGATCCCGCCCGCTTCAAGGCGTGGAGCCGCTCAAGAGCTGGAGGTGAACCGTGCGGTCAGTAACGATCTCGGGCAGGCTGAATACTCTTGCGTTTCAATTTCCGTAACAAGGACTTACTGTAAAGAGGAACAATGAGATCGATGGACCCGTTGGTGGTCCATTTCTTAATCTCGCTGATATTGGTAGTCAAAGCCGTCTCATCCACGGCGCAGTGAAAGATCTTGCGTCCGGTCGACATGGTGGAGAGATTAGCTGTCGGGTGGGGGAAGGTCGGAAGGGGGGCAGTCCAACCCTATACAGGGGAACTGGAAATGAAGACAACCGCAACTGAAGGAGGGGGAAGATTGGGTCAGCAGAGTCCCACGAAGGAGGTTTGCGGATTTGGGGTGGTCTGGGAATGTGGGGGCAGCGGGACGCCGGAATATGAGCGCAACGCACTATGGAAAACACAATGAATCATCTGCAGCATCTTTAAGACGGTGCAACCCAGGATAATGCTGAGTAGGGGGACTTGCGAGTGGTAGATGGGAAATCAAATCGGCTTTCAGGCTGAGATGAAGCGCTGACTAAGCGCAGTACCGGGGTTCAGAAGTGCAACTTACAGGAGAACTAAGCCTGAAGAAGAATCAAGATTCAAGAGAGAGGAAGAACTAAGCCTGAAGAAGAGATCAAGGGATAAACAAAGAAGAAAGAATCAAGTAAGAGTTGATTTTACATGCGAGGTGTGCACAAGATGTATCATCTAAGGATATCAAAACAGAAGGGAAAGAAGGTGTTAAGAATTAAGACACCCAGAAATCATTCCTCCATCTTATCAATCATACTAGTAACTGTTAAAGGGAGACATGTCATTTTCCTTCACTCCTTCACCTTCTTAATGAGACCATCCGATTCCTTCACTCGCTGGGCCCATTCACTAAATATTTTGTTAATATATGATGGGAAAAAAAAGGAATGTCACAGAAAAACGGGGAAGAGGGAAGGTCTCACGTCCAGCTGCCATCATAAACTCGGCGCAGGTTAGCGTCACCATACTCGGCCTGAGCCAGTGCAGTTTCAATAATTGTGGCTGTGACACCAGTCCCACAGGAGCTGATAATGGAGAGAGCAGGGTCCACCTTGTGTTCCTCAAAGACTTTGTGCAGTTCCTCGGGAGATCGATAGGTCTTCGTCTCCGGGTCTAGCAACTGCTGGAAAGCCAAGCTCTTAGATCCAGGCATATGACCCGAAGAAAGACCGGGGCGTGGCTCGGGATCTGTCCCAGCCCAGCGACCATAGGAGCGAGCATCCAAGATCTCAACTTCTTCTGCGCCCTCCTTGCCATAGTCCAATGCCAGCTCTTTCATCTCACGGAAAGATATGACCAGCTTCGAGTCGTAGGTTGGGATTGGGTACTTGCTCTTCTCCACAGGTGTGGGTTCACCACTTTCGGTCGGAAATTGTTCTTTGGTCCAAAGGCGGTAGTTATTGAGAATGTGAACATTAGGGTGGCCGAAGACGCGTAAAGTCCAGCCCACACGCGGGGCGCTGAAGATTCCCAACTCGGCGGTGTCGTATACCACGACTTCATCATCACGACGAATCCCCAGCTCACTCATAGCATTTGCGAATGTTTCACATGTCGGCAGCATATGAGGATAAGGTGAATCCTGGTCCTTCACGGCGTCAAGATCAAAGAACCGGGCCTGAGGAATGCGTGACTTGTGGAAGGAGTCAATGCCGGTGCGGCCCTCGGCGTCATTTGGCATGAACCATGCTGCACACAACGGAATAACTCGTGGTGACGTGGAAATTTTAGAAGGCGGGTTCTTTTTCAGAGCCTCATTAAGCTCCTTGGGAGTAACCAGATAGGAGGAGAAAGAGATCTGGCGAGACCCGCGAGAGCCAGGAACTCGAGCAGCCATGGTGGGACGAAACAAACGAGAGGAGCGGGTGGCTGCGAAAGCCATGATTTCAAAAGGGGGGGAAATAAAAGCACCAAAAGAATTCCCTCTCCTTTTTTTTACATTTAGCAGTGAAACAGTGAAATGGCGAAATGGGGGGGATGTGGAGTTTAGTTAATTTGGTGCGGAGAAACTCATGTGATAACGATAAACACCAAGGTCGCGCTTATCAACAATTCTAGCAATTCCATCACTTGGGGTTCCCTTTTGCCAACGTCGCCCACTTCCACCTTTTCTACCACTGCCGAAGGAGCATGACCCGATCATGAAAGTCAAGCTCAAGGAATGGAATGCTATCGCAACTTGGCATTGGGATATGCCGGAGGATGAAGTCTGTGGTATCTGTCGTGTCCAGTTCGACGGAACCTGTCCGACCTGCAAATTCCCCGGCGACGACTGTTCGCTCTGTAAGTCGCGAGCTACCCGTTCAAGACTCTTTGACTAAAAATTTCGCAGTGCTCGGAAAATGTGGGCATTCGTTTCATATGGTAAGACTTGGGATATCAAGATTCTGAATATGACCCGAGGATACCAGACTTACCGAGTCACCAGCATTGCCTTTTGACCTGGATTCAGCAAGAAACCTCCAAAGGACTTTGTCCAATGTGTCGTCAAAGTATGTTTTCCTCCCTTCCTGTCATGAGATCTATGACTTGCTCACCACCCTCAGAATTCGAATGGAAACAAACCGAGGAGACCGAGGAGACTGAAGAAATTGAGGAACCCGAGCGATGATGGTCCATCATGTTTTTTTTATGGCGTTCACTAGGCACATTGGAGGATAAACTTGTTATTTCATGGGGTTTGAATTTTTGCATCGCTGGGGTTTTCTTTTTGACACTACTTTATCAAATAGTTATGGGATGGGAGCATTGGTCATTCCTTCCAAGGCGTTAGAGCAACTTCAATGTTGAGAGATTCAAACTTTGGATGTTGCATGATGCATTCATGCAGAACCTTGGAATCTTGAGCGTAGTATGTACCCAGGCCTCTACCTACAACTACTTTGTACTAGATACAATAAGCCACAGTACTGAAGCAGGTACCTAAGTGCTAGAGGGGACCTCGAGAGGGCTTTCATTTCAACGTGATCTATTGCGCAATCACTGGAGCCATCTCCATCTCCAATCACGTCATAAAGTAACACTTGAAGCCATCCATTATAAACAACTACTAGTAAGTAGTAACTAAGTAGCGGTTGATGATGGCTTAGATAAGGGTGGTGGGGCAAGAAGTGTCGGAAAATACTCCGACAATTCATTATCCGTTCTCAACTTCTCTTTAATTTGTTCAAAGGCATGTCATCCGTAGGCTTGTTAGACTTCGACCGGATTTGCGCGGGCATAATCAAAATGGATGCTCGCAACCATTGCTGCCGTGATCTGTCCCCCCATTCAGTTGTTGCGATTGGTTTCGCCGGCAAAGTCCAATTGTCAAATGAATGAAATCAATTCCGAGTAACTATATTTTGGTCTAGCAATGAGCTTGGTCTCATCGTTTACCAAATTTTGGCGGGTCAGAAGATAGCACACATGTACCGCGACCAAGGATCTTTGCCGCCAGTCTCATCACCTCGCCTCCGGCCCCCAGTTTTTACCACAGTCGTTTGACCTCTGATTGAGGATGTTTGGTTATTGCCACCAGAGTATTTGGTTGGGATTTCGGTTGAGTTTGTCGAGTAGAAGGGCGCTTTTGGCTGCCCAAATCGAGACGTGACTTCTCGTGGATCGGAGGCAGTGGGATTCCTTGTTGCTGGTGCTCCTTCACTCGGTGTATGCATGTGTGAAGAGTATGTAAAGCAGGCGTTGTAATTCCAATAATAATGAGATTTCAATGTTGCAAAATTAGATATCACCTCCGAGGGAAGCTTTCATTGCACCCCGGGCAGGTGTACGTACCAATTCGTTGACTGCTGCCGCTATATAATAGTATTATCTAAAATGATATCAAAATTAGGATTTAGGTTGAAATAATAAATATTCCAAAATTGACCTGTTACTCTTTCCAGCTCGCGTAAGCCGATTTGAGGTCTCTTGTTGACCAAGAACCTTCAAGTTGTTGCAGTGCGGGCAAGTCACACTGCCAGCCTTGGACTTGTAATCTATGCATATTCAATTGTATTATGTAGTTACAATTGATCGTTCCAAGGCTCATAGAGGGCTGTAAAATCAGTGCACGAAGGCAAGCAAACGAATGCTCGATCGGCTAATTTGAGCTCCTGTGGAGGGAGAGCATTTGAGGAGAAGCGGCAGTCTGAGCGCTCTTATAGCGCAGAACAGGGAGTCAACTGGTAAATTCCTGGCAAACAAATAACTTGAAGCAAGCAAAAAAATAAAGAACTACTACTAGTAGTAGTAGTAGTAGTAGTAGTAGTAGTAGTAGTAGTAGTAGTAGTAGTAGTAGTAGTAGTAGTAGTAGTAGTAGTAGTAGTAGTAGTAGTAGTAGTAGTAGTAGTAGTAGTAGTAGTAGTAGTAGTAGTAGTAGTAGTAGTAGTAGTAGTAGTAGTAGTAGTAGTAGTAGTAGTAGTAGTAGTAGTAGTAGTCTAGAAGCAAACGCCAGCACATGATTCCCTGACAAAGGTTGCATCCTTATCACGAAGAACATGTTACATGCATACTACGAACTTGAAGGTTTTCCTCCACTTTTCTTTTAGTCACGTCGTAATTTTTTCTTATGTAAAGAGATCAGTTACATTAAAAGGACTTCTAACCCTTATCTTGCACATAATTCACAAAATACTAGTATATAGGAGTACCTGGCTTGGAGGTACATATTGTAGTGGGGGACCATGGCCTTACGTATCATTACTACTTCATTACTACGTTATCCTGGTATGCCGTTACGGTATTACCAGCCCTGTCTTTACTGCATAGCGCTTGTAGTGACTAGATTGGAATACACACTCCTAAACCTCTCTGATCTGACCCCTAGCTGCCGCCCTTTGGTGTTAGTCTCGGCATTGTCCACGCTGGATCGACTCGTGCACTTTAACACAACATAGCGTTCCCTTCGTTAATATGTATGTACGGGTTTAGGTACTAGTACATACAGTAGTACACACGACAAGAGATCACGTGTCACTATCGATAAGGGATAAGGAGCTCCCCATGGTCCCTGGATCTTTTAGCCGTTCGATCTCTATTGAGTCTGGAAATGTAGTAGCAACGGCGATGTCTCTGAACAACACAACACAGCCCTCCTTTCAACTCTCTGGTCCCAAGGATATTCCACAGCCTGTATCTGGCTCCCAGCCGGACGATCTGCATATTCGCGGACAGGCAACGGATCCCATCGCGTCACCGCGGGGGGCGACAGATGACCCGGGGACAGGAGCCGAAGCCCAGGATGGGGGAGCCCCACAACAGCCAACCTTTCAGCCATTCTTCACACTAATCGAAGACATCCCCACGGGTGAATACTACCACCCAACAATACACTACATCTTTTCCGATGACGACACCGACATCGTCACCGAAGCAGCTCTCCGCAGTCTGGAAGCACAGCAGGATGCCCTGGGCGATAGTAGGAAAGCTCCGATCGACATCGGGCAGTATGTTGAGCAAGGAGTGCAGGAAACATCCACGCTTCTTCCACCCTCCATTCCGGGCGTGCGTGAGAATTATGTCATTTTAGAAGTTGAACCAGTCCCCGCGTCTGAGAATAATACCCCTGCAGCAGCAGCACCACCACCCGCACCACTAAACTTCGGCGCCAGCCCCCCAAATCCTACAAACTACATGTCCACATCACCGACAACCCAAGCATCCCCCGGCGGAGGAGCAGCAACAACAACAACGACAATAATACAACCCCGTTTTCGAGTCACATCCACAAAGAGCTTTTCGCCAGACTGGCAAGTCATGAAAAGCGAACTGGTTGCAGCGCCTACATTCGAGAATAACGAGGACGGCGACAGGACGGGACATGGTCTTATGCTGAAGATCCACGGGACTGGTGGGTTACCATACGTTGCTGAGTCCGGAAAAGAACGCGGGGCACCACGGTTGGAGGATATGATGAATCAGTTTGCGAAGCGGATGGCGGAGTTGCAAACTGTCATTGATGCGGCGCATGTTGAGGCTAAAGATCCCCGGATTGCTTCCGAGGAGACTGATGCTAGGGCAGCCGGGGAACAGATACGGGGAATGCCGCATGATAATGAAATGGCTATCGTGGATGAAGAGAGACAGGGTGAGACTGACGCTGCTGGGGCTGCGTCGAAGGAGGCAAATATTGCTCAGAAGCTAACCCTGTATGGAGAAGGTTAGTCACAATGGCACTTGGATTGAAGAAGCCTACCATTATGAGTACGTGTACTATGCACAAGATAGATTCGACTTATTCCAGGAGATTAAAACCAAGCCTTATGAGAATGAGTGTGAGAAATTGTCGAAAACCAGCGATCGCCGGTACATATGTATGAAATCCATCTTCTATCTTCTATGAAGTCCAGTCCTTCAAAGGTAAACAACCGCACAGCTTTAAAGGGGAAACAGACACAAAAAAAGACTAACTACATAACGAACGACTGAGGAATGACAAAATCGGTCAAGGTTTTCCTAGCCAGAAACTCCAGTCAACCAAGCGCCAGCGACATTGGGTATCGAGAGACATTGAAAGCGTGTTTAAGAACAAATAAAAAAACCCCCCAAAAAATTATCAAAACGAACCCGAGAGATTAAGGAATGACTGAAGTTAATTCGGAGCGCGGCTGCGGTAGAACCGTCGACCTCCGGGGACAGCAGAGGGGGTCAGGTTCTCGCGACCCTCCATCATGCCAGCCATCTTTTTGGAGAGCATCTTGTGGGGGAGCTTGGTCTCAGCTGTGTTGTTCGTGCTGGTCGAGCCAGAGCGACGGCGTTTGAGAGGAGGCTGCTCAGAATCCTCTCTCACAGTGTCTTTGTCTAAACCGGTGGCGGCGATCTGTACTGAGGCATCGTCGGTAGCCTCAGAGAGGGGTTTTGCGACGTTCAAATCAACTTCCCTAAGGCCAGTGTTGTTATACGCCACCCCGGATGATGAACGGCGGATCTCTACCTCCTCCGCAGGGTCGCTATACACAAATGTCTTTGCAGGGGAGATGGGGGGAGGACTAGAGACGGCGGCTGGCTGTGTGTCATCTTCCTCGCCGAATGGAAGTGCAGTAAACTGTTTGGAGGTTCGGTGTCGAGATCGAAGACCATCGTGAGACTCAGTGCGAGGTAAGTGCGTAGGGTACTCGTACTTCCGTTTTTTGGGTGTGACGCCAGATGGAATATATTCCTTCATGGGGTAGTTCTCAAAATTGCCACGGAGGTCGACTAGCGGCTGGCGGACCTCCTGTTGTAGAGGCGCCGCGCACCGTTCCATATCCACAGCCTGCAAGTCGATATCACTCTGAAGTTGACCAGCACGAGTAGCAAAGCTATTCAACTGATCTTGAATTGCTCCACGGGACCCCCGCACACTCGAATTGATCGCTTCAAGGCTGCCAAGTTGTGCTTCATGGAAACGGCCGTTGTGAGAACGGGCCTTGGCAACGAAATCATCAAGAGCCTCCATTTGCTTGCTCATATCACTCATCTGTGCATCTACAATACGCACAGTCTCTTGGTGCACAGACTCAGTGGTGCGCTGAATTGAGGCATTGCGTTGATCAAATGTTTCCCAATCATTTTGCATCTTGGTTTTGATATCGTCCCTCGATGTGATCACATCTTTTGTGAACTGTTCTTCTTTGAAAATCCACTCGTCAACGTGTCGATCATATTGAACTGTCGCTTGCTCCAGAGAATCTCCAGACGTGGAGATATCTGTACGAACGCCATCGACCTTGATCTTGAGACGACCAGATTGCCGCTGGCTGGAATCTTCGAGCAAGCTTCGGATCTGGGATATGATGCTTTCACGCTCAGCCTGGGCACTTGCCTGCTCTTCCTCCATCACCTGAGTCAAACTAGACGAGGCTTTGCGGTTCGCCTCCACTGCTTGGCGATTGGATTCTTGTAGTTCAAGTCGAAGTCGGTTAACTTCGGTCTTCTGTTGCTCCAAGTGGGTAGCCATGGTGTCAAACATGATCTTGAAATTCTTACCCAGTGCACTGTAGGAGGAGTGCAACTGCAAGTGGAACTGGGAGAACTCCCCAATGACCTCTTCGGAAATTCGCGCGGCTGCAGCTGATAGGCCATTCAATCCCTCTCCAACTTTCGTCTTGACATCCTCACGGAGGATCTTGATTTCCTCAAGAACTTCGTTCATCTCGTCATGTGCACCGGTGATCTGGCTCTTGGCTTCAGCTTCAACCTTGTCAAATGTAGAATCGTAATCTCGAAGCTGAGAGCGAGCCGACTGCACGGCGCCAAGTTCAATGCCAACAAAGTCATGGATACGGGTAGACATGCTCTCAACTAGCATGGCATGCTGTGTTTGAAACTCTTCTATACGAGCATCAATCTTCTCGGTCACACTGCAGACCTCCCCAGTGGATGTCTGCCATGTATGGCGATTATCGGTTTCCAGGTTGTTCTTGCGGTCTATTTTAGCATGTAACCCATCAACATCATCAACGGTGCCGTCCAGCATAGTCAGAAGATCAGCGCCGATCTCACGGAGCCGTTTCTCGGTATATTGATGAGCTTTGCGAACCGCCATTTCCTCGTCCAGTTTCTCAGAGGCATCCTTCAGGTTTCGTTCGGTGTCTTCCAGAGTGCCCCTGGTGGTCTTTAGTTTACTTTGAGTGTTCTCATTTTCCTCCTTCAGAGTGTTGAAATTTCCAGTCAGAGCGAAAAGTTCGTGTACTTTGTGCCTCAGACTTGATTCCATAGACTCAATCTTCGCGCGCTGTTCTCCGTTGACGATCCTGCGAGATTCACTTTCCATGGTCATTTCTTCGAAGGCATCTGGCGTCATGTAGACACCATTGCGGTTGCGTGTAGCAATTAGCTCGCTTTTCAGTTTTTGAAATTCCATTCCGACATCTCGAAGGAGCTTATTCTTGGAAACAAGCGAGCTGATCTGTGGCTTATTGCGGATGTTTTTGGCCCGGAAGGCGTAATCCAAGGTTGAGATAGTCTCTTCCAAATTGCTGCGGGCAGGCGATACTGTGGCGATAATGCATGTTTTCGTACGGCCACCCAGTGAATCTTGCAGTAAGCGTGTAAGCTTTGACTCACGATAGGGGATATGCGAGCTTTTATCCACCAGTGCGTTGATGACTCGGCCCAATGTGAGCAAGCTCTTGTTGATCAGACCAGCTTCCGCTGCACGCTTGTTCTCTGCACCACTTCGCCCGATATTCTCACTTCCAGCCAAGTCAACCAAGTTCAGTTTGCCAGAGCTCACATAGTCTTCGCCGGACTCGCTTGTTCGATTTGTAAGAACCGTGATTGTGAAGATGGTGTGACTGCGAGAACTCAGATCATTGCATTTTGTCGAAGCAACCTGGCGCTTGAGGCTACCCATTTGCAATAATTTGATGCCGGTAGACGCTGAATCTATGTACGTCTCTTCCATTCCCTGTACCATAGTGGCTGCATGGCCGTTCTTCTCATTCTCAAAGATCTTTAACTTTGTGTGGTCATCGGCAGAGAGCAGATCGCGTAGTTCTTCGTTGTAAAGTTCAATAAAAGAGCACTTGACCGTACTGTCTGTGTTCTCCAATTTGTGGAACAGAGAATAGAGGGTACGTGGAATGATACCCGCATCATCGGACAGGATGCCCAAGGTATCGGTCATATCTCCGGACATTGTGTATGTCTTTCCGGTGCCAGTTTGGCCGTATGCGAAAATGGTACAATTGAAGCCTGCGAGCATCTGCAATACAATTAGCAAGTTTGTCCCCCCCCCCGTCAGACTATAATTCAAGGCTTACCTCGTTGAGAATGGGCACAACGGTCTCTTCATACACCACTGTTTGATCCGCAGCTGGAGAGAAGACCTTGTCGAAAGCATATATCTTGTTGGAAAGCGCATTGGGCCCCATAGACAGATCAACCTGCTTTCCACTAACCCCTTCAGTAGACAAAACGACGCCATTGTTCTCTTTGATCTCGCGATCGTTGCGACCGCGACAACGCACGACCACATGAATGCTTGTATTCTCATTAATTTCCCGTTCGAATTCTCGCTCCTTTCGCTTTGCTGCCGCGCTCAATTGTTCGGGACTGGATTTTGAAGGGCGCGCATTAGCAGCAGCCCCTGGAATGGTGGTTGCTTTGGCGGTGACTGCCGGCGACACTCCTCGTGGTTCCGGTACAGTGGACCCTGCACGTCGAGTCGGCTGGCGCAAACCTGTCCGCCTCGCAGGGAGGGAGGAGGCAGGCCGAGCTGGGCCGGCCATGGTAGTTGATCTTGCGATTGATTTTACTCAAAAAGTGATGTTGTGATGAAACAGCTGTAAGAGGTCGTTCAAGGTAAACGAGGCGGTCAACCGTGGAACATAAACACTGGAGATCGTTAAAGTTGGTAGGATGCACGAGTGGATCCTTTGGGCAAAACATAAACAAAGCGCACGTGACAAGCATACTAGTACACGGCTAAAGCAATTGACACTGGCAGACCCATCCGCTACCTAGACCGCCTGCCCTTTATAGTTAGTTCTCAGAAAGAAGTCATACCCCCTCTCACATGACCTGACCCGAGCGTCATCGCGGTTTCCCCGCGGGTGATCGCTCCTTCCCAAGGTTGCTTTCCCTTCTTATCTTTTACCTTTCTCTGACCATTTCCCCCTTTTAAGAACTATTTTAGCAGATGGTTATATTCACAGAAACACCGCGATGACTGCCAGAAACTCGGCACCAGTCCAAATTTTCCCCGGCAAAGGCCTGGGCTTTATCAGCATGTCTCTCCATGTCCGATAATCTGCGCATGGAGATAAGGCTAACTGATTTGTAGCTCTCGGTGCTTCTCTCCACAACGTCTTGACCCGAGTGAAATCCCATCCACACATTTATCCTGCGATCGATTTAGCATATTCATCTACGGACCCTCTCTCCAAACCAGTGGTGTTGCAGTTGCCCTCCAACGGCCTACGTCTCCGCTTTGACGGACCCGATCAGAGACTCAGGCTTATTGAAGTGCTGGACTTCTCTCGAATTGATCTGATCTACAAAAGCCAGGATGTGCTCAAAGGTGGCAAGGTGGACGAGCTGGCGAGCTCTCCCCAAGGCCCCAGTTTCCGACATGTCTATAACCGCTTGTTCGGTCCATCTTTCCCGGGCGAGTATGTTCCGCCAGCGGATAGATCCTCATATGGTACCTATGTGCTGTCATATCCGGGTATCGCATTTTCATTCCCGCTCCAACATTCGGCTTGGTCCGACCAGTGTGATTTTGTAGCTCTGCTTTCGTCTTCCGCTGCTCTGCCGGCAACATCCATGTCAATCTTTCAAGGGCCGTCCTGGCCCGAGATTCGCATGAAACTTTTCACCCAGCCACCTCAGGGCCCTCGATTCTCTGCGGTTGTCGGTAAATCACGTGATTCGTTCGCCGATGAGATTGAGGAAATCCATATCCTAGGCGCTGGCAAGTTAGAAGTTATTCGGCGAACGAATCCACCGTTGGTCATACACCTTGGGGAAACCACCCCTCAAGATCTGATCGCTGGATTCGGACCTCCAGATGCCATTTATCGTAAACATGACCGACGGATATCCATACACCGCGCAACAGGTGCTGGTGGTGGGGATCCTCTACATATGAGCCCCCCGCCAGGACGAGCGATGGATATCCCTGATACTGATCATTCCTCCAGTAACAGCGTGACAGATGACTCGGACGAGGAAATCTCTCCAGGCAATATTGGTGATCCAACTACACTACCGGCAGAATGTTTTTTCAATTACTTTCATCATGGCTTTGATGCCTTTATATCATATCCCACCATAGCAGGGCCGGCCTTCCCAAACTCTGGGATCTCAGATCCATCCCCTCCGCCAACTTCATCTCAACCGACTGTAACAAAATTGGTTCTGCATGGAAATGTGCCAGGGTCATATCCCTTCAACCGTCACCGCCGAAGTCGTTGGATGATTCACCTCGACGAATCCGGCGATAGTCTTACCTCTGAGACGCCATATGATGAAATCTCCAAACAGCTTCGTGATTCCTGGAAAGGGTCATATAGCAGTCAGGCAGAAGAGCGCGCAACACAACGACCCATGGTGTTGAATCGAGGCTGGGGTGAAAGTCCAGAGAGTAGCGTCGAGTTTCTTGGGGGCTGGGAAGAAACCACTGCTCGAGGGCCCAGAACTGGTCCGGATGGCCAGGATGGCGGCTTGGGTAATACGGAACTATTTGGGTTCCCGGGTCTCCTTTTTGAAGTATTAAAGAACGGCGCAGTCAGTTGTCTGACGATCTATTAATATTTTGGGGGTTAGTGCATAGGTCAGAGAAGTGTAGTGTTTCATGTATACTACTTTATCTATGACATCTATGGATGCGATGAATGATATTGACGGTAAAATTCAAATATTGGCTGAGCTTCCAACTTGAAGGTTGGGATAAGGCACTGGCCCGTTCTTTTTTCATGATGACTACTAACTATTTAAATTTCGTATTATTTCGCCAAGCTGATAGATAAACGGACTACCTAGTAGGTATCCGGTAAAATTGCCACTGGGCTAATGCTACTAAATACTTCTGCGTAAAGAAACAATGTCTCAAGTTACATACATGTGCAGTAAGAATTCTTTAATCAGGCGACAAAAAATGCAAGGATGTTACAACTGAAAACGGTAGTAGAGGCAGAAGGCAGATATCGGATTCTCACCGAAGTTTAGGCAGTTGCAGGGGAGCAAAAGGCCCCTTCGGCCCTGGGGTCAATGATTTCCACCGAGATATGAGGCTGACGGGCAATCTTGATTAAGTATTCGCGGATCATTCGAACGCACACCAACCATGGGTCATCAATCCGCAGCCGGTATGCGGTAACCAGTACAGTGGCAACAGGTACTGGTACGCGGCCTTGTTTCGATTGCCTAATGACTAGCATCGTGTCAAGTGGTTGTATGGCGAAATGATGAAGAATTCGATAAATCTGGTCCAGAAAGTCACCGTCCCATACCAGGCGGCTCATGGGACCGTCAGTCTTAAGCAAAATGGTTTCAACTGGGTGGGAACATATCTGGGGCCCTCCAACACGGAGTGGAGAAATCCAGATGTTGTCAGCAGTCATGAAATCGTTTTTTGGCAGAAGTTCAACGGCGATGCCTTCGCTCAGGGGGTAGTCTTCCTTTGGTGAATTGAGAAAAAAGCTTTGAGGTGACTCAGGGTTGGCTTGAGTGACTGGTGATGTGATAGAAGCTCTCGGGGCCATGACTTGAACAGCATGATTCTGAGTTGGAGTGGAAGGACCCATGACAGGGGCAGTAAATGCGTTGAAATACGTACTGGGGGTACTCTGAGGAGTTAAGGGAGCCGCGAAAGGCGTGCGAGGAGTTCGGTCACTTGGAGAAGCCTGTATTGAAGATATAGAAGCGACGACAGATCTAGTAGAAGCTGTTGTGTTCGCGTGGGAGATGCTCAAAGGGGTCATAGGAGCAACAAAAGACATGTGAGGAGTGATATAACGAGGATTGGGGGCCCCTACCGAAGGGGTAGGAGCCGGAGTGGTTGGGTCCATGACAGGCGTAGGAGACGCTCTTGTATCGACAGTCATAGGTGTCACGGGAGCCGCAAAAGACCTGGGAGGAGTGCTGTAAGCAGGAGGAGGTCCCATCCGAGCAAAAGGAGGTAGCGCCCTAGGGTCCATGGTCTGCAAGGCAGAAACGCTAGGATCAAAAGGCATAGCATTTGTGCCGGCATGAGGATGAGGAACCCCCATCATTACACGAGGAGCTTCGACAGGCATGGAAGTAATGTCGGCGTGAGCACGAGGGACACACATTGGCGTGGCAGGCGCTATGGAAGGCGTAGAAACTGTTTCAACGTGAGCAAAAGAAACATCCATTGATGTAGTAGGAAATATGGCATACATGTGGGGATTCAGGTGAAACGGAAAGAGAGCCCCTTGGAGCTGACCATGCCACGGTAGAATGACTCGAAGGCTTTGAAGCGGCTGAGCACGAAGAATACCAATTAACAATAGGGACTCGGAGCTTGGGAGGAGGAGCAGGTTTCACGTCAGAAGTTGAGGGGAGATTGTTCACCTTTTGCAAGTAAGAAATGCACATGTGAGTAAAAATCAAATCACGCCCATGGAAAGCTTAGTGGTGAATAAGACCGGGCCTTATCTTCTCTTACCTTGACGGAAGTATGGGAAGAGACAAGAAGAATGATGGAAGAAAATAGCTGACGGAAGGGATGGAATAATGAGCATGGGAAGAAGAAGATGAGTCGGAGGAAGATTGAATACTGTGGGGAAATAAGAAGAAGAAAAGATTGAGGGGAAACTTGAAAGGAAAAGGATTAGCTATTCAAATTGAAGATCAAAAGTGGTACTAGGCGAGAGGTACCCTGGACCGATTGATGAGCTTTGAATTTGATTGATAGTCAAGTATGCGAAGCACTACAAACACATCAGATAGTATGTACAATCCAGGAAACCGCCGAATATTCAGAGCCATCAGTCCAGTCTCCATCTTTCTCTCTCCATATGCCTACCTCTACCAAGCGTGCCATCTTCGAATACCCCCCATTCCCATCTAGACGGACATGTAAAGTGTGCCATTGTAGGCACATTGAATCTCGACATCGGGCTGCGGATTATCGTGGCAAATCCATTTGGTTCCAGGAGCATCACCATTGGCGTTGGAGTTTAACACGGCCCGACCCTTTTCAGGAATAGAACCATTGACCCGCTGAAGCTCCAAGGTGAAAAGATTGAAGTCTGGGGCTCCCTGAGGGAACTTGATATAATATTCTCCATCGTTGCAACGCGCGGTCTGCTTTGGCGATTGGCCATAGTCCCTAGAATAGAATATATTTAGCCAATGCGATCTCATTGGTAAGTAGGGTCAAAGGAGACTTTTTTTTACCAGATCAGATTGCAGTCCGTCGGGGTGTCATTTGGATATTTCGGGTCGGTGACAAAGAACTGCATAGAAGCTCCCGGGTCCGAGGGACCCGCTGTGGCTGTGAAATGGGTGATGGACAAATAGTTGCCCCGCTTGGTGGTAGGGACAGCAAGAGCCGAAGTTGCGAGGATAGCAGAAGCGAGAGTAAACTTCATGGTGGAACTGTCAACTGGTGGAAGCACAGTGTATGTTTTAAAGAGGGAACAACAAGAAGAAACAAGAAACAAGAAACAAGAATTCAATGTTCGAGTTGAAGGAACGGCCAAATGTGTGGGGAAGACGGCCCCTTTTATACTTCACACATGTCGAACCGTGCAGCTTTGCTTTTTGTTTTTGTTTGGTGTTTTTGTGGGCCTCAGGTCTACATGTGACATAACCAGTGACTACGAGCTATACTACAGGGTATGAATCATTCAAAGCTGACATTGAAATATAATTGACAGGTACAGACGGTGGAGCATGGAGAGAGAGAGGTTTGAAAACAAGTATTTTAATAGATTGTACTCAGTCCTACTGGCACATTACCTTTTTTAAATATATAGTTTTATATCTCAATTCAAAATTCCACCACAATCTTTAACTTCTATTTCAGGCCGGTTGTTTTTTGTTTTGTTTTTTTTTTTTTTTCAGTTGGGGGGGGATTTTTAAGGCTTCCAGTCATGCATGGCAGATTGAAGGAAGATCATTGCTCTATACAGAGTCAAGTCTTTGTCTAAGCCTTGAAATGTCGAGTTTCAGGATGCAACCTTGGAAGTCAACAAGAATTGAGGTACAAGTATCTCTTGAAATTATTGAGAGTTGCAGTTGTTGATGGTATTCCCAATCATGTTCCAGATGTCTTTATATAGATGTTGTTTGGGTCAAATCTTGTCGGGAATTCACTATGGAAACCAGCAAATGAGACATGCATTGCAGCTATTACGGAGATCGCCCCTAAGGATCGCCTGATTTAATGTTTCAGGTTTGAAGTCGGATCTTGATTGGATATTCAGGTACAATGTAAATCCAATTCACAAAAGATTCATATTATTTATCTTATTGAAATTTATTTTTCTAATTCTTTTCAAATGCTTGCTTTTCCAGGTGTAAGAATTAGTGTACATACTGATCTACATGTGGGTGTAAATACAAGTGTAAATACAAGTGTAAATACTCCGTACTGATGGGAAAACTCCATAGCAAAATGTGGTTTTCCATTTTCCGGAGATGAGATCGTGGGTTACGTATTGGTAATACAGGAGATTTCACTGTTACGTATATCTAGTCTCATTATTTTGGATGTAATAGTGGTTTTACAAATACGCCTCCTCCCGTCGCGATTCACTCTCAAATTCCCCACAACTATTTGCAAACCTTCACGGATCGTCATCTCCCAGGAACACCTCTCACGGGATATGCGGGAGTATGTCAAAACCGCCGAGGTTGTTCCGTAAGTCCTGGGCATCAACCCTCAAACTCCCCAAATCGACATTCCCCCCGCGCGTCTCACCAGACGATCAGAAGAATTACCTTCAACGATGCACCGATGAGCTGTACGCCTGGCAGCGACAGGAAAGACCTGCCAACCAACCATTCATCCTCCACGACGGCCCACCCTATGCGAATGGCGAGTTACACATCGGTCATGCTCTCAACAAAATTCTGAAGGATATCATCTGTCGCTTTCAACTGGCACAAGGAAAGAGGGTGCGATATGTTCCGGGTTGGGATTGTCATGGTCTGCCCATTGAGTTGAAAGCCCTGCAAGGCCTGCCGGAGACAGACGTGGCGGACAAATCCGTCAGTGCCGCGGTGATTCGCAAATCGGCCCAGAAGCTGGCGAGACAGACGGTCAGGGACCAGATGAAGGCTTTCCGCGGGTTCGGAGTCATGGCCGACTGGGAAAATCATTGGAAGACATTGGACAAATCCTTTGAGATGCGTCAGCTGGGCATCTTCCGGGAGATGGTGGATCGTGGTCTCATCTATCGCAAGTTTAAGCCGGTGTATTGGTCACCGTCTACCGGCACGGCATTGGCCGAGGCCGAATTGGAATATGAGGAGAAGCATGCCTCAACTACTGCGCTCGTCAAGTATCCCCTCGTGGATATCCCCGAACATCTCACCAAGGATCTGTCCCTTCAATCAAAAGATTTGAGTGCGGTCATCTGGACAACTACGCCGTGGACTCTGCCTGCCAACGCCGCGATTGCCGTCAACGAAGGATTGGAGTACACAATTGTTGATTCGGAGATCCACGGATATCTCCTGGTAACCCCGTCGCGTCTTGCGTTTGTGGAGCATCTGCTGAACGAGAAATTGAATGTAATCGTACCTTCGATCCTTGGCTCGGAACTAGCAGAGAAGACCACCTATCGACCTTTGTTCAAGGGCCCGGATGCTGAACCCCAACCGATTATCGCTGCTCCTTTTGTTACCGCTGACTCGGGCTCTGGATTGGTCCACTGTGCACCTGGTCACGGCATGGATGACTACGAGGCTTGTCTTGCTCGTGGCATTGAAGTCTTCGCGCCGGTCGATGGCGATGGCAAATTCACGGAAAAGGCCATGCCCCATGAACCTTCTCGCTTGGCCGGGAAGGCCGTTCTCAAAGAGGGAAACGATGCAGTTCTAGAATATGTCCAATCTCTAGGCCACCTCCTTGCTCAGTACCGTTACAAGCACAAGTACCCCTACGACTGGCGTTCAAAGAAACCGATCATCATTCGGGCTACTGAACAATGGTTCGCGGACGTTGCCGACATTCGCAAGAGCGCACTTAAAGCGCTCGAGGATGTCCGATTCGTCCCCGACGCCGGCAAACACCGTCTGCAGAACTTTGTGAATAACCGCAGCGAATGGTGTATCTCGCGACAACGTGCATGGGGTGTACCAATCCCCGCTCTCTATTCCCGCTCCACTGGCGAAGCTGTCTTAACTAAAGAAAGCGTTTCCCACATCATGAGCACCATTGAGGAGCGAGGCATTGACGCTTGGTGGACGGATAGTACCGATGAACCGGCCTGGGTTCCATTATCACTGCGAAGCGATGCTGGAGGATACCGACGCGGCACTGACACTATGGATGTCTGGTTCGATAGCGGTACCAGCTGGTCGGAGATTGACGTTCCTATGGAGGGGCGTAGCCACCTCGCGGATGTCTATCTTGAAGGAAGCGACCAGCACCGTGGCTGGTTCCAGTCCAGCCTCTTAACTTATGTTGCCCATCAACTCGCATCTGGCAAGGATGGCGTACCTAGTGCACCTTTCCGCAACCTCATCACACACGGCTTCACTTTAGATGAGCGTGGCCGTAAAATGAGCAAATCCATTGGAAATACCATTGCACCGCAGGCCATCATTGATGGAACCCTCTTGCCTCCTCTGACGCCATATAAGCGCAAAGGCAAGAACCAACCAGAGAACCAAACGAACAAACAAGCTGATATTCAGGGGCCAAGATACGATGCTATGGGGCCCGATGCCCTTCGCATGTGGGCCGCTAGTAGTGACTACACCCATGATGTCGTTATTGGCAAGACGGTTCTTGCAAATGTTCACACCAGTCTCCACAAGTTCCGCGTCACGTTCAAGCTCCTGCTGGGGGCGTTGGCTGATTTCCAGCCAGAATTTGTTGTCCCTTACGGAGAGTTGCAGCAAGTCGATCGAATCGCCTTGAAACACCTGTCAGACATGGTCCTTGCATCCCGGAAATTCTGTCACAACTTTGAGTTCTACAAGGCTGTTAACATAATGAACCGTTGGGGCAACCTAGAGTTTTCTGCCTTTTACATGGAGGCCATTAAGGATCGACTCTACACCTTGGGCGAGAACAGCACTAGTCGCAGAGCGGCCCAGACCACCCTATTCCACATCCTTCACTACCTTCAAGAAGTCCTTGGTCCTATCACCCCTCTACTGGTGGAAGAGACCTGGGAGCACAGCCCTTTAGCCATCCAATCGCTCAGTGAACATCCCCTACGGCGCATCTCCTCAGCGCCCGCATCGGAATGGCAAGACTCTTCTTTGAACGACGACTATCTCGAGATTGTTGCCGTGCACTCGGTGATTAAGAACTTGCAAGAGCAAGCCCGTAAAAAGAAACAACTCGGGTCCTCCTTGCAGTCGTTTGTGCATGTAGTCCTCCCAGGTAGCACAAAAAACACAGTTTCCCACCAGTACCTCTCCGAACTGCCCGACCTGTTCGTTGTCTCATCGGTGACCCTCGGCCATCCCGATGATTCTGTCCCAGTGGAGATCTCCCAGGCTGAATGGCAATACGAGGAAGCTTGTGAACTACCCGATGGACGGAAGGGACGGGTGTATGTCTACGCACCTCAAGCCACCAAATGTGACCGGTGCTGGAAATATACGGCATCCGAATCCGCGGAGGCCGAGAATGTGATCTGCGACCGGTGCGATGTGGTATTGGATGAAATCGAGGCTGCGTCCTAAGCTGCGTCCGAAGCTCTACCTTGTATTAGTATATAGATTCCTGCATGTATCATATTCAAATGTTTAATCTCACCTCTACGATGATTGGTCCGATCCTACCACCTGCAGCTGCTGTGTTCCCCTGCAGTCATTAATTTTAGTCATATTCAATCAACTCTGAGAAATCAGGTAGCGTCAATCCAAGATTTTGGTTGTTTTTTTTTTTTTTTTTTGGTTCTTGTATTTGTTGCACCGGAATCGATGACGACAGCTGTGATGTAAATACAAATCTTGATTCCACCCGCACTTCCCTTCACCTTTCTCAACTTACAACTCCAGAAATATTTCTCTTTCTTTTCTATCCACCCTTTTCTTCTCTTCTTCCTTACCTTCTCACTCAATATGATTGTACCTTCTGACTTTGGAGATTTCCCAACTCCCATCATGCCGTCGCACACTACTACCTCAGTGGCTCCTATCCCAACGGTTATCCCGGGCTTGCCAATCACCCAAGAGCTTGGAATCACCGGCCAACGCACTCTCTGGTAAAGCCTTCTCGCCCAAACCGCCAAATTCCAGACATATGAGAGCATTCTTATTGACAAATTCCAATCAGGGTCGTGACTGTGTTGATGGGAATCTCATCTCTCGTCTTCTACAGTCTCTCTGCCCGTGCTCCACTGGTAAGAGGAAGCCCAGGCCCCCAAAAATAGATAAACAACAAACGCTAATCCCAAAACCCCACACAGCAAAAGCGGGTCTTCCACACCCTCAGTGCGCTGATCACCACTACTTCCTTCATTACCTACCTCGCCCTTTCCACCAATCAAGGCTACGACTGGACTGTGTTCGATGTCATTCACAAGAATAAACATGTCCCAGACACATACGATACTATCGTCCGTAGCGTCGGCTGGGCTCGCTTTGTTAACTGGGCTCTTACCACCCCCCTCCTCTTGATTAACTTCGCCCTGGTCTCTGGTCTGCCTGGCGCCAACCTCTTCGCTGGCATTGCCGCGAATTGGGTGATGCTCGCATCTGCTTACTTTGGTTCCTTCGCTGGACACACTCCGGTGCGCTGGGTGTGGTTGACCCTGACATGCCTTGCGTTCTTGAGTATGCTCCATCATGCAGGCTTCCATGCCCAGCGGGCAGCGCAGAACAAGGATGCGTCGACCAGACGCTTCTTTGGGGCGTACTCTGGACTTGCATTCTTTGCTTTGGCTCTTTTCCCAATGTAAGCCATCATCCCCTTGACCTCTTCGGTTAGGTTCATGTACTGTACTCTGCTAATATCCTCTTAGCACTCTTGCGGCGGGTACACTTGCATTGAAAATTACTGTCGATACGGAGACCATACTCTATGCTATCCAAGACATCTTTGTCCAAGGGCTGTTGAGCTACTGGCTCGTGGTGTCGCATGACAGTGCGCAGGGAATGTAAGATTAGCCCATGTGATCTCCACTTGACTCTTACTGACACTATTATCCTCTAGTACCCTTCACCTGGACGGATTCTGGTCTCACGGATTCGGAAATGAAGGCGCCATTCGTATCGAGGAAGAGGGCGCGTAGGTAAAGTACACTCAAGCTTTAAGAAAGCGTGCTGCGGTGCTCAAATTGCCAAGGGGACGAACGAACACACTTGGTGGTACTTGACGAATGAGGATTGATAAAGCCTTGCTTGAAACTTGCAACTTGCAACTTTTCCAGATTGAGAAAAGGCCACGTCTTTTTATTTCTTATTTTTTTTTTGGTTTCTTACTACTTTTATTTCGGTTGTGCTGCATGTAAAAATAACTTCATGCCTAGTGGATGCTACCTAGTAGCTCCAGGAAACGAAATCATATGAACCCTGTTATCTATTCATGTTAACACATAGCGCCTTTTTCGTAAAACAGATTCCTGCTGCTAATCATCGCAGACCAACTCGAATTTTCTCGTTATGGCACAGTCTCCTCGGTCTTCATTTTGCCACTCACCAGGGCCGTCAAATCTTTGTCCAAATCAACCCTGACAATTCCAGCTGGTACGGCTTGCAGATCAATGTCGTGGGGAAACCGAACTGAAACCTTCTTCATAGAAAGTGGTAGCCAGAGCCCAGCATCAATACATTTCCCCTTGAAATGGATACTGCGTAATTTCTCAGGATCAAACCATTGGATGATCGGATCGGCATCGACGATGAATCCACTCAAGGTGAGTTTCCGAATCGACAGGCGGTGGTTAGTCTGCCCCATTTGCAAAGCCCGAACTTTGGCCATTTCAATGCATCGCTTGTCGAGATATTCTCCGTATCCAATCTTATGGTTCAGTTCACCATCGCCTCGATCACCACTGTATGAAAATGAACATGAATGAGATTCTCCGTGCGCACTGATTTTAGGCCAACTGGGAAAGGAAAGGAAAACTCACTAATAGACCGGCCTGCCATCGATTTTGCCATCAATAGCCCATCCTGTCTTGATATCCCTCCACCTGTCCTGGATGATCTGGTTCTTGATCTCCGGCTCCAAGACCATCTCAAGCTCAAGCTCATCCAGTTCCAAGTTCAACCACGCAGCCTGCCAGATAAAATATTGATATGACTGCATCATCCCAACAATCTTGAGCGATCGCAAGCCACGGAACTCACATAAAGGCTTCAGCTCATGAAGGCTGCGATCATCGTCATCATCACTGTCATCATAGGGACAGAACATGTCAAGACCAAGGCTTTTCTTGGTTCGGGAGATAATGAGCCAGTTAGACCCCCCAGTAAAGTTAGGCAGTGGTCTTTTTGGTGTTGCTGTCTCGTTAGAATAGTAAGAGACCGCCGCATCTGAACTGGCAAGATCTGTCGGGGGAGTGGAAGTCAGGCATTGAGAAGTGGGCAAGGACGCCGAGATATTGGATTGTGGCACAGAAAGGAAACAAGGAGGTGAAGCGGGCACCTCGATCTCTTCAATTGTCGTCTGTCGTGGCCGTGGAAGCTTTCCTTTCAGTGGTGATGACTGTAATGTACTAAGTCGAGAGCCGAGTGGACTCCACGGGGGAAACGATCGAGATGGTGACGGGGAACGAACACGACGGCCCAGTTCTCGGAGTCGAGATGTTGCAGCTGTCACGGTCTTGTGGCGGCGAAGACCAGAAACAGAAACAGCTTTGGTGTCAGACATGCTAAGCTTACGGCGCTGCTTCAAAATGCCGGGAGTTGAAGATGTTTTCGATTCTTCCAATGAGCTCTCATCTTTGTTTCTTCCTTGCATCATCAGTTCGCCCTCCTTGGTATGGGGTCCATGTTCAGGGCCCAGATTGAATGGGAAGCGTTTGTGGAGGTTAAGATCCAGCACTGTGAGGTGGGTGACTTAGTCTTTCGGTCTGTTTGGGTTGTGGGAAATGGAGGAGAGCAAAACGGGGAAATGATTGGGACATAAAAGGGACCTGAATGATTTGAGATCGAAGAAAAGAAGCTGGGCATAGAGTGAAAGGTTAATGCTGGGAGTTGGAATTTGTTTTTTTTTTACCTTTATTCAACTCCGGGTTGCGTTGTTCTTCATAGAGGGTTGCATCCTTCCAGAAGTCCCATCCCATCAGTGTGAGCCTCCAGTGTTCTGGGTGGTCATCCATGTCGAAGGAAATAGAAGTTTGGAGTAAGTTGAGATATGGTGAGACAGAAGGGGTAAACTGATTTGAGATGAGAACATATGAAGTCTTGGTCTCAGCAACGCCTGGAAAGAGAGTGTGAGTGAAGTGAGGTTCCATGGCGGCCTATTGAGGCAGGAGCTGTTTGTCCCATAGATCAACAGTCCAGTGTTGGTGTTATTTCCACGGGTTACCATCATCGTCATACTAGTAGTATATAGTAGCACGTACTTATGTAGCACCTTCTCTACTTCGAATGCACGTATTAGTTAGTATATCCACCACTACATATATGTACTGGTGCACTATGTATGCTTTAGGCTAGTACAAAGCGGCAAATATGTGCTATACAAATATATAAAAAAGGTCGCCAACTCGCAATTATAATCAAGCATTCATGGCATTCTTCAATGTTTGCTGAACTAATCGGCTGAGCTCAAAGTCTTACTATATCTGCATACTACATAGTAGGATGTACATACATACTAGGTAACGCTCCAGGGGTGATGCACGTTATGAGCCCTGTTGCCAACATTGAAAAGGGCCGACGCCCGGTTCCAGGGTGTTTCCCTTGGTATGTACAAGCATGTACCTAGTAATCCATAGCTGGTAGTAGACATCGATGCCCACCTGTAGGTGTACAAATCAATTGATCAACTGGTTACTAGTAGTTACCCCTTGAGAATTCAAATGTTCAAATGTGACAAACATCAATTGATTGATGGCACAATCAAGATCGGAACCCATTGATGCATACTACTAGTATGTACTACACACATCATGTGTGCAGGATATTTCACGAGACAGCTGGAGCCTTTCCAATGAGAAGAAGACCCGTAACAACATTTGAACCTCGAAAATACCTACTAATGTCTACTAGTAGGTGTGTTTACTGAACGGCGCAAGACGTAATGGCTGATACTGGACTTGCTTTTTCTCTCTTTCCCTTCCCGTTAGATACATCCATGGACAACCCGGAGCCTTTTGGGGGAGAAATAAAACCCGCAAGTCCTTTGTTTTCTTTTTGGATCCAGCACAATAAAAAACACCTTTTAAATTTGGGGGTGGTAGAGAAACTCGGAACTAAATCATGCGTGCATCATTCTCAATAGCCTAGTACTTCTTGCCCTGGCGCAGAACATCACCGAACTCCTCCAGAGGGCTGCGGATGAGCTTAGTCTCCTTCCAGAGGTTGGGGGTGAGGAAACCGTAGGTGTTGACGACGGCAACGAAGGTGGCCTTGAGGGTGTTCTCGAGGGTCTTGGTGGAACCGGAAGAGGAAGTGTAAGCGTCCTCGACACCGGCGAGCTGGAGCAGACGCTTGACGGCGGGGGAGGCGACAAGGCCAGTACCACGGGGAGCGGGGATGAGCTGGAGCAGCCGTTAGCAAACAATTGAACCACAACCTTCCAAATGAAAGCCATCTTCGATATATCGCGGGTTGTACATACACGGACGGAGACGGAACCACACTTTCCACTCTGCTTAACGGGCAGAGAGTGGGGCTCACCGAGGTTGGAGCCCCAGTAACCGCGGCGGACGGGGAGGACAGCGAGCTTGGCAATGGTGATGGCAGCGCGGATGGCGGTAGCGACTTCCTTGGAGGTCTTGATACCGAGACCGATGTGGCCCTCACCGTCACCGATGAGAACGATGGCCTTGAAACGGGTACGCTGACCGGCACGGGTCTGCTTCTGGACGGGCTTGATCTATAATTCGAGAAAAGGTTTAAATTAGTCTTCAAATGACCAAAATGACGCTGTTGCGCTCTCGTGATTGGGGAAGTTGCAGTTGTTTCGCGGTGAAACGAGAGTTCCGTGCGATTTTGCGATTCTCAATTGTGCGCGCATTTCGTCGGTTGTCGGTTGTCGTACCTTCATAACCTCATCCTTGAGCTTGGGCAAAAAGTAATCCACAATCTGGAACTCCTTGACGGGAAGAGAGTGGAGGTAGATCTGCTCCATGCTGGTGATCTTGCCGGCCTTGACGAGACGGCCGAGCTTGGTGACGGGCTGCCACTCCTTCTCCTCCTGCTTGCCTCCACGGCGGCCACGACCACGGCGACCACGGCCACGGTCACCACCACGGTCGCCACGCGAACCGAAACCACCACGTCCACGGGGAGCAGCGTCAGCCATTTTGGATGTATGTGAGGGCGACGGGAAGGGGTTGTTTTGTCGAATTGCGGTCGTCGGAGACTTCGATACAGGTGTTTGGCACCGAAATTTGCGGGTGGAAGCTAAGCGAGGCGTGCTGCCCTATGCGGTGCCCTAGCCCTATTACTGTTTTAAGGAGGAGGGACGGGTATTACGTAACATGGGGCGTCTGGTCAATGTGGCACGTGCATACAATTAGTCATAAATCCTGCGAGTCATGTGACTGGTCCACTTCTGGATCAAGATCTCCATTGATGACTTCACTTGCTTACATACAGTCCGATAAAACTGCTATCCTGTATAAATGGTAGTAACAAGATTTCCAAGGAATCAATCAAGAATTGTACAAAAAATATCAACTTCTCCCCCCAATCAAATGCCTGCCAAATCTAGGTTGTATTTTACATGATGTGAACCCCCGTGATGAATGGAAAAGGCGCATTGTAATGCTGTCGGGACGATTTCCTGATTCGGTGTCGGGAGTGTGGACTGTGCACTACTAATCTTGCGAACGGGCAAGTCGACTCCGCAATTTAAAGATGTCATTGCCCCAGTCTTGATCTTCCACTTGAACCCTCATTCTTGGTTTTCTGTTCATATCATTGCATTGCATTGTATTGCATTCCCCTCCCCCCAACTCCTTCCTTCTCCCCTCTTACTCCTCCCTTCATAATACTCATCATGTTGCGCTGGTTTGTTTACCCCCCCCCCCCCCCATTCTCCCAATTCATGATCCTCACTGACCAAGGTGATCGAATGCAGGTACCAAGCCAAATTGGCTGCGAGGCCTATTCTGACCACCAGCATCAGCAGTGCGGTACGATCCCCTCTTCGACGTTTATCCCAATCCCTTCCCCTAATACGCATTTCAGGTGTTATTCGGCAGTGGAGATATTTTGGCGCAGCAGGCTGTTGACCGCCGAGGTCTCGAGAAGCATGACTTTGCGCGCACCGGTCGCATGGCTCTCTACGGTGGAGGTCAGTCATGACCCTCTTTTCAAACCATTCTGGGTTTATACTCATCTACTCTTATAGCGGTATTCGGACCTGTTGCTACGAAATGGTATGGGATTCTTCAACGTCACATTGTCCTCAAGAGCACGGTTGGCACCACCTTCGCCCGTGTCGCAGCAGACCAGATGGTGTTTGCCCCAATCCAGTTGACCTGTTTCTTGTCCTCAATGGCAATCATGGAAGGATCCGACGTAGGAGAGAAGTTGCGTCATTCCTGGGTTCCCAGCTACAAAGCCAACCTGTTAGTCTGGCCCTTTGTGCAGGGTGTCAACTTCACATTCGTACCGCTAGAACTGCGTGTCTTGGTGGTCAATGTGGTCAGCTTAGGTGAGTGATCTGGCATTCTTTTGACGTGGTTCCACCGGCTCTCTTCTTTGTTATTTCGTTGCTAATCTTCCATAGGATGGAACTGCTTCTTGAGTTTACTGAACAGTGGTGAAGAGTGAGGCTGAATAAACATGATCGAGATATTTCCTATTCACTATATCCCCCATACTTTATTGGCGAGTCATCAGTACATATATTTTTTTTATAGAGAGGGTCATCGGTCGGTACTCCTATGGTCTGGTTTCGTTTTGTATATACTACTAGGCATATCGTTTTCAAGGTTACCAAATTTTTTTACCACTATTCTTTGGGGGAAAGAAAGAAATCTCCTCTTATTTTCAAATCATGGAGTAGCAATCATAGATAGATCTACTTGTTCGATGGTCTATACTTTATTAGGGCTGTGCGGCCCGACCCAAACAGGCAAGAGTTTTTCGCCGCTTTTTTTGAGCGGAATTGAATCTCCAACTTCAAAACTTCGGTGCGGGTCCTTTAATCGTCTCGCCCAACAACCTCTCTCTTCCCCCACGCTCTACTGCCTGGACTGCCTGGAGCAGATCTCTCTGTTTCATCTCACTTCTCGGGCCTCTTTCACTTTTACTCATTAAGCATTTTGCGCTTGTCTGATACAGTCCCGAACCTTCGCCTTCTTTCATCACCCACCAGAACACCACCACCATGGCTGCTGTTGAAGAAAATGGCCACCCCGTGGCTGACGAGAACACCGCTCCCGCCGTTGCTCCCTCGGACGATGAGCTCGTAACTGTCTTCCACAACCCAGAGAACTTTAACGTCAAGCACCCTCTGATGCATGAGTGGACACTCTGGTTCACTAAGCCCCCCAGCGGCAAGGTCCGTTTTTCATCGCTTGCCACCCTAGCCGAATCTCCCAATCGCTGACCTCGGTGCTTTACTAGGGCGATAACTGGAACGATCTGCTGAAGGAAGTCGTGACATTCAGCTCTGTGGAGGAATTCTGGGGGATCTACGTATGTACCCAACCCGACAGCAGAGAAACCAAAGAAAAAAGCAATACCCTGGAAGATATATAATGGAGAGAGAGAGAAAAACAAATATATGTATATATCCTATATTTCTCTCTCTCTCTCTCTCTCTCTCTCTCTCTCTCTACACCTATATCTTCATATATATATATATATGAGACGTGACAGCTAACCCTCCATTTCTCTTACAGAACAACATTACCCCCACCTCCGAGCTAGGCCTCAAGGCGGACTACCACCTCTTCAAAAAGGGCGTACGACCGGAATGGGAGGACGCGCAGAACAAGCATGGTGGCAAGTGGTCATACCAGTTCAAAGATAAGCGCTCCGTCCCCATCGATGAACTCTGGCTGCACGCGCAGCTTTCCGCAATCGGCGAGACCCTCGAGGCCGAGGGCGACAACGAGGTTATGGGTGTGGTTGTCAACGTGCGCAAGGGTTTCTACCGTGTCGGTCTGTGGACACGTACTGTTGGCAAGGGTGTTCCTGGTGATAAGACTGCCCGAACCCCCGCCCAGGGCAAGGATATCTTGGAGGCTATCGGTGGACGGTTCAAGGATGTGCTCCGCCTCAAGGAGGCGGACGTGGTGGAGTTCTCCGGCCACACTGACAGCGCGCACAGTGGCAGCACCCGTGCTAAGGCCAAGTACACCGTTTAAGCGAGCATCGGATCAAATCATGGACTCGGAATGGTTGATTTCAATTTCGCCTTTGATATGATACATCATTATCAGAGGCGATGTGGTAGTGGTGTTGGCGTTCTATCCTCTGATGATACACCTTCACCAGACCTGGTTGAGGGCGGAGTTGCAAAATGAAGGAAAAGTCAATGATTCCCACCCGGCAGTGTCTCTTACCTGCTGCATTTTCTCGTCTTGTTTGCCGGGTTCCTCCCCCCTTTTTTTATCTTTTTCTTTTTTTCCCCCAGTGACGACCCTGATTGCTTGCGGCATGTATCTTACCCTACCAAACGCATTTTATGAGGCATATGTCGTTGGCCATGCTGGTCGAATGTTTAGAAAGTATGTCATTATAGTATATTCAATTTATTATGAATTGATGAATTTCAAATAAATCCAAGTTCTAGATAAAAGGAGGGAGTGATGATTAGGAGCTTCCAAGGTTGAATGTACTAGTAGTGGTTTTTTTTTTTCAAGATATAAATGTTCAATGTTGACCTTTCACATCCTCTAGGAGGTAGTAGGAATGCATCTGGGCACACATCGGTGCCCTTGAGCAGCGTGTTTTTCTCCCAGACCGGTGTACGGGTCTCCTTCACTGATAGATTTTACGTACCACTATTTATTGTACGTAGCACTTTACTTACTAGTATAGTACTTACTACTAGTATGTATGTATGCAATTAAACTCATCCCGAGGTCCCCCACTTGGTAGGTAGTACTGTAACGACATTGAAACTTCCTCCGTACGCCCGTCGACCTTTCCCCCTCGTCTCGGATGTCGATCTCCGTACGTAGCAACATATTAATTCCCTGGAGACTTACCTCGCCTATATGTAGATTGATTTACACCCGTGGATACTTTCCAGGGTGAATTACTACTAGTACCTACTTATATTGACGTGCATAGAAATAAACACCCGTCACTCGAGCCTTCAAATTTTGGGAAATATTTAGAATTCAAATTCAACCTTCTCAACTCCTTAATGTTGTAACACAAACAAGATGAGCTCAGATATACAATTGCCATGGAAGTGGCTTGGTAACGTCACAAAATCGGTCAGCATGTCTCATCATTAACCAGTCTGTGTTCCCAACCTGCCAACATGCCTACCCATGGATCTTCCGCGCCCAGCGGCGGGTAGTCAGCAAAGACACCGACGATTACTCTGTGTGAGTATCATAAATGGGCGACCAAAGAATCCGATTCAGTGTTCAAAACTTGCAGGTTTCTTTCAAAGAAACGTTTCCTCTTGTTTGAGCCTGTCTCTCACCCTTTAACGTTACCACACAAGATCTCAACATGGATACAATTCCCTTTCTAGCTCTAAGCTGGACTCGAGGAGTTATCGTCTTCCTATTCACTGCGGTTTTAGTCCTATACTGGTATATTCGAATCCCATCCGATATGCCTAAGAATATTCCCACGGTCCCCATCTACATATCCCTCATAGGCCTCTGGAGTGATATGGGGCAAGACACCATATATGATCGTTGGCTTCGACCACCCCTCGAGAAGTATGGCGCCGTGCAGATCTGGTTCGCGGGCCGATGGAATATTCTTGTCACACGGCCGTCGTACCTGGTGGATATGTTCCGGCATGAAGATGTATACGCGAAAGCAGGCAGCCAGAAGAAGATTCCGTGGAGTGTGATTGCCGCCCTAGTTGGGGATAATATCATCAATGCACATGGAGAGAACTGGAGGCTTTTTACGTCCATTATGAAACCTGGTTTACAGAGGCGAATTACAGATTCTGGGCCGTTGTTGGAGAAGTCGAGGTTGTTTGTTGATATTTTGTTGGATGAGCAACAGAAATCTGGAATGGGCGTTGCTGTCAATCCCATCATTCAAAGGTGGGCATTGAGTTGTATGGGGTTGAACTTCATGGGTGTTGATCTTAAGGTATGGAATAGAAAGATCCTTTCAAGGTTACGATTCTTACGATTATCGCCCCGTTTTATATCCGGGAGTATCACTGACTAAGGCAGTCGTTGGAAAGCCCCGGGCAACGCCTTGAAAAACTACAGACTATCATCAAAAAGACTCTCTTCAAACCATTGTTCTTCAACTTTCCTGACCTGGACAAGTTCCCCTCTCTATTTCGTCAACGAAAGGTAGCATTTGCCATAATACAGGAGTTTGGAGATCTGCTATGCGAGACTGTTCGAGCACGCCCACGTGTGACTGACCAAGAGAGTGGCACAGAGCAAGTGGTTGACCTCCTTGACCGTGCCCTCAAGGAAGGCCGAATCACGGAGGAACAATACCGCAATAATCTCAAGGTCACATTTTTAACGGCCCATGAAAACACCCAGCAGCTCCTCAACTCCGCCTTCTGGGAGCTAGGAAACAACCAAGACGTGCAGAACAAACTCCGAGCCGAGATCTTGTCCACTACCAAACTTGAGCCTTCAACGGAAGATGTAAATTCAATGCCCTACCTCTTTGCCGTCGTCCTCGAACTTCTTCGTCTCTATCCCCCGGTCTCTCAACTTATCAACCGAGTGACAACGTTCAAATCCGTTCTAGGCGGCGACATTGTGATCCCAAACCATACATGGGTAGGCTGGAATGCTTTTGGTGTACACACAGATACGGAGGTATGGGGGACTAAAGCTCGAGAATTTATTCCAGAACGCTGGGGCAGCGACGTCAAAACCATCCAAAATGCAGTTCGCAGTAAAACGACCCAGTGTCACTTCATCGCGTTCAACGCTCACTCCAGGAAGTGCCTTGGTCAGGGTTTCGCGGTACTACAAATGAAGATCTTGCTGTTTGAGATGGTCCGGCGAATCGAATGGACTGTAGATCCAACCTACAAGCTGAAACTAACATCGGTGAGTGGATCTGGAAACATACATGACGCGAACCCCTCTTGCGCCGGAGCAAGTCATTCGGCTGATATCTTAACAGGGTGGCATACTAGCACCACTGATGCTTCGTGTGATTATTCAGGAGAGGACATAAAAACAGCTGGAATGGAACGTCTCAACCCGGTGAGCCAGTTCTGATAACTCGGCCTTGGCAGAGAGCATATTTTGAAAGTTGTTGGTCAGGTCTAGAGGCCTCTAGAGGGTAAAGACTTGTTCGCAGACTTGACTCTACGGCTATAAATGAGAACATAGCTCCCGCCTCGCCTAGCACGTACATCATTGGCAACATTGGATACATTTGTATGGTGAACTTTGTCATGTCGGCAAATATGGGTAGCAACGGAGGTAGTACAGAAACGCAGAAACGAAGCATGGCAATGTCGGCGTCAGCGAGAGTCTAATTATTTCATATTGCAATCTCGAAGAAATGAGATATTAAGTGATAGCCCTCTGCTACTTCTATGATACATAGTAGCTTTGAGTTGAGCCAGAAGTTTCTTTGCCAGCCAACACGTCTCACATTCTTACCTTTGACCCAATGATCATTCAGAATGTCGGCACCATCTCCGAAGAAAAACTATAAAGTCGCCGTTCTGATTTATGGGGGTGCAAATATCCTCGACTTTACAGGTCCGATGCAGGTCATGTCCCATATCACTCATAATCGCAATACAGATGATCCAGATCCAGATCATGTTTTCGAGGTCAAGACGATTGCGCAGGAGAGTCTGATCCACACTGCAAGCTCGCTCCATATCGAGCCCGATATCCTGATATCAGATGCCTTGGACAGCATCACAGAATATGATATTCTCATAGTCCCCGGCGCTTCACTATCGACCATTCAAGGGTTGATCAAAGAGCCTAACAATGCGGAAATAAATTTGATTCACCGATATACGACTTCAGGGTCGACTCATTCCCGCATCCTCTTCTCGGTCTGCACGGGTGCTTTACTTCTAGCCGCAGCTGGCATCCTATCCGGATTAGCGGTGACGACTCATCACCTCGCTCTGGACGCATTGAGAGAACTCTGCTCTCTGCACAGCCAAACCAAGGCCCCAACGCGAATTGTGCATCGACAATTTGTCCATGACGAGGGCTTCAAAGGCACTAAAGTGCAGATTATATCCTCTGGTGGGATCAGCGCGGGTATCGACGCGGCAATCTACATTGTGTGTAAACTATTAAGTGCCGAAGCGGCGTCGCTGGTTTCTGAGACTATGGAGTATGGATGGATGGAGCCGTTGGATGAAAATTGGCCTAAGAAATTTAACTGTTTCTTAGATTGATTGAATGACTCTAAGATTGATTGAACCACATGCATATGTACATACTACCTAAGAGGTCCTATTTCAAATCCTTCGTGGGGGGGGGGGGGGGGGGATATACATGTACTTTGCATCTGGAAATTTATTTTTCACATCAATTGATCCCTAGTACATAGTCCCATCCAATTCAAATCGAATCGAATTGATTACCACATGTGCATGTTCTTAATGTTTTGATTCATCTCCATACCTTAGCCTTGTCCAGTACTGGTTTTACATACAGATAGAAAGAATCCCTCCATCGATCTAGTAAACTTATCAGTTGAATCTGACTCAGCTTGGCCCCTCGCCGTCGGGGAGCCGTCGGGGGTTTCCGGTAGCAATCGGAGTTTTGATCTGGTGACTTATGCCGAGCGGAAGAATAAGGAAGACGTTACTTGCAACCTTGGAAGGAACTTGTCGGAATCAGTGTTGAATGTTGGCGGTGGAACCAGGTAAATAGTAGATAAAAATCTCCTGAATAACATTTGAAGCTGATACTTGTCTAGTTGTCATTCAAGGTTTGAGGCGTCACCAGCAAGGAAACGAAACTTGAACCTTTCAGACATCATTCTACTTGACCTAACGTATATATACCTCTTTTGGTACTCCGCTTTATCCTCACTTCAATGTTTAATATGACGAGCGCCAAGAATCCCGCTCAGATGAAGATCCTCGTCCTCGGCCTACCCAGAACGGGTACCCAGAGTATGTAGCCCAGTCGGATCGAAATTTCAAAATCTCCAGAATCCAACATTCACAGGTCTTGCCGGTGCTTTAAAATTGCTCGGCTATGAAAAGGTCTACCACATGAAAGATAATTTTGTTCGAGGAGATCATGCATTCTGGTCTCAAGCTATGGATGCAAAATTTGCCGGGCAAGGGAAAAGCGTGGATCGAGAAGCTTTCGACCAGCTTTTCGCCGGCGAGTACATGGTAAACTTGCACTCACCCAAGAGATCGAAGAAAATCATGTTGACGTTGTGATTGATTAATTGACCTAGGCAGTGAGCGACTATCCTGCTGCTATGTTCCCCGATGAGTTGATAACCTCTTATCCGTCAGCTAAAGTGATATTGCTAAGCCGCGACCAAGACGCATGGATCAAATCAATGGAAAGCACACTTTTGCATGCATGGAATTTAGAAAAGGAAAAGGACAAGAAGGACAAGAAGATGAAAATACAAACGCAAACGAAAGTTGAGAATGAGATCGAAGCAAAGGTTATCTCACCCCGACTCCTTCGCAATGAGATGGTTCAAAAGATGCAAAGTTATGGCTGGAATGATGATTTTGAGGTCAATGGGCCTGAGCTATTTCAGAAGCACAATGAACATGTGCGTCAACTCATGAAATCTCGACCGGGGGACTTTCTGGAACTCAATGTCGCGGACGGGTGGGAGTCGCTCTGTCGGTTTCTGGGGAAAGAGATCCCTAATGAGGGATTCCCAAGGAACGACGACTGGGCGAAGTATAAGGAAGATGTGAAGAGATCCGTAGCACATTATTAGCGACTTCGGCGGGGGAGATTTTCTCTATCAGTCTTTATTCTAGTGTCGGCGGAATTAATATCAGCCCGCGTTGGGTGTTGGAAGTCCGAGGTTTCACCGGTTATGTCCGTCCTAACAGTACACTAGTACACTTTATAGAATGGAAGGAATAAACATGGCAAGTCTTTTTGCAGATCCCAAATTGACTGAAATGTGATTAGTGTAGTCCAGGATCATCTCTCGCCAAGCATATGCAAGGCTTATAGTAGATGCTTAATGTGTAATGTACATAGATGCTTAGCCGAAATCCGACGTGGAGTTCCTGACGCGTCAGGAACCAACCGGATCGCACACATTGATAAGATCATTTTTCATGAATTCAGTTATTTAAGTTAATCCCTAGGTACGGAGTACTCCGTACTAGTACTGTTTGAAAGAAGTAGAGTACTTGTAATCAAAGAGGTCAATCAAGATATGAGCCGGTTTCGGATTTTGGATCTCTTAAGCAGAGGTGTTTTAGCCTTGTCAAAGAGCATGGTGTTACCAAGCCAAGGGCTTGGATGCACGCCCTTCGAAGGTAACTAGTCCCCAACCATCCTCGCCATGAGTCTCTCGTTGGTGGACTCGGTGGGACTCGGATTCCCGGCTTTATCCCATGGCTGCTTTTTGGGTGTAGGGAAGCGAAGTCGGAGCGATAAGGCGTGCTTGTCCTTCTCCAGGGCTTTTATTTACGCGGTTGTCCCCCCGTCTGACAGGCGCGACCTTTTTCTTTCCCTTTGGCCACTTTCCTCCCCTTCTCAACCTTTGCGAGAGAGAAAAAAATTGCTTTCCTAAAGTCGAGATGTTTTGATTCTCACCTCTCCAAAATCAATACTATCTCCCCACATGTGACCAATACTCTCGACACCTAGAAACCACCTTATCTATCCCATCGCGTCTTGGCAGGAGCGCCAGACTCCACACCCTCCCATCGCCTGCGCATTCGCTTGCCACGCGGTTACGAGAGAAAAATACCCCGGAAAGACCCAACCGCCTGGCTCATCAGATCAATCTGGGACGCTCAGATAGAGGAACCGAAATAAGAAGGTCGTTTACATGGATTTGGCTACTGCCGGCTGCTGCAGGGTTCGACCTTTCACGTCTTGTTTCGCGCGGATCTCCTTGGCCCCCGCATGCCCAGCCCTGCACGACTAACAATAAGACGGACTCCGGGGTAGCATCAATCAATTCAACAAGATCACTTCTCCGTACGAGACAATCCCCGAAACTCAAACCCAGGTCTTTGTGGGTTGGTTTCGCTTTCAAATCCACAATCAGGTCGGCCAACGCGGGGAAAGATTCCCAACGTTACAATCAAAGTGGCAATGACCCAGGAATCTCACGAGGCGCAATCAATGCAATCAGTTTGCGATTAGGCCAGGGAAATCTTGGAAGAGACAATCGCAGACGCGATCATGCAAATGACAGGGCGCGGGGGCACCGAATGCATGTTTCCCATCCCTTGCGAGGTCCAAGCGGACCCAACACCCTTTTCTTTTCTTTTTTTTGAAAGAATATCATTAACTTGACTTGTTGGAATTACTAAACCTCTACGCAGATATAGGTATACTTCTAGACTTTTTACCCAATGCCGTCTGAATCAAGTACCGACCCATATCCCGGGGATAAGAAAAGATGTCGAAGAAAAACTCCAAATCCCGAAGTTCGCCGTCCCCGGCTGTGGAATGGAATGGGCAAAAGTCCCGGAGAGCGGGTGAGTCTCCGGCAGGACGCCAAGACTTTCGCCGTTCCAGATGAGATTCGCCTCGTGGGCAGCGGGACCACTGGAAGCTGACTCCGGCTGGTGATATACCAAAATGGAGAATATATCGCTAGAGTTTCTTGGACACCGGCATTCCCCGACAGGTACTGCCGGTGTGATTCGCCATGATAAGAGTGGAGATCTGGGCAGAGTGGGAAGTTTTTGGTTTTTTTTTTTTGGCCCTAACCTGTCTAGAATCGCGCCGGCGGGATTTGCTGAGCTGTGATTGATTGGACGGTCAATGGGAAACTCTTGGCACGTTGCTTACCACTGCACTATCAGTCATACTGAAGAGTGTTTTCCATTCGTGTGTTTCCATGTCTGGGGTTACATCGGTGCATGGACAGGATGTTGATTCGTCCTGCGACAGAACACTTGCCGATCGCATCCACGGAACGGGAAGCTCGCTGAGAACAATGTTTTTTTTTTCTTCTGTTTATCCTATCGCGTGAGTGGAGATCTAACTTAGCTGTTATTCTAAGATGGCAAGTCCCATTCAATTCAAAAAAAAAAAAAAAAGTCTTGGCCTTTTGTTTTTTTTTTCTCTCCCTCGGTTCACGCGCCGATAAGACCGTTCATCCCCACAACACTTCCGGGTGTTGGGTAATAAAAACTGACTATATAGTATTCGGTCGTTGTCACCCATTGCTGTGGTTTTTCTTCTTCTTTTTCTACGCCTATTGTGTCATTGGAAGCCAAGGTTGCCCGTTCGAAGTAATCTGCTATGTCTAACACAGATAACGTGGCTGAGGCCGCTCCTCCGTATGTACACTCTCAATAGGATTTTTATACCTACGGATTTTACTTTCCAGCATGATCTGACTCATCTAAAGGGCCTACCTCAATGACACTGCCGTAGAGCAGGTCACCGTGACCGACGAGAAGAGGGATTACAACGTTGATAAGGAGGCTCTTTCGATCACTGTGGACGGCGAGGAGCCCAATGACGATGAGAAGCGCTCCCTTCGCCACGTCGCAGAGAACTTGCCCCTCTCAGCATGGCTGGTGGCTATTGTCGAGCTTTGTGAACGTTTCACCTACTACGGCATGTCTGGCATGTTCCAGAACTATGTTCAACGTCCCCTCGACGGCAGTGAGGGACGTGGTGCTCTGGGCATGGCTCACCAGGGTGCCACTGGTCTGACCACTTTCTTCCAATTTTGGTGTTATGGTATGGCTTCTTAGGGCTTGGGGTTGTGATCAAATACACCGATGACTAACCGATCTCTCCGATACAGTTACCCCCATCCTCGGTGCCATTGTTGCTGATCAGTACCTTGGAAAGTACAAGACCATCGTCTGGTTTTGCGGCATCTACCTCATCGGTCTCTTGATTCTCGTTTGCACTTCCATCCCCGTTGCCTTGGAAAACGGTGCTGGTTTGGGTGGTTTCATTGTGGCCATCTTGATCATTGGTCTGGGAACTGGTGGTATCAAGAGTAACGTCGCTCCCTTGATTGCGGACCAGTACAAGCGCAAGAAGATGGCCGTCTCCACCACACCCAAAGGTGAGCGTGTCATTATCGACCCGGCTCTGACCATCCAGCGTATTTACATGATCTTCTATGGATGCATTAACGTTGGTTCTCTGTCTTTGTTGGCCACCCCATACATGGAGAAGTACATTGGTTTCTGGTCTGGCTACCTGTTGTGTCTGTGCATGTTCGCCGTTGGTACCCTTACCCTGGTTCTGGGTCGCAAGTACTACGTGGTTCGCCCTCCCCAGGGCTCCATTATCACCGATGCCTTCAAGGCTGTGGGAATGATGATTGTTAACCGCAACATGGATGCCCCCAAGCCTAGCTGGCAGCTCGAGAACGGCAACGCCGAGGCCACCGTGCCCTGGGATGACCACTTCATTGATGAGCTTAAGCGCGCGCTCGTCGCGTGTCGCGTGTTCGCTTTCTACCCTATTTACTGGGTGGTGTACGGTCAGTTCTCTAGCAACTTTGTCACCCAGGCCGGTCAGATGAAGGGTCATGGAATCCCGAACGATCTGATGCAGAACTTCGACCCCATTTCCATTATCGTGTTCATCCCCTTGCTGGAGAGTCTCGTCTACCCCGCCATGCGTCGTATGAAGATCCCCTTCCGTCCCATCACCCGTATCGCCCTTGGTTTCGTGGTCGCCTCGCTGGCCATGATGTACGCCGCCATTGTCCAGCACTTGATCTACTCTGCTGGACCCTGTTACGGCAGCCCGCTCTGCGCCGCGTCTGAGGTTGACGGTACCGCCCAAGGCAACAACGTTCACATCGCCATCCAAACTCCGGCTTACGTTCTCATCGGTATTTCCGAGATCTTTGCCTCGGTCTCCGGTTTGGAGTACGCCTACACCAAGGCCCCACCTTCCATGAAGTCTTTCGTGCAATCGATGTACCTCCTCACCAACGCCTTCGGATCCGCCCTCGCCGAGGCCCTTACCCCGGCCGCATTCGACCCGGCTGTTATGTGGATGTTTGTCGCTCTGGCTTGTGCCTCTTTCCTGTGCGGTATCATCTTCTGGTTTGTGTTCCACCACCTCAATGCGCAGGAGGATGATATGAACGCTCTTGATGCCGACGATGGAATGCCCGAGGCTCCCGTTGAAGAGGAGCGTCGTCTATCTACGAAGCAGTAGATTTGTATATTTAGTGTTGTTTTTTTTTTTTTTGGTTACATTCGGGCTTGCATTTGCACTGCGCGGGAGCAGGGTCTTCCTGCGTCTAGACTGCTGGGCAGATATGTGGGACGAGATACGAGTTAATCCATACCTATAAATTAGGTAGTATATAGTAGTTAATCCCTAAACATTTTACATATATTATATCACATTCAATTTGAAGATTTTTAAATTAAATATCCGAACATTGACTTGAGGTTTCATGACTGAGTGGTGTCAAGATTGATGTGCACATTGTAAAGTTGCCTTGGCGAATATCTGCCAGTGCTCCACACATGCACGTGCATGTGCAGACTGCTAGCACTTGAGTGGTTATCAGGTATATGTAGTAGATACCTAGAGTGGACATCCACCCATCTGTGTACCTAGTACTGTAGATTTATGTAAGCCCACATGTGCAGCAGTACCCTACATGTAAACCTTGGAATTGGACTTAGCTCCAACATTGAAGGTTGCCTAGATCAATTGATGCAAATGCCCAGCCCTGGAGACTTGTACCTACCTACATAAGTACATAGACCTGAACCGGATATATAATGGGGCATTTTTACTCAAGTGCTGCCTATACCCAATAGCGTAACCTTGGACACCCTAAAGGCAAGATATTAGGCATCCTCATTTTTGACATCTGGATATTTTATGCTTCATTTCTACTATGGTAACTTATGTTCTTTTAGCTTCAATGTTTAAACCCTGAACCCGCTGTGCACAATCATGACGTGCAGACTTGGTTGCCACCCCAGCCCCGTTTTATGGAGACAGGTACCGAGTACGTAAGATTCTATGTGGATAACTATGTGTGGATAAGTACCTGCTACTTCCGTGGAAATGCTTTCCCTGACGTGCAAGGGTCGATCCACAGCGTATCGCCGATCCGAGCCTCATAAATAGAACAGCTTGCAGCATCAGCCACAAATCATTTCCGGGGCCAAAGGGGGTTCCACTGTAAGGAGGTCATCGCCCACGCAGGAACCTTTGGCACTTAATTTTCTTTAATTCCCTTTAAATCCTTTTTTTTTTTTGAATAAAACATAACGTTTCAAATATATTTGAGCTTGAAAAAACTTCCTATTAGCGTTTTTTCTCCCTTAGTATTCTATTAATTCCTAATAACAACCTTGGAACCTTTCCCCCCCTTATCCCAGAGGGAAAAAAAGAGGAAGAACTGAAACATTCTGCCCTTTCCACCCACCGCCAGCGCTTCTGCAACTCCACTTCTCCCGTCTCACCCTTCTCTTTCACTTCATACCTGAAACCCCTTTGCTCGCCAACTTTGTTTACCCCCCAATCTTAATCCGTCATTATGAGTGTGAGTCTTCAATCGGGTGGGTTTGCTTCATTGATATGGGAATTTCTGACGATGATAGTACCAGAGCTTGGGTGACAACAGCAACGGGGGCTACGGCCAGTACAACCCCTATGGAAGTCAGCAACAGCAAAATCCCTATGCCGGCCAGGAACAAAGCTACGGATATGGAGGAGGTTACAACCAGGCTGGTGCCGCTGAGCAAGGCAATAGTGGATTCGGTAAGTTCTGAGCCTAGACTCGACAAGATCGCAATGCGCTGACAACCGGCCTCCCCCCCCCCCATTAGAGATGTCCAACATGCAGCAATCCGGAGGTGGCCCCACCGCAATTCTGAACAAGTGCAAGGAGATGAACGATGCCATCACCGAACTGCGCACCAAGCGCGAAGGTCAGCTTGTTTCTGCCCAGAACGCGCTGCTAGACTCGAGCACCGGCAAGGAGGACCAGTCCGCCCGCCAGAACGTCGACTACATCGAAGATGAAATCAACACTGCTCTACGCTACCTGCGCGACCAATTCAAGCGCATCAAGGAGACTCCTGGATCCGGTGACTCCCGTGTATCCGGTCAGGTCGAGAACGTGAATCGCAACCTCCGTCGCGAGATTGAGCAGTACCAGCGCACACAGTCCGATTTCCAGAAGCGCCTCGAGGAGCAGGTGCGACGCCGTTACGAGATCGCCAACCCCGAGGCTACCCCCGAGGAGTTGGAGCAGGGTGTGCAACTTGTTCTGGCCGGCCAGGAACAGAGCTTCGCTGTATGTTTTGAACAATTATATCTTCGTGAATGACCATGAATGACCCAGTCTACTAATATATTTTCTCATATAGGTTCCCGGTACCCGTTCGCGCCAGGCCAACGATGCTCGCCAGGCCACTATGCAGCGATCTGCTGCCATCCGCAAGATTGAGCAGGATATGATCCAGCTTGGCCAGCTGTACCAAGAAGTTGCGGAGCTAATCCACCAGCAAGAGCCCGCGGTCACACAGATCAACCAGGGAGCTGAGGAGACGCACCATAACGTGCAGGAAGCCAACACCAAGCTAGACAGTGCCATTACCAGCGCCCGCAATGCCCGACGATGGAAGTGGTACGCCCTGGGTATTGTTAGTAAGTTGCACCCGTTGTCTTGAATTGTCTTTCCTGGAAATTTCAACTGACCCAATTATTCAGTCCTCATCATTATTATCATTGTCGCGGTCGCCGTTGGTGTCACCGAGGCCAACAAGAAGTCGTAAATTATCGCACTACGAATCCCATCCCACCCCCATGTACGACCTTTCTCCCCCGAACTGGCATGGCATCGACTGGACTCGACTCGCATGGATTCACGTTTGATCCAAATCCACCCAGTCCCCCGCCCCATTACCTTGCCGTGTCAACACTCAACTCCCCTTTGTCCTTTTGCCCTCTTAACTCCTTCGCACCCCTTCATTTCTATACCACTATCTCGCATGTCTCAGTTCTTCTTCTTCTTTTTCGTTTTCTTTTTCTTTCTGTGTAAAAGCAATGGCCGATCGACTTCGTTTTTTCCTTATGTTTTTCTTTCCATTTGGCTGCTGCCTTCGCGTACAGCTGCGCTAAGACGGACCACTGTAAGCGCTCAGCTGATGATGACTTGTCTTGTGCTCCCTGGACTCCATAATTGACTTGGCCTGCCGCTTGCGACAGCCCTGTCAAGAAGTCCTTGGGATGTATATACTAGATTGTTTGCTTTCTGTCGATGTCCATGCCTGTTTCTTTGGCGCTAGAATCTATGTAATACTGTATTAATTGATGCCTGTTCATACTGTAATCCCCGTCTTAAACTATTCGCCGTGCAACTGATTTATTGAACCGGCCATCAATTGCTTTTTAAGGGGGATATAATATTATATAATGGTGTCTATATGCTCCTTCAAACATTATTTTATGCTTATGCTTCCCTCTCCTTCTCTCGCTGTTCCTCAGCCAGTGTCTTCGTCTTCAATTGCAACGCATGAATACCCCCTTCTTGGCTCATCTCATCTTTCAGCAAGGCATAGACCATCCGATGCCGCGCAGGTTGCATCTTCGATTCAAAAGCGGAAGAGGTAATTGTAACACTAGACCAAGCCCGGGTTAGTCTATCATAACGCTAGAGACCGTAGATTCGGCGACAAGCTATGCTTTTATCGCATGGGAAATCATAAGGGAAAAACTTGAGTCTCATACTGGAAGTGCGTTTCCTTTGACGTAGCACCTTGCATTGCCGCGTGATGGGCGTGCTTGTGGGAATCGTTGCGGATGACGAGGGTGGAGGGAGTGAAGGCGTGAACAATCTAAATCTGTTAGCGCTGACCTTGCATGACTGAACAGAACTGAAGTGTACCTTACCTTGTCGCGCATGAGATCTTCCATCGGGGTTGTGGAGGCCATTTTTGCGGAGACAGAGAAGAAGCGGCGGGGGAACTGGAGTGGAAGGGAGCGTAGCATTGGGGGAAATTGCAACGAAGTAGAGGAAAGAATAATTTGAGTAGAAGAGAGAGAGAGAGAGAGAGAGAGAGAGAGAGAGAGAGTAGTTAGAATAGAAGAGCAGAGGTGAAAATGAAGTAGACGCTAAAGAGGAGAATCAGGCCACAAGAGGTCAAAGGTTTAAAGATGCCAGTGGAGATTAAGCGGAGAAAGGGAAAAAGCGCGGATCATCTTTTTGGCTTCCGCGGAACTCCCCAATGACATCAACTTTCCATTCCCCCATTGAATCCTCAACACGACTTTGAGATCCAAATTACTATGATCTCCTTATACTAAATACATCAACTGTTATGTCTACTTGTCTTTTGGCGTTGCGACTCCCGCGAACTGGACTGCGCATCCGTGCACATGCACCTGCACGTCTAGCGACCCTCTCGGCGCACACGAAGCTGCTCTCCACGTTGCCTAACATACCAATCTTCCGTGCCCTGCAAAATCATGATACCTCTAGCTTAGCGGTCGTTCACAGTGCATCAACCCGCAGCTTTACATATGGCAATCTGGTTGCCGATGTCCTCCGCGCCAAAGATGATCTTGAGCGCAAAGCTTCGGGCAAGCTGACTGGGGAGCGGGTTGCGTTCTTGGCGGAGAATAGCTATGACTATGTAATCACCCTCCTAGCCATCTTCGCCAGTGATGCGATTGCCCTTCCTCTGTCTCCGTCGTTTCCTGTTGGTGAGTTACAATATATCATGGATAACTCTCGGGCGAAGGTGCTGCTTGCGACGGAGAAGTATGCGGATAAGGCCGGTCAAATTCTCAAGGCAGGGTTGGAGTTGGAGCCGCTGTTTGATATTAGACAAAAAATTGAGGTTGGAGGAAGTGTGGAATCTGTTCAGCTGGATAATCGCGAACGGAGTTCGTCCGGAATGATGCTATATACTTCGGGAACTACCAATCGACCGGTAGGAACAACTACTAACCTCCTCTTTCCTGTTTGAAATATCCGCTAAACCATCTCAGAAAGGTGTACTTATTCCCGAGTCTGCAATCACTGCTCAAGCATCCTCTCTTTTACACGCGTGGAAATATACGCCACAGGACCGCCTCCTCCACCTGCTTCCACTACACCACATCCACGGCGTAGTAAACGCAACCATAGCACCGATATTCTCCGGGTCCTCTATTGAATTTATGTACCCATTCAACCCCGAGCAAGTCTGGCGCCGCCTTGCTGCACCGTTTCTCCCATCTGAAACCGAGACCAAGACCAGCAAATCAAAAATCACTTTCTTAACCGCCGTCCCGACAATTTACAACCGCCTAATGACATCATTTCCTTCACTTCCCCCGGAGATTCAATCCGCAGCGCAGAAGGGTATACATCCAGACCACCTTCGTCTCAATATCTCAGGCTCGGCGGCTCTCCCAACACCCACGAAAGAGAAATGGACCTCCCTTAGCGGTGGTAACGTCCTCTTGGAACGTTTCGGAATGACGGAAGTCGGTATGGCAATCAGCTGTGGCCTGGATCCAGTAGACCGTGTCGACGGTAGCGTCGGGTGGCCTCTTCCAGGCGTTGAAGCACGCCTCGTCGACACGGAGACTGATCGCCTCATACCCGTGGGCCAAGAAACAGATGCCAATGGTCGAGCTCTCGAAGGTGAAATCCAGTTACGGGGAGAAACAATCTTCCCCAAGTACTGGGGCAACGAGAAAGCTACGACAGAAAGCTTTGTTCAGGCAGATGACGACGGGAAACCCTGGTTCCGCACTGGTGATGTTGCCACGAGACGGGTCGTCGATGGAACTGGCAAAGGCAGTAGTGGTGAATGGGCGCAGGGACCCATGTATTTCATCAGTGGACGGAAGAGTGTTGATATAATCAAGACGGGAGGTGAGAAAGTGAGCGCTTTGGAGGTTGAGAGGGAATTGCTTTCTCTGTATGTTCAAACCCCCCTGTCCTTTTTTTTTTTCAATTGATCCTGCAAATGCCGTATGGTCTTTGCTTTAAACGATCTTGGACTTCCTACCCAACAAAAATATCACTAACATGCCATCCAGACCACAAGTTACTGAGGCAGCTGTCGTTGGTCTCCCATCCGAACAATGGGGTCAAAAGGTCGCCGTTGTATTGGTTTTAGACCCCGAAGCAGCGACAAGCGGACGAAATGGCAAGTCATGGGGTCCGATGGACATGCGGCGTGCATTGAAAGATCGGTTGGCGGGATATAAGATTCCACAAGAGATGAAGGTTTTGGAGAGTATTCCTCGGAATGCCATGGGGAAGGTGAACAAAAAAGCTCTCGTCAAGGAGGTATTTGGAGTGTAGCCAAAGTCTCATAGGACAGTTCTCTAGGCATCCTAGGTTGTATCATAGTGTAATAGTAGATTGTACTTTTAATAAAAGCCGAATTGATTTCCGTAAGTAGAGAACTTACTATTATACAAGATGATACAATATGGTACAATAGAGTATGGGTATCTGAGGCAATCCGAAATCAAACCCTCCAATATCATCAACATACCAAGCTATGGACGCTTAAGCCCACTCCCCAACCCTCTCATACTCTCTTATCAAGCTCAAAGCTTCCATCTTAACCTCTAGCTGAGCGACATTAACAGCGGTAATCTTCGCATCGACAATCCCAAAGATGTCCATCCGATCCTTATCCGCACAATCATCCGGAATTGTAACAGAGCAGTTGATGCCCAGGTTAGAGATAACACCGGAATAAACGGTTCCATCCCGCTCAGGCAAGACACGCTGAGTGCGAAGTAAGACAGGGAAAGTTGCTGGCAACGAACAGCCCGAGAAATAGAATGCGCGGAAGAGAAGCATGCAGGCCCAGTGCTGGGATGAGTATTGGGAGACTTCGCGAAGACGGGTACGGATCGGGATTGAGTAAAGGATGTGGGAATCTATGTCAGATTTGGTGTAGGGGAGGGCTTGTGGTAGAGAGTTGGAATCGAGTAAAGGTTCAATGCCAGATTTCGGCCTCGTTTCAGACTCGCTCGCAGCTTTCGCTGCCAAAGCCTGATCCTGATCAAGAGAAAGATCCATTATTTCCTCTTCGTTCTCAGGATTTTCAGACTCGCTCGCAGCTTCCGCTGCCAAAGCCTGATCCTGATCAAGAGAAATATTCATTATTTCCTCTTCATTCTCAGGATCGGGCATATCGACCGCTGCATTAAATCGACGACCATGTTCAGCTTCAAAACGCAGCGCAGCCTCGATTTGATAATGTACAATCACATCCGTGAACCGACGCAACGGACTCGTGCTCTTGACATATGCATCCAATCCAAGCATATGATGATGCACAGGCTCAGAGGAAGAAAATGCCTTCGGCATGGTCAATTCCAGAAACTTCTGGCCACCAAACTCTTTGATATTTTTGGACGTGACACGACCATATTCCGGGTCATACCAGGTGCCGTCATAGACAGCAGGAATATTGCGAGTGGCGCAGAACTGGCCAGCGATATGACCAGCCAAGTTCATCAACATTGAGATGAGGTAGTTCTTTGACTCGTCACGGACGTCATGCGGATTGAAATCCTGCATGCGTAATTGGATAGCCGGGTCGCCAAGATAATATCTTCCTTCTGTAACTTGTATATCGTAGGGTTTGAGGGGTACCGTACCGGCTTGGACTGTCAGGGATATGTTTGGACGCAGAGTCTGCATGTCCATGGCGCCGTTCCTCTGCCGCCGAGTCCGGAATCCCAGCATAAGCTTGCGTAGAGTGGTGAATGTGTCCTTGTCCTCTGGCGTGAGTGTCTGGCGGAACTGTTTGGCCTCGGGCAACGGGGCATCAATGATTTTGCCAACTGTGAGAGTTTCTTGACTCTCATGGGCATCAGGATTGAGATATTTCCGGAGTGTACCGTGCGTAACACTGATGACATTATGCACTACTCCATTTGCCACCTCGGTATCTAGAATCTCCCCACCAAGGTTCATCTTTGCACTGAATGTTAGCGTTGGCCGACCCGGTGCAAGACTGAAGTGTCCCTGGGTAAGGGATTCCGGGAAAATAGGGTATGTGCGCTCTGGGGCATATGTGGTTGCCAGTCGAGAGGCAGCGTATTCGATGGTCGGATCATCATATTTCAAGAAAGCCGTTGGGTTGGCGACGTGGATATGGACCCAGAATGTGTCATCTGAGCCAGGAATGCGCTCTAGGGAGACTGCATCATCAATTTCTTGCGCGGTGATATCGTCAATACAGTAAACTGGCAGATCTCCCCAGTCTTTGCGAAGGTGGTGCATAGAGTCCACTAGTGGAGCAGAGTCGCTGTACAATTCCTCAATCTCCTCCCAACGCATATCTCCGAGGAGAGACACCCCATGTCCTGGTAGTAACAAGGTCTGATCCAGCAGACTCAAATTCTCCCACGGCGCGATGACGCCTAGCTCTTGCAAGAACATACGAGTGGAAGACTCGCTCAGGCCGAGGGTATTATACATGCCCGTGACCCGCATGATATGCGAGGCCGTTGATTTCAAAGTGCCCGATGGCATGAGTACGGATGGGGTGGCATAAAGTTGGAGGTATTCGATAAACATCTTGTCATTTTGATCAAACTGTTCCGTTAAAACCTCACGGTACATCATTGCTTTGCCATTCTCACCAGGTTCGAACTGTTGCAATGATGGGCCCACACTAGACATTATTGTGGGCGACCGCACCTTTCGACTCATTCGAATCAGGCGTTGTGCCTTTAGGGTAAATCGCTGCATTGGATGTTGGGGGAAAAATTCCGCCGTCATCCCTGTCGTCGTTGATGCTAACTGATTCAGATAATTTTGCTTCGGCTTCCCCATAGCGAAGCGAGTGAGGTATTCTTGGTGCTCGTGAGCCCAAGTGGTGACTTGCTGAACTATTCTGGAGATCCGCTTGGGTTGCACAAGATACATGAAGCTGAACAGTGAGGTAGAGTCCTTCTCAATTAGAAACGGATTGTTCCGAACAGCTTGGTGAACAACGAAGAGGTTGACGCTGTTCAGCTGAGACTCGTCGATGTCCAGAACTTTCATTGTCAATTCTTCAATAGTCAAGCGACAAAATTCCGAATCGTCAGACACCAGATTGTGCATGTTATCCAGCTTCATCGAGTGATCTCTGTAAAAGTCCAGGACGTGACCTTCGAAGTTGTTCATCATCTCCAGAAGGGGGGCACCAAGTGGCCGCGGCACGCCTCCCTCCGGCACGGACTGGATATCTTGATTGATTATGGGTGCTGATTTGGGAAAATATGGCTTGATCGCATCCAGAAGCTCCAGAGGAGCAAAGCCCTTGATCACATAGTCCAGTTCACGAGTTTTGCAGAGACGCCAATTCCCACGGGATGTATAGAACTGCGGACGTCTCTGGATGGACTGCACGTAGATTGCCCATCTAAAGGTTCCGTCCCCTAGTAACTCTGCCACCATGTCACCGGGCTCTAGATTATCGCCATGGAACTCCTCCGAAGCATCGATATCATCTTCTTTGGTGAGGGCCGAATCGTTCCATACGGCTTCACCATGGATTTCTCGACCATTAGGCATGGAGCCCAGCACCGGGCCAGTATTCGAATCATCGTTTGGCTCTAAAATGGGATCCAAATGGTTGGGATTATTGGCTTGCCAATTTGAAAGATATGCTCGAATGTCTTGGTAGGCTTCTAGTTCAGCCTTATTGAGAGCGTGTACGAGGCTCTGTGACGGATCGATCGGTGTTGACGGAATGGAGTACGGGCCCTGTTCTGACGCCTAGTTAAGATGGTTAGCCAAATTGACCAAATTTGGATTTGTTCTTTCATACTTGATCGTCTGATTCCAAGACTCTTGTAGTCGATAACAAGCGAGCCCGCAACACGCGAGGAGGCAGCGGTAGGTGGGTTGCTTGTCTTTGCCTTATCACACCTCGCGCACCTATATTCTTAGCACTTGCAAGTCTTTGCAATGCCACAGTCTTTAGCCAGACCATGATGTATTTAAGGTCGCCAAAGACGCGACGCCTCACATCGAAACTTGCCTTTATTCTGCAGTCCTACTAGCCACCGCTTTGAGGCGGTGTGAAACTGTTGACACCTCAGGCGCCTAGAGCATCCATCCACGAGTACTAGTAGACAACAGTTGTGTCACTTGTGTGTTACATTTAAAGAACTAATCATGGAAGAATTATTGATAAATTGATACTAGATACAAGTTGTGGGTCAAGATGAGCCAATTCAATTACCGTCCAGTTGACTCTGGTACAAAAAACTTCTGAGCTATGTACGCAATTCATCACGCCCAGCACGAACGACCGATGGACTTTGGCGAAAGAATGGCACTAGTGAAGACACCAGCAGAGTCGGAGTATAGAGTACTACTAACTACTACCTACGTGCATTGAGTTGAATCAAAAGTGCAAGACAGTCAGTCAACTATACTGATGTATTATCTTTGAATCTTTGTTAGAACTTGGGCCCCGGTCCGCGGTATGTCGCTCTAATTCCATGTGACGGGATAAAACCCCCCACATTTGAACAAAAGTTGTCGACTCTTTAGCCTCGCCGATCCCATTGATAAAATCCCCAAAAACAGGGCTGGCAGCGTCTATCACTTCTCGTCTGGTCTAAGCGAGTTCTCTCACGGAGTCACCCACCTCCGTACTTTTTATGCAGAAACCGTTCAGGGGAAATCCCCGAAGACCAACGGGTTACGGGCCCACTGCAGATCGCAAAGGGTCTCGCGACCAATTTCCCTCCTATGTTTCCAGGATGATGTATGGCTGAGTGACTGCTTAAATTCTATGCCTACCACCAACTGCATATACTAACTGGTTTTATTATTTTTGTGGCTGAAATCTTGAATTGAGCTCCAACACAAGCGTTCCCACCCCCATGTATTGCATACTGCACAAAGCATGTTCTTGGCTCTTCACTCTGCCGAGATAGCCAATCGTGCCCCAAAATAGCACGATGTGATGTATCCACTCGCGTTGACACATACTACAACCTAGAGGGAAGAACCCCCCGGGGTATTTGTATGCATCGAGTTAGTCCGAATGCATGATTGCCATGCAAATGGCTCAACCCCGAACTACACGCTTTATCCCTGGCGATCCACAGCTTGATTTGGCCAGAAATGTCAAATTAATCAACTTGCCCTGATTAGACGCACGCAAAAGAAAGAAAGAAAAAAAGAAAAAAAAAACCTCCAGAAAACCTCCACAAACCCCCCGAGGTCGAAGCTGATCTGCATGTGGGATTGTTTATCATTTGCAATCATGCCCACAGTGGAATGCAGCCCATTTGTGACTAGCTCCAGGTAAAAGGCCTTGAACTGATGCTCATTACCTAAATCAGTATCTGCACTCGGATCTTTACGTCGATCTAAGCCTCCTCACATCCACTTCGCTTCGCGGGGAATCCTTTCGTGATGGAATTATTCACCCATCAATTATTGGAACCCACAATTGGTGGTCCAGACGGAATATATCCTCCGAGATGAACTAATGAAAGTTACCGCAAACATACTTAAATGTTGGAGTGAACCCCCGCTCCTTCCCATCAGGTAGGAGTTGGAGGAAAGTCAACCACCCGCAATTCACAGAATCGTTCCTTCTTACAGGCGTTGGAGATCCATTCTCGGTACCTCGTATATATTTGCTTCAGCTCAAGCTTACGAATGTGGACTAGCATAATGGTTTCCAACACCAGCTGGCGCACGTTCGCGCTATTCATCGCAACCATCGCACCGCTTGCGACAGCCGACATCTGCTCAACCCTTGCGCAAGGCGGCATCTCAATTGAATACCCCTTGACGTTGGAATATACTACCGTTTTGTCAGATTACTGGTCCACAGCATGTGGAGATCTCACACCGACATGCATTGCGGCGCCATCCAGTGCAGCTGAGATGTCCCAGATCATCACAAAGCTTCACGATGTTGAGACATTATTTGCTGTCAAGTCTGGTGGACATATGCCAAATAATGGATTCGCTAGTATTGAAGGTGGATTGTTGATTTCCACAAAAAATTTGGATCAGGTAAATTATAACGAAAATGACCAGACTGCTGTTATTGGACCTGGTCTTTCATGGGAAGAAGCGCAGAAGGGATTGGACGGCACAGGACGGGCCGTTGTGGGAGGGCGCCTGGGCGGTGTTGGAATCGGAGGGTATATGCTCGGAGGTATGTTGACAAGAGATCGTTTCATTTGATCAAGGTTCTGATTTGACCAGGGGGAATGAGCTTTTTGAGTACCCAGTATGGATGGGCTGCCAACAACGTGAAGAACTATCAAGTTGTTTTGGCAAATGGGACGATTGTTGACGCCAATGAGGATGAGAACTCCAGTAAGTTGATTCCAAAAATTTGCGCCAGCGCTTCATCTTCCGAACCCAGCTGAGTATTGATAGACCTCTTTGCATCACTTAAGGGAGGAGGCAACAACCTCGGTGTTGTCACGGCCTATACCATGGAGACACATCCTATTGGACAGGTCTGGGGTGGTAACTGGATTTTCACCGAGGACAAGACACCCCAAGTTCTAACAGCACTACGTAACTTTGTGGATGACTACCCTGATGACAAGGCGGCTATAATCTTGACTGCGGAGCATGGTGTGGTTGGACTAGTGGACTTCTGGATTATGTTCCTTTTCTATGATGGACCCGAGCCCCCAGCCGGTGTTTTCGACGAGTTCGATGCCATTGATCATGTGTCTACCACAAAGACATGGGACTCATACTATGATTTGCTGGTGAATAACGACCAGTTCATTCTTCAGTAAGTATTAGCACCACCACCTATATTCATATGCCATTAAGCTAACCGATAAAAGCGGCCAACGCTATACCATCGCGACGGAATCGACACCCGTGCCAAACTCCACGGTTGGTCTTGATGTGATGCAGGGTTATTTTGACCACTGGTACAATGTGACTGAGTCTGTTCTCGGCGTCACTGGTGTGATTGGGTCGATTGCTTTCCAGCCAGTTCCCACGGCATTTACGAAGAAAGCCAAAGAGCGTGGGGGAGTAAGATTCCCAGATCTCAATTTCAATATGAACATGAAAATCGCGGAGGCTAACGGACAAAAGGATCTCCTCGATATCCCCGATGACCAAAATTACATTTTCTTTGAATTCGATTTCTCTCACTCGCTTGCGATCGACGACGAAACGATCGATGCTGCCACTCAAAATGTGTACCAAGGGATGGGTAACCTCGTTCAACAAAACATTGACGAGGGCCTTTTGCCGGATGTGTACCGACCCCTTTTTATGAATGACGCTTATTATCGTCAGGACTATTGGGCGCGTATCAGCCCAGCTTCAAAAGCACTTGCGCTGAAGACTCGTCTTAATGTTGATCCTGATGGATTCTTCCAGACGCGAACCAGCGGTGGTTGGCGACTCTCGGAGTAAGTTATGACGCAACCAGTTTATGTTGTACTCATCTTAGGTATATTTCAAATGTTAAGTATATTTAATTAATTCCTAAGGTTTCTGGCTCTTGTGACTACAAAAATGTAATCATTTTTAGACTTGTGAGACTTCAATGTTGAAACATTTGAAGCCAGGGATGTAGAATTTTACCACCAAGATTCAAGATTCATGGTCGATCACTCATTTATTAGTTGGTACTCGAAGAGGAGAAGACGAAAACCCATTGGTAAACCAAAATAGCAAAGCCGTACAGATGAAACACAATATTTGAATGCCCAGACCCTTATTCCAAACCTGACTCATCTTAGTAGCCGCTTGCATCAGAACGTAATTGTGAGGTGAAACGAGTGGCCCAGAAGCGCCCGGGGAAAATCGCCTCAGCCTCCACACGCGCCGGGGGTGGAGCTGCGGGCGCCATGACAGCCGATCTACTCCAGATCCGAACTTTTGAAGCTCAGAGCTATCCACAGCTAGAGCTGCAGACATGCAAATCACTCGATCAAGATCAATGATTGTCAATTGATTCCATTTCAAGTGACTAATTGGTCAAGCCCGACCGATCTTAGACATTCTCTAACGCACTCGCTCTCGGGGCTCAAAGAGATCAACAGAAACTCTCAAGGCCTAGATTCCAATTGCTGCTAATTTAAGGAATTCTAGACCCTTGACTTGTTTCTTTGAGGCTTTGTTTAGGTATCATGCAGGCGGCTATGGTGGCGTAAGTTTTGGCAAGTATATAAAGACTGTCATTCCACAGGTGTAACTAGGATATTCCTTTCAACCATCCATCACCTTCATTCAGCGCTTTCATTACCTTGTTTTGAATTTTTACCTTTCTTTCTCACTCTCATTTCGTTGAATTGATAAGTTCACACATATATTGGCATATTTAAATCGCATTGCATCGCATCCATCGCACCATATCACAAATCGGACACTCCCTTGATACTCGTTCACCACACCAACCTTCGATCCTTTTTCATCCTTTTATTTTCTCTTACCTATATCTCTTGAGACGAGATGGCCCCCCGTTACGGCGCGCTTGGTGCGGCCTTTCAACTTGCCCGTCTTTTCCAATGTTGTTCTCTCATTGCCATCATCGGAATGGTAGCAAAGTTCATCGCGGCCATAGTAGGACAAGACGATACACCACCTAATGTTCTGATTGGAACAATCAGCGTGGTAAGTCACTCCAAGCCTTGCAATTGAATTTTACTCCTGTGCTGGAATCAATCGATCAATTATTCGAATACTTGGGCAATCATGGAACTAACTTTGAAATCTGGGACCAGACCAGTATCGCAGTAATCTATTGCATAATATCTGAAATTCTTTACCTTGATGATATCCTTCCATTTCTCCCATCGGCTGGATTGGACTTTCTTATTTTGATCGGAATGATTGTCGTTGCTGTCATAATGGGGAAACCACTTTCTTACCTTGGATGCTCCTCGCTATCCGATCTCGGCGATTCAGATGCAGCTGCATATGCGTTCTCAGAGCACTTGGATGGTTATATGGATAGCTTGACTGGAAAGATTGACTACGAGGCATGGATTGGGGCTTCCAAGGCAATTTGTTTCGAGACAAAGGCAGTTTGGGGATTGAGTATTGCTCTGTGGTTCGTATTCCCTCTCCACCAGAACGAGGCCGGGTCGTTCGCTGACATCTGGATGTAGTATTTTATTCTTTTTTTCCAGTATCTGCAGTGCTGTTTTGTGGAGGCAGAAGAAGATTCTTGTGGATAGCGAGGAGAAGTAATATATCGAGCGGATGAAAAATCCGGACCGGTGACTTTTTTTTCAGGGCAAAGAGCCAGAGCATTCAGTGCTGGAGATACTAATGGTTGGAAGCATATTCCAAAGTCGAAGAGGATTGCAACATCCACGGGATCAGATTTGTTTAAACATTTAGGAAACGGAAATCATGCATCATTAGGGTGGAAAAGAGGCAATTTGTATTTATTTCTCTTAATCGCTTCATCACGTTTTCTTCAATGAATTTTGGCGTTTGGCGTTTGGCGTTGGGCGTTTTTTCGTCAAGATAGAGCATGTTTCAGTAGGCAAAACTATCCTGAACTCACAGGCGGAATAATCGCAATCTCCGCTCCAACGGTAATGATTTTCTGTGCATCCTCTTGAAGATCCACATACTCATTATCCAAACTTACACCACAGCTGACGAGGATCTTCTCTTCGATCCCAGGGTACCGTTCTTCGAGTAAGGAGAAGAGTTGTGACAGTGGGAGTGGAGCGGGTAGACTCTCGGTGTTTTTTGTTGTGAATTGGGAAGCTGTGGCGAAGTAGTGGATTGTGAACGTGCCGATTCTTGACGATGATTGAGGTGTCGCCATGGCCGAGTGGATTTGGTGTTTTCAAATGTTCTTTGGGAAAATCAATTTTGCTGTGAAGAAACTGGGGGATATGGAGATGTTCTGAAGTCTTGGGTGAAAGAAACATTTGAAAGGGACGGCCAATCCCGGTGCGGGGTCGGTGTGTGCGGTCCGCCTATATGCGTCCTTGATTCTTCCTGTGGACTCTCTTCAATGTTGATTCGAGGTCGCAACATTTTGAACCTCCTCGCAGCACTTTAGGAGCGCATCCATTATCCAAAAAAAAATGCTTCAATTTCCATTCCGATTATTAAATTTTCTAGTTTGTCTCCAAATCACCCATTTTCACCATGTTTATTATATACATCAATCGGTACACATCCAAAGACCATTTTCCAGGTGTCTCTGGACGGATCACACTCATTCCATGAAAATTGCATAAAGAACTGATCTCGAGCTCGTCCCCAATGTGCTATGTCTTCCTCCGTTATTCCAGGGGGTAGGCCATCCTGGGGTCGAAATATATCATGAGGTCTGATACGTGCCTCTTGAGGAACAAGTGCAACCGATTTTCTGGCATCCATGTCGAACTCAGAGAGAGGAGGGGAAGGACTTGCCGGAACATGGAAGATCGGGATGTTTAAAGGACTGTCCGGGCTCATATCTCCATAGCAGACCGGTTCATTAACTGGCGTGGTGTACTCTGCCGCAGGAGGAGAGAAGTTTGACTTGGCGATCGCTTCTTCTAGTAACATGATCTTTTCACCCACGATAGTACCGTGCTCGCGCTTGACAAGTCCCTGAAAGCGATGTGATCGAGCGAGGAGATTTAGTGCCGTACGTCGAATTGTAGGCTCGCGACAGCGAAGGCAAGTGAACCAAAGTGGGAGGCCGATGCTGATTTCAAATGTGAACGGTGGAAGGATGCCGTTGGATTGGACAGAGTGATCCAACGCAATAGAAGACTGTTCGACAATAGTTTGGAAGTTTTTTGTAAAGGCATCCGTAGTGACTCGCATTGGCGACACACACACTGCGAGAATAACGGATAACATTTCGTAGTACGTTACGAGAAGGGCGCTGGCGCTAACTTGCGACGCTGGCAACCCGGCTTTCATGGAGCGAAGAGATTTCATCAAGTTCGTAAAGGCAATATGCCAACTCTCAAGACGAGTGAGAAGAGCCACTTGCTGTTGCATCAATTCGTCTGATATATACCAGGCTCCTGAGCTTTGTAAATAGTCTTCGCAGGCCAACTCCAAGATTGGAATCTCTGCGGCGAGCACAACAAGCGTCTCCCGAGCGGACTTCAGGGAAGGAAATCCTTGGGTAGATAGTGATACGTATTCATCAAGTTCCTTCAATAAAGGCATGGCGAGATGCCAAGTGGTGCTAGGAGAGAAAATTGCCAATCGGGCAAATATCGGAATGATTGTCTCCTTTAACATAGCCAATTTTTCGAAGGCCCTTTGAGCGCGCAAGGTGAGAATGAGCTGCACACCTTGAGCGTAGAGTCGAATGACCTCCTCTAAGCTTCCGAAGAGGGACTCGATACAAATAAACAAGATACAGGTGATCAGTCCCACAAAAGCATCAACACTGCCACGCGATATCCCCCGTCGAACAGCAGAGACAGAGCGTGCATACCAGTCCAGAGCATCTTGATGATTTCGATTAAGAGCATGAGGAGTGCGCCGCAACGGAATAAGATTCGGACAAGGATCAGGGGTTTCGAACAGTGCACTGATGCAAATCATAGCATCCCAAACCGCGGGTTCACTCCGACAAACCTGGGGAACAATCGTCCGCCAAAAATCCAGATCCAGCGCTCCACCAATGGAGGCAGCGGCTGATTGAAAATAGAAAGCAAAAGCACGACGCTCACGCCAGACTGTATTCGGCGATGATGAAAGAGGCGTATCGAGGATGCCGATGCTCCATATATCCGAAGCCGAAGTAGTGGAGAATCGGGCGCGGTATTTGTGGCTTTCATATTCGCACTTTCGACCTGTGCTGCTGCACCGAAGGCAGTGTGGCTTCTCTTCCCCACATTTGACTTTCCGTGTCTTGCAGGTTTTGCATCCAAGTCGTGATTTCAGGGGTCTCGTTGCGCTGAGGCTCAAATGGGCGGACGGGCTTGAAGACATATGGGCGACATGTCCGAGCAGTGTGCTCTGAGTGCCAGGGCGTATACCTGCTTAAAATCCACAGAATGAGAAATGAGCAAAGGAATGGTCACGGCCAGCAGGTTGGAGGCTGATTCCAACTTGAAGTCTCTGAGTTGGTATGTTATTCTATGTTCTTCTAGCGGGCTTGGCTGTAAGCTGCAGATCTTCTTATCGCCTATCATTATCGCTTATCATCTTATCATACTAGTAGGTGTGGCTTATAAGTTACTAAAGTAACTGGCACATCATACATGAAATGGTCAGCACTTTAACGTGTACTAAGCTTGATAGGTCTCTCGTCTTATCCCGCTGCAATCCTTGGTCTATTACGATAATAAATATCTAACTACTACGAAAGTCACAAGTACTGGTAAGTTGTACAATTACAAGGTTGAGTATTGAGAGGCCCCACGGCCCCATTTTTGCCCGCACATCCACACGCCCACTGCGGAGGATTGCCAAATTCACATTTTTTCCCCGTCAAATTCGAGATAACATCGTTTCTGGAGGCGTGATCACCCTACTAGCAATATCTTACTTCTGCTATTAGTGGTTCCAGCACTTATTGAAAGGTTGAAAGATTTGGATTCAAATGTGACGACTGGCAGATCAGAGAGCGGTATATTAGGCGGTCAAGTCTCTCATTCGCCTTTTCAATGGTTGTGTACTCGAGTGGAGGTAGTAAGTTGTAACGTTGGAACATTTTTTATCTTTTCATTTCCTACTCTCGTCAAGAAGAGTTTTTTTTATCTTTGACCCTTGAAGATGCTATCGTTCCTAGCGAAAAGAACACCACGAACTACAACCTGTAGGCTCAACCCCCTATCCTTTGATGATGGCCGTTCCCGCGTCGAATTCAAATCCCCCAATGATCAGTATCTTGTCCTGAACCGCTGGCCCCCGGGTTCCAACAAGTTAAACAAAAATATAGCCCTGCGTCCACCGCTTCATTGGCACCGACACCAAAATGAGACGTTCCACGTGATTAGCGGTTCTGCCAAGTTCACGTGCGAGGGAGAGGAGATAATCAAAACAAGCGGTCAATCACTATCGATCCCGATGAAGACATTTCATACCTTCTGCAATGCAAGTGCGTCGGATGAACTAGTAATTGAATTTGTGCTGGAGCCGAAATGGAAAGAAAGAGACGAGGCTTTTTTTCGTATGTAGACCGTTCTCTTTTTTCATTATGAGGCATTTCCATGCTAATGTGATTACACAGGAAACGTACAATCCTATCGTGATGACTGCCGCAAGGCAGGTCTTCCTCGAAGCTTACCGCAGGTACTTTTGTTCAACTGGGCTGGAGGCGTCGTGCTTGCTCTCCCCGGCCCGCGTCCTCTCGCTAGATTACTCGGTGTGTGTTTGAACTTTTTCGGGGGCGTTATACTAGGAAAGTATATTCTTGGATACAAGGAATCATATCCAGAGTACTACAAGCCAAAGATATAGGGGGATTATAGAATAAATTTTCAAATATCTAACATTCAAGGGCGGGGTTCCAACCTTGGAAGATTATATCGATCACATCTATCAGAGAAAAAGAACTGTGTGCCGTGCAAAATCGATCCCAGAGAACTGGACATCCTGCCCAGGTTTGATACATGTGCTTTCCTCCACATGTGCACAGACCAGGCATATGCCCAGACCACAAATACCTAGCTAATAGACCTTGGATAAAAGCTGTGCTAGTGCATATGGCTCAAGACCCTCTAAGGCAAGAGCCTCATTCCGCTTCACATGCAGATATCTCAACCCAACCTTACTACTAAGGACTTCCCCAAACTCATCAGATATCGCTTCCAACGAACCCAAAGAGTCATTAATGGATCGCGGAAGTTCTTCACCAGCGGCCAAAGACCTAGAGGCCAAAGACATGTCTTCCCAATGGAGCGGCTCGTCATTGCGGTTCCCCAGCAGTCCCGCGCCGAGGATAGATGCAACGGCCAGATACATATTCGCCGTCGCATCGGCGCATCGAATCTCCCAGTAACCGTCCCCTAGTTTGCGAATAGGCGTTTGACGGTTTTGCGTTCCCCAGCTGACCTTTGTTCCAGCCTGAAAGTCTCCACAGCGCCGATAGGAACTGATTGACGGCATTGAGAAGGCACAAATGGCCGACAGGCGCTGAAGCATGCCAGCGAGGAATGCTTCTTGCTTTCGGGGAGGATGAATCGAGACATGGACGTGGGAGCCGTTTGCGGATCGATTTTCCACCGGCTTGGGCGACATAGTGGCTGTGTAGCCATGGCTAGCGAATGTGCATCTGATAATGTCATGTGCGGTGACGAGATCATCGACAGCTTCAAGTGGAGGCCTGGCGGCCAAGGTGATCTCATATTGGCCAACATTTCCTTCAACATGAAATTCGCGGACTGGAATCCCGGAATTTGAGAGATTTCTCACGCACTCCTCCAGGTACTTGTAAGACGGGGCACGTAGCCCGGCGGCCGAGTAGGTCCCTGGGTGTGATGAAAACGGGATCAGGGCCCCGTCCGGAGTGGACTGTAGAACAACGAACTCGATTTCAAAGCCAATGAGGAAATCCAGCTGACACTCCAATTTTCCTCTAGCCATGACGTTCTTCAAAGCAATTCGAGGACACAGGTTGGGGTTGGATATCACCCCTGGCTTCTCCTCGATGATTGAACACATCACCGAGGCATAATATGGACCATCTTTATTCATGCAGTTGGAGAGAGCTCGGAGGGAGGACCAGTCTGGGTACAGCAAATGGGCCGATGATGCCTCGAATGGGACTCGACTCTCGTCGGGGAGACAGCTTAGCGTGATCTGACCACACCGGAGAGGCGCGTTGTTCGTCACAGTTGACTGAAAATAATCCATGGTGGCCACCCGGGCTCGGAGAATACCCGAATAGTCCACCCACTGGAACCGCACATAGTCAATCTCAGGATGCTGTTGGAGGAATGCGTCCACAAAAACCCTAGGTTTCACAGGACCGATTCCTGTCAGCCCAAGGGCGGAAGGGAGATCATCACAGATAGAACCCATGTTAAATTGGTGTATTTAATAGATAGATAGGAAGGAAGAAAGGCAGATTCAGTCTCTCTGGGAAAGCCGCGGCAATGAAGAAACGGGAGGATATGAGGGTAGATGCAGAAACTTGAATCAGCATCCATGATACGCAGGTGAGTGATCAGCCGGGCTATATGGAGATCAAGTTGTGTCGTCAGTGCTAGTGACTCAAGATCTTTCCAAAAGTAGCCAAAATAAAAAGTAGAAAAATGAAGAGAGGTGGGCGTGGACGTGTAACCCGAAGGTTGGTGACGCGATGATCCGCTTGGGATAGGAAGCTCACAGCTAAGACAACATGAATGCTGACAACAAGAGGCGTAATAGGTATTCTGCGCACTTCTGAACCCTTACATGACACAGGCAGGGAACACGGGATGGCGTTGATCGTCTCCGATTAGCGCTGAACTTACTGTGCAGAGCCTTAGAAGTGTGTTCGCAATCACCATTCCTCCAAAACCCCCCCCCCCCCCCCCCCCGGATATCATCATCCGGTGGAGCTTCATGAACGATCCTCTTGTTGAAGGCTTGTCATTGGTGAAGGTAATGATGCGGTGTAGCTTGCATTCCTTGACTTGACAGATCAAGTTTGTAGATCGACTCGAGTCTCGGCCTCAGGTGTTTTTGATTTAAACTTCAGACGCGAATCAAGTCATCCCTTCCCGAAACCATAATATTGCCACGATCCTTGACTTTAATGCACGTAGATGACGTGTTTACATGCTCCCTGGCATGCACATCATGCACATTCAATGTTGATCTTCGTAATCAATTGATGCGGTACGGAGTATTGGATGCGAATTCGCGAATCCAACTTGAATGTCAGGTACCTGAAAAAAAACTGCCGTTCCTCATACAGGACCGTCCATTGACCATCTATTCCATTACTTTTCAAGTACTCCACAAGAATTCATCCAACCTTGGAATATGCCCGCTCTCACTAGTGTGCCAACAGTTGATCTGTCTAATCTCAATACCCAAGAGGGGAAGAGATTGGCATTGGATAACATCCGACGCGCTTGCACAGATTGGGGAGTTTTCTACCTCTCGGGCACACCCGTTTTGCCCGCCGTGCTTAACAATGCCACCAATGAGACCCAGGCATTCTTTAGCCGCTCTACCGAGAAGAAGATGGAAATCGCACTGGAGAATGTTCCCAGCTCTCTTGGATATGTCCCCGTCAGTTTGATTTCATACTTCCATGAGTTCCTTTGGTAACCAATGATGAATCCCATAGCTGGCTAGCGAGCGCACTGGCGGTAAAGTCGATTACCGTGAGCGGATTATCTTACGTGGCGACGATCCTGCCAGCGGGGGCTGGGAAAAGTCAGATCCCCTATACATGACACTTCAGGGGAAAAATCAATGGCCATCTGAGATGCCCAACTTCCGCAGGGCGCATGAAGACCTTTTAGCTTCATTCACAGATGTATCGCGGACCGTACGTGCGTTGATGGCTGAAGCATTTGATATCGATTTCTCCACTCTAGATGGCCTTTTCCGAGAAGAATCTCGATAAAACCGAAGTGTTGTGATTCACTATCCTGAGGTTCCAAAAGGAAAACCCCCAGGACAAGAACTGACGGGACTACACGGACACAAAGACATGACTTTTGGAGGAATCATCTACCAGGCCACCGACCATGAGTGTCTGCAAGCTCAAGCTCCGAACGGTGAATGGGTGATCTGCCCTCCAAAGCCAAACACATTGGTCTACGTCGTTGGAGCGATCTGCGAGTCAATTACTCGAGGGGTTTTTAAAGCTTGCTTCCATCGAGTTCTAACCCCAGCCCCTGAATCTGGATCTCGATATGCCATAGTTGCCGCTCTCCATATTGATTACGATATCTCTTTGACCAACCCCGAGGTTATGAAAGCGCTGGAAATAATTGGTAAAAACCTTCAAGCTGGATTGGAGGTTAACAATGGAATTTTGGAAGATTTCCTCAATGAGAGGTTTGATGCTATTGGCATGAGGACTTTACAGCGGTACATGCGTAGCTTTCCGGAAGTCACGGCCAAATGGGTAAGTTCTGCTCTGGTGCTTCTGATATCCTTTTAACTTGCAACATTGCTAATAAGATAATGTTAATGTTAGTTCCCTGACTACTCAGGCCGTGCTATTACTGCCTAGAGGTATGCCAAGGGTGAACCGGGGATCTGCTTCAAATATCATAGCTCTGGTATGAACAACATTTGAAGGTTTCTTATAATTCATCTTCTTGATGTGTAGAACATTGTGAGTAGTTATAACCAATTTATAACCAATAATGGTCCTATTGGTCATGTCGACTCTATTTATTTTGATTTTGATTTTTGAACTTCGGGGGCACTTTGTCTGAAGCCGTGATGCATCAATGACAGCGGCGGGCTCTGTTTCGCCACGAATAGGTCATTTTACTAGTAGTCAATAAGTAGGAAAACTCACTTTCTAGAGAATATGGTCAACTGGTTGATTTAACGGCTAATCTGTTATTTTTTTAAATCCTTTCTGCCCTCAAGGCTGTTTACTTACATCAACTACCCATATATTTCTTAGTAATTCTCAAACGCATCATCCAGCTCCCTCCTTGAGGTATTAGTATCTTTAACCCCCCCCCCCCCCCCCCCCAATTTCCGTAAACTTATGACCTTCAAATATTGAAGCTTATGTGTGACAGGGATTCCTTGATCAGCATGATCTACTCGCAGCTGGGGATTTCTTTCCCTTGATCCATGATCCTTTTCACACTATGACGACCCCATTCCAGACCCACATTCAGATGATCCACATGAGACAGATCTCCAGCAGCAAGGATTGACACCACGCTTACGACGATTAAACAAGACAAGAGGAGGAAAGGGTCAAGAGGGAGGACCACTATACCAGGAGTGGCTTTTTGCCATGAATCTCATCTATGTATAATCTTTCTTCAACCACCTTTACCTTGATCCATCTTCAGTTGTTTCCCCCAATACTTGAAACTTAGATCCATACCAGCACCTGGGCACCCAGCAGACAATCACCATGTCAAAATATTCAGAGAAAGAAAAGACTAACTTATCAATCTACACCAATTTCAATTCCGGCCCCAGTGTCCTCCCAAAAGAAAAGTCACCTGGAAGTCTTGAATCGTCGCAGATGATGATTGTGAATTTTGATGAAACTTTTTTGCACCCTCATGCCTGGCCTAACTCCCAGCGATGGTCGATTTTAATCCTGACTGTCGTCATTACGACGCTAGCGAATATTTCTACTACAATTGTGGTTCCATCTTTGGAGATCATCTCGACCGAGTTAAAGATGGACCCGATATCTGAAGGACCCATGGTCATGTCATCCTATGTGCTTACTCTTGCACTGGGTCCCTTATTGGTTGCTCCTTTTAGTGAGCTCTGGGGAAGGGTTCCTCTCATGCAAGTAGGAAACGTTGTCTACATGGTGTTCAATCTGGCATGTGGGTTTGCAACCAACCGAGCTCAACTTCTTACTTTCCGAGTCCTCGCTGGCCTCGGGAGTGGCGCTACTCCAGTAGTAAGTACATTTTGGCTCTCACCTGTGGTATGCTTATTAACGGTGGCTGATTTAACTTAGGTTGGAATAGGAATGATCAGTGATATGTTTCCTACGGAGACACGTGGAAAATCTCTCGCCGTCTTGAACATGGCATTTATATTAGCCACCCCGATTGGTGCCATTGTTGGCGGGTTTACAACATCTTCAGCATCCTGGAGATGGGATTTCTATTCTACGTCCATTGCTTCAGCAGTGCTAATTGTATTGAGTTTCTTCATCTACAAGGAGTCATATCCTCCAGTTCTTCTTCGGCGCAGAAAGAAGCAGCTGCTCAAGGCCAATGGTCCAAGTTCGGGCGACCTGAAAACCCCCTACGATGAGGAACATCCTACAGTCGCAGCATTGTACCGCAAGACGCTTATCCGACCATTATGTTTCTTGCTCACACAGCCCATAATCCAACTTCTCGGACTTTATGTGTCCTTCGCCTACGGAATGACTTACCTCATTTTTGGCTCCTTTCCAGCCCTCTGGGAAGGGCGCTACCATGAAACTCCAACCATTGCCTCACTACACTTCATTGCACCTGGAATTGGATATGCAGCTGGGATCCTTATTGGCATGCTCTCAGCCGACCGCATCTATCACAGGCTCCAACAAAACTCCGAAGAGAAGAAGCCTGAGTTTCGGCTTCCTCTTCTGATGATCAGCTCGACTTTCATACCTGGCGCCCTCTTCTGGTATGGGTGGTCAGCAGAAGCTCAGTCTCATTGGGTGATTCCCACAATTGCGATTTGTTTCTTGATGTGCGGTTGTACGCTCCTGTTTCAGTGTGTTACCGCATATTCGATTGATACCTTTCATATTTACGCGGCGAGTGCATCAGGTGCCTTATTCTTTGTGAGAGGTATATGTGCCTTTACTTTCCCTCTATTTGGTCCTACCATGTACCAAAAGATGGGTTATGGGTGGGGAAACACGTTGCTCGGGTTGCTTGCTCTGGTTATTGGTGTTCCAGTTCCGTTGATTCTGTGGAAATATGGTTCTCGACTCCGACAACAGAGTATTTATGCCAAGTCTACATCTGGGTTGTAACTCAATATATGAAAGGAACTTTTGAATCAGGGCTGCTAAGTACAATATCATCCCTTAAAGCGTGGAAAAGAACAATTAATTGATGTCTGGAGACACGTATCTGTAAATATTTCAATACACGAAACGTAATTGTACGAGATGTCGAGTCGGCACCATGAGGTTTAAGATACGGTGTAAATACCGTCACAGATAATAACTCGGGTTGAGCTTCTATTCAGGATTCGGGATTCAGGGCCCTGCATATATGGGCACCACGAGAAGAATAACTCGACGCTGATTTCAAAAGGTTTCACAGCCAATGTCGAAACCACCGTTATACATGCGCGAGGCACAGGTGCTGGATTGAACGTTGAAAAAAAAACATGTGGGAGCGGGAGCAAGGACAGCTCGGGAGTAGCCTCCCATCATCTATGTCATAGCAGAGTTTCAGCCTCATCCCGACGTCCGGCATGTCCACCACACAAATTGTTGAGCCCACGGGATGAAAACCAGTTTGACGGTACACCTATACAGACTGGTAATAATTTGGTAGAAATTCAGGTATTTAGGCACGGAAGGAGGATAAATACAGTGCATGTGTGCAGCCCTGGAGACATCTGGATGATTTGACAATCGTTTGGATGGCCAGAATTCAGAGCTGACATGATCAACGTAAGCCCATCACATCGACAAAGCATGGCGATTTAAGAAGCAAGATCGACACTTGAAAATACTCACTCTGTGAAGTAATTCTTGAAAGCTTACGTGCAGCGTGAAACAGACTTGACTTTTTATATCAAAGGGGAAGTTCCGGATTGTCGCTAGCCTCTAGGGCTGATGAGTGGGGAAAGATAAATGAAATAGTGCAAAGCCCTACGTATTTATATGGAGCATATGGTAGCAAGCGGAGTACTTGCGCCCAACTCGGTGAGTGTTTTAGAATGGGCATGCTCACAATCCGAAATCTTGGAAGCTTTGGTTTTCCCCTCTGCTAAGCTTTGTGACGTTATGGGCTATAGCTACTAGTAGCGTGAAGGTGAATTTAAGAAGTGAATTTAAGAATTGAATTTTAGTTTTAATAAATCTTGGTCCATGATCGTACCAACGATTATGCGAAGTTAACATTTGAAGAGGCTGCTTTTTGAAAACTTGGGACCCGATCGTGTTCGGGGCGGATATTGAAGTTTAAAAAACCCCAACCCTAAAGCACTCGAGGCCCCCTTTGCACCTAGCATTTGAACAGAGATCAACCTGCAACTTTGAATATTGAGAAGCTTGGATCGTCAATTGTTCCGGTATATCAAAGTCAACAGAGAAACATTGGAATTCTGAAATTGAATACGGAGCCTCGACGCGAAATCCAACTCGGGAAAAGATCGATGCCCAGGTGAATTCCATCCTTCAACAATTTCGAATCGTGCATGAAGTGGTGGATCCACGGCTGAGTTGTTTTGCATCTCACAGTAGGAGCAAATAATGAATAATCAGTGGAACTCGCAATATTTGAATGATGGTAAGCATGAGATCCACGTCAAGTAGTACCTATAGGCAAGCACCTATAGGCATATCCTGTACGGAATTTTTACTGTACATGACAACTCAAAGCTCCACACCTAATCTATTCGCAACTTTAAGATATCCATGTGGAATTCTGCATTGAATCTAGGTCCCAAATTGCCATGTACCGTGCAGAAAGCATTATAAATCGATGAAGTAAATACGGGAAGGATGGTGGGGACTGACATCAAGGAGGCATGAGGGGTGAGGGCTGCATGTGCGGAGTACATCGCACGCAATCGGTCGCTATCTACAACCTATGGGTTTAACGAAACATGAAACGCATTCCTTTTGGATGAGTTGCAATCTGCAAGGATATGAAGGAATCACGGAAATTAGTACTGCGCGTGAGCCGAATCCAAATTTGCCCCAACCTCCATGGATTCAATTCCGATGAGACCCGAAGAAGGGCGGGCGAAGAGGATAGATCTGCGTGGATATGGAGATATGTATCTGGAGCTAAATACATAAGGAGCAAAATGCATCCCCACGTGTAGTATCCATGATGGCAGCTATTGATTCGGACAATCCACAGCCACGTACCTGGGACGATATCCTTCAAATCTGCGCAAGAATGAACAAGCGGTGGGACTTTGCACAAGACTGAAGACTACAGAATTGGAGGGGAAATGGGGAGGAATGGAGAACGACGGGGGCACAATGGAGAATACTAATGGATCTAGATGCACTAAAAGGTGACAAGACTTTTTTCTCCACTCATAACTTCTCCACGCACAATCCGCCCACATGAAGCTACTGGAATCGGGCTTAACTTCACCCCCATATTGGGTATGGATTCTGTTGAATCGATTCCAGAACCTGCTAAGCTTGAAATGGGTGGGACTCGGGAAGGATGAGAAGTGTTATGTAAATGAGATTTAGATATCAACGCACTGGACTCTACAGAGCAGACAACCCCCACCTGTAGTAATTTGTACGCATGCACGTTCCACTTCCAATTGGCACGTTTCTTCCAAGGTTGACTATTGAATCCAAGTAACCCCCCCCTAAACGAGTCTAGCGAGAGAAGAAAAAAAAAGAGAAAAAAAAAAAGGCCCTCGGATTTAACATCCCGATTGTTACCATCGGGTCGGGAAGTTTGGTTATCGGCTTCCCCCTTGATGTTGATAGCCCTTCAGTTCTTCCTTTTTCGGCATTTTCCCGATTCCAGCCCCGAGAAGGAAAAGAAACCCGCGGGTAAGAATTTAGTGGCGAGAGGGTAACAGATTGATAATATTTTCTCGGCTAAGGATGTAGAGAATCAGATAAGATGGGATCGGCCTCACTTTTACCCACTCCCTACGTATTACGAGAGGTAAGGTGAGGATAAATTGGAGTATCCGATGCAGATCTACGTGGTACCTTGGAAAAGAGGGGAGTGGGAATGCGAAGAACGAAAGAAACGAAGCGAAATGAGCGAGAGAAGCGAGAGAAGCGAAAGATTGCGTAATCAGCGGAGCCAAGATATGGGTCTAATGTCAGAAGTGGAACTTGGGCTCCGCCAAGATTCATTCAGCAACGGGCGAGAGCAAAGGATTTTATACAAATGGATAATTCAAAATGATGGGGGACGTCCCTTGATTGCAAGAAAAGAAGAAAGAAGAAAAAAGAAGAAAAAAAGACATGCACATGGTCCAAAGTACACTTCAGGTCCCATCTTCAACCACGTTCCAGCCTCAATCTTGGAAAGAAGTGGCGAAGAAGTTTTACAGAACACTAGAAATTGAGTCTTGAATCTGTGTACCTGATACCTCAAACCAATGGATGGGCAGGGTCCCCCTTTTTGCTCCCTTTTTCCCTTTTCTTTTCTTTTTTTTTTTTTTTTTTTTTATTTTACAGTATTATCCAGCCCTATGCGGGCTTCTCAGAGGGCCATCCAGACCTCAATAATGTGGCAAGGTGGATCTAGTCCAAGCATTTGGGGCCACAGACCTGATCGTCCGGCTTCCCATGAAAAGGATCGTCCCGAGTCTTTACTTCATACGATGCCGATACAGACGGATCCTGAGACGAAGAGTAGACTTTGGTTAGTCTCTCCGTCACTGATTGACACAATCTCCACGGGTCCCTGTTTCGCTTCATTCCGCCAAGTAAAATGGTATCGCTGGTTCCTTACGGATACACAGGATACAAATCTTTGGTTCTCCCGTTCCAATTGTTGTAAAAAATAGAAACTGGGAAAACGGCAAAAAAAGATGGGAAAAAAAAAACAGAAATATTAGAGATCATGATATGTTGGTTCCGGCGTGCTCCGGGGCGGAAACCCATTTCCCGATATCGGATCCTCTGGTTCTCTGATATGCTGAGTACGAGTAAATCTGGCGGAACAGTAAACATATCGTATTCGTTACCCTTTCTCTCCAGAGGAAAAGAAAAAAAAGAAAAGAAAAGAATTTATATTCCAATGTTGTATATGCATGTCTGGATAGATTTCCTCCGAGCCCGACGCTTGTCCGGAATGGTTATCAACGACTCCGTTTAATTTGAACTATAGACCCGAGCGGAGCAATGCTAATCCTTAATCATAGTATTCTTGCCCAGAAAAGAACCGGCCGAGTGCCAAGAATCACTAGTGTGACGCCAAGTATCCGCCCGTTGCACTTTGAAAAGTGATCTGCGGTGTGGATCCACCTCGGAACCAGTCTAACCAGTCTAACCCCAAGCTTGCCAAGACTTCTGCAGATCTTCCCTTGATGAACTCTTCATCTGGTACTCCTTAGTTCCAAGCTGGAAAAAGAAAAGAGAAAATTATATCAATTGATATCTGTAGCCATTTTAAAAGAAAAAACAAGAGAAAATGACCAATGTTCAAGAATAAAAGTGATGAAAACTTGCAGTTTATAACTGCACTAGAGGGATATCAATTTGACGGCATATCGAAGAGAACATTGGCAAAGTTAATCTAGTTGACAATGTCCCTTATCTTTTGTTTCTTGTACAGGTACTCAACGATGATCGTCTCGTTGAAACTTCTGAATCAGGTAAAAAGAGAGATACATCTCCACTATACCCTCATCGTACTATCCGTATTTACCTTGAAACAAGAATTGGAGTATGCCCTGTGGCGTTCACTGGCCTCTTCCCAATTGTTCTACCAAGGTTCCAAGGTTCTGACTGGTAGATACCATCGATCCTGTGGGGATATAGCCGACGAAACAAAAGTTCCCTCCAGCTGGCCCGTCTGGAGCCATGTGCAAGTCAGCCAGATGCATGGCTGAGTCGAGCTTGCTGAGGCCCGTGAGAGGGTCTTGACCCAGTGTGCCGACATTGCGCAATCGGGAATGGAGCCTGTGATGTAACTGGCCATTTATTAGTGTATCGTGTGGATTCTATTCAGCCCGTGGATGACAATCGTATCAGGGTCTGCTAGGAAAGCTCCATGACGAACTGGGCATATAAGATGCCAAGGGTGGTCCCCTTTTTTTTTTTCGAGTTAGAGTGTGTGATTCTGTATAGAAGCAAATCGGGTCTTGATCAATAATTTTTGTTATATTCAAGATTCAATATGGCGGCTTCGCCAGAATCATCGTATGTCTTGTTTGGTCCTTGTCAATGCTTCCTTTGTGTGTGTGTGTGTGTGCCTTGTCCTAACCTTTGCAACAGCCTTATAGAACAGCTTGTTCGTCTTCGGAATGAGGCTTCTCATCCAGACTCCGCCCATCACCTATCCTCCCTCCTCTCCTCACACAATGGTACTTGTCCTGCGAAGTACCTGCTTCCATGCTTCAAGGACATCTATAAGTCCCTTCCCGAAGCATTGAAGTCTCACAATGACGAGTTCATTGTCCGTCTTCGTGCTCAGGTGAAGGCTGCCACCCCGGATGTTGCATCGCTGATCGGGACAGACTCCCGGGCTGGCTTCATTGATGCCACCACCGGAAGACATCTCACACACGCTGCCATCCAAGACTTTGTCCACAACTTCCACTTGCCTATTGGTCTATCCAAACATGGCAAGCCTCGCATTGCTGTCATCTTGCCCAATGGACCATTGATGGCCATTGCGGTCCTTGCATTCACAAACAGGTATACCATTGTGCCCATGGCATCAAACACGGTGCCAGAGCAGCTTCATATGGATATGGATCAGGTCCAAGCCGATGCTGTCGTTGCATTGGATTCCGATCTTGACAAATTGCAATTGGACAATGGCAGTCGGCCGGTATTTGGTATCGAGCCACTAGAGGACCTGACTTTCCGGGTGGTCTCTCAACAGCATGCTTTTGGTGCATCAAATATCCCCTCCAATGCCGGAAATGATATCGCAATTATCCTTTTCACCAGCGGTACAAGCGGTACTAAGAAGCTGGTCCCAATCACTATCTATAACCTCATCGCTGGTACGATGGCCACAATTGAATCGGTCGAATTGTCCGAAACAGACACATGTCTTAACATGATGCCGCTGAACCATGTGTAAGTTTTCCCTACTCCCAGCAGTACGCATAGTTAAGTACTAACATCAAAAACAGTGGTGGTATCATTCGCAGTATCTTCTCCCCCCTCATCGCTGGCGGTGCGACAATTTGTTGCCCGTCTTTTGACCCCAGCATGTTCTGGGATGCTGTCGAAAGCCCACACATGACACCAACCTGGTACTATGCCACACCAACCATGCACCAGATGATTCTTGGCGAAGCCCAACATCGCCCCGAGGCTGTCAAGCAAAGTGCCATCAAATTCATCTGTAACGCTGGTGCTGGTCTCCCGCCGACGCTCGCCGCACAACTTCACGATACTTTCCACAGTGTCATCCTTCCCAGTTATGGTATGACTGAGTGCATGCCTATTGCTGCGCCGCCAAAGGACTACACTCTTGATCGTCATGGAACATCAGGACGCATCGTGGGTCCTGAGGTGGCAATCATGGAGGGGGGCTCTCCCGTCGCGCGACCTGGAATGCTCGGACACATCTGTATTCGTGGATCACCCGCTTTTGAGGGATACCTTACCCCCGACGGGAAGATTGACACTAGCGCGTTCGACGCAGCTGGCTGGTTTGATACAGGTGATCTGGGATACCTCGATGCTGACAACTACCTATACATCACTGGTCGCAGCAAGGAGGTAATCAACCGTGGCGGTGAAATTATCTCTCCTGTCGAAGTGGAAGATGCCGTGCTGGCCGCGGCTAGGGATCCCGAATCTCCACTGTACGGTCGTGTTGCCGAGACATTGGCCTTTTCTGTCCCCGATGAGGTGCTACAAGAAGTCGTTGGTGCAGTCATCACCACACCTCCCGGTGTTCCACGCCCAGATCTCCGCATGCTCCATGAGGCTCTTCACCCCATCATCCACCAGCCCAAGTGGCCTGCATTGATCGTATACATGGACCGTGTGCCCAAGTCAAACAACAAAATTCAACGTATCAAGCTTGCCGAGCGATTACGTTTGGACACCCTCACCCCAACCACACCCCTGGCTGACCGTCACTTCGAGGCCGTCTGCCCCCCTAATGGTACCCCACTCAGTGCTTCCATTGAGAGCAACCAGTGTATTGTCGACGAGCACAATATCAGGGAAGTTCTAGCCAGAAGGGCTAGCAGCCCCGAAGTGCACATTCACACACACCCTCGCGATGGGTTCGCGCAGGCTGTGCTGTTTGGCGCGAGCTCAGGTGATGAGCCTATCACCCCCGAGGACCTTCGCAGCCACCTCGACGGCTACCTTATTCCCAGCCGTATCACTTCCCTCGAAGGTCCCATGCCTCTTGATGCTTTCGGTAAACCCGATCAAGCTGCTATTGACGAGGCGGTTCGTGCCCGTTACTCAGATGGCGATCTGACACCCACCCAGTCCCGTGTTCGTGAAATCTTTGCTGCGGCCTTGTCTTGCGGGGCAGAGGATGTTTCTGGGATGACAGACTTCTTTGCCGCTGGCGGTGACAGTCTAAGCGCTGGTCGTTTAGTTTCGCAGCTTCGTCGTGAATTCGGTATATTCCTTGCCGGTGATATTCTCTTCCACCACCCCACTATTGGCGAGGTGGAAGACAAGATCACCGAAGCACTCGATATCAAGGCTATGAAGGGTGACCAGGGAGAGGTGGTGCTACCCGGCTGTGAGAAGACATATAGCAGCACTAACCCGCTCCTCATGTTTCTCCACCTGTTCCCGATCATGATTTTTGCCCCCATGAAGCGAGCCTTCCAATGGTTGGTGTTCGCCTATGTTATGGCTGAGTGCTCAACTCGCTTCCCTCTCAGTGACCACCTCATTGGTCGCGTTGTCCTGATTGTTCTGGCTGTTTTGTCTGCTCGTGTCGCTGGACATGTAGTCTTCCCCATCTGTGGCATCACTTTCAAATGGCTCGTCATCGGTCGTCACAAGGAGGGTATCTTCCCCATGTGGGGCCCATATCACACTCGATGGTGGTTGACCCAAAAGGCGTTGCAGATTTGCGGCAAGGGCATGTTCAGTCGTTTCAACTGGTCTCGCGTGCTATTCTACCGCCTCCTTGGTGTAAAGATTGGCAAGAACGTTACTCTTCACCCGATGGTCAAACTTGGTGAATATGATCTGATCGAGATTGGTGACAACGTCGTCTTGGATGTCTGCCAGTGCCGGCCTTTCGCCGTCGAGCGCAATACTTCCATGCTTCTGAAGCGTATCGCTATTGGCAAGGACTCATCCGTTGGTACCAAGTCTATCCTCGCCCCGGGTGCTGTTGTTCCCGAGAACACTTGCATTGGTCCCAACTCATCAAGCTGGGAACTTCAGGATGCCGATGAGTCTAACCGCGACTTACTCTCCTCACGTATCCCTCAGCCTCACTGGATTTGGTCTATCATTCTCATTGAGCCCATCAAGATTCTTGTTTGGGTTGCTTCACGTCTCACCTGGATGGGTGGTCTTGTGCCCATGGTGTACTCGTACCCTAAGACATCAGCCGACATGTTTCTTGGTACCCTGGAATGGTTTACCAGTAGCCAGCGAATTGGATATCATATCACCGCAAAGATTTGCCGTGCAATCGGTAGTCCGATTGTGCAATTTGCCGCTGTCTTGGCTTTTAAGACCCTCCTTGATCTCTTCTGCGGCAAGCCCAAGCCCGGTCCTGCCTCCAAGCAAACTCAACGCCAGAAGGTTCGGAGCGCTGTGCTTTCGCAGATCTTGCCTGCCGGTGACATTCACGAGCTGACTCGTCTTGTCGGTCGTCACTATGAGGCTGTCTCTATGGCTGTCCGTTGCCTCGGTGGCAAGGTCGGCAAGCGTGTCTACTGGCCTAGTGTCGGTCCTGCTGTTCCTGACTTCGACCTGGTAGAAGTTGGCAACGATGTTGTCTTCGGTTCTCGGTCCACCATTATCACATCCGATGGCTACGGCCGTGATCGTGTCACAATCGGTGACGGCACTATGGTCGGCGATCGTGTCATTGCTCTCCCCGGTACTACCATCGGTCGCGAAGCTATGATCGGTTCTGGTGCTTTGCTTCGCCGTAACGGAGACTTTCCCTCAAATACTATCTGGACGGGTAGCAAGGGAGGCAACGCAGTGCAGTTGGGTAACACAATGCCAATGTCGAATGCTCCGACCGTGGTCGACAGCAGTAGCAGTGGCAGCAGCACAAACGGCGACAGTGACGATGAGAAGCGTGCTTATGACGACAGATGCGGAGATGACAAGAAGTCCTTCAGCGAGAAGCAAACTGACCTCGGCGGTAAGGAACAGTCTGCTGAGATTGAGATGGATACCTGCAAGCCTTTTGGTCGCGCATTCTACCGCCACGAGTCCAACTACTATGTCCTTCGCATCTGGCAGATCGTGATCTACTCCGTCATTGCGGTAGTCTTCACAACCGTGTTCTGGATTATCTCCGTCCCTCTGTCCCTCTTCGCTCTGCGTGGTGCTATCACTCATAGCAGCTCCGCGGCCCTTCACCCCGGTCCATGGCGTCCATTTGTCAACTATGGCATCCTCGCCGCGGTTTTGGGCGCAATCAGTACTGTGCAGGTCTTTATGGCCATCGGGGTCGTAATCAGCATCAAATGGATGGTTATGGGTCGCCGCCAGGAAGGAAGCTTCCACTGGGATAAGAGCAGCTATAACCAGCGCTGGCAATTCCTTCTCTCCTGCGAGACAATGATCAAGGACTGCTACGGTAACCTAGGTCTTCTTCCTCTGATGAGCGGTACTGCCTGGCTGGTCTGGTACTACCGTCTTCTTGGCGCGACAATCGGAAAGGACTGCGCTATTCACGCCAACGGCACGCCGAACGTCTTCTTCACTGAGCCTGACCTCCTGACTCTCGGTGATCGTGTCGCCGTTGATGATGCCAGTTTGGTGTGCCACTTGAACTCTCGTGGTGAATTTGAGTTACATCATTTGACGGTCGGAGACCGCAGTATCTTGCGCGCTGGATCGCGCTTGATGTCTGGTGCTTCGATGGGTCAGGATACTTGTCTTTTGGAGCACACTTTGGTTCTGTCTGGTGACCATGTCGAAGATGGAACCACTATGCAGGGTTGGCCAGCTGGGCCCTTTGAGGGCAATCGTGCTTAGATGTAAACTGTTTACTTGCTTGTTTTGTTTTGTTTTTGCTTTGCGGGTTTTTCGGTTTTGGGTTCATGAAAGTTTCACGTTCGGATGACATGGATAAAATGCCTTTTCGGGTTGTTTTGGTTTGGTTTCGGTGGAATTTGGTCCCCCGGTTTTGGTATAGAGATTTCGTATAGATTTCCTGAACATTGATGTTCTCACTTTCGAGTTAATGTTTAGACAAGATGCAATTCATGACCTCATGGTCCTTTCAACCAAAGTGTTCAGCCTTCGTAGAGGATCTTTGGGTGGCGCAGAATTCATAACCTTGGGGACGTCACTGGAGGTCATCTTCAAGATAGAACAGTGATTGTTGTGGGAGAGAAGAGTTAGCATAAAGAGATCAGAGATTACATGTGCAAAGAGGGGCAAAGAGAGAGGGCAAGATGGTCAGTTTGTAAAGGGAGAAAGCAATTTAGAGCGGAATGTGCAGGAGGTGAGAAGAATTATTAAGTGAGCCGTCCCTGGCGTCTTAACCGACTGGTCAGCTCTTTCCCGGACCGCTGATAACTCTTATCAATGCCCATATACTAGAATGCCAACTGCGCATTTCCTCAAGAATCTACATTTACTCTCTTCAAGCTCCCCGTGGACGTCACTGAAGTGATTTCTATGTCGTTGCTACAGAATAAGCCCTCTCTACGTACAAGATTTCTCCCCGGTTGTACTACATTATGTACTCTTGACTTAAGCCTTTAGGAATTAAGTTGATTACCTGCATGAAAATTCAATTCTCTAGAAATATGTCTAAATGCCTACAAGCGTAATAATCAAGCGGCCAACACCTTAAAGGCCTTCACAAGATCATTCTTTAAATCCTCCCAATTCTCCAATCCAATACTAATCCTGAGCAACCGCCGATCAACACTGGCATCCGACATGGTACGCCACTCAATAAGCGATTCCACACCACCAAGACTAGTAGCATGCTGGAAGTAGTGCAGTTTCGACGGAAGGACCTTGGAGAGCTCCTCCTCTTTCATGCAAATGGAAAACACAGGACCAAATCCATTAGGCATCTGCTTCGCCAACCAATCACCCTTATCTTGTTGCAAACTAGCATGGAAGATCTCCCCCAGCACGGCCTGAACAGCTTCTTCGTCACTACCGGGTGCAGGATTGGGAGCATGCAAAGCAGAGTCAAGCCATTGAACGAGTCGAGTTGTATTCTCACTTTGGCGCTGGACACGGACTTCCAGTGTGCGGAGGGAGCGGACGCCGAGCCATGATTCCATGTTTCCCATTACGCTACCGAGGAAGACACGGTCATTGAAAAGTTGCTTGGACCATTCCTTGTTCTGGGTTGCGAGAACACCGCAGAGGATGTCACTATGGCCGCCAAAGTATTTAGAGCCGGAGTGCATAACAATGTCGGCACCCCAGAGGAAGGGGTCTTGTAGGCCCGGCGGGCCAAATGTACCGTCAACAATGATATACGCGCCGCGGGAGTGCGCCTTTTTGGCATAGGAGGCAATATCGTATGCGGTGCCCTTCGGGTTAAGTGGTGTTTCCAGGAGAATTATATCGCCAGCTTCGAGTTGATCCGCAGTGCAGTCGAGAGGAAGTTTCTGGAGGCCCGTGAGACGGGTGAAGAGGGCGATCACGCCATGACAGCCGTGATAGCCTTCGCCGACGGAGATACGGCGAGGATTAAGCAGAGTCAGGGCAGCATGAAGGGCGGAAAGACCGGAGGAGTAGCTGATTGCGGTTCCATTAAGCAGGGCTGAGAGAATAGTTTCGAAGCGAGTAGGATTAGGCGCCGAGGCACGGGAGTAGATGTGGGAAGTCGGAGCGGATCCGGTCTACACTACTGTTATCGATTGAGGTTTGGTATTATAGCAATGGTGCAAACATACATTGCTAAGATCAGTCACTGGGAATAAGTCGGCGGGATCATCAGAGTAACGGAAAGTAGTAGATAGATGCATAGGAGGGGCGACATCAGAAACAACGTTCAGCGTATCATCCGCGTGCAAGGCACGCGTTGAAGTGCCAATTGTCTGAGCCATGTTTATGCTATGTTCTGGGGGAATTGTATGCACAAGAAATCGAAGACGCGAAGCTATGATACAATCAAGTGAAGAATGAGTCAAGTGGGGGGGAGAGGGGCCCGGTCACGTAATCGGTCACGTGGTGTGGGGATCTGTGCTAAAAACTGGAGAACTTGGAGTAAAAATTCAGGGGAAGAGGTAGAAGTTTGGGTGGGAAGGGGAAGTATTGAGGGGACAGAGAATGAAGTACTAATAGCAATCAGCGTCGTAAAGATGCCATACGAGATGGTTCACGCGCGGATCCGGGTAAAGCGACCCTAAAGTTGGTGCGGTCTAGATAAACGGTTAGTACAGGCCACCCACTTGTCACTGGTGTTGCAAGAAAACACATACCAACTTCCGAATCAAACGTAATAGCGATATCATCATGTTCTATTGGATACTCGGGCATGTCCAGGCAAACAAAGTTGGAAGATGGATCCTCGTCCGTCTTGGGGAGTGCGAATTTGGCGTCCACAATGCGGATTCCAAACTTGCCAGATCGGCCAAAGGGCTCGATACGATCGGTGCCCTTCAGAATGAAGTTCATGCAGGTACCATGTTGGAAGTCTGAGAAGAAGGCAACCAGTTGAAGGATTGTACCCTGCTTCACAATCTGAATTCGAGCAAGATTGGCCTCCCATTTCTTATAAATCGGTACCACGCTTCGGCGGCGGGAAATTGCGAAACACGAAGCAGTCCTGGTCATTATCAGCGTTGTCCTGAGCAATAGGTGTTGGAGGAGGTAAAATTACCCATCATAGATAACACTGAATCCAGTGACAGCTTCTTCAAAGGAATGGAGATCTAACAGAATATGAGTGAGCTTTGTCATTGAAAAACGCATAACAGATCACATACCATTCATAGAAGCAAATTCTAAGCGACGGGCCATTGGGTTGGTAGTAACTTTCTCAAGGAAGCCAGCCACTTGCCCTGCCAGCTCTGGCTTAATAAGATTGTCCGCCAGTGAAACTGTCAGATCCTGCTGTGCTGGTCGGAACAAGCTCATCCCAGTCTTTCGATTGACATCTAGCCCAATCTTGAGTTCTCCGGGCCCTTGGGTGACAAGTCAGCATGTGGTCCAAACATTCATCTCACATTACGGCTTACCTAAGTTGATGCGATCTGTTACAGATCCCCATTCCGTCGCGACAAACGCTCGCAGATTTTCCGACAGAATAGTTGGGCCATAACCATGGTCGACATACGAATGTTTTTGATCGATAACAAAGACACTGCCAGCCGGAAACTGTAAGTGAGTGACAGCAGACCGGCCGCTTGCTTGGTCTGCTGGCTGCTCGATAGCATATGCCTGGAGAGGAATTTCACGACCCTTAGACTCCAACTCGCGCGGGATCATGCCCAACAATATAGCATGCATCTTGGTGCGTTCTTCAACCTCGTGGAAAGTCAAAAGCATCGATCTTGTACGACCATCTTCGGTGACCTTGAGAAGGAGTGCAGGAGCCCCATCTTCTCCCCTCAAGAGACCAAATACTATAGGCGTTCCATGGGCTAGGATATGTTTCACGTTGCTGAGTGTCTTCACCTTGGGGCTTGTCAAAACGGTCAATCGGAATCCACGGTGCGCACTTCGCGAGCCAGTGCCTTCTTTTATTGTGACCGTCCGCTCGAAGAGGCGTATCCGGCACCGTTCCAAAGGCTCGGGTGGGAAAGCCTTCGGGGTACCAGGATCCATATATTGGAAAACTTTCACAGTATTCTCATACACAACGGATTCGTCTGCCTCCGGAGCAAGACTCGCTTCAGACTTCTGGGTGTATTTGACGATATTCCAAAGGGCTTTGAAGTCATCTTCTTTGAACATTACATCCAGTTCAAATCCGCGGGGAAGCTTGACTCGCATGGAATGGGTACGGACTTGCCATTCCACGTCTTCCCAAGTAGGTCCTTGTTTGCGATCGGATTGAATCATCACATTGACAAGCTGGCTTTGACTCGTGATCGCCGCAAATACGTACCAATCTGCCCGTTCTCGGATGATGGCAAGGCAGCATGGCATAGCATATTGCTGAGTATCATCCTCGCTGGAGCTAACAGAAGCCTGTACGAACATGCTACCATAGCTGAAGTAACGAGATGTATCTCCCAAGGGCATCATGTACACCATACTCGGCGTCTTCCCTGGTTTGTCAGCCAACATGGATCTCTTTGCCGATCCTGATAGCACAGCTGATACATCTGGAGCAAAGAAAGGATAGCGCAACCAAACGCTGGTGTCCAGGTGGCTAGGAGACGCATCGTCTTCTTCGATAAGCGCAAGGATATTATTACGCTTAATCGACATAGAAAGCGACCGCAAATGGTTGAGCGTGACTTGGTGTAGACTGAGGAGATCTACCATATCCTTATCCCCCGTTGTGTTTGCAACTGCCAAAAGAGCATCGATTCCCATCTGCTGACCATACCGGGAAAGTTCGGGATGATCTGGCACGATATTTGTGTTGATCCAGAAGGATTTAGCAAGGTCTACAACGGCTTGTTTAGCGTAGCTAGGGGGGCAGTTGGCGCGAGTCCGCGCAAAGGTCTCCAGCCGTGTCTTTCCTCTCAAAAACCACCAAAGCGCAGCCCGGATCCATTCCACCAGGGATGTTTCCATTAGCGGTTTCACGCTCTCTGCGGCGAGTCTGAGGAGACTGTCATATCGGGCAATGTACTGTTTGAATTCTGCAAATGCAGTGTCGCCGACTTGAGCAGCCACATTCCGTAGCGAGAATTTGGGTGGTTGGGAACTTCGCGAGGGTTCGCGACTTGCCTCGTTGGAATCCAGTCGTTTCCTTGTGGAAGGTTCTCTAGCAAGAGGCTGTGAATGTGCCTGAGGGGGTTGTGGAGAAGGAGTTTGAGAGGGTTGGGAAGGAAACTTGGGTGGAGTGGGCGAAACCTTCCCTGTACTTCCAGGTGTCAGCTGAGCTGGTAATCGCGGGTCGACAGGGCTGAGATTGGTGGCAGTGCGAGTGACTACCGGGCTTGGGGGGTGTCGAATGGAATGGACGATGGATTTGAGTGAGGGCGCGTTGGATGTGTGCGAGATTGGGGTCTCGTAAACCGATTCGGATTCGTGTGTGCTATGAGGGCTGCGACTTTGGGGGCTGTGAGAGGGTTGAATTGGACTTGACGAATCATCATCCTCGTACTCCTCATCGTCATCCACCGGGGATGAGCCATCATCGTATCGATTGTGCAAAGCTCGCGCTTCCTCTACCTGCATCTGATTCCGGACCCGCTCGGCAAACGAATGCGAGTCCGTCGACCGGAATGACAGACGGGAGCCAGGTTGGGTTATATGAAGAGTGCTCAAGAGGTCCGCATCGCTAGAGCTCTCGACCAGCGGCTTTCGGCTCGGCGATGTGCCACTCTGCAGGTCTTGCGGTAGGCCTGAAATATCCCCATCCCCCAACGACGTGTCGACTCGTAGATTCGGCAATTCTCTGGAGGGGTTCGGGGAGCGCGACGGTGCGCGCCTGACTTGGGTTGGCTGCCGGTCGCGGGTTCGTTGTCGAGACCAGGAGATCTCGATGGTAGGTGCTTCCGATTCATCTCCTCCCTCCCCAATTACCTCCGGGGTTCGGTCTGAGAATCCCACATGAAGTCCCTTGTTCTTTCGAGTCCTTCCAGTCTTTGTCCGGGATAGTTGTGAAGGTTGCGGGGGTTCCTGTTGGCGTTGGGTCTTGGACCGAGAGAGTTGTGCAATTTGCGGGGGGTGAACTTCTTCGGTGGGACTGAAGGCAACATAGTTTTCGGTTGCGGTATGTTGGCGCTGAGATTGGGGTTGGGGTTGGGGTTGGGGTTGTGGTGGCGCGTTCGATACATCGTGTGAGGAGGGAATTCGATGGGTGGATACAGTAGGTGGGGGGTGACTGGGATCTGCCTTGGTGGTGATAGGGGATTCCGCCCGGGGTCGGTTGGAGGCGAGGAAGTCTTCGATTTGTTTGTCGGGCACAGCACCTTTGTTCTTATCTTTGGAAAACAGTTTCTCTCGCCACAGGGTAGTCTTCTTCACAGGCTTGGGCTGCCCTGTAGGCAGAAAAGCAAACGGATCATCAGTAGGCATGTCGAGAAAGTATATTGTTCGGGCGCAATGGTAAGAACTTGGCTGCGCATTGCAGGCTTGTTCTCTAATTAAGATGAGCCGAGGAATCTATTCCTCCAAAGCAAGTCAAAGCAAGTTAAAGCAAGCTCCTCCCTCTCGCCAGAGAAGCAATAAATTGATCGACAGGGGGTTGTCAATGGGTTCCCTGATAAGCTGGAAGATGATGTTGCGACAGGGACCAAGCGCGCGGGGGAGAAGAGGTGAGAATAGTAGGGAAGGTGGGATATGATGGGAAGATAAAAGCTTTGGGGAAAAGCGAAGGAAGGAGGGGCGTTCAATGCCCGTGCATGGCCAGGGACTAGAGATAGCTGGTCTTCGTTAGTCTGGAGATGAGTTAACCAAACGGTGGAGTAAAGATCGCCGGCTTTTGGCTTTTCTCGGATTTTAGGGGGACAGTACATTTGATATATAGAGTATGTAATCTTTGAATTCTTCTTTTGAAGACTAGATGAATTGGTAATTAAGCTGGACCGGCCAGAGAGAGTTATAAAGAAAAAAAAAATGGAAACACCGTGAGTGCGAGGCTAAGAAATAATGGTCTGGGGTTCAAATGTGTCTTTGAAACTTTCAAAAGATTCCATGGAAATTAACATGGAATTATTGATTTTAATTTCTTAATTTCTTAATTTCTTAATTCCTTGTCTATTTTCTATTTTCTATTTTCTATTTTTCTGATTTTTTTTTCTATATTTTATCAAAAGCTCCGCAAGTTGGAAAGCACCATTCCCGCTGTGGAGCCCACGTTAGTCAAAGTGCTGGATTTGGATTCTTCTCGTCTGAACATTCAAGAATGCACAAATCACAACTTATATATAGAATTTGCATACGTTACTCCCACGAGTCCCCTTCAGCCTCGCAAACCATTCGAAGCAAATCAACATCTCGTCCTCGAGTAGCCAATCATCTCCTTCAACCCGGGTTTCATCGTGAAACTCGTCTAACCCTAATTGGGCTAGAATAGAGGGGCACCAGCGGGTCCCGGTGACGAGTTATCTATTCAAAGCATTTCTTTGGCTCTTTACGAGTGGCATCGTGATTGGGACACGTAGATCTCCAGGGATCAGGCATCAACTTAAAAAACTTATAACAGATATCACCAAATCTTCGAGTTCGTTGGCGTGATAACATTCAATCTTCAATGTTTGAATATACTATACAATCAAGTGCTAGAGACATGGGGGACAATTCGTACATCATGCAGCCACTCCAATCTGGCAGTTGATCAGATGCTCATTTTCATTTCCGGCTTCCCCCTTTCGTCGTCCCGGCATCATATGCAGGGGATTTGAAGAATGAGCATAGCGATCCCTGCCGACCATCCGAGCCCCCTATTCGCCGACCTGCGAGGGGGCTTCCAAGATTGGATATCTATACATATCCTTACGGAATATTAAGGTCGCTGTCAAACCACTTGAATATGTAGTTGCCCGCTACATTCTCCAACCAAGTGGACCTCGGGACTTTCAAAAAATAAAAAATAAAAGGTGCTTAGCCACGACAATGAGGCGTACGTATGTCAAGAGGGTCCCCGGGATCTAATTATCCTAATTTTACTCGAAACTAAACGCCCATTTCCAATTCGAGTCCAGTATTCACCAAATTTACCCTACACTACGATGCATTTAGTATTTCCCACCGAGTCAAGTTCCACCCAACTGATCGTCAAAGCCACCCCGCAACTTCTCTGCACCGCGCATCTAGTGAACCGAGCTGCATGGGCAGAAATATTTGAAGGCTTCTGTACATGTACACAAACGCAATTCCATTTTGAATCTCTAATGTTGAGGGAAGAAGTCAACTTTCAGAAAAAAGAAACGTGCTTCGAAATCAAAAACAAAAATCAAAAATTGATTGAAATTCAGGGCATCCAGATGTCTGGAGTTTCATTTGAATGTTGGAATTAGTTCCAAGCATGCCGAGTACATATGTAGATCGAATATTTCAAGTATGAATATCTGGAGATCATCTACATATATGGTGTTCATCGGCGTCTGGACACGGCTGTGTTCTCGCTGGTGGGGAAGATCAGCAAATGCCATTGATGGAGAAAGGGACTAATTCCACAGTGAACCCCGACCCAGGCCTCGAGGAATTTGAATCTTTCTAAATGTTGAAATATCGATCGACAAACTCCCCTGAGCCCTGCATGAAGTTCCAATGCCATCTTATCAACGTCCACGGATATTTTCGTTATGGATTTTGTATAAGCAGAATTTAATTTTGAAAGCGATCTTCTAGATGACGTCTCACGCGGTTTATACCCATGTTGACTTCGGGATTCCACCAGGGACACTGTAATTGAATACTCAAACGCTTCAAATGTTGAAATTTTGAACCCACATTATCGGCTTTCCAAGATTCCATATCGAACATTGGGTTTCAATGCAAACAAGCTTCACTACCCTACCTAGTAGTAGGTACATAATGACTTCTGTGTAAGGTTCAATATTCAACTTCACTATAATCTCGGCCCGAGACGACCTCGGGATATCTGCCTAGGTGCAGGTCCACGTGGGGTTAGATCTATCGACGGAAAGCACCCGCTTGTCTACCTAGCCACCTCTGCCATTGATCAGTCCTCCAGGCATCCACATGCATGGATCTATGAATTTCAAACATTGAAATGTGTAGGGTCTATGATAGGATCGGACGTACTCAAGTGCTCCGTGTTTGATTGGGGAATTCCCCCCGAGCCTCGAGGTCGCGATCCTAACGCTATCCATGTTTCAAATGTTGAGATACATCAATGTATATGTATGCACAGTACATATAGGTTCATATGTATCAATTCCAACACCCCGAGATTTCCAGGTACATAGATGCGCAGCGCTCAAGCACTTGCTACATAGCCTGGAAATATACACACCTAGGTATCTAAACATTGAGTGAAGTACATGGCTATTCAAAAGTACTCGACATCTGGAGGTACTTGTACAACATTTGAAGGTACATACATGTAGTACCGACACATGTACTAGCTACAGACCCATTAATTCCAACGACCTTGAGAGAGAATATGCTCAACATCGAAATGTTGAGACCAAATGAGGACCAGGGAATCGTCAAAAGGGAATCGAATATTGGATCATGATGAAAGATTTTAAATATCAAAGTAGAAGTCTATGTATATGGCTAATTCCATATACACATGAGCTGAAGGACCGCGATTCATGGCTTGCATATGCCGATAATGATAGTTCCTACTAGTAGTATGGAGTAACAACCATACTATTTCTATACCTACTGTACTATGTACGTGACTAAAACTCAAACCAAGGCTGATTTTATTGATCCATACAAGTCGACTCCCGGATTTCCCCCTCAGCTCCCCAGGATTAGTATATATGTATAAAAAGGGACCGATCTAAAGAGTAGCTGTTTGTCCGTCTGTAAGCTAAGTACTTCAGGTAGCTCAAATCAATTGCTCATGCTATTGGCAGGCCAAGCCATTTTCTCCGTTCAGCCACAATGCCATCCTCACTGGCACCCCCACAGACTGGCTGAGACACTACCAGTGACCACGCGCAGATACCCACATAGACCATGTTTGTGGGCTAAAAATGAATGGTTGGGATCATGTCTCATCAGTCGCCGATCCTACACAGCTCTTGATCGGTCGGGAGAAAGACAGCCGAAAAAAAAAAGAAAGGAGAATGCAAAGCTGTTTGGAATTTGTGCGGAAACGGGATCAGCATTGTCGGGACCACCAAGTGAGACACTGAAGCGCGCAGCTGAAAGACTCGACTGAAACCGGTTTATTTGGAGGTCAGGAAGTTTGTCCATGTTGTGCATCTGTGGGACGGTGAGAAAGGTGAATAAAAGCCATATTTAGGACTGGGACGCGAGGGATATAAGGTTGATGCAGTTTCTACTAAATATAAAGCGGCGCGCCTACTCCGTACATACTAGTAGTTTGAAGCACCGGTTACTCTTTCCGGTTCCACATAGGGTGTCGGTTTATGTCATCTTACAAAGATGATTTTTCATGAGGTGATCATGATTTGGAGGTTTTTTTTTTTTTTTCCAAAGTACGAAATACGAGTAAATAGTCGTGTAGTAAGCCAACTAAAACTCCACCGCGACGTAACAAGGCGCAGCAACAACAACTGGGGATTTTGTTAGTGCTTTTTCCAATATTTTTTTTTAATAATAATTTTTTTTTTTCAGTTGACTTTCTTCCGTTTATTATTTTATTTTATTTTTTATTTTTTTTTTCCTTGATCGTTTACCCAGCTCTTGCAAGATTCACTTTCCCCCGTCCTTGGGCTATTATTCGTCTGGTCAGTTTTTGACTCCGGCTTATTGCCGTAAACCTCACCAGGGGTTGCCGACTTACGTACCTCAAGACTCTTCCCGCCCCGAATTCCCCTCTTTCTCCAATAATCCCGAAGAGCCCAGACTCTATTCATCCACTTCACCTTGTCATTCAATATTCACCTGGGTCTTCACGACTGTCCCCGATATCCGTCTTCAATCTCCGGAGCGACATCACACCCGAACGAGCGAGCGAGAGAGGTGGTGGACTGTGACGAGGGGAAAAAAATACCGGGCGAAACCCCTTCGACTCTCCCAATTGTCAACACAACGTGGATTCGATCACCAACGGGGGCTGACCTCCCCTAGGAGGTCATCCCGGATGCCCGAGACACTCGCGATGTGTCACGATTCGATGCATGTCCGGCAGCATACCGTTTATTTGGGTGGGCCGCATACAACCAAATGCGAGCGACGCGGTGGCTTGTCGGCCGCCCAAGGCCGACAATGGAGAGACACCTCCAAACGGAGGCGGCGAGACGCGTACACGTGGAGCTCTAGCTGGTGGATAGTTCTGGTGTCCCTGATCTTGCTGGCGTCACCTACCGCTGCCGCTTTGCTGAATTTCCAAAATTGTTTGGGGAAGGCGGTCCTCGATTCCAATCCATTAACACTGCAATATGTACCGCTTGACGTCGGTGTGTGGTTCAACCTGAGTGATCCTTTACATCCGCTCAATGTGACAGTGTATGGGAATGTATCGGGCACGGCGGATCAGACTACGGATTATCCCTCCGAGGATGATGCTTCCTGGAATAATCCCAATGTGACCGAAGGAAAAATCGTGGATCTGGACACATCGAACGAGAAGTATAGCACTCTATTGACTGATCTAGAAGTCTTGAGTTTCTCTCCCTTTACAAATGCCTCGAGATTTTGCCAGTCTGTGGTTCAGGGCGATTGTCCTTTAGGACCGGTCTTTCACTACAATCTGTAAGATTATGCTCCGCACCCTCCCCATCCTATAAATATGCTTCAGCAGATCTGATTTTTTCTCTCTCTCTCTCTCTTTACTTGTTTAGGAGTGACCCAAGAACGCTGCGCGCATTTTCTATCCAACATGATATGCTCTCCACGTACCGATTTTCGACGATTACCCCAAGCTTCATTATTCGCTCCGGAGATGCGGCAGCGGATATGTTGGGCTGCATAACCGTGGCCATCACCCCAGACTTTGGCCCATTACTGAAAAATGCACTCGCATATGTACCGATGACCATTTTGATTCTGATTGCTATTGGCACGGTAACCGCAGCCGTGTACACCCCATGGGGCACGACCAATGTTTTCCGTTGGACCAGTAATTACGGCCGTGACGAGGACGTTTTGCGTTTGGTCACTCCCGGTTTTGCTGATTGCCTGCAATATCTTCAGTTCGTGGTGCTGACGGGTTCCCTTTCATTGGATTATCCGGGCTTCTTCCAACCTGCCGTGAGCCATGGGTCTTGGTCTGTACTTATGTTCAACCAGAGCTTTGTCAATTCTGGAGGCCATAATCCGGTCGCCGATGGGGTATACGCGGTCAATGGCACCTATGGTCTGGATCGCATGAGGCAGCTGGTCGGGATGACTACCGAGCAAGATATCTGGCCGGGCATGATAATTTGGCTTCTGGTGATCTTGGCCATCATTATCCTTCTCATTCAACTGGGCTTTGCGATGCGCTGGGTGCACCGTGAGCTGGCACATAGCAGCGAACAAGATTTGCGTGCCAAAAACATGCCATTCACAGTGGGCAACATCATACGAATTGTTTTCAACTACTTCCTTCTTCCCATAATCTCGCTCTCCTTTTTCCAGCTTGTCACCGCCAGGGGCTCTCCTGCGCAAAGTGTTGCATTGGCTGCGATAGTGATCATTGTGTTAGTCTGCTTCTCGATTTGGTTCGTTCGGGTTATTGTGTCCACCCGACCAAAGTCCCATCTCTTTGATGACCTTCCTACGGTCTTGTTATACGGCCCGCTCTACAACACATATTGCGATGATGCTGCCGCCTTCGCCATGGTCCCGATATTCTTAAATTTTGCGCGCGGTGTGGCTATTGGCGCCCTGCAACCGTCAGGCATTGCGCAGGTTGTCATGCTAGCCATTTGCGAAGTTGTATCCGTGCTTACAATAATCGCTTTCCGGCCTTTTCCTGGGCCAACCCACATGAACCTGTATCATTGCCTGTTCTCGTTCATACGATTCCTAACTATCATTTTGAGCGTGGTCTTTGTACCATCTCTCACCATCTCACAAGCGGCACGTGGCTGGATTGGCTATGTTATTCTCGTCTTGCACGCATTGGTTCTCATTTTTGGATTCTTTCTAAGCGCCCTGCAGACGTTGATCGAGGTTCTGGCTCGACTTGCTGGTGCCGGTGGTGCCACTCGTGGTGGCCTAGTAAAGGTCTTTGGGAAGCGTCAATTGTCGAGACGTGTTCCACGGCGAGATATCACACGCCAGAGTTTGGGATCCGAGGCGGCCATGTTGTCCAATATGGACGGACGTATGTCATCTCAGTTTGAAGGATCACGTGCCCGCAGTCTGTCAGGAAGCTCTGCTCTACTGTTAAATCGTGCGACGGCAAGTGAAGGCCGCGCTAGTGCAATCTTGGATTATGCTAGCTCGCATGGGGGCCATAGCCGTGCTGCCAGCGCCAACCTGATGGCGCAGTCTCCTACCGCCTATACTGGAGGTGGAGGTTTCCCTGCTAGCTCACCGAGCAGTAGTAACTTTATGGCCTCATCCCCGCGAGATCCGTACTACCGACCCCCAAGACCTGGTCGGCACACACCTCAGCCGGGTACCGGAGATAGAAGCAAACGAAGTTCTAGAAGCTTTATGAAGCCAAGTCGGGTCAGCACGGAAGAAGAAATTGTAGATGGCTCTGGCCGAAACACGCCAGTACCTGCATATTTACCTACCCCCAAGGATGACATGGAGATGGATGATTCCCCGCAACGGACGGATTATGCTGTTCGGGAAGTTGACTTTTATTACCGTGTCCGTGGTCCGCCGCTTTCTCACACTGGGACTCGCAAGTTAAAGACTGGCCCAGCGGATCCCACTGGCCCCGTGTCATCAGCAACGGGATGGTTCCGGAATATGTTCCAGGGGAAGACCAAGGATAAAGGCAAGGGTTTCGAGGTAGTTCGAAGTGCTCGAGCACCTCCCCCTGGCCTTTTCCCAGCAGGTGATTACAACGAGGGGCAGTCTTACCACGACGATCCAGAGGACCCGGAGGCTGCTGGTCACTCGCGTGACGTCTATTCAGGCGAGGGACCATACCGTGACTCTGAAGGTGATCACGAAGCCAGAAAGTCCGGCGAAGAGCAAGTCCCGGTGAACTCTATTGGCGAAATCGAGCTAGCCAGTCGATCTGGGTCCCGTCGTTCGCGAGCCCCATTCGAACAAGACGGGGACGATGCACCGGGACTTTTACCTGTCGTGACGGAGGCCTCTCAATCAAGAGCCAGCACCGAGGCTTCCGACTCTGACCACCTGCGGCCGGAATCTCCAACTACTGCACGTTTACCTTTTAGTGGGGACAGCTCCCCTTCTCGGGAGAGGGGCCTCTCGGCCGCATCTACATCTGGTTCCATGACTTCCAGCCATAGAACTGGCCGTGATGGAGTACGCACGGAACGACCTTCTAGTATGGGCTACGTCGCTCAACATCGCACACAAGATAACATCCACCAAGCAAGTCCTGACGAACCAACCTTCGCCGGCAGCCAAGCCGAGTTAGTCGATGAGCATTTACACGGTGAATAATGAACCCCTTAGCTGGGCGTACATGCAAAATCAAACCTTATACCCAAACCTCAGTACCCAACCTCTATCAACTCATCATCTCACCCACTCACCCACTCCTAGTCCCTCATCGACTGTCTACTACTTCCGCCCCTTACCCACTGTATTGAATGTCTCGAATACCGAATCATCTTGATGCCACAGTGACGAATTTCCTTCTACTTTCTTTTTTCATTGTTATTGTTCCCTTGTCTCCATTTCCCATCTTCTTTACTTTGCTTATCGTCTCCAGTATCCAAAATTTGCTGCCAGGCATTCGACTCAATCAATATGGGTGTGCTGTGCAGACTTAGTAATAATCCTGGCTAGCTCGAATGACTGCCTAGTACCTTGATACCTGTACCTACCTTACTCCACGTTATACAAAGTGGTTGACTCAATTTTACCCGAAGGCTCAAGTGCCGAGAATCACACTAAAATTTCACTATCTACACCTCACCTGCAGCGTGAAGTGCAGTTCAAACGTAGACGTTGCTCGACCTTTAGCCTCCCGAGGTCTAGAGTACTTGTATAATGGAGGAGTGAATGTGACGTAGTGGAGATAAGCGACCCGATTTTTGCCGGCTGAGACCGCCCCCGGACCCACCGATAAGGCGCCCCCGTTATTTGGGCTTCAATTCTCCTGCACCTCCGACACTCCCTGTTTGCACAGGCAACGCCACCAAAGACCCTCTGAGCAGGTGTATTGCCGGCAAGACACCCTCACATCTTTGAAACACTTTGAATTTGCGAAAAGACACACTTTGCGCATACAAACCTCGCTTGTTTTGTGTATCACGAGACCATTCACTGTTTTGACTGTGAGGCTCTGGTCCATCTCCGATCGCCATGGTGCAGTGCTCGCTGTGACTACGGTTTACCGCAGTTAAGCACTCGGCATACACCAAGACAAGAAAGAAAGGCCACCAAAGAGATTGCTGATAGGTAAACCAGTACCCCGTCATCTCATCTCCCAAAGCACAATATATGATATATATGATATATATGGTATATATCGACTGAGAACTGCTTCTGTCTATAAGAAGCTTGGAAATTCAAATCAAACCTGCTAAGGACAAAATGTCTGCCCTTAGCACGGCGTCATCAAGTCCTCCTGCGACTAGCCCCGATGGCGAATATCCTACTACAATATGGAACGAAGACGATGGCTTGAGTGCTGGGCACGACGCCAACCCAGTGCATATATCGAGCAGCCCTGAGACTGACGTCCAAATGAGAAGAGCAGAGACTGAGCGAAGGTCTTCAAGTGATATCACCGGTGACTCAAAAATGATGACAGGAAGCTATGGCATTCCCCTTGGAAATGGCAGAGGGAGCGAGGAGAGTGATCCTACACACCGATATATCTCCACTGGATCAGCAAATCAGGAGGAAGCAAGCTCGGCACAACGTGATTCTGCCTTGGGACAGCGAGCACTGCCAAGCCATCCGGCCAGAGACCGTAAAAGGCGCCTGATTAGCACTGGCAGCCATGATCGTTTGCAACGAGCCCGCTCCGGAGACTTTGCAAGAATTAGCACTCAATCGTTATTACCACATCGATCCGTCTCCATGATTGTTCCAAATAGGGGTAAACCTCATTTGAACGGTCCGGGATCGTCTTATGCAACAGCGATTGATATTACTTCTTCCCCTCCAGATGCCGGCCCATCTGTTAGCCGCAGAAGCGAGGATTTCCGTCCAAGAGCCGGGTCGACGGCCTCCAGAGAAAGTGGGCAAGGTCCATCTGATACACGCATGTTATTGCAACCAGGTTCCGGGTATGGAATGCATCCTCCTTCATCCAGTCTTTCTGCGGCTCGTGCTCTGGAGAGACACCATTCGTCTAGCTTGCGGGTTGGCGCATTGGATCAATACCCCCAGTATATTCAATCGGGCAGGCCACGAGGACAGTCAGAGGCGATCAGAAATCCTAGGCGCGAACGTCAGTCGGGAGTCGGTTGGCAGGTGTCAGGGACCGACGAGAGCACTTTGCGTGCGTTTTTGTCAGGGTCAACGGAAGCACAAAGCATGTTAGAGGCGTTGGGAGCTTCTCAGGATGAAGTGGAAATGGAGAATACCCTACCACGATGGCAGCCCGATGGGGAAGTGAGCACTTGTCCAATTTGTGAGACGGCTTTTAATTTTTGGTACCGAAAACACCATTGTCGGAAATGTGGTAGGGTGGTGTGTGCCTCCTGCTCCCCGCACCGCATCACCATTCCTAGGCAGTTTATTGTCCGCCCACCAGAGTCCCTTCATCTCCATGAGCACTCCCCACCTCCACTGCGGCAAATCGTTGATTTAACCGAAGACAACCCCGTTGAACTACCATCGAGCCTCAATCCAGCTCTTGGCGGAGGAGAAGAAGTCCGTCTCTGCAATCCCTGCGTTCCAGATCCAAACCCCAACCCACTTGGTTTTGGTAGAACGCGAGGACATCGCCCAAGTCATTCTTTACCATCCGGCATGGGTCAAAACTTCTCCCGCGACAGGGTAAGTCATTATCATTTTGTTACGCTACGCATGGTTTTATCTAACAAGCTTTAGGCGGAGCGTCGAAGAAACCGCCAAGACTCCCAACCTTCCAGTCCCGAGTTCCCGAGGGCCGTGGGTGATAACAGGCGACGGAGCCTACGCAACGAAAGCGCCAGTCGCCAATCTCCCCTCGACTCCACTGACTCGCATCAACGCCTGTCTACCTGTGAGCAAGATCTCTGTCCCATTTGCGGCCGAAGATTCCCTGCCATCAGTAACGACCGGCCGTTGGAGGAACGTGAGGCCCACACCCGGCAGTGCATCGAAAATTACGGAGCCCCAGCTGCAGCGCAACCTGCTTCCTCCGCGCGCCGAGGCCCGGAACCACGATCACTCCCACCTCCACCATCTGCGTCTCGAATGATCGAGTTCACCGCAACAGAGAAGGACTGCATCGGAGAGGATGGAGGTCCCGCGGAGTGCACCATCTGTATGGTGGATTATGAGGGTGGAGATTTGTTGGTCCGACTGGAGTGCTTATGCAAATTCCATAAGCACTGCATTTTGGACTGGTTCGTGCACAAAATGGAGTGCCCTGTGCACAAGGTGGCATAGTGGCTGAAGCTCTAGGGAGCTTGTGCTGATGTTTGTTTGCTATTTTTACGCTACATTTATACCCGCATACATGCGATCTCTTCTTCTTCCTTTTTTTATTTATTTTTCATCAATTCATGGCCTACCTGAATTTCTGTCTCAATATCATCTAAACGAATGCAAATAGCAGTCTGTAAGATGGTAACCAAAACAAAACTATCCTTGTAATGGCAGCTATTAGTCTATACCTCTGTTCATATCCTATACATCATCTAGTAACTTAGTAGTTAGTTGGTTAACGGAGTGATTAGGTCATGACGGTCACGTGCAACCGACGGTCCTGAGGCGACAAGCATCAAAGCGATCATGCTCTCAAGAACCTTTTTTTGGGTTTAAAGAGAAAAGTACATTCACATCTCACTACTGCCACTCTCCTTTTCTTACTTTTTTTTTTTTTTTTTTTTTTTAAAAAAAGCCAGTGCATTTACCTTGGTCAACTTTCAATTCTAGTCTCAACTGGTCATGTACAGCCACTGACAGCGGTGCCCCAGTCGGAGTCGCGGAGGTTATCTTTCCCGTCCTCCGTCTTACACGATTCCCACGAGGGTAAAAGAACCAGCATAAGGGTCACGTCACTCAAACACTACTGCAGGGGCACGCAAAGTAAACCCTGTATCCAATCAAAAAAAGAATCAACCCGTGGGCCTCAAAGCTCAAAGCTCAAAGCTCAAGGATCTAGGGTGGGAAAAGCGGTTCATCGTCAAATTACTGATCCATCGGTCGGCCCCGCAACTCCTGAATCTCGGGGGATCGTACCGACCCCGTCCCGACCCCCGACATACCAACACACCATGGCCGACTATCCAGAGCCACCCTCGCAATTATCCGAGTCATATGAAGCACGGACCTTTGGTCTTGGGTTGCATAATCCAGAGACACCGTCCGATACAGATGACCAGCCGGTTGGGGAGATCAAGCGACCCAGAGCGTGTGAACCCTGTCGCCAATTGAAAGTCCGGTGCGATCCGGAATCTTCCAACCCTGATGGCGCTTGTAAACGATGCGCTAAAGCACGTCGACAATACATTGTGACAGAGCCAACCCGCAAGCGCCAGAAGAAGACGGACAGTCGCGTGACTGAGCTGGAGCGTAAAATTGATGCTTTGACTGCTACAATCCAGGCGTCGCATCATACACAACTTACAATGGGTACGATTCCAGGCACTGTTGCAGGCGTACAGCAGACTCAGCCGCAGTCTAGCCGTGATCAGCCCTCCAATTGGCTGCGCGGTGACCAGAATATGGCGGGGAACAAACGGCACCATGATGGATTTTTGGTAGCCCAGTATCCCCGTCCTAATAGTCCATCTGCGGAACAAATAACGAAACAGCCGGCTAAGCACTGGCGGGGTCCGTTTGAAGGGGAGACTAAACCTGGACCCAAAGCAGATGTTGGGAATGACTTTGTCGACGTGATCGACAGAGGCATGATCGACATAGCAACGGCCCAGGCTTCTTTCAATCACTATGTTAGCGACATGGGGAACGATATGCCCTTTGTAGTCATGGCTCCTGGTACAACAATGGGTCAGGTACGCCGCGAAAAACCGACCCTCTTTCTTGCCATCCTCGGTGTCTCGGTGGGAATTGTGAAAAAAGACCTCCAAATGCCACTGATTAACGAATCATATCGATTGATTGCGGAAAAAGTCGTTGTCAAGGGCCACAAATCGCTCGAACTCGTTCAAGCTTTACTCGTCGTTTCGATCTGGTACATGACGCCCGATAACCTGGAAGAACTTAAGTTCTATCAATTGATTCACATGGCTATCGTGGTAGGCATGGAGGTGGGGTTGAATCGTCGGTCGAATGGAGACATGAAGATTGTTCGCATCCGAGAAATAGTCATCAAACGGAAGACTCCAGCAAATGCGGAACTAGATACCCCCGAAGCAAGGAGGGCATGGGTGGGCTGTTACTTTCTAGGAATCCAAGCGGCGATAGCTTTGAGGCGGATCCAGATTGTGCGATGGCAGCCATACATGGATGAGTCCCTTCAAATATTGGAAAATCATCCTGACGCCCTGCCTTCTGATCGCCAAGCTGTTTGGTGGGGAAAGCTAGGGTGGATTATGGAACAAGCGGGATTGCAGCTCACCACTGATGACACTCAGTCAATTGTCTCATTTACGGACAGCAAAGTGAGGTACACGATCAAGGCGTTTTCAAATCAACTTGCCCAGTTCAGGAGAGATATTCCAGAGGAACTGTGGAGTCGTAGGTCTACATCTGCTCTCTCCCAAACCTGAACCACTCTAACTTCCTCAGCAACATTGGCACATACATACCATGCACTCGATCTTTTCATACACGAAAGTGTTATGGGGGTTGACTGTAGGGACAGTATCTTTCCCGAACCTGAAGATGAAGGGCTAGATGACGACGCATGCATGGCACCTATCATTGAAGCTCTCACATCTTGTCTCAACTCCATCCACAGGTCATTTGACACAATTCTCAGTATTGACGTGGAGAGGGTTAGATATTTACCGACATTGGCTTTGGCTCGCACTGCATACCCGGTCGTCAGTCTAATCAAAATTTACTCACTTGTCACGGCCCCTGATTCTCATATCGGTCGGTTGATGGACGCGCGGAGTCTCAAGGTGGAGTACTACCTTAACCGAGTCATAACTCACTACCGAGCAGCTGCAGCTCTTGAAGGTGGCCGAGTGGCCGGCAAGTTCGGGAATATCATCATGATGCTGCGAGATTGGTTCCTCAAGAAAAGAGAGAACGGTCCCGAGCTTCGTGAGATCTTTGGTGCTGAAATGCACAATCCGAGGGAAACGCAACCTGTACGTACTACTATTCCAAATCCCGAAAACCCCACCAACCAATGCCTGAGATTAACATTTGAAATAGCCGAGGCAAGGTACCACACCATTGCAAGTCCTCAGCGACCTAGCCATGGGTGATCCACGCTCCACAAATCCCACCCAACCAGCAAATTCAAATCAAGGATCTGTATACTCATCCTCAACTATTAACCAAGATATGGCCCGGAATCCTCCGACCCCGGCAACCAGTTATGGAACAGTAGAAACATCTACGCATTGGTCCCCAGCACCTTATACCCCCCAAATGTCCACGGGATCCCACGACTCAGGCATGGGAGATAGATCATTTTATCAACCTTTCACACCTAACCAACCCCAGCAATACATCATGCCTGGGACCACCCAGTATCCTCAAATGCCAGGCTTAGGGAGTATGCCACCCGGACAGCCGATGGGGTTGCCTGAATTAACGGCGGAGGCACCTTTCGATCCAAGCCTGGCGATATTGGGGACTATGATGGATGAAGGGCTCTTGTCATTTCCGTATGCTTTTGATGGGAACTTCCAACTTTGATGTTCATGGTATTGTGAGGTCTGTTATATTTTGTTGGGAGTTCAAGGTTGGAAACGTCAACTGGTGTTTTGTCTATATACCGCCTAGCCTATACCCGGGACATGGTACTTCATCATCAAAACTCGAATGAAGACCACAGGCTGCAATCAATTGATTGTATATGCGCAGATTTTATTAATCACATTATTCCGCTATGTACCTACTAGTACTTCTCCCTCTTTGTTTTTTTTTTTTACTCTTCAATACTACTAGTAGTCATGAGCTCTGGACACGTATTGTGATTCCAAGGTTGATACATACGCGATCGCGAACCATCTTTGCTACAAGTAAAATATGGGTATATAAAGATAACAAGCATCAATCCAACTCCAATACGAACTATCACCGTGAGTTCCCTTGCCATGTATGCAAAATTCGCTGCTCAACATAAGCCCATGGCCACCCATTTTCTCGTTCCGTCCGACGTAGCAGATCAAACAATAAGTTTTGAGCGACAGGGTCGTCTATCCATGCGCTACCTATAGCGGAGAAATAAAATTAGTACACGTAGCGCCAAGGTAGGGTGGGGGGGGGGGGGGGGGAGGAAACGACATACAGGCACAGAGAGCATGACACGCCATGATTCGTAAGGAAGGTTCATCATCTGCCGAGAGGGCGATGCCGAAAAGATAATCAAGAGTCTCCGAAATTTGTCTCTGTCAAGCTTTGCATTAGAGGAAAATCTCATTGGGATTGAAACAAAGACCATTCCTATTCCATACCTTTAATTCTAGCCGCTCTTCTCTGGAGGACATACCATCCTGAAGCTCATGTTCCCGAATCAACATAAGTGCCTTTGCAAGACAAACATGTTGCATGGCAGTTGCTAATCCAGATTAGCACATGTTACAGCCATACCCACAAGCACTGGATACATCACTCACAATGAACCAAACTAGTATACCAAACAACAGGGAAAGGTTTCCCCCTCGCAGGATCAGGCGGCGAAACATGCAAAGGCGTAAAAGCTTCGGACCTCTCAATCTCCCACTCCCTAATCCTCTCCTTGAGCGCAATCTCACCAGCAACGCCAAGGCGCCCTCCAAAGTTGCGACCGGAAACATTATAACAGAAGTCGATGGTTTCAGCCAATAACCAAATCGCTCGATTGACCCAGTCTCCATCAGTAAGCACCGGTTTCGATAGCCACCACTTCCGCAGCCGTTCATCGAATGGGGCAAAGGTCAGTCGGAGACATTTCTGGTATGTGAGTGCGAATTGAATATCTTGAATGACAAAGACCCAAAACGAAGCTGATGCGAGACTTCCGCTGATAGCGCAGTCAACGTGGGAGCTGATGTAGACCGAACCAGCGAGGAGATGGCGTTGGGGGTCATTGGAAGGAGTATGAGCTTAAACCACACGGTTAATTCTATGGGGCAATCTGCATGTCTAGAGGAAAGGGACTCACAGGAGATTTGTTCAAAGAAGCGGAGAATCACCGTCGAACTGAGAAGGATGTCTATGCCGATATCGAATTCCGGTTTGTCCAGAACCGGGAGCATTATTGAGACGCAGCGCTCGTGGTAATTATCTGCGACTTCTGGGGAGACGGTGTTTGCTGTGCGTGAAAGGTGACATGCTGCTACGGCTATACAGGCGTACAGTAAAAGTGGAGACTGGGTTGCGCGCTTGGCGACATCCGCTGAGAAATGGCGCTCAGGATCACCGGCATCGAGCTGTTGCGACGATGTTAGCTGTGAAGTTGGAAGTATTTGCAAAAATAGCCCCCCCCCCCCCCCTAAAAAAGGGACAAAGAAAGGGAGAGACAAAATGTGGAAAGAACGCACCCAGTCTGCTAGATGTCGCTGGAAATGTCGGAGGAGGTATGCTTCGTTCACATTATCGAGCCGGGGTTGCCCGATCGGGGTGAGCTGTGAATATTCCGATGCTGACCGGGACAAATCTTGCGATTCTGTGAGATAAGGCAGCCCGACTGTAGTGGCGGACATGGGGTCCACGGATGAAGGCGTTGAGCGCGCTTCGGATGATGAGCGGGAAACAGATTGCCCGATCACGGGGACGACAAAATACTCCGCGGCTGTCTGGTCGGTCTCGTCTTTGAAGGAGTCTTGGAGGATGTCAGTTTTTCAAGGCTCTTCATGATTGAAGCAAACTGGGCTACAATTCCATGTGGTTTTTTTTTTTTTTTTTTATCCAGGTCATGGTTATTGTTGTTGTTGTTGACCGCCACTTACATTCAGACAAAGTCTCAACCCAGATCTGGTCGTTGGGGAAGGCAAGATCGCTCTCGCCGTACCTTGGGGGACCTTTTCCTCGCAAGGATGGATTTTGACCATGACGAAAGGAGACCTCTTCTGATTTCCCGGGGGCAGGTACACATTCGCGACCGGACCGTTGACAGCGCAGACATTTGGTTGCTGTTTTATCACCTGGGAGAGGGTCAGCTCTGGCAAAGGACAAGGAAGACTAGTATTTTTGGGAGGGGGGGGACAACACACATTTCAGATGGCGCAGACGACACGTGAGGCTAAAGGATTGTTAGTTATTGTTATTTGCATCTGTCCAAGCCCAAGTCAATACTGACCATCCCCTCATTACGCAGGGGTCAAAATAATGTTCGAACAAGGATTCTAGAAGGGGGAAAAGAGCAGACTCGGCATTTCGGAAGGCGCTTATAAGTCTATAATAGTTACACTCCAAGTTACGAGATATCTTATATATCAAAATGCGTCTCAAGTGCTGCGTATTGGTCTAAGTATTGTGGATATTGGGGTAAAACAAGTAAACTTTCTAGTTGGAGACTTTGATCTTTTAAAGTGGAGTTTTTTTTCCAACATTTGAATGTTTCTCTTGTAGTTAAGGCCAGTGCAACCCCACTTCCATAGGCACAATGTGTCCAGATGTCTGCTTTACACTATGGCTTTTCCAAGGTTTTTCCTCTGGATTTTGGTGGTTTTTTTTATTTTTATTTTTTATTTTTTTAAAAAGGTTTCAAAAGGGTTTGAAGTTTTAAAAAGTCATGATTAATAATAAATAATCAAAAAAGAAAGAAAAAAAAAAAAAAAAAGAAAAAAACCAACATTGAAAGTACTCTTGACTCTCTTGAGATCCGCATTCCCGATTGCCGGACAAAATCGTTCTGGCCGAGACGCGGCTTGTATCGGGAACCCGTGATGGCAATAACAAGCGAGATCAAAAGTCAAGCTTTAGATTTCATGCATAAAATGCATGTTTCAGACTGGAAACCCATCATCCCCAACATTGGATATGGAAATCTACCTGTGATAATATGATAATATGATATGAAGTTATGAAGTTATGAAGTTACTATGAGTATAGGACCCATGAACAGAGCTCGACTTGAAGAGATACAAATTCAATTTCCAAAGGTTCCAGGGTTGAAAATTACGAATCTCAGAGATCTGCACACATACAATAGACCTATCATCGTCTCGCATTCCTTCGCCTCCGTGATTGATATAAAACATCCGAGATTGGCTTGTCCAACAAATCATTATCGAAAATGGTTAATGGTGAAAATTGTTAACTCAACATTGGAAGAGAACCAGTCAATCAAGTCAAGTTTCCCACGCTAGTGTAAAGGGCGCACTGTTCTCTCTAATAACAATACATATTAGTTATCCACTCACTTCTCACCGACCTACCAGATTAAGCACTTGAGTACGCGTGGCAAAAAAAAAAAAAAAAACATCAAGTACCCATGGGCCATGGACACCAAAAGAATTGACACATTTTTAACATCCAGGTACCCAACGTAATGGCCTTGAGTGGCGGCACCTTATTAAAACAAGCTCCAAACCTTACCCCCAACCACCCCCCCAAAACAACCCATCAAGTCATCAATTAACTCAATCGGCGACGCCGGATCGACTTGACAAATCCCGCACTCAGTGGAGAAAGGTGTGTTCAGTCGAGGGAATCGGAAGCATCCGCTCGCACTCGTAATTTCCTGGACCAGTGGATGGACTCCGGACCCGTCGAACCCTGTCGATCGTGAGGAGAGAATAGAAGCCCGAGAGCCCCCCTCCCCGTTGAATGCCGATGCTGTGATTTGTCGTGATGCCCGCTTCCAGTCCCCGAGTGCCAGAATAGAGTTAAATTGGGATCTTTTAGCCCCCGTGTTGACGGAGCTTTATCCTGAGTAGATGCGTTCACCCGTGATAGCTGACATAGCAAGTGTGGGGGGGGGGCAACAGATGCCGAATCTTTCACCTGCCTTTTTCAGAGACATAGCCGGATAATGGGGGATAAATGAGGATCAGATACGAGGTTGACGCCAGAATCAAGAGATTTGGAGAATGAAAAAGATTCGGTTTGCTTGGTTTGCATTGATTCTGATTTGCCTGTGATTGCCAGATATATCAGGCATCACACCACCCTCAACACGTGACCTCCCTCTATCGGAACCGGAAGAAGTATAATACGGTAAATACCGAGGTACGTGAGGTACGTGAGTCTTTCCGTGTCTTGATTCTTGAATGGTAGTCATCTTTTAAATGTTGCTTTTGGCCATGAAACTGAGTACTAGTAACCGATTTTCAATATAAATGTCAATAACATTATTTCGAGACAAGAGTCTCAGTACAGTGTACTACCTTCCAACCTTGTACTAGCTAGTGCAACCATTCATTTACCCATTTCTGAATCCACCCTGACTTCACAGCATCCACCTCCCGTAACTTTTCACTGACCCGCGCGGTTACCCGTGTATCCAACGAATTATCAGTCTCTGTCTGATTCCCCACAATCTCAAAAAAGTCGATCAACTTCGCGGCTGGGTTCTTTGCAAGCTGTATCTGCAACTCTTTGCTCTTATCTTGTCTTGTGGATTCGAGGTCACGTCGAACGCGGAGGATCCATTCCTGTAAAGGAATAACTTCCACTGTTTCCCCTTGAGCTGCAAGGGCTTCTTCAACCAGGCTTCGAATATCTTTCTTCCAGGAGAGGGGGTGCAGGTTCATCGGGTGATAAACACTTAACCCTGAGCTCTTCAGAAGAGACAGGTCGACAAGGATTTCCGCGAGAAGATCAATGGGCATCCAGTCAACGCGGTCTATGACCTCGCCTAATGTCTCTGGGAGAGCTTTCAAGTGGAATGAGCTTATCACAAGACTAGGGAGCCATTCCGATTTGTTCCATAGCCCGCGGGCGCGGATCGACCCTGCTACCTGACCTACACGGGCAAAAGAGAGGTTGAATCCTTGTTGTGCTGCGTATGCCAGTAGATGTTCGGAGATATACTTGCTGTTCGCGTAGCCATTTGGTGCTGGCAATGCCGTTTCAATGATTTCCTCAGGGGTGAGGCCCTTGTCGGTGCGGAGGCCTATTACCGAGCTCATCGAGGAAATGAAGAACATCTGGGGGGAATAGGTGGCTTGGCCGCTAAAATTAACCAGATTCAGTACACCTGCCAAATTTGGTTTGAACGAGGCTAGTGACAGGTTAAAGTCCACGGTCCAAGCGTTGTGAATAATAGTTGTTGCTGTCTGCTGGATCTCTTCAAACTGCTCGGGTTTTAGTCCGAATTCCGTCTTGCTGAGATCTGACTTCCAGAAGGTTACTCGAGCTTCGTCTAGGACAAAGTCAAGTCCGAATGAAGCTAAACGCTCTTGCTGTCGTTCACGAGCGCGGCTATCTCGATTGAGGCAGTAAACATGCTTCACGTGGGGGGTTTTCAGCAGCACATCTAGCATATATGTGCCTAGCTGCCCGGTGGACCCGGTTAAGATAACAGTCTGAGAGTCGGGCAATGCTTCAGAGCGCTGAGCCTTGGGAGGCTTGATTCCTTCGATAAGCCCCTTGAGCAACTGATTACGCTCCTCAACGAGCCCTTGGATCTTAGCTTCGGTGGTCTCTTGACAGTCCTTGTGGAGATTGCGAAGCGCCTGTGTCAGCCCTACCACAGTCGGATGTAAATAAATTACATTCGGGGTAAGGCTGGGAACATTAAGACCCTGCTTAAGTACACGAGTTGCTGTGATCGCCTGTAGAGAGTCCAAACCTAAGTTGAACCAATTCTCCTTATCAGATAATTTGTCTGCACTCCAGCCTGTGATAGCCAGAATCGATTCTCTGATGTAACTCGTCACCTGTGCGACATCATCCACTCCACCGGGACCGGGGGATGAACTGGCGTCGAGTTGCGCAAGCTTATCGGCATCAGCATATAGATTATCAAGCTCCTGTGCGTACAATACTAATGTGCTAGCGCGCTGCACTGTTCCCTTGGCCGCACGTAGCATTGGCTTCTCGCTCGAAGTAAACAGAATATGGCTCTTGGAAATGCGGGCATGAGCAGGGGCAGGAATATTTGCCTCCTCTATACTAGGCCAGAGCTTCTCGATCATAGCAGCACGCTCACTTGCACTAAGTGTCTTGCCCTCCAGTTCCACAAGTAGAGAAGCCTGGAAGCGCTGGGCACCTGCGACTAGACAACCAGTGACCTCTGAGTTGGCAGCAACAATGTGTTGCTCCATTGAGACGGGATTGGTCTTCTCTCCATTAAGGAAAACAATCACATCATCAAGTCGGGAGGAAGGGCGCCAAAGGCCGGCCTTTGTAAGATGAGGAACCATCAAGTCATTTGTACGATATTCCTGACGATCAGGAAAAATTGTAAACGGGAACTGATGGCATTGGCGCCCCGGGGTGCGCACTAACACTACCTCGTGCTCATCTCCAGAGACATGGCGGTATTCCACTCCCAATTCAGGATGAAATTGGAGATAACGCCAGTCTTTCAAGGGATCGCGGATTGGAGAGTGAGTTACACTCAGAACACCCAGCTCTGAGGCTCCATATCCGTTCATCAGTGGTATCTTAGACGCGACTGTGTCTCCGATCATTTGCGGCAAGTCACCTCCGGAGTATACCAGGTATTCCAGATGGGAACTGCAGTAATCCAAAGCCTCGGGATCCTGTGCCAACTCCTTGATAATTGATGGCACGACAATGGCCCAGTCAAAAGGGGTCTGCTTTCTCGCAGATACAAGGGCGGTAGCAGTAGGAAGACCACCGGATGTGGGTATGATGAGTGTTGCACCAACAGGCATTGTAACTATGAGGATGTGCCCAATCCCAGCCGCCTATGTATGCACATGTAAGTGCTTGTAAAAAGCTGTAGTTAAGCATGTGATGAAGCTTACATGAAATGGAGGCATTGTCAAGTACATCCTTTTTCCGAACCCCTTCCGGTCCTGACCCTCATGTCCTGTCGGAACTTCTAGCTTTTGCATATGCATGTGCTTGACCGCACTGTCATGGGTCCAGATGATGGGCTTCGGGATCCCGGTAGACCCAGAAGTGTGAAGCACTAACAGGCGATCGGAAGCATCTTTAGGATAGCTCTTAGAATATTCAAAGATTGGATATTCAGTTGTCAAGAGATCTTCCACATTTGGAACATCTATGACTGTGAGGGGTATAGCATCCAAAATAGCTGCAACGAAAGGGAGTCGTGGGCTAGAAGCCAACAGCGTAGTGCATTTGAGTTTATCCAATAGGGATTGATGTGCTGCTAGACTGTTTCGAGGCGAGGTCAGGAACATCTGTCAAACAAAGGTATTATCAGCTCTTGAATCATATAGAAGGACATTGGTTTTTCCGAGTAATACATACACAGTAGCCAGCTTTCACAGCACCCAAGACCAAAGCAGGATACCGCAAGTCATTGGGACCTAGGTAGGCCAATATCTCCCCGTTGCCGGGGCCCAGGTTATTCGTTAACCAATGGGCGACACCGTTGATAGCATTGGCAAAGGCTTTGTACGTGACGGGTCTGTATCCGTCATCATAGCTCATAGGGTTGACAGGGTACTCGGCATAGACAGCTTCGGGCTTGGTCTTGGCATAATGATCCACCAAATTGGGAAGTAGCTGAGTGCAAGGATCCATGGAAATAGGAGTCATGATGAAAAGAAAAACAAGAATGATTTGAAAGAAAGAAAATGGCTGAAAGAGGCCTTCATTTTAAATCATTCAAGTGGGATGACCTCAGGAAAGCAAGATCAAAGAGAAAAAAGACAAAGAACAACTGAAAGGTGGGTATGCTGCGGCTGATGTGTACAAGTGCCGGGAACATTGAATGGTGATTACGACAATCCCAAACTTCCAATTTACGTTTACTTTTACCGAGCAGACCAATAATGAAGCAGATTACAATACAATTTTTTTTTTTTTTTTTAAATTTTTTTTTTAAAAAAAAAAGAATAGAAAAGAAGAAAATTGTATTAATGGCATTTGGCGTTGGGAACCACTACTACTAGATATCGCATAGTTAGCACTCAGTACTAGTTAGCATCTTTTAGTGGACGCAATTCCCCATAGTTAGTACTATTAGTCTAGTTATTCTTTCACCCAAACTCACGGGGCGCCCGTTAGCTTACTGGAGAGCCAATAATACCGTTGAACGTGGCACTAGCGCCCAGGCTCTCAGCTCACCACAGCTTACACGGGCTTTTGAAAGGGGAATTATAAGGCGCAAATAAACATGGACTTTTGATAGGTTCTTACTTTGCTCACGAGTCAGAAGACAGCAACCTCCAACCCATGCCTGTTGGCTACTAGTACTCCTTTGTTTACAATTGACTCGAAGAAATAGTCTCCGAATTCTGCATTTTCCTACCTCCAGACTAGTAGCACCATCGATTTCACAGCCGAGAATTTTAGAGAACCCACGGAAGCGATATATGATTCGCGGTCTTTCTGGAGGGTCAAACTGGATAGTTTGTCAAGACCTCGCCAGAGTTCATGGGACTATGGAAGTGGACTATCAGAGATCCATGTTACTGCAATGAAGGGGTATCTAATGGAATTGTCAAATGTGAGACCGCAGCCTCGGACATCTGAAGCTTGGAGCCCACAGGCACTTCTCAGATTTAAGATATTTGAGAACACGAGCCTCATGGTCAACCAGGTCGATCATCTGGATGGTCCCGTGAGACAGGGCAGGCCAACTCTCGTTTTTGTAAAATTCACCTTGAAGACACGGCATTGATCACCATCAAAGTGCTTGCTCAAGGTAGGGATTTGCTTATCGCTTCGAACATTTGAAGCTGGGATACGGCGATGGGAATATTCTTCCTCGTGGTAATCTGAGCATGGCACGAATCGACTCCTAGGGTGTGTGATGTTCAATCGGTTCAATGTTCACTTGAGGAGTATTCCAGGCGTTGAGTATTAATATATACTCACTTCTAATAATGTACCTGAAACACTCAACCTTGGACTCTTGGAGAATCAGGTGACAGGCACCTGGACTGGGTTTGCACTGTTTGCACTGTTTGCAAGGTTCAATGTTTGTTCTGTTCTGTTCTGTTCTGTTCTGTTCAAGTTTGTCTTGCTTCGTTGCTATGGACTACTGTAACTAGTTAGTTAGTTACTGCTTAGTGTAGCAGTTAGTAACAAGAATACGTGATCAAATGAGATGATTAGAAAGATTCTCAATTTCGATCGAGTTTTGATTTGTAGCAAGTATTACTGTTTTACTACGGTAGACTACACTAGCGTAGAGATAAGATAGAAAACGGGATGAGAATTGAACTTGAGATCATCACGGTATTGGTGGGTATTGGTGGGTATCAAATGCACGAGCGGGGGATCTTACAATTCAAGTTTAGACCAACATTTGACATCACTATCGCTTTTTACTCTTAATCCAAACTCTCCCAATCTTCCCTGTCCTAGATCACATTTCAGGGATTTCTCAAGGATCTCACAGACATCCGATCAATCATCATGCAATAATATGTCTCTCAATCGAGTCTCATTCCTGGAAGGATGGGAGCGTAACCCAGCCTTCCGTCGGGAGGACGCATCAGACACCGAATCCGACAGCTATCAAGACCTACCGGAAAGCCCATCCTTGTCATCCTCGTTCCCATCCACTTATAGTCGACTCAATTTTAATCCATACGCGGGCCCCGGATGGAACGAGACGGTCGACGATCAAGATCGTCCCTCGCTGCTCGGATCCCTGGGTCTGGGTCTGTCCCCCACGACGACGCGGGAGACTCCGCGTGTGGACCCGCTTCGGCCGGCAAGTCCTGTAGTGACACCCAAAGAGCCGACCGGATGGTCTGAGACGGTCGGAGCCTTTGAAGTCAGTGCTACAAAGCGAATTGGTATGTGGAGGAGTTTTGATTTCTTATGCCTTTTTTTTTCTTTTTCTTTTTTTGGCAAAATTTATTTTTCCATGCCTAACTAGTATGTCACTAACATCTTATTACAGTCCAAGTATGCTTAGCAGTCGTCTATTGCTTCCTTGCAGCGGGCATTGCTTTCGGCTTTGCAGCTTTGAAGCCAGTTCTGATTCGCGAAAAGGTTTATCGTCAGTTTTGCTCCAAACAAGAACTCGACGATAACCTTGATGTGTGCAGTGGTCAGGAGATTCGGTATGGACATACGAATTACTACACCCACTCATTCGCTTGGGATTGTTTTACTAATGATGTTAATTCCTCTCAGCATGAACTTGATGTTTACCATCGCCGCCGTTGCCACAAACGTCTCTGCTCTCCCCGTCGGAACTATCTTGGATGCGTACGGACCGCGTGTTAGTGGGATCATAGGCAGTTTCTGCCTGGCAGCCGGAGCCATTATTTTCGGATGCGCCGATCAACTCCCTTTCGATGGATACATTATAGGATACCTTCTCCTCTCCCTAGGAGGGCCATTCGTATTCATCTCATCGTTCCAGCTGTCAAATACGTTTCCCAAACGATCCGGCTTGATCTTGTCAATGTTGACTGGCGCCTTTGATGCATCAAGTGCTCTATTCTTGATCTTCAGGTTGCTGAGCGAGCACACCGCGGGATATGTCTCAATCCAGAAATTCTTCATGGTCTATCTTATCGTCCCAGTCTTCATTATTGCGGCCCAGCTCACGGTCATGCCGGCCACCTCGTACAAAACAACCGGCGAACTGGTCATTCACGCCGAGGTACAGGTTATGGAGGAGATCAATGATCGCGTAGATGATACCATCCACGACCGCAACGAAAGCGAGCGCCAGCGGAACGACAGGCGAATCCGTCGACAGAGCATCGTGCACCACATTCAAGATCTACTGGACGACGACACCGCTTCAATAACTTCGGGTATTGCCGATGCCGTTTTCCACGATTATCCCCAAAATGAACAACCGCCGCACCAGATCAATAATGGTAACAGCGGTGTCAGCAGTGATTACAATAACCCTCCAAAGACCACGGCCACACCCCCAGCAAACACAAGCGGTGTCTGGGGTGTCCTCCACGGCCAAACAGCTCTAGCCCAACTGCGCACGCCGTGGTTTATTCTCATAACCGCGTTCACCGTCCTAATGATGCTGCGCATTAACTACTTTGTTGCCACTCTCCGCACGCAGTATAGCTACCTCCTCTCTCCACCTTTGGCCAAGAAGGTAAACACCTTCTTCGACATCCTCCTCCCAGTTGGTGGCCTCATTGCAATCCCATTTATCGGTACATTCCTTGATAATCTCCGTACTCGGACTGTCCTCTCCATTCTTGTGAGCACGGCAACTGTCATCGGGGTATTAGGTTGTATACGCAATTCTATACCCGCGGCAGCGGGGAATATTATCCTGTTCGTGTTGTATCGGCCATTTTATTATACGGCTGTTTCAGATTATGCGGCCAAGGTCTTTGGGTTCCAGACATTTGGAAAGGTTTATGGGCTTATTATTTGTCTAGCTGGTGTGGGCAATTTCGCACAGGCAGGCCTGGATGAATTGACGCTCAGGCACTTTGGTGGAAATCCAGTACCGGTTAATATCTGGTTGACCGTTGGCGTTGCTGTTGTGGGGGGTGGGTTAGTAGGGTTTGTTAGCTGGAAGACCAATGCTTTGGCGAGGGCAGAGGTACACGGAGAAGGAGAGATGGAGGTAGATTCGAGTGTTAGAACCAGAGATTGGGAGCGAGAACCTCTTCTGGATGGGGGAGTGCAAAGGACATATGTCTAATGAACACATTGAACATTGAAATTCACGAGTATATAATTGATGGCCGCATGCATTCAACCTTTGTTTCGAAGAACAACTTGTAAATCAATAGCCTGTCATAGTAGATGAGAGTTTTTATACAATTGTCACTTCATTTTGAAGAAAGGGTATTGTCAATAGTAAAAATTTGTACATCACTGAACTGAAAGTGAACTTGAAAAAAAAAAGAATGAAAAAAAAAGTCAAACAGTATGCCGAGAGAAAGCTCGGGTTATTTAGTACTGAAACAAGGCTTTGCCTCGAGTTCAGCAAGATCTTGCTGAAGATAGTTCTCAACTTCGTGCCAGATATCCCGACCAGCGTTTTCACCAGCACCCTCGTGCCAAAGCATTTCGTCTAAGGCAAGTTTAATTCCGGACCAAGACCGGATGTTACTGTGACGCGCTACGTCAGCTAGGCTGGAGACAAAGAACAAACGGTCGGGTGATCCAAAGGCTGCGATTCCACCAAGAGTCAAAATCCAAATTAGGGGAACACGGGTAGTTGCAGATGACCATAGGGCTTCTGCAGTCTCTTGTAAGAGAGTGGTGCGGAGTTTCTTGGCTAGGGTTTTGAGTGGGCTATTTTGTTCAGGAATGGGGAAGATGACTCCAATACCAAAAATCAGGCCGGCTAGACGACAGGCCTCATAGGTTGTACCTTGATTTGGATGGGAAAAATAGGAAGTGATGGCTTCGGAGGGGAGAAGGGCGAGAAGTGTATACTCTGTGAAATTTCGTTGGTCGGCAAGCAACGATTCATTGAGGTGATTCTCGATAGATTGTTTCAGAATTTCCTCACTCTTCTGGATGATGTTGATATATGATCGGGCAGCTTGGAATGCCTCGGCCATTTGAGCGGTGAAACCGATGACTTGGAGTCGACCGAATCCATGCTGGATATCGGATGAGCCGAAGCCAATCAATTCCTGTAATGGTATTCCAAGACGGGTTTCGTCCAAGGGCCAAAATTCAAATATAGGCTGGGTGCACCACACCGCTGCAGCGAAAACCTCGGAACTGGCCAAGTCAGTGGCAAGCCTTCCCCCATATGATGTTTTTTTTTCATTACTCACAAAGAAAGTGTTGCGGCCAAACCGGGCAGTTGCACATTTCTAATGCCACCACGTAGCTTGAGCAGCTGGACTAACCCCTGGACATGAACTACATTCGGAGCAAGACATCCGTAGACATCCAGCCACTGTAACTGCTGAAATGGCGGGTGAAAGGGTGTGCTTTGGATCTTGATTTCAGTCGGGGCCGCATGATGCGCCATGCATACAACACTTAACAGGATCGCATCACTGATGGCACGTGATGGGTCATGAACGGCCCGATTGATCAATATGATGGAATCGGTCTCACATTTCTCCAGAAGGCAGTGTTGAATTGGGCCGTATGAGTCACTCGCAAGCCGCCGATTGGCCCAAAGCACTCGCTGGTGACATAGCGAGCCATACATAAAAGCGGTGAAGAGAACGGGGTCCGATCGTGCAAGCGAGAACCACGATAGTCGTGGAAGCGAGGGTGTCGGTTTGAGGGGGCTGTCTTGTCCGGGGACAACTCCTGGCCACATGGTATTCAGGCCTGCAGAGTCAGTACGGGGTTTAAAGTATTTTCGGGATGACAACGAACAGTAGTTTGTGCATACATCCACCGCCTGTGGTGACATTTGCAGATTAGTAGGGTATGTTGTGAAGGGATCTATCGGCCCAGAGATTTGACGATCCAACGCAATCATCTCACCCCATGGCAATATTGTGGGTGGTCTTGATTGCGTAGGTAAGGTAGCTACTTCATCACAGCTCTCGCTATCGTCGCTCCCTTGCGGGGAACAAGTGGGTCGCTTCAAAGAAGAATCCACGGGATCGGCAAAGGAGAAGGGCACGATATCATTTCCGGGCAACGAAGGGTTCCGATGCTGGAGTTGATTTGGGGCTGGACGCGACACGAGGGTAAAGGAGTGACCAGATTTGATTTTGTCGAAGGACAATTCTCGGTTGATTGGAGAAATGGCGGTATTCAAGCGTTGTTTTGTCTGGTCGGAGATCCAACGGCCGACATGCGCGCGTACCATGCGCTGAACTTTGATGCGTTCGAACTCAGTGGTGGGTCTCGCATTCACAAAGTGGATGCCACCCTTCCTCCGCGCGGGCGGGTTATGCTTGTTGGATGCCATCTCTCGTTCGCTGTCGACATCCCTGACGATGACCTTTCAGCGAAGAACGGCGAGGATTTTGGGATAGGCGGAACTAAATTAACCGGGCATTCTTCGAGTGAGATGGAAGGTTTTGTGTGATGTGGACTCGGGGTAAGAGCGCGTGGGGAGGGGTGGGTTCACAAGGCATTAAAGTATTTCAAGGTTTCCATCTGTACATGGCGCCCTTTTATGGAGGAGTCATGAGAAAGGGAAGTGGGATTCAAACAGAGAAGAGAAGCAAAGAAAAGAGAAATAAGGAGAGTACAGGGGGAACACAGGAAAAAAGAAGGAGAAATTGAGTAAATTCCAGGATGAAGACAGGTGAGAGAATTGGAGATGCGGAGCTATCATTGAGAGAGGAGTAATCGGTAAGATTCCATGAATACCGTAATTTCATTTCCAGACTCGGTCCCTCGGGAAAAGTCCAGATTTCTGATTGGTTGAAATCGGTAAATACCAACAACAGACGAGGCTACAGTACAGCCTACGGTACAGCGTAACAAGCTCAAGCTTCAAGAGAAGCTCGTACTTTGAAGCTCCCATTTCTCATCCAAACAGTTTTCCTTTTCTTTTTATTTCCCCCATCATTTCTTCTTGCGAGAAACTTGGCAATTTCCTCAACGTTACGTTATCCTATGCAATGCACAAAGTCTCCTAGCTGTATTGAGAAACGGAAAATCATGCCCGCCAGTGGGGGGATACGAGGTGATACTTGGAGATACGACGGGTTCCAAAGTATCCATATGCTGCTATCTTTCGCCTCCTTTCCCCCGGTAGAAGATCGACTGCACATTAACATGGCTTTTTCTTTTCGGAATTTCTTCATTTTCTAATTTTCTAATTTTCTATTTTCTTCTTGCTATTTTCTTTTTTTCTTCTTTTTCTCCCACCCTTCTCAACGGGGCTCTCCATGGCTCCCGATTGTCCCCCGAGTGACCTGTGCTGCAGACTCGGCGGTACACAAAACCTTGGCCCCAAACCACCCGGTGATAGGTGTGGAATCAATGGAATGACCTACATAATATATGATGGCAGATGCCAACTGTCTCCCCTTGCTTATTTAATCGCGACCGCAGAACATTATACTAATCAAGTCTAGTTCGGATAAAAGCAACTGCCAACTGTCAACTGCAGAAAATGGACAGGGATGTGAAGCCCCCCTGCAGAGAGAGGGAGAAAGAGAGAGAAGTTTTTCCAAGGACATCTGGAAAGAAAGGCAAATGATAGGGGGAAAAATTCACCCAATTTACATTGATACAAGAACTACGGAGTATCCACCAACAGCTTTTGTTTTGGAGCCTAGGGAGGGTTGACTGCATGCAATTAAACGAATACTACATAGTACTAGTATGATACTCAAGGTACTGTGAGTCTGTGACACGTAATAATGTACTACTCCCCGCTCAAACGTCGTTTACCTGCACAACGGGGTTGCACAGCATTGATCGCGTGACGCGGGAGCTTTACTAGTGAAAATGTTGGGATTTACGAAACGCTGGTTACTTGATTTCATTCGTTAAGAAATATTTACCATAAGGGCTAGGGGGTTGAGAAAACTTAAGGATTGGCTAAGGGCTTGCAAAGATAATGCAGGATAAAAAAATATATATATAAAAAAAGCAAGGCCAGTGGAAATAGAAAACACCCCACTCTGACGTTTTAGTCAATCTCAAGGAGGTTGTATCTGGCACTCTCCCCAGTCTGTGGGTCAATATACCGCTCCAGCGCATTCTCCACAACGGCCATGTACCCGAGAACCTGCTCCTCTTGCCAACGGCGACCGACAACCTGCACGGCCGTCGGCAGACCAGCCATCTTGGCGGAGTCATAGTGTCTCCAAGCCCCGCGAGCCACAGCATGGTTGCTACCCAGGCGCTGCAGGACAGTCTGGTACGGAGCCACCAGGACATCACGTACAGCATCAACATGGCCCACGGGTAAGACACCCGCCGTGTAATCCAACAGATTCCAAAGAAAAGTATAACCACATGAAGACATGGCGTCGTACATGGCCTTGTGTGGCAAAGCCGGCGTGGCATTTACAGGGCACAAGATGAAATCAAACTGCTGAGGCTCGGCGTTCCACCAATTATGCCAGGTGGCCCGGAAGGTCTCGCGTTGCGCAACCAACGGCCACAACTCCGCGGAGGACTTGGGACCAAAGTTCCGAATCAAAGTGGCGAGGATCTGGTCACGCTTGATGTAGCGCACGTAAAGGTAGTAGAGGTAGCGCAAGGGACGGGGTAGGTGTGCGACACGGGTCAGCTGGTAAGCGCCGGGGTCAGACGGTTCGAAGCTGCGGAACGGAACGTTGAAATGATGACAGCCGTCAGAGTTTAGGAGCTGAGAGGCAAGGTCAAGGCCAGTAAGGGGATCCGCTCCATCGGGGGTCGTGATCTCAGTCACCGTATGTCCGGCCTCGGTCAAGGCAGCGACCGTGGTGGAAATAGCACGCTCAATAGCGGGTGTAGGTGGAACAACGCCTGCGATGATCAGTAACACTTCCAAAAAAAAAACTCAAGAATCAACTCCAATGATAATGAGAGCTTACCGTCGTTTCTCATCAACCCAATACGAAGAGGCTTAGTCTTCGCCTCAGTCTCAAGATCCTCTCGCCAGGCAATCGGGTGGACAGTGTGGTCGTACTTCCACGGTTGCATTCCAACCATAGCCTGGGTAAAATAGGTCAAGTCATTCAAAGTACGAGCCATCGGACTAAAGACACTGGGAATGCCCTCCTGTCCCGCCATACTTGTGCTCACGCCAGTTTTAGGCCAGCGACCCGTGCTACAACGGAGTGAATAGATCCCACTCCAAGCAGCTGGCACACGCACAGATCCAGCAACATCCGAGCCGATGCCAATACGACCGCCTTGTGCCAACAGAGCAGCCTCACCACCGGTTGAACCACCAGGTGAGTATGCAAGTCCGTGGGGGTTGCGGCAGGTGCCCCAAAGTCCATTGGCGGATTCGAAGGAGAGAAGTGTGATAGGCAAGGCTGTCTTTGCGTAAGGAACAGCTCCTATAGAGAAGTTAGGCATTGCTTATAACCAGGCAGCAAAATGCAAAAATTGGGGGTCAAATATACCGGCGTCTTTGAGCAACCGGGTCATCGGTCCATCTTCAGTGAACGGCTTCCCCGCTAACGCGGAGTAGCCGAGGGTGGTGTCAAATCCTTTAATTTGAACGGAATCCTTGAGCGAGATCGGAATTCCCGCCAACGGTCCCTTTAAATTCACCTCCGACTCAAGCCATGACTCTGCTTCTGGGAGCAAGAGCTCTGTGATACAGTTGGTAAGTTTCTGGGCGCGAACAGCAACCTTGCCGTAGGTTCGAAGAACCGTGAGGGCTGATGTTGTGGAGCTTTGAATGTCTTGAACCAGCTTTTCAATGGGTTGATCGATAATTTTTTTATCCGATTTTGTGATCTGGAGAAGATAGGGGTGGGGCAGGGAAGCGAAACGAAGGCTTCGTTCCGCCTGTTTTTGGTTCCTGGGGAATATAAAGGTTAAGAAGATGCAAGGTTGACTGTGGATCCAGCATATCGGCGGGTAAAGAGCGACTACCTACCGTATGCGGCGATACTCAAAGTAATCAAATGGAGGAAGCATGTTGGCGCAGTTTTGTAGAAAGAAAAAGCACTTGAGGCGACAGAGTGGGCTTTTATCCAACTCGAGTGTCAAAGACTCAAGAAGCTCCTGCGGGGAAAGGGACCCAGTGTGGAGCAGCTGAGCTTATCGGATAAGCCCAGATAACAACCGGCCCCGGTTGGAGCCGGCGGTCTTGAGTCCGCCGGTAGGGGAAATGGTAGGGGAAATGGTAGAGGAAATGATTCAATTGCTGCTCAATGGATTAACGTTGTGAAATTAAACAAGTAAGCGACAATGATTTTTGCTCTTTTTTGACATGGAAGAGGGAAATTTCCAAACCCCCCCCCCCTCTAATGGTTGCCCTAACCATAGAGGCAGGCGGATATTCGTCATACCAACTGGCAACACACGGCAGTAACTAAGCTAGTTAAGGCAGGTCCATGCGTTTAGTAACTACTAGTATCAAACTCCTCGCAGATTAGGATGGTAGAAGGATAGAAGATAGTATGTATTGGAGACGGACAAGCTGCACATGTGTGCTCACGTGGGGTAAATTAATGCATTATTCATATTTTCGTAATCGATATACTATACTCTAAGCTATCTACGGAAACCTAAGCCTAACATGAAAGCCGCCCTGGAGGCGCGGCGGGTATATCTCCAGGGTCCGAGCCGTGAACAAACAAAAAGAAAAACGCCAGGGGGTGGGGACTGAAGTAAGCCCAAATGCAATCAACCGAATACACCAGTTTTATCGTCTTGAAGCCTGCTTCTTCATGGCTCGATGCTTTGTAGCCAGTGGTGCTTGCTGAGCCACCATACAATCACCCCACCGGTGACGAGGAGAATGATACAAAAGAAGATAATGAAGCCCCAGATGAGAGACTTCTTGCTTTTTCGTCGCTCACGTTCTAGCCAGGAGTCTTGTGCTCTAGTGCTCTGGTTAGCCTGTGGGTTCCGTACAGCGAAGGTTGTAGACGTACTTTTCGGTGATCGGGGTCAAAATGTCGGGTGTGCGTGTGCCTTTTGATTCTTCATCCAGATGAACTGCCGTTGAAAAACGTTTCCAGAAGTACGGGTCGCGTACAAGGGCCATTGTGGGTGAAGTACAGAAGCAAGGGCTCGGTCAAGCGGGATGGTACAGCAAGACCCCTTGCTCTAATTCGGTGACAACAGAACGGTTGAAATAGCAGCGATTTTTCAGACGCAATTAGGTGGATTGAAATTCGTGTGACGGGGAAGTCAAGGTGTCGAGAGTAGACAGGATTTGACAGCAAGAAATCGAAATTGGCGGCAACGCTGCACTTAATGATCAAACAAGAAGGGAGGTAGTGTCAGATGCCACGACATGGATTTGGCCAGTTAAATGGACGCTGGAGAGAAGGCAGCCTAGCTCAGACAGGCCAGATATGTGACAAACTCCAATGCACCAATAATATGGACAACAATTGATCGATTGGATACCATGGAGACCAAATAGCTGGTATGGTATGGCGATGAGGAATGAAGGGGTGGAAGTTCTGGTGGTTGGATGTGGTTGGATGTTGTCCAATCCTGTTTCTTCAAGCGGTCGGAATGTAAACGCCCATCGATTAGTTTTGCCATGGGAGAAAAAGATGCATTTGCGGGGATATTAATGCATCAGTTGATAACGTATGCCATTGGGTAGTCCCAGTCTCGATCTAGGCCGTTGCGGGAGCCAGACGGTAGACCTATAAGGCTATTGACCACTTTGCGGAACATTTGAAGAAAGACGGATGATTCCATCCCTTGATCCAAATGTCAATATGCAGGAGCTTCACCAGAGGTTTCATGCATGTGAAGCGGTTGAACCTTGTCATTCTGACTAAATCTACTCTTTTCAGAAGTTGGAGCAGCTAATATCTGTCTTTTAAGTTTTGGCCTGGCCAGGCTGGCATAGCCTATACTAGGCTATAGGTGTACTTTGTATTTCGCCAACTGGCAACACTTTAGAAACGGCGTCGTTTTGCTCGTTTTGCTCGTTTTGCACATTTTGCACATTTTGCATTGTTCATCTGCGATCGGCCAAATCTTCTCTCCCCGAGCATGATTTGAATGTTCGTTGAGCATCATAGTTAAAATCATACATGTCCTCGTTATCTATGCCTTGCTCTGACAATTATTTGGCTGTTTCTAGGATTCAAAATGCCTCATTTTTCTTTAAGAGTCCAACTTGTGACTTGCCTCATAGTTCTTGTTAGAAGCTAACTCCAAGACAAGGAACATCTCGAATCTCGATCAACGATCTTCAAAATATGTCCTCATTACCTTCAAATTTTCCGTCGTTTATGTCATTGATTTACTAGACTTGGATACCTCACAATTACTGTGGAAGTGTACATACTACTAGTAGTATGCACATATATGATATAGATACGTAGTAACATGGTAGTACTAGCATGTGGGTTCCAAGATTTCATTACTTTCTTCACCTGACTCGCCACTCGGCAAGATAAAGCTTCACCGATCACCTCCAACATCCGTGTAAACCCACGATGGGATTTCACCGATCGTTTGCAAACCTCTTTTCAATTTTACCATTCAAATAATTCGGCGACCATGGGATATTCCATGAAAAGTACCGACTCGGCGACCAAACGCCAGAAAAAAAAATCGATCGCGTAAGTTGCCAACTTGCACTAAATCTATGCAGGAGAACGGCGTGTTTATATTTCTAGCTGCCGGCGATGTCATACCCACAAAATCAAATGTTCCGGGGGACAGCCTTGTGTCAAGTGTCACCAATCAGGCTGTGCTAATACATGCACCTATGTCAATCGCGATCGGCAGGTCAAAGTTCATGAAAGGTATGGAACAAAAGGAGTTGATCTGACCTCTAGTCCCCATCTAAAGTGTCTATTTCAGCTATCTCGAACAACTTGCAGCAGAGAATGAACGCCTACGAGAGCAACTATCCCAGTCACCAGGACTCGGCACACCTGATGCCCAAGCCACTCAAGGTAATATTTATTATTTCCAATGCCATGATCAATACCTTCAATGCTGAACAGCTCATCATTATCAATTGATCCGCTAGACATCACTGCACCCGATCCAGACACTCATATTCATAACCCAATGCTGGGCAAACTGGCTTGGTTTCAACCATATGACCCATCGGCACCACCAATTCACATCGCAGAAGCAGCTTGTACAGCGTTTGCTACCCGACTGCGACAAGTCCTCAGCAAGGATGCCAAAACATCCCATATAACGCGGACCCAGTACACGTCTGAGGCAATATTAATGAAACTACGCGACCCGGCGCTTCAATGGCCCAGTTTGGTTCAAGCTCGTCTTCTTATTCAAGTCGTTTTTAGTCAACTGAGCAGAGTCTATCACTTGGTGCTTCGCAAATCAACAATGGATGAACTAGAGGATGCATACAGGAAAGGTGATTTCAGCAACCCGATCTTGAATTGTAAATTCTTCGCATTATTTGCTCTTGGAGAGGTCTATTCGGTACGATCAAATTCAAATCCCGAGTGTGGCGTGCCCGGAGCTTCATTCTATGCCAATGCGATGATGTTGATTCCCATCCTGCCGGAAAGACCGAGCCTTGCTCACATCGAGTCTCTCCTGCTCTTGGTGAGTTCCTGCGATAACGCGAAAAAAAAATTGATGAGAAGTTGACCATCTAGTCGTTGTATTCTTATTTCTTAAATCGTCGCCACTCGGCATTCCTCCTGATCGGAAGTGCCATGCGCCTGGGACTAACTCTTGGACTCCATCACAATATTCCAGAATGCCAGTGTCCTGACCCGATAGATCGACAACATCGTATTCGACTATGGTGGACAATCTATGTCTATGATCGCATTTATAGTTCCAAGGCTGGCTGGCCTAACCAGCTTTCTGACGGTGACATCAATGTCGAGATGCCATCGACCGTGCCCGGTGATGCCCACGATGAACAATTTTCAGACACGGAATTTTTGATCGCTAGTATTGAACTAGCAGGAATCACTGGCCAGGTGACGGAGAAAGTATACAGTCGCAAGAAACAGCCAGACTCGTTTCTGCAGCGAGAGCAGAAATTGTTAATGGCACTGAAGCAGTGGTCTCAGGCTTTGCCACCACATATTCGACTTATCCGTGAATCCCGTGATGGACCGCTGCCGAAAAACGTGATCTCATTACATCTTCAGTTCAATCAGGTGACTTTTCTTTGAGATCATGACCCTTGGGGTGGGCAGTGATAGCTGACAAAATGCAGTGTATCATCTTGGCCACGCGACCGATTCTGCTCTATACTCTTATCCAATCGAAGGACGCCAGTCATGATAAATGTTCCGCTCCCTCCAACGCCCAGACTCTCAAAACTCTGAGTGATGCATGCATTCACGCTGCAAGGAACACACACTCACTGATCGTGGATGAGTGGGCTAGCGGTAGCCTGCCGATCTTCGGTTACTTTTATGCGCATTACATATTCTCATGCGCGCTTATAATGGTAATCTCCAGCCAAATTTACAGCGACCAGTGCAATGACTTTGCGCTGTTCGAGACTGCCTTTGAGATCTTGCACGCCATGAGCGACCATGGAAATCTAGCCGCCAGTGAATTCTATGAGAATCTCCAATGTGTGCGAGAATGTCTTGACAAGGAGGAGTCGAGTCGCCACTCACTCCCTCTAGTCGATCCCACTGACTCCCTCCCTGACCCAGCCGCACGGGGCTCGCATGGCCTATCAGGCCACCACGCTTTGCCCGAGATCACGGTCCCTGGTAATCTGACAGACGAGATGGAATTTCTAGGCGCCAGCATGGAAGAATTTCTGGCCCAACCAGATGTAGATTTTGGGCCACTGGACCCCTCGGGGGTGCCGATCAATGTGGCTGACGCGATGTACTCGTGGCCTACATTTTCCCTGTGGACTGCATGAACGGAATAAGAGGTCTTAAAGACCGGGATAGTTCCTGATTAGTATTAGGCAGGAAAAAAAACCCCCCTCGTATGATGACGGCAGCTGAGTTTGCAGGGATTGGATAAGAGTGTGAAGGATCATTATCATGGTGCCACATAATATCATATTACTTAGTATTATGACTCTAATTATTCTATTCGAGTCATCTGTTCCTTGAGTTTGCTATTCAATCACTCCACCAACGCTGAATACTTTTTTATTCTTTCCTTCTTACTTCCTATCTTCTTTCTTTTCCATCGTTCTTCCTTTTCTTTTCTTTCTTTCGGTCTTCTACTGTTCTAACTTCTACATATTTGGAAATCTTCCCCGCAGTGGGTCCCACATGTTTGTGCCTGACCGCCCCTCCCTACGGACCCTACCTATCGACTCGACCTCCCTTGAAGATCCTGGCAATGCCTTGGCCGTGATCTCTCACTTTGAGATCTCCGATGCAATGTCTTCTTGGGGAACACTGATTAACTCTGATAAAAGTCCAGCGCCGTTGCTGGAACAGCTATGTTTGGGCATCGCGCAGTTGATGGTGAGCTTAAAAAAGTTATAACCGTATTGGACTCGGACAGTAGCTAACGGGATGCAGCCTTCCTTTGATTCAAACGGTACCCTCGATCTGACGCCCGGTCGTATCGCGAGCTTCTACCGTAAAGTTGGGGGCAACTACGACTCTTTGTTTCTAGACACCACACCCTCGGCGCTTTCGTTCATTTACCAGTCGCTTGGCTGTTTTCATACCCTCCAACCTTCCAACAATCCATACGAACCACCCTCGATTCCGTCGTTACAACCAGCTGGGTTCGTAAGATGGCAGACAATCCAGTTGTTGATGGAACCGGATGAGCACTGGCAGTACTTGCAAAATGCGGTGAGCATGTGGGATATCCCCGACGCGACAGGGGAGTTATTCCCAAAGGAGATCCCACGCGATGCATTTCCTTCTGAGCCAGACTCAGAGATGTTGGCGTGGCACGAAGGGGTCAGCCGAAAACTCGAGCGCGACTACATGAAGCGAAAGACATCGCATACTCCATCCCCGGATTTTGGGGGGTATCACTATCGCTTTAGCGGAAAAGACCCATTGCCCGATGAAGAGGAATACTTTTCGCCCCCACCACGACAATCCACACCACGACAATCCACACCACGACAATCCGCACCGCGACAATCAACTCCGCGGCAGCAAAGCTACCATGAGGCGGATAGGCCTAGTGGACGGCGCCAACATCACCGACGCCTCAGCGCTGAATATCCCGCATTCAATGCCCGCAGACCCGAGCCTACTTTCCCCTCACGGCCAGATGGAGGCCGATCTGGTGTTTCCTCCCCTCGAGGTCCATCTCCATCTGCGCATATGGATCATCCTCATCGCCGCTCGAGAAATCATGGGCAACCACCCTGGAATTCTCACCAATTCATGTCGGGAATGAACGACACGCAAGATTCAGAACATGTCCCCGAGGAAGGACGGGCGAATGAACCCGAGCCCGAGCCCCAATACAGACGGCGGACTAATCGTAATCTATCCCCGCCTCACTCCCATTCACGAACACGCCGTCATTCCCACGACGCATATGCACGAAAGCCAGTCCGCGACCTCTCGCCCTCCGCACCGCGAAGAACCTATCGGGGATACGAGCACGATATCCCCGCGCCCATGCCCAAGCCAAGAAAATCAAACTCAGCCGGGACACCCAGATCCCTCCACCGTGATGACCGTTCTCGTTCCAGGTCCTCGGGTGTCAAATTCAAAGAATTTGCATTTGACTTTCCTCAACAAGCTCCCGCGCCAGCTTCTGACCCATCGATGTTTATGCCACCACCACCACGATCAGCCCACCGCCACCGATACAACCTAGATCCATATGCCGAAGAGTTTAGACGAGGTAGCTACGGGGGCGGTAGTACCCCAGGCAGCCGCCCCGGAAGTGGTGAGAGTGGTTCCGATCGACCGCGTTCGTACAGTACTGCTGGCTTTCCACCTCCTCGATCATCTCGATGGACCAGCCCTTCACGAGGACCGGGTAAACGATATGTGACGGGTCTTGCCGAAGACGTCGAATATTATTCTCCCCGGAGAGGTCCACCGTACAAGTGATAATTTATGCTGATATGTGATGTCATTTTTTGGCTGTACCATCTCCTTTCTTGGTGACATTATTTATGGTTGTATCTCACTTCACTGGATATTTCTCACTACTCTATCACGACAGACTACGTTTTCTTCATGATTAATGACTCATATGAGGCGCTGGGGGATCTTTACCAATTGGGTTTAGCATTTTAATGTGTTAGTTTCGAAGGTGTACACAGTACTTTGAATCGGATTTTCGTTTTCTTCCAAGACTTTACTTTCATAAGCCTTAGTACTCACTCCAATTCCATTAAAAAAGCATTGCCCAGGTACTCTCGTACCAGGAACTTGAAATTACTAGGCATTCCCAAATTTGACATTCACATGTGGAGTAAGATGGATTGAGTCTTCAAAGGTTGGTGATAGACCAATTCCACTGTATGTAGTATCCAGTAACACCCTGATTCCATGTTGATTCTCTTGAGAGTCAATATTGATACAAACAAAATCAATAGAAAGTAGCATCCACAGCATCAATGAGATCCGTTGGAAAGTCCCGATATGAACTTATGCCGCCATTAAACAACTCATCTAAAGTGCTTTTCTGATACCCTTCCACCTCCCAGACATCTGACCCAACTGCTTTCAAAGCATCTCCAGTGCCCCAAAGTCGACGACAGGCGTATGGCAACGTCAAAACCCCATCGCCAGCCATTCTTTCTTCAAACTTCCGATCGATCTCCTCCAGGCTTTGCCGGAAGATTTGAGGAGGGGAACCGTGTTTCTTCTCAAGGGCCTTGGCTATCTCGCCACCAGTTGGTCGCAATTCCGCGAGACCAATTACTCGGCCCTGAAGATCGGCGATGGGTGTCTTGGGGAATAAGGACGCGTATCCCGCCGCGATATACTCTCGAGTACTATATGCCGTTAGCGGCAGGAAAGTATGAGGAAGGATCAATAAGACCGAATAAAGGGGACTCGAGCCTTACCAAATATTCAGTCTCTGATTTTCTCCATCACCAGAGAAGATAATTCGATTCTTAGCTAGATCAATACCCAGCAACCTGCAAAATATCTTATTAGCCAAGCTGATCCATATATGTGACCAGATTACAAAGTTCGAATCATCGCAAAGTTGGATCGCAGGTGACCTACCCAGAACTCAAAGCAGATTCAGCGAACAGGCCTGGCAAGACAATAGTCATCGGGATCCCAGCAGCCTTGGCTGCGTTTTCAACTTCATCCTTCACTTTGTTAACCCTGACCCTGAGACCCTGTTCATTCGATCGAAACGCCAAGTCCGAGGGTACAAATAACTTGACGTCCGTATGCGGCAAAGCCTTGATAAAGGCATATTGTATCTCAATGCCTGCTTGGCCCACGAGCGATCTAGAATCAACCTTGGTATTAGCACATGGCCTCAATTTCTGCAGAGGAACACCCGAGGAGATAATTTACATCAAAATATCGATGTCTTTCAACGAAGAGCGGAGAGCATCCTGATCTTCAGTATCCACTTCGATCGCCTGAACGCCACTTGGCAGGGTACTGATATCTGATCCTGGCCTGTACAAGACCCGAACAGGTGCACCTGAATGAGCAATGGAATCAAAGATCACGGAGCTGGCCCAGCCACGGTGGGCATAGACAGCCAATCTGTTGAACGACATGGTGAGAGCCTTGAAGTTTGAAAGAGACCGAAGTATGTATTGATACCAGACAGTATTCTAGTGAATTCAGAATAGTGTATGAGTTGAATTCGAGGACTTGACTCTTGAGGAATGGATGTTTTAGTGTCAGATACAAATTGGAATGTAATTTGCTATTTAAACCAAAGCCCTACTATATATTGAACATGAATTAGAATGGAACAGACAGTTTGGCTAATTTGATATCTTTGCATGTCACAGACTCACACAGCCTGTGTTTGCTGTGGCGCAATTCGGGGCTAATTGATGATTGGGCCGTTGTCCAATGTTTGGCGTGTTTGACTTGTTTAACTTGTTTGTACTTTGCCTGGTGACCAATCAAAAGTCTCCTTCTTATCCAGCCCCCAAATAAGGCGTGTTTGCTTCAATTGCAATCTTGATTACCCCCGTACAGAATCATTCACGATTGGCCAGGCTGTGTTTGCACCCTTTGCAAGGTTTGATTGTAAAATTGCTCAAAGTGTTTGCCTTGTTTGCCTTGTTTGGCAGGTTTGGTTGAATAATGAAACGGTTGAAACAATGAAACCTACAGTCCTACTAGTAGTCTAGTACACCGTACTAGTTAGAGTCTAGACCTTAACAAACCAGGCTCGATTATACCAACGTTGAACCTTCGAGATATTGCACATTTGAATCTGGATCATCAATCATCTATTGCAACGTACTATCTCATGACAGAAATTTATGAACATCATTCGTACATGGATCCTTTAACACCACGATTATACTTAGGCATCCTCCCTCTGCTCAACAGCACCCTTCTCTTCAGTCTTCATCCAGACTTCCACTTCCGCTGCCTCACCCTGCGGCAAGTGGCGAGCCATAGAAACAATATCCCAAGTAGTGGGCGCATCCCGGAACACATGGTTAAGAGCCTCTAGGTTGCGGTTCATGGTTTCAGGGTAGAACATATAAACAACAACCGGGATACACGCGGAGATCACCGCATACATGATATAATACTGATATCCAATAGTGTCAAGCGCAACGGGCGTGATCATGACAACAACAAAATTCCATAGCCAATGATTACCAGTCGAGATAGCAGCCATGGCGACACGGAGGCGCATGGGTGCAACTTCCGTACAGTAGAGAAAGTTTCCGCCCAGGAAGCCGACGGGGTAGAATGAATTGAAGAGAAAGATGAAAACCGCAGATACAACAGAGGCAGTATGGTTGCCTTTGAAACTGGTCGTGATGGCAAGGACAGTCATGCAGACGGACATGCCTGCGCCACTAATCATGAAGATCTTGCGGCGGCCTAGTCGATCAATAGCGAAGAATGCGATGAAGCTACACAGAAACTTCCATGTCATTGCGCAGGAGGATAGGATACGAGCAAGGTCGCTATCCATATGCAGATTTTCTTCGAAGATGGTCGATACATAGGTCGAGATAAGGTTGCCACCGCACATCTGTTGGAAGAACTGGAGCGCAACGCACAGGCAGAACCGGTATAAAAGGCGTTCATCGTCGGGTTTATTGGGGTTGAAGATATCCCGGAGTTTGGCGCTATCAAGTGAGACTTCGAGTGAGGTTTCAATACCGGCGATCTCGACACGGACAGACTCGTCTTCGACAGAGACACCCTTATAAGCAGCGAGACTGTGAGTCGCTTCTTCGATACGGCCAACACGAACGAGCCATCGAGGGGATTCAGGAAGGAGGAAGACGGCGAAAAGGACGATAAGGGAGAAGAAGAAAGAAACAGCGAGCGGGATGCGCCATTGAAGCGTTCCGCCGACCTTGCTAAGACCAAAATCAATCCAGTTACATAATGCATAACCCAAGCAGATACAGATTCCGTCGACAACAACATGTTGTCCACGGTGTTTGGCTGACGTGGATTCGGATTGCCAAACTGGTACAGCCACACTCCATTGGCCAACACCCACTCCAAGAACCACACGTCCAACGACAAACTGTGCGAGTCCATAGGCAGATGTTTGAAGCAATTGCCCAATTAAAGTAAGAATGGCACCAAGGAAAATTGTCTTCCGACGGCCCAGCCGGTCACCCAGTGCTGTGCATGATAGGGCGCCGACCAGGGCACCGAGTTGGAAAGAGGCTATGACAGCCCCCTTTGCAGTAGAGTTCTTGGCGAGCTGAGCGCCTTCGGTATTGATGGTATCAATCTGAGGAAAGATACCTACCCAGCTCTGTAGTGTAGCTAAAGGCCCCAGTCCAGACTGATTGTATCCAAAAACGATGAAGGCGGGCGCAACAATGAGCAGCGCCTGCGCTAAACGAAGCGACTTTCCGTAGAACATGGTGACTGGTAGAAGGAAAAATGAGACTCAACCCAATGACGAAAAACGAAAGAAAAAAAAACCCTCATGGTGACAGAGATTTCTCGTCAACTTTATGTACACCGGTGAGCCCGCAGCCCGCGGAGACCCCACAAGATGGGCATCTGGACTGGAGAATGTGGATTACAAAATGGTACGTGCTCAGAGTCTCTTGCCCGGCCTCGAATTGGCTGACATCGCCGCAGGCTCCATCAGACCCGTTGCAATGAGCTGATGATCTCACTATTTATTCCCCATTGGACAATACAATCCCGAGACAGAGTCCGGGGTTGGGTTGGAACACGAGGCAGTGGGTGTTTGCGGGATGCTTTGGGGTATGATCGTACAAGGAATGCCGAAAGTCGGAGATAATTGTGCCATGCGTGCTCTTCCACACTTGTTTATACGATGGATGCGCATCGTGGGGGTGAGTGGACTTCCTCCGAAGTCAGGTTTCAAAGTCTATTGGTGGTCCGTCGCCCCGCGGGTCGGAGATCGGTTTCCTTGATACCTCTGGTGATTACCCATGCCTCTCGGGCCGAGCTGGCATACTGGGACTAGAGCTCCCGGTGTGCCGGTGTGACCGGCAAGACTAAATCAGTTTTATAGAGGTCTCATAGATCAAAATGAAGGTCTTGATATTGAGGCATTCTTCTCATAAATCTGGGGATAAATGCATGCCAATAGTTTTGGGTTTGACGAGGCAAGATTACCCCGGCATGCACAGCCTATGAGAGATCAAATAACTCGTAGCAAGGAGAATATTCAAGGCTTGTTTGGTCCTTGTCGTGCATCTCCAACGCCAAGAACCCCGCCAAGAATAGAGCCAAGCGGAGTCTCAGCCCGATCCGGGGACTGCCCGGGGGCTCAGGTGGAGTGCCAAGAAGAAATGGAAGGACGTGGGATGAAACTCGCTCCACCATATCGGTCATGTTCCGCGATGGCGTTATAAGAATTTCATGAAAGGAAAGGTTAAAAGGTCAGTGTTTTCATGGAAGTTGCGCCACGTCGTTTATTTGGACCGTCATTTGACACTGGAAAGTGAAGGTCGGCGTAACTTCGGAGATTTCTTTCTGATTAGGGTGAAATGATCGACGTGAGAGAGAGAGACAGCGAGAGATGGATGTTTTGGCGATCAAACATTTTGAATGATTGGGCCTAGCTGGAAAGCGTAAAACGAAATCCAAGAAAACCTCTTGTGCGTGATCTATAACATCTGATTGAAAGATTATAGATATGATTCTCAATATCCTTGATGAACCAGGTCCCGATAGGGGTTATTCGGATCCTGCTCCTCCTCTTCAGGTGACGGAATAGTCTTTACGACACGGCATGGACTGCCCACGGCAACGGAATAAGGCGGAATATCTTTGGTGACAATAGATCCTGCCCCAATAGTACAGCCCTTGCCAATCCGAACACCAGGAAGAATCACTACGTTCCCACCAATCCAGCAATCATCTTCAATGAAGACAGGGTGGCCAAACTCAACATTTTTCTGTCTGGACAGAACGCTGGTATCATGGCCCGCTGTGAAAATGCCGACTCCAGTCGCAATCTGGACGCGATCACCAATGAAGACTAGACTGGTATCCAGAATCGTGACACTGGAGATTGTCAGTGGATGGTATTTCCAGGTTATCGGGTTCCAATGCTGTCAAAAAACGAACTTCCAATTGATAAAACAATCCCGCCCGATGGATATGTTGCACCCGTAATCAGGGAGGAATGGTGGCTCGACGAAGGTACCATCTCCAACTCTGCCAACCAATTTGCGTAGCAGCTCCAGTCGCTTGTCGGCTATTTGATCATAAGGTACTGTCTTGGTGTCCAGATTATTGTAGTCGGCTGTCAGACCGCGACATTGGTGACGGGCTTCCAATAGCTTTGGAATTGTAGGATTGTACCTGATTAGTTTAGTGAGATTGTTCTAACAGATATCATATTAGCGAACGTACATCATCCCCGAGATCATGCGCTCATAATCTTCGCATTGTGGTACCCCGCGCAGAGTGCGCGAAAGCTCAATAATTTCAGGGCGCTTTTCCAGGGCAGCCATTTTTAAAGGAGTTGAATGTTCGCAAAGGATTTGAAGAGACACGGTATGTTGCCTTGACTTTATACAATGCTCAGTTGTTGATTGTAGAGTTGTAGACTGTGATAGACTGTGATAGACTGTGGTGATTACTCATTACCCCGCAGGCCTGCTAGCCCCGATCGGGTAATAGTGTCAACTCCGAGATTTTGCCTTGAAATGCACGATTGATGCTGCCTTGGCTGCCAATTCAGTATATTGAGATTAAAAAAGTGATTTTGAAGAGATTTGCCTTGCATTCTGTAAGCCATGTGGATCACGCTTAAATCCCCCCGGAGACAACACTGAAATTTGCCGTGTTTTTAAGGTTGGCGGGGATTTTCCACGCTCCAAAGAAGTTGAAAGTTGGAGGTGTGCGGTTACTGTGGGGCCCATCATTAGCCGCACAACAATATCACGAATCCACGATTCACGTCGTGATTCACGAATCACCCACTATCGCCAAATAGACGTGAAGCCACCGAACGCGTCTACTCGTAAAGTCCAACTTCTGTTTGATTCATTCTCCAACGGATCATTCCTTCTTGCCTCCAACCCCATCTCTCATTCTCTCCACAATCACGCATCGGAACTTTCTGATCCCACACAAACCGCTTAATCATTAGTAAGCTTTACACTCACGAAATTATGGCCACTTCCAAGATGAGCAAGCGGGCACGGGCAAACACCGCTGGTGATATCCATATTCAGCTCAATGAAGGCTCGGCTTCTGGAACTCTTGCCAATGAATCGCAACCGCCAGTTCCCTCGCCTCAAGAGATGCAAGGCCTCAAGGCCGAACAGCTGACTGAGCTCCTTCATAAAGCCGCAGCACTTCACCCTGATGTTAACCTCATGATCACCACTGCGATTGAAAAATCACGTGAGGAGCGCCAAAAGCACGTCGTGAATTTCGATCAGTACTCCGGATCGATCTGGAGACAGATCAATGTCGACTACAGTTCCATGAGAGGATCAAAGCAATATGAAATGGCATTCGATGTGGCTGGGAGTGTTAGCTCCACTATCAGTCTGATTGCAGCCAAATGTGCCCAATTTGCAAATCCTCAAACTCGTCGAAATGGACTTGAAACGCTACGTAAAATCGGCAAGACCATTTGCCTGTCGTCCAATGATACCTTGGGCCATGAGGTACAGAAACAGTTCCAGTCGGACCCAAGTCTGGAAAATGCCATGCACGACATTGTGGCCGAGATGTCGACTGAAGAGCGGGAAGCCATTCAACGCGACCCCCTTTGGCAGAAATTGGAGGAGCTAGAGGCACTTGCCAATGATCATTGTGTCTTTGACGGACTCCGTGGTGTCCTGGAAACAATCCAAGGTGTAGGAGATGACGATGACTCGGATGAGGGAAGTGAGGAAGGGGAAAATGAAGAGTATGACGAGGCAGATGAATATGGGGTTACTGGTGATGAGCACGATGTCTGCTAGGTTGTCTTGAATGTGCTCAGATGTTTTTTGACGCCAGAGCTCTTTTTTTTCTTTGGTTTTTTTTTTCTTCTTCTGCTCCCCAATATCTGTTACTTAGCCTGACCTGTCAACCAAGCGTCTGAAATCCATGCATCGATCTTATTCCTTGACTCCGTTCCAACTTGACCTTAAAATTTCAGCAAATCTGCATGCCGCGTTTCGAGTGTTAAAATCTCAAATTTCAGCTTGCATTTTGGGGGCTGAGATCGCTGACGGTTTCCCGCATGTTCCAAGCTTGGTTCCGACCGATATTTCCAATCAAACCATGCATCTCAAGGCGCCGATCCCAAAAAATCCACCAACGCCACACACATATGTTGGATGTTGAACGTGTGCCGGAAACCGGTTAATTAGCGGCACTTGAGGATTTCCGTATTTCCGGAAGGCAGATCAATGATTCACCAAAAAGAAAGCTATTGGCTTGGCTTTTTTTCCGCTCCGAACGATTGGATCGAATGAACTCGTAGTTCCTGCACCTTGGGGTTAATGATCACATTTCCCAAGGCTTTTCAGTTAGCGCATTCATTGCGGGATCGCCCGACGTTGGGGTCCAGGCTCTCTCTTCCCCTGAAAAATGGGGGGAAATGTCCACGGGAGAGAAAGTCACCGGACTCCACTCAAACCAATGGAAACAAGCCCCAGTCAAGGGGCTTCGCGTGGGTTTTCATGGACGGAGTGTATGGGGTATTTCACCATGAAGATCATGAAGCTTTGAAGGGATCTACTTCAAACGGGATTTTGTATTTTGTATTTTGTGTTTTTTTTTTTTTCCTTTGAATTTTGCTCGCTTGAATCAAAAAGAACGAGAAATCCAAGCCAGCAGGCAGGAAAAAGACCACGAAAAAAGAGCGCGAAAACTCGAAACAAAAGAGGCTATGACTAATTTCTCATCCCGAGGGAAATCCAACAATCGTCGTCTATTGGCCCGAGGTCAATCCGTGGGGAAAGCGGGGAAAACATCGGGAGATGGACAGCACGGAGATGCCCTCCTAAACTCACGCGTTGAACCTCCAACTCGGAAACTTGCCAGCTAGCGTCTGTGTTACCTTCACTTGAATCTTGAGACAGATCCACTGGGTCATCCACGAATATGGTTGTGAAAGCATGCAATCGCTGTCATTCCGCCAAAGAAAAATGCACCTTCATAGGCAGTGATCAGCAATGCACAAGATGTCGACGCTTGAAGATTCCATGTTCCATCTCGCGTCGCAGTGGGCGTATCGGGCGCAGACCATCCGCCAAGGCATTCCCACATGGCCAAATGCAGGTCTGGAGCGTGGAGACTCGAGAACAGCCCAGCGAGTCCGAAGCAAGCAGTAGCAAGGCCACATCGCGTGCGCCCAGCCGAGGGTCCGAGTCGGGCTCTCAATCTGATCTCACAGAAGAAATGTGTACCCCAAATAATAATAATATCATGATGCTGTCGCCCGAGCGACTCATCTCTTGTCCAAAGAAACTGCAAACAACGGCCGATGCGCTTCAAACGGTCTTGGACGTGGAACAATTTTCGGTCATCCATACGCCGTTCATGCTGGGATCCAGTTTTATACCCGAAGCACAACGAACCGTCTATACCATTTTGTCTTTATCCGGGCCGACGTTGACGGAGGGATATCTCGCTTTCCTGGGGTTGATGACTCGGCACCAGAAATCACTGGTTCTGCGCCCACAGCAACCCGATATGCGCAAGGCGGCGAAAGGGTTGCAGCGCTTGCGGGACGTCACCATCCGAAACGATTATGATGCGGCCTGTACATTGTTTTTGGGTCAGACTATGTACGTGTTCAATGTACTCAGTGCCCCGTATTCGAATACCGCACATTCTATAGTTCGGAGTGCGCTTCTATCGTCCAAGCCATGGTTCCATCGATTGGTGCAATATCCGATCATGGACACCATTATCATGACGCCGATGTTGATCGATACGGTGGAATGTCTGACACATCGCGAAATACCAATAATCCGATTCCCTGATACTGAACGAATTATTATTGATCGATACGTGGGGCTCTGTGCGACTCTCTTACCTCATCTTTATGACATCTGTGAATGTAGTCATGCGTTCAAGAAGAGCTTGTTAGATGACAGTCCCACGTATAACGGATTTTATGAGCAGCTTGCGATGCTCGAGCAGAAAATACAGGGCTGGGCACCCCCGACACCCCCTGAGCTGTATAGCAATTTCGGTCAACATGAGGTACTGGCGATGGTCACTCAGGCAACAGTCTATCGACTGGCAGGACTGTTGGTTATCCATCGCCATCGATACCCGCTTGGAATGGAAGACGACACAGCCAGGGTCCTGGCCGAGAGTATCTTCTCTGCAATGGAGCTATTTGCCGAATCAGCCGCTGAGAAATCCACAGCCTTACCTATGGTCTTCCCGATAACCATGGCGATGCTGGAGATTGAGGGACCAGGGGAAGCACTGCTAGATCGGTTGGCATCATTCACGGTGCAAGCCATGAGTGCATCACGGTTGAAGGGATTTGTGAAACAGATCAGAACAGCCCGACAGACAGGATATGAGGGGGTCTGGTTCGAACTAGTGGAGACTCAGCTGCAAGTAGCGATGCCGCCCTAGTGTCATTTCTGTCACTTGGAGCTTAACTAGTATGAATGGAGTATAAGCCGGACCATGAGGTCATTAATTATTTATTTTTCTCCGTGAACATCCTTTCTCCACAGCGAATAGTGTAAAATTAGGTTGATGAACTAGACCAGTGCCGTTTTGGCCGGTCAATCACCCGTCTTTCCAGTCCGGGGACGTGCGAGACCGTTGATTTATGACCTTTTTGCAAGGATTGTCGACGGAACTCGGTATGAACGCATGGCCTTGGATTGAATTCCACGGCATCTTGAATATTTATTATTTAGCATACCTAAGGGGGCCTTTGGGGGCAGATTTGGCGTTTATGTCTACGGGGGTGAACTAGATTTGGAAAGAAGTGACCGGTTTTTGACTTAAAATTTCTCCACAATTGAACAATAAAGTGCCTGATGTGTTTACTCCTGTTTTGTTGTTTATTATTATTTTTTATTATTTTTGCCATTTTTTATTCTTTTTTAATTTATCTGTTCTTCCACTAAATTTCCACTTTCTTGTAGTCTGTGCGACCCACAGCCACTTGACCCGATCGAGCAAGAACTGCCCGGATGACGATGAAAGTTGAGAATTCGATTTTATAAAAAAAAAAATCAAGTAACAAGTCTGGGGTAAACTCTTTCTTTCAAACTTTCATATAATGAACTTCAATACCCCGGATTTTTGTATTTTTTTTTCCCCCTACCACAACAATTTAGCTGTGCTTGATTCATCTGTAATAGAGCGACGTGTACCCTGCATGCACGCAGCACGGGAGTTGTCGAGACCCTGAAATATAGGAATCAAAGACTGCAGAACAAAAAAAAAAAAAAAAAAAAAAACCCCCCAGTTTCGCCATTACCCCTACCTGAGCCTCGCAGTGAAGTGCAGGACTTTCTTGCTTAATCGCAATTATGGATGGTCATGACCACTCACCGAAGCGACAGAAGTTCTCAAGTGGCAATCAATCTCAAATGTCTAGACGGAATCAAAAAGCTTGCCAGCTATGCCATGTGACCAAAGTACGATGCAATGCAACTCCAGGATCTCCGTGTCAAAATTGTTACCAAAGAGGTGTACAATGTGTACAGGACAGAAAGACCCGGTCAAAGTAGGTCTTCCAACCTTCAATATGCCCGAGACCCAGGCCTGTCTAATCGCTGTAAAAATTTAGACAGCAGATGGAAGTCAAGACAAGGGGTTTGACACCAACTCCTTCGGGTGCACAATGGTCACCGGAAAGTGTCGCCGTGGGATCTTTCCCACATGCCGCTGCCGTGCATAGCTGGAATGCGGCATATGGATTCCATACCTCCGTTGATCCAAATTGGCGCGATTCCTCTATGAGCCCATCTCGTGAGTTCATCAATTTTAGAAGCAAGATGACGAACTGACCGGCCTAGCTCCACAACCGACCTTTTTCGATAACCCGTTCGTTCAACCCGAGGACGAGGTTTGGAATACATTTACCAACCTCGGTTCACCTGGTTCGGCTGTTTCCGATACCTCCAGCCCCGGTGTGCTTCTGCCCGGCTTCATTCAGCCTCTTCCAATGATGATGAATCCAACCACGATTGAATACCTGTATGTAAATGACGTGTTCAATGTTCCGAGTGTTCAGCTGCAGAATGCACTACTCCAAGCATTCGTCGACTTTGTCTTCCCAAGCATGCCCATTCTCGATTGGTCCGCTTTTATCAATGCAATTTGCAACCGAGACCACGACCATGGCTCTATCAGCCTGTTTCTATTCTATGCGATGATGGTGGCGGCAACTACCTTTGTGGACCTGGGTCAACTTCAAGAAGCTGGCTATTCGAGTCGACAAGAGGCCCAAGAAGCCTTTTACACCAAAGCCAAAGTAGGTCAATCTCACTCTGAAATTCCGGGCATACTAGTATACTGATGTCTCTCAGCTTTTATACCAATCCGAATACGAACCAAACACAATCACCGTGGTCCAGGCCCTTTTGTTCATGACATTTAGACTCGAGACAGCAGATGGCGACGACAGTCGATACTGGTGTTCAATTGCAACATCAACAGCGCAGTCCATCGGTCTATTCCGAGACATATCCGGTGCCACAAATGTCCGAATCAATCCCAAATTCTGGAAAAGACTCGCTTGGGCTTGCTACACTACCGACTCTCACATCGCGCTCAGACTGCGATGCCAACCAATAATTCATACCTCGGCCTTTTGCCACCCAATCTTAACAGAAGACGACTTCGAAATCTACAATCTCTCTCCAGAAGTCCTAGTGCAAACCCTTGGACACCCGCTATCGCACAGCCTCAACACCCAACGAGATCTAGCATTAATGTGCATCGCAAACACACAACTATGCGTCTCCATACTCGAGGTGCTTGACGTACAAGGCAAGGGACGCACGCGCCAAGACTCATTTGCATCACTATCATCACACATCAGCACCGACACAGCCGATCACAGTGCTAGAGTCTCAGCTGTCGAACTCAAATTGGCAGAATGGGCCAGCACATTCCCCTCCTCCATGCAGACTTACTCCTTCGAAACAAGCAACACCCAGGAAGAGAATGTTCTCTCTTTACAGCGAAACCTCCTCCACATGCAATTCTACACCACCATCGCCGTATTCTATCAATCACAGCCCTTGCCTTCCTCAACATTCTGTGTCCAATACGCTGCGCAACAAATTACTCAGATCGCCTCGGAACTTTACCAGAAAAAACTTCATCGGCGATTACCCATCGTCGGTGTGACAGCAATTCTCGTTGCGCTGATTATTCATATTCCCGGGACTAAGAAAGTTGATCCACAGGAGAGAGCGCAAGCGTATCAGAACTTCCATCTTGGGCTGGAGGTTATGACGGACTTGCAGGATGTTTATCAGGAGGCTAATCATATCACAACATGGGCGTTTAGAATTATGGACAATGCTCCTGAGGTTGCGTTCTCTGGTCCACAGCAGCTTGATTCTTTGCCCATGAGTGTGACGCAGGTTATGTGATTGTTTTGATGGAAGATTTCAATGTTGATTATCCACATTTTTAAATCCTAATGTATAAATATTATGTTCCGAATTTCCAATAGTTTTATTCTTCAAATGTTGTGTATGAGAGAGAAATAACATTCAAAATGCTACGTAAAGATAATTGAACAGATCAACTTGAGGTGTTGCTACAGAGTTGCCTCACCCCGGCAACGCGTCAGAAGTTACTAGTAGAACCCATGAGTCAGAGCCAGGATTTGAAAAAAAAATAAAAATAAAAATAAAAATATCCGCAAGGTGAATGAGAACAATTATAATTACTGGCGGACTTCAATTTTCAAGGACATTTCTGCTTGCTGTTTTCTTAACATCAAGCTTCCATACTCGTGCTTCTCAACAAAGGGCCTCAAGGTAGTATTTTCTCCAACTACCGCTCACAGTAACGAGATCTAGGATCGTGCATGAGCTGACTTTTAAAACTCATTTCAGATGATGCAAATTGAGTCCTTCCGAACTGACCTGCGCAACACCAAAGTGCTCCAAGGCCCATTCCCAGTCCTCAATTTCGACACGTTCCCAGAAACCCCACACGATGCGTTCAAACAATGGTTCCACGAAGCGACCGACGCTGGAGTGAGGGAGCCGCACGCTATGACCCTATCCACAGTAGATGAAAATGGATACCCCGATGCTCGTGTTCTCATTTTGAAAAATGTTGACGATCGGGGCTGGCATTTTGCGGTGAAAGCCGATAGTCCCAAAGGAAAACAACTGCAGATGAACGGGCGAGCCGCTTTGACATTCTACTGGCCGCAGGTTGCGCGACAAATTCGTGTAAAGGGAACAGCGATCGCGTTATCAGACGAGGAGAGTGCTCTTGACTACCAATCACGGCCTTTGGCTTCCAGAATCAGCGCTGTTGCCTCCAATCAAAGCGAAGTTCTTCCAGATTGGGAAGAATTGACACGGAATCTTGCCGAAACGAAACTAAAGATGTCTGAAAATCACCTGGTTGGCGTTACTCAATGGAGGGTTTACGCTGTTCTTCCTACTATCGTTGAATTCTGGCAAGGGAGTGATACTCGCCTTCATCGACGTCTTCGGTATTCTTACAAACATGAGCAAAATGAGTGGCAGAGGGATTTGCTTTGGCCATAAATCTCAAGGCTTCAAGGTTTTATGCTTAGTATTGAAATGTTACTGGAAGTGCCTCTCTTCGGTTATTCAATCTCCCAATCATTTGACTCTCGAGGTAATCATGCGCATTCTCAAGTCTGAAATATACATAGACAACAAATCTATGTTTTATCACGCAAACTTTGCTGTGGTTCACAAGCCCTGATTGGATTTGAAGGTTACAGTCACACCGAGGATCAAGATATCTGCGTGAACTTGTGGGGTTTTCTGTGAAGACTATGTGTTACGGTTGTACGCATGGAAAAAGGTTGGCCAGTGCCTATATTCTCTACCAGTCCTGGAAACAGACGATTGCATAGTGGCACCCAAGAGGGATAAACTAGACGAGGTATAGCTGGCGGCACTAACCTGATCCGGCACATATACGAAACATTCCTCATATGATAGATGTATACTAGTAGTATGTATGTTACCAGTTGACTATTTACCGCAGGGTTATTTAATCTCTGCCAAGGACAATAACCTTGCAAGACTCTCAAGGTTCTCCAATTTGTCACACCCATCAAGAGGACAAGTACTCTCTACCCCTTACATCCAATTTCCACTTGGATAAACATACTATCATTCTTGCATCTACGCCATTTGCCTCAATTTCCAAGACTATCAGGTACCATGAAGCTGTTCATCACTCAGATTTTCTGCTTTGGAGCTGCCATACTGCCACTGGCAGCAACTTCCCCCAGACCCCGCATTGGCTGCCATCTCCGACAGACTGGCTTCTGGGCGTTTCAGCGAGACCGACCTTGAGAAAGTTGAAGAATTCATTGACAGCTTGGCGCGTAAAGCCCAGGGCTCTGTTATTTGCACTTTATCGGCCTTTCATTTAGGACAGACCTGTGGTGAGTTCTTCCCGAATATTGAGAGAGGACGATCTAACATCCCACCCTAGAGGGAAATACTTGTGTCTTGGTTCCTGATGAACTTAGCTTCATCTGTCCGCGTCCTTAGGCTATGAGACTTGAAGGGAAGGCTTAATTCAACTGGGGTGCTTACTTAGCAAACATGGATAAAGTCTTGAAATCTCATTTTCATCTCTCATTGATTGCAACTGTAAAGTACATTCATACCTAGTAGGTATAGAATATTGGAATCTACTTTGGAGGGAAGATAATGATAGTCACATACCAGGTGCTACTCGATACCTAATCTAAACCGTGGTAAGCAGTTTATAGAGCTTGACCGGGTGCCTCTCCGTCTCATGTAAGAACGTTATATTGACCTACCTTTTCTCGAATCTCAAATGATTCCAGTCTCTACCGATTTCCACCCTCACTATAACTCTGCAATTGAAAGAGCAAGAGATATTGACCATCGAGAGAACATACCGAAAGGAACGTGATATGAAGAAATGAAACTTATTTTTTACCTCATTTCCTCCGATAACTCAATACTCTTCCAACAATATTGTAACTGCAACACATTCAATATTCCAGACTCATTTTAAGCTATACCTAGGTATCATCGGACTCTCGGGTTCTACAGAGCAGCACTACCTAGATACTGGAGCTCCGATCCCTGGAGCCTGCTCATTCCCCAATGTTCACGTGAAGTGAAACCTGATAGATATAAAGCCAACAATCTTCCCGCAGTCCATGCAGATATCCAGGAACCAAGGACACAATCCCATCCCAATAAAACCAAACACCACGATCAAAGTTCAGCTTTGAACAACCATCAATATGAAGGCCCAGACCATCATCGCCAGTTTGTTCTCCGCCTGCGTTGCTGCATCCGTGGTTCCACTCAATGGTGGCACCAAGACCGTCGAGTTGAGCGGCAGCCAGCTCCAGAGCGCGCTTGCCAAGTACGGCAAGGATGCTAGCTTTGATGTCAATCAGGTCATTAATTGTACCGTTTCGTACACCCTCGCACTCAGTATGACCTCCCCTTCTTACCTTGACGTTGGAAGTGGCAGTGAATAGAAGTTTCTAACCGATCTAGGCACTGGGGGACCTCCATACACCATTGACCTCGCCAGCCTGGACCTGACCAACTGCACCTATACCTAGGATAGCCTAGCAACTCTCCATCGCCAGTCGATCTGAGCACAGCCAGTTGTATGGGAGCTTTGGTGGTTGCCGTTGAGATACTGCATTTCTTGGCAGAACGGGGATGTATTTATTTGTCAAGGAAGCAAACAACTGGTTATAAGACATCGAGGTGCCTATCAATAGACTGATGTAAGACCCGTAAAGCGTGCGTGGAATAATTTTGATGTTACATATGTAGCATTTGAAGTCCATTGCATGCATTTCAAAAAACATTGAACTCCTGGGTCAAAGTTTACAAAGGCCGCTCCAGGGCTGCTTCCAGATGTCTCAAGGTTCCTTCCAATTCCAAGGTTAGAATGTTGTGTACTAAGTTGGTCACTCCGAATTCCCCCGTGGGTAAGCAAAAATTATATTTCTAGGCAAATATTTAACGTAGTAATGTATCTACGTTGACTAATTACAGTGGTGCTGTCCAAAAATCGATTTTGAGAGAAACGATGACAATCTCTGCCCAAGTGGGCAGCTTATCTACATTCAAATTTAGGAAAATCTAGAGATATAAAGAAAAACCATAAAGACCCCAATCAATCCATATTCAACATCTATCCCACATGCACATCTAATCAATAGTTCCCTGCGGCAGAACAGAAATGTAATCTAGCGGAGCAAACTCTTTGCCATCAGGCTGCCCAACGATCTTCAGAATATCACCCTTCATGACGGGGACTCCAGGGAAGGTAACTCTGGTAGCCGAATGGCCATCCAAATACTCAGAGAAATCATGACCAAGTTTATCCTCCAAATCCCCAGACCAAGATCCGATCAGCTGGGTGTTGAGGAAAACCTCATACTTTGACCGTCCGCCAAGGTGGTCATAGTAATTAACCGCAATATCATAAGACCCCGGAGGAAAATCAAGTTTTGTCTGCGCAATACCGGAAGTTTGATTCGATTCCGTGATGATGGCTTTTCCACCTGATGCCGCCTCAGCAGGGGTAACGTCAACAACCTTGTAGCCCGACAACATCATATTTTGTGCTTCAATGCGCCAAAGATGGTTTCCGACACGATTCTTCTCATCTGGAATTTGACATTTGGCGAAATAGAAATAGTTCACGGAATCACGCCAGACAATGGCATGACCGGCTTGGTACTTCAATTTGAAATTGACGTGCTCGAATCGGTGATCATCGATCAACCCCTTCAACTTAGCCCATTCAACCGGGAAGGTCTGAGCATGCTCAGCACCCTCATAGTGGGCATCGTAGAAGTGCTGAATAACGGTCTTCCCAGACTTGAGACGATGAGTGTAGGGGACGTGGTGGAACCAAAGAAGCAATTCATCTGGGGTAGTCTCGATGTTTTCAAAAACTGCGGCCACCTCGGCGGGATATTGAGCTGTGTTTGCAGAACCTGTGGCAACAGTTCTATCCATACCAATAGATTGAGAGTTGGCCCGAGTCCATTGACCCCATCCATTCCCATCTTGAGATCCTGGACTTGGTCCGTAGTGCGTGTAAATAATGTCACATAGGGTTTGGATACCAAGATTTCCGCTATAGTTTTCGTATGTGGGCCAGGACTCCATAGAGATCTTGGTAACTGTATCAATGACAGTTTGATTCAGGCTGAAGGTGAGACGTGTCCAATCTTGAATAATTTTCTTTGGATCCAACAGCGGGTTCCAAGTCATCCGCCCGTATGCGTATAGATTGGAGAGGGAGAGGTGGTGTCCGATCCAGGTTTCGTCACTACCAATATTAAGGACGGTTGTATATCCGCTGCGACTCCAGCCGAGACGTTCACCAGAGACGATATCTCGAATTGCGGAAGGTTGGCCGTCAATTCTCATGTCAAAGTCGAGAATCTCTTTCCAAAGGGGTGCCATATAGACGAAGTGAGATTGTTGTCCGAGATACTCTTGAGCGACTTGGAATTCGATCACGGCTTTGGTTTTTCTTAGACTGGCCAACAAGGGAGAAGGCGGCTCCCGGACTTGGAAATCGATAGGACCCCATTTTATCTGAACGATAACGTTGTCGTCGAACTCCTCGTCCAGATGCTTGAAGTATTCGACGGCAGCATTTGCACGATCGTTCTTCCATTCTGACTCTTCCAAGTGATGGTTGTAGACAAAGGCACGATACATGACAACAGCATCACCATACGGCTGCAATGCCCTCGCAAACATATTCGCCCCATCCGCCAGTGTGCGGTTATAAGTGAGCGGACCGGGTTGGCCCTCCGAGTTGGCCTTGATGGTGTATCCGATGAGGTCGGGGACTTTCTCGAAGACCTTGGCAGTGATATCCTTCCACCACTGGTTGACATCAGGGTCCAGGGGATCGGAGGTAGGGAGACCACCAAATTCTCGAGGAGAGTCAAAGTACAGGGAAATGCCAATGCGTACACCCCACGGGCGCATGGTATCTGCGATGCGACGGAGACCGTTCAGATTTGTCTCGCTAAAGAGTTTCGGGTTGGCATTGACATTGTTGATCACGACGGCGTTCAAGCGAATAGAGGAAAGGAGGCGAGCGAATTGGGCGATGCGTGTCATATCCTGGACCACCTCACCGTCTCGGAAGAAGATTGATGGACCCGCATATCCTCGTTCGATACTTCCATCAAGGTTGTCCCACTCGTTCACCCATCGTATCGGTGCGCTGGGGTTGTCTGCTGTGATGACGGGATCGAAATTGGCTTGTGCCAGACGCATGAGGTACTCAAATGCACCATAAAGAGCACCGCGTTCATTCTTGCCTAGAATATGAACACAATCATTTGAGACTTGGGAATTGAGCCAGAACCCATCTTCCTTGAGTGTTGGGATTTCGTTCTCCCTGCCCGATGCAGCTGCGAACGTATCAATGGTACCCACAACGATGACGCGAGAGAGGTCATCATTTAGGTCAAAAGATATGTTGACCTCCTGGCCAAGTATCTTCTGCAGCCCTTTTTGGAGCTCCTTTCCAGCAGTGTAGACAGGACTCGTTTCAGACTGGTCCAAGACAACAATGCTGGAATATTGGCGATGCGTCGCTTGAACCTCCGCTGGTAAGGCAGAATACCTGAGCCAGCCCTCGATTCCACTCTCTAAAGACATAGTGAAGTGAGTGATTGTGAAAATGAAAGTGAAGCAGAAATTCTGTACTACCCCTCAGGCGGGGTAGAAACACGACTTTTATCGTATCCTGGTCAATATGAATCGGCCAGAAGAGCGATTTATCCGCTGCAGGCTAAAATGCGGACGTGGCTTGCATAGCTTAGCCAGTGGTCAAAGTCAATATTTGGGTCATGAGTTCGACAAAGCCATGATACTTGGTATTCTTGAGTATTCTTGGTATTCTTGGTATTCTTGGTTGGGTAAATACAAAGCCCGTTATTTCTGTCTTCTATCTGGGTAAACTCTTCAATTTACCGTCATCACTACTAAGTAATTCTAGAACATTGAAGGGGATTTCCGCGATCTGGAAGGAGGAATCGGGAGGGGACAAGAAGAAGTTGTAGTGCATTTCTATAATCTTGAAATTTTTATTCAAATTGGAATTTAAGTTAGGCCCGTGTTCCTAGATGCATGAAACTGAAATGGAGCCTAGTGAAGCTACTGCTAGCTACAGTCCTGCCTCGAGAGTGTCTAATCTTAAGCGCTAAATAGATTAACATTGCTTGCTTGATACTTAAAATTGAAGCTTGTTTCATTGGCACTAAATACACTATATCATGGATAGCATCATCCCTGTTTGGCAATAATCTCCGAGGCATCCTCATCAATCTCCGCATCTGCAAATTCCCACGCTTTCAGATCCCTCGAGAACAAAATATCAAGTTCCTCGTAGGTGCGGCCACGCGACTCGGGCAGACGGAAATACGCCCATACAATAATGAACATAGTGAATCCGGCCGCCAGGAACGCGGTCTTACCTTTCCAGTCACCTGCCGTTGGGTTCAGCGTATAAGGAGCCACAGTCGAGCTGAACACATTGGCAACGTTGTAGGCGTTACGGGCAAGAGAGATACTCTTTGAGCGGAGACGAGTAGAGGAGATTTCGCCAACAATGATAAAAGCGATCGGACCGATGGTCAACTCGTAGAAGACGTACCAGAGGAGGTACATGGCTGACTCTCCATATCCAAGCCCAGTGGTCTGTTTCACGCAGGACATGATGCCAATGAGGAGCATAGACATACACATACCACTGTACCCGACGAAAAGCACAGGACGACGACCGAAGTTACCGGTGACAAAGACCGAGAGCAATGTACACAAGAAGTGAAGGCCAGACTGGCCGACCGACATTTTGTATGCGTTTGAGGAAGACAGACCAGCTTGCTCATAGAAATAGGTCGCGTAAGAGGTGATGGCAAAGCCGCACAATACTTGAGATGTCCAGACAACGCAACCAATCTCCGTACGCCAGGCGTTGGAGCCACGGAAGCAATCGACAAATGACGCACCCTCGGTCATGACCTTCTCCAACTCGGTAGTTTGAACCATGAGAGCAATGGACTTTCTGGCATGGTCCGGATCCGGGGAAGAGGTGAGACGTTTCATGGACTTCTCGGCTTCCTGCATGCGACCCTTGCGGACAAGCCACCAAGGAGACTCGGGAGCAAATATAAGCACCGGAACAATCAGCACTGGCCAAACCCACTGCACAGCAAGCGGGATCCGCCAGGCCCACATTCCAGTGTGTTTATCCAAGCTGTCCAAGATACCGGTGGCGACGAATTGACCAATACCCCAACAGAGAACGACGTAGGTTTCGAGGTAAGAGCGAAGCACAACGGGTGCGACCTCGGAGGCATAAGCAGGGGCCAGGGTGGTGAAAACACCCCATGCCAGACCGCAAAGAAGCTCTCCAACAAAGAGGACTTCAACACGTTTCGAGAAGAAGGGCATGAATAGGACGGCAACCAAGAAGCCCAACGTGCCGAGACAGGTCTTCTTGTGACCCCATCGTTCAGTGAGGAACGCGTTGATATAAATTCCGACGATGTTTCCCAATGGGCTGGCGAGACCGAGGGCAGTTTGCCATTTGGGCTCTAGTTGATAGGCGCCCGGGGTTTTTGTCTCATGGCCGAATTGCTTTTGAAAGGCCGGGAAACCAAACAGAGAGCCAATAAGGGCGGTATCGTATCCATCCAGAATCACCACAAGCGAAACGACCATGGTCCACATACATGCTTTCGGATACAACTTGACGGCTTGAACAAAGGTCAAATTGTGCTCGTCGATCGTCGCATTCCGAGCATCTTCGGCTAGACCCACCCAGCCTTGTACTTCACGGTCGTGAGCCACTTCATCGTGGGTGATATTGGGGGCATCATCAGTCTTGACTTCCGTAGACATGATGACTTGCTGACTTGCTGACAAGGTGACAAGTTGACAAGTTGACTCATGGAAAAGAACCGCAGAAAGATTGATGGGCGGTTGCTTGGTATTAAATCAGTTCAAATGGGACGACGCCACCACATTTTGGAATGCTGCTAGTGGCTGGCTTTGGTTCTTCATTTTGCCGGATAGCATAAATATCAGAATAAGACTCATCGGGACATGTGATTAACCGCGGGGGATATAGGCTCGATCGTAAGGATTGGATATCCCGGGGTTTGACCAAGATATTGAGCTTTGGTTGGGCGTATCACGCGTGGCGTTAAGCCACCGGGGTGTCTTTCTCGCCAAAGAGGGGGCCTCTGTCAAAGAATTTGCCAATGGTTTTAACTTTTAATCGTTAGCTTCGGGCGTGCATGCCGTTTTGCCGTAAAGAAAGATAGAAAATAAAAACATCAGTCGCATAGACATGGCAAGGCTATTCCAATGAGAAAGCGACGGAAGAATTATGGAGACAGAAGAGAAGTTTCGATGTCGACGGCAAAAGTTCGGCAATTTGTTTTGTTTACACCGCTTGGCACTGTTTGCGTGTTTGCGTGTTTGGTAACTTTGGTTACTTTCTGGGGTAAAAGTGGATTCCAAGTGGGACTTGTTACTTGTTACTTGTATATATTGTTTTCCCATCTCAACATGCCCGTTTTCGTTTATCTCTACACCAGATACATAGAAAGGAGAACCAACAGTCAAAATACAAGTCAAAATCTCAACCAGTCCAAAAGCTGCAGGTCGTTACCCAATCCCGCAATTTCCTCCGTCTTACCGACTCTTACCCCGCGTCTCCCCACGCTTTCCCCAGATTGACTAAACCACAAGCATCACGACTTGCGGAATCGGGAATAGGGGCAAATACTTACCATTTAGCCACTTTAGCCAGAATCAACATCCCTGCCTGTCAGCTTCCGTCCGGGGTAATAGCCTATGCTCATTTATCCCGCTTTTTTTTTTTTTTTTTTTTTTTTTTTAGCCCGAATGTCCAGGATGGCTTTGCGTCAGACGCTGTCAAAACAAACTACTTTTATGGCAATTGAGACTCACCTTCAGATCCTATTCCATATCATGAACTGCTTCTGAAATCACACAAAGACAAAATGAAGCTCTCTATTGTTGACCAGCTCTTCCTTTTGGGCACCTTTCTCTCGGCCTCAGTTACAGCGACTCCAACCACCTCCTCAACTGTCTCTGTCTCCGTCAATCCCAAAATTCAATTCCAGGAGATTGACGGCTTTGGAGCTTCGCAAGCCTTTCAACGTGCTGAAGATATCTTTGGTAAATATGGTCTCCCCAAGGTCAACCAGACCCTTGTTCTCAACCTTCTGTACGACGAGACAATTGGTGCTGGGTTCACGATCCTGCGCAATGGCATTGGCTCAAGCAACACCTCCGAGAGCAATTTCATGAATTCCATTGAACCCATCAGCCCCGGGAGTCCCAGTGCCAAGCCGCACTATGTTTGGGATGGTTACAACAGTGGACAATTCCCGCTGGCGCAGCAGGCCTACGCGCGTGGTCTGCAGACACTGTACGCTGATGCGTGGTCCGCTCCGGGGTATATGAAGACAAACGACGACGAAAACAACGGGGGATACCTCTGTGGTGTCACGGATGAGCATTGCTCATCTGGCAACTGGATGCAGGCATACGCAAACTATCTGGTTCAGTACGTGCGCTTCTACAAGGAGTCTGGTGTCGATGTCACACACCTGGGCTTCTTGAACGAACCTCAATTCGCCGCTACCTATGCCGGCATGCTCTCAAATGGCACTCAGGCTGCTGATTTCATCCGTATTCTGGCCAAGACAATCAAAGCCTCTAACCTTGATCTTGAGATCACCTGCTGTGATGGTATTGGATGGGATGACCAGGAAGCCATGATGCCTGGCCTCGAAGCAGGTCCCGACCCAGCAATCAACTACCTTAATGTCGTGACCGGCCACGGATACGACTCTGCACCCACGTACGCGCTCAGCACCAAGAAGAAGACCTGGTTAACCGAATGGGCCGATCTCACTGGTGATTTCACACCATACACATTCTACGAGAACGGTGGACCGGGTGAGGGTTTGACATGGGCCAACCACATTCAGGTAGCTCTGAGAGATGCCGGTACAAGCGCATTTCTGTACTGGATCGGAGCTGAGAATTCGACCACGAATAGTGCGTTGATCAACCTAATCAACACCGAAGTTGTCCCCTCGAAGCGGTTCTGGGCCTTTGCGCAGTTCAGCAAGTTTGTGCGGCCTGGTTCCCACCGCGTTGAGGCCACTAGCTCCCACACCAATGTTACAGTGAGCTCTTTCGAAAACCAAAGCGGCAAGATCGCTACACAGTTGCTTAATCAGCTTGATGTGGAGGTTGATGTCAGTGTGCAGATCTCTGGGGTTAAGGCTGGCATTGCCGTGCAGCCTTATATCACTAACAATGAGTATGACCTCGAGGCTTTGGGTCACATTGAGACTCAATCTGGCGGTCTTTTCAAGACCCAAATACCCGCGAGATCGATGGTCACCTTCGTTACTGTCTAGGTATTGCCAGGGCGCGGGCAATATGTATATAAATACTAGTACATATGTGTAGATCCCAAGTACATACTACCACAGATATTCAAACACGTGAAGTCTTCAAATGTTCTTCTATGCGCCTCCAACTATAGCCTCGCTGTCTGAAAATTCGAAATTATCCATATGTATATATGCATGCACCTATAATCTTCCAGCGTGGAAGGTTGGATCTTGTTTATTGGGACCACCTATCCAGATCAGTCGTGAGAATTCCTAATGGGAAAGCCTCGGCAAGTGCGTGAAAAGCCTCCAGGTTCGGATGCAACCGATCACCAGAATCGAACCTTTGCGCCAAAACAGAAGTTTGATTATCGTCACGCAGGACTTGATCGAAATCAATGACGCGATCAAACGTGCCACTATTCCGAATCCACTCATTCACCCGTCGCCTTGTGACTTCTCGTTCTGGATGCGAATACCAAGTGAACCCCTCCGTCTCAGCATCAAGATTCTCTTCTCCCTCCCGTCGCCCAAAGGCCGTGATGGTACCAGCAAATATGCGAATACCACAAGCATGCACTCTGGTCGCAATTTGTTTGTATCCGGCGATTAAACGATTTCCGATCGATTTCTGGCTTTCTTCATCGGTCTCCGCGGTGCCGATATCATTAACACCTTGGAATAGAAAGACATAGCGCACATGGCGGAGAGAGAGGATATCTCTATCTAGACGACTGAGGACATTTGGTCCAATTCCGTCTATAAGAATTCTGTTGCCCCCTGCTGCTTGGCTGATCATTGAGATTGACGCAGTGGGTGGCCATGCCTGAAGGCGAGAGAAAAGAAGATCCGGCCAGCTGTTCATGTCAGTCTATGTACAATCTATTCAGCCCATGATGCTGCACGTACCGATCATTGCCATTCGTTGTACTGCAGCGACCATCTGTAATGCTATCCCCAATGATAGCCAAAGTACCTGTATTTCGCGGTGCGAGGATTTCGATTCCAGAAATAAAATACCTAATTTGGTGTTCTTGCCGTTAGATGTTTTTACACATGCCGGATGGAAGGGAAATGTAACTTACCAATGCTCAACTTCCTCAACCACGGAGCCTGTCAAATCGGAATCGGCCACCTGGTTACCCAACGCAAGAAAGGTACTTGTCCGACTACCAGGATGACATGTTATCCCCGTTGTACTATCCTGACCAGACTCAAGAAATACACTGATAGTTAGGACAACCCCTGAAGGCAAAGGTCCCAGATCCACAGGATCCGAGACGGTCAGTGCCCCACCGGAAATCGTCGTCTCCAATTCCCCGCTAAAGGTGACTTTTCGCAGTGAAGGCAAGTCGATAATACTACTCCCTGCAACATTTTCCTTCGAAAGTGCAACGGTGGTCGCGTTGATTGTGAGATCGTCAGTTCCAAAGGCATTAGAGAAGCGTAAGCGGAAGTATCGTGCAATGCCAAGGGTGATTTTGACGGTTTGGCGAATTGTGGTGTCACGAAAAACCACTTTTTCTCGAATCTGCGTGTTTTGGTCAGTTTCAAAGCCAGTGGATTCTTCATGGGTGGGAAAAATACAAATGGCTCGTGCGGAAGCTTGTCAAGCTCTGCAAGCAACGGCATTGCAGTCCACGTGTGGATCCAATGCTGGGGTGAAGTCATTTGAGCGAATGGTCCACTTAACTTTGGAAAGTTTGGAGAATGGGAAGGAGAATGGAATGACCGTAGAGCGTTATGGATTTGAGATTATTCTCAGGTCGCATGTGACTTCGGGCACCTAGGAACTAACTTGAAGCGTACACATGTGCATGTGTGGTTGAATTGATTATAACGGACTAGCATATTCCAAGGTTGCGGGTTGCGGGTAATCGGTAAAATCGAACCGGGTAAATAGCACTTGAGCACGTTTTTCAACCCATTCAGATGGGCATTGATTGGCCACCTGGTTTATCTATTCCAAAAGTTACTGAGCACATGGAGGTCTTCATGAGGATGTCAACTGGTATTTGTAGGTATCTAATACAATTGATATATATATTCAAGCTATCAATATTCAAATGTTATCTATATATGTACCTATCAATAATGTATGAAACCTTTAAATGTTGGAAATCACACATCAACGCCGGGTATATATAAAGTCATCGCCGCGCACTTCTAAGAATCATCCGCTCTCTAGCTCGTCTTTTCCACCCCTTCATCCCCATTGTAGTGAATATGACGCCATTCCAGAAGCCTCGCAAAGATCCAAAGGCACTGACAGCCACCAACAACGGGAACGACTCCCTGTCCGGATGAATAAATGTGGATACTCGATTTATCGTAGGCGCAACCCAAGTCGCCAGCAAAGCGAGGAAAAAGAGCGAGGGCATAAGGATGTATTGCTTGAATGAGACGCGTCGTTGTTTCGATGGTTGATAGTTCATCGATGCGCCAGCAGTTGGGGGACGGAATGCAATGGCTTGTTGGAGGGAAGAGTGACTCGTAATGTGTGCTTCCGATGAGTTGGTATTGGGTTTGTATGTATCTGGAAACGACGAATTGGCTTCAACAGTGGTAGTTACCGAGCCCTGGGTGATCTCGGGGTTGAAGTTAAATGTATTGGAGGAAAGGTTAGAGGTCAGGGCGATGTGGTCATCGTCTGTGAGTTTGAATTCGTCTCGGAGGCGAGCGATTTCAATACCGATTAAGGCGTAAAATATTAGGACGATAGCGATGGTGAGCCTGATTTTTTTTTCTCTCGAGTTAGACTCATTACGGAGCATCTTGCATGTTGGTTGGTCTTACATACCACACGGGACCGTAGTAAAGAATGAGGCGTAAGATTATCCACTTGGGAGATATTGAGCACCAGACCTGTAATAATAAGCTTCTTTGTTTCGACTCTTATGTCAGTATGTCAATTGTACTCACAGTCTCACTCCCATAGACAGAACCTTTCTCATCAGATCGAATGAATAAAAAGACCAGCGCAGGTATAAAGGTGAGGGTCGTGATTCCGCCAATATATTTGACCTCAAGTTTTTGCAAGTAATGGGCATCGAAATGGTGGAAAACGACCAGGTATGTATCAAACGCCATAGCTAATGTCCAAAATACATCCGCCAGTGGAAACCTGGATGAATCATGGCCAGTCAGTCGGGCTGTTCAAAAATCGTGTCTAGCAACCGTGGAAATCTCACATTTGCAGCGCGAAGCCTTGAAATTGACACAAAGGCGAGTAGTCTCCTGCCTCTGGTCCGCTGACTGAAATCATAGTCGCAATCGAATCAAACAAGTTATAAAATGCATTAAAAAAGATTATGCGATGAATTGGGCTCCGAAAATGTCTGGAAAAAACGAACGCGCAGATGATGGTGATTGTCCCCAGCATGGACAGTACCGAGGTGACCCTCCCCGCGATGCCTATTGCACTGATTTGCTCCGCAGTGAGTGTCATGGTGAGGGATCGACCCTCCGTAGAGGTAGATTCGCGATGATAGACACACTGAGCTTGGAGTCCATGATAAATACATAATCGACGTGATCCCTTCGTCTGGTTGGAACTTTTATTCTATCACACCACAGCTCGCCTGTGCCTACGTATGACAATTAAATGGCTTGGATGACGTGATTACGTATAGGGGAATGATCTGTATGAACGATCGTGAGTGACGGTGGGTCATCGCGCCATTAGTGGGGCTTCTTAGTTGCCGATCCACTTCACACATACGATGAGAAGGAGCACAAGAGATATTTCCTTGTACGTGAACAATTTTCCAAGCCCAGATGCTCGTCGGATGCTACCGATGAAATGAATTGGATCTTGATTCATATCGATGAACCTATGCAAGTCGTATCAATGGGTACATCGTCATGCTCCAATGAAAGTTTTGTGTTCGTATGATCGTCTCCACTCTGCCGGGCGCATGGCAGCCTCGTTTTATCTGTGGACCTGTGATCCGTGATATAACCTCGCGAAACTCCGAGCCCAGGAACATAGAGGGGAATGTCACGCCAGTGAAGTAGCTTAGCGGAGTCCTAAGGCTGAGAAAGCATTTTATTGAATTGACTTGGTGCATCATTATGGCGAGCTTGCACACAATCACTTACGCGCCGTTGCCGTAGAGCAAATGGATGAGCACTTGAGTGGTTTCTCTCTCTTTGTGTACCACAGAAGCTTGTGGTCAAGCTGATTAATCAAGATCTTACCAATTTTTTTTTTGTCTGAACTCCTTGGTGGAAATATGCCTACTGCAAGAAGCTCTTACTTGAAGAATATACTGCTCCGATAGTCAAATCACCAGGCAGCTTACGTGCTGTGATTTGTCTACAATATTTGCGGTAGATGTGGATCGACAAAAGTATACATTGAAGCCCATCGACGACAACGGTGACCCTGAATATACAAAAATGGTCGTGATTTTAACAGATTACATGTATATTGCGAATTAATTATAGCAGCTTCTCTGTCTTCATTTTACCGTAGGCATCATTACCGAGTGTACGGCAGGCCACATGGGCATGATTGGTGGAGGGGAAAAGAACTGTATAATTAGTCCGCACCGGTTTCTGTCCGATAACTGACTAGTTAGTTAACTAGGTTCAAACTATATATAAGTTGTATGTTCTGGGTATAATGACTCTGTGTATCTGATGATGATGGCCGAGGGAAGTGATTTAGCCTCTTGAGATTAGACATTATGTTTGGGGCCTTCAATGTCGGAAACTTGAGAAAAATATTGATAACGGGAAAACATTGAAAAGAGCCATTCCAAGGGTTTTCGGTTTAAGCGGCATTGAATTCATGGCTACACCACGCCCTATTACCCATAGAATGGTCAAGTTGAATTGAATCCCCATCGCTCTCCTTATTCGAACTATGTCCTATGATCGCCGATTCATGGGATGATGGTCTGTTGTCCCGATAGGTCTCCAGCAATGTTTCCAAAGGAATTGCCTCGTTTCTTTTATTCTGAGAATTGTGCCCACTCCTGAAAGAATTGGTAAAAATCCATGAGAACCGACGAGAAGACCGCGAACCCTCCTGATTTGATGAATTCTGGACATTGATCACGAACAGCCGAAAGGCAGGGAGACAGGATGTAACAATCGCTGCCGTATTTTCCAACATGGAAAATAACTGAAATTTAATAGGATCGACATTTCCGTTTGGGTTATTCGCCTTGGCTAAGCGGAGGCATGCGAATAAAACGGGAATAATTGGTAAGGAGAATAATCCAATCAACATCCATCGTTTCCGGCTGTCGATTTTCAATTTATAGAGAAGGGGAAAAGGGATCAGCATTACTAGACAAGTTAGTACATATGTATTATCTGATAGGCAGGTCAAGGATTACGCACCGCAAACGTCGCCGGCAATGTCACTGCACACAGAAAAGTGGAAAACGAGATTAGAATAGAATATATCCCTGTCGGAATCGCATTTCCCTATACAAAGATGGTGTAAGCGTCAAACCCAGCATATGACCGGAGCCCTCAAGCTTATGTACCTGGTATAAAAAAGTCTCCTATGGGATCACAGGCAAACTCTTGTAGAGCCACACTGGTTATCCAAGTGGACGCAGTGATCCCACACATGATCCACCAAAAGAACTTTATAGGCGAATGCACCGAATCGAACAATCGCCAAAAGAAGAATAACAGCGAAAACTTCACTGACCATAGCGTTGTCCACAGAAGGATGTCTGCCGCATATTGAAGTTTGAGAAAGAAGGCGCCTTTCTCCATGAAGGTTGGTCCTATCGGCCACAGACCTGCACGGACGCCGAGCACATAATACATGGGCGACATAGCGACCTGGTACACAATTGCCGTGGCCAGATGACAGAGCAGAGCAAAGAATATGCAGTAGTCGTTTATAAAAAGTTGCCTGCTATTTCGGTACTGGGCGTGTGTGCGGATAGCGACAAACGTACACGAGAGCGCCACCCCAATCCACATGATGGTCTAAAACGCGTGGGATTTTAGCTCAGTTCTGCTTGGTTTGCTCCATTCCAAAATGCTGACACAGTTCCTTACAGCTTGTCCATGCTCTGGTATGATCGGTAGTTGCATCACCAGATCTTCTTTCTCCCGACTGGAAATAAAACCAGTTGGGAAATGGCGCATCATCGCCAATTTCCTACAGGTCTGAAAAGTGTCTTCAAAACACCCTCAACTGGATCGAGGGTGTCCATCTGATAATCTAGGTGGGAGGATAATTCCGAGAGTAACACGGATCGTCACCAGGCAAGGCATTGGGGAGATCTTAAGTATGCGGCTGAGCTAAGATGACTATCCTGCCCGGCCAACCCCTTGCAACATTCTCAATGAAATGAAGGATCGGACGAATGGCCAACCAATCAAATATGCCCCCTATTTGTCGCACTGCATTTTATGACGCATATCTCATATGTAGCAAGTTGCCTGGTCTAACCCTTGGGAGCTTTAGTCTTTGCTTTTGGTTCTTGCGGGCCGCAATGGGTCTTTCCAAATTCCGACTCTTTTGAACCCAAGTGGGGGGGGCCTTTGCACTTTATCTTCAATCTTGAAACACGATGGTATTCCACAGCTAATCTTGAACTGTGAGAATTATGCTGTAGTGAAAATTCCTGATGTGGAAATGGCAGGGCCAAGTATTCCTTGCTTCTCGGACGGAAATCACGTATTTTTGACGTCTTTTCTTTCCGCCCTGTTTATAATTCTGACTAGGCAATCCCCGAGGCTATACTGAGAGACAGTGGCCTTATCAGATAATAAGACCCTTGTCGTCGGTCTTTGTGTTGAAACATTGAAAGCCGAGGGCACCTTGAGCGGGTGGAATTTGGTGGTAATATGTGGACTCAACCCCTTGAAGGCTGGAGAGAACTGACTGGTTCAAGCTTCCCCCACAAAGCATGAGCAGATGTTTCACAGTTGAAGATTGGCCTTATTTTTTTATTTTTTTTTTATTTTTTTTTCTCTAGGACTGACGGAATCTCCCGACCCACGAACTATAGATTATCTCATCTCAATGGTTACCAGTGTCGTCTAGCTCTCTATCGCTTTCCTCCTTCATTCCACCAAATTCTCATATCCCTTTTTTTCACCAACGTGGAGATTAAAGATTGATATTAAATTCCCCACTCCATTTTCCCACATGGCTCCTCAGCATTCTCATCGCTTATCTATTGACACCCCGAACATGTCCGAACATCTGGAAATTACAAACTTTACACTGCATGTGGGGGGCATATTTACATGCTACAAATGAGTTGATGATCAGCCCCATGTTGTTTTCAATTTTGGGAATATTTGTAGGTGCATGCAGTGCATTCGATGCTTCCAGCCTTAGAAATACTGAGTAGTATGTACATAGTATATGTGTACACTGCAGATGAGACGCGGACTGTATTCATACACATGCATCGAAAACTGACAGCGATCACTGTTCAAATGTATCAAATATCGCATGTGCTTTCAACGTTTAAAATTATGCAACAACAGCGAGTCGGCTCCGGACTGGCATATTCTCCTCCATTCCAGGTTCAGGGAATCCGGATACGTCAACACCCTTCCGGAAAAGAAGACAATGGGTTGATCCACCAAAGTGGAACATACCAATTTCATCTCCCTTGTTAATATGCTGACCTTCCTTGACGGTGATATCACAAGTAGAAACCTCGGCCATGCCTACACCAATGAATGCCATTAGGCCAATGGCCGGTTCATCGGCCTCAATGAAGATGATAGCCCTAGTAGCAATCGAAGTAATATATCCTTGCGAGGTGACCTGGCCGGCGATATCGATATCTTGTGCATGAGGCAGTGGATTCCCCACGCCCTCAAACAATGGCTCAGAGTAATATGCGCCGTCTGCAACGAATGCTTTCACAATCTTTCCAGAAACTGGAGTGTGCCAGCGATGATAACTCAACGCACTCAAGAATGCTTGGTATACCGTTCCACCAACAAATTGCTGAGCATACTGATCATGATTCAACATGTCCAGCACCGAGTAAGGCTGACTCTTGATCCAGAACCTATCCCGGGCCTTGACATTGTGCGCGAGCCGGAATGGTCTCGACTCACACGCATTAGCAAGAACTTTATTGTTGTCTGGTTCCGCAACTGGACGCATTCCATCTCGGAAAAGACGGGTGAAGAAGTCATCCCATGACTTGTAGCCATAATTCGGGGCAGAGGGGTCACAGTGGAACATCTCGTGGAACTCGAGGGTTTTAGTTGCCGTTGGACCAATCTTCGCGACGGTAGTCAAATCTTGGTGGCCGGTCTTGCCGAACCAGCCATTTGATGTAGAGTTCAGAACATAGGCCGATTCAGGCGAACGCAAGAATTCACCCCAGACATCGAGAATCTTTTTGAGCATGGCATTGATCTCTGTGTCGAGGAATGCGGCGTAACCACTGGGTGTGCCCATTGGCCAGTCTAGGACTGCATTAATGGGTAAACCGACCAGACCGACACGGTGAGCTTTGTCGGTCCACGAAGGGGCAGTGGTGAGGATATGGTTGAGAACCTGGAGGAAATGCTTGTAGTCTCGAATTTCGGGGTGGCCAGTTGGATCTTGGCTGTAGGGCTTCTTCTTTGGGACTTCCTCAAACATTCCTTCGATAAGCATGTATACCCGCGTGTTGTTTTCGATCAGATCTTGAAATTCTTTTAGGACTGGGTGCAACTCTTTTTCATTTTTGTCAACGTGCTTAATCACTCCACCCAGCCATTCTCTGTGAGCTTCATGATCGGCCGGCATCCAACTTCCAAGGCTATGAGAATATTAGCAGCGACCTCGGGGCTTTGAAAGGGCTTCAGGAGGGCATACTGATGCAGGTGGTGGCTATGTTGATTTTTGGTCGACATGGTGGGCGGGCTGTATAACCTTTGTACTGAACTGGAAAAGGATTTGAGAGATTTTGCAGTAATCAATGCAAGAGTAACAATTTTCTAAGAATGGCAACCCAAAAGAAAAAAGCTTTATGAATGCAAAACAAAGAAAGCTTGACTTGGAGGATGGTCTTGGCATGCTATTTAAACCCTCAGTGGAAGCTTCAGGTGAGCTTCTATGGACTTGGAACTTCCCAAGGTTGAAGTTGCATCATAGTGACGGTTGTGGGGAGTTCCAAGGTTCAGAGCAAGTATGTATTATTGATAATGAACAAGCTTATTCGTAAACTTTCTCCGCATATGGCTTGATGCTATTAAAAGTGGTCTGATCGCCAAGTGAAAACGTGGGGTGCCGCTTTTCCGGTGATGATGTCATTTTCGATCTCGTTTTCCAGAAGCAACATTTGAACTCAATTTCCCACACTCCATCAATACAAAGATATGATATCAATAATTTGGGCTTGTAATCGAAAATGCTAAATGCATTGTTCAAGAGGTGCAATCTTCCTGGGCTTCAAAATCTGGCCTTATAAGGATATGTAGACCCCATAGAGCCCCACGTGGCTTGATGTCATTTACTCTATGACGTGTATTACTTAACTTGGAGATTCTAAGTAAATTACAGGATTAGTAGTATGGATTATCTAATTCTTTCGCGTCCTCATGTACAACACAAAGATCTCCTGATTGCGGCAAATGAACACAGTCTGTCTGGCCAATCGCAGCAAAAAGTGGACTAAAGAGAACATCCACCTGGGCAGACAAAGTCAATCGCGTTCAAATATTCCTACTTCGCCTTATTCTCAGTTCCAACTTCGGCTAAATCTTCCAGCTCATGTTCACTTCTGCCTTCGCTATCTCCATCGTCCCGCTCAGTCTTGAGAGTTTTCCAATCGTACATAAAAGCGCCAAGACTCGATACCGTTGCTAGTATAAGCCCAACACGTAGCGCGTCCCTAATGGCGACGCCATAAACTGACCTCAATTCTGATGACGAGCCTGACGTTTCGCCGTCCAAAACGGACTTGGGATTTAGATCCGGGGCCAACGTTCTCAATGCCTTGCTGATGTTTTCCAGAAAGACTGCCTGTGCAACTGACACGAAGAGAGCTCCACCAAACGTCTGAGCGAACAGGATGAGGCCGATACCAGTTGCAACATCCTTTTCGGGGAGCGTCGTCTGTACCATGTATAATCCCTGCTCTTCTCCTAGGCCTATACCGACTCCGCACAAGATCTGCAATCCAATCCACTTCGCTCGCGAGGTGCTATGGGGCCGAACGGTCATCAAGAGGCCAGTGCCTATCGACATGAGAATTGATCCGGCATAAACAAAAGGTGTGTAATATCCCGTTGCAGCTGTTCCAAAGCCTGCAAACATGAATCCTCCAACGACACTCAGCATGAATGGGATGAAAAGTATGGCGGAATCCACAGCCGAGACGCCATTGACAATTTGGAACCACAGTGCTGAGATCTATATTAGATTATGACCAGATTTCCATCAAAATAACTTATGTACTCACGTATGTAATAGACATTGACCTGCGAATATCATGATCAGCCAGATTCAGGTTGGCGTTCACTCGGATGAGATAGGATAGTAACCTACAAAAAACACTCCTCCAAGACATATACCAAATAATATGGCTGCGCCTATACTTCGCTTGCGTAGTAGACGTAAAGGAATAATGGCGTGGTCTTTCATCAAGTATTCAATACCGATGAATAAACAAAAAAGAAGGCCAGCGAGGGCTAGCAAGGCTAAGATGCGGATATTGCCCCATGCATATGTTGTCCCACCCCATGAGAGTGCCAAAAGGAGACAGATCGTTACTGACATGAAGGTGACTGTACCACCCAAGTCAAAGCGTGCGATCTGGCTCCAAAATCCGATTGGTTCAGATGCTCTCTTGCCACGATCCCTACCGCCATAGAAGAAGAGGATAAAAATCATAACCGCGCCACCAATGGGAAGATTTATATAGAAACACCATCGCCATGTGGATCTATCTGAGAATACTCCCCCCTATCCTATTAGTTAAAATCTGTAAAGTAATACAACATTTGGTAGAATGGGTATGCATTTACCAACAAGGGTCCGGCTACGCTGCCGACTGCAAACATGCTGCCAATAATGCTGTTCCACGTCGGTCGCTGGCGTAGGGGAACACTGTCAGCAAGAATGAGTGTAGTGCCCGCTTGTATTCCAGCTGAACCTATACCGGCGAAGGCCCGTCCGAGAATGAAAAAATAAGAATTGAGTGCAGTGGCACAAAAAACGCTTCCAATCTCAAAGATCAGCAACGCTGACAGGAAAACGCGTTTGCTGGAGAAGATCGTGTAGATCTTGCCGTATGTAGGTTGGAACGCGCAGGAGGTCAAGGGGTATATTCTGTTAGGAGGGTTGTTAATGTTTCTTTCCCCTTGGTTTCATTTGCTAGTTCAAAATTCACGGACGATGGCAAACATACGATGCATACCAGCCCACATCATCAATACTGTGAAACTGCTTGGTGATCCGGGGAACAGCGGTTGAAATTATCGTATTATCCACTGCTACGCACAAAGTTGCCAAGCACAGCACAATGGAGATCAATAATATCGTCGAAAACTTGGCATATTGACTCGTATCCTCCACTCCTTGAGTATTTTCCTGTGTCGTTGGCGGACTCATATCAGTCCTTGGGACATCGCTCTCCGCAAGCGAATTCGGAGACATCCCAGTGGACAAGCTCACATGTAGCAAGTGCGATAGCGCAGCAGCAGACTCAGAAGTGGAATAAAGGCATAAAATATATGAACTTAACACCAGGTAGTAAACATATAATACTAGGCTTGCGCGGCGTGCGGGGTATCATGTGACAAAAATAACACGAATCAATTTAACACAAAAAAAAAACGAACAACAAAACCTGAACCCCAAGCAGAGTGGGAGGTATGGGGCAAAACTAGGCCGCGGATGCTCTGGAGCTGACCGCCATTCTCATGTTGACCGCTATCTGCCGAGTCACAAAGATAAGAAATGAAACCTCCTTAGCAAAGGTCAGACTGGTATCGTAGTTGGCACCTATCGCGTTAATTAGACCGTCAGCAAAAGCGAAATCATCAAGCTGGGCCACAAGATGAAAGGTACGATACCTAGACCATACCGAGAGGGGACATCTTCGAGTCAAGCGTTGGTGTGGGGTCATGACCAAATGCCTGCCCGCTGATTCGTGCTGTCCCGATGCGCTTATGACGGAGCCCGTCGGGGCTCGGGAGTGTTCGTCTCCCGCTTGTAATGGAGGATTTGAGCCGGATCGAACTTTATGTTGCTGGAGCAGTGAGGCCAGTAAGATGACAAGTCACTGATAAAAAGGACCTATAGTGATGCCTATCAAGAAATGCTGCCAAGTAATGTCGAAGGATGCGAAATGGATGTTTGTCAGTCTTGGACTCTTGGGCCGACCGTGGTTGTTGCGCGTGCAATGGAACGGTCTCGTTGTCACGTTGATATTGTTGCCAACAGCACTTTCACAACTTGGGCTTGCCAAGTGTGCCCTTGTTGAAAGTTAGCCACCTCAATGAGAAATGATGTGGGGTGGGTAAAGGAAGTTTAGTATGGTGGATCTCGCAGATGGCGCTCTCAGACCCTCCCCCGGTAAAGAGTGGGCCAGGGTCTGTTAAAGCCGCTAGTGTCATCTCCAGATTCTCGGCTTGGCGTCGGTGGACACTAGGCTCTCTTGTCGCAATGCAATCACTTAGCTGCAACGGAGTGCTCTGTACGGACTCTGTTCACTTTTTGATCTTTTTGAGTCAGATAAGACTTGCTCACCAAACATCTGTTGCAGATGAAAGACTAATGTAATAACGTATTAAGCCGTAAATTTTACCTGCGTATACACGTGAGTCACGTAGTATATTGAACACAGGTAGTCTATTTACATCTTTTGAAGTTTTTGGTGCAAAGTTTTGGATCATTAGTTATGTGCATGGACTATGTGTAGTAAAAATCAGACCGGTCCAGAGGTCGAATTTGCAGGTGGCTCACCCATCCCAATGTCTGATAGAACCATCGGGAACTCCTCGGCCCCAGTTTTTGGAACCTTGGGACTTCTCCCAATCCGAGTGTAAGAAAAATCTCTCAGGTCCACATGAATAACACCGTTTTTCACTTCAAGTTCATTATTCAATTGCCATCTCTGGCAAGATCCGCAACCTTGAAAGTTTTGCTTCTTGGGCATTGAAATTTTTCGACTTGTTGGACCGGCTCGATTTACGGATACCACTCTTTTCCGTATATACGACAGTGAGAAAGGGGCAATGAGGTCAGAGCGTTTGAAAATGCCTCTCATACACCAGACAAGGGAAGATCGTTTAACTGCGAAGCGACGATCATGAGATATTTACCCCTGTTGGGCATTTTGCATGCATTGATTTCACACGAATTCGAGAGACAGGGTCATGAGGGTGAAACCGGAGAGCACCACGGTTTACTTGAAGCGGATCTCACGAATTCAATTTGTTGTTATTGCTAGGAACTAAATTACATCGTTCGTCATTCGAGGCAGTATATGTGGGTCTCCGAGGATCTACCGACCGGACGATCAACTCGGTCAACCTAACGGGGAATAGCTCTGGACCATTTCAGGGCGACGAGTGGTTCTTGCCTATCTCTTGGAAACCCTTATTTCGAATTTAAAAGCAATTTTGAACAATTAACCCCTATCAAAATTTCTACTAAATCAAATTGTGGGTTACATGTTCAGATTTGCAGCCGGACCGAAAGAAACTGTATAGTATGTACTCTTCACGGCATGCCGACCTTTCGGCGGGCGGGGCCTGGCCGAAAGGCACGCCAAGTCGGCTCGGAGAGAGTAGGATCGGGAAGTCATCGGTCTCTCCTCGGTGTTATCAAAATCCACCCCAACTGCTCCAACGCGGGCCTCGTCCGAAACTGTCGATACATTGGCTACGTGGCGTTCTTATTCCTGCCTACAATTCGTCCTTCATTTTCGGGGTCCACAGTTTTCATACGAGTGAAGGCTGTTGTAACCATGGACTTCTAATTGTATGGTCTCAAAAAACAAGTTACTCTTCCGTGCGTATGGCATGCCAGCACAGGGTTCTAAGACCCCGGCGTGTCGTCACTCATACTAGTGAATAGATGACTTGCAGTGTATTTGAATATCGTATGCAGTACATACTAAAGGTCAGAGAGGTAGGTCTTCTTTGTGACAGCTCAACAATTAGTAGTAAATTGGCCAGAAGCCCACTACATATACACGGACGAATTACCCCCCACAATACATACTAGATTGTAAGCTTGTATATCATACTAAATAGCGGTCCAAAAAAATCAATTCCCCAATATATGGAGTATGTATGGAGTACGTATGGAGACCTTGGCTAAAGTCAAATTAGGCCATTGAAAATTTGAAGGATCTGAGAACAGGGAACATTCAAAGGCAACATGGGCCACGGCTAAGCCAAAACCCCCCACGCTTTGTTGTTGAAGGCCCACAGCCCCATACTTGCCAAACCCGGAGTTTTGCGGATGACGAAGTACCGTCCCCTGGAAATAAACTGCTTATATTCTGTCTTGTTTCCTCCGAGTTCTCATTGCTTTCCAACATAAAAAACATTACTTTATATTTTTATCCTTTATTCAAGGCTAGGTTTTGATCATGAAGTCAAAACAGCAGCAGCCGGTCTCTTCTTCTCATGACGAAAACATTCCCACGCCAGAGATGACTGCTACACACGATGAGATCCCTAGCGAAAACCAAAAAGGGTGGATTGTTGGAGGAACACACCGCGATCAACTTCACGATGTACAATCACCGGAATTCGATAATCGACTTTTGCAAGAGGTTGACTTCGACCTACCTCTTACAGTGACAAGGAAAATAGAGCACAATGGAGGGAATTTTATGGTGCTTGAGTTTATGGAGGGTGATAAACAAAATCCTTTCAATTGGAGTGGGAAAAGGAAGGCATTCATTAGCTTCCTTCTTTGCATGATGACCCTTTTCATTGGTCTAGCAACAACTGCCTACAGCTCAGGTATTACAGGCATGGTCGAAGAGCTTGGGGTTTCTACTGAGGTTGGTGAACTGGGTCTGTTCGCTTTCAACTTCACATGCGCCCTTGCCCCTCTCTTCTTGGCTCCGTTTTGTGAGCTAGCTGGACGAAGAGTCATCTACGTTGGCAGTTATGTCTGCTTTGCACTCATGTTTATCGGCTTGTCTCTCGGGAAAAATATTGCCACCATCCTGGTTTGCCGTGCCCTGCTCGGTCTCTTTGGATGTGTTGGAACCATTCTTGTTGGTGGCACATTCGGCGACATGTACACCCCTGCTCACCGTGCCATTCCAATGGCCTCTTTCTCTTTCATCGCGATTTTCGGTACGGTTGCCGCCCCGATCTATGCCGGCTTTATCGATCAAGCTCTTGGATGGAGATGGGTTGAAGGTATCCAAGGTCTGGCAAACATTCCTCTGGGCATTGTTATTGCCATTTTTCTGTGCGAGACGCGTGGTGGTGTGACTCTGGCTAAGCGAGCCAAGATGCTCCGGAAGAACACTGGAGATGAGCGCTTCGTCACCCACAACGACCTTGAGGCCCCGGGTATCAAGGAGATGTTGCACAACTCTTCCGTCAAGGCTATTCGCATGCTTTTCACTGAGCCTGTCGTCTTTGCCTTCGGTCTATGGATAAGTTTTGCCTGGTTTCTGACTTTCCTCTTCTTGTCTGTCATCCCTATCACTTTCGCCGATAAGCGTGGCTGGGGTGAGGGTGTATCTGGTCTCCCCTACATCGCCCTCTGCATCGGTACCACTATAGGCTTTGGTATGAACTTTTTCCAGATCAATAAATACAAGTCTCTTGTTGCCGATCCTTCACGGGAAGTTAATCCTGAAGCCCGTTTGTACGGTGCCATGTGTGGTGCTGTCTGGCTTCCTATCGGTCTTTTTATATACAGCTTCACACAGTATGCTCAACTCAGCTGGGTTGGTCCAGTTATCGGTCTGGCTCTGATCGGAATCGGAATATTCTTCATCTTCGAATCCTGTTACAGCTATACTTCCGACTGCTACGGTGAAAACTCATCTTCTGCTATCGCTGGTCAGGGTTTCATGCGCAACACCCTTGGTGCTGTTTCCCCGCTGTTCGCCACTCAGTTCTTCGAGAACTTGGGTAGCCAATATGCTGGTCTTCTGTTGGCTCTCGTTGCTACGCTGTTGACCTTCATTCCATTTGTGTTGTATAAGTTCGGCCCGGAGCTTCGTGCTCGTTCCAGATTGGCCAGCACTACTGTGGCTGCCAATGCTCTTTAAGATATCACAGATAAAGCATTTGGGGGGTTTATCAATTTTTTTCAAAGGTGGAATAAGATTACTAGTACATAGCACTTCAATGTTACATACTTGATCAGACCCAGGCAAGTGAGCAAACACATTGCATATATACCTAAAGCCAGATTACCTCGAATACATAACGAATACCATGTCTGAACAAAACTTTCACTTCATTTTCAGTCAGGGACTGCCAAATGTAGTTTGAGTTGATTGAGTATACTTGTGAATGTCCTCAGGTGTCGACCTTGACAGAAGACATCTATGAAACGGTTGGGGGAAACAGTCATTAGTGAGCCAGGTACTAGTTGTAGGCGGTTGTCCACGTGACTACTAACCTGCGGCCATGAATCATGATGACCAGGCCATCAAATGACAAAAAGCGGTGAGCTCCACGTGATCGATAGCATTTCTAAATTTGAGATTTTGCTTTTATCGCACGTGACCCTTTCAAAGGCGGTGTGTTCCCGATTTCTTCCATTTCCAGAAATTTTCCATCGCATTTCTCCAACCCACCCCCAATACCTTCAATCTCATTCCCTTAATACAAAAGGCAGTGATCCTTTGCGTGAGCCCATATCTCAAAAGATTTGGATTTGAATTCTCTCCACAACAATGGCCGAAGATACCAACGCAGCCTGGCCCATCGCCGATGAGACCATGACTCAGTCCATTCTCGACCTTGTCCAGCAGGCTTCCCACTACCGTAAGTTCCAACCACCCGTCTTGACTGGAGACCAACACTAATATTTTCACCAGGCCAGCTGAAGAAGGGTGCTAACGAGGCCACCAAGACCCTCAACCGCGGAACCTCCGGTAAGAAAAAAAAAAAAACTCCCCGTTCCATTCACCCCGGAACACTGTTCTAACGTGCTTCTCCAGAGATTGTCATTCTCGCTGCCGATGCCTCCCCCCTGGCTATCGTTCTCCACCTGCCCCTCCTCGCTGAGGACAAGAACGTCCCCTACGTCTACGTTCCCAGCAAGATGGCTCTTGGCCGTGCCACTGGTGTCTCTCGCCCCGTGATTGCTTGCTCGATCACCACCAACGAGGCTTCCGAGTTGACCAACCAGATCCGCACTCTCAAGATCGCCGTCGAGCGTCTCATGATCTAAGGAATTGACCAATTCCAAATATTGTGGTTGATGGAGGATTGTATCGAAGAAGGCAGATAACATGGCATGGGCTGTGGCTGTTGAGATGTGCTCGGTGAAGAAAAACTGAATGCCGCTTCTTATTCCGGCTTCACAATTGGCTGTCCAAGACTTTAGCTAGATCTTTTCAGCTTCAGAGATACAATTTCATATTATTTTGAGAATTTGCTGTGCACTCGTGGTACTCACGTGCTACCGTGTCATTGATCGTGTAGGTATTCGGAACTTATGAACTATGTGTATTAAGCCGGAATTGTAGTAGTTCCTTGGGAGCATTGCGCAGCCTCTTTACTCCAGTGGCTGTGTACTAGTCTCGGCTCTTTGCTACCCCACCCGCGTCAAAAAAAAAAGATCGTCAAGCCTTGGAAGAACTGCCGGTAGCATTTGGATCAACAAATGCTGACGTTGTCATCAAAATTAAAGGTTGTGCTCGATCCACCGTGGCAGTGATACAACGCACCTGTCAAGCAGTGCGGCCATTATTCGCTTTTCGCTGGTTCAGCAAAATATAGTACTTGGTATGTCTTCTTCTGCTGGAATTTTCATCAATCCACCTTAATCAATATCAAACTTAATTTCTGTCAAGAAACACGGCACAGTAAGGGGTCAAAGATGGGCATGGGCTAAGCGCCCCGCAGGACGAACCGTTGACGGGTCTAGTCACTAGTGCCGTGGCGCCATGAAATCAATGATATTAATGGCTCCAACTTGGCCAATCGCTTGTTATCAAACCGTTTCGGATCCCCTTTAACCCTCTAATCTTAATTTATGCGTGGTCGTATACGTAATTCTCCTGTTTGGGCGGTATCCGACTCCAGGATTGGCACCTGAACGTGCATCCCACCATAGCTTTAAATGGCTTTTTAGTTCATCCCGGCAAGCTTCTTCGACACTCATGGATCTTGTGGGGCTTAAGGTGGGACAAGTTTGGTAAAATATACCGTCTTGGCTCTCGGCAAACCTGACAACGAGATATAGGAGGTTTCATGACTCGATTGCAAAATTCCCAGACGAGGAGGATACTATCCTATGTCTGTCGATCGGGTTGAGGTCTGACTCGTGCTGCCAGTCTATTATTGTTGTTCGTGCTCAAAGGGACCATTTTGTATTAAAATCTGCTATCTCCTCCCTCCTATTATTTCATCTCTCAATAGGCACTTTCTTTATTCATTCATTTCTTTCTGCTTTTTCTTTCCATTTTTTCCAATCTTTCCAATCTTTCCAATCTTTCCAATCTTTCACATTCATTTTCTTCTTTTCAATATGCTGTCCACTTTCCTCGCAATAGGCCTGGCGCCATTGCTCATCAGTGCACAGCTCTCTGGCTCTGTGGGCCCTACAACTTCCTACGCTACCAAGGCCGACAACAAAATCTGCAGTGTCCTCGACTACGGTGGTGTAGCCGACAACTCGACCGATATTGGACCGGCGATTAGTTCGGCTTGGGACGAGTGCAAGGATGGTGGCGTTGTCTATATCCCGCCCGGTGACTATGCTCTTGAGACATGGGTCGATTTGACCGGAGGTAGCAGCTGCGCGATCAATATTGATGGAATACTCTACCGGACTGGGACCGACGGGGGAAACATGATTTACATCGAGCATACTACCGATTTTGAGTTATTGAGCTCCACCTCAAAGGGTGCTGTACAGGGTTTCGGATATGTATTCCATGCGGATGGCGACATCACCGGTGCTCGCATCTTGCGTCTTTACGACGTTTCCGACTTTTCGGTTCACGATCTTGCCCTCGTTGACTCGCCTTCATTCCATTTCTCCCTTGACACTTGTGAAAATGGCGAGGTTTACAATATGATCATTCGTGGTGGAAATGAGGGTGGACTAGATGGTATTGATGTCTGGTCTACTAACATGTGGATTCATGATGTGCGCCCCATCAATATTTCTCACTTCAGGCTCTTCATTTGCTAACTTCTCACAATAGGTCGAGGTTACCAACAAGGATGAATGTGTCACTGTCAAGGTAAGCATTCCGTTTTGCAGCTCCTAAAGCTCGAAATATACTAACAACAACTCTAAAATTCAGTCCCCGGCCCAGAATATCTTGGTGGAGAGCATCTACTGCAACTGGAGTGGTGGCTGTGCCATGGGCTCCTTGGGTACAGACACCAACATCTCTGATATCACATATCGCAATATCTATACCTGGTCTTCAAACCAGATGTATATGATCAAGAGCAACGGCGGTAGTGGATCAGTCTCTAATTTGATCCTTGAAAACTTCATCGGTATGATATTTCACACTCACCCATACGCACAACTAGACCAAACAAGACTAACACGCACAGGCCACGGCAACGCCTACTCCCTTGACATTGATCAGGCCTGGAGCAGCATGAGCACCGTAGACGGCGACGGCGTCCAACTCAGCAACATCACAATCAGCAACTGGAAGGGCACGGAGTTAGATGGTACCCAGCGTGGTCCTATCGTGGTGAAATGCGCCGACACGGCACCCTGCACCGACATCACAATTGAGGACTTTTCCATGTGGACCGAGGAAGGCAATTCTCAGTGGTATTCGTGTCAGAATGCGTATGGTGACGGGGCTTGCTTGGAAAGTGGAGATGACTATACCTCTTACACTACAACTATGACGGTGACTGCGACTCCGACTCCATCGCGATCCGCCGCCAATCTCTCGCGATCAAGTGCTAGTATTTCGCGATCATTCACTAGTCTCTCCCGATCCTCTCCTACTCCCGGAGGATACTGTGGTTCTCCCTCAAGTCACTCTTCTTCTGCCTCGAGATACTCCGCTTCTCCTGCACGATCCTCGGCTACTCCCTCCTCGGCATCTTCGGCCACTACCATGGCATCAGATTTGACTGCTGCATTTGGCACCAACTCATCTATTCCAATTCCTACCATCCCTACTTCGTTCTACCCTGGTCTGACCCCTTACAGCGCTTTGGCTAGTGCTTCGGCTTCCTCGGTATACCCAGTTCGGGCTTGAATACCGTTAATTCTTGGATGTCACTCGGAATGCCCGCCACCTTCCCATTCCCAGTCGATTCATTTGCAAAACTTAGGTTATTATCTTTGACCGGTTTCACTCATCTTAGAGTGGCTTGGTTTATTACAATAAAAATCAAGTTTGTATATCATGTTGTTCATTCTACTCTACCATACAACTCAAACTCTAGAAACTTCAGTCTCTTGGTTTCTTCATACTTACTTCAATCCATGGCTCAACAATTGAGTGCTTTCGAATTCAGAATTACCGACATACTACTTTCAAAATTTGCGCATGAATCAAATGGCCATGGATTTTGGGAGCTTTGTCTCGAAGCCAGTACTTACTTGCAACAGCTTATTCTTTGTTCCAAGGTTTGTGACACTGCAACCATGCAGGCCTGTGGCTTGATACATACAAAGCGATAATACATATCAAGCTGATGTATTAATATTCCTCTTGACTGCAGCCAAGACTATGAATTGAGAATGTTGAAATTGCTGGGACTCAGAGTCATATGGAAGTTGGTGGTTGATCTCCACATAAACATTTGAATGCGACCCTGGATTGACGAAACGCGCCCGATAATCACGTCATGACAGAATTGAAGAATATCAACTAAGCTTGACAGGAGTCAGGAACATTGATTCGATCTGATGTGTATTTTAACATTTTTGCGAACGGGATCCGGGGGCTTCCAAGGTTACATGCATACTACTATACACCAGAGTGCTCCTTCTCAAATAAGTCACAATCCCCCCTCTTATCCGAGCCAAACAACAATACATTTGAACATCACCCAATGGCCGATCAGGCCAAATCAGCAGATCCTGAGCTCAGGCCGACCGAATACCCGGTCACAACAGCAGCAACACCCTTGTCAGAAGAGAATGAGAAAACCATCTACAATGCCAAAGCTGAGACACTCAACCGCGCAATCCAAGAAATTGGCATGGGTCGCTATCAATGGCAATTGTTTATTGTCATCGGCTTCGGTTGGGCGAGCGACAACCTCTGGCCGATTGTAACGTCACTAATTCTTGCACCGGTGGCATACGAATTCCAAATCAGCAAGGAAGCCTTCCTAACGCTGGCCCAAAACATCGGGTTGCTCGTGGGTGCAGTATTCTGGGGCTTTGGGTGCGATATCTTCGGTCGGACGTGGGCCTTCAACCTCACCATTGGCATCACGGCAGTCTTCGCCTTGATCGCCGCGGGATCGCCCAATTTCGCTGCAGTCTGCACATTTGCAGCACTGTGGTCTGTTGGAGTTGGTGGGAATCTACCAGTCGATTCTGCCATTTTTCTTGAGTTTCTACCAGGATCGCATCAATACTTGTTGACGGTTTTGTCAATTGATTGGGCGTTTGCGCAGGTTGTCGCGACTCTTGTTGCGTGGCCGTTGCTGGGTGATTTGACGTGCTCCCAGGCTGAGGGTTGTACCAAGGGGAAGAATATGGGTTGGAGGTATTTCATGATCGCGATGGGTGGGTTGGCGATGATAATGTTTGTCAGTCGCTTTCTTCTTTTCACTATCTATGAGTCGCCAAAATACTTGATGGGGAAGGGACGGAATGAGGATGCGGTGAAAGTGATTCATGAAGTGGCCCGACGAAATGGAAAGACAACATCTCTTACCCGAGAGAATTTGGATGGATTAGATCGCCAGGAACTTGAATGTCAGTCTCGGGGATTTCGCACGACAGGCATTGTCCGTCAACGACTGGAGAAGCTGAACTTCGAGCACGTTCGCGCGTTATTCGACAGCCCAAAGCGGGCGTACTCGACGACCATGATTATTGTAATCTGGGCGTTCATCGGACTGGGGTATCCTCTATACAATGCCTTCCTCCCATTCATTACCGCTCAACGTGGTGCCGAGTACGGCGATGGATCGACATCTATCACCTACCGCAACTCGTTGATTATCGCCGTAGTGGGCATTCCGGGCTGCCTCCTTGGCGGCGTTCTAGTGGAGCTCCCTCGTTTCGGACGAAAGGGTGCTCTATCCACTTCGACCGCGTTAACTGGCGTATTCCTTCTTGCATCAACTACTGCGTCCACGTCGAATGCCTTGCTGGGATGGAATTGCGCATTCAGCTTCATGAGTAGCTTGATGTATGCTGTACTTTACGCATACACGCCGGAGATCTTTCTCACCAAGGACCGTGGCACTGGAAATGCGTTGACTGCGTCTGCAAATCGTATTTTTGGCATCATGTCACCCATCATTGCCATGTTTGCTAATCTGGAGACTGCGGTCCCAGTGTATGTCAGTGGAGCTCTTTTCCTTACTGCTGGAATTCTGGTTGTGTTGATGCCGTATGAATCCCAAGGAAAGGCAAGTCTATAAGAATATCAGCGGAAAAGTTTGTTCAAACGTTTCGTTATATGAGACTCCAAAGTCATAACTAAACTTGTAGGTGCTTGTAGATAACATTATATTCAAATGTTCAAAACCCAATGACATCATTCAACCGCCACCTGCCATCGTATACTAGCCACACCACTGAGCTGCGCATTTATACCCAGCAGCTACGCAGATCTTCATATAAAAACATTTGATCACATGTCACTCCCATTCCCATGAGCGTCACTTCTACTCTTGATAATCAGAGCGGATAGACAGGAATGGATACAACTATGAGATCAATGTGGATCCCACTAGATTCACGTCAGGCGGTTTCATTGGGTTTGATGGGGAGTGACACATAGTGGATGCGCATCTCATTCGATCGATTGGTAGCCATTTGACGGGGATTTAATCTAATAAAGTAGTTGTGGCTTGGGAAAAGTCGCACGCATTATATCATGGCTCAGATCAAGTTTTCGTCATCGGTCACCAAAAAGTATTTAAAAAGGAGAAGAGGTTACGTCCGACAGTAGTCAACAAACAGAAAATCGCACTTTGTAAATTATTATCCTCTCAAGTGCTTGCTTTTTACCTACTATCTATCTTCACTACAACCTGCAACATGTCTGAACAAAACAGTAAGTCTCCACCACTCTTATCACCAACACGCCTGCCAAATCTAACCATTTTCACTCTGCAAAGACAACGGCGGTCTCCTCGGCGGCTTAGGCGATACCCTTGGCAAAACAGTTGGAGGCGTCACCAACACAGCAGGAAGCGCGGTCGGCGGTCTCGGTAGTACTCTCGGTGGCGTCACACAGGGCCTTGGACAAACTGTGTCGGGGGCAACGGAGGGTCTAGGCAACACGACCAAGAACACCGGACAGGGTATTTCGAATGGATTTCAGAGTATTGGTGGGAAGCAGCAGACTGCGGAGAACCCACTCGGCTTGGACCGTTAGATCACGAGCAAGGTGTGAGGATAATGACATGAACCGATTTGACTTGACTTGATGAGCTCGGGTCTTGATTGTAATATAGTCTACTACTTTTACGTAATCAATTTTTGAAGATATTGAATTGATTCATTTCTGTAATATGATAGGGAATCTGGATATTACCTCGGCTTCAAATGTTGGGCTGAGTTATGAAGGAAATGGACTCTACGCATAGTATGAGATTTGAGATTTTAGTCCACCCGTGGACACTTTTAGCGTGCCCTTTGAACGTATCTACTACTACTATCATGCTACAATCGTTTCCATCCAGTATTGCTATGGCCGATATCAAGCTTGAGCTGGAAAACTCTACACTTATTATTCCAACATTGAATACACTCGAAGATACTAGTAGATATTCAATGTTTTCCAAGGTTTACTACTTGTCCATGATCGGTTGACCCAATCACCAGTTGACTTCTTGAACATGAATATTACGGACCCAGTCTCTATACCTACTAGTACTAGGCTCGGCTTTTTCTGTAGCCTCCAGGACCCTATGGCCTTTTGCTTTTTGGGCTAGTGTGGCTGCTTTGCTTCTTAGACCAGGTGCGATGCAAGAAATATGCTAGTATGTTTAACACTGGATGAGATTTGCTTTTCCATTGGTGTATGCAGCTAGCACTTGAGTACGACCCAAATAGGAACTGAGCTTTGGTTAACATTTAATGTGTTGAACGCCTTTTTTGCTCTCTTTTGTCAAGTTAGATTCTCGTTTTCTTTATACGTTCTTTTCCCCGCTGTTACTCAGATAATCTCTACTAGTATGTATTAGTATCTTATCATTGATCGCGTTGCGTGGTTCTGAAATGGGTCAATTACGAGTATTTAGACCCTGCGTGGGGTCTTACCAAACAAGTTACAACACGGTCTTTTTCTTTAAAAAATCAATATTTTAAATTTTCTTTTTCTTTTTTCAATTTTTTTTTTTTCGCACCGTGTTTGGCCGATTTTCGGGTAGTGGAGGACAAAGAAGGGGTCAAGCTGGGCAAGAAGCTGGAACGGGATTATTTAAGAATTGGAACTTTATCAAATGATGAACAGGTGAACAGATTGGAGAATCATGGAGATCATGACTTTGATTGCCTAGGTATGATATTTAGCATCGGATAGGTTGGGCATTGTTTTGGGGTTCTTTCATGTACTTGCTTAGTTAAGATCTGATTAATAATATCAACCCCGCTTTCGGCGTGACCCTCTCTCACGTGATGCGGAGGGAAATTCTCGAATTTCGTTTTATTTTTTCATTTTAATTTTTTTTTTTCGTTTTTTTTTCCGTTTTTCGTTTTTCATTTTTAATTTTTTTATTTTTTGGGATTTTATTTTATTTTCCCTAATTCCATCGAGATCCCCAGACCGTCATCCACTTTGGCTTCCCATACCCCCCAGATCTTTATTTGTACCTTCTTCTCCAAACCAGCGTACACTGGGGCTGTTTGGATTCTGCTAGAGTGCCCTGTTGGCCCTGGTGGTTCCTCAACCCCCTGAATCGCCCTCGAGTGTGTGTTGGGCCAATTTCTTCCAACTTGCGCTGACCGGTCGCTCTCGTCCGCCGTACCCACTATACCCTTTCGGGAAGCGGCAAACTTTCTCTTTTGGCCTTACTGCCTTTCTGCCTTACTGCCTTGTGGCCTCATATCTCGGCCCGCCCGAAACAACAAAACACGCGGCGCGACTCTCTTCACCAGTGACCAAAGCCCCGTGAGATTGCCAACACGCGACCACTAAGAGGATTTGAGACTTGATCTATATACCAGTCGGGTCGTTGGCTTGGAACACCATTCGGTCTCTGACAATCCGTGGTCGCATGTATTGTGAACAAACACAAAGCTAACCCCCCCCCCATCGAATCTCGCTGCCGCTGACGGCTAATTCGAATCCACGTCATTAAAGATGATGGGATACGGGGGTCAATCCTTCCATCCCTCCCAGCAGCAGCAACAGCAGCAGCAGCAGCAGCATCAGCAGCAAATTCATCCTTCCAACCAACCTCAGCATCCCCTGGGTCCTCAACGTCAGCACATCCCATCTCCATCGCTTGGCGCCGCACCCAACCTTCCGCAACATGGAAGTCCCTTCCCAAACAATAAGCCGATTTTTCGCGCACAGCCACAACAGAGTTTTGCGACAGCGCAATCCCCTGATTTGCGTAAAATGGCGCCAACCTCCACGGGGCCCTTAGCGGGGTATCCCACCACCACCAGTTTTGCGGCACAGTTCCCTGGCCATTTTGCGCCACAAGCTTCACCTGACCCGATGTCGCGCAATCCTGATCCGATGGCTTTGCAGAATATACAGAGGGGAGCATACAACCCTATCACGCAGCACTTGCGACCGCAGCCTGGAATGAGCCCTGGTATGAGTTCCGGAATGAGTCCTCCCACTGCCGCCATGACACATCAGCATACTACGGGCATTTCATCACCCCAGCAGTCTTTAAATAGACTGCCTCATGCGGCTATCCACCAACGTGAAGGCTATCCATCTGCCAGCCCGTCTATGGCAAGTCCCTCAATGTTTGCCATGAGCCAACAGAGGCAACCTCAATCTCAACCCCAATCCCCTCAGCAGCAACAGCAACAGTTGCAACAGAGACAGCAACAATACCAGCAGCAACAACAGCAACAGCAACAGCAACAACAACAACAGCAGCAGCAGCAGCAACAACAACAACGGATAGAACAGCAAAAGCAGATCCAGCAGCAACAACAACAGCAACAGCAGCGTCTGGAGCAACAGCAACGGCTGGAACAACAGCGTCTGGAACAACAGAAACAGATAGAGCAACATGAGCAGCAACAAAAGCACGAGCAGCAGAAACGCCTTGAGCAGCAACGCTTAGAGCAGCAGCAGCAGCAGCAAAATCAACAACGTCAGGAACAACAACGTCTCGAGCAGCAAAGACTACATCAACAACGCGCAGAAAAGCAGCGGTTAGAGAAACAGCAGAAAGAGCTTCTGGAGCAGCAAAGATTACAGAAGTTGCAACAACAAAGTCAGGCACAAAACCCCTATCAGCAACAACCATCTCCCTTTGCACAGCATGCTCAGTCTCCGTTCCATCAGTACCAACCGCAAGGGTTTGTTCCGCAGTCTGTCCAGTTCACACAGCCAACTCAGACTCAATTCACCGCCACACAGCAGGCTCCTCAATTCCAGCACTACCAACCTCCGTCACAACCCTCGGCAGATGCTGCGCGACAGTCCTTGGTGCAACCTGCAACGGCCACTGCAGGAAACCAGGCTATTAAAATGGAAGACCAAAGCCCTGCACCGAAAAAGAAGGCCCCTCCCAAGCCTCGAAATTCGATGGCTGCCCCGTCTCAATCAAGCCAGGGTCAGGTGCCGCAGAGTGTTGATGGGTCAACTGCTACTCCTACTCAGCCTAATGGCCAATCGCAACCTGCTCCCGGTGACCCTTCAACTCCCACTCCAAGACGCAAACGTGGACGTCCGCGCAAAGAGGAGGTAGCTGCTAGAGCTGCTCAAGCTGCTGCCCATGCTTTGGCAAACGGTCTACCCATGCCAGGGACATTGCAGCCCGGGCAAGCATCCTTTAACCCTAATATGACACCCATGGCCGCTGGTTCAGCTTTGGGTCCTGGTTCGGCTTCACAGCTCACTCCCGTCATAGGCCCTGACGGAACTCCGTTGCCTTTCAAGCGCAAGCGTGGTCGCCCTCGCAAGGCAGATCAGATTGCCTGGGCAGCTGCAACGGGCCAACCGTTACCACCACCAAAGCCGCGAAAGCCCCCTATGCCCAAGGCAAACAGACCTCCCAAGCCCGGTACCGGTCGGCCTCGTGGAAGACCTCGCAAATCCGATATTGCGGCAGCAGCGGCTGTTGCCGCCGCTACAGGTGGTAACCCAATGGCCACGGAAAATAACTTGGGCGACAATGCGGAAATGAACCAGGCTCGCAAGCGTGCGGCGCTCAGTGGAGATGACGATCCAAGCAAGCGTCCTTGTCCGACGCCACCATATCACCAACAAGGTCAAATGCAACAATTAGCTCCACAGGGCCACTCACTCCCTCGACCTGGTCAATCTATGTCTGGTCAATCTATGCCCCAAGCCCATCACCTCCAGCAACAGCAACAGCAACAGGCTCAACACATGAAAAACCAGGCTGGTCAACATATTTCCCAGCAAATGCCACATCAACCTGGTCAGGCCATGTCAATGCCACATATGCATATGCACCAACAGTCGCCTATTCACTCCGGACGACCTACGCCCCCACAGGCGGCCTTCATGCAGATGCCTCCTCTACAGCGAGGCTCAACCCCGACTTTACATGGGAATCCCCATTCCCAACTTCAAGGAGTTCAGACAAACGGAAGAGTCCCACCCCGTCCTGCACCGCAGCATCAGCACCAGCATACATTCCAAGTTCATCTTCAACCTCAGCCGACCTAGGAGAGGTTAGCTAGATTGATTGTTATTCCATCTCTTTGTACATGCTGCTATATTGTTGTCCGCGACTCTAGCCCGGGCTATATGACTTCACCTTCTATACTCTCAAACTTCTTACATTGATTCCCTCCCCGCATAACTGAAATTTTCTCTCATCTCCCGCTTGATTTCCCATTCCCGTTTTCTCACCTTTGCTTCTTTTTGGTACTGGCATGTCTGTTTCATGAGTGGAAGTGAATTACTGGGATATTTATCTATATCTTGGCGTTTTGCGTGATATATTTCGATATTAGTTTGGCATGATGGACATTTGTTTTGCTTTCCTCTGTCCCTCTTGTGTTCACTTACTTAGCCGGTGGTTTGGTCATGTTGTGATTTTTTTTTTCCTTTCTTTTATCGGCATATATATCTAATGTTGTAGTACATATTCCTAATTCAAGTTTCATTGTACTGGTCACACTTGGCTCCAAATTTCTGGGCAATATTGTCGCACTGTTGTCCCACCACCTGTGCAAATGCCACCGGTGGACATGAGTACATACACCACATGCAGGCATCTGAGGCGAAAACGTTCAATGTTCTTGTGGGTATCGGAACCTTGAAGGTTCCTTGGAACAACCTCCAGGGCTTCCAAGGTTGAAACCATTGATTCAATGTTCAACATTCCACGTTACAACATTCAAATGTTCCCACTCGAATGACCATGAAAAAGACACAAAAAGAATAGCCTCCGGGGCTTACAAGAGGATCCATAGGTAAATCAAGCACTTGAGGGCTTCAACGAGGTATGTACCTAACTATCTGCGAGTATGATGGGTATTTAATTATCAATTAAAGTAGCCGCAGCCTCAAAATTCATCAAATCTTCCAATCCTTCCATCCTCGAATCAATCTGAAATGCTTCTCCGTTCTCAACCTCACCCCCGGCCAGGGTCTCCGCAAGGGGCCAATCTTCCAAATCAACATCCAGCGTAGGCGCAATTCTCCTCACAACACTATCACACAATTTGAATGCCCGGTAGGCTGCCATATCCACAGAGGCCATCGCATGTATCCACGAAAGAGCCTTTCTGGACATTGCCAGTGCGGTTTTCAAATCCGATTCTAATAGCGACGGATACGGTGCACCAGATAGGCTAGCCGGGTATTCCGCTTGCTGTTGGGCCCCCTGTTCCGATTTTTCGGGGGAGCAGTATACCAAAGCCAAAAGTAGAGCAGTCGTAGATTGCATTAGGAAATGAAGAACACTCCACCAAGGGGTGACACGCGCAAGCCAAGCGATGTCGATTTGCTCAGGGAAGGTGGAGATGAGCGAACAAGATGCCTGTAGACAATTCGTGGCCATTTCAGCGCGCAGTTTCGCGCGGGGCATCTTTTCTGCTGGGATCGTGGCACGTTGATGTAGACTGAGACAGGGTCTACAGAGTGTTATTCTGGCGGAGTAATAGTTCAGTGCCAGACAGACTCGTTCACGGGTATGAGGTAGGGATTCATCGTCCAGTTTGGCGTGATTCACACGCCATGGACCTGCCTCTGGTTGAGTGAATTGGTAACTCGGGTGTACCTTTGCGAGCCAGCGGTCCATTCGTGTAGCGTATTTTTGGAGACGGTATTCCGTTTGACTTGAGCCTTCGCGGATCCCTTCAATGCTGTACACTTTGTTCAGAACGGATTGAGAGATCAGGAAGAGGTCTACCAAATAGTGGAAGAATAGGGATGGACTGGTTGGGACTGTGAATGTCCAAGCGGGGGTTGAGGAGGGTTGGTTGAGTTTTTCGAAAAGTGTGGCGGTGAACTCGATGTTGTTGGCTCGTTCGTTTTGGAATAAGCGTCGAATCTCTGGCTCGTCAAATTCTTCTTCTTCCACCGGGGTGGGGAGCTGAACTGAGCAGAGACTCTCTCCGACACCGGAGACTCGACCGTGCATTGAGGTGAGAAGGTGTTCTAATGAATAGATAGACCACCACAGGCGGGAACGGGCTTCTTTTGATGCATGATTTGTTCTGTCATCTAGGAGACGTAGGTTGATACCAAGAGAGATCGCTGAGTGTAGCGCCATGCTGCCGAATTTGGATGCCCTGTAACTACCGGTCAGCATATAAAGAAAAATACATATGAGAGAAGTGGGGGGGGGAACGGAACATACCTATTTATCTGACCCGTGCAAAGCAAATAGACAGCAACCAAAAGCTCTAACTGTATCTGTTGAAGTGCGGTATGCTCGAAAAGAACATTCTCGTGTAGACTCAGCTGTCTAGCTCGCGTCAAAAACACAATATGATCATCATAAATACCGCTGTTGGTGTGATTAATTAATCGGCAATGTCGACATCCAATAGCAAAAATCATATTCAGCACCGCTAGCCATTTCCTTGGGGGGTCAGAATTGCGTGGCGGACCAGGCGGTCGACTGAAGAACTGCAGATATTGCTGTGTAAAGGTAGATTGACGAATGGCATTGAAAAAAGGATTGACGAATAACATATAAGCATTGAAATACTCGTCGGCTAGATCTCTCGGCGGCATGACGAACGGGTCCGACTGATTATCCACCATTGGGATGTCCAAATCATCCATATGATAATTCATCATCGCAATGGGGATATCCTTTGCAATCTTATCATTCTGAGACGCAGAATCTCCGTTCTGGCCTTCCACATGGCCCATGAGAGGAGAGTCAGACATTTCACGACTGGTGCTTCCAACACTATCTTCCAGCTTCTGCATCCAAGAAACTTCCGAACTCTTTCCAAAATAACCGGCAGCGCGGCTTTGCTCATTGCGATTCAAATCTTCGCCGACTACATCGACGGATTCCAAAGACCCCACCGACGAGTCGGAGTCGGAGTCCTCGTCTTTTTGGGGCTGTTTCGAGAAACTTCCGTCTTTGCACTAGAGACAAAAGGTACCTACGTTAACCAACTGTCACCGCATCCAAAATGGATGTGCCAGTTCTAGGAAGTTGACGCATATGCGATATGAGACTGGTTCATAGTTTTGATTTGGCTCACCTTGAGAACTTTCCTGATTTTGCGTGCGGTGGGAGCGTCGACCTCTCCTTGAACGCTGCGCAAGGTCTTTTCATACTTTTCCACACGATTCGTGAGGGACTTGATCTTATTCTCGTCACGCACTCGCTTCACTTCTTCGTAGACACACTGATTGTTGTGGTATATACATTGACCACAGCTGGGTCGTTTACCATCGCATTTTGTTTTTCGTTGCCGACATGATTCGCATGCCCGCACCGAGCGTCGACGTGCCTGTGCATTGTTGGCGCTAGCTATACGAGGGATCGCGACCTTTTCGAGCGGTATCAAATCAGGGGTCTGATTTGGGTCTGTGCTGGAGGCTGACGGGGTAGGGCCGAAAGTGGGAAAGGCGTTCTGAATTAACGTATGTGGCGTAAACGGCGGGTTTCCCACATAGATAACGTCTTGTGGGGCAATGGATGATCGAGGGCTCGGGTTCGTATTTGGCCAGGGTGCCGTGCTAGTCGGAATAGCTTCATCGCGAATTGAATTGTCATTTGAGGGAGTCATGGCCACATTGATGTAAAATTTAAGATAAGGAGCGACCGATAGAAAGGGACGTTGAACAAGGGCAAAAGTTAGGAGTAGGAGAAATAGGTGAAACGGCAATTAAAAAAAAATGAGCTCGTGACCATCAGTGACCGGTTCAGATTTTGATCCAAGAGTGACCCAGGAGTGACCCAGGTTGACCAGAATTTGAACCGAAAGGAACAAAAAGGGACAAAAATCCAGAGATAATTGACAAATTACACCAGTGCAAGTTATGATCATCCTCCTTTCCCCCCCGCTTTTCTCCCGCCACTGTGCCGTTTTCTCTGAAGGGAGAACAAGTGAACCTGTCAAGGAAAGACGCTGACTTGATGCGTTTTGTGGGTCAGGAAAACCACTTTTGACGTCAGATTTAGGTCAGCTTCCCGTGACTCCACATTTCTATAAGGATCCTCCAATGAAGTGTAATCAAGTCCAATCAAGTCCCAAGTTCAAGGGAAAAGAGAGGCACTTGATCTCCATAACGGTCGAGATAAGCTGAAGATCGTCGGAAGCTGAATCGGAATTGGCTGTCGGCAGCTGAAGCGAGCCCTTGGGATCTGGGGGATACAGAGAGACGTGGAAAGGCGGGAATAAAAAAAAAAAGACACTTATTCATTCCAATCTCCTCCTTCCTGCAATAGAAGGGAGAAGAGTTTCCAATAAGCATTCAGCATCCCATGGGACGATATCGTTCCAGGAAAACGTCATCTTTTCCCAGACTTAGACTTTCATATCGATCAAGCATATCCGAAAGTCCCATGCCAGGATAATCCTGGAGGTTGGTACCGCCTTCCCCTCCTATACCATGGTATTTTTGCTCTTGATTTAGCTTCTCCAGCCCCTCGGCATAATCATCAAAGCGATCATGACCTCTCCCACTTGATCCCTCATCAAATAGGTCCTTCAACTCATCCGATATGGAGCTTGCCCCACGGATCCGATCACCCTGGGCCTTGGCTCGCACGGATTGTCGGAAGATGTGAAACAGGTTTCGTCCAAGTGCCGATCGACTTGCGACAATGGAAAAGGCGCTGGCTAGAGACAAGAAATCCTGGTCAAGGACATCAAAGTCCTCTTGTTCCAACAGGGTAAATAACGCTAGGTTGATCGCATACATGGCGAATTGATGTGCTCGGCTTAGCCCATATTCCTGTCGATGTAGCTGGGTGAGTTCAGCTATACCCCGAGCTGCAGATTGCGTAACCTCCCAGGCATTATATTTGGATTCGGGGGTTTGCCTGGGAGGGCTTTCAGGCGTATGCGGTGCATCAGATGTAATGCTTGAAAATTCGCTGTCTGAGATACAGCTGAATAAATTGATGGTCAAGGTATGGTATCGCATTCTATATTCGTAGAGACCAAATGAAAAAAGTCAGTCATTTATTAATTCAGAATCAATTTTCTCTCTCTCTCTCTCGCTCCCTTACCTCAACAGTATGATATGTGGTGGCGGATCTGATGTCGCAAAAGCATCAGGCAACAAAGCCTGCCACCTTAACAGTCGCTCGTATAACAACTCTCGACTCTGGCGCTGAAGAGACTTATCCCGAGCATGACCTGCAAACATAGTATGTGAAATATCACGCGCAATCGTGGATAAGTTGCACGCTTCATCGAAGAAGGGTTTGAGGTATGATGGGCGCGGCTTTCGATGTGTCGGATAAGGAGTCCACTGAGGCTGAACCGTGGAGAGGTCATCTTCAATACGGGGGAGATTGACCTGATTGATTAAACATGATCTGAGAAAACCAGTATGGATTGTCCTAGAACCTCCTGCATTAGCCTTCTTTAAAGAAGAATTCAATAATAAAAAAAGCTCGACCTTCACTTACGTGTCAATATTGAAGAGTCCCCACGCTGCCCTTCTGCAGGACAAATCCATGTCTTTGGATAACTGGCCGGATGCTATTCTTGGTCCTTTGTCTCCAACCAAGCCCAGGGATTCCCCGATTCGGATCGCTTCATGCAGTGTGAAATATCCGAGGTCGTTGTTGTGCGACATGGCATACCTCTCGTACATGAGAAGTGTCCCTTGTAATAAGACAAGACTAGGTTGAGGACTCTGGAGCTCTTTTAATCTCTCGGCTTCAGCGAGGAAGTCACAGCCTTTCGAGGCAATCTTCCCTGGGACAACATATGCTTCCGAGAAATCCGAGAAATACTGTTCCGAATCAGCAGCCATGCACATGCAGACAACGCCAACGCCAAATCAAACACTTACACAGGCATTACTCAACATCGCATTTACCAGATAGGGACTGCAAAACTCCGACCGCAAATCCCCACTAACCATATGTTTCAAGAAAACATCTCGATCCAACCCTCCTTGGAATGGATAATCCCAGGTGAAATAGAGTGAGACAAGATTTGACACCAAGTCTGCGTCATCCGTGACAGTCGTCCATGGGTGTGCAGGTACTTTCAACGGAGCTTCATCACAAAGATAATGAATATCCATGACCTTGCTTCGAAAGGCAGGTCCATCAGCTTCGACACTGAGAAAGTGACGCACATCCTCCAACCTGGCCACTGTCTCCCGGGGGGTGGTGTTATCGGCACCCAGTATGGCCAGTGTTTTATCAATGTAAGATCTGACTTCATGGGGAGGAGCATTCCGTCGAATTATTTCTAGCAGCTCCAAAGCATAAGACTCATCTGCCTCACGGACAAGCTTAAAGAGATCATTCAGAAGGTCACGGTGATAGCCCAGCTCATCAGCTGTACGTTTGGCTGCAACCCGGCGTCGTTGATCAAGTGATTCATCGAAAATACAAGTGCGTTGAAAAGCACGACAGTTTTCACAAGGCGGCGTTCCGGAACACTGAGCATCCAAATTTCATACTCAGCTCCGTGATCTCGAGATATCCATGGATTTCTTGATGGTATTATGGATTCATATCATGAGGGAAAGGGGTTCAATGTTGGGACATACCTTTCGTTTCGACTTCTTGCAAGCCAAACATGCCGTCGATACCCTCTTTTTCCACGAATGGTTTGATACCGACGACCTAGCGTCGTCCCTCGTAGGACTCCCATGGTCCGAAGTCGGTGACAAGCCAGATGTAGCGTTATAATGTTGATCATTCATAGCGTACAGCGTAACAGCGTAACATGCGTGCCGGCATAAAATATACAGTCGTTGGCCAGGTTTTTCACCGATATGTACAGTGCTAGATGCAAGGAAGGCGATCAGACACCGTCTCCTGTCTGGGAGAGAGAAAAGACATTCGAAAGTGGCGGTGGCACAGGCATGGAATAGCCACAGTGATGGGCTAAGCGTTATATCATATCCAACGTGGGCGACCGCCTCATGATGGCGGCGGCAACAGGGTCAAGGCGAGAGAGCTGGAACTTGATGTAGGACAAAAGGTGGATAGTAAATAAAAATTCAATTAAAAAAAATCAATAGCTTGTACAACTAGCATTGGCACACGTAGCAAGAAAAACTTCTGAATAGGACTTGTCGCGAGAGAGAGAGGGAAAAAGCAAGTTGATCTCCAGGGATAATGAAAAGGGGAAATAATATCCAGAACTATGAGTGGCCAGTGACGCAGGATGAAGTCACCGGGATGAACACCCGCCTATCCCAGCGACAACATTCAAATGCAAGTGGGAATTTCATGTTTGTAGTACATTAGCAAGGTATAACCTGTCTTTCTTTCAAATGTTTAGTCCAACAAGGAAGAGTACTTGAGTTGAAAAACTAGTTGGGATTTCTACATATACATATTCTAGTTGCTTTCCAGTTCTTGGTGTCGGCCATTCAAAGAGACTGAAGCAAGCCTCTTGAACCTTGAAAGGAGATATAACGAATATCATACGTCGGAGGAGAATGCCGAACCTGCTCTATTCAATGTTGTCTCTTAACCAATTCAACCCGAGCTGAAGCACTGGAGTTTCAACTTGAAATACGGCATCATAGGTACCTTTCCGTATTTTCAAAACATTGAAGATAATTCATGAGATAAACCACATGTATTTCAAGCTAAACCCATGCACCCTTCCTCGAGGTCTTGAGAATTATCTGTTGCGTTTAGCCTAGCATCCACCATCCAGCTCACACAACCACGCATAGTAATCAGTGCCATGGCATGAAAATATGACCAAATTAAACCTTGAACAACATCAAGGACGAGGTAAAAAAGTCCCATGAAGAATCTCCTGGGGCCGACACACCGGTTCCTGTTCCTGCCCGTAATAATAACATCGCAAGAAATCAAGCGCTTGACGCGAACACGCATGATCGAAAGAAGCAATGGGACCATCTTGCTGATCCAAGTCATTGATGACAGTATTCCTATATTTAGATCTGTTTAGCGGCCTTTGGAAAGGACTCATCATAGCCTCTGGGAACGACGTGGAATACTTACACCCAAAATCGACACCCCATCCCGGTGGAATGTCGCTGATACAAATCTCTCCCCTTCGTACGTATAAACCTGATATAGTTACCCACCGTCCACATCCAGCGCACGGGAAGAGTGATGCTGGCGGTCTGTCCACGAGGGGTATCGTAGTAACAAGTCCTGATAGCGAGCTCAATACACCAGTCCATGCTGAGGCAGACGGAAAAGATACCTTGAACAATGATGAGATAGATCTCGGCGTGATCAGTTTGCATTACCACTTTCACCGCTTGGACGAAGAAATTTTCATCGTCTGAAGACCTTGTTTCGCGTGAGAATCTCCTTGGGTCTCGTGCTGGGATCGCTTGGGGCATTCTTGCCCGTGGAGGCATGACTTGAGCTGTTCCAAGGGTTCGATAGGGGTTCTAAGGTTGGGGTGTATCAATCAATTAACGATTTGCTCAAACGTTAGCAGAAAGCACTGTAGAACTAAATGCTGGAGATCCTAGAAGTTGTAAGTGGTAGTCAACTCGTAGATGGGGGCCCTGTTTACTACTGGGATACTGGGGAATTTATACCAGTTGACATATAGGCCCAATGTACTACTAGTATACAACTTCTATTGAGTGGTTTCAATTTTGAGCAATAAATGCAGTGTTCATTGCATGCGTGGTCTTCGGTCTGAATTCAAAGTCTCAGCTGCCCAGGTGCCCAGGTGCATGTGTTCAAACAGTCAGGCTCATGTAATCCGTATTCAGGACATGAAAGGTATATATGGATCCAATGGATGCCCAGGTGGTTGCCTGCAGACAGACAAAAAAACAACCTCAAATGTTCCTACATAGAATAACGTCTAGTGAGGACTACAAGCACAATTTTCACTCGATTCTTGAACCTTGGAATATGACTCCAGATGTACTGATATATACCCAGGCAATTATGGGGTATTTTCAAACATACTACGATAATTCAAGTGGAGCTGAAAGTAGGTATGAGATAAAGGATGGCATTGGCTCGGAGTCCTGGACAAAAGTGCTTGTATAGAAGAAAGGAAAAAAGACCGACAATCCCAATGCAGTCAAAACCAGCATGAAAGACGGACAATAAGAAGAAAAAAGACAAACGCTGGATTATTCAAATGTAAAACAAGCTCATGCTTTGCATACTCCATGGGTTCCCGTAGCCACGAATGCACCTCCCACAACAGAACATTCACACTGTGATCGGAGACTGTATCCTCATGCCAAGCCAATGGACCAAAAGCGGTCAAAAAAAAAGGATATTAGATTTTAATGGACAACTCTTTAGTGCTCGAGGATTCTCAAGCTACCCTGCACAACGCAGTTCTCAAGCACGGATCCTGGGGGAATATCAATGGTGCTACCCTCGGTGGCGACAATGATGACCGTACCCTTGAGGGTGACGTTGCGACCAAGGTTGACGGCACCGGTGATGGTCAGATGATCGAGCTCAACAATGCGAGGGATGCTACCAATGCGCTTCTGGAAGTCGGAGACCTTCTTGAAGTCCGATCCGAGCTTAATGACGGGCACACCACCGAAACGGTTGGGATCCATGACCAGCTGGCCGTGCTCCAGGCGGTACAGGTCAGACTTGACGACCATAAGATCGGAGCAGGTCTTGACGGGAAGGAAACGACGACGGGGCACGTTGACACCGTGAGCGTTCTTGAAGTGGCGGATAGCAGCACCGACAGCGGTCTCCAGCTGGTAGATGGCCTGATCAGCCTCACCCTTCTTGTCAGCGGGAATGGACTTCTCGTTGGCGATAATCTCCATCTCCAGCTCGTTCTCCTCCACAACACGCTTAATGGCACGGACGTTCATCCAGATGTTGTTGGTGTTGAAGTACTTGAACTTTTTGATAGACTTGAACTCGTTCACGTGCTCCTTGGGGACCTGGGCGATCTCGAGCAGGCGGACCTTGCCATCCTCGTCAATGATGGTACCACCCTTGACATCAGCCTTGGTCTTGTCGGTCAACTCCATAATGTACTCGGCCTGGGAGTCAACCATGTGCTGCAGAATGCGGAGATCGACAACGGCACCCAGGTTGTCAGCGTTGGACAAGAAGATGTACTCGATACCACGCTCAATCAGCTTGTCGAGGGTGCCGGAGTTGTAGAGGGACTCGAACACGTCACCGTGACCGGGGGGGTACCAGTCTTGAAGGGGAGCGTCAAAGCTCTTGGGGGCAGGAAGGAGAGAGTCCTTGATGATACGGGGGTAACGGGACTGGTTGAAGGTGATGATATCGACATTGTGACCCTCGTACTTCTTAATGATGGACTGGGTGTCCTGATCAGTGTTGAAGGAGTTCATGAGAACGAAGGGAACGTTGACGTTGAAGGTGCGGTTCAAGTGCTCGATCTGGCGCACGGACAAGTCGAGGAAGGACATGCCCTCGCGGACCTCAATGACGGACTTGGGACCAACGCAGCCCATGGAGGTACCGAGACCACCGTTGAGCTTGACCACGGCGAGCTTGTTGAGGAACTCCACGGAGGCCTCCGCACCGAGCTCTTCGTAGCCGACCACCTGGGAAGGCTGGGGAGGAGCAATTCCCTCCCACTTAACAGCGTTACCCTTGGCCTTGTCGTTCAGGAAGCGGCGGAACAGGGCGAAGAAGTTGTCCATCTCAGTCTCGAAACGCTTCTTCTCGTTGCCTTCGGGGACACTATCGGCGAGGGCGTTGAGGGCATTGCGCATCTGAGAGGCAGCAACGCTGGTGGAGGCATTCTCGAAAGCCTGGTTGGAGGCGATAAGGGTCAGCGCTGCGGTTTCGGGATCCATGATAGGCCAAGATATGTATTAAAAAGAAAAGAGGGGTAATGGACAAGACGAGGTAACAAGACAACAAAAGGAGGGGTTCGGGTTCGGTATTAGGATTGAGGATTGAAATCAAGGAACGGGTGCACGAATTTGACAACAAAATGAAGAGTACGGGTGTTGGAAAAGACGTGATCGAAGGTAGTAGAGCGCGATACGAGGAAAGATGAGGGGAGGAGGGGGAGGGGAAACCCGTTCCAGCACCAACTTGTCTTGTTCCGAACTCCCCAAAACAAGCAGGTGCGACTGTGCTTACTTCCCAAAACAAGCAGGAACGGAGCTTCATCCTGTGATCTCACCCTCCAGGAACCTCATCACCTCACCTCTCGCAGCGAAGTGTTGAAAAGATTGATTGCTGATTTGACTTACCATGTGCGACTGGGACTTTCCATGGTGCTTGCCCTCAAAGCCAGAGGAGGCATCGGCGCCAGGGGCCCGAAGGTGGGTAGGGAGTGCCTTGCCGGCCATTATGATTATTAAATGTGGGGGTAAGAGTGTGTAGGAGGAAGGTTGGGATTTGAAGGGAAAAGCTGAAAGATAAATAAAAAGGTTAGCGTGGATCGCTCAAGCTAACGTGGCTGCAAATGTATTTTTTTTTTCTTGAATGAGGGGGGTTTTGCCACGGATGTCGATCAGCTCGGGTCAAGGAGCCACGGGATGTCGACAAGCTGCCGTCATTGGCGTGGGCGGATAGATAAAAAGAGGAGTATTGTGGCGGCAAACCTACCAGGATTGTGAATCAATTGTCAATGCTCTGCAGCATTGAGATTTCCAGAGGCAAAAGCTTGGAGGGAAAGACGAAGGGGAAGGGGAAGAGGTGGGGGAGTAACGTGATATTTATGATCCCTGTGCAACCTGTTATGGTACGTACGAGGAGTATTACACTTGACTGGGCAAGAAATATCAAATACCAAAACACAAGTACTTTCTAGTGACATCCTAAGATACATCTAACATACATCATTACCCTCAATACGATAAATTCAGATGCCCTCCTTACTTGACATCCAGCCACTTTGGCACGTTCTGCACGTTCACCATAACGGTCCGTGTCACTCAGACCGAGCTCCCCGAAGTTGTTTATAGAAACAATATATGAGTATACATTAGAATACGTTATAAAATCAAAATCAATAGTCATAACAAAAGTACACCGTATCCGAATCCACGGTAAGAGATGCCGATGGTCTACGAGTAAGTAACAGGGTCCTGTCAAACCTTGGATAAAGGGGAAAAGGAGAAAGGGAACAGAAGAGAGCTGAAGGGGAAAATAAAAATAAAATAAAAAAACAAGGAAAAAAGGGGAAGTAAAGGGGGGGCAGAATACTCTGCCGTGGGGGTTTTTACTCCTCATCTCTGGACTCTACGTACTTTTCTCCCAACACACGTACATACAGTGGAAACAGCAGCAAAATCCAGGATTCGATTTCAAGTTCCAGAATCGATTGGAGCAGACCATTCCCACACGATTCTCCCCTTTCTTTGCAAGTTCCACCCGAATGGGCTTTCCGTGGTAAATACCCACCGGATCCATTGGCCCCACCGGGTGTCGTTGCCTGGAATCTGGAATTGGGCCCGAGTTTATCGCCAAGAAATGAAAGAAGTAAAAAGAATGAGATATCAGAGACATTTTGCCTGGCTAGAACCGAATAGCTTGCAGTAGTTTCACCGTATCCATGAACTAGAATGATTTCTCTCTTACCCATGCACCTGGTTTACTTAGTAAGAACCTCTTGGTTTTCGCTACTTATAACCTCCTCAGCCCAAATTCGTATCAGTTCTAATTATATCTACGGAATGCAGTGACCCGATGCCATTCTCTTCCCACATCGGGACCTATCACAACTATGCAGGAAAGGACATAAGCACCAGAGAGAAGGCTCGGGAACACAGCTGATCAGGATCTCCAGTCCAGACTAATAAAATAATCCTCAAAAATTAGAAAACAGAAAATAGAAAGTAGAAAATAGAAAATAGAAACCGATTAAACCAATTGAACAACACGGATTAGTTGGAAAAAAAAAATGAAATCTTATTGTATCAAATCAATCATTCAATGGTGATTCTGTGAACATTTGAGGCTACGGAAGCACATACGGAGTATACCGGAGCCACCAATCTCCAGGATCCCGCAAGCTGGGAAAGATTCCCAGGTTGAAATTTCTACCCTCATCCCTGAAACTGTTCCAGATTCACACTTTGCAAAAAAAACCAAGATATTGTTAAAAAATAGAATTCCCCTCAATCGGTTCTAACCAAGGATTTCAGAAACTAGACACGATTCGGATAAAATAGGTGGAGCCAAATTAATCAAAAGCTCTCCACCAGACCAGTAAACCAGCCGGAAATTGCCTACGTAATAGCTTCCAGAATAGGAGCTTTCGTGGTTTGAAATAGACGACAGCTATTGATTTGTATACGTCAAATCTGTCCCTTTTATGGGGTTATAACTTATAACTTATACTCCTGAATGCTTTAACCTCTTGCTTTGTTTCTGAGAATTCCAAACCCGGCGGATGCACCCACGGTACATTTGACCCGAACCCAAAGCTTCGACGGGAGATGTAGATCCTCATGTCAAAGGGGCTGTGCAGGCTACAACGGGGATTTTAGGGGAGATCTCAACTTGGATTGACATTGAATAGGGGGGGGGGGGGGAACTAGTTGCTGAAGTACAGTAAAATGATGGAGATGGTGTTGGACCCCTGTTTTTCATGTACCCCATAGGGCTATGATTACGTAGCTTTCACACCTATAGCCAACTGGTGGCCATCACCACTATTCAATCTTGCTGGTTCATGCTACTAGTAGGTTTTTTTTTCATCTGGAGAATTGACAAATCAACGTACATTCATTGAAAAGATATCAATTATTGACTCGATATACGGGCCTACCCATATATACCCCCCAAAACAGGTCGCATATAAATCAAACAATAAGTATGGGTCGGAATCATTTGAAGAATCATTACACGCTATTCGAACGAGACCCAGCATGAATACAAACATAACCTTCAGAACAGGGAAATCAAAGCCAGATCAAAGGAAGACAAGACAGAAAATGCGTTAAAAAAATTCGAAAGGATATCACATAACAACGATCCCAAAGCAAACAGGTCATTTGAGGTTTTTCAAGGTTTTTTGGTTTTTGGTTTTTGTGGTTTTTTTTTTATTCTTTTGACCCATACCTCCCTCATTCGTAGCTTAAGAGAAAAAGAGAGAGAGAAAAAAAAGACAAGAGTCTATAATTTCAGTTCCCACATTCAGTTAAACACCGCTAACATTTCGCTTGCCGAGGAAGCTGCGGCGAGCTGGCTTGCGGGAATCTGGGCTTTCGGATCCATCCGCGTCAGGGCCCGCAGTGGAATGCGAAGTAGTAGGGCGCAAGCTGGACTCTGATGAAGTGAAGCTAGAGCGAATAACCACAGAGCCAGGACCGACACTGATGGGCTTATCTTGGTTGGAGTCAGAGCCCTGATCAGCAACGGGGAAGGAGGCTTCGCCGTAGATATCGTCGGAGCCAAAGGTTGAGTGGTTGACAACGCGGACTTGGTACATCGCATCGGCAGTAGCGTGGGGAACCTTGAAAGTATCATCGTAAGTCACAATATCACCACTGGCCTTCTGAGCCTTGGTCTTGTGGAGTTCCTTCATGCCCTTGGAGCCCTGTGCGCGTACAATCACACGTAGGTGTGCGGAAGCAGGGAAGTTCGATGCCGAGACAATGGTGATGTGCGCGGTGCCACTGTCGCCACGACCAGCGCCTCCAATCACGCTCAGGTTGTCGCCAAACTGAGATGCAGTGCTGCGGTTGCGACTGTGCTCCTTAGTCGGAGTGACAGATCCGGGATTACTATCTACCAGAGCGGCAGAGGGAGATAGGCCGGCCGAGGGGGAGCCGTTGTTGCCATTTTCATTGGCGCTTTCTGCCAGAGAAACAGCATCAGCATCACTGTGCTTGGGCTTGTGGATGCGGGACATGAAGCCGTGCTTAACAAATGAAGCACCCCGGACCACATTGCCACCAACGTATCCAACACCCTTGACGGGGGCGCCAATAACCTTGCCGGGCATTGCAAAAGTGCCTGAAAAGGTGGCAGAGCCCTGCCGAGATCGAGTTACGTAGTTGGGCTTGAAGAGCAACTTCAGGCGGATAACACCCGACTTGCCGTTCAGAGGGAGAGTAACCTCTTGGGCCTGGAAGGGTTCTAATCCTTCAAGGTCAATCGGCGAAGCACCCAGCCAATCGGCGGAATCACCAAAGTCCCAGTCGTACACATCGACGTGGAAGTTGGCGCCAATGCGAGATTTGATGGGGATCTCGAAAAACTCATTCCAAGATGGATGAAGAGTCTTCTTTTGCACCTTGGTCTTATGGACGTCCTTGTTGTCCTCTCCGATACGGAACTTGCAGTAAGGATCACTGAAGCCGTTTCGGTCAGCCGAGGGCAGATCCGCAGCATCTAAAACATCAACACGCAAGTTACCCATGTTGTTAATGCTCTCCAGAGGATCGAGCTTCATCTGTACAGGAATGTAGCGAGCGCTCACGGTGACCTTGCTTACTTCGCCGGAGTTGGAGCGGAGGATAAGCTCAGTGGGGGTATACAGGATTCGTTGCAGAGTTGGCAAAGTATCACCGGTCAGTTTTGCGACGGTGTGTTCCTCGTTATTCTCTTTGGAGTCATCCTTACTGACGAGACGCAGAGTGAGTTTGGAGAATTCCAGCTCGCGGATAAAGGCCTCGCCAAGATCCGAGGTCTTCAAAGTAGTTGAGTGGATCTTGGGAGAGGTGTATGCGGGGAACATGTAATCATCAATCAGAACCTCCAACTGCACATTGCTGTGAGCCAGCTGGCCTTCATGGAATTTGAAGACGATAAACCCAGACTCGTATTTGCTGAGATCGTCCGATCCAACATACGTCTTTGGCACCACCTTCATAGACCTGACAGATGCAGTCTCAGAGTCGCGGCCGGTAAGCGTACGAGAAAGACTAGTCTCAAGACTGGCACGACCATTTGTGGTCGGCTCCCCATTTGAGGTACCATTGGGGGCCTTTCCGTTGGATAGAGGCTTGGAAGCCTTAGAAGCCTTCGAATCCACGCTAGCAGTTTTGGAGTGAGTGCTCTTCAGGGGTGTTGAGGGGACCTCGGCGCCACCCTCCTTCTCCTTCTCCTTCTCTCCTTCCTCTTCATCGACCTCGTCCTCGGGGTTCACCACAGGAACAGTTGGGAAGAAAGCAACAGTGTAATTGATGACACCCTTGTTGGGACCAGATCCAATATGGAGGTTGCTGGAGATAGGCTGCTTCTCATCATCGATCTCAAACTCGCCGGCCTCATTTTCATGAACAAAGTCGGACGCATTCAGCTCGGTCCAGCCGAGAGTACGGTCTTTATTGATGGTCTCCTCATCCATAACCTCCACGCTGAGTTTCTCACGAGCACTGCGAATAGGGACATACACAACTTCGTCCCACTCAGGGTTCAGGTTGTTCCGGAAAGTCACAGTACGGCCCTTGGCTAACCCGGACAGCAGGACACGGGCGTATGGGTCAGACTTGCCCATGGCCTCCAGGTTGCGCAGGTCAGTGGCACGCTTAAAGTGGAAACGCATCACACCGATAGGGTCAATGTAGCCAGCACCACCAGCGATACTTCCCAGGGCAACAGGCTTCCAGTTCAGGAGCAACTTGGCACGTCCACCGTTGCTTCCATTGAGATGGAACCATTGCTTGCCCTGCTCTTGCATCTTAATCATGTCATTTATCTTGATTTGGTATCGGCCAATGATAGGATCAGCCATCAAGTCAGTATGATCCTTAAGAATCAGACCAAGCTTAGCGTTTTTGCGATCAGTAATCAAGAATTCCTTGGCGGCATCCTGGAAGATAGGGTTGTTGGTCCGCTTGAGAATCTTGGTAGTGTGAATCTCCTTTCCATTCAGCAACAGAATACCGTAGGGGTTCAGTTTGCCAACCAAGCCCTTGGAACCATCAAGATCCTTGGCCTGTTCAACAGTGAATTGCGCAATACCGGTGTTGAGCTCTGGAGCGGGTTCGGTCTCTCCATTCTCCAGCTTTCTACCTTGAATGACGGGGAAGAAGCGGATGTCTGCCTGGATAGCACCACGATGGCGGCCACTAGAAAGGACCTCCAGAGTGACACCCTCTTGCAAAGGCTCTGCCTCGAGCTTATCCAATCCGAATGAAGCAACACCAAGTTCCTTATCCTTGCGGAACTCATTCCAATCAAAGACCTTGATAGCAAGTGCGTCGGTGTAAGAAGTGATAATGACATAGATAGTTTCGTTCCAGCGAGGACTGTCGGTATCGTGAACAGTCTTGGTGCGACCCAGTTCCGTTCGACCGTTCAAGGATACAACAGCGTAGGGATCGGGAGTGCCAGCGAACTTATCGGGGTTCTTGAGCTGATTAGCCCCATGGAGGGTGACAGCGACAACACCAATAGCCTGATCCACGGGATTTCCAGCCAGCATTTTAGCAATTTCAATCGGGAACACATTCGGGTCATACATCATGGGTCCCAGATTATTGTGGATCTGCTCCTTAATGAAGTTCTCGAGACCAGGAATAAAGTTGATATCGAAACCAAGGAGGTCACCACCAAGCGGTTTGCAGACATAGTCGATCTCGGGTTTGCTCAAGAAACAAACATCCACACGCTCGATGTGCGGGAAAGGAATTTGCAACTTGACCTTGACGCGCATCAAGCCCGAGCAAGCCATATCCTCAACAATCACATCGAGGCCCGTGCTGACAAGACCCCTACCCACGCGAACTTCCAGCACAATCTTAGGATTAATCTTATTCTTGAGCTGGCGCGCAGTCAAGTCCATGGTATCGTTGGGTGTGAAGCTGAATTTCCAATCCATGATGATGGTATCGGGCTCAGTTTTGGGGTAGGTCTTGACATGCTCGAGACGCGGGGGCTTAGTACCAAGGACAAAGGTCTTTAGGCGCAAGCTGTCCAAGAATGCGGGGGTCGAAGTGCTCAGCACCTGGTCCACGGTGCTGATAATGGTGTCGCACAGAACCGGCGCGTAGATAGGCCAGAACTTGACGAGGAAGCTGTTGATCCACTCAAGACTTTCAGTATCGGTCTCCAAGCGAGCCTTTGCCATTTCCCGGTTAATATCGTCACGGAAATTGCGGCGCACGCGACGGAGCGAAGTACGGTAGTAGGTGCTGCATGCCGCCATCACCAGCAGAACCCAGCCTACACCACCGCCGAAAATAGCAATAATCCATGAACTCAGACACGCAAAGGCAATTACACCAGCATTGTGGTACCAGTCGCCATACAGATTTTCCGAGATTCGGCCCTCCAAAAATGTTTGATGGTCAAGCAACGTGCCCTCTGCTTCCTCCTCGGCGGTCCGCTCTTCGTGAAATTTAGGTTCCCAACCAGTGCGATCGCGCGCCCATCTCATGTCCTCATTCATATCCCCTTTATGCCCCTCGGGCGCATTGGCATCCTCGGCGATAAGAGCGGTGGCCGATCGTGGTGGGGGAAGGTCGTAATCCGCTTTCCCGTCATCCTACGCAGATTAGCATCGATCGCGTGTGTTCAAGTCTGGTGGAGCTCGTACCTTATCCGTGATGACGGCAATTCCCTTTGGTTTCTTCTCATGATGGAAACCTGGAGGCAAGCGCTAGAAATTGGAAGATAATTAGAACCACCCCCTCGGTTTGTATGACTGAATTCTCCTAGATCGAGTACCTACCGCTTGAGCCGCGGCAGCCTTGTCTTCCGGTGAAGCATCGGGGTCGAATTGGTATGCAGGAACTCCTGATTCTTGAGTCTCCTTTACAAGCGCCTCTTCCACGGTGTTTGGGTTAACTTTGGAGGTGGGATCCTGGGTCAAATCAACGGCCGCCTCGACCATTCCCTGCTCCTTCAATTCTGTCTTCTCCGCCTGGACCGACGCCATCTTGGCGGTGTGCACCTCTGTAACGACGAAAGGATGGATGGATGGGAATTGATGACTGGTGGTGTGCCTAGAGAAACGGTTAGGGAATCCATGGATGGTGTGATGCGGGACCAACGCAATCGGTCCGGGGAATGTAGCCGGGTTTGGGTGAGGGGAAGAGAGGGGGCGGGAATGTGATAATGCTTACTATACACGAAAGATAGTCTTTTAAGATGTTGCAATACACCTGAAGAGGGTGAAGATGAAGATACGAAATTAAAAAGAAGCGAAAAATGAAAATACACAAAAGAGGGTCTTCGGAGAAAGAGAAAGGAAGAAAGTGGAGAGAGACCAATTGGGGGGGGGAAGAGGAAAGCTTTCGGGGAATCACCCGGTTGCGTCAATGGAGCTGTGGCTGGGTCACCATATACTGTTTTCCGGTCAAGAAACAATTTAATAAATTACGGAATGAAATAATGAAATAATGCTAACCAAGTTGCTCCGCAATGACATTAGAAAAGGATGTATAATGAATTCATTGGAGCCTAGAGCGCATCAGGAGTTACATGTAGGGATCGGCCTTTAAAGATCAGTGACGTACTTGGCCTGTTACTATTCCAGTATGGGGATAGTACCTGAATTCCAAGGTTTTGCCATATAAAAACCATCTCTATTTTTTTTTTTTTCATTCTTACTATACATGTAGAATTCAATTTTTCCAAGGTCGCTTCTTTTAAAAGAAAAGACAGAAATGAAAAAACTCTTCATAACCAAAGCTTATAGTGGAACATGAATGTGAGCTCCTATTTTACTTTCTTTTTTTTTCTTCTCCTCGCTAACCTAACACAGAAACCCACGAACCCATTCCCAGCCACACTACCTAAACTAGTGTGGAACTATCGAACTTGTCCGATGGAGTACGCACCGCCACATTTCCTTTTCTGGAGCGAAAGTGGCTCAAGATAGGGGAAAATTGGACCAGCCCTATATACTGTACACATACTCAACCCACATGGGAAAATTTTAATTTCTATCGAATTTGTGACCTTTCTTTTCAATATCTGCAATATTAATTTAAGATGCGATACACTAAATTTCCAACTTATTCCCGTTATACCCGAACGGTGTACATCCGCATCCTTCGTTTAACTCCTAAATTCAAGGAAATTCAAGGAACAAAATCAAAATCACCATATGTAGTACACGTGGCACAACACCTACATAATAAACATTCCCAAATCGATAGTCGCTCCTCGCGCCCCTAACCCCCGATTGGGACTCTGGATGTTCACACAGATCGCCCCAAATCCACTGTGGATTACACTAGTCGCTAAATTCCAATCCGATTTGAAAGTAGACAGTGAGGAGTATACAATTATTACACTGTCCTTACCAGTATTTACCATCATGGTTTCCAAAAAAAAAAAAAATTGTAAGCAGTAGCTCGTGCTATCCAATCTATCGTAGATAGCGGATTTATATCGGTCAAGACTCAATGCCCCCATGCCGAACTGCATCACACCTGATTCGTTACCCGTGTTGCTTTGTGTCTGCAGGCCATGCAGAAAACATTCAGACCGGGGCTGGCCCATTTTCGATCTATCAGTTATTTAGCCGGGGCTGGCGTACGTGCGGGTACAAGAACTTTGCTGTCTCTTTTGTCTTTGGAGGGGCATCACACCTAATCCCAGCCCCTTGCACTGATATCACATTTTTCTGTTCACTTCGGGTATCAAATATGAATTACAATACTGGAAATATTTTGCACGGCTTTCCGTGTGTGACGCTATTGTGGGATCGTGTTCCCACCGTCATGTCAATCCATGGATCTTGGGGGGGGGTGCTTTGGGCCCCTCGTTCCCCACTGATCAGCTTCGGTCTTCCTATTCTTTTTCGGTTAGGGTTCAAGGTTTAAACATACCTTTTTTTTTTCCTTTTTTTTTTTCCTGCTGTGAGATCTGCTATCGACGCTATTAGTACTTGTCATTGGACTGTTCAAATGTGTGGTATATATATATTGACCGCTACCTAGGTGGTGCGCCTGCATCAATCAATCACCAAATTCAAACTGAAGGCCGAAGGCTTATCCATATATGTATCTTAGATATCCGACACAACTCAAGGTCAACTAGTACATTACCTGGTACATAATTTACCTACATTTACTTGAGCACATATATGTATGCTGAGGGCCTGGATGGATTGATACCTAGATATTCAATGTTGGTCATACCTAACAGTAGTATGTACACATGTGCATTTGTTTGAAAGTTTCATATTCAAATCCACCTTCAAACATTCAAAAAGTTCAAGGAAGCTTCATTTGAAGGTTGGAATTAATCCAGAAAAAAAAGGTACATATAACATTGAACACATGCAGGTATCTATACTGTTGACAACAGCACTCCAGATGTCAAGTGCTTGAGGTCTACCAGATGTCCAGATCCGTGGATGCCCAAGCATCCATGTCAGTGCTCAAGTGGACATCAATCAATTGATATATATATCCAAGAAGGTTGGAATACATCCAGTGCATATATATGTAGTACCTACTAGGTACCTGTTTCAACCACTTCAATGTTTAGCGCGTTGACGTTGAATTCAATATTTGAATGTTTGAAAAGTTTATAAAAAGATTTCAGTTGCGGTTCCAGGCACGAACCAATGTGGGAATACCACCTGGGCACACATGAATATCTGAAGTCAATCCAACATTGGAACCTGGAACTACATGTACAGCACACGTAGGTAGAATACGCAACGATGCACTACATATCAATCGATGCACACGATCGATCGGAGCCAAGGTTATCGAGTATTTGATTCGTGTTGATACCCAGCTGTAACTTTAATACCTCCTGGTATCTGAATTGAACCATGGATGTATGCGCCACCAAAGCCGAGATTAGCGCGATAACTTATCCTCTAAGATGCCAGGTTTATATATGTGGGGCATTCGTATCCAAAATGGAAACTGAATCTTGGTATAAGGTACAAAAATATATAAAAAAAAATGGACTCGCGGGGAATCGAACCCCGGACCACTCCCATGCTAAGGGAGTATTATACCACTAAACCACAAGCCCATCTGATGGAGGATGAGGCGATTGCTGGCAATATAAAGCGTTGACGATTTCAAGCAACTTTGAACTTTTTTCTCTCATTGACCAGGCCCTTCAGGTTTGCTCAGAGCGGCAATAAATCCAGTTCCTTCATCGTATTCGATTTAACTGGCCTTTTTACTACGCTAGGATGTACTAGTATACTAGAATACGTAGTTCCTCGCGTTCAAATGTTTGGAAAATGGCACATCATCTCTTGATCCAAAGAGGAGAATAACCAAAAACCACCTGCGATTCAACCATCTGGACAAGTTTGATTTTTACTATTAGTCACTACTACTAGGTATGAATTGAAACTTTCCAATGTTTGAGGAACCAACTCTGCCACAGACATAATGGAATTATGGGATATTTCATGCTAAGAAACTCTGAAGAAAATGATTTTAAGATAAACATTTGAAAGGTTGGAACCTTGAAACTTGAAGTAATTGATAACCTGCAAGACAGCTCGTCACATCTTGAATTCGTTGCGTTATACTCCATTCCTGCAAAAGGATAAAATTTACCGACCCATACGGATCACACCAGCGGCCATGAGTTTCTGGATCTTCATGCGCACCTGGCTGTTCTGCATGTGCTCCTGCAGCGCAGCCGGGTCGTTCTTGGCTTGCTGGAGGATGCTTTGCATGACAGGGTCCTGGAGGATAGACATGATCTTGAAGGGGAAAAAAAAAGGATTAGTATCGCAAAAATAATATTAAGAAAAAGAATTCATGTAAAACATACCTCTGGGTCGTTCTGGATACGAGCAGAAGTTTGCTCCTCGGTCTCATCAGCACGGGCGCTGAATTGAGCATCGAGGCACTTCTGCTGCTGTTGCTCAATCTCGCGACGGTTAGAGCCGTCATCGTGTTCGGCAGCCTCGGTGAAGGTATCCAGAGCGCGGTTGAACTCCTTCATGGCGATGAGAGCCTGACCCTTGCGCATGTACGCGCGGATGAACTTAGGGTCGAGACCAATGGCAGTGTCGCAGTCCTGCACGGCCTGGGGGAATGCCATCAACTTGATAAGGGCGGCGGCACGGTTTGAGTAACCGCGAGTATCGGAGGGAGCGCGCTTGGTCATCTCGGTGAAGGCATCTACGGCGGCGGGCCAGTTACCCTCCTGGAACTTCTCTTGACCGAGCTCACGGGCCTTCTCAGCCTCGGCGGGGTTCATGTAGGCGTTCTTCTCAGTAGTAGACTTGGTCTTTTCGGCGGCACGCATCTTGGCCAAGGCCTCGGGTGTGCGGTGCTCAGTGAGCGACTTGTGGTAGAACTCGATGGCCTGGGTGAGGTCACCCATCTTCTCGTGAGCACTGCCGATACGGGTATAGGCCCTAGGAAACCAGTTAGTGAGTGATTTATGCCGAAAGTTGAGGAAATTCATCATACTTGGCAATGGTCTTGAAGTCAGCACGCAGGTCGCGGCCCTCCTCGACGGCCTTCTGACAGGTCTCAATAGTGCCCTGGTAATCGCCCTTCTCGAACTTAGCCGCGCCAGTGTTGTTCAAGTAGGTAATATCCTTGTGCAACTCCCAAGCCTTCTCGTAGTGCTCGATGGCCTGGTCAAATTGCTTCTGCTTGTAGAAGTCGTTACCAATCTTCTTCTCCGCATCACCGGCCTCCTGAGCCTTCTTCTTGGCAAGAGCCTCCTCATCCACTGGCTCGGGTGTAGGCTCCCTCTTGGGTTGCGGCGGCGAAGCAGGCTTGGCATCGGGCATGGCGGTATCCTGGGCACCAGAGGGACCACCCTCACCGCCGAAGTTCATATCGATTCCAAGAAGCACGCTCATCACCGAGAGGAAACGTGGGTCGCGAATCTCCTCTCCAACACTGTTCGGGTTTTGTTGAATCTTCTTCAGCTTGGCCATGAACTCGGCATCGGCAAGCAGGGGAGCGGTCTTAGGGTTGCTGGCAAGCTTCTGGAAGAGTCCCGGGTCGTTGAACATACCGCCGAGACCGGCGCTGGGGTCTTCAACACCATCGGCAGTGGCCTCAGCGTTGATGGCGCGCTGAACAGCGCTCATTCCTGACTTGGCCTGTGCGTTTTCGGGCTCGATCTTCAAGGCCTCATCGTATGCGTCATGTGCGGCCACTAATTATGCACAATCAGTCACCGCTGACTCAAATTAGAAGTTCAATTAACTGTGATTTCTTACATAGATCTCCGAGGCCCTTGTAGGCAGCTCCCTTGCGGGCATAGCCCTTAGACCAGTCGGGCTTGATACCGATAGCCTTCTCGGCATCATCCAAAGCTTTTTGGTAGTCGGCTTGAGCAGCGTAGACAGCGGAACGGTTGGAGTAGAGGATGTGGTTTTCGGATTCGATGGCGATAGCCTGAGTGAATTTCTCACTATAATTACCTCTATATCAGCACCAGCCTCCAAGGCTTCAAACATCAAACAAAGGCGGGGTAGTAACGTACATAGCAGTCGGGTAGTCCTTGGCCGAGAAGGCCTTGTTGCCCTCAGCTTTCAAAGCGTCAGCCATGGTGAGAGATGTGTAGGTAAATGAAGATGGGGTATATGAAAGAGTGAACTTTGACTGGGGTCCAGTCGTCGGATTATGAGCTCACTAAAGACCGCGATCTTCTGGAAATTTCCGTTTGAAATTCGTGCCTGAGGCCATACAAAAGTCAAATTGTAAAGCTCCGGTTGCGCTAGTACCAAATAGGAAGCCCGACATCCCCGCTGCGAAAAAGTCGCCAAAAAAACACAGTGATTCATAATTTTTCTCGACCACTGACTCACACGAGCGAGACAATCATGCTGCTCTAACTTCTCCTGCTCTTGCAAGAGGCTCGACTCGAACAATGCCATCTCACCCTCTCCAATGATCCCCTGATCCTTCGTTCTCCACCTCACAAATTGAGTCTGACTCCTCCGTTCCCTACTCCAACTTTCCGACCATGGCCGCCGCGGGGTCTCGAGTGAAAGAGCTTGCCTCGCAGCTCTACGATGCCTGTGTCGATCAGTTTGAGGCGGACCACTCATTCTATCAACAAGACCTCCTGAGTGTCTCTGTCATCCCCAACAACGATGTTTCGCTCCTACTGGAATGCGCCCAGTCCCTGGTCAACCAGAAACTGTTCCGACTCCTCGAAGGACAGAATAAGCGCCTTGTCTGGCGCATTGTCGCTCGTGAGGATGCTGAGAAGTATGCCAGATAACCCGAGACTTGCATGTGTCGGCGCAACGAAGACTAACGATTTCTTCACCACAGACTCCAAAACCTTAGCGACGATGAAGGCCTAGTCTTTGGTGTCATTCACTCCAGCGGCCGCTCTGGCGTCTGGATCCGCAACATCCAATCCCGCACAAATCTGCACAAGTCCATCCTTGACCGCTGCCTAAAAGCCCTCGAAGGCAAAAACTACATCAAAACCGTCCACAATGTCAAACACCCCACAAAGAAGATGTACATGCTGGCTGGTTTGGCACCCAGTGAAGATGTCACCGGAGGCGCATGGTTCACCGACGGCGTGTTGGACGCAAACTTTATCAACAGTGTTGCAGGCTACATCGAGTACACCGTTAGCCGCAAGAGTTGGTACGAAGGCCCCGCTGACCGCGGTCGGTCTAACAAGCGGATCAAGACCATCAGCGGCAAGGTGGATATTAAGCCCGAATCCGCAGAGAAATGCTTCCTTCCTTATCCTGCAAACTACCCTGGATACCCGACTCCCGAAGCTATCACCCGTGCCGTCAACGAGAGTGGTATTACCCCAGTTCAACTCACCCCGGAGAGTATAATTCAACTGCTTAATATGCTGTGCTTTGACAAGAAACTAGTCGCACTCAACGATGGCAAGTATTACAAATCCCTCAAGAATCCCGAAGCCGTCAAGGCAAACCAAGCCCGCAAGCCTCTGGATGGTGGCGAAGAGCCTCGGTCCTCCAGGGACCTGGGCAAGAACGGTATGACTGAATCTCCCTGTGGTCCGTGCCCAAGCTTCCGGCTCTGCACGCCCGGTGGAGCCATCAGCCCGGAAACCTGTGAATACTTTGATCCCTGGTTCGAAAAGAATCTCGGGTTTTAAAAGCACTACTTTGGCTTTTCGGGTTTATTAAAGCCATCCAACCGAAGGCTTTGAAATGTGATCTCGTCAGTCCCCAAGAGCGAGAGCATTACTTACCCCCTCACTCTGTACTTGATTACTGACACGGCTACCTCGTGTCCGCACATTTGCATGGAAGATGAAAGGGAGGAAATCAAAAAAGGGATTTATGTGCATAGCGATGGCGTTGACTTATTACTTCTACCCTTGGCATCCACTTCTTGTGGGCGATTGCGGTCTTGCTCTACCTTCTCTCACGAATGGGCATATGCTAAATGTTCGAACTGTCCTGTAGATGAATACCAACTTGGGTTTCTTGGATTATATCATTTGCTCAAAAATTAAAGCAGCGCAGATGCTTTACTTCAATTTGCCAAGGACCTCATATCTTACCTACTACCTATTCACTATAATCACTACAATTATGGCATCAGAAAGAGTGAGATAAAGTACAGACATGCACGTCTTGATATTCTTCAATAAACCTGAAGTTTGAAACCTGTTGCCTGCCCAACGCCGTGGGTATATAAACCATAACCAAAAAAAAAAGAGAAATACCAAATAATAAGAATAGCCAAGCTACTTCCCGAGCGTTTTTCTGCACTCATCACAGAACCATGTTCCCACAGGCTCCCTAGTCAAACCGACACACTTCCAATGGAACCACTCATACGGACAACTGTCATTATCACACGCCACCATATCACCATGGCTGACAGTGCGACAGGTGCAATACACCTTGCTATCCTCATTTCCCTCCTCCTCCTCTTCCTCATCTTCCATATCATCCTCGCCGCCACCGGTGTCGCTCTTATCCGAGTCGGACATGTCTGCGCTGCTCAGCAGCGAGTCCTCATCTTCTTCGCCCTCCCCATTAGGAGACTTTTTCGACAATTTCACCCGATGGCCAGTGCTGGAAGACCGTTTGCTCGGCTTCCCACTGGAGGCAGCCTTGATCTTCTTAACTTGCTGGTGTGGCGCGACTTTCTTGGTAAGAGGCTTTTTGATCGCTCCGCTTGCTCGTGGGCCTGCACTACCCGCGCGGCTAGTGACTGGGGTACCGGCTTTCGGAGTACCTGGTCCCATAGAGGATTGACGGAGATTCGATGAGGCCACTGGGAGAGTATTTAGAGACGGGTGGTTCAGGCGCCGGCGTTTACTATCCACTGCCCCAGCAGAGGATTCGCGTTGGCGTTGTTGGAGGTGCACGCCTGTATTTCCGGCTGGTGTAGCAGGAGCAGAGCTCCGAGCAGCGGCTTGCACGGCGAGCGAGGGAACAGGGCGGGGGGTAGTGGACTGATTCAGACGCTGTGCGGCGGCTAGGATGGGATTTGTATTTCCAGAGGTCGGATTAAGAGGGGTGGTGTAGGTGGACGGCTCGGAGGGGTTGGAGTCCGGGAAGAAGGCACGGGGTGGATCGCGGTAGTTGGTCTTACTATCGAAGAGCGAAGGAAGAGGAGGGTCGTTTGTGAGTAAACCTTCGTTGACTAGGTCGCGGATGCGCACATCTAGTCGCTTGATTTGGCGATCAAGCAGGACACAGGCTTTGTCACTGAGTTGTATTTTTTCTTCTTGTAGCTGTCGGCTGCGGTCGAGGTTCTGGAGGACGGATTTGCTATATTGTTCTTCTTTGGGGTTGGGCGCCAGACTACCGTTGAGTTTGATGAACTTTTGGATGCTTCCATCGCGAGAGTTGATGGTTGCTCTGCATTCTTGCATGATTTTGTCTTTGGCTTGAATTTCTTCCATCAAGTGGTTGATCTCAGCGGGAAGATTTGCTGCATCATGAACAAAATGCTCCAGGACAGTTGCGCAGTCTTCTGCGCCGTGCGCCATGTCGCAGGTTATTAGGGAGCAGGTCGAGTAGTTTCGGAGTGAGTGTAGGCGGGTTTGAAGGGGCAAAAAAAAGAGGGATATTTAGTTTAATTGAAAGGGTTTGGTTATTGGTGGGAGAGCAGCCCAAGATGCGCGTCAATCGAAGATCGCATCGATCGTAAGGAGATGAAATCCGGAGTTGAAGGCCAAGAAACTCATTACTAAGCATGGGTAGTAGTTAATCCACTGCTATTTCAGGCCTTAAGGCACCAATCCTTAAATTCCCATATATTGTATAGCATACTTGCCATTAGGAACAACACTGGAAGAGATGGAAGATCCTGAAATATCAGAGTCATTCCCAAAAAAACTAGATTATTGAGTCTTGTATTCTTTTTTAATAAAGTTTTGCACATCAGGATGTTCCAAGCAATGCAGACATAGCGTGTAACCAAGGTCAGTCTCATGAAGGAGGCTAACATTCCAAGTGATCTAATACTATGTATCCTGGGACTTACATAGAAGTCCCTGTATGTTTTTTTTAAAGATTAACTCAAGGGCTTAAAATTCGAATGATATTTAATGTCTCCCCATGTAGAATATCAGGGCAGTCTCATAGATGGTGCATTAGTAAATGCCCGACAATCAAGAATGATCCGGCGATTGGCGATATGCGACAGGCAAGAATCTCTCAATTGACGCCTTAATCTGCAAAGCCAGTAGTCGGGAAAAATAACGATGGTGTGAAGTACCACCTCCAGCGACCCAATAATTCTTCACTCGAAGATGACGTTTCCACATGCCGCGAACCTCCCCCTCGAAATCAACTCCCCAGATGCCGTCTCTCCACGAAGCAATCTCTTCTGGACCCAGAATCTTGTCTTCTGGATTATCTCCTTCGACGTAAAGCCTCTGACCAAAAATCTCTATGGTGGCTTCGCGGTTCTTGTCCGCGAACCCCGTGCACCAGAGAATCGCATCTGCATTCACGGTTGATCCATCACTAAATTTCAAGCCAGTAGTTATCAGCTCAGTGGGTTCAACGTTTGATTTTACTGCAACAGTACCGGCCACTATCAGCCCAATACCATCGCCAATCTCGTTGAAATGATCCCCTGCCCTTTCAATAAGGTTATGCAAGAGGTCTCCACCATGGAGACTGTCATAAACGGGAAATCCCGCTTCGGCGAGTGCATGGTATCGACTTGGCTCCTTAGCTGCTAGAACGGCAGCCTGTTCTACCATTATCTGGCCACCAACTCCCAAGGGGCTGCTCATCATGATTTTGTCTGCCAAATCGACTGGCAAACTGTCGTACACGCCTAGGCCTAGAGGGTCGAGAGAGTAGTCCCAGGGAAAAATATATGTAGGGCTACGGGCAACAATGGTTGTCTCAACACCAGCCTTTGCACAGTCTTCCATGAGATCGAATCCTGAGTTGGCTGATCCAACAACAATCACGGACTACATAGATACATTCCGTCTGTTAGTATAAAGCAGTGCTAATTAGCTGCATAAGAAAGCTACTTACCTTGACTCCGAGCTTCTTCAGTTCCAAGGGATTCTTATACTGCGACGAATGAATGCTGACACCATCGTAGCTGCCTGGAAGCTGGGGGATATATGGCTTGGTGCACCCAACCCCGGTTGCTTGCACAACATGTTTGGATGTAACTGTTTTTAATCCCCATGGTGTGCGAATCTTAAAGCGCCAAGTATCCGTAGAGTCGTTGAAAGAGCTTGCTTCAATAGTGGATGAGCTGAGTAGGTTTAAATCAAAAGCCTGCACATAACGTTTCATTTGCTCGGCAAGCATTGATCTCGTTAAAATTATCGGATAATCCTTTGGATATGCTAGAAGTATGGGGTATTAGAAAATATTCTCTCGTGCCCTCAACCTTGGGGAAAGTCTAAGACATACGTAGATATGGCGTTTCGCAAGTCGACTTTTGGACATGGAAACGCAAACAGTCATATCGAAGCGCCCAATTGTCTCCTGGTTGTGCATTCCTGTCAATTACCACATTGTCAACTTTGAAGGCCTTGAGACGTGCTGCTTGAATGAGTCCCCTGCGTTCAAAGATTAGCCATGATCCGTGATAAATACTAGTAGTAGTCCCCGGGCATGATGAGGTGAGTAAATAACGCGTTTCCACCACCAATTATCAAAACATCAGTTTTAATATCCTCGACATCTTCGAGCTGCCGGGCGGGGGTTTTTAAAGCACATTCATCCTCCGGGTGAAGTTGGAAGTCATCAATCCATGTTACCAAGCTCCAAATCTTCCAGGCAAACTCTCCATCTGTCTCTTCAGGAAGAACAGTGATAAATCCGCTACAGAGGGCCGCAGGGCTTTTCGTTCTGAATGTGAACATTCCTTGGAGCAAGTGTAGAGTCGGAGTAGCTGGAACACATTGAATGCTTTTTGGCAGAAGATGCAACCCATCCGCTAATCCCCGCTCTTTTTTAAGATCGACCAGAGTCATTGCTATCGTAGAACTATCGTTGAATGTTCCAAGGTGACATGTGAAAGCAAGAAAATCACGCCAGTATGATTGCGAATTGAGGAAACATGATTTCACCTTGGGGGCATTATTCTCCTCGAGGCCTTTTGCTAGGGACTGAAGAGATTTGTTGATTAATGATTCTCCGTCAGCTTCGGCTGGGTCTGGAAGCTTGGTGTTTTGAGGTAGAGGCCGATAGACATCCCTCTGAAGACTAGCAAGCGCAGGGTATTCTTCAAACTGCTCTTTGTTGACTGCAGTATAGGTTAGTAACTTTGTTCCAACCCCCCGTTGTAGAGAAGGGAATGTATGTACTTGAGCCCATTGCTAATACCGCTTGTTTATGAACATTGAGTTGTATATTGTAAAGGCTAGATACTAGTCAGGTTCATCCAGAGGAGAAAGCAGGTTTTTGAACTTTGGAAATGGCAAGATATCATGACACGACATGTATAATGTGGAGCCGAGATCGTGCGGGGTTGAATGCACAGTGCGTTTCACCTGTGCATGATTTATGGATCTCGCCCCTCACTTCCACCTGGGCATTATATTCTATCCCCAGAATTGCGGTTAGTGCTTTTTGAGCATCAAGACCCCTGTGGTACATGACCAAGACTCGCCTTGTTCAGCAGAGACCTTGATGTCTGATGGCTGTATCTGAATCAGATCATATCTGCTTCAGGGCATGAAATGTTGTCTCGAAGTCCAACACTGAGACGCGACCACATTTAAGCATCTAGGTACAAATATTTGAAAAGCTCTCCCTTCCTCGCCGAAGACTTGCTGACAGAATAGAGCCTTGGAAGGGGGTTCTTCAAATGTTGAGAGGATTGCACATTATAGCATATTTGTTTATTTAAAGATTTCTCATACGTGGTAATCATCTTTCTTGAAAACTCGATCCAGAAGCATTCGTTACATTTGATCTTTCAAATGTTGTCTTCTGTGCTTGTTCCATACAGAAATATGGGATAATGCACCTTGAGAAGTCCTAATTCAAATGCCAGACTCCAGAAAATCGACAGTTTTCTTGCCAGTTCTATCATATCCCTCCACATATTTCTCTCCATATTCGGCAACAAAATTATCATATGTGGTCTGAGGTTTGATCTTACACAAGTCACACATAATGCGCCTCACACCGTCCTGGAAATTCTCTCTCGGAAAGACACTGACAATATCATTGAAGATTTTCGAAGTCAACGGACCCGCTCCGCCTGGGAAAATGTTTGGACCAATAAAGTCCGCCGATATACCTACATGCGCAAGCATCACCTCAGGTTGCTTGTGCATGGCAATGGAATTGGTGGTATGTAGTGCAATGGCATCCCAGACAAGTTGCACCCGATTATCGGACCAGCTAGCATCATCGCGAGTAGTCGTAACTAAGAACTCCCGTGCTGCATTGGCACTGTCAACCTCAAATCGCTTGTCTGGCGTGCATTTGTCACTGCTCACAGCCCAGGCCAGATCGTGGAGGAGTGTGCTTATAGCGATGACCTCGTAGTCGATAGGGTAGCCAGGCGCCACAGCAGTAGCAATGGGGACGGATGTGATTGCGAATAGAAAGCTTCTCATAACGTGATTGTATGTGAAATTATCGACTTGATCTCGCACGTAAGCGATGCTCTTGTTGACGAGCGGGGTATCTGGGATTGTGATTCCAGCTATCTCCCGAGTTGGGAGAGATGAAAGAGGTGACATCTCCGCGAGGTCTTTCAAATGTTGTCAATGAAAGGCCAATTGTGAGGGAATTTTTTTTTCTGGGAAGTACAAGTAGATGTTATCGGAGATGAATTGATGATGTAGAAGGAAATGAGCAAGCTCGAGCACTTGAGGGTTTATATACGTTCATTTTCAAAGTCTTAGGTGAGATGCAAATGCAAAGAAATGTTTGGCGGAAGTAGACATTGTATCTCAAACTCCGAAACTCCGAGAATCCGGTGGTGCATACAGTCAATCTCCGCGGCATTTCCAGCAAAACGTCAACTGGTGTATATCATCCACGCGCTTTGGAATTTACTAGTAGATTTAAGAGGTGAGCCATACTCGAGAACCTTGGAAGAAGTCCATCTAGAAGGGTATGTTTTCTTGAATATGCGGTGCCAAGGTTCTGCTTGGTACTAGTAGTGTAGTCAATGGACATACATACCCAAGGTTTCAATGTAAATTGTTTTAATACAAAAGCAATCGTTAAAGACTCTCCAAAGGGTGCTCCCATTGGATCTCGATGTCGCTGCCGCCTCAATCCCTCCAGGTAGGGACCTGTCAAGGCGTCGCTGCCTACTGTAGCCTGTAGGCCCTGTAGTTGTACCCATTGCCCACGGATAAGTGATTGGCCGGCTTTTGGACGTGGATCGGGGACCCTTTTCGGTCTTGGCCTCTTGGCATTGAAACTACTTATTAGTACTACTTGATCGCGAAAGCTGACTAGTGTTCCAAGTAGCGAGTAGAAAAGCGTTTTTTCTTTCTTTCGGGATCACTTTCCTTCTCATTGGTATTTCAAAATCAATTCAACCGTGGAATCAACCTTTGTCATGTTGTCGATTTCGGCATGCTTATGCAGGTATGTGTAGATTCTATTGTATACCCGTGTCTTCTAACACTTGACCTGAATCATTAGTCTCTTGGTGACATTGAATTGTTTATCTTTTCTTCCGCAAGTTCGACAGTTATACAAATTGAAGACCAAAGCAAAATTATCCTTGCCTTTACTTTTTTTTCATATCGTCAGTGCAACAATGCAGCTAAATCTCTGCTTTTTCTGGGCGAAACAGAGTGCACTATATCCAAAATGCTCCAAATTTCCCCGGCGACCGTCCGACTGGATGTATCTCGTCCAAGTCACAGGAGTCTGGCTTTCACTATCTTCTATCCTGTACGTGAGCATTCATCCAATCTCTTCAGTCAACGGATTCCAGAAGAAATAAAAATCCAATGAGCAAGACACTAATCATCAACGCTTTGGGCATCACTAGCTATTTGATAGGGGTTTGTTGTGTTCTGAGAACCACCGAAAAAAGACTCCTTTATGTGTTTATCTTCACACTGTGCCAGTCCTGCTCGCTACTTCCTATCCTGAGGGGTCAAAGTGGCCATGAAGTGTACAAAAACGCGTTCTCGTTTTGTCAAGCTCTGCTTTCTAAAAACCCCGCGGTTATTTATGCGTTGATGCGTCTATTCTCCTCGCGGTTCACCCCGAAGAGATTAGATCCTACATTTATAAACACTATAGGACTAGCTAGCCAGACTGCGATCCATACCATACTGGCCCTCTCCTGGATGGCGGTGAGCTGGGCACCATGCGGCAGACTTCTGTCCAATGGGTGGAAGGGATATTTCTTTCTCTATGATTTGATGGGATGGGCGTTGATCGATCAGGCTATCTTTGCGGTAGTGCATGGGTCGTTGCTTTGGAGTACTTGGAGGCAAAAAAGGGCGTCACTTGAGCAATCTAGTAGCAAGGGCAAAGAATTACTTGAGTATTAAGATATAAGATACATTGAACGGCATTCCACATGTAAGGTTGATCTTTTACATCCAAGCTATATACTACTAGTAGTAATAGATTATTGACTATATGGCCCACGCGCTATACCTAAACCGGCAAGTGTCGCCGAGCCTCTATGCCACCTAAAGTAATCAATCATTCCCTGTCACCTGATATATAAAAAAATACCTGTTAGATGCCCTGAAGCCGAGCTCATAACTCCGAGGTTGCGTAATCCGAACCAGATAAGGTGGTAAGAGGAGGCAGCATCCAAATTTAGAAGGGGCTTGCCGGCTAAAAACTAGTAGAAGTACTGTGTAATATGTATACTGATCAACCACAATGGGAAACAAAAAGACCAAAATATTCTATGAGATTAACGTGAGTCATTAAATGGTATTTCCATGGATATTCATAAAGTTTTGCAACTATCCACTTGGTGATCTACCAGCTACTAGTAGTATGTACTGTACTAACTAAAAAACCCCCACCATAAATCGGCGATTCGGCAGCAATCGCAGCTGCAAACACTGCAAACAACGGCGTAATCGGGATTTTCCCCGCGCTAACGCGTGTGCTTGCGCAAGATAAAGAGCAGAAAAGGTTGGCCTGGCATTGCCCTGCCTTTTTGTTCCGTACACCTTTCTCCGACACTACATCCCACTGACACTTTCTGCTCATTCAATATCCACACCGGACCACCCGGTACAGCAGCAGAATGGGCCAGGATACCTCTCCCATCCCCGAGGGAGTCTCCTCCCTCCTAGATACCGATCTCTACAAGTTGACAATGCAATGCGCGATCCTCAAATACTTCCCTGATGTTTGTAAGTGGGATCCTCTGAACTGATATTACCCATGTCTAACTGAGTGCTAGATGTCACTTACGGCTTTACGAATCGCACCCCGCATATGAAGTTGCGGCGCGGAGCATACAAATGGCTTTTGCAACAGCTGGAAAGTGAGTGATTTCTCCCGTTTAGCGGAACCCCTGGCTTCTATGCAACTTGAACTAATAATGTTTGCCGTATTAGACCTCGGATCCCTGCGCGTCACCGCCGAAGAGCGTGCTTTCCTTCAGCGCAAATGCCCATACCTCACCGAGGCCTACATTACCTTCCTTGAGACCTTCCAGCTCAAGCCGTCTGAGCAGGTCGAAGTCAAGTTCACACCTACACAAGATACAGGTAGTGACGAGGATGAAGGGATCATTCAATATGTTGTCAAGGGTCTTTGGCTCGATACCATTCTTTACGAGATCCCGTTGCTGGCCCTGACTAGCCAGGCGTACTTCATGTTCAGTGACAAAGAGTGGGATCACGATGGCCAGGAGGAGAAGGCATACAGCAAGGGATCTACACTTCTTGAGAACGGGTGCATCTTTTCGGAGTTTGGAACCCGGCGGCGACGCGATTATCATACCCAGGATATTGTGATGAAGGGTCTATCGCGTGCCGCGGAGGATGCCAAAAAGAACGGGTGGAAGGGCGCATTGACTGGAACAAGCAACGTGCATTTTGCTATGAAATATGATGTCAATGCCGTGGGTACTGTCGCGCACGAGTGGTACATGACCATTGCGGCTATCACGAACGATTATGAGAATGCCAACGAGCTGGCATTGCAGTACTGGCTTGGATGTTTTGGAGAAGGGGTAAGTTCATCCCGAGCTATGGCTTGGATTCTTCTGAGCTGGCTCACTAACTTTGAAAAAGGTCCTCGGTATCGCCCTCACCGATACATTCGGCACACCGGCTTTCCTCGATGCATTCCGCAAGCCTATTAAAACTCCCGACCAGAGCGAGAGCAGCCAGCCCCTCAAGTCTTATGCGCAAACTTACACTGGTGTTCGCCAAGATTCAGGTGATCCAGCAAACTTTATCAAGATGGTCCGCGAGTTTTACGATCGTGAAAATATCACTGACAAGAAAATGGTTGTGTTCTCTGATTCGCTCGATATCAAGTCCTGCCTTGAATACAAGGCCCTTGCCGATGAGGCGGGCTTCATTCCCTCTTTTGGCGTGGGCACATTCTTCACAAGTATGTTGAAAACTATCTAAGCATATTCATATTTGATGCTAACAAATTTATCTATAGACGATTACATCAACAAGACAACCGGCGAAAAGTCCAAGCCTCTGAATATTGTCATCAAAATCTCCACAGCCAATGGCCGACCGGCCGTGAAGCTCAGTGATAACCTGGGGAAGAATACAGGGGACAGTGCCACTGTCGCGGAGGTAAAGAGGAGACTGGGCTACGTTGAGCAAAACGACGTGCAGATCGATGAGGAAAATCGCTGGACGCCACGGGCATAGACATTCTGGTCCACGAACAAGAAACAGAACTGAGTATTGCTGAAGGGCGGAATTTTGAGCTGTTTCTTTCTATGGAAAGCTTTGCGAAGATTGATTTTTTTTTTTACATGTTGATTGATAGATACAGCTAGTTTTCATGATATCCATTAATAGAGCGCCAAAACAAGCCTCATAAGTAGATTTTGTATACTTTGTAGACGTTGGTACTACCTATTTATCCACAATTTTCATGCTGTTACTACATAGTAGTAACCAGCTCATGCTATATCGCATACACTCATAAATGCTAAAATACAGATAGGGGGAATGTCCAAATTAAACTAGATGGTACCGCTGAGCCAGAGCTTGATAAAGCAGGATGAGAGTCTTGAAAAATACCACACCCCAATTTAAAATCCTAAATCACGATCCAAATCACCCGTAATATCACCATGTCCAGATCGATGTCTGGCCATATTATCATAATCGTCATCCTTGAGCGCAAAATCAAACAGATCCTGTTCTTGTTCCCGCTCCAGATCACGTCGCTGTGTCCAATTCTGATTCTGGCGATGATTTTGGTCCAATGATCCTGACTTGTCGAGTTCATGTAATGATGTCCCCTGGAAAAGAGCCTTTGTCCAGTCTAGATCATCAATGTCTTCTGCTGGGGGTGAGATCTCCATTGGTTGCGTGGTGCTTGCAGAAGGATCTGCTGTGTCGGGAAAGTTGAAGTCAACAGAGAGATAGTTGAAAGGATTAGAATCGTCTGAGCCTGTGTCGGCTGCGAAGTGGTCATCAAAGTCATTGGGGAAAGGGCGACGGTTTTGCTGTGGAGTTTGAGATTGTTCGCGAGGTGTAGGGATACTCATGTTTCTTTGTTGAACTTGATTTTCTTCGTATATAGATGCGGCTCTGTGGGATGCTGGAGTTTGGACATCGGATTTATTGCTATCTTGGCGGAAGGAGTGAGGGGTGGATATTGAGTCGGCATTGCTTTGTGTTCTCTTCAATTCGAGAGGAGTAGCTGGGGTGTCAAAGTTATATTGCATGATCTGAAAGAATGTGTTGTTGATGTAGTTGCCCGATTGCAACTTGATTGCAGCCTCGAGGTTGGCAAACTCAACGTTGGCGGCTGGGTACATATCCTTCAGACAGTGAAGAACATGAATACAGCGTTGAAAATTGTATACGCTACTCTCGCGAATGGCTGGGTTGTCAGACATGGAGTTGGAAAGATGTGCCACTGCCGCTGGCAGGATTACTGTCACGCCAGATTGTGGCAAGAAGCGTGTCAGATTGAGCTGATTGAGGCCTTGAACAATATGAGTGATTCCAGAGGCAGCCTCGTGCATTTTTGTACGGGCAGCATTGCGCCATTCAGTGCGAGACTTTGACTGGTCTTTAGAATGGGCTGCCCAAGGCCGGTGGAGAGCGCTGCTAGTTGCATGATACAGCATACGAAGCATAGCGCCATGTAAGAGCAGTACATCCTCGCCATCCCGGAAATTGCTCTTAGATGCCGGGATAAACTGTGCATCTTTGGGTAGACCAGTAAGCCACGAATCAAGTTTTTGGCTGCATCGAGTAAACTCCGATTCCGAAGCTTGACGAGGAACCAATGTAATAGTCGTTCTGTCTGTGACTCCAAATTGTCGCTGTGATGGCGCATATTGTGCGAAGATCACCCTTCCAATGCATTGGCATAGCTTGACCTTTTCAATGAACATGGTGGCGAGGCGTCTTTGGTGTGACACATCCTCAAGTTGTCGACAGTGGAAGAGACGAACCGCAGATGGGGAGAATGGTTCAAAGTCGAAATCTTCAGGTTTCAACATAGGGACATTGCTCGTCCCTTCGTTTACCTGCATCGGGCGCCGCATCCCCATAGCAATCAAACGATCTCGGGAGTAAAGGCACCACCAGAGTCGGGTGCGCAGTCGTTTAAGTTTGGGGTCAAGTTCGGCAGTAGATGGGTCTTTGTTCAATCCAATGGAATGTGCCTGTGTATTACACACTCCGATCCAGTCCCAAATATCCCGCTGTAGGCTATTCTCTGGGTCCGACCAATATGTCATCAGCAAAAGTGTTTGCAAAATGACGATCCGGTCTTCTTCGCAATCAAGTGAGTAAAGAAGCTGGAAAATAGCGATGTTAGAGATATGGAAACTGGCAGGGGACAAATTATGATATACGTACTCGTAATCGAGTGAAAAAAGCATTCCGTGCATCCTTCCTCGTCGAATACCCTGCATCCTGTAGATGCTTAATGTCGATAAAGGCTGTCCCTACAAACATAACGGCCTGGAAGAGCAGAACACTGATATTTCCATTGGGGTCGTTCTCTGCCACACAATTCAAGAGTTCTTGCAAGTTGAGCACAGGCATAAAGCTGTGGACCCATTGTGTATACGACCTCAACAATTCATTACGCAAGCCGCTCTCTGGAATCGACAGGGCGCCACGAAAGCGCAAGAACTCCAGGTCTTCCCTCGCGATTCGATCAGGGAGCGCCTTGAGAAATCGTGGCTCCTCGTCCAGGATGGCTGTCAGTGGATCGAAGTCTGGATCGATCAGATCCTGCACTGCAGAAACCATATTGGCCAGTGGCATAGAGTTATGGACCGCTGGGTCACCCAGCGTGCGCCAGCCGTTGAGCGGTCTGCCAGACTCGAAAAGCCATGGGGCCTGTGGATCGTATCCTGAGATACTATGGCGTTTGGATCTTGGCTCGTGGCGAGTGTCAGCCTGCTGCTGTAGCTTGCGCTTCAGAGCCAACGCGTTGCTGTTTGGGGATAGAGACATCGCCACCTATGCAGGGATCCACATGTAGCCGAAGCCACTTCTTTTGATTTCTTGCCGTAAGGGCCGAGGTAGACAAAGGGTCCAAATAGGATCGGCGTGTACGGAGTAGAATAAGCAGAAATCAAAACCGGGACCCTCAAACCGCCTAGCCCCGGTGACTGGAACAGGGCGGTGTCCGGAAGTTTGGGGTATGTGGGGTTTTTGCGGAGGCTTACGTGGAGTCAACATGAATGGCTGGGTAAGATATAAAAGATGCTTCTTATATGCCGATTTGACTGCCGCATGGATGCTGATTAATAGAGTTGCACGTGGTCTGTGATCGACTGCACAGTCTGCACATGTGTGAGGGAACCAATGATATGCGACTGTTGATTTATTTGAGATGGAATAATGCAGCAGTAACTTTTGCATCTCTACCGGGCGGGTAAATGCGGAGAATTTGCAATCTTACATGGAGCTGCCCGTACGGAGTACGGAGAGCGAGGGTTCTGGAGACTAAGATACCCATGCTAAGTGGGTCACTCGGAATTTCTATACTACAACCACCGACTTCTTCCCACCTCTCGTTTGTGGTTTAAGCTGGCCAAGCATAACTTGCATGGCCCGCCACGCGGCCCACTCGGTGACCGAGCGAGTCTCTTCTTCCTCGTCCTGTGCCACAGGAGGAATAATGTCACTCTTCAGCCTCTGCATTGACGCATTGCTTCGCGATCGCATCAAGTAGGCCACGCTTTGACGGCTCACCAGCGCTTGTTCTCCAGGAGCCGTTATCACACGATGCAATGAGCTCCGTAGTATCCCACCTGTCCACTCGACAAGAGTGTCGCCAATGTTTACCAATACGTTCCCCGGCTCTGGCTTGACACAGAGCCAGTTTTCTGGCTTATTGTCGCAATCTGCAGGCAGTATCTGTAACCCGCCCACCACGTTGAAAAGCAGAGTGATTACCCCGATGTCCGTGTGGCCGCCGAGGCTGATGGTTTCGGGTTGAGAGCTCGATTGTGACTGACTTCGCAATAACCTCACTGAGGTTTCCGAGATTTGATCCAAAGGGCCAAGTCCCTTAAGTGTCCCCGGTCGAAGGCCAAGCTGGTTATCAAGGTGAAGGAAAATGACATCTGCTAATATAAGCTTGTGGCTAAGCTTTTCTTCTTCTCTGATATCAGCATACCTATTATCGAATGTGAATTCTCAATAAACCGTCGCACTTCCGCTCGTCTGGCTTCAATAGGGTCGGCATTCCTAACTGGAGGGCGATTATCTAGCATATCGTCTTGATTAATCGAATAAATTTCCATACAATCCATTTTACCATCATCCGTCTTGAGTTGTCCGCTTCGCTTATATCTTCTTATGATCAGCAGGTCCAACATGAAGGAGAAGGCCTTGCCACAGTACATACCCTGTCAGGTCATAAGGTGGCTTGTAGGCGTGACTATCCAGGACTGATTGATCAAGGCTGTACGTCTCCTGGGTGAGCTCAAACATCTTCTCTGCATCTCCCAGGAGCTCTTTGCCCTTCTCAGACTGTTGCAAGTCCAACATGAAAAACCCCCATTCTTGGCATGCTTGGAACAGGGTTTGGATCTCTTTTTCGTTTCCATTCTGGAGCCCTTTGAATGATATCTTCGGCAAAGGAACGACATGGACCCCGGAAGGGAAGGGGGGGCAATGGTCGAAATACTTGGCTGTCGGCATTGTTTCCAATGATTTCCATGTATCGGAGGCCCGAGAGACGGATGTACAGAAATGAGGCTACACATGTGCATAGAAATTCTAACCTAAAAGCGGGGTATTTATACTTGGCCAACCCTTCAAATGTTGGAAACGTCACCCCACAGGATCAAAGCCATTCACGTCAGAACTGGTAATTACTAGTAGATGAGGCCCCCTAATACCTGATCCGTGCTCTCCAGGGCTGGTATCTCGTACTATGTAGCAGACATCAGTAGACCATATTGTGGGGTTTTGGGCGACCTACATATTATCACATGTCAGCCCTGGAGCCAGCTACTACTGGACACAATAATTCTTTGAGGCGAAAACAATGTCATCAAAAATCGTGATGGGTGATCAGGTCACATGCATGGTAGGTACTAGGCAATGGAATCTCATCAGCCTTGGCTAACCATTCAGTTCTCTGTTTGCGGCGGCTCTTTGATAACCTTGCAACAAGCGGCCAAGTAAGCCGTGGATTATCACAATTGCAATTGGTCAGACTCGATTCCCAAAATGCAACCTGGGAAAGCGTAGCCCAAGGAAGAGATATGATCCACCCTGAGTGCCCGTCGTAGGATTTGGGCCCTCACGAATCCTAAATCGAGCCCTGGAGTCACTGCTCAGATGTTCGTGGCTGTCAAGTTTGGAATCTCCTTGAAATTGACTCGGGGGCAATTTTCCTGGAGCGCATCTTACGTCCATCGTTTTCTCCAATCTTCCCCCTGTTACTTTTGCTTGTAATTAATGGAATGAATCAAATCCTTGGTATTCATAACAAAGCAGTGGTGCAGCCCATGTCGTCATGTGATGCGTGCCCTTGCAAAGAGACTAGTGTACAGGTAAATTGAGAAACATTGGACAAGTGTCCATGATGTTTTGTCCCCCGACCGACGCCATTATACTTCCACGGAAAGGAACGGTTGGGATTCGCGGTGACAGGAGGGGAGGGGAGGCCGAGACTGATATTCGAATGTATGGAAGATTTACATACTGAGGCGCGTTAGTTTAGTCTCAACATGGCAATGAACCTATCAAGAGTGGTATTGTATTAGGATTTCGACTCACGGAGGGAGGAGGATTTCGCCTAGGCTGCTGTGGAGGAAAGCAACACCGACCTAGAGAAGATGTTAGTTGCATGATCCAGGTTCTGAATTAAGACGTTGGCGTACAGTGAAGATGGCGAGACTGCGGACGATGGTAGCGTTCTCGGGATTGCGAGCCTCATCGAAGACGGTGCTAATGAAACCCTTCTGGGCAGTGTAGTTCTTGGGGGCCATTGTGATTGTAGATGAAGCCGGTAGACTTGAGAGGTAGATGGTGTATATAGGAGTCGGAGATGGTGTTCGGAGGTCGAGAAATCTGCGGCTTCGGGAACCCTTGGCGTCACTGCGTCATGGGTTCGTTTCGACACCCGTATATCTTTTGCGCGGGCGCGCATGCAGCAGTGACCTTGACTCGCTCAGTCTGTCAGTAGGAGGATAAGAGCCGACATCTGGAAGGAAGAAAACTTCAATCTTGTCTACCCTCTATCGCATTAATTCAAAAACACCTGCAAACGGAAAAGAGGGCGATAGTTTTGCTGTCTTCTCCAATAGAGCACGCGCCGCAACCATGACCAATATCGATGAGCTCTTCAAGGTAAGTCACAGTCTCTCAACATCTTGTCCACATCTGTCTGACTTATAAAGAAACCATTGGTTGCAGGAAGCTCCAAGCGCAAGTTCGAACCGCTTCAAGATCCCAGTGCGCGCCCCTTCCATGCGATGCACCCGCGACATCGGCTAACAAGACGCTAGATGAGGTCTACAAATCCGCGAAGCTAGACTCCGATGCCGATGTAAGGTCCAGAGGAAAGGAAGCCATGGTGGAGGATGAAATCGACGATGACGGCGAGGCCGGTCCTGAAATGCCCCCAGACATGGACACTGAAGATGCCCCAGACGACGAGGAAGGCCGATTCTTTGGTGGAGGGATGGAGCAAAAAACCGCGCAGGCGATGGAGTATATTGACCAGCAAGAAGAGGACGAAACTGCGGTATGTGCATGTTTCTAGATCCTTGGAGATGGTATACTAAACACTGTGTTGTACAGCCCGAAAAGTTCGACACAACATGGGTCCGACGATTCGCGTTGAACTTTGAGAAAAAGATATCCAAGAACGCCGAGCTACGAGCAAAGTTCGATAATGACCCACAAAAGTATGTGAAGGGATTGTGAACTTTCTGACGATATGCTAAATGGTTGCAGGTTCATGGCATCCGAAGCTGACCTAGACACCGAAATCAAGGGATTATCCATCTTGTCAGAGCACCCGGAGCTTTACGAGGAGTTTGCAAAGCTTGGCTGCGTGGGCTCATTGATCTCACTGCTTTCACATGAAAATGCGGATATCGCGATCGATGTCATTCAGATCATCGGTGAGCTTACGGATGAGGATGTGGAGGCCGAACAAGAACAGTGGGATAGCTTGGTCAACTCGATGGTTCGTTCTTAATGCAAGAAAAATATTGCAACATTACTGACAAGTCCTAGATGGATGCCGACCTTATTGAGTTGTTGACTTCTAATCTGACGCGTCTCGACGAAAATGTGGAAACTGATAGAGCTGGCGTTTATTATATTCTCGGTGGGATTCTCTTGCTAAATTATCTTAACAACGCTAATGAGATTTAGGTGTACTGGAAAATCTATGCTCTCAGACTTCTGTCGCAGAAAAAATTGGTCAGGATGCTTCTGTACTTCAATGGATCTTGACTCGTATTCAGAAGAAAGAAACGCCTGTCAGTCAGAACAAGCAATACTCCGCAGAGGTCCTGGCGATTCTATTGCAGTCTTCATCAAAAAACCGAGAAAAGTTTATCGAACTTGAGGGTATCGACACTATCCTTCAAATTCTCAGTCAATATCGGAAACGGGATCCTCAAAAGGACTCTGATGAAGAAGAATATGTGGAGAATCTTTTTGATGCTTTGATCTGCTTGCTTGAAGAAACAGCCGGAAAAGAAAAATTTGTTGAGGCTGAAGGCATCGAATTGGCATTGATTATGCTCAAGGAGGGCAAATTCAGCAAACCACGTGCACTAAGGGCCCTTGATCACGCCTTTGGTGGAGCAGCGGGTGGTCCAGCTTGCGAGCGACTGGTTGAAGCGGTTGGACTCAAGACAATTTTCGGGATGTTCATTAAAAAGGTAAGCATATACTCATCCTGCTACTGTATTGTTTCTCACAACCCGCAGCAAGAAGGACAAAACATTGAGCATCTGCTGGGCATCTTTGCTTCGCTTCTCCGGCTTCTACCAGGCGGGTCGGCACCGCGTATTCGAACACTAGCCAAGTTTATGGAGAAGGATTACGAAAAGATTGAGAAGCTCATCAAATTGAGACGAGAGTATGCCGCACGTGTGGCACCGGTCGAACAATCCATCAAGAAAGAGCGTGAATCCTATTCACCGGAGGACCAGAAAATCATGGCTGATGAATGGCTATCCCGTCGATTTGACGTGGGACTCTTCTCCTTGCAAACAATCGATGTTGTTTTGGCTTGGTTGGTTGCGGAGGATGACGGAGCTAAGAAGAAAATTGTGTCTTTATTAGCAGACCGCGGTGAAGACTTGTCTCTAATTCGGGAAACCTTGCAAGGTAAGGCCATTCTTTATTTGCCGTTGTTTAAATACTAATACCATGTCTAGAACAAATGCAAGGCCTTGGCGACGAGGATCAAGGGCAGAAAGATACCAAGGATATGCTGAGCACCTTATTGCAATTTGTTTGAGGGCTTCATGCCTACTAGCTACTAGTACGCAACATTGAATGTACAATACTATATCCAAATCAACCACTCAAGTGCTTACTCCAATCAATGCTCCTCAAGCTTTACTTACTGGAGGTATGGGTAATTATTTAGTACTAACCTACTACCTACTACCTACTACATAGTACTGGGTATCCGTGGACCCGGTTAGTAGCAGTAGTAACATTCGCACATGCTATACAAGTGGTGGTGCCGACGGTCCAGACACACTAGGTGAAGTTAACATTGAAGACACATATGAATATCGAGTGAATACTTAGGCCCTGAAATACTCATATACATATAGTAGTACTCATATACTACAGACCGCTGTTTGAAACAGTTCAAAGTTCAAAAACATTGAATCATACTACGTACATGCAAAATTCTGAAAAGCGAGGGCAATAAGTTCACTCAAAACCACCGACCATGACCCTGGAAATACCGATATTCTAATTCCAAACTCCTTTCTTCTTTCTTTTTCTTCTCTTTTTCATTCCCTTGTCACCAATCATTATTCTGGTTAACAACTTGACATATAACTACAATTTACAGACCGATATAACACGTGACTTTTCAATCATCCACGTGATCAGAGAGACCTTATCAGGACTAGCGTGTTAATTCGGCGCCGCCGAAGCATCAAGATCCTAGGAGATCGCCAGTCACTTCATCCGTTACCGCTGGGAGTTTTTTTTCTTTCATCCCACGAGCTCCCCTCACAGCTTCCTCACTTGTCTGGACCGACTGCAGAAATAGCTCTCCAGTCACTGACAGGCGGGTGTTGCAGCGCGTTGGGTGAATCTCAGATAATTGCTTTCCCCGACCCGACGCGCCTCCACGACCCTTCGAGGATCGCTCTTTTTCACTTCTCGCTTTTCACTCTCAGAACATAGTGGGAGACTCGACCAATCGACACAATGGCAGACTACGACGAAACATATGAGGAGGAATTTTATGATGATTCCGATGAAGGAATCACCTCCGAGGACTGCTGGACTGTGATCTCTTCGTTCTTCGACACAAAGGGTCTCGTGTCCCAGCAACTTGACTCTTTCGATGAATTTATCTCCTCAACCATGCAGGAGATGGTGGAAGAGCAAGGACAAGTGGTACTTGACCAAACCCTCCCTCCCTCCGAAGACGAAGACGACCCGGTTGTCGTACGCCGTTACGAGCTCAAATTCGGCACCGTCATGCTTTCGCGACCATCAGTCACTGAAGGAGATGGTGCGACAACCATCATGTTGCCCCAGGAAGCAAGATTGCGAAACCTTACCTACGCCAGTCCCCTTTATCTCGACGTCACAAAGAAAGTCATGGAAGGACGAGAGCGTTTGATCGCCGACCGTGACGATGAGGAGCCCGGCGAGGCCGATGAGGACCGAAAGAGTCGCGGCACATATCTCCAGTGGGACGAAGTTGATTTTGCAGGAGAAACCAATAAGAAGGAGACAGTATTCATTGGCAAGATGCCCATCATGCTCAAGTCCAAATACTGCATCCTTAAGGACCTCAATGAACAGTCTCTCTACGCCTGGAATGAGTGTCCGTACGATTCCGGTGGTTACTTTGTCATCAATGGAAGTGAGAAGGTTCTTATTGCTCAGGAGCGCAGTGCCGGAAACATCGTTCAGGTCTTTAAGAAGGCTCCTCCGAGTCCCACGCCTTACGTTGCGGAAATTCGCAGTGCTGTTGAAAAGGGATCCCGACTTCTGTCTCAACTTTCACTCAAGCTTTTTGCTAAAGGTGACAGTGGTAAAGGCGGATTTGGTCCTACTATCCGTTCAACTTTGCCCTATGTGAAGGCTGATATTCCCATCGTTGTCGTTTTCCGAGCTCTAGGTGTCGTTTCTGATGAAGATATCCTGAATCACATCTGCTACGACCGCAATGATATTCCTATGCTGGAAATGTTGAAACCATGTATCGAGGAGGGTTTCGTTATCCAAGATCGTGAGGTAGCTCTGGATTTCATCGCCAAGCGTGGCTCTTCCCAGTCCAACCTCAATCACGAGCGACGTGTTCGTTATGCACGAGAGATCATGCAAAAGGAGCTGTTGCCCCATATTTCCCAGAGCGAAGGAAGCGAAACTCGCAAGGCCTTTTTCCTTGGTTACATGGTGCACCGTCTGCTCCAGTGTGCTTTGGGTCGCCGAGATGTTGATGATCGTGATCACTTCGGAAAGAAGCGCCTGGATCTGGCTGGTCCACTTCTCGCCGGTCTCTTCCGTGTCCTCTTCACTCGTGTTACTCGCGATCTTCAGCGTTATGTTCAGCGTTGTGTTGAGACTAGCCGTGAGATTTACCTGAATGTAGGTCTCAAGGCTTCTACCCTCTCTGGTGGATTGAAGTACGCCCTAGCTACGGGTAACTGGGGTGAGCAGAAGAAGGCTGCCAGCGCCAAGGCTGGTGTGTCGCAGGTGCTGAGTCGTTATACCTATGCATCCACGTTGTCTCATTTGCGACGTACCAACACGCCCATTGGGCGAGATGGTAAGATTGCCAAGCCGCGTCAGCTTCACAACACCCACTGGGGTCTTGTGTGTCCGGCCGAGACCCCTGAAGGTCAAGCTTGCGGTCTGGTCAAGAATTTAGCTCTTATGTGCTACATCACTGTTGGTACTCCCAGTGAACCGATCATTGATTTCATGATCCAGCGAAATATGGAGGTTCTCGAGGAGTTCGAGCCCCAAGTTACACCCAATGCCACCAAGGTGTTTGTTAACGGTGTGTGGGTCGGTATTCACCGTGACCCATCGCATCTTGTCAACACCATGGCGTCTCTTCGTCGACGAAACATGATTTCACATGAAGTCAGTTTGATTCGTGATATCCGTGAGCGGGAGTTTAAGATCTTTACCGATACTGGACGTGTTTGTCGACCGCTCTTCGTCGTCGATAACGATCCCAAGAGTGAGAATGCTGGATCGCTGATCCTCAACAAAGAGCACATCCGGAAGTTGGACCAGGACAAGGATTTACCGCCAAACTTGGATCCAGAAGAACGCCGGGAACGTTTCTTTGGATGGGAAGGATTGGTGCGATCCGGTGCTGTGGAGTACGTGGATGCGGAGGAGGAAGAAACCATTATGATTGTGATGACACCCGAGGATTTGGAGATTTCGAAACAACTTCAGGCTGGCTATGCTCTGCCAGAAGACGACAGCGACCCCAATAAGCGAGTCCGATCGATTCTGAGCCAACGGGCACACACCTGGACTCACTGCGAGATCCACCCCAGTATGATTCTTGGTGTTTGTGCCAGTATCATTCCGTTCCCTGATCACAACCAGTCGCCTCGTAATACCTATCAATCCGCTATGGGCAAGCAAGCTATGGGTGTGTTCTTGACAAACTTTGCCCAGCGTATGGAGACTATGGCAAACATTCTTTACTACCCCCAGAAGCCCCTGGCTACTACCCGGTCTATGGAATTCTTGCGTTTCCGTGAGCTGCCTGCTGGCCAGAATGCAATTGTCGCCATTGCTTGTTACTCTGGATACAATCAGGAAGATTCCGTTGTTATGAACCAGAGTAGCATTGACCGTGGTCTTTTCCGCAGTCTCTTCTACCGTACATACAGTGACTCGGAGAAGTCGATCGCAACAAACATTGTGGAGAGATTCGAGAAGCCCATGCGACTTGATACCCTCGGTATGCGCAAGGGCACATACGACAAACTTGATGACGATGGTATCATTGCACCCGGCACACGTGTCTCTGGAGAGGATATCATTATCGGTAAAACTGCACCTTTGGCCGCGGATGCCGAGGAACTTGGTCAGCGTACCAAGGCACACACCAAGTTGGACGTGTCGACTCCTCTGCGAAGCACCGAGAATGGTATTGTGGACCAGGTGTTGATTTCGACTGGTAACGATGAGATGAAGTTCGTCAAGGTCCGCATGCGTACCACCAAGATTCCTCAAATTGGTGACAAGTTTGCGTCTCGTCACGGTCAGAAGGGTACAATTGGTATTACTTACCGACAAGAAGATATGCCCTTCACCGGTGAAGGTGTTGTGCCGGATCTCATTATCAACCCCCACGCCATTCCGTCCCGTATGACAATTGCTCACTTGATTGAGTGTCAACTCAGTAAGGTTTCGTCTCTTCGTGGATATGAAGGTGATGCCACTCCTTTCACCGACGTAACTGTTGATTCTGTGTCTCGTCTGCTCCGTGAACACGGCTACCAGTCGCGTGGATTCGAGGTCATGTTCAACGGTTACACTGGTCGCAAGATGGTGGCGCAGGTGTTCCTGGGCCCGACTTACTACCAGCGTCTGCGTCACATGGTGGACGATAAGATTCACGCCCGTGCCCGTGGACCCACTCAGATCCTAACCCGTCAGCCCGTCGAGGGTCGTGCCCGTGATGGTGGTCTTCGTTTCGGAGAGATGGAGCGCGATTGTATGATCGCCCACGGTGCCAGTGCCTTCCTAAAGGAGCGTCTGTTTGATGTGTCTGACCCGTTCCGAGTCCACATTTGCGATGACTGTGGCTTGATGACACCCATTGCGTAAGTTTACTTCCCTGACACTGATTGCATACCCTGATATCTTTTTTTTTTTTTAATATTTTGGTCAACCCAACTAACATGCGAACAGTAAACTGAAGAAGGGTCTTTTCGAGTGCCGCCTGTGCAACAACAAGCACCGTATCTCACAGGTTCACATCCCGTACGCTGCCAAGCTTTTGTTCCAAGAGCTGGCCTCGATGAACATTGCCGCTCGGATGTTTACCGATCGTTCCGGAGTGTCGGTGCGATAATTGCATATCTGCTCATTGCACAATTCTCATTTACCTTGTATTTTAATGATTCACTCGAAAATCGCGAGTCCCTAGGGACTAATGTTGTGGCGTCTGGGGATTTATGGCTTAGCATTCTTATTAGGTCATACATAGTCGGAAATCAAATATATCAAAAGAAATTTGCCATTCCGGTACATAAAATACCTATTTGCATGTCGTAGCTCCATGACTGAAAATTTGGTAGATGAGCTTCTCCAGGTGCTGACTTTTGGACATCACAAAAAAATTGCACCACTCAAGTGCTGTAACGACATTTAAAAGCAGCCAGTCTTGGAGAAGGAGAGAAAAGGAATCCAGCTAAGCCCTGGAGCTGAGCTGTAACAGGGATCAAAGATCTACTACATGGATATGGGTATTTCAATTTTCTACAGCTCAAGGCATGCAGGAGGCGCATCTGGGCTACGTAAGTGTTAGAATTATGGTAGATACATAGTAGTACTAAGTATATTTGAACATGTATGTCTTGTCAATCGGGATGACCCTTGACACCGAGCTCTTTCTATTATTATTATTCCACCACGTTGTACCCTTGTATCCCTGTACCCCTGTTTGGCCCTAGTCACCCGGAGTGAAGAACGCACGGTGATCTCAGCATTATGCGCAGGTCTAGGCCGATTTGTCCAGCGTGCGACGAACACCAATCAATCCTGATCTAGTCAGAAATTCAGAGTGGGGCCCTGTACAAAAGGGAATTGCAATGACTGCAACTACGGCATGCAGGGCCGAGGAGAAGGGAGTATGATCCGGAAATCCTAGGCCACAAGGACATTGGGAGTCTTTTGCAGAATGACTTCCGTGTTACCTGGGGCATGTACATGTAGGTACATGCGGGATGGATATTGATACTTGGTCTTGGCTCGCATTGGCCCCATCAGTTGCTAGTGGGGAAATCAGAATCAGCAGGACCAGACTCAACAGAATCATTCATCAGACTTAGCAGGATATTACGGAGAATTTTCCTCCCGTCGTCAAACCTTCGGGTGGGGGGGGGGATGTTGTGGACTGTGCGCGGATCAGAGTTTTGTGTGTTCGTGGCATAGTGGATTGTGGATTTTCTGGATTGATGATGTGTACTAGTAGTGTATAGTATAGTAGGTCACCTATCTGGGGGGGTTTTCAGATAGCTTTGCGCAGTTTGGGATAACCTTGGAATCCTTGCTTGGTGTCAGTGAGTATAGGACTCAACTTCGGGAAGAGTATACACATATATTTTTTTTGGGTGATGCTGCGATGATGGAATCCTGATCCTGACGTGCATAATCGGCAAATGTGGAAGAGCAAATGAATGAGGCTGATTCGATGAATGCCCCTCATCTCAGTGACTCTAGTCTCACGACTCTCACCAGGTGAGCGTCAAGTACAGGGGGTTGATTGGTTCTAAGAAGAAGTTGAAAGCCCATCACTGCACCACCGACTTGTCAGCCAATCACGGGGTCAGAATACCCGCTCTCCCCCAAAAGCGTCACTTTCTGCATGTTGATCCCTGAGAATCTTTTGATCCTTTTCTCTTCTTAAAACTCCTATAACCGCCCAGGCGGACTTCTTTCTTTTCTTTCTTCAGCGAGTTTTTTGTTGTTTGAGCTGTTCATTCGAGTTTGAATCCAGGCACTGGTTTGCCCGGTTCTTTTTTTCTTCTTTATACTATTAATATTTTTCCCCTCCACTTTTTCCTCCCACACTAAACGAGCTGTGCTCTGCTAGTGTTCATTTTTTTTTCCTACGCATATTCTGCCTTGCTTCGATTCATCTCGATTTCAATTTTCCAGTTCTGCGCCTCATCGTTGCCGGTCAACTTTGAGCCTTGCTGTATCAGCTCTATCAACAAAACACGTTAATCTAATCTCGCTCGCCTCCGTTTATATTCTTGTTGTCGTGGACCGGTTCCGTTCGACACAATTCCCAATCAAGATTCAAAGTCTTCAATATACTGCATCAATCAGACTCCGGTAGTTCTGATTGCCCGATTTGACTCTTCCGTCCTCAAAACGACAACTATATATAACACTTATTTTATTTGTTTGCCCCATCATTCATAATGGCCGCCGTTCAACTCAAGTTCTCTTTGCGCACTTCGTCCAATGTCAAGACCGTCCACTTGGTTGGCTCCTGGGACAACTATGCTCGCCAGCTCCCACTCTCCGGTGAAGACAAGCCCGGTGCCTGGGTCGGAAAGTTCCGTTTCCAGACCTCCATGCTCCAACTCGGTAGCCGCTACTGGTACTACTACATCATGGATGGGTACCACGTCTCCCACGACCCGGCCGTCGAGTATACCGTCGAGCCCACCACCGGCCGCAAGCTCAACATCCTCGATGTTCCCGGTGGCAAGTCCAGCAGCACTCGTACCTCCGCACCAAGCAGCACCCGCCGCAGCTCGAACGTCGCCCACGGCCGCTCCCTCTCCCCGTCCAAGATCCAGCACCCAAAGCCCTCCAAGCCCTACGCCTCGCGCCAGCTCCGCGAAGCCGAGTTTGGTGCCCCCACCGTCGATGACCTGACCCGCCGCTTTGCCGGCTCTCGTCTATCCGATGAGTACTCGGGCTCTTACTCCAACAGCCCACCCAGCTCTGCCGGCTCGTCGCTGTCTTCCCGCTCCTCCGGTTCCACCTCGCCCTCGTCTTTGTCCTCCATGAGTGACCCCCAGTCCGTTTGCTCCTGCGAGCGCTACGGTATCACCCGCAAGGGAGACCGTGTCAAGCTGGACTGTGGTGGTAGCCGCTGTGGATACGCTGATGAGTCCTCCGATGCTAGCTGCTCCGAGGATGAGGATAGTGACGAGGAGTACCGTCGTGCCCGCAGTGGTGCCCGCCGCCAGGGCATCGTTGTCCGCCGTTAGAAGCGCTACAGTTTGGTCTAGTCTGTGTTTCAGTGCGCACCGCTGCACAGACTACAACCTGGGTTCTGTTTCCATGTCATACGCTTGGACCTGGTAGCAGGGATTCGGTTTGCGTCTATTTGATTTACCTTGCTTTTTGAAAAAAAAGAAATTACAAAAAAAAAACAACAACCCATCGCCAAGGGTGAACCGGCTTCGCTTTCGGGGTGGGTGGGGATGTGGTTTAATGGATGTTGAGAAGGGGAGGAAAATACATCAGAGGAGAAGAGAGGAGGAGTTAGGAAGAGAGGAGCAAGAAGACATCGATGCCCAAATCCGATGCACCAATCCGACAATATCCACCCTGAACATGTACTCTCAGTGCATGTCCAGACCGGTGGAGCTGACAAGCTTATCTCATACTACGGTGTGAGCCATAAGAGTCTATCCCGCTCTGTGTCCTCATGCCAATTCAATTAGGACACGGCCTTGCGGACGAGCCTTGCATCTCGTAACCATGAGCATCCATTGATGTCCGGGCTTTTTTTTTATCAGAAGCTTAGGTCTTGGTTAGGTCTTATTCTAGATGCGTTATGAATAATGAGATATGACCATTGGATCTCTTGGTGCTGTATTCCTTTGTAGATTGAGGTTAATTTTGTAGCTACCTTTCAAATGTTAGATTCACCTACTTCACTATATAGCACTTAGCACTTGAGTATATGTACATGTAGTATGTAGTAGGCACTTGGTATGTATTTCGGACTGGTACTCCCAGTGCACATGAGTGTAGTCATCCATCAATGAATGTACAGCAATCCCATATACTAAACATGTGCTCTCTTCAAGCCTGAATGTTGATCGAGTCACTCGCCTTCGAAGGATTGCGGTGGCATAACCAGTGTTAAACTGCGAGGCGATGATATTCGGTCTGTATTATCAAGGTGAATAAGCCCCAGATGAAATTGCACATCAAACTTCGAGCCACAGAAGACCCCCGACGCGGTCTGTTATAGTATAGGTTGAATCCTCGATGGGCTTGATCAAATCACCCAGGCCGGCGAGCCGAGTGCCATCTGCGTCTAGTCAAGACTTCGGCGCAAAGGAGACTTCTGAGTGCGGATAACATTCACCCCGTGCCCAAACAAGACCCCCGCCGTTCCTCTCCTTCTTGTGCTGGTCTCTCAGCGACCCGCAAGCCATAGCTTGATCTCAATCCTCCATTGCCCTTGGCCAGGCCTCCTCGGGCTCAATTATTTCCTTACTTGGAACTCCTTTGTCGGAATACTTCTCCATAACTTCTAACTTCGAGGCAGCGCCATTATAAGACAAGAAAATTTATACAGATCCTTCGGTATGTTCCACAGAAGTGTTATCCCGGAGGACTTGCATAAACCCCCTGACAGTACCCCTGTAGCTTGAAGTTTCAAACCAGCTGCCTCTTCTTTGGGCATGGCCCTGCACTTTGTACTCAGCGACAGAAGCATCGAAGATACATAAGCTGAGTAAAAAGCCACCTTCAAATGTTGGCGACATTATGCTTAGATAGACTAGCGGTATAGTTATCGAATCTCTCTGTCGTTGTTTTGAGGATGACCGAAGATAGCGACGAGATTTGGGGAAGGGTGTAGGCTGAGAACAGCATTTTAAAGCGACCTCGGGAACTGTATAAGAAATTAAAAAGATGCACATGGAGTTTGGGAAGCAATAAGAGAGAAGAATAGATACATTGTCAGCTTGTTGAGGATCCAGGTGCCAGAGCTGTTGTGCGAATTTGGAATGAAAAAAACTTGAAGCCTTCTGGAGGATGAAAGAAGGGAATCTGGTTGTCTTGATCTACCATGACTAGTTTCTGCAGCTTCAAAGTGAGTTACAAAATCGGCAATTGAAACTTTGAAAATAAATTAAATTGTCTGACTATCATTGACATAGCACATAAAACCCATTACATAGACAGACCGAGAGAACAACAATGTGGCCACTGCATTTTATGCAGAAGCGCCCAGAAAAACAAAACAAAATCTCAAACACCCAGAGAAAAAGGTAAAAATACATGGGTATGTAGTGCTTGGTGGGAAGCATTGGACCTAAAACCTTCCATGGAGTCCAGGGTCACATAGCTAAACCCGAAACAGTCTCCGTATTCACGTGGGCCTTAGAGCATCAAAGCCAAAGCACCACCGATGACGCCAATTGCAGCAGCAGGGTTCGCGGCGAGGGTGAAGGCAGCTCCGGTAGCGTGAGCGGACGTGGCAGCGGCAGTGGAGTTCTGGGTAGAGGAGGCAGAGGTCTGCAGGCCAGAAGCTGCGGTGGTTGCGGTATTGGTACCAGTGAGAGTGGTACCTGATTTGGTCGAGGTAGTGGTCAGCAAAGTCCCGGTAGAGGTAGATGTGGTTGCCTTGGTAGCAAGAGAGGTATTCGACAAGAAAGACGAAGCCGACAAGGAAGACTGAAGGATAGAAGTAGAAGTAGACGAACCAGAGGAGACAGAAGAAGTAGACGTAGACGAAACGGAAGTGGAGACACCAGAAGTAGAAGTAGTAGAAGAAGAAGAAGAAGAAGAAGTAGACGAACCAGAGGCAGTGGAAGTGGTCGAAGTGGTCGAGCCAGACGAAGTGGTCGACGACTCGCTGGCAGAGCCGGTGATGTTGAATTGCCCAGTCTGAGCGAGGATTCCAGTGTTGGAATCGGACATCAGGTTGATCTGGTATCCTTGTCTAATTGGCATGTTAGATTGATGGTCAGGAAGAGGGGGGAAATGGGGAGATCAGTTATTCATACCCATCAGCGAGGCTGCCAATGTTCACGGTGTGGGATCCATCCGAGGTGCTGATATCCGAGGCCAACTTCTTGTTCACGTTAGGGTAAACGACATAGTTGACCAGGTAGATGTCGAAGCTCTTGGCGTCAGTGCTGATTGGGTTAGTCTTAGTGAGGAAGAAGAGATCGCGGGGTAGATACATACTCGACAGAAGTCCACTTAACATCAACCGAGCTGGAAGGGGAAATGTCCGCGCCCTGCTCAGGCTCAGTGACGGTCAGAGCTAGAAGAAGGTTTAGCAGATTGTTGTTTTTGTGATGGGCAAGGATGAAGTTTACCTCCGGCAGAGATGACGAGAGAGATAACGGAGGCAGCGAGTGTGAAACGCATGGTTGCGAATTAAACGAGCAGACTGGGAATAAACGAGTGATGGGATTGGGAACGAGTGAAGGAGGGATGGAGAAAGAAAGAAAAGAAAGGCTGAGAAGAAGCGAGATGAGGAGAAGAAGAGGAAGTGACAAGGTGAAGAAACAAGACGTGTTGATTGTAGACGCGTGAGAAATAAGATTACTAGTAAGCATTAAGTAGTAAACATGTGAGCGCCAAAAAAAAAAAAGACTACGATTACGAAACAAAGTCTCAGAATAGAGGCATGTAAGAGCAGAAGAAAGGTAGAAACTTGGAACCGCAGTCTAATATCTAATAATACCTGAATCAAGATGTACCTATATCCATTCTATAAGATTTTGATATGGTGATATCTCTTGATTCAGGGTCTACTTCTAGAAAGTAACCATGGACCCTCAATGTTTTTAAGCGGGAACTTGTCCCGGTGCTAGCGCTGTTAGCGCATTGGCACTGGAATTTTCAGCCAAGTTAATTCCCATTCCCACACCGAGTTCAAGAAAATTACCCACAGTTTCCGGCAGAGATGCAAAATGAAAATAGCATGAACTTCGTAAAGATGTTTCTGCTCTAGCCATTGTATTGGTCAGTATTATGGACCACGTCGGGCTATGATTCAGCCGATTGGCTTGATAAAGACCCTTGCTAGACCCTTCCCCACTTAGTGCGCTAATGGTCCCCATTAGCAAGTTATGGGTTTAGCGATGGCGTCCATGGCTGCGCTAGTCCTCGGCGCGAGTTAGCGTCCGATAAGCCCGGTGCTTGGGTGAGACTCGGGCGTATTGGTAATCTCGGTATTTGCTGGTATTTGCTGGTATTTGCTGGTATGCAAAATTTATTCGTACTTTTTTTTTCTCGGACTTTTCAGTATTTCAGGTATTTTGCAGTATTCTCAATACCCTTATCATGGTATCAGGCTTACTAAAGAATTGAAACTTCCAGTCCTCGGATCTCGAGGTTACATTTCTGGTTACTACGCTATAATATCCCTTATTAATCATGTTACCCCTGATACACACGGGCCGTAGATCGAGGCTGTCAGTCTTGACATCCTACCCATCTCGCCACATAGCCACATAGTAGCCACATACGCTACGTGGCCCAACCCAAAATACAAATTGTGTAGTTTATACAAGGTACTAGTAAAGGTTTCCAACCTTGGAAAGTAAAAATCCAAAATCCAAAAAACATCTGATGCTTCCGGACACAACCGAAAGTTCCAAGTTTGTAGTCAAGAACAATGGCGCAACAATACGAGATTTACAGTTGGTACATTCCCAATGGAAAACTTACCGTGTAACCGAACAGATTCAGCGGGTGGAGATTAGCAATAGCTTGGCAAAACTCCACGATTGTGCTTGAGCCCCGTAAACATTGAATTGTTGGAATTGTTCTGCGGATCACAAAGTCTCAGGAACAGGGAATTCGGAATTTGGGCCTAATATTGAAGCCATACTGCATTGACCCACGCGAACATTTTAATACAATGTCTCACCGAGCGCGTGCCGACTTTGGTCTAACGGTTGTTCAGGAACCGAGGAACGTTTCCCAAGACCCAAATTAGGCTACAATTGTCAAGTTAATTGTGTCACACCCGAGGATGACACGAACAGGAGATTTGTTAAAAAAAAATAAAAATACAAATAAAAATACAAATAAAAATCAAATAAAAATACAAATAAAAATCAAATAAAAACATGCACAAACGTACAAAATAAATTTAAAAAATTGAGATTCTTTTTAAATTGGGTTCTAATCAGGTCACAACAAGTGTCTTTTAATTAATATCGAAAATGTCCAAGTTACTAAGGCGGTTAGCTGCCAAACCCTCACAAGCCACCCAGATAAGGAAAATGATGACGGGACCTACAACTCCTTTTGGATTGCCTCCAGATTGACCGCAGCAGAGTCAACCCAAACACTAACACTCATCGCACCCACTGGGAAAATACCATAGCCCCGTCGATCGATCACAACGGACGTAGACTGATGGCCAAGTATATCAACCCACGTCTGGCTCGTGTTTTCTCGACCAATAAACATTCGTTTCCGGCTAGACCTTGCATTGCTGATGATACACGCAAGTCCCGGGGATGCGACTGTGCCACCACGGGTAAATCCTAGGTAGCGGTCAGCTTTTTGTGATTTTGTGAGAGGCTTCTCAGGGGCGAGACGAACCGATGCAGTTTGGTTGGTCAAAATAGTCTTTCTGGGGTCCATGGGCATATAGTTTTCGTGCCTTGGCGAGTATGGGGAGCTTTCCATTACCGGCGGGTGTCATCGGGTCTGGGACATTGGCTCGTATCCCGTACACATCACCATAGAATAAGCATGGGAAACCCCCTTTTCGAAGTAAGATCAATGCATATGATATCAATTTGAAGTTTGGGGCGATTGGAGTCTGAAAGTGGTTAGTCGTGATGTGGCATGATAAGAAGGAAGGGGGGGGGGGGGGGGGGGGAGGCTATGCAATTACTTCTAGCATTTGACCGGGTTGCTTCACAGCTGACGTTAGTATCAAAAGAAGCATCGTTTCTTTACAAATGGTATTCTCACCGTATCGTGATTTGAAACAATTGTCTGCATAGATTGATTAGTATACTGGTATCAAACACACCGGAAAAGGTTTCTTACCACGGCATGATCAGGCCTACACTGCACCAGCGTATTGTCAAAGATACCACGAAGGTCAGCCGCGCGTTCATGAGATATCCTTGAGAAGTTCTCAAGCAGCGGCACATCATAAGCTGTGATAGTGTGCCCAAGCTTATCCAGATAATCAAGCAGCGCAGGCAAATAACCAGTCCAATATTCGCCAATCACGAAAAACCCCTGGTTCGAAGTCTTCTGTACATGGGCCACGAAGTCTTTCTGAAATTCTGTCGAGAAATGCTTGGCTGCGTCGAGCCTCATGCCACTGAGCGATAATTCATCCGTAATCCATGTTCCCCAGTTGAGAAGATCTTGCCGGACTTCGGGATGGGAGTGATCTAGATCTGCAAACATTAGGTAGTCATAATTCCCATTCTCCGTGGAGACATCCGAAGCCCATCCTTTCCCAGGCTTAACAATCTTGTAAATCGCTTGCTGCTTGCTCTTATCATCCCAGTCAACACCGGTGAAATGTTGCCAGTGATATTTCATAGAACTGTAAGCTTCTCCGCGACCAGAAAAGTCAAAGCCTACCCAGCCATCCACGTCTGATGGTTTAGATACTTCAACATTTCTGTCTGGAAGGGGGGAAACCCCCAAATTAGTCAAATAACCAAATATCAAAGATTCGAATACATATATATAAAGAAGGGAACTCACCTTTTGGATCCACTTGAATAGCCTTGAACCGCTCCGGAAAGTCCGCACCAGCCTTATGATTGAGAACAGCATCCCAAACGATACCAATGCCTAGAGAACGTGCCTCTCGGATAAAATCCACCAACTCCTTCTTACTTCCCCATTTTGTGGAAATAGATCCTTTTTGATCAAACTCTCCAAGATCAAACAGATCGTAAATGTCATAGCCATTCCCCGCCGGATCCATTCCTTTGCATCCCGGCGGAACCCATATTTGATCAACACCAATACTTTTTAGATCTGACAGCGCATGTCGCAAACGATTCCAATGGGATTGATCCGCAGGGACATGCCACTCAAAGCCCTGGAATATTAGTGCATTTTCAGGGGCCGCCCATGCACATGGTAGATCAACATGAGCTTTCCAGAATATCAATATCAGGAATTCGAAATCGGATACCAAGGACTGAGTTGACTACTCACCGCGTTTTTCCGTGTATGTCGCTTTTGTTTTCCGGTGGAGTCCGGTGCACCGCGCGAAGAAGGAGATCATTGGAGATCGGATTTTCTTGGCGGCGATCGTGGAATTCTTGCCTTGGAGAATGATATGGAGGGATTTGGCGGAGGTGATGTTTGAAGGACCTTTCTAATTGTCTCCAGACGTCATTTAGTTTATCCTGAATCCAAGTCAAGTTGGAGAACTCCTTTTCGAATTGTCTCAGTGTATAAACGTGGAAGAGGAATTGATTGGAGACGCGCGGTGGGCTCAGTGGGGTCGGAAAATTCAATGAGCGGAACTTGTGGGGCCTCATCTATTTTTGAAAATCATATTACTCAATAGTAGTCAATCAATACAACGGTCGTGAATTTGATCTGTGGTCTTGAACTTCAAATTCTCCAAAGAAGATTCCCAATTGGATCGTGGAATATGAAATTATCATTAATGCTTGAAACCGAGAGCTTAAAATCTTAACTCTTCACTGAATGCCCTTAATCATTACACCAAACCCGGAAAATATGTACAATGGGTGTCGAAAGCATGAGAAACCAAAAAAAAAACCAACCCTTCCAGACAAGGGAGAAAAACCTATGTGTGTGATCTTTCACTAAAAGAATGTAGAAACAGCAATGGCGTGGGGATCAAAAGGACATTGATACTTGGTCAACCCGTCAAAATGCGAGGGTCATCAAAGCTAGGAAGACTGCACCCAGCGAAGCATGACCGAGAACCTGTTGATTTCTGCTTCCTGCCGATGTTGACCCCGTTTGGCCGGTCTTCACCTGTGTATAAGTAAGATTCGCCGAAGAATAACCGCAGATTCCACTGCCCGGCATGAGAGAAGTGGGGAAAAACACTTGTGGAAGCCCAGAATCCATATTCACAGTCAGTGATGCATCGTATTCGTTGACGAAATAAGTCTGGCAGCTTAAGACTTCCGTAATGTTTGTTCCAGCATTAAAGCTGGAGGGCAGATTGAGGGTGTATGGAGTCGAGTTTGTACCCTGGGTAGATAGGAGCATGATGACTTGTCGTCCCTCAGAGCCCTTTGTGAAGGCCATCTCACTGCCGCCTTGGTAGATATTGTAGCTCACGGAGTCAACGTAGCTGTTGTCCATCCGGTAGGCATGCTTGCGAATCTTGTTGAGCGTGGTGATCACTGAAACTAGCTCAGCACTGGGATCGTAATCGGTCATCCAGACAGCATCGCGGTTTTCCATGGAAGCATATGATCCCTTCATATGTTGCTCTTGACCTTGATAGATGAAGGGGACACCGTCGAACATGAGTGTGAAGGTAATGACATTCTTAGCGAGCTGCATCATATTTAATTAGCATGCGGTTTGGGAGAAAAAAAAAGAAAAGTCCAGGCTTGCGCACCGAAATATCATCTGTGAAGGTGGCGAATCGATCCACATCGTGGTTCTCGGAGAAGGATACCATGGCGTTCACATCCGGACACAGGTTCTTCACAGTTTGAACCGAGTCTACAAGCTCAGAGACCATTCCTTGTGTGAAAGCCTTCAACATGGAGTAGTAGATGGGATAGTTAGGGAGACTGCCCATGTAATTGGTTTGGTAGTTGCAAACGGTGCTCGCACTGCTATCCATCACTTCCCCAGTCATGAATGCTCCGATTTTATCAGAGTACTTCCGCAAGAATGATGGGGTAACACTTTTCGCAGCATCGATACGAAGTCCGTCGACGGAATAATTGCTCATGGCATCCAGTGTCCAGTCCATGAGAAGGTTTTGAACATCTTCATGTTCCGTAAACAGATCAGGCAGGGCAGTAATGTTGTCACCCGTGTTGCAGAGTTGTGCTATGGTATAGTTGTTCCAGTCCGTGAGGGTACAATAAGGATGGAAGTACTCTGCACTGTTGAAGGGAGTGAAGACCGAGTAATCAATGGTTGTAGCAGGATTGCTACCGTTAGTGATGTAGGCCATGTTATTGATGACGGTGTCCATCATGAGGTACATGCCTCGGTCATGTACCTCTTTACTCAAGTCCAGCAAGTCTTGCTTGGTGCCGAAGTGAGAGTTGAGGGCGTAGAGGTCCAAGGGCCAGTAACCGTGGTAAGCTTCACCATATGAGACACGACCGTCGATATTTTCAATGATGGGGGAGATCATAATGGCGTCGAATCCCATATTTTGAATGTAGTCAAGCTTATCAATGGTTCCTTGCCATGTTCCCCCGCAATACAGGCCCGCGGTGGCGTTGCAAGGAGACGTTGTTGAGCCATCCGTCCGAGCAAAGCGATCTGTCATTGTTTGGTAGACTGTCCTGGTTTTCCATTCTTCTATGGTCGCCGCAGATGCTGACTGTAACAGGAATGAGATAGGAATCAGGACGTCTGACAGACGCCCGAAGGTTGAAGAGACGCGCATCGTTAAGTGGTTGGTGCTGGATGCGCCAGCCGAGGGAAAAAAGCGCACAATAGGCGCAAGGGTGTGGAGCAACGCGCTCGAACGGAATTGTAAACGAAAGAATAGACACGGGAAGGGGTAACGAAAGACGATTAAAGAGCGACACAAAGAATCATGGATGAAACTTTGGAATGATAGTGAAGTGAGTGAGAGAGAGAGAACCTTGGAAAAGAACGCTAGTCCATAGTAAAGGCTCAAAAGGAAAGAGGGGGAAAGGGCCGGAGGGAGGACGTGAACCGAGGAAAGACCGTGATGGAGCAGGGAATAACTCCCCTAGCCTGTCTAGCGGCATTGTGGCGATCATGTGTCCCATAAAAATCCTGGAAAGACTCCAAAGCGCAAAAATCCAAAGTTGAACGATAGTACTACCCTCATTCATAACTAGTGCAATCAATTGTTGTCCAATCCTGCGTTATCATTTCCCATCATTTGAGTTGCTTATATCTGGGCTTCTGCAGCCACCCCCCCCTTTGAATCCATAAGACTTAACGGAAAATAAACAAGGTCGGATTTCTTTGTGGGGTGAAGCAAAGTGGAGTTGGGAAACTAATTATTTTTATCTAGAAGACTCTGCAGGAACAAAAATCAAAGAAGTTATGGAGAAGGGTACCTGGTAGTAGTATGACCTTGGCTCAGTCAGAGGGTGGGCCTGGAAAGATCACATCCACAGCGTTCATTATTCATGTGTGTGTTTTTTTTTTTTTTTCAAGGTTTCCATTTATGTGGAGGTGCCCCGGTGGCTGAGACAAGTGCTGTTACTACATATCCATGTACATCCGGATTGGCCGCGGGTAAATCACTGGGGGAATTTGGATGGCAAAGCACAAGTCGGGAATGGACCGAGACAATACCAGAGGGTTTGGAGAAAATGGGACTCTCCACTTCCCAAAAGTGATATGGCTAGCATGGGCATGAATTTCCTTGGCGTGATACTTATCACTTTCGACAATGTGAGACATGCATGGAATGCCCGGGATTTTGGTCATTGACGCAGAGAGACTCGTGTGGCTTTGCTTTCTGGAACTCTTCAGATAAAAATAAAGCCATCAAGCCTTGAAAACCTTGGAATTCCCCGATGAAGGTTAAGATTCGAGATGTACGGTTCATAGAGTAGATCCGTTCATGAAAAGTTTGGGAAAAGATAAGTCTGGTCCCTGCACATGGGGAAATAACCATGGATAATAATGGACCCCTGAGTATGACTGTAGGGAAAAAAAGGTACAGAACAGTATTGAAAAGGAAAAGAAAAAGAGACAAGAAAAAAAGGCAAACCTTAGGAAACTGCATAAGGTCTGGATTTGGGTGATTGGCTGTTTCAGAGTGCATCAAGGGTCTTGGAAGATAAGAGGGAAATGCATGAAACCATGGGATTAAAAAAACCCCGTATCAGGTACTGAAGAAGATTTGAAAATTACGAGTGTGGTTTCGGTAATGGTAAAGTACTAATGTCATTGTTCCAGTCGGTTCAACCCGCAACAAGGATCCACACCCGTAGCCGAACGCTTCCACTCATATCGGGATAGCACAAACGGCACGATCCCGAGTACTGATAGATTAAGGAGATGAAAGGCATAAAAGACTAGATATTTCTCCTGAAAAAAAAAACCCCCCTGCGAAGCCTTTAGCAAGAAGTGAAGCCATTTATACTATGAATGCTTACCAAGTAAGAAAATAAAATCAATTTCAATATAAGCTCGACGTTGATCCTATTATCGTTTCTGCCATGGAGAGAAAATTACTGAAACATACTGAAACAAAAAATAACCATGTGGGTGAACACGTTTTTGTGATCTATCGTATCATAACTTGATGTATGCTATCAGTATAGTAGTATTGTATTGGATTTTTATCTGTTTTATCTCATACATGGTGGGTCCGGTTGGTAGGGTCTGCAGCTAGTCCCAAGTAGGTTGTAGTCCATGTACCTATAGAGTGCATCTCTGCCCCGAGTGGAAGGAAAAGTGGAAACTAAAAAAATCAAATCAAACGAAAAACCCATCGAATCCAGCAAATAAAAGGAAGATAAAGAAAAAAAAAAAAAGAAAAAGGAGAAAGGAGAAAGGAGAAAGGAGAAATACAAGAATAATAGGAGTGGAGGAATTACTAATCGTGATATGATCCTCGGATAGGGCGTTCGGGCCTTTTTTTAGATCTGCCGTTGGAGCTCGTCCAGAGATGAGAGCGAAAGAAAAGTCAATCCTACGCCTTTTTACACAGGTGGAGGCTAAATTGCCTCTCTATAGATACAGTCATCCTCGTGTTGACATTCCAATTGCTCCATTCTGAAAAGGTAAAGCAGGTGGTATCCATGGGAAAGGGCCATATAAGGCTGATGAGAGTATGGTGTACCCGGATTACACCGGCTCGTGGGTACGAAGAAACTTGATGCAGTTGTCCAAATCGGAAGGAAACCGATGTCTGTGCTAATGCCAAGTATTGATCATATCAGCCTCGTTTTTGTGTCTCATCCATAGGTCAAGAATAGAAATGTCGAACCAGTCTAGTCCCTTAGTTTCTGCCTCGAGCCTTTACCACCCCACGCCACTTATTACTCCGTCATCTGGGCATTTTCCCTATGTGATCAAACCTTTTCATGCATTGATTTTTCTTTTCTTTTTCATCCTCGTATTCCTGACCTTATCGGCATCTGCAGGTGAATGCCGTCCACTCGTTTTTTTTTTTTGGGATTCGTGAAAGCTACTCTTTGCTCTTGAATTCCCCAATCCGAGAGTGAGCTTAGCTCCCACCCACTTTTTCTCACCTCTCCACCTATCTTGATTCCTTATCGACTCTCGTTTTAAGCCTCTCAAATACCAAAAGAGGTGCTTTGCACACCACACAGCAAGCATGGGGCAGTGGTCCTCTCTTGCCTTCATTGCGCTCTTTGCCAAAACTGTCGTTTCTTGGCCATACGATGCGTCTTTGACCCAATACAACCTGAACGAAAACCAAACGGCCACAGATCCAGCAGACTACTGGGGAGAATGGCCAGATCACAGTGGTCAATATTTCCCTTCGCCGGATAATTGGCGATTCCCATTCTACACCATCTTCTTGGATCGCTTCGTCAACGGCGACCCCACAAACGATAACATAAACGGCACACTATTCGAACATGACTTGAATTCCAATCAGATGCGTCACGGTGGTGATGTGGCTGGTTTGGTTGATACTTTGGATTATTTACAGGGAATGGGCATCAAGGTTTGTACTCCACTTTCAATATTTAGAGTGAAGATCAACACGGTTGCTCACAAGTCCACAGGGTCTTTATCTCGCCGGAACCTCCTTAATGAATCAGCCCTGGGGATTTGACGGATACTCGGCCCTCGATACAACTCTACTTGATCAACATTATGGTACTATTCAGGTTTGGCGCAATGCCATCACTGAAATCCACAAGCGGGGGATGTACGTCCTTTTCGACAACACAATCGCTACGTAAGTGAACAATCCCCAAATACCTTCAATGCCAAGCTAATTATTTCTTCCCTCATAGAATGGGTGATTTGATCGGCTTTGACGGATATATGAATACTACAGCGCCCTTTACCGTAAAGGAGCACCAAACAACCTGGAAGACTGACCGCCGATACGTCGATTTCGATATCGGTCAAACATACAACCAAACCTGCGATTACCCTCGGTTCTGGTTTGAGAACGGATACCCTGTCAATGAATCTCAGATTTCGGGCTTGGTCGGCTGTTATGACAGCGACTTCGATCAATATGGTGATGTCGAGGCTTTCGGTGTGTTCCCAGATTGGGAACGTGAGTTGGCCAAGTTCGCCTCCGTGCAAGATCGTCTCCGTGAATGGCATCCTCGAGTGCGCGAGCGACTGATCCGCCATTCTTGTATGATCATCGCATCATTGGATATTGATGGTTTCCGATACGATAAGGCTACCCAGTCCACAGTTGACGCCCTGGGCGATATGTCGTCTGCTTACCGCGAGTGCGCGCGTGCCGTCGGAAAGGAAAACTTCTTTATCGCAGGTGAAATTACCGGTGGAAACACTTTTGGTGCCGTCTATGTTGGACGTGGCAGACAACCCGATCAAATCTCACCGAGTCCGGACGACGCTATGACAATGAGTAATGAGACTGAGGCACAGTATTTCTTACGTGATATTGGCAGCGAAGCGATCGATGGTGCAGCCTTCCATTATTCAACCTACCGCGCTCTTACCCGATTCTTGGGTATGGATGGATCGCTTGCAGCTGGTTATGATACACCTGTCAACTGGGTTGAGGCATGGAACTGGACTTTGCAGTCCAACGATTTGGTCAATGCCAACACAGGAAAATTCGATCCCCGTCATATGTTTGGTGCCACCAACCAAGATGTTTTCCGATGGCCTGCAATCCAGTATGGTGTTGAAAGACAGCTTCTGGGCTCCTTTATCACCACCTTGCTGATCCCTGGTATCCCACTTACACTTTGGGGTGAAGAGCAGGCCTTTTATATTTTGGATGCGACAGCTGAGAATTACATTTATGGTCGGCAATCTATCTCTCCTGCGAATGCCTGGAGGTCACACGGTTGCTTTGCGTTGAATTCATCGCAATACTACCACTGGCCCGTCGATGCTGGTCGTCAAGGTTGTCATGATGAGACGGTAGCCTACGATCACCGTGACCCGACCCACCCAGTGCGCAATATCATGAAGCACATGTTCCAAATGCGTGAAATGTTCCCTGTTTTGAACGATGGCTATGTGATGAGAAACCTGTCAAACCAGACAACGGAAGTTTATTACCCTGGTTCTAATGATACGGCCACAGAAACGGGAATGTGGTCAGTTGCCCGGTACATCAACCCTGAGGTACAGGACCTAAGCAATAACCAATCCATCTGGCTTGTCTATCAAAACGTCAATCGGACTATGGATTATGAGTTCGATTGCACAGATTATGAGACGTCCTTACTTGCTCCATTTGCGACAGGAACCCGGGTGAAGAATCTTTTCCACCCCTATGACGAATTGACGCTCGAGGACGGACCGGTCAAGCTGTACTTGAATAACTCAAACTCACTCAATGGTTGTTACCCGAACCTCACATTAGCCGCATACGAGTTCCGTGCATACGTTCCCATCGGAAGTTTCCAACAGCCCGGGCCCATGATGACCCAATTCTCTCCCGGTCATGATTACCCTCTCCACTCCACTGTGGCACCCAATGAGTCGGAAGATGTGGAAATCGAGCTCTACTTCTCCGAGCAGATGAACTGCGACTCTGTCACAAACAGTCTGTCATTCAATTCGTCCACAGAATTTGACAAGGACCCCACACTTAATACAGCAAGTGTTCAATGTTCAAACATCACTGCCACTAGCACAACTTGGTCAGGCCAAATTCCTAGTGTGTGGAAGTGGACAGCAAATATCACCGGTGTTTACAACGGAGTTCATAGGTTAAACTTCAACAACATTTCCAACTACTGGGGCAACGCGACTACTAATTCGAATGACCACTTCCTCTTCCGAATTGGACAAATCGATAATCCAATGATCTTCAATACTGCGAATTATTCCATCAGTTTGCTTCACCAGGAAGCGAGCAACGATACTCTCTTCATTCAGCATCACGCTGCTGGTGCTGATAAATTCCGATACTCGACGAACTGGGGATCAAGCTTCTCTACCTGGAGAGACTACACCGGTGGAAATGACACAATTGATCGTCTTGCCTGGTCAGGTACCAAAAAGCAAGATTGGAAGGGTGATCATGTGCGTGTTGAGTACTGGAGTCGCTGGACCGGCAGCAGTGATTATGTGCAAGAGGGCGACGTGAACTGGGGATCCACCACCCAGCGTCGCTTCCCCCATGTCTTCTTCAACGGTCCCTATAACGAATACGGCTATGACGCGGGCTTGAACAATGTCATGAACTTGGATGATAATGATGGATTATGGAAGTACCACTTCACATCCGAATGGCCTGCAGTTGGACAACTCAACATTTGGGGCGTCAACCCCGACGGACAGCCAGATCAGACTTGGGTTCTAGGTGATGTTGATTATGATAATGTTCTGGATCGCATGCCTCCATCTTCTCTTTCGGCTACACTGATCAACATCACCACGGCTCCCGACAAGGGATACATCTCCTGGAAACTTCAAATCGATGACGGTACTCAGCGTTACTCCCTGGTTGCTGCTGGATCTCAAGCAATCCAAATCGCTATGTTTGTACTCTTCTGGATTGTACCTGTCTTGACCAGCTGCGGATGTGTCTACATCTTCATGAAGTCCTTCTACAAAGTCAAGTTCAATCAAGTTGGTGTTAGTGAGAAACGAAACTTGGCCCCAATGGTCCTACTCCAGAAGTTCAAGCCATTCAACAACTTGATGAACGATTCTAATAAACTGTTCCGTCTGGGTGGTGCCAAGTCAGCATTCATGCAAAGCACAACGGCGCTAGGAGCTGCCGGCATGGCCGACAAGCGGCGCATGGTGCTCATTGCCACCATGGAGTACGATATCGAGGACTGGGCGATTAAGATTAAGATCGGAGGTCTCGGTGTCATGGCTCAGCTTATGGGAAAGACTCTTGGCCATCAAGATTTGATTTGGGTGGTTCCTTGCGTTGGGGGCGTTGACTACCCAGTCGATCAAGTCGCAGAGCCCATGACTGTGACTATCCTGGGCAGTGCGTACCAAGTGCAAGTGCAATACCACGTCTTGAAGAATATCACCTACGTTTTACTCGACGCGCCTGTCTTCCGTCAACAGTCAAAATCCGAGCCATACCCCGCTCGTATGGATGACTTGGACAGTGCGGTTTACTATTCGGCCTGGAACCAGTGTATCGCCGAGGCGATTAAACGTTTCCCTATTGATCTCTACCACATTAACGATTACCACGGATCGGTCGCTCCTCTCTATCTCCTGCCTGAACGGACTATTCCTGTTTGTCTCTCTCTCCACAATGCCGAGTTCCAAGGTCTTTGGCCTATGCGTACTGTTAAGGAGCGAAAGGAAGTATGCGAAGTCTTCAACCTGGAAGAAGAAACAGCTCGCCGTTATGTCCAATTCGGAGAGGTATTCAACTTACTTCACGCTGGAGCAAGCTACCTTCGTGTCCAGCAACAAGGTTTCGGTGCTGTCGGTGTCTCAAAGAAATACGGAAAGCGATCCTACGCTCGTTATCCCATTTTCTGGGGTTTGCGTAAGATTGGCAATCTGCCGAATCCCGACCCCTCGGATGTTGGTGAATGGACAAAACAGCCTACCAAGGAGGAAGACATCACAGTCGATGCTCAGTATGAGGCTGGCCGTGGTGAGCTTAAGCGACAAGCCCAAGAGTGGGCAGGTCTTGAGCAGAACCCTGACGCTGATCTCTTGGTTTTCGTCGGCCGTTGGTCTATGCAGAAGGGTGTGGATCTGATCGCTGACGCTATGCCCGCCGTGATGGAAGCGCGCCCTAACGTGCAGCTTATCTGTATCGGTCCTGTGATTGATCTGTACGGAAAGTTTGCGGCGCTGAAACTCGGTCGCATGATGGAAGTCTATCCCGGACGAGTGTGCTCGAAGCCGGTCTTCACAGCCCTCCCGCCTTTTATCTTCTCCGGTGCCGAATTCGCCCTTATTCCTTCTCGTGACGAGCCTTTCGGACTTGTCGCAGTCGAGTTTGGTCGTAAGGGTGCTTTGGGTATTGGTGCTCGTGTTGGCGGTCTGGGTCAAATGCCTGGTTGGTGGTACAACGTTGAGTCCACATCTACGTCGCATTTGCTTGTCCAGTTCAAGCTGGCCATCGATGCCGCGCTTAGCTCGAAGACTGACACTCGGGCTATGATGCGTGCACGATCTGCTAAGCAGCGTTTCCCCGTGGCTCAGTGGGTGGAGGACCTTGAAATTCTTCAATCCACTGCGATTCAAGTTCACAACAAAGAGAGCTCCAAGAGTCATCATCAAAGCAGTCGCCCTCACACTGGTAGAGATAGCACCAGCAGAACACCAAGTGAAACCATGGGAGGATTGAATCCCCTGGCTTCGCCAGGGTTGCATGCTGGATTCCCAAATGGCAGGGACAGTGTCTACTCCAGCTTCAACCAGTCCACTGATCTGGGCTCTCAAAATCGCGATATCTACAGCCGTGATGCGGGTCCTGATACTGAAAAGCCAAAGTCTGGTCTTAGCCGATCTCTTTCTCTCGGTGTGCGCTCGGGTCCTGGTCATGTTGCAAACCGTCCGCGTCAGCCCAGCGATGATTATTCTCACGAGGATGACAGTGAAATCGACCCGATTGCCGAGGAAAGCAGCGACGATAGCAATGAAGAGTATGTTCTCACCCGAGCCCAGCTTGAGGAAAGCAGACGCCTTCACGCCTTCCAACGACACGAACTCCATGACTCGGTGAATTCTCGATACGGATCCCCTCTCGCCAGCCCTGGAACACCACCAGCCGCTGACCAACTCCTCCTTCCTCCCCGTCCTCTCCAAGATAGCCACAGATTGAGCAGCGCGTCGGTCCTGTCCCTCGATTCCGTGGTCGGCAACAAGAAAGACTTCAAACTTCAGAAGGTTGATCCGTTCTTCACTGACGGAAACGGTGAATACTACCACACCTTCGAACAAAAGCTGCGCGATTTGAACGGATCCAACTCCGAGGGTCCCCTGTGTATCGAAGAGTTCCTGATCAAGAGTGAGCAAGCCTGGTTTGACAAATTCCGCAATGCCAAACTGGGTCGCCACAAGTCGCCCACACCTTCCGTCCACCGTGGCAAGCATAATGAGTCCCCGTCTCCATCCTACAACGAGGAGGCCTTGACCCATGTTGCCGATAGTGTCGATGGCGACGACTGGGACGATGAATTCCTTCTCGGAAGGGACTATGTCCCTCCAACTGGACTGAGAAAATGGATGCAGATCAAGATCGGCGATTGGCCGGTGTACTCGATCTTCCTCGCTTTGGGCCAGATCATTGCCGCGAACTCTTACCAAATTACCTTGCTTACGGGCGAAGTGGGTGAGACTGCCGAAAAGCTGTATGGTATCGCCACTACTTATGCCATTACCTCTATTTGCTGGTGGCTCGTGTACCGGTACTTCAAGTCTGTGGTCTGTCTTTCTATCCCATGGTTCTTCTATGGTCTTGCCTTCCTCTTGATTGGTTCCGCCCACTGGGAAGTCAACTCATTCAACCAAGGATGGATTCAAAACATCGGAAGTGGATGCTACGCAGCAGCTTCATCCAGCGGGTCTATCTTCTTTGCCTCGAACTTCGGTGACGAAGGTGGTGCGCCTGTTGAGACATGGATCTTCCGCGCATGCGTTATTCAGGGTATTCAACAGGCATATGTTATTGCTCTATGGTACTGGGGATCGACTCTGAGCAAGGCCTCTAGTCAGGGTCTTTTGACATCAGACAACACGATCGCCAGTACATGGAAGATGACGTACGTATTATCCTCAAATTTTTCTCCTTCATTTCTTTCTTGTTTTGTTTTTCGCAGCTGCTGACAAGTTATATAGTGCCATCTGTTACCCGATTGCCATTTTCCTCTGGTGTGTGGGTCTGCTCCTTGTTTTCGGACTCCCCGACTACTACCGCCAGAAGCCTGGCAAGGTCCCCTCATTCTACAAGTCCCTCTTCCGCCGGAAGATCGTTCTTTGGAATTTTGTAGCAGTCATCCTACAGAATTTCTTCCTCAGCGCACCGTATGGCCGCAACTGGAGCTGTAAGTTCAAACCCCCCCCCCCCCCCCCCCCCATAAACAACACCTTTTTCCAGCATGGCAGCATTTACTAACAATCCATTCCTTCAGTCCTATGGACTTCCATTCACACCAAACCCTGGGAAATCGTCATCCTCTGCATCGTATTCTTCGGAATAGTTTGGTGCATGTTCCTATACATTGTCAGCCGTTTCTCCAAAAAGCACAGCTGGTTCCTTCCTGTCTTCGCTTGCGGTCTCGGTGCGCCTCGTTTCATTCAGATTTGGTGGGGTGTCTCCGGTATTGGATACTACCTTCCATGGGTTGGTGGCTACACCGCTGGAGCCCTTGCATCGCGGAGTCTGTGGTTATGGCTTGGCGTTCTTGACTCCATCCAGGGTCTTGGATTTGGTATCATCTTATTACAAACATTGACCCGCGTACATATGTGTTTCGCACTCATGGCGTCCCAGGTGATTGGTTCTATCGCTACAATCTGCGCTCGGGCATTCGGTCCTAATGGCCTTGGTCCCGGTCCTATCTCTCCAGATATGACACAAGGTGCCCATGCTCTAGCAAATGCTTGGTTCTGGGTTGCCTTGTTTTGTCAGATTCTGATCTGGTACGTTCCTAATCTCTTTTTGCGTGTGATATGATGAACAAATGACTAACATTTCCTAATAGCGCGGGATTCTTGCTCTTCTTCCGGAAAGAACAGCTATCTAAACCCTAATACTGTCCTTCAATTTTCATTACCCCCTTATTGTCATGTTACACCATACTATCCTGAGACGTCATCTACCACGTTTAATATGAACTCTGCATCTGTGTACATAGAGCCAGTCACATCGAGCTTAGACTCATTTATTATGTTAGACCACAATATTACAGCGGTCCCTTTCCAATATACATTTCCAAGAAATCAAATCCTTCCCGCTGTAACCACCAAGTCTTTGACCCGACCTTCATCATCATCGCAAACGTGTGTTCTTCCCCAGGAACCTCGGTCATTCCACAGGGGACTCCAGCGTCCGTCAAGCGCTTATACAACTCCCTGCTCACATCGATTGAGACCATTGTATCGGCAAGTCCATGCACAATATAGGTAGGCGGGAAATCGCCAGTGACGTTCTGCACCGGATCAACCAACTTGAAACCTTCATCGGAGCCCCCAGATTCACCGGCAGGGTAGATAGCAGAAAGAACTTTGCCGGAAGAGATCTGTGTGAAGGCGAAAGCGTCGCGCGGCTGCGAGAAATTCGGACCCTTTGAGGCGCCAGACTCGCTCTGTCCTTCTAGGGAGACTGAACTGTCTGTTGGAACGGGGATCTCGTCGTAGATTTTGTTGAGGAAGGATTCTTCCAGGTTAGGTGGGAGCTTGGCTGCGACATGAGGAAGGGCTGTCTTCCAGAATGGGTGTGTAAAGTGTACGGCGCCATACATGGAGAGGATAGCCTTGGGTTGTTTGGGTGTATTGAAACCCTGTGTTCCGTCAGCGTCTGTCTAGCTCTTCTTTTCAACCATTTGCAATGAAATTGATTCTTTTAATGGCATTTCCATTGAATCTAAGCACCATGTAATAAGGGAAAGAGTAACAACATACCAAACCGAGAGCCAAATGCCCACCTGATGAAGTTCCGAATGCAGCAACATTATCCATATCCACCCGGTACGGCCCCTGCTCGGCCAGGACAGTGTCAAGACTTCCATCATAAACCCAAGCGAGCAAATCACGAATATCCTGCATGGGTCCCTCGAGCAAATCGACACCGGGACAAAGTCGGTGATTCGGCACGAGCACGATCCATCCGCGCTCCAGGCAGTCGTTTACCTGAGGCAGAGAGACCATGCGTGAATGGCCAAGCATAAAAGCACCGCCATGGATATCAATTACTGTGGGTTTATACAGATCAGCACATGATGAGGTAGGTAGATTGAGTTGAGCTCATAGATGCAGATGTTATCTGATCCTCGGCATGGGACGGATAAGGGAATACCCACTAACGGGATATTTCAAGGGCGATGAGGAGGTGGTCTTTGGAAGGTAGATATCCGTGGTGATCTTGCTTCCATTAATCTCCTTGTAGAGCACCGTTGAGGGGTTTTCGAGCGACATGATGTGGTTGAATTGGAAGTTGAAGAGGGGCAAGTTGAAGCTTTAATGAATTCTGGGGAACTCGGGAATTCCGAGTGGGGGGGTTTGGCGTCTACCGCGGAACGTGGAGATGCCGCATAATCCGAGTGGGAACTTTGAACTGGAGTTTTATTCTATCAATTGATGCGCAGGACCCAATTCTATATAGTCTTGTACTGGTAATTTTCTTGCAAAAAGCAGTTTCGCTCACGTCTATTTATGGATCCAATTATATCCCATCACCTTCAACTTTGATTGTGCAGAAGAAAGGGGGAAAAGAGAAGGAAAAAGAAAACCCTCTGGTTTCGCCGTGGTAGACCATTTCATTTGGCGAAGCAGTCGAATCATTGGAATTCCGATGTGCTTTGACTGTGATTTGCATGCAATAATCAAGAGCCATGGTGCGAATCACCGTGCAGTGAGATTTACGCACGGATGTAGCCGAGATGTGTTGGCTGCATACGAAGCAAATCAGCCTCAATCAAAGATCGCATCTGACCGAGCTACCCCAGTTTTGAAGTACTCCGTGAGTAACACGGACCCCAGAAGGCTTGAGACATTCTGCAGGCCGCGTACAAGCCTTGAAGCCATATGCAGGCTGACCGATGTGCATCGGCCTCATACATTGCTTCCAGGGGAGAGTTGCAACTGTATCAGAGCGGATTCAATTCCTCAAACTTGGGGAACATTTCAGATCAAAAACATTTCCTTTATTTAATTTCCCTCGAATTTTCATAATTATAAATGGAGAATTAGAATGGAGAGAGCAATTACTAATCACTAACTAATAGTTAACTAACTAACTAGTTAGTTAATCACTGTTATGAATATTATTTTTCCGCCTGATTCTCTAGGCGACGATTCCGGCAAATTCGGGTAAAAAAAGGTGATAATTGTAGCTGCCCCCACCAAGTCCAGTTAAATCCAGTCAAGCCCAGTCACGTCCAGTCACGTCCAGTGGAATCCAATTAAATCCAGATGAATTCGGGAGTGACCCTGTGTCCTGTCTCGTCTGCACTAAACTACTTCCAGGCCTAACTTCCGATAATTTCTGACCTTAATGGGAAAGGAGGGTCCGGCCGGCGAACCCTAGCACGGACAGCGTGCGATGGCTCTTTCTCTCCCCCCGTTAGTCTGCTTTTAGGCTTGCACCGGAGATTGTGATGAAGGCTGATTGGCTCCCGGCTGGTGGGGGAGAGATAATTCTACCCTGAAAGCCGCTAAAGGGTTCTTGAGTGGGATCAATATCGTTAGTAGTGAGACAATACTCCGTAGCGAGGCTCGCGAGCCTCGCTACGAGAGTGGTCAGAGAGTGGACTAGGGTGCAAAGATTCCATGCTTACCTTGTTTTTGCCCCCGTTTCCCCTCTGTCTGCTCTTTTTGTGGCGTTCGGGGCTTGGTGAATCTTTATATGCTGGATTTCCCTCTTTTCACAACCACGATCATTTGGCTTTTTCTTACCTCCATTTGAAACTGATCAACCGGTGACGATCAAGATCTACGTGTATTTACAGCATGTGGGGAACGTCTATCCTTCCCCTGGCGGCATTGGCTGCTTTGCCATATGTCAATGCTATTACACTTCATAGGCGGGACGATCCCGCCGTGTTTGGACTCCCAATTGTCCGCACCGAACGTCCCCAAGCGCTGCAAAAACGCAGCTCTAAGGTCGCCAGCACGGCATTGTACAATGTGGTATGGAAATTGTCATTCAATACGCAAAGACAATAAAAAAAAAACTTTACTAAGCCTCTCTGAATAGCAAAATATGTATTATATGGTGAACATCACCGTCGGCACTCCGGCTCAGAACGTCTCCCTTAGTCTCGATACCGGTAGCAGTGATATCTGGGTCAACGTCCCGAATTCTACCTACTGCACCGCAGATGATGACCCCTGTTCCTCCACCGGCTTGTTCAATCTGGACGACTCTTCAACCTTCAAATTGCTAGACTATGAAATGAACGCCACATATGCTAGTGGCTTTTTGGCCAAAGGTCCATACGCCACCGATACATTGGTGATTGGAGGCGCCACCGTGAAGGATATGGAGTTTGCGTTGGCTGAAGAGAGTGAAAATCCCCGTAAGTCAATATTTCAGAGAAGAAGAAGAAAAAAAGAAAGAAAGAAAGAAACTGGCATCTTGCTAATAGTCTACTACATTTACAGACGGTATTCTGGGAATCGGGTATGAGTTGAGTACTGATGCCGAAAGTGAAGGCCATGAGTACTCCAACTTGCCGCTGAAGCTGGTCAGCAGCGGTGCTATCAATTCGCCTGCATACAGCCTGTGGTTGAACAAGTTTGATGGTACTGGAAACCTTCTTTTCGGAGGCGTTAACAAGGCCAGATACACAGGCGAGCTGCAGACCGTGCCTGTCTTGAAGTTGTACGATGAGTACTACTCTCTGGCCATCGCCTTGACAGACATTTCTATCAAGAGCAGCAGCGGAACAAAGAGCTTTGCAACAGGTCTTCCTCTGGCTGTCAGCCTGGATAATGGAAGCCCCTTCATTACGCTACCCCAAGAACTGGTGGAGCCCATCTACAAGGAAGTCGGCGGAGGCTACTTGTCAGACATCGGCTTTGCCTATATTCCCTGCGACATGTACGATGCCGATTACAACGTGAGCTTCAGCTTCTCGGGTGCAACGGTCACTGTGCCTATCAGCGATCTGATCTTCGATGATTACACCGAGACCGGCTTCCCGGATGACACTTGCATCTTCGGGCTTACCTACAGCTCACCGGGAGTGAATCTGATGGGCGACTCGTTCATGCGTGGTGCCTACATTGTATATGATCTTGGCAATAACGAGATTTCACTCGCCAACACCAACTACGACGGAGGTGATGATGATATTCTTGAGATCGGTACGGGAACCACTGCTGTCCCCGGCGCAACTCTTATGCCATCTCCAGTCACCTCGGCGACGGGCAATGGAGTTGCTGCAACCGACGCGGCTAATGCTTCGGGCTCGGGCTCATCGGGATCCGATTCGACCACCACTGATGCCACTAGTACTGCGACTGGTACAGCCAGCAGTGGTGGTGCTTCCAGCACCTCTTCCAAGGGAATGGCAGCATTGCCCACTAGCATGCCGAACCACCTTCTGTCTGGCGTCTTGGGCGCTGGTCTACTGCTTGCACTTTAATCTACATATCAGTAAGTAGTACTATATATATGCTATTTAATTAATTCTGGATTTATTTATCTTAACATCTTAATCTGAAATGATATCTCAACATTTGAATATTGAAGTTTATCTCCTTCACACCGTAGCTATAGATCCTTTCTTCGGCATTAAGCCTTGCTGCCCTCTCAGGAGAAATCTGCTCATCGCCCCGGTCCAGGTGTCCGATGGCCCTGTTAACTGGTTGCTAACTACTATTAGGTTCAACCTTGGATTGACTACACCCAACCAAAGTTACTTAGAAACAAGAGCATCGACTGCACCGTTGGGAAAGAATGGCTAAAAATGACAGTGTATTTATGTATAAAAATGCTCACAACCTAAAATCGCTCACCAATGCAGATATGCAGACAGCGCTAGAACCAGTTCACAGCGACAATCACAAAAGATAGAACAAGGAAATCGACAATCAAAAGACAGACATCAAGTCCTAGAAACAAATGTGTACTATACATTGCCGTCATGCCATCCATACGTCACTCATAAGCCATGCCCATCCTAGCCGTGACGACTCATACCAAAAAAGAATCCACTTGGAAGAACAGCCATGACCAGCAGACTGACCCTCGAATGAACATCGACTCGCGATTGCTCACATTCACAAGTGTAAAGATCGGTAGAGTAAGATCGCCCGGGCGGAGTCTAGTCAAGACCTGCATTGACAAGGCTCCATCCAGCTGCGATCATCAAAGCTTTCCATGCCATGCATATGCGCAAACACCAGTGTCGGCCATATCGCCATATTATCCATTTCGAGTCATTCCGTCGTAGGCACATCGGTCATCGGATAACTCAACAAAGCAACACAAACCCGTCCAGTTTATTCATTCCCCGGTTCTTCAAGTCCCATTGAATCAATCAATGATGAGAAGAACCTACCCAAGAGATCACAATGGCAGTCTTTCTTCGTGCGGTAGAATTCACAAATTCAGTCTGGCCAGCAGAGAAATGTGAAATCAACCCAAGCATGAGACAAAACTACCTTCCCGATCCCTTGGAGCTAGAGTAGCCGGAATCAGGCCAGCGGCCGGCACTAGGCGAGGAAGAGGCACCGCGTCCGGAGTGGCTCGTGCAAGCATAACCCACCAACACGGTCTTTTCCTGGACGGAGTGGCCACGTTGACCATAGGCGGAGCATGGGTCAACCGAGTGTTGGAAATAGATGCATTTGCAGACAGAGTATCGTTCAACGACTTTGTAGCACATTTTGTCGGTTGCTTTTGCGATTATTTGTATTGTGTTGGTTTTTGGTGGTATTTATTGGCCGGTTCGGGGCGTGAAATCGAGTAGGATCGAAAGTGCAAGATTGTACAGGTGTAAAAAGATCGAATCGTGATCGAGCCAGCGATGTGTCGAAATCGAATCCAATATTCAGGGTAAAAATGTTCTTTGGTATCCTAAATAGATCGATGGATCCGAAATGCGGTGGGGATGATGAACGAGCGCGAGCGCACAAGAGGGAAAGGGAAGGTGGGTTGGACCAGCCTAGGTATTAAGAAGGTTCAAGTTATTCTGATGATCGACAATGCGATGCGATGTGATGCGATGCAATGCGATGCAAAAGTAGTCGAAAATGTCGAAAAGTGTCCAAAGTCGAAAGCTCGCAGCGAGAAGAAAGGCAAGCACAGAAGAGAATGTTAGAACAAAGACAAGAAGATGCAGAAAGAGAATCAGAATGAGTTGCGCTGTCGAGAAGAAAAGCACCGTAGAATCGGCTCCATGCGATCGTTATATACAGAGGAGTCGTTTCATGAACAAGAAATAGAATAGTTACAAAAGTCCAAAGGTCGGGAGTGCATTAGTTCCGCTGATCACATCCCAATCCATGCAAGGCATCCCGCAACGGCCAGCCCTACGAACCCCAGGCAGAGACCGGAAAAGACCGATGGGGCTCTCAGTTCCAATGGAGAAATGAGCGAATGAGAGGATCCGAGCAGAGCTTAGCTTTGGAGTCATTGGGTGGATCCGGTTTTGTTTCCGCTGCTATTATTATTCTGATTCTGGCGAACCAGTCAGAGAGCTTGGTTGGAAGCGATCGGGGAAAGCATTGGGAGAAAGTTGGAGGGTTAATTTCCTCCTTAGCTTCAAAAGGTTCACGTAATTTTCGATCATCTCCGATCATGTCGGTTCGGGTATGTCGGTCATTCCTATCAATTCTGTCATCTGTGGCTCAAGCATGTCAAAGACGGTGAACTCAGCATTAAGATCAAGCTCCAAGAGCCTTCTTTTGTGTGCATGAGTCGGTGAGTGATCCGAGTGAGGCTGAGTTGTTGACATGAGAGAAACTAAAATACTAAAACTGATGCCAAAGGAGGATGAAGTGGGAAAAACCCACTTTTGGTGGGAAACAGAGGGATGTGATAGGATGGAAGTGCGATGATGCATCGGGCGTTAACTCCGCCTCAGTGTGGCTAAGGCTCTCTCTCTCTCTCTCTCCCTCTTCCTTTTCACCCTTTTACTCCGTACTGCAAAATCAATGCTCACGAGATACTATACACGAAGAAAAAAAAAAAAAAAGCAATTATCTTAATCTTCACCGTTCATTCTCCTGCATTTCCATAGTAATGTTCATCTATTCACTTGGAAAAATTGCGGTGTCTGATCTTTCCTATTCAAAGCTATGGTTGTGTGGTGGATACGCCCTTCGGCTCCTATTTTCAGCTGCTGACGCTGCCACTGGATCAAGGACCCGGTTTTCTTTTCTGCTCATGACGAACCTTGGCCCCCAGAGACGTAGGGCTGAGAGGGGTTTGGTCCACTAACTCTTGATTGGGGATGGTGCGACATTTCCTGCATGATCCTCAGCTGGGTTTGACAGTGACTCCTCTCAACTTTCAAGAAAATAATTACATTCCTCACCCATTACCCGACCATCCGATGCAATCTACATAGTCTATTACTCCATACTCCATACCTCACTCGGAATACAGAGCGAATGGCACTAATCCTATACAGGGCATATGGTGACAATCATACCCCACCAAGATCAACGCAAGGCTCTCTACACAGAAAGGAATACGTCTGGTAAGTCCGTTGCTATCATGTGCGAACCAGAATGGGATAATTAAACAAAACAGAAGCGGAAGAGAGCTACAAGCCACGATAATCATACATGATGGATCCTTTTTCAGCTCATACTCAAACCGACCCCAAGGCACCGTAACTCAAGCCCTTGGCCAACCCCGTTCGCAACATCCGAAGAATATCTTCACCCTTTGTAGCTTCGGGAAGTCCCACTCGCCAGTCCCATCCACGGGCTCGGCCCGCATCCTTGTCGCTGGGGTGGGACACAAGAACACCTGAGCTACTCACCGACGTTGGGCCACCGTTACGAGCTGACTCAAGCATATCATTCCCGATGAGGGAGAAAGTCGACGCCGACAGCGCCGATACGGATTTCTTCAATAAGGCGCGCGGAGAGGGCGGTGCAAAGTCATGCGAGTTGCGCTCGGTGGAGTGATACTCCAACAGTGTAGATCGGAAGCATTCCTCACACTGAGCAAACACACGAGGGGTGACCGTTTCAAGATCCTCAATGGCTGACAGAATGGTGAATTGTTGAGCGACCGACAGAATTGGGCTTGGTTCTGGTGGCGGTTAGTATGCACTGGAAGGCCTCGAGAATATACAGGTTAGAATCAAGACTTACGGTTCACAAACATCAAGGCCTCCCCAAGAAGGGCTAGCAATCCATCCACCTGCACAGCCGAGTCGCGAGACGGGTCGTAGAGTCCTCCATAGATGTTGTCCGCTGCACTGCTGATGACTGCCGTGAGAGCCTTGGCGGCCATGCGACGTCGGGCTAGGGGTTTGAATTTAGGTCGCTGGCCGTCCTGCAGCTCCAGGGCTTCGTCTCGAATTTCATAGAACCGGCGTAACGTGGCGTACCCACTGATATGGAACTGCAGAATCCGGGCAGCCTCATCGTCGATAGAGGCAATGGATGAAAGGCAGACCTTGGGGTCTTTGATCAAGGACCAAAGCTGACCGTCTAAATCGGCGGCAGCCGGGAAAGCACGTGAATGCACCAAACTGTAAGAAATTAACAAATCCACAACGGACTTGACCTTGCGCTGGTTGCGGGCACGAGAATAGCAAATAAGAGCCAGGCCGAAGTCCGAGGACAAGGACTCGTCTGACCCAGAGGTAATCTGGTCACCAAATCGCTACATGAAAGGTTAGTGTCGGGATGCAACCAAATTAAAACAATGGCAGACATACCTCAGAAACTCGTCGTCCCTCCTCCTCCATACCAAGATCGGTGAGCAGCATAACAAGGCGGTCCAGCTGAGCAAGGTCTTCCAACGGCAGACGGTTTACGACTTCTGACACGGCTTTTTTCGTTATCTCCGCATCATCGACTCGGCTCAGGACTTCCAAAGCCATTTCCCAACCCTGGCGAGCACCAGTCTCGTTCTCAATGGATCCGCGGTCATTCAGTCCAAATGCATAGGTCCGGAGAACACCATCTTTAGTAAGCCCCTCAGCGGGAGATTGATTGTCTTGTCCATATGAAAGAACCATCAAGTCATGCTCGCTCAGCCCCGGCATCTTGCCTGACCCGCTGGATTCAAACCATCCACCAAGAGTCGCAACCTCTGTAACTGCAGACGCGACGCAGAGGGACCAAGTCTGGACGAGTTCCAAAGCACCCTGCACGTTGCCTTCGAATACAGATGCTAATCCAACCTCTAGGCTGTTCATCGTGTTCACCCGGAAGCCCATATCAGCGGATGATTCGTTGGTAGCGCTGCTGAAAGCCAAATCTAGACGCCGAAGGTACGCATCCCGCGTGTTCCGGTCGACGGCTCTAAGCTGGTTTTTGATTCCACGAGGGCGCTGGAAGCCGTTACTGGATGTGCTTGAGTGGAAATCTAGATTCGGCACGCCGTCATCATCCTCGCCGTCCCACCATGCGGTCAGCCCAATGGTCGCCTCCACCCAATCTTGCGAGTATAGCTTAATTGTGGTTGTGTCACCCAGAATGATTCGATACAGGGAACGAAGGTTCTGGTAGATGCTCCATGGCACCTGGCTTTCGGCCATCCGCGCAGACTGTGCAAAGCTGACGGGGTTTGGATTAGGTTTATTGAAGCCAAAATTGATGGCCTGGAACTTGTTTTCCTTTACAGGTGGCTCGAATTGATTTCTGTCGTTGCCTTCGGCAAACTCTTCAAGATCGTGAACGGCTGCAAGAACCCGCTTTCGGTACTGCGTCCAGTCTGGCCCTGTGATATTCCAGTCATCGTCTTGGAAGCCGGGGCAGAAGTCTAAAACTTCCAACGCTCTGTTGACACAACGCTGAATGTTTTGTAGTTGAACACCGCGGTAGCCTGCTTGGGTTAAACCATCTTCCATGGCCGATCGGGCGTGGTTGAAATCAGCCGAGCGTAGAGTTTCCGCGGCCTCTGCAAAACGACCACGAAGAACAGCGGCATTGATAATATCCCAGAAATTCGAGGAGGCAGTTGGATTTGGCTCCACATGTCGTAAAGCCTGGAGGTCATTTGTTCGAGATGCATGATTTCCATTCAGCCAGTCTAGCAAGATCTGGGGGAGTGGAGTGGCAACACTGGCTCGCTGCATAGCTTTGACCATGCTGTTTGGTGCACCACGGGCCATTGGGTTGGAGGCGCTGGCAATCGGAGCAGAGGCACGGGAGGGGTGGTGGATTTGGAGTAGTAACGAGGCAAGGAAGCTAGCTTTCACAAGGTTGGGGGCCTGTTCTCCTGGGCCAATCTTGGAACCAGCACCGTAGGGTCGTGTGATACCGCTACGATCTGCGCAAATATCCCAGGTTGCCGCCAGCTTGTTGGCAGTATAAGACAGGATCAAATCAAGATCAACATGGACGTGAGGGCCATCTCGAACCTCATCCCACAAGCGACCCAGTGTATCTTCCGTATTGATGATCATATCAGCGGGCTCGTTGACCGGCGGAGGGACCCGGGTTCGGGAAGCGAGGTTATGCAGGATAGAGGGCATGGCGGAGGCCTTCTTGGGGGGTAGCTTCGTTTTCCGTAGAGGTGACTGGTTGGCCCATTTCTCGTCCAGCTTCGGGCGCTTGGCTTCGACGGGGTTTGAATAGATGGACTTGCGCTGCTGGCCGAAAAGAAGTGGCGGTGCCTGCGACTGATTCTGGGTCTGCGGGGCCGGCAGTTGCTGCGAGGGCAAAGTTTGTGTAGTGAAAGACGGTGCTGTGAAGGTCTGTGTGGGCAACGGCTGCGTGGGGAATGGCTGTGTTGCCAAGGGGTTTGCGAAGGTCGAATCAAGGAAGCTGAGGCGACTGCCCGGTCCATGGGTGCTGACATCTAGTTCACCCTCCGCATCTTGCTCCATGTCCTCCTCGGGCTCCCGTTCCTCTTGTTCGTCTTCGTATTCTTCGTGGAACTCACTCAACTTGGACGACTTGAATCCATTCGATTGGCCGAAGTTCATTGATTGGCCGAAAGGACTTCCAATTGTCGCAGACGCAAAGCGAGGCTGTGCTGTAAAGGCGTTGGCTTTCGGTTGGGTTTTTTGAGGCAACGCGAAATCAGTCGACCCGAACGAGGAACCGAAAATGCTGTCGTTGGTATTGAAACCTCCGGACTTGGTGAAGAGAGAGCCGGAGTGATCGCTAGTTGATTGACCGAGTTGAGAGGTATTGTGCAAGGTCGATTGCGGGTGGCCTTGCGGTGTGAACGAGTTCGCGCTCGAGGGCGGCGGGCCGGCGGGTGTCGTGGAGTTATTGCTCCAGGTGCTTTGTCCCTTTGATTTATTGGGAGTCGAGGGAGGGCTCGACTCGAAGTTGAAGGGGTTTTTGAAAGACATGATGGGTTGATGAGTGATGATTGCAATCACCTCAGATCCAACTTGTCGAAGGGCAGAGAAGAATTGCAAGCTTTGGGCCGCAACACCTGCGTCAGAGGTTAAAGGATGTAATCAATTGCCCGGTGAGTGTAACAATCTGTGTCGCCAGGTATGGGAGATGAATGAGAGGGGGTGCGAATGTATTAGGAAATGGCCATCCTCAAGGGGATGTTTTTCTTCACTTGTTGCTTTTGTTCGTTGACGCGCTTTCCAGGTCCGCGAATTCCAGGTCATGTGACTTGAGCTTAGTCTGCTACGCCTTGATCTGCCCTGCATCTTCTCAGCGGAGATTCATTCCGGCTAATCCAACCCTCACTTTTTTTTCTTTTTTTTTTTTTTACGGTGATCATAATCTGAGAGTACCAATGCATACTTTGCAGAAGAGTCCCACCAGATCTCAATGCCATATGTAACAAATAGATTTTTTTATGTTTCCACTACCGTACTAGTTACCAATGTCTATATGAATAGTTTAGGTACCATAAACAGAACTTGTGGGGGGCATATGCACAGTGAGTACTTGAGAAACATTCAAATGTTGAAGGTACACATGTGCATACTTAAAATTGAACACATGTATTTACAACATTGAATGTTAGGATGGTTGTTTACTTTGTACTTGTATAGGGTATATGAAACTCGAGAATAGTACTACCAGATTGAGTAGATGCCCTTGCGAGCTGAGCCCCAATGCGGCTGGAAATAAGCGGACTAGGAGTTGACTGATTGTTCTTTATCTACTTTGGGGTCAATATTGATATGTACATATGTAGCCCATAAAATGGAACCCCATGATCCTCCACCCCTTTACTAGACTGGTACTTGGGTACTTACGGAAAATCCAAAATGATGTCTAGTTCAAGGCGGTTGAGAAGTGAAGATGGCGTGACATGTGTATTCAATGTCTAATTCAATGTTAGGCACTGAGTAAATTTCAATACCTGCATATGTACTGGCACGTATTTAAAGTACCAAGTTCATACCCATCCTAAGTATTGAGTACATGTATATTTCTTGCTCAAGTGAACACTTGAAGCCATTATTTGAAGGCTTGCGCTTGGAGAAATAGAAACCTTGTATTGTTTCAATTTGTGGGTCAGGGCCCTCAGGGGCCAAAATTCTCTTGGCTCCGGAGCCCGAGGATTCCGTACTCGAAATTGAATGTTTCAATGCATCTCCGTATATCCGTAGTACATACTCAGGAACAAGATGGAGATACTGCCTTCAATGTTCCAAGATTGCCTAGGGCTAGACCTATATGAACAATATCAATACTAGGTATTCAGTGATGTGGAAACCCCACAAGAACCTTGATCAGAATTGGCAAGACTTTTTTTCTTCTCAATTCAGACTACAACCCTCGTGCATATGTAATTTCCACATAGTCTTGGAATCTCACCAACATTGAAAAAGAAAACATTAGTTATGAGATGACTGGTAGCTCAAGGTTCCAGATGTCGTCAATACTTCAAATGTTGACGGGGATTTCCGACACTGCGACATCATGTCTAATGGGAATCACATGGTTCACGTGGACGAGGATCGGGAAAACCAGATTGAACAGGCAGATTGAACACCACGGATCCGACCTCAAATGCCCCATCACGGCACTTTGTAAATACCGACATCCATGAATTTTCCTACCGATGTCATCGGCCTCGGGAACTTTCACCGTGACCATGAGCTAACTCAGCTAAGAGCCTTACTCATGTGCCGAGATTCAATCCGCGTGAATCTGGCCCAGATTACATCCGAAGTTTTAGCGAGATGGCATTTCATTTACTAGTACAATTACACCAAATCCAGGTCTAGGTAGCTCCATCACACTGGGAACCTTGGAATTCAGGAACAAATTCCATGGCTGATCGGATTGCGGAGTTTTCGTCAGGCACCACTTCCCCCCTAACCGGGCCTAACCGGGCGGGTCAATTGAGCTTGTACTTGACTCTGGAAGGAGTACAGATGTACAAGTGACCAGTTTGCCTCGTTTGTCCTCGTTACGGGACTTGAGTTGAAAAGAAAGAAAAAAAAAAAGAAAAGAAGAAAAAAAAAAGCCTCAAACTCGATCCACCAATTCCACTACTGTGGGGGCTGGCCCCAGGAGTTGCCCAGGTGGGGGGTGCATGAACGATACGAGAGGTAACATTGAAAGGCTCTGAATCAAAATGATGCCTGAAATGCCAAGACTGGTAATAGTCTACAAAGGCTTATACAACCTTGTACAGCAAAAAATCGCAAATTTATGGAAATTATGAACATTGAAAGGAATGAGATCCATATTGTGGATATAATTCAAGGAAGATTCGGGTATGGTCTAAATGAATACTAGTCAGGGTTGGAGTGGAGAAAAGAGGATTTAGGTATAACCAAACAACCAACACAAGGAACAGAAGCGCAGAAGCACAGAAGCACAGAACCAATCACTGAACAAAGATTTACAAAGGCTTTAAGTGAAAAATGACCTTATCCTAAAATCGACGTCGGAATACCAAGGGAGGCAGTGCTGGCAAGACAATGTTTCAGCTTGGAACAAGCCTTTTTCTCATCGGTTTGATCGACAGGGTTCGGTTAGGTAATCTCATACTGTCGGCACTTTGTGACGTTTCTTTAATCAATCCTGTTGCCTACTTGTTTTTCCCTAACTTGAATCACTGAAAAAGAAAAAAAATAAAAATAAAAACAGAGAAAAGAGAAAAGAGAAAATAATTTCACTTTCGTCTTAGTTGCTTCTTTAAATCTGCAATCATACATCTTTATTTTCTTTCCCCCCCTTTTTCTTCCTTTGCTTTTCCACATTCTTTTTCTACCCCAAAACCATGACGATCCGATCACTCTGACATGGCGCTCCGACGGCCACACCGAAAATCAAGACATGGGTGTTTGGAGTGTAAACGAAGACGTGTAAAGGTAAATCTTTCATTGACTCATTTTCTTTTCATATCGAAAAAATATACCCCTTCCATTCCCCAATATTAAATATACACAAAAAAAAAAAAAAAAAAAAGAGAGAGAGAGAGAGACCGGAAACAAAATCCACTTGGACCTGACTGGATACTAATATAACATATTGACTCTTAGTGTGATGAAGCTCGACCTACTTGTGCCAATTGTGCAAAACGGCATGCCGAGTGTGAATGGGGTTCTTCTAGTTCCCTCCTCTGGGCAAATGAAGAATCCACGTCTACACGGCAATCACTACGCGCTTCCTCAGATAGCGGGCAACAAACGGATTCCGTATTAGGTTCTCCTACCGCTGCCTCGGCCTCATTGGGAATCCTGGGCAGATTAAGCAGTACAGCCTCGGCAGCTACGCCAGTCCCAATCCTCAATCTCCATGATCTGGAACTGATGATGCAGTGGTGTAACACAACCTACCGCACGCTCTCCCGCAACGAGACCACAGATCAAATCTGGCGAAATTCCGTGCCGGAAGAGGGCCTTTCTCATCCCTTCTTAATGCACGGAATCCTGGCTCTTGCCGCCCTCCATCTAGCACGCATGGGTCCCGACCCGTCTCGTCGCGCCGCGCATCTCAACCGCGCCGTCGCCCACCAGAATCAGGCGCTGGCGCTGTTCCGGGAGCTACTGGGTGATATTCAGGAAACGAATGCGAAAGCCATGTTTGCCTTTGCGAGTATCGTCGTCGTTTACACTTTCGGCTTCCCCCATTCGCCAGACGTACACGATCACTGGACCTGCATCGACGATTTCCATCAAGTTCTTGTTCTCACACGCGGCATTCAGCAGGTGATCAAGTCACCAACCGGCTTCTTGACCGATAGCTCGTTTGCCCCGATCTTCCAAGTCGATGAAACTCGTGCTCCGCTCCCCGATGAGACCGCCGCCGTACTCCGACAACTACAAGAAGCGAATGAAGCATGTAGGGCGCGAGATCCCAACCACGAAATTGACGTCTATGCTTCGACGATCGAAAGCATGGCGAGCATGCTCAGCTGGGTTTACGCTGGCATGACGGCTAGTTCGGTCGCGGGACGCTGGGCCATTCAGCTTCCTTCCCGGTTCCTGGATTTGCTCCGAGAGCGGGAGCCCTTAGCACTCGTCATGTTAGTACACTATGGCGTGCTCTTGCAGTATTTAAAGCATCGGTGGTGCTTTGATGAGTGGTGTGTGCGGGTCGCTAAAGCCGTGTGGGCGATCTTGGATGATCAGTGGAGACCCTTGGTTCATTGGGCCATGCGTGAGATCCTTGGTCAAAACTTTTTGGAACGCATTGACAGTTTTTGAGGACACCAAACGGAAGAATATTCCCAAGTCCTCTCTCTTCGTTACCGTGCGACTCATGCACCTTAAAAGTGCAATCGATTCTGCCGCGGTGACTCGATGAGCCTAAAAAAAATCCCCACAGGATCAACAGCCAATCAAACCCACCATAATAACGATGACCACAACCCGTGTGCTGGATATCCTTCAGCGGCTTCTGCAGCCGGTCGAATGAAAATGCGGGAGGTCACCACAAACAAGCATTTTTTCTTCCGGGGGGTGGCCCACAAACCCGACAGCTGCCAACAAGGCACGTCGGAAAAGCCGACCTGGTCGGCACGAATCACCAACGATAATATTTGACCGGTATAATGGATGAATAATAATCCGGACGAATCACTAGACCTCATGTTTATGATCTCTGGGAAATGGAAAGAAAAAAATGAGAAAAATGAAAATGGCAATGAAAAAGAAAGGAAAACAGAAAGACCCGCCTCGGTGGCATATACATAGCAGCAACAGCGCTGGCGCAACCACAACATACTGGAGAAAACCATATACAATTGGCTCGAAAATTGTGGATTAGGGTCATGACTCGTGGCTAGGAGAATTTGCTGTAAAAAACCTTGTCAGTTATGAACAAAGTCTCACCAAATACCCCATTTACAAGATTAATTTCAAGATTCGAATCTACTTCCCCTTATGGTCCAAATTAGAGTAGTATAAACATTTCAAGGTTAACCGCTTGTCATGTTTTAGGTTGGCCAATTACGTGGCTCAAGCTATGTATGGAGTAGTTCCAGGCTACCATGAAGGAAAGCCCACAACTAAGCTTGGTCCTACTGTTCAGGTAATTTTGAATACCCACTCACATGTGCACGCAAGGTACTCCGTACTGGCTGGTAACAACTCGGTCCCCCCGGTCTTCATGATAATATTCATAAACGCCACCTGGGAATTTTTTCCATTGAGCCGCGCGTATACACGGCACCCAAGGCTTCCAATGTTTTTTTTGAAACAACTTGAAACAACTTGGCTGTTGGCATCTAGGGCTTCGATGTTATCCTCGGCATTCGAATTGCCGGATTCAATGCTTCGAAGTGCTACAATTACTTTACTGGAAAATCACCTGGCCTCCATGGCCTCCAGTGTTGGAAGCATAGAACTCCCTACTAGGTACTAGTACTAGGTAGGGAGCTATTGATATCCATAGATGTATGTACGTACATATATTAGACCTCGGGAAAATCTAATAATCAATTGATCGAGCGCTCAAGGTCCCCACATGTGCAAAAAAAAGTTAAATCTTACTACTATATACAGCCTTAAAACGTAACTCAATGTTAACCATTCACAACATTTGAAAGCACATACCAAATCTGCGCCGTTTATAGCTTCGCCTGTTGCTCCCCATTTTGCAACACAAACCGATATCTTGCCTTCCCATCATGCATATCCGCCAGCGCAGCATTCACATCCTCCACAGGCCTCTTCTGAATCCACGGCAAAACCCTCTTCTCCGCAGCAAGCTGCAACATCTGCCGAATATCCTCCGGAGACCCAATATTTGACCCCGTCACCTTCACCCCCTTCTGAATCAAGGAAAACGCCGCCAACTGAGGCAGCGGCTCCTCCGGCGCTCCAACCTGAATAAAAGTACCATCCCGCTTCAGAAGGCGCAAGTACTGCGAAAACGGCATATCGCCCCCGGAAACCGTCGAAAGAATGATATCCAGCGATCGCGAATACTTCTTCGCCCACCCCTTCTCTTCTCCAGTTGCAATAAACGCATCGGCGCCTAGTCCCTGCACGGCATCTGCCTTCTTGCTACTCGATCGCGAAATAGCAACAACCCGATCCGCGCCCAGAGCCTTTGCAAATAACACCCCCAGATGTCCCAGTCCTCCAATCCCAACAATACCCACTGTTTTCCCGGGCCCGGCACCATGTTTCTTCAAGGGCGCGTAAACAGTCACTCCCGCACACAGCAACGGCGCTGCCTCAGCAGATGGAAGTCCGTCGGGGATCTTCACAACAAAATGTGCCGGTCCGCGCCACTTCTCCGCGAATCCACCATAAGATTTGCTCTTGTCGGCATACCGACTGTTATACGTGCCGGTGAGCCGGTTACAATATGACTCTTCGCCATCGGCGCAGGCCTCACAGTCCGACCGGAGACAAGACCCGGTTTGCGCACCGATGCCGACACGGTCGCCGATCTGGATCTTGCGCGAGGCAGGGGAAGATGATAGTGTCGGGACGCCAGTGCCAACTCGCTCGACTATGCCGATGATCTCGTGACCAACAACGCAGGGATAGTCTGTTGGGGCCCAGCCTGAGCGTAAAGTGTGAACATCTGTGCCGCAAATTCCGCAGTGCGTAACGCGAATTTCGATGTCGGTTTCTGTGAAGGGCTTTGGGGTGAAGGTCGTGAATTGGAGAGGATTGGTTGCATCATGGGCTACCCAGCCCTTGAAGGTTTTGGCGGGGGGTGAAGACATTTTTTTTTTCTTGCTGTAATATGCTGTGTAGTTTCCAATTTCTAGGAGCGGTTTACGGTGAATCGTGCGATCGAGGTTGAAACTTGAGTGTTGGAACTTCGTCCATGCGCTTGCGGGCCGAGGCTTGGTGTGGGGTCGTGCGGAGAAGCCGCGGTCAAGTCAGGACTTAGAAGTTAGCACTCAGTACACCGAAGCTGATGCAGGAAAAAAACACAATTATTCTAGTCATAAGAGAAGGCTAGGCTTAAAATGGATAATATTGAAAGAAATGAAGAAGAGATCAAGAGAATCTGGCGAAATAACAGAGCACGAAAGGCGAAACATTGAAAACACCATTGCTCCAATTCTCCCTCAACACATGTGCATGTGATCATTGATGATTGAACGGTGCTTCTGAACTACTAATATGTACGCTAGGTATATTTTTCAGGCGATGCTGGGAGATGTGCCATTATAACAGCATACTATGCAGGCTGCACTATGTATGCCTTGTTGAAAACATCAATTGATGATTTGTAATATAATTACTTCGAACGTGGATTATAGAAGCGCAATGTAATGCAAAAACATCTTGAACATTTTCCACCAGGTAATTATCATCTTGTGATTAAAAAAGACTCCTATTTTGAAGAGAGTTAAAGAGTACCCAGAGCATTCCAAGCAAAACAGGTCGGTATGTACTATGCAGGGAGTCGGGGACATGCGCGGGAGAAGATCGTCGGCACGGGGGTTTCATCGGGGGTTTCCTGGGGGATTTTCGGAACGTTCGAAACGCGCTCATTCGGCAGCAGGTCATGTCTCGGCAATTCACTTTGCTTTGCCGATAGCTCCATGCAAGTTAAGTTGGAAAGAAATGACTTTCATGCTAGCTATGGCTGACTTTTATTGCTAGTCCCCTCTATGTACTCCACTCCAACAGCCAAGGGTCCGAAAATATGGCGATTCAACTCCGCGATGGCCCATCATCAACGAGCATTCCAGGTATATTAATTGATTAGAGAGCCCATTCATACATCGGCTGCTATTACCTATAAAAAAAATTTATGCTTGGGCAGAGTCCATGGTAAGGCAGATCGCAGTCATGAAGCTGCTATCCTCCATTCCGGTCGTGGTACTTAGTACCATCGTCTCATCAGCTTGGGGGTCATTCCTTAGTGCTGAAGGCATTGAGAAGATGGGAAATAATAGCCTGTTTACAATGGCACGGTGGAGACCATCTTCTCATTTCCTTGCACCGGCGGGTTGGATGAATGTAAGAAACATTCAATCACCAGTCTCAATTTGGGGATCTACTATGCTAAACACTATATAGGATCCATGCGCACCAATGTACGATCCCACTCGCGGCCTTTATCATTTACATTACCAGTTCCACCCCAATCATATTGAATGGGGTACGTATCCCACTCCCCCGACATCCATCTCACTAATGCTGACAATCATATTGCAGGTAACGTCTCCTGGGGACATGCGACTTCGCCAGATTTGATTACCTGGACTGATGTCGACCACTACCCCGATGACAAACTCTCTGCTTGGAAAGACTACCAAGCCCAATCAATCGGCACGACCAACTTAACCAGCAACCACCATGACCCAGCACTTTATAATCACTTGTCTATATTTTCGGGTTGTGGTCAGGCAGTTAACCTAACGGGGGGTGTAGACGGCACAATTCTGGCCTTCTATACTGCTGCCTCGGAACTTCCAACCGCCTGGGACGAGCCATATATCATCGGAACAGAAAGTCAGGCATTGGCCATCTCGAAGAACGGCGGAATAACATGGGAGCACTATGAGAATAATCCCATTCTCAGCGATCCTCCTGGAGGTTGGAATATCACTGGCTGGCGAGACCCTTTCTTTCTTCCCTGGCCTAAACTGGACACATTGCTTAACAAGACAGAGCCTCACTGGTATGCCGTCTGGGGGTCAGGTATTCGAGAAATCGGGCCCCGCATACCTTTATACACAGCCCCCGCTTCCGATTTGACAAACTGGACCTTCTTAGGGGCTCTTTGGGAACCGGAGAAGAATACCTCCCTGGGTACCCTGGAAGAGACAGGCTCGTATGGATTCAACTTTGAGCTCTCCAACTTCTTCTCCATTGGAGACCGATATTTTGTCTCCATGGGTGCTGAAGGTGGTAACGTTAGCTTCCATCAAGACAAATGGTCGCTTTGGAATGAGGGACTGGTATCTGTGCGAGATAATGGAAGTATTGCTTTTACTCCCATCGCGGGAGGTGCAGCTGACTACGGCCTTTTGTATGCGGTATGTGAATCACCTGGCATGACTTTCTGCAACATTCAAATTGCTTATGGCTCAAACTAGATCAACTCGTTTGAAGATGTCAAAAACAACCGTCGCATCCAGTGGGGATGGGCCCAGGAAGATACAAACAGTTTCGGCGCCACGCAGCTCGGATATCAAGGCGCATTTTCGCACCCACGTGAAATATTCGTCAAGAACACCACAGGTGTCGCTCGTCATTCCTCCGATACCATTGGTAGTTCCCGCTACTTTCAAGCCACCAACGGAAGCTGGACAGCAAGCACCCTGGGTGTTCGTCCAGCTCCAGATGTTGTTGATGGTCTTCGCCGTGATGCACGCCATATGAAGTATCCATGCAACGAAATAAAATGCGACACAAAGAAGATGGGATTGCCAAGCAATCTTACGTCCTCGTACCAAATCAGTGTTACAATCGAGCACACTACTGGCATGGCTGGAGTGACCGTTAGTGCCTCACCAGACCGTGAGGAGTATACAAATATCTACTTCGATCCCTCGAGCAACGATATCGTTGTGGATCGTGCCCATTCGTCCCTGATCAAAGAATTCACTAATACGCCTCATGTTGGATTCTTTGAGCCTTATCAACTCCAAAAACGAAGTGGAAATTCTTCCATGGAATCTATTCAGCTTAACATATTTGTTGATGGCTCTCTTGTGGAGGTATATGCCAATGATCGCTTTGCTCTCACCAGCCGTATCTATCCTAGCCGGGCGGATAGTACCGGTGTTGCTTTCTTTGCTGCTGAAGGCGTTGATACCACGTACTCTAATTTTGAGATTTGGGACGGCCTGTTGAATGTTTGGCCGAATAGGCCACAGAACAGCAGTTCTCTTTTGATATGGGATACTGCGGCTGAGACAGGCAATTATACTTGGTGGACGGGCAACTGAACGGGCGTCATCTACGCCATCACAAATCTTTGTGCGTCGACTGTCCCCATTCAGATGTTCTACTCCATTTTGAAAGTATGTGTTTAGGTACTGCCTGTAGTATTTCCAAGATTTATTACCCAATATGTGTTCCCAAGCAGCATTCGCTTTCAAGGATATCCATGGATGTTTTGCCAACATTTGAAGGCAAAAGTTATGTTTTTGGTGCTTAGAACATTCAAAGAATATAGAAGATCCATCCGAAGCTGAACTCTACACCGTAACCAAACGAACTATGGTAATCATACACAAACGACACGCCATTATATGCTTGCTCATCAAGGTAATATGTACAGTTGAATTAAAATGGGAGCAAGAGTGCAGTCATATCCTTCATCGGGAGGGAACGCCCATAAGATCATCCAGTTCGTCGCTTGTTAGTGTACTTCGGCGTCGATTGCCAGCCCGGCTGGATGTTTTGTCTGGTCGGCTTCTTTTCCTCGTCTCCCGCTCCTTGCGAGAGCTTTCTGCGTCCCGGGCCTCATCTTCGACCGCAGCCAGTTTTTGGTGAACACTCATAGATTCAGTAACATTGGCCTGGCGAGAAATTATTAGAACATTGTTAAACTCATGCGTCAGGCTCGATCTTACCAGCTGGCTTGCCCCGAGATCTGTCTTTCGGCGTGATGGCCGGCGAGTCACAGCCCCCGATCTGTGAGCCTTAATCTGCAGTGTTTCATCGTCTGCACTGGGTTCACATGGCGATCCTTGCAGACCAGGGGTAAACGAAACCTTTCGGAGCCGTCTAGGTCTGGAAACCGCATTGTCACTTCGTTCCCGTAGAGCTCGTTCTGTGCGCTCGGGGACTTTGCGTATCTTAATCAATGGGACATCTATGGTGTCATCTGGCTGATCCTCAGCTTCGCTCATTTCCTCCTGATCTTCCAGAATCGGCGATATAGGTTTGTTTTCCCTCTGTCCTTGCACACTCGTATCTGCGGTAGAATTGAAACTGAGATCAAGGTTCATGCCCAGTTTCAGTTCTTCTACCCGAACCGAGTCACCACCATCGGCAAGGCGACGCTGCCATCCGTCCATCATAGTCACAGCCTGCTTCCAACGATTTTCCATCTTCTCCCAGCTTCCGCGCAGTCGCTTGATTTCTTCATCACGGATTTCAACCTCTTCTAGGGGCACAAAGGAAGGGTTTGTGAGGAGGGTTCGCAAGTGATCCAGCACTGCATCCATCCGCATAGACAGCTCCTCCGTCGATGTAGGAAGTGTAGTGACAGCGTTAACGGACTTTTGTGGCCCAACACTGGCAGCCAAGCCGGCCATATCATCGTTCTGGTTTCCTTCCTCAGTTTGGGAGAGTCCTTGTACTTCTTTCAGCGTCTCAACGGTGTTTCGCGCAAGTTCAATCAATGTATCGTTCTCGTCGCTGAGGTTCTGGCACAGCTCCGTCAAGAAATCTGTTGTCTCCTGCTTGAGAGTATATCCGGGGTCGTTGACTCGCTCACCGCCACTGGATCTCAACCGAGAACGGGTTGATGCGGGGTTGATGTTGATAGTTGTAACACTCAATCCTTCACGTTTGCCCCGCTGCCGATCAGCCAGGTGTGATTTTAATTTCTGTAATTCGATATCGCGCTTGCGAATATCGTTTGCGCATTGCGAGCGCACTTGTTGAACGGTGGTCTTCATGCGCTGTACTTGCTCTTTCAACCCTCGGATGGAAGCTTCGGCACTGGACACGTTAGAGCGGAGCGCACGCTCCGAGGCCTGTGTGAGGGCCAGCGATCGTGTCAATTCGGATGATTTGGTCTTCAGTTTCCCCTGGGAAGGCGATAAGAAATCGCGCATTAGCTTCTGTGCTTACTAGCCATGTGCGAACTTTTCACATACAATTTCCAAAGTCTGCTCCGCCTCACTCCCCCGCAAGGTCCGAATTGTTGTCGCTAAGTTTTCGCGATGCTCAGATTCTCGCTAGAAATTGTCAGCTATAATAATGCGACACCGATAGCAGCAGTACTGACATCTCTCCTTAAAACCAAGTCGTTGACCAGGTTAATGATCCGCGCCATAGTGGCCTCTGTTCCTCCCTCCTCATTTTCGGGATGAGCAAAATCAATCGAGGCGCCATTGTTTAGCAGTCCGCGCGCCAGTAGAATGTTGTTGACATACGTCGACGCAGCCTGCAGATTGTGCGCATCCATGACGTTGCGATGGTGGAGCTAACAGAAGATCCAAAGCGGAAGAAAGTAAACAGTGTAAACAAACTATGTAATCCGGCTCCGGGTATGCAAAGGAGCCAGCCGCGCAGAACACGTACCATGCCAGAGACGCGATTCACCTCTTGATGATTTAACTTCATTTTCTCATTACAATTTTTAGAAAGTGGTATCTACTACTGAGTTTTGATGGATCGAACTAGCCATGGCGTCAAATGTCTCAGCTCTCCATCATAAAGGACAAAAACTCTATCAAAGAGGGGAGTTTAAAGCTGCCGTTGAGGCCTTTGGCGAGGTATGTCCGTCCACTCTAACCCAAAAAGGCAGTCCATTGATCGTCTACCAGGCATTAAAACAGAGAGACGCAGATGCTATTGGCATTTTGGATAACCGTGCAGCCACGTTCTGCAAGCTTGAGGACTATGACCAGGCGCGCCGAGACTCGAGGCACATGATCAAAAAGGCCAGCCAGGATGAGCGCGTAAGTTCTCCGTATTTGTGAATGCGCCAAGGAGCACATAATAACAGCTTACTAGGGATATCTACGATGCGCAAAGGTGCTTCTTCTCGAAGGAAAACCGGGCAAAGCCCTGGAAATTTATGCTTATGGCCTGAAGACGCTTCCGAGTAAACACCCGCGGCGTGACGTACGTCTCCGGTTTTCCGTATGCGAATTGCCCTAAGCTTACATTTTACCTGCAGTTATTGCAACAGCTGCATAATAAACTCCAGGATCGGATGCTTCTCAATAAACGAGATCCTTTTACAATGCTGCCATTCGAGATGGCAATGATGGTGATCCAAGATTTCTCCTTCAAACAAATTGTCGGCATTTTGCGTGTCTGCAAAGGATGGCAGCAATTCTTCGGTTCTATATCACACTTGTGGATGAACATTGATTTCAGCATGGCTCGAGCGAACGTTTCTTTTTCCGCGGTCCGATCGTGCATCCGGCGATCAAAAGGGATGCTCACCCAAGCCACCATCAAGAAGCTGCCTCTCGCACAAACCCCAAGGACCTTGGAATTTCTAAGCAGATGTCCCGATCTCGAGCACCTGGAGCTCTGGATATCTCACCCACATAAGGATTTCTTTGGGGTGTTCAAGGGCTCCAAGAAGCTTAGAAGCCTCGTCCTCTCAGCCGACATGGCGATTCCACATGACTATCTCGGTCGGTTTTTAATCGAGCTCCCGAAACTTGAGCGCGTCGCTCTTTGGAACACTCAGAACTCATCTGCAGAGTTTCTTCTTGCGGGGTCCTGGCCCACCTCTCTTCCGAACTTAAAAAGCATCACCTTATGCACTACCCAACTACCTCCATCCCGCCCTTTAACTTCAATGGCACCTGCTCTCCATATTCCTTACATCGTATCGGTCAGTCGTTTTCTTCTGGATTGAATGCCCCTAGACTAATATTCTCAGGATATGAAACCGCACCCTTATCAAAATCTGGAGGAGCTAAGGCTAGAGGCGAACCCCCCAAAAGTCCAACCACTTACTTTCCCTTCTAAAGATGATCTTGGCACCGATCACCGTCAAAATATTGGTGATCTTACTCTCCCACCGCTCCGTCATCTTGAGCTTCGTGGTATTTTTCCAGATACATTACTTTTCGCATATTTACCTACCAGCCTTGAATCCCTTACAATATCAGGTGGAGTGGCTAGGCCTAATATCGTCACACCAGTTCCCAAAACATTCTCGAATCTACACACACTAATATGCAGTGACACTGGGTGGCTCAGCGCTTTGAACCTTCGGACGATGCTCTTCGAACTACAACTTCCAGTTCGAAAGCTGTGCTTGGATCGATGCTTTGGTCTTGCTTGGCTTGACTTCACCGAGATTGTGGCTGAAAGGGCCAACAATACTGCGCTGGTAAACCTGCAGGAATTCAGTCTTACTCATACCCAGTCGCTGGACGACACATATGCGAACGTGCTGGTACATGCATTCCCTAACCTTACGCTGCTCGATTTATCCTATACCTCTATTACCGGCTGCACAATCCGGATGATCGCCGAGTCACGAGTATCTGGTTCCGTCAAGATAGACTGTCTGATCTTGAGGGGCTGCGAAGGCATATCATCTGATGCTGTATTATACGGCCGCGAGCAAGGATTGGATGTGGTAGTCTGAAATGGTATGCCAGCCAGCATCTATCTTTCTTCAAAATTCCAAAATCACAGCCGCGGCCTTTTCCTTGCCAATATGATGCAAAGGCCCAAACCCTCTACAATCCGCTCTTTTTTGAGGCTGGAAATCACCAGCAATGGCCTCATTTACGCTCAGGTGACATAAATGGAACCCAAAACCAGCGAACAAAACTCAGGTCTAAGCGCAATTCTATCTCGGCAACTTTGGTTTGAATTTGGATTTCAGGAGGGTTCGCACACCGTGAAAGTGGGGTGAAATACCCGGACCGTCCAGCCCTTGTGACTTGGTCAACGCCCACTTGTTGGGCTCTCCGGTTCAAATATCATTGGTGATTTCGAGTATTGTCTCAGTATATGTTAAGTAATCGAAAACTCAGTTTACTATTGAAAAGTTGTGGATGCCAGCACCTTATGGACCACCTGAGGGAAAACATCTTGGAATCAAAAACTTAATACTCAACGTTCAATTTGAATTGTGCGAAACAGCGAACAGAAATCAATGTGCTAAAAGGCTAGAAGTGACAGGCCTGTTATTCCCAATCCGCAAATCATACTAGTATGATCTCAACTCTATGGACCATGCAAAAAAGAATAAATACTAGTAAACTTTGAAAGAAATCATACCCTTCTCAAACCCCCCGCTCCTGGCACCACTTCTCGACCTCCTTCGCCAACTTTTCCTTTTGATCACGTACAAGCTCCATCATAGGCTCAACTTGCTTCCGGTGTCCAGCAATGCGATCCTGGCCTCCGTTCAAAACTGTCACTCCTTCCTTGGGCGCGAGATACGATTCATAGATTTGAATCATAAGATCCATAACCGCGGACAGCTGGTTAGGCAGCCACTAAACCACACATCAGTACGAATGTAACAGAATAACAGGACTGCGACCAGGGGCAACAGGTATAAAAAAGAAAAGAAAAACTTACAGTCACAATAGGACTTCCACCGGTAGCGGTAGGATGGGGGGTCCGACGAATAATGTACTCGCGCGCAAAAAGCCAGTGGCGCCAGCGGAAACTGCGAACATGGTTCAAGACCCTCAAGAACAGGACTGCGGTCTCGGAGTCTTGAACGGAGTATTCGCGAACGCCGATTTGCTCGGATTTCTCGCGAATGTAGGTAAGGAACTCTCTGTGTGGAGCAGGGCGGTATGCGCGGAATTCGTGGAGGATTTTGGTGAGCGGAGTTTCGGGCATGGGAATTTGGCAGAGATGATCTAGAAGGGGGATCTGGAGATATCATTAGTATGAAGTTTTCGAGTTGCAAAATTTTATGAGAATGAGTACATACAATACTGTCGTTGGCGCCGCTCTCGCCGCGGAAGGAGAGAGGGTGATTGTCTTCGACACCATCGTAGATTACACCGTTCGGGAACATGGATTGTTTGGTGATGCCAAAGATGAAGGTGCGGAAAGAGATATAGTCCGCTGGCTTGGAGTTTCCCCACATATCTATAATATAGTCAGTACCGGTCCATACAGAATTTTGATTTGGAGGGTTCCAAATCGCCGTTACTGTGAACATACCTTCCATCGATGCCTCAATTTGCTCCATTGCGGTCAGGATCTCCCGGAAGCCGTCGTTGATCTCATTGCGGGCACCGCGCTGCTCGATTGTATCGACTACTCGAAGGACACCATTGATGAGTGGACCAGTCTTTTTAACCATATCGACGTGAGTCAAGATGAAACCTGCCTCGGAGCTCTTAGGGTCCAGACCATACTCAAAGCCGCGGATCAAGCGCAGATTAGAATAGTCCGACAGACCCTTAGAGTGGTCGGCAAAGGTGTAGTTAAAGAGAGCATATGAGGCAGCATAAGACATGAAAGGAGGAAGGTCCAAGCTATAAAGTTGAGATGTTAGACAAGATGAAACATACATGTATGTGCATAGTGATGTCTACACATATCCTATGATAGAACAAGTAGGACTTGATCCGAATTTTGGAAAGAGATAAGACTTACATCTGAGCACAGAGATACATTGGACGGGCAACATTCTTGGGCAAAATCTGCCGACCAAGGCCGTATCCATTGTCGGGATTCTTGGACCAGGTCTCCCAGCAGGGCTCGAGCAGGTAGGACGATGCCACAAATGTGTAGTCCCGGAAGACAGCGGTCATAGTGAAGCGATCAATCGAACCATCAGCAAGGAAAAGCTTTTCAACCTCATTGGTCAGGTCAGGCAATTCTGCCTCGACGGCAGCACCAAACTCATAGGTAGCCAACAAGCCGGGCTTGCCATCAAGCTTGAGAACGGGCATGCGCTCTACAAGAGTCTGAAGAGCTTGGAAAGCATCAGGAAGGTCTGTAGGGGCAGTGTCATATGGCATAAAGCCTGTGGAGGTGGTAATAGTAAAGGGGTCCAAAGCATGAGACATCTTTGAAGGGTCATCATGCACATGGGGGAACTTGTTGAGAGTGGTAGGGGACGGGTAGGGCACTTGAGAGATAGTCATGATGAAGGTTTGACTCAGTCAAGGAAGGGAGATGAAAAAATAAGAAGAAGAAGTATGATTTGTATCACGAGTAAAGGGGGAAGTTGATGGTTGTGGGGTGGAAGATAAGACTTTGTTCACTTTCAAGTCAAGACCTAGGAAAGCAGGGAAAATGAATCAAGAAAGAGGAGAGAAAAGTGGTGGGAATCTTGAAAGATGAAAGAGAAAGAAGAAAGTTCATCTCTTTGGGCGGGTGAAGAGGCGATTCTTATAATACTAAGAGGCCGGTATCAATTCCGGCCTCAAGCCCACATTACGAAAGAGAAAGCAACATTGCGAGGATCTAGTAACATCGGGCATTGAGCGGGGTAAATGAGTGCCGATAATATATGTAGGGTCTTATATGGAGGTTTATAAGTGTTCCCAACGTCCAAAAATGCCAATCTAGTATCCATGAAGGTATACAGGTGCTCTATACAGATGCGCCCTGATTGAGGGCATAGCAGTCACGGGGAAGGCGCTAAGCCCGTTCTAGTAATATGGGATACGACCACAACACTGACAATTTTGGGTCAAGAAACCTCGAACCTAGTGATGAATGACACTTTTTTAGCTTGATCAGATTCTCCAAGATCATTCGATCCCCAATTCTCACAAAATTTGAGCAACCAGTCATGCTTGCGCTGTCGTTGTCATGATGTAGCCTCTATATTGCATAAGGTGCCAAGGCTGTCATCTCAGATCCGTCAATTTGATTGGCCGATAAGGTAAAGTTAGACTTTCCTAGCGTCAGGAGGCCGGAATTCACCCGGCCTCCGATAATAACCGGTCGATGTATACTCCGGATTACGGAGGCCGAATGATTCCGAGGTGGAATATCTATAGATGGAAATCATCACGTTCGAAGAACAGTACAAGAAAACCCTCAAGAAATATTGCACGCTGGTATTCCAGAAATATCCTCATCATGACAGTACTACTAACTACCAGTCTTTTTCTTTCAGTTCATTCAGAACGCGACCACTATTGCCACATGTGCAGGGTCAATTTCACCCAGGTTCAAAATAGGACTAGTAATTCCCAGATGTCTTCCTGCCAGTCCTTACCATTGGGTAGACAATATCTGCCAGCCGGACAGATTCCAAGTCGGTCTCTTGAAATCTGACCTCGGCTTTCAAGCACCTTCCATTGGACGTTTGGCACGGAATTGAGGACATCCCCAATTGGAAGTATTGTGGGTGCGCGAAAAAATTCATTAAGATTGGTTCATTCTTCCATCCAGATGTCAGGTTGGACGGCAAGCCTATATCATTTTACTCATCGTCTGAGGACATTTTCCCCTTCAAAATGAGGCATTTGAAGAAGAGACCGAATCGGGGGTTTCCTCTAGATAAAGGTGTGGTCAACGTGCTGTGGTCGGGAGGAAAGAAACGATCGAATCGCGCACGGTTCAGAAGGGAAAGAAACTTGGACTGCTGTCCAGGTGGACTAAATAAATAAACGATGAGAGATGGGGAAAGGGGGCAGGGGAATTAGAAAGAGAGGGGGGAAGGGAAAGGAGGCAGTAACATTGAACGTTCAAAAATAGAGAGGAATGAAAGACCTCGGGAGCAGCTGTTATTTACGTAGTACACATATGTTTTGGATATGTATACTGTATACCCTTTTTGAGTTCATCCCCACTTCATTTCCTTAATACCATCTCGGTAGAGGCATGTTCTTGGTTGTATGGAGAAATCAATGGAAGGCTGGGCAGATAATACCTACTGCTAGCTATATCGATTGGATTTGACTCAACAATAATTGTTGATGATCGAAGGGGAGGGTCCACGTTGGTATAATACATCAAAAAATATCGTACACGACATCCACTTTATACAAGATCGAACAAGCCGTCAAATCTTAAAAACTCCTTGGGTCCAAATTAGAATAAGCTTATCGCGGAATAAGCATCGTCATGTCGAATGGCACATACCAAATATGCATTTCGCGGTCCAATTGCACTGACAAAGGCATTCAAACTCCTATTTTGGTATCCCGGCTCATGTTCCCGTGTTCGGATGTTGACTTGCTGGACTTTGGTCATCGGTTGTGCTAGAAACAGTCTGCAGCTTCAAGTATTCCTCTTGTAATCGCTTCTGCAACTCGAATTCGGCCTGTCTTTCTTGTCGGACTCGCTGCTTCTCCATGTCTCGCTCCACACCTCTGTGCATCGCCTGTGGTATCATTCAAAATTTAGTGTTTGTTTCTCGCCCATGCAGGAGCATGAGGACTTACCGCTCGGTCCGCCTCTTGCGCCCAGTGCACAAACCAGACAATTCCCACGGTTCCCAGACCGGTAGCTGCTAAGGTGAACTTTGCGGCACGAGACATTGCCAGTTCCAACAAAGTGAAATCGTTGAATGATTTACCGTGGTCAATTCGAGGTAATGACAGATGCCAGAAATGTTGGATTATCAGTTTATCGCGACGGGGCGGTGGGGGAAGTATTGCCAGTTCAGACCGCTTTGGGGGGTCATGCGTGGCTGATCGAGCTACCAAGCTCCGACCCTCCAACAGTTAACGCTTCTTTTCTCGCCTCCCATCAGATTTAAACGAGGGTCCCAGGAGCAAACATGGTAGGCTTTGGTACCTCTGTCTCAATTAAATTGTGTGAAGATGCTAATGGTTGTGGGGAATTAGTCGGCTCAGAACTCCGCGGGCATTCAGACCCTCCTCGATGTACGTTCCGACCGGACTCGAACACCAGATCAACCATATGCTGATGATATCTACAGGCCGAGAGAGAGGCTCAAAAGATTGTGCAGCAAGGTATGTTAAATGATCCGTGAGATCGTGGTGGGACTCTGAGGCTAATGTATCCGATTTCGTTTAGCCCGAGAATGTACGAGGCCCCGATAACCCCGATCGGCATGCGCTGGTCCCCTAACTTATCTCATTATAGACCGTACCAAGCGGATAAGAGAGGCCAAGGCCGAGGCTCAGAAGGAGATCGAGGAGTACCGCAGCCAGAAGGAAGAGGAATATAAGAAGTTCGAGGCTGAGGTGAGACCAATTCCCGAACGCAGCCTATTGCTGTTTTATGTAGTTCTTACTGACATTCCTGGTGTTATTTAGCACTCTAGCGGATACAAGAAGGCCGAGGAAGATGCCAGCAAGGAGGCCGAGGAGAAGCTCAAGGAGATCCAGGCCGCTGGCAAAAAGCAGGGCGACAAGGTCGTAGAGGACCTGATCAAAGCGACTACTTATGTCAAGCCCGTGGTGCCAGAGAAGATTGTCAAGGCATAGATTTATTTGTTTCTGATCTTTTTTTCTTTTCTTTGGTTGTCGCTAGATGATGCGATTTCGGCTGTTCATCGATATCCAATGTTCGAGATATGAGTTTATTTACTGGGTTTATCATTGTAAGGTTCTGTCACTGAGTGACCTTGTATTGGCTTTTTTTTTAGAACAATAGAAAAAGACCGCCCAAATACCTACTAATCTTTCAAATGTTAGTCGCATATATTGGATTGGCAAAGAAAAAACCAGTGTAGGATTGATTGACATCATTGGTTGTATGTTGTATACCTCGTTCTAGACTTCGAGCCAGTTTAGAAGTAATTTCTATAACATGACTATACTGGTCTATCAAAACACGACATTCCACGAGGGTCTCTGGCTGGCTTAATCAGATGAAGAGTCATTTCTAAAATAAATTGAAAGAACAAATCTAAGTGGTTCATTCAAGCGTCGTGGTCGTAAGTTGGCTGGTTGATCAATTCCTCTTTGAGGCCTCAGGCACCAACGGTAATGTTTCCGCTGGTTTGCGTCATTCCGTCTCTACTAATACAACTTGTCGCGCAACAGGGAATAATGGGATATGCAGTTGGTAAAAACCTCTCTGCCAAACAAATGATAAGCGACCTTCTTTTGCGGGAAACCGGCAGTTCATTAAAGCGATCATTTCACACCTCCTCAAGCAGACTTAAACCCATCCTTGAGCCACGTCTGGAAGACCATGGTCATGTTATCCGTGACAAGTACTCTATGATCCGAGATAGCTACGGTGCTTTCTTATCCCCCACATGCGGGATATTTCGTCTTCTGACTTTTGATAGATGCCCCGAAGCACCCGGTTGTTCTAGCCCATGGGCTACTTGGCTTTGATGAAATACGCCTCGCCGGTCCTTATCTCCCAGGAGTCCAGTATTGGCGAGGGATAAAGGAGGCATTGTCTGCTAAAGGGATTGAAGTTATCACTGCTACTGTTCCTGCGTCTGCGTCCATTGAGGAGAGGGCCGAGGCCTTGAGCCGTGAGATTGAAGTCGGGGCGCGAGGGAAAGATGTCAATATTATTGCGTATGTGAAGTATTTTCAGAGCACGGACTGGACATATTTTTGCTAACATGCTATGGAAATATTTAGTCATAGTATGGTAAGGAGCCTCCTGCTTCTCAAGTCGGCTTTGCACTAATTTGTACATAGGGGTGAGCTGCCAAAAACATTGGAAGTGGACTGTCCTAAATCTAACCTTCAAAGCGGCCTCGATTCTCGATATATGATTAGTCGACTTCGACTTGAGAAATTCAAGGTGCTGTCACTTACGACAATTGCCACTCCACATCGAGGTATGTACACTTGAAATTTTGAATACTCACAGTTAAGTATGCTAAACATGCTAAATGGGGGTTTCAGGTTCTGCTGTGGCAGACTATGTCTTCGACCAAATTGGAGGTGCGTGATAGATATCTTCAAATGAGTGATGCTATCAAAAAGTTCATCCGGAATTGACCCAATCGATATTTTTAATGTTAGCCGAACGCCTTCCCCAGATCTATTACACATTGAATCGGTTAAGGGTCGAAACGGGAGCCTTTGGCCAGCTGACGAGGAAATACATGTCTGAGACTTTCAACCCCAACACACCAGATATAGAAGATGTCCGGTGTGTGCATACATATGTAGCTGATGCTTGACTATTGTGGTGTATATTTCGCTAATCAATTCACCAAAGGTACTTTTCATACGGGGCAGCGGTTGAGCCGAGTATCTGGTCTGTGTTCCGCTTGTCCCACAAGATCCTCACTGAGGCAGAAGGACCCAACGATGGTCTGGTTAGTGTGGCAAGCAGTCACTGGGGAGGTGACAATGGATACAAAGGGACATTGGTGGGAGTCAGTCATCTGGATCTTATCAACTGGAGCAATCGAATGAAATGGCTCGTTGGGGAGGTAATGGGACAACGGCGCAGTTTTAATGCTATCGCGTTTTATTTGGATATTGCAGGTAAGAAGAAATCACTTTCACTGGAGGTTGAGGTTGAGGTGAGCTTTGCAATGCTGACATTTGTCGCCAAGATATGTTGGCAAAAGAAGGTCTTTGATTCCTTGAAGTGTTCGTAACTTCGTATACATACAGTCACAACAGTCACATGTTGGGTTCTGGATAAAAGATCGACCCGATGCACAGACCACCAAGCTTCTCTTTCGATCGCACTCTTCAATGTTGGCAATTTTTCAATTGTCCAATCAATTAGTCTGTAGCTCATCCATCTCGTGTACAAATCATAATCGAAGCCAGTTATTTTTTCTTTATCTTATTTTTCAATTTGAATCTTACTGCAGCAGAACGCGGTTTCTTTGTGGCTGTGGAAATACCTTTATTCTGGTGCCTGGTGCCCAGCTATAGCTCACTTCGGGTATAGTATGTTCTACTAGATATTCATTGCCAGGCAGCCAAGGGATACACTTTTCTCATCCAGTGGACCTGCGTGGCTGAGTTTCAGTGAGGCGCAGCTCCAACATTGTCTCCTATTCTTAATTCAGCATATCATGACGACGGTGGGACTGTAGGGCAGAATAAAAAGCGCCCCGTTCATCGGATCTACGGGAACGTCATCTCCACTCCATATTTCAATCTGCAGTCTTCCCCTCGAAATATCCCCATCAACTTCCTTTCCATCCCCCCCACCCTTCTTCACCCCCTCGGCACCTGGGGAAAGCGGAGCTTCCACGGAGTACCGTCGCACAAAACATAGGGGCCAATCCAAACTAGTCGCAAATCCAGACCAGCCACACCCGAAGGAAGGAGGCCGAACCGCTACGGCCCGGGCGCTCGCCGCGATGTCCGCCTCCGCCACGGTCTTGTTGGATAACCAGCTCACGCATTTCACCAACCTTGACACCCTGTCCGGTCGCGTGGTGCTTCGGCTACCGACCGAAGCAGCTATTGCAGGCATTCAAGTCAAACTGGAAGGAGAAAGCCGTACAAGATTATCGGGACCTCGCAACCCGCAAAATGTGCACTCCGAGAAAAAGCGAACGGAGCTTGAGGTTCATAAGGTACGGCATGATTCCTAAGGGGAACCCCTGCTCAAACAAATGACTCAGCAATGCAGATTCTATACAAGGTTGCGACCGTATTCCCCACACCAGCTGTCGTGCAGACCGGATCTGCGGCAACATCCTACACATTCGCAGCGGGCTCCTATGAGTACCCCTTCCAGTTCAAGGTGAAATGCATCTCCTAATCATAGCTTTTTGATATGACGCTCCCTAATACCTATCTAGTTTCCTTTCAACAATGCTTGCAGTATTCACAATAGCATGCTCACAAACCTCAATTTCACTGGTTTGAGAGTCGAAATGGCCCGCGATCCCCATCGGCATGTCAAAAAGACCCTCCCACCATCTTTGAGTGGATTCCCAGGCATGGCAGATATTCGTTATTTTGTCAAAGCGACCGTTATCAGACCTCAATTTTACAAAGAAAATATTCGAGCAGTGCGCATTATTTCTCCTCTATAACTTCAAGCCAGACTGGCTGATATTGTTTGCAGATTGTGCCTATGATGTTTCTCCCTATCGAACCTCCAAGGACCGGAAATCCAAACGAGGAAACATTTGCCCGGAGACAGCACCAATTCTCCAAACACCAAGGTGGAAAATCGAAGAAAAATCTATTCTCTCGAACATCGATACGAGATGCCTGTTCTGAGCCCCCGCGTGTCTCTCTCGATGCTCGACTGCCAAATCCTTCTATTCTTACATGCAACGAGCCCATTCCACTGCGCTTGATTGCTAGGAAGTTGACTGATTCGCCTGATATGATTTACCTACAAATGATACAGATTGAACTAATTTCCAATACCAAGATTATCGCCCATGATCTTACGCAGCAAGAAACGGGTGCCTGGGTGATTATGAGTCGCAGCAATATGGGTCTTGCGTTAGGGAAACCAGAAGACAAGGCTGGCACTGACTGGGCCATTGATCCGAATTTGTGGAATACTTTGCCTTTACCCAACTCAGTGGCACCTTCGTTCGAAACTTGTAATATTGAACGAAGATACGAGCTGGAGATTCGTATCGGACTGACTCATGGCACGCCAGAAAATATGAAGGTAATTCCCCCCAGGATATACCCTCTACGCTTTGTTTTACCCACAGCCCCTTGTCGTTAACATCTATCATAGCCGCAACTCATTATTCTTCCGCTGCGGATGCCAGTCAAGGTCTTTTCAGGCATTGCTCCTCCTCAGGCCCTCCTTGATGCCATGGCCGCAGCAGCTCCCCAATCAACACCTTCCAAATTGACACCTCGGCCCACCTGGCCTATGGCTAGCAATTCTAATAACCCACCCCGAATGCCACCCCGGCCGGCCGAACCAATACCTGTAGCAGCAGATGCAAGTGCAAACTATGATGAAGCGCCCCCAAGTTATGAGGATGCAATGGCAGATAATCTTAGCCCTGTGGATGGACCACGCCGCGAGTATCACCCACCAGACGCCTCCTCCTCCCGGAGCTCAGTGGAACCTGGAACTGATGCCAAATCCCCAGTGGAAGCTGGCCGGACACGTGAAATACTTGCCTTCTCTCCCGAGGGCAATATCACACCTTCGGCAATCGAGCCCCAGGGCCGTTCTTCCTCCGAATCCTTCGATATGCTGCCCACCACGCCCCCCGAATCCATTTCAGGTTCTCCGCCAGGTTCGCCGGTCAGGCGCTCTCATAGCATGATGAAGGTTCGTCGGAACCCCGCGGACGACGAAAGCCCGCCCCAGTATCAACCTGTAGCGGATGGTCAACTCCAGGCTCCGAGTAATTCGATCCAGCACCGGGCCTCCCAGAGCAGTCTACGTCCCATGAACCTCGGCGTGCCCTCCCGGAAGCCAGTGCCAGGTCCTCACAGACGACCTACTACCTAAGCTCTAACTTTGAGCCTCAAATCGCCCCTGCAGCAACATATTCGTAACGCTATGTTGCAACCATCCTTTGTCACCTGCAGATTTGATACCCCTTCCCGATGATATCCTTGAGGCTATTATAGCTGTTTGAAAGGTTTTCTTCATACATTTCTTTGCATTGATGCGGAGCTGGATTGCCGCGTTTAATTTGCAGCTACATAATATCATTGTAATTCTGCCCTGGCCGAGAAACATTTTATTAATAGACCTGTTGATAGACTTCCAAGGTTTGACCTACTCATGATGATATACTTGGACATTGATACATAACCCAGCAATCAATACATACATGCATACATACATACTACATAGAACATCAATTGGATTGTCAACTACTAGTACTTGATCTCCAGATGTCCATTCTTTATGTAGTTCGATCTCGATACTAGTATCTTCCAACTTTAGATGGTTCCACGGCATCCGCCCAGAGCATGTGCAAGCTTGATTCATTAACTTTTGTCTCTGGTTGCCAGGCAGTGTATGCTTTTCAATTGACATGGCTTGAAAGGGTCTCGACGCTTTTTACTTGATGTATACTAAGATTGTGGTATACAAGCAAAGAAGGTATCTCTAGATCCCCGTTAGGTAGTAGCCCTAGATGTATCCAACCTTGAAGTTTACGTAATACTACTAAATACTCACCTAATACTTCTAGTAAAGGGGGAGATTGGCTAACATTGAAAGAAAGATGTGGATGAAACATTTAAACATTTGAATTATCGAAACAGTCAGGCTTCCTAGAATTTATTTCCTTATGAATGATATATGACTGAAATAAATTAATAAATTAAGGATTAAAAGGTATTAGGTACTAGTACTAGTCTGTAGTACTTGATATAGATCGAATTAAGTTCACGTCGATCAGTGGCGCCTCAGGCCCCGATTACACCTAAACTGGCTAGCGCGTCTCCAGGTTTGGAGCTGCACGAGGCCCTTTTGCTGGACCAGCTCTCTCTGACCAAAATTACTCTCGCGCTTTTATCGATCTCCGTCTCTCGCTCATCGAATTCAGAAAATCCCAAGTTTACTGGGGTCCAATAAATTCCCCGTGAAAACATCAATATCTGTGCGCGTTCAGCTTTCACCGACACGAAAATCGACGCGCAAACTCGACCACGCGCAAACCCCATCCCCCCTCACCTTCTCACATGCCCCGATGATTTAGCTCACCAATTCGCATAATGCGCCTTCATCTTGTTATTTCGCGGCATGGCTTGCCTGCCACCCGCGTTTTGTGGACAACTACCGCTGCCGCTTCGCTGGGAGAATTTGGTACCCGTGGTGCTGCTCCGGCCTCTGTGATTGCTTCCTCTCGGAACCCCAATGTCGCGTTTTCTAATGGCGGATACACAATTGCTCAACTGCTGGAAGACGTGAATGAAGTTGTACCACTTGAGACAGAGCCAAGTGTTTTCGATCCGGAGTTCAGTGGCCAGTGGGGCCTAGAAGATTATGTGGTGGAGGTCGGTGGATCGGAATGCCTGCATTTCATGGAAGTGGAGGGGTTGCTTAGAGATGGCGATGAAGTTGTGTACGCTGGATTACATCCTATTTCAATCTGTTTGAGAGTTTTGCTGACTGTTTCCCGCCTTTTCCACAGCATTCGTGCCTTACAGCTTGCAGATCTACGTGCGAGGCGGCTGTGTGGTCGTCACCAGATTGCTACAGATGGCAAACATCTTATCGATGGTGTCCCATTTGGATTGCCGTTCCTTAAGCGTGCTACCACTAGTCGGCCCGCTATCACGATCCCCCCGCGGAAAAAACGTCGAACTGTTTTCTCTTCTGGCTGGGACCAAGATGCTGGATTCGAATATGGAGACCCAAACCCTGCTGATGAAGAGGGTGACGGGGAGTGGCTGCCACCGACTGATACTGGATTCGGAAAGGAGCTCTCCGTGCTGCCTGTAGAGCATGACATGTCTATGGGAACAGTTATCAGACATCCTATTGATTATTCTGCGGATGAGGATAGCGACGATGGGTATGAACCTGAAGAGGACGAGCTCGAAAGTGAGCTCAAGGCCTTGAAGGAGGATTTTGAAGAGCCTGTTCAAAATTTTGATGACATCCGGAACCAAACCCAACAAGCTGGCGAGCTCTTGGTGGGACGTCCCAACTCTGCGGGCAATAGACCTGGCTCTGCCAGTACACTCCCTGGAGGATCGTTAGTAGGCGTTTCATCCTTGTCCAGCAAACGTTCGCGTGGTGAGGATTCTTCGCCCAGAGTCTCCAAGGCTGTGAGGTTCAATCGAGGAGAAAACGTTACAGAAAAACCACAGCCTATCCAATCCGTCAAAGTTGAAGTTAAAGCCAGTTCGCCGGAATCGTCTGACTCCGATTCTGACTCTGATGCCGATGCTGATTTCGATGCTGACTCTGAGTCTGGCTCCGAAAATGGCTCTGACGCTGATGTAGTCTCCGCTCCCAGTTCTGATTCAGACTCAGTATCAGGCTCCGACGCCAGATCTGATAGCTCGGATGATTCTTCTAACGAGTCTCAGAAAGTGGCCTCCGCTCCTAAAGAGGAATTAGATGATGAAAATTCAGATGCATCCGACTCATCTTCATCTGATTCTAGTTCCGATGATTCTTCATCCGAGGAAGAAATGCTCACTCCAAATAAAGCACGGCGCTCCCTCATGGCTCCTCCTGGCCAGGGTACCATACGAACCAAGAAAAGCAATACCCGATATAAGCTTCGTCGCCGTCTATCCAAGCTCAAGGAGATTGGCCAACTCCCCAGCAATGCAGATTTTGCTGCGCTGCGAACCTGGGAAGAAGAAAACGGAGGCTGGCATTTCCCTGAAGAGCCAAGCATTATGTCTGTTACAGTAAGCAAAGAGGAGAAAAAGGAGCAAGCCCAGCGGGAGTTTGAAGCTAAACGGCAGCAACTTCTACGTGACCTCGCAGCTTGCGGCCATGATGTAGAGGATACGTCTGGAAAGGAAAATGTCCCTCCACGCACCTCCACTGTCTCTGCACCTGCGGTCCCTGATTCAGTTGTCCTCGAGGAGACTAAATCTGAGACCCCTGAAACAGAACGCGCAAACCGACGTACTTTGGATATTGCGAGTTCGCAACGACTTCTTTTCGGGTCTCTTGGGGTACGCGCACCCAAAACCAAAGAAGATGAAGAGGCTATTATGAGCAAGCTAGCAGCCCAGGCCAGCAGGGTTCAAAAAAAGCGAGCTGAAAAGCCGCCTGTCGAAGAGGAGTTGCCCATGGAAGAAGAGAGTGATGATGGCATTGTCAACTGGGAAGATAAGCTCAACATCAAGGCCACAGAATGCGTGTTCGACGATATCACGCTGACGGCCCCGCCGTTTCCCTTTCAAAATCGCTGGGACTCGGAAGCGGATGCCATCATTCGAGGGCGCCTAGGTTGGAACAAGAAGCGCAAGCGGAAGCACAGAGTCCAGGTCTACGATGGGGCCGAAGAATATTATGAGGGCCAGTATGAGGATGATGCCTACAACGCCGAGCAAGAATATGAAGATCACGCCTACAATACCGAGCAAGGATATGAAGATCATGCCTACAACACCGAGCAAGGATATGAAGGTGCCGACAATCACGAGATCACGCTTAACTACGACGAGGAAGAACAGGAACCGGAGACTAGCTTTCATGAACAAGCTCACATGGCTACCGTCGATGACCTTCCTGTTTTTCCCGATGACTCGGATTGTGTGACGGACTTGCTTGAATGTGAAGTGAAGCCGGGAGCCATTATTGCTTTTCGGCAACTAGATATGTCCAAGGCAACAAATTGGCAACCTCGCATGTCAGACTACAGAGTAGCCGAAGTCCAAAAGGTTGAAAATAACATCATCCATGTTCGACTAGCGATACGTGATTGGATCCACAAGGAAGAACCTGTGGAATCGGAAGACGATGGGCGCCGACTTTACAGTGGCTTTGAGATGCCCGGATTCGATGACGAAGAAGGAGAGGACGACGGCCATCGCGAACTGGTTTATACGGAACTCAGCGACCCAAAGCTTCTGAAACCGGGGCCATGGGGCGTGGACAATGACTTGGGGGTGGACAAAGGCGTTGCTCAAGAAGATAGCATGTCAGTGAATTGATCTCGGTTTTGGGGTTTCCAATGCTAAATCGTTTCAAGTGTCTCCGTAATTGCGGATTCGATGCCAAATGCTCAGCTGGCTCCTCCACTGGACGACATGGACCTTGATGAAACGACATTTGTCACTCTGGTCACCGCTCACGAATCTCCGCAAAGGCTCTCGGACGTTCCATCTATTCGAACCCCCGGTGGCACGACGATCACTGCGATTCGCCAGGATGCCGACGATGAGCACAGTGACAGCCCTGCCGTACCCTCGCCATCATTCTCTGGGTTCCATTCTGCGCGGTCTTCTCCTGGAATGAGATTACGCTTCAACGCCCAGGTTGAGGACAGCAATCTTGACGGTCTCACTCTTGTTGGTGAGGCTCAGTCCGTTCTCGACGCCTCCAACCAGGATATTTCGGCCCTTTCATTCTTATCCGCCAATGAATCCATCTCCCACAATGGATCTCAAATCCAGGGGCAGCATGATCGCCAGGTCGTTGACGAGCCACAGCATGCTCTTGGGGCTAGTGGATCGGGACCTGACTCCTTATTGACTCAGGTTCATAACACAAACGGCTCCAACTCGGACCAGTCCAAGTCCCCGCCTGCCCCGGCACGGAGTATTGTTGAAGAAACTCCCGAGAACCGAGAAGAGCCTTCTGGGTCTTGGGAAGATATCCTACGCACGAGTTCTCAGGAAAACACTGATGAGGAAAAAGAAGCAGACCATGAAGACGAAGACAGTCTTCTTCACAGCAATCAAAGTCCTGCTCTGACCCCCCGCCCATCCCCGCCTTGCTCGCCTTCCTCCAGCTCACGTTCTGCGCACATTCCACCTCCCAGCGCTCAGCCCGAGGTTCTCTCTCAGAAATCAAAAAAACCAAAGACGACCACCAAGCTGAAGATCGAACCTCCCACCTCGCCTGCTCGCTTCAAGAGCCGTGCTGATCGCCCTTCTGCCTCTCAAATGAACGCATCGCAGATGTCCGAGTTAATAGATCTCACGTCGAGCCCAATTCCCGAAAGCCAACTTCCCAGGGAACTTCCAACCGTTCTTTCCTCAAACAGCGGCCGTAAAAAGAGCAAGAAGCGGCTGTCGCGCAAGTTTTGAATGTTGTTTTACCTTCTACCCTTTCCTTTCCTTGTCCATCTTTTATCCCCCCCCCCATGTTTATGTGCGACTAGATATCCATTCATTGTATCTTATCTATTAGGGTGGTGCTATTTAAGCCACGAACAAATCCATTGCTTTTTAACGCCCTCTGGCATGCATACCTAACTTGCGGTAGATACCTCGACGTATATTAGTAGGTCCGGAATGATTTCATTATTTATTAATAGAATATTCCCTCTGATTTGATCACCTTTGTAACCTGAAGATTTATAAGCGTATACGCGACCAAGCACAATACAGGGAATGTTGACCAACCGCACTTGATGATTGGCTCAGCGTGATGTCACTCCACGTCTACTGCATCATGCACTGACTACATAGAACTAGTCCAAAGGGTAGATAATCCTTGGCTGAGTATATGCCTGTACCACAACTGAGAGGTATTTATTCGCAATCTTTTTACTCTTGGTTCAATTGTCCCTTACCATGCCTTCCCCTCTTCCCCTCCCCCGCTCCCTGCACCTCCGTCCTTCACCAATCAGCTCTACGTCCTTAAGCCAGGGACTACGCGGAACTTGTCGTGCCAGTCGTGTGAATTTAATAGTCAGCACTGGAGCAATCCCTCATGTCCCCCGATCCTACCATACTTCTTTCTCTTTTACTTCCTACATATCACCACGAATATCACCAAAGAGAACTTTCCCTCCAAATAAACATTCCAATCGATATCAAGCTCGATTTAATCATTTCACATCTCAATTTCGAGCATCCATTCTAACCCCGCATAATTCCCACCAAATCCACATTCGCTCTCTCTCAACATCCAAAGCCAAAATGGCCCAAGAATATAAGCTCAAGGGCATAACCTCCTTCGGAGACCTGAAACATACCACTGATAAACTCGAAGCCGAAGTGGAAGGCATTCCTGATGGAAAAGTACTACTTGTGAATTTGGATGGCAAGATCCATGGCCTGAGTCCGCGCTGTACCCATTATGGGGCTCCTTTAAAGAACGGGGTCGTGTCACCTGATGGGCGGATTACTTGTCCCTGGCATGGAGGTATGATCTCCGCTCAATTATTGGCCATCATCTGCTAGTTATTGTTGCCTTCCAAAAATATGACCGCTAACAGGTAGTTCATAGCTTGCTTTAATGTCGGCACCGGAGATGTCGAGGATGCACCCGCCTTGAACGCCTTGCACAAATTCGAAGTTTTTGAAAAAGAAAGCGCAGTCTACATCCGTGCTACAGAAGCCGATATTAAAGCTGGACAAAGAAATCCAGTAGGCCAGTGCGGAGTCTCCAAATCAGACGAGAAAGTTGTTATTATTGGAGGGTAAGTCTTCTGTTTCAATGTTGCCCAGTCTCCATGCCAGCATTACCATAAATATATATATACATGTACTAAGTCTTTTCATAGTGGAAGCGGAACAATTGGCGTAGTCCAAGCGCTGCGCGAGCTCAAATACCCAGGCCACATCACTATCATCTCAACAGAACCAGAATATGTGATTGATCGTACTAAGCTCTCCAAGGCCCTCATTGCAGACGCATCCAAGATCCTCTGGCGTCCAGCCGAGTGGTATGCCGAGGCAGGAATCGAGACTCTTGTCGACGAAGTCAAAGCTGTAGACTTTTCCTCGAAGCGTCTCTCAACAGCTTCTGGAAAGACCATAGCGTATACAAAACTCGTCCTGGCCACAGGAGGAACGCCGCGCTCGCTTCCACTTCCGGGTTTTAAAGACAATGAACTGCGGAACATCTTCCCACTGCGTACCGTCGCCGACGTCCAGGCTATTCTCGAAGCGACGGGCGACGAAAAGAAACAGATTGTGGTAATCGGCTCCTCATTTATTGGCATGGAAGTTGGAAATGCACTCGCCGGCAAAGAACATAAGGTCACAATTGTGGGTATGGAGAGTGCTCCAATGGAGCGCGTGATGGGCGCCAAGGTCGGCCAGATATTCCAGCAGAACCTCGAGAAGAGCGGAATCACATTCAAGCTCTCGGCCGGCGTTGAAAAAGCCACTGCGTCCGAATCAAAGCCCAATGCCGTCGGTTCAGTCCATCTAAAAGACGGAACCGTCCTCCAGGCCGATCTGGTCATTCTAGGCGTGGGCGTGCGTCCTGCAACGGACTACCTCCAAGACAACATTGCCATCTCACTCCAGAAAGATGGATCCATCGCTGTAGACTCCAACTTTGTCGTTCCAGGCCCCAATGACAATGTCTTTGCTATTGGTGATATCGCCTCTTACCCGTACCATGGCCCAGGGGGGGAAGGAAGCCCCGTCCGTATCGAACATTGGAATGTAGCGCAAAACGCCGGACGGGCTGTCGCGCGCGCCATTGTCCATGCGAGACATTCCCCTTTATCTTCTCTTCCGCCTAAGCCATTTATCCCGATTTTCTGGTCCGCGCTTGGTGCTCAGCTGCGGTACTGTGGCAATACCGTCAATGGATATGATGATGTGGTTTTGAAGGGCGAACCTGAGAATGGGAAGTTTGTTGCCTATTACACCAAGGGGGATGTTGTTGTTGCTGTCGCGACTATGGGAGTAGATCCTGTAATGGTCAAGTCCGCAGATTTGATGAGGAGAGGCAAGATGCCTGGGAAGAAGCAGATTGCCGGCGGACTGGATGTGCTGCAGGTCAATTAATTAGAATTATTCCTTACATGTAGTCGTGGAACTTGATTTGAATTGATTCAGAGTCAGACTGTTTAATATGTACTATGTATTGCCCGTTATGTACCTATTGATTCGTGTACGTAGTACTTTGTACCTCCGGTTCTATAGATACTAGTTGCATTGCACGGACAACCACTTCCTACTAATTCCAGATATTCAAAAAGTTGAATCCAAGTTGATTTTCAATTCACATGTACACATTTGCATAGCTATAATTTCTTTTGACCGGAACGCCCACCGCGAATGTAAAAGTCAAAAATGTAGTAGAATATCAAAAACACCCGACAGAGAGAAACTCTGCCGGCTCAAGTATACAGACCCTATTTCTCCTTCTTAGGCTTCTTCTCCTTCTTCTCCTTCTTTTCTGTCTTCTCCTTCTTTTCTTTCTTTTCCTTCTTTTCCTTCTTCTCCTTCTTATCCTTCTTCTCGGCCTTTTCGACCTTCTCGATGGGCTCCAGCTCAACATCAACCACCTCCACCGCCTCAGCTGGAGGCGATACTGAAATAGGAATCACACGGCTTGACTTCTTACTCGAAGAACCCAAGAAAGCCAAAGGCACAGACTGGCCCTGGTGCTCCGATTGAATGAGCTTATCTTCATCCGTAGGATCTAGCATTGTACCCTCGATGCTCAAGAACCCACGATCCCGCTCCGAACCGGGAATAACATCGACATCAACAACACGGAACCGCACATTTCCGCGCACGCGGTGCCCAGAGACAGAGTGGAAGTGACCAGAGGAAGCTTCCTCCTCTTCTCCATCGGGACCGATATCAAGCTCGTCCGCAGCCAGCGCGGCGGGCTGGAAGTGTTCCTTCTCTGCGTCGAAGAATGCCTTCTCATTTGCACCTGATTCCTCATCTGTAGTCGCATCAACGGCTGTTCCACTGGTGCTGTCCTCGGTGCTTTGGGCCTCCTCTCCCGGTGGCACCCATGTCCAATTTTGGGGAAGTCGCTTGCGCTCGATTCCGACGGAGAAGAGGTTGAGAACGACGGCACCAAGGAATCCCTCTGATTGCACATTCACCCAGCCGTCCAGGATTTGGCCGCGCTTGGGCCGGAAGACGAGAAAAGTGGCAGTCAGGTAGACGTAGAGAACACCGTACTCATCGGCTGTCTTAGCGAGCGTCAATGGCGCAGGGTTTTGATCGGAGGACTGCTTCGGTGTAGGGGCAGGTGGCAAGCTGGAGATCGAAACGTTCGAGTAGGCCATCACCACACCTTTAAGTGGTGGGTAATAGGTCAAGAGCAGCGGGGCGAGGTGCTCCGCCTGCAGCGAGGCCAATGCATGGGTGGGCGAGATGGAGATGGGCGCCAGAGGCAGGTAGAGAGTAGCTTTGGTGAGCGAGAAGGGTGACTCGGGGTTAGGGTTGGAGTTTTCTTTGGCGGGCTTCTTGCTTTTGGATTTGGAGTCGGCTTGCTTGCGCTTTTTCGTTGGAGACGAAGCGTCCTGCTTCTTGTGTTTGCGCTTGCGCTCCACGTCTGGGGAAGTGGCTGGGGAGCTGTCGATATCCATTGCGTCGGTGGCCATTATGAGCGCAATTGAGCTGCTCCAGCGAGCTGTGGAGAATGATCGGAGTCGGTCTTTTTTATCTTTTTTCTTGATATAAAAAACTTTTTTTCATCTTGCATTTCCCTACCAGGATAGGAAGGCGGTGGAATTGGGCGGTGACGGAGAAGTAGACAAGTTACGCGCTGGGAGGACAGCAAAGTGGAGCTTCACCTCCGCAGTCGACTTTGGCCTTAAGAGGGTTAATTTACCTAGAAAAAGGTGCTGGACTTGGGATCACAACTTGTGGCTCAATAGGTCCATCATGGCATCATTGCTCCCTTTCATCGGGTGGGCTATTCTCCCAAATGTATGTGGATACTTTCAAAATGCATAGATGCGGAGAATACACTGTCTGATAAAGCCCCTCTAACGATGACAACCAATCTAGTACGCAACAAATATCCTGCAAACTGTTTACTATGGAATCACCATACGAGCAGGTGAACCTCGGCCCATGCCTCAAACTCCACGATATGAGCGTCATCGCCGTCGGATTTTCATCTTCGTGATTGTCACCTACCTCCTCTACACACTTTACGAAACCTTCCACCAAGTGCAATTAGCTGGTGACTATTACCAGGTCCTCGGTGTATCTCCATTTTCCGATGAGCGCATTATCAAGTCCCGGTTTCGTCGGCTCGCAGCTCAGCACCATCCAGATAAATCCGGAAATGACAGCGGATCTGACGCCTACTTCATGTTCCTGCGCCGAGCTCAGGAAACACTCGTGGATCCCATGAAGCGCTTCGCATATGACCGCTTCGGTCCTGATATGCATAACTGGGGTGAACAGAAGACGATGCGTGATTTTGTGATGCACTCCTTGCTCAAGTCCGTGGCGCCCCAATATGTGGGCGGATTTGTGACGATGATAGTATTGAATTGGCTATGGTGGCCGAACTGGGGTCGATATGTAAGCAGATCCATAGCAAGCAACCTGTACTGTATATACTAGGTTGTGTTATTTACTAATCGTGTTTCCAGTGGCGTTTCTATACCTTTGCCGCACTGCTCACTCTCGAACTTACCATGATCACCCAACCCCAAGCTATCTTCATGCCAACATCTTACCTCCCCGATTCAATTCAATCCCTTCTCCCCGGCGATTCTTTCTACCTCCTGCCATTCCAGGTCCTCACGCTTGCTCGGCGTGCGTCCATCACCCTTCACATCTTTATCTCCCAAGCCGCTCCACCGGGAAGTAAGAATGCCGAAAGCAATGGAGACAAGATTTCTCCACAAACTATGCAGCGAATGGGTCAGCTGGTAACAGCGTCTCGGGTTGCAGATTCCGAAGCCACGCGTTTACTGCAACTTGGACTAGCACCGTATCGTGGAGATCGGGAGAGCGTTTCTGCGCTGAGGAGGGGTATGAAGGAGGGGCTGATTCTTGGGGGCGTCAGATCTAGTCCCGAGGTCCAGCGGGCTGTCGCGCAGGTCGTAGAACGGCGGAATGCAGAAGGGAAAATCGAGTGAAGAATTTGTAAATTTGGTTGTTAAAGCATACTTTAGAATTCAATGTTGTATATTTGCGATTGTCAATACAGTGCATTGTATAATGTGTACTATATGGATGTATGTTTCCAAGGTTGAACATTGAATGTCAACCCTTGAAACACCCGGGCCTCATGAGTGCTGGCAGCAGTTCAAAGTCTCCACATGTGCAGGCAATTGACATCCGGGATAGATTTAGCCTAGTTATACCTACCAGTTGACTAGCTTGAGGCACCTGGGTAGTACCTACTAGCTAGTTCAAATGTTGTGGACAAGAGGGTACATGTAAGTTTGCATACTCGTGGTGCAGTATTTGAACACTTGAAGAATACAAGGTTAAATTATAAAAATTGATTGGACTTATTTGCACTTCTATGACCTTATTTTTTTCCGTTAAACTCCAACTTAATCAGTAATCAATCCCCTCTATTGGCGTCTTCCAATGCTTCGTTGACCGGCATTAACAGCGACAGTGACCTCCTCCAAACATCCAGCGGCGGCGGCGAAGAAACCAAGGAAAGCCTTGCTGGGGCTCAACACACGGCTGAGATACTCAGGGTGGAACTGCACACCGACGAACCAAGGGTGGTCTTTGATCTCAACGATCTCCATACGCTCACCCTTGATGTCCTTTCCGATAAAGGTTAGACCGGCCTTCTCGATCTGGTCGATCATAGCCGGGTTCACTTCGTAGCGGTGACGGTGGCGCTCCTCCACTTGAGAGGTGGTGGGGCCATACATGGCACGCAGGCGGGACCACTCGGTTCCCTCCTGGAAGATACAGGGGTGCTTGCCCAAACGCATGGTGCCACCAAGCTTGTCCTTGTCAACCTCGGGCATGTAGACGATGGCGTGATTCTTGGCGTTGGGGTGCAGCTCCTCACTGCCAACATCCTCAATGCCCGCGACGTTGCGGCAGTACTCGAGAACAGCCAGCTGCATACCGAGACAAACACCGAGGAAAGGCTTCTTCTGGGTACGAGCCCAGGTGATCGCCTTGATCTTACCCTCAGTGGCTCGGTTGCCGAATCCGCCTGTCACGAGGACACCGTCAGCAGTGCAGACGGCGTGCCACGCCTTGTGGTACTCGGCCGGCGAGTTGGTCTCCTCCTCAAGGTGCGAGGCGTCGACCCAGACGATCTGAACCTTCTTGTGGCAGTACATAGCAGCGTGCTCGAGTGCCTTGGAAACACTGATGTAGGCGTCGTGGAGGGCAATGTACTTGCCGACCAGGGCAATGGAGACGGTGTCGTGGACGAACTCCTGACCACGGGCCAGCTCACACCAATCATCCCACATGCGCTTGCCAGACTCAATGCGGTCGGCGGGGGCGCGGGAAGAGAGGTCTTGAGGCTGAGGAGGTTGCTGATGGTGCCAACGAGGTTCTGCTTCTCCAGAAGCATGGGCACGTGGTATGTGGTTGTGACGTTGTGCACACCCAAAACCTGGTGAGGCTCCATGGAACACATGTTGGCAATCTTCTGGATGGTGGAAGCCTCCAGTGGCAGTTCACAACGGCAGGCGATCAGGTCGGGGTTCAAGCCGGCACTGCGCACATCGCTCATAGCACGCTGGGTGGGCTTGGTCTTCTGCTCACCACCAGGTCCCGGAGGAATGACGGGGACATAGGAGACGTGGATCTGAACAAAGTTGCCCTTGCCCGCACGACGCTGGAGCTGACTCAGGGCATGGATGAAGGGAGCACTCTCGATATCTCCGACGGTACCACCGAGCTCAATGATGCAGACATCCGGCTCAACCCCGGACTCGTCAACGGGAATGCGAGCCACACGCTCAATCCAGTCCTGAATGGCATCGGTAACGTGGGGCACAACCTGCACGGTCTTACCCAGGTAGTGGCCAATTCGTTCCCGGTTGATAACGTGTTGGTAAACTTTACCGGTGGTGATGTTGTGGTCGCGGGTCAAGGTGGTGAGGAGGTAACGTTCGTAGTTGCCGAGGTCGAGGTCCATTTCGCCGCCGTCATCTGTGACATAGACCTCACCGTGTCTATAAAATTACACCGGTGAGTCAACGGGTTTCAATCGAGACGTGGAATCGTAGATACTGACTCGGTGGGGGCCATAGTACCCGCATCGATGTTGATGTAGGGGTCGATCTTGATACTGGTGACCGCCAAACCAGTGGTCTTGAGCAGCAGGCCAGTGCTGGAGGCAATAATACCTTTGCCCACGCCGGAGATGACACCTGCACACGAGGGGTAAATTAGCTTGCTGTTTCCTCCCAATAATGTTTGATTTTGGGTCTTTTGCTTTTGCAACGGATGATTGGGACAAAACAAACTTACCTCCAGAAACCAAAACGTACTTCATCTTGCCGGCAAGCAGAGTTCAGCAGACTAGACCAGTGCGCGAAGAAATGAGCGACACGGCAGAAAAGCAGAAAGAAAATGGAGATTTGCGCCGCGGTGAAAATCGACGCGCTAAGCCTAGTTCGGCGGTCACGTGTGTTCCATTGAATCTCGAGAAGTATAAAACATGTGATCAACGCCAGTATAGATTAGATCCATGATGGGATAGTTACTAGTATACCAAGATTTTTTTTTTTCTGTTTTTATTTTCATTGTGAGATGGATGAGGAAATAGTTGCATTTATACCTTGTTGAAGAAAAGACGTATAGTGCCGTAGATAGAAGTTAGTACATACTAGGACAGAGAGCCGTAGTTAATCTGCATCTGTAGCCTTCTATGTATACTAGTAGATATGGACAAAACCCGTGGGAGAAAAAAAAAAGACACTAGTTAATGTCTCACGGGGATTGTGGATTCGAGAAGCTACCTAGACAAGGACAAAAGTACGGATTGAATAAATGAATCTGACCACCAAGTTTTGATCCCCGTGTGCTATTTTTTTCGGGACGCAGCGGGTACCGTCGACTTTTTAGACTGGAATGAGATCCATCGACCGAGTTAGGGTTGGCAAACTGGATTCGGAATGCTCTGGGCCGGGGAAGATAGATTGTACACCCCGAAAAAAGAACTTGAAGCATTGTGAATAGAAGGATTGAGAGTTGATGATCTTGTTGGAACTTTTTCTTTTGTATTTCCATATGCATATAAATGAAGGGAATCAACTCTTTGAATATATACCAGTTTTGGGAGTTGTACGTCTGTACAGATTCTTTGATGCAGATCGGGTCCAAAAGTGGTAATATTGGTCATGTATTGTCACCAGGTGCGAGAGATTGCACCAAATGGCGGCAAATCCAGCCAAACCCAGCCAAATCTACCCCTTCCGCTCCTACTGATTCTGGTGTAATCCGGTCACACGGTGTACCAATTCTGGACGCGAGGCCCTCACCTCTTTTCCCCCCCTGTGTCTCTTCTACGGCTGCGAACCTTTTTTTTTTTCTGATTTGGGTCTTATTCAGAGAAATTAAACGAGATGAAATCCACTCGCCTCAACATCCCTTCTTTTCCCTCCCCGCCACTCTCATCCTATCCCCCCATTACCTTCCCCTCCTCCCTACTTATGGTCTCGTCCGCATTCACAATCGACACTTTTGCCTCACTTTGAAGCATTAATTCGTTTTCCCCCAAAAACCCTCCATCTTCCGGGCGGTGGAAACACCCACGTCACAATCACCGCCCCTAACAACCTCCTGATCCTCCCCAATCTGTTCACCACCACGAGGACGCGGTCAAACTTCCCAACTTTCAACCACCATCGCTCTTCATCATGCCTCCCGCCGGCTCTACTACAAACGGTCGCTCCAATCGCGCCAGTACCTCTAAAGTCACCCCTAGCTCCTTGGTGGTGACTTTAAAACTATCTCCAAAGGCCTTACGCCAACTTCTAGGCGAACCCCTCGACGGAAACTCCCCTGATGTCAACCTCGACAAGTCCGCAGATCGCGCCTCGCCGGCCTCCTCTGCCGAAGTCCCTGCCGTCCGTCCTTCCTCTGCCGACAATGGATCTGATGTGGATGCCGCCTCAACACCTGCTGCTGGCGCAACTCCAGGAGACACCCCGCAGCGGAAGGGAGTCCCGGGTCCTAAGCCGGGCAACAAACGATCAAACGGACAAAGCGATGCCGCGTCGCGTTCAAGGGGAAGACCTGGGCCCAAGAAGAAACCCCGACTGTATGTTTGGAACCCACGAGGGATTTGGAATGATCGGAATGCTAATACAATGCTTTTATATAGTGATGAAGGTGGCGGCGACGCTGGTAAGCCAGCAGCTAACCACCGCATTGGCCCCAAGGCCAATACAGGTGCTATAAATGCTGGTTTGCGTGCCCTTGACCGTACCGGCGCTCCATGTCGCAAGTGGGACCGACAGCCTCTGAAACTGCGCAGTTTCACCGGAGTTGCCTGGGAACTGCCTGCTTGGCACTCCTTCAAAACTGCGCACTTGGATTCCGAGTTGAACAAAGATGGCATTCTTGAAAGCGGCGACAGTGACAGCAAACCCACTCTGGCGGTCCCAGGCCCCGACACCCTCAATGGCAGCAGTGCTGTTCCAAGTGAGAAGAGCACCGGTGACGGCGACGGTGATGTCACCCCTGCCCCGTCCACCATGGTAGCACCCTCATCTCCAGCGATTGCCATGGCGGCATAAAAGCCCTGGATTGTACATTAACTTCTGCCTTGTTTTCTTTTACCTTGTTTTTGTTTCCCCTTTGTTTCCTTTACGATCATGTCTCTGGGTTGGGTTTCTAGGCTTGGCGTCTTGAGTGATTTCATGGTGTTTGCTTTTATTTTCTGTATGGGTTAGGGTCGTATATCGCGTCACCCTAGGAACTGATAGGGTTGGGTCATCTCTAGGTTTATCGGGCTTCATCTGGCTTCATCTGGCTTCTTTCTTGTATTATACAATATTTGCATTTTCTTCTTTTCTTCTTTTCTTCTTCCCTTCTTTCTTTCCTTGTCTTTTTTTATGTTGTTTTACATGTACCTTGTGCTTCTCGACTGGGTTAGAATCAGTGCTAGTTTTGGCTGTTGACCTTCGGATAGGACCAGTTGACCATAGCGCCGCCTTCTCTTCCCAATAAAAGTCCAAATTTGATTCAAGGCTATTTATTTACAGCTTGTATCCTATATCTAAAAACAAGTGGTGTTGGATCTGGAAATCTCAAGTGCTCCTTATCTAAGATACATACTAGTGAATTCGCTTGCTAAGTTCACGGGCTTCTCCGGGTAGCAGTTGTGTGATTTATAGTTATAGTTCCGTCCACGATTCTAAGACTCTGCGCTGAATAGGTAACCAAGGTCGTACACAGAAAACCATTCTAGGTCGAACCTGGGCTAAGATAACAGGTATCATTTCACTAGATCAAAATAATAACTGTTTTTAAGTGTTGTATGCGCCTAAGAAAAAGGCCTCGTGACAGTTTCTTTCCAATCACCTCTTCCCTCCCCTCTTTTTCCTGTTTCAAGACATCCCGGAATCTTCCCCGCAAATCCCGATAAGTTGATTGTTGTCTTGTGTTCGACCAGAATACTTACATTTGTGATTTCAGACTAGGGATTTTTGTTTTGTTTTGCTTCTCTTGGACTGGTTTGATTCCACATTGCTGTGTTGCGGCCTCTTCGCTGTTTTCGGTCACCCAGATGACCCGCTGGTCACGCAACAGTCAGCAAGAGATCCTTTAGCGCGACGGTCGGCGAAGCGGGGAACAAGAAAAAAAGAGAGGAATAGAGGAGGAGGGAGGCAGAATAAGAATCTATAGGATTCAAAGGAGCTGCACGGACGAATAAAAGAGACTATTCGCAGTTTGTTAAGGGAAAAACCAGTGGGAGAGAGAGAAGCATAGCGCCGCCCCGTCATCCATTGGGGGTGACCCGCACGCCCACCATGGGTGATGTTCCTTTCCCCGGTGGAGCTCCTCGAGCTCCAGGATACGGTATCGGCCAACGTCGCTCTTCATACGCCTCCGTCGTGTCAGGCAACGCATTCTCTCCCCCAAATTCCACTTCATTCTCTCATCTGCTCAACTCTAATCCCATCTCCTCCTACCCGCCACCTTCCCCCTCCGAAGGCCATCTCCACCGGGCCTTGTCCGGCTTGAATGCCGCAGATATGCACCTCAACCCGGCCTCAAGGTCCACTACCTCCCCGGACTCCCTCCCTCCTCATTCTCGTAAATATGCTGGGATCGTGCGCTCGACAGACTTTACACACAACCTCACCATGACTGATACTCCGCCGTTCTTGACTCCTTCCTATCTCCGCGACTCCACATACATCTCCCGCCTTGACGCTGTCCATCGAGCCAAAGTGGCCGCCCGGCAGCGAGATCTATCCTCATCGAATCCCAGCTCGAATCCTCCCCTCTCAGCCTCTTCCAGCCATGTCAACCTTCACCGCATGGCCCCGTCCCACCGCGGTATGACGTATGATCTCATCGAGAAAGAACCCCCGACGATTACCGAAAACAACATCAGCCCACTCCCCACGCAGTGGAGCTCCTCGGACAAATACAACGGTCTGGAATTGTCACCTGATGGCTATGATGTGCGGTACGCTGGTCCTGTCCACAAACATGACCACGAGGCTGCCGCGTTGCGGGCCGACAACCCAATGCCACCCCAGTGCGGGATTTACTATTTTGAGATAAAGATCGAATCGAAGCCGAAAGAAGGGTATGTACTCTTGAATGATTGAAATGTTTCCACCGGGCATACTGGTATCGATGCTAATGGCTATCATTTTTCACAGCATGATTGGTATAGGTTTCTCCAGTACGAAGGCTTCAGTTGAAAGACTCCCAGGATGGGAGCAGGAATCCTGGGCATACCACGGTGATGATGGAAAATCGTTCTATGGTGAAACTCAAGGACAGGGCAAGCCATATGGACCAACCTTTGGCGTTGGAGACATCGTCGGGTGTGGGGTCAACTTCTCCACCGGCCAGGCCTTCTTCACCAGGAACGGTGTTTTTCTAGGTATGTGACATTTTGAAGATTTTTGGAAGGGTCGAACTAACGGCAAGCTCCAGGATATGCGTTTCGAGAATTGCGCGACGTCAAGCTTTATCCATCTGTTGGGATGAAGAAACAACCTCCGGTGCATTTAAAGGCGAATTTTGGCCAGGAGCCATTCGTATTCGATATCGATGGCATGGTTCGGGTATGTAAGCCCCATGGACCCTTGAAAATTACACAGACTAAATTCTTGCAGCATGAGAAAGTCGCCATAGAATCCCTGATTAACGCGACGAGCACGGACAGCTTACAACCGCCATTAGACGAATCATCATTGCTTCAGGAATTGGTGGCTCAATTTTTGGCTCACGATGGCTACGTAGAGACTGCACGGGCATTTGCCGAAGAGGTTGCTACTGAAACAGCCGCCCTACAGAATGGGCACGATGCGCCCTTGAAGAAATATGAAGTCGAAGAAGATCACGAGGCCATTAATCGGAACAGTAAGTTGATATTGACTAATCACCGGATGTTCAGACAATTGACCTATAACAATAGGGATTCGCGCTGCTATTCTCGATGGCGATATCGACAAAGCTCTGAAGCACACCAAAGCATACTATGCCGCTGTTCTAGAAGATCACCCACATATTCTTTTCAAGCTCCGGTGCCAAAAACTACTAGAAATGCTTCGCCGAGATAACGAGGCCATAACTGCCGCACAAGCCGAAAAATCAGAACCCCGCCGCGCTGCATCTCCAAATCATGACAACGAGCACGCTGTCTTTGACCAGGACATGGAAATAGACGACGGAAACTGGGATGCAGATGGAATGGATACGGAAGACCTTGAGCCTGAATCAGAGCCCGAGCCTGCATCTACATCAACATTTTCGACGGAAGCCCTTATGTATGGTAGGCAACTACGTACGGACTACCCATCCGACGAAAGTGGCGGGGACCAGAAATTGCTTAATGACATCGCTTCACTGTTGGCATATACAAACTCCAATTCTCAACACGGCCATTTACTGGACCCTGCTGGGCGGGCAGTTGTTGCAGAGGAATTGAATTCGGCAATCCTTGGTAAGCTTTTCTTTTCAACATCGCAATCGTGAATTATGCTAACATGGCTAGTCTCCCTTGGGAAATCGTCTTCCGCTGCTTTAGAACGGTTGTATCAGCAAACAGAGGCTCTGGTTAACGAGATCAGTGAAGACGGCGGCGCTGGGGCGTTCATCAATGTTCGGAATTACATCAACGATCGCAATGACGGTTTACTTTAAATCGGCGCTGGGGGTCCTTCGGTTTATTTTTTTTTTGGTTTCTCCTTCCATTTCACATCCCTCTAGACCACGTTCAAGATCATCATGTCTTCGGGTCTGTCTTAGTTTCTCTACTCTGAGCGGGGTTGAATTGGTCTTGACATTATTCATGTTATTCTTCTAAGGTTTTTCTCTCTTCTCGTCAATCATTAGCCAGAATGTTTTATTGATCACTTACTCGAGGGTTTGCTTTTCCTTATTCAACGTTTCTTTTCTCTTCTAAGGTTTTCTTTTCAAATTTTTCTTGCGATTTGTGCCTCATGTTTCCCCTTGAAGCACTTGAATGTTCCTGGTCATATTGATTTTTCTGCAGCGTTGGCTGCTGCTGAATTTGGGGACGGGTACTAGTCCTCGGGTTGGGTTTGATGTGAAACATAATGTTTGAATGAACATTGAAATGGACGGCATGATGTGCTCATCTAATTCTACTAGTAGTCACGGATTCTACATATGCACTAGCAACCTTGGAGCCAGACGGGTGCTGGTGGTTTTGTATAAGCAGTCAGGAGTTCATGCTAGATAATAGATATGTAGCACTCAAGTGCTTGAGTAGTGTCTTCGATTCACATGAACCAAATACATGTATACACCTATTCAATGGATGCTGCCTATGTAGCCTAGTATGTATCTAGATTCTAGACTTCCAAGGTTTTGCTTCTTCCAACTAATCTTTGTGCCTCCAAAATGAATTCAACGATACCCTCAAGCTGGATTTGAGATTGAAGCATCTAAAGCAAACACCGGTTGACATCTATGGATCTACACTGCACCTTTTCATAGTAGTGGATGCTCCCGAGGTCCAGTCTTGAATACCTACTAGAATGGATCGCTTCCCTTGAACCTTGGAAAAAAGAATTATATGGCAATATTGCCTTATTCAATGTTAAGTACCTCGCCTTTGGGAACTTCAATTATCGCCTTTAATTCATTACTACAACTTGGAAGTGAATAATCTACTAGCACGTCATAGGTTAGCCCTAGAGGGTTTGTGTTGCTTAACACTGCAAGGGTTCCAACGTTAGATGTGTCAAGGCACTTTCAAGGAGAATGCAGGTGCACACGTAGAAAAATGAGCGCCTCCCAACACAATTCCTCCGTACAGTCAGAAAAGCCCCTGAGTATCCCTTCTTCAGATATATAACTATAAACAGACCCTCGAGTATATGATGCTTGCTTCTAAGTGGTCGTGGTTTCCGTACGTGGCTTTAATAGCCATTACATAATCACATTACATCAGCGATTCAGCTGATTTCTCCGCTTTCTTGCGCCAGCAACTGTGATATCTGTACCCTGGTCCTTGCACCACTGCGCAGAAAAAGCTGTGCTCTGTGATAGCTCTCATTCAGAGAACTGCCAAAAAAAAAATTCGAATGATTAGTTTGCTCAACTGTTGCTCCCTCAAGGGGTAACATTCTCATACCACCCATGGATTCCCTCCCGCATAGCTCGGGCGGGAACCATTATCCCAGCATTCCGACTCATTCCCGCGGCCCAACTTCTCTGCGCTGCTGCTGTGGTCGTGATGACTGTGCCCTGCTCGAACACAATAATGTCGCTCTCGAGGGTCTGGAGAAAGACCTGGAGACGGCCGCAAAATTAGGTCAGGTACGTTGCATATTTGTCTTTTTATATGTTCGCTGCGATCGTCAGTCTTCAGTCACACCGCTGTGGGGCTTGGTGGTTAGCTGAGCCATGCATGTTTGATACATCATTTCGATTCCATCATTCCAGAGCAAGTGGCTTGCTTTTTTTTTTTTTTTTTTTTTTTTCGGAATGGGCCTTTTTTGTTGCCGAGCTCCTTCATCCGCACTCCCCACATCTCTATCTATACCGGAATAAAGTTTCCAGCCCTTTGTTCAATTCACCTTACTTGTCTTGCTTCTATGGACTCCCTCATATTGAGGTCCCCTGTGCTGTCTCGTTGCGTTGGCGTCCGTCATGACCACCTTATATTCCCACGATGACTCTATTCCACCACACTGTCATGCGTCGTCGTCGCTGACTTTTGCTCTACAGGCTCTCCTCCATCGCCATGAAAGTTATATGGCCGAGGCGGAAGAGGACCGCCAGCGCTTGATCGACAATGTCGACTCGGTTGAGCGCGAAAAACGTCAGGTACAAGCGGAGAATGCACGCATAGTTGAAGAAAACCGCAGTCTTCTGGAACAGCTCGAGGGGTTGAACAAGACTGTCGCCGACTCGGACGACCAGATACAGTCGTTGAGTCTCACTTTGGAAAGAACCCAGGCGGAGCTGCGCAGGTTAACAGTTGCTGCATCGCATGCCGGGGAGCTCGAAACACAGTTAGCTATCATGGAGGTCGAGCAGTCGAGAATGCAGGATAGCCTCATATCTGCTCAGGAAGATGAGCGGTCTGCTGTACAACGTTGGCGCAATGCCGAGAGCGCACTACGGTGCCTCAATGACCAGGTTCAACGGATCGAGACGGAGGCTCGCGAAGAACGCGAGCGACATGAGGACTTGATTCAGCGAATGGAGCGCAAGCGAATCGTGGAACGAGAACTGGACAATGCTGCTGTCAGGCTGAAGGGTGCAGCAGCCGCCTCTGAACTCACCCGCAACTCTGGGACGCATGTGGTTTCACGCTTTGTCAAGGATATCTTGGAAGACAATGCGCATTTGCAGGTTGGCATCACGGAACTGCGTGAAATGCTCGAGAGCTCCAACCAGGAAGTGCAGAATTTGCGGGATCAGGTTCTCTACCACCAACCGCTGGACGGCCTGGACGAAGAGAACAATGGTGAATTTACTCCGACTGCAACACTTTCCGAGGAACTAGAGGCAAAGGAACGTCGTGTCTCCCAAGAATTCCACGTCCACCACCACTACCACACCCCAACATCATCACGCAAAGACAAGGGCTCTCTCAACCGTCGTGTCAAGAAGAAACGGCCTTCCTTGGGAAGTCCTGCCCCCCTGCACTCTGCCGCAATTCACTCCCCTCGGCGATCCATTCATCGCTCCCAGTCGTCGGGGTCATCTATGAATACAATCTTATCACAAACATCCGCCTCTATTCCACCGTCCTCCTCCCGTCGATGGTCTATGCAATCTCCACCGGCAGATTCTTTGGCAAGCTCCCCGCGATCTGCCTTTCGCACCTCGTCGATTTTCGATCGAGGAGATCGTGGATACGATTACTCTCAAGCTACTAGCCCAGATAGCACCGTTTTCTCTTCTCCTCTTACCGATGCCCAACACACCAAAGGCTTTGATCTACCGATCAGGTCGATGAGTGACTTTGAAAAATTTGACCAACCGTCCATGGACGACCCGTCTGGCTTTTTCAATGAGGATAACTACGGTCGACCCGCGTTCTTGGATCTATATGATGGCATGAAAACCCATCATGCTATCCCAGAGGAGTCCGAACCATCATCCTCTGGAATTTATTCTCAATCTATAACAAATGACCCCTCATCAGCTCATGCGGAGGGTATTGCTGGGCTCAATATACCATATACGCCTTCGCTTCGCAAGTCGTCGTCCCACGACAGCCTCCTCTCCGTCGCTGGCATGGACATTCATACTCCTATCAACCGCCAAGCCCGCATGGGTGTCTGGCACCCAGGCATCCGCATTCCTCAACGCCTCATCTCTCCCAGCGTTGGGCTAAGTTCTACACCTCCAATCATATCGGTCGCCACAATCACAGCCGATCGCGCCAAGGGCCCCGAGAAATCCTCTCGCTCTTTACTTGCCTCTATGGCTGCAAGTGCTGGGAACAGCCTTCCCGTAGACTCCGCATCTGTCGTTTCGGCGGACAGTTCCAGCACTGCCTCCACCACAACCCCTGGATCTCGCAAGTCCTCCGCGTTGGGTCGATGGGTTTTGGGTCGGTGGGGGACAGCCCCTGTTTCCGAAGACAAGGATCCTGAGATCGAAGAGCGCATTGCCGCGATTGAATCTGCTTTAATCCCAGAACCCTCATCTTCAGAAACAACATCTACGGCCCCTCCCAGAGTGCCACCTTCAGATGTAGATCATGCATCATCATTCCGCTTCAGGTACCCGGGCGTGAATCAAAAGGGCCCAATCATGGGTCTTCGTCCTCCGCCTGCAGCCCCAGTGACCCTTCAAGTGCAGGGCATTGATGAGAATCTCTTGCGAGAAAGTCTTGCTGAAAGTGGCGAGATGGGCTGATTCTCGTTTACTGGTTACTTTGCTCAGTATTTTGCTCTCCCCCTCGTTTTCATCTTATTCCCGCCCTTCCTTTCCCTCCTACTACCCCATGGTATTTTTAAAGCATTGCATTGGGTGGACTGTCTGCTAGTTTTGCATTGCGTGGTATATACTGTCTTAGTTTGCTGGTTCGGGTGCTTTCCCAGCACCTAAATAGTTCTGGCGTTGTCGACGATACCCTGAAGACGTTCCTTTGATATTTCCTTTTTGTCTAGTTCGCTTGAAGCCTTTCCTGGGACGTGACCACCTTGCAGATATATGGTTTCAAAGAGTGGCAGAGAGTGGCAGAGAGTGGCAGTGGCTACTGTATGTTTACAGACAAACCTCCAAAATCATCAATATCGTATCCTTCATTGTGCCCAAGTCAGACATTCCAGTAATTGATATGGGTATTAAGTCATACAAGTTCATAGCTTCATTATAGTGACTCTCATCCCGGTAAAACTCGATACGTTCGAACCGGGATGTCGGTAGCATGGAAGAACCCAGTCTGTTGATGAGCTGGTGCGGACTCGAATGGCAAGGGCTCAACTTTGAAACCATGGGAATCTGTCCACGATATTAGTTTCTTATATTTGGCCTCTTAAATGGTCTAACTCACCACATCCAGTTGTAAATGCCTGGAACGTAGCTTCATTCCTCAAAGCCACTCCAGTAATAAACTCTTTGACCTGATAGTTTTCAAAGAGATCTCGAAGGGTCGATAGAAGCAATGGAACAATATCCGCATCGTAGACCTGCGGGTTAAATCAGCACATAATTATTGACCAAGAGAAGATGAAAGGGAAATTAGGGATCATACCAAATCTGCACCAAGAGCAATGTCAAAACTCATCTTACCCCCCTCACCCAACTCTTCTTTCCCCTCTAGAGGCGTCCCCCAATCCCAGAAAGCAGGATACATAGGAATCATTTCACCACCCGCAGCCCCCGAGTTCAATCGCACGCACTCCTTCATATTCTCTAGTAGTACAGGCTCCCGGTCCGTCGCAACCACGACTTGTGCACCGAGATGTCGCGCACACAGCAGCGACAGGAACCCCGTTCCTGCGCCAAGCTCGATAACCCTTTTCCCTTGTACGATAGCCTGACCGGTCGGGGACGTAAGGAACGAACCTAGATGAAGCGCCGCTTCCCATGTTCTGTTTCCAGTTGTTCTGCCCGCAAGGAGCACGCCCCGCGATTCAACGGTGATGACAGTCCGGTCTGTCGAAGTACACTTCGGCTGGAGCGGAGCGGTGTATTTAACGTGGGAGAGTTCTGTTGCTGCATCAAGAGGACTGGGTTTTGGTTGAGTAAGGAGGTCACCCCAGGCTGTCATTAATTCATCGAGGATTTCCTGTCGGAAATTGATTGGTTAGTTATCGTGTGTGTTCCTGATGTTCCTGAATAAAGCGGGTATGACGACATGTGGGGTAGCATTTTTTTTTTTTAAAAAAAAAGGATCGGCGCGAACAGATTTCCGCACAGAGGTGAATTCAAATTCGAAAAGGGGTTCATGTTCAGGGTAAACTGTACATGGGGATCATACATCTTCCTCGGGGTTTGCAACGGCACCCTCGATACGGGCGATGAGCAATTTGAGAATGCGAGCCCGATATGTAGCTGGTGGTAGTGGGGTCAAGGATTCATCGAACATGTGCTCGTATAGGGCTGTTTGGACTTCGGGGCGTATGAGGACATTGTCTGGTGGAAGATCCAGATCTGTTGGGTTGACCAGCTGGAAATATTGAGCTGTTGGGATATGAATGATGTCGGCCATGGTTGATTTAGAGAGAAGATGGGGAAGTGGTGGCTGAAAACCCATATCTTCGGTGACGTGCGCAATTACCGGATGTGGCTTAGCGCAGGTCCTATTTTTGGGGAACTATAAAGCAAGGGCAAAATGTTAAGTGGACCTCGAGTAAAGAGCAATTTTTCCTGAATGCTGATTTTATTCAGTGAAGGTCTGAGAAGTACTAGTAGATAGCAGAAGTCAGGATGGGAATGGACTCCTGGACAAGATGGGAGAGGAAGTCTCTGGGGGTGAAAAGGGAAGTGAACATGGGAGAGGGGGAGAGGGGGAGAACTTGAGTATAGACTCTAGAGCATGTGACCTTTGCTACAGCAGTATTACTAAGTACTAAGTACTACCAGTAAGTACACTACTAGTAACTACCAAGTCCTTAGATTGAACAGAGAAGGAGTAATTTGGCTGTGAGCTACTGCCCCTTGCCCTCATGGCCTAGTCGTCCATGAGTACCGCTGATGATCTTCCTGGTTGCGCCCGGATTCGTTCCCCCCTTCCACAAGTGATGGCGTTGGTCACCGAAAGGTGATCGGTTCGATACCGGACAGCATCAAACTGACCTTGGTTATTATAATCGAATCATTGTCAGGGCGACACCATGGGTTAAGCAGAGAGGGTTCCTCGACATCCATGGGGGCTTGAATACAGAGAATGGGGCGTGGTCACACTTGAACCATCGCTAACAAACCAAAGTTTTTTTTTTTTCCCCTTTCTTGTTATTTGATGAAGCTATTCCCAACTCTGTCTTCCTTTCCTCCTTGAAGCTATTTTTATCACAGTTTCCCCACCCTCTCCCGTTATATTTGAAGCTATTCCCAGTCCCCCCCCCTCGATCTCTCCCCCATCCCCCCCCTCCAACTTCATCAGCGTATGTATTCCCATCCCCTCTCACATTCAAATTGTTAATCTTCTCCCCTCCCTTATTTTCCGGATGTGACCTCACGTAATATACTACCTGTCGTTCCCCTCCTCCACATCCCCTCACTCCATTCATGAAGCCATTCCCATCGCCCAATCGTATTCCTTGCTCTATGTTCCCCTCATAATTGCTTACCAGTAGGTAATTAATTTTCTCCACGGATCAATGTTTTTTTTTCTTTTTTTTTCAATCTGTGTTGATTTCGGCTATTATCAGATCTACTTGGCTTCTGTCCTTTTTCCATTTTCTCTTTCCACTACTCACTAGCATTGATTACTCCTAACCTTCAGTAGCAATTCTAACTGATTACTGGAATGAACGATTTTTTTTTCACTCCACAGTTTTTTTCCTCCAAACGGATTCCAAAGGTATACAATGATACTGATGATCTAGAAGCAGTAAGATTAAAGATATTGATAAGCAGATACAACTGATGAGGATACGATGAAAACCGATAAGCGCTTATCAGCCTATAAGTCAGCAGCCCCGTGACCCACCTGACCTAAGCACTTCCCAGAACGGACTAGCGCGTATCCGTAGCCGAGAAACGCACACCACGAAAATTGAAAGTCCATCCACACTCATTCGAATTCCTGCATCACCACTCACCACCAAAATGGCCGACACTCCCGTTACTCTGCGGACTCGCAAGTTCATTCGCAACCCTCTGCTCGGTCGCAAGCAGATGGTCGTGTAAGCGATCCCCCCCTTTTTTCCCATCCTGTCGGTCAGGCGCAAAATGGCAATCCAGGATGAAAAGCAAGGACCCATCGAAATTCGATAAAAAACTCCCCAAAACCATCCGCGCTTCATCGACACGTTCACAACTGGACATGCAAGGATGCAATGGGGGACTTGAATTGTCATGGATTTCACCAATCTTGCCGCACAGACCGACAAGACGATTTTTGAAACTTGCGACTGACTCTGATCTCGTGTAGGGATGTCCTCCACCCCAACCGCCCCAACGTCTCCAAGGATGAGCTCCGCGAGAAGCTGGCCGACCTCTACAAGTCCAACAAGGACCAGGTCTCCGTGTTCGGGTTCCGCACACAGTACGGTGGTGGCAAGTCCACTGGCTTCGCTCTGGTCTACGACTCCGCCGAGGCCCTGAAGAAGTTCGAGCCCCACTACCGTCTCGTTCGCATCGGTGTTGCCGACAAGATCGAGAAGCCTTCCCGCCAGCAGCGTATGTCTCCCCCAATATTTTCCCCCTCAAAAAAGGATCTTTTCTCTCGAGAATCTATCTACCTCCTCGTGAGGTTGCCTCCTTGAAGGCCGACCCTCTATATTGGTCACCCCCACTGACACTACTGATTTACAGGCAAGCAACGCAAGAACCGCTCCAAGAAGTTCCGCGGTACTGCCAAGACGAAGGGCCCCAAGAAGTCCAAGGACTAAGCGTCTCGCCTTCCTTGACTCGATGGATGCGTTCGGTGGCCTGGTGGTTCTGGGAATCTCCTGTATTACATTTTCTATTTTTTGAAATGTAAGCAGTCGTGGTCGATGGGGGATGACACGGAGGCATTAAGATATGAAAAAAAAGACTTTTTTTATTGTGATGTGTGGACTATCTCCCGACTCCCAGAAGAATTGTCGTTTGGTGGTTTTGCCTCCATATGGGAGCCGGGTCTGCTATACCCTGTAGATCTCGGTTCTCTCGAGATCTGATGATCCCTGTTTCAAAAGGCGTCAACGTTGGTTTTCTTTTGTGCTTTGGGTCATCAGCTCGAATCAAAAACGAGGGATATGAGAATCCGGAATGTGGCTGCTGCCCCCGGCATGAATTACATATTTTCTATTTCTGTTCAGCCATGCACGTGCCTGTTCAGCGTAGACGTAGCCATCTGGATGCACATTAGATGTAGATGTACAACTTCCACCGTCTCCATCCTTTCCCCCACACCCCCCCCAATCCTACTAGTAATACGAGGTACGTGCGCCTTCTCCCATCCGGGCATTATGTCAAATGTTCCATTGAGTCCGGGGAAAACCCGCACTTGAAGATATCAAAACTCAAAATATGTTGCTCCACTTTACTACCTCGAGATCCAGACTAGTTAGGTGCTGGCACACCATGTCCTTGAACTTGACCTTGTCCCTGTCTCGGTTCCTGACATGTGCAATGCCCTCTAAATAAAGTCACACAAATCACCCCGGTAAACCTTCATAATCTACCTAGGCAATACCCAGACTAGGTTAGCTTATTCCGGGGAAACCGGGGCAAGACGGGACAGCCGAAAGAGTTCCCCAAACTCAACAGTCTATTCATACACATGCGGCATATATCCCGAGTCCGGATGAGGTTTGGACTAAAAAGCTACTTATGGCGTACAGCACACCATATACGGTATCTAGTACAACAGAGCAAAGGTATATCAATTGGATACTAGTATATACCACCTACCATACAAAACTTGGCCCAAACTGACCAAAGCATCTAGAGATAGGGAACAGAATGAAGATGAGTGATATACTAGATTAATGGAAATCATCAAAAATCCGTACATATGTATCAAATTATATAAAAAAAAAAGGAATTTCATCGGGGCACACCACTTCTAACATTGAAGGTTATATTATATATACTTAGTCCCTTGCTCACAAAAGTACCTAGATAGTCAACCTGGGGTCTTGGGGTTTATCTGGGCCGTACATAAGGTTCCAGATCATGTAGTATTTGAAGATAGGGTTGTACAGGACATTACACAGGGCTGGGGTAGGCGGCTCCAGGGGTTATACGATGTACTAGTAGTTGCACGGTATCCCCAAAACACATGTATTCACTATATTCAAGTATCCTTTGACTTCAATTACCGTGCTCAAATGCTGGCCATGCACGTATCTAGGTATACATAGTAGCGATTGTACACAAATTTTCAATGCTGAGACGTGACTACTGTAGCTTCGAAGACCCTATAGGGAAGTTCCAACATTGAATTCACTGAGATCGACCTATGACCTCTCATACAACATTGAACTCTACGATTCTAGACAAACTCCATTTGGGAAAAAAATTACCTTTGAAGATAAGTATTGAATTATACCAAACTTGATTCATTCTACTGGTTTGTGAGTCCTATCTTGTGCTTAAGTGCTCTTCCTGTGTAATACGTTTTAAAAAATGGATATTCGAGGCGTCAACTGGTACGAGGGGGAAAGAGCAACACTGATACAATGAACCTCAAGTGCTTGAGAGATCGGTGTCATATACATACTACTACATCAACCAATCCTTACATACAAAGGTAGTAGTGAATAGAAAATGGAGCATTCACTTGAATAATTATAAGCGGAATAACATTTGAAGACTTGCTATGAAATATTTCTACCCACGTAGGCAATTATTTGGCTTTATGCAGCCAAGCGGATTCGCAAATCTTAGATCGATAGCGAGATCGATTATGTATACATAGGATTAGTAAATACTACTTGCAATGTTGGATAGTACAACATTACTACTCAAGTGCTATTGGTTATGCAGTAATTTTCAGATATCTAGATACATACCTACCGTTGACATAGTAGTGTGCCCCTTCCAAAGTTGAGACATTGAATAGACCAATTCAGACGATAAAATAGCACCCAGTGCCTCTCAGGTGTCCTTGAGGATTCAAATACTTCGAATGTGCAGTGCACATGAACCTTGGAACAGAATAGACTGTGTGTACTAAGTTTTGATATGGAAAAGTCTTATATACCACTCTAGTATCAGGAATGGTACATTTTGTAGCCATTTAGGAAGTCATTCAGTAACTCCCGAGTCAGGAGAGAGGAAATGGAGGTACGTACGTACCTCAAAAGGTTCATCTACTAGGTATTTTCAAACGTTATGATACATACATTGTACACACGGGGTACATGTGTACATCAATAGGTAGGTACGCTCTGAAATAACTTGAGTACAGACTCGGCCACTATAGTTCATCATTAAGTAGGTTTCGTGGTTCTTCATTATTTGTATCATAATTATCTCGAGCATGGATATCAAAAAGCAAAAGATTCCCACAAATATTGCCAGCCAGACAACCAGATCGCCTCCACTGTTTAAGGAGTTGAAGCAAAGAAAAATGGGCAATCATATCTTCCGTAAGAGCCAAACTATATGGAAAAAAGGCATAAAGAAATCAAAAGTGTGCCAATAAGGAATCGGTGAAGGATAGGTTGTGTTTGTAGAAGTGGTAGAGTAATGTAACAGGGTAGATAGGATCAATAATCAAGACAACGACCTCGGGACCAACTCAAAAATGAAGCAATGATAGCAAGGATAGAGGTAAAAAGACACGGGTCAACAAGTAGCCGCGCATTCAAGGATTAGATATTTGCCGCATCCAGTCAGGACCAAGTTTTTCAGGAAATGAGAAATGCCAAAAATGCCAAAAATGCCCACAGGCAAACAGAACTTTCAGGGTGTCAAAAAAAAAAACGCAAGGGGGGGAATGGGGCCTATCAAAGCATATGCAAGTACACAAGACCAGTAATAAAACCTAAAATCAAACGCACAAGAAGTACAACTGTTTGAAAGACACATGTAAAACCAACAGACAACGCCGACATGGATAAAAGGGCATAAGATGCAGACCCTGGGTTGATCACCATGCGATGTCGGCTGAGACTAGTGTAATGCCCCATGCTCAAATCATTCCCCTAAGATGAGGGGAAATCTAGTAGAGATGAAGATCTTGGACCGGGGATGAATGTGCTCCGATCCGGTCCATCTTGGCCCTCCATGTACCCATCAATTTTTGATCCACGCCGTCACACCAAAATCAAATCCCAAAACAGGCAAATAAAGCAGGAAAGAAAAAAAGTGCAGACAAAGACAAAAGACGAATAAAGAAAATCACCAAAGATGAAGCTAAATCCAACCAAAAAGAAATAAACATAAATATGACGTTTGAAGGAGAGTAAAGACACCGTTAGTAGCCTTGGTTACCCAAAGGCTCAACAGGTGGGCGGTGTACGTTTTCAATCACAGAGCGAGGATACTCAGACAGGGATTCCGAGCCCAGGTTCAGATTGAATGGGAATGCGGTGCCAGGTGTGTCTCGGTGCTGCACACGAGTATAAGGGAGTCCACTGACGAGGGTGCCACTCCCACGGGTCTTGCCCCTTCCCGCGGTGCTGTATCCATACATATCGGAAGAGCATTCACTCGCCAATCGTTGTTGACTGGCACCGTGATCCCGCGAAGAGCTGCGACCTAATCTTGTGGTAGGGATAGGTGGGTATTCGGAGTCCAATTCGAGAACGGGGTAAACAGGGTTCCCGTTTATTGTGGATGGCGCTGCTGCTGAGGTTGTGTCTTCGGCTGTGGTAGGCATAGGCAGATAAGGGAACAGCATCTCGGGAGTGGTACTGTTAATGCCAACGTATTTGCTCTGGAGAGGTGGACTACCGGTGAAGGGGGCATTGCTTGGAATTGTGTGGGTTGAACTTGGTCTTTGGTCTGGTGAGCCTGTCTGGCGTGGACTCCAGAGTGAGCCTTTGAAGTCTGAAGCATATCCTCCATCTGGTAGGAAGGCTGTTGAGCTGGGTACTTGTGGTCCTCTGGACGTGGGAGTAGGTAGGGTCCGATCTGGGCCTAGAGCATTGTCGGCCGAAGGAATGACAGAAGCGGCCGAGTTGGCTGATGGTAAGTCTAAAGAGATTCCTTGACTAGGAAGCATATAGGCAAATGGAGACTGGCTCATATTGGCCTCTGGATCGGGGTAGAGACTCCCATTGGGGGTTCGGCCTGTGTTGAACATCGATTCCCACGCTTTGGGGCTCCACGGAGCTGGCCCATAGTCCATAAGAGCTCCGGATGGAGCGTATGATGAAGCCTGGGTGTAGTTTATGGGTTGCTCAAACATCTGAGCATCGGCAACACTTATATCAAAATCCGAAGTCCGCTGAAGCGGATATGGAAACGCACCCATACGTGTATGAGGTGATTCCATGGAGAGAATATTTGGCTTGGATGGAGGATTTTGTGGGATCATGCCTAACTGGGGAGACTGCGTAGTTGCTGCGCTCATATGTGGATAAGGCTGCCACCCATTGTTAGTAGGCTTATGAGAAGCCACCACATGAGAGGTCACGTTATGGGAGTTGACCTAAAATCGAAAACATGAGCTCCGAGCCTTTTTTGAGTCTAGTAGACTTGACCTGGTGTTTTGATCGAAGGGGTACTTACTCGGAAGAACTGGCAGTCATTTGCACCAGCACTACGGCAGTTGGAGCATCCCTGGCCATCACCGCCGGCATCACCACTGCACTTGATCTTTCTCTTTCGACACCGTCGACACTAGATGACAAGATTAGAATATCAGAATATGAAACATCCAGGAGTTGCCTGCTCTAGCTACCTACTGCGACTGGAACACGACGTCGTTGAGAGGTTCGCATCTTGCCATCGGCCTCCGTAGGACTCATACAACTGGAGTGATCTCCTAGATCTTGATGGTTCATGCTTCGCATTGAGCGAGACAGTGAAAGTACATCGTGGTGAGACTGGTCGAAACCAGCTTTTTCCGTGTAAAAGGAGCTCATTGCTAGAGGTTCTTAGTAAGATTTCCTTCGAGTCCCCGATTTAAAAAGAAGATTAATCATGCATACCAAGCAGGAAAGTGACAAAAGGAGAAGTCAAAAAGGATCAGAACATAGACAAGTGGGTTTTGAGTAGATGTCAAAGTTGCATGTTTAGAATTCTAGAGCAGAAGAAGGGAAAAGTGAGAACTTGAAAGAGAAGATGTCTCTGGAGGTAGGGCTAGATTTAAGCCTATGTTTGGGTAACAATCGGTGTGATGGTTTAGGTCTCTTTGATCAAATTAGGGCCCCTGGTCAATTTAGAGAATTTGGAGAATTTCAGTCGATTAGATCGATTCAGACTAGCTGTTTTAATATTTGAGCTGTTTCTAGTTTTTTTTGTGTTTTTTTTTTGTTTTTTTATTATTATTTTTATTTACGCATTTCCCACGATGATACAAGTATAGGATAAGTTGGGATGTAGGAATTGCATGAAGTGGAGTGGGGGAAAAAACCAAAAAGAAAAAAAAATCACCAGCAAAAAAAAAACTACCAGGGCATTTCCTGTTTCTACTCATTTTTGTTTTTTTTTTCTCTTTTTATATTCTCTTTCGTTTTTTTCCCTACTCTACTTGTTGTACCCAGGGGAAATGATATGCACATTTCCGTAGTGCATCCAATCCAGATTCCCCAGTCGATGTGAAAGACCAGCCAGCAGGACTGCCCCCGGCGTTTTAGAGACTTGGTTTCACAAAGTAACGTCACACGGGTCATGACCTGATAGCCATGACGAGAACAAGTCCAGACAAGGAGATTAGAGAAGGCCTCTCATCCGCCACAGCAGATTTCAACCTATCAGCCAGGGGGTACCTGTTTCTCCTCCACCACGTTCCCCTAGTCCACAGATAGAGGCTTGTCATGTTTGATAACTCAATAATTTGAGGCTATAGAAATATAGCAGAGGAAGAAGATAGAGGGAAAAATGGAATCAGAAAGAGGAAACAAGGAAACAAGCAGACGACCGACAACGTTTGCCGAACTTCCTGGTGTCGATCCGGGGGAGAGATTCCGGTGGATCGATCATGAAGATCCAGCGAGGAAATGTTTGCTTAGGACCTGGTCGAAACGTTGATTGGTGTGGCGTCCGTACAAAATGGAGGGGGCTAGGGCCTTTCTTTTCAGATGCATCAAACAGGGCGTTAAACAGTCCGAACTGGGGGGCCCGGGACGTTGAGCCAAGCGGGGGCCACACGATGATTGGAAGTTCTCACCCCCCTAAAGCTTCTCAGAATACATCATCTTTGCGACAAACGCGCACACAGTCAAGAAAAATTTCATTCTTTCAGGTTGCCCCATGTCTCAGACCCATGGGAGACGCAGTAAATGTCTCAATCCATAAGATAAGATGCCATGTAGAGATAAATAAAAATAAAAATAAAAATTCAAGAAACAAAACAAGAAAGTGAAGATACAGGGAAAAAAAAGAAAAGAAAACATTTGACACCTATCAATTTGATCAGCCGGCGCTAGCACATACTAGGGTTAGGTGGACCCAGTAAAGCGCGCGCCATACTTCGTAAAGTGAAAGACCGTGCCAGGATCCATGGCCTTAAGGTTGCGTCTTGATCGCCAACATGGATTGAGTAGATCCGCTTGGATGCTGTTAGCGCTTCCGCGCGCCGCAGCTAGATGGAAATGGTAAGGTCAGAAAAAGCAACATCGGCCAGAAAATTGAGAACTGCCGGATCTATAGGGTCTGGAATCGCCCGGGGGGCAACGAAATCTGAATGTCCCGAGCTCAAAAGGGGAAAGGGGGATGAATTGAAAGCCCGCGCCTATGGTGCAGGAAATCCCGGGAATTTTTCTTTCTAGGATACTAGGATAATGAGGTCAAAGTCATTTCACAGGTGGGAAATGATCCTCGGTCCTTCCGTATAGGGTCACTTTCATTCTGGATATCATAGGTATCTCGCGTGAATCTGGAGGGAAATAGGAAGTTGAAGCTAGAAGAAGAAGGAAAGAAACTTCCTCATTCTTCTGAGTTTCAAATACCCGGAGCCGCTAGAGATGAAGAGTCAATGGGCGGAGTTGTCCTAAACAACTCCGGGTCTGACATTGCACAACATAGAGTAGAGTCAGGAGAGACAAATCGGGCTAAACCAGCTGACTCCGGCTTGACTCGCCAGGAACGTTGAAATCGAAACTAGCCTCTGCACTAGGGGGATACCTTGCACCGGGGCACTATCCCCCTGTTTGCGACAAGCCCTTCTTGTTTCTTCAAGTTTGAGTTATTTTAGTTTTGCTGGAACTTTTCTTTTTCCTTCTTCTGCGTCTGGCCTAAAATGGAAGAGCCTCGTTCATGATCGTCCCCCCTCCACGTGTGGACGCTGGGGTTGAAGATGATAGATTGTCGATGTCGCGATCCTCTTTTTTTTTTTTCAACTCTGCAGGAGGCCGCCCGTTTTGGCCCCCCCCCCCACCGTTTTCTGTCGTGGAACAAGTCATCCGAGGGTTATTCAGAGAAGGCCATTGCGTTGACAGGTCGTAGTACTGTGTACGTGAGGGTAGCATCATCCTCTAAAGCCAGACTTCGGGGGAAGAAGGTGAAAGAAAAGAAGTGGTTTTGGAAGACGAAACCCATACTCTGTATCCTTCAGTTCTTTCTGTCTGGGCTGACTGGTGCATAAGTTATTCCGAGGAATCGGTGAGGGGATCTGCAGCAAACAGCTTCAGATCTGCATCTCAATCTGAAAAAGGGTTAGGGGAGCTTGTCCCACTGGGACACTCGGAAGATAGCCCGGTCGATTGTGAAGGCAAAGCCTGTGAGGTTGTACAAAGGAACGCGGGTCGATCATCCGGAGAAGCTATGAATTGTGGCCTGCATGTGGGTCATTTTAGCATCAAAAATCCTCCTAAAACCCTCAAGTTGTACAGGTGAGAGAGAAAAGCAAGCAAAGAGGGAAAAAATTAGGAAAAAATGAGGAAAAAGACAGCAAAAAGAAAAAAGTCGATGCATGTCCAGTTCCACGTTTCTGTCTTTACTTCTGATTGGCCCGAGCTCCGTGTCGATCTTTGTCTCCGACTTCCCTCTTTCTGCGACAGCTTCTCTTGCAAAGAAACAAGAAAAAAAAAAACAACCCTGCTCTTTCCCCTCAAATGAGCGCCCTGTTGGAGACTTCCCTGGGTGACATCGTCATTGACCTTTTGGTTGACGAGTCACCCAAGGCCTGTGAGAAGTAAGCGCCCTGGTTCCCTGCCCTGAAGTTGCTTGCCCAGTCCCCAGTCCCCAGTCCCCCTCCAATCCTGTCCAATGTCGTGCCGCATCTAGCTGTGCTGAACAAGAAACTAAGCTTCTTTGTGTTCGTCATAGCTTCCTAAAGCTATGTAAAATCAAGTATTACAATTTCGCCCCCGTCCACAGTGTCCAGAAGAACTTCTCCTTCCAAACCGGCGACCCGCTTGGCCCTGACGCCCCCGAAAGCGATGGCGGATCCTCGATCTGGGGCTTGCTGGACGGCCCATCTAACCGCACCTTTCCAATCGATCTGCCAAAGCTCAAGCACACCGAGCGCGGAATGGTGAGCATGGCAACCGTTCCAGCCACAAACGATCCCGACCAACGCCTCGCCGCCAGCCAGTTCTTAATTACTCTGGGTGACAATTTGGACTACCTAGATGGGAAAGCGGCTATTTTTGGAAAAGTGGTTGAGGGATTTGACGTGTTGGAGAAAATCAATGATTCGTTCATTGATGATCGAGGTCGTCCCTTGAAAGATATTCGTATCCGCCACACAGTCGTCCTGGATGATCCCTTTGAAGATCCATCGGCGCTAGTCGAGCCACCGGAGAGCCCGTTACCGTCCAAAGCACAATTGGCAACGGTGCGGATCGCGGACGATGAAGAATTAGATGATGAGATGGATGAGGATGCCATGGAGAAGTTGCGCCGGGAGCGCGATGCTCGTGCCCAAGCCTTGACCTTGGAGATGGTAGGAGATCTACCATTCGCAGATGTAAAGCCCCCCGAGAATATTCTTTTTGTGTGCAAATTGAATCCAGTAACCCAAGGTATGTCCATACTGGAGGTGTTTGGCTTGTGTTTCCGCGCTTACAAGTTTTTTCTTCTTCTTCAGATGAGGATCTTCAATTGATCTTTAGTCGATTTGGAGTCATTCTATCCTGCGAGGTGATTCGAGATAAGCGTACTGGGGATAGCTTGCAGTACGCATTTATTGAATTCGACAACCAAAAAGACTGCGAACAAGCCTACTTTAAGATGCAAGGTGTGCTCATTGATGACCATCGAATCCATGTCGATTTCTCTCAAAGTGTACGTCAGATATGCACCTGAATCCTCATTTCTATACATTTGCTGACATGCAGCTACAGGTTTCTAAGTTGTCAGAGAGCTGGCGCAATTCTACGGTCACCAAGCGCAGGCAGCGAGGCGGATTTGGTGGTGTCGCCGACCTTGAAAAGAAACGCCAGTACCGAGTATCTGATGACCCTCGGGCGGATGGACCCGACGATAGCTACAATATGGTCTTTGATAAAAACAAGCGCCGAGATCGACCAGACGGGCCATCTGGATCATCTGGGCCGCCCGCCGCTCGTGAGGAACGCCGTCGCAGTCCTCCCAGAGATTCATACAGGGACCGACGAGATCAAGACCACCCTCGTCGCCGATCTTCTAGCCGAAGCCCTGACCGAAGGGATCGTCGAGACCGAGACCGCGATCGCTATCGTGACAATCGTGGACGAGATGATCGGTATGACCGTCGACGATGAATGTAGCCTAGTTAAAACACTCCAAATGGATATGGCAAATAGAGCAATGGATATATACCAACATCGAATGGATGATCCACATGTATAAACAATATCTTACTAATATTATCATCAGCCTGCGCCTTGGAAGTGTTCAATCTCAAACATTCAATAGTAGAAAAACCGGGTCGGAAGCTGGCCCCGCCAGCGGGGCACATTCGGAACTGGCAATCCGATGGTCAGGTCTCACTCGGACACTCTTTTGGAGTCAGGTTCCTCTGTCCGTGGCTCCGATTCGTCTAAGACGCTAAAAATAAATCGGTGGGCTAAACCACATGTGGCTTTTAGTTGATCTGTATCCCTAGTTACGGTGTGGACGAAAGCTACAGCTTCACCCCGCGAATTGCAATTTATTTACTTTTCTTCCCGCCACTTTCCCTTTCCACCCTTCTTTCTCCCAACACAACCTTTCTTTCCCTTCCCCACATACTCTTCCTTTGCACATCAATCCAAAAAAAATAATTGACGTACACAATCATGGCTGCTGCAATTAAGGAGACCGTCTCCAACCTGATTGGCAAATTCTCGGGCCCTACCGAGGACGCACCTCGCGAGCCCTCGACTGAAGAATTCCAGTCTCTCAAGGAGAAGTACACCAACGCTGGGCAAGGACAGGTCTTTGCCTTTGCAGAGGAGCTCCCGACCGTCGAGAAGTCCCAGCTCTTCCACCAGCTATCCAACTTTGACCCTACCCGCATTAATGAGCTGGCCAACGTCTCCCTGAACCCTCCCAAGACCGAGCAGACCACCGCCACGGTCGAGCCCCTCCCCGCCTCCGCCACCGCCTCTATCATCGACTCCGACCCCGCTGATCTGCAAAGATGGTTTGATGCAGGTTTGAAGCAGGTTGCCGAGAACAATGTTGCCGTGGTGCTGATGGCCGGTGGTCAGGGTACCCGTCTTGGTAGCTCCGCGCCCAAGGGTTGTTTTGATATCGGTCTGCTGAGCCAGAAGTCGCTGTTCCAACTGCAGGCAGAGCGTATCCAGAAGCTTCAAGAGGTGGCACAGGCGAGCCATGGTGTTCAGTCGGCGATTATCCCCTGGTATGTCATGACCAGTGGACCAACCCGCAAGCCGACTGAGGAATTCTTTGAAAAGAGCAAGTACTTTGGACTTGATAAGAGCAATGTTTTCATTTTCGAGCAAGGTGTGCTTCCTTGCATCTCCAACGAGGGCAAGATTCTGCTCGAGGGCAAGGGCAAGGTATGATGATCTCTTTACCTATCTTTTATAGTCATGCCTACTTTTAGCGACCTGGAATGCTAATACATCACTAAAGGTTGCTGTTGCTCCCGATGGAAACGGTGGAATTTACCAGGGTCTGGTTACCTCTGGAGCTCGCGAGGACATGCGCAAGCGTGGCATCAAGCATATCCACATCTTCGGTGTCGACAACTGCTTGGTCAAGGTGGCCGATCCCATTCTCATCGGTTTCTCTGCCGAAAAGGACGTCGATATTGCCACCAAGGTGGTGCGCAAGCGTGATGCTGCCGAGTCTGTTGGTCTGATCGTGCAGAAGAATGGCAAACCTGATGTCGTCGAGTACTCCGAGATTGACCAGGAGACCCGGGAAGCTCAGGACCCCAAGCAGCCTGAGCTGCTCAAGTTCCGTGCCGCCAACATTGTCAACCACTACTACTCATTCCGCTTCCTTGAATCTATCGAGAACTGGGTCCACAAGCTTCCCCACCACGTGGCCCGCAAGAAGATTCCCTTTGTTAACCCCGAGGACGGTGAGGCTGTCAAGCCTACTAAGCCCAACGGTATCAAGCTGGAGCAGTTCATCTTTGATGTCTTCCCCATGACTCCATTGGACAAGTTCGCTAGCATCGAGGTTCGCCGCGAGGATGAGTTCTCGCCCTTGAAGAACGCCCGTGGCACAGGTGAGGATGACCCGGATACCAGCCGGGCCGATATCATGAAGCAGGGCCAGCGGTGGATCGAAGCTGCCGGCGGTATTGTCATCACCGAGGGTGAGGCATTTGGAGTGGAAGTCTCTCCTCTGATCAGTTACGTATGTTTCATCTCATCTATATACCATGTCATCCAAACAATGCTGACCGTCTCGTCTAGGCTGGTGAGAATCTGGAGTTCCTTTCTGGTCGGGAGATCAAGGCCCCGGCGATTCTTGAGCGGGATGAGTAGATGCCGAAACATTCCTTACGGCTAGAAAATAATGAGAGCACCTAGTGCAGGTGCAACCTCTCGGGCTGCATTTCGGTTTTGTGTTATGCTTTCCCTTGTTTCTCTGTTTAGTGTAGGGATTCTGGAACGAAGAAATGAATTGCATAGTCTTTTTAATAACCTCCTGTTGATCAGAGAATGGACTCGGTTGCATTTGTTATAAGAATGATTGATCTTGTGGAATGTAGGGGCTCTGTACACCAATTGAAGGTATTATTGAGACTTTTATATCCCGCACGTGCGTAATGTACTTTTTTCAAGTCAAGATATTAAAGCTTCTGTCATGTACTAAACCTTCCATGTTAGTGCATACTCTAATAGTAGCACTAGTACCACTAGTACCACTAACTGGAAGCTACCAGTATAGCTTAAACTATGCACATGTGACCATTCCAAAGCTATTCGAATAGCTACGTCATCTTCAATACCTCTCGATGTACTAGTATGCTATAAACCTAGGAGTATTTTGCAAAGCCTATAATCTCCAATCACATTGAACTAAGCATTCAAGTCATGCTACTAGTATTTTACCCCGGAATTTCCATCTCGTTTTCTCCATAAGCAAAGCTCTGGTCATCGAATGACAGCGCAGGTGAATCAGCAACTTGAACCTTACGCAATACGGAAAAGCCCGGGAGCTAAAGTTTTGACGAGTTTGCACCCCACGACATTTTAAGTGATTCTTCTCCTTCATTCCTCTGGGCATTTGATATTTTAAAAAAAAAAAGTTGTGCTGTTTGAAGGGTTTCCATTTCCTCGGTGTTGTGGTAAGTGAAGTCATTGTGCGCTTGGGGGCTAACGCTCCTCTCCCCACTTTTTTTTTCTCTTGTTTTTTTCCCTGGTGGGCTGTCAAGAACGTGGTGCTCTTCTCCATTGTTGGTTGATTTCGCGCTTCTCCTCCCCAAGGTTCTCAAAGCTAACAGGGTCCCTGAAACTTAATAGACTTTGAAATTGGCAACGATCTTGTTCTTGAAGTGAGTGCGAGAGACTTCCTGTGCCCGCTCTGCCCGTTACTTTTTGTTCCCCCGCGCGGATCGTCGGCCTCCCCTCCATCCCGCACGATGCAAAATTTTGATGCGACAAAATCGACGTATACAACTCTCTCTCATTCAGTCTCACGTGGGATGATCATATACACATGATGATGTTGCAGCTTTGATTTTTTGGGCATTACTGGAGAAATCCTGTTCGAGAAAACATGCGCGGAGGAACAATTGGCGACCGGAGGCTTGCGGGCTTGAGAAAATGACATATGCAAATTGAATTTGGCTAACGATCCATGATAGATAATCAGAAATTATGTTGTCTCGTCGCGCGTGCTACAAGTGTGGCAACATTGGCCACTACGCTGGTTAGTGAAAAACATTTGGTTCTCTACTAGCAGAAGGCCCTTGCTAACAGGCGTAGAGGTCTGCTCCTCCACTGAGCGTCTTTGCTACAACTGTATGTATTATCTTTACCCCCTTTCTCTCACCTTCTCGGTCAAAAGCTAACGGTGATATCATAGGCAAGCAGCCCGGTATGTAATTGGTGTGACCTTCCTTCGATCAACAAAGTCTCATTCGGTTCAAACAGGCCACGAGTCCAGCAGCTGCCCTAGTCCCCGTACCACCGAGAGTAAGGAACTACTGCAATCCGTGACATGACGTTCGCCATGGCTGACTTTTTTTTTTAACAGCCAAGCAGTGCTACAACTGCCAAGGTGTTGGTCATGTCCAGGCTGACTGCCCCACTCTGCGTCTGAACGGCGGTGCCAACGGAGGTGCCAACGGCCGCTGCTACAACTGTGGCCAGGCCGGTCACCTTGCCGTATGTTCAACCTACTAGTGCCTTGTCATTATGGCTGGTATGCTAACGTTCTACACAGCGCAACTGCACTAGCCCTGCTGTTCCCAACGCCGGCCGCCGCCCCTCTGGTCCCGCTCGTGGCGGTTTCCAGGGACAGGGTGGTTTCCGCGGTGGATTTGGCGGCTTCCCCCGCACTGCCACCTGCTACAAGTGTGGTGGTCCCAACCACTTCGCCCGCGACTGCCAGGCTCAGGCCATGAAGTGCTACGCCTGTGGCAAGCTTGGTCACATCTCCCGTGACTGCACCTCCCCCAACGGTGGTCCTCTGAGCCAGACCGGCAAGGTCTGCTACAAGTGTGGCCAGCCCGGACACATCTCCCGTGACTGCCCCACCACAGTTGATGCTGCTGCTCCTGTTGCTGCTGATCCTGCCACCACTACCACCGTCGCTGTGGATGCTACCGCTTCAGCTCCCATTGCCCCCGTTGTTGCCCCTATCGCTGCCGTTGAAGCTATCGAGGCTGGCGAGACCGAGGCTGCCCCGGCTGTGGCCCCCGCTGCCGCTCCTGCTCCGGCTGCTTCGACCACTGTTGCATAAGTGACTTTTTTTCTATATTAAAATTCCTGATTTCTCACCACCATGCCATGCCTGGATTTATTCACCCCCATTTCTTCTCTCAAACTTGTATTACGGTCACTTTCAACCCCGAACGATCCTTTTTTCCTCCCCTTCTCTCCGGAGTCTTCCTTTGCATATATTGGCCAATCTTCCTTTGGATTGAGTACCGATTTTGAACCTGTCTGTTTATCGTCTTTATCTGTTCTTTTTTGCCTTGTCCACTTTGTTATGTATACGACGATCAAACAGAAAAAGTTTCCCCTTTTTCTTTTGACACACGAATCCCCCTTTACCCTCAAGCTGACTTGGTCTTGATCAAGTCTCATGGTTGGCGTCTTGTCTATTTGTTTCTCCCACGGATGGATCTTTTTCTCGATTTGATTAAATCTACTCTTGAATGCGGTTTTCCTGGATGGGCCCGGAGAGAGAGCGAGAGGAGATGTGAAGATGAGGAGTGGTGGATGCAGAGATAGAGAGAGAGAGAGAGAGAGAAAAGCAGATCGCAGTGTATTTGGAATGGGGCCTTTTCCGGTGGTAAGATTCCTCGGTGCTGAGAATATGAAAACGCAATTCTTTTGGAGTTATTTTCCATTGTAGATTGCTGAGTGATAGTAGTAGTAGGAGGAGGAGTAGTAAAACCATAGATGATACTTTAAAAGTCTAGTAGTGTAGGACGCGTGACTTAGACTCCCATCCAAGTTCCACCCTTCCAACTCTCCCTTTCCATCACCATCGCCAAAATGCCCGGCTCTGATATAGACGACGAATATGATGACGAGGTTTGTTCGTTTCCAATTCATTCAATACATCCCTATGGATAATTGACTTTCATCAGAACTTCATTGTTGATATCGATGGCATTCAATCCCACGGCATCGGAGCGGCTGACATCACCAAATTGAAGGCCAATGGATACTACACAGTTGCTGTAAGTGTTTGTGAACAATAAATACGAAGTACCTTCAACCCTTTTTATTAACGTCAATGTCAGTCTGTGCACGGTGCCACCCGCAGAACACTTCTCAAAGTCAAAGGCTTCAGCGAAGTCAAGGTAGAGAAGATCAAGGAAGCTGTCCAGAAATGTCTTGTAAGTTTGACAATCCATAAGCTCAAATGCTGATTCAGAATGATATCTAACGTAAAGTACATCAGCCCTCCGCATCGGGATTCATCACTGCGTCGGAACTATTCCAGCAACGCAAGAAAGTGGTCCGAATTTCCACGGGAAGCAAGCAATTTGACGCTATTCTCGGGGGGTAAGTCAATTTTCTCATGAAAGACATTACACGACCTACATTTAATGACGCATTATACCCTCGTTTATCTGTCTATCATCTAATATCTCATCTCATCCACAGTGGCTTCCAAAGTATGAGCATCAGCGAAGTCTTCGGCGAGTTTCGCTGCGGCAAAACCCAACTCTCACACACAATGTCCATCATCGCCCAGCTTCCAAAGGCAATGGGTGGCGCAGACGGCAAAGTCGCATACATTGACACAGAAGGCACATTCCGCCCTGAACGTATCGCGCAGATTGCTGAACGCTTCGGTGTTGATCCAGGCATGGCGCAGGAGAATATTTCATACGCGCGTGCGCTGAACAGCGAGCATCAGCTTGAACTGCTGAATACACTGAGTCGAGAGTTTGCGGATGGATCCTATCGATTGCTTGTGATCGACAGTATTATGAACTGTTTCCGAGTGGACTATTGTGGGCGTGGCGAATTGGCGGAGAGGCAGCAGAAATTGAATCAATTTTTGATGAAGTTGGCGCATATGGCTGAAGGTGAGTTGAATCTTAGTATTCTGTATTTCTTCTTTGAGGGTTTGGTCCTCATATCTCTGCAGAATTCAATGTCTGTGTCTTGATGGTCAGCATCTCCAATACATCTGAACATTTTTATGCTGTCTTCTTACTCGTTCTAGACAAATCAAGTGCAAAGTGACCCCGGTGCAAGTGCCCTCTTTGCCGGCGCTGATGGTCGCAAGCCTGTCGGAGGACATGTACTTGCTCATGCGTCTACTACTCGAGTGCTGCTCCGCAAGGGCCGCGGTGAGGAACGAGTGGCTAAGATTCAGGATTCACCCGGTGGATACTTATTCCAGCATCTCCTTGGGTATGAAAACATATTCTGACGATTGATAGACTGTCCCGAACGAGAAGCCACTTATGTGATCACGAATGGAGGAATCAACGATCCAGACAAGATTTGAATGATGGGGGATATATTATTCGGATGACTTAACACAACACATCAACATCAAAATAAGTTATGCTTGTTATAGAGACATATGTACTATATCATAGTTATTTGCCTTTCTTTAGCATATCTGAAGATTATATTTGTTTACCAATTTTTCTGACCAGTATATACTATGTAGGCTTAGTACCATGTACTACGTACCTGTAGTTCCAGCAATCCTACTAGTATACTTCTTGGGTTCACCGCCAAGAGACCCGCCCCGATAATCCGGCAGAATTAAAAAAACTGCGAAAAAAGTCACCAGCTCAACCCGCAGACAAAAGGTTAACTCCAAGCCTCATCCCAAAGATGAAGACAGACACAATAGAAGTGGAAGGGTACACCACCCTCCCACTCAGACTCCCGTCAACCCCGGTCTTCCCTCATTCCGCAACACACTACCTCTACATCCGCCCCCACGAGCCTCGCATTCCAGACCCCGACTCCTCTCGCTCCCTCTTCATCGTCAACACTCCCATTGACACAACAGAAACCCACCTCCGCCACCTCTTCGGAAACCAGCTCGCCGGTGGTCGCGTCTCAAGCGTGCAATTCGAAGATGTTCCCGACAAGAGGAAGAACGTCGCGCCCGCAACAGAAAATAACCTCTCTCAACGGAACAAGAAGCGCAAGCGTGCCACAGCCGAAGACCTGCAGTCCCAGCTAGATGATGTGTCCTTGCCATCGACCTGGAATCGTCAGCTCCACAAGAGCGGTGCCCATGCCATCGTCGTCTTCGCCGACCGCGCCAGCATGGAAGCCAGTCTCAAAGCTGCCGCCAGGGCCGTCAGAAAGGGAACCACTATCGTTTGGGGCGAAGGTATTTCCACCGACAGTGTCTCCAAACTGGGCGCCTCGCGTTATATTGCTCACGGAAGTCTCCAATACCCCGCTCGCGCGGAACTGTTATCAACGATCAACAAATTTATGATTCTCCACGCGGAGGTTGAGGAGGCCAAGAAGCGCGAGCAGTCGAAGCAGAATGCCGAGCCGGACGAGGATGGATTCGTTACTGTTACACATGGACCTAAGTTGAACTCGCTTGCGAGGGAGGATGAACTGAAGGAGTTGATTGCGCGAGAGAAGAAGAAGGCCGAGGGACTGGAGGACTTCTACCGATTCCAGTCTAGAGAGAAGAGGAAGGAGAGGCAACAGGAATTGCTTAAGAAGTTCGATGAGGATAAGAAGAAGTTGGCGGATATGAAGATGCGGAAGGGCAAGATTCGGGTGAGTTTCATTTGCTTTGATTAACGAGAGGAACCCCATACTAACATATTATCTCTAGCCCGAGTAAAGTGTGTCTATAGCATGGCATTGGCGTTCTGGGAGTTTCTGTGGACAAAAAAGACCGACCGTCCTGGTACATAGGGAGTGAGTTGTTTCATGTTTCTTTTCTCTTGGTTTCTATTTTCATACTATGTCCTCCAATGATGAATTCGCTGGGGCCAGTGTAGCAAGACGCGCTTTGCCGCTGTCTGCCATGCCATCAAAAACCAGCATTATAACAATCTTCTCACCTTCTGAAGAGACTCCAATGTCAAGAAGTTTTCATATTGGTTGTTTCATGTGGCTTTTGCTGATCAATATATTAGTTTATCGGATACTTGGTGCATTGATCATGTGTCCATGTGAATACAATAGAATTATTAGGACATCAATGTATTATTTCATGAATCAATCAAACAGCTATTCCGTACTGAAGCTAAATACTACTACACTACTATGCAGTACGAATGCCCCACTCATTCCTGATGGCTGGAACGGGCATTTGCCCCACTTCGGCGGTTGTCTGTCAGATGTCTTTTGGATATGCAAAAGCGCTAGAAGCCACTCAGGCCTCGTCCTAAAGATAAAAGATGACTAGAGTCTAGTATATTCACCAGTACTTCTTAAGCGCCATAGTCACATGATGGTAATCAAATAATTTGTCCTGATGGGCTCTCCATTTCCTGTGAAATTGGGCATTGCCTAGTACCCAAGAACAGTAGAAAAGTACATCATGCACTTCTGACAGAATTATCAATAACCTAGCATGGACCTACTTTAACCAAGGACGATGGGACGAGACCGAAGAGCTTCAGATAAAGAACATGGAGACCTGCAAACGAGTACTTGGGCTAGAGCATCCTGATACTCTGCTCAATATATGAATAACTTGGCTTATACTTTAAGGTCACTGGGTCGAATTGAACATTTGAAGCTGCCTCAAAGCTGATGGCAAATTTTTACCAACTCTGTGATCTCAAATCGGGCCCTGACCACCTAAAGACTATATCAATCTTCAAGAGATGACCAGAGATTCAGATGTGAACAATGGATAACGGTAAAAGCACAGACCAAGGCTTGGCATCACATCCCACTTGAGTAGACTCGAATCCTGGTAGCTTGATTTCATGGTTTTCGGGCCTATATACTACATGCACAAGATCTTGGAAACTGTGCTTCCCGAATGATTATGCATCGATGCTTGTAACATTGGAATGTGAAATCTAGGCCACTGTTCCAAAATTTGAAAGGTTGGATTCTTCAAAGTTACCCGACGTCTATTATTCTAGCCCGTTTCACTCCTGACACCTCTATGTTAATCCATACCATCCTCTCTCTTCCCCACCCTTACTACTAGGCAGTTCCCAGAGTTTTTTTTTTTTTTTTCCTTTCTTGGTTTGAAGCTACAAATTTTCCAATCTCCCCATCCCACATCAAAATGCCTCACCACACAACCTCGGGAGAAAGCGACTCGGAGTCAGATATTGAATTCGAGGACGTGCCTCTAGCTGCTGCACGAACAACAGCCCCGATGACGGACATCAACGGAACATCAGAAGGCTCTTTATCTATCCAAATAGAAAGTCCACCATGGGTCCCAGTGCTCTCCCTACCTCAGCAACGAGCCGAGTCTCTCCGGCCCGGCTCGGCAGAGGAGACCCAGCTACGCAGTCGATTGAGTGCGGGCATCGAAAGAATCAATTACCGCCAGATGAAGTCCGAAATTGGTATGGACGGAACCGAAACTCGAGCTTCAGAGAGGCGATTTGAGAGTTTTGGTGAACTGGCGCGGGAGGTGGGGGCATTGGTTGATACGCTGTGGGCGTCGGCGACCCGTAAGTCTATATTATTCTTTCAACTGTCTACTTATCTCTGTACCAATCTTTGAAAATTTCTTCTGATGCCTGGATTTTTTTGAATGATACATCTAAATTTTTCATGGCCATGCATGAGACTAACAAAACCCCCAGCCTCAATCCAAGTCGAAGGCCTAATCACTCTTGCTGGAATCACCGAAATGGCCCTTCCAACCTACAAATTCGATCCGGAAGCTACCCTTAACGTGCTACATAAATTTGACTCGGTCTTCGCAGCGCTCTGTACCGGTCAGCACCCGATGACTAATGATCCCATCCCGGGTGCGACGGCGGATCGTCCACTCGTGACGCAGACCCAGAAGGTTCGGATTCGCAGTTTGGCGGAGACGACGCGGTACAAGATCTTTTCTTGTCTATCGGGCTCTGATTCAGATAGCTTGGGAGGGGTGAATGGAAATGGACATGTGCCTTACGATGATGACGACGAGGATGATGATGATGATGATGATGATGATGATATTCCTGTGCAGCCTTGGTTGATGGAGGCGGCGAGGGTTTATGATAAGACATTGATGTTGTTGGCGGACCAAGGTGACGGTGGTGAACTAGACGGGGGATGTTATGCGGATTGAGTGGTTGTACTTATCTGTATCTGGGTTGGTGTCTGGTGCGTGGTGTCCACTGTTTTGATTCCATGTGGCTTTACTTGTTTTCAAAGTGGATACGCGGTTTATGGTAGTTTCAGATTTACCAGTTCAGGAAAAATAATGGACTGATGATCTATGAAAACTAGGACTGTACGTAGTCCGTAGCGATCCGAGCTATCCAGTCTGTGCGAAGGTTTAAATTCCCGAGTCTTATTTGTAGACGTAAATGCAAGTTTGTACTAGTACCCAACTGAGTGCAGCACTCGAGGAATCTCAACCACTCAAAATGCGTCATTCTCCCACTTTGAGCAATCAAATGTACCATGTTCAAAATGCCCAAGCTAACTCCACACCAGACACACCAGAAACGACGAAGAATCTTCTCGAAGCCACTAGAGATCACCCTAAGAGAAAAAAAAAACCACCAAAAAAAGAAATATAGTGGGGTGACCCATCGTCAGGTCCCAAATTCTCCCAGGCAAGGTAACAGCAATAACCGGTTGAGGGACCCGTATATGCAATACCTGGAGCAAACGCTTGTAACGATCGAAGCGAGTCCCGGCCTTCTCTTTGGATAGAAGGTCGCGAACCAGTGTGGATGCGAGCCCTGAAAGTGGATCCTGGATCCTTTTTTGGGGAATTTGCTCAGCCTCGCGCTTGAGCCACGATTTCGCCTGCATATGTTAGTTTATTTTAGTTGACTTTTTTTTTTGGTTGGTTTTTTTTTAGGGGAGATATGATTTGGGGTTATGATGGGGGGAAATTCGAATAAATACATACAAGTAACAGAAAATGAAGTTGCTATATCCCAAGTCTTGTTTTTCTTTTGAAATATAGGGCATGCCCTTATTTCCTATTTCCGGTGGAGGTTCCATGGTTCCGGGGGTTAATACAGTGCGGTTTTTCTTCGCGTCGCGTGTTTTTTCGCGTCTACTAGTATCATAATATTAACTTGAAGTATTTCCTGCAGTTCGAATGCATGTGTTGTAATAAAGTATACCCCGATCTTTCAACCCCGGCATTTTTCCCTGGCAATGCTGCAGGGAGGTTATGACAGGCTGAAAATCCACATAGTTTAATTCTGGTCTACAATCTATTCAAAAATTGTTCTGTAGCCTAGAGGCTGCTGTATTATGGAGTAAGGCTTTAAGACTTGAGAGAGATGCAAGGGCTTCTCATTGTTTTTTTTTTTTTTTTTTTTTTTTTTTACTATTGTATCGAACCGATCTCATAGATCAACGAGGTTCCCGAGGTCCCTTGCTCATACCAATTATCACCGAAGGGATGTAAGATCAAACTCTATATGTACTCGATCTGGAGGGAAATCACAAGAATTCCAGGATATGTGCTACCCTACTTTAATATAGATTCTCAGCTAATAGATCAACTATTCCAAGTGTAACTGATAGAACTCATTCGCCAAAGTGGAATTGGAAAGCTTTCCACGCCAAGCTTCCAGAGCTCCGTAATTCGAATACGAATAAAACATGAGAGCCAATCACGTTTCAGAAACGGCGATTGATCAGGTCCCATGGTTCTGGTTCAGGTCTAATGCTCAGCTTGGGTGTCCAGAGTGACGTATCGCAAATCCTTGCGTTGGAAGGACATTGTATGTAAGAGAAAGAGAAAAGAGAACCTTGCTTCGAGAAGGTTTACCCAATACAAAGACATCTGGATGATCGGATTTTCCCAAATTCCCTTTCTCTTATTAAACCTCACAGAGAAGAGACTCCTAGCCCATTTGCCAACCCTCAGCTAAACAAAACTTCAGCTTTTGAATTCGGATTTTTCTTTTTTGACTACCAAGAATTTTTCTTTTTTCTTAATTTTTTTTTCTTATTTTTTGGTCTTTCTCTCTGGTGTATCGGGCTGACACTTTGCTATACGGTGTCTTGGTTTTACCCGGGCCCTTTCCACGGTTCTGTGGCGTCCCAGTGGAGCTTTTCTGCTTTCCCGTTTGTTCTGCAGGTTTGCGGGTTTTTGAGCGAGGACTATATTCTGTAGTTGAATTGGCTCACATGGGAGCTTTTCTATATGACCTGAGCTATATGTCTATATAAAAAAATATTTGTTCACATTTTACCACTGAATTTCTACTACACATGCACGATCGTTCTCGACATTCCAGGGTTTTGAACATTATGTACCTAGGTATACCAAGTATACATACTGGTATCGATACGCGCAGTCTAGTAGGCGTGCTGATTAGGTAGCAATACCATATTCAAATCTTCATAACTACTAGGCCATACATTCAGTATTTAATAGACTATCTCATCTCTTCCCCTCTAGGCCGGTGATAAGCATTGAGGGGATGCGACAAGTCATATTGAAAGGATAGCGACAGGTGGTCCTTGCAGATGGATGCACTCCCTTGGCTTGGGCGGCTTCCCTGCATTCAAATCTTCCTAATTCTCAATCTTGGTTATAATCAATATACCTCTAAGGGGAGGGCAAGGAAGCCAAAATCCTCACAGATTATGCGAGGATCGGATATAACGGAAGCTTTTGTCGCTCTAGTTTAAAAGATCGGCTTGGGAGCTGGGGGTGGGTTTTTACTATGAGATTCTGCATGAGAACTAGTAGTACCCCGGGATTTGGTTTCGGCAGTGACCTCAGCTTGCATACCAACTGTCCTAGGAGCTGATATGTTCTTGAGATTTCTTTGTTTCTATACTACTAGTAGTACGTATTCAAGGAGAGATAGTTGTTCAAGTTGATAATATTAATAATACAATGTTATGGAAATGTAAGGAACTTGACAAATGAATCCAAAATTACCAAAAGCCAAAAGAAATAAATAACATGACCGTACCATACCCTCCATTACCAGGTAATCAGAGGTAAAAACAGGTAAAAACAGGCCCTTTCTCGCCCTTAGTACAATGGGCTTTCCCACTTCCCCTCCCTCTAACGCAGAATCTGAGATTTCAATTCTTCATCGTCTTTTCCCCTCCAACCTTCTTCATCCCTCCTTTCCTATTGTTCCACCTCTCGGTTTGCGGATTTCGTTCTGTCTTGCGATTTGGGAGTTCTGCTTAGGTTTTCCATCCACCTTTTTTCGTTCTTGAAATTTGCCAGGTTCTTCCTCCCCTTGGTAAGTCGTGTGTTCGCTCTAAAGCCTCTTTCATCATCGCTTCCCCCCAGTCGTGCTCTCACCAGCCACACAACCATATCATTTGTGTCCCCCCTCCAAAAATAAATTATCAAAATCCATGTCTGCGTCAAAATGCATCATCGACCTACTATCGCAACGCTTTCCTCAAATTCATCGGTCGCTCGCTCGCGCCTCGTTGGTCGAAATCCAGCTTTCTTCGGGATATTCGCGCCGCTGATACCCTCCATCCATCCTTCGCCGGTCGCTTCACTTCCACAATCGCAGTCACTTGTCGCCAGCGTCGCAAAACCGGCATAGTTGGATCGCGTGGGTCAAATGGGCAAGTGAGTGATATGGAGTGGAGCCTGATGGACGGTCGCAATTCAACACGGAGACCTGGACGGAAACGGCCGGCGCATGGAGGCGGAATTGATTTGGGCACCCACAATCCACAATCTTTGCTCTTCAACACTTGATTTATCTTGAGCATCAAGAGGTCTTACCTATTCCGGTGGTTTCCGTTCAGTCCACCAACTTGCGCTCAAGCGGAGAGCTACCCGAACAAAGAAAGAAGAATTGCTGGTCTCATCGATTTCCGGCAAACCTACGCGGCTGAAGTTTGCATCTGCCTTGTCATTTGACAATCACTTCCGCCCCCACAATATCACTCCGACCACAGCTTCACTTGATTCAGACGTGGATTTTGATTTTACTTCTCTCCACGACTTAGCTTTGTCGTTCGCCTTTCACCTTACTTCACCTTTCACCTCTTCTTCTTCTTCTTTCCCGCTCCTGTTCCTTCTTCTGCTTCTTTACCGCGCGCGCTTGATCCATCTACCTTTTTCCCGTTTCCCGTTTCACGGCCTCTGCGCCTTTAACATTTGATCAGGAATCCTAACGCCCATCTCTTAGTTTTTGGGTTCACGAACTGCTTCTTGATCTCACGGACTCTCCTTACGACTCAACGAAATTTCAGTCGCCCAGGCCGGCTTATATTATTACGTCGACTTTTCGGATTCGTTTGATCGCACAATGTCTTTCAACAACTTCGATTCTTTCCCCAACCAGGCTGACGCCGCCGCCGCCGGTGCCCCGGCTCCCGCTGACACCAACATGACTGGCCAGGCTGATCCTGCCAACGCTGGTTTCCAGGGTCCTTCTCCTGATGGCTCTGGTGCTCCCGTCCCCCAGCAGGGTGCTGATGGCAAGACCACCCTGTGGTACGTTGGATATCAATTAAAAGTTTGATCTGCTCGGAAAAACTGACAAATTTGGAAATAGGATGGGTGAGCTTGAGCCCTGGATTGATGAGAACTTCATCCGCAACCTCTGGTTCCAGATGGGTGAGCAGGTCAACGTCAAGATGATCCGTGACAAGTTCTCTGGGTAAGACCATGATTTTCCCCTTGCTTGGATATTTTTGTTCCCTGTCTTTTTTTATTCCATTATTTTGGTGATTCCCAAGGTCCTAATGTTGGTAGTAGGAGCAATGCTGGCTACTGCTTTGTTGACTTCTCTTCCCCGGCCGCCGCTGGCAAGGCCCTTTCTCTGAACGGTACCCCCATGCCCAACACCAACCGCGTTTTCAAGCTCAACTGGGCCACTGGTGGTGGCCTTGCTGACCGCAGGTAAGCACAACCTACCTACTTCAAATTTTTTTATCGCAAAATTCATTGTGGCTAATCTAGTTCCGCCGAACCTTTCAGCCGTGATGACCGTGGTCCCGAGTACTCCATCTTTGTTGGTGACCTTGGCCCGGAGGTTAACGAATACGTTCTTGTCTCTCTTTTCCAGAGCCGTTTCCCCTCGTGCAAGTCCGCTAAGATCATGACCGACCCCATCAGCGGCATGTCCCGTGGATACGGTTTCGTTCGCTTCTCGGATGAGACCGACCAGCAGCGTGCTCTGACCGAGATGCAGGGTGTATACTGCGGCAACCGCCCCATGCGTATCTCCACCGCTACTCCCAAGAACAAGGGTCCCGGTGTTGGTGCTACCAACATGGGCATGCCCGGCCCCGCCGGCATGTACCCCCCTATGAACGGTCCCCCCATGGGCTTCTACGGTGCTCCCCAGCCCATGAACCAGTTCACTGACCCCAACAACACCACTGTCTTCGTCGGTGGTCTGTCTGGCTACGTCACCGAGGATGAGCTCCGTTCTTTCTTCCAGGGATTCGGCGAGATCACCTACGTCAAGATTCCCCCTGGAAAGGGCTGTGGTTTTGTCCAGTTCGTCCAGCGCCACGCTGCCGAGATGGCCATCAACCAGATGCAGGGCTACCCCATTGGTAACTCCCGCGTTCGTCTGAGCTGGGGTCGCTCCCAGAACAACTCCGGCCCCGCCGGCAGCCCCTACCGCCCCGCTCCCCCTCCTCCCCCCATGTACCCCTCCATGGGCATGCCCCCGGCTGCCCAGCACTACGGCGGGTTTGCCCCAATGAAGGTTAGCAGTCACCCCGGCAGCCCAGCACCAGAACACTCTTGAGTTACAGGCTCGGTCGGCTGACTCTTACATTCTCTCTTCATAGTAAGCGTTCCTTTATTCAAGAAAGCACCAGCAGGAGTTGTTTGCGTCATTCCAATGATGGGTCTCTCTTAGTATGATAAACAAATTTGCTATTCCCCTTGTTTTTTTGAGGCTCTGCGCTCTATAGCTCTTGATGAGCATTCTTTTCCTACTGTGCTACGCATTTCCGTGAGCGCTTATTATCTTTAGCAAGATGAGCCTTTCCCGTCTTTCCTCTTTTATTTTCACGTCTCTTTTTGTTACCCAGGATCGTGGAAGTCGTTTCCCCCCCCCGTTTCCCCCCGCACAACGTTCGTACTGCTTTTTATACGTTGTGCTTATCTCAATGCCCCCTTCTTCTCCTCACACCCCTTTTTTTATTTACGTCTATGCTGCAATATTCCGATCTTCTTCCCCGCCCTGGGGTCCTTGTTCGCGTGTAACGAAAGTGCGTATTTTTCCATGCGGTTCTTTTTTACTCTATACTCCTTGGGCAGGCATTCTGCGAAAAAGTTCCACTTCTTCCGTCCGTTGCAATCTCTCTATTTTTCCTTTGTCTCTTTTCCTTTCTTCCAACGAGCAGCCAAATTGAACTTTGTTCGCTTCGACTACTGTCGCGCGCCGGTTCTTTCCTTCTCTTTCTTTCCTTGTTAGACTGATGACGGCCTGTACAACACGCTCTGTTTCGTGCGTCTCCGCGTTTGTCGAATTCATTTCTATAACCATTGTCATGATCCGAGGCTTCCTGTAGTTGTGTCATCATGGTTCTGGCGCACCTTTTTGGAGGCGTTGTCTTATCTGTTCTGCATTGGATGAGTCTTGTCAAAGTTAGCCAATATGTCGTATCTTGTAACTTTTGGAGGCTTGGGTATTACTGTCTTGCCGGCGTTCTTGTCTTTGGCTTGGATGATTCCCCCCCCCCCCCCCCTTTCGCTATAGTATCATCTTGATTTCGCCATTCCTTTTTGGGAATCTTGAGGCATTGCAACAGAAATTCAGTACGATCATATCTGACTTAGTAGAAATTATGGACTTGGAGTTGGCTATGAAGATTGTAGTATATCTGTTTCAGTTATTCTTTGAAATGACCTGACGATATGTGGGGACTTTGAACATTATATATCTACTAGTAGTACTAGTAGTACATTTCTAGGGTAGATACCTAGGCAGAGACGCCATCAAGCCCTGTTTGCACCTTCCATTATCAGTACTAGTAGGTAGTGACTAGTAGACGTTCGTTCTCTCGGGCTTTCTCGCATACGTTCCTTCCCTCTTTTCCCCCCATCTCATCCAAAGCAAACAAACACATGCTTGCTATACATCTTATATACTCCTAGTAGTACCTTATTACTACAAACATTCTCCACCATTATTGATTCCTTGTTTTTACCACAAATCGTCCACTGATATCATGCGATACGAAAACTGGGATGTCTTGCTCTTCCCCGAGCATCGCAACGTGCCCATCCAGGAGTTCAAAACTCAATGCTTCGTGACCAGAGATACTAATTCTCCCTACCTTCACTTTTCTACCGCCATGGGTCCTCCTTCCTACTATCCCACCATCCAGGGCAACATCGGTCAAGTTCCTGTCCTGACGAGTTTCATTCCGAGCATGCCCAAAGACAGTGGTTTTCGTGTCTCGGTCCACAGTTGGGAAAAGCCGCGTCCTAGTCGTTTTATGGAGAAGTTAATGCAGGCGGGGGACGTGTTGGTGTTTGAGGCACGAATCTTTGTGGATGGGCAGCTTATTGGGTAGGCACTCTTGGAGTCTTGGTGGTTGCTTGCGATGTCCACCATTTCAAATTTGACGGCAGATCTACTGAAATCGAACTGGGCTGACGGTGATCAGGGGCGGTGTTTTTGGTCAAAAGGCTCTATGGCCTTATGTGATCGGTACGTCAATGTGGCGTCGGAAAGTGATTTGAAGATCGTGCGCTGACTACGTGACATTAGATCTAAGCTCTAGTATCGGAATCCGTCTCTTCTCCTTCCTTCCGAGACAACTACTAATTGCATTCCAGATATCGACAGAGACGGCAATCAAGATAGCCTTCGCTTCCCTGCTTTCCACCCCGAGATCTTGGACCAACAACATTGGGATGCTGGAGACCTCTTTGGTCGAATCAAGGTCATCATTTCCGAAGGATTTGCTCGTCCAAATCGATCCCCTCCCTTTGAGAGGGTCAAGGATGTGATCTCTTTGTCTTTCCAGCACGCCCCTCTCAGTAAGTATACCTAGCAACCTATACTTCAGGAAGCGAGATGACTGACAGGGTAGACAGGCATTCTAGAGTATTCCAACATTGCATGGCCCAACTCCAACATGTGGACTGATGCTTTGCGGGCCGATTCCAAGTACAACTCTACAAGAAACCCCGATGGGCCGAAGCCAGACGATACTACACCACATGGGCATTCCCCATCTCGAGCAGAGCCTCGATCCGTGCACCCCACTAGCAGCGAGTCAAGCGGTAGCCGGGGAGAGGTTTACAATGCTTGGGTCTCTAATCGCGCCTTTCCTGTCCCTATAAGCCAATGGGATCGCCAGGGATCAGAACGTCGATTGGGGTATCATCCAGACCTTTATGCGGATCGTTACTTTGAGCCGTTTACGATAGCGACAGAAAATCTCATTGGAGATTTGACAAACAATGAAACCTGGCACCATCGGGGTGCTCAATCTTCCCGTGAAGATGTTCCCATGCCAGACTACTCCAGTACTTCCAGCAGCCGTGTCTTCTCGAGCGTAACTGGCATGAGCTATGAACATAGCAAGCAGCCCAGCATGGCAACACCCATTGATGATGATCAATATAACGATCTGGTCCAATCCCTGACCCCTACGAAGCTACCACCCACTATAGGTACTCGTGCTCCTTCCAATACACCCTCAGCTCTACTTGCAGCGGCCAAGCCGTCTGCAGAGCAAGCTCGTTCAACTGCGCTTTCACAATCCAGCACCCGCGCTTCTGCTCTACGAGAACTTTCCCAGTCTAGCACTCGCAATGTGTCCGGATCAAGCATCAAGTCACTATCAAGTGAGAAATTTTCAACTCCGTCCAAGCTCGGCAATAGCCCTAAAGGCAATATCAAAGGTAAAAAAGAACGGACGAAGGAAAAGTCCAAAGAACACTCACAAAAGAGTCTTGGAGAGGTTGCAGAGGTCGCAGAGGTCGCAGAGGCTATAGAGACTGCAAAGATCACAGACGTTAAAGTCGAGGACCCAAAGGAGAATGTCACACCACGGGATATTGAGGACGAGGCAGAAGGTGTGTGTGAGAAGGATACCGAAGAAATTGTTGCGTAGGAGAGAGAATGGGGAGTTCCCTGCTGCATCTTTACCATGAACCCACTGAAGCACTACAGAATTTGTATTCTTATACTCTTTCCTTGTCATGTATTGATATCCGAGATGATTGAGAGCAATTCACCAAGAGGTTCTAATATATATGTACAAATGAGCTTCAAATGATTTCTTCTTTCTTTCCGAAGGTAGTCCTAAGGCCTTTGAATCGATTGTATTCAAAATGTCAGTCCACTAGTACTCTGAGGCAACCTCAGAATTACCTTGCTACATAGTAGTATAGATAGATTATCTACTAGTACGCGCGTTCACGTGCTCTTAATCATATACAATGTACAGCAAGTTTGGGTGCCAAAACGCGCGTTGCAGTTGTTTCCTCTTTCCTCTTCTCTTCTCTTTCCTTTCGCAAATTCTTCGTTTGTTTTTGACAACTTATGCGCGCGTCCGATAATTCGTCTTTGCTTAACATCCATTGCTTGCCTTTCAGTCAACTCGTTTGTTTTTTTTTTTCTTCCAGCTCATTGTCATGATGGATCTCCCCCATCTGCATGAGCTGTTTGCTGCTAACGAGACACCTGGCCCACCCTTGCCGGAAAGTTCTCTAGCACCAAGCATGTTGCCGTTGCCTATTATTGTTCCTGGCTCTAAGTTTGCCCCGCCTGTTTGTGTCCCTGAACCTATCATTGTTACCTCTGTTGCGGAAAACTTCCCAACCCAGTCCTTTGGTCAAGCTCATGAGCTGCCAATGAATCCGGAGGAGAGTCCTGTCTACACTTACAGCGGTCCCCCGGTTGCTGTACCTGCCTTCCCACTGTTGCTAGATGGCAACGTAGGACCTTGTCCTCAGCCTCCTACTCAGGTCTTAGCTCTTACTCTGGTTTCTTCGGGCACAACACAGACTGTGGTCCCTGTCACTCACGTCGCGAATGACAGGGAAGAGCTGATTCCAATTCGTGATATCAACTCTTTCGGTGCTGTGGCAAATGAAATGGAAGAGGTGACTTCAGTTCATGATACCAATTCTTTCCGTGCCGTGGCGAGTGGCATGGAGGAACGACCTCCCAATTTTGATACTAGCTCTTCCCATGTTGCCTCAAGTGGCCTGGAAGAGCTGGCTCCGGTTGATCAGGCCCCTTCTTCGCGTCCTGCTTTCATGCAAAATGCGAATTGTGGTCTTGCGCCCCCCAATACCCATAACTCGTTGGTTATGAGGGTCTCTCCAAATCTTCATCCCATGACGATGGCGCCCGAAACGCCCAAATCCTTCCATAGTTCCCAAGAGCCATATCAGCTTCCTGTGGACCGGGTGAGTTCCATAATGGAGATTCTGATGAGCTGTGGTGATGATTTTGACTTTTGAGACTGACTATTTAATAGGTTGCATTGGGATCTATCGACATAGAGCATCTTCAGGATAAGGATATCTTGTTCTTTTTTGAAGTATTCAATATCATGGCCAGGTTGAATCCACGATATCTGTTCAAATATGGTGGAGTGGGAGGGGAAATGGTCGGGATGAAGCTCATCTTTTATGGTCATACTGTTTTTGTTGATCCTATCTGCAACTCAGCCAACGAGGCCAGACTCTTGGGCTGCAAGAAGGCCCTTGGTTTGCTGCAGGAGGATAACCCGCAGTGGCCTATGCCTCCTCGCCCCGATTCTAGTCGCTCTTCTGATGCTGTTTGGGACTGGACGAAAATACTGGCAGGTGAGCGCGGAGCGCGGGTGTCTTTTGTTCAACATCTGGGAAAAAAAACATTTGAAAACGATGCTAACTTGGAGATGGTTCCAGATTTCTGTGCCTCTGAGTGTTGGGCACCCCCTCTGTACAATCCTGGCTATTATGGTAGCCAAACCGAGTGGCATTGCGATGTCTCCGTGAACGGTCGGGTTTTCCGAACCGGTTGTTCGCTGCAGAGCCCACGCCAGGCGGAGAATACAGCTGCACACATTGCACTGCATACAATGCTAGTACAGGCATATGTACCTGCTGATGCGATACTTCCAGCTAACGACCTATCGTTCGAATTCAAGAAGCCAGTTGTGATCAAGACTGAGAAGATGGACGAGACACAGTCTACTGATACCATTGCCGTGACATCTTCCATGCAAGCCCAAGCCCAAGCACAATCCCAAGCACAAGTACAAGCACAAGCAAAAGCCCAAGCTGATGCTGATGCTATGGCGGATGAGATGTTGGAGGCACTGGTATCAAGTTTCAATATGCGGACCCATCGTGGAAATGGTCGTGGTGGTGGTCGTCCCCGCGGCAAGAGAGGGGGTGCAAAGCAAATCACCAAGAATGGGCCCAAGCCCGTGGCTCCTAAGGCTGGTGGCACTTCCCCTAGTAAGGGTGGGGCCACTCCGCCTCGTAGGTCTGCAAGGATTCGAGCTTCCAGTCCTGCGGGAGCTCCAAATCGCAGGGGCGCGAGGGCTCAAGCTCCCGGGGCTCCGAGGGGAGCATCTACCAGTGAAGAGGGCGAGATTGCGGAAAAGAACGCAAACCTCGTTCCTTTGACTAAGAGCCGTGTGGTTCCAATTACTCATAAAGCAGAGCCTGTCGAGGATCCCCAGGCTCGCCTGAAGAGCATGCAGAAAGAACTGGGAGATTTGCCCACTGATTCATCATATCACGCACTTTTAACTCGTAAGACCCCATCACAATTCTGATCTTTAGTATCTCTTCTGCTGGGCGAACTGACTGAATCTTGTCATTTTTTAACAGGGATGTGCGCTGTTCTGAAGGTTAACATGCCAGAGATCCGTCATGAGAAGGACCCAAGTGATCCTTCTCCGACTGCATGGATGGTTCGCGCGTGGTTCGACATGCAAGATCCGTATTTGAGCCGAGCTAGTCCGATCATGTTGGACAAATTCCCCAAGATGGATGAGAAGGCAGCGTGCTCCCTCGGAATCAAGCACCTGATGCTTTATCTTCTCAACATGGTCAAGGAAGACGCTGGAATGGAGTTGGTAGGAATGTCTTCTTATTCCAGTGATTATCCATTCTTGAAAGCTTTGGAGGTGGAGCTCAAACAGCGGATCGCTCGTGGACCTTGCGAGAAATGAACTGCTGGTCGGAGGCTCTGGACCATCTCCCATGCCGGGATGGCTATGTGTGAGTTGGGGGGGTGTTATTGATATTTTTTTTTTTTTTGCTTTTTTGCTTTTCTTCTCTCCTTCTCTTTCTTTTACTGTTGCTTGTTCCTTCTATTTGTTCCCCTATTTCCCCTAATGTTTCTTTTCTGTTGGTTCTTCCTTTCCCCGTTCCCCCCTCGGTTTTTGCTCTATTCAACTGTTATTTTGTATTCGTCCGTTGTTTCTTTGTATACCTACTTTTAGCTAATAGGCATTTTTACTTTTGTATTTGTAATGTGACCTTGCCTCAAGTGTACTAGTAGTTACCATTGTATCTTGATCCCCTGTTAACTCTAGCCCTAAGTAAGCTTGGCATGAATACTTGAATTTTCTTCAGTGCTTTCTGCAGAGTGAAAACCAAAAGATAGGATACGTTTAGGAAAGGGCAATTTTGAAGTGATACTATGAATGTGAATTTGGTCCCAGGCAAAACACCTCAGTAGAAACAGACGTGGACAGTATCCAAAGAAACAAGATATCACGCATTGACCAAGTTTAGAGCCTCCAAACCTATTCCCTCCATACTACTACCGTGGCAAAATCCAGCACCAGGCCCTTGGAACCCAATACCGTACACCCCCCATATTCTTGGGATATCGTATCCATCCCTCAAGCCGTTCTTTTGGTCTCCTTTCCCCAAACAAATAGAAAAAAGATTTCAGTTCCAAGATGAGCAAAATTGGGAATTAAGAAAGAAAGTGAAGGGAGAAGAGAGAGAGAGAGAGAGAGAAAGGAGAAAAGAGAGGGACGTCATCAGATAATAAGGCAACTGTCCAGTGCCTGTGCACTTATGATAATGTGAGAGCTGGCGTATGTCAAAGGAAGAAAAACAACGTGGGTGGATTCAATCTCAATTGAGCTAAGCACCAGCAATTGAGGTCAAGACAACAGAAAAGAAGAACAGAAAAAAAAAGGGAAAAAAAATTGGAGGGGAAGCGGTATGGCGCTGGGGAATACTAAGGGCTCTCAACGTTCTCAACATGGCACACCATGATGACATGTTGAAAGAGCAAGAAATTAAGTAACCACGAGATAATAAGTAGTAGTAATAGAAAGGAAAGAAAAGAAGCCAAAACTCGTAGGTCACAGTGCACTAATCTCGAATACAGAAAAGCTCCAGGGTCAGTCCGAACAATGATGGTTTGCGGACTTGTTGTTGACAGGGGAGGGAGAGGATGAGGGGATAAGATGACCCCTCTAAACACACCAACGCCAATCTCATATCCAATGTGGAACAAAAAAAACAAGCAAAGCAGAGGGAGAGAAAAACGATTATCCACGGAGAGGGATAGGCCAAAGGTAGAAGAAACTGCCAAATCAAATCAAATGTACAAAACAAGGGTATATCGGAGAGGTTCAAAGCACCTGAAGAGGACCATCAAGACTTTTGCATCATTCAGAGACCGTCACCAGCCCCAGTTTCAACACCATCGGTGTTATAGGGCATGCTTGGGTCGAAGCCGAAGTCAGTCCCAGCAGCATCGGTATTCAGGAATGTATCAAAGTCAAAGCTCTCCAAGATGTCGGGGTTATCCAGAGCGCTGAAGTCAAGGTTGAAGGGAGTGTTCTATTGTCAATGAGTTAGTATACCAGAGTACTCTAAAAGAACGAGAGACAAAGAAAGGAGAAAGGGGGGGGTGGGGAGTAAGAGGAGAGAAAGAAAAAAGAAAAAGAAAAGAAAAAAAAAGATAAGACGTACATCAGTGATGCTGATTTCAGCAGGGTATTGCTGAGACTGGTCCGGAGTAGATTGAACCATCGGGGGAGGAGCAGGAGCTGAGGGTTGCTGGGGTGGTGGGCCTGCGTTGTTTGCGTTGGCTCCACCCTTGAAGGTGTTGTTGGGAGGATGAGGAGTGACTGGAGTGGGTGGGTTCGGTGTTTGCGCTGGGTCTGTAGCCTCAGCGGATGCAGCAGCAGGGGCACCTTGACCCTTCTTGCCACCCTTGGCTGTGGTCTTCTTGTCACGCTTCTTGGGTGCTGGTTTGGAAGGTGGCTGGGGGGTAGGGGGAGCATTGCTACCAGCAGGAGACTCCTGGGCACGACCTGCGTTACCACCCGCGGTAGGCGGTGCTTGAGGTGGAGGCATGTTGCCTCGTTCCTGCGGTGTGCCAACCTGAGGCTGGGTCGCAGGAGAGTGCTGAGGCGGCATTTGTCCTGGCGGCCACTGACCACTAGGGACGCGATTAGCAGTGTTGGCAGTGATGGGCTGACCCATCTGGGGACCGTTAAAGGATGGGTTAGAGCTTGGGGGACGCATGTTGGACCCTGGTCCGCCGAAGAATTGACCTCCCATGTCGGCTCCCATCTGTCCGTTAAGGTGCATTGATCCCGGTGATCCGCGGTTTTGGCCGAGGTCCGCTGCACTGGGTGATCCGGGAAGACCGCTTTGAGGCATTTTGGGTGTGCCGCGTTTCATTTGATCGCTCGGATTTGGTGATGCGCCCGTACGGCTGCCCTGCGGAGAGGTGCCTGGTGGCAAGCCTCCCTGTCCAGGCATCTGCTGGCCGTCGCGAGACATGGTGTCTTGCTCCTGGCGAGCCATCATCAGACGACGCTTATTCTGCTGCTCGAGCAGCATAAGCTGCATCTGATAATCTTGGAGAGCGTGGTTGCCGTGCTGACCGTTCGGTGTGCCTGCCATCCCGGGGCGGACCTGGGCGAGCTGACCGTTGGCGTAGTACTCTGTACCCATTGGGTACATTCCCTGGCCGTCAGGCATTTGCACCAGATCCCCCTGGTTTGGCATCACACCGGGGTTCATCATACCACCATTCGGAATACCCTGGTAATTCAATGCTGAGCGCGTGTGATGAGAGGCTAGGTCTTGAGCATATTTTACCTGCAAGTTTTTTTGTTGCGCCGGAACAGACGGTCCCTGTGTAAACTGGAACTGTTGGTTTATCCGCGGATTCATTCCATTCGGCATATTCGGCATCATCATCTGTTGTGGGTTTTGTACTGGCATTCCCTGTCCCTGTCCACGTCCGCCAGGTGCCAACTGTTGTCCGTTCGGGTGGCCCTCAAGGCGAGGCTTTTTCGACGGCGACGGGGCATTGTCGGTAGAGGCAGGGGACTGCGGTCGGTTCCCATTCATCTCATCCATACTAGCCTGTTCGCGCATTTGCTGCATCACCTGCAACTTCTGTTGCTGTTGGAGTTGAAGGATCTGCTGCTGGGTTCTATATTTTAGAGAGATAATTTGTTAGCAAACCATCGCCCCCACTTCCAGTATGTCTGGGAGGGGAAATGCTAAAGAAAGTGTAGCATACAGGGGATTGTTATGCTGCAACGCGGCTTTGGCTAGGTTAGGGTGGCCCATGCCATTGCGTTGACGCATCATTGGATTCATGTGGGCAGGCATCATAGGTTGCTGCGGCCGGATCATGTGGTTTTGCTGTTGCTCTCGCATACGCATCATGTTCTGTGATTCCATGTCAGATTCCCAAAAGGCACCCATGAGTTCGGAGTGCCCACGAACCTGAGTATGCTGGAGATATTGCCTCACGTCGTGGTTACTGCCCTTCTTCCGCTGGGCCCAAAAGAAGTCCCAGAAAAGACTAAACCATTCCAGAAGGAACGAGGACTGCAGACTTTCGCCGACGAGAGTGGGGCGAGGGAGATCATCGGGGATCTTGATCTTCTCCCCGTCCTTCCCATCGGTCATCATCGCATCGCCATCCATTCCGTTCACATCGTCGCGACGATTACCAGGGCTGGGCTTAGTACCAGAGTCAGTGTTAAGTTTGATGTTTTCATCCTGAAGAAGGGCGCGGGCGCAGTCATGGTAACCACGTTTCAAAAAGTAGTCGTAGATATAGGTGTTGAGGTTGTTGATCAAGTTGTCAGGGTTATTCATGGTGCCGTCATTACGAGGTGCCGAGGAGCCGTTGTTCATCATCGGGACACCACCCACGGGGCCTGCCACCCCGGGGTTCATGCCGACGTTCATCTGGTTCATGGTGGCGAATGGTGGAACTGCAGCCACCCTTGCCAAGGTATTTGTATGAAATGCGAATCAAATTACTCCAAGCGATCGGGACTTCCAAGCGCGCATCCACCGTCTCAGGCGATGAGGCCTAACGCGGGGTGGAAGAAGCGACGCGTGGAAACGGGATAGGGAGAGGCGGTCAGGGCGCTTCGGGCGGCGGGATGGAAGCAACCAACAACCAACTCTTCCAGGGGCTATAGGCGCGTAAGAAAGGTGCGCGCGGATGAACTGAGTGCGGTATCGGTATGGCCGAAGGGTTGCGATAGAGATCTGGTGTGATATAAAGACGTCTTCGCCGGGTGGGATCCACGCGACGAGATAGGGAAAAAAGGATCTAAATCCGGGTGGCGCAGAGAAGCACTCTCAGATAAGCCCCGACTGCTAAGAATTATCCGATGGTTAGAGATGAAAAGCCAATGCATCAACGAGGTGACATGAAAATTGGATCACAGGAGAAGCGCAGTCGCTGGAAGGTTTTGGGCGATGACGGAGATACCCAGGAGGCGGGAAAAGAGTAGTGAAACCCAGTGAAACCAGCGAGATGGGGGCGGGCACTTTTTGAGGGGGGAAGGGCCCGATCGGGCCGGGTTGACAGAAGAAATTGGAACTATACCAAGTCGCATCAAGGGAAAAGGATCTTACCAAGAGGGGAGGAATGAGAAGGGTTGAGGGTGGAGTCTCGTAGTGGAAGGGGAAAAGAGGAGCCGGGGGGTAACGGGCGACTTGCTATTGCTCTTTCTCTCTCTCTCCAGTCTGTTCTCTGTTTCTGAGGAATCGCTTGTTCGGAACGGATTAACTGAAGTTCCCGGGGCTGGGGATGGCGCTGACAGGCGTATTTCTGGGCATGCAAGGCAAAAAGTGGGCTGGGGGGGGAAACAGTACAACGTCAAAGATGAAAAAAAAAGAAAAGAAAAAGAAAGAAAAATATATCTGGGATGAGAGTAGAGTAAAATGAAGATTCCAAGCAAGATGGTCAAAAGAAAAAAAAAAAAAGAAAAAAAAAGTCCAGAGATTTTCTTCTAGGATCAAGTAGAAAAGAAAAGAGAAATTGTAGAGGTGCAAAGGTCCGATCAGGCGAGAGGCAAGTTAATATGGGTCGATTGATACACCATATATGGATCCCGCAAGTCTAAACTCAAGACTCCGCGCAAAGCAGAGTATAAGATCGACGATCGAACCAATCAAGACAACCAACTGGGCTAAGAATATAGAGATCTGTGATTGTGTGAGAGAGAATCATAGGAAAGAAAAGGGAAAAGATGAAGAAAAATTGATCTGTAGGTTTTTTTTTTCTTTTCTTTCTTCAAAGTGGCGGAGATATGTATTGCCCAGATACCGTATTGTTACATTCATTACCTTCCCATTACCTACCCGCATGTTATGCACCTACTACACTTCCAAGGTTTTATATAGATCGTAGTCTCGTCACATCTTGTACGGGAACAATTGATCTAGGACCAACACAACAAAGATAGGATAATTCACCTTGATCAAATTTCTCATCCTTAATTGTTCTTAATTACAGGAGAAGTTTCAGTCCAGAGAAAGAAAAAAAAAGTTTATTCTCTAAAAATACACTGGGAACCGATATAAATCGCGTGGCGGGGACAGTTTGTTCAGTTTCGCTGATAGATCATAAAGCCTAATACTGCACAGAAAGCAAAGAAGAGAGATTGAGTGAAAAATAATAATAATAAACCCCACAATAACAAGAATGAAAATTTCTCATTCCTCAAATCGTTACCCATCATGACCTGCCGAAGAAAATAAAATAAAAACGCCGGTGGATGCTATTGCACTAAGCTTACTCCTCCTCTGGCGGCATCTCATCCTCGATGTATCGAACCAACGAGACCCGCATCTCCGTAGTGTCATCGCCGCGCAGCACATCGCTCACAAAGTGTGCCTCGATCTGCATTTGAACCTGGATTCCGGGTCAGCCATCGGACCCAGCACATAGGGTTTCCGGAGATTTAGATGAAATGGGAAAGGTTTACTTACCATTTCTAGCGATCCCCGGAGCACACCGCACAGGATGTTGGAGAACCAAAGCTCATCTTGCGCTCGGCCATCATCCGGCAGCTCAACAAAGTCTGCCAGAGGATTCTCATCAAAGATCAAAGAGAATTGGTTGTTGTCACTGGACCAATTGGTGACTGTTGGTGCCACATTCAAGAAGATCTTGAAACCCACCTAGAAACACCAAAAAAAATCAGTTAACTGCAACTCCATCACTGAACTAACTTTATATCGAAAGCTTTTGATCTACTCACTTTGGCAATCATATCGGCCGTCTCACGGAAATTGGCACACCGACCCACTCCTGACTTGGCCAGGAAATCCTCGATCAACCGCATACCGATATTGTAACCCATCTTATCCAATTGCTTGTTCACATCTTGGTAGTTGCTATCATAGTCTTGGCATAATTGTGCGACAATGGTACCGTAGGTTAATGTAACTAGCTCCGCATTGACTTTATCGATTCTTGTTCTGTAACCCGGCAGTCAAGTTAGACGGTGACAATTTAAGGCACAAGAGGTCGCGTAACAGGATGAATCAAAGATATAGGGGCTCGTGGGGCTTCCTTTGGATAACTGACTTCCATATTCTATTCAACAAGTCGTTAGCAAGGATATTAATTATCCGGGGCGGAGCCCACTCACTCTTCTCCTATTCTGGAGGCCTTTGTGGCTGACATGGTTTTGGTGAACGATGAACGCGGCACAGTTTCAATATGAGTCGAAGCTGTAGAATTTTTGGGGTCTGTCTCTGACGATGAATACAGAAGCAGCTACTAATAGTTGCAGGAGTTTCGTGGAGGTTCAAGTTGATTGCGGGGAGTGCCAGTTGCTGGAGCTGTCGCTGTACACAGGCGGTCTCACCGCCTAAGAGAGTGGGATTATCATTCTTCCCGCTTTCTTCAGATCGTCACGGAATCTTTGCGCACCCACGATCGTCCCACACCCGGTGCCAGTAACGCTTACTTTCCCTTGTTTTTGGACTTTCGAGGGTGATCTTCCTGGAATAATGTCTGGAGAAAAGCGCCCAGCCCAGCAGGCCTTCGGGTCATCCAGCCAGCTCGTGGTGAAGCGAAAGAAGTCCGACGCCGACCTCAACCCGGGTACAGCTATTGTTAAGAGCTCTTCACAGAATGGTGCTCTCATCCAAGCCGTTAGTCGCTTCCTTTCACTATTTGGCAGATATATTCAAGTAGCGGAACATGATCTAACCTCAGAATAGATTCCTCGTACCAGCGGCCTCGATGCGCCAATCATGGAGCTTACTGGTGAGACGCGTTCAACAATTGACCAGATGGATTCCCTCTAACAGGAACAATATAGGTCACTCTGGTGAGGTCTTTACAGTTCGATTTGACCCGACTGCGCAGCACATTGCGTCCGGTTCGATGGACCGGTCTATTCGTACGTCTTATCTACCATTACCTCGGAGAAGCATTGACTAACAACCACCTTTGGTATATAGTGCTTTGGAACACATACGGACAATGCGAGAATTATGGTCAATTGACAGGTCATAAAGGTGCCGTTCTAGACCTCCAATGGGCACGCGACTCAAGAGCGCTTTTTTCGGCTTCGGCAGATATGACACTTGGAAGCTGGGATGTGGAGACTGGTCAGCGTGTGCGACGCCATGTTGGTCACGAGGAGATTATCAATTGCCTTGATATCAGCAAGCGTGGACAGGAGTTACTGGTGAGCGGCAGTGATGACGGCTGCATAGGCATCTGGGACCCGCGGCAGAAGGATGCGCTGCAATATCTAGAGACCGAACTTCCCATCACCGCAGTGGCCCTTTCGGAGGCAGGAAACGAAATTTACAGCGGCGGTATTGACAATACAATCCACGTGTGGGACTTACGCAAGAAGGCTGTGGTGTATTCCATGGCTGGACACAACGACACTATCACCTCTCTTCAGATCTCCCCAGACTCCCAGACTCTCTTGTCAAACTCTCACGACTCTACTGTTCGGACATGGGATATTCGACCTTTTGCCCCAGCCAATCGCCAGATCAGGACATTTGACGGTGCCCCCGTTGGGTTGGAGAAAAACCTTATCCGCGCTAGCTGGGATCCCAAGGGAGAAAAGATTGCCACAGGAAGTGGTGACCGAAGTGCGGTCGTTTGGGATGCAAAGACTGGAAAGCTTCTTTACAAGCTCCCTGGTCACAAGGGTACTGTCAATGACGTGCAATTCTCTCCCAACGATGAACCCATCAGTGAGTTTCCGTCCGACTACGGTATTACACAATTCTCTAACTTTTCTGGCAGTCGTTTCTTGCTCCTCCGATCGCAATCTCATGCTTGGAGAGTTGGGGAAATAAGTATGGGCAAAAACATATCGGATTTTTGTTTGGTCTACTGGATAAGCGGGCGTTGAATTGATATAATCCTTGAAATATCCTAACATTTTAAGCCACAAAGTTAATGGGACCAGTTTAGCAGACACAAAAGGCTTCCCCCATGAAACAGGCCATCTACTGCCATCATTTTGCTCGTGCGCTGAGATATGGTATTGATGATGTACACTATATCCTACTTAAAGAAGGCGTTTGCCGGTGTTCCTTTAATCCCTGGCACAAATACGTAGCCAGCTTGATCTTTGAGAGGGTTACTCGTTGGAACTCCTACGGCTAAGAGCCCTTGATAACCCTTTTTTTCATATGCAACTTTGGCAACTTTGACAACTTTGAATGATCAAATACACATCTCCGAACCAAATTTGACTGATTCGTGTATGGCAAGACAAATCTACATGTCATGTGCTCGCCAGGGTCCAATGATGCAATCAAGTACCTACTAGTATGGATGCGCAATAAAAGATTCCCGAGTTGGCTTATCTGGCCGTATCCACTCTCCCTCACCTTTTTCCCCTTCAGCAACTGGGCACTACATTCATTTAAATATTACTTTGGCCCAGGAACTAGCCACGATCTTGCAAACTCTTTCCAATCGGCACTCCTTTTGGCTCTATACAGTACCGCCCCCACATAAAAACCCCCGCGGTCGACCGCTCTGGTGATGCGCACGCGATGTTGGAGCTTGCCAATGGTCAACCCCCGTCGCGCCTGGACAATGCTGGCCTGGGTCTTCCTGCTGTCGCTATGGTCCACTCTGGCGGAAGGGATGAGAGATTATCAAATTAAAGAGCTGAGGTACGACACGTTTTGTCTCCACCGCCTGTGAATCTAGCCCCAATGCTGACATCCCCATGTTCTACAGGCAAGAAACGGAGCACATGTTCTACCATGGATTTGAAAACTACCTCGAGCACGCCTTTCCCGAAGATGAATTGCGCCCACTCACATGTGGCCCCTTGACCCGCGACGAAAAATATAACGATAACAACGATGTGCTCGGCAACTATTCCTTGACTCTAATCGACAGCCTGTCGACCCTGGCTATATTGTCTTCGAGTCCGGAAAGTGGAGATCGGTCCCTGGGGTATTTTCAAGATGGGGTGAAAGACTTTGTCAGATTGTATGGGGATGGTTCCAGGGGCCCTGCTGGTCGGGGAGAACGCACCAGGGGATTCGATATCGACAGCAAGGTGCAGGTGTTTGAGACGGTCATTCGAGGACTGGGTATGGTCTTTCCGGTCTATATAATGTATATGTTCTGCGTGGTATTGGCTGAGGGCTAACATTAACGTACAGGTGGATTGCTCAGTTCCCACCTTTTCGCTATAGGTGAACTTCCTATCACCGGATACAACCCATCAGAGCAGGATGCTGCATTCGCTGGTGCATGGGACAAAAGCAAATTTTCGGAAGATGCCCATGGAATTGAATGGAGAAATGGATTTGTCTATGATGGTCAATTTCTTCGGCTGGCTGTCGATTTAGCAAACCGCCTCCTTCCAGCATTTTATACAGAGACCGGTTTACCCTATCCGCGAGTCAATTTACGACACGGGGTACCGTTCTACGAGAACTCACCTCTGAATCTCAAGGCGGAGGGAAACAAACGAAAGAAATATTCGTACCTTGCAAATGCCGAGGTTACCGAGACTTGCAGCGCGGGCGCCGGCAGCTTGGTACTGGAATTCACCGTCTTGAGCAGGCTCATTGGGGATGGTCGATTTGAGGAACTTGCTAAAAGAGCATTTTGGGCGGTTTGGGCCCGCCGAAGTGATATCGGCCTGGTTGGATTTGGCATTGACGCCGAATCTGGAAAGTGGGTTGGCTCGTACTCGGGGGTAAGTAAAAACAACAGTCGCGTTTGACAAAGGAAATGCTAATAGTTGACAGATTGGTGCTGGTATTGACAGCTTCTTTGAGTATGCTTTCAAATCCCACGTTCTTCTTTCTGAAGGAGAACGTCCGCCTTTTGATACGAAAAGTCCTTGGAAGATACTGGATGAATATTACCTCCCCTTGACTGAGGACCAGCATTCTCCAGATGCCTTTCTCCAAGTCTGGGAAGACTCTCACACCTCAATCAATCGCCATTTATACCGTGGTGAGGGGTATCAACATCCACACTTAGTTGTGGGAGATGTCATAACCGGAGCTACGCGAGCCTTCTGGATTGATAGTCTGAGTGCTTACTATCCCGGCCTACTCGCTTTGGATGGAAAGCTGGACGAGGCTATTGAAATCCATCTTCTCACAACCGCAATCTGGACGCGCTTCTCTGCCCTCCCTGAAAGGTGGAACGTGGCTACTGGTGATATCGATAACGGTCTTTCCTGGTACGGAGGTCGACCCGAATTCATCGAGTCCACATACTACATTTATCGGGCAACTCAGGATCCATGGTATTTGCATGTTGGTGAGATGGTACTGCGCGATATTAAGAGACGTTGCTGGACGAAGTGCGGATGGGCGGGTCTGCGCAACGTTCAAACTGACGAAAAGATCGATCGTATGGAAAGTTTCTTCCTCGGAGAGACTGCCAAGTATATGTTCCTTCTCTTCACCCCCGATCATCCGTTGAATAAAATGGATGCCCCATGGGTTTTTTCTACGGAGGGCCACCCTTTAATCATTCCGAAAAAGACCAGGCCAACTCAACCCCGTCGCCGGCAAGACGTTGAGCCTTTCCGGCATACGGCTGATGATATTTGCCTCGCACCTCTTGCTCCATCCAGCTTTGGTGCATCGTCGACGGCATCGCGTTCTGATATTTTCCACGCTGCCAGCTTGGCGCGCTTACATCTTCGACCTCTGGGTGGCACAGATGAAGGTGCCATCTTGGAAGACTCACCTCATCATCCGAGTGTGTCGATATCTGATCTGTCATCGCCAAGCAATTACACATTCTATCCGTGGACGCTCCCACCACAGTTGGTGCCCTTCAATGCGACCAGTGCGCCAATGGCTCTCCGTCCCACGCTTGATATATCATTCCCATCCCTCCCCGGTGGTGTCAACATGGGCCCGGGGGCTTTGGAGCGTGTACATGATGGTATTTTAATCAAAACGGTCGGAGGGCTTCGATTGAGCATGATACAAGATGTTCCAATGTGGGCGAATGGCAGGAGCAGTGAGGACGGATTCCGGGTACAAGTGATCAACAATGTACCTCTAGGCAAAGATGAGAAGGTATACCTCTCGCGCCAGATCACATTTGACATTGTTGATCCCTATGACCCCAACTTCACCCGAGTACGGGATAATGCCATTGTTGATCTCGTCATTGACGTTCTTCCAGAACCCCCTCGACGAAATAATGGCTCGGTTAATACAAGATCTGACCAGCCTGCAGCAGAGCAATCCGGCGATTCGGAAAACCCAGAGTCTCACGTCGTTCGGCATAGACCCGTTGCCCATGATGAAAGTCCAATCGTCGAGTCCCCCATGAAAACCATGCTATCATCGCTGGTCAACTCAGTGTCATCTCTTCTCCGTGATGAGCCCGCCGAAGCTATGCCGCTCCGACTCAGTCTCCCGGCTACTATTCCTACTGGCATCGGGGCCGCCCCCCTCCCCGAGGTTGAAGATGCCCTCGGTGTATCGCTGTCTGGTGACCCATCCTCGTCGCGACTCACATGGTCATCAATATACTTTGCAGGTGATCTCTGCAATGAGCGAGTCCTGCGCGATACCGTTCAGACCCACGAGATCCTCGTTGTGAAACGCGGCGGCTGTACCTTCTCCCAAAAGATGCGCAACATCGCCGCTTATAGACAGTCGCGTTCGTCCCTGAAACTTGTCGTTGTCGTGTCTTACGACGATGAAGTTCCTCCCCAGCAGGCTGATCCCGAGCAAGATGAAGTATATTCCGAGGAGTCGCCGCCAATCTCTCCTCTGGCTGCCTTGCGCGCAGAACCATACCTCATTCGTCCACATCTCGATGAGAACCAGATAACGGCCAGTGGTATTCCGCGGAACCACCTCATTAGTATGGTCATGGTTGGCGGGGGTGACGAGACATATAAGCTCTTGCAAGCTGCTACTGGCGTTGGGGTTCGGAGAAGGTACACAATGCGATCCCAGGGCGTCCCGATCACTAATTTACATATCATTTGATTGTTATATACCCGGACTGGTGAATGATTTATTCAAATTTCTTTACATTCAAATCCTGTATATTTTGGATATATTGCGCAGTTTTCCGGCCTCGAGCCAAGTAGATACGCATACTTATATAGTATGTATGCGAACACGGAATGGGCATTCCTCCATTTGGGCAGCTGTATCCACCAACGATGGTTCAAGTCGCTTTCGAGGAGTGGAACAACCGGCGGGTCAATGGTTGACAAGATAGATCATATACACTCCCCCATGATATACCATCAAAGACTCAATTCTGTCAATCATAATTCAATTCAATTTTTAGTATATTCTACCAAGCACGAATCTAGATCTATTCCAGAGCAATGCACTCAATCTCAACGGGGACACCTTTGGGGAGCTGGTGAACAGCAACACAGCTGCGAGCAGGCTTGTGGGTGAAGAACTTCTCGTAGACAGCGTTCATAGGAGCGAAGTTGGCCATGTCAGTGAGGAAGACCTGCGGTTATGTCAGTATATCATTCAGTACATATTGCAAAGAATGAAATAGAAGATGGATATTTTAAAAAAGAAAAGCAATGTAGAAGTATGGTTTGTATGTGAAGTATACATTTAGAGGAAGAAAAACTTACGTTGACCTTGACAATCTTGGAGACGCTGGATCCGGCAGCAGTGACAATAGCCTGGATGTTGTCGCAGCAGGCCTGGGTCAGGACACCGATGTCACCCTCGACCAGGTTGCCGGAGGCATCGGCGGGGATCTGGCCAGAGACGTAGATCGTGCCGTTGGCGCGGATGGCCTGGGACTATAGGTTTTTGACGTCAATTGGATATTCCATTTATATTCCATGTATCTTCCAGCAGTGGTTCATTATGATTTGGGGGTTCTGGGCTTGGTGGTGGGGTTTGTTGGGATCCATGAGCTGAGTCATATGCACAGAGGGGTCTTTGGGATTCGGGTAGGATTGATGTGGTGTGAAGCTAGAAGCAAAGGGAGCTGGAGCTGGAGCTGTAGAAACATACGTAGGGGCCGGCAGCTAAAGAAGGTCAACATTTGTTAGCAATCGATCCTCAAGGATCTCACAATGCTGAAGAGTAGTTGTGGTGGGGAAGGTGGCGGTCTTTGGACGTACGAGGGCAGGCATCCTTGGCAGTGATGATGGACATGTTGGCAGACATTCTCGGAGTGAATCTGGGGGTGAGAGGGACGGTAAATCTAGGATTGAAAGTGCGAGAGATAGCTTGAAGACGAGAAACAGTGCGCAGCATGTTGGAAAGGTGGGTTATATGATGGAAACTGCCGCAGCGCCCCGCCCTAGATTGGTGGGGTTATTGCCAGCATCTTGTTTCCCGCGGTCAACTCAATTGCTCGGGAAACATGGAAGCATTGACCTATCTAGGTTGACATAGATCCTTCTAAATGGTTCGAATTATGTACTAAAAACTCCTATGAAAAGGGCCAGTGAGTAGTGGTAACAATGTTATTAATCAAATTCGCTCAAATACTAGTATGATACAAGCTAGTTCATTTCTTCGTTAATATGATATCACTGTGTCCAATGACAAATGGCAAAGGCTCGCAAATATGTAGTAAAATATTCAGACACGGGAATGTTAAAAGGTATATCAAAAGGTGGTACACGGGAGGTATTAAAATTGTGCCCCCATCTTACGCAGCTGCTGCATCAAGCTGGCTGTCTGCTCGGCAGAGTACCCGAAGAACACCGGACCATTGAACGTAATGTGGGATGGCGTGGGGATGGCGTCTGCTTTTGCAGTAGTGTCTTCGATTTTCTGGGCGTCTGCATCCGCTGTAGCAGCCTGGGCATGTTTGGCCCAATTAGCCAAGGGCGATGTCGGTCGCTCGGGTTCAGGAGCAATGGCAGCAGGGGGAGGAGCTGCGGAAACAGGTTCAGCTGCTTCTGGCTTAGGGGCGCCATGTCCAAATGGACAGCGACCGGCCGGCTTGGCCGGGATATCAGTAGGCGGTGTCTCATGGGGTCCGACATGAGATTCAGGAGACATGGGACCAGGTACCAATCCTGAAAATGGTACTGAGGCATTGGTTTGCTGGGTGATGGGCACATGAATGCCCCAAGGTCGACTTGGGGATTCACCCAGACGAACCTCGCGGAGAGGGCGCTCAAAGCGACCGTCTCTACTAGTACTTCCTTCATCTTCATTGCGATTTTCATCCTCATCTGGTGGAGGTCCAGGATTAGCTGGATCCACGTTCTCGGCCCATTTCTCAACTCTCTCGGTGGATACAGATGTGGTCTGACCATCACCATCACCATTTCCCTGTCGGCCTGGCAGGAAAGCTTGGTGCTTCGCCGAGAGACCACTGATCATATTGATCAACCCGCCATATTTCGCATCCAGTTGTCGCATGTTTTGAGGGTCTCTCTGATATCGCTTCACACAGATAGCATGACTTCGGGGGATTTCATGCTTATGTCTTTCCACATACTCAGCAATTTCTTCCGGAGAATGTTTATCCAGGTACCGAATCGGGCATCGGGAGACAGGGCATCGACTTCCGGAGGTCCGGACGGATGGCGTCGTGCTGGACCGTCGCTCATCCTGTTCGGCCTTGATAGGGTCCAAATTCTCGTGGCCGCATGTATCAACTTGGATTTTGGGGCCATCATTCGTCCCATTCAGTGCCTCACTTCCTGAGGGTGTCTTAGGTTTGGAAAATGGACAGTGCAAACTACCCTGGGCACCATTGGTGGTGAAGTCTTCCTCCAGGTACACAGGGTCTGGGCCACGCACAAACATGCATGAATTGGTGGAGGACATTTGGGAAAGACCGTCCTGGGTACGAAGTAGGGCCTTATAGCCCTTAACCCCGGCCACGATGGCTCGAGTGGCATTTTCGTCTACATTTTGGTGTGAAACGAGGGTCTTGATTACATGCATGGAATTCAGCGATTGCTCTTCGATTCGAGGTTTGTTGTGCACAAGGCCTAGACACAATTCTTTCTGTTGATCCAATAACCTTTGCTGGACCTCCATTGCATGAGGTCTATCTTGAGGAGGCAGCTGTCTGGTGACATTGGTGTACTAGAAGGTCGCATGTTAGCAGCCACTTCTTATTTCAGTTGTGATGCAATCATAGAAAACAACATTCTCATCAGATAATACATGTTAATCCGTCATCGCCACAGTTAAGTGGCTCCTGATCTAGAGCTTTTCATCATCATTTGAGGGGGAGGGGGTGAATTGTATGGGAGCGAAGGAGATATTTACCTGTTTGAAAATATCCTCGGTGTATTGCTTGAGTTCATTGTGTCTGTTGGTAAGCCGGTACAGGGTTAGTAGTAGGGCATCGAAGGCTTTGCCCACGGCTTCGAGCTGATTCAGATGGAGTTCCGGCTGCATATCCTCGGAAATAGGGGCAGGCATGTTGAGGTGACGCGATGTGTATTACAATATGGAGAGGTAGCTCATATGACATTTCAAGAGCTGGACTCCATGGGGTGGTGCAAACACCTGAGACACGGGAGATGGCGATGAAAGAAAGAGAGGTCAGGCAGACATTTTATAGCGTGAGCAGCAACTCCGGAAAAACATAAGCGAGTTGGTCCGTGCTACGTCACGTGGTGCTCCGGGTTCCGGGCTTGGAGATCCGGATTAGAAGATCTTCCGAGGCTCAACAACATTGATACTCTGTGTATTTCTCTGCTATTCCCCAGTGGACTGAGGCCGGCACAAACTTTGTGTGGATGTGTCTCGCAACTATACTTCGATGGTATTACATATTCAATCAATTGATGTTATTTGCCCAGGTCGGAGTCTTAAGCCAACCAGAGTTCTAAAGCATTAGGATCTGACTCAATCTAACATTCGAACATTCCAAGGTTGGATGCACATGTGTGTATGTACAGATCAATTAAGCACTTGAGGGCTTCCAATAGTTTCAATGTTATATGTAGTGCTATGTAGGCATCCATTCCAACCAGTTGACCTTAGGAGGTTTGACTTGAGTCGAGGTCGTACCAGTCCTGCCAGTGCTACCAGTTGACCAAAATGTAGTATTGTATGTATATATGTTGCCTGCATTAATCGACAATTAAATCTTGGAATCACCTCCAGGGCCGGGCAGCGGGCCCGATGCCATACATATCAATGTATGTAAGAGACAAAAATTGAATTGGAAACCAATAAATCTTGACAGAACCAAAAAGTGATTAGTGAAATTGAAGCAAGTGATGATTTTGCTGGTCGTTGGCTAAGCTTCAAATGTTGCTTATGCACATGTGGGCAAGCGCAAATGCACTGCCTCAAACATGTAGGATATTATAGCCAAAACTATTTAGGTTTCGTATAAGCCCGCCGGGCTAGCTCAATCGGTAGAGCGTGAGACTCTTAATCTCAAGGTTGCGGGTTCGACCCCCGCGTTCGGTTCTTTTTTTGCTCTTTTTTCTTCTTGTATGTACCACTAGTTCTTCACTTTCTCTATACGGAGAACATTGGCAGAATTATTCAACATTTGAATTCTTTTGAAATATGCTCCACCGAAATTTGATCTTGGCTTATGTAGCCAAACCAAGTTACTTCTTTAACAAGCCCAGCCGGGCTAGCTCAATCGGTAGAGCGTGAGACTCTTAATCTCAAGGTTGCGGGTTCGACCCCCGCGTTCGGTTCTCTTTTTGCTCCATCGCTTTTTTTGTTAATTGTTTCTATACTCTTTCTTGCTTTCTCTCCTGCTGCTGCTCTTATAATTGACTACTATGTATACATATGGCGGCGAGGTGGGAAGTATGGAATAAGGGAAATGCACCTACCCCTCACCGAGTCACACTAGTCCATTCTATCCAATCCACTCCGTACGGATACAGAGTGAATGCATAGTAGATATGATATGAAACAAGAATTCCTCGATAGCCCCCACCTCTCTGCAGAATAGATAGTAGACAGACCTGGATCCTGCACCGGAATGTTCCCCCTCCACTAGATCCCCTAGCGCTGCATGCATGTGCCAGAAAGGGACAAAAACCTTTTCCCCACTAGAATGGCTATGACAAGTTTCAGATCGCGATGTAAAATGATCTGGCGATCCCCATTGGCTCCTTTGCAGTATTTGTGTGTACAATGTGTCAATCAGCCCTGCATGCTGGGCGACGTAGCGCTCGGATATGGTCTGATGGTCTTAGACCACCGGCTAGCTTCATGGGCGTGTTCCATCGTCCATTCCCCGCGCCTATGATTACATTGCGATTAGATTCCAAAAGTTCTTTTGGTACACACCATCCCGGCCACTTTGATCTGGACACAACCGTTCCGCACAATCCTGGGGGGGTTGTGTAACCAATGAGTCATTTTCAGGTTCCTTTGGATTTATCCGGCCTCGAATGAACCTTCTCAGTTAAAGCCAAAGCGAGAAATGGTGTGATGGGCAGAATACGATCGTTGATTTGTTCGGGTCAAACAAAGGAGGCGTCCGTAGCCCCAAGACTAGGCAGCATGCATGTCTAGGCAAGTGGACGATTCCGCAGATCAGAAGGAACTGGGCGCAGAATCTGCCCGAGGCCCGCAGCGGGACGGACCCCAAAAGCCAGACAAGACACATCAGCACATTTCGCACCTCCTGAAAGCTGCAGATAGGCGAGTTCTAGAAACCGGCTCGAATGAATGGCGTGACAAATGGTAATTTTGACCAGTGACCGCTTATTACCGGTGTTTTGGAAGAAAGAAAGAGAGAGAAAGCCACGGTTTTAATTATTGGATTTTCAAGGTTATAGTGTACTTGAGTACAATATAAGGTATTGAGAATTACCTGCAGAGTATAAATTTCAAGGTTTCCATTGTACCCGATCTGACCGCTGGTTGATGATCTCCGTCTTGTCCGTTCTTTATTGATTTGGTTTACTTTTTCAGTATCACAGGGAAACCGAACCGGATCGTTCAGCTAGATAGACTACTAGTAAGTATATTGAATTCTAGTTATATTATTTTATTATTTTTAATAAAAACAATTCAAAATCAATACGAACGTTGTAATTATATGGGGGTTTTTTGTTTGTTTTTTTGTTTGTTACTGATTGTACAGCATTACCCCTCCATAACATCCAATCTAGGCCCCACGAGGGGCAAAACTTATCGGCTTATCAACCCTGGACCCGTAATTTTACCCATAGAATTTTTTTTTTTACTTTCTTAGTTTTTTTTTTTTACTACGTACTATCTATTTTTTACTCTATAACCTTCTCAATAGCTTTTTTTACCCCTCCTTCTCGCCTTCTTCCCTTTCTTCCCCTTTCTCTCTCATCATGTCCCAATCTACCCTTCCTGATGCCTCCGCCCAAGTCGCCGGACACGCCGCCTCCAATGCCTCCAGCGCCGCCGAACTCGCCAGTCTTAAAGTAAGCCTGCGCTCTTCGCTGCGCCAGTTCCCGGACTTCCCTACTCCGGGAATCCTGTTCGAGGACATCCTTCCCATCTTTGCCAACCCTAAGCTCCACGAGGCTCTGATCCGCTCCCTGGAGCTGCACATTCTCGCCAACAACGGTGGCCAGAAGCCCGATGTCATTGTTGGTCTCGAGGCCCGTGGCTTCTTGATCGGCCCCAGCTTGGCCCTGCGCCTTGGTGCTGGTTTCGTCCCTGTCCGCAAGCAGGGCAAGCTCCCTGGCCCTTGCATTACCCAGGGCTACGAGAAGGAGTATGGCCAGGATTTCTTCCAGATGCAGTCTGATGCCATCAAGCCCGGTCAGAAGGTCATTGTTGTCGATGACATTATCGCTACCGGTGAGTAACCAATTAAAAATCAACAAATTGATTCTCAATAGATCGCAATCCGCTGACCTTTCTTCTTTCTTTTCCCCAGGTGGCTCTGCCTACGCTGCCGGTGAGATGATCCAGAAGCTGGGTGGCGAGTTGCTCAGCTTCCTCTTCATCCTCGAGCTCGAGTTCCTCCACGGCCGTGACAAGCTCCCCGCTCCCACTCACACTCTCCTCTCCGGCCAGGCTGCTTAAGCTTCCTCTTTTGTCAAAGCCACACCCCCTCATTCAATCGTCATAAAAAGTGCAATGTTTATCGCGATCGTCGAGATCGCCGAATCGTTAATGACCCAAATGCCCACACCGAACTGGCGGTGTCTCCACCCCCCACCCTCCACCCGACCAGCCGCTATTTCCGACTCCACGCTCATGCAACCGATTCAACCCGAGCTCCGGAGCATTTGAACTACGCTTCCGGATCTTGTGTTCCTCCTTTTTTAATTTCTTCTGGCATTTCCGTTTCTGTTGCACGTGGTCTCTCTGGGTTGGAGTCGAGCCGGGCTCTTATGACACTCCAGCTTCAACTTTTAATAAAAAACCCCGCTTTTATCCTATATAGACAGATACCTTTGACAATGTGTTTTGTGTTTGGCAAATTCGTTATTCACAATTTGGCTTATATTATGTTGACTTGCATTTGGATCCTATCTATTGGTGTCATAGTATATCGTAGCCGCTTATCCGAGCTGGTAAATAAGCAGGGACAGAGGTTCCAGGTATCAAAAGACACCAACGTATTTTACGAGGATATTACTGGGACACATTGGACGTGGCTGAATCTTCCATATCTATCTTAATACCTGGTATTATTTGAAACATTGAAGTTCCTACCCAGTAGGCACTACCTAGAAGGTATACAAATATTAAGTGCCATTTCCGACTACTACTAGTTATGTACTAAGTACTGATTATGTGCCCTCCAACACCGGATTACTACTGAGCATGTACTAATCCCCTCGGTGCTTGTAGTCTACAATCTTATACTCTAGGTAGCTATTTCCCGATAGGTGGAAGCACATTTGAATGAAATAGTTCTTTTCTATATGGTGGTAGAACTGTGGAAGAAATCAAATACCATGAAAACATTGGACACGCCCAGCACTTGAGGGAATCAAGACTGGTACCGTTCCGATGCGCGCGATATAGAACCAATGTATGCAGTATGTAGACCCGAACCGCTATTGCACCGGAATGAACCGCCTCATGACTTCCTCAACCCATTTCTCGGGAACTCCCAACGCCACCGATTCCAAAATCGCCCGGTTCATCCGCGCAATATACTCGGTCTTCGGCGGCGACAACTTCACCCGTTCCTCGTCCACATAAACAAGCACCGGGATCTGTCCCCCAATTTCCGTCTTGAGCCGATGTTCGCCGTCCCTTTGTTCCTCGTCCAGCCACCGTACAACAGTAGCAGGACAGTACCATTTGTTATAGTCACCCTCCCCCTGTTCCTTAGGCCGAATCCCCACCCCCACCTCCCCACTCCCGTCAGCATCCTCCGCATCCCAGTCCACACCCTCATACCCATCTAATCTGTCTTCGTCTGCAAGATCCATTTCATACAGGACGCCGTATACTGCATCCTCGGTTCCGGAGACAGGTACTTTGGACCCGGCTTCGCTGTTTTGTGATCCGACCCGCATCCCCGGTGGGGGGAGAACGTTGGCGTACCCCGCTTCACAGATAAGCCACCTCCATTTTGGGAGGGTAGCGATGGCGAGTGGTTTTGCTGATAGAGATGGATTGATAATGCAGCGCTGTTTCATCTGGGTTGGGGAGAGGTTAGAGCCATAGGCGAAGTAGAGATATTGTGGCTTGATGGTTTTATCGGTGCGGGGTGAAGAGTCGGGGCAAATGGTTGCCGAGACGGGGAGAGTTGTCTCGGATTGGGGGGCAATTTTTATATCGATATGCATTTTAGATGCCTTGCCCGAATGTCAAATGTTGAGTATTGTAGGAAAGTTGGAGGCTGATCAGGTACCAGTAACCTTATTCATGTTTGTCAAACAGATCAAACCGCGGTGGCAACATTTGAAGACCGGAATCTAAGGCATCAAATACCATGAGATTAAGAAAACAACTCTATCTGGAGCATCAAAGCTTGTATTTTTTCACTGTACGCGTAATGATTTGGTACTTAGTATATCACATCATTGTAACCCCAGATGGTGCTAACCATGGGACCAGGCCAGTCTCCATTCTATACATAGTACGTATACTAATGACGTATAAGAAGCATTCTGGTTTAGTTTTTTTTTTTTGGTGGTGCCATCATTTCTTACTAGTAAGTGGACCTATTTGTGTAGTAGATATTAAAGTGGCGGATTTCAAGCCCAAGCTCCGACGTACTGTATTCATACTGTTATGCAGTATGAAGCAAGCGGTGGATTCCACAGTTCAAATCTCGCCACTCAGAGATGTCATATGTACCATTATAAGTACATAGCCGTACATACTAGTACTAGTAGTACTAAGGTTGTCTCGATTACCCGATACCTCTACCCACATTCAGCGTCTCATCATTATTCGAAAACATGTGCATGTACATTTCAAGGTTATTTACTAGACACAAGAGTACGTAGCTACTACTAGTATTCACGAGTTCCAAGGGTTTGAATTGGATAGGGAAAAATTGCAAGTAAATATACTTGTTTGCATTGCAAGATTTGTATAACAAGTTGAAAATTACGGGCCACATCATACGGTATCTTAATGGACACACATCAATCGCTAGACATACAAAAGGGAATGCAAAATAGTAAAAATCAAAATTTAACGATAGATCGACCCCCAGGGCTGTGCTCAGCGCTGGGGAATCGTCCCACTCATTCGGCTGCCAACCCCGGCCATCAAGCTTTGCTTCACAATGGCATCAGCCGCAGCCGCAGCAGCAAGTCTTTCCTTTTGACGGCTGCGATCACGGAGGTAGCCGGCAGCCTCAGGACGCATGCGAAGAATGCGCAGAATCATGTCGTCATTGGGATCAGCCTGAGCGTCACGGCGCTTCTCTTCCTTCATCTTCTTCATGGTACCTAGGTTCCGGGAGAGCATGATGCTCTTTGCGCGACGGGCAGCAGGTACACCCAGACCCCCATAGCTGGGACCAGTGGCTCCAAGATGAGCGGGGGCAGAGGTACGGTTGCGATTTGCTTGTTGGCGATTCACAGTTGCTGAGGCCATTCTCTCCGAAGTGCGAATCAAGTTCTCAGTGGGCTCAAAGTAGAAAAAGTTCAAGCTTTGAATCTCATGGTACTTGGGGGATTTCAAAATATCGATGGCAACACCACCAGCGTCTCCGGTGTCTTCATCCACCGCATGGAAGAAGCTCAGCAGCAGCACGAGCCAGCGTGATACAATATCCACCTCTTGGATTGTCAATGGCTTCTGGTGGGACGGCTTATCGGACAGAGGTGGAACCAGCAAACTTTCGATAGTTGCAAGGACCTCTTTCCACAAACGAGCCATGACCATTTTCATGGCCTCTCCGGTTAATGTTTTGTTCATGATGGCAAAGTTATCATTGAAGTAATCGAACAAAGGCATCAGAGCATTTTCGACCTCCGCTGGAGTGGGGCCAGTCGAAATCTGTGGCCCTCGGTTGCGGTTTAGAAAATTGGACACAGTTGACATGCTAATCCCGCGAGAGAGTAAAGACTTCAATGTTCGGCGTGATAAACAGTAGCTGATATACGCAGAAAGCTGATGGAAAGTGTCAGTAGGTCGTGACATAAACTAGAAGAGTAAACGGTGGAATAACATACCTTCTCAGTAATCCTCCGAGTCATATCCCTTTCTGTTCGTTTCAGCGTACGGAAAGCCTTACCAAAGTAAAACTGGATATCATCACGCTCACCCTCCATGCTGACACGAAGCAAGAGTCTACCTTGGGTGTCCAGATCAAGCCAGTACTCCCTTGGCAAGAAGTCACCGAAGTGGACTGGATCAAGTTTGATAGATGTTCGACCAACGTAATCGTGATCGCCAACCGCATCCCAGTCCCAGATCGTAGCGATTATGTTCAAAGGACCCTGAGTGGTGATATCCACAGAGTCTTCCCAGCGGGGGTTGAGGTTGTTGTAGATGATGCGGGTCTTGGCAATCCGTTTTTGATATTCGTCCGTCAGGACTACGTACGGATCACTGCCACCATTCATGTCACAAGCCTTTAGGTCCTCTGCCTCAACAACCTTGATCGTAAAGACATAGGTGGTCGACTTGCGAACCTTCTTAAGCAACGGAGGGCTATGCTGTGCAATTACATCGGCACAAGCATCGACGTTGATCTCACGTTCGAGCTTATCCAATTGCTGAAGGGCAAACTCGATGTTGTTCAATTTCACCAGGGACTATTGTTGCGATGTTAGTAATGTGAATCCTCAATTTTTAGCGACTAAAAATGTCATACCTCTGAGGAGAATTGGAACGGTTCAATCTTGTCCTTGCTCGTCCACGTATCTTTGGCAAATTGCATAAACTTCTCTTGAGTGGTCTGATTCAATGCGGCCTCCTGCTCTGGCGTGAGTCGATCCATCTCCCGGGCGAACATTTGTTCCAAGAATTCACAATATTTCGCGACACCTTTTCCAATGGAGCTGGATAATGCCGTCATGAATTTTGCGTATTGAAGATCATCGTCCCACTCTAGCTGTATCAATTTCTCCACCACTTCATTGAATGACCGGAAGACATCAATAACGGAGACACTGTGCCGGGAATCCTCTGGGACGTCCTCGGACGCTTCGTCTGCCCGTACAGAGAAAGCATCCTGTCTCATAGCTTGATTTACCCATTCCATAACACTCTGGTCTGTCAAACGCAACCATCTCCAGACGAATTCTTCCAGAAGACCCTCGATATGGAATGGGAAAGGGTCTTGAGGGATCGTGCTAGTAAACAAACGCCTAATTGTAGCAAGGGCTCTGTACAACGCGAAACCATCCTCAACAGCGATTTCTTCATCCCTAGCCTTGGTTTGCTCGATGATTCGGATGACCATTTCTTGCGCATCTTCAGCAAACATGGGAAGCACGTTGAGGCATAGAGTTGTATATGGGTTGACGCCCATAATCTCAGGGTTGTTCCTGTACCGCTTTTGAATCTTCAGTGCGAGCTTGGAAATGGCATCACCCAACTGAATGATATCGTCGACCTGCCAATCTTCCTGATTAACAGAAATCAACTGACTCAAAAGTCTTTGGTACTTCTCGGTCGCTTTCTGAGCAAGGCCGTCTTGTACATAGGAGCCGAATCGACCAAGGTCCTCGGGGTTCTCTGTATAACTTGGATCCAGTTGGATGTGATTCTCAAGCACATACATTACAGGTCCAAGTGGGCGTGGTTTTGTTTCAAAACAGTCCATCATCACATCATAAAGCTCCCGAAGTAAGGCTTCGTGGATCTTGGCAAGGAGATTCTGCATCATTTGGAGGTCATGAACAGTCCATCTATGGCGGTCAAAAACAGATGGAGCCACAAAGCTGCTGCGTTTGTTACGGATCTCAGCTGGAGGTGACTCTTTCGCAAAGGTAAATGCTGAGTCCAGGGTAGTGAGATCAATCTCATTATCCACAAACTTGGACTGCATGACATCCAAGAATAGAACAATGCGAGAGAAAGTCGGAAGCCGCCATCGGATACAAATTTCATTCAGCATTTCCGTTGATTGCTTTGATAAGAGTTTCATGGAAGGGGCATCAGACGTAGCGTGAGTCGCTGCCTCGGCCTCGCGATTTCGCAGGTCATGAGTCAATGTTTGCGACAAGATAAACCTATATACAGTCCGAGGATCGGAAGGGATAAATGTATAAGTATCTGACTCCTCCGAGTCTCCATCGGTGCCGTTCAACGAGAGCCCGCTGAGGTCGACAGGTGAATCAGAACCATAAGATGTTCGGTCAGTACGAGCAGAGGACGTTTTAGACAAATCACCCTCCACCGGTGAGCTGAACTGAGGCAGAGCACCGGGTGTGCTCTTGGCCAGTTCTGGATTAGACTGCATGATGGCTAGCATCATCTGCGAAAGATCAGGACCTTCGCTTTTCTTCCAGCTATCATAGGCGTCATCGGTCTCAAAGTCATCCTTTGACAGTGTCTTGTGAGTTTGGAGACTCAGATGAGTCTGATAAGTCTTCAGGTCATGTAATGCAGCTTTCGCAGTCCATGTCTTTTTGTGCTTGTCTATCTCGGACTGAGCTTGGGAAGTCGTCATCCCGAAGATCTTGGCCACATGTTGCACAACGGGCATGTCCTTGACTTCATAGGTCAACGGAGCTACAACCTCGGTGGTCGAAGTTGTACCGGTCGCATTCATTAGATCTTGATCCTGAACTAGAAGCTTGTTCTCTAGAACAGACAGTCGATTTGCAAGCTCCGGGCGGTCCTTCGCCCAATCATGTCCTTTCAGACTCAGCGCAAGCAAACGGACAAACAGCGCAACGTGGCGATCTACCATGAGCTTCCAGCTGTCATCATCGTGGTCCTTGCCCTTGCTGAGCTCCTTAATCGCATTGGAATAGAAGATGAGTACGAGGTCTTCCGCTCGCCGGTCCTTTTCCATGCGCTTGCGGAAGGAATCCTCCTTCAACACGTTGAGAAATGCAGCAAATGTGCGCACCACTAGAACATCCTTGAATTCTTTCCGCGGCTCCTTTCCCATCAAAACACCCGTCAAACGTTTCTCCAGTTCGGCCACGAATCCATGAGGAATTTTTGTGCTCTTGGAATCCTTGACCAGCGAAAAGTCACTCATCAAATCATGGATCGAGGTAGTTGATCGCTTAGGCCGCGCCGGCGCGGCGGGTACAGTCTGGATGCGACGAGAGCGCGGGTGTAGGAGATAGGCAAGGTAGGCTACGCGGAGCGCATGGCTGCATGCGACGTTGGCGCTGAGTGGCCGGCGCCGTGAAACTGAGGAGTTGCGCGAATGTCGACCTTCATTTTGGATGCTATTGATCCGTCGGTTGACTCCTCGGGACTGACTAGATGCTGTCGACATCAGGTTGTTGACTATACTCGTGGACGGTTCGGAGGTAAGATAGTGAAATGCGGGACCATGGATGGAGATGGACGCAGACCACCAGCATCCGTGGACGGAGACGTTTAGCGCGACTTTTTGAAGGTCACTTTTTTGGGGGGTTGAGGTGGATATGTCTCGGAGGGGAACTAGGTATGCCGAGCAGGGGGGGCGGTGATGGGGGTTTGGACTGTTTACCTTCAGGGAGAAGAAAGGAGAGGAGGGGAACCAGATGAAACAAAAAGCTCCCGGACTGAACTGACGTAGGCGCCCGGACCAAAAATAAAGATGCGATAGGAACTCAAGAGACTCAACAGCGCTTGCGAGAGACAATATTCAGAGGGAAAAAATAGTTGTTTTGCATTCAACTATCTGGTTTTGCTAATACCCAGAACCCTAGTCTCTCCCTTGGAGGGGCTTTGATCTACACGGGCGCTGAACAGTGATGCTGGCATAATGCAAGGGTGGTCTATACAACATGTACTATTTCCCAGAACAGGTTGTTCTCTGTGAATGTTTTAATCAGGTTATTCTCTGTAAAGTGAAAAAGGATTTATCTAGAGACAGCTACGTAAATATACTATGTGTATGCATCGTACTAGTAGCAAAAACTTACTACAGGTAGTGCTCGAGAGCACCCCATTCTACTCCTACAGCGGCTCGTATGTATATACCTGGATATAACAAGACTTGAGCTCACATGTGCATGCAAATCTGTGGCCTATGGTGATACACCAACCCTAGAAGCGGTACAGATGGCAAAGCACTTGAGTTGAAAGGAAAAAATATGTTGGAACAAAGTAAATCGAACATCTAGTTCTGGTCTTGAATCAACATGCGTCAAAGAGCCGGAAATCCGTTTTTCGGCGAATCGACCATCAGACACTCAGGTGACGCCAAATCGAGGGAAACAAAATCGTCTTGGTATTTACACACACAACAAAAAGGAAAAGAAATGAGAGTAGAGACAAAATTACCACTTGTCTTCACCAGCCTTGCGAGCCTGCGTATAATAAGGTCAGCCATGGAATGTTCGATACCGTGGTATATTCGAAGAAAGCTCATATCCTTACCGGTGACGCATTCGGTCCACCCAGCTCTTTCTCCAGACCATCAACATAGGTCTTGGGAGCGCTGGGCTTGTCAGGGTAGTAAAGGCTAACGATACCACACACGCTGACAAAAGCCACAACGAAGCAACCGAGGTGGAAGAAACCCTTGCCGGCAGAGACATGAGTATATTGTTCAGGACTGAAAACTCCAAGAATTTCGTTGTCCTCATGGACAGGTTCGCCAAAGTTTCGCTTCTCTTGCGCATCCCACCATCCACCGTAGGGGTCTCTGTGAGCACGCTTCACGCGGGGAGGGTTCTGGTAGCCACCATTCTGCCATTGCCATTAGATCACCTGAATATTGTCACCACACGAGAGACACTATACCTGTAGAGGGTCCTCAGCTTCAGAAGCTCGGAGAGCGGCGACCTGAGAGAAGGATGCGCGGGGGGCAATGGCGTGGCGGGCAGCCACCTGGGGCAGACGCCGGGCTAGGATCCGTTGAGACAGCATCTGGAAGGACAAGGGATTGAGTGTCAATAATGGTTCACATATCAGATAGAAAAGTCGGAGTTCAGATCAACACTTACTGCTCTGCCAAAAGATCGAAGACCAATGGGGAAGGGGATAAAGGTCAGGGAAATTGGTGGAGATGAAGTGCAGGATGATTCGATGATGGAGACGGAGGTTTGCGGCAGTGGACACCTTAGGCATGATGACACCTGAGATTATAGGCGTCTACGGCGCGGCGCGCTTGCAAGTAAGTGTTCGTTCCCGACAAAAAAACCACTTCCTCACGTATTCCCCCCATCTCACCACCTTTTTCGCTCTCACTCGCGCCCCTGTACCGATAAGGATGCCAAACTTTGTGTGGCATCTCCAATCGATCACAGCTACCCGTTGATGCTAAAATCGCCATTTTTGACCGAGCCATCGTTGGGATAACTGGGGTCACCTGTAAAGAAGGCCCCTGTCGTCTGCGGCAATAAGTCATGCAAAACGGCAGCCCAAACGGCCCATCACCCCATGATGAACGCATAACGCCTGTGCCTGTTGTTACCCACCTCGAAGCTTCCGGCGTGGAAAATGAATCCGATTCTACCCCCTGCGAATCGATCCCTACCCTGCCGAATGACGAAGCTAGCCAGCAGCTGGAAGAGCCGCCTTCGAAGAAACGTCGCCTAACAGACTCAACACCGTCGCGAAACTCAACACCTCGTCCCCCTTCGCCGCCATGGAAGAAGGTTGGTGTGGAGGGGCCAACATCATTCATGGTGGAGGGTCGGCGCAGATCATCACGGCAAAACGTGGTCCCTATGGAACAGCAACCAGCATCTGACAAGCGACAAACGCGAGCAGCGCAACAGACTTATGTGACAAAGAACACCCGAGGCGGCGCGAAACCAGTCACATCCTCTCCACTTGCCGTGACACAGTCGCGTGCCCACGGAAAGCTTGGTGGCAAGCCGATTACGAACGGTTCACCCAGGACAGTGCCTACCAAGGGCGCGACTGGTAAGCAACAGCCGCCTTTACAATCACCCGCATCGAATCCCTCCCAGTCCCGAACTCGCGCTCGAAGCTCCGCTACCACGAATCAACCTCGCCCTAGTACAAATGGCGCTAGCCCTCGCGAACCTCGTAACCGTACCTCCCTTTCAACCACATCGCCTGCGCCGGACCATTTCCTCGACGATAGCGTCTATGAAAACCATGATGACTTGGACTCGGGGTCTCAAACGGTTCCACGAATTCGAATTAAGGTGAAAAAGCCAATACTGCCAATCCGACATCCCGGCCACGTGTCTGGCAAAAAATACGAGTCGTTCAGAGAATGGATAAATCACGAGGATACCCCCAATTTGCTGTCTTCAGAGGAGGCCATTGAAGAGGCCCAGAGGAGACAGCAAGTATTGGATGCCGCGGAACCTGGTGGGCTCTTAAGCTCGGAGGTCTGCTCTGCATATATCACCGAACAACAGGAGGAACCTGCTTTCCAGTATTCACACCAGGATCACTTAGTGGCGCATGCACTCTATTTCCAGAAGCTCCTCGAAAAAGAGCACAAACGACATCGGCAAACGGCCAAACTTTTTGCCCAATGGTGTGCCGATGCCTACAGAAAACGCCACAAGAACCCAGAAGATATTTTGCGGGAACAGCAAGAGGAAATGCGTGGAAAGCGCAAACAACTGGGCAAAGATCTTCAGAAGATGTTCGACTTGGCACGTGCCGATATTGATCGGTTGCGCCTTGCACGCTGGGAGGAAGAGCGCAAGGTTCTGGATCAGCAAGCCCTCGATCGCGCCATCAGAAAATCGACCATGCTTTTTGAGAAACGCAGGTCCGAAATCCTTGGAGAGGTTCCCAGCGATGCTCCTGCTTCTAGTGACGAGGATGATGGGGAGACAGACTATTCCTCAGACGCGTTGGGAGCAGATAACGATAGCAACATGTCCACATCTGAGTCTGAATCCGATGATGAGAATAATATGGATGATGATGCTAAGTTATCAGCCGAGGAACTTCGATTGAAATATGCCAGTTTGCCGGACGAAGAAACCCCCGACCAGGAAACTCTTAACCAGGATACCCCCGATCAGATGTCCATGGCGTCTTTCTCTGTCGTTGACAGCGAAGCTATTCCCGATGAGACTGATTCCCTTACGATCCCCGGCGATACCCAGCTGGATGATGTGGACTCGGTTTTGATGGACGATAGTGATGAATCAATTGATATGAGCGAGGAGATGAGCGACAGTGGTGACGAAAGTGGCTTCGGAAACGAAGAGTCTGATGATGAATCCGATGACAGCGATGCGAGCGGTACACTTGGATTCTTCTCGCGCAAACAACGGGCTGGTGATAAGAACTCTGTGAATGCGAATGTGGATGATGTTGATGACGACGAATCTAATGACGAGGAGTATAAATCCCCAGGAGCAGAAGCTCTGGAGAGTGACGCAGAGGATCCGGACGAGGTATCTCTAGTTCCAAACGGATTAGACCTAGATGAGGATGAAGAGATGCTCGACGAAACGACCCCTTCAGAAGTCGTCGAGGCCCCTTTAGTCACTCCTGCAGACGTCGAAGATGCTTCTATGCCTGATAATTCCACCATCAATACGCCGACGGTCGACACACATATGGAGGAGGATGTCTCCGAAGCGATACTTCCTGATCATAATGATCTCAAAGTGTCAGAGGCAGGAGAATCAGTGGATGATCAAGACCAACATCAGCCCCTTGACACTGAGCCACCACAAGAAAATCGGCAGGCATCTAGCGAATTATCCCCAGGCACTTTCGCAACTAAGCCTTCCGACCCCGAGTCTGTCTCTTCATATGAACCTGCGGTAGAGACAGCATTGCAAAATAGTCATTCACCTGCACCAGGATTGAAGACACCTATCCCCCATTTGCTACGTGGAACCCTGCGTGAGTACCAGCACTATGGACTGGATTGGCTCGCTGGCCTTTACAATAACCGTATCAACGGTATCTTGGCTGACGAGATGGGTCTCGGAAAAACCATTCAAACCATCGCTTTACTCGCTCACCTTGCTGTTGACCATGGCGTCTGGGGTCCGCATCTTGTGGTTGTGCCTACTAGTGTCATGCTGAACTGGGAGATGGAATTCAAGAAGTGGTGTCCGGGTTTTAAAATCATGACCTACTACGGAAATCAAGAAGAGCGCAAACAGAAACGCAAAGGCTGGACTGACGACAATTCTTGGAACGTTTTGATTACATCATACCAGCTTATTTTGCAAGATCAAATCTCCTTAAAGCGAAGAGCCTGGCATTACATGATTCTTGATGAAGCGCATAACATCAAGAATTTCCGTTCGCAAAGATGGCAAGCTCTTCTCACATTCAGAACACGAGCCAGGTTGCTATTGACTGGTACACCGCTTCAGAACAACTTGACTGAGCTATGGTCTCTTTTGTTCTTCTTGATGCCCTCCGACGGTGATGGTGCTGGTGGTGTTGAAGGCTTCGCTGACTTGAAGGACTTCTCTGAGTGGTTCCGACGGCCTGTGGAACAGATCCTGGAGCACGGGAGAGAAACCATGGATGACGAGGCCAAGCAGGTAGTCACCAAGCTGCATACCGTTCTTCGCCCTTACATCCTGCGACGTATGAAGGCAGATGTCGAGAAACAGATGCCTGGAAAGTATGAGCACGTCATGTATTGTCGGCTTTCTAAACGCCAGCGGTTCCTATACGACGGTTTTATGTCTATGGCTCAAACTAAGGAAACACTTGCGTCCGGCAATTTCCTTTCCATTATTCATTGTCTCATGCAGCTCCGCAAAGTCTGTAATCACCCCGATCTCTTCGAGACACGACCTATCTCCACCTCCTTCGCAATGCCGCGCTCCGTGGCTACCGACTATCAGATGAAGGAGAGCCTAGTCCGACGACGACTTCTCTTCGACCATCCTCTCACCAAGGTCGATCTGGACTTCCTCAACTTGGCCCCCGTGTCTCGAGAGGATATCTCGAGGCGTCTAGCCGATGACAGTATTCGACTAATGGCGTTTGGTCCATTTAAGACGCTTCGTGAGCGGCAATACAATCGCACCAATTGGCAAATGGAGTTCAATGGGTCCACCATGGAGAACATCCTGGAGTCGTTAGAGAATGCCAGTCGGAAGAGACGAATGGCTGAATTGGAGCGATGTTTGTACTTTGAATCCAAGCGTCACGGCCGTCGGCCTGTGTACGGTAGCAGCCTGGTTGAATTCTTGAGAGCCGGGACCAAGGAACATGCGCTCTCCAACGCACCTTTGCGAAAAAGTAATATGGCAGAGTGGCTTTCAAGTCGGTCATCCGTCCTTGCTTCCATGATTCTGACTCTTGATGAGCGCGCTCTTGACATGGACGGATATGTCCAGCGCTTCGCGTGTGTCACACCAGCTGCTGTTGCGTCGGGTATGACGGAGGCTGCCTTGACACCTGTCGAGACTCGGCTTTTGACCAACACTGCCAAAGAGCAGCCGTACGACCCCTTCCACGAAGCTCGCATGCGTCTCTCAATTGCGTTCCCGGACAGAAGATTGCTACAGTACGATTGTGGCAAGCTACAACGGTTGGATAAGTTGCTACGTGACTTGAAAGCTGGTGGTCATCGCGCCTTGATCTTCACACAGATGACTAAGATGTTGGATATTCTGGAGCAGTTCCTCAACATTCATGGACACCGATATCTACGATTAGATGGTACTACCAAGGTTGAATCACGACAGATGTTGACCGAGCGGTTCAACAGTGACCCTCGCATCTTGGCATTCATTCTCTCTAGTCGTTCCGGTGGTCTTGGAATCAACCTGACAGGTGCCGATACTGTGATCTTCTACGACCTAGACTGGAACCCGGCCATGGACAAGCAATGTCAAGATCGTTGCCATCGAATCGGCCAGACCCGAGATGTCCACATCTATCGCTTTGTGTCCGAATATACCATTGAGTCCAACATTCTCCGCAAGGCCAACCAAAAACGGATGCTCGATGATGTGATTATCCAGGAGGGCGAGTTCACCACGGACTACTTCACCAAACTTCAGGATGTGCCTGTGGAAGAGACGGATGAGCGTGACGGGCACGACGAAGCTAGCGCGGCTATGGATAGGGTCCTGGGCAACCGCGTTGCAAGTGGGAATCGTGCCTTTGAGCAAGCCGAAGACAAGGAGGACATCGATGCGGCAAAGAATGCACAGAAAGAACTGGAGCATGCAGACGATGGCGACTTTGAAGAGCGCAGTCCTTCGCACGGAACCCCCGCTCAGCCCGGCACCCCGCTACCCGGGTCCGGCGACGGGCAAGGGTCAGCTGCGCCCGAGGATGCAGATGCAGGGGTACGGGCAGGTCCGGAACCTAGCCATATCGATGACTACCTGCTTCGTTTCATGGAATGGAATATGCGTGATGAGCCCCTCGTTCTCCCGGTAGACAAGAGCAAGAAAAGGTCCAAGAAGGGCAAGGAGCATCACCTCAAACGCCGCCGCTGATCATTTCGGATCCGGCCTCAAATTCTTCACGAAGTCAAGCTGTGTGCTCTTTTTTCTGTCTGAATTTTCATTTCCATCTTTTGCTTTTTTTTATTGTCTTCCCTCGTGCTTTCCCAGGTCACGAGGAGACATCAACACTACCGCCACCATCACCACCATCATCATCATCACCTCTATCTCCACTTCTCTCCTCCCTACCGTTTCACAATCCCATAGTCCGAATCCTCCATGTCTTTCTGTTCGGGCGTGACTACCTAATTGAGCGTGTGTTCAAGTTTTCTTTTTCGTCCTCGAATTTCCGCCATATGTGTGGCAAGACCCATATTCCCTCTGATCTTTTCATGTTCTACTCCGTACTTGTAATTGTACTCTTACTCCCCCCCTTTTCTCTTCTTATCTTGTCTAATTGCACTGCGCCGGAGCCATTGTGGGTTTACTACTTTGTAATAGTTTCGAAAAAAAAAATTCAGAGTGGAGAGAGCACAGAAGCGAACCAGAGGGCCGTGTATGGAGTCTTCAAAAAAAAAGAGAACCACAATAAGACATCTGGATTATTCATGTGGAAATGGACTAAACACTTGAAAAATCCCAGTATAATTTATACTTCACGCCGGGGCATCTAGCGTCAGTTGTTTTGAACTTTTGATTAACGTCTAAGCTAGATTTGGGTAAAAGTGCCCACTTTAGTTTTCATATATCGTGGCTAGTGACCTCCGTGCTCCGGACTAAAATCTACGATTTCAATGTTCTTTTCTCCGATCCACAACGCTAGAGTCTAGTGCAGAGTCGAAGGTTCAACCTGCTCCTACCTTTCTGGGCTCTTGGTTCGAGGTCGAGATTGGAGAACATCCGAGACATTCCCCCTTCCGATGCTGATCCCCACATTGATGTTGACAAATCTTGTATATGGAGTGCATTACGAAGTATCATATTAATCTATATTTGGTTTGAGAATTTTGGTCTTACAGGGAAATCAAAGTGCCCGGACGATATACTAATCTCGTCAGGTGGAGAACAGCATGATTGAGCTTTTCCTCCCAGGTGCCTTTTTTTGTTGATCCCCAACCCTGGAAGTACATTGTTCCTGAATGGGACTGAAGCATACATACTACTGTATCTACACAACCCCTATAGAAATTAGTCAGAGCGACTAGTTTATTCACCCCCATCAAACTACTGTTGGTCTGTGTAGCAAGCGGAGCTGTGGTCATTTCCATCATTTCCACTTTTCAGGCTAAGATCAGAAAATGGAATGATCACCGTATCAATCTTATTAGTTCAGCTCCGAGGCTGCCTAGGTGCCCAGGTGGGATCCACGCCGTTGCGCGGTTTCCTTTTCTCCAGTTGCAACATTTGAACTGTCATGCGTCATGGGTTTGAATTGGGCTTGTTCTTTGCCTTGGTCAGCTTGTGTAGGTTCATCCCCTGTGTGAAAGATTAAGTTTCTCCTGTGCTATAATTAATTCAAAACCGAGCTCCTATGTTTCATCATGTCTTGAGGAACTAGACGTGTAAAGAATACAATCTACAGGTTGTATCAGTACTCCATACATGGGGAATCACAAGGCTGGATTGAAATAATAACCTGGTACATAGGTATGCAAGACTAAGGCATTGTTGACAAGGACAATGATACCCCTAGGAGCAAGGATCCGAGTCCACTTTGCACATGGAGAGGGATCCTGAGTATCCCGGTCGATCACGGGAGGCCGTCGATCACGGCGGGTTCCCACGCTCTCGGCCAGACTACTCCGAAGAGCATCAATGCACCAGGGGGGAGAACATCTGGGACAATTGTGCCAATTGTGATCTCAATGGCTTTGAATTGTGGAGAAAGATCCGCCAGACCGGTGGAGAAACTTGGGCAAATGGTCAAGTGCTGACAGGAGGTGAAGGATACGGAGAGAATACGATGAATTTGGAGTCAGCAAGTGACTCCAAAAGCCCTGTTTTGTGTGAGGGCTCCATACTCCATCACCACCTAAAGCATAAGTAAAACGAAGCTTCCATGGTTCGTATTCTTCAAATCGGCCGTTTTTGATAGTTGCTACCGAGTATTCACCGGCTGCCTCTTGAATAAAAAGTGGAGATGTCGATCCACGCAACGGGGTTTATACCCTGTTTAGGGATCAGATCCGGCGATATTGGAGGATCATGAGTTGCAGTCTTGCAGAGGAGAGATCCCCGGAGAATCCAAAGATGCCATTTGCTCTCGACTCGGATGTCTTTCTTTTCCCGTTTTGCCTTTTTTTTTTTTTTGCCCATCTGCAAGGTATGATTGACCAGGTTTCACATCAAAATAGGCAAAAACTGCCCGGTGTTAATTGTCGGGGGTAAAAAAAAGGCCGTGATTGGAAGAAGAATGTTAATTTCCACATCTCCCCCATAAAAAATGATATGTACTAACGCAAACATTGCCATATGTATTCTCTTGAGATGCATGAGATGCAACTTGAAGATAAGGTGATGATCATAACAAGGCTCTGTGTTTACTACCAAATTCGTTAGTCTGAATATCCTACTTGACTTGGAGAGATCTCCTCTTCCCCTCCTCTCTTTTTCCCCTTTCCGTAAACCGTAAACCGGAGCTCATGGATTCCGTTAGAAAATAATTTCCGCGACATTTCGCCGTGACTGGGTTTGATCATAGCCCAAGAAGGCATGGCGTGGAGTACAGGGGAGCGATCCTGTTCGCCGATCCCCACACGTTGTGAAGCCCGACTGGTTAAGAAAGAACTTCCCCGGGCCGGTATCAACCGAGGCGCCCGGCGCTGGAAGATTTGGAGATTGTGGTTTAGCCTGATCCAACAAAGGAAGATGTGTACTCCGTAGGGTTGTTCTCCATACTCCATTAGATCCGCAGATGATAGGGTTTCGGTTGAATGACCCGGGGCAAAGCTGAGAGGCGAAAAAAAAGTCCACGGTAGTTCCAGCAGAGCTTTATTACCGAGAGCTACCGGATTTTGACGTCAAACAAGCAGTAAACGTGGAAGAGGAAGTAATGGATCGATCCAGATTTTTAGAGTACAAGTGAAAATTGACAGATTGAGGAGAGACAAGATGTGATGACATGCAGGCGAGACAACACGCACAAACCTGACGTCCAATCAGGTGACTGCGTCGGTCAGATTAGTACATTTAACACTCATTTGCTTTTTTGTCCTTCTTTTTCCCTTTTCCTTTTTCCTTTTCTCTCTTTCTTTGCAATTTTCTTTTATGCAATGTTAGGCTGTAAAAAGCTTGTGGCGTTCCAACAGTCAAGGATATGACTGGAGGCTTTAGTCTCGAAATTCACTCCACTTTACCCACTATTGAGTACCCGGGCAGATCGCGGACGATCCACATCCCTATCGATTGGCGCACTCACGAACTGCTACTCCATGAATCGCGTCATCATTGGTCTCGTCCGAGAGGGGCTTCACTAGGTCCGACACCATTCCATTTTCTCTCTTAGCGTATTCGGCCCATGGCGACAGTTCATCCCCATGAGGAGGGGGAGGAGCACAGAAGTCGTCATACTGAGAGAAGTTTTACTGGTATCTTTCGTACTCCGTACTCCGTACGAGAGGGCAAAAAGGAACGAGGACAGTCGTTCGTGCCGTGTTGGGGCCCGCATTAGGATCACCGAGGATCCAGAGCCGCTGAAGGCACGAGCATTATAGTGGCCTCTTCCCTCTTCCCTCTTTTTTCTTTTCTTTTTCATTTTCTCTTTTAAATCTTTCCCTCTCGGAGTTTTTAGTCTCTTTGGGTGTTTTCAATCTTTCTGATGAGAAATCGGTACTTCTCAATTTTTCGATTTCCCGGAGCTTTTACCGTTCGGCAGCTGGATGACCGTTGCACATGTATACTTCTTGACAATCCAAGGTTATTTGAAACGGCCAACGTGCTTTGGGTGTATCTTATTTGGGGAAGGCTTCCGGTAAAGAGCCGAAAAGACCGCGTGAGGATCCCCGGTGCGGCGATGATCGGCGCATTTTGGAGATCCAGCCGGAATCAGTACCTTCTCCTAAAGTGGAGTTCGGACTGGGGGAAGAGGGGCTTGATGGAATTTAATGGGTTAATGGGTTAATGGGCTTATCTGGAGCAGAAGCCCAGATGAACAGTGCACAATTCCAAGGTTTGTTAACAATTCACGGAGTTATGTTCTTAATTTCTTAATTTCCTGTAGGGCTTGAAGCCTAAGTCAATCCAAACATACGGGGATCGGGGATCGACCCCATGTTCGTAAGGTTGGTCCGATATGAGGAATTTAAAGGAGGGAAAATAATAAAATGATAAAATGATAAAATAATAAAAGAAATAAAATGAAAAGAAATTTAAACCAAAAAAAAAAAAAAGAGATAGGGCTAAAACACTCAATTCCAACAAGTGCTTTTCAATCTCGAGAGTAGATCGATCAACTCATCAAACTAGTAGTTTATCTCCTACACGTTTCCAGGAGAAACAAAGAGATCTGTCAGCTGTCATGGATTAAATAAAAGGTGATCAGTCAAATGTGAGTCTTTGTCGGATATGCGCCAAGGACTCCATTGGGGATAGGATGTTTGGTTGGAGATGATCCACCAAGCCCTGAGGATCGCCGTCGATCCAAGTTCCCAAGGCAAATCTCCTCGCACGTTGACAGATCCGAGTGGGAAATGGTGGAGTTTGTGTTTTATTTTATTTTATTTTCTACATTTTCTATATTTTCTATATTTTTTTTTTTTTTTTGTACCCAGACCTAAAAGACCCAGAGACCCTGGACCTGTTGGTCTGTTCATCTCGCGCCTCCCCGGAACCACTCTCTCTCTCTCCACTTGACACTATTTGATTTAAGTGATCCTACTTTCTTTTCATTTTCTCTTTTGTTATATTCCCACTTTTACCTTCCCCCTTATCATATTCATAATTCGTTATATTCTCATATATTCTACCAATTCCCCTCGGTCAATCAACCACACCGATCTTGTATCACCATCTTTTCTCTTCATTCCTTTTCTTTGCTTCCAATTGAAAAAGAAAAAGAATGAAGACATCCATCTCCTCTGATGTTTGGGAGAACAAAAAAGCATTGATTGCTAAGTTGTATATGGAGGAGGAATGGCCATTGAAACAAGTCATCAAACAAATTCGGTCGGAGGATTTCAATCCAAGGTGAGTAAAGAAGGTTACATTATCCGAAGTGGAAAAAAAAAAAGAATAGATCCTAACATGATCTGTTCAGTGAAACACAATTGCGCAGTCGCTTAAAGAAATGGAGGGTGACCAAGCCATCGCGCCAGACACGCAAGAAGCCCAGTGCAGACGATGATGACTCCGACAAGGATGTCAAGAGATCCTCAACTTCCCCCCATAACCGCCGACCCCGTCCTGTCAACACAGAGAGGAACACTCGTCCCAGCTGGGCCAGTACATACCCAGCATACGCCCCCGCGCTCCCATCAAACGACCAGCCAAAGTGGAACGCCGCTCTGGCCTCACAGTTAACCCCCAGCCCATCAGGCGAGCATGGCCTAATGTTAGAAAGACCATCCGCCCATCCTTATGACCACAGCCCAACTACCACATCCTTTGAGCAGCCCGCTCAAACCTCCCCCGTGGACGAGAGTCTCATGCTTAACACCACATCCGTTTTGACCCCGACATACGTGGGCTACCCTCTTTCTCCAGACTCTGGCGTCCCTAGCCCGGGTTCCACCACTGCCGCCATCCCATGGCAATCTCGCGCCGTTTCTGTCGACATGGGTCTTAACCCGGCCTTGAATCCCGGTCAATGGTACGGTATACCCTTTGAACCCATCACTCCACCCCCAGGTATCCCGCATTCCACTCATATGCCTCCCCCGCCCGGCTACCGGGACCATATGCCCATGGGTGTGACCCCAGCCCCGGGTGTCTTCTCTCCCGAGTTTGCATCGTACCCTACCGAGGTACCGGAGTACCACCATCACCACCATCACCACAATCACCACAATCACCACCCTGGGTATGACTCTAAGCCTTGGAAGCGGACTATGTCGCTCCATTATGACTATGCGGGACATGGGTCAGCTCGGCCGGACCATGCAGACCGTAAACATCCACACCTTCCGACACATGGTCACCCACCTCCTGGTATGGTGTCTATTCCCGGTCAGCCTCCGCATATGATGTGTGCGCCGCTGCTTCCGTACATGGGTCAGGATCCTATGGTCCATAAGCAGCACCCTGGAGTAGGATACTGAGGCTTATCATTTCCTCTGATCCCATCTTTATTTCTCTTTCTCTTTACTTCTCTAGACATTTTTACATTTTTTGTTGACTGTGAAAATGGGTGTATCAAATAGATCTTTGTATATGACATACATGGTGTTTAACGTGGTGGGCGGTTGTCTGCTTTTGATCTGATCCGATCTGTTTGTTTTTTTTTGGCGTTTGGCGGGCATTTCTGTCCATTGATACCTCTGGTTTGACATGCACTTGTAATTGATTTTTGACTCGTTTTTTTTTGCTGAATGGGCCTATTTTGTTTGAATACTTCCCAGTTCTACTTCGCTATATTCGAAGACCACACATATACCATATCACCGGGATTGCCATATTGCTACATCCTTCATTCCTAGTATCTTAGCGTAAAACCTGCAAGAAAGTCCACAATCCACAACCCCCTATACATATACCATGGAACTCTCAATCCCACACATGTACAGCTCTGAGCTGATCACTGATGACCCCACAGATTGCCGAGCAATATAGCCGAGCACATAAGTACCATGAAACCGGCCCAGAATGACGATTCAGGCCACCAGAAATCCTGATCCTGATTCACACCTGAAACCAGCTCGAGACTCGCACGCAAACCTAGTCCAAGTCGAGAAGCTCATCCGTCAGGCTAAGAAGAGACGGAAAAAACGGCTTGCTAATAGTCTGGACCCTGCATTTTGCCCTCTTTTTTGGACAGATTAGCGAACCTTATCTTTCTCTCAACTGCAGCCCCAAAAAACGGTTCTGATCCTTGATCCACACCCCCGTGCCCTGATTCCTTACACGTGGAGATCATCGCGCCGTTGGAAGTACTGGTAATCGAAAGCTTAAATGATGATCTCCGAGTGCTTTTTTGGATCTCCCTCAACTAGACTGGATTCGTACTTTAAGCCGAGGTAGCTCTTGCCTCAATTATCGAGTGGTAAGAGTTTTAGATCTGACAACTGAGATGAAGAGGGAGATTACGAAATTCTTTGATATACTCTGTGAAATTCAATTTGAATAAAAGGTTATCTGTTTTTCATGGCAATTGGGAATTGGAGATTGGAATCTTGATTTTGGCTTGATAGCAGCTTACAAATCCTCAGTTGAATGACTAAACGATTATCTCGGACTAATGTGCACCCGTAGTCCGTCCTCTGCGTTCCGTTATTTTTTTTTCTTCTCTTTGCAATTCCAACGTGACTATTCACTTGAAGCTTCACTTTCATCTCAAACCTAGTGGTTGCCACAGAATCTGATGTTGCATTCTGTATGCACCACTTGGACATTGATGTTGAATAACTGATCCTTCCGACTACTAATCTTATCCAGAGTCAATTCCCGGATGAAGAATCCTCATCGGGTCTCATCCCAACAAACATTTTCATATTTGATATACACGCAATTCCACAATCCAGCTGTTCCTGTCCTTTGGACTCTTCAACGGACCCTTTTCTAAAAGGACGGTCTCCACAGTGTCGCGTTATGTGGCCGTGGTTGACTGGAGCTGGATTGCGCGTCCGAGGTTCCTCATTCCTCGAATGAGAAGCCTTAGGCGTTGATTCGTCCGAGTTGCTAGAGCAAATCTAGGGCCTTCATAGTTCATGTTTACTTGCTCGAGTCTTCCTCCTTCGGGTGGATTTTATCATATTCACGAGAGCATGACTCCTTGCGCCACTACATTTCTTATTTCTACTTCTCCAATGCAATGCAATCTGTTGACAAAACAAAGAAAAAATCCGGTTTCTGAAATTCATCTCATATGTTTATATATGCCTCTATGGAAAGGCTTTCAAGATTAGCCCCTTTATCTACAATCGACTCTTCGCCTTCTCGCCAACCACATTCACCACCACCTTTCCCCAAGTCTCCCGTCCACCCAGCGCCTGCAAAGCCCTCGGAACACTCTCCAACCCAACAAAACTATCATCCTTAAACGCCGTCCCCCGGAACAGACCCTTGGCAACAAGATCGAAAATCCCCTTCCAAATCACGCTAACAGTCTCCTTCTCAAACTGCGCATATGGTCCCCAATGCAAGCCCACAAGACTCACATTCTTCAACAGCACCCGGTTCAACGCAACCTTCTCAATCTTGCCCGCCGCAAACCCAATAACCAACAACCGCGCATTCCACGCCACGCACTTCAAGCTCGCATCAATCAATCCAACAGGATCATAAACAATATCAACACCCGCCTTCCCATTGCCCTCCCTATTAGCAGCACAAAGCTTCTTCACCTCCTCCGGCCACGCCTTATCCGTATAATCAACCACATAATCCGCTCCAAACTCCATCGCAATCTCCCTCTTCCGCTTTGTCCCAGCAGTCGCAACAACAACTGCCCCCTTCGCCTTCGCAATCTGCACAGCGGCTAGACCCACGCCACCCGCCGCAGCGTGCACAAGTACCCAGTCCCCGGATTTCACACCAGCACGGTGCACAAGACCGCCGTAGGATGTGGGCGCCGTGACGAAAAGTCCGGCCGCGTCTTCGAACGTCCAGCCCGCCGGCACGGGGAGGAGAGATTTCTCCGGGGCGAGAACATGCGTCGCGTAGGCTCCTTGGGTTGCGCCGAAAACACGGTCTCCAACCTTGAACTGCGGCGATGATGAAGAGGTAGGTACGGCGGTGACGGTACCGGCGAACTCGGAACCACCGACCCAAGGGAGAGGGGGTTGGTGCTGGTATTTGCCTTGGATTTGAAGGATGTCGAAGAAATTGGTACCGGCGGAGTGGATCTCAATGAGATATTTGTCCGCTGCCGGTGTTGGTGTTGGGACGTCTGAGACTTTCAGGTCCAGGGGTCCCTAATTTTTTTTTCAATGAGATGTTAGTAGTGGGTACTAGGTACATGGGTTATGATAGATTAGGGGTTAGACGCACCTTGACGTATTCGCTGATTTGGACGGCCCGCATCGTGGATTTCAATTTTGCGAGGGATCTCTTTATTTGGGATAGATACAAAATGAGTATCCTGGATGGAGGAGAGGGTTGTAGTGGAATATGGGAAAGGGTGAGAACTTGGGGATTTCCCCGCGTAAGATGCCGAGGTTGCTCGGATAATCCACTTTGCTGCTCTTGGCTTCAGCTTCAAGCTCGACATGTACGTTTTCAACCGTAAAGAGACAATTACTTGAGCCACTTTCTGACTCCGTATCGTACCTACTAATATTCAAGATAGGTAAAAATAGAGTACTCTGCGATGGGTGCTATCTCTTAGTAGTAATTACTAGCGGATCTCCATTCGGATGTATTGTTTGTACGTGATTGATCGCGAATTCGTTCTTTTTCCATCCAAGAGTACCTACTACTCAGAACTCAAGTAGAGGAGAGTAAAGACATAGTACTTAATTTGAAATAGATATACACCTAGTACTCGAGATGAATACCTGCTCAGACTTGCACGTGGAGATTAGTATAAATTTAGTACTTGAAAATGAAAACCAAATTGATGGGTATGTCAACAGCGAACATAGTTAGTAGTACTAGATACACATAATAATAAAAGAGGCATAAAGTCATGAGCATGAAGATTGTCAATCCATAAAAACCACAAATAGATCAGTCATCTCAACTGAACCCAATCAATGATACCGCTCGCGCATATGAACAAGAGCAGTCCAACCTTGACAGCACGACTTACTCATATTATGCGTACACCAGCAGCATTGATGACGGCGAGCAGGTATCTGCTGAGACGACGGCGGCGCTGATGATCGTGCAGCCAAGGCTTGATTCCCAGCCCCATTACCACTACCAGACGGACCTCGATCCTGCTGCTGCTGCTGCTGCTGAGGCCCCCGCCTCGGCACAGGCATGCGCCGCGGATCATCAGAATCAGAAGAGAAGATCGAGTTTCTCAGCGATTTCCCGCGCGAAAAGGTCCTAGACAGCAGGGATCCTGAGGGCGCGCGCTCAGGAGAGGTGAGTCTGGCGTAAACGTCTGACGGCATGTCATGCCAGTATTTGCATTGACAGCAGATGACGAACAGCTTAGTGAGGACTTCGTCGGAGCGGGGCAGTTTCATCTTTTGTATAGGATTTAGAGGCCCGGAGGCTAGAGGTGGTTTGATTCGGGAATTGGTGGAGGGACTCTTAGGATTTCCCTTCTGTGGAACTGAAACGACATCTGCAGCGGGCGTAATAGGCTTTGGCTTTGGCTTTGGATTCGGCTTTAGTTCTGGTTCTGTTGCTGCTTCTTTGGACTTGGGGGCTGGGGCAGAGGCTCGTTTCGAGCGTCCTGGAACGTCGAGAACTTCTTCGTCGGCGGTGTTGTAGCTTGATGCTTGTGATGAGAATGACGCTCGCCTGTTATCTGGGTCGTTCCAAGCTGCTGGGGTGGGCGGGGACTTTCTCCCATCGGGGTTCCTACGAGGAGAAAGGTGATGCAGATGGGTTTCCTGGGTGCCATGCTGTGCAACTTCTGTTAGGGCGGGTTTCCCTGCTGAAATCTGATTGCTCGCCCGCTTGGGAATGTGCTCATCAAGGCTTAATCGGCCTGGGTGCTTGGGAGGAGGTATTGCATGAGGTTGTCTGGAATCATCGGATATCTGACGCTCCTGACGACCAGTATCTTGTCGATTTTCCTTCCCAGACGATGCCAGTGCTCCATTTGCCGACTCTTGTGTGCCACTGGGGTTTGTCGCTTTGAGGCGACTTAGAACCTGCTCAGAGGCTGGGATTGATTGTCGAGTGCGCCCCTGAGGCTCCTCAAGCTGAGGAATCTTTGAGACTCGCAATGGCTTTGGCAAATCCAAGTTATCTTTACAAAGCGTAGGATCCGTATTCGATGAACGAGTCGGGCTATCTGGGCTATTGGGGTTCATGGCCAGAGGTGAGGATTTATACACCCTTGGATGGGCTTGCGGAGTTGACTCCAAGCGGTGCCTCATGGGATTATTTGAGACATCGGCAAATATGGGCGGCTGGATACCGGTTGCGCTATATGAAGGGGGTTTGCCCTCTGAAGCCGCACGAGATATTTCACGCAACTGTTGCACGGTTGTGATTTGTGTATCTGGGGAGTCTTTTGGAGAACCAGTATTGATGTTACTTGAGGTCTTCCTTCCATGCTTTGAAGTTGCAGTGAACAGATCTTGATCGAGGTCCGTACCGTACAATGATACCCGAGGCGACTGAGACCGTCCTTCGGCCATGTGTTCAGGCTGAGCCAAAGCTCCGCCAGACTCGCGACCTCCCTGTGTCTTTTGCCATTCCTCGGCAGTTTTCCAGTTTTCTCGAAGATCGTCGGATTTAACCGGGGTATGGTGTAGGCGCTGTGTTGATTGAGGCGGCTGAGAAGGCAGTTGGCTTGACGAGAGCTGGCTTGCAGGGACTAATGTTGTTCCATGTCGAGTAGCCAGCTCTCGGGATACATTAGCTCCGAAGCGCTCTTCCAGCGCCAACGGTATAGAAGGTGGAATAGGTGCTGCTGGGTTGACATCAGCGGAGCCACGAACAGATTCATTGTCGCTTTCAGAGCCAGCGCGCGATCGAGAGCTTTGACGGGAGCCTGTGAAAAATGCCTTGATAGACGACGACCTCAGGCGCAGGCTGCCAGCACTGGATGATCGCTCCGAGTTCCCCTTTGATTCCCTCCTACGTAGACGGCGGCCGGTACGGTCGTCTGCCTGAGCCTGTGATTGTTCCAGTTTAAGCATACGCTTCTCTGCCTCTTTTCTCTCTGCCTCTAATCGTTTGGTCGCTCGCCTTTCTTTTCGAGACAGGTCCTTCTTTCCTGTTGGCTCCGATACAACCCTGCCCCGCTCTGTCGTGTGCTTTTCCCCCGCTGTCATTTGCGGTGTAGCATTCTCGTATCTGGGGATTGCGCGGACGGATGCGCTGGAGCCTGTAGTGCTGGCTGAAGGTATATGAGAGTCCGACGAGAAGTTGAAAGAGCTAAAGTCCGTATCCTCAGGCACGGATGGTACAACGGTTGCCGTAGACTTGGAATCGGCATATTCATTGCTTGGTTGAACTTGAGCTGAAACACGGGGTTGCAGAGTGTCTGGTCCTAAACTTTGGCGTTGCTAAATTTAAATCAACATGACTACTCCCAGAGAATGAAATTAAGGACTCACTTTGTCAGTGCGATCAACGCGATCACCGTGAAAGACGCGCTGGAATTGTTCTGTAAAAGAGGATCGCCGTCTGCGGGGCGGATCGGCCGACATGATGTCCACAAGAAACAACGGTACTAGGAGTCTAGGACCCAAGAGATAGGAGAGACATGAGAGGAAGATTTTTCTCTCTCTGTCAGGGTCCGAAGTTTGTGGGATCGAAGCGCTAAATTTCAAACCGCGCCACACGGTTTGTGAGAAATTTCGGTTGGAAATGTGAGACAGCACAGCCTATTCTTAGTGCCATTTTTACTTTTTGCCTTGTTAGTCACCACTGTAGATTGCAGATGCACAAGTGCCTTTTCGATAGTAGGGTTGCCTACTATTTACATCTACTTGTAATGATTCTTTTCTTGTTTCTTGCAAAGCTTCAAGTTGACTTTCATTCCTATGTGTTTGATGGGCATGGTCGAGTTAGAAATAGATCTACAGGGATTTCTAAATATGAGGTACACTGCGGACATGATACATTTACTCTGCTGATCATGAAAGATACTACATACATACTAGTAGTAGTATTCAAATATTGTGATTGATCCGATTCCTACATACTTTAACAAACAAAAAGATCCACGGTTCAATCCACACAGCCCCGCTTGGCGCCGTGGACACCGAAGTCAACCTTAAACTAACCAAGAGTCCAAGATAATGTTCGCATCACAAGTTCACAACTAGTCCACTCCACTGTACAACATCGAAAAAGACAGCACAGCCATGTCACAAAAATCCAACCAGCTCTCAGGGGCACCACCCAGCTACGAAGAGGCATCAAAACAGGGAAAGCAGTCAGACAGAGGAGATCCACCCCCATACCATAACTGGCAAGACGCCGTCCCCGACACCTCCACTTTCCCGCCACCCCCAGTATCAGCATACTATAGCTCAGGAACAGGCAATGCCTCAAGTGACGACGCAGAACGAGCCCACGCCTTCTGCAACAACACCCCACTCTACATCCCCACCAGACCCTCGCTAGCAGTCTACACGGCAGTCCAACATAACGACCTACGGCCCGTCCGTGCAAACGAATACGGCGGCAAGCTACTTCTCACCAGCCAAGGGAAATGGTACGGTCACACGGCAGACCGAAACGGTGACTGCCTAGTCACCACGCACCTACCGCTCTACTTTGCCGCGGAGGACTCGCCCTTCATCCGCGAGACGCGCAAGACGGTCTATTTCGAGGTGAAACTGCTAGCCCGGCATGCTTGCTCCGGAACTGGGAATGCTGACGAAAGTGGCTTCGCGATCGGGTTCGTGGCTCAGCCCTATCCCTCCTGGCGATCGCCGGGCTGGGAGCGGGGGAGTCTGGGTATATTTTCCGACGATGGGTGCCGGTTTGTGAACGATTCGTGGGGCGGGCGGGACTTTGCTTCGCCGTTCAATGTGGGTGAGACGGTTGGGATTGGTATGGTCTTTGCTCTTCCTGGGTTTAGCGGGGATGCGAAACAGGGGAAGAATCAGGGCAAGGGTCAAGGCAAAGAAGGCTTGGGCATGGGGCAAGGGACGAAGCGCGTATGTAAGGTGGAGGTGTTTTTCACCCGGAATGGTCGGCGGGTCGGTGGGTGGGACTTGCACGAGGAGGTGGATGAAAACTCCGGCGGAATTGGTGGTCTCGAAGGTGATTATGATCTTTATGGGGCCATCGGGCTGTTTGGTGGCGTCGAGTTTGAGGCCTGCTTTGACCCTGCAGGCTGGCTCTGGAGGCCTGCAGTGTAGATGCGGTCATGATTCTAGAACTTTGCCAAGATTTCTCGTTGTTCTAAGAATGGGATCTCAGGGCTGAGATGGAGAAAGACCTTTAGACACGAGGGTGGGCTAATATTGCTTGCATATATTGCTTAAGCCATCGGGCTGGTTCTAGTTCTGGCTATGAATTGATTGATATCCAATATGATATCCATTTCAATCCTTTGCTTGTTTGCTTTTGCATGTGCTGACGGCAGACCAGCGTTGCATCTTTTCAAGGTCTAGATCACTTGAATGGAACATGATATATGGTACTTGGGGTACCTTGAAATCAAGATAAACTTCCTCACAACGATCTTCAGTTTGTCTATATGTAGATTATACTTAGGTTTTTCTTTTTTTTAATCCCCGAGGTGACCGGGGGGCCACGGGCGATTAAATCGGACACGGCACGGGGAAACACCAGTGCATATGCGCTTTCTTCCGTGGGCTAAGCATCCATGTACGCTCCCTACATAGGACTAGGGGCAACGTTTTGAAAGAAAAAGAAAAAAGAAAAGAAATATACATGCATGGTTCTAGAAAGGTATCGGCCACCACCTTTCAGGAAACCATCCGAGTAAAGAAGGCAGACTCGCATTAGTGTCCCGGGGGGAAGCAAGAGCTGCATTTCCGGGCATGCAGCAACGGTATGAGCTGTGTGGGAGAGATGGACCAGGGGCAATGCAATCCTTCCGGCTCCGGGGCCTGGACGCCCCCCTCCAAGTTAAGTAATGGAGGTGCATGAACAGCAGAAGGGGGGAAGGAGTTGACGTCACCTAGTTCATGCTCCTGCATGTCCGGCACGAGGATAGGCATGTTAGATACCTACTAGTAGCTGTCTCGTGCGTGTCACCTGTGAAGTTGATATAGGCTGTATGTGTGTATCTTTTTTCGAAAGTTCTCGTAAAGATCCGGGTTGTCGGTTCGAGGAACTGGTATCACTGAGCCGAGGTAGATAGTTTGAACCTTTTGGGGCCCTTTAGACCATTTAGACCATTTAGATCACTTTGGCCCTTTCTAGGGATCAACTCCGTACAAAAGATTTCTGAATTAATGATTACTTGGAGAAAAAATGGGTAGATATTGTCTCGGGTCATCCATAGATTCGGTAGCGAGACACTATCCCGGGTACTACGTAGTGTACGTAGTGTACGTAGTGTAGTTTGTTAGCGCTCAGCCGGTTCGCAATCGTTCTCTCAAAACAGCCTCATGCTTTTCTCGGGCTTCGGCGAGTGGTCTGAACGTTATTTTGCTTTTCCTGGGAACGCAATGACCGCTAGTAGAGCTGCATGTAATGCGCACTGACGAAATGGAATAACAAAGAATGCGGCTTGACGTTGACAGGGGTTTAGGAGCCCCCTGTCAATATGTGTCACTTAAGGAACTTTTTCAAAGGAAATGATCCAATGATCCAATCTGCGAGTTCGTTTCGATTTAAAAGCACATACATTGCAGGAAGTATGATCCCATACTACGGGACTAAGTAAACTACATATTCAAAAGTCCAGTTGTACTTTTTGCTGTACTCCGTAGAACATTTCCCTTGGCACTTGAGGAATAAAGTACCAAAGAAAATCTTGAAATCAATCTAAAGGGGGGAAAAAAAACATCATCCAAATCCCTATTCCAACGCTCTCGACTCTCCAAACTTGATTGCGCCATCATTTCCCGGTGTGTCCTCACGTGGATATCGCGTCGAGTTATGTACAGTAATGATGATAATAGTAAAAATAAAAAATTCCAAAAAAAAAAAGAAGATCGGCAAACAAAGCTCAAATTCTTCTTTCTGATTTCTGAGCGGAGTTTCAAAATGCCAAAATTACCTCGATGTACGGAGTACATGTGTGCCCGTGGACCGAAGTCGGTGATTGACCCGACACTATGCCACGGTTGCAGCAGCGGCAGGCCAACTAGGCAGCCTCGCTGCAGCTAGAGGATCATAGCGACACCCATCTAGTTAGCGGGGGAGCGGGCGTCGTATCAGTGAGAGCCTCCGGAGAATGGGGATCTGACACGGGACAGTGCGCGCGATGGGGCCCCCTGCAGCCCTTTTGTGGAGAGGGTATTGTCGTTGCCACCAAAGATCGTGCGACATGATCAGAGAAAAGAAAAAGACAAAAAGACAATTACAAAAAAACAATAACATGATTGAAAAAAAAAACAGAACTCCATAATGGCGGTTGTGGGAGATTTCTGCGTATCAAGAGTGGATGCCACGTCTTGAGTTCTGGGGGCTGGGCCATTTGGTGGAGTCGGCAAAAAAGAAAAAAAAAAACCAGTGGGCAAGAAAGTGTTTTCCGTAGGAGATTTACTAGGACATAGTGGATTGTTTTCTTTGTGTAACCAGCAAGAAACGTGTATAAGTTTGGAAGCACAATAGTATTTGGTACCTTTTGACAAGTTCAAGTTTTTACCAGCTAACATTTGAAATCCACTTTACTACATTGGACTTTTTCTTCCCTCTTTTCATTTCAAGTGTAGAAAGTTGGTTTCGACGCTTGTAACGCACTATCACCGTACATGAGCCCCACTAGACGATCTGGGCGTTCCTCTGCGGCCCAAATAGGCAATAGTAGGAAAGCGTAGTTCAGGCGTGGAGACTCGTGGTGGTGATCAAGTAAAGTCATGATTCGTCGGACATCTTAGACGGTGGCTAATCGGCTTGTCAGCGCTAAAGGCCAAGACAAGAAATGGACGTGACGAGAGGGGAAAGCCGTCTGATCGACCTGCATGTCATTTCCCTTGTCAATTTGAATTTCTTGATTAATATTTGAGGATTTTGGTTTTTTTGCGTTTTTTTTTTTTGCTTTTTGATGATCAGTGATTCATAATCAGCAGTAGTTCTTTGGAATGTTTATAATTAGGTTAATAGATTGGATCATATCAGCATATTGAAAAAAAATAAAATAAGATCTTTGGTTATGAAGTTTCAGTACCAATATTTGAATTCTAGACTTTGAAAGCAACTCCCAATTCTCATTCCTCATTCCTGATTCATCTTAACCGCCTGCTCCGTGCTCAAATGGATTCGGCCACTCCCGGGATTAGAAGTGGGCTTCAAGGAGACTACGGGTATTCAAGTGCAAAAGAGTGGAAAGAGTGGACAATGTGGAGTCTAGACAATGGAGAGAAATGTCCGTGCAGCCGAGATAACGCGTCTGTTTCACTCAACTTGATCTCCACTGGAATTACAACCAGGTTCGGCCGAAGCAGGGTAAAGAATAGGGGATAAAGAAAGAAGAGGAAAAAGAGAAAGAGAAAGAGAAAAGAAAAAGAAGGAAACTAGAAGAAAAAAATAAAATAACAAAGCAAAACAAAACAAAACAAAAAGAAGTTACAAAATAACAAAAATACATGGCGTTTTTAATTTTCTTTTCGAATCTGTTGGTTGCCACTTTTGACGGGTTCTTGGAGGGGGAATTGTAGTTACGGAGTCAGAGGGGTAAAATCAAACGGCCTGTGCATGTAACGAACCCCGTTAGGAAATGTATCCCAAAAGTACGATATTGGGGAGATTCCAGCTCCAGGCGAGCTTGGCATTGCTTTTAACTCTGTTGTTTTTTTCTCCCACGGCCGATCATGGCCGAGCGCATATCCACCAGCTGTGCAAGTATGGGGCGGGAAAAGATGCCAGAATCTCCCCCATTCGGCGGGCTGCATGAATGCATTGGCCAAGTCCGTTAAGGCGGACTCGAATTGTCAGCATGTAAGAAGCTCCCTTGGTACGATTTAGACGCCCGTTCGCGCGGTAAGCCCAAGAAGGTGGGGAAATCCAATCAAAAGAGGAAGAGGAATCGTTTCATTATGCTGTTTACGGCCGAAGTGTACCTGGTTCATCCTAGTAGGAGGGTTAGGTACCTCGTACGGAGCTGTAAGTGGAAGGTTCAAAGTGGGAAGTTCAAGTGGGATATAACGGAGTATGCCCGTCCACTTACTGCATGCATTGTCCTCCACTTTATGCCCACGGGGTTTATACTCATTTACGGAGTCCCTTGGAGTGACAAGATTTGGATATTTTTCAAAATCTTGTAATATGATGGAATGTTTTGGAAATGGAAAATAATAGGTTCATGTTATTAGCAAGGGTAGGGTCCAAGTGTAGCAAATCATACCAAGGTTGGGAGTAGAAAAACGTGGGGTGACCAGCGGCTTGGGGTCTTGTGCCTCAAACTCTTTATGGGCTCATTCCTCTCTTTTCCTCTTTTTTCTTTTCTCTATAATTCAAAGTTCTCGTATGCTCTCTTACTCACTTCTCGGTAATCCGCCCCACCTAAGCTTGGATTGAACGAGTTAGGTGACGATCGGCCGCTAGGATTCTCATACTTTGTCGACAATAACTTGACGGCTCTCCGGTAGGAAAGTGGAGGTTTAATGTATTTGGCCTTGGGGCCGATTGATGCACGTTAAAATTAAGAAATCCATCTTGTGGCACAAGGCGTGCGAATCACGGCCGATCAATGTCGCACTCATGAGGGAAAAAGAAAAAAAAATTAAAAAAGAAAAACCAAAAAAATTAAATAAAAACATATATAAAAAGGTACGAGAATGGGTCCCTTTGGATTGAATCGGTTAGCGATTACGGAGTATGGTTAGCTCAAACGGTGGAATATCATGATTAGTAGTTAATTGGAATTTCTTCCACAAATAGGAGTAAATGATGATAAGCTTGGAAAGTTGTTAACTGAGGTAAAATCAAGGCGATACTAAGTATGTAAACGAAGCTCAGTGTTAAAAAGCGACGACTGCATAAAATGATATCAAATTCATAAAACTCCAATCTCCAATCTCAAATCTCAAATCTCCAAATACAAATGCAAATCGCACAGGAAAAAAAAAAAGGTTTTTGGTGGGCTGGGCACCAATGACGATCCACTTGAGAGCGAAATGAGGAAAATCGATCTTTTGGGGCATTTTTGGCATTTTTGGCAGTTCGCACGGCCTTTTGGGCTTGATTTGATGCATATCATGGATTTACTGTTTTAACATGAATTTTTTTTACTATAGTATTAACATTTTCCATTTTTATTGCTCTTTTTTTTTAACTGATTTTATCCTGTCCTTTTTTTTTCTTTTTTTTTCAGCTGTCTTTCGCTATGCATGTCGGAACTAAACCGATTCTAGTTTCGATCGCGTACCTGCGACATACTCCAGAACCAACCAGAGCGTAGAAAGTCAAAGGTCAAGTGCCCGTGGTTGCCTTGTAATTTTCAAAAGAATGTCTATTGTTCAGCTGATCTGAAATGTTTTCAACTTAATATTTGCCTTGTCTAGGCCAAAACATTAAATCCAAAAAAGAGGTAAACTACTAATGAATATAGATTACTATATCTGACCGTGGTAATACCCATGTTACTTTACCCGCGCTGCATGGACCATCTCTCCACCTTCAAATGCCTCTAGATCCAGGGTCTCTGACGCACGAGGCAAAACTACCACCTGCAGCACACTCAAAACGACAATGGGGCCTTTCGTAGGTTTTATTTCGCTTTTTTTTTATTTCGCTTTTTATTTGATTATTTTTATACACCTTTTTTTATTTTCTTATTTTTCTTATTTTCCTTAGCTCGCCTTTCTCCTTTGGGCTTTATTGGATTTCTTGAATTTATACATTTTTTGCTTTTCAATGTAGAATTATAGCATGTGCTCTATAATTTAAACCTCCTTTCCCGGTCTTTTGCGAGTCCTTTCTCTTTCTTATTTTGTTCTTCGGTCTTACCTTGGAAGTAATTCCCTAATTCCCTGGGTTGAAGAAAATCACATCTTCCAGACTCCGACATTCGTTATTTTTTTTTTCTTCTTTCTATTTTTTAGGGGATCTTGCTTCTTGTTCCGACCAGCCCCCCAAATCCTATCCTTTCCCCGTTAACTCTGGGATTGGAGCCACACAAGGTGAGCCGGCCTGTCCAACCTGTAAAATCAAATAATCCCCACTAATCGAATCCATCATCCAGAGGAATTGAACCCCGAAAGGAACCAAGAAACAAAAAGGGGGGAAAAACAAAAGGAAAACGCAGTCCGAAAGGAACTTATACAGGACACATTCGAACTACGGATTCGAACCTCGGGAGGAATTAATATCTATAAAGAAAACCCGCCCTTCAACCCCTTTTTCAAACAGGAACAAAAACTACATTGAGAGAGAGAGAGAGAGAGAGAGAAAGAGAACCGAAAAAATCACTGGAAGAGAAAAACAAAAGGAAATACCATAATGGCCTTTCCTTTCCTACGGGCCTTTGTTGCGCTCTTGTGAGTGTCAAGATGAGAAATCCCCAAAAAGAAAGATTGGAAAAAGTTCCAATTTACTCAATTGGTGGCGGCTGACTTGAACCGGAAATTAGTGTGTATCGCTACTTTCGCCTCGTGGTCAATCTGGTTTCCTTCTGGACATTCAAGCCGATCCCACCCCCAGAATCTCCGAAATTGACTTCCCAAGATGTCTCGGTTATTATCCCCACCTTGGAAGGATGCGGAGAAGAGCTGGTTGAAACAATCCGTTCAATCTTGGTTAACAAGCCCTTTGAGATCCTTCTGGTGACCATCGAGGCCAATCGGAAAAAGGCCGAGAGAATGTTGAGCGTGATGCCGGCCTCCAAATCCCGAATTCGTCTCTTCACCGTTACTCACCCCAACAAGCGTCGCCAGATGACCAGAGCTATCCCCGAGGTCCGCACGGCAATCACCCTACTGGCCGACGACGACGTGAGCTGGCCATCAACCGTGCTGCCGTGGATTCTGGCCCCCTTTGAAAAGGACGAACGATACGGAGGCGTCGTGACTTGCCAACGTCTGCGTCGAGCCATCTCGCCCTCCCTCTCACAGCGCGTCTGGGGGTACCTGGGAGCCTTGTATCTGGAGCGACGCAACTTCGATTGCGGGGCTACGACCAATCTAGACGGAGGATTGCCCTGCATGTCGGGCCGGACGGTGGCTTACCGAACTAAGATTCTCCAGGACGAGGGCTTTACATATGCTTTCACCAACGAGGAGTGGTGGTGGGGGAAGTACCAGCTTAATGCCGACGACGATAACTTCATCACCCGCTGGATGGTCTCTCATGGTTGGGAGACTTATATGCAGTATCACCCCGAAGCAGAGGTCCTCACTACATTGGAAGATAACCCCCGATTCCTGAAGCAATGCGCGCGTTGGTCTCGAAGCAATTGGCGGAGCAATCTGTCCAGCATGTTTCACGAAGGGCATATTTGGTAGTAAGTGACACATCGCCCTATATTTTTTTTTCTTTTTTGTTCCCTTTTCCTGTTCTTTTCTTTTTCCTTTTTTTTTTGCCCCCGTTCAGCTCAGCTTTTTCTCCGATCGACTATTTTGTCCCATTCGCTTTCCAATTTCTTCCCTTTTTTTTCTTTCTTTTTTTGGGTGGCAGGTCACTCGAATGGCCTCGGCCCATCGTGCGTCTGTTGTGCATGATGCAAAGCCTGCATCTGCACTCGTACAAAAGCCCGTTTTTTGTCCCCAGCCAAGGACCCGAAAGGGACTGTGGGTAACCAGAAAGCTCATGTCCGGGGGAAAAAACCATGAGCACTGGCCTTCTCGGGGTTCTCGGGGTATCCGAATCATCTATTTTTTTTTTTTGCCTCGTGTGATATGTATCTGCGATTTTGATAGTCTTTGGTTTTTTTTTGTCTACTTCAGCCGCTAACTTTTTGGTTCTAGTCGTCAGCCCTGGAGCTCTTATGCTGTACACCTGACAACTTTGTCGCCTCCCGCTCTCCTTGGTGACCTACTATTGGTTTGGCTGTGCCACCGAGGGACCGCTCCGTGGGGTGAAGTCCTCCACCATCGTGCCATGCGTATGCTCATTTTGTGGGTTTTTACGAGCAAGTTTATCAAACTACTTGGCCACTATATCCGGTACCCGGTCGACGTCTTTCTTTTGCCTGTGTCAATGATCTTCGGTTATTTCCACGGTGCAATCAAGATGTACGCGGTGATGACACTTAATGTGGTAAGTAATTTTAAAACTGGTGATTTGATGGAGATTTTTCGCGGGTTTTCAAAAGCACCATACAAAGTTCAACTTGCTACCTTCTGCCCCTCCCACTTTCCCTATTTTCCCCCATGCTTTTTCTCTCTTCCTATGACACGCCAGCTCAAGAACGCTTTGATCACGACTCCTCCTTCTTGCATGATTTTTTACCCACTATTTTTCCCGTGTGAACGATTTCTTTCTCTTTATTTTTTTTTTTCACCTCGCTTGTTTTTGTTTTCATTACACATTTCTACCAATGATCCACTGGTGTCTTTTTTTCCTGTTTCAGACATCACATTTCCTGGATTTGAATCCTTGCTAACTGTGCATTTACAGACCACATGGGGTAGCCGTGATGGCGCTGACGACTATGACGCGGAGCGCATGAAGAAACTTACTGATGCCGATCGCCAAAAGCAACAGTATCCCTACTACCCCAGCTATCTCACCAAATAGGCCTCTTGAGACGGAGACTCCGTGCATGGAGGTGCATCGGGGATCACAGACCTACAGGTGAATGGGGCCCTGGAACTTTACGATGAAATGCCGTGATGACCATTGTTTCGACGTTCGAACATTTTTTTTTTCGAACCCGCTTTTTATTATTCTTCTTCGTTTCGCCCACTCTAGATCCAGCGCTTTGATTTTTACGACTTTTTTTGCCTTTGCATGATTGAGTCGAAGGCTTGTTCCAATTTGACAGGCCCTTCCTCTTTCTCGGATTCGACAGAAAACTGATCCGTAATGCCACAGTACCGGCATTCCGATCTATTCGGCTTTTTTCCCTCAATTTCTCAATTCCCTTTTTCTTCCTCTTTTTTTTTTCTTCTCTTCGCTGCATATGATTCTCTTTTTTTCTCTCTTCTTCTCCAACCCAAAAAGGGCAGGCCAGCTTTGAGCTTTGCAGTCTTTTTGAATTGCCATTTCTTGTAAATTACAAAAGCATGGGCGGTTCTCGTCGTTTTGCCTTTTTGCGCTTTGCGTCTCCTGTTCAGCTTGTTTGATTCTTGATTCTGATTCCCCCGGATTCTTTTTCTTGGTAGTATTTCAACATTTTCTATTTTCTTTTCTTTGGGATCTAGATGCAAAGGAGGGCTTCTGATTGCTGTTGAATAATCTCTAATCAACTGGAATATGCACATGATTTGTGATGAAGTTCTTGAAATTGATGTCATCGGACATAGTAAATACTAATATCCCCCGATCGACATTGGAAAGCGCTTATCCCTGATGCAATACTGCAGTAGCCTCAGCCACTGTCCGGGGAATCGGGGACATCATAAATTGACCGACGATCGGAAAAACTCCATGCAAGTTGAGTGATCGACAACAGCTGAAAGACGAGATGCGTATACCAATTGGACTGAGCATACTGCAGACTGAAAGGACATGGACCTTATAGACGTACAAATGTGGTAGTACATACATAGTACCAGTAGTAGTATACATCCATGGATACTACTAGTTAGTTATCTGATTGGTTGAAGTTTAGTCACCTTCCAAGGTTACGGCCTTTTAGGGTCTAGTAGTCCATCATTTGAATAGATTCCATTTTCAATTGATAAAATATGGATGCAGCCCGTAAAGCCAATTAATTCAGAGGATCTTGTTTCATTCGAATATAAAATAGCGGCTTGTGTTAATTCAAACCTTCTGACAACTGTTGTGATTGTTGCCTGGGTACGAGGCAAGTCGATCCAAGGTGAAATAGTTCATTCAACAAAACAACCAACATTTGAAGTAAAGATACTTGAGCACTTGAGGAACTCAAACACATGCATGTGTCTCTTTTTGAAGGCTCTTTGTATGGAATTCAGTACACTCCCCCGAGCATATCTAGTTGCATAAATTCTTTATATCGCTGGTCAGGCCAGGGCTTAGGTAAACCCATCTTGTCATGATGAAGGTGATTTTGGCGTCAATTGTAGTCATTTTAACAGATTAGATATCGATGGAAAACAATAATTATATGAAAACCTATTCCATCCGATCTTTCTAAATCAAACCTGGTAGTTGTAATCGTACTAGTAGTGTACAGTGTAGACTCGTAACTTGTAGTCCGCAACAGTAAGCAAGCACGGGCCAAGGAACGGTCGGGCCGAGACTCGCAAAAAGTTCCAGTTCCGCAACTTCTCCGGTAGCTGCAACCCTTGTCTTTCACCAACCTGAAAATCCAAGCATGGCTACTATTCGTGCTGCATTCCCGCAGCTTTCCTCCGCCGTGCGATACAACGCTGCACGCCAATTCCACTCTTCCCCCTTCCGCGCCGCCGTTCCACACCCAGTCACTGCCCATGGTCCCCCGCCCAAAGCTCCGGCCCCAGTGGAGTTTAAGGATAAAACCGGTCAATCAGAGGTTGAGACGTCTTCAGAAGAGGAATTACGATCACGATTAACTAAGCCTTCTCCGCTGAAGAAGCGCTTCTGGAAAGATGTTCACGTTCACGGCAAAGCCGGTATGTTTGGGACTCCGTGTTATGGGAGTGGAGATAGATTTATCTGGAAACTAGTAGGACTGACGATGGATCCAATTCTGCTGTAACAGGTGAATACCAAGTATTGCTCGATAAGCGCCCCGTGAGAACCCCGAACAAGGACATTCTCTCAATACCCTCAACCAAGCCTCAACTGGCGCACGCGATCGCCGTGGAATGGGATGTGATGACATCTGCCCAACAAGCCCTCAAGAGCCACCTTATCCCCCTGACATCCCTCGCAGCCCGTGCCGAAGATATCATTCGCGAAGATGCCCGGGGCGAAACTACCACTCGAACACAGATTGTCGAAACCGCCATGCGGTACTTGGAAACAGACACCCTACTCTGTTGGGAGCCAGAGAGAGAAGCTGGGCTCTTTGGACGCATGGAAGAGACGGGAGGCAAAACTGAGACACTACGTGAGATCCAAATCCGTGTTTCCAAGGATATCATGAGCTTCCTGTCCACCAAGGTCTGGCCTGGATTGGAGATCACACCTATCCTCGACACGAACAGCATTATTCCATTGTCGCAGCCACCCACCACTCAGGAAACCATCCGAGGCTGGGTCTCGCAACTGGCACCTCATGATCTGGCTGGGTTAGAGCGAGGTATCTTGGCTTCGAAGAGTCTCTTGGTGGCTGTGCGCCTGTTGGTAGAATGGAGTGAAAACTTCCGCCACATTCAGCGATCTGGTGTGAAGAAGTTTGGCTTGGACGAGGCGGCCGAGGCTTCGAGCTTGGAAGTCAAGTGGCAGACGGATATGTGGGGTGAAGTTGAGGATACTCACGATGTTGGTAAGGAGGACATGAAGCGACAACTTGGTAGCGTTGTTGTTTTGGTCAGCGGCGAAACTCGTTAGATGATGAGAAATCTGTACTATAGTTGTTCCATTATATAGAAATTTTACGTATCCTGTATATTCCAAGGTTTCCGAGGTCTAAAGGTCCAGGAGACGATCAATTGTAAAAAGAAGAGGAGAAAAAAAAACAATTTAAAGCATTAAACATAGTACTAGTAGTTCCCTGATTCCGTGATATCTACTCCGTACAGGGGCGCCAAGAGCCGGAGTGATCGACCCCTTGCCCCCCTCAAAACAAAGCCTCTTTTTGATTCCCCTGATATTCCACCGGTTCGCACTGCATTCTTCATGCTTTCGTCCTGACTCTTAATACCCCACGTATTCGAGACGGGGCATTCTACACCATGACCGAGAAACCTGAAGGGTGAGTTTCGTTTATTTGCCCTTTCTTCCCCTCCAAAACCGCTTGGACCCATGGTTCCAAGGTGGTTTCCCCATGGCCAAGACCACGCGGGGGATTCCAGGTGTCGCTTCTCATTTACGAGAAGAAAAGATACATCCGAGGGGGAACAAAACGCCGGAGAAATTACAGAACCGCGCAAATCACTGGTGGAAACTGCGATCTATACAATACCACTCGTACCTTCCTGGGAACTTTCATGTGACTGACCCCCCATGTCGTTGTCCCGCAGGCATAAGCGCTCTCGCAGCTCTATAGCGCTCTCGCTTCTCCACCGCGATAAATCCCGCGGTGAAGACAAGAGCCAAGACGACAACACCGACGCCAACTCAACCGGGACAGGCTCGACGAATGACTCCTCCCCATTGACCCACGCCCGCAGTCTGAGCCGACACAGCCGCCGCAAACCTGCTTTGGATCCGAGCCCATCTCCCTCAACTCCTGCCATACTCGAAGATACCCCTCTCAACTTGAGCTCCCAAGCTATCGACGGCATGGATAATGTAACCTCCGCGCCTCAGGCGGAGAGTGCCAGCATGTCACTGGACCAGTCCGTACGAACGTTCCGGTTGTTCGAGGTCCTGCGCGGCGGAGATACCAATGCGATCACGAAAGCCCTCGAGGAGGCCAAGGACCCCCAGGTGGCAAACAATCTTTACGGAACGACAATCCTCCATCTGGCTTTGCAGTGCGCCGAACCCCAAGTTGTGGAGTTTGTCTTATCGTCGGGCACCGGGTTGGACATCAACGCGCGCGATCGTGAAGGAAACACGCCACTTCATCTGGCTGCTCAACTGGGACGGACTTCGCTAGTACGTGACCTGTTGAATAGACCCGAGGTCAACGATGCCATTATCAACTACCGCGGTCAAACCCCTCTCGATGCCGCGCGAACCCCGGAGATCTTCCAGCAACTACAGCTGGCCCGATCCCTCTTTATCGACAGCAAGACCCAGGAAATTCAAGCCCTGATCAACGGAAAGGACTACGATAATCTGGAGAAGTTGTTGGAAGAACCGCGCGCGGAGGGTCTACTGGATGTAAACAGCCTGGAGCTGGTTACTGACCGAGCTACCTTGCAATCAGGTGGAACGCTGTTGCATGAGGGTGCTCGCAACAAAGATGCGCAGCTCATCCAGATTCTTCTCACTCATGGAGCGGACCCCTTCCGTCGTGATAAGAAGGGTAAGCTACCCCAGGATGTCACCAAGGATGACAAGACTCGTGCACTCTTGAAAAAGTCCCCCGCGGCTGCGATTGCGCAGCGTGGCATTCAGGAGCGGGCCATTCTTGGAAACACCAATGCCCAAGGTCTGTCAGCCCGTGCTTCTATTGGCGAGGCTCCTTTGGCTGGTAAAGATGCCCGTGAGATGAGAGGTTATCTCAAGAAATGGACCAACTACACAAGTGGCTACAAGCTGCGATGGTTTGTTCTCGAGGATGGCGTATTGAGCTACTATAAGCACCAGGGTATGTTCCAACCTCCAGAAGCGCAATATTAGTGCCGTTCTTAATTGTGGTTGAGCTTAACAAAGCTAATTTAATTTTTGCAGATGACGCTGGCTCCGCTTGTCGTGGAGCTATCAACATGAGAATTGCTAGACTGAACATGGATGCCCAGGACAAGACCCGTTTTGAAATCCATGGCAAGTCATCTGTCAAGTACCATCTCAAAGCGAACCATGTCGTGGAAGCCAAACGTTGGTTCTGGTCTTTAAACAATGCAATCCAGTGGGCCAAGGATGAAGCCAAGGAAGAAGAGCGGCAACGTTCGAAGAACGCAGAGACGCTTCGTTTAGCTAAGATCGATCAGTCCGCTGGAGATACTCCCTCGGAATCTGGCCTTAGCCGCAGAACCAGCGGTAGGGGCCCACCCCTCTCGTCCCTTAGCGTTCCTGGTGGCAGCAGCTTCACCAGACTCAGCACCCATGCATCGCGCACAACGCTTGAGACATCACCCGCCGAGGAGGATGAAGGCTCAGCTTACGGGTCGATGGATCAGGGTGCTGGCCCCAGTGAGGTAAACCGCGTGGCCAGCCATGTAACCACCGTGCCGGATGGAGACGACGACGACGACTTCAATGACTACGCTTCTAGCCACGAAGATATGCCGACTAATGATAAGGATGCACTCAACATCACTGCGCAGTCTGCCAAACTTCAATTAGATCTTCTTGCAAATGTCTCGGCTTCTCTGCAGGCTGAGAGAACTAAGAATCCTGAAATGGCGATCGCAGATCCAGCTGTTGAGCAAGCTCTTGTTGCCTACGAAGGTGCTGTCAGTAGTCTTAAGGGGTTAGTTCAGAATCTTCTCAAGATTTCACGGGACCGCGATTCCTACTGGCAGTATCGTCTTAACCGCGAAGAACATCTCCGCCGCATGTGGGAAGAGAGCATGGCCCGCGTTGCTCAAGAACACGAAGAGCTCCAAGGCAAGATGGGCGAGTCTGAAGAAAAGCGCAAGCGGACCAAGCGAGCTTTGAAGGAGGCGCTGGAGAACGCGACTGGCAGCAGCCGCTCCATCAGCGCCGCTCCTTCGCGTATGCCAACGGAACCCTCCAGCGTTTTAGAGACGAGTCAGGCAGAGATTCGCGACCCCGAAGTAGTTTCTCAAGAAGACCAGGGAAGTCGCCTGACAACAGAGCCGATTCCTCTGAACCGCAAACCCTCTGTTCTTTCTCATATCAGCAGTCTCTATGATTCTGAGTCAGATGGAGATGAGTTCTTTGATGCCATCGATGCGGGTGAAATTGAAGTAGAGGACTTCAGTCAAGCCACTGAGATTCAAGAGCCCGAAGAACCCGAGGATGAAAGTGCTCTGGCCCGGAAAGAGAAGGCTGTTCTGATCAAGTCTTCTTTCAGAGGCTATGAAGACCCCGTGCGACAAAAGCTCACTATGGATAACGATGACCGGCCCAAGATCGGTCTCTGGGGAATCTTGAAGTCTATGATTGGTAAAGACATGACAAAGATGACCTTGCCTGTGTCCTTTAACGAGCCGACTTCATTGCTGCAGCGCGTTGCAGAGGATTTGGAGTACACTGATCTTCTCGATATTGCCGCAGACCGAACTGACTCTATGGAGCGTCTTCTTTATGTGGCTTCCTATGCTGCGAGTGAATACGCATCTACCATTGGTCGTGTGGCCAAGCCCTTCAACCCTCTGCTCGGTGAGACTTTTGAGTATGTGCGACCCGATAAGGGTTACCGGTTCTTTGTCGAGCAGGTTAGCCACCACCCGCCAATTGGTGCGGCGTGGGCGGAGTCGCCCAAGTGGGATTACTGGGTATGTTTTTTCTCTCCTTCTATCGTTGATTCATCTTTCTATGTATTCCGAGCTGACAAATATTTCGAATATAGGGTGAATCCTCACTCAAGTCTAAGTTCTACGGCAAGTCATTCGACATTAACCTTTTGGGAACTTGGTTCCTCAAGCTGCGACCTTGTACAGGAGGCGAAGAGTTGTATACTTGGAAGAAGGTCACATCTTCCGTCATTGGAATCATTACCGGTAATCCCACTGTGGACAACTATGGTTTGATGGAAATTAAGAACTGGACTACTGGTGAGGTCTGCTACCTTGACTTTAAGCCCCGTGGATGGAAAGCGTCCTCGGCCTATCAAGTCAGCGGTAAGGTGGTTGACCGCGCCGGTTCCCCGAAGTGGAGTATGGGGGGTCGATGGAACGACAAAATCTACGCTCGTCATACTCCAGGATTCGAAGCACCTGTCTCCGGTCAGGACCCCGAGTCAGCCAAGACATTGTTGGTTTGGCAGGCCCATGAACGCCCCAAGGGTGTGCCATTCAACCTCACTCCATTTGTTATTACTTTGAATGCCATCCCTGACAATCTGAGGTCTTGGCTGCCTCCTACCGACACCCGGTTGCGCCCTGACCAGCGTGCCATGGAGGACGGCCAGTATGACTTTGCCGCAGATGAAAAGCATCGCGTTGAGGAGAAGCAGCGTGCCAAACGGAGGGAACGGGAGACCAGTGGCGAGACGTATTCCCCCCAGTACTTTACTCGGGCCAGAGATGCTACCACTGGCGAGGAATACTGGGCCCACAATGGTAAATACTGGGCCAACAGAGATGCCCAGGATTGGAGCAATGCCGAGGATATTTTCTGATTGGAGAAAAAAAAACGAATCCTGATCGGCCCAGTACAAATAGGTAGAGGGGACTCGAATCTTTGTTTCCCAATCACCATGTATTAGAGAACAAGCGTCATTTCGTTAACTTTTTGTTTCTGAGTTGCACTGTAACTGTGTTAATAGTACTACGAAGGACAAGGCTTTCGCTATCCATGAATCCACGATTATGAATTGTATTTTAATCAATTCCAGAACATTGAAGTCAATTGACCATACAAACATGTATGTTTGAAATGTAAAACGTCAATAGCCCAACCTACCAGTAAGTACTGGTACTACCAGTTGACTGTATTTCTCCTGGCGATTTTTGTTTACCCTTTCCGGATTAGTGCTCCTCCTGGCGTCCGGAGTCCGGCGCAGTGCTCGTCACTTTCTTATGCACATAGAGCCGTTTGGAGTTTGAACCCCGGTTCGTGATAGGCTTGGTTAACTTGTCACAACTTTTTGTAAACTCAATCAAATCTAAACGCGTGGCCTGGTGCATAGATTTTGGATATGATTGTGCGCTGCAGCGCCAGCATAACTTAGCATTCTGGCTTCAATTCTCTTTTCCCGCTTCACTGCGATACCTTACGGCATCAACATATACGAACAATGTCATCAAACAAGCTGCAAGGGCCACCTCAAGCGCCTCCAAGATTCACTGACACACCATCGACGGTCCTGAGCAAGGCCAGGGATTTGATAGAGCGTTCTCGAAAGGCGAAAGATGAGCTTGTGGCACATGTCCCACTAGAGGGCGCAGCTTTTGCAAATGTTCTGTTACCACTCGCGAATGATGAGAGTTCATTGGCGGTTGAATTCGAAATCCTCAAATTCTATCAATCTGTGTCGACCGATCCGGAACTACGTGATGCATCAGGGGAGGCTGAGAAGCTTTTTAACGATTTTGTTCTTGAGACGGAGACTCGGGAAGATCTATACAACCTAGTCAAGTGGGTCCACAAAAGCAACATTGAAGAACTGGATCCAGAATCACGCCGACTGTTGGAGAGAAAATACAAAGATTATTACCGAAATGGATTGGGATTGCCTGAATCTCAGCGGGGTCGCTTCAAAGAAATCAAGAAACATCTCAATCAGCTGAGAATTGACTACAAAAAGAATCTCAACAGCGAGAGTGGGGGTATCTGGCTTACCCCGCAGGACTTGGATGGAGTACCTATGGACTTGATATCCAGCTTACAGAGCAGAAAAACGGATGAAAATCATTTGGGCAAGATTTGGCTAAGTTTCAAGTCATCGGATGTGTCCATGGCACTGAAATATGCAAAGACCGAAGAAACCCGAAAGAATATCTTCATTGCCAATGAGAACAAATGCTCACAGAATGCGTACATCCTCAAGGAGGCTGTGGTGCTTCGTGATGAAGCTGCTCGGCTGCTTGATTATTCCAATCACGCATCCTTCAGAATAGAAGAGAAGATGGCCAAAAACCCAGAGACGGTGGAGGTTTTCTTGGATGACTTGTGGTCCAAGTTAACAAGCAGTGGTCACAGAGAGCTTGCCGAGCAAGCTCAGTTGAAAAGGGCAGATCTAGAGTCTCGTGGAGAAGAATTTCACGGCTTTTATCTCTGGGATCATTCATTCTATGGTCGTTTAATGAGAGAAAATGAATTGTCGATCGACCACGAGAAGATCGCAGAGTATTTTCCTTTGCAGACCACTGTCCAATCCATGCTAAGGATTTTTGAGAGACTGTTTGGTCTCGTTTTCAGAGAAATGGTCGTCGACAAAGGCAGTGACATTGTTTGGCATGAGGATGTACTGGTTTTCAATGTTTGGGACGATGGCGACCTAGGCAGTGGATTCGTTGGCTATCTCTACATGGACCTGTTCTCACGAGACGGTAAATATCCAAATCCATCGAATTGGAATCTGCAGCCAGTACGTATTACCTACTATTAATAACTTGTTCAGAGCTGACTACATATAGGGCTTTATTCGACATGGCAACACACGCTACTATCCGTCCACGGCTTTATTATGCCAGTTCCCCAAGCCGAGCCCTGGTAAACCCACTCTTTTAAGACACGACGATGTTGTGACGATATTTCATGAATTGGGACACGCTATCCATGATCTTGTGGCAAAGACTATTTATTCAACTTTTCATGGTACCAAATCAACTGAAGACTTTGCAGAAGCGCCTAGTCAGATGCTTGAGAACTGGTGCTGGCTACCTTCACAGTTGAAGTCACTGAGTCGACACTACTCAACTTTATCGACAGAAATCTGCGGTCTAGAGAAAGAAGAACGGCAATCAAGGCCCTCGGAACAAATCCCTGAAGAGATGATTACAGGGCTTATCCAGTCACGCAACTCGAAAAGGGCCCTGTATCACTTGCATCGGGTATTTCTTAGTATCTTTGATCTGAAAATCCATACACCTAGAACTCACAAAGAGATCATGGATTTGGATATCTCGTCAAAATATAACAGCCTGCGAAAGGCTATCAGACTGACTGATGGTCCTGAGACACTAGGTCAGGGTGATGGATGGGGCCATGGCGAGGCAAATAGTCCACACTGGATGGGCACGTATGATGCAGGCTTTTATAGTTATCTATGGTGAGAACTCCAACCGGCCTTCCTTGAAGATTATCGATCTTAAACTAATCTTGGAAATACCCTATAAAGGTCAGAAGTATATGCCCTTGATATGTTCAATACGGTATTCCGATCTGATCCTCTCAACGCCAAAGAGGGCCGCAGATATCGGCACCTTGTTCTTGAGAAGGGTGACAGCCAGGATGGGATGCAGACCCTGACTGATTTCTTAGGTCGTGAACCAAGCAGAGAGGCATTCTTCAAGGAACTCGGTCTGGCTTGAGTCTTGACTAAGGCTCTACATTGCCAACATTTGAGCCTTGAAGTTTTTCTCCTTCTCAATACTATGTTCTTTTTTTTTAATTAACAATGAAGTTACCTATACAACGGCTAAAGATTTCTGCTTATACTTGATAGCTTCTGTCAGATTGGCCCTCAGTTGCCAGGCTTCCATATACTAGTAGTATGTACTATGTGCATAGTATAGATTGAATCAATAAGACTAGTAGTAATTCCAATAAAGTCAAATAAAAAAAAAAGATACACAAGTACTAGTATATGCACACTATTATTTAACATAAAGGTCACAGTACATGCAGCTGAACATTTGGTGAAGTTTCAATTAAGCTACCTACTAGGTACCTATGCACCGCAGGTAATAATCCCAGGTTAACAAAAATAAGCCAATATTTCCGATAATATGAAGATTAGAAGGATAAAGCCTCAACCTGTATGTCTTGTGATGGAATTGAAGCTCCAACATTGCCTGATCTACATGATAAATTGATAAACTCCCGAACTCCACTTCCCCGTCACGTGCGCGGGATCATCTGAGGAAAAACGACCAGTTTAATCAACTCTCACTCACTTCTTTTTGAATCACCCCCACATTTCACGATGGCAGCTGGCTACACCTGTGCCCAATGCCTTCAGGTGCTCCGCCAGGGAGTCCGGGCCCCAGCTCCCTCGGCTCGCCTGCAGACCCTTGCTCCTTCGCGTCGGAGAATCACAGCTTCTCCGTGGACTCGCAGCTTTGGCTCGGGACGTCACAACCGTCCATTGGATAAATCCCCAGAATTGACTCAAGGCGCTAGCAAGGCTACTTCCGCTGTCAAGCCTTCCTCGCCTCCATCGCTCGCACACCGCGCAGCTTCCACCGCCTCCGGCTCCTCCGTCGATACACGAGCTATTTTGAAACAGGACAACCTCTTCCATTCCTTCTCCAACTCTCCCTCTCCCGAAATCCGAAAACGCGCTGCCTTCATTAAGGAAAATGCCCACTGTCCTCACCCAGATCACCAACAGACCCGTGTTCCTGTCTCGCCGCATGACCCCGAGGCACGAAAGACCCAAGATGCGGCTAACTTGCCCCCGGCCCACTCGCATTTCGAATGCCCCGATTGTGGTGTCCCTGTCTACTGCTCCGAGGGCCATTGGATGGATGACTTCGAGGCTCACTTGGAGGTTTGTGACACGCTTCGCCAAATTAACGAGGACGACCATGACCTGCACTCCGGCCGCTTCTTCCCCGAATTCTCCTACCCAGGTGTCCAGGATGACAATTTCGTGGTCAACATGACCAATTGGGATACCCTCATGTACACTCGCGAGTTTGAGGCAGTCAACTCCGACCGGGCTATGCGCCAGGTTACCCGGATGCTCACCTACCCGCAGACTATTGCTAGTGTCTTGCATGAGCTCAGCCCATATAATGTCCGAAGCAAGAACCAGCTCACACCCGAGGGATTGAAGAGCTTGAGCGGTATGTTTTCTCTCTCTCTCTCTTTTTTTACTTTGGAACATGAAACCTACTATGCAGTTGCCTGCAACCTCTTTGTGATCACTTGACTGACTGAATCTCCGTTTCTTTTCTAATATTTAGCCCTCCGATACTCCCTGCACCCTCCCCGCACCGGTGAAGGTGTCGACGCAAAGGGTCTGCGCTTGAAGGCCCCGCCAGTCCGACTCTTCATTCTCGGTGCCCGTGCCGAATCTTCTCTTCCTCGTGATGTGTGGCTGCAGCTCCAGTACATGTTCCCCCGCTCCTTGCTGCACCTGATCTTCATCGGACCCGAGAGCATGACTAACCGCGACGCCGAATACCCGTTGCCGGAGCGCACTCCTGGAAATCCGTTCGGTGGAATTGTGGAGGACCGCCTGGGTGGCCAGATGAAGATCACCACCTACGTTGAATACTTCCACACCATGTACAAGGCAAACTACTTCCAGCCCTTCGATCCTTACCTGGATTGCTTCATGCTCTTCCACCCTGGTCTGGGTCATCCTTCCAGCTCAGCCGAGTGGCAAGAGACCCTCCCTCAACTGCTTGAGACCAAGGTGCCCATCCTGTGCACCGGGTACACACAGTGGGATATGGAGCGCGATATCAACTGGGTGCATGAGAAGTGTGCCGGCGAGTTCGACATGCTTCTCGAGCCCGGTGAGAATATCTTCCGCAGTCTGCGTTGGGATTTGAACGACCAGGATCCGCATGATGTTTCATGTGGTAACTGGGGTTTGTGGGGATTCCGAGGCAAGAGGTATGTTATTACCGCCCATCATTTTGTCCCATTTGAAAGAGAGAGAAAAACAATTACTAACTTTTGATATAGATACGAGGCCACTTACAAGAGCGAGTAAATGGTGTCGCTGCTTCCTGTATGATATTACTTTTGTTTTTCGACCCCCCTCTTCCCCTCTTGTCCCCAATTGAGTTGGGGACTCGTGTGTAGTAGATAGACATCTCTAGTCCTCTCTTGAAATATGTATTATGTTATGCGAATCTTGTTCGATCCAATCTATGACCTGACTTCCAAGGTCAACTGGTTAGCGTGTGATATCAGATCGTTAAGCTTCGTATCATAAACCTTATGTCCAAAATACAGTAGGGAATCCTGCACCGGACCCACTAGGGTTAAGGTTATACGAGGTTTATGATACTGTATAGCCCTCAATCCTTTCAATGTCATAATAAAAAAACAAAGCTTTACAGAAGTCTACGTTGAGAACAAAAATGTCATCCAAGCCAGCAGAGATGATTCCATCACCGCTGAAAAAGGGAGGGTTTGATTAATTCCCGGATCAATCCAAAAAAATCGTAAAATATTAAACAAAAAACATGGATGACATGAAAAAGGGTTGTTAGGTAGAAAGGGATATAAAAGTAAGGGTATAGACATGAAGAATTCGGAGAACACATCACAGCAGCCGTGGTCATCGACGGATGGAGAATATAAAAAAAAAAAAAAAGGTATATCAGGAGAATATGTATGCATCAAGGTGGGCAGCCAAGACAAGAAAGAAGAAGATAAAAGTAGAAAGAATAAAGGCCCAAGATTCCAAGAGTTGATAGGAAAGAAAAGAAAGTGGTAGTGACCATCCTAGATGGTGCGTGGTACCCGACAGCACTGTAGCTTGTAGCTGACAGGAAGCTGCTTCAACAGGGACAATTGTAAAAGTTCCGATCGCATCGGTCTCCCAGATGGCGACGCGTGCGACGCGCATTTCGAACCAGAACATGCGATGCGGTATGGGCATCTACATCGGCACTAGCGCGACCCGATTAGACCATCAGCAGACCAGCGATAGCGAGCGCACCCGCGGCAACGGCACCGGGGAACTGGCGCGAAGCGGCGCCAGTAGCGGGCGAAGAGGCAGCGGCCGAGGCAGCAGCGGTCTGGGTAGTAGAGTCAGAGCCAGACTGGGTGGGCGCAGCCTCGATGGCGGAAGTAGCCTTGATCAGAGGGGTGGAGGAGCTGGGCTTGACGGTGAAGCTGGGGCTGGCGGTGGCGCTGGGGCTCGGGGTGTAGGGGGTGCTGGTGCGCAGGGGAGTAGAGGTCGAGGTTGAGACAGGCGGGCACGGGGTGAAAGTGGGGGTCGGGGTCGAGCTGCTGGGAGTGTAGCCCGAGGGGACCAGGGTGACGGTCTTGGTGACGGTTGCCTCAGCCGCGAGGGCGATGGGGGCGAGGAGGAGAACGATGGCCTTGAAGAAGTGCATGTTTGCGGTATTTGTTGATAGTTTTGAGTTTGGTGGTGGGAAGAGTTGGGTTTGATATTGATCTGGAAAGTCCGAAGAGAATGAAAGAGTGAATGGAGCTGGGTAGAAACGAATGCGACAGCCCGTGTGCTAAGGAGAGATCAAAAACGAATGGCACTGGAATCAGTGAAGAAGAGAAGAGAAGAGAGCTTTCGGGTTTTTTTTTGCTAGGAGAAGTGGGAAATGAAGCCTAATCTTAGGGGAAATACACTTAGCTCGGTTGGGTTTAGCGGCAGACGTAACCGCCCCAGCGACGGGTGGAATGTTCATCTTCACTCAGTTTAGCTCGCCCATTTCTGTTGATAGCAGGATTTAGTATGGAGTAAACCATTAAACCATAACAAATGAAAGAAAGAAGAAATTGAAGAAAGAAATTGGGTTGCTATGTGGAAAAATAAACATCTCATTGATTAGTATAAAAGAATGTAGCAATGCTTCGGGGGTATCTCAGCCAAAACGTAGAACAGGAACATCGACCAATCCCATATGTACAGACACAATCGTTAGCCATCAAAGCAAACCGTTCAGGGGGGCAACATGCGCAATCAGCGCAATCAGCGCAATTTCGTAATCGTAAAGCATAGACCACTGAGCAAACAGAAAAATAAAATAAAAACAGTGCACCACCTGAGTTTGCATCGGTTCCCTTGGGGCACTTCGGCCCCCATTTTTTCGCTTCCATTAGATACCCCACACCGTAGCAAGCACCACAGCCGCAGTGGCCCAATACCCACTGGCTTGTAACATAGTCGCCATAGCCCCTGAGGCGGCGGAACTGTCGGCAGCTGTAGTTCCATTGGCCAAGGTACCATTGATATAGATCTTCTCCGTGTCATTGACTTTGGCCACGGTCACCACGCTGCTGTTTTTGGGTTGGGTGCCGTTGAACAAAGACTCGTAATAAGTACTGTTGGTGTTATTGTCACAACCACACTCTTGATATTCCTCACATAGACAAGCCACCGGCATTGACACGTTTTTCTTGGTGGAGTCGTCAACGTAGTTGTAATTATCGTTGTAATCGTAGACGTAGGCGGGGTGGTACCAGAGTCCTGGGAAGAAAGCCAGAGCAGCCACTGGTAACAGGAATGGAGTGATTCCCAATGCTGAGCGTGAACCGGCTCGATAAGGTGTGGTTGCGCCTCCCGCGTAATATCTGTTTGCACCGTAAGTTCTTCCGTTGTATTTACGATTTGTGGAAATCTTTTCCGAGGGCGCTTCGGAGTAATAAGTCCAAGGCCAATTAAAGTCAATGTAGCCAATACTCGGAATGTAGCCGCCATAAAATGTACTATCGTACCTGTTGCCGCCATAGGATGCTGTGGTGCCAGAACCCTTGCTGGTTGTTCCCCCGGTATTGCTGGAGGAACTGGTTTTGCCTGTCGATCCACTCGATGAACTGGATGACCCCGAGCTGGATGAACCCCCACGAGAGCTACCACTGCCACTGCTGGAACTGCTGCTTCCCGAACGACCTCCGCTGCTTCCACCACTGCTGCTGCCACTGCTGCTGCTGCTACCTCCACCACCACGACGCTTCTCGAGTTTCACTTCATAATCCACAGGAACTCCAAAAGTCTCAATACCTGGTTGAGGGTTTGTTGGTAAGGACGTGACTCCGGTGGAGCACAAAAGAAAAAGAGCCGCGGCCAAGGTAAGCTTCATAGTTGGATGTGAATATCGGTGTAAACAATAGAGATTAGAATGATATGCAAGTGAAAGAAGAGGGGGAAAAAGCAAAAAAGAAGTAGGGAAGGAAGGAATAATAGCCAAACTTCGGAGTCTTCAAAGGGGAAAAGCTTCCAAGCATGGATTGGGGAGCGGACTCGGCGGAGACCCTGACGATCCCGGTTTGGCGAATACGATAAATTGCACCGCCTCAGTAAACAGTGTCATTACGAAGTTACATTAACCTATATGAGTAATAGTATCACAGAAATCCTGGTCAATACTGGTCAATACCAGCTAGTAACAATACTTGCTAATACCTACTAGTAGTAAGTTCACTCAGCCTCAATACTTGCAATGTAAACCTTGAAATCCTTTGTTTATAAGCCTCCAAGTACAAGGCGCAGTACATTAGCACATTAACACATTAGCACATTAGCACCATGTAAGGTAAGCCATATGGATGCATTACATATTAGAGCCCCGCCTTGAAAGGCTGTGTAAATGAGCATCTGGAGCCAATCAGATCAGATGTTTGAGAAAGGATTCCCTTGATGTTCTTTTTATCTTTCCCAAGTATCAAGTACGTATCCTACATAGAACTTGAACTGCCTTTTAACTGCCACTTAACTCCATAGTAAGTAGTACATTTTATCCATTCAGCCTCATCTGGGATCCACGCCACACCAGATATTTACATGTCTAGAAATCTATACTCCGTAGAGAATTCTGGAGTCATAAGCATTCATTCTGAAATTTTTCATAACAAACCAAAAATCAAAAGAATATCTTTTTTTTTTTTTACACAGTAAAAATAAAACCAGTTTTCAAATTCGATAGTGCCTGATTCTAGCGTATTTATTGGCGGTCGGGGATTAGGTAGATTGTGTCAACCCAATCACTGAAAAAAGGGACCTTGAGGATTAACCTCTTCTTCCTTCTAACAATACCTTTTGCTTTCGCACTTTTCTCCTCATGGTGCGTCCCAGGGGTCTCTCTACCGCTTCTTCTGTTTCCTCAGTTCCTGATCAGGATCAGGTAAATTCCACTCCTTTCTTCCCCTGAAATCCCTATCTAACCGCTCTCTAGGAACTGGGGAGCATGTACGATTACCTTGCCAAGGTAATTCTCCTGGGACCTAGTGGTGCGGGGAAGTAAGTCTCACCAGGCACATGAAAAGAGAAACGGAGAATAAGCCGGTGATTTCTGACCATTCGGGTCTAAACACAGATCCTGTGTGCTACACCGATTCGTCAAGAATGAATGTACGACCAACCACACGCTCTCACCCACACCCTAGCCCCGTATGTATTTTGACTAACCTTCCCTTCCGCTTTAGGGCGCGTACTATCATCACAGACCATCGGAGTCGAATTCTCTTCCCGAATCATTAAGCTAGGCACCGGCTCAAGACGGAAACGCATCAAGCTCCAACTTTGGGATACCGCTGGCACGGAAAGATTCCGATCCGTATCTCGATCCTACTACCGCGGTGCCGCCGGCGCCATCCTCATCTATGATGTCGCCTCTTATCCTTCATTCGCCGCCCTTCCAACCTTCCTGATGGACGCGCGAGCGCTAGCCTCCCCAAACTTGACCGTTCTCCTAGCCGGGAATAAGGCCGACCTGGCCGATCAATCCTCCGAGGCGCACGAAGACTCTGCGCGACCTCCACCCACCCCGTCGAGTACCTCCAGCAAACATTCCTCGATGCATTTCGACGGCAATAGCTCCATGCGATCGACCAACTACCTGGGCACGGGTACTCGGATGACTGCGACGTTCGCTGAGGATCGGGAGGTGAGCCGGGAGGACACGGCTCGATGGGCGGCGCAATCGAATATCCCAGTGGCCGTTGAGGTCTCTGCGCTCACGGGCGAAGGTGTGGAGGAGATCTTTCATCGACTCGCGCGCATCATCCTCACGAAGATCGAGCTGGGTGAGATCGACCCGGATGACCCCCAAAGTGGCATTCAGTATGGAGATGGAGGACTATATGGCCATGGCACCAGCGACGCCTCAAGCATTCGAAGCAGAACCACGTTAGATGAGAACTCTCTATCACTTCATCGACCCTCCCGCCGACGAGCCAAGGGGCCGGGTTCGGCGGGCTGGGTGGGTGGTATGAGAGAGTGGGAAGATGTGTTTCGCTTGGGAGGTCCCCAGTCCCGGAGAAACAAAGGGTGTTGCTGATATATTCCTGGCAAACTCGTCTTCCTTCAACTTCGTTGGGTAATCTTTCTTTCTTTTTTCCCTTTTCACTATATTCGTTTTGACATGTCTTTCGTTGAATCCCTGCACGATACCCCTCTTTCGACGTTCGTTCATGATTTTACACATGCTTATCCATTGCACCCCGCTTCGAGAAGGGCCGAGCTTGTCTTGTTCCCTAACCTTGGACATCGAGGGATGGCGGGCTTCTTCTTCTTCTAGCGATTCAAAGGATGGACTAATTCGCAATACTTATTTTGGATTACATTTCTCATTTCTTTTTTTATATATCGTTCATGAAAACCACAGACCGTCACATCGTATCAAATGGGATCCCAGAACAATCCTCTATGCATCGATTCCAGCGATGAGGGTCTTGATGCCCTTTCCAGCCTTGACTCCCTTGAAGGCCTCCTCGGCCTCCTCGAACTTGACAGTTCCTGTGATCAAACTCTTCACGTCGACTTGGCCCGATGAAACCAGACTGACTGCCAGCTTGTAGTCGCCGCTGCCGTAACGGAAGCTGCCGCGGATGGTTAACTCCTTAGAGCAGGCAGCCATGATGGGGAACTGAATCTCGCTCCGGCCCATACCACCCTGCACGTAGGTGCCGCCGTTGCGAAGGACGTGGATACCAGTGTGCACTGATGGCTCCGCACCAGAGGCATCAATGGCAACATCGGCACCGGCGCCCAAGTCATTCTCCTTTATTAAACGTTCGGCATTCTCCTGTGCGGTGGCCTTGCCTGGCATGAAAGTGGATGTGGTTGCGTATGCCTTGGCAAAGTCCAGACGGGGCTGCTGGATATCCACTGCAATCACCTTGGAGGCTCCAAAGGCGGTTGCGACGGCGCAACACAGCAGACCAACGGGACCAGCACCAAACACCACCACTGATTGACCGGGGCTGACCTGGGCTTGACGCACAATGTGAACCGCGACACTCAATGGCTCCATCAGAGCTCCCTCTTGTAGCGACATGCTCTCGGGAAGCTTGTAGCAGAAATCTTCGGGGAGAACATAGTACTTGGCCAAGGTACCATCATATGGAGGGGTTGCGGCGAAGACCATGTTCTCGCACAAGTTGTACTTTCCACCCTTGCAGGGCCCACACCGACGACAGGCGATACCGGGCTCCATGGCGACGCGGTCGCCCACCTTCAATGAGGTAACTGACGATCCGACTTGGGTAATGATACCTGCAGATTCGTGGCCCAACACCATTGGGTCCTTAACAACGAATTGACCAATCGCACCGTGTTCCCAGTAGTGGACCTATATTATGACAACACATCCCCGATCAGCTTGTCTTCTGGTGTCACACTGCATGCTACCCCGCATCGAGACGATTTATTTGCACCTACATCGCTGCCACAGATACCGGTATATTTGACGTTAATCAACACATCGTGTGAGTCCTTAAGTTCGGGGACAGGGCGGTCTTCGAATTTGACCTGGTGAATTCCTTGCAAGACAAAGGAGAGATTCTAGTTCCGCCACGTTAGCCACATTGACTGGTTTTTGGGGGGAGAGGAGGCGGTGTATGTGATTGTTTCGGGCTTGCCTTACCTGGGAAGTCATGGTGTGTGTTGGAGGGGGGTTAGAGAGAAGAGGTTTTGGTGATGAGTGAAACTGAAAGAGAAAGAGAAAAGGTCAAGTCCCAGAGATTTCAAATAAATAATTAGAAACAAAATAACAATCGACCGGCAAAATGTGGAATGAACCGAGCTGGTTACTCCCCGCAAGGACGACCCCGAGACTCGAGTGGATCCAATTGGGATTTTACCCGCGGGGGACTTTTACCCGATTTTGCCTATGTCACTCTAACGCCACTGGAGCTGTCACGAGGTTCAAATGCAAATCTGTGATAGGTAGATGGGATGCACCAGTTGTCTATTCTTTGTGTGGATTTTAAACGTTGACACATGTGCATGAATATAAGGAAAGCGCAGTCCCAGAGCGCGCATATACTATGCTTAGCTCTGAGCTACCAGTTGGCGACAATATGTAGCTACATCCATGAAGAATAATTTTTTATATACAATCAGGCTAAATGTAAAACCAGTACCTCCAGCTATTTGCACTGAACTCCTAAGTGAGCATGAGTCTTAAGCATCAATATTCCATAGACATCAATTCAAATACTTTACAATATCCATGATATAGCTAGTAACAATCACAGATATCTATAGAAAAAGTTGCTCGAACTGTAAACTGCGATCCAGGTCTGGGCCCGTGCGTGCCAAGCCCGCGTGCGGAGAATCGAATCGCGTGCTTCCGCTTCTTCACCTCGCAACCATTTGGATGCTGGGAGCTTCGCATTGCTCTTACATTCTCTAGCCATGGTGCATCCACATTCAATTGCCCTCCGAGGGGCACTGCGCAACCTTCGAGCTCGTCCCGCCCCGCAACAAAGATTCTTCGGTGCATCGGCCCGATACCAGGCAAGCGAGAAGCCGCAGCAGGCCTCCTTCAAGAGCCAGCTCTACGAGAGCACCCAATCCCGTCTGAAGCGCGAGCGAGCCGAGCAAGAACGTTTCGCAAAGTACCAGACTCAGTCTCCCGGTGGCCGATATGCCGCCCTAGTCTTCGGTAGGTCATTCCGCCTCGCTCCCGAACGGCCCGTCGCTAAGCTAATCTTATTCTGCAGCTTTGGTCTTCTTCTCCACCGGTTCATACTACCTCGGATCGCTTAAGCCCGCTGCCCTCCCGACAACTTCCACAAGTGCTCTTGCAGATATCGAACCGGCCAAGCATAATGTGTCCCCGTCCAACCTCCAGGCTGCTTGGTCAGACTTCGTGGAGATTCTAGGAAAAGAAAATGTCTCGACTACTCCCGGCGATCTTGAGTCACACGCCGGCTCGGACTGGTCTTCTTACTCGCGGAAGGACAATGAAACGCCCTTCTTGATTCTTTACCCAGATACCACCGAGGAGGTCTCCCGAATCATGAAGGTCTGCCACCAGCGAGTCATCCCGGTCACTCCCTACTCGGGCGGCACAAGTTTGGAGGGTCACTTTGCACCCACTCGCGGAGGTGTATGCATTGACTTCCGTCGTATGGACCGTATCTTGCAGTTGAACAAGAGTGATCTCGACGTAGTGGTCCAACCGGCACTAGGATGGGAGGAACTGAACGAGGAGCTGACCAAGGATGGTCTCTTCTTCCCTCCGGACCCAGGCCCAGGAGCTATGATCGGAGGCATGGTTGGCACAGGCTGCTCGGGCACCAACGCGTACCGCTACGGAACTATGCGCGAGTGGGTTCTGTCATTGACGGTAGTCCTAGCCGATGGAACAGTGATCAAGACTCGTCAGCGCCCACGCAAGTCTAGTGCCGGATATGATCTGACCCGAGTCTTCATCGGCAGTGAGGGAACTCTGGGCCTGGTAACAGAGGCGACCCTCAAGCTCACAGTCCGCCCACAGAGCGAAAATGTTGCCGTGGCCAGCTTCGCTAGCATTCAGAATGCCGCAGAATGTGTTACTAAAGTTGTTGAGGCTGGAATCCCCGTTGCAGGAGTGGAAATTCTTGACGATGTGCAGATGAAATGCATCAATGCTAGCCAGACCACTAGCCGCCAGTGGAAGGAGTCTCCTACTATTTTCTTCAAGTTCACAGGAACCCCATCGGCTGTTAAGGAACAGATTGGAATGGTCCAGAAGATCGCCTCCGGCGCATCTGGCAAGTCATTTGAGTTTGCTCGTGGTGAGGAAGAAATGAAGGAACTATGGAGTGCCCGTAAACAGGCCCTGTGGAGTGTGATGGCCATGCGGAGAGGACCTGAAGATCGTGTCTGGACGACCGACGTGGCCGTTCCCATGAGCAGACTGCCGGATATCATCGACGCGACCAAGGCGGATATGACCAAGAGTGGATTGTTGGCTGGAATCTGTGGTCATGTTGGCGATGGAAACTTCCACGGTAAGCATTGTTATTGTAACACCCTTAAACAGGAAATAGGTTGACTAACTCCCAAACTAGCAATTATTCTATTCAATGAGAGTGAGAAGAAGGTGGCCGAAGAAGTGATCCACCGCATGGTCAAGCGGGCCGTCGAGATGGAGGGAACCGTGACGGGAGAGCACGGTGTTGGTCTCGTCAAGAGAGATTATCTTGCCCACGAGCTTGGTGAGACTACAGTGGATGCCATGCGCAGGGTAAGTTGTTATAAACACTCTAGTTTCAATTCTTTAAACCCAACACTAACGTCTATTGCAGTTGAAATTGGCATATGATCCCCTGCGTTTGCTCAACTGCGACAAGGTTGTTCGAACGGAGCAGCCCGCCCCAGGCGAGATTAAGCAGTGGTAGTGTTGATGTATATTCATTCCCGTAGAAAAACATATACCTAATCTGAACCTGAACCCGAACCCGAATGGTCCTCGTGGTGGTGGTGATGGTGGTGATGGTGCCGGCGATGTCGGTGCGAATGTTCCTCATCGCTACCACTACGGGATCCTGAGCGATCCCTAGATTCTGACTCCCCTCGTGGACGCCGCTCCACATACTCTATCCCGTCGTTGAATCTTTGGCCATAACCTTCATTTTGAGGGGGATAACTAGGCCTCTCGAATTCATCGAACCCACCTGGTGGCGGCGGTGGTGGTCTGCCGTAACCGGCCGAGAATTCTCTGTACAAAAATCGATCAATACTTGGTGCTTCAATATCGAGCCAAAAAGAAGGTAGCAATGTGAAAGTTGGAGAAACCTACCGCTCAAATCTTCCGCCGTATCCGGGTTCTTCTATGGGTTGGAATGCAGGTTGCGGATGCCCATACTCGTAACGAGACTCGGTTTCCATGTGCACGTATTCCGTCTGACTAGTACTTTCGTAAAACTCTCGTCGCTCCTGATGATAATACCCTCCTTGACCCCCTTCGTCGTAGTTTTGGTATTCCTCACGACGATAGCTCTGCATGGGAGGAGGATTAGGTGGGTACTCAGGGCGAGAATAGCCTTCACTGGGATAATACTGGTCGGGACGAGGATATTCTTCATGGTAATGAGATGGAACCTCCTCTTGCGTCTGCTCGTCTTCACGATGACTGTGATGATGCCGGTGCTCATGGGAACCACTCTCATCACTATCATCATTTCGTACGTCAGGCTCAGGGCTTTCTCGGCCATTGTTCAAAGCCAGCGATCCCATACCGCCAACAAGGCCACCAAGCAGTCCGCCCAGGGCTCCTCCGCCCAAAGCTTGCGAGGCGAAGCTCTCGAGCCCAGCATTGTTGGACTGCGATTCCTCACCAGAATTGGCGTTGATTTTGGGTAGAGCAAGCGGCTTCCCACAGCCATGTCCGCAGTCTTCAACACCTTCCTTGTGATTCTTGCCCTCGAGAACACCATCTCGGCTCAGCTGCTCACGTAGATATCCCTGCGCCTCATCATCCTTCTCACTCCACCATTGCTCTACCGTAGAGAACATAATCCCACGGATTTCATTCGCACCGTCATGCCCGCACTCCCGGAGAGCAGGGTGATGGAAGACTCCATTTATGATTCTAGTTAGGGTTTGGTCGATATCGGCATCTTCGTCGTCCCAGCATTGCATCAACTGAGGAACAGTCCACTTGACAATATTAGACGCAATGCGCCCAGCCGGCTCATTAAGCACGTTCGAAAAGTGGTCTTTGGAAAGCATCGAATGAGTAGGATTGGTTGACGAGTCATCGTTGAACACGACATGCTGTTGTTGCTGGCTGCTTTGAATGACCTCCGAGGAACCGGTCTCCAGCTCAGATTTGACCTGCTTGATGATGGGGAGAATGTAGGGAGCGAGAACGGAAAAGACGAAGATCGTGATCTCGTCTTGGATTTGCTCAATCAGATCCGGTAGTATCGGAATCTTCTCGATCGTTTCGTTGATTGCTTTCAGCAATTTATCATGCCACTCCAGAACAGGGTAGATTTGATTTTGGACATCGTTGAGGTAACGAGTCCATTCCTCGGGCTCCCGGGGTGAGACCTCTGGGGTGTTATGCTTTGCATCATCCGCCTTTGCCTTGAAGTCATCCATCTGGCTTGTCTCGGCATCACTGTCACCAAATAATCCACTGGGAATCTTACTCAACAGTCCTTGCAAAACGCTTTCCGATGAACTGTCATTTTCAGAATCAGCGATCACGCCTTCCAAGGACTGTATCTCCGACTGCTTGGCTTTGTCGGAGAATTCCCCAAGTACCGAGTGAAAGAAATCGACTCCGCCAAACGTTCCAGTAACAATGGGATAGACCATGCTGGGGGCACCTTCAACTTCCAACATTGTGTCGCGCCCAACATGCGGAAAGATTTCACTTTCTCCAAGCTCAATGAGACTCAGCTCGGTATAGTTGGAATGGGCCGCATAGTCCTCCAGACAGTGTAAACCTGTTCCAAGCAACCTAAGAGCCTCGTACAGATCTTCGGTATTGCGGGAACGAGCGTAGCGGCGACCAAGCTGGATTGAACGGCCGAGAACATTACGGATTAGATGGGCCGAGGTATCAATGCCCATATCTTCAGATGAGATATAACATTTGAGACCTGTACGTGGATCAATAGAAAGCTCTCGCTCCTCATCCACCGGGCCCCTCAAACGAGTATCGTAATTACGAGCATCATCCCCTTCTGCATACCCTTTAGGGTTATCGATATGCTCTGTAGGTTGATAGCAACCCAATCGCTCAGTCGTGACCTCAAACTCCCCAGTGCCGTAGCTGCGATCATTTATTAGCTATGTGTTCGCATGATTCATGAAATGGCGAGTATGTAGCAGAGAGCCTTACCCAAAGCTCATAAATCCCAGCACCCATATCAGAATACGAATAGCCTCCGCGCTGACATATTTGACAGTACCCACATCAACAGCTTGGCTGTAATCCCGCAGCCAGTTCCCAAAGTAGACTCGCTTCACATCCAACTTGCTGAATTTCTCCCCACCGGCTCCTCGGGCCAGGAATAAGTTCAAGAGGGCATCTTCGATATCACCATGGCGCCAATTCTGACCCTCTATCTGGGAAAGAGAGGCGATGTTCCCCGCACCGAAGCCATATGCTTGACCGGAGATGGCGAGAATAATCAAGAGAGAGAGGCACAAGCTCGGTATAGATGCGCCCATGATATATCTAGAAGGTCGCAAGAGTCAAGTGAAGGTTGGATCTGGTTCTGGGAGAGAAGGGAGATGAAGAAGAATCTTGCCCAAGTGGACGCAATAATCTTTATTAGAACATTCCAGGATAGAATAAGTCTGCCCAACGCCGAGGATATTTCCAGTGGGCTGGCGGGGGAACGCGATTGATAGGCTTCTTGGCTGCAGGGCTTGTGACATTTAGCCCCGTTTGAAGGCTTGGCTGCTTGGCTGCTTGGCTGCTTGGCGTGGACGGAGATGTTTGTTATAAAATGGGCCAGTGGAGTATGCAATGTTGTTGCACATGTGTCCAGGTGAAGTGGTGCATGTGTACAAAATACATACGTACTTGACATTTGGGATAGGTACACACGCGGTTCTAGTCTTATCTGAAAGGTAGTATACTTAGTACTAGGCTTTCAATCAATTGCTGAACAACTATAGGGACTGTGCTGTGTAGTCAACTGGCACTATAGGTATACATATACATAAGGGTACTTATATAATGAGTACTCAAGTGAGAAGGGTACATAGTACTCAAGACTTAGAACGGGGATATGCTTAGTAGTTAACTAGTAACTACGTATGTAGTTACTCGGGGAGATTACCAACCCAGAACATGCACATGTGCTTAGTAAAAGCATAAATACTTATTAACTAGTTAACTGACTAACTATGCAGTAGGCGTTGTGCAAAGTCACGTAGACTGTCATAGGCAAATCTGAATTGTAACTTACCAATGAGATCGTGGGATTTATCATCTTCCCGAATCCCGTGTTGCTGGTTCTGAGATCTAAGATCTTAGCCTTGAAGGGGTATAGATTATGAAGATCATATACATTTCAAAGTCTAATTAACCCGAAATGGTGATTGGTATTCTACTTTGATCTTGCATATTTTGACGACATGGGTATGAGATATGACTTTTTCCAAATGTAGGGTCCACGTGGACTGCAGAAGTTAGAACTGTGTCTGGTTTAGTCAGATTAGGCCTTTGTACCATCAGCAGAACCGAGTACGAACGAGGGAAAAAAAAGGTGAAATACGGGGGATATGAGGATAACCTTATATCGTGCCAAGACTTGGGTTCCAATCGCTTGTTCAAGCCCATTTCTTTATTTAGTCAAATAAGTAGCCTTTCGGCGACTCATGGCCAGTGGATAAATGGGTAGATTCTCCAGATTATTGATTCTTTTTCGCCACGCAGAGATGAAGAGAGTTTGGACTATAATCATCATAGCCCTTACATACCATCTACACAGTCAGGCTAACCTCTTTGAAAGTAGACTGGACGGGTTTTGCATGCAAGTCGGGATTTGAGGTGAAATCTCGTCCATAAAGACCGAAGCCGAGGTTCTTCCTCAGCCCCGTGGCTTGGCGCAAGGCCTTGAGTGTTAAAAAGGTTGGAAAGTTGGCCAATGGAACTGCAGTTCTTGCTTGATCACCAGGAAATCCCAATCTGACTTGCATATGCAGTTGAAGGGAATTTTTCCATGTCACGCCATACAATGTGGACTATGCTGCATGTACATAGTGTTCTAACTTCATAAGATAAGGCCAGGCCTGGACCACAGAAAACTCTCAGCATTTCAGCCTTGGATGAAAAACATTGAAAAACATTGAAAATACTATACACATGAAAGATGAGACAAATGAGACAAAACCTATAATTATCTATGTACTCTCCTAGTAATAAACACTAAATACTAAATACTTTTTAAATAATATCCCTGGTATTTGGAATTTCCTTGGAAAAACTACATTTTTTTCTCAACGTTACTATTACTCCGCATGCGGGATTCGGCGGCTTCACCGCTCCCTATTTCTCCTCGTTTTCTTACTCCGTAACCTTCTGTACGTCCCTTTTGTCCCTTTTCCTCATATCGCTTTTTTTTGTCAACTTTTTTACCCCTTTTTCTTTCTCATTTCTTCCAGTATCTTGGTCTGGTTTGACTTGAGTTTAAACCAGGCTTTCTACTTCAGTGGGGTTCGCTGTGTGTGTGCCTTATCGGACATGCGCTAGAACACACGGTCCTCAGCTGCTTTGATCTCATCCTTGCGCCCCCCCGCGCTTACGATCCCCCGCCCAGAATCTTGTTGCTCGCGCCCCAGTCCGCGCGTGCTGCATCTGAAATCCCCCTCAAAGTCCCAGTTTCACTGACTGGTGATCTAAACCCGCCCGTTTTAACCCTCCTTTACCCCCCACGGTTCCCCGATACCACAACCATGCGCCGTGCGACTCGTTTCTAAGTTTTCTCATTCGTGAAGAATAGGGAAAAACGGGGAAAACGGGCTATCGTCATGGCTCGCAGTGATAATCAATCTAGCCGTGGATCGGCGGCTCCAACATCAAAGGGCCGACTTTCCAGCGACTCCCTCATACGATCACTCACTAAGAAGGATGCTCGTGCCTTTATGAAGGCAGACATGGCAGCCTCCAATGACTCTGGGATAGTCCTATCCCACCAAGACTTGGAGGTGAATGCGCCGGCTCCCTTTCCCGAGTACTCCGATGCCCAGCCGACTGGGTACAAAGATGGCGACTCAAGTGCCTCGACGAGAATCCCCACGAACACGACCCCTAGCGATGCTTGGACTTTGACCCCCAATGAATCCTCCGACGCGGTAGATTACCGCTCCAAGAGCAAACCAATGAAGCCCAAGGTCCATATAAAACCAATCCTCCGTAAGATGTCGCGTGATGATGCGCCGTCCACATCTATTGATTTGTCTCGCTCTTCAACCGAGCAGGAAGGTCTGGGCATCTATATGATGGAGAGAGATCGGCGTCGAAGTGAATCCCTGACCGGACCGACATACCGACGCTCATCCGGCCTCCACAATCGATCCACGAGTGGTACCTCGCAATTTTCCATTGGGACCGGATCTAGCGGAGGCAGATCAGGATCGCAATACGTCTACCCCATGCGCCCAACCCCCAAGGCATATACACCGCCATTAAGTCAGTCGTACCAAACCTCAAACAATGACAGCGATGAGCCAGACGAGGGTAGTTCCGAGTCCCTCCCCGCGTCAGAAACCCCGCGTTTCGTCCGTGCTACTTCGGGACCCGTTCCACGTCTTTCGCTGCAAATCGAAGACGATTCAATCACGCGTCTCGCGGAGGTCTCTCAGTCAAACATCACTGGGCGACCTTCTTTCGGTTACTCACGCGATAATGGGAGTACCCTAGACACATCATCCCCGATCTCTAGGCCCTCTCTTGATCACATGTTCCGCTCGCGAACTCGCACCAGTATGGATCCGATCTCTCGTGCCGCTACCGTCCAGGCAGCCCGTCAAGCGTTTGAGGAACGAGAGGCTGCCAAAACTCGCCGGCTCGAGAAACAGCAGTTGAAAGCCGAAGAACGACGCCGTCGCGTCAAGCACACTTTACCCATCGGCCATCATCAGTCCTCAGCGGTGCAATCCAAAGAGGAAGTTTCTGAGAAACCTCCCAGATCCAATGGACCGAGTCCGGTGGAGGCAGATAAACAACCGTCTGCCTCATGGAAATCCCAATCCAAGAGCGCCTGGGTTCTGTTCATGACCTGGCTTCGAACGCGGGTGTTCAAATTTCGACGAAAGCTTCGAAAGGCCTGAGAAAAAGTGGTTTATCCTCTTCGTCACTTTTTTTATCTCTTTCCCATTTTACTGGGCAATTTTTGTTTATATCACTATCATTGAGCGATCTCATCCATTTTTGGTTTATTTTACGTCGAGCATCTTCGCAGCTCCGTGGATTCTTTTCCACCTTGGGTTTTGGAGTCGAGGGGAACAGGCGTTGTTTTTTTTTTTGGATAGGAATCTTTGCTGGCCATCAAAGGCCACATTCTTGATTATCTTTATTGTTTATCCCAAATAGCAAATACTGTTAGCAAATATGAAAATTCACTCACCAGTCACATATGCCTTTCAAATGATTCAAATGCAGATCTTGTCCTAGTAGTCAACAGGAGCGATAGTGATTGGGGCGGAGAACCCACACGTGATCAAACTGCGCAAGTGTGACCTCTGCGGCGCCAGCTTTTTCCTCTCCGCAAAACACTACGGCGTACAGCAGCGACACTAAGCGTCTGATAAGAGCTCCGTTGCTTAACCACACTGTTGTTTCCTTCCCCAGGCGCACCTCCACAAGGGGGAGAGCGTCTCCACCATGGTGTATGACTGGGCAGGTAAGCGGGACATCTGCTTCCAGATGTACATCCAGGAAAAGAAGGGACTGGAGGAGATCATGGAGTACATGAGAACCGCTTATCAGTTTTCCCCGAGGTAAGTGGTTACACCTTCCTATTACTTGTGCCAATTCAGACGCCACAGGACTGACCATGGTTGATAAACAGCAAGCGTGCCTTCCAAACTCAGTTTAAACGATGGGGCTTTCCTTCTAAGCAGAACCCGGCCCACAAGAACGTCGCGCTGGTCGCCCGCGTCCAGCAGCTATGGGAGCAAAACACCAACCAGCGTGACATGCTTCGAGTCTTGAATGCCGAGGGCTTTGTCATCAAAGAAAGAGAATTAATGCGCGTGCGCGCAAAAAATCGATGGCTTCTTCGAGTTCCTAATGGCATGAAGTCCCAACCGAACGCTGCTACACCAGAGACACAGCCAGAGGACGAGGGACTGCTAGCCCTACAACAAGAGGTTTACAAACAAGAAATGATCTTCGATGGCACCGAGCCTCCACCTGCAGAATTGGCTGGACCTGTAGAAGGCAGTCCAACGTCACAAAATTTGGCACCCGAGATTATGGCAAAACGCAAGGAGAGGTTGGACCGCTTGAAGTCGGAGAGTGCAGAGCGATGGGCATCACGAAAGCGTCGACGTCGCACCCGTGGCTGGGCTGGACTCCCAGCAGATCCCCCCGGTCCCCCTCGATTCCCCTCGGAGACCACAATCGACGAGAGTAAGCAATATCTCAGCCTGGACAATACCATGTACCGCCAGCTTCGCGATAGATTTCAACAGATTTGTCAGGAGGCTGGATTTATCAAGAAAACAATCGCAGGCCCGGAAAAATGGCAAGCAGCGAAAGACAAACTGATCCAGGAAACCCCACACCTCCAACAGGTCTTCAATACCGAGCCCAACGAACGTGATGCGAAGGTTCTTGCCTTGGATGTCGTTTGCACGGACGTTACCAAGCGGATGCGAACACTAGAGCGAAGAATGACCATTGCGGAGGCCAAGAATGCTCTGGGTGTCAACCCAGAGGAAAGCCGTCAGATTCGGAATGCTTTCTATGATACTCTCAAAATGGACCATTTCACAAGCAAGCTAGAAGCAGGCGACGAGCACTGGAAGGAATTGAAAGCACAGTGGATCCATGACACCCCGCTACTTCAACGAATCCTGGAGCCTGGACCCGCTGACCCCCACCACACGAGCAAACTGAAAGCCCTGGAGGTGTTATGCCGTGACGTGATGAAACGCCTGCGTGATGACCAGACCAAGCGGGACCCTGCGCGGAAGAGATCCTCTGCGCGCGCCGACTCACACAATCCCACGCGGAATAGCAACACACCCGTGGGCAATATGCTTGGGAATGAAATCAGTAATGGAATCAGTACACTGGCCTCTCAGGCTCTTGCAAGCGCCCCGATTACTGGCAGTGAAATTGGCGATATGCAAATCGACCCCTCACTGCTCCAGGCGGCAAATGATCCGTCGTCATACTCATCAAATGGCCAGCATGAAGCTGGCCACCCTTTTGAATACATGGACCCAATGCTACACCCTGCATTGCTCAACACTGATGTTATTCTTCAAATTCGTCCGCAGGATAACTTCCCAGGAAATATCATGAGAACCTGGACCGAAAAACCTACCACTCGGACTCTTGAGGAAATACGGCATTTAGTAGCCGAACGGTATCCGTACTCGATCGTTAGCAAGGTCGAGGGAGTTGGTAAGGATGAACATGGCAACGAAGCATACTTCGCCATTGATGAAGATCATGAATTGGATGCTTATTTGACGCATATGCATGAACGGAAGCCTTTGCTTGTCTTGACAATGGGAGAGATCTAACTGCCGCAGTCGTTATCTATGCTCTGTTTTATTTTCTATTTCCGTCCATCGTTTCCCTCGGATCTCCAAAAAAGAATATTAGCAACACCGGAGGATAGATGCATCTATTCCCATACTTATTAATAAACTCAATGAAAAAAAAACACAAACTACAATAATCCGCGTACATACAACAAATAGTGGACAATGACCCACCAGGAAGGAGTCTCGTGGTTTTCTCCAGTGAGGCTAGTGCCTGAGATCATAGTGATATTTCATCCCGTATCTCTGGCGATCTATAATTGGAATATCGTACCTGAAAAATCTTGGAATAACCTTGGAATGTATTCATGGATGTACTGAACTCTGGATTTGGATCAAACTTTTGAAGAGAAACATTGAATATACGACCAAAATTCATTTATAGGTACATAGATGACGGAAACGCTTATATCTCACATTTACATAACAGTGTAGCCTCTTCGGGAGAGGTTTCGCGTCTAGTATTTCAAATTCTAACTGCTGCCCAAAGTTTGAACAACGTTCCTGAATAGGACGCTAAGAGAGGGAAGCGAGAACGAAGGTGTCTCACCAAAAACGCCGGCCAAGCCCTTATTTTGAGAATAGGTATTTCCCTCAATAGCCTGCGCAGGAGCCCTCTCAGTGCCTCGGCTGAAGATGCTAGCCAGTCCTGAAGTAAGCTGGCTCGTCACCTCCAGAGGTTGTGAGGTCTTCTGCGAAGCCTTCTCCAAGCATCCAACACGCTGCACAGCAGAGGATGCATCAAGGACGATATAATCGCCAGAGTATACATCTGACAGAAGTGCGAGCGGGGGGCTTCCGAGAGTCTCTTGGAATACCAGGCTAAGAGAGAGCAGATCGTAGATCCGAATGTGGAATCGGGCTGAACGACCCTTCTTCTGTGAGGTAGTCGAGTTCTCAGCATCAAGGCTGGTGACTGCGAAAGTTTGGGTCCTGGGGTTAACTGCAAGGAGGGGCGGGTTCGCTGCGTTGGCAGGGCCAGAAGATTCTGGTAGCTGGGCTGGCTTGACGACATCATCGACGGTATCCCACACTGCGACCGATCCCGCAGAAGCAACGACAAGGTATCTTCCAATGAACTTGGCAGAGTAAGGAGTACCGAGGAAGACACCGGTTCGTCGGTAGTGGACCGTGCCGCTGTGGACATCGATCAGGAGCACAAGACCGTCATTTGCTCCAGATTCGGATGGCAAGCAGACTGCAAGAACAGAGCCATCCTCGGAGAAGCTCATGCAGGCCTGTTTCAACGACACATTGTCACCAAGACGGCCGGTCAGATCAACCGTGTTGCGGCATTTCCATGTGTCCAATTGCTCTGAATTATCGGTCTTCAGGCCACTTTGGTGTCGAGCTGTTCGGCGCCAGAAACGAAGGAATGCATCTGCTCCAAGGGTGGCAAACTCATGAGATTGAGGGCGAGCAACCAAGTCAAGCACCGCCGCTTGGCGATTCTCATTGAAATGAGGGCCATCGATACGAGTCACGAGTTCCCAAATACTGGAAGATGCGTTCCACTTCCAGAACTTGAGGAAGATCTCGGGTCGCAAAACGTTCTCCCGGCGGGAAGAAACGCCAGCAAGAGCCTCCATATGATTGCGGTGGGGAGTCCAAGTATCAACAGTCGCCATCCATTTTCCATCCTGGAGAATATCCATATTCCGAATATCAGGGGTGACGATTGGGGATCCCTCAGGGCTGATATTCAATGTTGTTGCGTTAGTCCGCGCAAGAGCCTGGCGGGAAATGTGAGAGTTGGATCTGATATCAAAGGTTTGCAGCACAGCAGCATTGGAGCGCTGGAACCCTTGCTGATTGAACTCGTGCGAGGCAGGAACTGCCACAAGTAGCTGCTCCGGGTGTTGCGGGTGGAGAACTGCAACTGTTTTCAATGATGTTTTGGAGGCAGGATCCCTTGTGTTACCCCCCTCCGAACTAAGCTGTAGACCGGTTACAGTGGCAGATGGCAGTTGCGCTCTCGCAGACAAAACCATGACTGTGTTATCGGCCAACTGAACCACGTAGGAAGTGCCTTGCGGTGAAATGACGATGTTGGTAATCGGGGACGACAGATGGGGGAGGTATGACTTTCGGCCGGTATCCAATTGCCACTGAACGATTACCGACTCGTTTCCACCGGAGAGAATGTAATTGCCTAGTGATTTTTATTAGGACACACATACATTTGAAGCGCAGTATAACAATTTAGACGAAGACTTACCGTCTTTTGACCACATCAAAGTGTTGACAGCGCCACGATGCCAATGTAACTTTTGTGGGGACGATTTTTTGTCTGCATTGCGTCCAAACAGAGTGTTCAATATGTCTTGGTAGATCAAGATGGATCCGCCAGTTTCGCCCACTGCTAAATCAAGGGCTTCTGAGCCCTTTGCAGACCTGGATTCTGTCTTATTGCGTGTCTGATGCAAGTCGAAGCAAGTGGTATGAGATGGGAGTGTCGTCTCTCTCCAGTTATACTGTGTAGACTCGGCTTTTTCAAGATCTAGAGCGGTCGAGGTACCAACGAAGAAACGAGAGCCTTCACAAGCAACGATAACTCGTCCCCCGCGGATGACTTTGATGTCATTGATCTGGACATCGGTATTGAGGACAACGATGCCAGGGGACTTCTTGTCACTCAAGGCATTGATGGAAATCTGTCGCTTGCCGTCCTTTTGAGCCACAATGGCATATACGGCCAATTGGTTCTCGTTCTCCACTGGTGGCACATCCACTGCAACGGTCTGTGGCCCTATTCCCCACCGAGCAAGTCGTTTTCCGGCATCCCAATTCCATTTAGTGACAAATTTCGAAGTGAAGATGTAGAGGATCTCTTTGTCAACGGGACAGATCTTGTATCCAACGACTGTTTGTCCAGCCTCCATTTGCAAGGTTCGCACCAGACGCGATGTTGAAGTCGCAAAGACCTGGACAGCCGTATCAAGTCCAATGAAGAGATAACTATACAGTGTTAGAACGGGATCAGTACAACACTGAGTATAAACCAGCGACTTACGCTTCATCAGCAGTCATTACGGTGTTCACGTTGCTGTAACGACCGCCGACTGGGCGTGAGAATGACCATGGTGCATTGCTCTTGTATTTCTCGACTTCCAACGATGGGACCTCGCCCTCAGTCTCAGGCGCAGAGCTCGAGGCCTTTGTCTTCTTCTGGATTTGTGTATTCTTAACATCCGAAGTCCGGCGCCGTTTTCGCTCCTCGGTCGGTCGCGACGGTTTATCGGCGGCCTCGCTGGCCCGGGATCGTTTTTGCTGTTGTGCTGGCATATTTGCAGCTGCTGCCAAGTCCGGTGAATTTAGACCAGTGGTCTTGGTGAATAATTGTAAGTCGTGAATCAATCAGTCATGCCCCGATGTCATTCGTGGTGACAATTCAGGATAGACAGAAACCGCATTGGTCGTCTTGGTGATGCGCAACTTTTTTTTTCTCGGAAGCACAAAGATCGGGCGGAAACAGCCGGCAGAAAACCATCCCTCCACTGATGACTGACCGCCCGTCGCGCGGAAAAGTTTGAATGAGCTTCACCTTTCACCTTCGCTATCTGAATCTCTAATTCTAACCATCGTCACCATGATTATCCCTGTGCGCTGTTTCTCCTGCGGAAAGGTTTGTTGTACTGAATTTGGCGCTTCCAGTCCTTCACTAATCGTGCCTTTAGGTTGTTGGTGATCTGTGGGAGCGTTATCTGCAACTGCTGGATGCTGGTGTCGGCGATGGGTAAGGACTCTTGATCAGGACCAATTTCATCCTGCTTATTGCTAACTACCTCTAAGTGAGGCTATGGACCAGTTGGGCTGCCGCCGATACTGCTGTCGTCGAATGATCATGACCCACGTGGATCTTATCGAGAAGCTGCTCCGGTATGTCCTGAAACTTACAATGTATAAGTGACTCTCACTAAAAAAACCCGTCTTGCTTTCAGTTACAACTCCGCCGAGAAGGACCGCACCAAGGCGGCTCAGATCTAAACCCGTCCCAGTGGTTTCTCTTGATTCTTGCATACAATCTGTTTTCCGTGAAGCTCACACGGCCCATCGCGCGAGCACTACACTCGATACATCAGCCACGCCGATTCTCAATACCCTCGAGCAATAGCAATGACGCTCCGGATCGAAAAATGTTGAAGAGGGACAAGGCGATTGAATCCATCCACCGACCCCTCACTTCCCCGGTCTTTTTTTCACTTTTTTTTTTTTTTACCATTTAGTGTTTGGCTATGGCGGGCCCCGAGAGCTCTATCGAGCCTACTTGGAGGCTAATTACCAAAAGCTGAATTGGGTATTATTTCCTTCTGTCTAATAGAATGTATCTTCATTCTTGTCGACATGCATTTGGGGAGGCGTTGCACATTAAAACGGAATTTGGCGTCTTTTGGAGATATTCATTAGAAAATTCACAAGCGATCCATAAACACAAGCACAAGCAACAGCGCCAAGTATCTTATATGATCAGTATACAACAGAATTCTCGTATCTGGGTTGTCAATGTTCCTTTTTCCATGTGAACAAATGCAAGCGCCTTACAACCAGAAACAGACTAGTCTGGGGGCGGCTGAGTGGGGAACGGAGAAGCCCATGCATGCCTCATCACGCCGGAGGCGCCTAGTCCTGTGGAATTTCTCTACTTTCGCTACCGTTATCACTTTTTTTCTTAGGGGGTTTGAATTTCGGCACTGAATTCTTGATCCTCTCGGTGATCTAAGCGTGATTGGAATAATAGAACACCCAGTGACCAGGCTGATGGGTTGTCTTGCGGCCTGAGCTCCGTTCAGATGCGCGGGGACTGCGCTCGACTCCTCTTCCCTCTTTCTTCAACAACCCCTTCCCAGGATACAATTCTAAATCCTCATCCACCAGTTCGGCCATGATGGCCGTCAGGTCGCCGTTGCCCATTCTGTCGTATCACGATGCTTCCAGCCCGTATGCTGGGTCGGATTCGATGTAAGCCGTGTCGCCAAATCCCATAGATGCGCCCCGTTGCTGACGTATTTCTATATAGGCCCTTCGAAGGTCCTTCAGCCAGTGCGAGGAACTCCATTTATATCGCTCCGGAAGCAAAGTCAGTCGATACAACGGATTCTATGCCTGTTGCCCCCGCATCAGATGGAGCGGAGCTAGATGAGGATAACCATGATGATGAGGGGTCTATTTCGGCAACACCAATTCAGGAATCAGGGCCAGCTATACATCCAGGCCTGACGGTATGCGCGGACACAAGACAGAGTTTATATGTCTTGTTCATTTCATTTACTGATGATGCGCATAGATAAAAACTACACACCCGCTTAATATTGGTTATAATACAAGATCAGACGATGATGAACCACCACAGTCTGTCATACATGCTCCACCGGGATTCAGAGAATTTGTAAGAGCAAATTTCATTTCATCTCTTCTTCTCAAGTGTGTTCTTACTGCTAACAAATTGATCAAGACTCGGGGGCAGACTCAAGAACAAGAACAAGAATCATGTGATGACGATGAATCATCTTCGCCAGACTCGGAGCATGCTCAGTTGGCCATTGCACCAGGAAAAGTCAGAAAGGTAACTTCAATGAACTTCCTCAATTGCAGTGATTGGTTCCACTGACAGCGATGTACTAATCGATCCAAAGATTGGTAATAGTCCCATATCCCCACCACCATTGACGACATCGGTCGCACCCCCAAAGGACTGGTCGGAACGAGCAACCCCCCGTGCGCAGACCAGACATGAGTTTGAAGAATCAGAGCGACGCACACGCTCCAGCAGTTTAGAAGGTGACAATCCATTCTATAATTCTTGGGATACGTCAAGCTATACATCGGCTCACACTTGGATAGATATCCCCGAAGGTACAGAAATCCACTGCCGATGAGCAAACCCCTCATTCCCCTCCGCTAGGTCTTATTTTTGCATTGAACACTAACGTGATATCAGGAAATTTCTCAAGCAAACAAGCCGAGATCAACGCGCTACGTACAGCCCTGGCAGAATGTTGGACACTATGTAATACGCTGGCTAGTCTTAGTTATATAAATCGAGAACGGCTCGTGGGAACACCGGAAGATGAGATGCAAGAGGATGCCTGGAGATGCTGCTGGCGGCTATGCCAGAAGTTATACGATACACGGGAGGACGATTTTGCCCTGCAGGTCAACCCGACACTCGACCTTTGCCGAGACTTCTGCCAGGCCCTATTTGAGGTCCGAGACTGCGATAGTGATATTACGGACTCGGTGCTTCGCGTGAGCTTTGAGCTTAATAATCACCTTTATAACACGCATGATCGCAACCTACCAGATGCGTTCCGGGAGCGGACACTGGACTTCTATATTACCTTATGTCACCGTCTCATGAAGCAACGCACGCGTCTGACCGCGACGGATTCGCTCCTCAGCGCATGTTGGACGTTGGCCGAAATGCTATTCAGCATCCGACAGAGTAAGCGAGAAGGAAAGAAGCTGGACGAGGAGCTACTTGGGTCGGCTGTGCAGGCCTGTTGGGAACTTTGTGATATTTTCCGCGAGGGCTGGACCCTGCACAGTATGCGTAACTCGGATCGGGGCACACCACGGCCTAGCCAAACGACATTTGCCCAAGCCTTCCAACAGGCGGCACAACAATCCGAACTTGACTTTGCTGATGACTCTGGGCAACTCAACCCGGAGACCCCAACCACCATCTTTGAGGATACAGCAACGGTCTCCCCCGATGAAGCTTCCGTGCCCAATATACTCGTGCTCGGCCATGGTCACAGTCACAGCAATGGGCACGGCCATAGCTCCCACCCCAAGTGGCCCTCTGGTGCGTCCAGCATTTCGGATAATTCTCGGTCCTCGGGACATACCGCGTCGTCGGCGAACACGGTGACTACGGTCTCCGAGGATGCAAATTTCACCCGATTGAAGGTGTTGGTAATCAAAGCGGCTATCAACAGTGGGTACCAACGGGGCAAATCGCAGAATCTACCAGCTTTTGTGAAGTCTCTACCTTCGGATGCATTTGGTTCGGCGCCGTGGCAGACCTCGTTGTTGAAGTACTATCGAAAGTTAGTCGCGTTTGATCCAGCCTTCCGTAGCGTTGGCTCGCAGGCCCGCGTGAGTGCGGTTGAGGTTGCCCGTGCGTGTCAAGCAATGCTTCAAAGTGGACAGTATTCATGGCTGCGTGATCTCTACCGCCTCGTTTTCGGATTCCACATGGAAGAAGCGATGAGCCGGAATACGATCACCATCCAGACTTGAGAGTATCAACATTTTGAGATCCGGTAGACTGGGAGTGGTTCTCAATTTGGGGCTTTCTTGGGGCTTTCAAGGTCATGGAAATGAACCAAAGCGGAAGGAGACGGGTCTCCCGTGCCTCTCTCTCACAGTGTATGTTTTCTCTAGGCAGCGAGAAAGTCGCGTTCATGTTTGGTAATTGGGATGGAGCACAACAAGGTCGAAAATGGAAGTGGAGTCAAGGGATCCACCGTTATTTTCAAATTTTCTTTATTATAATGTAACGAATTCTCACGAGAATCCGGCGGTTGCAGTTGCAGACGAAATCCTTTTTTTTCTCTCTCTTTTTCGTTTCCCGGAGTAAAGTATAACCCTCTAAAGTCCAGTTGGAAATGAAGGTAACTGGTCTCACGAGTCCTTTGCTGATCATTCCTTGTTCGGAGATAGCCGAGTACCCTAATCTGGCGGTCCACAGTTTGCATCTAAGAGAGACGTCAAGGGTGTTGGAGATATTAGTCCTACACTATTGCCGACGCAACGTCGCGTCACCGCTGAATATTAAATCCGTCCTCTCGCAAGGTAAATTGTTTTCCCCTCGAAAGTCAATCCTCGAAAAGCAGAAAAAAAAAAAAGCAAGCTAAGTGGAGATGAGCACAGAAAAAGGGCTCGGGGGCCAACCGGTGGATCCCATAGAAAGTTCGGAAGTGAGATGTCAACTGAGACCGCATTGAATTTATGCTCTGTTGGTTTGAGTTGTGTTTTTTTTTCTGATTTCTTTCTCGACTGTCAGCCCATGCATAGAACCCCCTAGAACAATTTCCTTTACAGTCCCTTGCTGAAAAGAAATAGTATTTGCAAATCGAACCAAGTATCTACACTGCATTGCCCCGCATATAAGCCCAGCTGGGGAAGAGACCGAGTCAGTTGAAGTTTGAACGCCGCTGACGCCGTACAGGATCGGGAAGGCTGAGAGTGGAGATGCAATTTCGCCAAAGACGGGAACGAATCATGGGGATGGCCCGAGTCTCTTTTTCCCATAACAACTCGGCGTGTGCCACGGGGAGGATTGTTCGGAATAAGTCGGCCCCGAGTGTATACGTTACATACTAGTATGCACTCTTTCGGGATTACCCGAGGCGATTGGATCTCGGTTGAGTTACTCCGGATTCAATGTAGATCTGCATTGGAAAAGGGAATTCAGATGTTAACATTCAGATGTGTATTCGATAAATTCAAATAGCCTTTTTCCATTATCAATCTTTAATGCCTACTATTGAATAGATCAATGTATTGGATCTAATGAAGATTCATCATAATCTCATTATTCGGGATTCCTTCCCTTGTTGCATCCCAATCAATGTTCCTCGAAAGTGGATCTATGGTAGTGCCGACGCCCGGTGGGGTCTAGTAATAATTTAGGTGAGGGGATACAATCATTCCATTCAAATGTTTTAACATCGCGCTTACAAAATATCAAAGTATCTAGATAATACGCAAATAAGTATGATGTTGATACATCATATCACAACGTCTCTACTAGTCGGTATAGAAACATGCGACTACTCCATATAGAACATGTTTACCATCACTTTATTCCATCTGCCAGTACGGAATACCTAGAATGGTAATGCTTGGGCGGTTTAGTTAGCTTAACTAGCCTTATCTCTCGGAACCAATCAAACTAATCACTACCACTCCGCTCCCCAATGACGTGGAGCCAAAGTCTGCTTTTCTGTGACGCAGATTTTTTGGAATCGCGTGTCGAGTGGAGTGATGGCGTTTCAGGTGGATCCTGGAGGACATGGGGGGGGGGGAAGACGGAGTAAGAGGCGCATTCAGAGTAGGAAAATTGAGAAAAAGAAAAGAAATTGATTAAATCAATTCAAATGCATGAGTATTATATAAAGACTGTCAAATCCCCCTTGCCGGACTCTTGATTCTCTAATATAGTATAATTATTTATTTTGATCTTTTGCTTCTCTTTTCTCACATTCGGTTTCCAGACCAGTTCTGGTAAAATCGTCTTTCATCATGTCCGTCGTTCCAAAGTACGCCGGCATGTCTGGCCACATGCTGTCGCGAACAGTCACTACTGTGGCCACTATGGGCTTCCTGCTCTTCGGTTATGATCGTATGTACTAGTATCCATTCCAAGGTTGTGCATTTTTTTGGGGGGTTTTTATCAGATGGCTAATATAATATCTACAGAGGGTGTTATGAGTAGTATCATCGACTCGGATGCCTTCTTCGAGCTCCTCCCCCAATTGAATGGAAACTCAACCCTTCAAGGCACAGTCACTGCTCTTTACGAAATCGGTACGTCCATGGCAAAGACTGCCCGATTCAAGGGCTCTCCTATTAAAAAATTACAAGTCAGGCGTGGCTAATTATATCTCCTAGGATGTCTCGTTGGCGCTGTCTTTATGCTCATCTTTGGTGACTGGCTGGGCCGTCGCAAGGCAATCATTGCTGGTGCCTTCATTATGATCATCGGTGTTATCATCCAAGTCACCTCGTACGGCAGACATGATCCCATGGTTCAGTTCATCATCGGTCGTATCATCACCGGTGTTGGCAACGGAATGAACACTTCAACTATCCCTACCTACCAAGCCGAGTGCTCTCGGACTTCAAACCGTGGTCTCCTCATCTGCATTGAGGGTGGTACCATCGCCTTCGGTACCTTGATTGCCTACTGGATTGACTTTGGCGCGTCCTATGGCCCCACTGATCTGGTGTGGCGTTTCCCCATCGCTTTCCAGTGTATCTTCGGAGTTATTATTATCATTGGAATGACCTTCCTGCCGGAATCGCCTCGCTGGCTCATCACTCGTGAGCGTCTTGAAGAGGGAGAGAAGGTTATTGCTGCTTTACAGGGTAACCCCATCGGCTCTCACGAAGTCACTCTGCAGAAGAACATTATTGTGGACTCCATCCGAGCGTACGTTCTCCACCCTAGTAATTGTCAATCAGCTACTAACCTTTGATTCTGTATAGTTCCGGCCAAATTAGCAAGAACACCCCCTTCTCCGCTGTCTTTACCGGTGGAAAGACCCAGCACTGCCGTCGTATGCTTCTGGGTGCCTCCGCTCAGCTCATGCAGCAGATTGGTGGCTGCAACGCCGTTATCTACTATTTGCCTATTCTTTTCAAGGACTCAGTTGGTCTCACTGGCAAAATGCCCACTATCCTCGGTGGTGTCAACATGGTTGTCTACGCCATTTTCGCAACACTTTCCTGGTTCCTGATTGAGCGCGTCGGTCGTCGCAAGCTCTTCCTCTACGGAACCATTGGCCAAATGGTGTCCATGATCATCGTCTTCGCTTGTCTGATTCCTGGCACCACCCAGGCAGCCAAGGGTGCCGCCGTGGGTCTCTTTACCTATATTGCCAGCTTCGGTGCGACATGGCTTCCTCTGCCATGGTTGTACCCAGCCGAGATCTCGCCCATCAAGACTCGCGCCAAGGCCAACGCGCTCTCCACCTGCTCGAACTGGCTCTTCAACTTCTTGATTGTCATGGTGACTCCAATCATGATTTCTCACATCAGCTGGGGTACATATCTGTTCTTTGCCGTCGTTAACGCCTGCTTCTTGCCCATCATCTACTTCTTCTACCCTGAGACTGCAGGTCGTTCCCTGGAGGAGATCGATTTGATCTTCGCCAAGGGTTTCTCTGAGAACATGAGCTATGTCCGTGCGGCTCAGGAGCTGCCGTACCTCACTGATGAGGAGGTGGAGCGTGTGGCCATCCAGTATGGATTTGGTCCTGCGGATGATATCCTTGAGACTGAGTACGAGTCCAAAGATGGCAGTGGCAGTGGCAGCGACAGTGCGCCCGAGACTAAGCGCGAGCCAGTGCCGCCCAAGATTGAGACTGTTTAATTGCAGTCGATTTGAAGATTGTTTATTTGTTTTATACGGAAGGAAACGACCGGTCCTTGTTGCAGATTTCCTGCGGGTCCGGATGCAATACCTAGTATAACATGATGCATGGGGCTCGATAATGTTTAAACGAGTACCCTTGTTCTTGATACCCATGAGACCTTTGTTAATTATGCTATTTGGCAAATGTTGTTTTATTTTGACCACATTAACGATTGGTAATGAAATTGATATACCATTCTCGCACCATATTTATTCCTCAAGTGCTCGGAGTCTTTATTTCCTACTCGCGACTACCAAGGCTGGACGCCATTGGCTATACTTCAAGTGGCAAGGGCTGATTGATCTACCAAGCAAGCCATAAAGTCTATTCATAAGCTTAAAAGAAAAATGCAAGACGCGGCAGCCAAGGTTACTAAACTTTAACCAATCATGTAGAATCCTAAGGTTGTCTTGGAAGTTGTACCTTAGCACTTAGTACATGTTAGTATACAATGTACCGCACGGCCATGTTTGGTACTAATGTGCATCAGAGTCCTCAAGGCGCCAATCTATAAAGTGGAAAAATAATAATGATAAACCATTGATATACAATTTTGATAATGATGCAGAGTTTTATGATTGGATGAATGCAAGTTCACCATGATATTAGTAAGGTACATTAAAACGTCGATAAGCCATCTCTATACAGAGCCGTCGCAGCAAAGCTGCCAAAAACCGATTGAACACCCTGTAAAAGACATTCACCGTAAAAGGGAAAAAAATGGGGGGAAGAAAGAAACCAGATGGCGCGTTATTCGAGTGAGCTCGAAGGCCATCAATGCAAAGATCCCACATGCTTACTGAGCCTTCTTGGCGTTCTCGCGGCGCTTCTTGACGGAATCCGGGCTGTACTCAGTGCCCAGGACGTAGTCCCACCAGCGGAAGCTGCTCGAGTAGTTACCAATGAACTTCTCGTGGTGCAGGTCGTGGTGATCGGCGCCAGCCCAGAAGGGAAGGAAGTGGTGGAGACTCCAGGGGAATTCGTAGCCGCTGTGGGCATCAATGGCTTGGAACAGGCGCAGGACAATCCAAATGTACATGGTGAGAATGTGCAGGTTTCCGGTGAAGGCACACCAGACGATGGGGCAACCGACGGTTCCGAAGCCGAGAATCATAACCTCAATGGGAGAAGCGTATTCGGCCGCCAATCCGAAGGGAGCCGAGTACTGGTGGTGAATCTTGTGGATCGCCTTGTACAACGGACCCCAGTGGAGAGCACGGTGAGAGAAGTAATGCCAGGCATCCTCCATAACAAAGAAAATCGCGATTTGGTAGGCCATGGTCAAGACGGAGGGGAAGGGGATCGAGGTAGAGAGACCGAAGAATTGAGCCATGGGGTGGAAGAGCCTATTGAATCAATTTGTTAGCCTACCGGCATCATGAGGATAGGGAAGTCTATTTAGAAAACCTACCAGATCTGGGGGAGTTCCACGGTGAAGTGACTCAAGAGAACGAACTTGGCGCAATCCCACTGTTCGCGCAGCGAGGGGACTTTGTTCTGTCCAAATACATTAGTTTCAATTTCAATCAGGAATATTGGATTTGGATAATTCCACTTACGTTCTGGATTTTGTACTTGTTGAAAAGACCGGTGCTGTCGATCAAGATCCAGGGAAGAGAGCGTCCGAAGTAGACCATCTCGTGCATCAAGAAGGACATGATTCCAGTGGCCAGCACATCATTTTGCATCCAGGCATACCAAGCTGCCCATAGTCGCTCGGGCACATTCAGACCGGGGTTGAATTGGCCAATCTCCTCGAATTGGCCCCAATAGGTGACCGGTAACGCGGTGGAGTTCCTATCCATGGAGGTTAGTCGATTGCGTAAACAAAGAGAGGCGAGAGTAATAGTTGTATGCTGGAGAGAAGAGAGCAAGGGGGATAACGAACATTGTGATTTCCGGAGACAAAGCGAGAAAAAAAAAAGATGAATGAAAAAGGAGAAAGAAGGAGGACCAAGCAAATGGACCTGCAGGTACTAGGAGCGTAAGAAATACAAACGCCCGCAGATGATATTTTTTTTTTTAAAGGAGGGGTTTGGGGAAGATGTAAAAAGGATTTAAAGATAAGGGGCAAAAGAAAAAAGAAGTGAACGCTGATATAATTCGGGGGAAGGCACAAGCCATTCCCGAAGTGGCGAGACCACTTTATCGTCAGGGGAAAACCGGCATTTGGCCAGTCAGCGGCCAGGAAAAGGGGGTCGCTCAGATTAGTCAAGGTAAGGCCACTGGTGAGCCGATCACCATCCGAAGCCCCATATGTCCCCACTTCCGGTATTAACAGGCATAATGCCTATTTACCCCCTTCTGTTTGGTTGAACGCCTTGGATCTCCCTGGTCAGGCCATCTGGGATGGTTTCCCGGATCGTGTGATCGTCAAGAACTATGTACTTTTAGATCATTCAAATGTTGTCATACAACATTCCCCATATTCTGTATTAGTTACTAGTAGATTTTTTAAAATTGAAAAAACTTTCCATGTCTACTAGTATACAGTACAAGTACGAAAATATGAAAAAATATGAAAAAATTCAATTATCCAGCTTATGTCATACGATCCATATCTTGCACGTGACGCAGTACTCGTCGTACACAGTATTCCCAAGTACGGTGTTTGTTTTATCCTGACTTGTTTGACCTGTTTGTCTTGTTTGCCTGCTTTGTATCGAATGACGACATCCACTCCCACCTAAGCTTCTCTTTCCTTGTCATGCTTTGATCGCACGCGCCATGTCGATTGTTCAGGAGTAAGATCATATCACTTTGGAATTGTGGAAGCCTAGCTGACTCTCTCGCTCTTCTTCCTCTGCGAATAGGAATGCGTGTAGTCTGAATATTCAGCTAGACCGTCTCCAACAAAAAATAATCCTTCCCGAACGGTTCGACGCGGTCGAGGCCCCCAGTCACCATGTTCACCGACTCCAGAATGTGATCAATTCAATCTCCGTGACCTCAAAGACACAATCTCTCCTGCCAGCTGCCAATTTAGTGGAGCTGCTGTCGGATCCTACTCTCTCACATCATCTGCTTCCCGGGGCCCTCGAGGGCAAGCCCGAGAAGTATGTGCCAGACTATCTATGGCTGGTGGCCGCTAAAGCCGCCGTCCAGGCGTCAGGCTTAGTCATGCACGCTTTACTAGATCAAACGATTCAGCTACAAGAGGAGATCTACTATTGGGATGAAGTCCTGGGCTCAGTATGGTCTAGTGGTCTCTATGCGGCGCAAACCTCGCCCGCTCGACTATGGCACTGGTCCCTAGATATCTACACTGACCATAGATCCCACGGTGATTTTCAGGTATCCATCTCAGAGTCTCTTGCGGCACGGTGGGGACAATTCTATCAAGTTGCCCGACAAAGCTTGCGTGGAATGTCCGAGCACCCGGGCACATTGAACTGGTCTTTACCCATTCGGTCTTGCCGAGCGGAGATTAGACAGAAGAGAGATCGTCTGATCGCTCTTAAGGATGTTCACACAAGCAGCTTGGGACTTCTCATGGAACATTGGCATGCCTTCCAATCCGATGACCTCGCCAGTAGCTCGAATGAACCGGAACAGTGGCAAGAGGCTGTATCGAAAACAGTGCATCTCACAGAAGCAATTCTTCAACATGTGTTGAAGCAATCAGACACGGAAGTGTTTGAGCAATACGTCTTCCAAGCCGTTGAAAAGGACCTGACTAGCGTGCAAGTCCAAAACTATGGGTCATCGCCCACTCACCAGCCTGCGGACCTAATCCAGCGCCTAATCCTCGTTCTCCGTGAGCGGCTGCCTACTCATAAAACATCTATAACCTCGTCGATTGGAACCTACGGGCGCCCCTCGAGAATCATGCGATACTGGCTACCTTTGTCAGTGGCATTACTTTCGAGTAGCATATCATTGAAGGTCTTGATTCGTCGCCAGGACGAGATAATCGACTGGATTAGAAACATCGGCTCCACCATTATTGACTTCGGAGGAAATTGGGTGATTCGTCCGGTTCATAAGCTCATCGGAACTATTAGACATGATGACAAAAGTGAGATTGCCATCATGAGTAAGAACAGTTTGATGGCTGATCGCGCCAGCTTGGAGCGGATGGTCATTGATTTTGTCCGCGATCGGCCAGACCCAAGTCAAGGCAAGCCGACCGCAGAGAGCACGGCGGCCATCGCGAACGCAGTCAAGGAAGGAGACCTGACGCCAGTTTTGAAGGCATACGAAAGGGATCTGCGGGCACCATTCAGTGGAACCGTTCGAGGTGACCTGGTTCGTGCTCTTCTGATCCAGATCCAGAAGACCAAGGTCGATGTGGAAATTGCAATCAGCGGAATTAACGCCTTGCTAAAGAGTCAAGAACTTGTCTTTGGGTAGGTTTTTTTTGGGATCTCTATCTTTCATTGATTATGACGAACGCTGTGCCTAATGCTCCGCAGATTTATTGGTCTCACTCCAGGGATTCTAGTCTCTTACACCTCCCTGCAGTGGGTGGCAGGACTCTTCAGTAACCGACGAGGCCTACGACAAGGCAAGAAGCGGTATCAGCTGAGACGAGGACTACGGTAAGCTGTTACTACTTACAGACATGATCGATCATCAATATGCTAATATAAGCCTGCAGGAATGTGACACGAATCCTGACATCTGCTTCCGTGACCAACGAAGTGATTTCCTACAAGGACTCGGGACGACTGATCTGTGAAGCCGAGGCATTACTCCAGCATGTCAAGACCGTGCTTGGAGGTTTGGAATATCGGGAATTCCGAGAGGACGTTGAAGATCTCTTGGATATTCAAGGGGGAGTCACCAAGCAGCTCCGGGTGGTGGAGAGGATCCGATGGACCTATTTCAACTAGGTCGGATATTGAACTTGGGAGTAATACAGGGAAGAAGAGAGATTCAACTAACCTTTTTAGTACTCGATAAATGAGAGTCACTTCCAACTATTTGTGTACATATCACATAGAAATCGCAAGATCTCAAGGTTGAAATAAGAAAGTTACAGTAAAACGGGGAGAATGTACCCAATACCAGATTATGTAACCCGGGGGGACATCGACCGTACCGTCATCACACTCCACCTAGGTGTTGACCACATCTCCCATTTTCCCCTCTTTTAACAGTCGACGTAAGGTTGTCTGCTCTGATCTGTAAACTTCTTCTGTGAATTTTCTGACCCCCGAAGTCTTCATCTTACTCGCTTCCATCTCGTTGGTGGCCGACCTGCATCTTGCACCAGACGCTCCTGATATTGTCCCTGGAAACACGGAATCCCACCCACGACCCAAGCGCCTTACCAATACCTGATTTACGCTTCAAACCTCCTTGGACCACCTATTCCCGCGTTTTCGCATTCTCTCGATCCAAGCCTATACTCTCAGTTCCAATATTGGTGGAAACCGCCGCCAATCCAGCCCGTCTCCTATCTCAGAATACCCATTCTTGCCGGTTCTAACGAACACAAAAACTAGCCAACATGGCCGGTACAAGGAACTATGACTTTTTGGTATGTGCCCTTGTGAGGTGTTCTAACTTGGAGTTACATGAACTAAATGAACTCTATCTTGTAGATCAAGCTTTTGTTGATCGGTGACTCGGGCGTAGGCAAGTCCTGCTGTCTCCTGCGTTTCAGCGAAGATTCCTTCACCCCTTCTTTCATCACCACCATCGGTATCGATTTCAAGATCCGTACGATTGAGCTAGATGGCAAGAGGGTGAAGCTGCAGATTTGGGATACTGCTGGTCAAGAACGTTTCCGTACCATCACCACGGCCTACTACCGTGGTGCAATGGGTATTCTCCTTGTCTACGATGTGACCGATGAGCGGTCTTTCCAAAGTGAGTGATATACCCCCTTTTTTTCACCAAGAGATTTAGTTCAGAATTATGACTAACCTCTTTTCTCTTAATTCAAAGACATCCGCACCTGGTTCTCCAACGTCGAGCAACATGCCAGTGAAGGCGTACACAAGATCCTTATTGGAAACAAATGCGATTGGGAGGAGAAGAAGGTTGTCTCCACCGAGCAGGGACAACAGCTGGCTGATGAACTTGGCATTCCTTTCCTCGAGGTCTCCGCAAAGAACAACATCAACATTGAGAAGGCTTTCTTCAGCCTCGCATCGGACATCAAGAAGGGCATGGATACCTCGAAGACCGAACAATCGGGCTCTCAGGGAGTCAGTATAGATCAGTCGGGCTCCGGCCTGAACGGTAGCAGCGGAGGAAAGTGTTGTTAAACCCTGTATCACCATCTCCCTGCAATCCTCTCCCTCTCTCTCTCTCTCCCCCTCAACCTCCTCCATATTTCTATCTCTCCCACTGCCCATTTCTTCCTTGTTTTTTATCTCCCTATTATTCTTTCCTTTTTTTTTCCTTCGGTGTTTCTGTCCCTCACTTCGGAACTTGCGCGTGTATGTGTGTTTTTTGTTCTCTTGTATTCGCAAGTCGTTACCTGCGCAACCTGCCACATATCCTTTTGCCTGCAATTTCACGTGTTAAGATCTGAATGTCCAGTTTCTGTGGAGAATTGGGCCCCTGTTTCCCAGTATCATAAACACCTGTCTATAAGCCTGTGGTAACTTGGTCGAGTTTTGTATGTCCAGATGAACTGCACTGGAGATAGATGTCTAGTAAATGGTTGTTTTTGATTCTCTATTCATACATTTTTATTATATTAAATTGACAATGACACATATATTAATGTATGCTTATATTCCAAGGCTCATGCTTCCTCTGTTTAATATACTCCATACTTGAAGATTTAAAGTGATGAACTCCTGCACACTTTACTGCGGCCCACTTTTGGGGGGGGGGTTATCAGCCCACTGATAAGATCCCCACCAGAATTTATTTCCAATTTCTCAATTTCATTTATTCGGCCTCTGTTTTACACCCAAGGGCTACTGTCGCTACTTACAATTGCTACTGGTCCTCACCAGACAGCTATCTTGCAACTCTTTGCTGCACCAGCAAAATCCCCGATCCCTACCACCCCGCGGAGAAGCATTCGCCTGGTACAATATCGTCGTTTGCGCCAGTACGAACCACCCCTCAAGACGTGGGCACTGGAAACAACTGCAAGACGCATGCCTTCAAGTTGCCTTTGATATATTTTCTCTCAAATTACTACATAAAATTTATACCGTCGATCAACCACCCGCCAGCTTCCTTGACTCAAGCAACCGAGCACCATGGCCGACGTTCGCAGCTTCACTGTACGACCATTGTCGAAACAAGCAAGAAGTGATTACAAAGATGCATTCCGTGTATACCTATCCTCCTCGTCCCTGGCTGCCTTAAGACTTCGCGCCGATGATCTTTGTATTCTATCCCATGCCGAGGGACCTCCGAAGACCGCGATTGCCTGGACTGCGACGGAAAACATTCAGAGCACAGTAGTGCAAACATCAAAAGCTCTCCAAGACTGCTATGGAATTAAGGTCGGAGGAAAGATTGCCATTACCAGAACTGATGGGCCATTGGAGGAGATCTTATCGGTCGTTATGATTGAATGTTCTGACCCCGAGAAGATCGAAAGATTCGGTCCAATCCCGGCAGAGGAGCGGTGTCACTGGGAATGGACATTGGAATTCCAGCTCTTGAGATCTGAGGTTATCACCAAGGGCTTGGTATTTGAGCTTGAGCTTAAGGGCCAGCGCAGAAACTTCCAGGTGGTCAACATCCGTTCCGCATCCCCGAGTTCAAACCACACAATCTTCCGCTTTACAAATGCCACCAAGATCTCTATCGGCACGGAAGTAGAAGCGCCAGAGGTGATTTCCCACGAAATCCAGGTTAGTGCCGATGGACTCGGTGGACTCTCACGACAGATTGGTGATATCAACGAAAGTCTATCGGACTTCAATGTCGATTTGCTTAAACCTACAATGCCCTCTTTCTATGAGCATGGTCGTGGTATTCTTCTCTATGGACCCAAAGGAACAGGCAAAACGTCCCTCCTTCAGCAAATTGAGAAGGCTGGCTGGCGACAAGTTTTTAAAATCGGGACTGGTTCTCTCGGACGGAGTACCAGTGAAGGTGAAAAGAAACTGCGTACTATTTTCCAAGACGCCGCTCGCTCCAAGCCTAGTGTGATCATCATTGACCAGCTAGACTTTGTCGCTCCCAAGCGAACTTCCCTGGACTCTTCCTCCCTCGCCTCGGTCCTATGTGAGTGCCTTGATGGACTCAGGAGCGAGTCGGTTATGGTAATAGCTGCTACCAGACACCCCAACAATGTCGATGATGCGCTCAGAACCCCTCATCGATTTGGAACAGAGATTGAGATACAGGTTCCCACAGCACAGGACCGGGGTGAAATCCTGCGTGCGATTCGTGGACCGACAATCGCAGGTCTCACCGATGCCTTGATTGATCTGCTTGCCGAAAAGACCCATGGATACGTTGGAGCTGATCTGTTTGCTTTGCTTCAGCTAATTTGCCGGAAAGCACGCCAACGCCAAATGCTCGAACAAAGATCTGCTGCCCCATCTACGGCTCAGCCTTTACCAACCTTTGAAAAGTTGGACATTGGCAGCGATGCCGAAAGTGAAGGAAGTGGTGGTGTCGCTATCGACCTGGTGATTCGTGAATCCGACATATGGTCCTCGCTGCAGGAGATCCGCCCTACTGCCATGCGTGAAGTGTTCTTGGAGACGCCTACGGTGAGATGGTCCGACATTGGTGGGCAGCACGATATCAAAAAGCGTCTGCAACAGGCCGTCGAAAGACCCCTCAAGGTAAGATTTACCCATTCATTTTAAACTATTCATGAAACTTATCATACTTCACAGCACCCCGAACGCATGAAGCGTCTCAACGTTAAGAGCAAAAAGGGTGTTCTCTTGTACGGTCCACCTGGATGTTCCAAGACCCTCACTGTCAAAGCTCTAGCTACTGAGGCAGGCTTGAACTTCTTGGCCGTCAAGGGTGCCGAAATTCTGAGCATGTACGTTGGCGAGTCCGAGCGCTCACTGCGAGAGATCTTCCGCAAAGCCCGCGCTGCACGACCTAGTATCATCTTCTTCGATGAAATCGACGCCATCGCCGCACGCCGCAGCAGTACTTCCCAAGGAGGCGTCAACGTTCTGACAACCCTTCTCAATGAAATGGACGGTATTGAGGAACTACGAAACGTACTGGTTGTCGCAGCCACCAACAAGCCAGATGTCCTTGACCCCGCACTAATGCGCCCAGGTCGTCTGGACAACATCCTTTACATTGGACCGCCAGACTTCGAGGCTAGAAAAGAAATCTTGCGTATCTGGGCTAGCAAATCTGTCATTCACCCGGACGTTGATCTTGACGAATTGGCTACTCATACTGAGGGCTACTCTGGTGCGGAGATTGTAAGTATCTGTGAAACTGCTGGTGATGCCGCATTGGACGAGGAGGAGGAAACGGGTCAAGAGCAAGACGTACAATTGAAGCATTTCGAATACGCCTTGGGCCAAGTGCGACGACAAATCACGGACAGTGTCATTCGTGAATATGAGGAATGGCGAGATGGCCAGAAATAGAGGTGCATCCATGGATGTTCTAAAGAACTCATACATAATGAAAATATATACAGCTTCTGACTAGTATGTTGAGGTTTTTCCACACCTCAACCTCCAAAGGAACCTTGGAATTAACATTCCAACAGCATTTAAAAAATGTTTTCACCCTTGAACATTCAAATTTGAACACCCCCCATATGTAGACATACTACAACTAAGTGCATTTACAACGCCATTCTCCCACTTTCTTCAATGTTATCGAGGTACAAGGTTCCAACTAGGAAACCTGGCACATCAACGAGGTCCAGATCATATAGTAGTGCATATTATGCAGGTATCCCTCAGCTTGACAGCCAGTAGCCGAGGGAACATCCACAGTATTGTAATCAGAAGTGCCACAACCATCTGTATAGGCCACACAGGTGCCCCCGGTTAAACTCCACGAATATACCCACACTTCTTTTGGACTGTTCTCACAATCGGTATAATTGTTACCGCCATCATAATAATATCCACAGCTAACGCCATCTGTTGTCTCAAAGCTGAGACCTTCATGAAGGCTGAGACATCGACTGTCCGCTAAGCTGTTCCCAGTAAGCACAAAATATTCGCCATCGCATTGTGTTCCTGTGTAGGCGGCAAGGGTCCAAAGCCCAGTTCCGGTTGCAGCTGGTACCGCGGTGGTGGTCTTGGTTGAAGATTTCTTTTCAGTCGTAGTTGTTGATTTAATTGAGGATGTGATACTGGTGGTCTTGGTTGACGATGTATGCTCAGTTGTGGCTGTGGATTTAGTTGTGGATTTGGTACTGGTGGTGCTGGTTGAGGATGATGCATGCTCAGCTGTAGTACTCGATTTGACAGCAGTGGTGGCATCCGCTTTGCTGGCCGTTGTTTGATCTGCATCTTTGTCACAGCCGGAGATGCAGTTGCTTGAGCTACATGAGGTAGAACATACGCCCCCCATGATGCACTAGGTAGAAGAAGAAAGTAAGTAAGCAACCATTGTAAGTACTCGGAAGTTTGAAAGAAGATTTGAGGGATAAATTTACACATTTGCCTGTGAGACATGGATTCAATGAAGACAGTTCCGAGTAATCTTTCGGTCTCGCCGTACCTGGAACCTGAGGACCACAAGTGGCTGCAGGGAGGGCAACGGGCATTGGGGGATCACCTGAGCTGAGGCAGATAAAATCTCCTTGGTAGATATTGTCACAACCCGTCCAACCCCATGTGTCACTGTTGTACTTCTCAACTTCGGCTTCGGTGATTGCATATGCCAGAGCAATACTTGTGCAAGTATCGTGGGGCTCAACAGTGTAAGTGTAGCAAATGCCATCACTGCCAACTTGTGGCACAGTTGATGCAGTCCGCGCCTTCGAAGAAAGGGCCGTTGCTGTCATCATCATCAGAACCAGGATACCTAAGTGCATAGTGAATAAAGTCTTCATTTTTGATAACGACTGAAAGCTTCGTATCCAACTTGTAAGTTGTAATTTACTGCAAGACTTGTCTGTCAAGTCAATGTGGGATTGTAGTCTTTTTTATATCCATAGGCAACATTGGAAGTGTAGTAGCAATCTGTCAATCACCTGCACGCATCATATCTTAGCTTTGACGATAGAAATAAAGAAGTATACACACATGAAGTGTGTCAGCCTGCATCAACAATGACCGAACGTTAGTATTGTTCTAGCCGTGGTACTTGGCCACATAGTATTGTTCTTAGTGGCAAACCCATATCTTTGATTTTATTAAAAGAAACAAGTGAAAGAAAGAAGAAAAATCAAGTCAGAGCCTCAAGACCGAAGGAAGGAATGAGGAGAAAGGGTAGTCGAGGAATAAACATTAATCTCATGTGTTGATTTATACTATGTATTACTCATGGATTACCTAATAATACAGATCAATGTACAATCTCAATAAGCACGTGACCTGTTTAAGGTCATTACTTAATCCGGTTAGCGCATTCGAGCGGCGGACTCGCAATCGTATCGCCGTCACGCCGCAACGTGAAGCTTCCCTTACTTCCTTACCACCACGTCAAATAAAACTCACAACATGTCTCCGCGGTTCGGTAATCGGTCACCACTTCCTTCCCACGACCGGGCTCCATCGCGGTCCTCGCGCTCGAGATCTCGTGACTCGCGACCTCGCAGTGTTACCCGCAGTCCGTCTCCCGATGCAGGTCGCCGTGACCGACGTACAAGAAGCCCCTCTCGATCTCGATCGCCTTCCCGTGAGCGCAGCAAAGGTGGCCGACGCTACCGCAGTCACAGCCGTAGCCGCACCCGCAGTCGGAGTTACAGTCGTTCGCCCAGTCGAGACTTAAGTCCCCCCGGAGCGCAAAGGTTGGTCTGCCTTGAATTCGCTTGCCTTGCCCCCTCCCGCCTCCCACCTCCCACCGAAAATCCCCTGAATTGCTAACTGATAGATACAGATTGTGGTTGAGAAATTGACCAAGAATGTGACCGAGGCTCACCTTCGAGAGATATTTGGCGACTTTGGCGATATCGAAAACCTTGATCTCCCCATGAACGGAGCCTGTAAGCTACCTGTCAGCAGCCCCATGCCTGCGCATCAGTGACTGACGTTTCTTCCTAGTTATGCATAACCGCGGAACTGCCTATATCCTCTACTACGATCCCGCCGATGCTGAGGCAGCCATTGCCCATATGCACGAAGCCCAGCTTGATGGTGCTGTTCTGAACGTTTCCATAATTCTCCCCCGGCGCAACTTTTCACAATCACCACCACCAGCTATCCGCAATGGAGGCCGACAGCCAAAATTTGGCAAGGGTTCACATGCGAAATCTCCTCCGAGGAGACAGGGTCGTGCCCGGCCTGGCGAGATGCATGATTCGTACCGACCGCCATCTTTCTCACGATCACGATCACCCAGACCAAGAGGAAGCGCCCGTCCAGAAAGCCCTCATCAGCACCGGCGCCGAAGTCCCAGCTACAGTAACTACAGCCACAGTGACCGGAGTCGCAGTCCTAGGAGGAGCCGGAGCCGGAATCGACATTAAATTGAGACTTCGCCCGTTCGACATGAGACATTAAACAAAATTATCTGAGTTTTATCTGCTACATCAGCATTGGTATTTGTGAAGGACCAAATTGGATGACGCCTTGAAGTTTTTGACATCGCTAAGTCCAAGAAAAAAAGAAAGAAGAAAAAAATCATTATATTCCAAATTCCAAACCAGAAAGTTATTACCGACAACCTTTCCTATGCCATTGACGCCTTGCATGCAGGTAAAGAAAGCAAAATCCTTTTTATCTTTCGTCGTTCGTCTTTTTATGGAGACCATAGAGTGCTCAAAAGAAGGCACACCATCCGATGTACATGGCCGCCAGATTCTTCTTATCGGTTGCCTGTACAATTAGCTCATCTACCTGTCCGTCCACGGATAGGGCGATGGGCTGCTTAGACATGAAACCGCGGAGTTTGTTACGAACATCTTCCAGGACACCGACCGGTGTGTCAGGGACGTTCGTGGGATTACGACGCTAGAAAACGAGATTAGCAACAGGGCCTCGACCTGATGTGGAAACAAGACCTACCCTTTTTCCGATGAAGTCGGTGGTTGGATCATGAAGGAAAGTTTCGAGAATGGTCATCAGCGAATCCTCGTTTTGTCGCAGGAGACTGAGAGTGATTTCGCAGGTGCGTCGGAAGGGTCCTATGTGTTGTGACCATGCCGATTTAGCAACTTGATACTTTAGGATCAGTCCGTGATATAACATACCGTTGTACCCATAAGCACCAAAAGCATCAATCATGTTGTTCGTCAGTCGAAATGGAACGACTTCGGGTTTCTCAAATGTTTGACCCTAGGAACTTGAATGAGCATTGTCTCGTCGCGACTACCAGAGTTTTCAACCGCTTACCTTGTCGAATAGACAATTGAAATCAACATGCAGGATCCCTCCTGTGCCTTCCTCAAATGACAGGTTCTCTCCATGTCGATCTCCAAGTCTTTTAGAGTATTAGTATGATGAACATTGCGAGAGCCGCGTAGGCCATGAGACAAAGTAGTAGACACACGTACCCTAGGACATATCCAACCATCGACATCACCGCCGCAGACCTTGTGTATCGCAATCTTGCGGTGAACCACGCTTCGGTCTCTGGGAACATTTCGATGAACCACTCATGGAGAACAGGAGGAAGCCTATATGCGGTTAGACATAACCAGGAAATTGCCCAGGGCAGGGGAATAGTACTTGACCAGAATCTTAGAATCCCACAGAGGTAGCTTGGAACCTGATCGGTCTAAGCAAATCTCGTTGAGATAGTGCTTAATCTCAGTGTACTGGGTTTTCGTCAGTCAAGGTCTCGAAATCCTTGCGAGTAGATCAACCCACATTTGGTGCAACTCCTCGCTCGCGTAGAAGCTTGACTATGATGTCTCTCAGTGTGCGCAGATTATCCACCCATTCGATCAGGCCACATTCTTCATTCAACGGGGTCACTGCGTAGGTCTTGATGTCTGTAGTTTGGGTTTCTTGAATTAGCGCTTGACCATTGAATGTAGTATTTAAGCAGCTGGGGTTATGAAAGTTACTCACACATTCTTCGTTTGCTGGCCTCAACATCCCGTTTCAAGAACCGATTGATCATGTTATTGAATTCCATGAGACGCTGGTCCTTTCGAAGATCATCTTTGGGTTTACAAAGTGCATTGTAAATCTTTCCATCGGAGCCTCGAATACTAATCTTGCGAGGCTTTTGAAGCGAGTTCAAGATATGCGCCTCATCCAAAACAGCTAGAGCAGCAGGTCAGCTAGGATCTGCTGAATTTCGGACAACGTTACCAACCTTCAATTGTTGTCGGATCCCGGGGGAACGCTCTGAATCCTTTCAGATACTCCGCATCATGGCTTGCAGGGAGACTCGGAATCAACATAGCCTGGAAGGGCACGACGAGTCGACAAGGGGCAACCTTGTGATTGAAGCCAAGACTGCGAGAAAGCTGGACCTTACTGACTCTATCCTCCACGGGCGCGAGGCATAGCTGAAGCAACTCCTCTGAGAACTTTTGACCAGAGGTGATCATGCGGCGGATTTCAGCAGACGAAATGTCCACTTTGTGTTTGGTGGTAAATTCCTGCAATTATTGGCTTAGTAACTTCCAAGTAGTGCCCAGTTATCTCACTTACTGTGATCTTCTGGAGACAGTTATAACCCTTCGATGCCCGATCCTTAGTCGAAGATTTGACCACTGCGAGGACTGTCCATAGACCTTGCTGGGGAAAGTAGTGGACGGCCTTGGTCACAATTCTAGTCAAAAGGTCGTAGACCGTGTTGTTAGGGTGACAGATACGGGCTACCACCTGAGGCAGGATTGTAAAAAGCTACACATCACCATTAGCTTCAACTTTCATAGTGGCAGCAGTATATTTGACATACCAAAGCGGGCTGGAGACGGGATGAGATGTATTTTTTCAATTGGGCATGCATCTCGTCCAAACTTTTCTGCCGCTTCGCTTGTGTATGTTTCTGGAACGCCCTAATGGGTTTGAATTATTAGTTCAGCTTGCTCAATATTTTGCACGAATAGTCACTCACTCATTGTCTCCTCTTTTGGGATCAATGGGCTGATCAACGATGGAGGCATGCTCCAACCAAAGGGTGAGAAGCTTTGGCAGGGTCTGGAAAACATATTTGCTGCCATAGGTTAGAGAGCGTAAGTAATTGTCAATCACCAACTTGGTAGCTTCTCCACTCAAACTGAAGAAGCTGTTAGTTTCGAAAAATATACAGCATCAAAGTCTTGAGATCTTACTATATTTGAGCTTCTTTGCCCATAGGTTTCGCTTTCTCAGAGTCAAGGATCTTGTTGTAATGTTTACCCAAATAGTAATGGGCTTTCTCCCACCTATATGGAGTTGTTAGAAACGGGCATCTCAAGTTACAAAATGTTAAAACTTACCTTGGGTACAGCTTGATGGCTTCTCGGTATCGTTGAACAATGGCCTCTGAGTGAGTCTGGCCGGCTCTATCAGTCCATTTTGCCAGCATAAGATGAGCCTAATGAAATTTAGCATTTTCACATTTGCATAACTTCAGCAGAGGAGACAAACCCTTGCAGGAACATCATTTTGTTTCTGTCCACGGCTAGAGACAAAGGAGGCTGCCTGGGATTCAACTGCATTGGATGCTGCCGGAGTGGCTTCATTCACAGAAATAGCCCCTTCGAGGGTCTGAATTGCCTTTCGATGGTGTCCATCTTGCCAGAGTAGTTTTGCATGTTCAATGGTGGCTGACCGATCTTTAAGCCTAGCTGCGTTAAGCATAGAATGGTAAGCCTGGCTGGTGAATTTTCCTTTGCGTGAGAGATGGGCACTGGTAAGCCAAGCAGCAGAGATGTCGGAATCGACGAAGCCTCCCCTGTTCAATGAGAGAAAGAAAATTAGCCAGTCTATAGAATTCGATGAGGATATTGGAATCAACTCACGCTAGTTCCATCGCCGCTCGTCTGATGCCAAGCAGATACTGCTTTTCGGCAATATAACCCCCCAAGACATCTAAACGTCGTTTCAGGGCAGAGGGCAAGTCTGGATATGAGGATTCCCCGGTTCCCGCATTGGCTATCGCTTCCACATCTGCCAAGGCATGTAGGCGAAGCATATCGTCATGACATGATTGCAATGAAGTGACAGAATTTGCCGTCAATGACTTTGCAATATTGAGTCTGAGCTGGTTAATTGTTTTTGTGAATGTCTCTGACTTCTCCTTCAACAAAGCATCATTGTTTTCATGTCTCCCTTGAAGAGTGTAGAGAGCTGAGCCAATGCCCACGTTAAAGTCACCAGTCCCTTTCTCGGCACATAATTCAAGGTAGCCTTTGAGTTTGGACCATCTACCTGTGATCCAAGATGCTTCTACTGCGAATGGCAGGAGTCGTGAAGTTGCAGCATCTTTATCTTTGACGGCTTCGAAACGGGTGAGAATGGCATCTGAAAGAGGTGAGCAGGCGATAAAATGAGAGCTTTCGATCAGGAAATACCTTGTTGACCTGATTCCTTCAGGCAAGTGATAAGATTCCACTGCGCCTCTAAATTTTCAGGTTCCTTTTCAAGCTGAAGCTCATACCAACTCTGTGCGGTGGCCCATCTGCCCGCCTTTCGGTGCTCCAAAACCTGCTGGTCAACATTGAGCCCGGACAAATAGCTGGATATACCTTCTATTCCGTCCGGCTCATCAATTTGGCTATAGATATCTTGCAATCTCTGATAAAGCGCATCCGAGCCAGAACCTTCCGTGGAGTCCGGCTGTGCGGTACATCTCCGAATATACTGCTCCCAATGGAACAAAGCGCGAGAGAACGATTTACATTCCATGGAGCGTTTTGATATGATTTCAGGTGGGATTGCAGCCAGAATGGCCTCGACAGACTTGATCTGAGACGAGTATTTGTCGACGAGGAGTTCTCGACCGGTATCTCCACGAGAACGACTCGACTGGTTAGGCTGGTGGCCTAAGCTATTAAGCTGCTTCTTTTTCCCCTGAAGCCACCGCGACAAGTAGTCCAGAACCTCGAAAACACTCTGTACATGATGGAATTGTCATTAGCAACTGCCAAAGTTGTATACGTCACAGCTTTTGGGGAAATCTTACCTGACTGCAGCTTATGATTGTTTCACGAGCGTTGTTATTTGTATCGGGGAGAGGATGTGAAAGGACCTTGATGAGCTCGAGCTGAATGTCTTGCTGTTCTTGCACTGTACCTCCGACAATGCGGTTCAACACCGCGAACGGCAAGAGGAATGAGGAGATTGATATATCTTGTCCTTTTACCACACGACTGCCGAAAGCAAAAATGAGCTTTGCGTTGTCTTCCCTTCCCATTTGGAGCAGATCCTGTACCAAGGTTCGCAGCCACTCGCCATGAGTCTTGTCTTCAGAAAACAGAGGGTATTCAACCTCTGGTGTTTTGGCAACGATGGTGACTGTGTATGTCGATGTAAGAAATGGTGTCAGAGTATTTCGAATCCCTTCCGGGAGTTCCATCCATCGCTGGTATTTCTCATCGTCCTGAAGGTCACGAGAACGCTGAGTAACAATTGTATGTAGGTTGGAAATTCTGAGGAGGCCCTGCATGGCATATGCCAAAAACCCTTGAGCTCTAGTGTTAGAGGCCGACAAGAATGCATCGACAAGCACATGCTGGAGAAAGAAAAGAACAAATTCCACAATCTCCTCCATTCGATCGAAATTGGACAGAACAAGAATATCCTTCTTCTCTTTGATTGACTCGACTCGATTCGGGTCCAAACAGCCAACAAGGCCTAAACATTGTGCTGCCAGTAATGTTATGCTGTCTGAATTCGTATTAAACTTAACACAGCAGTCCAACAATGCTCTTGTGAGCTGTGCAATCACAGGGTCCGGCTGCTCACTAATAGCGGAAATGTGCAAGAACTCCTCGTTTTCGGATAAGAAAGGAAGTAGTTCGGCCAAGGCTTGCTCGACAACCGTTCCGTTTTCACTCTGACAGCGGCGAATTAAAGCTAGCAACCGACTTCGAACATCCATCTCCGCCCGCAATTCGTTGATCTGAGTCTCAAATGCGGCCATCTCAGGGATTGAGGCTAGGGAAGGCATTGTATTGAAGGTATCTCGCACGAGGTTTGGATGGTTGGTTAATATATGGTCGATTAACTGATAAGCATGTTTTCTGCTTTCGTTGGCCAATCTATCCCAGTATCTGATCACGATTGCCAATGTCTGGTCAATAAGAGGCTCAAGGTCTTCGGCACTGAGGGAGCTGATTAATGTTGTCCAAGCCGAGAACGCCTGACCGCATAATTCCTCAATATCGAGGGCAGAACGGAGACAAGCACAGACCTGAGGTAGCGCATTACTGACATGACCTTGAGCAATAATGATCATTTCCTCAATTGCTTTGATGTTGCGTCTTTTCTCCGCCAGAGTTTGCCGCACTTGAACGTCATTGATAGCGTTTGAAAATTGGGTGATGATTCCAAGAACATGCTCCTCGATGAAGTGGCTCAGCAAGTTCGCTTTTTTTGAGGAGCCCCCTCCATGTGCAGCAGACTTCCGTGGGACGAATGTAGCTAGGCGTCGAAGTGCTTGATGAAACTAAGAGCATGAAGTTTAGCTTAATGCTCGGAAATCTCTTCCTAGGGACCATATACTCACTCGTTCCTTATTTTGTTCACCAGCATCCCCGAGACTTTTCAGCAAATCGCAAGCAATCAGGATCGGCTCAATACGGACCAGTTCCGCAAGAGTTCGTCCAATAAAAGCAGGATCTATCTCTGATAGTAGAGACATGATCATGACTTCTGGGTTGCTAGATTCTTGGGCGAGCAGGAAAGCAAGAATTGCCGCAAGATTGTTTTTTTCGGAGCAGACATCGAAAGGCGATTCGGCTTCGTCGCGACTCGCTCCTATTCTGGCAATGATGTCTCTTTTTCTTGTCAAGACCAAGTAAGGCAGGACATGTACTTCGGTTAGTCGCAAAAAGCTGTCAACCTTCATGCCAAGCAGTTCACAGAGCTGTTCGGCCATATATGGGCGACTCTGGAGGTTTTTTACGACGGCCACGGACAGTGATCTCCAATACGGTCGGAATAAGCCAGCAGGTGTCAAAGTAAATTGAAAAGCAAGCTTGGACAACTATAACACCGATTAGGTTGAGAAATTAGAAACAAATGGGCAAGGACGATGGACCAGGCCGAGAGACCTGATAGGACGTTTGTTTTTCTTACCTCGTCGTATGCCACGGCACATATGTATGGGTTTGGGTGACCGAGATACTCCACAAGGCGCAAAAGGATGAGATTTTTCTCTTCCTCGTCTGAGAACCTGCGAGGGGGAAAAGCATAAGAATAAGCGTAGAATAAAAATACATGACAGCTGGAACGTACTTGGCAAGGCAGCAGAGTGTCAACACACACGCCTCATGCAAAGGAATGTCATTTTTCTCAGAGATACTCTTGAGCGATTCAAGTAGGATGACAAAGTTGGCTCGACGGACATCTGACTGTAAGTTAGGATGCACAAAGGCTACAACCGAATGGCTATATATCAGTCAGTAGAGCTCGGCATGAGTATGACGCTGTCAAACGAACCTGGTCGCTACACGAAGTTCTCGGTTAGAACTTCGAAGAGAATGGAGGCAAAACTCCCCAGATGCAGATGACGATAGATGCATTTGATCCAAACAAGGCGAATGCATCAGAATCCTTCTTAGTGAAACCATCGCAGCTATGCGTGGACCGGGTGTGCGTGTGAGTTTTGGTAGTATGGAATTGAACACTGTCCATAGTTCCTCAAATTCGATTTTATCTTTCTCATTTTCGGTCTCAGGTGTGTGTGGTTCTGAATCGCACGTTTCGCAGAATACTGTATCTCGCCCTACAACATCTGAGAGCTTCTGTTTAAGGTTCCCCGTGATTGTGCATGAAAGCTGTCCGATGATGGCCAGCAGATCGGACTTTTGAGGCTCGGAAAGTTCATCAAATGAGCTTCTAGGTTCGTTTTAGTTGAGTTCATCCGAGAGATAGGCGCCATTAAAGATACTCACTCCAGTGCAGTGCGTAGACCTGCCAATCCTCTGCTACCATCGTAGTTTATCATTTCCGATAGCCTTTCCATTTGCCGATGCCGTAAGCTTTTATTCAAAGGCTCGACAGTCAGACACATGCGTTTTGACGCTCGCATATCCTCAGTTTGATCCATTCCGTCGGCAGGTGTTCCCGGCCTTTGGAGATCGAGAGTAACCTCAGCTGTTGGAGGACCAGACGAATCCTTGGGGGATTTTTCGGCGAGCGCTGATGTATTGAACAGTGCCACCTCGAGAGACTTGATTGGAATCTAGCAAAAAGTCAGATATGCTTCGATCAAAAAGTAAGAACTACTCTAGATGAGCAGAGATGTGATTATTACCGATAAATCCAGCTCCATGGGCAAAATATTACCATCCTTGTCCTTGATTTCTGAGAGAGCAGGCAGGATCGTTTCCCTCAATTGTTGCGTGAAGAGTTCAGAACCAGTTGCCGCTTGTATCGCTTCTTCCATGAAGTGAATCATTCCCGTTTGAAGAAAATACAACTGGCTGTGAACAATAGGTGGAAGCATGTCACTTAGGCATTGAGCCCAAGTTGAGGCCAAGCATACATCGGAACGCAAGGCTGATCCGCATGAGTCAGACACGCAGAACCGGTGTGTATATGCCATAAATTGCATGACGACCTGTTGATCGTCCGGAGTAAAGGACGATCCAGCTGTCTGTAGCCATTTGACCACCACCTTACGCAAGCGATTGTACCCATTCGAAACCCACGGGAGGTTCTGGCGAAGAATGAAGCTTCGTCCCTTTGGAAAGCCTTCTATTGCAGCTTGTGGGCTAATCGAGTCTAGAAGAAGAGAAACAATAATGATTGCTCGGGGGAAAGACCCCAGAGATATGGTTTCTCTTAGGAGACCGCGGGAAAGAGCCAGATTTTCAAGATCCACTCCCAGTGACCCGTTTGTCGCGGGCAAGGTCAGTTTTGCGGAAGAAGGACCCCGAAAGCTTCCTCGCTGGAAAGTTTCCAGGGCACATAGAATGTCTGTTGAGATATTAGTCAGGTTTCAATGGGATTCCTAGAAGTATAGAACAAACCCGAGGTACAAGCACGAAGGAAGGCTGAGATGCCGTAGCATACGGGTGATGAGCGAGCTTGTTTAGATTGGAGACTGGCCATACAGTGTAGTATCAAATGCGTTCTTTGCTCAACAACCTCGGAGGGCCAGTTTCCAGCCAATTTAATCAGTCGGAGGGTCAGCCAGGCAAATAATGGTGCCTCGACATTCTCGCCCAGAATCAGCGGGTCAGAGATATCCCATAGTGCCTGGGGAGCTTTCTCGATACTGGCTTGGATGATATCCAGACAGTCCAAAATTTGGCCCTGCAGGTCATTTTCCGGGGTGTCAGTACTGGGATCCACATCTAGACCAGCCTTAAGAACAATGCAGACGAGCTTATTGATGTCTGTGATGCCTTCGTCAACGCGCATTTGACTTTGCCTTTCTCCCAAAAGTTCTTGGCGTAGTTGTGAAAATGTTTCTCGCGATAGTCGATGGCCATTATGCCCTTGGGTTGCCAGAGGGGCGAAATGTGCCGCGAGAATGGATGAGGCTGGCTCCACGGGCGGCTGGGGATTACCAGGCGCGAGATCACTGTTGTTTCTCTTGGTTGCCATATTGATTAAACATGGCTAGAAGATCTGGATTAAGATATTTGATATTTGAGGATGTACCACGCGCGTTGCAGAGTGATGAAATGCACGCGGAGTTGATATTGACATCGACACCTAAGGCATCAACTCCCCACCATGACATTAGATCAGTGAAATTTGGTCATATATCATATACAACTAGCTGGCAAAGGTAGACCATTGTGAATGGTCTTTAATATAATATTGCATAGTAAAATGTATCTTTTATTGGGTGAATTGGATGGGAGTGTGTACATAAAGATAAGTGGGCGGTTAGTAGTGCGTGCACATACTGGTATCTGGATCGTTCCGTAGAAAATCTTAGACAATTGAATAGTTGACCTCAAGACATACTCTCACTCCTCCAAGATTGAGTGAAACCCCACAACCTATGTGACCGCTCCGCCTCTCTTCCTCTCGACACGTCCACCAGACTGCGATCAAAAAAATCAAAAAATGGATCTACCTACCGAGCAAGCACATGACACCATGCCTGTGTTGGCGGATGATTCCCGACATGCGTATTTTATGAAGCAGGCTTTGTCGATGGTAAGAAGCTCCGCTTTCCCATGGATTTCAAAAAACAATTCAATTCCAAGATCTCAAACAAGGATAATATAGGGTGAAAAGGCGCTGCTCGCCGGAGAGACACCTGTTGGATGTGTTGTGGTCCACAACGACCAGATTGTGGGGTATGGAATGAATGATACGAATCGGTCCATGAATGTCAGTACTCTCTATAATTGTTGAAAGCTCTTCGCCGCAGTTTTACTGATGATCTCTAGGGAACCCGCCATGCCGAATTTCTTGCCATCGCAGAGGTGCTCCAAACCTATCCCAGGTCGGCTATCAGTTCCATGGATCTTTACGTCACAGTTGAGCCATGCGTGATGTGTGCCTCGGCCCTCAAGCAGTATCGCATCCGCAGTGTATACTACGGCTGTGGCAATGACCGGTTCGGAGGCACTGGTAGTGTTCTATCTCTCCATTCTGAGTAGGTGAACCCTTTTTCGTCACCAGCTTCAGATTTCCCCGTTGACCTATGACAGTGCCGCTATCGATCCCGCATTTCCAGTTTACAGTGGGCTTTTTGAACACGAAGCTATCATGCTACTTCGACGATTTTACATCCAAGAAAATGAGAAAGGTCAGATCCAGAATTGGAGACGAGAGCAACCCATATTAACAGTTTGGCAGCTCCCAAACCTCGACCAAAGAAGAACCGTGAGCTGAATACCAAGTTTGGTAATGAGAATGGTGAGGAAAATCAGACGTCGACTTCGTAGGCAGAAGTCCAAAAGTTATGAATGAAATGCATTGGCCGGCCAAATGACCCTAGTCGGCACAAACGTTTGATATCCAAAGCGCAGCTTGCGGAAGTAAGCGGGGCCATTATTTTAGCAGAACATAAGTTTGTATTGGTAATTGCAAATTGCGCCTTCAAAAAACACACGAAAAATGGATATGTGTACAAAAATTTTGCAACTCCAGGGATCAACTCAGGAGACGAATAGTGAAAAGAGATCATCAAGTTGAACCTAGGCGGTTCGCTCAAGTTCCAATTCCCGCTCCGCTTGTTGGTAGTACTTGGCAGTGTCAACACCGTGCTATAGTGGGGAAAAGACAAACAAGTCAGTCGGTGATCTATACAAGAAGACGGGGTCCGAGATTGGCGAGGACTAACCTGATCGTGGTTGACAATGTTGATCCAAGGGAGGACATGGATGAAGAGCTCGGAGTATCGCGAGTTACGGGCAGCAACACCCTGAATGTAATCGGACACCTTCGAGACACCGTACAGTGGCTCGCCCTTCTTCACTTTATCGACCATCTCGCGCATGTCCTTCTCCACCTCCCGGGAGTTCTCGGTGAAACCATAGAATCGTTCTGCCAGCACTTTAGTATATGAGAAGGGCACAATTGATCGGCGCACATACTGCAAGATCTCTGGTAGAGCACATGAAGACCACCGAGGATGCCAACGGCACTTGCAAGGCGCATGACGGGGGCAAAGCCACCACGGCCCACATGCGACGGGCTCACTCGTTCCATAACCCAGAAAGCAATGGGAGAGACTGTGGCCATTCCACCGGCCACGGCATAATCAGAGGGCCGGGCATATCCGAAAACACGTCGCAGATGCCTGTAGCTATTGTAAGTGTCGAGCTAAACATGGGGGAGAACGCTTCGGGGAAGATCGTACGGGTCGGAGTCGATAAGCTGCAGAAAGCGGTTAGCTAGTATGAACGTAAATCCGATAGAGACACACATACCGGGTAATCGGTATTGGCCCGCTTAGGGGGCACAATGGCCGTGGTGGTAGAAGCCATGATGAAGATCGATATGGTGGGATACGGGCGTTGTGCAGAGTCGAAGTTCGGAAGTTGGAGGTGGTAGCAGTACTAGCCTGTTTTGGATTAGCGCATGTAGGCGGCCAGCACCAATATTGACCAATGAGAATACTGCTGACTAGGCGCGTCCAGAACGCGTTAACTGGATAATTGGTTATCGATGCACAATTGATACGGAACTGAACATTCAAAGGGTCATTTGGAAGGGTTGCTTTCTTCAATTCTTACCGAATTACCATTCGACTCCACATCATCCCCCATGGAGACCTCAGGAGAACAAGCAGGTTCCCCCAATGATATCAATGATCTATTCGACTATGACGTGGGCCTAGACGAACTCTTTCAAGGGAATCAAGACGCGTCAAACAACGAGGCCGCAAAGCCAGCAGCGGATCCGTCCTCTCTCGGACTCGGACTGGACGAAGAAGTGAAAATCACTAAGAAGCGACAACCGATTGCAAAGCTAGATGATGCACGGTAAGTACTAGCATTCGTCTGCTTTCCCGTTGGTGACATTGATCTGACAATTATTCTATCTAGTCTACTTTCACAACCAGGAATCCCCAAACTACGCCGCGCAGCTAAGACCAAGCTTAGATTCAAAGGCAAAGGACATGAGGTCGGTCGATATCTCTCTGGAGAGCACGCACAGGAGCTAACGGGAGAGATTGGTCAGTTTTCGGATGCCACCCGCCTATTGAATTTCTATCAGCTTTGGCTTGATGACTTGTACCCTCGCGCAAAATTCTCAGATGGTTTGGCTATGATTGAGAAACTTGGTCACACCAAACGAATTCAGACGATGCGTCGAGAATGGATCGACGAGGAAAAACGAAAGGTTTTTGAAAGAGATATGCCAGAATCCATAAACCTCCCCACAAGACTTTCGTCAGGTCAAAATGATAGCACAACGGAAGTGACAAACACATCGATATCACAGCCGGCACCGGGTGGATCAGGTGGTCCAGATCTCGATTTGTTCATGCCAGACCCCGAGGGAACAACCCAGCAAGTCGTTAGCCACCCCGAGCCCGATGACGACGATCTAGAGGATCTTTTAAGAGAAGAAGATGAGATGAGGCTAGGGGAGCCACACTCGGCGAAGCAAGTTCCCAACAGCGCAAACGACGATTTTGATGCCGAATATGAAGCCATGAACGATATGGGGCTATAATCATACAAAGAATGGTTCTCATGACAGCGATGAAATTCACTAATTTAATATTATTTGGCCCAGGAGCAAGTGGATGAGGTTTCCTCTTCCACTGTCGGTTCCTTAGTAATATCTTGGATTGTAAAGGCTTGTTGACCTACTCGCTGCCTTCAAAGTTGGAAAACTGGCACCTGGGCAGTGTAGTAGCATCCAGGTTGCTGCTATATTGTGTGGTAATCACAAGTGTAGTGGTTTCTGAAATGAAATGGACAAAATACACAGCATTGAAGTTGGAAATTGATATAAAGTGCTAGTCCCAGTCTGGTTTTTATGGGCCATGCACGGGTATCGCTTAGAAAATATTCTGAATAGGTATGCATGTCAAAGGGTGAACAAATTTGATGGTCTTTCAAGATCGAGTGCGTCAAGCAAGTAATTTTAGTGGACTTGTGAATCAAGTGAGATTGAACAAATGAAGCTAATGTGATATAAATGCATTGGCCATTGGGAAACATTCCGGATAAAAAGAAAATATCGTCAAGTTGGGATCGCAAATATTAAAGATAGCAGGCAAGGAGAACACCTGGACATGAGGCAGTTGAGGAAAATAAAAAATTTAAAGATCAGCAGGCGAAGTGAAAACGGAGAATTGACCACCGGCACCGGTCCAGTTCAATTGCTTGCCACGGACGGCAGTGTTGTCAATGATCGTAGCAACCTCAATATCATCTTGAGTGCCTTGTCCGGTCTGGTAGGTGGCAGAGAAGCCCCATGACCAAGCACGCCCATCGGCATCAATGGCGAGTGAGTGGTCCGAGTTAGCAGCGACGACCTTGGCATTGATTCCGGGTACAACGGTCGGCTCAATAAGGATGCGGGGACGTCCACGCTCATCCTTGATAACGGCATCGTCGCTGAGGGAGTCCACCTTCAGGCCGCTCTGGAATCCATCCAAACGACCCCATACCAAACATTCGCCATCAGCAGTGCGAGCAAGGGAGTGGTGGGAGCCACCGCAAAGCTGTGTGATCTTTCGCTCCGAGAGCGACTTAACAACAACAGGGTGCACAATGGCAGCTTCATCGTCACCAGCACCCTCGCGAATGGCCGTGGCACCGAAACTGTTCAAACCCCATGCGTAAACCTTGCCGGAAGTGTGAACGGCGAAGGAGTGGTAGGATCCACTTCCGATGTGCACAATGTTCTTGGGGAGTCCAAACTCGCGTGGCTGCAGGCCATGCAGCTTGTTGCGCTCGACAATCCGACGGCCGAGTTGGTTCTGCTGACCAGAGCCCCAGGAGAAGACAGCTCCCTTGTCATTCAAAGCAAGAACGTGGTTAGAACCACAAACGAGCTGCTTAATCTTCTTCAAGTCGGGGAGTAGAATGGGGGTGTTCTGCACCCGATTCTCTGCATCAAACCCGAGGATTCCATCGTTGCTCTGAGGGAAATGAGGTTAGCATGGCACGAAGAGTATGTACAAAACGAATTTATTTCTTACCCGGAAGGTTCCCCATCCGTAAACTTGACCGTCATCTGTCAAGGCAAAACTGGCACTGTCGGCAGCAGCAATTTGGACAAAGATGGTTCCCTCGGGGAAGGCGCTCGCGGGGATTCCGGTAGGAGTAGACTCCTTGGGGTTTAAGCCACTATCTTCATCTTCAGAATCCGAGTCGCTGTTACCATCCATGTCTTTGTATCCACCGTCCCAGGTTGTATCGCGTCCTAGCGAGCCCTGGTCATTCACACCCCAGGTGAAGATCTGGTTGTCGTGGGTCAGGGCAACACAGTGCATACCGCCGACAGCCACCTGCACAACACCCACTTTGTCGGCAGGGAGAAGCGGATTCAAACGTGGTCGCTTGACGTCGATGACATTCTTGGCCGTGCCCAAACCAAGCTCACCAGAGCTTCCCTCGCCACAGACGAACACATTCAGCCGAGTCTTGGGAGCTTCGTTGATGACAACCTTAGGCTTGACGGCCTTGACCTTAACAACCTTGGGCTTTGCAACACGCGGTTGAGCAATCACACGGGGCTTCTTAAGCTCACGGGGCTTCTCTTCTTCCTCATCATCGGCCTTGCGCTTCTTCGACGCGGCGGTGGCTGTAGCCACGGTCTTGGTTTTGCGCGCCGGTTCGGTCGTTCCCTTCTTAGCGGTGGTCTTGCTAGTAGTCTTGCTGGTAGTCTTGGTTGTGACCTCGGTAGTCATTTTCTTTGGGCGTCCTCGGCCCCGAGGAGCAGCAACAGGCTTGGTTGCGGTCTTGCTAGTGGACTTGGGCTCGGCGGGCTTAGTTTCCTCGGTCTTGTTTGCGGTCTTCGCGGCCCTCGGGGCGGGCTTTTTCGTGGCGGCAGCGGTCGCCTTTTTAGGAGGCATTTTTTCTGTGGAATGTGGAATTGATAAAAAGGAAAGGTTAAGGGAATTGGGAGGGGATTGGTAGAGTAAAGAAATGTGGAAGGGGAAATAACGCGTTGAAAATAATAAAAAGTGGAAAAAAAAGTAAATGAATCCGCCAAGGCACAGACGTAAATAACACGGCATTCCCAGGCTTTCCCGCCCCCCCCCAAATTCCAATTTCAACTACTATGTATTCTTTGTTCCACTGGATAGTAGTATCCCTGTAAATGAACAAGTCATACGATTTCTCTCACGTTCAATTGGAATATTTCTTGGAATATTTCTTCTGTTTTACATGATGAGAGCACAAAAGCCCCATATTTTATCTTCATTTTTGTCAATCAAGATCCTCACAAATATCTTAGGTATTACGCAGTTCAAGTAAAGAGCGCCTCGCATCCACGCAGCGCGTGCGCAGTTCAATTTCCGGGGATAAGGCGTCTCTATGTATGTAGGTAGTAGCTTTGGTGTTCAATGTTTCCAACCTTGATGTATACATACTACATCTACTAGGTACTAGTACCCCGTACTTAACATCCGAATACTTGCACATGTGGGATGGGTATGTATACTTGACTCGGTCCTCGAGGTCCACGGTCCACGGTCCACGGGTACTTTCACCTGGGTACTAGTAACATTGAGTTGCTGCCCACGTAATCTTCTGGAGTTCCAAGATTCAAATGTTGAGATATGTAATTGATGAAGCCTGTAGATTATATATTAAACATATAAAGATAAATGTAGATAAATATGTGTCTTAATAATAATAATAAACCAAAAACCAAAAACCCCCACATATCCATCAAAGGAAAACACGAGGTCTGGTGCCCGGTTGGCGGATTTTACCACACATGATGACATTTTGCCCTAATGGTGTCCATTTGACATCACGTGGGTTTAAGGCAGCATTGGGGTTGCCATGGGTATCTAGTTTAGACTCAGGGCTAACCCCAACGCCCCCATGGCCAAGGTAGGTGGGAGCTACTGTCACGACGATTGAGTCGATGAAGTTGGTATACTCGGGATTCAAAAGCTCATTCAGAACAGTCCCACCCCCTTCAATCATGACACTCTTGATCCCCTCAGATGCCAGAGTCCGAAGGATGGCTTCCCAGCGCAAGCGCCAGTTCCGATTGTACTCCATGATTCGCAAGAAGTCACCTCCATAACCTTTCAGCATCATAAGTCGATCAGGATTGATTGGAGCTCCCGGAGAGACTACCACCCATGGGGCCCTCCCTTTGCCTTCAACGGCAGTGCGGAGCATCCGGTCATCTGGGCGAATGGCCCATCGTCCTGTAGGATCAAGAACTACCGGACGTGGTTGCCACATTCTTCCCAGACCTCCGAAGCCTCCAGCACCTTCGAGGCGACAATTTAAACCTGGGTTGTCTGCTAACACGGTCCCTACTCCTATGAGTATTGCATCGTGACGCGATCGAAGATAATGGGTCATCACCTTCGCCTCGGGTCCAGAAAGCACAGTCTGCATCCCAGCTCGAAGAGAGATCTTCGAATCCATTGATGATGCATATGATAATGTGACATGGGGGAATTCGCATTTTTCGGAGTGATGGGTAGGCAAAGTAGGTAGATATGGCTCAAGGAATTCCAGGGAGAATTGGGGGAAGGCCAACGTATCTGGCGGTAACTGAGGTGATGATTCTGATAGAGCAGAGAGCGACTGTGGCTGCAATTGCGAGTTTCCATTGGTACCATTACTTGTTCCAGACTTGATAATGCCTTGGCCTTTCTGGTACTCGTATCCTTCATGCGGGACGAGTTGGACTTCTGGGTTTTGTATGCGCCATTTGGCCGCGACATTGCGCACATCGGTCACCGTGAGAGAGCGGCCTCCAGCTTCTTGGAGCTTCGCCGGCTCTTCTCTGAACTTGGCGTATATTGAAGAGGGCAGATAACCTTTCACTGACTCCTTCCGTACAAATTCCATGACCCCGGAGTTACGTTTCACGCGATCGCTATGGTCGAGATCATGGGTGTGAGCTGTATCGCTTCCTGGCGTCTTCGATATAGTGACGGCTGAGTAAGCACCCTCAAATCGAATGACTTTGATTTGGAAATTGCATGTGCCTCCTTCTCGCGAGCGTTTCTTTCGAGGACGCTTGCCCTCTGGTAATGGTGGCCGGGTCTCCGATGGGCGGTGCGTAGGGCGCCGTAGTCGACACATATAATAGTCAGTAGTGCAGAGTCCTTCTTTGCTGGCGTTTGATCTCTGTTTGACCCAGACATTGTCAATGAATGGCCAGTAGATATCAAACTCCTCTTGTGTAATCTCGATCGGATCATTGCACTCAAAAAGGAGCCTGCGGATTTTCGATAGGTTCGGCGGGTTATCGAATAGACTATCGCTAGGACTTCCACCCGGGGGTCTTGGCTCGCTGTCGGTGATATCATCGGGTGCACTATGAGGTTGGGGTAGGCTATTCGTATCGCCCCGCTGAGCTTGCTTTTCCAACGCGCCGGTCAAGTCCACGGGGGTTGCTGTATCTTCAGACTGTGGAGGGTCATCCGGGGGATCTTCTGGGGGATCTTCATCCATCGCATCTTCTCGATGATCCGGTATGATATTGGTCTCTGCATCAGTATTTTCCACTTCGTCCCGCGTTCGCGCTTCTAGAGTTCGTGCTTCTTCATTATGCGGCGATGCCGAGTCGTTTTCCGACTTCACCGCCTGAGGGCCCGAGTCTGACGCGCGGGAGGCAGGGTCCATCTTGTGTGGGACCCGGTGACGACGACGATTCGCAGGGAGAGGGTTGATCAGTGAAATCCCAGGCGGTGATTACGATGGAGCATCTGGGCGGTTGGAGTGGCTCCATCAGCAAAGTGGGACTGGACTTGCCGAATGGTGCATGTACAATAAAACTGTTGAATCGCAGATGGATTCCCGTAGGCTTGGCATTTCTAGTACATACTAACTAGTAGAGATAGTAAACCTTGGAAGATGTGGACTGGAATTACTGTAAAGCAATAAAAGATGTTCATTGTTTATCTAGTACTAGTACAATATTCACTTACCCTGTACTTGCATGTGCAGTACGATCTACTAGCTCCCGCATATCGTCATTCATGATGCCTTTTTACTAAAGTTTAGTTCAAATCTTAATTAAACCAACAAATTATTCAAAATAAAAAATTGAATATATAATTGAAATTTGCAAAATACTTCATTTCCCGCAAGTCTAACTATCCAAGTAGTTAGTTACCAGTCCCATATGATGACCAATACCAGTTGACAGATTCACGTAAGACCTACCATTTGGAAGTCAAAAAGAGCCAGTTGACCTTCAAGCAATTAAGGAAAACCTAATATTTCCACACGAGCAAAACAAATCTTGAGATGGCTTCAAAACACTCCGAATCAATCATATTCTAGATTATTGGATAATAATAGACACCTGAGTAGGTGTGACTGCCTAGCTACACATACATCCTTAAAAAGCTCCGATGTCAGCTCCAGCTCGAGCCAATGCCTCATAGACCTTGGGTGGCAACTTGTATTTCACCATGCCGGAGAAGATCATGAGATCCTTGGCCATGCCAAGAAGCTGGTCTGCAAATCCCTGGTGCATGTCGGTCTCATAGGGGCCCGAGGTTTGCCGGTGGCGTTCTTGGCCAATGCATGCAATGCACCACATAATGACATGACCAATGTTCCGGGAGATGATCTCTGGCAGAGCTGAGAAGGACTGGGCTGATGCCCGAATAAACTGCATAGAGCCTCGAGCTTGCAATGGAAGAATGCTGAGCGTGTCGATGGCCTGCATGAAGTTGTTAGTATGGAAAGGAATCAACACAAAAGAAAATGCGCTCCACTTACATCAAGGGCCGGGGCCCATCTCCCAGCTTCCACTTCAATCTTCGCTTCCATCATGCAGAGAAGGAGATTACACGCATCCCGGTTGACCGGGCGAATCTTATCATAATACATCGGCTTGGAGTTGTAGAGAACCATCATGTTCTTGCCAAGAATCACCGGGTCATCGACAGTGGTCAGGCTCAGACTGCTTCCAGGGGCTGAAGCTTCTGACTGGTTGGTGGACTGGCTGCCTTGGGTCTGGTCGACTCTTGGACGAAGAGGCTGCAACTTGGGGATAACACCGCCCAGTTCAACGGCAATTGATTCTGACAAAGCACGATTGATGATATCGATCACACGATCGTAATTCTCGGCCAAGTGGTAAAGGAGAACGGCATCATTGATCAGACCCTTGTCATCTGCCACGCCTGCGGCTTGCACGGTAATGTTTTTCAGGAAGTCCTCCTGGTCCGTAAGTTTAATCAATTCGAGACGCTGCTCAATAATACCTGTGATCCTTGTCCCGTCGGCCCGGATATCACCCAGCAACTTGGCGAAATCCCTTGTCTCAAGAATAAACTCGCGCAAGGCCTCATGACAGACCGCTGCCTGGGATTTTCCGAGAGAACCCGGAAGGTCTGCGTTGAGACAAATCAAGGAAAAGTAATCGATAGCAGCCTCGACGTACCCAGTCCGGAATTCCCGGGTGTATTGAGTGATAAGATATCCGAAGTTAATCTGCGGGTACTGTTTCACAGTGAAAGACACTACACGAAAATGTTAGCAAAATCAATAATGTCGATGTTTTAGAGCGCTTGGACCGCGGGAGGGTTACTGACGAATTTCTTCTCCGGATGTATAGAAATCAGAGACGCGCAGAAGGCCGTAGTACGCCAATGCGATGGCAAAGTGCACGGCGGTGACGGGTGAATAAGTGCCCAAGTAAGCCACAGCCTGCTCAAACATGCCTCCCAGGATTTGGAGAAGGAAGAATGTTCCATAGCCACCAGGGGCTTCCTGGCCCTTAGTAAAAACTCGTTGACCAATCTCCGTGATATCTGTCTGAATGTCTTCCAGGCCAAAGACGTCACCTGCCGGTTCCTCGGATCGATCGTCCTCTCTGGCGAGAGTGAATTGCAGCCACATCCAGTCCTCAACAGTCTGATTCACGTTATCCAATCGACGTTTGGAAAGATCACAACGACCAATGATCTTATAACATGCCATCCGGTAGGGATCAACAGTATTGTCAGGGGCATTTCGCGATCGCTGCTGGTACTCCCCGTTGATTTTCTGTGTTAAGTCTCGATTGAGGCGCAAATCTTGAGCGTACGTGGTCATATAAGTCACGAACTTATGATCCAAAGTCCGGAAACCAGTGTCTTGACTGACATATTCAGCCGCCTCGGTCACAAAACCGCACCGCAGAAGATAGAAGATCAAAATCCAGCAGTAGTCTGAACCATTCATCTGTAGTTCAGTTCCATCGGGTGCCAGGTCTTTCCTGGCAGCACGCAGGCGGATATATGCTCGAATCTTGTTGATCACAGTTGGGATACCACCCAATTGAGCCTCGCGCGGATTTTTGGTGATGATGTTTTCCACCTCATTGTAGAACGCTCGCTCCAAAAATCCCCTAGACCCTTCCAGGATTCGTTTCTTGAGATCGATGGCTCTGCGGGACTTGCTTGATTCCTCTAAGTAGTCTGCAGCGTAGTGACGTTCTCTCAGTGCACCAGGATTCGATGGACTGGTAATACTAGGATTCTCGTGAACAATGCTAATCAAAGCCTGATAGGCATCATACAGTTGTCGAGGGGCCTGGAGGGAAAGGTCAGCTTTACAGCAAGCAGAATCTAAAGAGAAAGTACTTACATCACCACCGGTTTGCATTTCAACTTCAGAAAAGTGGTGAAACACTGGGTATGTTCGTCCTTGAAGCCTAACAACATTCAACTCTTGAACCTTTTCGGCATAATGACCCATTTTCTCTCGCAAGAACCGCATATCTGGAGACGGCGCAGAAGGTCCCTCATTTCGCTCTGCAGGGTCCTCGAACAGCTGGCGATTTGTGAGGCCGGCACCAGGGGTTCCGATAACAGACTTGTCAAGGCCGGAACGTCCGAACACACTTCTTCTGGATGCAGCGGGGCCGGCTTGCTTGGATTGCCTAGCAGATCGGCCAAAGGCACCGCTCCGCATTGTGGGTTTCAAGCTCGCGCCGTTGGGGCTGTCCTTTTGGGCAAGTCCAAAGTGTTGAAAAATGTTCTGCCGCTGCTCCTCCCAGTCCATGTCCACCTTCTCTTCCAAGAAGGAATCGAAATCCTTCTGGGCCCGTGACAAGCTCTCGGCAATCATCACCTGCCGACCACGCTGTTGAACATTCCTCAGGTATCTTTGGTTGTCTGGGTCGAAGGTGTCGGGTTCTCTAGTCGCAGCGAGCGATGCCTGGGGGTCTAGAGAACGGAGGTCTCTGAGTGTCCGACCAGGTGTGATGCCAGAAGACGCAAGAAGGTAATGACTACCAATGGTATTGATTAGATTAGCCATAAGCAATAAGCAACAAGCAACAAGTCGGCCTTTGGGTTTGAGAAGATACAACTTACGCCTTTGTCGTCGTGCCATTCTGTTGAGCATCCTTGCCCCCCAGTGTACCAAGCTCTCGTGCCTTTCTGCGGATATCATCTAGGCCCAGTTGGAGACTAGGCACATCCTCAAAGTTTCCATTTTGACCGTGGGTCGACATTGGTCGCTTTTTGCCGCGCTCCAGAAGGCTGTTGAAGAATGCTGGCTTGGTTGATTGGTTTGAGATTTGCGCTTGCTCTTGAGGATTCTTGTTTGCTTGTTGGGTCTGTCCCAATCCTAAGAGGGAGGATTGAGCGGGCGGCTGTTGTTGCTGTTGCTGCTGCTGACCTTGAGTTTGGCCAAACAAGGAAGAAGGCTGAGCAGGTTGGGTCGTCGCAGCTGGCATAGTGCCAAAGGCACTGGTTGTATTGGTATTGGTAGACCCGAAAAGGCCGGAGGTCTGGGGGGTTGTTGTGGCCCCAAGACCACCGAGGCCACCACCTCCGAACAATGAGCTCATGTCGAAAAGAATAGGTCTCTTCGGCGTCCGCTAAGCTGGGATTTGAGAGCAAAGGGGTGTTGATTTGCCTAATAGCTTTGTCGATTGTGGGTTGATGGCGAATGTGTTGCCGAAGGGAAGAGAAAGAGAGAAAGCAAATCAGCTGTGTAGCAGTTGCGCTTTTTTCAGTTACAACAAATTTCTGGAATTTGCCTAAGGCTCCACCACGCGCAGCGGTACAGGAATCTTAGAAGAAGCGTAGTATCAATTCACTACCAGATCTCCAAGGGCCTTAAGCAACGGGAGTTGTATTGAGGTGAGCTTTATGCTTTTGTCGCGCCTAAACAAAAGTTATCCCGCGCTCGGACAATCAATTTCCCGACACCAGTCCAAGTGAACATTGAACCATTCGAACATTGAACCTAAGTACTGATTATCATTTACTGTCGCATTGACACTGCAACGATGCCTACCTTTCAGTCCAAAACCTTTCGCCGGGCAACAAATGCTTCTTCCACACTCGGGGAGAAGCTTGGGGCTATGTACCGTGCGCGACTTCCTCGGAACCCTTTTCTTCTCTTCGGACTTCCGTTCATTACCGTCATTGTGGCCGCATCCTTTGCCTTGACTCCTGCAGCAGCCTTGCGCTATGAGCGCTACGATCGTAAAGTCCAGCAAATGAGCAAGGAAGAAGCTTTTAACCTTGGACTCAAAGGTCCTGATGGCGAAGAAGGAATCAAGCGCAATCCTCGCCGGAGAGTTGTGGGTGATGAACGAGAAGAATACTATGTGAGACCGCTCAAATCCTGTTCCATCCTAGTATAGACCGCTAATCAAGAATTAAAATCATCTCAGAGACTTATGGCCAAAGACCTCGACGATTGGGAACAGAAACGAGTAAAGCGATTCGAGGGTGAACCAGATGGGAGAATCTGATTTCACAAGCAGCATATGGATGGAATCCTCTTTCGGCTTTACTTTGTCTACACCACAACCTCCCCCTGAGGCTTGACTGATGTCTGTCCGGAAACTCTTCCACAACCAAAAAGAATATACCCACCTGGTCATGAAACTGCCACCGATGATCCATCCTGATCTGAGTTCATATAAACCACCTTTCTTTGGGCAATATGACTCGGCAGCAACCGTGCTTTCCCCGTTCGTTGCCGGGTTATCTCTGTTGAGTATTATCTAGCGCTGGGTCACACTATTGTTTTCCCACTTCGCGGGTCATTTTGATACGCCACCGTGGAGGTAGTGGGGACGCTTAATCGATTTGGGGATGCAGCTACCGGTATTTGCATGGGAAATCATTCAGACCCCATTCCCAAATCGGATGGGCTAATCCGGGATCGGCACTGGTATGACGATAAATTTCGGGTGTCCTCTTCAACATTTCCTGCACAGGGAGCAGTTTTGGTTCATGTACAAATAGTGATGTATGACTAAACAAGTAAAGAGCGCCGCGCGGATGCGCAGTGCACAGTTCAAGTTCTAGGCATGTCTCTAGGTGGGTACCCACTGGCAAATGCAGTAGCCCTGGGGGTTTATCGAACCAAGTATTAAGTACATACTTGGAATGGGTATGGTATACTCAGTACTTGAGATAGGTAGTGTACTCACTAGTACCTAGGTACTCAGTGCCTTCTGTCTTTCATATCCTACTACTTTCTCTACTACCAGAAATCATGCGAGGAAATTTGACGCAAGTATCCGAGTAGTAAAGGGGGGCGGATAATGTATCCCTCATCCACTCGTGGACTGTCTTGCTGGGAGGTTGGTTTGCCTGGTAACAGGACACTGACGTCAGGTCCTTAATAGTAAATTCAACGCATTGGTCGCCCTAATTCAAAATATGGACTGCAACAATGATCTACCTTTTTCGAATTGTCAAACAATGTACATAATCTTTGTGGTTCGAGTGACGATGAATTGTATACTAGTAGTAGTATGTATAAGAAATGCAGCTGAACCGAGGGTTTGACCGGAACAGGTGATCCCCACACATAACGTCATATGTCAAGGATTCTGGAAGGGCAAAAGACCATCCTTTTTTCCTCTTTTCTCCCATTGAACCTAATTTATGTCCTTGCTCTCTACCCCTCACACTTATTAATCATATTCCATGACCTTTTGGCTCTGATTTCAGGTTCTTCTCCTCGCTTCCATTGGCCTGACTTGTTGCTCGTTCTGGCTGGACCCTTTTCGCCTCAGCCCCTCGAACGCCATCCGACTTATCTTACGTCAGTTTTTTTTTACGACTTCCACACCTCTCTTCTTTACCACTGCCCTCCTCCACCCCAAATATTTGTGATATCGGCGTTCGTGAAATAAGACTGCGAAAAGAGAGAGGGCAAGAGAGAAAATAAAAAGAGAGGGGGAAAAAAAAACACCAGCTCCCCCACCATCGTCATCACCAGTTTCTCTGAGTCAGCGAGGTACCCAAGCGACCTACCTTGTATTTCGATCAGATATATTCGATCTCAAGTCCACAATTGCAAAATTCAGGCTGATGGTGTAACTGCTCTTGTCGTTCTGATAAACTTCCCGGGTCCCACGTACTGGGAGCAAGACCAGCTACCATGACGGGTCCCGGCCGATCACCATCTTCACCGTGGGTACAAACAGTACAACCAGTACAGCCAGTGCAGGGAGGTTCCCGGGATTTTAGCAATTCCCAGTCTTTTCATCCGACGTTATCACCGTCAGCAACGGGCATGCGCTCGAATGGCTCTATTGCGGAAATGTCAGGTAGTCCCAACTATTTCGGCATGACGGTTGAACGTCACTCGACCAACCCACCAACATCAAACCCTGGACCACACGCACAGAAAAATTGGGGTGCAGGGCCATTTCCTCATCCTCAGGCAACTCTCCCCAGTCCCACCAAGCTGCAACTATATTCGCAAGAGTCGATGTCTGAGGGCCTGGTCAATCTGTTAAGATCGGAATCAGAATCCGACAAAGGTCGACGGGAATCAGCTCTTCAAGGCTGGCCATCAAACAGCGATCGTTCAACAAACCGTTCCCAAGGATCCCTAGGTGGTTACGCACCGGAATATAGGAAGCCTTCGCTCGGTAAGCGATCGTGATGCCTACAGTCTCCCTGGCTGTCTACTAGTTCTACGGAAGAATCAAACGTCACTAACCTTTTTCCCCAAATGAATAGCCTCGGTACCTGAATCATCTCCATGGGTCACGGCTGAACGCTGTGCTGAGTTGGTCCAATCCTCCCCAAAGGAGCTACTTCTACTGGATGTCCGGCCCTTTGCTCATTATTCCAAAGGCAATATCCGAGGATCTCTGAACCTCTGTATCCCAACTACACTGCTCAAACGCCGCTCATTTGATACCAAAAAACTGGAAGGTACATTTACCAGTGATAACGACAAACAGCGTTTTTCCCGGTGGAAAGAATGCACCACTATAATCGTCTATGACTCAGCCACCTCGGAGGCAAAAGATGTAGCAGCCTTGCAGAATGTCATTAACAAGTTCAAGGCGGAAGATTGGGACGGAGAAGGATTAATTTTACAGGATGGTTACAAGGGATTTTCCGCTCGATTCCAAGAATTGCTACATCGGCCGCAGATGTCAACGTCAGGCCCATCAGCTAAGAAGAGATCTCCTATGAGTATCGACCTGCCATCTGTGGCCCCTGTTGCCGGGGGGTGCGCCCTTCCCGATTCTTCCTCGGCTGTCAATCCCTTTTTTGGTAATATCCGGCAAAATATGGATTTGTTGGGTGGAGTCGGTCAAATTCCCTTGAAACTACCTGGTGGCCTGACAGAATCCAACCAGAAAGGCCTTCCAGCTTGGCTTCAAAATGTGTCGGACCCCAAAGATCAAGGTCGCATCGCCTCTGAGAACTTCCTGGATTTGGAGAAGATAGAGCTGCAACGTATGAAGCAGGCATTGTCATACGAGGGCCCCTCAGCTTCGTCCGGGGGTGCCTCCAAGAAGTACCGTGTTGCAGGTATTGAAAAGGGCACTAAAAACCGCTACAATGATATATACCCCTTTGAACATTCACGGGTTCGTCTTGAAGGAATACCTCTCGGGGATTGTGACTATGTCAATGCGAATCATATCAAGGCTGAATTCAGCAATCGCCGATACATTGCGACACAAGCGCCGGTTCCGGACACATATAATGTTAGTGCACAACGTCACTCCTTCTCTACATATCGTCCTTTCCTTTTGATGCTAATTATTTTTACATAGGACTTCTGGCGAGTGGTCTGGGAGCAAGATGTTCGGGTCCTCGTCTCACTCACTGCCGAGATGGAGCGAGGCCAGGTGAAATGCCACCCGTTCTGGAAGACCGGGAACTACGGACCGTTTAAAGTCAAGGCTTATTCCGAAACTTCCATTCAAGTTGAGTCCTTGAGCCCATCGGCCACTCCCGGCCAGACTCCTAAAGGGACCAACGAAAATCCCGTAATTATCGTGCGGCATTTCAGCCTATACCATACTGCATTGCCTTTTCAACCGCTTCGGGATATTACACAACTGCAGTATCCTTACTGGCCTGACTTCGGAACCCTTTCGCAACCGACTCATTTGCTCAACTTGATCGAGCAATGCAACAAGGTTGTCCGCTCAACTAGCAATGCGAGATTCAGCAACCAGGAAGCTGAGCCAGCGGGCCAGCGGCCTGTCCTTGTGCACTGCAGCGCCGGCTGTGGCCGCACTGGGACTTTCTGTACAGTTGATAGTGTGCTGGACATGCTGAAACGACAACTGGGGCCGGCCGCCCAATCTTCAGGGTCACCGGGATCATCAGGGTGGACCCGAGATTCCCATCTCGATCTGGTTCGGAAGACAGTGGAAGACTTCCGGACACAACGGCCAAGCATGGTGCAGAATCTCAGCCAGTATGTCCTTTGTTATGAAAGCGTGCTTGAGTGGCTTGTTTCCCGAATGGGTGAGCCCTCTTGATGTTTGAATCTTGAACGATTGGAGATACCCATTTTCTTTTCGGACCTTGCATTACTGTGGTGTTTTTTTTTTTTTTAATGGGCTTGGGAGTTTATGATAGAAATGATGAGTATAAGAAAGCATCATAGCTTATCATCGGTGACGAATACACGAAGCATTGTCATCTTTTCTCATTTTCTAGAGGTTCCAGATGTCCCTTGTTTGAATATCCATGTCTCATAACATTGGTTTTCGACTATAAAAATGCATAGAAACACGAAATATATATTTTTTTTTCACGGACCAATTTTTCCAATCTTTTTCAAATAAAAAAAGATAAACTGTGCATATGAACATTTGAAGCCTCGCCTAGGTAGGAATCCCAGTAGAGACCTAACATAGAGAGCACTTGAGCACTTGAGGTTGATAATCCTTGGAAATATACCAGTTGACTCAAGTGCTACTAGTAGTATTGTATGCTGGAAAAATACCAAGTGTTTATTTTGCCGCGGGTGTTGATCGCCCCATACTTAATTGGGAAAAGCACAATACACCTGACGAGGACCTTTTCCTCACCCATTGTTCATATGCACTTGACTTCCAGAGTTGAAGCTTTCAATTTGCACTTGAAGCTTACTTCATTGTTTTACAAAGGTCCGTGCCAAGATTAGTCGCTTGAGAGCGAATCCACAATTTCCACTATACAAGCCTGGCTAAACCGAATTCTCAGGCAACAGCCGTAGAGCCTAGAGACATCGGCGCCTAACACAAATGTGCAGATGCAGCCTCACTCACTTCCTCTTTGATATTAAAAACTCCCGTATCCTGTTGATTTGGTCTCGCCCCTTCAAATTTCTTCCGGTTTTCCATCTCTCCCTCCAAAGCTCTCTTCTCTCCAGAGGTCTCTCTTCCCGATACATGCACTCCAGCTTTCAAAGTTATACATCGACTTCGGGACACCAATCCCGTACTTCCAAGTTCCGTGTTACAATCTCCCAACATCCACGGAGTTGAACAATGCTACTCTCGCTCCCTCCTGAAATAATCCAGCTCATTCTACGAAAGTGCGATGGGCCATCTTTCTTGCAGGCGGCATTTTCCTGCCGCTCTCTATTGGCACTTGCCACTAGCAGCCGCGATCTGGTCCGGTACCAGCTCTTAGAGACGCCAGGTCCGTCTTCCAATATTGATGCGCCACTACCAACCCGCAAACTATTTCAGCTGCTACTGCAGCAATCCCATCGGGAGCTGTATGGAGTCAATTTTCAATTCGAGCGCAAGATATTCAGCTTTGGAGGCAAAGTGGTGGACAGTCGTGCCTCTTCTATTATAGATGCAGGTTCTAAAAAGCAAATTATGTTGGTCTTCACGGATGACCCCACAGTCTATCTCTTGGATATTCAAGATGGGGCATTGACTCTTCAACGTCAAATCGAGAGTCCCGCGAAGCAATTTGGAGATGTCCAGATTGTCCATACTGCGTTGAATCAGGAGAGAGCATATGTGCTGCATCGTCTTCAGCCTTTCAATGTCCAAGAACCCGTCAGCAACCACCCTTTTGTCAAACAGGCTTTGCAATCCAACCCCAACGGAAGTATCTTCTTGGCTTGTTACGATTTAAATCCCGAGAACAACGTAATATACACCTATGGGTTCCCGGAAGAGAAAGATTACAACCCTTTGAGTTTCGCGGTGGAGAATGACCAGTTTGCTATTTCCTGGCAACATGTGCAAAAAGAGGACAATCAAGTCGTTCTTTACACTATGACGGAGTTTGGCAACGAGTTAGACTCCGAAGAAGCCGACCCTGCTAAGCGATACGAAGACCAAGACGATGACCACGATATGCCAGAGACAGATGCGAGAAGGTCACTAATCATTGGTTTGTTCAACTCCTTCTGGACCACAGGCCCAGCAATGAATGCCTTGCTGACACCAATTTAAATTACAGCCTCGAAATACACGTATCTTGTCCTCGCGATAAACAACACATGTAATCCAGATTACGAAATTACTGAGCCGACAGTAAAACTGACATTCAATGATCGAGGACAACAACTTTTACACCACTCCCGGGGCCAAACTCTCTACAACAGCTTCCAGAGACTCAATGAGTCCACGCAAGGATCTTGGAAGCCGACCAAGAAGAGCACAAACGCTTGCGCCGTTGCACTCAGAGAATCTCTTTCCCTCAGTTTCTCAATTGGAATCCCATTTTTCGCTGCTCATAAGCAGATAGGTGGACAATATGGCAGGATTCGTTGTTGTTGGCAGTACCTTGCTGTTGGTATTGCAACTCATCGGGTGGAACACTGGTCCGTGGGCTGTGTATTAAGATCTTCGGCCTTACCCATGTCTCACAACTGTAGCCATGTGGTGAACCTTGACCGAGGCAGGCGATTGAACAATTGGGAGGTCGTGGCCCTGCTGGAAGGGTTCCAAGAGACGAGCACCTCGCAGGGGTCTCTGATAGCAACTTCACGTCAAGGTACCCGTATTGCGATTGCTAGTTGGAAGACCGTGTCAATTTGGGCCCTGGAGCCGACCGCTTTGACTGATGGCCTGGATTATCACTTTTATCCCACTTCGTGGTACACTGCAGAAGGTTATCCAGGGCTCCGGCCCGCTGTCATCGAGTTAGATGCCGTATGCTCCCAGTTGCAATTTACCGAGAATGAAAACGAACTGGCTGCCATCACCGGTCGAGGGCTCCTGTCGCTGCGTCTCAAGCCTGACGGGCGAGGAATCCAATTGATCGACAGCCCCGCGGACGACATTCTCAAAGGAAAAGTCAACGTCTCATAGTTCCCTACATTGAGCTTTGACAGAGCCCGGTCCCAATTGCATTAGGTGGCTTGGCCCATCAAAATAGATATTTGGCGCAACTCAAGCAAAGGAATGTCTTTTGTCTTTCTTTCCTCTTGTTCAAGCTCTAGTTTTTATGGTTTTGCCCACTGTGAAACGCACCTGTGCCTTCATATAGATATTGGAGCTACACCATACAATATGTGTTTTGCCCCTGTCCTTGCTACTATGACATTATGATCAAATAATTCCATGCACCAAGAACCCGTAATCGTTTTGTTGGGAAGCAAATATGGTATTTCTTTAATCTATAATCACGCTCTATTATCATTCCCCACCGCCGCCGCCACCGCCGGACATGGTCAAAAACGTGACAATCAAGAGAACCCACCAGTACCTGTTGTCATATTAGCTATGGGACCTTCGCAGGTAAATCAAGAATAGAAGAGTTCATGACTTACTTTTGGAAAAGGGTTTTCTCCGGTACTTCGTCGGGGTTCTGCCCATCGGGGCGCAGCACGATGGGTCGGTTCAAATGCGGCTGTGTACCCGGTGTGTTGAATGCCAGCTCAATCTTAGGAGCTGATGCTCTATCGGATGGTGAGGAGGAGGCCGCAAGGGAGATATGGTAGACCTCGTTGGAAGGTCCGAGGTGGAGGCGAATCGTGGGCTGGTGCTCTCCGGTCAAAGCGGACAAAGACACCAAGCTGCCAGACCATTGCTTGGGATTGGAAGGTGTCACGGCGTAGTGACCAATGCGAACGAGGCCATCATCATTGGAGGAGCTGGAAGGAGGGTGGTAGGACACCAGCTCGGACTTCAGCGAGGCTGGATCATAAGCGACGCGCGCGAGGAGGGAAGGTTGTGGAGATCCGACGGGCCAGTAGAAAATGTCGGAGGACTCGGCGGCGACGGCGGCGATCAGGAGCGAGATTGCTCCTAGCAGAGATAGGAGATACATGGCGTGAGGTTGTTGTCGGAAGCCAAGATTCGAAGGGAAAGGGGAAAAGTTGGTGAGAGGCTACTTTGCTATATCGGTATCGGGGCGGTCGGGCCGTGCATTTTGATAAGTACTCATCCAGGTACATTACTATACATGTTACCCCACAAAAATACTTGATGCTGTCATATCTAAAGAAACTTGATATGCTTTGACCTTTTTTCAAGTCAATCGACTTTGGAACTTTCGCCTTCACTCAGTCCCATTGTCAATTTCAGTAAAACTTTCCTTCTTGACCTCTCACATTGATAAGCTAATCGTGTTTCTTACTCCACTGTGAAGCTTTCCCCTCTTCCCCCCCCACATTTCACTTTTGATCGCAAAAGCCACAAAATGGCACTTCCTTATCGCCGTTCATCTCAAATGGGCTCGCGACAGGCCTCCCTGGACCCGCGAAATGAAGTAACAGTGCACCTCGATCATTTCATTGGTATCGACGTGGGAACGGGCAGTGCTCGCGCCTGTATCATCGATGCCAAAGGTGATATTGTAGGCTTAGCCACAGAAAACATTGGACTCTGGCAGCCAGAGCATGGCTACTATGTATGTCCCCTGCACTGAGATACTTGGTAACCATTCACAATCTCTTGGCCAAGTGCTGACAGACGTATGTGGCTAGGAACAATCTACTGCGGACATTTGGCGTTGTATATGCACAGCCGTGCAGCGGGCCATTAGCCAGCACAATATCAGCCCGGAGACTGTCCGCGGTATCGGTTTCGATGCAACCTGCTCTCTTTCCGTGTTTAACAATGAATCCGGTGAACCCATCTCTGTGACGGGGCCTGACTTCGACTCGGACCGTAATGTGATATTGTGGTTGGATCACCGTCCGGTGGAGGAAGCAGCGAAGATCAATGCCACAAACCACAATCTACTTCGTTATGTGGGTGGCAAAATGTCCATTGAGATGGAAATCCCAAAAGTCCTTTGGTTGAAGAATAACATGCCCAAGGAGCTGTTTGACAAATGTAAATTCTTCGATCTGGCAGACGCACTCACTCATATAGCGACTGGCAACGAGAAACGGAGCTTCTGCAGTGTGGTCTGTAAACAAGGATATGTACCCGTTGGGGTTGATGGGAGTGTCAAGGGTTGGCAGGAAGATTTCTTGAATGATATTGGTCTGGGAGATCTGACTACAGACAACTTCAAACGCATGGGCGGCGTTGACGGGGTGGTGAGCCTTTCCCGAGTTGTGACAAGTGACAAATTGGCTAATAATATTCGTTCCAGAATGGTGACTATTTGAGTGCTGGTGAGCTTGTTGGCCATCTATGCGAAAAAGCGGCTGCAGAACTAGGCCTGCCCGCCGGAATCGCCATCGGCAGCGGTGTAATCGATGCTTATGCTGGCTGGATTGGTACCGTTGGTGCCAAAGTCAACCTGGGCCCTGACCAGCTAAATGACGAGGTGGCCAAGAATGATCTATCACAGGCTTTCTCTCGTCTTGCAGCAGTGGCCGGAACCTCAACTTGTCATCTGGCAATGTCACCGGATCCCGTCTTCGTGGATGGTGTCTGGGGCCCTTATCGAGATACGATCCTTCCAGGATATTGGATGGCTGAGGGTGGACAGTCTGCCACGGGAGAGTTGCTGAAGTATGTCATTGAGACACACCCAGCATTCAACCAGGCCACCTCAATCGCCGAATCTTACCATACCAATATTTATGAGTACTTGAACGAGCATCTCAAAGAGATGGTGCAAGATCAAAAGGCTCCGAGTGTATCTTGGCTTGGTCGTCATTTCTTCTTCTATGGCGATCTTTGGGGCAATCGGTCTCCCATAGCTGATCCTGACATGACTGGGTCCATCTTTGGGTTGACAAGTGACAAGACCGTTGATGGCCTTGCGATCTACTACTATGCCACCTTGGAGTTCATTGCCCTGCAAACTAAGCAGATCGTCAACACAATGAATAAAGCTGGTCACAGTATTACCTCAATCTTCATGTCGGGCTCGCAATGCCAGAACGATATCTTAGTCAACCTCATTGCATCGGCTTGCAACATGCCGGTGGTGATTCCTCGCTACATACATGCAGCTGTGTGTCACGGTGCTGCCATGCTGGGCGCGAAGGCTGCCAGTTCTGACCAAGACGGAAAGACCGAGAGCCTGTGGGTTATTATGGATCGAATGAGCAAGCCTGGCAAAAAGGTCATGCCTACAGAAAGCGCCAAGGAGAAGGCTCTTCTAGAGGCCAAATACAAGGTATTCTTGGAGCAGTGTTTCAAGCAGCAAAAGTACCGCCAAATGGTTGATGAAGCTGTTGGTGATTGGGAATCAACCTAATTATTCTTAGCCTATTGATTGCCGTGGACTTTGAACTTGGGTTGGATGAAATCTAGTTATACAACAGCATTTCACCCCCAGAGCAATGAACTCAACTGTGTATGGACCTAGAGCCTTATGGCCCGCACATGTGCAGGCAGCTGTAAAATTATAATACATGAGTACTTAAAACCGGACATGTGAATGCGATTGGCCACAAGCACCCTCGTTATTCCAAGTTTCTACGTACCTAGTAGGTAAAGTTTTTACGCGAAAAGAAAAGTCGGGAAAAGTTAGGTAGAAAGTCTAGAAATCATCATTGCAAGGTTAGAAGCATGCCACATGTGCAGATGGGGCAATCTTCGGGGAACTAATACTTTGAATGGGTGTCCTCCGTCCAGCAAGGAGTCGACGATTGGTAGGTAAATACAAGCGGGCCGATCGAGACAGAAATCCATTCATCCATGGACATCATGAAAGTGCTATGTAAAATGATAGATATGAGACAAAAGTGAAGGCCCATCGGAGACAACCCGGCAATGGCTGGGTATCATGATGAGCGAAATATGTTCAATTAGTATGCCACGCCGGAACGGGTACGTCCGATAGTATAGAACTTCTCGGAGCCCAGGGCGAGTTTGTCGAATCGATCCACACCCATGCTATCCATGTTGCTGTATCCTGATAGATAGAACCCGAGGATGACAACAAAGTAAGTCATGACGAGTACAGAGCCTTTGAAGTAATTACTCTTTCCTTCTCCGTACACGTATGATAGCAAGAAGACGCAGAGAATTACGGTGATCATATCCCATTGAGGGAAAATGAGGCTGTAGATTGTACAATGTAAGTGACCGAATCTTGACAGTACTTGTGGTAGGAAGAATGAACATACTTGAAAGAGTGTGCCGCCAGCTCTGCTGGGTCGATAGAGCTGGTATATACAGCACTAAAGAAAACTAGAGCAGGTATCTGCAATAGACAAACTTGCAAGGCATAGGCGGAACCGATCTCCATGGACAATGCAATGTTACCGTTCATTGCAAATGAGATGGCATTCTGTGATAGAGTCAGTGATAGTTCTTAAATTTGCAGAAAAAAAAAGATGAAGAAAAAAAACAACGGGCGGACATACAAGGAATTCAGTGGTGTTGGGGACCAGAGCAAACAGCGTGATTCCAAGGAACTTCTCATCGATATCCACGCTCTCTAAGACCACATCGACGGTATTGACAAGAAGCTCTGCAACCACAGCATAGAGGAAAGTTGCACCGAGGAGGATGATTGAACTCTTCGCCCGACTCCAATTTGGAGCATCGTGACCTCCACCAGCGTGATTCGCATCAGGGGGAATTCCAACATCCTCGGCCTCCTCTACAGGTGGTTTGGTTTGTTCGGCCAAAGCACGCCCGGCTTGACGCCCGGCAGTCTGCTGACCCGTGAACTTCCGACTCCGGGTAGCATCACGAGCGGCCACTGCAGCAGCTGTGGCTGCCACTTCGGTAAACTGGCGGACAAGTCGCTCATTATCCTCCCCGGTCATCACATGGATGGGTTTGGGAACGTGCCGGTTTTCCTCAGCTGGCGGGGGTACCAGATGGGGTATGTTGCCCCGATGATCCGCCCCAGAGCTGCAGTCGGTTTGTTCCCAAGTGCTCATGCTTCCATCTTCTAGGCCAACTTGCCTGAGCGACTGGCCTAGAATCCGCTTGTATAGCTGGGACTCCCGAATGGAATCCTTGTGACCAGGAAGGGCACCGGAAGCTTCGGGAGATCCTGAGAAGGGCATGTGCCTGGGATCAAGGGTCATGGAATCATGGATAGGTTGAGACGGTAACTTCTTCTCCTTCTCCTTCTCTTCAACCTCGGTGGCCCAAATCAGAGCAGCGTGGGTTCTCAGCGTGAACCAAAGACCGATAATGTACGACAGGAAAAGGAAAACTGCTGCAGCCCATGCATAAGGTTGGACTGCTTTCTCGAAAAACACATCCTTGACAGCTGCCACCTGAGAGAAATAGCATTGGCGGCAGTCATCCTGGACTGTCAGGCCAGGAACTGGCACACATGGATGGCAATTGAGTTCGTGCTACAGTAAGAAAGTCAGCTCATGACTCGGCGCTTAGATGAACAGAATCGGAATAACTTACACTACCATAAACTTGGTAGAAAAGGGTGGGGCCAAAGGCCGCAATCATAGCAAATAGTAACATCGTCGAAGTCACGCCAGCAGACTTCACATTGAAGCGCTGAGTCTTGCGTTTAATGGCGCCAAAGCACATGGAGAGGCCGGGTAGAAATAGAATACCCGCAAAGATACTTCCGATGATACTACCCTCAACAAGCTGAGCCTTGCCTTCTGTTAAGGCGACACAGTAGAGGTAAACTTCCACAATGGTTGAGAAGAACGCGTTGATCGCAGCACCTAGGCCCATTGAAGACTGGGCCGAGATCGAAGCAACTGCCTGTCCGATGAAGTAGGCTAGCGGAATGATTGATAACAGCGCTAGGGTAAAAATGAGCCCCGGATGTGTCAACCAAGAATCTATGCCCAAAAACCGGCCTATAACGTAGTAGTCGAATATGACAAAAAAGACCACGCTCAGCAAGTTGATGAAAAAGATGTTTGTGCCGTCGATCGTGTATTTCCAGTACCTTGTGCCTACAGCACGGTATGTGCATAATAGGATGGAAGGCGAAGAAGACCCTGAACTGAGTCGTGCATATGAGGTATCGGAATGGAAAGACAAGGCAAGAGGGTGGCGTCGTAGATGGCTCACCAGGATGAGTGTTACACGGCCCATCGGAATGCCGAAAACCAGTAGCCAACAGAATAAGGATACCATAAGCATCAGGGGTCCCACCAGGAAGTAGAAGAACACAAAGAATACGACTCGACCCAAAGTCCATTCACCACGGCCAAATAGACGACGTTTTCCATGAGGGGGCTGTGAATCCTGATGTTGTCCTCGTTGAGGCCGGCCCAGCAGACTGTCATGTTCACCGGCTGAATCCACGCTATTGCGCCGGCGCCCCACGAGGGATCGATCTCTGTGTGGACCAAAGAACAATCGACCATGCTCTAAATCTCCGTTCTGCCATTGCTCATATTCGCTGATACTGCGACCCTCCCCTTCATCTTCCTCCGCATAAAGTTCATCTGTCTCTAGGAGAACAAACGATCCAAAAGGATACAGAAGGTATCGAGAAAGCCCCAAGAATACCCTCCCATAAGCCACCGCACTAGATGAATAAGAGAAGAAAAAGCAAGCCGCTGCTGCGACAAAGGCGATGAAGGCGAGCCACCATCCAAAGAATAAAGACCACAGAAGATTGGTTAAGAATAACATGGGGCTGACACGACCTCCTGGTGAAGAATGAATATCTCCCTCGGCGGTTTTTTCCACCGACCGGCTCTTCTTGTACACAGCCGGCTTCCAGATTCGAATTCCGAAGGGATGCGTTTCATTAATGGCTTGCTGCCGATCCTTGAGCGTGAAGCTTTCCGCATCACTGGATGCTCCCTCGTCGTCAGGGTCCACATCTTCCTGCTCTTCGTCATCTTCGTCGTCGTCATTCTCATCATTGTCGCTATGACAGTCGTCACCGCTTTCCAGGTCGCTCCCTCCATCTGATTGTCTTAAGGACGGGAGCTCCCTCGAGTCATCCAGGCTAGGTTTTAGCAAACCAGTGTCCTCTCCAGTAAGATGATCAGACTCAGCTCGTGTTAGAGGACTGGCGCGGGTACTGGGACGCCGTCTCAGGGTGGAGCTTGGCGCACGTAGGGGTCGAATTCTGGGGGATTGCTGGGTAGTGGAGGCCTGGTGCAGCGCGATATCCTCTTCAATCTCTTTGATATCATCATCAGTCGAGAACTCTTGTCCCTTGTGGGGTATTTGGCGTTTTGAAGACATGCGGCGGGTGACTGGTGGCTTTTTGAGCCTATCGGGAGCGGTAGAGGACGAGGTGAAGGCGCGGGTTGAGAAATCCTCTGAGGCATCTTCCTGGCGTACTTCGGACGTTGACTCGGCGGGAACATTACTAGTATCCAGGGTTCCTATTCGTGAATCCCATCAGCATCATTCATAGGCCGCCCAATTCCCTTGGATCTTCTTTTGTTACACGAAGGGGTTAGCCTTACCGTAGGTTCTTCGCACAGATGGCGTTGATCTCGGAATTGATGGACCCGGAAGAAAGTCACTTCCTGTCATCCCCGAGGGCCGGTTTGACTCCGGGATGTCGAAGTCATTTGCGTTGCCCGCCATTTCAGGGTCCCAATAGTTGGGCGCCGAAAGATAACGGGATTAGAAAATCAAAACGATAGCTCTAAAACGAGAATAACAAAACGGAAAAAAAAGCAAAAAGGAAATAACAAGCCCAAATATGCAGGGATCGACTAGGATAAGATGAAGTCAATCAACCCGTTACATGACGGGGAGTAGGTGAAACAAATCGTTGTTCATGATCATCGCATCAGCTGAGATGCGAATAATGTCATGGCAGTACATAAATCCAACGTGGAGAGCTCGAGCCCGATGACCCATGGTTCACCTCCAATCAGCAAGTGGATGACTCATCACGTGGGTAGCTATCAGTTTGTGCTGTTTGCTTACCCTTGTTGGCCTTGTTGGCCTTGTAGGCCTTGTGGCCTGACATACCAGGCGTCCAGATCATGTGTTTGGTTCCCGCAGCTTCGAGAGAGCTGGGCCAGCTCCAACAGTGAGGACTCTCATCCCAATCATCATCGCTCTTCTTTTCCCCCTCACCACCTTTAACCAATCTCACTTTGGCCGTGTCTTTCCGCCACATCTCCCAGGGCCAAACTCAGAGGATCTATCCAACAAAATCCCCATTCCCCCGTGGAAGTCAACAGCCCGTGACCTCTCCTCGCTCCGATAGCGTCATCTCGTCAACATGGCGCTCGACAATTACTACCACAATAAGATCGAGGATATGAAACTGGAAATTATCCAGGGCCAGGCAGTTCTACGACGTTTAGAAGCACAGCGTAATGACTACAACTCGCGAGTGCGGCTGTTGCGAGAGGAGCTCGGTCTCTTGCAGCAACCTGGCTCCTACGTCGGCGAGGTTGTGAAGGTGATGAGCACCAAGAAGGTCCTGGTCAAGGTGCATCCGGAAGGAAAATATGGTATGTTCCAACATGCTTGAATGCGACTTGCAACAGTACTTTCCTTGATCGCGTCAGGTTCTAACGAGGTTCAATATTTCAGTGGTGGATATCGCCGATGGCGTAGATATCGCCAAGCTCACCGTTGGAAAGCGAGTGGCGCTTCTCTCGGATTCTTACAAGCTGGAGAAGATGCTGCCTTCCTCCGTCGATCCCCTCGTTTCGCTCATGATGGTGGAGAAGGTTCCGGACAGCACATACGACATGATCGGTGGTTTGGATCAGCAGATCAAGGAGATCAAGGAAGTGATCGAGCTCGGCCTAAAGCACCCCGAGCTATTTGAGTCGCTGGGTATTGCACAGCCCAAGGGTGTTCTGCTGTACGGTCCCCCCGGTACCGGAAAGACCCTGTTGGCCCGAGCCGTGGCCCATCATACCGACTGTCGATTCATCCGTGTTAGCGGTTCAGAATTGGTTCAAAAATACATTGGTGAGGGTAGTCGAATGGTGCGTGAGCTGTTCATCATGGCCCGTGAGCATGCGCCGAGTATCATCTTCATGGATGAGATCGACAGTATTGGATCTAGCCGTATAGACTCAGCAGGAGGCGGTGACTCGGAAGTGCAACGGACCATGCTTGAGTTGCTGAATCAACTGGATGGTTTCGAGCCCACTAAGAACATCAAGATCATTATGGCAACCAATCGATTGGACATTCTTGATCCCGCCTTGCTGCGACCCGGACGTATTGACCGAAAGATTGAATTCCCCCCACCATCGTCAGTGCTCCCCTCCTTTCTGCCGCTTATTGATTACATACTAACTATTGTATTTGCAATGCAGGATCGAGGCTCGTGCCGATATTCTACGCATCCACTCCCGATCAATGAACCTCACTCGTGGCATCAACCTGACCAAGATCGCCGAGAAGATGAACGGGTGTTCAGGAGCTGAGCTTAAGGGTGTATGTACCGAGGCTGGTATGTACGCGCTGCGCGAGCGACGAGTGCACGTTACACAGGAGGACTTCGATCTGGCCACCGCCAAGATTCTCAACAAACATGATGACAAGGAGGTCGCGGTGTCCAAGTTGTGGAAGTAGAGTGGCGGGGATGATCGACGTGTATCACTAGTTCTAATCTACCCGTGGGTTTTTTTTTGTTTCTCCCTCAATTGTGTATTGATATGTGACGATCAATCATGATGATTGCTCCTGGCGACCTTTGTCCTGCCTTCTCCATCTTGGCACGACCCACCTGGGCACTAGAGCATATGTATACGAAGTGCAGAGAGTAAAGTGAGTATTAGAGAACGCATTGGGTATCTTACTCCAGATCTCTATATTCGTACCCATTTAGATTCCAGACAGTGATCAAATCTAGCCGGTAAGAATTGGGTATACCTTAGTAGTTCCGCTACCTGACAAATACTATGTGCTATACTAGGTCGTGTTGTTCAATGTTGACAGCTGTAGGAAGCCTGGTCATTGTGCATATCAACCTGATTTGTTGGGTTAGATGCAAGATGAAAGCATTGTATTCCGACCTAATCATCCGACGACCATCGGACTTTGCAGTTGGCAAAAAAAGAAAAAAAAAAGAAAAAAAGAAGAGAAAAGGGAACATTACCATCGACTCTGTGTGGCCCGAATTTCGGACGTGAAAGGAAACATGCAGGTTGAGAAACACATTATCTTGGCCGTAACCCCCTTGAAGTCTTGGCTTGCTGAAGCTATCACCAATTTTGACCTGATGCACCTGGGCAGCGGAGAGCATGCCGCGGTATCCCTGGAGCGGAGTACGGTGTATGGTGTACAGAGTAGGCTATCGGCAGACTATTTCAGCACTGCCCCCAACAATTTGAAGGACTAGCGCATCATAGTTGCTTCATGCTTCATGTACCATCGCAAGTCCCATGTACTCTTGTACTCTTGGTTTTCATACTACAGATAGGCTGAAGGAGAAGGTCGAGATCGACCGCTTGGCGTGGATCATCTAGCGCCCTGGCGAGGTTATTGTCTTGGCAGTTGGGATCGAACTGGTCTGCAGTGTCACATATCAAAATACTTCAAAATGATGCTTTCTTACTATCGGTATGCCAAGGGCCAAGAGATTCTTGGAATTTTCTCTTTTCTTAGACATGTTGAATTCCCTGTCTCTCCATTTCTTGCTCTTTTGCTCGTTCTTGGCCTTTGTCTGTCGCTATTCCTTGTACATACATATTTTTGTCTTTTTTTTTTCTTTTTCTTTTTTCTGGCGTGATCACCCTGACCCACCTATGACGAACATAACTGTATCCTCGATGTGGTGTTTGAAGAGTCGATTGGACCACGACAAGTTCTCTTCTCGAATAAAATAGAGAAGAAAGTGGATACTCGCACTGACGCGGCCTAAAAACGAACCGCGTGACCAGCGGATCAGTGGGATCGGTGGGATTAGTGGGAATCAGTGGGGGCAATTGACAGCCCAAATGTACTTGGGAGTGGGCCTCTCTTGAATACGGAGTACCCGGTACTTGATCTCCCCAGGGTCCCACTAGTTCAAGCCTCTCCATTTCCCCCATATTTCATGTACCTGGTACTTTGCCCCCCCCCCTTACATCTTTGCATTATTGGTAGTTTCTTTATGTATGTTCTTTTTTTTTCCTTTTTCCTTTTTCCTTTTTCCTTTTTCCTTTTTCCTTTTTCCTTTTTCCTTTTTTTGCCTTTTCTTTTATTGATTTTGAATTTCTGATTTTTTGCATGTCTTATCTGGGGGAATTTGACATGCAATGTACTTTGTACTTACATTCGAACTTACGTTAGGGGCGAGAGTTGTTCATCTTCCAAGGTTATAAGTAGTGGTTCTATGTATGATATAGTAATGACAATCCACTAGCGCTATCACACCAGACAATCCAATATACAGGGTAGATTCCAACTTGATCTGACAAGTTTCTAGTAAGTACTACTTATATACTCTCTCATTCTCTCATTCTCACTTTATACTTTCCTTTATAGTATACTACTCCTGTAGTATAGTAGTATACACAAAAGCCCGGACTTGCTGCTTTAGGTGAATCCGCATCGCTGACCGACTCTTATCATTACTCAATTGAATAGTCCAACATCATTTCTCCACTGTCGGATCTCCCTTTCCGTCCCCACCGGAGCTTCATCGGCCGCTATTCTCTTTCTCTCCCCGGTGAAGCCATTTCGTACTTCTGGCTCAGATGATCTGATCTATTTCATCCGCATTTATCCCCGAGTCCCTGAATTCCCCACCCACGGCTTTATTGTGGAACCATCCCCTTCACTTTGTTTATAATATAAAGACTGCCGGGCCATGTCCGACTTGTGGTCTGCTCTTGTTTCTGCCATTGATTCCAACACCGAAGCCATGCCCGCTGTCCTCCAATCTACTATCCATCTCTTGGAAAACGAGCTGGTCAAAGCCCGTGCCGCTCTCCAAGAGATTCACCAACCCCACGCGCCGATCTTGCACATCGGCAATGAAGTTGCCGCTGGCGCCATGATCGCTTATCGCCAAAATCTCATCGGCCGCGCTCCCGATTTCTATGGTTCCCGTCGCCTCACCGCAAAGGAACTTGGTCTTGAACCAACCGTGCGCGAGATCTCTACAATCAAGTCTACACCCAAGCCCACACCTACACCTACTCCTCCTCCATACCGAGCGCCTATTGAAAAGGCCCTTACCAACAGTTTGATTCTGGACCATGTGGCACCTTATCTCGCAGCCCCGTCCTTGCTGGCTTTGGCATCAACGTCACGAGTCATGTATAGCATGGTCACGCAAACTCCATATATTTTTCGACATCTTGATCTGACCCGCTGTCGAGGTGCTCGGCTTCCTAAGAATTCGCAGCAGCAGGATGAGCTGCAGACGGAGGATGAAGTATACTCGGCCCCTCTGCGACGCATCTTCGCCAGCCTGGAGAAAAGATCGGTATTGCAGGATGTACGCACTTTGGTTCTGGATGGTCTACCAGTACCGGCCAATCTCGTTGCCGATATAATCCTGACAGATCGATTTAATATCAGCATCCTCTCAATCCGTGAATGCCTTCATCTAAATGAGCGGAAGCTCATGCAGATCATTCAACATGCCGTCCGACCTACACGCCCTGAAGGTACTCCCCGGATCAAGGGCATCTATCACTTTTCACCTAAAAGTAAGCGAACCCAAGCCCCAGTGCGACGCCGTTATCGCGACTGGTGGAGTTCTCGCATTGGTAGCTCTAGCTCCCGGAGTTCGAGCCAGAGCTCATCTAGCACTTCATCGGACGAAGAGGAAGATATCCCCAAGACACCCACGGAACAAAATGAGTGGTACAGCTCATCGGGCAAATTGTTCAAATATACTCTAGAAGATGGCTGGGCACAAACGTTGGTGAAATGCGAGGGTATCATTGCATTTGATGCGGTACTTTGTCGCGGACCACGTCACGATGTCAATATTTACTCCTCGACAGATGAGAATCTGACACCTGAAGAGCCTCTCTTGGAACCAGCGGTTGCCACCGTGGCACTGGGGCCGCGTGGTTGTGATGGATGCCACAGCTCTCCAGAAGGACCAGCAATCTGGGGACAGTCCCCAGATCTACAGTTCCCACTGCTGAGCCCAATGCCATTGCACATGTCAAGCACAATAACTGCAAAGCGCCCTGAACAGATTCCAGGACAACATCCATGTCTGATTGCGCGATGCGCCGACTGTTTGACAGATCGCTGGTGCCACCGGTGCAACAAATGGTTTTGCGCTAGCTGTCTACCCAACCCTCAGCATAATCAAATGAATCTTTCCCCACATCAGACTGCGGTCCGTCCGGCCCAGGGACTGACGGGACCAGTTCGGGAACTAGAGCGAGAGGTATGTAAATCAGCGTATGCCTGGATACTCCATTGCGACAACTACTAACACGTTCTATTCTGTAGGAACTTACACGCGGAGTGAGTAAGGATTGCTGGGAATGTGGCCCGACCGTGAGTGGCAACCTGATTATCTCGGTCATATAAATACTCATCCGTTTTTATAGTGTGCATCATGTAAGCTGGATTGCCAGCGTACCTGTCAGAGCTGCCGGGGTGAATATTGCATCGACCATAACGCAGGATGCTCCGCCACGATGGTAAGGCTTTTTCTTTTTTTTCATCGATGACATCTGGGAGTACAAACACTAACTGTTTCCAGTGTGATTGGTGCAATACCAGTGCTAGCAACCGTATGCGGTTTCGTTGAAGGTTGATGGATTTCTAAGCGGGAGTTGAGTGATTATGTTTACTTAGTACTTTGATACCATATCCGGGGGGCGCGGAGTCTTCCAGAACTTCTTAAGCTTTCCGCGTTCCCCCCACCTTTAAATTTATCGCAAATGCCAAACTCTTATCTTCTATTCATGCGTCATGGAAGAAAACAATACTTTGAACTGGTCCGCCCAGCTGGCTGTAACTGCTCCTCAACAAACTCCTCGTTTACCGGGAGATAAAATTATTCTCCCCCAATCTGCTCTCGAACAGCTTCTTGCCGCCGCACCACTCCAAGCTGTCCCTCCGAACCCTCGCGTGCATACCGCTGCCTTTGATCCCTTCAACCACCACACATTTGCCGCGGAGTCACGAGCTCGTCAGCAGGTCGAGAATCGTCAGCACCAGCTTCCCCACCCTCTCACGTTCCGCATCGTCAACCCCCAGAATGGTCGTTTCGTATACGCGGGGATCCGAGAGTTCTCCGCAGCGGAGAACGAGGTGGCACTGAGCGCTTTGTTGCGGGAGTCACTTGGTATCCAGGATACTGAGTTTGAGTTATATACGAACGGTGCGACACAAAATATAGAGGAAGGGGAGGCACAAGATCAGCCAGCTGCGTCAGGCCCGACTGTCACGGTGCACGCAAAGCAACTGCCCAAAGGCACCTATGTACGATTGCGCCCACTTGAGGCTGGCTACGACCCGGAGGACTGGAAAGCCTTGTTGGAGCGACACTTGCGGGATAACTTTACAACTCTCACTGTCAATGAGCTATTGAATGTCCCCGGGACACGCAAAGAGTCTTTCCGATTTTTGGTTGATAAGGTATACCCAGAAGGGGACGGGATTTGTGTTGTAGACACAGACTTGGAGGTTGACATTGTTGCACTATCGGAGGAACAAGCCAGAGAGACTCTGAAAAAACGATTGGAACGGGCTGCGCGGGCACCTGGTACAACGAGCGGCAGCTCAGTTGGTGGCGTTCTTGCTCTCGGGGAGGATGTGGCTGCCCAGGTTTTACCAGGGGAATATGTTGACTACGAGCTTCGAGAATGGAACCGTGAAGACGCACTCGAGGTTGAACTCATCACAGATGACCCCAACCTCTGCCTTTTCGTGAGTCCATTGGGTTCGCGTCAACAAGGCCGCCCTCGAACGGACATGCATGTTTGGGGAGATTTTTCGAGCCAGTCTCCCAAGCGAGTTAAGATTCAGCCAACAAATGTGGCCCTTGAAGGAGCCGAAGCTCTGTATATCTCAACACACGTCAATTCTTTTGCCTCGGACTCTGAGGATACCACACCTGCGCAGCAATCTCCAGTGCAATACCACCTACAAATAACCGCGAATACATCAGAGGAAAATACGGAGACGGACGAGGCCCATGAGTCTGGTGATGTTCAGTGTCAAAATTGTCGACAGTGGGTACCGCAGCGGACATTGGTCCTCCATGAGAACTTTTGTCTCCGAAATAACATTCTTTGCTCTCAATGCAATAATGTTTTCCAAAAAAGATCGCCAGAGTGGGAGAACCACTGGCACTGCCCTCACGATTCAGCGCACGGCAATGATGCCTCCAGCAAACTTAGTCACGACGCTATCTTCCACAGCGCTCACAGCTGCCCTGATTGTACTGCTCAATTTGAAGGACTTCCCGCACTGGCACAGCATCGCACCACCGACTGTCCAGGCAAGTTAATCCTATGCCAATTCTGCCACCTGCTCGTGCCCCAGAAAGGCGAAGCAGATCCCGATCTCCACGATCCCGAAGTCATGCTATCCGGCTTAACGCCACACGAGCTATCAGATGGCGGGCGAACCACTGAATGCCATCTATGCAACAAGATCATCCGACTCCGCGATATGAACACCCATCTTCGACATCATGAATTGGAGCGCGTTTCACGTCCGCCTCCTCGCATATGTTTGAACCAGAATTGTGGCCGCACACTTAATAGCGCAAGCAACGGGTCCCTCGGTCTATGCAGCATCTGTTACGGTCCGCTATACGTGGATACTTATGACCCAGAAGGCGCGGCGCTTCGACGCCGCATTGAACGACGCTATTTATCTCAAATGATGACCGGTTGCGGCAAACCGTGGTGTCAAAATGAATACTGCAAAACCGGGAGACAAAATAGAAAACACATAGATTCCTCTTCTCCAGCCGCAATGGGCGTGGCTGATATTAGGAAGGTAACGCGCCCGCTTATCGAAGTCATCAACGTCAAACCTGAAGTGCCCAATACATCGCCGTTGTACTTCTGCACGGATGAAACGGGGCAGATTCGTCGCAACTTGGCGGAGATGCTCTCTGCCGAGGGCTCTACAGCCGATGGCAAAGCATATGCCATTGCGTGGTGCGTTGCTGGTGCCGAAGCGGCTGGTGGTGATTTAGAGAAGACCAGAGAATGGCTGGCGAAGTGGGCGCCAACGCAGGGTGAGATGAGCAGGTGAATCGGCTTGACTGGGTCATTTCTGGGGAGTTCAAATGTTTATGACAGGGATTGTTTGAGCACCATTGAAGGACAAATTTTGCATCATACAAGGTCTTCCATTGATGGAATTAGATAGAGGGACATTCACGAATCTAATGGTTTAATGATATATAACACTTTTTGTGAATCTCGTGATATTCATAAATTAGATGTAAGGACACCTAGCAAGCCTAAGAATACTCCACATGTCTCCCTATTCATCTTCTACGGAATAAGCATGAACACGGAGACGGCAAACATACATACGCCACCGTCAGGCTATGGTATATTCAACTTATTTTAAGTCCCAAGTATTCGCCGCGAAAAAGAAGCATCAAAACCACAGAACCCTTCTAAGCAGCACCTGTTTTCGCAGCAAGGGTACCCGTGCCCCGGGACGAGAAGATACCCATAATTCCGAAGACGACGTAAAACAACGCCAAAGGATACGCCACCAATCCGCGCATGCCACTCATGCGCGCCACGGCACAGAACATCCCAGACGAGCTGTATGTGCACCAGCCCACGGCAGCGGTAGTCAAGAGATACCCGAACAGGGTGTCCATGGGGAGCAAGACACCAATGAGAGCGGTCAACACAAGTGGGAGGAAGCAGTATCCCAGAACACTGGCTGAGCGGGGGAAAGTCAGAGTTGCCGAGAAGTGACCAGCAGAAGAGACACCGGAGATGGAGGGCTTGTGGTGCGGGTTATAGTTGGCGGGGTCGGCGGCATTCGGAGTTGGGGGTCCATCGAGGATGGGCGACATGAGACTCAAAATGAGGTGCAAGGAGACGGTGCCAAAGACTGCAACGCCGTAGATGTAGCCATAGAACACCTTGCCGGATAAGAGAAGGAAAAGACCGTATAAGAAGACATAGAGCAAGGCGCCGTAAAGATCGCTGTCGTCCATTAAATGGTTGTCGATCGAGGCGAATGGATTTAGCACGGTCAAGGTCTGCAATGGCAAAGCTGTCAGCTCATATAAGAATAAATACAAAATATGTTCAAAGAGAAGCATAAAATGCATGCTGTTCGAATCTGGGTTTGTAGTAGATTCAACGAGTCGTATCGCTCCTGGATGCAGATACACCCCCCTTTCAATAACTTGAACTCACCTTTGTTTTGATGTGACCAAGGTTAATTCCCAACTCCTCCTGTAAAGACGGTTCTCCATCATACCCCTCGGCTCCAAACGCGGCTAACCAGCCTGTCCTCAAGCCGCTCTGTTCGCCCATTCTGCCGCTCACACCAGCAGGTGGAGATCCAAATCCTCCATATCCACCCCCGGGGTAGGCTTGTGAGGAAGGGTTGGGGGCACCGCCAAAGCCAGCGCCGTATGAGGCCTGTGAGGGAGTCGTGTGGCCGGATACTGAGGCATAGGACGAGGGGAAGAACTGGAGGTTCTGTGCGGAGCCTTGAGGGCCGTAGCCCGGCTGCTGTTGTTGGGGGTAATATTGAGTCATTGCCGTGGGCGGCGAGAAGACTGTTTTCTATTGGCAATGAGCAGGAAAGAGGTGGAATGTAAGCTTCGGGGGAGAGCTTGCGAAGCTCAAAGTGTCCAACTTGCGGTTTGTCCTGATGCCTGCTGACTCAGCCCCGCGTGTGGAGCCCCCGGGGCCCGAAGTATAGAACTAAGAACCGAATAGTTACGACAAAAATAATGAAATAATAAGGAAGGAAACACCGGATTAAACGCAAAAAAAACAATAATGAAGTGAGGTATAATTCAACTCCGCTAAATTCTAGTTATCAGAAGCATATTTCTACAGGAAGTTGATGCCAATTCCCAGCTGGAGGCCCTTTCGGCCCTCCTCACCCTTGCGAAGAACAAGCGGCAGAGAGAAATTAAGCTCGAACCGCGCCACGGGAAGGGCGTACACGAGACCAACACCAGCCGAGATGCTAGGCAAGCCGTTTTGCAGGTCAGAGATGGTTGAGATCATGGCATCCTGCACCTCGCCACTGGTTGAAGGGGGGGTCTTCTGCGAGGTGCGCAACGGCAACAGCCGACCACCATTCAAGAATGCTTGCAAGCGCAGCGGCTTCTCGGCTCCCACCCTGGGGAGAGGGAACAGTAAGTTAGCGCTTCCGGCAGCGTATACATCACCACCGAGGGAATCAGAGCCCTCACGAGGACCCAGGCCGCAGAGACGGAATCCACGAACGTCTGTCGGTCCACCAAGCAAGAAACGATCATTAACACGAGAGAGCTGGGGCTGCGAGTTTGTCTCCAGTCCTAGAGGGTAAAGAAGACCCGCGCGGAAGCCCGTGGTAAGGCTAATACCACTATCACCCTTGACACCAGGAATGGGAATCGGGATACTACCCTGGGTCTCGATTTCGGACTTCCAGAATGATACATCTCCCTTCAATGGGCCCCATCCGGCAACTTCATTGAAAATCTTGGCATAGTAACCGCGAGAGGGCAACATGGCGTTGTCACGCTGGTCATTGACCCAGCTGTGAAAGATGCTGCTCTTCACACTGTCTCCAGCATCGGCTCGGACAGTCGGGGAGGCGTTCTCCGCAAGTCCAGTAACCTGCCTCCAGATTCCGTTGTAGCCCAACTCATGGCGGTGGCCCGATTGGGAGAGCCATCGAAGCTTGCTCCAGCCGCCCTTGACTACTTCTTCGTGGCTAGCCCAGGACTTCTGGGTAGAGCTTGCGATACCACCAACTTCCAAGCGGAAATCCGGGTCACAGAAAATGGGGGTCTCAAATGCAGCCTGGTAGGCAGATCTTGTACGCGTTCCCAATGAGGCGTTAAGGTTCAAAGTCTCAGCACCGCCTAGCACGTTGCGCCATAAGAGGTTACCATAGGCCGAGCCTTCTGCATTTCCAAGGTCGGTTCCGGTCTTCAAAAGTACGCGAGACTTCTCTCGGGTAGCGAGGATAACATCGATGTTGCGCAGTCCGGTCGTAGGGTCTATTGGCGACTCATCCAGGTGAACAGCGATGGGCTGTTGGAATAGATCTAAGCAATTGTTTGTGTTAGTCAAGAGATAGGGTATATGTGTATCCGACTTGAGGGTCACCAACCGAACCGTCCAAGCTTGTCTGCCGTAGCCGAAACTTCCCGCAATGCCTCGGAAAGAGTGTAGGGTTGATCACGGTTTGCACCAAGAAGTGGGCTGACGATGTGCTCAAGAAAGCTTCGACGAGTATGGGGGGCGCTCTGGAAACGAACCGACGAGATGTTGCAGGGTAATGTAGAGTTTTGGTCGAGCTTTATAGCAATCATAGTTAGCCTGAAGATCCCCAAAATCCACCAGCATGGCTAAGAAACTATTATGAACACAAGGGCCGGGGGAAGCAATTAAAAACTCACCAATTCAGAAAGACGAGATTGGGCCTTTTGTAGAATTGCCTGCATCCGCTCATTCACAGCCTGCTGCTGCTCTTCAAGGACCTGCGGGTCCTTGCGCTGTTGCAAGCGCTCGAAGATCTACAAACAACAGAGTGATTAGTTTAGCCCAGAAAGTGAAAATACAGCACTGAACTGCATATAAATCCAACCTACATCATCATCTCCAGCAGAGAGAGGGGAAGACATTTTGACAGCTGCGATGGGCCAAGATCGGGGAGTAGCAGCACCTTGATGGTCGCGTGGGAAAACGGCGCACCCACGTGACTCCGGGGTGTTCGCCGCGCAACCGTTTCACCTTTGAGCCTTTAGGTCTTTCACTTCTACATCGATCTTCTTTAAGCAGAATTTCCTTTTATTCTGGCTACCATTTCTAGCAAGGTTCTCTCTCTATTATCACTCGTTTTCACTCTCTTCAACCAGATTTGTTCTGAACCATGGCGACCAAGGCGGCTTTAAAACGGGTGGGTAACCAAGACACATGTCTACTAAGTTACCGGGTGCTAACTGTCTCTAGCTTACTCGAGAATACCAAAGTATCCAAAAGAACCCTCCTCCGTTTATCATTGCCCACCCATCTGAAAGCAATATTCTCGAGTGAGTGCAATCTCTGCATCCTCTGGAAGAAACGCATTTCACTAACCAGACCAGATGGCACTATATTCTCACAGGCCCTCCTGGAACTCCATATGAAAATGGACAATACTGGGGTACACTTATGTTTCCTCCAGAGTATCCCTTTGCGCCCCCCGCCATTCGCATGCACACGCCCAGTGGTCGCTTCCAGCCATCCACTCGTCTCTGCCTGAGTATTAGCGACTTCCACCCCAAGTCTTTCAACCCTGCCTGGGAAGTTTCGACCATCTTAATCGGACTATTATCTTTTATGACTAGCGAAGAGATGACTACGGGAAGTGTTAGCGCATCGGAAGCGGAGCGTCGAGTGTTTGCCGTTCGGTCGAGATGGTGGAACTCAACTGGTGGCGGTTCACACCTTAACGCCACCCCGGGTGTGACCCGAACAGCCAAGGGAATAAATAACGTTAAGGCGGGGGATGGAGGCCTCAAGTTCAAAACCGAGTGGCCTGAGTTGGACCAGGAAAATTGGGCCTGGATGAAGGAACATCGTATCGATACCAACACCGGTCAGATTCTCCCAGACCCGAACGCTCCCACCAATTGTTCTCCGGAGACCAATGCCCTACGTCGACGTCCCAATGGAAGTGCCCCAGGGATTGGAGCGATCGTGGAGGAAGGTCATGTGGCTCGGGAAGCCGGTCAGGGATGGGCACGACGCAACCGTATTTGGATCGGATTAGCGGTGCTTTTCGGCTATGCATTAATCTCCAGACTCATGGCTGACATGGCGGCATAAAGAGAACTTCAACAGCGTATATGCTGGAGAATACTATGCACGAGGGAGTTATTTCATATCTGTTCCTTTTGGTTCTATTATTTTTTCCTTCTTGCTTTTGGTCATTAGCGGGTTGCATTGTTACTCCTTAGCTGTATCTTCGGGCGCATTATCTGGGACCTTTGTTGCTTCTGGATGATTTCTCTATGTTTATTTTATTATTTCCCGTGAAACTATGTATAGAAAGGGTTCCACGGTTTCTATTATATCAATAGATCACTTAGGTAGTAGCTAGATTTTTCTGCTTGAACTACTTTTTACGACTGAATGTTCTAAGATTACTAGTAAAAACATATCAAAATCCGATGTATTGAAGATCACTTGTAGTAATATTCTAACGTCCGAGCCCCACTTTCTCTCCTCCATATCCATGTATCCAAGATTCAAGAATCTCACAGGTCCTTCAGACAACCCTGCAGCCCGCGCCTCTAAGTTGTAAGGCTTAGTCTAGGAATGGAAGACAGAAACTTACCCTATGGCCACTTGACCTTTTATTTCAAATGGTTTGTTTTAAGTAGCTACTAGTAGTAAACTTCTTAGGAATCTACTGGGAAATCTTTCTGGCCGCACTTTCCTAATCTAGTCGCCGCATACTAATACTGTAGTAGTACAGTAAGTACTTATGCTAACACTGTAATCCCAGGTCCTAAATACCACTTCGGGGCAACAATCTTCCGGTATTGGTGTCTCGCGTGGTAATAACTAAAAGGCACCAAGGCTTCCCGCTACAGTAGGTGCATATTGTCAACGTAACTACTCCTTCTCTTTTTCTTCTAAATCCGTCTTCCCACCCCCGCTTCATATTGACTTCATTGGTTTTTAACTTTCCATATCTCTCTGCGCTGGCCTTCGGGCCCAAGATGGATCATCTGCAGTCGTTCACGTTACCAGGTGCTCGACCTTCCAATTCAGGTTGGTGCTGGATTGTACCTTTTCATGCCCCCCCCTTTTTCCCCGGACGAGACCCACCGATCTTCCCCATTCGTGGATCTGTGCGCCACAATCTGGCCCTAGAGACTTGTTATGGGTCCTCCCGTGGCAAATGAATCCTACAGTCCCTATTTGCCTGGGGATATCTTTTTTGTTTCTGGTCGCACTAACAGAAAGACCATCGCAACATGTTTTTATTACATGCACTGATACATTTGGTCTAGAATCTAGTCCGAGAGCCGCCGCCCCGCTTGATCGACCGTCGTTCACCTTTATTGACCATGATGATGATTTAACCTCCAAACGAATCAAAGATGTCAATGCCCGCAAGGCGATCCGCTCGCATGTTATGCGCGATGTACGTCGCCGAGAAAGGTTAGCAGGGACCAAACGGACATCAAGGCGGGAGAACCGTGAACAGGCAACTACAAAATCCCGACGGAAAGTTTTTGAGGGTTCCGAGGACCAACAACTGGTCCCGAGGGCTGGATCTCAGGCCTCTGTCTCTTCAATGGGAGATACAGACCTGGAGAGCATTTTCTCTGATTCAAAACCTCGACGAGCACGTCCGCCACGGTGGCTGGCTGGCTATCCACTGCCTTGCCATTTGAGCCTCAACCCACGAACTCTCCCCGCATCGTGGTTCTATGACCCTTTCTGTTCATCACCGGCTACCAGTGAACTTCCTTCTATGATTGCACATTTAGTTTACTACTGTATGTCATATCTATCCTTCCCGTCAACATGGTGCTAATAACCAGAATTTAGGGAAAACCGTCTTTGTTCCCATGACCTTTCCGAGTGGTCGCAAGGGCGCGGAGATTCCCGAGCTAGAGCTGATGGTCCGATCATCCTTCTCTGACCCGGGAAGTTTCTTTGGTCTCATGAGCATGTGTGCTGCGCACCGAGCCGCTTTGGCTACAAATCGACTCGAGTCCTTTGGTTCAATTGGTGACTATGGTCGAGTCGTAAACGATTCTGAATATTGCATCATGAAAGCGAAATCCATTCACGAGATGAACGCCAAAGTACAAGACCCCATATTAGCACTTAGCAACGAGGCATTCGATACGATTGTTAATCTTCTCACTGGATCAGTAAGAGTTCACTCGATAAATATTACCTGGAAGTATTCTCATCTAATACATGGCAGTTAATCGCTGGTTTGTTTGACGAAGCTCGGATCCACCTAACTGGCCTAAGCCGCATGGTGGAACTCCGAGGTGGAATTACGGATAAGAGCATAAGCTCATCTTCGATGCTGTCAGCCATTCTTACGTACGTGAGGAACTTGCCCTTTTGGTTATATTGAATTAATAATCCGGCAGGAGCGACGTGAAAGCCGGCACGGGGCTTTTGGCGAAACCAGTATTCCCACTAACTTGGGATTCACAACCTGTACCTCTTGATATACAGCACCGAATTCGGCCTCCTCCTTCATCGCCCATTCGACGACTTGGCTCTGGCTTCTGGGCCAATACACTCCTCAGTCCGCCATTATTACGCATCTTGAATGTCGTTCGGGACATGATATTTTACAGCATCACTGTCCAGGTTGCGCCTCAGGCCATTCGCTTCAGTGATCATGATTTTTTTCGAGTTCTTAATTGCGAAACCGAGCATCAACTGCTCAGTTATATTTACACTGAAGATTCCAGGTCCGAGAGAATTCACCCGATCGAGGCCGTCACCCGTGTGACTTCAATATGTTTTCTCAACCATTTTCTCATCGTTTCTCCTCCCTTTTCGGGCCTCGGTCGGGCTCTCACAAAACACCTCATGAAGGCAGTGAATACCATCAGACTTAACCTTCTCCTCGAACTATCCAGAGAGAATTTCGGCTTGTTTGCCTGGGCTTTATTCATTGGAGCTCAAGGGTCACTCGGCCAACCCGAGCGACACTGGTTTGTAGAGCGGTTGGCCCGCGTCGCAATGTTATGTGAGTGGCAGACTTGGGAGCAGGTCTCCCAGATCCTTACCGACTATTTCTTTATTGTGGCTGCCCAAGGATCGAGATGGCGGGCTATTTGGGACGAAGCGATGTCAGGGTTTGTGATATCCGCTGATGGAGCGTGAAACATTGCCCCCGTTGCTTTGCCGGGGATCTCCTCACATTTCGCTGTATATTTGACGTTTGAGAGAGTCAATATTAAATATTAATGATAATGGGTACTTTGAAATCTACTAACTAGTTAGTATGTATATGTACAAAACCAAGTTTAACCAACCAGATCGCGTGGATTTCTATAGTTCGGCCCGTTGCGGAGTACGAGTTTGATTATGTCATCCTGTCGCGATTTTCCCGATCTTTTATCGCGCGAGGCAATTTTCTGGACTTTACCACTTTACCACACTTAATTCTTACTTACTCTTCTCCATTTCACTTATATCGAAAATGGGTTGGTTCTGGGCAGACTCACAGCCAAAGGCGCCCCACGCGCCTCACCCGACCTCCAATGCATCTCCCCCAGTACGTACCAGTGGCTTCATAACCTATAATCAACATGAACTTTTTTGGACTGACTGGAATTAATTCAGCCTGCGTGCCCGATGCATGAATCCCTTCCGGCACCATCTGCTACTCCCGAAAGCAGTTGTCCCATGAAATCCACCGATTCTCCTTTCTACGTCGCTCCGAAATCGTCCGCCGCGCAGGTCGCGCCAGAGCCAGCCGCTGCTCCTACCAAATCCTCCTCCACTCTGTCAAAGCTGAACCCGCTGAACTACATGTTCGCCTCCATTTCTCAGGAGCGTGCTCCAAATCAGACTGTTGATCTTCCCCTTGAACGTGAACAGTCTTCCATTCCACGTGGCGACAGCAAGGAAAACTGGGAGTACCCGTCTCCTCAGCAAATGTACAATGCAATGCTGCGTAAAGGACATACCGACACTCCCCAGGATGCCGTGGAAGCCATGGTTGCTGTCCACAACTTCCTGAACGAAGGTGCCTGGAATGAGATTGTTGGATGGGAGCGCACATTTGCCAAGGGTCTTGTTGAAGGATGGAGCAAGTGCCGCCGTGGCGAGGAGAATCTGAGTTGGGATTTGGCCAAGGCCGAAATGACTGGCAATGTAGACCAGTCAACAGAGCCTCGTCTGATCCGATTCCAGGGTCGCCCGAAGGAACTCACCCCCAAGGCCCAGATCTTCCAGGCTCTGGCATGGGTTTACCCTTCCAAGTTTGAGTATGTCGAGATCCTACAACTTTTTTTTTTCTTACACCTCCCGAGTATATACTAATATAACGTTACTTGCTATTAGGACCAAGCCACCATTCGACCGACACGACTGGTTCGTTCAGCGTCAAACACCCTGGGGCACCAAGGAAGTGCGTTATGTCATCGATTACTATTCTGGCCCTCCTGAGCCTACTGGTGAGCCGGTCTTCTTCCTCGATATTCGACCTGCTCTGGATTCACCAACAGCTGCTGTTGAGAGACTGATGCGTTGGGGAGGAGACGCATGGTGGAGGGCCAGTGGAGCTGCTGTTCGTGAAGGGAACCAGAGCCATCACCATTGATGAGGCTCTTAACACACCCATCTTGATGCTTTCTCCACTCCACATTGTGTAATTATAGACATGGCATGGGCGTTTTCTTCTTCGCGGTTTTCTTTTCATATGAAACCCCCATTATGATCTCTGGTGTTTTCCTTCTTTCTCCTGTGTCATATTCTACCTGTCTTATTACCCCAGTTTCTAACAATTTATTTTGCACCAGCAGTGAAAATGGCAAATATTCTATACATATGACAAGAACTGTTCAATTTGCTAAAAGAGCTTTCCATAATTTGTATTCCAAATGTACATTAATATAAGCATATGTTCTCATCATCGTTGTTGCCAAGGGCACTTTATATATGGTACAGGAAGGGGGAGATATAGTGTCTATCAATCAAATGTTCGGCGACAGTTGATCATACTTGACGCAATTCTCGACACTCTCGATGCTGGCCTGCAGCAGTCCACGTGCCTCTAAACCAACCCAGACACGAAGCATCGAGGTATCACCCGAGCGGACTGTTTGCAAGAAGGTGGCGCCAGAACCCAGTTGTCGGAGAATAGGGAGGGCGCTACATTAGAGATAAAAGAAAGAAAAGTCAGCCAATGCTTCTCTTAAATGTCAATGTCAAATTCAGTATATCCACGTACCTCTTGAACAAGTCTAGATCCGGATTCAAACTTCTCCCAATACCCTCGAGAAGGAGGCAAGATATCACAACGTTCACAAAATCACCTTCAAACCGGACGTGATGACCACGAACCATTGTCAAGACCTCGCTCAGCACATCGCCAATTTTGATGTTTCCGAGGGCAAAAGTGCGTGTCTTGATACTGAGCACAAGATGTTGCATTTTGAGAGCAAAAATCTCTGGCTCTATAACCTGTTCAGGTGTACGACATCGCTCAACCATGAGATGGCCTGCCTTGTAGCCATCAAACTCAGCAATGGCTCGGAAAAGATCCAAGAAGTTTCGCCGATTGCCATCGTTCAGTTCGGTGACAAGACCCGTATCAATAAATATCAGCTGCGGGCGATATCCTTCATCATTGAGCTGAGACAGGGCAGAGTCCCATTGTTGTTGGTTGCCTATGTGCGGGCGTAGTCGCGCAAGCACGGAGTCGGTAACGTCTACTTCTGCTCGTGTCGGAGCATCCGTGGCTCGAGAATGCTTGCGAAGAGATAGATCGAGCTCGCTAGGCTGATAAAAGCGAACCATGATATTTCCGGGATGTAGATCTGCATGGACAAAGTTATCAATCAACAGCATATGTAAAAATGCATCAAGCCCTTCATTGGCTATCTCATGCTGATAAACACCTCCTCCAATATTCAAAATTGTGGCTAGCGGAATACCCTGTGCGAATTCCTCGACTAGCACCTCGCGAGTTGTGTAATCAAGGTAGGGATATGGGAACCAAGCGGTGGTTCGGGTCTTGAACTTCTCCCGAAATCTGACGAGATTGGTGCCTTCAATGCGCATATCCAGTTGAAGCTTCATCATCTCCCCAAATTGCTCTACTTCATCCGGGAAGGAGAGCCAATTCATCGTCGGTATGGCATTTATCAAAGAAGCGAAGAACGACATGATCCGCAAATCACGATGGATCATCTTCTCGACTCGGGGATGCAATACTTTGATAGCAACATAGGATGACGGTACCCGCTGTGGTGAGTTCTTCACTAGCACATCAACATTCTTGCGTACCCTCTCCCCCAGGGTAATCGGCTCCTGTCCTAGCTCCTGGCTTGTGGTGGCTAGACTCGGTTTAAGCTTTGCTTTGTAAACTTGTGCAATAGCACCAACACCAAGGGGGTTTTCATCAAACTCTTCGAAGATTTCTTCGAATGGAAGTCCATTGAATGCTTTCCGGATGGTTCGTTTGGTATCGCGTAGTGAATGGGCAGGAGCATTTGAATGAAGTGAGGACATGATAGTACACATTTCCGGTGGGAATATATCGGTTCGTGAAGCGGCCCATTGACCAAGCTATATGACATGGTTGAAACTTCGAGTTAGTGAAACATTCGTGAGGTAAGGTCAGTCTGGAGTCAACAAACCTTGATAAAGGCAGGTCCAGCGCGCTCCATCGCCTTCACCAAGAACCGATACCACCATAATGTTCCCGATTGTGGCCCTCCTTTGCTTCCAACGGCCCGACCGATCCAGATAGCGGGCACAGTGATCACAACCGGCATGAAGATGACGAATAAATGAAGGAATCGTAACCCGGTGGCGATTGGGTCATAGACATAGTAGTAGAATGTGACAGATAGGGATTGCCAGGCGCGCGATAAGCCCTGGGCGTCCGGGGAGACGATTTTTCGAATTTCCTCTCGTGACGCCTCAAGCATCTGCATCTCCCCGGTCTTCTCGGGGTGATCTGCCTCTGCCAGCCGGAGGAATGCGCTGGGTGCTAAAGCAGCCATCACCATTCCGCCGATTATCCGACCCCCTCGCGGGGTTTGAGTTGGAGGTTGCCATGATGTGAAACGATTTCGCGGGACACGCGGGATCCCGCGTCTAAAACAAAACCGACCGAGGAGGATCGTCCTCATCGTCTATCGTGTAGTGCATGGCAAAAAGGGAAGATGGATGGGCGCCGCGGCGAGCGATAGAGCGATAAACCCCCGATAACCGGCACGTGTTGCGACGTCATAACCAAAAGGTTCCCGAGGTCAAGTTCCTGACAAGATATTACCTAGCCTACTAGGGATACCAGATCAGTGGTGAATTATCTAGTTTTGCTGATATTTAACTACGTGCCTGGATATGGGATATATACCTACTTTTCAGCTTACAGTGACCTCAGGATACGCATTCCAACATCAATTGGTTTGAAGGTACTACACATGTGCGTGTGGACATATATAAACGGTGTGAGTTAGCCTTGATTTATTGCGTACACATTGCAAAGCCCTGGAGGTCCATTTCAACACTTGAAGATTTGATCTATCATTTATTCAAATTATTAACCTGGAAATCAGAATGATCTATCAATACTCGAGTATGTACATATTGAAAAGGGTCAAAAAACATTCCGGTCAACTGAGATCATGAAAGTGAAAGTAGTAAGCGCTTACATACCCATTGTGTATTATATATACCCTTAGCCTTTATTCAACGAACATTTGACGATTCAAGAGAATCCAGACATATACCGGGGCTGTTGATCTACATATGTAGGAGTATGATTTTTCAATGTTCCCCATGAATTGTCAAATCTGGACACTTGATATTTTTGCTTGGTTATGCATAAATAGTAATATGGGGCAGTGTAAAAACTGCCAGTTATGTGGCACGAACTTTTTCTCTGGGGGTTCCGACCCCCAAGTCCCTGCCTACCAGGGCAGGAGTCTTATCCTATAATAATTTGAATCCTTGAACTCCATTGTACCAGTTGACGTTGAATCGCTGCGCTTCCTTATATACAGCGCTGTATTATATATTGTTTCCGGTCTAGCGTAAGTTTAGCTTCGGTGCGGACCGATTGATATTAATCCGAGTATGAAAGATTCCTAACCATCAATTGATGCTCGGAAGCAAGCGCTCGAGCGAAGCGAGGGTTTCCAGCTTGTATGTACATGCAATTAACCGACTTTCGGGGAATCGAACCCCGGACCTATCCCATGTTCGCAGACTCGAAAGCCTCGTGCGAAGGGATCATCATACCCCTTGGCCAAAAGTCCCTTTTGTGGGGTCTTGGCTAGAAGTTCACAGAAGTACTTTTATACTTAAAAGATAGGGGGGTAATAATTTTATGCCTGAAAAATCAGGTATCTAGTTAATTCTTTTACTATATACGAGGTATTATTATAAGTTTATCTTGGGTTGAAAACCCCACAAAAGGGGCTTTTGGTCTAGGGGTATGATGATCCCTTCGCACGAGGCTTTCGAGTCTGCGAACATGGGATAGGTCCGGGGTTCGATTCCCCGAAAGTCCAGGTACTTTTTTTTTTTTTTCTTACATTTTTGGTGGATTTTTAGTCTGTTTTTTAACACCTCTCAAAAGTTCTGTGAACACAGCAAAAGAAAGGCTTGGGGTTCGATTTGCACATGACTTCGGTAAACATGGGAACATTGAAAGGTCCGGGGTTCAATTCCCCGATAGTCCATTGTCTTTCATTTTTTCTTTTTCTTTTTCTTTTTGTCTTATCCGGTTTTTGCTCTCTTTTCTTTACAATCAATTGATCCAAAAAAAAATTCGACGTCAATTTCAAGCTACTCACCTGTAATTGAGTTAATTTCCAAAATCCGATACCCCCGGGGCCCCGTTCTAGGCACCATATTTGAATGATCGTCAGGGTTTTGTTCTAACTACTATGGGCCTACCCTGTGCGGAGAAGCTGCGCCTCCTCCACCTTAACCGATGTGGAGGAGGTTTCTACATAATTTTCTAAAAATTTCGGTCATCAATTCCCCGAGGAATAGGGATTAGTTACACCGAGACCCAACTTAAAATGGAATTGAGGCCCAACAGTGAGGAGTTTCGAGCTCAGCGATAGGTCGGGTTCTTCAATGTCAATAATGAGGACCATGCGAGCATCTCTTTTGTCTGCACTTCTCTGGTCGCACACTTTTTGGGCTTTTACAGAAGGGACGGATATAAACTTCAGAAGGTACTGTGTTCCAAGTGACCTGTGGCGGTTGATCCTGGCAAATCGATCAATTGATGCAATCCATGTCTAATAGTTTGCAGTGACTCCAATGATGAAGCATTCTCCCCCAAGGCACTTGCTGTTGGAAAAGGCATCCAATGGCCAGACTTGCAGCCGTCCAAATTTGTTTTAACATTGGAAACCCCTGTCGCCACCGTAGACTATGGTTCGGAGGTAGCTGGGTACCCATTCTTCGAAATCGAGTCAGTAGACACACCAGCACAGATTGAAGTCAAATATAGCGAGCCATATCATGGTCTCGAGAATGTCTGGGGGGATGGTCCCTACACATTCGCTACTGGTCTCTCCAATGCTGTTCGGGTGGAAACATTCAATATTACCAAAGCAGGAAGTGTGACATCTTCATTGATTCAAGGTGGACAAAGATGGCAGTCTATTCGATTGGTTGCCGGCAAGAAAGTCTCAATCTCCCGAGTGGGCTTCGAGCCGTCAGTTTCTGTCACGGATACAAACATCTTCTTCCCAGCTCAATTCTCATCTGATGATGCTGTGTTCAACGCGGTCTGGAGACTGGGACAGAAAGCTACAACTCTGGCATGTCTTGAGAAAGGTTCCCAGAAGGCCATTTGGGATATCGATTCAGCCAAAGGAGCCTTTGTACACAGTACGAGGGCCACCCCGAATGTCGAGGCATCTAAACTTGCAAATTACACCTTGGAATTCGAAACTTCTATTGAGAGGGGTGGAGTATGGTGGTCGGTAGTAAGTTTTCCTAGCCCATGATGGTTTCCCTTACTGCCATATCAGTCTACCTATTCTAACCGGTAATGCATAGGCCCAAAACATAGGTCTCGGCAATGCCATTCAACTCTTACTCGTTGGAGAGTTACCCGAGGCATCAACTTTTGCCAACACGAACAAGTCCTTGACCCCCCCAAATAGTATTTTATTGGCATACGGGTATGGGTTTGTGAACCAAACGACCCTGGAATCTTATCTGCTTGATACCTTTACCATTCCATTCAATGTCCATGAAAAGGAATGGCACACCATCACTACGGTTCTTTCACATGGGAACCAGCTTGCTGTGCAGCTGAATGGCACGTCTGTCTTCAACGTCTCCTTATCGGACTACTACACTGGCGGCTCTGAAGTATCACTCGACGGGTCCTTTGGTTTCGGAGCCTATCAAGATCAATCTGCCTGGGTCCGCAACGCTCAAGTCCATGACAGTGCTAACGGTTCCTCTCTTTATACGGACAGCCTTCGTGACCAGAGTGCTTTGGCACGATACGGAACACAGGCTAACCTAGGGACCGTTTGCTTGGATGGGCCCAAACGAGACCGCTTGGTCTGGATGGGCGATTTTTATCACACCTCACGTATTATCGGTGCTAGCACTGATCGATTCGATTGGTCACGCGGGACCTTGTCTTTCTTACTGGAAACCCAAGCTTCCAATGGCCAACTGAATTTTTCACCCAGTATGGGATATGATCCAACAACCACCATTGATGTTTTTAGCACAGACGGTGCTTATGATGGATTGGAAGATTATCAGATTCTTGGCTTCTTAGCCTTCTATCACTTGATTCAACAAACCAATGATTTGCAGTATGCAGCTCAGACTTGGCCACAGTGGGAAAAACAACTGACATGGCTTTTGAGTACCATTAATGCCACAGATGGACTGGTAGACTTGGATAGCGCATTCCTCGGCACAGGCGATGGGGGATCGGCAGTCAGTTGCATTGCAGTCGAAGCCCTCAACGGAGCCGCGGAGATTGCCAGTGCACTTGGCAATACAACTGCCGCCAGCACATACAAGGACTCCGCTGAAAAGTTAGCAGATGCTATCAACACGCATCTCTGGAATGAAGAGCTTGGAGTTTACTCCCTCGGTCGATCAGAAAAAAATGACTTCAGCGTCGCTGGAATTGGACTTTGTATCACTTCTGGGGTTGCAAATTCAACCAGAGCCTCACAGGCAGTATCTTCCCAGATTCTCGAGAAGCTGAAACTTGGCCCTGGGTACAAAGATGATACAACGGTAAATGCAACGGAGTCCGGAGTCTCAATCTCACCAAACACCAATGGTTTCTTATTGCCCGCTTTGTTCATGGGTAATGCCACCACAGCCGCCAAGGATCTTCTTCGATCTGCGTGGGGAGCAATGTTGTCAGAGGATGTGGAAAACGGTCTGGGAAATGACACTACATCTACCGGCGCAAGCTGGGAATATCTCGACCTGGATGGCTCGCCCGGTCTGGGCCTTTTCACGAGCTTGAGCCACCCATGGGGAGGCGCGGCAACATACGTTCTCACTGAGTGGGCCGCTGGATTGCGTCCAGCCAGTGGACCTCAAGGATTTGGATACAAGAATTGGGTCTTAGCACCGGACACAGGAATAGATATGGGCCTAAAACAGGCAAGTGCTCGAGTCGTCACGGAGGGGGGAAATATTTTGTCAGTGGCATGGGAAGTTGAAGGAGAATTGTTGAAAGTGACAGTCAACGCACCACATGGTACTAAAGGGAAGATTCAGATCGGCAGTAAATACGAGACAGTCAGCGGAGGAGGTACTCAGACACTGCGCATGAAGAGATGAAACACAGTTGATGGGGTCGTTTCAATGTTGTGGTTGCTAGTACTGCTACCGAGTCTGGCGTCGGTCGCTGCTTAGCGTTGCCTGATGCCAGGGGCATTGAATACCTGATAGCAATTTGCAAATTTTCCTTGATGAATTGTTCCATAGAAAATCCAGCCCTGGAGTCTCATAGGTTGACAGAAGTTAGTGATCATTGATGACCAGTACTCCTACTAACTAGTAACTTACATAGTACTACTGACTCCTGAGTGCCAAGGCGGTGGGTCCCTCTGGGCAGATAGCGAAGATTGCATTCTGCCATTTAATACCGCCTTTAAATATCCTAGCTGAGTCAGCTCAGTGGACTCAGTGGATCCCATAGTTAGTTAATGGCCCACATTCCTCTTGTACATTCGTAACATTCCTCGTCCTTTGTTCATTGTCCGTTTTCCTCTGACAAATTGTTGCCGATTCCGGAAAACACACCTAAATCTAAAAGATATGGGGGTTGATCTTGTTTTTTTGCGGTACTCGAAAGCTCAAAGCCCCCACGGCAGCTAACATGTCCCGAAAACAGAGCAGACGGCTAAATCGCAACCGCCGTAAGCCAATGTTAAAATAACGATGAGGTCCCCGGTCACTCAGAACGAAGTTTCCGTCCTGAATCTTCCAAGGTCGCTGATATCACAAATATTCATTCATCATGGGTCGTTCACGTAGCACCCAGGATGATATTGAATCGAATTGCGACGAAGAGCCATCGTCTTGGCGCGAGTGGGCGACGATTATAAGCTGGTGTGTACTGGGGTACTTGTGCCTCATTCTGATTGTGATTGGTTATTTTGACCCATCACTCTTGCCAATCGATCCATCGGCCCTGGTGTTCAACAAGGGTATTTCCCCGTTTTTTGCCTTCTCGCGTGGATCGGAGCATTTTCCGAAACCGCATGGCTTTAAGATTGTTGCACTAGTGCCTTTCAGGTATCACGAGCGTACAGAAATTCTTGATTGCTATTTGCAGGTAAGTGTGCCTCCTAGTAGCTTCCGAATTGGTGCATATGGGATGTTGACATTTTAGCAGAAAAATCTAGTCCACAATCATGGTTTTCTTGACCAGGTCGTTTTTGTGCCTCAGACACACGATACCGTTAGTCTGGAATGGCTAAGATCCACAGTAATGGAGACCCCTGGGTATGCTATAGCTCCACCTGGTCAGGACATGGACTGGAAAATCACTCGGGACAACGTTATGTACATTCGCATTGATGGAGATGTCGTCTTTTTGGAAGATCATACCATTCCCACGATTGTGAAAACCAAGTTGGATAACCCCAACTCGCTGATGGTCTCCGCCAATGTTGTGAATGAGGCTGCCCTTGCAACACTACATAGCCATACCGGCGTTGCTCTTCCGTACCTACCGGAGCTACATCATGTCGAGCAGCCGTCTCGATCCAAATCCCAGCTCAGCCATGGGTGGCGGGCCTCAAGCTTGCCCGCATGGCAAGGGCCAGCAAGCTTTCGAGTTCAAAAGGGATTCAAACCACCATTCGAGGGTCACCGATGGTTGTTGCCCGCCGATCCAGGTCCTGATCGAGATCCTATCGCGGCGTCGGTATACACGGAAACTGGACCGACTCTAGAAGACTGGACGGTTGCTGCCCAGCAACATTACTCGTTTCTTCACCATCTTGAATTGAAACATTTGAAGTTGTACAAATTTCCTCTTTGGGCAGATCCCACCGAGCCGATCAGCCAAAATTTCGGATGTTTCTGGGGGAAAGATGCGTTGGCTCTTCGTGAGATTTTCGAGCGCAATCCCACCAATAACGAACTTCAAAAGCCATGGATTGGAGTCAATGGCACCAGACCGCATGTCAAAATTGATGGAAAGGGTCTTGCCTCCCATTACTCTGCCAGTTCAGGAACTGAGGGTCTAGATTCAACTGATGTCTTGGACCGCTATCGAGCATATGCCCAAGAGAAAGTCTGTCGATATACATCGTGACGGAAAGCTTCCAAGGTGGAAGGGATCTGATCACCACTTTTCTTTTTGTCAAATTTGTAAATTTCAAGGCCCGCAATACATACTTTCTATCTCAATGTTGCCCATATTCATACGGGTACAACGAATCGTAGTCCTTGCTACCACCTAGGAAGACGAGCCACCACCGGTTGACCTGGGCAGTCAAAACCCCCAAAATCGATCTGAATGTTTACTGGTGGAATGCATTTCTCGGCCGAGTACCTCACAAGGGTGAAGTCATAATAGGCTAGATCTAAGTGGATGCTTGATTCCAGGGACTGGGTCGATCACATCATCAGAAAGCTGATTGTGCCATTAGCGCACCCCACAACCCCAAGCTAATCTCGGGATGGACCAAAAATGGTATGCTCCAAATGAACTACTACGCTGCAGATCATCTGAATCTTAATGTCGAAAAGACAGACTTGCGGTCCCTGATTTGATGCCATCTGTTCTTGTGATGATGCGAGAGCCCTCGACATATAGGGGGGGGGGGGGGGGGGACAATACCTAGAACTTTAAGCGCTTGAAATTCAAATAGCTTCTACATACCCATGTTAATAAAAGCATTCCTTTGCTAAAATTGAATATTGTCTTTGACAGCAACGATTTGCAAAGAAAAATTGACAATGGCCTCTACGGTTTCGCACGATGGTGCCTTCGGCGCTCATAAAGGTACCGAATCGGTGGACATTGAGAAACAAGACAGACCAATTGCCTTGGACTCTGGACTTCCAAAATCTCTCGGCGCAGGTGTAAGTTACGATGATATCATGAAAGAAAAGAAGAAGACAACTGACGATGAATCGCACGGGAAATCTAGTCAGCATTGGCACTGGGAGCATTCGGTACGACACTCACCACTCTCTCGTTGAGTTTGATGGAATGGCGTGGAGTAACCACCAACAACGTTTTCGTTGCCAACTTCTTTTTCATTGCTGCATTTGGGCTGGTGATAACTGCACAGTGGGAGTTGTCTATTGGAAATGGGTTCGCCTATACGGTTTTCAGCGCTTTTGGTACGTTTGATGTTCAACCTTCAATGACAAAAGAAAAAAAAAACCCTCGTTCTAATCAAAATCATTATCACATCAGGTCTCTTCTACGCTGGATATGGAGCTTTGTTAACCCCTGCATTTGGAGTTGCCGCAGCATACGGTGGAACCAGCACAGCAGAGTATAACAATGCCGTCGGATTTTTTATGATCTTATGGACGGTTTTTGTCTTTACCTTCCTTATCGCTTCCCTCGCAAGCAATATCGCTTACATCCTGGTCTTTCTCTTTGTTGATCTTGGATTCTTGTTCGTCGCCGCAAGCTATTTTGCCGTGGCTGATGGCCATGCTGCATCTGCTGTTGCGTTACAAAAGACTGGTGGTGTATTCTGTTTCTTGGCCGGTTTGATTGGATGGTATATTGTATTCCATTTGCTGCTGCAGGACTCGATTCTAGATTTACCGCTTGGTGATACTTCGCGGTATTTTGGAAAGAAGAAACAAAAGAAAGAGGAGTAGATTGCGTGATTAGATAGATCGTGATCAGCAACAGGAGTGCTGGTTTTACGGGAAGCGCCATAAGCCCGTAAATGCGAAGGTGCATATCGGTTACGTGCTAAATTTAATTTTATTGTGATATTTGATTTTGAATTTTCGATTCAAGTAGGTGCTTATTGCTTATGCCTAAAACGATATAGTGAATTGTATCATGCAAGATCAATTCAAATGTTGATCCAACTGCCGATGCATTGGAATCGAATTACTCCGCTCGCCCACAGTGGGGCAATGCATAATCTACGATAAAATGCGGATAACGACATCAAGCCCCGGTTTGACGAAAACAACACCTGAATGTTACTATTTTGTCGGCCGAGTATTGATCGCATTTTTGGGTAGCTGATATGGCGTATGTACATCGATCGCATCATTACTTATGAGTAGCATGTCATTAATATGAACAAGGCTGTAATAATGATTGCCTATATACTGCAATGTTGCGGCTTTCGTTAAGCAGAGATATTATTTTCTACGAGAAACTTCTTTTAATCACGGCATTTCACACAGTATGACAGCCAGCGTACCAGCAACAGACCCAGCAGTCTATGCTTCTTATGAAGCGAAATGGGCTACCCTCCCTGACACTGCCGAGGCATGGCTAGCTAGAGCAAGCGAGGTAGCTGAAGTTCTGGCACAAGATGCTGCTCAGAGAGATCAGGAGAACAAGTCACCACGTGCTGAGATTGCTCTTCTAAAGCATTCAGGCCTACTGAAGCTTTTGGGACCTAAGAAGTATGGCGGTGGAGAACAGCCGTGGAAGATTGGGTACCAGGTCATCAGAGAGGTCGCTAAGACAGATGGGTAAGACTTAAAGATCAGTTTGAGCGGACGCGCGAAGAGCATGCTGACAACAATGAGTTAACAGGTCTATTGGCATGCTACTCGGATATCATCTTTTGTGGTCCACCACTGCAAATGTTGTTGGTACCCCGGAACAAATTGAGCGCACCCACGAATTGATCATATCGAATAACTACTTCGTTGGTGGCGCGGTCAACCCACGGGATAGTGACCTGAAGATCACATCGGATGGCGACCACATAGTTTTCAATGGAGCCAAGCACTTCAACACTGGCGGTGTTGTGTCAGACTTGACCGTCCTGGAGGGTGTTCTGGAAGGCACAGAGAACCACATTTTTGCTCTGGTTGAGACTCGACAGCCAGGAATCCAGTTTGCTCATAACTGGCATAATATTGGTTTGCGCCTTACAGAATCCGGTGGTGTCAAGCTCGAGAATATCCGCGTGCCATGGAGAGATGCGCTGGGCTGGGATGAAACCACCAAACAGCCTCGTGAGGATATTTTGCTCATTCCTTTCGCCACCTTACTTCTTCCAACGTGCGTCTTCTCTGTTAAATCCCCTGCTCTGGAACTGTCATTAGTACCGACTGAGTCGCTAACATATCGGTATCCCTTAGTATTCAACTCGTCTTCAGCAACTTTTACCTGGGCATTGCCATCGGATCCCTGGAGTTCGCATCCAAGTATACAACCAATGGCACCCGCCCCTGGCCCTTTGGTGGAGATGACAAAGAGTCCGCAACCGACGAGTTCTATATTCTAGAGCGATATGGTAACTTTTTTGCGCATCTCCGGGCCACTGAGGCATTGGCCGACCGTGCGGGGGATCAGATCTCTGAGCTATATACCCGCCATGGATCCAATAGGTCAGCTTTGACCGCGGAGGAGCGAGGTGAGGTTGCTGAGTGGGTTGCCAGTGTGAAGGTAGTCACTACCGACGTTGGACTTCGGGTTACATCTGGTGTGTTTGAGGTGACTGGTGCTCGGGCGACTGCCTTGAAGGTGGGACTCGATCGATTCTGGCGAGACATCCGAACACACACTCTACACGATCCTGTGGCGTACAAAAACCGAGAACTGGGACGGTTCGTGCTCTTGCATGAGTACCCCGCGCCGTCGTGGTACACTTAGGTGGAGGTAACAGGGAAAGATTAGAATAGGTGATGACGGGCAAGCATGAATTTTATGATGAATAAGATCACAGATTAGGTCAATTTCCCCTCTCTCTCTCTCTTTTTAAATATTTCATTGAGGATCATATAGGGGTATAAGTGAAGAGGATATAGATCTAAGATCGAGATTATAGATATGGCAGGTGTCACGGCGATAAGCCCCGCGACAGATAACAGATGCCGATCTGAAAAAAATTCGGCTTTTTTCCGTGGGGTTTGGCCCCGTTTTGACCAAAACTTTTTTCTCTTGTCGCATTCCCTTTTCCACATCCTTGCAAGTTGTTCACTCAGTTCACTTTTCAACTCAGCCAAAATGGTTCAGAAATTCTACGTTACCTACAACCAGGTAAGTGATCACTCCACATTTCCACCTATCATGTCCAGGCACCATAAACTTTGGACATTAGTGGAGCGATTGACTCAAAAAAAAAACAGTGGTCTGACTGATTGGTTGTTATAGGTGCACAAGCTCTGCCAGCAGTCGGCAGGTGCTATCCTGAAGGAGAACCCTCCTCACTTGATGATCGCGATTGGCGGTGGTGGTTATGTTCCCGCTCGTATCCTCCGGTATGTACTGGATCCGCTTGGTCCCTAGATCACTACTAGTATAGTATACATAGAAGCGCAAATCTAACCGCCCACCTCTCAAACAGTTCCTTCCTCAAGGGCCCCGGTGACCCCAACATTCCCATCCAGGCCATCGGTCTGTCCCTCTACGAGGATCTTGGCCGCGGTGATGCCGAAGAGGTCCCTGGCACCAAGGTGACCCGCACACAGTGGTTGGACCTGAGCTCTCTCGAGATGGCCAACCTGATCGGCAAGAACATCTTGATCGTCGATGAGGTTGATGACACCCGCACCACTCTGGAGTACGCCGTGCGCGAGCTGGAGAAGGATGTCCAGATTGCTCAGAAGCAGCTCGGTCGCGAGGGCGAGAAGACCAACTTCTCCATTTTCGTGCTGCACGTGAGTGTCCCCAAGATATTCGATCTTCATAACATGTTGGTTGCTAACATACCTCTCTGCAATAGAACAAGAACAAGGAGAAGAAGGGTGTTCTGCCCGCCGATATGATGGAGGGTGGTCGTTACCACGCCTCTGTCACCACCGACGACGTGTGGATCTGCTACCCTTGGGAGGCTAGGTATGTCCCCACGAATTCACAAAATATAAACTGAACAGAGACTAACCATGCATTCTCACCAGGGATATTGACGAGCACGACGCCCTCGCAAAGGAGAACCCCATCATCTAAAAACCTTCGGGCCTTTCTTGCATCGTTCGAACAGAATACCCATTCTGCGCGGCGCTTCTATACAGCTGGTGGCTTTTTAGTCCCTTGGCGATCTAATCCCGGATGTCCCAATTAACCCGGGCACGTAAATTTTATGATATCATTGATGAAAGTTAGAGAAAAGTTATCTCCTTCAAATACCTACGTCAGCTTGAGCCATGGCAGATCTGCCCTTGAGGCTTCTGCATGTCGGAAATGTATGTCCAAGGGTATCAGACGGATGTTTATTGATGGCGAAAACAAATAGCAATTAAAAAGCTCCGTATTTTATAATGCTTCGCGGCCTCTCCACGGAGAGCCACGCTTTCACAATCCCAAGGTACTCAAGGTGACTGATTCTGCGTGTGCATGTGCGTGCGATGATGCGCCTCCAATCCAATTATTTGGTCATGTTTGATTTAGTCGACATCAACGTTGCCCTTGCGCAGTTCGATTTTGGCCAGTTCGATCTCCTTCTGTAGCTCCGCGTGTGCCTCGGGGACGTCGTTAAAGGTGAAGATCGCTAGACCGAGGCGGCCGAGCAGGTAACTTCCGAAGACAATGACCGCCCAGAAGGGAAGCTAACAGGGTAATCAGCGACACAGTGTTCCCTGCTACTTTAAAAGACCATGATTCGTGAGTGAATGCGACGTACCACGGGGATAACCTCATTCTGGAGGGTCTCGTTCAGGGGAACAAGGCCAAGATAGAGACTGAGATAAAGCTGGAAGAGGGATCGGTCAGTGTTTTGCTTCTAGCGTTGCGCCCGAGATAAGCTCATGAATGCCGGAGTTGTTGACGTACGGAGGAAACGAGGAGAAGGACGGAGATGGTTTGCTGCGCGCGCGTCATGATGGAGGTGTGAGACGTGTCTGATGGGTAAGGAAAGAAATAAAAAGAGAGGCAAATCAAACAAGATCTAGGGCTCAGGTACAATTGACCGAGTTTAAAGGAGTGTATGGGGGGAGATGGAAGGGGAGCAGAGGCCAGCTTGGGGGATTTGGCGGTTGACCCGAAGGCGGAACTCCTTATTTCATACGGGAACGACTACTTTCAGGCACGCAACATGATCGAATTCATTGGTCATATATCTGTTAAAAATCAAATTAATTACCAGAGATATGTATGTGTGCTTACGAGTAGATTTTAGCAAGATATCAATTTGAGTGACCATGTCAATTACTAAATAGTTCTAATTAAACGCTGAGATTAATCAACTAACTTATCCCACGTTGATGCCTGAATTGACCTGAGGCAACATTCTCCACATTATCGCGATGGCGGTGCCTATTCATCTCTGCCAAATTCCACCATCCAAGGCAACGATCGAGGCTCTGCACCAGCCAATTTGGAAAACAAAAGCCATGGCGTCTTTCAATGAAATAAATACCGGCCATGGGTCCATCCAGGGAGCAGGCCAGCTTTCAGTCTCATCAAAGTTGGACCTGCCTTCTGTGGATCAAGTCCTATCAGGCCTACCTGATCTATCCAGCATACTCCCTGTCCAAGACGCTACAGTGGATTTGAAAGATCAAGAAGCTATGTTCCGGGCCTTGAAAAAGATCATTGAGCATGTCGAACCGACGAGCGAGCCTGGCAACAGCTTTGACCTGAAAGAGCTTCATGCTTCTCTGGGCCAGGCAGAGGAGGAGGCACGCCTTGGTCGACGAGATGCCACGACATTAGAGAGTGTACACACAGCTCTGATTCAGCTATGGTCTTGTAATTCAAATCTCATGGCTCAAGCGGCCGAAATTCTTGCCAACGGAAGTCGAGACCGTAAGTTGTAAGGTGGGTCCATTGCCGTGCCTCCTTAACTAACAGCTTCGCAGCATCATGGAGAGCTCCAATCGGTCAATCTGGAATCCTCAAATTTTTCTTGGAAGTCATTTCTTCGAGAGAGGAGATCGAGCGGGGATTGTTGCTCCATTCTTTGCGTCTAGTTGGCAACTCCTGTGCCGACACTGACGAGAACAGAGAGATTGTCGTAAATGGAAATTATACTTTGGCCATCATTCGGCACTTCCTCAACCCTGATTTGATTATTGTGGCGATCCCTGTGATCTATAACATCTGTATGGATTATGGTGGGGCTCCCTTTCATCTAATACGACTTGATTGTTTGCTAATATGAATGCAGAGCCTGCACACGCTCAAATGGCAGAAAATCGCTCAGCATACATCATTTTGAAATTGCTTAGAGATGGTGCTATCGGAGAAAATGAAGCTCTGATAAGTTTCTCATATGACCTAGTCGAGCTAGCTTCCGAGCAAGGTATGGTAAACAACCAGGCTGTCAATTTCGCAGACTGACTTTGATTATTCTAGCGCAAGGAGTTGAGAACTCGCCCGATGGAACAATTTTGCTCCTCATGGAACTTGCTTTGAAGAAAGATATTGCATTTGAGCACTACGCGTCCATGGTTAACTGCCTTTCCACATATCTGGAAAAAGAAAGATTCCAGAATGCTTGCATCTCCAACAATATGGTGGAGATGCTGCTTTCCGTTTTGCACAAATCTCTTTCCGTCGAAATCGACAACACTTCCAAGGAAGATGTTCAAGCCCTAGCACAGTCGCGGCTGAAAATCAATCAGGCTTTATCTGACGTATCTGCCTCTTCGATATTTGCAGAGCACTATCCCCTTGATTCTACCCTAACAAAGACGTTAAAGTCGTGGATCGGAGCTGAAGAAGACCAACTCCAGATTTGTGCCTGTGTGATGTTGGGAAATTTGGCTAGATCAGATGAAGTCTGCAAAGTGATGGTCCAGGACTTGAAGATCCACGAGGAGTTGATCGCTGTTCTCAACAGTGATGCCCGGGGATCTGTATTACACTCTGCTCTAGGATTCCTCAAGAATCTTGCAATTGCTGGTGATAACCGCAGTAGCCTAGCCGAGGCTGGTATAATCCCCGCCGTATCGCATCTTTGGGCATTCGACTCTGTTCCACAGGTGCAGTTCTCAGCCGCAACGATTGCCCGCCAAGTCATCATCTCTTCAATGGAAAATATTGCCAGGCTACTATTTCCCCTCTCGGAGGATCCTGATTCACCGGCTAACCGACGGACGTATTTGTCATTACTTCTCACCCTCTTTGAGAAGTCGGATTCCGCACCAATCAAGACCGAGATCGGGCGTAGTATTGCGTCTATCTGCCGAACTCTCACTCCCAAAGCACGTGAAGGAGACGAACAAGCACGTGGACTATTGAGCACTCTGTATGAATTACATGCAGGTGTTGCTCACCCAATTGGCGCAATGATCACCCAGACCCAGTGGCCTGTTGTTCGGAGTGAAGGTTGGTTTGCGTTGGCCTTGATGGCGAACAACCAAGCCGGCTGTGTGGCGGTAGCAGATTGTCTACAAAACGAGGAAGTACTGGAGCTACTCAAGAAGACTGTAAGCGGCGAGTCTACTGGGGAAGATACCGAAGAGAAGGACCAGTCTCAAGTGACTAAAGACCGAGACAATGTGTTTGTTCTTGTGCAAGAGTTGTTGAAGAACGAGGTAAGTTCCCTGGACAGGTTTCCTTCTACTGTCTACAAATGCTGACATCTTGGTAGTCTGGGGCTCTCCCTGCCGGTTACCGCAGCACTATGGAAGATTTGGTCGGCGAGCATGCTTTGGCGTTGAAGAATGGCACTGTGTAGGAACACAAAATGAGCATAGTAATGACAATAGATGTGACAAATGATGGTATTGATACTAAATCCGCGGATATTGACCAGTACTGAATTGAATTGAACATATGATCTCACAACTGGACTTTCCTTGAAAAGATCTAGTATGAACCCCACCTAAGTAGCTATCAATTTAATCTGAACACCTGGGGACCTGGGCAGTATGCCGTCCGAGGTCTTGAGTACCTACTAGTAGGCTCGTATTGCACTTGTCAGGTATTGTTATCAGTACTTGACATTGACTATCTTGTTTCATAAGAGACCTTGTACATAAGGGGATGTGTATGCCTACTAGGCCACATAAGAGACAGAGATGCTACAGGTGATCATGCATGATTAAAAACATTGAATATCACAATATTCAATGATTGGAAATTGCATTGAGGGGTATCATAGTATAACATAGTTCCAAAATCACTTTAAACAGCAGTACTTTCCTCGGATTCTTCCCCAGCGAGATTCACAAGCTGAATTTCAAATCCGCCCTCATCCCGATCTTCGCCTTTCTGTGGCCACAAGATTTGGTGCTGGAGAACGGCTCGGATCATCATATAGCAAACAAAGAAATACATCAACAGCAGTGGAAGCACTGCTGCCGTCCCAACGATATTAATGGCATCACAAGAAAATGCCTTCCCAATAGCAAAAGTAGCAGTGATCAAAGCAGTATTCGGGAAAACAAATGAGAACCAGGTCATTGAAAAGACCATCCGACCTGGTCCGATAGCCGACCAATGGGCAGCACTAGCGATGGTAAAGAAGAATATTGCCAATCTAATCAGAAGTAAGTATAGGAACAATTCGTTACAACGTAGTGCATCACTTACCCCCATAGCCACAAGGCTGCAAAGTCGACTGTGACTCTCAAGATATCAGCCGCCAGAGGGCCATTGCCCATGAAATCCGCCGGAAAACACCGCTTGGCTTCGGAGGCCATATTTACCAGGCCAGCGACCGTAAAGCCACTAGGTCCAACCGAGACAAACATACCGGGGCGCATGTTTTCTTTTGGAAGCTTTTGGGTCATGAGTCGGTAGATAAAGGCCGAGTAGACCATTAGTGACACTAAGAACCCGACACCTTGAATAGTTATCCCTCCCACAATTATGCGGAGCGAACGTGAAGGTTCGAGCTTCCCACTCAGAATACCAGCATGCGGACCCATGATAAGCATGGGGTAAGCAGGAAAGATCCATATGGGGGTCATTTGGGCGATTGTAAATGTTTGTGTTGACCATCTGCCATATTGTTAGTAGTGATCCGCCATCAACCTCTGGGGAGGGGGGAGTTCTTACAGTATAAGATAGATACCGGCAGAGAACGACACTGCTAGGATGCAGTCAATCCAGAAGAGAATGCCCACAGCTTCGAGCAACCACGGGCCCGCCTTTTCTGGTCCATACTGAGAGACATTGATCAGGATGGTCCCGAAAGACACCATTGATGCGGGAATAAACAGGGATTCCGTTGGATGAAGGAATGAGGCCTTGAAGGTATAAGGATAAAAATAAAATCTAGCGAGCAGAAGCCCCCAGATAAATAGATAAAGCACAATATTGAACAAGAAGACGATAATTCCAATGGTCTCTAGTCCTCGGAAGCGATATGGAACTATCAACCTCATTAGTATTTGCAGATAAGCCCGGAAGAGTGAGAAATTTTTACCTTCGTATAGAACGTTCGCCAAACCTCCAGTGGCCATGGTCAAAGTGAAATATGCCCATGTGACATGCCGAATTCGTTTTTTCCAACTCAGATGATCCGCTGACGGGTCTGTACGTATACGATCAAGATGTTGGCCATTGGGCTCAGCCCAAACACTTGATTCTCTCTTGGACCGATGGTCGGTAGTCCTAGACGAGAGTTTTTGCAAAGTTTCCTCTAACGCGGAAGCGTGCACGTCACGAGCAACGATTCGAGGGCTGTCTGTAACACCAAGAATCGAGATAGTGCGGTCGGCATCTTCGATAGTTGGTGTTCGATAGCCATCCTCGCCAGGACTTCGCATATGGCGGGGCACAGTCACTAGCCCAACTCCCGAGGCCATGGCGGGCACAACTGGATCTCTCGGCGATCAGGCCGAGTTATATGGATATAGCCCTGGGAATTCCGATCACCAATCGGGAAAGGGACGAGGACACAATAAGGTTCCAAGGCTGTGGCGGGATTATGGATTATTTGTAGATATATGCCACTGCACTAGCAAGCGGGATTGCGTGTCGAAGCCAAGAAAAAGGATTGGTCATTCCGTGAGAGGGGAATTGGGCATCAAGGTGAGACAGGAAGAGGTACAAGTTAGAACGAGCTGGGAGTTTCCTCTCGACGAAGCCAACTGAGCACAGGAATGAGGCTCAGCCTGTCTCTCTCATCGATCTGAATGAATGCGCGCGCTTCCAATGCATAATCCGAGATGAGCTTGTTTTTACCATTGAAGATTTGACCCCGACGTCACGGATCGCCGTATGGGTCCGGGTATACGCTTTCTCGCCGGAAATGCGCGGTTGCGATTCGCTGAGTTTAGTGACTTTCTCGGGAAGTCGGCACCAATTTGGAAGTCACGTCAGCATCCATGTATGGTGGCTTTGTGGCTTCAAATGTTAAAGAGTATGTATACTCTGGATACGCTTCGATCTTCTGCATCTTCTATACTGATTCGACTATAAATATCCGTTTTTGTATAACCTACAAACTACATGATCTGGAATGTATACGCTAAAAGTGGATCATTCTCAGTCTTGGCAGGAATGGATCGATCTGGTCGGGAACAAGCAATATATCTCAACTGTATCGATTGAATGGAATGGTCATGGAGGATTTGATGTGAGGCTAGTCCGACGAATTCATCTATCAGCCATTAAATTAGTTACGAAGACAACCCAAATAGTTCCCAAAGTAGTGATAGGGCTAATGTAGGTGCATTGGGCCGAGGCAACCTTGAAAGTCAAATCTACGATCAGGTGCGCATTTGGCTGGCAGAACGGTATATTTACGTCAACATTAATACCATTCAATGTTCAAAGTTCCTAGTAGCCCTGGATATATCCAACCTTGATCCTACGTACTATATGCCTGATACTTGGAAGTTGGAATGGAAATATACTCGGTACTCAAGATGAGTACCTGAGTACTAAAGATGAATACCCAGGACCTACTTTCACCTTCAAGTGCCAACTAGGGAAATCATATGATGAAAAAAAAAAAAAAAAAAACCACAAGCACCTATACACTACATATACGTACTAGTTACAGAGAAGACACATGCATGAGGGCAGCCAGGACGGTGAACAAAAGCGGTGACCAAGTTATGGTAATAAATTGAGCTCACCTGATAGTCCGCCGTGGTTGAACATCAAGCTACTAGGCTTGCTTTGGTATCGCGCGTCATCTTTGCGAATAGTTCACTGTTTCGTCCACTCAAAGTATTTCCCACAGAGACCACACCTTGGCTTTTCGTGTCTCACGTTTGATTGAATCCGACGTTGCTCCCTTCCAGATCCATCATGCCAGGGGTTACCGATACTCGCAAATCCGTTCTGATCACAGGGTGAGTTGTCATACTCCGAGTCTGAAATAATAACACATTACTGACGCCAAGCTAGATGCTCTCCTGGTGGAATCGGAAATGCCCTTGCTCGAGAGTTTCATCGAAATGGATTGCGCGTGCTAGCTACAGCCCGTAAGGCGGAGACCATCTCCGACCTGGCTGGTCTTGGCATCGAGACTCTGAGTCTGGTGGTTGATGATATCGAGAGTGTCAAATCATGCTACGCCGAAGTTGAGACGCGACTAGGAGAGAAAGGCTTGGATTACCTGGTGAACAATGCGTGAGTACAGTAGCTTATTCCAACTTTCTGATCTGTCAAGTTGTAATCATTGCTGATTCATTTTATAGTGGTCGGAGTATGACTTGTCTGAGTACTCAATGAGATAACCGCCCAATAACTGACAACACCTAGACTATACCGTTCCCGCCATGGAAGTCGATCTAGCTGAGGCCCGCAAGACATTTGAAACCAACTTCTTTGCTGTAATTGTCATGTGCCAGACCTTTGTGCCACTTTTGATCAAGGCCAAGGGAACTATTGTTCAAGTTGGATCGATCGCCGCGGTTTGTGTTTTCAGTCCATCTTTAATGAAACGGGATATTGAAAAACAGCGTCGCTGATGGATATTAGGTGATTCCCTACGTGTTTGGATCGGTCTACAATGCCTCCAAAGCTGCGCTGCACTCCTTCAGTGATGTTCTTCGAGTCGAATTGGCTCCATATGGGTAAGCGCCTACGTGCAATATTCATTCACGGTTTTTTTTTTCTAACCGTTGTCCACCAAATATAGAGTTCATGTCACGACAATTGTAACTGGGGGCGTACAATCTCGAATTGCGCGCACCGAACGTCACTTACAACCGGATTCTCTATACGCAGACATCGAGAAGGAATACGGCCAGCGCGTAACTCATAGTCAACATAATTCTATGCCAAATCAATCATACGCCAAGAGCGTTGTGGCTCAAGTCTTGTATGGATCAGCCCCGTGGCGTTGGGTGTGGCCATGGGCGCAAGGACGAAAGCTTTGGATTTGGGAGGGTCATCGCAGCTGGGTCATCTGGCTCCTCTCGGGAGGTTGGGCGTGGAATGGAACGTTTGGATGGGTTCTAGGGAAGATGTTCAATCTGGGCAAGATCAGACCTAAGAAGTAAGAATGGGAGAAATCATTTAGAATAGTTGTGAATCGCAAGTTGCAAATCATCAAGGAGTTCCGTGATATTCGCGTTGCAGGTCCCGAGGCTTAGCTGAGTCAGCCAGGGACGGGTGCTGGTTGGCTGCAACACCCGGTTTTACCGCGACTGCAATGTCATCCCGAGAAAAAGAAGAAACAGCTTTCTCCCCCGAGTTCCCGATACCCTTTCCCTTAACTCCCCAAGGGCTTCATAACACCACCCCTCTCCTCTCTTTCTCCTTAATTTCACCATGTTCAAGCTCGCTCGTGGTCGTTCCGTTGCTGCCGCCTTCCGGGCTGCGACTGTAAGTTCTTCGCGCGATTGCCGTACTATCGGCCCGTGGCTCGGTTTCGCTGTAAACCTTTGAATGCTAACCTGGCTTGGCCGTCTCTAGAAGCCTTCCGTTCAGTCGAGATTCGCTCAACAGCAGCAGCGTAACCTCTCCGTTCACGAATACCTGGCTGCGCGCCTTTTGAAGCAGGTATGTCAATCCGCGATTCCCGGTTCCCCTTCGGTCGCAGAGATCCCTATTTGGAGGCCTGGGTCGGCTTGCTGATAAAAAGGACACAGTACGGTGTTGGTGTGCCCAAGGGTGAGGTCGCTCACACCGCTGAAGAGGCTGAGGCTGTTGCCCGGTCTATCGGTATGTTTTGCCCTTTCCCTTTTTCTCATGTCTGGCCCCTTCATCACGTACTAAACGCGAGATCGCAGGTAACGATGACATGGTCATCAAGGCCCAGGTTCTTGCCGGTGGCCGTGGTAAGGGTCACTTCACCAATGGTCTCAAGGGTGGTGTCCGTGTTATTTACTCGTAAGTGGCCGATTTCCCATTTTTGATGCTCCTCATTGAAGGGGGGTGGGTACCTGACTCTTTTTTTTTAGTCCTACCGAGGCCAAGATGTTCGCCGACCAGATGATCGGCCAGAAGCTCATCACCAAGCAGACCGGTGCCGCTGGTCGCGCCTGTAACTCTGTGTACATCTGTGAGCGCAAGTTCGCTCGCCGTGAGTTCTACCTCGCTGTCCTCATGGACCGTGCTACCCAGGGCCCCGTTATCGTCGCCTCATCGCAGGGTGGTATGGATATCGAGACCGTCGCCAAGGAGAACCCCGAGGCCATCATCACCACTCCCATTGACATTCACACCGGTGTCACCGATGACATCGCCCGCACCATCGCCACCGACCTTGGTTTCTCTGAGCAGTGCATCGAGGAGGCCAAGACCACCATCCAGAACCTCTACCGTGTCTTCATGGAGAAGGATGCCACTCAGCTCGAGATTAACCCCCTCTCCGAGACCTCCGACCACCAGGTTCTGGCCATGGACGCCAAGCTGGGCTTCGACGACAACGCCGAGTTCCGCCAGAAGGATGTCTTCGAGTGGCGCGATGAGACCCAGGAGGATGCCGATGAGGTCAAGGCTGCCGAGCACGGCCTGAACTTCATCAAGCTCGATGGTGACATTGGCTGCTTGGTCAACGGTGCCGGTCTTGCCATGGCCACCATGGACATCATCAAGCTGAACGGTGGTAGCCCCGCTAACTTCCTTGACGTTGGTGGTGGTGCTACCCCCGCTGCTATTAAGAGCGCCTTCGAGCTGATCACCAGCGACCCCAAGGTCTCTGCTGTCTTTGTTAACATCTTCGGTGGTATTGTCCGCTGTGATGCTATCGCTCAGGGTCTGATCAACGTTGTGAACGAGATGAACTTGCGCACTCCCATCATTGCCCGTCTCCAGGGTACCAACATGGAGCAGGCTCACAAGCTGGTATGAGTGACCCCCTATTAACTCTTTACCCCTAAGAGATTGTTACTTTTATTTCGTGTTTTCATTACTAACTTCCTTTCTCCCTCATTTTAGATCAACGAGTCTGGTCTTAAGATCTTCTCCATCGAGGACCTCCAGACTGCCGCCGAGAAGTCGGTCCAGTTCTCCAAGGTTGTCAAGCTGGCTCGTGAGATCGATGTTGGTGTCGAGTTCACCCTGGGTATCTAAGGGATTCCCTAAAGGTTGAAGTAATAGATCAGGGCATGCATTTGGGAGCCCGCGGGCGCGTTGTAGCGACACATTAGAGAATCCCTGTGGACGTTGCGATGCCCGTTCCTGTGTCATTTATTTTTCTTTTGTCACTGTATTCTTGAGTGTTTGGATGTCCTTTTTTATTATGATGTCCTAATTGGAAGAGGATTTGAGAGATTTCAAATTGTTTTATTTAAAAGTTGTCCAGTAATCTGTATTGTGTAGTAATCATTCTGTATCTGTAGAACCCATTGATTCCCATGTATCAATCTCCCAGGTTTCATCGAGCGCCCAGATGTCCATTTGCAGATCACCGACCAAGATTACAAAGTCAGCGTCCCCAAAAGCCCATTGGCAATCATCTGTAACATGACGAACTTCACGCCGCGTCGAATGATGGCACTCCCTCATCACATTTGACAATGGTGCTGGTCTGTTGTATTTGGGCTCTAGTACAAACACTTTATGTTGCGACATGATGGCGTAAATCAGATCTTGGCCCACGCCCAAAAAGTTGATTATCGCAGGAAGAGGAGGCAAGGCATGGGCAATGACCTCGTCATCTTGTAAAGAAAAGCACAGTCTTCGTCGGGGGTCGTCGTGAGCTCCCATTTCTTTAAGCACGATGGTGCTTTGGCCCTTGAAGATCTCCTGTGCGTCATAGGAATCAAACAATTCACCATAGTCAGGGAACTGAAATTTTGCAAGGGAGCAATGAAACTCGTTAGTGTCACCGATTGTATACTTTTCAGCATACAGTTGACAGTTTTTTTCTTTTTCCGCGATGACCATGGTGTCACCAAAGTAGACTGTTTCTCCAAGACGAACGGCTGTGAACTGATCTTCAGAAGGATGAAGCGCTAATAGGACAAGACATGTCTGGATTGGAATGGTGCGAGTGATACCTGCGGTCCACCCCCAGTGGACGATCTCAGTCGGGTAGCTAAAGGCCACATTGCGGCCATTCACAACGAAATGATCAAATTTTATAGCGCGCAATCGAAAAGATCGATGTTCTTGGGTTTGAAGATCCCAGACGTGGCAATACCCGCGCATTGAGAGCGCTGCGATTATGAATTGGGAGATTCGTAGCTCGATGAGAGCTTCCCGATTTTCCGTTAGGATTGTATCCGATCTACCGGTCCACAGATTCAATAGCGAGATTCCTACTCGTCTCTGGTCTCCTCGTTGAGAGTCGCCACTTAACCAAGCATGTATGCCGTGGGAATATCCCACGCCACGGGTTCTCATTGCCCCGCCATGATCCTGAGACAATGGAGAAATTAGCTCTGCCCGTTCGAACCATTTGCCTCGCTCCAGGCGCAGCCTTTTCTGAACCACGGACTTTGAATCTGATATCGACATGTCGCTCCCAATGGTGGCCCGGATCGCAGCGTTTTGTATTATCGGCGATGAAAGAACTTGGCGCCATTGCCGAGACACTGTTTGCAGGAGAAACAAATCGGAAAGAGGTAAGTGCTCTACGATAAGTGCAACGATCTCCAAAGGCAGCTTGCCTAGAATGTCGTATTCAAAGCTGATGCGATCGGAACGTAGGTTCACGTCTCTCCATTCAGGGCGACGTAATTGGTCCAGAATTCCATGGAATCTGTAACGTAACTATTGATTAGCGAAAGAAGAAGAAGAGGAATAAAAAAAAAGTAAACACATAACAAATATTGGGATTTCAGAAGGTAGAGTATGTCATCGGCATTAACATACACGAGACGACGACTCTCTGTTGATAAACCACCAAACTGAGCCAGGATGGATTGTGCATGGGAGTCGATGATAGCTTTATGGAGTATTTTGCGTTTTTCATTTGATTCCATTGTGGAAGATATAGAGTGTAAGGTATAGAAGAAAACAGTAGAGGGTTAAGAAAGAAGTCAAGATTGGTGATGTTTTGGTAGATATCACACAGAACAATTGGAAGTAGGGAAGTCGCAAGTGTGGAGCAAGGCAAGAGGGAAAAAAAAGGTCTCATTCCTCTACGAAAACCCCCTTTTCTTTTCTCCGCCTTTCACCTCCAACTCACTAAGTCGAACCTCCCAACGTCAGCCTTATCGATCGAAATGTCTTTAGACCAATAATCCTGACTCTCTCCTGTTGCTATCCGAAAAAAAATTTCAAGTCAGAGAGAGTCAGACAAGCTTGCAGATCCCGACTTTCGCGCCTTTCCGGCCCCTCCCCCCTTCCCCGCAGAAGGACCTCGCGCTGGGATTTGATCCTTCAACCTCTGAACCTCAATTCATGGGCGCGATGACAGACCAGCTTTCAATGCTTGGGTGTTGATCTGCGCCTTATATGCGCCTCCGCGATAATATATTTCTTCGCCCACGTTCTGCCGCCACGAGCGCACGCTAACGGTCATCGCGTTCTCTTGCAATCTCTCCCACCCCAAACTTCGGCTTCCCCGAAATTCTTCAGATCGACTTAGCTTCATATCTTGTCGTCATCCGGTTCCGACCTCACAATATCCTTTCCCTTATTTGAAATCCTCTTTCGCGCAATATGAGTGGCCTCGCCGATCCTCCCTCCAGGAGTACCTTCGGCCCTGGAAATGCCCCAGGCAAAACACGAAACATCCCAGTCCTGTCATCTTCCGCTCATCATTCTCCCGTGGCCATGGAGATCACCCCTCCCTCCTCAGCGACCGTGGGCATGCCGGTCCATGGCCTAGACAGCGATCGGGGCGCAAATGGCTCTGACGGGAACACGAGCAATCCCCCCAATCCGGCTGTTGGGGCTGCCGCCGCGGCTCAGCAGCCCAAAGTGGTACAAACTGCTTTTATCCATAAGCTTTACAAGTAGGGTCTCTGGTCCAGTGACTTCTAAGGCTCATGCTAACCCGTCTCTTCAAATGTAGTATGCTGGAGGACAACGGAATTCAGCACCTCATCTCTTGGTCGAACACCCATGATAGCTTTGTGATGTCTCCAACTCCAGAATTCTCCAAGGTCTTAGCGTAAGTCCTTTGTCACCCTGAACTCCTTGGTCGAAGTTGGGAGGGGATTTTTTATTTTGGCTGACACTCCCGAAGCCAGTACTTTAAGCACACCAACATCTCGTCCTTTGTTCGGCAGCTGAACATGTATGGGTTTCACAAAGGTACGTCGCTCCCTCTCAAAGAAAGGGGGACATTTGCTAAGCCCAGCGGTCAGTGAGCGATGTGTTTCATACGGGATCTCCGGACTCTGCCCTTTGGGAGTTCAAACATGGAAATGGCAACTTCAAACGAGGCGATCTAGTTGGCCTGCGAGAGATCAAACGTCGCGCTTCCCGACATGCTCTGATTCACCGTGACTCGTTCCCTGGTCACAAAGCTGCTACGTCACAACCAGGCACCCCAGCGGAGCCTGTTCCTGATGCAACTGAAGCTAGACTGATGAACCTGGAGCACTCCTTATACGATATGCACAACCGTCTATCTCGTGCTGAAGAAAGCAACATTGCCCTCAATTCGAGATGCCAGAGCATGGCTGAGGGTTTATCTCAATGCTACCATGTAAGTATCTTTTTTTTGCTTCTCTGACACAAACTAAAAAACTAATTGTACTCCAGTGGACACATTCTATCTCTCGCTTCCTCCAAGCTGCTATACCTGATAAGGAGAACCCTCTTTACCGTGACAGTAGGATGGCACCTGTCCCGCAAAGTCGAATATTGTACTAACAGGTTTTTTTTAGTCTCCAATATTCAACGAGAAGTTGAGAAACAGCTTGAAACAGTGCGCGCTGTGGAAGCTTCGCACGAAAATCTTATGCCACCACGTCAGGCTTTCTTTGCAAATATGCCTGTTGAATCCGGGCCACCCTTATCTCCTCGTCAACTACCACAAGACGATGGCCGACGTCCATCCATGATTCGACCTCCTGTTCCGCCACATCTCGCGGTGTCGCCACGCCGCTATGGCTCCATTGGTGGAGCCAACCCCCAACCTAATTACATCCGGCCACAGGCCCCCCACGTTCCCCCACAGAATCAACCTGGGCCATCACCTCTATCCATATCAACCCCTCCTGGGCCCAACCTTGGTCGCCGCCATACCTTTGCAGACATCCGGCAGCATGACTGGCCGCCATCGGGAAGTTCCCCCTTCCCACCTGGTAACCCTCCGAGTGGAGCTTGGCCACCGTCTCCCAACCGAGTGCCGGGCTCCAGTGATCAGCAGGTCCGAGATGTGCTCGCCCAATATGAAATGGGAGCCCCTCGACGTCTTCAAGACCAATCGCGCCACGCAACACCCCCCGCAGCTGCAGAGCCATCTCCATCCTTGCTTAGTGTTGACAATGGGTGGAACATCGGTGGCTCTAGATTTCCTCGCCAAGAATCATCTTTACCAGCGACCCGCCGCTCTAGCATGGCAAGCAATGTCCATTCACTATTGAACCCTGCAGATACCGCTGAGAGACCCGACGAGGAACAGCAGATGAGCGAGGACCGCAAACGAAAACGGTTGGAATAGATGCATATGGCCTCGAATCCTCACTTGAAACCTCTTCATTGGATTGGATTGATTGGCTACACCGCGCATGGTGATTCAAGCCATTGATCTAGATCAAATCTACCACATTTTTCAACATGTTGAACTTGTTAGGCGTTTGGATACCTCATCATTTGTATACTTGAAAACTCACCAAAGCCCTTTGTCCTCTCCCTCTCTATCGCTCTTTCTCTCTCTCTCTCTCTCTCTCTCTCTCTCTCTCTCTCTCTCTCTCTCTTCATCTCTTCATCTCTTCCACCCCCGTGCCCTTGATCCTTCCTTTTATTTTCTTTTATTTCTTGGATATTCCAGGTGGAGTCGTGCTGTCGGTACCGAGTGAGCCAAAGGCTCGGGTTTTAAACTTCATTTCCCGCATATTTTATATACCCTTGGGTCGGGCGGAGTAACAAACAATCATGGTAACATCTAGAAGAGATTGGAATGAATTTTTGTACTTTAAGCCTGAGCCCCCAATATAATTTAATCAAGTGAAGTCCTTGTTCGTACTAGTTTTTTTGTGGCCAAGTCCTTCTCTGGGACGGCTATTTCGGTGATCCTGCACCGAAACTCGAACAGCTTCCAGACTGCAAAGCCTCCAATTCAGAGAGTCAATTAAGATGTGCCTGGTGGTAAGACTGAGACAATGGCGCTGCTTCCAAGGTTCTGGCCGAAAGCTCACTGGCACAAGTTGAAGTAGGGAAGAATCCAGATCGAGAACCCAGCTCTTTATCTCTTCTTTCTCTTCTTGGCCCTTTCAGCCAGGAGCTCGTCCAAATAGCTTGTTGCCTTTTTCTTCCCCTTCAAAGTAGTCTGTCGCACAGGAGCCTCCTTCGTAGACGGCGCATCTTGTCCATCCTCCGGGGAGTTTTTATCCTGTTCCTCGGTGGCAATCTTGGCCTTAGCCTTCGATGGCATAGCTTTCCTTTTATTCCTGCTGCTCAAGGCAGCCATCCGTCCCTCCTCTTCATCTTCGCTCTCCTCGTCCTGTTGCTTGGCCGCCGTCGTGGCAGCCGTCTTGGCCTCCAGCGCCGCCGCCGCACTCAGTTTCGCAGCAGCTTTCTTCTCGGCTTCCGCCTTCATAAAACGATCGTAATTCTTTCCAAGTAATTGTTTTCGTAATTTATCATTTGAGCCCAGCTCTGTGCGATTCCAGCTTCCATCGGCGGCTTTTTCGGGGAGTGGGGCGCCGACTCCGAGTCTGGAGGAATAGAAGGAATTAGGGTAAGATTTCAGAAGAATTAAAACTCAAAACAAAGAAAACAGTTTAGGGGATGCAAGGGATGGAGGATGCTTACGTCTCTGGGACGGCAGTGAAGATCTCATCTTCTTCGCGTTGTAGTTCCTCTTCGGATTTGACGTTGGCTAACTCGTCTTCTGTTTGCGCGGGGAGCCAAGATGCGACGAGACGCTGACTTCGGGCCAGAGCGACATTGGCACGGTTTAGAATGACGTCGGACTCTGTTTTTGAGAGCGACATGCTGGAGGGTGTTGAGCTTTATATTGTTTGTTGGCGCACGAGAAAGTGAAAATGATGCGCATAACTTTTTTGCGATAAGCACTATCTAAAGGCGGTGAGCTAATCTGATCGACTGCTCTACATACAAGTAGCACTTGGGTATATATTGATCCACTTGGGAACTTTGGTTGGAAGTTCTTTCAAACATTGAATGTTCTAATGTTTGGAAAATGTGGAAAATGTGGGATCAATTTATTTGAATTATGTTTACAATAAGTGAAATGAAAGGCAATAATATGTAATGTACAAGGCATCTCTGCCGGACTGCGTCATGTGCTCCGAGAATTCAAGTGTCAATCTCGGCTAGATCCTTCAAAGCTCAGAGACAGTCTCGTCGTCGTTTTCCCATTCAGGCAACTCACGAGCAGGAATATGCTGACGCAAATATTCAAGGACAGCATCAGTCCCTTTCGCGACGGTTTGCCATCGTGGGACCCGGAAGCGATTACCTGCAACCTCAAACCGCATCAGGGCAGATCCAGTACCCCAGTTTTGTGAAGAGCGCTCGGCGCCTAGCAAACCAATCTTTGGCGGAAGGTGGTCAATATCGTTGTTACCAACATCCAAGACTTGTAAACCTTGCACAGCCTCGAAATCCAATTGAGTCAACTTGTTATCAGAAACAAGGAATGTTTTAAGCTCTGGGTATATCTGCCGAGCCTGTGGGAGTGTCCCGGTCAAGCGGTTGTTGGAGGCGTCAAGGAAGGTAAGTGATGGGGCTCGAAGATTGGCCAGAAGGGACTCTAGTGTAGTCAAAGTGGTGGCACTGACGTTGAGAGATTGAAGTTTAGGGAGCTCCAATGCGGATGGCAGAGGCTCAGAGCTATGCAACGGATTATGTGAAAGGTCAAGCTCAATCAATCCTTGAGCAAGCATGCTGAGGGCGGGAACAGGAAAGAGGCGTAATTCGTTATGCTGCACATATAGGCAACGCACGTCTTGCGCGTCGATCAATGATAGATAGTCTGTTTCCAGGTCCTTTAGATCAGAGTATGACCGGTCAAGGACCCCTCGAGGCTTGATTTTCCATCCGCTCTCCAATGCTGGGGTTTCTGGCGCAAGCGTGAACTGAGTAGCCACAGAGCCCTCGTCATCCGTATCCTGAGGGTCAGGCTCACATCTGTTGCGCATGACCAGCTTGATGTTCTCTGTATCCATACTCAGAAGCTTACGATCACGGAGTGGATTGTTCGAGATCCGGAAAGTGGACAGTTTCTCCATGAGTCCAATTTTTTCATCCACAACGGAGATGTCATTGCCGGTGAAATCCGCGGTTTTCACATTTTTGAGGTCCACAAACCCAGCAGGAAGCCCTGCAAGTTTGTTGCTATCCGCGGACAGGAGTATGAGTGACTCCCATGAGGACATGCAGGGTAAACTCTTGATACGATTGACGCTGATAAGTAGGCTGTGGAGATTGGGCAGAGACAGAATATCGCTGGCAGAAAAAATCTCAATGGCGTTGTTTGCAATGTTCAACGACTGCAAATTATCGAGTCGATCCACAGATGCTGGCATCAGGGTACCAGTCAGTTTGTTTTTGGGAGCGCTCAGCGTGCTGAGTGGAACTCTACTGAGTGCATCAAACGGCAAAGATGACAATTGATTCTCGCCGACGTCCAGTGTTTTGAGGTTCTTGAGCTCGCCTAGTTCTTCAGGCAGCTCGGTTAAAGCATTGCCACGAAGATCCAAGGTCTCTAAATTCTGGAGACTACCCACAGTCGAAACCAGCACGCCCTTTAACTTGTTGTTTGCAAGTTTTAGATTGACTAGAGATGGTAACTCCATGATAGTAGCAATCTGATCCATGGTCAAAGCATTGTTCGATATATTCAGGAAACGAAGGTTATGCAGTCTCTTAAGTCCCACAGGGAGAGAATGCAGCAAGTTGCCGTGGAGGTCTAATGATTCAATACCACCAAACTGTGGACCTCGCTCGTCGCTATCCGGATCAATGTCTGCGGAGTCAATGTCTGGGAAAACTGCATCCGGTATTTCGGAAAGCTCGTTGTCAGCAGCAATGAACTTGACCAGGTCTACGTTCTCAAACCAGTTGGATGTGCTGTTAGGATCAAATTCGTACATGGCGAGCACCTCTTGAGGAATTTCACTCAATGACATTGCTGCAATGTTCAAAGTCCCCGAGGCACGCGCACCTTCCACGCGCTTCCGGAGGACATTGGTACTTGAACCCTTTGGTAATTGATTGAACGGGTCCTCGGGATCTTTAGCATCGAATGAAGCAGCCGGTTGAGCCTCCGGAACAGTCACTTGTTTCTTCTCCGTTGCCGCAGCTGCCTTTCGAGCTGCCTTGGCCTTTGCAATGCTTTCCCGCAAAGCGTTGGATGACTTGGAGACTTTTCTTAATTCGTTTTGGGCCTGCTGCTCTGGAGTGGGTTCGTCTTGCAGGGTTGACGAAGCAGACACATATCGCGAGGCGATTGATGGAGATCTTAACGCAGAGGGTGATTCTGCCTGGGATTTTCTAGTCTTTCGGATCTGAAGAGGACGCTCTGGTGGACCCATGTCTGACTGAGTAGTAGGTTTTGAAGATGCGGTCGGAGAAGGGCGAGCATGCGAGACTTTCGGGGTAGCAATGCTCTTCTTCGGCGGTGCGCTGTTTCCATAGACAGTGCTAAGTGCTGGGATACTCTGTCTTTTGGTGGGCCTCTTCAATTTCGAAGGACTGTCTATAATATCGGTACTGCCCGTTGGTAAGCCAGTTGATGTGGCCAGCGAAGGACGTGACTTGGATGGAAGACGAAGTTTGGAAAGTGGTTGCGATAACAAATCGCCATCATTGCCGTGGTTGGATGACAATCGTGATGGAGATCGCGAATAGTTCGACACATTGGATGGCGTCCGAGAGGGGGAACGGATTGGACTAGAACCATTGAAAAAACTAGTCTGTCTTTTGGCGGTCGCCGGCGATGGTGGAATATGCGCTAAAGTCTCGACCGTCCGCTCCGATAGCGATGAAAGTGAGGGGCGTGTACGGCCGCGGGGCTCTCCCGTTATGCTTTCTTCCTCTCCGACCACCGAGCCCACTTCGTCTGGTATAGATGTTCCATCTTCGCTTGAAAACTCCTCTCGATTAGGTAGTAGAGTCTCTACTCGATGCTTCGATGGCGAGTAGCGTGTAGTTGGCTTTTTGAGCAACGACTCGTAGGAAGGTCTTCTCAGTCGTCTTTCGTCCAGGCCAGGATCGGCCTGCAATCGATCTCGGGAAGGAGAGGGGCTAATAGACTTCGATGCGGTGGTAGTGGGTAACGGTAGCCGAGAAACCAGTCGTGGAATGCCACTGGCAGGACGGGTAACTTTTGGTTGACCTTCTTCCATGGCGCCGAAAAGGTTGGTTTTCAGATGAAACCCCTCAGGGAAGTGTTACCCAGGTATGTTTAGGGACCAATCACCAATCAGGATAAAAATGTCGGAAGAATGACGGGAAGGGTCTATAAGATTCAATGTTGGATTTTGCCAGGCCCACTTTGCCGAAGTGTTCGCTTTTCCCAGTCGAATAGGATTGTTATAAAGTTGAAGTTGTTTATATTTACTTTCCACTTTCCACTTTCATCCGCGTGTTCACGCGATTATCATCGATAGCGGCCTTAGGCAGCGAACCCATCCCCACTAGCTTTGTCTAGCTCGGAGTTGAAAGGTCTTTCAATCCTATGTGTCTAAATGAAACCAAAAATTGCACTCATTTGATATTATAACAGGCCAAAACGAGCTGCCAATTGAGCACTTGAGCTTCATGAAATCTCTGCTCCAAGTGGAAAACAAAAGGTCATGCATGAATCGAGTCAACATTTGAACGCAATATAACTTTCAACACCTGATACTGTCTATACCATGTTTCTTCTCTCCTCATAGTTACAAGGTAATTCCAAGTTTCAAGACACTTATAATATCTCAAGTGCTGGATATGAGCTTCGTGCTTCAACTTTGATGCTCTCCACCAGTAGATTGCATTAGCGCTTGCCGTGCCTGGTGTACCCACTTTCTCATCGAGAAAAAAAGTCGGCTCCATCGGCACTCCGTCATCTATACTATTAATTAATATGCGGTTCTAGGTAAAGACCTGGGATATTGAAGAACGATCGAATATGTTTTTATTTTATTTTATTTTATTTGTATTTTGTTTCTAGCCTTACTCGGTTTACCATACCAATGGGGGCATCTTCTACCACGCCATGGAGAAAACTGATCTTAAAGCTTCACGGAATCAATACGTATACAGCACGAATAGGTGGTGATTCGCTGGTCTTCTGTAACCTTCTATAACCTGAGAGATGAGTGTCTTTGGGATGCAAGGGAGGGACTTTCTTACAAGTTTGAATTTTTGTAGTCTTGCGGCACTATGGAGTAGTGATGTCAATATGTAGATTTCAAATGAGGTTTTTATTTGGAAGTTTCCCACTAGGGCAATATATTGAATCCTTCGAATGACCAATTTATTCGAATCGATGACATATACCCCGTACCATGCCCATTAGATGTGCCAAAACATGGAACTTGTTTCATGCATAAGGACGTGCACGATAGAAAGAGAGAAAAAAAAATAGCCAAGCTTATCGGTTGCCAGCCCAACCTGAATCCATCGACGTCGTTCACGGCTGTTTACTTGCCCTGAGCGTCCCGTGATCGTCAACCTAAGCCGCATGGAGGAATGTGGATTCGAACTGGCAGTATTCTGGGGCTCTGATTGGCTGGTGAGTCAGAAATCGTTGATCGAGGCTGGGCACTTGGTCCCCAGCCGCATTTCGCACTTCGCCGTTCCCAGCCCCCCCTCCTCCACGATATCATACATAGTGCCCACTTTCAACTCCTTCACATCCCCTACCTTGTTAACCCGACCTCAATTCCTATATTGAACCTGTTTGAATCCTCTTTCGCTTGTTTACCGTACTTTCTCTCTTCAAGTGCTTATCACCGCCCTATCAATCTCCGGTATGCGCCCGATCGCTTATCACCTTTATCAGATTGCACGATAAACTAACGCATTCCAGTGCGAGGATTTACTTCCCCACGGTTGACTCCTTGTCTGATCACATATCAAATTGACTTCCTCGGTCATGTCTCAACCCACTCGCTCATCTCAAAGTCCCCTCGCTGCACCGGCTGAGATACTTGTCCCGTCAACTCCACCCCGTCGTGCCACTTTGTCTCCATCCCCAGATCTCAGTGCTGCGGTCAAGGATCGCTCCCCCTCCGACATGAAGTTTCACTCCCCACCACATCTCTCTTCATCCGACATGACACCGCCACCTTCTACTCAGATCCCCGGAGCACCTCTCCGCCGGACCCACTCTCGCTCCATCAGTCCCTCACTAGCCACCCCAGCCGACTTGGACAAGTCTCTCTTCGAGGCTTATGGCGCATCGGAGAACCTCCCAACAATTGAAGAAATCGACAAGGCAGACGAAACCCAACTTCGGTCCATTGCCAAAGATTTACTCACTGTAGCCCAAGAGGCACGTGTATCTGCCTTACACTTCAAGCTTCAAAATAGCTTAGTATCGTTCGCCAGCAATGAGGCTGTCAAGCGCGCAGAGGTCGAGCACCTTTTGGCTAAGCGCGAGGTCGAAATTCTTCAGAGCGCCGAGTACCGTCGCTCACACCCCACCGAGCCCATAACTCCCAAGCAATCTGTCTCTAACAATGATTACCTGACCGCAATGCAGCGGTCTCGGGAATTGGAAGAGGTCAACACTGTCTTAGATAGACGACTGCGACGAGCTAAGCGAGCCTTTGAGGATGCTACCGCCCAGTCTGCCGAGTTGACTGAACAGAACAACTTGTTGAAGAAGCGTATCGAAGACAACCGTCGTCACTTCTCGCAAATTTACAACTACGGAACCCTTTCTCCTGGCATGCAAAACGAGCTTCACACTATCTGCCGGGGCGAGCACACTGATGGCCTTGCAGCCTTGCTCTTCGCGGATAAATTCACCAACCGCCTCCATGAACCACAGAGCTCTTACAGCGGTCACACCTCAGTTCCAGTCACCCCTAACCGCTCTGTTCGCCAGGGTCGCCAGTACTTGACCCCAGGCCAGATCTCGCATGGCAATCAATATGACAGCGATAGTACTGTTTCACTGTCAGCCGCGGATTCGGAGGACGAACCTGTACAGAGCCGGCAACAAGATTTGCGGCACACTGCCCCAAAAACAAGCACACTTCTTCAAACCAAATTGTTTGGCCAAGTGAAGAAGCCTGGCATGGAGCGCAATACATCGAACAAGCGCAAAGCGAGCTCTGATGAGAGTAACCCAATTATGAAGAAGTCCAGGGCTAGTGGTGGAGTGGGCCTGGGCATTAACACCTAAGACTACTTGTCTCCCCCACTCTCGGCATCTATGCCGATCTCCTATCTTGGATACGATTCATGACCTAGCGCTGCTCTCTTCCCACTTGGCTTGCACCTGATACGACCGGCTTCCCTTTGGAACCATTATGAATGATGTACGAATGTTACGGAACACGGTTACTTTACTTAGCGATATCTGCTTTTGTTCTTTGTTGTCTTTGTCTTCTCTTTTTCTCTCTTTGGGGTCTTATATTGGCCTTGTTTGTGGTCATACTGGCGTTTAAAATTGGTTCTCTGGTTAGATGACTGGGAAGTTGTATTTGGTGAGAAGAAACTTGAATATTCAAGTCCACCGGAATCCCAGTCGTTCGGGCATTTGCTTCAGAATGCATGACTTTTGCATGGCTGTACAATAGGAACAAACAATGAAAAACATGAAAAAACAGTATAATCTTCATTCTCTTGGCTTTTCTAGTATGACAAAGAAGTAAAATCATCATCGATCATCGATCATCTGTTAGTTTTATTATTATATACTTGCTAAGAACATCAACGTTGGAATATACGCAAGATGCATGCTTTTTTCTTACTGTAGATCCCCAGAAACGGAAGCGGTCCAGTCTGCTGAGTCATCCACAATGGACCACGGCAGATATCCCGGTTAGGACTAGTTAGGGCTCGCTAAGCGAGGCGGTCAGAGGCAAAGCGGGCCACACGAAAAATGGCAACTTCAGAGTTTCTGCCGTTGAAGGGAGATTTGACCAGCAACCCTCCGACGACCATCACCGGCTCGATCCCCATCCGTCACCATGGTGCGTTCCCCTCGATTCCCGTTTGCGAATATGTGTTGGAAATGAATGGACCGCCTCGATCGACATTTCAGGCGTGGTTGAGACTGGCGGAACTCGATGGCTGATGGATTTGTCTTCGGAATATAGGCGATCAAGCACAACAACCAGATTCAGAAGAACCGTGAGTCACCCCCGATGAACTTCAAACATGCGCTCTCTCCCACTCGACAGCAAATTGGAAAAGACTGCGATCGAAACGAACCAGGTTAACTAACAATTTTCAATAGACTTCCGCAAGGATTGGCAGAAGCGCGTCCGCGTGCACTTCGACCAGGTACGATCTCGAAAAATCTTTTCCCACCAACAACATCGTCCTACCGAGTTATATCTACCGACAGGAATTGATTGGAAGTGGGAGAAAAATGTTCGAAGGAATTTGGCCGACTAACATGGATTTTTTTTTTGCGACTTTAGCCCGGCCGGAAGCACCGTCGTCGTGAGAACCGTCTCGCCAAGGCTGCCGCCGTCGCTCCCCGCCCCGTCGACAAGCTGCGTCCCGTTGTCCGTTGCCCTACCGTCAAGTACAACCGCCGTGTCCGTGCTGGCCGTGGTTTCACCCTGGCTGAGCTCAAGGTAAATTCGACTACTGACCCCTGGTAAAACTTGGAATGGCGACTTATTTCCTCTTTTTCTTATTGTTTAGGAGGCCGGTATCCCCAAGAAGCTCGCTTCCACCGTCGGTATCTCCGTTGACCACCGCCGCACCAACTACTCCAAGGAGTCCTTGGTCGCCAACGTTGCCCGTCTCCAGGACTACAAGGCCCGCCTGATCCTCTTCCCCCGCAAGAGCGGTCAGTTCAAGAAGCTCGACTCCTCCGTTGAGGACGTCAACGCTGTCAAGGCCACCGTTGCCAGCGGCAAGCGTGACGGTATCATCACCAGCGTCAACGCCACCTTCCCCATCGTCAACGCCGCTGAGGAGAACGCCGTCTCTGAGATCAAGCGTGCCGATATCACCAAGCCCGAAGGCTCCGTCTACCGCACTCTCCGTGACGCTCGCTCCGAGGCCCGCCACAAGGGTATCCGTGAGAAGCGCGCCAAGGTCAAGGCTGAGGAGGAGGCCAACGCCAAGAAATAAATGTGTTAATTTTCTGCTCGTGTTGATGATGATGATCGGGTCGGTTTTCAAATCGGGGATGAGTGTACTGTGGCACGGCGTGGCGCCTCTTCCATTTCTCTCAATCTAAATCCCTCTTTTCCCCCTCCTCCTCTCCCCTTGAAACTACCCTTTTTTGTCTCTAAAAAGAAAGAACTCGGAAGATCCTTCGAAATGCAAAACCACCCAATTTTTCTCAATCTCTTCGACAATGTTTCTGGTGTTGGTGTTTTTCTTGCTCTGTCGAGCTTGATCCTGTTGGCCTATGCTGGAAGATGCTATTCCAGAAACGAAGGATCGCAGTTTCTGAAGTTGATATCATCCAGCTGAGTCTGAGGGATGGGAGTTATTGGACTTCCTTGGCCGAGAGGAATGGTAGAGGCCTATGCCATAAAATTATCTTGTAGTTTCTCCGATAAAAAGAGACTTTTCAAGGTTCTAACATCTTCGTACATGTATCCTTGTCTTCAACTTGAAGTTTATACGGCCAACAGTCAAAAATCGGCCTCCAATGTAGTCTGGACTGTAGTATGTAATCCCTAATCAATCTTTGAAGGTACAAACACCGATGTGCACTGGGCATGTTGGGACCTCCTATGTAGTACATATTGCTACATACTACTACATGCAAGCACTTACGGGCTACATAATGTAGGCAAACTCGGAATCTTCCAACAAAGAACCTTGCCCCGAAGGAGTCCACGGGTGCTCAAGTGCTGCCCAGGTGGCTTCAAATGTTCCAAGAGGTTCAACCCTTCAAATGGTGAACCTTGCCCAGCTCTCCAGGGCTGGAGGTGGAAATTTTAAACATTGAATATTCAATGTTCCAATTGGCCCCAGGCTCACGGGTGTACACCCGTGGTTGTTCTCGAGACCTCGGGATACATATAAACATTGAACGTTTGAATGGATCCACCCTCACCCTGGCTTGAGCACTGCCAACATTCAAATTTTTGATTGAGCATGAGTACATAGGTATTGAATCAATTGATACATCAACTGCTAAAATTCTACATATGTACATACTATGTATGGCCTTCGGGATACTACATGTACGTGCTACCTCAAGTGCTACTAGTATTGACTAGTATGTAGTACCTACCGAGAGTACACTGGTACGTATGTATAGATATACTCCAGATGTCCAGTGCTACAAACATTTGAACATGTATTTATGCAAGTTTGGAATTCAGCCCTCCAGGTGCCGGCCACTTTGAACTCTTTGCATTCATTATGATGCTTGCAACATTGAAAAAATAAAATGAAACAAACCCCGTGGTATCTTATCTTAAAAAAGCACGCTCCAAGCCCACACTCTGCGCCACCGCTACCTCGAACAAAAATCAAAATAAACATCAATCATGACCGAACAAAGCGCCAAGGGTGCCCTCTGTGGCCCGGACAACCGCACCAAAGTGGACACCCTCCGCAATGCTCTGTGTAGTAGATTTGTCTTCCCGCAATAGAGCGTGGAAAAGTTTCTTGGCTTCCTGGTCGATCTTCTTGCTGGGTAAACCACTAGAGCTAGATGTGGAAACACTGAGTTCTGGCCGTAGTTGTGGCTCTCCAGTCCAATCATCGATCGACAAAGGATTAGAGAGAAGGACTTGAGGATAGCCTGCCGGAGACTTGGATTTGACAACCAGAGAGCTTCGATCCAGATGCGGTATTAACCGCCGAAGCTCTGAAATCGTAATCACACCAGTCCGAGATTCGGACAACTTGGTTTTCCTGACAACACTGCCGTACTTGTGATCGATGCGTGCCCATAGACGAGCACGAGCTACTGAAGCTTCCCAGTACCGATTGATACCCCAGCACAGCGTTGCAACATCGAGCTTTAAGAGGGAACTGGCTAGGCGAGCGTCGATCCATCGACGAAGTACCTCAGGCACCCTTCGTTTTTTGCTGTCAATACCCGTGGGCACAGACACAGAGATAACGCATTGTGACTCCGGATCTGTCTCATAGACAACAGCAATATTATATAGAGAAGATGGAAAAGGAGGCGGAGGGGTAAAAGTTAGTGTATGTGTCTCAAGGACGGCACTTGTCTTCGAGAGAGTGCTCCGGCTAGTGTTTGCGTGGAGAGCTAGTGGGGCAAACACTGCAAGGTATGATGGTGACTGTGATGAGTCTTTCAAAGCGAATGGGTTTGTAGGTAAAGGCGATGTCGGACGGGTTGGACGGGATACGTTTTTAGAAAATGGAAGCAGGGTGGAAAGTAGTGATGATATTGGCACCGGGGCTCGTTTTGGGACAGGGCGGTTGATGTATGACGATTCCTCTGAGAGCAAACTTCTGCAAAATAGTTAGAGGTATTTGGTCTTGTAAGGGACGCAGGCTGATCATACAAAAAATGGTCCAGTTCCTTCGAACCGCCCTTGAGATTTATGTCGGACTCCATTTTCCCAGTCCATTCCATCAGCTCAGCAACATCATCCTTCAGGTACCTCAGCTCTGCTTTGAGGCTCTTGCGTAATTTGCGCTTCTCTAGAGCAGCTGCAGATAAATCTTCACCAACGGAGCCAGTATCCGAGTCTGAGATTTCTTCAGGGTCATGAGATTGGAACTTCAACGTTTTCAAGGGGCTTTTCTGAAACGTGTCGGTTGCTTTTCGTTTCATTCTTTTTTCGTATCTTCCACTGGGGCTGCTGCTCAACAGCCCAATTGACCGATCCGGTGCCTTTTCCAATCCTAGTTGTGTAGGAGTGGGGGGAAGTTCAGGCTCAAGATCATTGTCATAATTGTCATCCGTAGCGCCATCTAGACCAGTGTATATGTGACTTTCCGTGGCCGTTTCACGTGTTGCACTTCCAAGCTCTGTGGCCAATTGGCCTTCTGGTGTGTTCGAAAGGTCCTGCTCTGCTGGCTGGGGTTGTTTCCGGATAGGCGACCCGAAGAAAAAGTCACCGGGGACAATCTTCTTCGATAGTCTGCGTGGGGGTTTTGTGAATGATTGAACACCGCTAGCACGTCTGCTGGGCGACAAAAGAGGTGCATTTCCAGGTGGCGCTTTCAAGGGACTGGAGGTTCCACTTATTGAGGGTCGAAAGGCTTTGCGACCTCGAAGTCCGATCGGATTTAACGCTTCCTTTTCTCCCTTGCTTTGTTGGGGTTCTGGTTGCCGACTTGGAGACCTGCTGATTGCATGCTCTAGAACTCCGGGGTTTGATTTGGCTAGACTGGACCTTGTGGGGGACTGGAAGGAGGGTCGACGTGAAGGTTTTGTGGGAATAGGTAAAGCAGAGCGCAAAGCGCCTGCATTAATGCCTGGCGCATTGCTGCTTCCCCGACGTTTTGGAGGTGAATTCATTGTTGTGATGTTGACATTGATCCAAACTCGCGCTGAATTCGCGGCGCATAAACATTAATGTTTGCAGTGTTTGCACCTATGACTTAATGGCTTCCGTCTCGGATACAAGATCATCAATCATTTTCCTCCCCGCGAACCATAATGGAGTGCCTCGCGGCGGGTCGACATTCGTTCCTAAGGACGAGAATATCTTCTCGCCCTTTCTCATATAGAGCCGTCCCTCATCTGACTTCGAATCAAAAAAATGCCTCCCTTCCCACCCTTCGGCGCATGGCCCACAACCGACCGGACGCTCATACCCATGGTTCCTCGGAAGAAACCACCGATCATTCCCAAGCATATCCTTTATCGGGGTACTACTCCTTGATATTGAAATCACAATCTCTTTACTCTGGTCAGGGAACCACCGCGCGACAAACCACCCCTCCTCCCGAGGACCAACCAGCGCCTAAGTCCATCAGCGAAGCAAAGACCCCCCAAGAGAAGATGTCTATCGTATTCGGTACACGTCTGGCTGGCCCTGGTCGTGAATCTCGATACAATCCAGGCGAGATGCCTCCGGAATCTCAATGGCAAACGATCAACGGAGTGCCCATTCCACCCCGCCCCGAAGAGCCCGAGAACTGCTGCATGAGCGGCTGTGTACACTGCGTCTGGGATGATTTCCGAGATGAGATGGAAGATTGGGCTGCTAGAGCTGCCAAGGCCAAGGCCAAGGGTAGTATTGAGAAGGGAACTGAGGATATGCGCACCGCTCCTCGAGCAGAGGTTGACTCGGCCAGCCACAGCATGGATGAAGATGGAGGTGGCAGTGAGGCCAATTGGCCCGCGCCAAGTCAAGACGAGGACTTATTTGCCAACATTCCTGTTGGTATCCGAGAGTTCATGAAGACGGAAAAGAGGCTTCGAGTGAAGCACCAGAAAGAAGCAACGGCTTAGATCAATCTTTTTTGGCTTTGATACCCTGTATACGATATTGCGGGAATCTGGATTATGTGTTTAGAACAAGGTGGTGGACACATATATGCATGTATGGCATACAGACTAGTAGTATACTTTAGATTTTGTACATAGAAATTCTTGCCCATGATGTCATGATCATTCCAAATTCGCCTGTGCCAACAATTGATTGAAACATTAAAGAAAATGAGGGACGCGCTTCGTCGTTCCTGACTCCAATACCTCGTAGATACTATGCCCTGGTTAGTACACCCTTCATCACCTAAGATGTTTAAAGATGCACCAGACACACATGCATTGATAGCAAGTCAATTGATTAAAATATCTTTGCAATCTCACTTGCACATGTGAGATTCAAATTCAAGTCTCTCCGCATCGTATTCGGATGGCGCATGCCAAGCCTTCGCCCGAGGTCTCCCCATCTTTAATTCTTTGACTTGCGACACTCCTACCCCCCTGATTGCTTTCTCGTATCAATGAGATAAGACTCAAATCACACCAGCTATTCCTGAGGCCAGGAGCTAAACTTGAAATAACCACGGCAAGGGTGATTGGGCAATTCGCCGCGATGCATATGCGCTTTTTTCCAAGGTTGCGTTGAACACAACGCTCTGCAGTATGACAACAGGAACGAACGCACGCAATTCTATGCGGAGTTTACACCAGACTCTGGCCTACCCCCCAAGCAAATCTATCAACCGTATTTTCCACAGGAAAGCCCGACACTTCAAGTTGCGGCCCTTGTTTCGATATGTTCACACGACCCCGACTCGACTCTTTACTCCATCCCGGCCTGTGATATTTGATTCATTCATTGCTGGGAATGGACCTGAGCTAAAATCACAGAAACCCAGGAAATGCCTTCTCTACCTGCCGAAAAACTTTCAGTGTGTGAATGCCTTCGTCCATACATCCGCCTCGGAATTCTGGCCCCCCACCACAGAGTCCACTCAAAAGTCCCAGAATATACCGTTACCGTTGCTGAATGACTTAAACAATGCACCTGACTCGTTGCACTCTTCTGTTGAGGAAGACCATGGCTTCAAAGACATCAAAGAAGCAGATGCGATGCTTTGGGCATATGAACTTTGGCTCATGAGAGAAGAAGACAAAAGAAAAGAAAATGAAAATGAAGGCAACCTTTGGATCCAAAAGTTTGAGGTATCTCAGATTAACAAGAAGCTTTACGTGCATAGGGAGAGCCTTGATTGCCCAAGTAAACCACAACTGCTAGCTTCAAGATCGGCGATGAGCAGAGTATGTATCGTTTCCCCTGATATTTAAACTTGCTCTGACGGGAAAACGAACAGGAGGAAGCAACCCGCGACGCTCGTCTTTCAATCATTTCAAAGTTACGTAAAACCGATGACTGGGATAAAGATTTGGAGACTCTGGGTTATGATGGGTGTAAAAGCTTTCCTGATGTTCTCGACATTATGACAAATGACCGTTCCAAAATACCATCAGCGATGTTCAAGCAAAAATCTGTTTGCGAGGAGAAGGGAAAGCCTTTGGTACATACTTGCCAGGTGGATTTCTTTATGAATAAACGGATCAAGGACACGAATTTATTTAAAGCCTGCAATCCTATAGATCAGTCTCAAACACCGGTATGTTTCTGATGTACTCAATGAAGAACTCTGTTGGTTTTAACTACTCCATAGGAAATTGCACTGAAAGCAGCTATTCGCCAGTTAGTCATTAAGCTGCAGCTGCTGAAGGCGGGCACACTGGCAGACTTTTTTTGTGACTGGGTACTTTCAGAGCCCAGGGCGAGAGACGTTGACGAAAACGATCTCCAAACTTTCCATCAAATGTTGTCTTTGGGTAGATTCAAGCTTGAACTGGATGGTCACTTATTTTGTCGGGCCAACCTTTTTTTACCCAACAGAAAGAGGCCAATGAGTGCTGTAGTCGGTGAACTTGGAGTTCCAAGGGTTAGTGCTCACTTGTCTTGTATCCAACCGCAGTTGTTTTGAATTCTAACACTGTCTATTAAGCCTGAATTGGAGATGACCGCATTGAAGATTCTTGTATCAAAGCTGAAGAAAACCGACCACTGGAAAATTTCTCGTCCAGCTGTTCATGTTTCTGTGAATGACGAACTAATCTGGGTGTTGAAGGAGGCAAGAAATGATTTACTTCAAGCAGAACAATTCTTCAACCAGGGCCCTCAGCACGCCGTTAAATCGAAGCCGGAAAATTCGGAAAATCCAGGCAATCCGAGGTGGGCAGAAAGCAGATCCAAACAGCTAAGCCATAGTTTGAACACACGACGTCAATCGAAAGATGCAAGCATAGTTGATATTCGGCGTCAACAAGACGAATTACCAGTGGCTCAGATCAAACGCAAGGTCTTGGACCTCATCGACCAACACACCTACAGCATCATTGCTGCCGAGACGGGATCTGGGAAATCTACCCAAATCCCCCAAATGATCCTGGATGATGCAACCGACCAAGGGATTGGGGGGCAATGCCAGGTGATTTGCGTCCAGCCGCGGCGAATGGCCGCACAGCTTCTGGCGGCGCGAGTCTCTCATGAAAGAGGAGAAGCCGTTGGTGATACTGTTGGATGCGTAACTCGATATGATTATCGGAAGCCTGCCAAAGCTGAGGGCAGTATAACATACTGTACTACCGGTATCATGTTGAGCATCATACAGAACAGGCCTGAGATCCTCTCGTCGTTGACCCATATCATGCTTGACGAAGTCCATGTCCGTGACCTTGAAATTGATCTCATCATGCTTTTGTTAAAGCGCTATGTTGATCAATGCCGATTGAATGGTGCTCGTGCACCCAAAATCGTGATCTTAAGCGCCACTATAGATCTTGACTTGTTTTCCTCATATTTCACCAACATTGGGCTCAATGGAGAAAGGATTCCTGCACCGCATATCTCCATCCCGGGGCGTCAATACGAGGTCAATAAGCATCATCTTGACGACGTACTTGATGATATGGCAGCCACCTTTGAACCCGCTATTCTGTCCCGGCTGCTACGTGACCCCGAGACAAAAGAGTTCCTTGATAAACATTATACACGCTTTGGAGATTCCAAAAACTCCAACACTGTGACTACAAACTCTGCCTTGAAGAATGTTTCCAACTTGAACCGCGTTCCAGCTCGAATCGAGGTGGAAGACAAGTTGATACCTTATGGCCTGACTGCTGCATTGATACTCCACCTTTTGACAACAACCACCTCAGGCGCTATCCTAGTTTTCCTTCCAGGTCTGCTGCCTATAAAGAAATTGGAAGAGCGGATTTTGGAGTTTACAGCTATGAATGAATTTGATATCGACTTTTCAAATCAAGATCGGTTCAGGTTATTGAAGTTGCATGCGGCGCTGCCCCATGAAATGGCCAAGTTATCACAGCCGTTTCCAGAATCTTGTCGGAGGGTTTTCCTCTCCACGGATGTGGCTGAGGCCTCCGTCACTATCCCCGATGTGAAGTACGTGATCGATTCTGGCAGGGTGAATAACGTCGTTTACAATCACACGGGGCGTTCTAGTCGACTGGGATCCTTCTGGGCTAGCAAGTCTAGTATCATTCAGCGAGCTGGCCGAGCTGGTCGAGTTCAGAATGGGGAGTACTTTTTCTTGGGAAATAAAACGTCCTTTGATGAACTTCGGAAAATGAAGCCTCCGGCTATTCATCACACTTCTCTGGATAGCGTATGTTTGCGCATGAAAAGCATTGCCCCTGATACTCCCATCCTTGATGTCCTGAAAGGGGCGATTGAGCCTCCTGAGGCCGATGCAGTTGCGCAGGCTATCAAACACTTGGTCGAGAAACGGGCTTTGGATAAGGATGAAAATATAACCGACCTTGGTATTCTTCTCAATCACCTTCCCATAGCCCCATCAGCCGGCAAGCTAATCATCCTTGGTGCTATTTTTCAATGCCTGGAACCGATGCTTATCTTGGCAGCTTTGGAGGAGAAGAGCCTATTTCGCCGACCACTTGATCTTTCAGATGGTGCGGTCATTCGAGAGAAACGTCTTGAATTCGCAGAGCAGAGTCACTCTGACAATATCAGTGCGATCAATGCGTTCAAGGCTATCAGGGATGCTGAACGAGCGAGCAGAGACAGCGCCCGCCAATATGCTGAAACCCAGCATCTTGATTACCGCTGCTATGAATCGGCTCGCGAGTTGGCTAAAGGGCCACTACTGGACTCTCTCAAGAGAATGAGAATCATCGGCAAATCCACTCCGAACGATGATTATGGTCAATTGGGCGGCAAAATCCTCAATGACAACTCGAACTGCATTCCTCTCATCAACGCACTTGTCCTCCACGCCCAATTTCCCCAAGTTGTCGCCCCAATAGCGTCCAAAAAATCAAGCTACTTTAGCAAGAGTGAAGGGTTGAATCTCCTGGCTTGGATGAGCGCTGCTTCCATCAAACCCACGCCTTTAAGCCAGGATCTACTGACGTACCAGGTGAAGATTTCTGGTAATAGACCGGATTTACCCCCTTTGCTGAGAGGAGCATCTCTGGTCAGTCCCTTGACAATGTGTCTCTTTGGAGGACGAATGATCTGGAAAGATGGAAAGTTCCAGATGGACTCTTGGTTGCCACTAGGGGTTAAAATGAAAGATCAAACATACACCTCAAACGATGCTGCACGAGCCATCGTTGAGTTGCATAAAGCTATTGATAAGGTAAGCACAAGATGTGTTATTGTAACTTCCTTTGTTCCTCCTATTAATGTCTCTGACTTTGGCAGACATTGAAAACTGTATATGAGGCACTCGTTCAGCAGCTCTATTCGACGGAATTATACGGTACCCACGAGCCGATGAACGTGAAGCAGATGGTAAGATTGTGGGGTTTGCAAAAGAAATTGCAGAAAGCTGTCCTGGCAACATTAGAGCAAGATCATCACCGCTTTGCCGTTCCTGGCCAAGGAACCTGGGATGAAAATGGGCTTGAGTTGGATGAAGATGGATTCATTCAAGAAGACACCCTAGCCAGGGCAAACAATAGCGAGTTTGACGGTGAGGCTAATGTACAATAAATCTTTTTTTTCTCTAAGTCAAATATTAGCAATGAAACATACTATTGACATTAATATTTGAAATATCCTTCTCCTTGTATCTATACCTAATAGGTACATAGTATCTACCTAGCAGGTATGTACCTCGCCTGGAGTTCCTGTTTGCACATCTTGATCCCTGGACCTGATGTTTGCATATTGCTTCAAGAAACTGTAGATTTCTCCAAATTTTTAAGAAGAAAAATAAAAATTTTGAATTTCCTTTCTTCGAACATGATTCAATCTGATTCAATTGATAGCTCTAGACCTACTATATAATATGTACCAAGCTATACTAGTATGTACGTGCTTGCGACTACTAGGTACTAGGTATTTCGGCAACTGGTCTTGTGCATGAAAGCGGCAGGAAGTGGCAGAATACACAGAAGATGCAAACAGGACAAACATCCATGAAACATCCATGAATTACCATTACGCGCAGCTTTACTGAGGCCTTCTTCACCAACACCCCAACGCTTCTTATCATAATGGGAACCTCAAAGGCTCGCCCTGCCGCAAAGGCCCAGAAGGCCTCCCCAGATCTACCTTCGCGACGCTTGCCCGACAAGACCTTCGTCCTAGACAATGGCGCGTACACAATGAAAGCGGGTTATGCTGCAGACCCTAGTCTCTCATCCGAAGATGTGCTATCAGCATGCACCTCTATACCGAATACTCTTGTCAAGACCCGTGACAATCGAATAGTCATTGGCGCACAACTTTCAACACAAGTCACCGACTGGAACGAAGCGGCCTTCCGTCGCCCAGTGGAGAAGGGATACATTGTGAATTGGGAAGCAGAGAGAGAAATTTGGGAGCAGTCCTTTTTTGAAGAGAAAGCAACTGCACGGAACAAGAACCTTCGAATTGCTGCGCCAGAAGATACGACGCTTATCTTGACGGAGGCTCCGAATGCCATGCCTATTTTACAACGCAATGCAGATGAGATGGTCATGGAGGAATGGGGGTTTGGAGGATATGCAAGGTGCCTTGGTAAGGAACATGCCATGATATCAAGCTGTTCATATGGATCTCATTGAGACTGATTGATATTTCCGTCCAGGGCCAACCCTTAATGCTTGGAACGAGCTCCACACTTTGTTCGGAGACTCGCTGACCAGCAAGTCCGACTCCGCCATTTTGCCTATGGATTGTCTTCTTGTTGTGGACTCTGGCTACTCACATACAACCATAACCCCGGTTTACAAAGGTCGAGCTTTGCAACGTGCAATCCGGCGTCTCGACATTGGCGGCAAGCATCTTACAAACTACTTGAAAGAAATTGTGTCAATGCGGCAGTATAACATGGTGGATGAAGCATACATCATGAATGAAGTCAAGGAGGCTGTCTCCTTTGTGAGTAACGATTTCAAGGCGGATATGGAACGGACCTGGAAAACCAAGATCAAGAACCAGGTGGATGAAAGTGTGGTGGTGGATTACGTTCTGCCAGATCCAAATGCAGGGAAAAAGGGCTTTATGCGGCCACATGATCCCCTTTTACAAGCCAAAAAGAAGAAAGGTGCATCATCTGGTCTCAGCGCCGAGGTTTTGTCTGAGGACGTGCTTGTTTTAGGCAATGAGCGCTTCAGCGTTCCGGAACTTCTGTTCAACCCGGGCGACATTGGGATGACCCAGGCTGGAATACCCGACATGATTCTTCAAAGCCTATCGGTTCTTCCTCCTGCATTACATGCTGCCTTTTTGGCCAATGTGCTGGTTGTTGGTGGCAATGCCTCAATCCCGGGCTTCATGGAAAGATTGTAGGTTACCGTTGGTTTGATGAAAACGGGGACCAAATGTGCTGACAATTTCTTTCTTCTCTCTGTAGGGAAACCGATTTACGCCCTATTGCGTCAGCTGAGTGTGTTGTGCGTGTGCGCCGCGCTCAAGAGTATGTTGCCCGAGTTCTAACCCCAAAGACCTGTCTTGGCCATAGGGAATCATACTGATTAATCTTGCAAACAGTCCCATCTATTCTACCTGGCTAGGAGGATCCCGCCTTGCGAACAATCGAGAGGAGTTGAGTAAAGTTGCAATCACCCGAGAGGAATATCAAGAATATGGATCTGGATGGGCTGGTCGTCGATTTGCTGGCACTGTTTAAAGACGGGTCTGCAACGGAGCAGGATTTATGATGAGGTCATTTCTCGGAGTTGGTTATGAAGAATATTGATTACAGTGCATCAGTGATACCCCTTGTTTTCTAGTGATGTTGTTAACATTTAACATTGAATACGTTTGAAATATGACTGGACGCATACTAGTATGCTTACCATGGTTTATCTCGGAATTTCCCTTGGTTGCAGTTGGATAGCGGAAACCTTGACACCTTCGTACTCAAAATCAAGTAGTCCATTACATGATGCCAGCCTGACCCGTTCACATATCCCAACTCGACACCAAACCGTGGGAAATCGGGGGTTTCCCTAAAGAAAAAGTTTGTGCGTAGAGGCCTGCGGAATCTTCCTTAGATTATAATCTCGTTCAAAAGGTATCGTAATCTCTCAAACCAATATTTATGAAGGCCCCATTGTCTGTTGAATCTTCTCGTCGACTTTAGTTACTAGTAGTAATCACCAATGCAGCAGGGAGAAAACACAGCAAGAGATTCTGTGGCTCAACAGGCAGGATTGGGCTCTTCTCCAAATGGCAGGTCCATGATATCCACAAGGGAGCAACCACCGTCTTCACCAAAAACTTCGATTCTCTCAAAAATGTTCCAACTATTCTTCGATACGATTGGTGCCTATGACCCCAAGAAGCCCCAAGCACCAAAAAAAGAGCCTAAGCGCCCAGCGAGTACGAAAACGACAAATTCCACTGCGCAGCCAGCAGCCCCCGCACGAAGCGCAGATTATACTTCAGAAAACCAACATCCGAGACTTGCAACGAAGATCGGGTTAGCACAACGGCTGAGGAAAGCCTGGAAGGATGTAATGCCTCCTAGAGAGTCAGTGTATGTAACAATTTACGGCCCATAACCTACTTGAATTGACAATCATTAGGGAATGTATAGGTTGCACTAAAGAAATTCTGGCTATTAAGACCATAGTCGCTCCATGCGGACATAAATACTGCCGGAGCTGCATATTCATGATGGCGTATACATCCATGAAAGACATAACTCTATTCCCGGTGCGATGCTGCAGACAGGAGATCCCCGCGGAAGAAGTGGCATCAGCAATGAAATATCGCGATGGAAAGCGCTACAGACTACGAGTCGTTGAACATGCATTTCCGCCATCCGAGCGCTGGTATTGTCCGCACATATATTGCAGTCGATGGATTCACCCTCGCAGTTTTGAACCGTCTAAGCCACCGGAATGCCCCCATTGCCATGTCCAGATTTGCCCCAAATGTCGCGACCTGGCGCACGGTTCCCGCGAATGTAGTGTTGATACTTCATTGCATGATTTGCTTAAGCTGGCACGAAAGAAGCACTGGCAACGATGCTATCATTGTCATGCAATGATCGAGAAGATTGATGGATGCAATCAGATAAAATGTCCTGTTTGCGAAGTCAAATTTTGGTATGTTTTAATTCCTGGTTTCGCAATACCGAGACTCCAACTTTGAGAGAATGAATGCTTATATCAGATCGCCACTAGTTACTTCTGCTCCCAGCCATGGGAGTATTGCTCTCAAGCTTCTTGCAGAAGATTTACCCAAGTAGTCACTGGTACCGCTCAATTTGAGCATATAGGTGGTGATCTTGATGTCACTGCGGTGGTTGCTGCAATGGAACAAGCGGAATTGGAAGATGTGTAAATCTTGAAGAATGGTACTTGGTATACCGAAGCCTGTGGCAGACAGTAGGCGAAGATACAGAATCATTTTTGAATGGGTAGGAAAAGGCCCAGATCGACCAAAATATGCATGTAGTATGCTACTGAACTGCCTCCAGGGTTTGACAAAAACCAGAATGGTCCCCGGGTCAACTGAAAGCTTCATGGATGAGATTGATATGAACTGAACCAATAAATTGCTATGTAAGAATGGCCATATTCAACAAGTGTTTATGATATTAGCATACAGATCTGTGTCTGAAATGACACCAAGCCGGTATCGTCAACATCGTGAATGGTCCGGCGACACGATTAGTACTCATAGAAACCCTTTCCAGACTTCTTGCCCAGCCAGCCAGCATCAACCATCCGACGGAGAAGACCTGCAGGACGGTACTTGCTATCGCCAGATTCTTGGTGCAAGACGTTCATGATTGCCAAACATGTATCCAGACCGATGAAATCGGCCAATGTTAGTGGACCCATGGGAACATTCGTTCCGGTCTTCATGATGTTGTCAATATCCTCACGGCCACCCACGCCGGTCTCCAAACAGATGACAGCTTCATTAATATATGGCATGAGAATGCGATTGGCCAGGAAGCCTGGAGAGTCGGCAGAGACCGAAGCCACCTTGCCCATGCGCTGCACAAAAGCGATGGCGGTGTCCATTGTCTCCTGCGAAGTCTGCAAAGCTCGGATAATCTCAACACCCTTCTGAATTGGGACTGGGTTCATGAAGTGGGTCGATATCACCCGCGACGAAGCTTGAAGGTCTGTCGGATCCGTGGTGGTAGCCGCCGCGATCTTGGTGATGGAGATTGACGAAGTATTAGTAGCCAAGATAGCATGCTTAGGAGCAATTTGAGCGAGCTTGGAGAAGATGGACTGCTTGAGGTCGGGAATCTCGGGAACGGCTTCAATAACAAAGTCCACCGAAGATAGATCGTCCATCTTCAGGGTTGGAATTATAAGCCCGCGGGCCGCATCGGCATCTTCTCGGGTAATGCGTTCCTTGGCAACGTCCTTTTCAAGAAGTTTATCTGGGGCAAGAAATATGTCAATTGTTCAGGTCTTATTAAGTTAGGAACAGTTGAGCGCCTTGGAAAGACTAAGATGCCGATCTTAAACACCTATCTAAGGCTTAAGCGGAGGTCCTTACCCGCAAACTTGAGACCTTTGTCCAGAGAAGCTTGAGAGCTGTCAACCAACGTTACTGGAACCCCAGCCTTTCTTGCTGCGACAAGCGCGATGCCCAGGCCCTATTATTCAATCAGCGATTTGAAATTGCCCACGGAATGTCCTGTATTACCATTTGACCGGCCCCGACCACACCCAATGACTTTACCTCGGCCGCGCTTGTGGCTGCAGTTGAGCTGAAGCCGCGCGCGGCCCTGGGCCCGTTACGGCAGACTGACCGAAGAGAGGTAGCGAACATAATGGGAAACAGGGATATTTTCTGTACAAAATTCAAGAAGGAAAGAAAGGAAGGTAAAGTTTGAAGGGAAAGAGTATACAATTTCACGTGTGATCCCGTTATCCGACGTCATCGGCTATCTTCGGCCTTTTCTTAAAGGCGGTGGCAGTTTCGCCGAACCGCCCGGCAGAAGGAACGCGTCTTGACGCGTTTCCATTTTGAGTTACATTATCACATTTGACTCTCTAAATCCAACCCACCCATTATGGATCAGGACCAGGAGCCCATTGCTCTGGGTCATGATGTCCAGGTTGTTGACCCAGAAGTCCGCGGCCATGTGTATAGCTTGGTCACCGCTGTACGTTTTTATCCCTCTCCCCGCGCTTTGCACTTTACACGTACTTACGCGGCTGTGGTTTTCTAGCTCGGAGGGTTCAATGGCGAAGATGCGGATCGCTACGTATTAGGTGATGATGCATTGGCGTGTTTGCGCGATATCAAGCGGTGGTTGAAACTTCATGATGAGAAGAACAATCGAATGGACGTTGCGCGATGTCTCGGAGAAGCCAATGTAGTTAACGGCGATCTACTTCCGATTCTCTCACTTTGGTGGACCAGTGGGCAAAAAAGCAAACATATGAGTCGCATCGCTCTAGCATGCTGTAGGTGAATACCCGGATAAAAGACGAGATTGGAACGGTGCAGCTGATATAGATACAGTGGAGCTTCTGGTGCCGTTGACCTGGCCGGTCGAGTTCCATAGCCAGATGACTGTCAACCACCACCGTCACACTCCCTACATCCAACAAGCACAAGTTCAATACAAACGAGGCGTTCTCAAGCATGGTGGATCCAATATTCTACGCACTGTTATCCGAATCGCGATTCCTAGCATGGCCTTACCTCGAACCGAGCGAGAAGTCCGAGACGAAGGCATACTCAAACTAATGCTCTACTTTCTACGAAACATCACCATAATATCTCCCAATGCACGCCTAGCCGCCGATGGCGAAGAAGAAGAGACTTCAAGATCCGCTACCATTGATGCATTTCAAGAACAAGATGCATTTGCCCTGTTCCTGACCATGTGCTCCAATGTTGGTGACGACTTCAACCTACAGGACGTGATTTTGCTGGAGATACTATTCCATCTCGTGAAAGGTGTGAATGTCGAGAAACTGTTTATGGACGAGGAGCAGAAAATGGCCAAGGGAGCAAATGAACTGGGTGACCTTTTACGCAAGGAGGGTAAAGTGAAAAGGGAATACACCAGAAATGCGCCAACCCGGCATGGACGCTTTGGAACTATGATCTGGGTCAAGCGAGATGACTCCAAAGTATCTACCGTTTCTGGTCAAAGCATTTTGCGGGATGACCAGACCACCTTCCAAAAGATGGACCAAAGCAAGAAATGGGATAAACCCCAACCTCGTCGCAAACAGGATGATGTGAGCCAAAACAATAACTTTAACATGCCTGCGCATCTGTCTTCATCCGCATCCAAACATTTACGAACATTCGTGGAGGAGTTCTTGGACTCCGGCTTCAATCCTCTGTTTACCCATGTTCGCAAGGCTATCGAGCGTGAAGCGGAGCGAGTTCTTGAAATCAATTCCCGCCAATTTTTCTACACAGTCGGCTGGTTTCTGGAGGCGGAGCGCACTCGGCGGACTCGCCAGTTGAAGAAACACGCGAAGAGTGGAAAAAAGGCCAAGGCCATTGAGCCTGACAGTTACGGCCTGGTTGCCGGCGTTTTGAACCAGGAGACTTTTGTTTCCTTGAATCGTGCTATGCAGAATAGCCTGGACAACAAAGAGTGGGAGGATCTCACAGCACAGATGCGCTGTTTTACCCAAGTTCTGTTGACTGTCCAAGAAATGGCTGTATCGCCGATTGAAGATGACCAGGAAGTTGCAGAAAATATCCAAAACCGTATCTTCTACGAAGAAACGACCCACGAGCGGGTTATCGCCATCATGCGTGGTTATAAAGACCAGGGCTTTGGATACCTGGATGCCGCTACAGAGCTCACACATGTATTCTTGCGAATGCTTGAACGTTACTCCAAGGAAAACGCTGACATGCAAGTGCGATCCCGGCAGAGGGCCAGGCGCAGCAAGAAAAAAGCTGCCCAAGCTAATGGGCAAGACGACGCGGCCGATAACGAGGAAGCACAAAACTCCGAGGACGAAGATTTGGCAGAAGTAAATCTAGCTGTGAAGGAACGTGCTTTTGATTTCAAGCGCTTCGCAGCCAAATTCTGCAATCAAAAATGCGTGGACACCTTCGTTGCCTTTACCGGCTTTTATCGTGAATTGAGCTCGGAGCAATTGAAACGTGCCCATCGCTATTTCTATCGCATTGCATTCAAGCAGGAGATGACTGTATTGCTCTTCCGCTTGGACATTATCAAACTTTTTCATGGAATGATCAAAGGGCCTGGAGGAATAGACTCTAGTGATCCTGTCTTTAAAGAATGGGAGGAGCTGGTCCGCCAACTCATTCGACGACTCATCAAGAAGATCGACCAACGTCCTGCCATGATTACGGAGTTGCTTTTCAGCAAGATGAGCGCCACATCTTTCTACTTGGAGTTTGGACATGAAAAACAAACTATAGCTTCTACTAGGCGCGCGCCAGCTGATTTGGAGTTTACCTCGAAAGAAACAACAACCACCGAAGCCAAGTTGGGAATTGTAGCTGGTGCCCTTGCTCTAGACGGTCGAGCTGATCTCGCAAAATGGGTCGTTGAGGTTTTGAGCTCAGCAGCTAGCGAGAGAGAGTCCTGGGAAGCTCAGGATGAAGCCCGCCGCGCAGAGGACCCTGAGGCTACCAGCACTCCTCACCCCATGATTTGTAAGTTTAACCATATTTTAATTATTGAAGCATCGCAAGGCATATCTAACTTCTCTTTTCAATAGACGTGAAAGCGCGCGACGAGTTTTGCCAGAATGCAATGTTCTCGAATGCGAAGCTTCGACTTCTCATGGGTGTGATTGGGTTTGAAAGAATTGGATTAGAAGATGTGTTTGGTGCGTCATGGGTGATCCCACCGAATTTGACGTCCAGTGATTTGCGAGATGCCATCTCAAATATCAGCCAGACACTTGTCAATCCGATGCCGGAAGGCAGCACTGAAGATCCTCGTACTCTTCTTGCACGGAAGAATATCAGCGCTCGGAATAGTGAAGCTCGAGAGCTCGTGGATGTTAACTTTGGTTCGGAATCGGAAGGTGAAGATAATGTTCCTGATGGATTCTTGTTCCCCCCAAACCCTCGTTCAAAGTCCAATGCTTTGGATGATCTGAAGAAGAAACGAAAGAAGAAGAAGACCAAAATGGCCTCCGAGCATGAGCCTTTGGATGATGAAACCCTAGAGGCTCGTCGAGAATCACGACTCACCAATTCCTTGGCTCGCCAGCAAAAGATCAAGAGTGATCTTTACATCCATCCTAGCGATGAAGAAAGCGACGCGGAAGCGGACGCAGAATTCTTCCGACTAGAGGAAGAACGGCGAGCAGCACAGGCAGAAAATGTCAAGAAGGCTGTCCTTACTGGCGTAGTGGAAAACTCCATTGCCAAGGGGAAAAAGAAGGCGACCACCCGTAAGCGCCAAAGTGACACAGGCGTCTCTACCGCAGCGGAACCAAAGCGACGCCGACGCGGATCCAGCTCCGCCGAGAGTGCTGGAGACAGTGACGGCGATGATGATATCCTTATGGCGGACTTGGAAGCCCAATCGCCCCAATCACCGCAAGAAGCATCCACCATCCACGGACCTCAAGACAACAAGGACACTCCTCTCACATCGGCAGAGGATGAAATGGATTTCGATGAAGACTTTGCAATTAGTCGGAATCGGGATCTTAAGCCTTCTGTGCAGGAAGATGACGCGGACGAGGATGAAGAGGAGGCACCCGTTGTATCATCTCGCCGGCGGGTGGGAGGTTTTGTGATTGATAGTGATTCCGAGTAAACTTGATGACATGTCTGATGACCTGATGAGGCGTTTGGGAATTTCCAAGATGGAATTGTATTCAAAGAATATCTATCTAGTTTCAACATGATAACTACTGTACATTTGCTGTCTAGGCCTCACTGTAGATCATGCATGAATCTTCGAATGTATTCTACCCTCTCCAAAACGAAGAGAATTCCCCCATGGCGGCCTCGAGAGCCTCGTCGTTGATTTGATCATTATCAAGTTCGAATCTTTCAAGGAATTGCAGGGCATGTCTGTCGTCTTGAATTGCTTCCAGAAATAGAAACAAGGTGATTTCAGAAGGCAACTTCCGAGAATAATGCTCATACTGATGTAAAGCCCTTGTAAAACGTTCAATAAACCTATCGTGTTCCTCGTTCTTCTCAAGACGAGTTCTTAAGAGCTTCCGGTACAGACCATAAATGTCTACTAGTATAGATATGAGGGCCTCCCATATAGATGCTTGAGCGCGCGAAAAAAGTCATGCATGGTGGCAAACTCTTCACCGATTCGAGCAGAGACGTCGGGCGAGAGAACACGCCGAATCAAGACTCTGCCTTGGTCGTTGAGGTCGTTGAATTCGAAGGACTGCTTGACAATATCTTCTTTGAAGGCTTTAATATGGGCTTCCGTAATCTTCCCCGGGCCTAATCCAAACGCAACCCTAGTAGAGAGACGCAAAGATTCGTCCGTCACGTTGTCTCCGGCAGGATCTGTGATCTCGCCCCTTGCAATCAGCGGAAGGCGTGGATCCATGAGCTTGAGACCCTTAAATAGCAGTTTGCTCCATTTAACCCAGTCCGAATTTGTGTCAAGTTTAAGAGAGCAAACGCTGTCAAAGATCTCGAAATTAGGGTTGAATCTGGCAAACTCCTGAGTAGAATCCATTGACGGTGACGGTGGTTTTGACGCCATATTACCGTTGGGATAGTCTGAATCGGAAGGCGAATTTGGAGGTGAGTTATCGGGCGATGGCAAAGGTTTTTTACGCTCTGGTGTCTTGAGACCTTTTATGAGAGCGAGTGATGCGGCCAGAAGAAGCTGTTGGGGGTCGTTTTGATGAGGCTGGAGGAGTATGACGGGTTCGAGATGGTTTTTAGTCCTGGTCTGTATCGTCCTTTGCTTCAACGAAGGGTTCGTTTTCGGAATCAGTCGCGATCGGAGATGAATTGTCTTTGGGGCACTGCTCATGGGGTCAATTGATAAACGCAAAGATATTGTTTTGGCAACCTCAATAAGAGGAATGCGCGGAGAGAAAAAAGCTGATAGTTCCGTTGACGCGTGATGATGCCTTGAGTAAACAGGCTCTTGATGAATTGTTAAACGGCCCGAAGTTGGAGTCAACAAAAGGAATTTGTTTTAAGAGCAGGCATCAAACAGGTCCGTAGAGCATAAAGACAGAGGCAAAGAACTGACGGCAGGGCCAAAGAAAAGAGAGAAGATCCAAGTGGGCAAGCTTGAGGCAGAAGGAAGGTTGTGTTTGATGATAATATGAGCGCACAATTCCCAGAATACTAGTAATGACCTGTAGAAGGTAGACTACTACTTGCAAGTTGGCCACGCATAATGGCCAGATTTTCAATCCTATCACTTCCACTACTTTTGACTGGTGGACAAGATACTAGTAGATGCCACTTTTGAGTCTCATACTGATGCCAAGATATCTGCTTACGAATACTTTCAAAATACGATAACTAACTAGACTTTAGTTAACTACTAACTACTAGTAGTTAGTTAACGTTGTTTCCCCTCCTTTTCGTCATCTAATCCCAGGGCAACAATTTTCTAGTTTTCATTGCTGTACAGCTATGGCTTCCAGAAACAAAGTGCTGGCTGCATCTTGTCACTGTCGCAGTGTACAATTTACTATTACTCTGCCCACTGATTCCTTGCCCCTCAAGGTACATCTCTGCCATTGCAGCATTTGTCGCCACACACATGGTACATTGTGCACCTTTCATGCTGGATTACCCTCTGGGATTGAGCCACAATTTATCGCCCCATCCAGCTTACAGAAGCTGACTGGCTATCAACATGCGACTTCACTATCAACGAGATATTTTTGCAGTACCTGTGGCTGTCAAATTGGGGACCAAATCCATGAAGATGGTAGCTGGGTCATCTCCAACGCGATATTTGATGCCAACAAAGCAGATCATGGAATATGGAAGTTCGCAACTCATCTATACCCAGATTCCACTCGCGACGGGGGACTGTCCGCCCTAGTCCCCACAGTCGATAATCACCATCTGGAGTTAATCAACGACACAAAGGATTCCTCGCAGCCCATAGAAGATACATTACCAATGGACGGTAACAGCACCACAGAACTGCTTGCACAATGTCACTGCGGTGGTGTATCGTTCACTATAGCCCGACCAAAAGCCGAATATATCGCCAGCCCAGCAAGCCAAAATTGGCTTCACCCGCAAGACAAGAGGAAATGGTTAGCCTGTATGGATGTTTGCGATGATTGTCGATTGGTAAATGGCACGCATGTCATCGGGTGGACTTTTGTCCCATTGGACCACATCTCACCTAGGCCATCCTCTAATCTACTGATTGGGTCGGCCAAGGCCTATCGATCCACCCCGGACGTGTTAAGAACCTTCTGTGGCACATGTGGCGCAACCGTTTTCTATAATTGTGCAGACAGGCCAGAGATAGTGGACGTGGGGGTTGGATTGTTACGGGCACCTGAAGGAGTTATGGCTGAAAATTGGGTGTTATGGAGGGCAGGTCGAGTCTCATGGGCGGAAAATGGGCTGCGATACCATGCAGGGTTCTGCCACGGATTGATTGAGGGGATGAAGCAGTGGGGGGCAGAGCGGGACCAACCGCAAGATTTTGTCATTCTATGAAGATGGAATTAAAATTGAATGACGTGCAGTTTTTATTTCAGGGACCACAGTATAAAATCTACAATACTTTATTAATTTCTTTCTTTGCCGATGACGGATACTTTCGGCAGCTGTACGACCCACCATGAGTCAACATTGAAAGTGGGGGAAAGACTCGAAAGAGTATAAATACTGAACGCTTATTTCCGACATGGTAAAGAACTTTGACTTATGAAAAACAAGAACACTCTTATGCCACCTGCAAAAATGACTCAACTTCGCTTCGTCACACTCGACGTCTTCACCTCGAAGCCATACTCTGGCAACCCGCTTGCCGTAGTCTTCCTACCGGAAGATGAGTCTCAAGCCTTGACTCAGCGTCAAAAGCACCAGATGACGCTAGAGTTCAACCTATCAGAGACCATCTTCGTCCACCCAGTGCGCGAGCAATCCAAGCGCAAAATCGACATTTTCACCATTGAATGCGAGATCCCATTCGCAGGACACCCAACCATCGGAGCCGCAACGTGGTTCCTATGCCAAGCTCCGGATGCCGCCGGTAGCGGGGTGACCACATTGATCACCAAGTCTGGCGAGATCCCCATCTCCATTCAAGATCCCGCGACGCAGTATGTTGCTGCGCACATCGCCCATAATACACGCATTCATGCGGCGCGCTTCCCGCTCAAGGAGATGCTGCGTCTCCACCCGACTCTGGCGCCGTTTTTCTCCCAACAGCCCGATTTATCGTTCCCATTGTTTTCGATTGTGAATGGCATGTCGCAGACTTTTATTGAACTTCCGTCTTTGGAGGCGTTGGCTGCGGTCCCTCTCGCTGCAGGTGGCCAGTTGGTACCTGTAGAGGATAACTACTTGGATGAGGGCTGGAGATCCGGACTGATCTGTGTTTATTTCTTCGTTCGCGATGTTGAAGACAACGTCATGAAGCAAAAGGTCATCCGCACCCGTATGATGCTGGGTGGACTGGAGGACCCGGCAACTGGTAGCTCAGCTAGCGGGTTAGCGGCATACCTGACATTGACAGAGGGTCAAGCTGGAAAGGAGCATCGGTACCACTTTGTCCAGGGCGTTGAAATGAATCGGCGCAGTGATATCGGCGTCAACGTCACTCTGGATAGTGATAAGAAGATTGACCAAGTTTTGCTGACCGGTACTGCGGTGCAGGTGTCGGAGGGCAAGATTTTTGCTCCCAAGGCATGAAAAATTGCTGAGGATGAGAAATGCTTGTAAGGAAAAGTTTCATTGGAATGAGTTCACGTATACACTATTTGAAATTTTGTAATTAATGAGATGAATGTGATCTTTGATGTTTTTGTAAGGCTCTGTACTACCTATACAACTTAATCTTATAGATATTTCACAGTTTCTGATCCGCAACCAACTGTCGCAGAACCTTAAGCGTCCCTTCCACCGCAGACTTCGCCATGTTCTTTTCCTTCGCCAAAAACTCCCCCATCTCTTTCTTCGACGCCTCGGGGTGTTTCCATTCGAAGATATAAGTCAAATAAAGCTCCCCATTACCTCCCTCACTGATGACGTTGCTGATATTCCCACCAACCTGCTCGAATTCCACGCGGGTGGGCTCATATGCAGTCACGGTTTCCTGGACTTTCTTGCCCGATTCGCGAAAGACCACATCTCGTACAATCACGGTGTTTCCGGTTGATGGATCGACCGATTCGCTCAGCACATCAGTCTTCGAGATCGCCCCCGACACGAAGGTTTCAGCGGAGCTGATTTTCAAAATAAGGCCAGCCCATACTTGATCGTGGGAAAGTGGGGTTTCGCCCGGTGGGTTGATGGGGGCCGTGTATGCAATGTTGTTGGCGGGGGGCATGGTGAGGTTGAGAAGTAAGGAGTTTATTTGAAGACAACTTGTAATTCACGTTAATGCAAGCTAGCGATAAATCGACGCCATGGCTTGTCAAGGCGGTGTGCTATGGGGGCGCTTCTCTCTGGTGATTTCGTTACTCGCATCGCGTCTTCGGGATCTGCTCATTTATTCATTCCCCGACTACATCATTTCCCGAATAGATATCTGGTCACCGAGGATGATTTTCATTCCCCGATGGGTTCATTCGCCCGAGTTGCTTGTATACATCACATCTGATCGAACAGTATATTTCACACCCCGGAAAACATCATCGCCACAATGCATCAAGTTCCGCTGCTGGAAAATCAACAAAGAACCTGTCTTGGGAAATACGCGGACAACATCTCGCATTCGATAATCGTCGGTGAATGAGGTAGCCCCGCCAAGCAACTTCTCCTGGCCTTTCAGTGATTCTGCGGCCGTAGACTCATAACCTCTAGGAGAATCAGACCGCTCATCTCCAAGAACATCCTTCAGGTCCACCTCTCCGTCCTGCACAAACAGGGTATTTCTCTTCTCGGCACGCACAATCTCCGGCAACAGTTCATCCAAATCCTGCTCACCATCCCCATTCAAGTACAGATGAATAGTCAATAGCGACCGTTCCTTACCATCGGGAGTAACATAGCATCCATCCCAATGTGGCCGGAAATAATCTCCCCCTTCATAACGGAGGAAACGAAGTCGCTCATTTAACTTGGATAGATGATACGTTTCCCCACGTTTTGCGGGACCAAGCCCGGTAATCATAGGTTGGTTGTGTATTATTTCAAGATCAAAGCCGCGCATAAAAGGCTGTAAACGATCCATAATTCGTTGTGCGATATCTGGAGAGTCGAAAATAATTCGTCCGCTTTTACGACTGTCCACAGACATGACTTCTTTGCCCCCGCCTGCATTGATCATCGCACGCTTCCAGACTGGGCTGTTTGTTTGGGACTTGACATCGTCAAGGGGTGCGGATTTTTCTGCAATCTGAAGGAGCTCTTTGCATTCCTCCTCGGTCATGAAATTGTCTATCACCGCAGCGAAATTGTTTTTGAACGCTAATATGGCAGGTGTTGTTTTGGTGAAGTCGATGCGATGAATTGTGGCATCCTGAGAGGATCCTCGGAGGAAGTCCTCTGGAATCTGCGATGTAGCCATTATATGAGCGATGGTTGGGTTTTTTCAAACTCACTAGTAGCCACTTTGAATTCTTGTTCAAGGAGCTGGGGGAAACAGGCATATTTGTGTTTGGCCCCCACCGGACTAGTCGGATGAATAACCGAGGGCTGAGTCGATGCCTACATAGGTGAGGCTCTGCTAAAGACCCAACTGTTTTTTTTGAACTCTTACATTAAAAGACACACAGAACACACACAAATAACTCAGGATAATAGGTCCAGAGACAACTAAAGATGGAAAACAGAATGGTAACAGAAAACGGATAATATTGGGGTTGGGGGGAAAAGAAAGAAGTTCCTCTCTCCGCCCAATTCAATCTAATAACTACATTATATAAGAAGTCACCAGTAAACTGGACTCGAACTGTATAGATGGAATGTAATGAACTGTAGATGGAACAGTTTGAACTTGGGGTATAATGATTTGGTAATACATACAGATGCTTGCTGAAGGTACGTTTAGAGTGGGTCCGAGAACACCAAGAAGGGGGGCAAATTGCAATTGAACCCGGATTCACTGCTTCCCCAATCCTGTCACAACAGGGGTTGTATGCTTTGGCGACCGGGGAGCACTGAAAGATGGCCAAGAGATCAATTGATATGCCCCAAGGAATGGTAATTGAGCCAAGAATTAAACCATAAACTCTCATATATCGAACTGGAAAACTGCGATGGAAGTCACGTCCAGTTTCAAATTCCGGATCTGTCTGTAGAAAACCTTTGTCGTAGTTCAGCCCTGGTTTCCTCTGTAGACGGCATTTTGTTGACATTTATCGGTAGTAATGAAAGGCGGCTAACCGCAAGAAGGTCCTTAATGTTGGAGCTTCCGTCTGTCGCTAGCCCACCACAATCATCAAAATCTCTTAATACCTTGTCAACGGCCTCTGCCCGACCACTCATATGCAAGAAATTCCCAATAGATGCGTGGATTTTGAGGAGGGCAGGATCAGGAACTTCCCACCCTTTCCGCGACCGGAACTTAACAAGCCTATTTCTAGGCAAGAAATGGACCGCATCTGAAACCGCATCCGGAAAGGCCTTTATGCGGTACTGGTTTGTGACCCCGGTTGCTTCAAAGATAATCCGGAACTGACCAAATTCTTTGTGAACCATCATACTGAGCATTAATATATTCTTCTCAGAATTGATGTGCTCCGATGTGAATGATATCTGGCGGAGCATTGGAAAATAATGTGAAAGGTTGACCCAGATTGTCGCATATCGATCCACGGCTTCAAAGTCATCGTGTCGAAAAGATCCGAGAGTAAAGGGAATGATATGTGCGGCCTCAAGATAGGTAGTAGGTGCTCCTTGTGGGTGTGGATGACTGCCGCTGTATCGACCTGTTGCAAGGCATCTAAACTCGTCTCTTTCCAAGCAATGAGAGCAAAGCTGGGACTGTTGGCTTCTCGAAACTGGTTCGATGTTTTCGGTCTTTAGATTCTCAATTGAATCTTCCACGCCAGGTCGAGGGGAGGGGGTAATGTCAGTAGGTGTTTTACCACCATGGGCTTTTAAGGGAATGATGAGACCGGTTTCGATGCTGCGCACGAGTTGTCGAAGCTTTTCATTATCACCTGAACACTGGGAGATATCATCGACCAGGTTGCTTTTCCCATGAGGTGAGAGAACCCCGAAGAATCCGTTGAGAAAGTCCTTTGTTTTATCCGTCTGATCGGTCTGAGTATAGGTATTAAGGTGTTGGTTGAGTTTAGCTTTGGAGGACGGCATAATAGCCAAGATACACAGAACACACACAAACAACTCGGGATAATAGGTCTAGAGGCAACTGAAGATGGAAAACAGAATGGTTACAGAAAATGGATAATATTAGGGTTGGGGGAAGAAGAAGGAAAGAAGTTCCTCTCTCCGCCCGATTCAATCTAATAACTAATCCGGACCTCAAAATGGTAACTAGCTCTCGTAATAATGACGAGACACATAAAAATATTCATACAGCCCAGATTCCAACTCCGCTATCTCTCCATCGATCCCATACCCGTAATTTCAGTTTAGTAAGATCGGAAACAACAAAACAAAAACCAAACAGGAAAGACCGACCCACTCCGCAGTCTCATAAGGCTGCACTGTACAGCCCTGAGACAAAAAGGCGCCAAAATGAGCTTGACACATACACTTATATATTTCCCCAGGTTATTGATCAGCGACAACATGAACACGCGCAAGCGTCATATTTGAGGAAATACGATTGATTAGTGATATTTTTTTGGTTGTCTCAAACTGTTAAACAACCTTGCAGACTACCTTTTTTCTCTCTTTCAATGTTTGCTTGAAATCGCAATGACTTGGAATACAATTGCGAACAAATTGGATATTCCTTTTTTTGATGGTAGGAGAAGAAAAAAATCGTCGAATTTAAAGGTCCAACTAAGATCGGGGATCTACAAGCCCTACTAGTAGTATAAGAGCACGGCCAGGGTGGGGAGCGACCGGGATGATCTAGAATTTGAATTCGTGCACATGTGCGGATCAAGGTCTAATTCGTAGCCTTAAGCCCTGTACTTCATAGGAAAAAATCCATTCGAAAATCGTTAGGGCATGAACACGAACGAAGTGATTTCATCATTGAGATCCCTTCAAAATGGGTTGTGTGGCCCGGTCCCGCGCCGAGGCAAAGCGCATAAAACCGGGCCGGTCAATACCTCCCCAAGGTTGGATAGTGGGGGGATAAGACACATAATTTCCCAAACATTTTGAAATACGCAATGATAGATGTAATGTTCAATAAAAACTGGGAGATGAATATCAAGACAAAGGAAAGAAGGGTATATTTGATCTATATTTTATATCTAAGGAAATTTGGCCGTTCCTCAAGAAGGCTTGCGTCGTTCATCTAGCTGGTCGTGTAGATACAAACGGCCTTCCGTATTGAGGAACCCACCGATTCCAAAGGCGGGGATAATTCGACACATGCGAAGTAATGAAGCACCTATCCAGTCGCGGCTGATGCGCGAGATTCGGTCTTTAGTCGGTAAAACTTGGGGTCTATTATAAAGATCCAACCCAAACAGATGAATGGGAGTGCTGATGAGTTGGATAGAGGCGGGGATGGCGAGTTGCGCGATCAAGATTTTCAGGTACTCCTGTGAAGCGATTGAATCCGGAATATTCGAGGAGACCATGGCGGGTAGACTGAAGGATCCAAAGATAGTAAGGCCATCTCGTAGAAGGAAGGCCGAGTATGTGGCCAAGGGAATTCTGGTTCGGCCGATGGAGCGAGCGATTTTTGGAGGTGAGGCGGGGGAGCCACTAGTAGCTGTTGTGGATGATGAAGTCGGGGTATTTTTTATAATGTTGTGGCCGAAAAGCTGGGCAAATTTGACATCTTTCCAGATTCCCACGGAGGAGTTGACGAAGAAGGTTGATGCAAAAGTGGTCATACCCGCAATCGCGTGGTCGATCTTGGGGTAGACTTTGTTCAAGATAGTCTCGGACATGTTGGCTGTAGCAAATGTAGCGGTATAGAGGGACCAGACCAGGAGACTGGGGCGTGATGTTAAGAATGTGGCGGGCTGTGTGATGGAAAACCACAAGTGCTTGCGAAATGCGGGGAGAAGAGGTTGGTTGTAAAAGGATTTTTCGACGACCAGGCTTGAATACAAGTTAGTTTCGAATGTTTCAATGGAAGTTCACATCGCAAACAGGAAAGAAAGAGATGACATTCTTACCGGTCGAAGATCATCACGGCGGGTGTTATAAGGGCTGCTGAACCTGCAGCAACAAGCGAGTCGGCTAGCATAAGCTCTCCAAGCCGGCTCTGGCTTCGTTGAATACCCAGTGGCATGGCTTTATCTTGGAGTGTTTGAGTCATGGCGTCGGGATTCAATGAGAAAGCTGTCATAACCCAAAGTCTAAGGGAGCCAGCAAAGGGTTCCAAGGACGGTAAAGGAGGGGTTTAGGAATAGATAGAAATAAAAAATCCACGATCAAGCAGGAAGTCCAATGTCCAACCTCCAGTGCTGCAACCGAGAACACAATCGATTAGATAAAACAAATTCAAACGCGGGGCGGTACATCATGATTGTCGCAGACACGACTTACTGTGGATCGGGTCTGGATTGACGACCGAATTCTGCAGACCGGTGAAGCAAATATGCGAGAAAATAGGAAATAAAAGGGGAAAAAAGAGCGAGAGAAATGTGGTTAAAAAGAAGTTGAAGACAGAAGCCAAATGATCAATTATATCTGGGATGAAAGTCATGTAATGCCAGCATGTTATCGCCCAACAATCCAAGTATCAAGCAGTGAAATGCATTTATAGATCGGTCTTGAAACCTAACCCCTCGTCGGCGAGATGGGCCAATCACAGTCGAACCGGCCCGGCCCCCCCGGTGATGCATCCGCGTCATTGATTGGCTGAACCGCCGCCGATGATCGCCATGCAGTTTCCAGGTACAAAAGTTGTTCTAGAAGAACGGTGAGTTCATTCAAGAATTTAAACCGGGCCTTTTTTCCCTTTGTTTTTGCAACGCATGGGCTTGCCTCAAGGGGATGTCGTGATTTTCCCCCGCGTTCCCCCGATATCGCTTACCCCAATTGTTGAATAAAAGGAGGGCTTAGAGGGTTTGGGTATGCTAAGTTTTCACCGACTTTCGTCAAGTGGGGTTCTCCTTTCTCTTGCGAAATCAGGCATTAACAAGAGATAAGGTTCAAATCAGATATTTGTTACTAAAAGATCGCTTCGGCACTTCATCATGATGTATGCATAAGTCTTGACTCTTAATATTGGGCCGTTCAGATCATGACTCAAGAAAAATATCTAGCTCAGCCCGAGAAGACAAACTTCTAAGAAGAGACTGATCTACTATGTACAGCCAGGAGTAGGACAAAACCGTTAACCAACCTTATCGGAGCTCTGGTGTTGTGTGGGTCACTGATCTAGTTTCAACCTATGCCCAGGTGTTCAATACACATGCAATATTGGCTTGTGCAGAGGGCTGGCCATAACGAGAAGAATATAGGTACAACCAACCTGACGAATGGCGAGGAAGACTGGTGCGAAAGAACATGTGATTGCGCTTAGACAAGACAAGCATGATGCACGTGTAGCCCTCTACAGCGACTCATATAAATATACCCGCGACCATGTTACTCCGAGCTCCGCGTAATCTCAGCCTTGGAAGACTTCCCCTCCACATGTGCAACAACTGCCTAATGGATGCGGCCTATCGAAACTCACATGCAAGAAAAATGTTTTCTGAGCACACAATCTACTATAGTACTAACTATTAACCACTGCGCACATCCAATCGAAACGGACCAACTTCCCTATCTTAGATTTCAAGGACCATGTCTCTCGCCACCCAAAGTTTGCCCGACCTCAGCGAAGAAACATCTCCTCTGCTATCTCGCTTGTAAGGTCTCAGGTCAGCCTTAGAAAAGATTTGAAAAATCTCAGGGACAGAAGGGATATCCATGCATGTGATGTTGATGTGCTGCATCATGGTCGAAGGGTGTATAAGGACAAACTTGGATACCGCGACGTCGCAGCCAGAGCTATAACCAACTCACAGACATCAATTGTATCGCTTGGGCTCACTCACCAAGTCGATTGATTCTTTCACAATCGGTAGTCTAGTCAATGAAGGCCTTATATCCTGGAAAATGCCAGTCAGGGATATCCTATCACACAGGCCCTCTTCGAGTTTTCCAATCCCATTGACTTTGTGGCATTCGCTGAGGACTCTGCCAAGAAATTAATCAAAAAGTACGAGGAAGCCAAACGAGCAACTGAGATAGCGGCAATGTGCCATATGATTTACGGTATACACGTGACATCATATTGGAATCCAAATCTACATTGATACCAACCATGAAGGCATAAGAAAGCAAGAATTATTGACAGCCAGTCGCTTATTTATCACATTGTCAATAGTAAATGTATATTAGAGTGTTGCAAAGTAACAAGTATTGACCAGTAGGCTTGTCCTCCAATCAAAGCAATTGTGGTATATTGTCATCATCCTTATCGTCATTGGTTGCCCCGTTATCAGTAATCGCTGATAAGGATAAGAGAAGAAGTTGTGGCGGTTGAGTCTCCGCTCTCACCCGCATGCATCCCCGCATTCTCTCTTTAATGCACGTAGTACACGTACAACTGTCTCCAAAAGAAACGCTGAAACGAGAGGCTCCATCACGCTAGAACCTTGATTCTATGCCCACCGAAAGTGAATCGGGACGCTCTTTACGCGTCTCGCAGCGTCGGCCTCTAGCCTGCCGAGGTATCTGACCATCCCTTTGTTTGTGTAAGAATCGCAATATTGACACAACCCCAGAATGCACAAAGCGAAAGAGAAAGTGCGATAAACAAATTCCGTGCTCAAGATGCAGAAGATTGAATCTGCACTGCTCCGTGGAAATTGTTCAATTGCGAAGAAACACCGTGCAACATGCGTCCGAAATCCAGTTTCTCGCCGCAATCCTAGCAGATGTGGATTCTTTTTCCAGTGAAAAACAGCCTCATATCAGTCGCAAATTGAGAGAAAGAATTTCGCAGCTACAAACTGGTCAAATTCAAGATTCAGATGAAGTAAGCACTGGCTCAGGAGCCGAGGACTTGGAGTCATCCAGTAGCCACAAAGAGCCAGCGATGCCGCATCAATTTGCCGAGGTAGCATTGGAAAGTCCAGATCCTCCACTCTTGACAGCAATAGAACACCTTGCCTGGGGCCGAAATGCCGCCGGATGCTTCCCGCATAGGAGATGCGGATGCCAGTACCGAAGAGACAGCCCTGAGCTTTTATCTATGAACAGCGGCAGTTTTCAATTCTACGGCTCGTCCCTAGAGCCTTTGATCCAACTCCCTAGGACTGTGGATGCGCAAAGCCTCATCAACTTTCATATAGGCCATCTGACATGGCATCACAACAGTTTCCATGGACCCACATTTCTCGAACAATGCGAGTTGTTCTGGAAGACGGGCAGCTGTGATCACCCTCTTTGGATAGCACTCTATTTCTCCGTGCTAAGCTGTACAATCAACTCGGTTCAAAACAGTCGGAAACTAACAGTGCTAATTAACGTCGATCTTGAGACGATGCCATCTGCCCACCAGCTCCTTTCTGCCATGGTCCAGACACTGTATGGCGCTCACTTTTTGCACAATTTATCAATATACTCAGTTCAAGCTGTTGTGATTTCAACAGAGGTTGCCCACAATTTAGGTCTCAGTCAGTTGAATGCAACTCTTTTCAACGCCGCGGTACGCATTGCTGAGTGTCTTGGAATCCACAAAATCAAAAACCATCCTCCGACACCTAAAACAAAAGACGGATGGGAAGAACGGGTTGAGCGAGAGGTCGGTCGACGAGTATGGTGCCAAATGCTCATCCAGGACCATTTCGCAATTCCGTTCACAGACACATACAGCATCTCACCAATGCACTTCTCGACAGGTCGACCTCTGAACGCAGACGATTATGATTTAACAGACGTATCACCTGAAACCCCAACAATAAGCAGCTATGTACGAGTTCTAGTGGATCTAGCTGCCTTAATGCCAGGCTTGGTTGATGGACTTGGGCCGATGCACCGTCGCAAATCCTATCGAGAGCAATACGAGCATATCCTCCGAGTCGACCAGAAAATGCGAGCGATCGTGAAAGGCATACCTTCCTTCATGCTGCGACCCGACCCAATGAAAGAAGCCCAAATCCCCTGGCTTACAATTGCCCGGCGTAGTCTGGCAATAACAGCCGCGGAGAAAATTATAATGATTCACCGACTGTTTCTGTTTCGTTCATTCCACGATCCGACCTATGTTCATTCTCGACGGACTTGTGTTGCCGCCGCGATGACGATTTTACGTGAACATGAGACAATTGTGGAAGACGACGACCTCTCTATCTGGACACACACGGCATTTGCAATTACAGCCGCAGTGATATTGTGCTTCGAAGTAAACACTGTGATGGAGACCACAGATCGACGAAGCGTACCAATGTACAGGACAGCTGTCCTTGCAGCTCGCGATCGACTAGCTTCACGACATGGGGATGTACTCGCCCAGCGAGGCGTTGCTCTGATTAACGCAATTTTTATTGCCGAGCAATCGAGCCCCAACGTCTCAGAAATGAATCGGCTTACGTCCATCGATTTTAATCGAGTCTTCACCAATTTCTCCAATTTAAGCAAAGCGAGCGCCATTCCATCCCCTGATGAAATGACGCCAGGGAAGCTTTCGACGGGGACTCCCGAAACCATAGACGCACCCGATATGAGCGAAATGCTGGCATGGAACCAAGAGGAAATCGACTTCGATCTTTGGTTTAATGGAATTTTCAATAACTTCCCGGGCAATCAGATATAGATAACAAAAGTACTGTTTTGGAGGACTGGGAAAAAATGGCACATGCATGAATTATGACACAGGAAAATTTCAATCCATTGACCTTGATCTAAACCCTGACATATCCCGTATCATTGACGTCTTCATAACTCCTGAATGGCTTAGGAGGAGTGACGCTTGTCATTGTGCATTGCCACAAGAGTCGCCTTTTATCTTGGTCTTCCTTATGCTGCGATAGTTGCCCAGTGATACTGTGCATAACACCGCGGTTGTGGAAGATGACCAAATCACCCTCTTGCCAACGGTGGGCGTAGATGTTCTCTGCCGCATAGATCTTCTTCTGCATATTGTATACCACGTTCCTGACTTTCTCAACATCATCGATGACAGTCACCTCTCCAGTGGTCGGATTACGTGTGGTCAGCTTATAGACACAGCATCCGTGAACCTGGAGGAAGGGCCTGTCAGGGTTAAGCGGATTACGCCAAACCATCTATTTCAAGATTAGTACATATAGGAAACGCTGAGGTTGGACTAAACTCACGGGATGTTCCGCAACCTTATCCCAACTCCATTCAGACAGTTTCTCAACTGGCACCTCGCTTCCCATTGTTGGAATAGTAAGACCATCATCAGATGCCTTACACTGCCTGATGTACTCGTATGCTTGTGGTGCATATGTGACAGTAGTGTTCAAAGCAAATTCTTGCTCTTCGGGAGTAAGGAGAGAAAAGGCGCGAGCACCCGAGAAAACTGGATTAACGCGCGTCAGTACAATGGGATACGACTGAAGAGAATAAGGTAAATAGCTCACAGGCTGTCGCGCCAGCACCAATTGGCTTTTCTTTTCCATCGGGAAACTTGATTTTCTGATCGGGTAGATTGGGGATACGAATTGAGTGTAGGATAGTGACTTCACCAGGCAAGCGCTCATAGAATGGAGTATCCATGTGCCACCTATAGGGACGAGTGAAGCCCTGGTCAATCTCACTCTGAGTAAGAGGCTTTTCGTGAAATAGTGTGTGATCCTAGTAGAACTCTCAGTACAATCCCTTGATGTTACAATGTTGTTATAATAGGGCTAACAAACCAGATGGATAACCTCCAATTCCTTGAGCCCTTCATAATCATGGAAAGTTCCAGAGCCAATGATTCCAACCTGAGGAGCCTTAGGAATTCTTCCAGCCTTATAGGCCGATAGAATGTTCTTCGGGTCACTAACGGCTTTCTCGCCAGCAGAATGAACATCCGACGCATTCGGGTCGAAGACCTTGGCTAACTGAGGAAGGACAGTGGGATCAATTCCCTTCTGGCCTCGAATAACAATAACTTGATTCTCAAAGAGAGCTTTTCGCAAAGTTTCTTTGTCGGTTTCCGTCAGGCTGTCGAGCTCCAGTTTAGACATTCCTGGAGGAAGTTGGACTTCGGCACCAATGGCCGAACATTGTCGGATGGAATCCGGGAGAAGCTGGAAAGTCAGGCTGGTTGATTCGGGCATCTTGAAAGTGGAGGGTAATAATGATCTCCAAAGTTTAAGATTGAATCTTCTAGCTGAAAGTGCTCCCGCCTTGAGTTATATACATGTTCTCGTGGTTGATACAGCGGGTGAGTTGGTGCGGGTGAGCCAACAACTCACCCGCCCTGCAATAGCGGGAACTCGTCCGCACCATGGATTAAGGTGTGGCTTGAACGTTATCGCATCTTTTGCTTTTTACATAGTAGTCTATTCAATGTTATAAACAATATTGACTCAATTGACGCGTCTCCTTAAGGACGAGATGTGAATCTCCTCCGCATCTATATCATCTACATCTGTCGTTGAAGGTACTATATAACGTTTCATGTGCCCAGTTAACCTCGATGCTTGAAACAGCTTTTGCATTTTCCACTACACTCAAGCTGCAAGACCTTCAAGGGAAAAATGACTACTACCACAATTTGTTGCAAGCCTCTCAGTCCGCTCAATGTGTCAAACATTGACTTCGGAGTTGAGTTGACGGGCATTGACGTCGAGGCCATGAATGGTATGATCACTTTCATTGTTTATGGAGTGCCCAGAAAAGTGATGCTGACTTGACTCAGACGATGATTTCAAGATTCTCCGTCAAGCATTATACGAGAACCAAGTCGTTGTTATCAAGAACCAAGGCAACTTGACTCCTCGAGGACAGTACGAACTCACCCGCCGTTTCGATCCCGCCGCAGGAGTCTATAGCCATGGCAAATCCATTGACAAGCGGAGTGTTCTGCACGCCGATCTCACAACCATTCCTCATCAGCCACAAGTACAGGTTATTGGCCACGGTTTTGTCAAGGAATATGAAGGATTATCCAACATCCAGCTCCGACACCCTCACCACAAGGCCTTTCACAAAACACCCATCTCCGCCGAAGAGAACGAAGACTTCACGCATTTCTATCGCTGGCACATCGACTCTGCAATGTATAACCTGGATCCACCACTGGTCACATCCTTGCTAGCAGTTCAAGTGCCCAAAGGACGACGACAGACCTGCCGCTACGATGACGGCACCGATGCAACCCTCGACGTTCCGCTTGGAACAACCGCATTCTTCAGCGGATACCGTCTGTACGAGCTCCTATCCGAGGAAGAGAAACATTTCGTGCGCACCAGCAAGGCCGAGTACGCACCGCACCCATACATCTGGATGAGCAAGGCAAAGTCTCGCTCGAATGGGCTCGGTATTGTATCAGAGGGATTGGAACTTGCCGAGGAAGACTTGCCTCCATTTGAGGCCGAAAAGGTCAAAACCTACCCAATGGCATGGAAGAATCCCGTGACGGGAAAGCTGGCCATGATGGTTTATCCTACTTGCGTCAGGAAGATACATCTTGAGAATGGCGAAGTTTTGGACAACCTTCCCGAGATTCGAGAGCGGTTGTATCGGTTACAGAGACGGGGTATTGATCCTTCCTATATCTATCCGCACAACTGGGAGGAGGGTGACCTGGTGCTCTTCAATAACCATGGAGTCATGCATTCTATTGTTGGATCGTTCAAAGATGATGAGGTGCGGGTATTCAGGCAATGTAATATGGCCGCTAGCCGGCCTCCAATGGGACCCTTGACGGTTTAGTTATAGATCAATGGAATAAAATGAAATTTCTTCAGGGAATCTATCATTCCCAAAATTAAAAGTTTTACCCAAGTCTTGCTAGGGATTCACACGATAATCTTCTGCCTCACCACCCACGAGCTTCACGTAAACCCCAGACCATCGATACCCAATTGAGATGATTGAAATCACAAGGCATGGGTGCCTGCCCTGGTACGTTGGCTAATAATCGCGGATCCGACCACGGGAAGCCGGCTTGCCCAGCCATGCCAGATAGGAAACTATCATCTCCGAAACCCATTCCCATGCCCGGGCCGACTCCTGTGCTCGGGGGCATCGGAATTGGTGACTGGTTTAGTAAAGTGTCTAGGGCATCATCAGGAGGTCCGGTATCGGGAGTCGAAATGTCCTTGGTCATGTCTGCTAATCTTTGCTTGATACTGAGAACAATCTTCGGAGGGGGCATTTGCATGCCCGACTGTTTGAAAGTTGGTTCGAGAATCTCCCAAGCCTCGAGAACGAGTCTGGCAAATATCGCGAACAAAGGACCATCAAAGCCAGTAGGAGAGTTGAATCGAACCTCATAGTTGTCATTCATAACTTCCCAAGCAAGTTCAGCGTGATTGTTATCAGAGCGTTTTTTCAAGTCTTGAATGACTTGAACGTAGGCTGGGAAAGGAAAGTACATGTGAAGAATCCACGCGTACCCTTTGCTGAGAGGTGAGGTGAGAATTTTCGTGTCACATTCGAGCTGGCGAAAGGCCTGTGCAACAGTAGCATCGCGTTCGGCATCAGTCTTGGGTATCGAAGAGTCAAAGTATTCCGCATAGCTTTGCAGGATATGGCATTTAGAAAGTTGTGCCCGGACTGTCCAAATTGTCATAAAGTGAAGTGGATTATCTTGGTCAAGATGCCTAAGATACTCGTCCTCGATCCTTTTTTCAAACGTGGCTACGTCCCCCCCATTTGGAAGCTGCCTAGCAATGGGCTTTAAGGCCGGATTCAAAAATTCGAGATGAAATGGTGAGTGTCGAACATAATCGGCTAATTCACTGCGTAAAACGTGGAATACTGCCTCGGACGGTTTGACCTGCGCGGTCGGCGGCTCCTTCATTTCCACCCAGATATCAGAATCGTTGATATTTAGAGGAGGTTTGCAGTCCCATGTAGGGTTGAGAGTGGATGTTTTGGCCGCTGACAGTTCGCTCATACGAGCGTCAAGCATCACAAGGAACCACCAGAGCCTGCGGCTCATTTCTGCCTCAAAAACGCTGTATTTAGCCAGGAAGGGTTCACTGTGTATGCCTATACGTTGGGCAATTCTAACTGCCATTCCAAGCATTGATGATAGGGACTGAGGATTAGTGTTCAAGTGAAGAGACAACTGGATAGTATTAGAATGCGTCGAATTGATGGGCTGGTAGATAGTCAATCACTTGTATGAATGCTCACCAGGAAGAGACATAACGCCGTCAAGCACACTCGGCTATCAGTACGCAGAAATCGGCAATTCAGTAGAGCTTGCTGACACCCGAATTGATATTTTGCCAAAAGATCAGTCTTTGACAATCCAAATGTTGATTGGCAATTATCGTTAGTCAGGCTTTGAATAGCTATGCAATATATGCTAAACATGAGAGCCTCAAGGTGAGGATCAAGGCCCGTAGTATTGGTAGCAGCTTCGATGATCTTTCCTTGTAGGCTGGGGGTGTGGGTCACTTTAAGCAGTGGGTTGACATTATCGAGGTACAACTGCCAAAGCCTGATGATATGAACTGGTTCAGGGTGCATGGTTGCCAGATCAACTGATGCCTTTCGGGAGCCGAGAATTATGTGATCATCATTTTCAAAGCATTGATCCCACGACATTCTAACCACAGCTTCGCGCAGACCCTCATTTGGAGGATTATGCCGTTTATTATAACGAAGCTAAATTCACGTTAGTGAACAAACGTCATATAATCAATAGTTGAACAGCATACCCCTTGGTTCATAGCCTGCCACAGATTCCTGAAAATAGGAGTTAGCTTCAAACTGAAGAGATACTCAAAGGGGATGGCCCTTAGAATCGTTTCCTAAGAGACGGAGTTCGGGCTTACTTAGGCTCATATGCACTTGCTGAGCTTGCCGGGGCTGGAGAGGAATTGTTTTGCTCACTCCGCTGCTGATCCTCTTCGGAAGACTCACCACCTTCATCGCCGGTGCTGCCTGGATAATTATGAAGGGGATCGAACCGCACATGGTTCTGTCGGAGCAGTTCCTCGTACCTCCGTAGACGGCCCAGGAGTTCTCGCTCAGGGAAACGACGTTTTCTTGGGCGAGTCTGTGTCGCTGGAACACACTGTGTGCGGTGCTTTAGACAATTTGCACAAGGGGATCCTCGGTCACATTTGACCTTGCGCTGCTGGCAATTCACACATGCTAGATTGCGTAGAGACTTGGCCTGGGGCGGAAGGGATTGACCCGCCCGAGTGCGTTGCGGCGGCATGTTGCGAATCTATTTGGAATCTGCTTATTTCCAAATATGCAAGCGCAAGAAGAGAATTAATTCTACGCCGGAGGAAAATGTATGACACGAAGAAAACCCTTGTTCCAGAAGGGTTGGGCTTGTCAGAGAAAAGAAAAATGACGGAATTTCCGGCATTTGATGATCCGGGGATTTCTAATGCCCGAGTCACGGGAATCGGAATCTAGTTTTACCCGGACTTACTACTCAAAGTATCATAGGTCGAGAAAGTACATACAGACTAAATTTCCATTCACGAGACGGCTACTGCAGATAAAAGAGTTTATAGAGGATAGAACCTCCAAGAAGTTTTGAAGTCTTGTGTGAGTGGATGGTCCTGCATCAAAGCCCGGATCATTTCAATGGGCATGCGGTTTTCCTTCAGGAATCGGTCATGAAAATCCATCTCCGTCATTCGTCCTGAACCGACCACTTCCTGGCGAAGAGCGTAGATTTGCAAGGCACCCAGCATATATCCAGCTTGGTATAGTGGGGAGTAGTCACCATTCAGAGACCTTCGAACTTCACCTTCGGCCGTCGCGCGTTCATGTCCGACTTGGTCAACTAGAAGGTCAATACACTCCTGAGGAGACATTTTACCCAGATGGAATTTAATAGAAAAGATGATTCGGGCACAGCGATGCAATCTCCAGAAAAGCATTCCGATGCGGTTTTGAGGAGTTTTCTTGAAACGATTGTCGTCCCAGAGAAGGAACTCCCAGTATAGCGACCATCCTTCAATCCAGAAAGGAGTGTCAAATAGACGTCTGTAGGGTTTGTGTCTCGCATTCATAAACATTTGCAGGTGATGACCAGGGATCATCTCGTGAAAGACCGTTGCTCGAGAAAAATGAATATTGTTTCCCCGCATACTCATCATTTTATCTTCGTGGTTCATTGTGGCCGTTGGGTATGAAACGATAATGGAATCACCTCCAAGGAAAAACGGGTTAACTTTTTGACGTTCTGGCGACATCATAAACATTTGCCAAGTCTCTTTGGCAAGTGGTGGCACAGTAACAAGCTTGTGTTCTTCGACAAAGGAGACAGCCTCTTGCACGAGATCACGGACGAGTTGTGTCTGCTTTCCAGGCTCAACATAGTCATTCTTGACATGTTCTAACGCTTCACGCCAGTCATCGAAGCCCAGACTTTTTGATGCCTTTTTCATCTCGTTGACACACCAAACGAATTCTTTCTCCCCGATAGAGATTAACTCATCCGGTGTATATGGAATCATCTCAGCTTGAAGCTCGAGAAACAATCCGGCCCGTCCAATCGGCTGGCCTACAATCGCATCCTCCTCTTGCTTGCCAATACCGACTAATTTCTCTCGAATGGCAGATGCGATAGTCTCAAGGCTAGCATCCACAATCCCGTAAGGCTGTGACACCCACCAATCGAACGAAGGGTCATATCCTTTGTAAAACCCGAACCATTTTTTCAAATGATCACGCAGAGAGTCGATAGTGACTGCAGCACGAAAAGCGGAATTCTTCCCGATGCTGAAATGACTGGAATCAGTGTTGATTTTTTGGACCAACTCCTCAATTTGGCCTTGGGACTCAAATAGCTCCTGTGCAGCAATTTTCGAATCAATCGGCGACCCAAGAGCGCGATTCTCGCAGAGACCCACTATTGTTCCCGCGAATGGAAGTAGTGGCGTTGTTTTTTGGTCTTGGAGGGACTCTAGCTGCAATTCTCGGAGCTCTCTTTGCAGGTAATTTTTGACAAGAAGATAATCCACTTTCTCCTGTTGGTTATAAGAATGGAAGGGTTGACCACGAAGAGATGTTAATTCCGAATCGAGGAACTGGTTCAATCGCAGGGTCCTTGCCGCGGAGATCTTGATGGGGTAAAACTCCTTAATTTCCTTGAGATCTTCAGTTATGCGCTCGATTCTGTCGCGAATACTATCAGGAATACCGTCCACTTGTGCTAGTGGTATCATCGCGCTCTTGCGACGACTTGAAGAAGACACCATGACAAATGAATATTTTCTTTTCTCTCTTGTCCTTCGACTTGTTGAGGTTGTGAGTCTAGCCCAGGGGTGGCGAAAATAGTTAGATTCTGACAGGTGGAAAAGCTAAGAATTTGGGCATTTCGTAGCGAGGCACAAGCGCAGATTCAAGTGCCAAGTCGGTAGCCGAGAATAAGCTAAATGTCGCTGGGGGATCCGAGTGGCTGGTTTTGTTGATGATATCGAAAGTGTCCGGCATTTCCAGATAAACGATGCCGCAATAGCGTGGTTTTTACTCCGCGTTCTTACCAAAACGGGCCAGAACGTTATCGCTTAGACCACAGTTGACGACAATTCATGTCTTCCCTTCTCAGGTCTTGCGTCGGACTCCTTCCCGCCAAGAGAAACAAGCCGTGTTGTGCGGGGAAGCTAAGGAATGAAGGGGTTGCATTGGTAGAGACTCATCATGGCAAATCCAAATGGGCTTATCTCGTGATGTACACAGATAACACGAATTCTCCTTCCAGGCGCTAGTAAACAAACTACTTTCCACAAAAGGAAGATGCATCCCGACGCTTAAATGTGCATGGGAGGCGTTCAACTGACCATTAGTCCTCATTCCCCCGAAAATGGTTTCGAGGCCATCTGTTGACGGTTTGGAGCCGACAATGTCAACACAGTCGGAAATTGTCAGCGTTGTCGCTGGTACCACCAAGGACATGGGCAGTACAATCCAAGAGCTGAAGGGCGTCGAGAAATCCCATCAGTGGGATCCAAATCTTCCTCAGGATGAGATTGACACTATCAACGAGACCACCAGCGCGGATGATCAAGAGAAGGCCGCTGAGTTTCAGAAATCGATGGCTCAGAACTCTCAGTATGAATCTGTCCGTGCTGCCGTGCGTCCGACAGATGACGGGGAAATGGCGAATACAGTGCGTGCATGGATTCTTGGTATGATATTTGTGACGATTGGAAGTGGACTGAATATGTTCTTGAGCATGAGGTACGTACTACTCTCTTTTCTCCTCGGGGTATCTCTTCTGTGCATGTGATCCACAGACATCTGGATGCTCACAGTTCCCACAGGAGCCCGGCAATTTCTTTTCCTTCAATTGTTGTGCAGTTGGTTGTCTACCCGATAGGCTGTCTCTGGGCAAGAGTAGTGCCTAGTCGAAAATTCAATACATTCGGAATTCAATGGTCCTTCAACCCAGGTCCTTTTACCATCAAAGAACATACAGTGGTCACGGTATGCTCCAAATTCTAGATTTGCCATTTGCACATGCATGAAATTGACGCTAATTATTCTCAGCTTATGGCAAAGTAAGCATTGCTTCCTCGAAAGTCTGAACTGTCTTTAACAAATTCCTAGCGTGGCAATCGGGTATGCATACTGCACTGATGCGCTTTTGGCCCTGAAAGCAGCACGTAAGTATATTCACTCCAAAACTATACACTTCAAATGTTTCCAAAACCATTCAATTCACTGACTCTCATTAGCCCTATACGACTTGGATATTGGCTGGGGATTTGAGCTTCTGTTTGCGTTGAGCAGTCAGGTTATTGGAATATCCCTCGCGGGAATTTTCCGTCGTTTCCTCGTGTGGTGAGTACATAATTTTTGTCTCGTTCCTTTCCCCTGCTTATACTGTTCAGGCCTGCTGCTATGATTTGGCCTACTCAATTTGCCAATACAACTTTGTTTTATGCACTGCATGATCAAAGTCCCTCCGATCCGTCGCAGACCAATGGTTGGTCTATCTCGCGCTACCGCTATTTCATGTATGTCATGATTGGCGCGTTTTGCTGGTATTGGTATGTTCCTTGATCCTTCTACTTCTGATGATTCAGTATTAACCTTTTTTCAGGTTCCCCGGAGTCATCTGGCAAGGCCTATCCATTTTTGCCTTTGTGACTTGTATGAACTACTGCCTTGATTTATTTCAATATACGCGACTAACATCTTGATTGCAGGGATCAAACCTAACAATGTCGTGCTGAATCAATTATTTGGCGGCTTCACGGGACTTTCACTTATTCCCTTGACATTTGACTGGACGTGAGTTTGACAAATTTAAATCTTTACCAATTGGATAGCAAATAACTGACCAATACACCAAGCTACGTCTCTGCATACCTTCTTGACCCCTTGCTGTCACCAGTTCATTCACTCGTGAACACTTTCATTGGTCTAGTGGTATTCGTTATAATTGCCTCTATTGGAATCTCTTACACAGGAGCATTGTAGGCCGAATTCTCCAATCCTTGAAGTAGACAGAATCTAACGATTATACAGCTATTCCGATTATCTTCCCATCAACACATCGACCACTTATGACAATACACAGCAGCAGTACAACGTTACTAAAATCCTCGGAGATAATTTCAGTTTTGATGAGGCAAAGTACAAGGCCTATTCACCTATGTTTCTCGCTCCAACTTTCCTTCTGAACTATGGCCTCTCTTTCGCGGCCTTAACGGCAGTCATCGTTCATGTCATTCTTTACAATGGAAAAGAAATCTGGCGAAGGGCAAAGGACGCTCAGAACCAAGAGCCCGATATTCATTTGACGCTCATGAACAAATACCGAGATGCCCCTGAATGGTGGTATGGAGTACTTTTCCTGTTTGCGACTGCACTTGGCCTAGGAGGTGTACTTGGATTTGACTCACAGCTGCCTTGTAGGTATTCCATCTACTTGTATCTGCTACTCGCTTACTCACAGATTGAATAGGGTGGGCATTTTTCGTGTCTCTCATCATAGCTCTGGTTTTCATCGTAAGTTGCACCTCGCTCCTTCAAATGAGACACCTACTGACCAGAAAAAAGATCCCAACCTGCATGATCATGGGTGTCACAAATATCATGCTTTGTATGTATCACCGAAATCACCACAATGGGCTCTCCTTAACTTAACGCTTACAGCTCTCAATGTTCTGTCTCCGTTTTTGGCTGGTTTTATGATTCCAGGAAAGCCAATCGGTGTCATGGTATTCAAAGTGTTCAGCACAATTACACTGGGACAAGCGTAAGACATTTCAAAATTGTTAATCGTACAAAGCTAATGGTTCTACAGTCAGACTTACTGTCAAGATATGAAGGTAAGCCGAATTCGCATACCATAATAAATAAGAGGAACTGACTAACTCAAACAATAGCTGGCCCATTACATGAAAATTCCACCTCGTGTGACTTTTATGTGCCAAGTAATCCCGACATTGTGGGCCTGTTTTGTCCAGATAGCAGTCATGAACTGGACCCTAGGAAATATTGAAGGTGTCTGTACTGAGTACGTCTGATCCAAATCCGGCTTGCACTTAAACAGGATTACTGACCGAATATACTAGGGACCAAACAGCACATTTCACTTGTCCAAATGGACGGACATTTTTCTCTTCCAGCATTGTTTGGGGTAATTTGCACATTCCGTTCCAAGAGTCTACCAAGTAAACTATTTTTTTTTCAAGTTGATGCTGACCATCATACAGGTGTAATTGGACCACAGCGTGTCTTCGGGGCCGGCTCAATGTACACGCCGATCCTGTACTTCTGGTTACTTGGAGCCTTGCTTCCAGTGGTGTTCTACCTCTTGATGCGTAAATTCCCGAAATCAAAGGCCCGGTTCCTCAATGCGCCAGTGTATGTGATCCATGAAACGTCTGCGAACCGAGCAATTGCTAACCAAAGTTCCTAGAATGCTCGGCGCCATGGCCTGGCTTCCACCGTAAGCTCAAAGAATATTTGTTGACATTCATATACGTGAAGCTGACAATAGATATCTAGGGCCACACCAATCAGCTTCACATCTTGGGTCATTTTTGGTCTGATATTTAACTGGTGGATTCGCGGCAGATGGGGTGGGTGGTGGCGGCAGTACAACTATGTTACTGCTGCTGCTCTTGATACGGGGCTCATCATCTCGACGATCGTTATTTTCTTCGCTATAACTCTCCCCGGTGCTGCCGCCCCTGCCTGGTGGGGAAATACAGCTCCGTTTGAGACTATGGTAAGTGAAGCTCGACCCAAAAAAAAGTCACATTTTTTAACACGGGTGCAATAGGACTATCTTTACACGGCTATTCGAAAGACAGTATCGCCTGGAGAAACCTTCGGACCAGCTAAATGGTAGATGGAGAGTTTATATTGGACTGCTGGAGGTGGACTTTTTGAGAAGCAATTATACATGTAGTTGATAATTGGATTTCCCCAAATGATTGGAGCCTCTTGTAGGTGTCTATAGAGCTGTTCATGTCGACTGGATCGGATCCATGGGTGAATAGATTGAGATGTTCATCGATAATTTCAAGGAAGTTCCATAAGGTTATATACACATTTAGACTGCAATTGCCTTCATAAAAGCTGGGCTTTCATGTCCCTGCACAACCTTGGAGATAGGTGTGAGGAAGGCGTCAGAAAACCCTTGGTTGTCTTGAAGATGACGAACATAAGCTTGAGCGACCTTGATCCACACGGATTTCTCCCTGTCACTAGCCTCAACACCTTGCCAGACCCAAAGTCGGCTTCCTGTATCGTAAATGAACACATCTTTACCATCCAAATCAGATTGTTGAATATGGCCTCCATCTTTAACAAGGTCGAATGACAATTCTCCTGACGAGTCGCTGAGTCGGAAGAGTTTTCGAGGGCGAGAGCTACCATGGTCTTCATGTGCTGACTTGGAGAAGTAACCGGGTCGCTGCGCCTGCAAAGACGACTGATCGGCCTCCTTTCCACCCAGCAAGTCCACAACAATCTTGGATCGTGATTCAAGTTGAGAAAGTACTTCGACATCGACATGTTTTGCCAAAGTCAGGTCATTGACAACCTGAGCAGCCTTGGCCTTTTCCATCGGGCTACATTTCTTGCCCTGCCAGACCCAAATCTTGTTTCCTTTGTCCAGGACGAAAACATCGTTCTCATCCAAGCTTTCCCAAGTCGGCTCAACCTCATGCACGATGAGGGGACTGATGCGAGCAGATCCGGGGTACTTGAAGATCCGAAGTAAGGTCAGCACCTCCTTTGGCTCTTCTGGTTCGACGTGGTGGAAGCCGGACCGCACACCGCCATGGCGAATCGAATAATGGCGGAATAAAGACAGGAACTCTTCTGAGGGTTGCTGCTGGATCTCTCGGTGTTGAGTCGCAGCGCCATGTAAGAATTCATCCAGTTCAACTGTCTTATAAGCAGCCGTGCCAGCTTCATCCTGTGTGGTCTTGCTTCCTAACCAGAAAAAGACATCATGGCCTAGCTTGTTGTCATCGCCGAGCTTGTATGAATGCAAGACAATGAAGCTGTCACCGTCGAAAAACTCGCCGGTTTTTTCTTTGGGCCAGGGAACTACTTGGAAGTCCTCAATGCGCCAAATAAATAGGCCTGCTTCTTGGCCCACCTTTCCATTGTTCCATGCGGGCTCTGAGGCAGCTGAGTTGTATTTGACGCGGTGGTCAAGATCAGATCCAATCAGCTCTACATTGCTGTCCTTGATGTCGTATTCTTTGGGGTGAACCAATCCTTCGTGGGGAGGCATTTTGTCGGTGATATATCGGTTTTATGCTTCAATGTTTGAATGTTATGTTGATTAAATAGGAAAGGTGGGATGAAGTGATCGGTGATGTCATCGGACAGGATGTCACATGACATTGTCTGGTTATTAATCCGGCTTCTATTTATAGAACAGCCAACTGGCCAAGTGCTATACTTAGCAGTTTCAGCCTTGGAAGTTTCCGTAGCGAAATAACTTTGAGACCTTGGAAAGCGTCAACCAGCATTTGAAAGGAGACTTGAAAATCCCAAGAAATTTAAATTTAAGTACTACCAGACTCAAAATAATAAACTTGAAGCGAATACTGATGATCCCGTTTGTATCCAAAATTGAGAGAATTCTCAAAAATGGCATAACAGGAAGCACAAATCCGAGTCCTGGATCAGTTTCATAACATTGAAAATTCGATCCCTCGAAATTTGTGTTTAAAATGGACTGTTGCTACTCTGCTGTTATACATATAGTTACCCAATCTTGTTGTTCTCGGCCAAGACCACCGGGATACCGAATGGCTTCTGCACATGTGGGAACACTTCTGCAACGAGCATGGCACAGGATCGAAGAGAAAATGGGCAAAACATAGGCAAAAATTTGATGCTGGTAACATTAAAGCAATATTAGAGAATTGTTAGACAACAAAATCATACCCAAGGAGTTGTATTGTTTGAACCTGTTTCAAGTTACATCGAACATTTGAATTATTTCGGAATAAAAAGTTTGCAAAAATCGCCTACAAAAGATAGGCGCAGAATTGGGTATTGATGAAAATGCAGCGCTCGGGTCGTGACGTCGTAATAAATGTGCAGGAGATACTCAGCAAAGCTAGATCTGCGTAAAGCTTCGCCACTGTCGATATATTGTAGCAACGAGAGTGTTCGGAATATTAGTGGACGCTCTCATCCCGTCTATCCGATGTAGGGGATCATCAGGTTGGCAAAAATCACGCGGTCATGCGACCCCAAGTGATTTTCTTAGCGTCCGGCCGCAATATTCTCGTCCGGCTAACAGGTGAACGGTATATCATAGTCCAAGGAGCCAGCGCATTGGTATGTTGCTGTTCTATTTGATCCGCGATAAAGAGACACGGGAAACTATCAAGATTCATGATAATCGATAGCCTCGAGTCCAGTTGAGCGCCCTTTGAATCCAGTCTGGCTCGTCCCTTGGCTCGTAGGAAAGGATTCGGGATTGTTATAGTCCAGTTGGTTGAAGTCAGGAATTTGAGAAGGATCGACGAAAGAAGGGAACCGGCCACGGTCAAGGCGAGGTGATTGCCACAGATGTTGATGGGCGATGTTGACCAATTTCCCCAGAACAGCGATTTCCAACTTCAGCTTAATGCTGTACAAGGTCGCTTTGAGAGTAGTTTGGTAGATATAAAAGTTCATGAATTCGATAATCATCAAGGCGATATCCATCAGGACACAAGAGACGTTGACGGCGAGCAGTTGCAAAATGGTCCTGCGGCTGCCACGGTCGGGGTTCAATTTCAACATGCGATTGGTCTCCCACATATACAAGCTGGATATGATGACCTCCTGGACGCAGAACCCGGTCAATTGGATTTTCTCCATAATGTCGTAACCATCGACGGAGGCGTGAGAGTTGGAAAAATTGGCAGCAAAGGTGAGCACGGTGGTCGGAATATGGAGCAAGAAGATATTCATAATAATCATGCCCTTTACCAGGCGCAAAACGCGGAGGTTTTCAAGGACCAGATGCAGTCGCGAGTATAAAACAAATGATTGGCCGGTGACCATGGCCCACCAACCCACCGTGAGCAAAGTCACTGGCAGCCAGGTGGCGGAGGTCAAAGCGAAGAACTTGATCAGATAACCGACAGAGTAAGGTAGAATGCCGACCGAGGATATCAGCATGCTCCAGAAGTAAGGGCCTTGGTAGCGTTTGAAGGTGAGAAATATGAGTACGATCAACTCGATCACATTGTACCACGCGACGCACACAAAGGTCGCGATCGTGATGCGCACTCCATTACTATCGCCGGTATAGCTTCCAGTGATCCAGTTGCCGGGACTTCCTTCGCTGGTCGAGGACATCTGTGCAAGAGCATAGAATGATTGGGTGTTTTCCGTTCAAAATAAAGATTTCAAGTTTAATGGATCCAGGGAAAACACAACCAGGGGAGAGTTTTCGTGGGGTTGGAGAAAAGGAATGGTTGATCCCTTGAGAGCCCACAACCCCCACTTTTCTGTCCCTTCCTGAGTCCCCCTTAATTGTACTTATTCTGAGGTATCGTCTAACTGTATAATGTTAAGTTTTCAAAAAAAAAAAATGGAAAAATAGAGCGGTCCGTAACTTAAGCTTAATTCTTTGGGCGATCCAGATCGATCGGAGTGATATTTTACGATATCAGATCTCTCCAGGGTTATCGAGAATGGAATGTGCACCGGCCACTTGCAGTCCCCACTTTAGGGATGATGTCATGAGCTTAGGAGTTTTGCAAGATTTGGAAGTTTTAGCACAAAGCATTATCTTATAGTCCTTTCATTGCTATCAAGGATGCTTAAATATGTAAACCACATTGCAGAAGGAAAGCTCCTACCATGCCGAGGTCCGTAAGATTCATCATTTCGATTTGAAAAAGAGTGGCTAGAGTAGAGAGATTCACAAATAGACTCATGTCCAAACACTTGGCGGTACGACCAGGTAGTATGGAGGTCATTCAAATCACAGAGGTGGCGTATCAGCCATGGTACTGGCAGCCATCCTATATAATAAATCAGCAGGAATTCTTTCATTTCTCTAGACATCAATCGTGAAGAAAGAACTTACATTTCTGAGTAGCGAGGCCCTGGTACTTCTGTCCGCTCGATAAGTTTGCGAATTTCTTGCACTTCCTCATCTGTCAATTTAAGAAGTGCAGCGTTGGTGTTCTCGTCAATTCGTCGGGTAGACCGGGTGCCAGGAATCGGAATGATATCAGATCCCTGTGCCAACAGCCAGGCGATCGAAACTTGCGCCGACGTACTTCCATGAACTTCAGCCACCTTCTTCAGACCCTCAACCAATTCCAAGATCTTGGGGAAGTGCTCCTCTGCATATTTGGGCAAATGGCGTCGGAAATCATTCTCAGGAATATCCGCAAGCGATTTAATCTGGCCTGTGAGAATACCACGACCAATGGGGCTGTATGCAACAACAGTCACGCCGAGTTCACGGCAAGTTTGCAAGACATCGTACTTTTCGATGTCTAATGCGAATGGGCTGTATTCCATTTGAAGAGCAGCGATGGGGTGAACTGCATATGCGCGGCGTAAGGTCGCAGCAGAAACCTCAGAAAGACCAATGTGACGGATCTTTCCCTCACTGTGGAAAAAAAAAAGGTTAGCCAAGAAGCTCACTGCTGTTTGGGATGGAAGACATTGACGTACTTTTTCAATTCAACCATCGCTTGGACGGTCTTTTCAATGGGGGTGACTGTATCAACGCGGTGGCAGTAATACAAGTCAATGACATCCACCTTGAGTCGCTTGAGACTCTGAGCACACGCACTCTTGACGTATTCGGGGTCAGAGCGGATCTTCAACGTGTAGTTGGTACGGTCCAGCTGGCACGCAAACTTGGTGGCAAGAAAGATGTCGTCGCGCTTGCCGGAACGCTGAACCCATTCACCCACAACATCTTCACTGTCCTGATAGAGATCGGCGGTGTCCCAGAACCGTTGTCCGGTTGCATGCGCATGCTCCAAGATAGCGATCTTGTCTTCAAGGGTACCGGCTGAGCCGTAGATATCGCCAATGCTCATCAGACCGAGGCCAACGGCAGGTACCTGAGGGCCACCTTTGCCAATGGATCGTAGGGGAATAGACATTTTGGTGTAATAGATCGAGAAGGTTGTCAAGGTTGTTGAGGTCAGAGGAATTTGAGAATCTGGAATGAACTGAATGGTTAGTCTAACCGGGACATACCAGCACTTTAAATAATCTTTGTCGGATGGAATGAAAGAACCGAACGGAAACCGATGGGAGTCAATTGACCGGCTTTAAAATCAACCATGAATCATGTTTCCGGGCTCAAGGTTCAACTGAAGCGTTTCTTCGTGATATGATGGTATCGGGCGGACTTAATCGAACGGCTTTAAGGAATTGAACCAATGAGCCTTTGACAGGTCCCACATGAGCTCCATAACGTTCCACTTGGACGCCTTTAAACCAATGACAGGTCAGAGTTTGCGAGTTGTCCAATCCTAATGATTTAATCGCACGACCCCCCGCTTGGAATGGCCAGGGCTAAATCTACTGTCTACCGTCGATCTTCAAAGACTTCCAACTGCGGGACTGCTGAAGAAAAGTCATAAACCATGCATCAGCCAAATAACAAGCGTCTTCAACTGCCAACCAGACAGAAAGTCAAATCTGGCTGCAAAACCTGCAAGTAAGTTTATGTTTATACCAGTAAACCTGAGCCGAACTTCTTCTAACACTCTCTAACAGGACAAGACGCGTGAAATGCGATGAAAGTCGACCAGCATGTCGACGCTGTGTCTCTACTGGCCGAGTCTGTGATGGCTATGGCATCTGGGGAGGCGGTGGGAGTCCCTACGGCCCACCACAAAGTAATAAAGCCCTGTCAACGTACTGTACGCCGGTTCCACTGGGCAGCATGACCCATGAAGAGCAAATGTACTTCGACTGGTTTTTGGATAGGACAACCAAAAAGTTTGCCGGTCTATTCGCCTCAGAATTCTGGGAAACCCTCGTCTTACAGGCGAGCGCACAGGAGCCCGCCGTGCGACATGCGGTGGTCGCCTTGTCGGCTGCACATAGATTCGATCACAGTAACTCGGCCTGGTCAATTCCTACTACCTACGGGCTCGATGCGGAACAGTTCACTCTGCAGCAATATAATAAAGCGATCCATCATTTACGCTGGATGAAGGGGAGCACACATAAGAATACTCTGCGTGTTGCCTTGGTCACTTGCATGATCTTCGTTACATTGGAGTATCTGCGTGGGCAGTACCAAATGGGTAGTGCGCACCTAAGATACGGATTGCAGCTTCTCGCAAGTATGTCAACAACGCAACCTCGATCATCTTTGTCGCCGAATGTTTTGAGTCCGGCAGAGGACTTTGCTCACAATGCTCTAATCGATTCTTACTCTCGTTTGAGTATTCAGGCTGCCATGTTTGGCCATGTTCCTTCACATATGTGCATCATGACACGGGATCCGCAAGTCCATGCAATCCCATACGCTTTCACTTCGATTCTTGATGCCCGGAGAACGCTCGACGACCTTCTGAACAGAGGCTACTGCCTAAAAAGACATTTCTATAACATTCGCTTTTCTCAATCACAATCAAAAACAATCGACCCGGAGATAGCCGAAACACAACATGGAATCGTCACCGACCTAGTGCTTTGGCGAAAAGCATACAACGCCTCAATTGCTCGTCTTGAATCAGAGGCTAATTGCAAAGATAAATTTGGAAACACTCTACTTCCCCTATATCACGAAATGGCAACGATTATGGCATCGGTCTGCCTATCCGACGATGAGATGATCTTCGACTCATACACACCAAATTTCCTCGCAATTCTAGCAAAATTCATCGAGTTATGGAATATATGGGCAAGCGCTAGTATCCAGATACAAGAGGTGAAAGATTTGTTCAGCACTCCAGAATCTCACGGCGAATGCCATGGGTTCACTGTTGAGTCTGGATTCATTCCGCCTGTCTATTATACCGCTCTCAAATGCCGTATTCCTCGACTTCGACGGCAGGCTATTCGAATTCTGCGAGCTGCTCCACATAGGGAAGGTGTGTGGAATGGCCTTCTCCTCGCTAATGTCTTGGAAGAAGTGGTGAAGATTGAGGAAGAAGGGATTTGCAGTAATGACGCCGAGACGGAGCAGCCAATGTATACAGTTATGCCAACTGCCAAAGACTTTCCTGCGCCGGAAATCGACGCATCAAAGCGCATCTCAGATGTGGCTGTGATTCTGCCAGATGAGGTGATGGGAGATACTTTTGTAGGTTATAAGAAGAAGCTCGAAGGTGGCGGGTGGGCTACTTATAAGCGCAGGATAGAGCCATTCTGGGCCAAGTGCCCACCTGCATGATTTTCTTCTGTCTTCCTTGATATGTAAAGGCGTCTGCTTTGTTAGAACTTAGGCGGGTGATAGATGCTTTGAATCGGATAGAACTGGAAGTGAAGCTTGAAAGGCATGTTAAATTCTGTATTGTACAAATCTGATGAAAAAAAAGGAAACCATTGGTATGAAGTTGGAGCCAATCATTAGTTCGTTATTTACCCATTCTAGACCCACGCAACCAACGCCACTCTGCTATCGGCAAAATAAATGCTTTTTCAATCCCGTTAACCATTCTCATCCGGTCCCAAGAATATCATCTTTCACTTATCTCCGCTGCCTAAGAAAGGCAGCAACCTGTTCGTGTCGCGATACGAAGAACATACGCTTCTTGTCGGATTTCCAGACCAGGACACCAATCTCTGCAGCATATCTGCAGGGGGCATCGTATTCAGCTGAGCTAGTGAAGTCCTTGAACAAGAAGCCTGCTGTGGCCCTGAGACGATCACGCTCCAGCTGCCAGAGGCGAATCTGGTCGGTCACGGTAGGTGGGAGCACTGAAGGTTGAACGGATGTGCCGGTTGTAGGTTGACCGGCATTGTGCTTGCGCAGCTGAGGGTGGGCATGCGAATGCAGATATGAGATAATCTGCTCGGCTGTAATACCTATCTCAATGGCCCGCCTCACTGATTGACGGGTGACCTTTCCCGTCACCAGGTTAGGGAAGCGGTACTTCAGGTTCGTAAATAGCGATAGCAGAGAGATCTGAAGAGGGGATGAAGTATATGCGTAGAGACGGTAGTTGGTCTCGATTATAATGAATCCTGAGCCACCTGGCTGACTATCAGGTCCAGCTAAAGAGCCGGTACCTGAAGTTCCAAGTGCGCTTGAATCAGAAGTCAATGTTGTGGCAAGGCGTGTAGGATAGAAACGTGTTGCTTCGGGACTTTCCTGGTAGACGATACCAAAGTCCGCCAGGTCGGTTAGAGTGCGGAGTTGGGTGTTCGACAATCCTGTCTTCTCGTAAGATTGACCCAGTTCCAGACTGCTGAGCAAGAACAAGAACGAAAGCACTTCGACGCTGTCCATGCCGAGAGAATGGGCACTTTCCACATAGAGAATCATAATGTGCCAGACCTGGGTGTTGACATCTTGTAGCACAAAGCCAAATCCATCCTTTGTAATGTCCACACGTCCGCCTCTGATTTCGACCAGATTTCCAGCTTGGAGTAGTTGCTTCACACCTTTGCTCAAATTCACTACATCACGATTCCCTGTGAGAGCACTTGTCCCGACCATGTAACCCAAGACACCTTCCCATTGTTGTCGACCATATTCGTCCAAGTCGGCAATTGAAACTTTACTTTCGTCGCTGATTTGGGAAAAGACACCGAAGGACTGAGCGTCCTCGGAGCCGGTGAGAGCTTGACGCAGCGATGACGCGAACGGGTTGGTGACCATGTAAGCCCGAGCATTATCTTCGGTACGGGTAGTGGACAGAATGTGAAGTCGGCCTAGGATCGACAAAGCATTGTCGCGCTGTCTGTCTCAGGTAAAACCCAGGTGGTTAGCTCGCCTTGCTTCCCTGGAACCACTCAAGGATCTCGCGCGCTCACTTCTTGCTTTCTGTCTTGACCCAAATCTCCAGGTCAGCCGTCGGAAGGGGGTCCTTCAAATAAAGAAGTGCCATCACAAAACATTTTGCTATCCTCACAGTCAGTTTGGTCGGTATCGAAATGCAGAGAGCTCCAGATACCCAGATCAGGCAGCATGCGCCGGAAAATGGCGAGTGCGGTAGATGGTTGCGTGTACAGCTGCAAAAATGTTGTACCTGGCAGACCCTCAAGGTACTCAAGAGGCCGAGACGTAGGTGCGGCCATATTGATGACCTAAAAGACCCGTTCGCCTCTGTCTGTGCCTTGTCGAGTGAGCGGTTTGCATCAAAGAAAGCGCGGTGAAGTCATGACGGACGAAGTTCGGCGGGCGCAGCGGCCACTTGGTGCAGTTCCCGAGATGGGACGCGACAACAGCCGAACTGCATCCTTTGCCTCACTTCTTCTCAAAAGACTATACCACCTCCCAATTGCGAATATGACAACTCTTAAATTTGTGCGCTCGGTGAGTCATATGAAACATAAACGTTGATTCATAACATCGGTCCGTCTGCTAACACATGCTACTTCAGGTCTGGGAGTCCTTCCGGGCCAATTCGGGTCTAGAGCCTCGGTAAGTGAAGCCGATGTTCTATAACTTCTAAACAATCAGCGACTGACGATTTCTGCTGGGCAAATTTTAGTCTTCTGGATAGTGTAGGTTCATTCCTAAGCAGCGGGTCGATCTGATTGGCGTCAAAGCTTATCTCTGCATCTAGCTTCGTGTCACTGCTGCTCGACCTGGAACTGTCAACTTCGAGCTTGAAGTCCAAAAGCAACACACTGTAAGTACATTATTATTCTGGAAGCACTTTGAATGAACGAGTTTCATTCTGGAGCTCTTAGCTTCTGATATATCTTGAACTTATCCACTCAATGATCGACCATTGACTAAATATCCCTATAGAACCGCTTGAACATCCTCCATGGAGGTACTATTGCAAGCATGGGTAAGCTAACCTGACTGGTATAAATCTTTTTTACTGTCACTTTCTAATCATTGATATCTTTTAGTGGATCTCGGTGGATCATTGGCTGTTGCATCTCGTGGTTTGTTCTCAACCGGCGTGTCAACCGACTTGAATGGTAAGTTTATTCTGGTCAATGGATACTAGTGACATGGGTCTTGACTATTGCACTCGCTAATACATTGAAAATCAGTAACGTACCTCAACTCCGGTGGCAAAGTCGGAGATAAGATCCTTGCAGTAAGTCGTTCATCTAACATGTGAAGATAACTCAAACTAACATAGATATAGGAGGTGACATGTGACAAGTGTATGTATTATTAACTCGACAGGAATTCAGTACATAGATCAAAACTAACATTGTTCAGTCGGAAAAACTCTTGCATTCACAAACATCAAGTTCACTAACGCTAAGGGTGACATTGTTGCTCGCGGCAGCCACACTAAGTGAGTTCATCCGAAATTTGACTTCGTTTCATTCAAAGCTAATCAATTGACTTTAGATATGTTACTTTGGCCTGGAGAGATCCCTCAAACATCGTGGAGGAGATCAACAAGCTCAAATAACTTTTGAATAGCCCGTCATATAGCACTAGCTCTCGTCACCTTCAATGTTGCATAGAATTTCCTTTCCTCATACTTAGTGCCTACGTACCTAAGTAACATTTGAACCATGGATTATACAAGCTGTAGAAGCTGGACTACGGAATGCTGTAGTAATCGCACTCGATACTCAAATTGAAACGAATGGCATCAAGAAAAAAAAATCATTTAAGCGGAATTTGACTCCACCCCGCTTCTTTATCAATCACTGCAGGTGCTGTGTAAACATGTTCATACAATATCTCCATCCTGGTCTTCATCTGCACCCATCATAACCTCATCTTCGTCCACAGCACCATTCTCAACAGCAGGAGCTGGATCATCAAGGGCCATAGCGCCATCACCCATAGCCTTCACCTTGGCCTGTGTCATCTCAAACACATACTGTCCGAGATGTTCCACTCCTTCCATAGGGGTGCCCGCGACGTCAGCGTCCAGCGCTCGAGTGGTTGGGAACATCTCACCCGGAGCAAGCATCAGCTTGTCCGGACGTTGCAAAAGACGGTCAAATGCAGGCTTCAGCTCATAGCATGATTCGAATACCTCCCGCCGACCAAGGATGTAAAGACCAAGGCGAGCACGCGACAGGGCAACTGTCAGACGACGAACATCACGCAAGTATCCAACAGTGCGGGTGCGAGTGAGGGCAAGGATAACGTCTGCATTATAGTTGTTAGAAGAGGGGTTTGGTTGAATGGCATAAGGCCATGTTAGATATGTTAAACTCACAATCATTCTGTTCTCCTTGGTACCGATCCACGGTGGTCACGATCTTGGGGAGACCAAACATCGGATTCTTGGCACAGCGGTGATTCAGGACATCCCGAATCAGAGCTGTTTGTCCAGCATAGGTAGCCAAAATTGAGATTTTCGCAGCCGGGTAACCCAGCAGTCGCATGTACTGATACAAGGCTACAGCATACTCTGCCTCGCCCAGATTCTGAATAAAATAGGGAGTCGGCTCACGCTCACCATTGCCTTGGTAGTCAGGTACATTAATGAACTGGTAATCGAATTGGAAACCAGCATTGGCCTGCTGGAACTCCGGTAGAGTTTCGACAGACGGGAGGTCTCCCAACTCTTGGTAACGCCAGCGGAAGAGCTCTGCGATGCTCGGCCGGGATCTACCCTGTTTATCTAGGGTAATCACGGGCACACCTAGCCGAGCCAGACGGAGGAAAAGACTTTGCTCAAAGTGGGCATATTGTCGGAAAGCCATGTTTTGAATGATCGGGGAGTTCTGGAAATGATCACCACAGAGAACAACACGTTTGAGAGGTAATTCCCCATTCTTCATGTTTTGAAGGGCCGCGGGGATGAAACTCTCCACTTCTGTAATCTGCGCTGCTTCTTCCATAACCACGTTGTCGTAGTGGAAGCCCAAATCCGCAATCTCTTGTCTGCGCATCGCTGCATGGGTGGATGTCATTGCAACCACACGGGCCTCCTTCAAAAGAAGATAGTTGGCTTTGTCTCGAGGCTGTCGCAAGATCTCAAAGGGCCGAATGTCTTCAAGCTCAGCAAAGATCCGATCAATGTGTCTTTGGCAACCTGAGGCTACATCCAATATTGTCTCTTTCGAGGCATCTGCTTCAAATAGAGGTTGAGGTGCGTTCACGAAGTACTCATGGAATGGGAACGATGTGACAATATCTTCAGTGGAAGTTTCTTCGGAGTTGGCTCGATCCCAGAACTTAGCCCATGCTGGTTGAACATAGACCATGTTGAAATAACCTGCAGTCTCGCATGAGTTCCCGTGCGCGCCTTCGGCTCTAATTGAAGCCGCCAGCCGCATGACTTCCGCAAGATAGTTGGTACGGTTGTCAAGGAAAGACTCGACCCTGCCGTGTTTGCTGTAGTTAGAATCGGTTTCCAGCTCTTCCTCGCCGTGTCCCAGTCGTAATAGATGACGCTCATCGATGTCTAGAGCAATGATCTTCTGGAAAAGCTGATTGAGCGCTTGGTTGCTGTGTGCGACAAGAAGCGTGCGCTCCTTGGGGAAATTATGGTAAAGGTTATTGATGATTTGGGTTGCAACGTCCGTTTTACCGGTACCTGGGGGTCCAACGATGACAGTAAGGCCTGGCTGGGTACCGGAAGCAATCGCTTCAACCTGGGCAGGTGTGAATCTCACGGTGTTGTGTTTAGGTGCATCGACAGGGTAGGGGCCAGGGTTCGGTAACTTGTATGTTGAGACACGCATAGTACTGGGACCCTGCTCTGTCTGTCCAGCTTGGTCTCGTCGGCGCTTCTTCGCGGGGGCAGAAACCTCGACTGGTTCGCTTTCGACTGTTTCAACAACATATGGAGGACCGAAGCTAGCCGATTCGGATCCAGATGGTTCGATCGTCTTTCCGGGGTAACTCTCCACCAGATGGGACCAGTCCAAAAATGTATCACGGAAATCAACAGATTGGAGACGATTTGGCAACTGAGAGTACTGAGCACCAGCAGGGTCACCATATCCGAGGAAGATGTCTTGAAGCCACGGGGGAAGCGTCATATCCGACACAATCAGGTTTTGCATTGTCTCCAAGATTGATTTGAAGTTGTTCTCACGGCCCTTTCGTCGCGCAATAACATTGACCAAAGAGTATATGTCCGGTTTGCCTTGAGCTTGAGAATCCTTATCCGCCTTGAACGATGCGGCGTCCAAATTGACAAGGATTTTGCGTACCCGTGGGCGAGATTGATGACCATTGGCTTGACCGCCTGCTGGCTGTCGCAGCGAACGGCCTTGTTCATCAAGGACTTGCACGACCTGTGCTGTGCGGAGGTGAGTCATGCGTGGTCCTTCCGCCGCATTGTCATCTTGAGTTCCCAACAGTGTGGGTGATGAAGACTGAACGGCTAACAGATAAACAACGTCGTCTGGGCGGAGAGATTCCCATTCTTTTCGGATATTGTCCGCCAGCCTGCCCACTTCAATCGCAATTTCCGCACGAACAAAAGCTGGATTGGGTGAGCCCACCTTCGCTGGTGCAACTTCAATGATAGCAGGCTTGGTAATAGGAATTGCCATGCGGGAAAATCCTTCAAAGGTCAAGCTTCCTGTCCGGTTCGCTCGAGGTTGCATGCGCTTGACAAGACCTTCCATGTCCTTGCGGATCTGGAAGAAAGCCTCCGATCTATACAAAAGGAAAGACCGCCAAAGGAAATCTCCAGTGCTTAAGTATTGAAGGTTCAATTTTGGAATCGCCAAAGGTCTGGATCCATCGTAGGTCTCATTTCTCAACAATGCTGGGTCGTAAAGGCTCTCTTCGGTGGGAACCACACTCAAATTGGCAGCAACCTCTTGGAAAGACAGTTTGCGCTCATATGAAGAAAGGAGGATTTCCAGACAGAGTTGGCGATCTGGGGTTACGTTAGATGACTTGGGGTAGCTGGTTCGGAATCCCAGATGAGAGCACAGGCTCTGCAGCTCCGACTCATCCAAAGAGGACAATTGCCCTTCAAGATCAACTCGCTTATCAATTGATCCCAGGTTAGAAAGCGCAAGAATGGTGAGTTTATCCTTGAAATGCTTCATGGAGGTTCTCTGTAGATGAGCCAACTCCTTGCAATGCAGGTCATAGAGTGCCTGGGGGGACAGGGCATCTCCAGAGTAATCATCAATCGCGAAATCGATAAAGTGCTTGAGAAGGTTGTACAAGTCGCGGAACAGAGCATTCTCTGAAGTGCGGTACAATTGCGACAGACGAATGACGGGTAGAACATTCAGATCCTTGAGAAGGGTATTGGCGTAGCGTCGGGTTGGAAGCTGGCTCAAGAGATCCACAAGCAGCTCCAAGAATCTTTCACAGTACAGCAGGTTCTCGGTTTGTTGCTTCTCGGGGCCGTTCAGTTTCTGCAGGAAATCCAACAGCATAGTATACAGCCAAGACCGTTCAAATCGACCCTTGGCCTTGGTAACCTCGTCACCGGCATCGTATCGCTTCCCCGCGGCCCTCCATGCTTTTTTCAAAGCAGGAGATTTCGCAATGATCCGATCCCTGGCGTCATCACTGACCAAGTTGTGCCAGATTGAGATAGAAACGAGCGGGGCGCATTCTTTTCGGATCAGGACGTTTTCGAGCGACTGGAAAGCGCCGATGATGAAGGAGATGATCGACATCCGCGAATTGGTGGGCAATGAAGGGTCGATGCTCATTGAAAGGATGCGATGGAAGAGACTCGAGAAATCATCACTGCGGTCGGAGAAAATGTCTGCATGAACTATCAGTACGCGCCCTTCCTGGTTCACCCGCTTTTTATCACATTGACTTACCCCAGATAGGCACATGTTCGCGATATTTGACGCTGACAATAAGCGCGATCAAAAGGACGTGGTGGTTCGAAGCATCTTCAGTATAGGTCGGCCAAAGGAACCTGTAAGTGAATTGAGTTAGCCCTGCGGGCACCAGGGGAATCATCGCGGGCAGTGTACTTCTCTAAGACATTCAAGTTTTCCAAAACCAGTAGAGAACGGCTATTGAATCCCTCTGCCTCCAGTGGATCCCATAATTGTTGTTTGATCACTTCAGGTTTGGCCTTGCGGACTTTCGCACCTAACCAGTGAGCCTTGGCTAGCTTCACCCACGGGCTATCCTCGCGAAAGTCCACCACCGTTGGTCTGGATTCGAGGCTCTGCGTCATCGCAGCACTCGATTGTCCCTGTTGTTAAACTGGGGTTGATCGAGAACGTGAGGTGGAGCAACGCACGTCGGGAACATCAAGTTGAAGCTGGGGGGAGCTTTTTCACAAAGTCTTGGCTTTTCTCTCCGCCGAGCCGCAACCACACCCCCTTCACCTCCGTCACTGGCCCTTTCTTCTCTTTTGCTAACCACCCTCAACTCACCCATTGTCCCACCTCACCTTTCTCTTTGTTTTAATCAAAGATGGCCTCGGTGGAAGTTGAGGCAGTACAGGTCTACAGGGGGCTGGTGGACAGTCTTTTGGATCGCGCGGCGCAAATCAAGACTGACAAGCAGATCGAACCCCCATTGACTGAGGCCCTTCTGGGAGATCACATTTGGCAGCTACCAGCTGAAGAAGATGGTACTGTGAAATCCGTAAACCAACAGACACAATATGCTGCAGTGGAGATTGCTTTTCGCGAGAAGTTCTACCGCATCCTGGTACGGCGCATGCATTTTTTTGTCCCCGAAAGCTTGATGGCATTGAAGTTACTAATTACTCGACGGGTCCTTGCTTAGGCTTCGACCTCTATCACCGAGCCCTCTTTCATCAATATCTGGAACCTCCTTGACCTTGTCTCCATTTTCTCCGACAACGGTCAGTCGCCAAACGCAACACCCGAACGAGGATGTCTTTGCTGACACCTACTAGAACAATGCGAGCCCGGTCTAATATTCTGGCTCATCGAGGAACTGTTGGATAGTCAAACAATTGACGGTTGCCGCATTGTATTTGATTATCTGGAGTCACGTCGAGAGCGAAACATCAATGTACGCGAGTTTCTGTCTATACGATCTAGTTATTTGAAGACCTCACCTGCTAACTCATATCAAAGAAACATTTTAAGCAGAAGAACCTGATCATTCTCCGTTCTTGCAATGAACTTCTACGCCGACTTTCACGGGCAGAGGATACCGTTTTCTGTGGACGGGTGTTCATCTTCCTTTTCCAGAGCTTCCCCCTCGGTGATAAAAGTTCCGTCAACCTTCGGGGCGAGTTTCACACAGAGAATGTCACCACTTTCGATGATATTGCCGCCAAGTCGCCAGCCGAGAATGACGATGGAGATACCAGTATGACTGACGGAAACGACGACTCTGTTACAACTGATGGACAGCCAGACCATAACAACAAAGGTAATGTGGCTACTCCTGACAGAGAGTCGCGATTACCCAAAGTTGTTGTTTCTCGAGGTCAGAAAGAGGAGAAAAACGAGAAGGTTGATCTTGATACCCTTTACCCTCTTTTCTGGAGTCTACAGTCCTATTTCTCGGCTCCGAGCAAAATGTTTGATGCTGAGCGTTTTGCATCCTTCAAGACTGGCCTTGAAACCACTCTGCACGCCTTCAATAATATCAACACTGATCTCGAAAATCAAGGTCCTGCACGGCCTTCAGAAGAAGCCTCGAAGTCTCAGAAGCGAAAACGTGGCGATGAGGCCGAGGTTGGAACAAGCTTCAACCCCAAATACCTGACCAGCCGGGATCTTTTCGATCTTGAAGTTGGTGATACCGCTTTTCGAAGACATGTTCTTGTTCAAGCTCTCATTCTGCTTGACTTTATGTTATCCCTCACCTCAAAGTCCAAGGAGCGTTTGACAGACTTGACTAACAAATCTGTGCTATATGGATTCGTGTTGAGCGAAGAAAACGCAGAATGGGTGGCAAGCATGCGCAAGCGCATTGAAGACTACCTACAACAAGGCCCTGGCGGGAAGTTCTACTACCGTATGGTAGACACTGTGTTAACCAGAGACAAGAACTGGGTGCGATGGAAGGCCGAAGGATGTCCACCCATTGAACGGCCAGCAATCTCCGTACCAGACTACATGAAGGCGCGAGATGAGGCTAGAAAAACCTATGTTAGCAAGCGTCTTCGTCCGTCACCCATGGGAGCGTTGGATTTCAAGTTCCTCTCGGATACAGAGGCATTAGCCAACATTGAACGTCTTAAGGAATCAGACCGGTTCTCTGTTCCTGCGGCTGATTCGTTCATGATGAATATAATGGATGATGAGATGGACATCGACATGGCTCAGAATCCAGATGACAAGGATGCTGCGATCCAAGCCAAGTCCAGCAAGACTTGGCGCATTCTACGCCTTGCGGCCAGGACGAAACTTTCTGCGTTCGACAAAATCGATGATGGTAACAACCTCAAGGCTCTATTTGAAACTGCCGCCGCACCAGCAGACGCTTCCCAACCGACGGAAGCCACAGACGCTGATGGGCCAGAAGAAATCAAGGATGCCCCTGAGGAATTGCAAGCGGATGCGCAGGAAGCGCAAGAAAACCCTGTTGAGGACAAGAACATGACCGACGACTCCCAGCAAGAATTGAACGCCACTAGCGAGGAGAGTCCAGTCATCGACCAGGGCGTCGAGGCCTCTAGCGCAGCCTCCGGAGATAAACCTATGGAAGATTCGACGACCTGATAGTGTGGCGGGTCTTGCACATGAAAGTTTTGGCATGCTGCTTATGGCTTTGGCCCCCTTTCTTCGATTCTGCGGAGCATTACCCGCAACGGGTATCGCTTGGCAGCCATGGCATCTCGACCAGCCACATTCCATGGGTCATGATCGCTTGCGGGATTTGCTAGCTGCATCAGTATCGTGCTGCAGGACAAAGTCCCTTTTTTTTTTTTTTTTTTGCCATGTTGAAAAAAAAAAATTCCCAACGACCTGTTCCATATGCCCGTGGTGCCGATGACACACCGTCCGATTCACTTGCCGCTTGGACATATCCCATGACCCTTTTACTCTTCGGTTCTTAGCGGCTTGCAGGAGATTTTTATCCAATGGCCGTACAAGATGTAGTGGACTGGTACCTCGCAATCCACTTTAACTGTTGGGAAGGGAATTGCGAGGCCCGCTGCAGAAAAAGCTAAGGCAAACGAAAGCGATGTCGATCACGAGCAAATATCACGTTACCCCGTTTTTTCCAATGGTGGCACAATAGAGCTTTAGCGAGGCAAGCCTTTACGAGCATTCACACGAATCACACCTATCTCCGAAAGAAGAAAGGGCGTATTCTTCACAATCAAGCGGCCCAGGTGGAAGTATGGGACTTTGTTTTTTTCTTTATTATTTTGATGTCGAACTAGCTTACCGACGTGGGGTCCAAGATTTTTCTAGTTGATCGGCAACTCTATTGAACCGCGAGGTTCCTGCATGAAATGAACCATAGCAATGCAAATAATTCGGCGTACCTTTTTTTTATTCTTATTTTGTTTTTTATTCTTATTCTATTTTCTCTATCCAGATGTCCATTTATTCTATTATTTGGTTTTTACCAGTGTACATTTTACACTTTGCAGCTCTGCAGTAATCGGGATGATACCCCTGATCTAATTGGAGTGGAAAGGCTGGGGCGTCGAACGGTCACAGCCATGTTTCACCTTGCACCATACCATTGAACTAAAGTACCATTGAGGAGAGCCATCGGTTTTCCGAGGTTTAGAAGCTACGGAATATGCTCCTAACGACTTCCGCTCACGATTAGCGTCAAGTGGAAAAGTGGAAACAACATGTGGTTTTTCCTTTTGGCCCCTGAACTCTCGACTCCGTACTCGCAACCCGAGGCAATTCTTTGGGGATTGAAGTGGATTAGGTTGTACGAATGTGGATTGTGCTTCGCCCTTGAGATGGAGTTCGCAGAAACGGATTATTCTCGAAGAAGACGCATTGATCGTATCGACGACCGTGTCAAGAACTGTGTGGACCACCGCTTCAGTCGGAGAGTGTTGCGAGCTCCACAAGTGGAGATCCGGATTTCGGGCTTACAGCAGGCGACATCTTTTGCTCGTTCTTTTTCTTCCTTTTTTTTCCATTTCTCTTCTCTTTTTTTTTTTTCCGATCTAGAAATGCACCGACCAATGTCTTGGAGCTAAGGCGGGTAAATCAATAGATCCAAAACCATCCAGACAAGTAGAAGTTTGTTTTTATTTTCTACTCTTTAGCATTTGAAGGTCTCGCGATATCTTCCCAGTTAAGGAGTCTGATCCGTGGAAATAATACCGGTGTCAAACCAGACTTTTACTATGTACTTGACCCGCTGGGAGCGAGCTCTGTACTAGTAATTTTTTTTTATCTAAGAATTTTTTTTCCATTCACCGAAAGCAGGTGTAGTTACATCAAAAGAGGAGACGCAAAAGAGACCAAAAAGAGAAGAAAATTATACAGAGTATAGATAAATTCCAATATTCCCCTAAATTCTGATCAATTCTCAATGATCTGATCTGCAAGAACTTTCCGGCCGGTTTTGCCGGCACGAACGTGCAAAGATATAAGCGATCGGCTTGCGTCACCCTCGGCCATGACGACGTGCATTGTAGAAAGCGATACGAAACTGTTTGGAAGTCTTGGCAGTCCTTTTCGTACCCGAAATTAAAGTTGCCACGATTTTTTGCGATCAGAGCTGCGATCAGTGCTTCGATCTGATTCCCCGCACCGTTTCCCTAGAGATAGGTAATCCGTATTCAACAAAATACTATGAGTCCAGGTACTGTCTCCATGATTCTTTAGTTCAATTCTTTAGTTCAGTTCTTTAGTTCATTCCCTTGGGAAAGGTACCTGGGTACTTCGGTCCGTACTAGTATACAGTTAGTATATCCAATCCCGGTTTAGACTCCGATATTGAAAAACCGCCATTCGAGAACGCGCATACATTTTGCTCCGTACTCCATAACTGGAGATCATAGTCAGTTTCTATAACATAAATCTTGTGAAAAAAAAAAGGAGATTTTTTCTGAAAATCCCCCCTCCTTGACTCCATCGAATCCTCGTTCCCCACGCGGAGTTCACCGCGTCATAAAGAAAACCAGCAAGTTGCGCAGATGGAGATGAAAAAGGGAACATTGAACGGAGACTACATAGTTCAGCGATCGACGGACGTTTCGGCCGTAGGGCAAAACTCGCAATGCACTGTGATTCGAGATCGAGGGCTAACGGGCCCGAGATTTCTCCCCCTCCGAAACCCAGAAAGTCAAGGCCCCAGCTTTGTCTCCACGTTGGCCCGATTCAAAGTCTCCGATGTCCTGCGTAATGGGAGTGAATGCACTTGAATGGTCAAATGCGCTACTGGAGCCTTGTTCTCGGGGCCCCCACTCACTATTGATCCCGGGTATGCACTGTAGATGTAACTAGGCTACTAGTTTAACGTGCAGAGGAACAATGGAAGAAAATAATTCGAATCATGGAATTGTGTAAAAATGCAAAAATACAAAAATACAAAAATGGGGGTTTTTTCTTTCTATCGGTCATGCTTCTTCTTCAGTGCCACACCCGCAGGGCATGACCTCATTCGGGATTCCTAGTCCGGCAGAGATGGGCGCTATAAGAGAGTATACGTGTATAGCATAGATACTATAGACTATTGTTTAAAGATAAAAAGGGATTGGAAGAAAAAGGAGTTCGAGGTTGGTTTGAGAAAAGAATTATACTGTATTACTCTTTTTTTTATTTTTATTTTTTTTATTAGCATACCAGTAATCGTTAAAAGTCCAGACCTTTTTTACTTCGAAATTGCATTAAAGAAATCACCTTCCTTTAATTTCCTAATTCCTGACTTATCCAAATCTCCAAGTGCACAGGAGTGCTTCATTTCCCAACTGTGACTTGAACTGTTTCATGGCTCTGAATGTGGAGATTTCGCAGGAGCCTTTCCCCTTCGGTGGACCTTTTGCGACGGCTACTGAGCCACGGGTAACCCTAATAGTGGGGAGGCCCGGACTCCGTAGCGTCGAACAATTCGGCTCTGAACGGCCCTGGCAGTTATTGTATGATTTGCTGGTTTTTAGATGGGGTTCTAAGATGGTTTTTGCTGTTTTTGCTCTTTTTTCTCAATCGTTGCGGGATACCATATACCGTATTGACTCTGGTTTGTACACTCAGGGGGAAAAGTTCTTATGTCTACGAAGTACAGGAGGCTCTAAAAACGTAATACATATCGCTCTAGTAGAGTATTTTCCGTTTGTTTTTTTCTTTTTTCCACTTCTATACTTCAAGTTCCTTTTCAGCTGTTCGGAATTAGCCGACCTCGTTTTTTGCCCCTCAACATCACCTGGTTTCAGAGCTCAGATGAGCATTTCTTATATCCTGGTTGAGACATTTCATTGACCATGGATCGCGGGGTTGGAGAAAAAAATGAAGAGAGAATGAAATCAGAACTATCACATTTTCTGTGAATCTTTTTAATTTCTTAATTTTTTTTTTCAACCCTCTTATTTCTCCAATCGTAAACTTGTTTGAATAGTAATCATGAAATTTCCCATAATCCTATTTGATTACACAGACCACTCGGTTGGTTCAACATCTCCACTGGGTCAGCCACCCATGCACCCTCTCATATCACAACCCATTGAGAGAGTGGACTGTGGCGGGCAGCCCGCTGAGTGGCTGACATGTCTTCCTTGATCGATAACCCCGAGGGTCCGGTGGGCGTTAGACTGGCCTATGGAGCCAGCACGCCAGCCAACCCGACAGGATTTCCACATGGTGACCAGCCTCAATTCGTGCCGGTGAGCCAGGGTCTGATAGCGGTTGGCTGATGGTCCATGCAGCAAATCGAAATCGATATTGGAGGGGCTAAGACCTTTTTTCACTCTTGCCACAAACAGATCGCCCACTAAGTCTTCGGAAATTTTTTCTAATGGTCTGTTCTTCCAAGGTTGAACGCCTCCGGAAGGATGAGGTGTGGATTATTCCGTGGATGTCTCTGGTGCATTCGGCACGGGAGAATAGGTCTAGGGAGTTTGTCTTCTCCTCTGCTCCGTCTCCGTACTCCGTACTCCGTCTAGAACTATAGCAACATGTGGTGGGTATCCACGAGGTGGGACGTGGGACTGAAATGTGTCCACCTTGACCCGTTTCCTTGGGTTATCGAAGGAGCTTGTCTGGGTCTTTGACTTTGAGAGGAGATTCTAGTCCGTTGCCTCCTGTTTCCACAATGCCTTTTTTTTTTCTTTTCTTTTTTCTTTTCTTATTTCCTTATTTTCTTTTCCCTTTTTTTTTCTCAGCTCGGGTTGAACCGCGATTTGCCACACGCCAGGATGGGTCTACCATGCAGAAAAAGGTCCTGGCCGTGGTTATTACTCGGGACTGTAAGAGCCCTGTGCTCTGGCACACGGCACTTACCCATAATCTGTAGTAGACAAATCGTCTACCCCGTACTCCGTACTTTTTATCTCTCTTTTTTTTTTACACTCTTAGTACCTGTTTTCTGCTCACCTGCGTTAGCCTTGTGGTATCATATTCTATTCCGTACGTTTCAATCTCGGTGATCGTTGTTACACCATATACCCAATGTGGGAACGGAGATCTAGAGTGTAAGATCCTTTTTCTTCTATTTGGTTTATTTTATTTTATTTTCAATGTAGAATTTCGATTTTCGATAGACTATACCCTATAGAGAAGCACTATTTGCCTCTGGGATCGCTGATCCTTTTTTTTTACATGTCCTGATGCAGACTTGTGCACCGATTTCCTTTTAATATTACACTCAACCCTGCCATTCTACACCCCTCTTTCAAGGCCCACTTATTTTCTGTTAAGTCTAGTGGAACAAAGTTTAGAGCATTGGACTGGAGTATTCCTTGCTTTTTGGATTATTGCTTTACACTCCCTTCCAATCGGGAACTGTTTCGACCGTTGTTAAAGATCATCCCTAAACAACAAATCCCAAGTATATCATTTCCCTGTCCAGTCGAGTGGACTTGCGGATACGTTATAGCTGCTTGCTCTCTGTTGTCATCAAGTACAAGGTCAACTTTTGCTTTCTCGTTTTACGGTGGATCCTTGAAGGGATTTACTTCCGTTTTTAATATCTCTGGGGGTATTATTTCCACTGCCTTTTTCCCGCTTGGTGCCATTACTGGTCTTTTCAAGTCTTTTCTTTCGTTTGGTATTTTTTGCGTTTCTGCCATTTCCCTGCTTCGTCATTGTTTAGATCTCCGCTTGATCCCTGGTAAAACAAGCCATAACGTCCTCCCCCCTCCCTGCCGGCTTTTGCTCAGGTACCATACTATAGCCCATTGTGGATGCCCTCGTGTCTGACTTACTAAAACACGTTAAGATCATCGTATCCAACTGATCCGAAGATCTAAAAGACGTTTGGGGAGCCCTGTCGTCCCACTTTTGGATATTACACCTGAACAAGTCGGCGCCTAAGCATCTAAGATCTACCTCCCCTTCTTGCTTCTTTCATCATCTTCCATTTTGCCTGGTATAATACTTTGATTTTGATTCACCTTGCATTTCGTTTAATTTGCAAAATTAAAGGAACTCTGACCATACCGTGCAAGCGCCCCGGTACTTCATCTCAGACCCACATTCGTCTCATCTCGGGGAAGGACACCCTGCTTCTTTTGTCTCTTTTCCTCCGTCTTCTATCGCTCCTTCTTTCTTGTTTCGTGTCGTTGTGGGTGTGCTGGTCCGGCGCGTTTGAGGCTCCTTAACTCGATTCTGTGGATCGTGGATTTGACGACGTGAGACTATTCCGGTCAGAAGAAAGGGCCCCAAGTCACCAACTTCCTTACCATGTCAATCGGCGGCCCTTGTCTCTGGGTATCTTCTCTATCCTCGCCAGTCCCATCTCTCTCTGCTGTTACTTCTCATTTTTCATCGGCTTGCCAGGGTGATCGCTTTACCTTGCCAAAGACTGTTCCGTTGCGACAACTGCAGGAGAGACGAGAACAGCGTGCCTCGAACGGACTATCTGCTACTGCCATGCAACCTGCTGTTGTGAAGGCTGAAAATGCCTTGACGACGCCTCCCATGCTTGGGGCTTCGACTGTTGCGGCACCGTTTCCCGAAGGAGAAATCCTGTCACAAGGGACGGGAGCCCAACCGTCTCCAGCAACCAGAGAGACTTTACTGCCTCGGCCCAAGCTAGAGATCCCGGATCACCAGATGGACCTTTCGATGCCTCAGCAGACCATTTCTGATCAGCACGGGGATGCGATGAACGTTGAACCGATGAGCTTTGACAAGGAAGATCATGACAGAGAGTCTACCATCAGTCCGTCTGATGAGAGGGGCGATGCCGTGGGCAGCGAGGATGATAGCAGGATGACATCCTTGGAGAAGAAGAAGATGAAGCGATTCCGGTAGGGCTCCGACAACGATCACGAAAACGAAGAGACAAGCGTTAACAGTAAGTTTGCAGGTTGACTCATAACCAGACCCGCTTCTTAATGAGCGAGTTCACTCGCCAGGCACATCCAGATGCGAACCACCGGGAGCGCCTGTCAAGGGAGATCCCTGGCTTGACACCCCGTCAAGTCCAAGTCTGGTTTCAGAACAGGTAAATCAGGACTGTTCTCTTTCGTTTTGCCACTTCTTTGATCTAACAGTAACGCAACTTGTAGACGAGCAAAGCTCAAGCGTCTCACAACAAATGATCGTGAGAGAGTCCTTAAGTCCCGAGCTCTTCCCGACGACTTCGACACCACGAAGGTTCTTCGGACTCCCTTCGAGAGCAAATCAACAGGACCAACCCCTACTGCATCACCACATGACTATGGAGCCCCGAACCCAGACTTTGCATCTTTGAGAGCACTACGAACCGATTGCTTTCCACGCCATAATGAGGACGATTACCTCGTCTCACCCCTTAGTTCGGCGTCAACTGTCGGAACTTACATGTCTTCTGCTGGACAGGGACGGAATGACAGTCTGTCACAATCCAGCATGATGTTCAGACCCGCCGCTTCGGCATCAATGCATGATCTGCACAGGACGATCCGAAGCGACTATTCCATTACCAGATCAAACAGCCTGTCAGATGCTCCCTCCCAGCAATCTTCTTTCCACACAGGATACCCTATTCACAATCGATATGGAACTCCTTCAAATCCATCAAATATGCCGTATGGAAGGCAGCCAATGGACTATAGTGTTCCCCGTTCGAGCGGAATGGTGTCTGCATACGACCAGCACCAAGCCTTTGAAGGATCGGCATCTCCGACAGACTCCCAGGGTACTCCAATCACATACGATATGGGAAATCTAGGTTGGTTTTTTTCCTATCCAACTAAACACTCCTGAGAAGAATCAGTAGTGGAGCCAAAGCACAAGCAAATGCAAGACCCTAACTCGGATTTCCCAAAACAGGCACCCAATCGCAAAACTACCAGTCCCAACTTGCAATGTCCACGCCAAAGGAATATAGTGGAATGGCAATGGGCTCCCAAATCACAGCTCATGGTAGACCCATGTCAAATATCCAGTCCCTTCCCGTCTCCGCCGCCCAGGATTACCGACCTTATGCCTACGGCAATCCCTCTATTGGATCGATTCCATACACACAATCCAATACCTCAACACTCAACCTCGCCGCAACTTTTGCCCCTTCCAACCAGGGCGTCACGGCAAACGATCAAATGCAGCAGCCCAACCCGCAAACCCTTGAGTCCCTGCGCAGCAAATTCGGCAACCCTTCCTACAACTATACAAACTATATCCAGCAATAAAGTCATACGAGAGGCAGGACCATAAAAATTGAGCTGATTTCCTGCTCTGTGCGTTTTGGCGCCAGGTCTTGGGCTGGTACCCCCCTTTTTTCCGCTTTCGCCTTTTGTTTTGGCCCATTTGGTAGCCACGGGCATTCGACCTATAACAGCGTGTTTTAATCTTAATGCTTGTACAGCCTCCTCTTAGCTCTTTCCCTGTTCTCCAATCTTTTTTCTCTATTTTCTTTCTCATTCTTTCTTGTTGGCCGTTTGGTTGTTTTTTTTTTCTTGTTCTTGGTTCTTTTCCCAATTCGCTTTCGTTTTTTTTTTCACTTGTATATGTTCCTTTTTTTGTTTATGCGAGGGCGGACTGGTTCATGCCGAAGGCGTGGTTTTTAAGGTTTCTTCATGGTGACCTATTGTCTATAGCTTTTCTGGTGTACTAGCGTTCAAATTTTTGTTAGAATTCTGGCATGGGTGGATGGATGTTCAAATCTAAATTCAATCAACATTTTTGGTTGAAGATTTCGATCCATATTACTTAGTACTACTACATATTATGACCGTGCGTGAAAGTATTAGTTTACACCGGGGCAGTGTGCGAATGTCCTCTCCTGCTGGCACCAGCTGCACCAATTGAGCCGTTTCAAGGTTCCGCCAGTGGACGCCAACTGATATCTTATATTGAACTATCCTGAAATTTCCAAATTATATATTTGCCCTTCCCCTCCAGGACTTCTTTCTATCCGCACGCGTCTGCTTTATTTTCTTCTGTGCTAAATGCTTTTCCAAACCAGCACTTGACAATATCCACAAAGCTGCCTCTCTGCCTAGGCAGGCCTGAGTCGTGACTAGGTAAATCTTTCCAATTCGCACGATATTGGGAGGTGCCCACTTCTATTTAGCCGTGCGTGGAGGTCCATCCATGGATGGGTGGAAATACGTAGACCACATACGCTCATGTGTAGTAGTCAAGTATTACTATATATCATGGGTATATCTGGTACCCACTCCTTTGACAATTGATGTTGGATGACAGCATTTGAACCAGCACTTGAGTGCTGATGCCCTTCAAATGTGTTGGGATGTTCCACCTGCACGGCATGAATCTAATTTTTCTTACCTCAAGGTGTATTCCAAGGTTACTATATGTAGTACATGTGTACATATATAAGTTAACTCCTGGGCTGAATATGTACACATGTCTACCACATGTGCACATGTGCAGCACTGAGTACTACCTATTATGGGATATACATCCGTCAACTGGTGGACGCAACATTCCTTGCAAGGCATAAATTTGAATATGTATCATGGATTTAATGGATGGAAATGTCGAAAAGACTTTAAAGTAAGGGACCCGGACCCACAATGAGTAATCTAATTTGAGTAGTTTAAACCTTCAAAGGAAGTAGACTCGTATCTAAAAGTTCGTTGATCAATGCTTTCATTCAAAGAAAAATAACAAGAATCCATTAAAAATGTCATAAATTGGAAGCCGGCTGTTGGTAATCCGGACTTCAATTTGAGTCAGCATTTGAATGGAATCCAAAATTGTCCGCGGGCTGTTCTTGAAGCTTCCAAGTTATACAGATCAGACAATGCCAGGGCGATCAAGATTTGGGAAAGCGGCATGGTCGAATCAAAAGTCTTGTAAAAGTCATCAAGTATGATCGTGGTAAGTCCAGCCACTCATGTGGCGAGGATTTGCAGCGCCTTGGTATTCAGCCAATCAGCGACAAGGCATCAGGTGGTCACCAAGTCACATGATTTGGTCAGCCAGCCAATCAGAGCCCTTGTAATAATAATCATGGCAAGAGTCACTCTTGGCCACTGACGCATGCAACCAAGTATAAATATTCACGATCGCCTGCAGGGGATTTTGCCTTTTCCATTCAGTATCAAAATCAATCAACAGATCCTCTGACTATCAATTTCCAATTTTCGCAATCGACTTCCAGTTGCAAACTTCTTCACTTATCACTACCAATTTATCTCTTCGATAACTTCACTATCTTCAAAATGGTCAACCCCACTGTTACCTGCTGCAAGACCTCCGGCGCTGGAGAGTGTGTTTGCGCTGCCCAGGCCAAGTGCTCCTGTGGAAAGGAGAGCGCCCTTCACTGCTCTTGCAACAAGGCTGCCGCCGAAAACGCCGTCTCTGGACCTCGTTGCTCATGCCGTACGTTCTACTTCCAAGTATAAACGCGGAGTATCAAATGACTAACCTTTTTTAGGCGCTCGTCCCGTTGGTCAGTGCACCTGTGAGCGCTCTGTGACCGAGAACAAGGCCGTCGATGGCGAGACCTGCGCATGTGGCAGCCGTCCCTCTGGTGAGTTTTACAAATCCAACACTTTGTAGCTTCTCAATGAACCAGGCTAACCTTATATATAGCTTCTTGCACTTGCGAGAAGGCCGAGGGCGTTGACTCCGCTTTGGAGGTCGACTTCACCACTCGCTCTTAAACAGTTTAGTCTGTTTTTGAGCTGATGTCTTCTTTTTCTTCTTTTTCTTCTTTTTCTTTTGATCATCAGCATAAATTGCATGGCTGTGGGTATTTGGAGTTGGCAGAATGGCGTTCATATGAGGCATCTGGGGTTGCTTGATTTACAAATACTCCGATCCACCTATTTTGTGGACGAATTTGATAGTTACGATTCATGAAAAAAAAAAAAACAAAATATAACATTTCAAAAATAGTGTCTGCATATTTGATTTTAAACATTCAGACTAGATCCGACCAGACTGAAATAGATAAAGATCGACTTGCATGCTGCAAGTGTAGTTTTAGACTGTTTAGTGACTTTAGTCCCTGAAATTGCACCGCCACAGTCGCATCAACGTTGTTCCTGTGCCACAGCGGAAGAACGAGTGATCGACAGCGGAAAGTGGCCCAAGGGACGGAGGTGTGTGATGAGCATCTCACTTTCGACCTGCTCCTTTTTCTCACATTGGTGGACCATTCTGCCTGACGCTTGGTTAGTATCCAAAATTCAGTCCAAAAATCCCCTGAATCTCTTATGGTGTCATTCTAACCTCCCCGCTTCCAAATTTAGGGATCCACTGCGACCGGCAACCCCTGTTTCCTCGCCTTCCAAGCTCTTTATCCATAAATTCCCGTCGACTTCATTTCGGCCAATGCGCCACGGCCGCGACAACTCAATAGGGACATGGTTGTGTGACGTTGTCCGTCCGATCGCAAACCCCTGAGGTCATCTCCCCGCGTGGCATGCGAGCCGTATATTCCGACTCCACCCCACTCCTCAATCCCCAAAGTTCAAGTGTTTACACCATCCAAAGGGCCAACTCTAAGCCCGCGCCTACGAGGTAATAGGCAAGAAAAGATAAAAATTCAAATACCACAATCATGTCGTCAATGAAAGGTCTGGTGCAATTCATCGCGGACCTGCGCAACGCGCGGGCGCGAGAATTGGAGGAGAAGCGCGTGAACAAAGAGCTGGCCAACATCCGACAGAAGTTCAAGGCCGGCAATCTCAACGGATATCAGAAGAAGAAATACGTGTGCAAGCTCCTTTACGTCTATATCCAGGGCTACGATGTCGACTTTGGCCATCTCGAAGCCGTCAACCTTATCTCCTCGACCAAATACTCAGAGAAGCAGATCGGTTATCTCGCTGTCACCTTATTCCTACACGAAGAACACGAGTTGCTCCACTTGGTTGTTAATAGTATCCGGAAGGACTTGATGGATAATAGTGAACTGAACATCTGTTTGGCATTGCATGCAGTAGCCAATGTTGGTGGCCGGGAGCTGGGAGAAGCATTGGGCAACGAGGTCCACCGGCTCTTGATTTCTCCGTGAGTTTTTTTCGTCACATAGATCGTCTGTCCTTATTCTAACTGTCTCTAGCACCTCGAAAGCCTTTGTCAAGAAGAAGGCCGCGCTTACCCTGCTTCGTCTCTATCGCAAATACCCCGGAATTGTGCGGAACGAATGGGCCGAAAGAATTATCTCGATTATGGACGACCCAGACATGGGTGTGACCTTGTCTGTCACCTCGCTAGTCATGGCGTTGGCTCAAGACATGCCTGAAGAGTACAAGGGCAGTTATGTCAAAGCTGCGCAGCGGTTGAAGCGGATCGTGGTTGACAATGACATTGCACCGGACTACCTTTATTACCGAGTGCCATGTCCGTGGATTCAAGTCAAGTTTCTGCGCCTGTTGCAATATTATCCTCCATCAGGTATGCTTAAGTTTCTTTATCAGATCTTTAGTTTTTATACTTATCCCCCCTTGCAGATGATAGTCATGTCCGTGGAATTATCCGAGAATCTCTTCGGCAGATCATGCAGGCTGCGATGGAAACTCCTAAGAACGTCCAGCAGAACAATGCACAAAATGCAATCTTATTCGAAGCCATTAACCTTCTCATTCATCTCGACTCGGAACACACCTTGATGATGCAAATCTCCTCTCGTCTGGGCAAATACATCCAATCTCGCGAAACCAACGTCCGATATCTTGGTCTGGATGCGCTGACCCACTTTGCTGCGCGGGCCGAAACCCTTGATCCAATTAAGAAGCACCAGAACATCATCCTGGGTTCCTTACGAGACCGAGATATTAGTGTTCGTCGCAAGGGTTTGGATCTCCTGTACAGCATGTGCGATACCACCAACGCCGGTCCTATTGTCAACGAGCTTCTTCGCTACCTCCAAACAGCTGATTATGCTATTCGAGAGGAGATGGTCTTGAAGGTGGCCATCCTGACAGAGAAATATGCCACCGACGCCCAGTGGTACATTGATATGACCTTGAAGCTTTTGTCACTGGCGGGTGACCACGTCAACGACGAAGTGTGGCAACGAGTCATTCAAATTGTGACCAACAACGAAGAGTTACAGGCATATGCAGCCCACACACTCTTCGGCTACATGAAGACCGACTGTCATGAGAGTTTGGTGAAAATTGGTTGTTATGTTCTCGGCGAGTTTGGCCACCTTATCGCCGACAATCCCGGTTCAAGCCCCATTGAACAATTCTTGGCACTGCAGGCCAAGATGTTTACTGGATCCGACAACGCAAGAGCCATGATTCTCTCGTCGTTTGTCAAGTTTGTAAACTTGTTCCCTGAGATCAAACCGCAGCTCCTCCAGATCTTCCGTTTGTACAGCCATTCCCCTGACTCTGAGTTGCAACAGCGAGCATTCGAGTATCTATCGTTGGCGACACTTCCGACTGATAACTTGTTGCGTACTGTGTGCGATGAAATGCCGCCTTTCTCAGAGCGAACTTCGATTCTTTTGTCACGTCTTCATCAGAAGACAGCTGGCACTAGCGAGAGAAAGACGTGGGTGGTTGGTGGCAAGGCTGCGAATGCCGACAAGCAGGAGGTTCTTATGGCACAGACCACTGGTCTCAAGCGTTCATTCACCACCATCGTTCATGGTACACGAACTGGAACCGGAACTGGACCTGGATCTAATGGCAGCACTCCAACTAGTGCAACAAGTGCATCTGGTGACCTGGCAGGATTGGACTTCAACAGTGGCCCGCCAGCTCCTCCTCCAAACCTTGCCAGCGCGGCTCATCTGACACCAGAATGGGACATTGGCTATAACAAGCTTTACTTCTCACAAGAGGGTGTTCTATTCCAGGACGCTCAGATCCAAGTTGGCTTGCGATCGGAATACCGCGGCCATATGGGCGTTGTTAAGCTTTACATCTCCAACAAATCAACATACCCCATTGGATCGTTGACTACGACCATTGACAACCCCGCCTCACCAAACCTAAAGATTGACAGCAAAAATCTGCCCGAATCAACTGTTGCGGCATCTGGCCAGACACAGCAGACGTTCTTCTGTGCAGCACACGGCCCCTTCTCCGATGCTCCCACTATCCGTATTTCCTACCTGGCCGGTGCCCTCCAGGCTTACACTCTCCAATTGCCCGTTTTGATGCATCGATACATGGAGCCCTCGTCTCTTTCCGCTGAAGACTTCTTCCAACGTTGGAGGCAGATTGGCGGTGGGCCTCTGGAGTCCCAGAAGACCTTTGGACTGAGTGGAAAGAAAAAGATAATTAATGAGGCCTACACCAGGAGAGTTGTGGAAGGATTCCAATGGAAGATCCTGGATGGCGTGGATCCAAACAGCAATAATATTGTGGGCTGCGCAGTGTACCAGTTCGAAACAGGCAAGATAGGCTGCCTATTGCGCCTAGAGCCAAATTACGAGAAGTCGGTAAGTGATCAAGCAGCCTTAGTGTATCCAAAGTCTTCTGTATTATTGAATGACACTAACTACTCCACGCAGATGTATCGTGTTACAATTCGTGCTACACAAGAAGGTGTTCCGCAGTCACTGGCAAAGCAGATGGAGCAGAAGCTCAGCCAGGGAATCAAGACCGGGGATGTTGGACCTGGGTCTTACGACTAGTCAATGAAGCATTCGAAGGGGCCAAGAGGGGCATTTCATGCATGTATATCTCCATCAGCTTTCGAGCCAAATATCAGCGAGCGTTCTTTTATGATTGAACATCGTCTTCTTGTATAATCTTTCCCTGCGGTAGTCAATTATGATATACAGTATTTACATATACTTCTCCCCTTCGTCTTCCCTCTTTATTTGCTTTATTAGGATGTGTCAAGAACGATTGATACATTTTGTCAACTGCCCAACCAAGAGGCATCCCCGCTGCATATGCAATAATTCATGAACTCGTAAAAGAAAACAAAAACAATTGACGACCGCCAAAAAAGATACTGCGGATGGGACTCGAACTTAGACAACGCGGGCTTCCGACTTAGGTGGCCGATCCCCAAAAATGGTTGTTCCAACCCGGACTTGATCCGATCCCAGAGCAATAGCTCCCTCAAAATCAGAGCTCATGCCCATACTAAGCTCCAATTCGGCCTCAGGGCCCGCAAGTCCGAGGTCCGCAACAATGCGATCCCTCGTCTCTCGCAAACAGACAAAGTCTTCATTCTCGTTTTCCGGTGTCGTCTCTTTCGACCGCGCAATAGCTCCAATGGTCATAACACCGTGCAGCTTGAGGCGCGGGCATTGCTCTCGAATGAACCGAGCCAACGCAGGCGCAGCGGCGGGTTCAACACCGGCCTTATTCTCTTCACCGGAGGTATTCACCTGCACATAGATGCGGAGCTTACCGTGGTCAGGATCGGCCGCATCCGCCTCCGCATTATCTTCGGGCTTCCGCTCTCCCCATCCTTTGTTCAAAAGGCTAGCCTTCTTCTCCGTATCGACACTCTCGACGGCCCATAGCCCGCGCACGTCCCGAGCCAGCGTCACGCACTTATTCGACTGCAATCCGCCGATGAAGTGCCACTTGACACTGAGTGGCAGGAGCCGGGACTTCTCAAGTAGTTCTTGGATGTAGTTTTCGCCGAAATGAAGCTGGGAGGCGGGGGGTTGGTGAAGAGCTAGGACATCCGAGGCGGGCTTAAGCTTGGAAACTGCTACTAGTCGAACGGGCTTGGTGGGGGTTGGTGAGTGGGTTGCTGCAGCTGAGACGCGCGCGGAGACGGCGGTCAGATTGGCAAGTAGGGTGGAGGCTCGCGCGGGGGTGCTGGCCATGTTGGGTGTTTGGTTCGTGGTTGATTCGGATGGAGTGGTCATTGCAGTGTTATCAGTAATCAATGGGAGGGATTATAGAGCCAGTTGTTGTAATGACCACGTATACGTATACAGCTGTAAAGATTGTAGCTGATGTGGAGACCTTTTGAAGAGTCAATTGAGAAAAGAGGGCGTGAACTGGAAGGCGATAGCGATTAAACTTTATGACAGCCTGAGGCACTTCCGCGGGAAAAGTGACAGGTCACATGATATTGAGCGGAGGGATCCACTATTACACCGCCTGCTTCTTTCTGAAACTGCCGCAGCCACAATTTTGCATCATTTGCATCCCCCGTACCCTTGCGGCTGTGGCTTCCACTGTTTGCGTCCGATCGACACAAGCTCATCCTGATCTTGACCTTGGGGGGAAAAAAATCCATGCGACGCTAGGAATGTCGGGTGTCCGTGCAACATGACCTGTACGGCTGTACCTGACGGGCGCCAAATGACACAAGGGGAACCTTCAGCCCCCGCCAACCTCCCTAATGCAGCTCCGGCGGCTAGGCAGGCCCAATCAGGAAGATCACCGGGGTCACCGAAGATCCTCCTCAGGTTTGACAAGGTTGATCTAGCGGCCGATCAGATTGCTATTGAGTTTCAAACTAGATCCTGATGCTTTTTTCTTTGTACAGCCTTACTCCGTGCATGCTCTGAGATGATCTATTTTTAAATGCAGAGCCGCCTATTGTTCTGGCTATGGCTATAGGAGGTTGGCTGAAGGGTGCTTTCCCTTTTCAAGCGCGTTTCTGAGCCAAGACCAATAAGGCGTTTCTGTTACCTCACCGGCACCAATTCATGAGGGAATCAACCAAAACAGCTAAAATACCCAAATGAGCAGTTTTCCTCAATTGACAGTAGTTCCGAGTCCCGACCAATGACAAGCTTAGTTTTGATCAGGTTCCCAATACCACCTGGTTCGAAAGGTGAAGATGTAACCCGAAGCGCCGGGAAGGGCAATTCACCCAGCATCTTATTGTCCCGCCGCCTACCGAGGCGTTCGTTATTGTCTTCCTTGACGTCAGATCCTCGCGTGGTTCCATGGTTACAGGACGCGCTACTATTCACTCATTATTACCTTACCCTATAGGTTCCCCCCGCAGCTTTATTCATCTATTATGCATAAAGACCGCCGATCGGCACTTTCCTTCCTCTTCTTTCCTTTTGACACATTTTACTACCCATTTGCCTCCCTTTCAGCTGGTCTGATTTTCATCTTGGATCTATTAGATTTGTCCCTGGTTGGACGATCTCTATCTGGCTACTCCGCTATACTTCATTTTTGGACAAAAAAAAACATACTCGTCCAATCAATCCACCTCTGATCTTGTGACTGCAGAATTGCCATTTTCCTAAAGGGGTATTTCTGGATCATCTATTTGGCCCATCAAAGAAGCTTGAGCTTGATCAGACGCTAAATCGACCGTTCCTCGGATCACTACTACCACATCCCTACCTTCAACAACGTATTTTTTTCATATCAATTCCACATATCGAAAACCCCCAATCACCTATCCAACATGTGTCGTCAATACTTCACTCTATATGAATGGTGTCACTGCGAAGAGAACTCCGGCAACAGCATCTGCGCTGGTCAGCGCCGCAACAGCTGCCCGGGAATTAGTGTCGAGACTGTCCACATGCATTGCTTCTGTCATTCTCATGCCACCAAAGGATTCAAGTCGGAGAAGAAGACTCGCAAAGATGAAGAGAAGGTGCGCCGCCGATCTCAAGAATCCTTGGATGAGAAGTCTTCCCTGGGTCGACGCTGGTACCAGTGGTATCAATGGCGCGGCCTGTGGTCTCGTTAGCTCATGATGCACCCTCTTTTTTCAGTTTCAATTTTTTTTTTCTTTCCACTCATGTTACTTCTTCTTCCCGTTGATGTTTTTCCATTACTGGGATTTTCTTTATATTCTTTTTTAGCTTTGGTGTTGGGGTTCTAATGTTTCTTTTATGCGGGCGAAACGTGGTCTGAGGGGATTTTATACCGAGGTTTGACACAAAAAGATCAAGTCATACTATTTTGTTAGATGGTTCATATCAATATCTCAATGAATAGTACTTAAAGAATGTGACTCCAGACATATTCTGGTGAAACCTGAAAAGTGTGTTCATATTATGAGTCTGTATAGAAGAATGTAGGAAGAATCTGGGAATGGGATCGGCTGACCCCTTACCTTATAAAATCAGCACGAGGATATTCAATAGTGCAACTTTTGAAACCCCCATTTCGCACTCCTTTTCGAAAGTTCTCACCTTCAACTACCTGTACCATATTGAATGTGGGAGATCTTACAATCCCAAAGTGGTGTCTCCCGTCTCCCGCGCCCCAACTTTTAAGGTTTCCATTCACTACGGGGTACACCTGATCCTCCCCCCCCTTCTCCTTCTCCCCGCTACCCCCTTAGTGTCATTTTTGCCATTTTGGGACTTCGTTTACCCCCCACCATCTTCAACCTTCCCTTGTTTTCATTGTTTCCCTCAAGTAGGAGAAACTTTGGCTCAAGTGAATGAAATTGAGTTTGGGTACCCAGTACCCATGAGTGATTTCCACTATGGATGCCTCTGAAGCCCCCGATGACCCACCTTCATTCAATGTAAACAGGAACACCTTGAGTGAATCAAAATGCGATATTTCAGAAACCCTGAGTCGCCTGTCTCTCGTCAATGCAACTTCCACTCCTTTACCTCCCTCTCCTTCACTGCTCCTTCCTGACACCTCGTCGTCTTCTTTTCCCTTGAACCATCCCACACCAAGACCAAGACGCACCCCCAGCTCCAATTCTTTGCGTGACGAGCGTCGCAAATCTATACCTATTCTTCAAAAACGTTCGTCAACAGCGTCGCTAAGGTCTACCTCGGGGAATCATCGTCCGTCCTCTCCGAAACCAGATCAATCGCGCCACTCATCTGCCAATTTCGCGGGATCCCCGAAGTCCGGCGCGTCGCCCGCCATGACGATTTCGCAGGGCCTCGCAGTTACCCCTCCAAAGTCGCCCGTTATGATACAACGCCTCACGCTTACTCCCCCAAAGCCCCCCGTCGCGTCACAGCGTGCCACAATCACTCCGCCAAAGGCCCCCATCGCCGTGACACAGCGGCTTACACTTACTCCTCCAAAGCTCCCCACGGCAGCTTCGATCGCGGCTGAACATTTTGAAAAAGAGATTGATCTGCACCAAGCAGTTGATTTGCACTCTCAAGCAGTCGTCGTCATTCATGATGCTTGTTATGGCCACCGTTTCGCGCGCCCTCGCACGACCAAGGCAAGGCTAAATGAAATCGTTGAGCGCCCAGAGCGCCTTCGTGCCTGTGTTGCAGGAGTGTCAGCTGCATATGTCCGACTTGCTCGCCGACATGCAGGGGAACCCACTGCGCCCCACCCTCTTCTCGACATCAACATTTTACCTCCGCCTCCCTTCCAAATTCGCAAATCGTCACGCTCCTTGTCCCTTACCAATGAAGCCGTCACCAGTGTCCACGGAGCCCTTACGGGAGAACTCAAGGAGATGTGTGAACTTTCCGAGTCACGCCTCGTCATGGGCACTAGCGAGTTGGTTCGAAAACGTACCCATGACGACATGGGTAACGACACCACCGGACCAGAGCTCCACGCTGGAGATCTTTACCTTTGTGCAGAGTCGCAACAAGCCTTTGAGGGTGCACTAGGTGCAGTTTGTGATGGCATCGACACAGTTCTCGGTCCTGGACCAACCAATCGTGCCTTTGTTTGTATTCGCCCACCTGGTCATCATTGCGCAGCCGACTTTCCATCTGGATTTTGCTGGGTGAACAACGTCCATGTTGGTATTTCATACGCAGCTACCAAGCACAACCTGACTCATGCCGCTATCTTGGACTTTGATTTGCACCATGGCGATGGATCTCAGGACATTGCCTGGGAACACAACCAAAAGGTATGGGAAGCTTCGGGCAAGAGTTCTGCGTACGACAAAACCCCAATCGGATACTACAGCCTTCATGACATCAACTCCTACCCATGCGAGAATGGAAAACCTGACAAGGTTCGCAATGCAAGTGTCTGTCTTGATGCGCAAGGCCAGTCAATCCACAACATTCATCTCGGTACCTGGGAGACAGAAGCTGAGTTCTGGGACTTGTATGAGACAAAGTACAAGATCCTGATTGACAAAGCACGCGATTTTCTGCGAAAGCAAACCAAAACTCTCGCCAAGGCACCCAAGGGTCCGCGTCCCAAGGCAGCTATCTTCATTTCCGCTGGCTTTGATGCAAGCGAATGGGAAAGTACCGGCATGCAGCGCCACAAAGTCAACGTGCCAACTGAATTTTATGCCAAATTCACCGCAGATGTTCTCCGAATGTCACACGAAGAAGATCTCGGTGTTGATGGCCGTGTAATCAGTGTACTGGAAGGCGGCTACAGCAACCGAGCTTTGGCTAGTGGTGTGCTCAGTCATCTGAGTGCATTGGGTGGCACCTTGCCGAATATCACCTCACGCCAAGCTGATGTCTCCGCTTCATCCTCCGAAGGCTTGATCCCCGTTTCAACCCCCGTATCACCCCCCGCAACATACCGCGTTGATTGGTGGTCTCCCGAGAATCTGAGTGAAATGGAGGCGCTTATGTTCCCACCGAGCAAGAGCCGTGAGAAGGCGGCACCGACGTTCTCTAACCCCACTCGCTCTTTCTCAGCCAAGGCACGTGGACGGAAGAGTTTCGGTTCCAACGAAGGCATTGATCCCACCATGCCTCTACCAGAAGTCGGTTGGGCAACAGCCGCGCATGAGTTGTGGAAAACTCTTGTTCCCCAGGACCGACAAACTGTAAGCTGCAGGCCTGAGGATTTGAATGCTGCCGCTACCCGCGAACGGTATGCTAGCCAAGTTGCGCGAGGCCTTCCTTCCCCGGAAAACTATGTTATCCCTGTGCCGCCACCCCCACCCCCACCAGCTCCAAACGAGGACAAGAGACAGCCCCGGGCGAAGAAGTCCAAGTCGCCAGCAACTCCCACCAGTTCTTCTTCTCGTCCTGGTACTCCACGCCAGCAGGCGATGCGTAACAAGAACCGACGCAAGACCCTTGATGGCCGTCGCTCGCCTGATGCTTCAGGCACATCATCGCCAAGTGAAGATGCCAATCGGCGAAAGAGCGCAACCGCAATTGCCCCCGTCGAAATCGGGGATTTGGGTGGCTCGGAGTCGCATTTTGGTACATATAGCGCAATAGCGCATGGAAACTCGACTGCTTCCGGGACTCGTCCGGGGCGTCAGCAACAGCCTCAAATGAAAATCGAAAAAACAGCCGCGCCTCAAAGCTCCACTACTGCCCCCGCCAGCAAACTGCCGAAGACCCTGGCTTCGCGTCCGGCTACTCCCAAACGACAAGCCACACCGAGGAAGGCTCCGCCAGTCCCGAAGGTGCCTAGCACATTCCTGCCGTCAAAATTGTCCGACCAAGTGAAAATTCCCGGGGATGAAGCAGTCGAAGAATTGACTGCCGGTCTTGACAATATCAAACTCGTGTTACCGGAGAAAAAGGATGCCGACAGTGGGGCATGATATCAATACCATTTCTTACCTTTTATTTGTTTATTTGTTTACTTTGCTTCGATACCCTATGTGCGCGCTTGATGTTCTTATCTTCCTGTGATGCCCTGAGACTCTTGTCCAGTACGATACCATGATCCAATGGTACCCCGGACACACCGGCAACGAAGGCGACGAGGCCGCTGGCGCACTCGCACTCGCATTCACATTTGTTTCATCTTTTATCTTCTTTCATCTGACCCTATTCATCCGTAACTTCAATTCAATCTAATCTTGACCTTACTACCTTTTCACTATAATCCGATCTGACTCTTAACGTTGGAAGGGGTGGACCAGCTCATGACTTGCTTGTTTAGTCTTCGGAGACCTTCGAACAACATTCGCCGCCGCCATGTCGAGTACATCATGTATCGGCTCGGATTTGATTTGCGTGGTCATCTTTCATCTCTCGAATTGGATAACCGGGAAGTTTCGGGGACAAGGTGACGATGTTCAGAAAATTACTTGTTTTGTTACTCCGTAGATGATATCCCCAATAGGATAATTTCATTCATGAGTCTCATGACTAGTACTAATCGAAAATGCGAATGACAAGTCGGGAGTCGGGGGTCGGGACCCCCGACACCGCAATTAGATAAAATTAGATAAGCCTCTCTCCGCATTAGTATTAGTCAAATTGAGCCAGCATGTTCTACTCACAACTAGTTAACTCCATATATCCAGGTCAATCTTCGCATAGCGTTTTCTTTCCTTCACTCATCTCACAAATCATACACACGGTCGTTCCATTAAAATAATCTGCCCCCATGGCCCCGATCACTTTCCGACGGACAACACCTCCACCCGAGTCCACTTATACTCAAATAACGAACGAAGAAGACGTAGAGGCAATCGGTAGCCACTGCCAACTCGAATACTGTGGCCAGCTCGATTTCCTCCCCTGTCGCTGCCTATCCTGCAAGGGCACATTTTGCGCCGAACACCGCTCCGAAACATCACACAAATGTCCTCGCGCAGGCGAATGGGCTCGCCGCCGAAACGGCAACACCAATAACCAAGAAAACCGCGCATCTCCACCAACGGAAAAGCCTACCATCTACAACTCGGATCAGTGCTACCACGTCTCCTGCAAATTACTTATCGACACAGCTGGAGCCCCCGCTGTCCGATGCCAAAACTGCAACCATAAATACTGTGTCAAACACCGACTCCCTGAACAACATGATTGCGCCAAGATTACCCCACTCGGAGCACGGCAAACCAACGGGCAAACAGCGAACGAGACGATCAAATCCATGTTTTCGCGCGTGCGCACATGGGGCAAGGATACACAAGCTGCCAGTGCGAATCTGATTCCGAAACCGAAGCTTAAGCCTGGTAGCGCTGCGGCCAGGGCCGTTGGCGTGAATACTATGAAGAGGACGGCGAAGGGCCAGGCAAATGTCCCAGTTGATAAAAGATTATATTTGCATACGGTTGGAACGGCAGATACACAGGCTGCGCAGCCACCGTCTGGGGACTTCTATTTCGACTCGAGCTGGAAGGTTGGTCGCGTGCTCGATGATGTGGCAAAGAGGCTGCATGTTCAAAACTTGAACAATCGGGTTGGAGGAGAAGAAGCCAAATTACGGATATTCCATGTGGAATCTGGGGAATTCCTCCAATTCTCAGATTCGATTGGTGCGAAAGTGAAGCAAGGAGATACGATTGTGTTGTTACGAGGTGCTGGGGCAATTCTCGAGAAGTCATGATGCATATGTATAAACTAGCCTTGGTCTTTTTCTTGTATTCTATTTGTTTCAGCATTATACACCTTTGATACCACCGAGTGTGGTTTTCCTCTCAAATGCGGATCATACTACGATCTGAACTGTGTCAGATGATACACAGCATGGTGGCAGATTACCACAATAACGACTCAAAAAAAAAATCCGACTTCATGAATCGTGCGGAGAAGAAGAAACTTGAATGAAATGATGAAGCCCTGATATTGTGCTGTCTGCATGTTTGTTCGGGGATGAAGCTCTGAATTTGTATGTTGAAGTTCGATTCCAAGTTCGGGTTCAAGTTGATGTCAAGTGCAACGCTACGGAAGACAGAGCAACAATCAACGGGAGAAAAGAAAAAAAAAAAGAAAAAGAAAGAAAAAAAAAGTGAAAAGAGACAAGACAACAAAAGAAGAAAATTAATGATCTGGAATCCTGTTCATGGTAGACCATGACCCATGGATGGGGGAAGGGGAGTCAACGGAATTCTTTTCTTGCTCTGATATTCGCAGACCAACATCCAAGTGTCTCAGGCTCTCCTCTGTTCTTCCAACGCTTGAGCTCAACTTAAAGAGGGGTTTGACTTTTAACGTTTGAATGTCTTTCTTGTTCGCCTAGTCGTACGGGCCATGTGTACGACACCTGAGCAAGACTTGCACCTTTACGCGGTGCTCAGGATAAGTAGCCGTTTACGGCGAAACCAAGCAAGTCAACCGCATTTACTCAATCCGTTGATAGTACACGATATCAATAGTCAAGAGGCGATTACGATTCATAATGAAAAGAAGTACAGTTCTATTTATAAAGTTCCACTGGTATCATCTAAACATATAACATCACTCAAGTCCACAGGAGACTTAGACACTCATTTTCATCTTGATGATCTTGTGGGGCTTGTAGCCAATCACCTCAAACTCATCCTCTTTCCACCCATCAATGATGGCACTGCCACGATCCTCACGCTTGATACGCAGCTCAGGGAACTCAGTTGGCTCACGAGTCAACTGCTCCTTCAGCGCGTCAACGTGATCCAAGTAGACATGTGCATCACCCATAGTATGAATCAAAGTTCCAGGGTTCAAATCCGCAGCATGAGCAAGGATGTGAGTGAGAAGGGCATAAGAAGCAATGTTAAACGGAACACCCAGGCCCATGTCACAGGAGCGCTGGTAAAGAAGACAGGAAAGAGTACCCTTCGCGTCAGGGCGACCATTCGCATCAAGCTTCATGCCCGGCGGGAACGAAACGTAAAACTGCGCAAACATATGGCAAGGCGGAAGAGCCATCTTCTTCAGATCGGCAGGGTTCCAAGCGCTCATGATGATCCGACGGTCAAAAGGCGAATTCATAATCTTGTCGACGATATCCTTGAGTTGATCCACACCTTGACCTGTGTAGTCCGTCTTGGCGTCGACATACTCGGCGCCAAAGTGCCGCCACTGGAATCCATACACGGGGCCGAGATCGCCCTCTTCGCGGTGGCCTAGGCCAACCTTATCGAGGTACTCCCGGCTGCCATTGCCATCCCAGATCTTGATCCCGGCTTCGGAAAGAGGTAATGAGGAAGTGGTTCCCGCGATGAACCAGAGAAGTTCAGCTAGAACGGCGCGTAGGAAGACTCGTTTTGTGGTAAGGAGGGGTAGAACGGGGATTGGGGCGCCGCCTTCTGGGTTGGGCTTTGATAGGGAGAATCGGAGGGCCGGAGGGGCAAAGATGCTTTGAGTGCCAGTGCCTGTTCTATCAGGGCGGACCTCGCCTTGGGCTAGGATATCGCGGATCAGGTTGAGGTATTGGTGTTCCTCGTGTGAGGGATCATGCGGTAGCTGCGGTGTGGCCGCAGGGGCCGTAGGGACTTGTTCTAATGTCATTGTCGGTGTGAGAGTTGAGCTTTGGTGCTGACCCTTTCTTTAATTTAATCCGTCACGATTTCTTGATGCGCTTTCCGAGGGGGCTGAGTAGATTTGAAGGTGGGAAACAGGAACCAATCCAGAGTTGGCGATGGCTGCGCGTAAAACGCGACACGCTATCACGTGCCGTGTTATCTTATCGGCACAATTTGCATAAGGCGCTGTAACATCAGTTGACGTTAGCAACACGTAAGCCACAAATAACGGGGTCACGGGTGGATACATTATCCTGCACAACGTAAAACCAATGACCTTCAAGTGTTTCTCCTCTCTTATTCCTTGTCCTATTTGTTCTCTTTCCCTGGTCATTTTTGTTCAAGGAAACTCTGATGCATTGTTCAGTTAAATAGGAATATATATAGAAGCTGTTCTCTTTGCAATGTCAGTAACCTTGAAAACCCTCGATAATTTACTAGTACTAATGTCTGACAGTCTAATACAAAAGATATGGACGCTCGGTCCTCTTCTACTGACCCGATGACTTGGTAACTTCGCTCATCCTTATCCTTATTGCGATCTTGATGATTGCGGCTGCAAACAAACCTCGCGGACTTGCTCTTGATGGCCAAAATTCTATAGCATCTGACATAGTAGTGTGTAACAGTGTTTGCATGTTCTAGGCTAGCCTGACGGTATTGTACCGGTGGTGATAGCCATAGAGCCTGGCTAGACACGCTAAATTCAACAATTCCGGGTTTCATATTCAGACTACTGTCAACAAGTGCCTGATAGTGTGATGAACGTACATAGTTGTACTCCGTAGGTCAACACAGATGCATTTACCAAATCGGCATGCGATTCGCGACCTGCATATCTCGGATCCACTCATTATTAATATCCCTTGCGCCCCGCATGGCCCTCTAGACTCCCGGACTATGGGAAATGGAACCGAGAAAATATTTGCCCCTCAGCCTTGAACTTCTGCCTCTCCTTTCTTAGGCTGCTGGTCGTTGTTCTCAACCTCAAATTCAGCTAAAATGACATCACGGGCGACTGAGCTCCCCGAGGGAGATTCGCGACGAAGTTCCGATGCTCCAGAGGAAGCTGTGAACGGACCCATGCTTGCCGACAATTTCGAAGTAAGATAGATACACCCGGAACCAGACGCCAAGCCCCCCCTCACATCGCCGGAACATTTGAATGATGACTTGATAATACTCTAGGATGACACAAGTGATTTTGAAAGTGAATACTCTGATCTCACCTCATTGTCTTCAAGTATTTTGAATTATGAGTATCAGAATGGACGACGATACCACAGCGGCCGGCTTGTAAGTCCTTGCAGCCCTCTGCTTCATCTTCAAGGGAAAATGCACTAACATAAATTCACAGAGTAACTATATGTAAACTTTTCCATGTCAATGGCGTCTTCATTAAATTTGCTAATTACATACGAGCAGGATGCCAAATGATGAAGAAGAACAAGACCGCATGGACCTGGTATGGTTTCAATCTCCCTTTCATGACTTGAACTATACGCTGACTATCGAAGGCACATCATATGTACGCTTCGTGAGCCCCCATGAGGTCTCTTTTGTTAACATGACAGTTATTAGATGGCTCTTATTGATGAAAGGAGAACTCTACCAAGCCCCCGTCGAAAATCCCCAGAAAATATTGGACTTGGGCACAGGGACAGGCATTTGGGCCATCGATATTGCAGAGTAAGCCTTGACTGATCCATCTGTTCCTATTGTTCTATACAGAAATTCACCCAAGTCATAGGAAATTCCCAGAAGCCCACGTTATCGGCACTGATATAAGTCCCATCCAACCCAGCTGGGTATGTCCGAATCTTGAATTTGTGATTGAAGATTTTGAAGACGAGTGGGTATACGAACCTGGAAGCTTTGACTTCATCCATGCGCGATTACTTGCAGGGTAAGCCACCGCTTTGATTTCTTTCCTTTCCCTGCTTCTGTGACGCTCGCTCATGAATACATCAAAGCTGCATCGCGGACTGGCCAAAATTTTTCCAGAGATGCTACGAATGTCTCAAGCCAGGGTCATATTTTGAAATACAGGAAAGCGCAGTGTGGATATGGAGTGACGATGGTAGCTGTCCAGTCGACTCTCCGCTTTTTGAATGCGTCAAGGCAATAGATATCGCCTCGAATGCGAATGGGAAGCCCTGCAATATCTATCCGTTCCTAAAGGATTGGATGATTGGTGCCGGATTCGAGGACGTGCAACAGCTTATTTACTTCCTGCCCTACTCTCCTTGGCCAAAGGATCCATATCTCAAGGAGATTGGAAAATACCAGCTTATTCAGGCACAGCAAGGTGTTGAAGCGTACTCAATGAGATTGTTTACAGACGTTTTGGGCTGGGGTGAGGATGTGTCTAGGATCTTCCATGCACAGGCGAAGCAACAGCTTCGTGATAAGCACATGCATGCTTATGTTAAAGAGTAAGATACATGGAAGTGTTGTTTATCCAAGTTGCTAACATGCATGTGCAGATATTGTGTGTATGGAAGAAAGCCTTGCCCGACGAAATAATATGGTCAGCAATGGTCCTAGGAGGCATGAAAGTGAATGAGTTCGCATTTCGGTTTGGAACCATCCTTTCAAAATATGACAGACAAAAATACTATACTAATAGGTCAAACTTGAAAAGTCTGGCCCCATCCCATCAATTATTTACATCTTCCAACTTTTACTTACAAATTCAAATCCTCTTCAGGATTGTAACCTTGAAATACTTCTTTTTGTTGTGGAACTAACATTGAAGAATGACCCAGAATTGAGATGAATGAGATATAAGCAAGTTTATTGCATGCTAGTGCACAGGGTTCAAAATTTAAAAGTCCTAATTGGAAATAACAGGCGACAGGTGATGAAGAACTGGGGGACAAGAAATGCAATATTCCGTGGTAAACTACCAGACAGCTCCTGGGCTCAGCGATCTGTCTGTCAATGTACCTCCAGGGCCCTATCATTATAGAGCAGTATGCCTTGCACCATCATAACTCTTTCCAAGTTTACCGACATCATTCCAGAGTCGAGGCAAGGAAGGTAGCAGCAGAACTAGCATCGTCTCCGTATGTCAGGTGGGCCGCAGTTATAATCAGGGTTCCATCGCAGACCTCGTCACCAATAGCGCAGTAGACCTTCGTTTGGTTGGTCGGGTATCCAGGAATTCTGCCCTTGTCCTGAAGATTACGTGTGAATCCAAATAAGACCACTCCCTTAACCTTGGCCACCACCTCGTCGGAGAGCTTTTGGATCGCGCCATCCATGACCGCAGTTCCCTGGCTAGAATAAGATGGTCGTTAGTGATGAAATGATTGAAACGAGAAGGGAGCGCGTAATTACCTGTACCCGCCAGCAACAATCTTTGCATTGGGACATTTGGTGTTACACTCGTTAAATACGCTTACTGCAGCTTCGATGTCTGCTGTCGAGGTGTCGGCGGGAAGGAAGTTCGTTGCCAAAGTAGCTCCATAGGCACCTCCAACACCCTGACAGCCCAGCTCACCATCTAGCTGTGTTTTGAGGTCATCACAGACCTCCGGGCCAACGACCGTGCCCTGAACTGTTAGCGCGACTATCTTAAGCAGCCGGAGAAAAATTTGATTCTTACCATATTGCCGGACTCAGTTGAGCCCCGAGCAAAGATAAACATCGTATCCTTACAGTCTCCGTCGGTCAAGTCATTGGCATCGATATACTGACGACGACCGATGGCCGCTGGCGAAGCCGCGGCTAATGAGGCAAGGATCAATGGAAGGAAAGCCTGGAAGAGCATGATGAAAGTGATAAAAAGACAAAATAAATTTCTTGCTTATTTCCATCAACATCTAGGACTTGCCAAACAATTTAAATAGGTTGAATTTCACATTGTTTTAAATGTGGTTTTGGTGATGGCAAATATTGCAGAATGAGGGAAGTCCGGGGACCAAAAATGAGACCTCGGCGAAGGGTCCAGAAACGTTTCAGAGTAGCCCCAAAAACGAGTGATGCATCATGTTAATGCAATCCAGGACCAAGATTTTCTCGCCCTGCTACCTCAACTCCCTGCAGGGGTTCTCGACCTACCCATGTTTCAGGCACGCGAAAAAGAAGAAAGTTTCGAACCATGAACATGTAACTCCTCGGCAATCTTGGGTAAAGGACCTTCAAGGCATCCGTGAATACAACAACACACGTGCTATATGTGAGTCAATCTCAAAATTGGCTATCTGGCGAATATTTCAAAAAGCCCATTCAAATGTTGTCGGTCAAGAATGTTCTGTACGGTGGGCTATGTACACTTGAAATGTTCCAAGGTTCACCCTTCCATTATTTTGGACCTCGGAATCTTATATTTGAAGAAGATATGGATGTTCCTTCATTTGCCAGTCACAACTCGGATATCCTTGGTTTTTTATTCTGGTTGATGCATGGTCTAATCAAAAGCCGCTCATATGCACAAGTCCTGTTTTATTCAAGAAAAATCACTTCGTTTGAATCATTGAAGTCATACAGACCATTTTAGGCGAGTAAGTCCATTCCAACTCCCTTGAGTGCATCAACTGCCCATACAGGGTACTTGGATTTGTCGTTTTGGTAGATCTTCGAGAAGAAGTCGCGAATAAAAGCTGGGTACCGGTCTTCGATAATGGCTTGCCGCAAGTTCCCCATCAAAGTCAACATGAAATGCACGTTATGAATCGTAAGACTAGTTTGGTCAGCGCATCACTGATATATCATGTTTAGCAACGGTAGAATCTTACAGATGAGCACCAACGGTTTCCTTCGCGGTCACATGGTGCATGTACGCCTTGGTAAGTCCAAGGCCTCCCTTGTCGGCAGGAAGACAGCATTGGCAAGTACAGCCCTCTTCAATGGGAGAAAAGTCTGTTGCAAACGATTTGTTGCGAATATTCATTGTGCCCGATGAGACAATTGCTTGACCGAAACGCTGATGTTCATTAGTATGATTGTAGATAATAAATTGTTGAGTCAGACGTACCGCTGTCCGTGTTGGCCACACACAATCAAACATATCGGCTCCAAGAGCCACTGCTACAACAATATCCTCGGGATAACCCTAGATATTGTTAGTTAGAAGAGGAGTAAGGGGAAATTAGATAGACAAAAGATAACATACCACTCCCATCACGTATCTGGGCTTGTTTTCAGGGAGAAGACCTGTGCATGTATCCACGCTGAAAATAGTCAGTCTTAGTCAAAATCATTGACAGAGGCAAAGCACTTACACCTTGCAAAACTCCGACTTATCCTCTCCTCCTGATAATCCACCAATGGCGATTCCAGGAGTATCACGGGCGACCATTTGCTCGCAACACTGTTTCCGAAGATCTAGATCTAGACCACCCTGGATAATGCAGAAAAGATTCTGTCGTTCGGGGTATTTGTGCGCATCAATGCAGCGATCTAACCACCTCACGGAGCGATCCATCGCCTCTTTAATTCGTTCATAATCTGGAGAAGTGGTAGCAATAACATCATCCAATTGCATGATGATGTCTGAGCCAATAGAGTTTTGGAGACCGATAGAATGTTCGGGAGTCAAAAGCCTGCGTGGATAGTCAGTGATCTGCCTCGGTATCAAGTCTTGGCCAGAGGATAGGGCATCATACATAGGCTTTCCATCGTGCGGGCTAAGAAATCGCACGCCTTCCTCAGTCACGGTAGCTAGCTTGAGCAGCGACACCATTTGGAAACTGGGACCGTAATGCCGCGATTAGCCAAGATTCTCATTTTCTGCACATGTCGCATTGCTCACCCTCCACTATCGGTCAGGAGATTCCGATCCCAACCTTGCAACTTGTGTGCTCCGCCAACCGAGTCCAGAACTTCCTGACCGGGCTTTAATCCAAGATGGTATGTATTATTCAGGCACAGCATGCATCCCGTATCCCGCAATTGGTCGTATGTCAGGCCCTTGAGAGATGCCTGTGTCGCGACAGGCATAAAAATCGGCAGAGGGACAGCGCCATGGGGAAGGTGAAGAGTGCTTGCGCGGGCCTTTGTGGTCTACCGAGAATTCGAAAAATCACAAGTCAGCGTACGTTCTTTCAAGGCTTGCGGCTTGGAGGGGTAGACGAAATCATACCGAGCACTTGGCGTGCCGCTCGAATGTCAATGCGGAGGGCTTGGACTGCCCGTTTAACTCGGTGGTGGACATTTTTGCGCGCTGGACTGAAATTGCCACCCTGTTGGTCCTAAAGAGAGATCTAGCCAGCGACTGGCTTTGCATGGAGAGGATTGTCACAGACGCAGTGTTTGCGATGCGATCAGGAACCGTATCGCGATAAGGTGTTTGTTTGGTTTGCATCGTCGGCCCCAGGAATCAAACATTTGTTTACTTTCGAGTATTTAATACATTTGAATCGATTAAAGATTTGTATACCAATACTTTCGTTGAACGGCCCTCAATAGGCTAAGAATATACATGTATCGATTCTATATCAGGATTGAATTCCATATATGACATGCCTCAAACATTTGAATATTTCAGGTGCTTTTTGAAGCCATGAGACACAGTCTAAGGCTTGACTACCTTTCAATGATTTACGTTAACCACGATTTTCATCGACAACTTTCCCAAACATAAAAGGCTCAGTTGACTTAATCTTTCCAATCCCTGGGTCAATCATGATGCATGAAACGAGTCGGTGAACCCCAACTCGGAGAACCGCCGATCCCCAGTGCGGGATGAAATGCGGGGGACATTCTCCGGGGCTCAGGGACTAAAAGCCGAGAAAAAGGAAAAATATGTAGCAAACAAAAGGGGCACTAGCAGTTTTCCCCTCCAAACATTCTTGAATCTTTGAAAGAGTTTGACCTTTGTGCAGCACTTGAGTCAGGCCGACAACCTTAAAGCTACCCCCCACACACCTGCCATGGCTGAGAAATATGTTCACGATGTTGAGCACAATGCAGCGGTGAGTTCCATAAGATAAACTTGACTTTTGACAAGAGTTTCGGTGGCTGATCTGCCCCAGCCTTCTGAGCTCTATTCCGTCGACCCCCTTCTTGACGCACGCGAGAAGGCTTTAATATGGAAACAAGATTTAAGGATTGTCCCATTATGTGCAGCAATCTATTTGCTATGCTATTTAGATCGATCTAATATTGGTGTGATCAATGACCCAGGGTGAATTCTTGTATGGCAAGGGAGGCCAATTGCTAACTTTGCACATTTGAATAGGGAATGCAAAGATTCTGAACGCGGATACTGGTAATGATCTCCTCTCAGAAACAGGAATGACTTCCTACCAGTTTACGTGAGTCAATTCTGAATAAAACCTCCATATAGAGAAGGCAGAACTAACAAAATTAGAATTGCACTGATGGTTTTCCTCATTGCCTATGCATTGTTCGAGGTTCCATCAAATTATTTCTTGAAGAAGCTTAGACCCAGTGTACGTTTCCTCTTGTCGACCCCTGGAGAATGTGCATGCAAACTATATCCTTGAAATATACTGAGCCTTACCAGCGATGGATAGCTTTCCTAATGTTATCATGGGGCGCAATCACAATGGGCATCGGCGGAACCCATACATACGCACAAGTAACCGGGGTCCGTTTCCTACTCGGTGTCGTGGAAGCTGGACTTTTCCCGGGATTCGTCTACTATCTGACCTTTTGGTACCGGAACTCCGAGCGCTCCATTAGGGTGGCCTTGATTCTAGCCTCTGCAACACTAGCAGGCGCATTTGGAGGCGCGATCGCGTATGGTGTTGGCCACATGAATGGTGCACAGGGACTTTCTGCTTGGCGATGGCTATTTATAATTGAAGGCGCGCCCTCTTGCGCGTCATCTGTTCTGGTCTGGTTTCTTTTGCCTGATTATCCCGAGACTGCACATTGGCTTTCCACGGAGGAGAAGGAGCTTGCGGCTTATAGATTGCAAGCTGAGGGATCACACGGTTCTGCAAGTGCCATGTCTTGGGAGGATGCGAAAGCTGTGCTTGTGGATTGGCGGTTATATGCTCATTATGCGGTATGTTGGTGTAAACAAGGAAGGATCTTGGAAGGACTTGAGCAAAACGCATTTGACTGATAGTTTTGGCAGGTTTATTTTGGGATTTCTACACCTTTCTCGAGTCTCTCCCTTTTTACTCCCGCCATCACTGCTGGTTTGGGATATTCTGATCTACGAGCACAGCTCATGACTGTCCCGCCGTATGCAGTCGCATACGTCGTGACCATAGTGGTTGCATGGTCAGCAGACCACTTCAATAGGTTTGTCTTGCCAAACTTCATACCAATGTATTGATTGTGATCTAGCTAACGATTTCAGTCGCGGTCTACACTCCGCCATTTTTGCCTTTATTGGCGCAATGGGCTTCCTAGCCTCAGCTGTTCTTTCCGCGGAAGCATACCTTGTAAGTCTACTTCTTACCAGGAAACCCTCTGCATACTCTGCATAAATTTCGGAGAAGGAGCCAAAGCTAAATTATTTGAAACTTAGCACCGCTACGGTTGTCTTATAGTTGCCGCTGCGGGATCATTCGCCTGTATTCCTCCTCTCCTCGGCTGGCTATCGTCGAATCTTCGATCCACAGCCGGAGCAGGCCTAGCCATTGCGCTTAACGTCTCATTCGGAGCACCGGGCCAAATAGTCGGGGTATGGATCTATAAATCCGACGAGGAAAAGAAGGGATATCCGACAGGACATTGGACCAATGCCGCATTACTTCTTTTCGTAGCGGTTGGATGTATCCTTTTGAGGATGTATTACGGGTGGAGAAATAAACGAGGCAATGGCGATGGAAGCGGGAAGAAATTTGCGTATTAATATTTGATAGCTCATATGGATGTGTCTCCAGAGCACTTGGATTGGTATTCCACCATTCAAGGTTCATGACAAATTACCATGAAGTGAACATTTGAATCCTCTTTTCAATGTTGGAAGAGGAAGGGGGCTTTAGGTATTCCAATGTTGATGGATGTGTGGCCTGCATGCAGATAGGATTTAATGCCTATCAATGGCCATGGACTTTTTGGTGGTTGAGAAAATTGGATAGATATTTAGGTAGTATACATGGATCAGATTGTAATTGCTCAAATATTGACAGCGATCGATAGTTTAGAATAGTTTAGATGCAAGGTTCATTCCCGAGATCAATCCATGGATACGCTCATAACCTTAAAAAATCTCGGGTCCGATCAAACTATACAAAGCAGCGCCCCTGCAGAAACCTTGAAACACAAAGCCCATGTCAAAACAAAGATACCTCGCTAGCTGATCCATCAGATGTTTTCCACTGTTTCTAACAGCCGCCACCGCCGCCTCCACCAGCGGCCCCAGCCGCACCAGCCGCACCCCCCATCCAAGCAGTGTTAGCTCTGGCCCGGCGCTTCTTTTTCTCTTTGTAGTAATCCTCGAGTTTCCTCTGATACCTCTCATAATCGCGAAGATACCGGTCGTAATCATTGCCGTATGTCTCCCGGGCAGGAGGTTGGGGCTTCAGTGGAGAGAAGCGTATGAGACACATTTTAAAGTCAATCGAATCGTGGATGCGAAATTATCAGTTGTTTTGAACAAAAACTGTATTTCTGGAATCGGATAGGCTTTGGCCTTGGCTTTTATTTATTTGTCAAGGTTGAGCTTCAGAAGGGGTGAAAGGCAACACGAAACTGTCTTGTGTTTTGGCGTTGCTCAAGGTTTGTGCAGGGCATGATGAAGTCTTTTTATGGCCCTGACATTTGGTCACTCGGTTGACAGTCACACAGCCCACCTGGACAAACAAGGCTGAGCTTGGTGCCATGACTCGGGCGTTAGTCGTGACCAGGGTTTGGCTTCAGCCTTCGGGGCTTGTCCGGCCCCGGGGCGGTTGCGCCAGAGAGGGAAAGCGATTGGCCGATCACCGACCATAACTTTCAAGCCATAGCTTATTGGCTGGAAGTCTTACGATTTGTTTGCAAGGTCTTGAAAGCCCTATGCACTCATTGCACGCGTGAAGGCTTTCCCCGGATCTTATCTCAGGCGGTTCCTCGTTCCTGAGGTCTTCAATGAAGGAAAAGCAGAAGTTAAATACGAAGTTCGGAGAATTGGATCCGGCATACACATGGCCACTCCACACATGGAGAAAAGCAAAGACACAGATTCCGGAAATGCTTGCCTAATCCTCAGGTGGGTAAAACCCTTAATTTATAGGAAATGAAAAGAATTGGATCTGTAAAAAAAAAAGTGTCCTGTCGATATTTGTTATATAACCTCAGCAATTTCAAACCAATTTCATAAAATCCGCCTTGATACATGATTACCCAATATCAGGTTCTGCTTGCAAGGTAGGCAAGGGAAGAATGAAAAGAGACAAAAGAAAGCAGTGTAAACGATCAAATCCAGATCAAAGCCCCAAATCCCGCAGTCGTACAGTGTTCCAAATTTCCAATGAAAACTCCCGTAGCAAACTGACACCCAAAAACGAAGCCAAATGAAAACATCTCGAAATTAGATCAAACAATTCAGCGCAAAGAGGCTTTTGTGCTTGAAATGGAAATGAAGAAAAAACGAAAAGAAAAGAAAATCCGGGCTCTGTCGTTTCTGTTTCTGTTTCTGTTCCCCGTTCCTGGGAACTCAATACTTTCACCGCCTCGATGGCTGCGTGATTCGTGATTCGTGTGCGTGGATTTGAAATTTGGACAACCGACTTCCCGTTTGAGGTAACACAGACGTATAAAGTACCCCAGGACAAAGATAATCACAAAGGCCTGGGACTGTGATCCCGTTTCTCTGTGACGTCACTGGAACTAGGGTACAAGACACACTGCAGGTAAGTGCCACAAGTATCCCTGTCAATTTTTCATCCGAAATTGAAAAATAAATGCGACTCCTAACCGGAGATGGAGAAACACAGTGTTCGTTTTGGCATAATGGTTTGGCGGATGGCGGGGAGGCGGGAAGGATTCCCCACAGAAGGCCTCACAGAATACAGCCCCGGGCTTGTATTCTTCACCGATTCCATTTCCACCAGTGACGAGAACCGTGGTATGCACAGACCGCTGACTGGAAGGATACTCCTGGTCATGTCAATACGGTCCAGCCTAGTTCAGCCCAACTGAATCCACTTTGGACTTTGATAAAGTCATGGGATATGGACGAAAGCTGTGCCTTATTCGGAGGGTTCGCAGATGTCGATTTTGGGATCAAAAACATACAGCCTTGAGAAATCCACCATATCACAAGCCTGGGAAAAATAGGAGAAGACAATGCTGAGATCGAGTTGGGTACCACAGCACAGCGGGAGTCTGCACATGACCAATTTCACGTTGCAAGGCAGTAAGGTCGTAGGTTCGAAAAAGAAGTCGATCCTTGGGGGGTGCATTGATCAATTGGAAGGCGTCCATGAACATGTCCCTATCCAGGATATATTTTCCGCCCTTTTTTTTTTCTTCCTCCCTCTATCATCATTTCTGCATCTTCGCTTGGATCCACGTCATCTGAAGCCGCGATGTCCGAAAACGGTGAAGAAACTTCAAAAATCTTCCTTGTAAGTTCCTTTGCAGCCGTGCCAACTGTCAAGCCTCCACCGGGGAATGTGCGCACATATCCGGGATTCGAAGTGGGGTGGTTGAAAAGGGCGTTCGGTGCAAGAGTGGAGGGAGGGGGAGGATAAGGTGTGGTGAGTGGTGGTTATTTTCGACCTGCATCGCGCATAAACAATGACAAATGAAAGAAACAGCAAAGATCTGTGTGTTGCTGTAAGCTGTCACAATGGGCAGCAGGAGCATGAACACGGGAAAAGCGAATGAAAAAAAAAATCAAACAACCAAAGGATCCAAGGACGATCCTGGAGAAACAATAAAAACTCAGCAGGTCAACACGCACATCAACGCACATTCGAATAAAAAAAAAACATAAGCAGAATGCCTCCCGGACAAAAGAAATAGTCAAGTCATGAACAAAAAAAGAAACTCAATAGCCCCCAGGCTGGCCAACGCCATGTGGGTAAACTTGGCCTGGGTAGACGGTGGGCATACGGGGCTGATCAAGCAGCTGCTTCAGAGCGTACTCGGCGGCATCCTCTTTGGCATTGTTGATGTATTGACCATCATACCAGTAGCGAGCGGCGACATTTTTGCCTGAAACGGTAACGGTACTAGACCAGGCGGTTCGACCTCCTACATTTCCGACGCAAGGGAGATTAGCATCCGCTGTCAAGCTCTCGGAACTAAAAGTCGGTGTACGGGCTGTTTTCTGCAGCTCCACTCCTGCAATGCCGACATGGTGGGTGAAAGACAAGCCAGGTTTGATGAACTGAGATCAAAGCAAAGACGGGAGATGAAAGGAAACGAAAGGATAGGTATTCTGGTGATCGCAAAGGCGGAAAGATGATGAGGGGGCAGATGGAAGGATTCGGAAGTAACGAAATGAGAAAACGGAGTTAGGTACCTCGCCGATCGGAGACAATATTGAAGATAGGGGCCGCTAATTTGTTGCGTCTGCAATGCTCTTTTCCTCTTGGTCAGCTCAATGGGCTCTCTGGGTATTAGAACATATCAACCCCGAGGGGTGTCTTTGACAGATCTGGTAGAAACTTGGAAAGGGCCTTTACCGAAGAGCTGATTCTGCCAAGGTGATGGGGCATTGGCTGGACTAGTTGGTAGTGACATGATTCAATGTAGTAACTGGGTGAAGCTGTGATTTCAAGATCTTCAATTGAGATTCGATGTTGAATGGGGGAGTCGGAAGGGATTGTCAAGTAGAGGGTACAAGAAGCCAGATAGACGAAGGTTCAGTCAAATATAAAAGGAATGCAAGCTCAATGGACCGGGAATCTTGCGTGACCTTTTTAAATGTGCCCCTCGGTGATGGACATGCGGGGAGTCATATAAACGGTGGGCCATATTATCATCAACATAAAAATCCTAAAAAAAAAAAATCTTCAAAATAATCCATTAGAAAAAATCCCCATTTGGGTTTCATCCAAGTTCCCCCCCTCTCTTACTCTTTTTATTTTTATTTTCTCTTTTTATTTTTTTATTTTGCAAACAAGCAGCCTAACGGGAAAAAAAACCTAACCAAACGGGCTTATGCATAGTAATGGGTACATGGTACAGCGGCCTAAGTAACCCCCTCCCCTTCTCTCTGTTCCAACACAGCGGGACATGCGGATCATTTTGAGGCTGCAAGCTGGAACGGGCCGGCGCACGACCAGACCAACCCTTGAAGAAACGCTAGGACATCGTAAGGGTTAAAAGGAAGAGAGATAGTCCCACAAAGACCCCGAAGTCCAGAATAGGAATGTGTATAATATGACAAGACGTAGTGTCGTTTACGTTTATTCAAGGGAGAGATGATCCGGAAAAGGAAAGAAAAGAAAAGAAGGGGAGAAAAACTTGGCTAGTCTCGGGGAAGAACACCGAAAAAAAAAAACTCAAGATCCAGATCCAGACCTAGACCCATATGCATAGAATTGACAATTATCCAGAAGTAAACAGGGGATATAGAAAGAGAGAAAGAGTGATTGAGTGTATAAGTGTGTGCGTGTGTCAAAAAGGGGATTTTTTTTTTTTAGGGAAAAAAAAAACGAAAACAAATTAAAATGACGAGGACAATCATTGGATGAAGAGATTGAGAGAACGAACAACTCATAGAACCCCACGTTGAGAAATGTGCCGCCCCGTCACTGCCTCATCGTCCAGGCATTATAAAGCCAAAGTGAGGTTAGGTTGAGTGCATGGACATGTACCAAATCGGTGGGAATAGTTTAGTTTCTGGAAGAGAAACCCTGTGTATGAATTGCATGGTGGCGGAAGATATGTCTGTGGGTGATCTCTGCCCAAGCGGAGCCCAGGGCTTGGTCCCCGTAGCTTATGACGAATGACTCTGATGCCCAAAAGTACCGGGAAAAAAAGAAAAACAATTTGAGAAAAATCGGAAAACCAAAACTTGCAGAACCGACTACTAAATGACTAGTATATGCATGTACTAGTAGTATACAAAATGTGCCAAACCGAAACCTTGAGGATATAGATTACTTTCCAATGTTGGGCCGCATAAAAAGAAACAACAGTAGCTCCATGGAGGTCTTGCCAGCTCATCAAAGAATTTCAGAAAGATCCTGGTCGTGATCAAATGCCTAGGTAGTCTCTTTCATGCAAATCTTCTCGCGCAGTCTTCCGTCATTACCTGCCTAGGCATGATCTCTAATTTAAGAGAAGTTTCAGATCAAATAAAACCACAAATGTCGAGACTTAGTAGCTAGAACCCGTTAAACCGGGCCGCTTTGCGGATACTACTTGATAGTGAGTGACCAGGATCAACAACCTTGGAACCGAAGGTCTGAATATTTCCCCCAAGAAAATTAACAGCAAATCAAAAGTCGCTCGGAAAAGGGCCCAAGGGAACTCCAGTTCGCTACCACCCACATGTAAATCCACATCTCCAGCTCCACAATCTCTCTCCACGACGTACGTCAGATATCTATACAGGCTAGCTTGAGGGGGGATGGGGGGGGGGAAGATGTCGGTACCAATGTATGTAAGTCATACCTAAGAGTTCAATCTAACCGCTGGCCCTGCATTGCAACCGCCCAACCGTAGAAAGATGAGTGGGGGTGAAGGAAGGGAAACAAAGACTAGACTCGTCTAAACATCACGAACCGAAACTATAAACCATAAATCATTGGCAAAACAAGACAGTCCAAGGGCGAAATAAATTGCAGAGAGACCGCAAAAATCACCAGAATGAGACAGTCATTGCATTTTCAAGGCGAAATGCCAGTCGGAAGGCCCGGGTCCGATTCGCCGCATTTTTTTTTTTTGGCAAAGCGATCAAGTTGGGCACTCATACATTGCAGTGTGTTGATGCTGCTTAACGTTCGTGGCCGGTGCGGTTTGGTTTATTTGATTTCGGGGTTCCATGGTTCGAGGTTTGGATCCATGGTTCATCATGCGGCTACAAAGCCGGCAGACGAAACTAGCTTGGGGGGTAATTGGAGGTAATTGGTGGTAATTGGTGGTAATTTGGGGGGGGGGAACTCAAGAAAAAACAGGCCGTTTCAGAGATTGATTATGTTTGATTGCCATAGCTAAGAGTAAGCGCCCTTGCCCCGCACAAGCTTAAATCAAATCCCAAAAGCTCAGGCAGCAACAGGGTCTGACATCAACATTGGAAATTACTTAGTACACTTTAGTGTTAGTATGTTCTTGGGCGCGATTGAAAAGATTCAACCAGAGCCAATCGATTTGTACGGCTAGAGTAAAAATAGTAAAAATAGTAAATAATTTATGGATTTTATGGATTCTGGGTGGAGAGCTTTTTCCTTCATCCGTCCCATGGTTCCATGGTTCACGCTCGCGCTAGCGGGGGATTCTCCTCCTTGATCCGACGAGTAGATTGCGCCTCATTGATGGAAAATGCGTATTTTCCCCCCAACACTACTCCAATCTTTCTATTCTCCTTTTCATGCCGGTGAGGCTAGTGGATGCAAATCTCAAAATTGTCACATTGCCAGCATTGAAAAGAAGTAATTATAAGTAAATCATAGTAAATGCAAATTTCCTGCTATCCTGTAGGGGGCTAAGCAGCGGTCAAGGCTTTTCGGGAACTACAACGGTATATGCATCGCCAGCAGAGCAGCGCAGGACAGTATCCATGTAGATGCAAGTCTTGAAAAGGGGGGAATGTTGATGCCGAGCAAAAAAAAAAAAAGGAGATTGAATAGTCGAATCCTTGAAGGGGGTAAAGAAGGGGGGGGGGGGGGGGGGTGACCACCTGGGCCAAAAAATAAAATAAAAAAGACTTCTGAAAAGAACAATAATCATGATGCTAGATGTCAATATGCTGCGTAAGAACAAAAAGATTAAAAAAAAAACGTCATGTAGGCCACTGTTTGGTTTCAATGCGTTCAATTCCAAGAGATGATCCACCCAACGCCCTTCGAGCCTCTGTACATGCTATCCAATCGATAATGTTGGATTGGGTCGAACCTTGGAATGGAGCTCAGATGCACGCTCGCCCGAAATGATCCCAAAATATACGACGACAAGGGAGAAGTAAAATTAATCAAAAAACAAGAAAAAGAAATCGCGTAAAAAATAAAACATTGGAGACGAAAGAGGACCCGCAATAAGAGGGGAAGGGAGTAGCAAATACAGCAGCCTCCCAAAAGAAAACCATCATAACCCTGTCATAAAATCGTAAATGCATCTAGACGAGATGCAGATCAGGTGAAAAGAGAGAAGAGAATATAAAAAAGCAAAAAAAAAAAAGTACCATCAAGCCAGCTCACAACTCATGCATCCCATGATTCATGCAACTCATGTGTACCGTACCTGCTCTTGTCGAAACGGATCGTCACCCTCTAAGCCGATCCTCTTCGCTGGAGTACCTCGCCGATCAGTCGACGTGGGCCCATGCGCTCCAGACTTTTGGTGAGCGAGGATCGTGCGGGGAGGATCCATGGAACGCGGCGCTCGTGGTGCCAACGGCGGCGAATGCAATCATCCACAAGTGCCACTAATCCTGTTGCGACAATCACGCTAAAAAAGAAAGGAACCGGTTCATCAGCCTCGCTATCACCTGCAAATGCAGCCTGCAATCTGGGACGAATGAAGATGAAGCATGAACTGTGGGAGGGGTAAGAAGGACAGGGGTAGAGAGGTGTGTATGTGAGTGCGTGTGTGTGTGTGTTGTTGGGTTGAAGAGTGGAACTAGGATGAGGCTAGACTAGGAAGGGTGTGATAGGATATGGAAAAGAGGAGTGGAGAAGGGGGAAAATGTGATGCAGGAATCAAAACTCGACTTACTCGGCAATGTCAGGCATCTTTTCATAAACGGATGTATCACTGATCCACAACGAACACGGTGGTACCCAGCCGCCTTTACTTTCCTCTTCGACCGCCTCGACGGGCGTAAGAATCTCGGGAACCATGTGGGCGATTGTTTTGGATGTGCGCGTATCAACAAGGTAGTATACGACCTCACGCAGATCGCCCTCTTTCCGGAACTCGCGCCGCCACTGGTACTTGGTGGACCAGTATTCATATTCGTACCGTTTCGCCGAGCCAGGGCCACGTCGTCGAAGTTCCACATGTGCGTAGTTGGAGAATTCCATCAAAATGGTATCTCCGAGCGCAGGTCCCTTTTCAACTGTCGTTGATCCTTCCGCCCCTTCATCACTTGTTGAGCGGGAGTGTCCTTTCTCTCCGAATCCAGAATTCTGGCGTTTAAGGTCGCCAGCAAAGGGTGCTGGCTGGCCACTTGATCCTGGTCTGAAGCTGGCTAGGACACTACTCAGCGAGCGACGTCGTTGACCTGAGCTGTGATGGAGGACAGATGTCGCTTCTTTCCTTGTTGAATGACATACTTCTCGGCCAGAGTCACGGCAGTACCGGCGGAAGGAGAACTTTCGTGAGAAGAGATCGTACATGCGGAGGTGAAAGAGGATCACGTCTTGTTGGTATCCACCACGGCGAGGGACGACCGTGTCTACACGTAAGTTCATGTTTCCGTCCACCGTCGAGTCGTCATGTCGAATGAGCAGTCTTCGTGTTGAGGGGAACAAGGTCGCAAAGGAAGAAGGTGTTGAAGAGAGTGCATCAGTCGGGAAGAAGCTTTCTTGTCGGTCGTCCACTTCATACACGGGCTCTTCTGGGGCGATCTCTGCCTCGGATCGTGTAGTGGATGCATAGGTTGAGACGGAATCACGAGGACCATCATCTTCGGATTCCTCGCGCCAGTCATGATGTTTTGCTGAAACAGCGCGAGCACTGAACAGAGTGGGTGTCGTACTTTTAGATTGAATAGAACCATCTGTATTTGTCGAACTTGAACTGCTGCCTCCACTTCCTGCCCTGTCTTGGCGTGACTTATAGGAGCCCATTATTGTAGGCTTCTTGTACAACCTTGTAAATAGTATAAGCTTAACTTGGTGAGTTTGAGTTTGATGGCGGCAACAAATCGGAGAAAGTCGAGCCAGTCGACGTGGTTTTAGGTAGAATGGAAGCTGGGATGACGCTTTTGTGTGTTTGGATCGGTAGGATCACGATCAAGATTCTGAAACCTGAAACACTGAGATGCCGAATCGATCTTCCGGGGTGAAATGAATACGACAGTGGGGTTGTCAGATTCCCATGACGCAGTCGAGCCACTTTGAGAGAGGTCTAGGGGAAGGGAGAGAATTCGGGAGATTCCACGCGAGAAATTATCAGGGGTATATCGGGGAGAATAGGCCTGGTCCAGAATCATATGACACTTTGAAAGATTGCAGGGATTAAATTTTTTTTTTCTCGTTCGGACCGAAGAAATTAGAGGAATTAGAGAAGAGAACACAAGAGTGCAAGGGAAAAGATCAGGTAGTAAGATCATAAGCCCAACGGAAGAAACAAAAAAGTGGAGAGAAAAAGTAAAGAGTTAAAGAGGGGCAATTGTGTATACCCAAACCAACAAAGGAGAGAATGTGGCCCAGAGGTATTTGGACTTGTAGCAGTATGTATTTACGCTGTAGATGGAACAAAGGATGCTAAGAATGAAGGAATGTCGCCGTTATCCGGTTTTTTCCCCAAGATTCGTCGATCGGACCTAACTTTACTATGTTTTCTCAACGTCTTCGAAATGTCTCTAACAAACGACGAACAAAAATCAGGCCCATCTCTCATTTTCTAGCCTCTAAGAAAATGACTTTGGAAAATCAAATTCCCAAGAAAAGAAAAAGAAAAATCATTAAAAAAAAAGCAAGTCTCTCGTTGTACAGGCAACACCGGCAAGCTGCAACGCATGAACCCTATGAGCGACGAATCAAGCCAGAGACAAGGGCCAAAATGGGAACCACAAGCACAAGACAAAAAGCCAGTCGCCTCACCATCGGAAAGGAAGCTACCTATGGGAAACAAGGTGTTCCCGGACATTACCCAAAACGATCAGTTGTGTGATGCATCCCCCGATCAAGGCGGTTTAGGTAAGAAGCCTAGAAAGTGAGAAGCTCAGTGTTTCTGGTGTGGCGGACCTCTATTCGTTGCCAAACCCCCCTCCCCCTCGGTATCATGCGCAGTGTGCACTTTCCCCACCATCGTCAACCAGTGAGCGCGAAGCGATCAATGCACCGAACAGGTCTGGACACGCGGTACGGGCACAGGTGGCATTCTGGAAACGGGCTGTGATCTTTCCCCTCTTCGACGATTAAGTCACAGACGACAAAGCTGCAGGGTCTGATCGTCTCGTCTTGCTTTTTAGAGGAACCCGTTTCGGGATACCATTTCCCTTTCTTTTGAAGGTGAGGTTGCACTAGTCAGTCTCGTATAGAATGATGAATCTTTGGGACGTCATGGCGGAGCAAATAAACAGTGGGCTTTCGCGGTCCGATCCGGAACCCGATCTTTTTGGATGTTTTTTTTTTCAGTGAAAGACCCCAGCGTATTGCGCGTATGTGGCGATGGTACATATGCACTCCTGTCGATATACGTCCTCAAATGATTATCTGCCAATAAAGTGGCTGGGTCATATTGCAGCAAGGTAATAAGACTGGGGCGTACCTTGTGGTGCCTTAGGTTCGGGAACTGATAAAGTTCGCCGATACCGGGAACCGTTCGGTGACGATAATAGAAACTCGCCAGGGGAGAACCGGGAGAAAAATGTCCCCTCATTCCATCGTCCCACCGAGGATCAGATAAATGGGGAATCACTCCACTCATTGACAGCATTCACGATGATCGATGGTGACGACATGCAGTGCGAGATCGAGACGCACGGACGGATTAGAGAGTTTGCGGGGAATTTCCAGGCATAAGGCCGAAGGACAATATCGTTCAGAGGGAAGAGGTCTATGACAACACTCAAGGGATATCCACACCAGCAACTAAGGTCTACACAAGGCGATGGTCCTCACCGCTAGTCTTATCGTTTGTCTAGGTGCAACCTTACGTCGTCATCGCTGGAAGTCTTGTACGGTTGCTCGGGCATGCGATGGGAGTTGAAAAGTATATCCAATAAAATCTTATATGCAAACCGTCCCAAAAATAACACCCCAAGACGACACTGGATCCTGCCAATATGGCATCATTACGGAGCACAGTCAGCCGAAATAAATACCCATCAATGTGAATCTTGAAAGAAAGTCTGCAAGTCTACGCAACCTGGCAGACGCCGAAATGCCGAAAAAAAAATCTAGACCTGAGCGTAGAGAGGCTCGGGTAGCTCCTCGCCTGGTTGAATCAATTCCGACTGGCAGGAAGGATGAGTGATGAGCCCAGCTCGACTGCCAGGACCTGGTGGTCGGACGCCCACATAGGCTTCCCGGCGAGCAGGAGATCCGACAGTAACGGACCAAGTGTGCAACCCATAGTAGGAGGCGATGGAGTGTACGAGCCAGCGTCTATCAGTTGAAAGTCAGTACCCGGGGAGAATGAAAACGAAAAATTGCCGTGAAGAGCCACACATACCCGAACGAAGCCCCACGGTCATCCACTAAACTCTCGAACACCATCTTCTCGCCATCTCGTTCGTGGTGTAAGCTTAGCTCCTGGCACATCTGTTCCAACTTCAACTTCCGTTCTGGAGAGTCATGCATCTGTCCATTGCGGCCAACAAAGACAATCTCGTCTTCTGAATCCTCTTCGGGTGCATCCAGAAGACCCTCGTTCTGGAGGTACTGCTGCTTCTCATTCCATTTCTGGATAAAGTGTCTAATATCGTCTTCCAGATCTTGAAGCATACCACGGGCTGCCCGCGCGTGTTTCAATTTAGACCGGAGTTCCTTGGGGACCCGGTGCTTCACATTGGCAGTCTTGGCCGCATGCTTGCGGGCCGAATGATGGTCTGCCATTCTGGCATAGTGTACCTCCCAGAGTGGCGCCAGATAGTAGGGCATCGGATCATGACGTGTGTACGTTGGCGCAATGGCCCAGTCACTCGGAGCTGGAGGCTCAGCCCATGGGTTGTGTAACAAACGATCTTGAATATATATGGTCAGCTTCCTCGGCCCTCCATGGATCTTGATCCTCATGGGGACCAGGGTAAAAGACACCCACCATTCTCCCAGCGTTGTCGTCGACGACTGCCATCTTTACCCTTTAGCATGGCCTCGCGGCGTTTCATGCCATCCTTGCGCAGCGGCTCTCGGCGCCGGAAACTGACCGTTGGGGTCGGGCGAGACTCTGCGGCAGGGTTGGCCACCTTAGCTTGCGGCGAAGGGGAAGGAGGTTCATCGTCGAGAGGAATTGCGAGAGACACACTCGCTCCTCGTAGCCCTGAAGGTGTTGGTGTCGTAGCCACCGGTCCGTTGGTGGGGCGAGATTCGGAGAGGGACAGATCTTGGAGCGATGCGGCGGCCTGTTCGGTCCATGCGGAGATAGCCAAAGTGTGCTGTGGTGACAGGCTTCCCTGTGACCCATGGGGTCGTAGTCTTGGATGAATAGCCATACTGTATGAATCTATATCAAGGGAATAAAAGGGTAAGGATAAAGAGGGGGGTATAGATGTAAGGATCAAAGGATAAGGACCTTGACGCGCGAGATAACGAGATAGAGCGACGCCTGCACGGGAACGCAGATAGCGCGTTGATTGGCGGAAAGTGGGCCACTGATAAACCCTAGCCCTGGATTCCTATTTGGGAAAGAGCGGTTCATTGTGACGAACCCGTGACTTTGTTGAACCTCGGGTTCCATGTTGTTTTCTTTGGTTAAAAGTCTTTCAGACACGATCTGGACCCGTTCAACTGTGGAACAGTTTCTGGCCCCAAACAGGCAAGGCTCTGGGTGCGTGAGTTCGTGACTCACGAGTAGAGTTGACTAATCGGGCCAAGTGGAGCTTACTCCTCTCCCCCCGCGCGAAAATCATTCCGCTTGAGATTGGGACGTGTGACTTGGTATGACTACTCCGTACCGAGTGGGTACCATACTGTTATCACAACCAAGGGCAATTACGCCATTCAAATAATCAGGAAAATCTATGAAAAAAAAAAAAATGAAAAAAAAAAAAAGAACCTCGGGGATTCAGATACTTCGTATCATCATAATGAAGGGATAATAGCTATCACATTTCTCTTTGGCTGGAGCAAGGCTGCTTGCCCGCTATTAATAACCCTGTTTAGCGCGGGGTCGAAATAGGCAAGAAGGGGCTTGGCGAGCTCCATTCTGCGATACCTGTAGGCGCATGAAAGCTGGGCCCCCAAAAACCGTACAGCCTTTCTTCACCTCTTTATAACCACTGCCGCCTGCCTCATCCTTTCCGATTCGTTATCCTTAATTTTTATCCTTTCGTCCCTGCAGGCTCAACATGAAGTTCCTAGCACTTGCGTTGAGCGCAACGGTCTCGACCGCTCTGGCTGCAGTGATCCCCCAAGAACCGCTGGGGCCCTCAATTGTCCAAAATACCCAACAGCCCAAGTGGTTGATCGAGTTGGCTCCATACACCACCCGATGGGTGACCGAGGAGGAAAAGTGGGCATTGAAATTAGTAGGTCGCTCGGCTCAAACAATCCATCTCACCGCCACTAACTGGATACTTCCACTTCACAGGATGGTGTCAACTTCATTGACATTACTGATGAGTTCCAGTCCGGATCTTACGGCACGCTCCACACACAGCGCGTCGTCCGGTACCCGGGCCAGATGCAACACACTGAAGCCGTGACTCCACTGGCCGCTGAGCTCTCCAAGAGCAACATGAAGAAGCACCTGGAACACTTTACCTCCTTTCACACTCGCTACTATAAGTCCCAGACTGGCATCCAGTCTGCCGAATGGCTGTTGGATCAGGTCACAACCGTGGTGCACGAATCCGGTGCCAGTAAGCACGGCGCAACCGTGGAGCGGTTCGACCACCCGTGGGGCCAATTTAGCATTGTCGCCCGCATCCCGGGTCAGACCAATAACACTGTGGTGCTGGGCGCCCACCAGGACAGCATCAACTTGTTCCTTCCCTCTATCCTAGCGGCGCCAGGTGCAGATGACGATGGAAGTGGAACTGTTACGATCCTCGAGTCTCTCCGAACCCTGCTGCGGTCGGAGGCGATTACTACGGGTCAGGCAGAGAACACTATCGAGTTCCACTGGTACTCGGCCGAGGAAGGTGGCCTGCTGGGCTCCCAAGCTATCTTCTCCAAGTACAAGAAAGATCACCGTGAAATCAAGGCTATGCTACAGCAGGACATGACTGGCTATGTCCAGGGTACGCTGGATGCCGGTCTGCCAGAGTCGGTGGGTGTCATTGTTGACTACGTCGACCAAGGTCTCACCGCATTCATTAAGGAAGTCATCACCACCGTAAGTGATCTATCATTTAATTAACATACAAGGACCCACTTTTCTGACCTGATCTCCATTAGTACTGTGATATCCCTTACGTCGAGACCAAGTGCGGCTATGCCTGCTCTGACCACGCTTCGGCCAGCCGATTCGGTTATCCCTCAGCCTTTGTCATTGAGTCCCAATTCGAGAACTCTGACAAGAGAATCCACTCCACCGATGACTTGATTAAGTACCTCAGCTTTGATCACATGTTGCAGCATGCTAAGATGAGTCTGGCTTTTGCATACGAGTTGGCATTTGCTCCTTTCTAAGTCAAGCTTGATACATAGCTGGTTCCCTGTCTGTTAATTTTCTGTTTTCTGCACCGGCGTTCTTTGGATATACCTTTGGGCATTCGTTTATTTCCTGATCAAGGCGATCGTAGATTCGTCACTGGTTTGGCATCCGATTCGTGTCTGAGTTTGCGTCCTACAATTACAAACAACATCAAGTATACTTATTTTTCGGTTTAATGTTCGGAATAATTTGATTGTTGTGTTAATGTTTGAAAAAGAATTATTCCTTTGATTAGGGTAACTGATCTAAAGCTGTACGCTATATGTACATATAGACGAAAAAAAATCATCAACATTTAAATGTATTCAAAACACAGTAAGTACTAACGATGGAAACATTGGAATGGGCATTATGTTCAAATTTGAGGCTTTGAATCTTGAAATGACGTAGGTCTACCGCATCACACGTGACTGTATATGAGATGGCGGGATGATCCAAATATGTTTCGACGCTCGCGGCTTCCAAGGTCGGATTTGGAAGTTTCCCCCCAACATTGAAATACATAATCGCCCAACTACGAGATCTGCCCCCGCTTCATACCTACCCATCGCTCAAACACTCACAGCTACACAAACTTCGAACCTTGGAATTGACCGTCCGATATCGCAGACATGAGCTCACACGACTACACCCAGGAGCTTCACCTGGGCAGTCTTGCCGTCCAGCGAGCCGCGCTCCTCACCAAACAATTATTGTCGGCAGTCGACAAGGGCTCCTTGAGCAAAAGCGATGACTCACCTGTAACGATTGCCGATTTTGCCGCCCAGGCCTCCATTATTGCCGCGATTCACCACACATTCCCAAACGATGACATTGTCGGTGAAGAGGACGCCACGGCCCTCCGCGAGAATCCCGTCCTCCTCGAGCGCACGTGGGAACTTGCCACATCCATCCACCTGGACGACGAAGCCAGCGAGTCCCTTCTATATACCCCACAAACCCGGGAAGAGATGCTCGATTTGATCGATCTTGGAGCTCGCGGCCAGTGCAGGCGCGGTACGCGGGCATGGACACTTGACCCAGTAGACGGTACCGCGACCTATATTCGTGGTCAGCAGTACGCTGTCTGCCTGTCGCTTGTTGTCGATGGAGAGCAAAAGCTCGGCATTATCGGCTGCCCGAACCTCGATCTCGGGTCTGGGCGCGTGGCGGAGGAGCTGGTAGACCGCGACGGATACGGGCAGCTTTTGACTGCGATCGCCGGACAGGGGGCATTCATCCAGCCAATGGGAACGGGCGCTCTTCTATCCGGGACACAGCTGGAGCGGGTGCCACAGATAACAGAGGCGAGCGAGGTGCGATTCGTCGACACGCAGGAGTCAACTTCCCAACGGCTAGATCTGCACGAGAAAATCGCAGGACAATTGCAGTGCCCGTGGCCGAACACTGTCGATCTGTGGTCAGCACAGATGCGGTATATTGCTATAGCAGTGCAGGGCGGATGTAATTCTTTCCTCAAAGTGCCCCACAAAGCGTCGTACCGATCGAAGATCTGGGACCATTCTGGTGGGATGTTGCTTGCACAGGAGCTTGGCTGTGTGGTGACGGATCTGGAGGGTCGACCAGTCGACTGCGGCTTGGGCCGGACATTGGCCGAATGTCACGGCATGGTTGTGGCGCCTGCCTCGATCCATAGCCGGATCCTGGAGGCGGTTCGGGTTGTACGGGCAGCCAATCAATGAGTTTTCAAATCAATCTAAAGGAACTGCCCCCGGTGCCTAGAGAAAGAAATCCACTACGAGCGAATTTCCACTTTCCAGTCGATGAATGAGACGATACGCCAAGGTATACCGAGTTTTCTTTCTTCTTTACTAGTAGCGGTCAGTCCGCGAGGCATATGTTGATACCCCGTTTGGATCAGATCTCCCATTTATAGTTTGTGTTTGGGTGCATCAAACATTTGAATAGAGTGTTTTTCTATTTGCTAGCTTTGGCCCCTTGCCCCGCGTTCCAGGTCAATATCCGGTCGTAGTTATATGTACTTTGCTAGAGTAAGAGAGAAGAGTCATTGTAAATTATGATCCAAGGAATGAAGAAAAGCAAATCATTTCAGCTGTCAGACTTCTAACATTGAACGTATGTTAATTTGCTTTTCCCCCGAGATTATCCGATGGTATCAGATTCTTTTCAGCTTCGCACCTCATACATACTTCCATGTACATTCTCCCTTTAACCCCAGGTTATTGATCTCCAAAGTGCAGGACCGTGCACGCCGATCAACACCACGAGCAGAAAGTTGCGCCATTCAACTCGCAGCTTTGTCGCACCTGCTAAGCCGGCAGTACGAATCCCCTGCGCCCTGCCAAAAAAAAAAAAAAGAACTGAAACTGAAACACCAAAGAACATTGAAAGTGCCCCACCCCCAGGGTTCACTTTTCTTTATGAATAATTCCATACTAGGGCAAAGGAAGAAATCAAAAACTTGGTTGTAGTGGATGACAGTGGATGACAGTGGGTCTTGAGCTGCCAACTTTAATGTTGGTTCGTACGTACCGGATAAGAAGTCGCAGCTTTGACATCATTGTACTTTCCAATGGTGTACCCGGATCTGGCAACAATCCTTACTTATGAGTGGCGGGAAGGTCATCAGACCATTGCGGGGATAAACCTTGAGTATATAACACCATTTCCCCCCTCTTTCAATTTTGTTCTCGTCATCGAATTTATCTTCCATCATGGCGAACTACAATCCCTTTGCCCGTCGTGAGGCTCATAATGTTCATGCTTTGAATACCTATCGAGTTCTCGTACCCCTCACATGGGCGCTGGTCGTCATCGTTGGCCTTTACTACTCTCTCAACTCGCCTGATGATACCAAGGGTAGCAAGAAGATTTGGAAGCAGATCAAGAACCATCCTACACCGTTCACGCAGAATAAGACCGTGACTGAGATCTACTGGTGAGTGGCTTATGATTTCATATCCATATTGATATCTTGATCATTTCACTCTGCCCTTGAATGTTGCAAAGGTCAACTCTGATACTAATCTTCATCTTCTCCCAGGGTCCTCCTACTCCTCTCACAGCTCAGCTACGTATGGCACCTCTTCCACAAGGAGGCTACCATCGTAGCATCCGCTGCTAATGTCGCAACTCACTTTATTCTGAACAACCTCTTCACCCTGTCCTGGATCCTACTATGGACTCGCAACCACTTCTGGGGTGCTGAGGTCATTCTGATCGCCCACTTCATCAACCAGACCGTCGCATACTGGCGCCACCCTGGCCTCCCAGACTTCGTGCATCTCCCTGCCATCGCCGGTCCTTATGCCTGGACATTGTTCGCATTATTCTGGAACGGGGCTGTCGCCGTCCACAGCCATAATTTGCCTGGCCGGATCGTGGCCAATATTTTCATCTGGGTGATTCTGATCCTCGGATTATCAAAGATCACACTGCGCCAGGATCATGTTCTCGGATACTGCCTCAGCTTCCTTAGTTTGTGTAAGTCTTCTGAGTATCCACATAGGTCTCAGGATAGAAGGTCCTGGCTCTGGCCTTCCGACGCATCGTGCAATGCTAACTAGTCTTTCTATATAGCACTGGCGGTCCAGCAGTTCTCTATCAAGATCATCGCCTTGCAGTGGATCTTTGCCTTTGTGGTCTTCGCCGTCTTCCTCGTGACCTCGCTGTATATCTCGACTACCAAGTACACTGGACGCGACTCGCTCTTCCGCCGTGTTGCGCACCCCGAGAGCTCTGACCGTGAAAGACAGCCTCTGCTCAATGAGGGAGTGTAAGGGTTTTCTTGAATTTTTTTTTTTTTTTAAAAAAAATCACGATGACTAGTGCAAGGATACTTTTTAGGGGGTAGTTGCCGAGTGTCGTTGAGTTTGGAGAATGGGAAAATGAAGCTAGTCCAACATGGATATTGTTTTGGATGGATGGACTAGGGTGGTGTCACTGGTGTGATCATTTATGATGTGATGATTGGGATGATTGGTTAATGGTTTATGAAATAATCCCCTCTCACACTTGCAGTCGTAATACAGTCTGGGCTGGGTTAGCTTGTTCTTTCGAAGTGGATTTGAATCAACATTTTGAATGAATTTCATGCAGCTTTGCATATGGAGATTGCGCAGCTTTGACGCCTTAAGACCCACTTAGGTGGAGACTGGATCTGTAAGCATAAGCATACATACGCATGTTGACATCAACTTCAACATATGAAACATCAACCATGGATATATTATAAAAGGGAACCATTTTAAAGAGTGGCAAGGGCTTAACTCTGACAGTGATCAACGTCTAAAATCAAATATTGACGTTCAAATATCCTGTACCTTGATAGCGTATTGATTTTCCCCATGCAGGACTTCCCTTGCAAACCGGTTGTCATGGTAACGGGGATCCACCTCCACTTTGTTGATCGAAGCACGGATGAACTTGGGCCAGAACTTGTTTGGCGGTTAGAGTATTCCGTATCATTCCCTCAAGTTGCTCTGATTTTGTCTTTTATCCTTCTCCGATTTCACTTTGGAGCATTCTTTCTGACCACATTCCTCAATTATCCGAACCATTCACAAACAAGACCTTCCATCTATCGAAATCACCTACTGTCTCAGTGCCGGTAACTGAGATTAGTGTTGGGTGTGCCACTGCACAGCTTGATTTAACAATTACCCCCCACGTATGATTCTAGTATGAGTGCTTGAGATACAAAAAGAAAAGACATACTTCAGTCATGAATCGTCATCCACCATCTAACCCATTCGGGGACGAACCCCCGTCGTATGACCAAGAGACGGCCTCATTCTTATCAGAAGTCGAGTCTCCAACACGGCAAAATGGACCAACAATGCGCCTGCTTCCTACCAGTGGGGAGGAGTATGGTGACTTGAGCGAAAGTCCAAGAGCTGCATCACCGTTCCATTACCAACAAGCCTATGACCAAGTGTATGATCAAGATTATGACACAACCCCGTAAGTTCCCTCACGTTGATCTCCCATACAACCATTTTCCCCCATGCCACATTCCAGTTGTTGCCCCTACGAAATCACCACACGTAAAACACCAATGGTAGAGTCGCGTTCTTGAATGGCATGCTCAGGAATGAGCCGCTTTTAGACTGACGGCGACCCATCCTAAACGCTTGGTTAAGGTTGACGGGTGATAAACAACACGCACATAGCACTTGTTATCGCCTCTCGTGTCATTGACTTCAACACTGGACGATTTGGCCGTCCCATCCACACACAATGGACCGTCCGTCGCGACCACGAACTCGAACTAACTTGCGACCGCGCCATAGAAACGGACAAACAAACGACTATGAGAACCGATTTTACCAGGTCCCGAGCGCAAGCTCACCTTCGCGTCCGGCATCAAGCATGGCCAGCGCCCCCAGTTTGCCAGCACCCACCGCCAGTCTAGCCGACCCTTCCGTCTACCCATCGATTCCCCCGCGCACAGGATCCCCCATCCGACCTTGGAGCCCTGGGCATGTGCGACCTCCCTCCGTATCAAGTGTTGGATATGAGCGGTCCGATATTAATGGTAGTCCTCGACCGGGTACTCCGAGCTCACGTTATGGAGGCAGCCCTCGGCGGCCCTTGCCCCCGGCTCCATTATTCTCTGGCCCTGCTCACTCCGCAGCGGCAGACACAAGCATCGACATTGGTGATGGAATGGGCGAGGATCCCTTCGGTGATCCGTTCGGAGGTGCAGGTCAGACCATTGGCCACAATTCGCGTGGCAGTGTACGATCTTTCCTGAGTGAATCTACTTTTATGGGTGATGAGAAGGATCATATGTCCAAGGTCAACCTGGACGATGAGTACGGCGAAGGCGACATCGATCCCAACATGCACTATGGCCCTGCGCCTGAGAAACAGGCCCGCCGAGGTGTCCGTGACGCACAGATGGCCAAGAAGGAGGTCCAGCTGATCAACGGTGAACTTATCCTGGAGTGCAAGATTCCGACTATTCTGCACAGTTTCTTGCCTCGTCGTGACGAGCGCGAGTTCACCCATATGCGATACACGGCTGTCACTTCCGACCCCGATGACTTTACAAGTCGCGGTTACAAGCTTCGGCAGCAAATTGGCACCACTGCCCGTGAGACCGAGCTCTTCATTTGTATTACCATGTACAACGAAGATGAGATTGGCTTCACCCGCACCATGCATGGTGTCATGCGCAATATCAGCCATCTTTGCTCACGTACCAAGTCTCGTACCTGGGGCAAGGACGGGTGGAAGAAGATTGTGGTGTGCATTATTTCCGATGGACGTAAGAAGGTTCATCCTCGCACTCTGAACGCCCTGGCTGCTCTTGGTGTCTATCAAGAGGGCATTGCCAAGAACGTCGTCAACCAGAAAGAGGTCCAGGCTCACGTCTACGAGTACACTACTCAAGTATCTCTTGATTCTGATTTGAAGTTCAAGGGAGCTGAGAAGGGTATTGTTCCCTGCCAAGTCATTTTCTGTTTGAAGGAGCACAACCAGAAGAAGTTGAACTCCCACCGTTGGTTCTTCAACGCCTTTGGCCGAGCTCTGCAGCCTAACATCTGTGTTCTTCTTGACGTTGGTACCAAACCCGACCCTACCGCCTGTTATCACTTGTGGAAGGCCTTCGACCAGGACTCCAACGTCGCCGGTGCCGCCGGAGAGATTAAGGCCGGTAAAGGCAAAGGCATGCGCGGTCTTCTCAACCCCCTTATTGCCAGTCAAAACTTTGAATACAAGATGTCCAACATTTTGGATAAGCCTCTGGAGTCTGTCTTTGGTTACATTACCGTGTTGCCTGGTGCGCTCAGTGCCTACCGCTTCTTCGCTTTGCAAAACGATGCAGATGGCAATGGTCCCCTGAACCAATACTTCAAGGGTGAAACCCTCCACGGTCAAGATGCTGATGTTTTCACCGCCAACATGTACCTTGCCGAGGATCGTATTCTTTGCTGGGAGTTGGTCGCCAAACGAGAAGAAAAGTGGATTTTGAAGTTCGTCAAGAGTGCCGTCGGTGAGACTGATGTGCCGGATTCGATTCCTGAGTTCATCTCGCAACGTCGCCGTTGGCTGAACGGTGCTTTCTTCGCGGCTGTGTACTCGAACTTCAATGCCAAGCAGATTTGGTATACTGATCACAGCCTCGGTCGGAAGATCCTCCTTCACATTGAGTTTGTGTACCAGTTCTTCAACCTCCTGTTCACCTATTTCGGTTTGGTAAGTTCTTCTGTAATTTTTCTTCAATCAAAACACGACTAACATCGCGATACAGGCAAATTTCTACTTGGCTTTTTACTTCATCGCTGGTTCTTTGACCGACAGCACAATCGATCCGTTTGGCCACAACATGGGCAAGTACATTTTCTATGTACTGCGTTATGCTTGTACGCTTGTCATGGCTCTGCAGTTTATCATTTCTCTGGGTAATCGACCGCAAGGTGCAAAAAATCTGTATATGGCTGGTATCATTGTCTACGCTATCATCATGGCCTACACCATCTTCTGTACCCTCTATCTCTTGGTCTTGGAGTTGGAAGCGCGTGCAAGTGGTGGTACTTCTGATCTCACGGTCAGCAGTACATTGCTCATGGAAATTGTCATCTCCATGTTGTCAACTGTCGGCTTGTACTTCTACATCTCCATCCTCTACCTCGACCCGTGGCACATGATCACCTCCTCGCTCCAATACTTCTTGCTGATGCCAAGTTACATCTGTACCTTGCAGGTGTACGCCTTCTGCAACACTCACGATGTAACATGGGGTACAAAGGGAGACAACGTCATCAACACCGATCTCGGTACTGCGAAGACCATCGACGGCAAAACCGTCTTACTGGACATGCCATCCGAACAGCTCGACATTGACAGTGGATATGATGCCGCGCTGCGCAATCTCCGTGATCGCCTTGAGGTTCCCGAGCCACCCCTCAGTGAGGCCCAGATGCAAGAGGATTACTACCGTGCCGTGCGTACTTACATGGTCTCCGTCTGGATGGTAGCCAATCTTATTCTCGCGATGGTCGTCACAGAAGTCTACGGCGTCGACGCTAGCGGCACGAACTACTACCTCTCGATCATTTTGTGGTCCGTGGCTGGTCTTGCTCTTATCCGTGTTGTTGGTTCAACTACTTACGCCCTCCTGCATCTTGTTCACAAGATCGTCGAAACAAAGACCAAATTCGACGCTGGAAATCTTACAAACTTTGCTCCGAGCGTATTTGGTGGAAGCAGTACCGGTACTAGCTCTGAGCGCTCCAAGCCTGTTCGGTACAGCGGTAAACCGAGTTTCAAGGATCGTATGAATGAGGCTAGATGGGCCGCTGGTCGGACAGCTGGCAAGGCCATGTTCTGGCGCAAGTAGATAGATCTCTTGCTTCTACGTTGTTACTGTGCATTTTTTATTTGTTTTGTGATATCTCATTTGTCTTAATGATCTCTGGAGTCGGTTTACGATTTTCTGTTATCTTTTCCTTTTCTACTGGAGTTGATGAATTTTTCACCCCCATGTTCTCATGCCGGAAATAGTTGATACGATACCGGGCTGTGGGATGTGGATTCTTACGTGTCTATTCTTATTGACGGATGTATCTATGCGCCTTGACTTGATCCAAATATGAAAATCTGGTTCCTTTTGATTTCTCTTCCTCCCCTGACTTAGAACAACGTGATTAAGTCCCCCTACCCTCACCCACTTTGCCTCAATGTCAAGTCTAATTCCATCTTTTGAAACCTTCCCTTTGAAATGACGCGATATGGTCACTGGGTAGAGAAGAATATTAGCATCGGAAATTGGAAACGTAAATGGGAAGCAAGCTCAAAGAGGAACAGAGGATTTGTGACTGACCTATGTAAGCGCCCATAACGACAGAAGCTATTAGTTACTCCGAGTCGTCAATGCCTTCATCAACTGCTTTGCGAGTTCAAATTGGAAGAGGAAATCGCAAAGAACCTGTTTCATGCTTGCCCTATGAATCTCTTATACCGTCACGGTGGTATTCTTCAACTCCGCCAGCATCTCAGACAAAACCGGTCCCAATACGCTCAGTTCCTCCAGAATCTGGCGTGCCAATATCAATCCCATCCGTTTGTCGTCTGTTATTCCAGTAGATTTTTCTGCAACTCCGTTTCGCGTTATTCTGGCTCAAAGTGATTGAGTCAGTATTTTTTTCGCGTTGAGTGAAAAGAAGAGGGGATGGGTGATGAAGGGAAGAAGAAAAGCAAAGGCACAAGAGAGAGAGAAGAGAGACAAGAGAGAGAAGGATAGAGAAAGAGAGATTGTGTGTGTGTGCGTGTGTGTTTGTGGAATGGGGGGGGGGGGGGGGGGGGGAGAAACATTCACTGTTGATGAACACTCACAGCCCCAGGTGAGAATTGATCCGAACATTTGAATGAACTCCAGAGAATTTTGTTGCTGTGTTTGGAGAACTTTTCACTGACATCTGGAATATTGAAGGCAGAATATATATATATATCAATATAGAAGTCCTGGTCTGTAGGAGATTACTGAGATCAACCGCTTGAAATTTTTCAGTTGCTTCGTGGATTGTTGGAACATTACATAACTCCACTCTTCAAGTCGGCGTGAAGTCTCGCTAAGGCTAGCTGTAATTCCCAGGCCTCTTCAAAGATTGCAATCCTCAAATTCATCGATATACCATCCTCTTGATCGGCTAGTTGATAAAATATCTTATAAAGAGCCATCATGGTCTTTTAATTTTGCTCTTTGCTTTCTAGTCAGGTCCAATAAGTGAGTAATAGATTTGGAAGAACTAAAGACTGACCTGGTAATATGAAGACCTGTAATGTGAGGTTACTACAGAGTAGGTGGGCATGGTAAAAGGGAGAGCACTGAGCAGGAATTGAGGATGGGACAGGGTAACAGGCAAGCCGCAAAGAGAACAAGTGGTGTCGTTGAGACAGTTGCGAGTGTAAAAGTAAATACTCAAAGGAAGTTAGCGATAGCTTAAAATATTCGGCTTCTTCTATGAAGAACTGTATGGGCACTTTTAAGCCCGTCCTGAAGCCTCAAATTGTCATGGACTGATGATACTGAGACCCGAGAACGTTATGGTAGAGTCAGATCATGTGGGCCAATTTTATCTTAGTTACATGGTATCCCAGGTCCCTTAAGCCTTGAGTAGGCAATCGCTAAAGCACTGAGTAGTGCCGTCTACTATGTCACTTGAATAATCTCTATTCGCCCTGCAATAGCCAGGAAAAGAGAACTGACGGACGGCAATATTTCGTAAAAGAGGAGCGTTTTTGTAGGTCCCGTCTTACTTTGCTTGACTTTTTCTCTTTCCTGGAATCAATTCAAAGTATGGTGGGCAACATACATTCGTCAAGATAAAGAGATAAAGAAGTTTGCTTCGCAAAACCCCGCACAGACATAATCGCTGTGACAGTTCAATATCAGAAAGCATTGGCCTGGGCAGATGGTGGGAAGCGCGTGGATAAGTGGTATTGGATTGATGGTGGTAGCGGCTGCGGAGGTTGGAAACGTGACAGAGACGTGTTCCGTTGGTTGGAAGAGGAGCCTTTATTCTTGTTCGTTCTCAAACTCCAAGTCCCACACGATAGTTGCGAACTCGACGAGATCTTGTGTCACGAACATAATGTCACGCTCTCTGATGGTCTCCGCTGGCTGTCGGAACAGAAGGCGGAAGGAGATCATGAGTTGGGGATTGGGATTGGGATTGGGATTGGGATTGGGATTGGGATTGGGATCAAATCTTATTTTTTCATCGGACTTTGTGATAGCCAGGTGTTGTGTTCTGGTAGGTTATTGTCTGGGTAAAATCCGCTACTAGTGACCACAGTATCTCATCTGTTAGCTCTTTTCCCGCATACTCATATAGAAGGAAAACAAAATATGTAACTGACCTCAGCCCCTATGATGACGCAAGTTAAGACTCCGTCTCGTCAGATTCCTCTATCAGCTCCCTTGCAATTTCAAACTGGAACAAAAAATCACAGAGGACCTGCTTCATACTTGCAGTATGAACCTCTGATATCCTCGCGGTGGGTTCCCTCAACTCTGCCAGCATGTCCGACAAAATCGGCGCCAATTCGCTCAATTCACGCAGAATTTCCCGTGCGAGTAGTAGTTTCGTCTGTATTTTATCTGACTCCCCAGTAGGTTTTTCTGTGACTCTACTTTGAGTCATTTCGGCTCAAAATAATTGAGTCAGTAATTTCTCAGTTTCTGAATTGGCAAAGAAGCGTTGAGTGAAAGGGAGGAAGAAAGGAAAAGAGAGAATTAAGAGAGTTTAAAGAGAGAGAGAGAGAGAGAGAGAGAGAGAAACATATAGTAGTGCATGTGTCAAGTTTGTGCGTGTGTGTTTGTGAAATAGGGGGAGAGAGAGAGAACACTTAAGTGCTCACAGGCGCAGGTGAGAATTGATTCGAACGAACTCGAATTTTGTTGCTGTGTTTAGGGAACTTTCCACCGACATCTGGAATATTGAAGGCTGAATATATACATATACATATGTATATATAGAAGTCATTGCCTGGATCATAAGAACATTCAATGTTCTACCCTGCCCATTGCGAAGTACTAATCACGATGTGCACGTACTACTATCCAGTACGATTCAATTATAAGCCGTAGGTTCCTGCGTAGTTTCGTGTGTAGTTTCTTCCGGATATCCTCGATCATATTCTCGAATCAACCATAATCTGGTGCTTCAAAGAGTAATTAAATATATAAGAGGTTGAAATAAAAAAAAATTGTATTCAAGTTGACATTGAAGTGGATGAATCGTGTTGCTGGAAGGGTAACGGGAACATGAGAGAAGATGGACCAAGGACCTCTCAGTTTCTTTGCCAGTTGTATGCTGGAATATGAAAGGCAGGGTTCAGGAGATACTAAGCACTACTGCGTAAGAATACTAGCCAACATTAAATGTCGGTCATGCGAGCCCCGCAAGCAAACATGCTCCATAAAGGTGGTTTCTTGGGAATCGACTTTTCTTGTGTCGGACGGCATATCAAACTTGACTTTCCTGCCAGTAGGTGCTACCGACTAATGGTGATATACGAAGACGATGTGATAGGTATGTTCAATCCTACTATGTACGTACTTAGCCTTACCAGGTGGTGGTAATTTGTAGGCTAAAATTGACCCACGGGCGATGTTTGAAAAAATGTTCCATATATCATTGACCATTTATAAATACCCATGAAAGCTTGCAAGAGTCAATGAGCCTAAGTAATGAGCCTTAGAAAAAATGCGATCGAGTACTAGTAGTATAGGAGTATCCTGTGTATGAATCCGCCCACATCAAAGCTTAGACGCTGTCTTCCCATCCTTGATAATTTCTTCAACCAACTTGGCAGCAGCCAGAGTCTCCTCGTCCTTAAAATGCTTACCGGAAATCTGTAACGCGACAGGTGCACCTTCATAGCGCTCCGTGCTTTCATATCTCTTCCACTCTCTCTCATCAGCCTCATTGCGCGGCTTATATGTCTTGTCCTTCTCACTCAATGCATCCAGCTTCGGATCAACTGTAACTCCTGATGGGAATACAACCGAGGGGAGATCCAAAACGTTCCAGATCGCAGTATAGTTCCAGTAGTGTGATTCGCCATACACAGCTGCGACACCGGGATAGGCAGGAGAAAGGATGAAGTCGACACCACGACTCTTAATAACGGCGTTGTATTCGTCACGGTAGACGTCACGCTCGTATTGCAGCTCCCATGCTTCGGGGTGCGTGAGTGGGACGGGTCGGGAGAAGTTGAAGACCCAGTCAGTGAGCGGGAGGACTGGCTCGCCTGATTTACCAATGATTTTGCGTTGCAAGGCAGCGCTGTCGGGGTAATAAAGACTAGACTGTTCAAAAATGTGAGAACTTTTGTTTCATCACTTGAAGTAGAATGATTTGAAAAACCTACGATGATTTTCCATCCTTGATCATGCTTATACGGCTCCCAGTCAACGACCTTTATTCCAGCCGCTAGTAATTTTTCTTTCGCAAGCTTCAGGGCCCTAACAATTGGGGGATGGGGCCGGACACATCTAATATATTCAGATTAGTGGTGGTATTTTCCATGCCAAAAGATGTAGATCCATACCCATCGTCCCACATAATGGCCACAGTCATTTCACGAGTAGGGGTAACGCTCCTCCACGGAACGGGAACCAAGGATGTTTCTACATTCCAGGGCTCCTGGTCCAGAACAGTCTTTTGGAATAGCTCAAGATCTTCCAACGAGCTGCTCGACAAAGGCCCAATCACACCGTGGATTGTCTCTTGTCCAGCAGCCGCGACCTTAGCTCCGGCAAGTGGATTACGCATCGCTGTAGGCCGGAATCCATATGAACCACAGAAGGCAGCTGGAATACGGATAGATCCACCGATATCGGTACCAACACCGAGAGGTGCGCATTTGAATGCTGTCGAAGCCCCCTCACCACCCGACGACCCTCCTGGGGTTAAGGTGCGATTGTATGGGTTTAGGGTTGCTCCAGTGATGTTGTTACTGCAGCAAAGATGCTGGATGATATTAGTGGTCTAGTATAAAAGTGACTTGGGTATAGTACACTCACCATGAGAGCTTGGGGCTGATTTGTTCGGACATGAAACACTGCACCAGCATTGGCTAGCAGTTGAAGCAAGTGGGCATCTTCGGTAGCGACTTCGTCGACCCTGTAATCTTCAATTAATTGTGATTGTTTTTCCAGTGAAAAGGTTGAACATACCAGGCCACATAACCCGTGTTGCATGTCTTGTTTTTCATGCCGATGTGCTCTTTCACGCTAATGGGAACGCCGTGCTAACCACACAGATATTACTATGGCAAGGGTTGCTAATTTCTGGACAAATATCCACTCACCAGAGGCCCGACTAGTTTTCCAGTGCGTTGAAAGTGCGCATCCAGTTCCTTGGCGCGGGCGATTGCCTCGTCTGCCAGGAATTCCGTCGCGAAATTCAGCTGCAGATTGTCTCAATATTGAGCGATACACTGGGTGACGAGATTATTCTCACCAGCTGTTGACCTAGAACTGCCCTCTTCAGAAATGCCACGACTACTTCCTCAGCCTTGAGTTTTCCTAGTCCCATTTCTGCAACTAGTTGTGTAGCGGAGAGCTCGGTGATCAAAAGCTCACGTTCGGTCAGAAGTCCACTCTTTCTTGGGAAATCCATCACATTCTTCTGCGTAACTGGAGGAAGAGTATTGGCTGGTGCAAGCCATTGTTTGGGGATGGAGTTGTTCAGGATGTCTCTGCCTCGTTGGGCTTGACGCTCCCATCGTTGGAGTGACATGTCGGTGAGGTGTTTATCGATTATTGTGCGTTGCACAAAGGCGAAGAGGGGAAAGCTGAAAGTTTGAGAATAATGTTCAAAAGTCCAGCCTCTCTAAAGATAAGTTCTGCAATAGCGGTTCGGAATCGGAAAACATTCCTGAGGTCCTTACCGAGGCGGACTCATCCCCGCATCTTGATAACATCCACTGGAGGTCAATCGCTTATCTTCCTGCATACACTCCGCAGCGGGGATATTCCGTGGTACAATTCCAAATTCCACTTGAACATTTGAGCGTATAAAGGTTCCACTGTGGACATTCGAGAATCAAAACGGTTACAATTTCGTTTCAAAGGTTGCGATGTCTTGAGGTGATCTATACTAGTAACTGATACATGTAGGCCAACGGCACATGGGACTCAAATCAATGAAAAGCCGATATCAGACACAAGAGTTGTCCAAAAAGGAAAATAATGAAGCCCGTTTTGAATATATTCCCTTCAAATATGTTCGTTGAAATTGAAGGGGGAAAAAAGACAAAAAAGAAATCTCTCCCTCGGGGAATCGAACCCCGGTCTCCCGCGCTTATCGGTGTTAATGACAAGCGGAAATCATGACCACTAGACCAAGGAAGATGTGATAGCTGAGTTTCCGCTCGGCCACTTGGAATGGTTGATGTCTGTTCTGTCATTTTCTGGTATCATAGGGAGCAGGGTTCTCGGATAACACCTTCTTTACCCGCAGCAGGTCAGCGCCTCACACAATGTACCACACACCACTTGACATCGAGGGGCCTTCTCCCCGTGTGGGTGCACGACATCCGTTTCAAATTCTGCTAACACCTCTGGCTGCAATGTCACCGAGTGAATTCCGTACGCGTGGAAACATTGATTAATTGTTTTGGCAGTCTTCAGAAAGCTTGAGACCGACAGATCGGAGACAACAACATGGACTGATGCGAGGGTTTTCTGTTGATTTAATCGCCAGATATGCAGCTCGTGAACGGAGTGCACACCAGGAATCTGAATCTCTTTTGTCAGTCTCATGGCAATCCGTGGGCAAAGTTCTTACAGGTGACGAGCCCGGGTTGTTTGTATACGTACCGCCTCAAGATCGTGTTGCACGTCACTCAGATCGAGCCCATTTGGAGCGCTTTCCAAGAAGATCAGTCCGCATTTTCGTACTGCCAAAAAATGAGCCTAGTGCTACCTGTGCAAGGTTCCGGTGTTTTGGGTAACGGGGCCTTACTGAGTGGGATGGATGATAGCATGATCATCAAGGCTATTCCCATGCTGACGCCAGGGTCGGCATAGTACCGACCGTCGTATTTTGCCAGCCAGATTACCAGGGCGGCGGCAATAACACCAAGGTTATTGGCTGCGTCACACAGGACGTGGATAAGAACTCCCATCATACCAAGATCGCCGTGGTCATGCCCATGCCCATGCCCATGCCCGTGATCGTGGCAATGAGTGGAGATCGGGACATTATCTTTCTCGTGATGCATGTGTTTGTGGTCCTTGTGCTTGGGATTGTCAGTGAGTGAAGTGTGATAAGAGACACGTGAGATTTACCGTGGAAATGGAGTCCTCCTCATCGTCGCTAGTAGGCGAAAGTCCATCTTCAATTGTCAGTAGACTGTGATCATGACCGTGGGAATGATCATGGTCATGTCCATGTTCTAGAATTGGTCAGATAACCCGGGTCTTTGAACATTATGATGTTCTGAATACTCACCATGAAGGAAAAGTACGCTTATAATGTTAAGACCCAAGCCGATACATCCAATAACCAGGACCAGTTTGGGGTCCTCAATGCCTACACCAAGTCAGTAATATATCCAAGGGACAGGCTGCGACGGATACCGACGTTGCACAGCTATGAAACGCTCAATAGACTGCAAGAAAATGCTGATCCCCAGTGCAAACAAGAGAACACCATTGGAGAATGCACCCAGTAATTGAGCTCGTTGCCATCCAAAAGAAAGGCCCCTGGGGGACTCGCCTCTTTCTGAGACCTGAATTTGTGAGTGAATCTTCAATACAGCAATGATCAACCAAGTCCTACCTTCAACGCCACCAATGCGATCACGAAGCCCAGTAAATCATTCAACTGCGTATCATTAGCGAGTTCGGCTTCGAAACCCTGGGGAAAGAACTTGCATAGTGAAAGGCATCTGCAATCAACGCCAGCGAATGTGTATAGAATCCCACTGGGTGAAATCAGCACAATGGCACAGATTCAACAACAGCCCATGACTCACCTGAAATCTCTCCTAGAAAAAAACAAGTTGATATCCCAATAACAACAGATAGTCGCGTCGAGCGCGAAAACCGGAATGGCATGATCTGAATCGACGAGCAAGATAAAGCACCACGATGCCTTTTCCCCAAGTATCGAAAGCACACAATCGACTCACGATACAGCCGGGTCTTTAAGTCGTGTACTTTGAAAAAAAAGCAATGTTGACTCTACCAAAGTGGTCCAAAATGTGCAAAAAATGGTACACAGAAGGGCACTTCAAATCAACGTGAATATGGAAATAGGTGCAAATAGGGAAGGAGTGACCCGGGTATCTGGGGAAAGGGAGCTTTTGTTCCAGACCTTGAATACGATTGCCTCATGCTGGTCAAAAAGACAATGGCTGGGGCGTGTTGTATCGCTCATCGTGTAACTGTGGTCCAGTCCCGACCACCAGGAGGCACTGGCATGTAACGAGGATGCGGCATGGTATGCGGGAGCCCATGTCCACCTGGGTACCGGTACGCGCCACTCCAATTATTGGATGTTTCTGGCAGATTAAAGTTGAGATTCTGAATAATTCACGCGATGTTAAGTTTAAAAAGAACATTTGAAAACTTTTATTTTGTTTTATTGTGATCGTCAGTGATCAGTCTTGCGTTCATAAGATAGAACTGAACCTTACTTCAAGCCCGATGACATGTTCTAACGCGCGACAGGCCGGATTAGTCCATGGAAATAGTGAGTTTAAACCGTAATTACCATTTGCTACTCATGAAAACGTGGAAAAATACTAGAAAACAAAGCCAGGGCAAATGTTGAATGTTCCCAATGTATGAATCTTGAACAGGGTTCTAGGGATCAACAGGGGAATGCAGGCCCATACTCAGGCACCAAGGTACTCCAACTCTAAAATGTTCCCAACTGTCCAATTATGTCCAATCATTGGCAATCACTTATGTCAAAGCATTATCGGGGCTGTCACCCCCTATAGCATGACAATCATGCACATGTCTATTATGAACGCCGGTTTATACGAAGAGCAAGCCATGACTGGATCTATTCAATATGACTCAGTTCACAATTTCGAATTTTCGAGAATAAAAAGAACGCTCTAATAAATTATATCAAATCGTGAAATATAGTGCGTGAAAAGGGGCAATGCGCTTGAATGATTTTAAGCCGCAATTTGATCCGCAAGCCCATCCAGCTCACGCTGCCAGTTCCGGTGTCGCGACACGTGCCAAATAAATTGTTCCGCAAGACTCTTGGAATCGGGTCCGACCTCCTTAACGCCCAACGTCGCAGCTGCATCGCCATGACCGGTCACAACACCATAGGATTCCACTACAGAGGTCGTGCCAGGCTTGGAAACCTTAACTTCCTCCAATCCAACTTGCTTCGCGATGAAAGGGACTGCTTCGTTGATACCGGCAATGGCCTTGAGGTGGGCGAATGACTCGGTAATCCAGAACTTGGCCACACCATTCTTTGCCAATGCAGCAACATGCTTTCCGCCCGGCACAAATGTCGCGTCGAAAAGAGTAGATCGCATACCATTGAAAAAGTTGTCGGGGATGACCTTCTCTCCTGACTCGGCAACCACACCTTGGCGTTGGGCACCGATGGTGAAAACGAAAGCGTTACGCGCCTCGAGGGCCTCTTTCATGGCGATGTAGGACGCGTGATCGAATCCATCGGCGATCAAGATAGCGATTCGACGCGTCGCGATGGTGGGCGTCTCGGGCAGATACTCTAGCTGGCTGAGACCCTTGGCCGTTTGACCCTTGTTGGGCTTCAAGGGTTTCTTGGGTGTTTCTCCGCCGACGTTCTTGGCGACTTGCTCGGCGAGTTCGAGACTGACGGCGGCCACGCGCTCAGTCATACGCTTGTAGACAATTGGGTCGTCGCAATGATCCAGCTCGAAAGAGAAGGCTTTTGCGAGATGCATCTTTTCGATGGGCGAGAGAGAGTTATAGAAGGTCTGTGCTTGGTTGTAATGCTCCTTGAACTTCTCGGACAGGGCGCGCGCCTTGATACCCTCTTGCTTCTCGGGGTAGCTGGTGAATCCACCCTGAGCAGGCGTGGCAGGTGGGTTTGCTTCGTAACGGTTCGGCCAGTAGTTAACCGTTCCCTTAGTGATGCGGTGTCTTTGAGCGCCATCACGATTGACGAGACTCATGTATGGACAAACGGGGCGATTGACCGGGAGTTCTTCCCAGTTTGCGCCGAGACGGGAGATTTGGGTATCAAAGTACGAGAAGTTGCGACCCTGCAGGAGGGGGTCGTTGGAGAAGTCGATGCCAGGGACGATGTGGCTGGTACAGAAAGCCGCTTGTTCAGTTTGAGGGAAAAACTCATCAACATTGCGGTTGAGCTCCAGCTCGCCGATGTACCGGATTGGAACGAGCTCTTCTGGCCAAACCTTGGTAGCATCGAGTGGATCGAATTCAAAATCATCCACCTTCTCCTCGGGGATAAGCTGCAAACCGAACTTCCACTTGGGGAATTGACCCGCATCAATGGCGGAGATCAGGTCCTTGCGATGGAAGTCGGGATCCTGACCGCAAATCTTCAGGGCTTCGTCCCAAACCAGTGAGTGAACTCCCAGCTCGGGAGTGAAGTGAAACTTGACGAAATGGCGCTTGCCCTCTTTGTTGACGAGAGAGTAAGTGTTCACACCAAAGCCTTGCATCATCCGGTACGAGCGAGGAATAGCTCGATCAGACATTTGCTGCAACATGTTAGCAATCATGGATATCAAGAGTGGTTTAAATACCAAGAACTACCTACCCAATAGTTCATGTGAGTGGTCTCCGAATGCAAATAAACAAAGTCCCAAAAGTTGTTGTGTGCACTTTGACCTTGTGGTACCTCATTATGTGGCTCGGGTTTGACCGAGTGCACGAAATCGGGGAACTTGACTGCATCCTGTATGAAGAAAACAGGAATGTTGTTTCCAACAATATCCCAGTTTCCTTCGGATGTGTACATTTTCACTGCAAAGCCGCGTACATCGCGGACAGTATCTGCGCTACCTTTGCTACCCTGCACGGTAGAGAAGCGCAAGAAGAGAGGCGTAGTGCGACTGGTATCTGTCAAGACACCAGCTGTTGTGACATCCTCAGCGCTCTCAAATAACTTGAAGGTACCGAATGCGCCCGTTCCGCGGGCATGCACAACTCGTTCAGGGATACGCTCATGGTCAAATCGCATAATCTTCTCGCGAGCAATCTGATCTTCCAACAGCGCTGGACCCGTGGTCGAATCGCTTACTACCCTCAACGAATGGTCGGGGTCTGAGATCTTAATGCCATAGTCGGTTGTCATATGTTGCTTGGAATCTAATTCCACTGTATCCTTTGCCATGTCGGCGAGCTTGCCGCTTTCGGTCCTCGAATTTGTGTTGGCTGTCATATTGTATGTGATTTTCGATGATTGTGATAAATAGCAATAGCAAGGTGGTAACACAAGTGGTTTTAAATAGACGAATGACTTCCTCTACAGATGGCTATTTTATTCCAGTCAAATCTGGGCATTCTTAAAAAATATACAGCATCATCAGACCTCCAAGCAGGATATGGATGGGTCCTACGTCAATGATGTAACTCGGCCTCAGAACCCTTTAAGACATACCAATCACAACATCAGGAAATAAAATCAAAACGTTCCACCTGGATTATTCATTCCGAACACCTGGACAAACCGGTGGATCAGAAACCGGAATCTTTTCATAAAACATGCACAAAAGAGCTCCCGGTGGGTCCGGATACCTCCACAGGAGAGGTAAGGTTAAAGGCAACCTTGGAAAATCAACTCCCACGATGGTTTACTAATACAAGAGCCGTAGTAAGTACTCCATTAAATGATCGAACCATGACCCCGTATGACCCAGGTTGAGAATAATTGCCAGCCAATGCCAGGCAATTCTGTGCATAATGTATACCCACTTCACTTAAAACCTGCTATGTATGAACATGGCAGGGAAATATTGCGAATGCCGAGATGCCCATTGGTGGATTACCTTCCAACCAGAGCTTAATGTTAACAAGAAGGCTAATTTAGAAACTCATCTCAACCTTCCAAGTGAACTTTACTTATCAGGTCTTGACTTTTGATTTACTTGTGCAACATTTGAACCTTTTGAAAACGGCAAGAATCATTTTGGCCTGAGTTCCAAGGCCATTGACCCAACTTTTCCCCTTGACGTCATATTTAGGTAGCTCCCGTGGGGAATTTTTTCCGTTCACTTGAATCAGAGACTTGTACATACTTCAAAAATAGTACTTTATCATGGTAAATTTTGTTAATGTCGACTCTATATATGAACATTTATTTCAACATTAGCTCACAGCCAACTTCATTTCACCTAACTTCAATCCTTTCCATTGGAATTGATCACCACTCGTTGGGCTTCGAGGCTGCTGTTGTCCGCTTGCGAATCCTCATCCTCATCCTCGCTCGCATCCTGATTCCAATCGCCAAATACTGCTAGTATGGTAAACGGAATTGTGAAACCCCACAGGGAAAAGCCAAGAATCATTTGGTTCAAGTTGGACCAAGAAGTTGCGCCAACCGCATAAGCGATCGTGCTGCCAATAGATTCCCACGATCGTAGGATTCCCGTAGTTCTTGCAATATCACCGTCTCGCTGAGCGCCCTTAATTTCAGCCATCAGCCAATAGATGTAGGTCTGCAAGACCTCGTAGAAGAACTTGAAGAACATATAGACAGTGAAAGATGAGTTGAAAAAGGGACCATCACCCAAATCGAAAGTTGGTGGATCGGCCATACGAGAGAGCTTCGTCTGTGTGACGGCATTCCATATCCAAGCCGCAGTGACGAAGACAAGAACGAATATATAGACGCCTTTGGATCTTTTCTCTCGAGGGAAGTACTTCAGATCAAGGAGGATGCCTGTTGATATGTTGGCAATGGCGCCGACCACGGCTGTCAGGAAAGATGCCAGTGCTCTGGAGCGGACGGTAAAATATGCTAATTACTTGTTAGTCCTAAAGTTTATCAAAATAAGAGGACTGGACTGGAAACCATACTTGTCAAATAATTGCTTTGGTAGGTTGTACCAAACTGTCCAGCGAGAAAGACCGGGATAAGTAGTAACATGTACTTGTTCCTCAGCTGCTTCCAGATAGCACGCGCCTCGATAGCAAAACTTGTCTTTTTCATATACGGAATCTTGGTGCCATTCTCTCTGACGACATTCTGTGGCTGTGACAGAAGTAATGCAAATGGAGCTCCAAGGGACGAAATTGCAACGAGTCCCAGGTATGTTGTGTAGGTGACCTTGCCGACATGCGCGATGTTGATGTTGAGAGCAAGGGAAATCGCACCACCTACGAGGGGTCCCATTTGCCGAATACCCATCCAGATTCCAACGTACCTGCGAGTATATTGTTAGTCATTAGTAGATACGATAGGATAAATAGTGGATTCTCAATTGTAACTTACCGTCCTCTTTTCTCCTCTTCTGGATATCCGACAGCAATGGCAGCTTCACTAGCCCATAGAAGGGATGCCCCAATTCCACACAAAGCCGCTCCAAGAAGAAGAAACCATTCGTTACCATAGCGATTGTTACAATATAACCCAGCCGCATAGGGAGTATAAAATGCTGCTCCAATGAACAAGGTCCATTTCGCGGTGATTTTATTTGTGACGCCACCGGCAAGAAAACAACCTACTGACATAAGTCCATAAGTCAATGCATTGGCGGCATTGTTAAGTTGTGGCTTGAGTAATCTGTCAGTGTTATAATCCAGATGCAAGATGAAGACATTCGGAGAACCTACACTGGCGTTTCCGCCTGCTCCAAGATTGTTGAGGGCAGTCCAGATACCGGGTTCGCAGAAGGCGACCAGTCCCACAATGATAATCTGAAATAGACACGATCGGTATATCTCACGGACACCATCAAAAGCCATGGTGGGTGTGAAGAGCTCCTGGTGAAGGAACTTGGTGGAGAGGAGGTCACTAAGAACACATTGTGCTGACAGGTTCTCGTGTCGCTTTCTTATTCTTTACAATTTTTGGTCTTGTTTCTTGAAATAACATAGCACGCCAGGACCCATAATGATCGCGATATCTTGGTTTGTCTTTCGCACTCCTCTTCCAGAAACTCAATCTAGCTTAGTGCATGCATGCTTGGGATTCAACACATACCATCTGGACCCTTGGTAAAGGTCTAGATGCACAACAAGCCTATTGAAAATTAGCTATGCGCCATGACGGATAAGCAGCTTAGCGTTCAAGCCAAAAGGTTCACAGGCTGTTCTAAGAAAGATTACGCTTGGAAGCACGCAATGATCCACTTATATGGTAACTTTGTTTAGTGGGCGGGGGAAGGTCTTGGCCTACCATTCATGCCCTGAGTCGCATAGATAACGACCTAATTGCAGTGAATTCGCACAACAAAAGTGGGAGACTATGAGCAATGCGTAGTATTTGCTACTCTTTGATTGGATAATTGAATCTATGGTTTGGGCCTCTCCCTGGGCACATACAAAGCGCGCGTGGGGGTTCAAGACGAAAGTCTGCAGCCAGTCCTCTTCATCGACTCATTGAATGTAAGTGTGTCTCCACGAGAGATCTTCCATTAATGAGTGCAGAGACTCTTCCAAGATTCATGTCCATACATGCATTCATGGGGATTCCATTGAGATGGATTTACGATGATATGTAGGCGATCATGTATAAGGGGGGTGGGTGGTGGATGGCGTAGGTGCAGAACTCAAACAACGACACTCAACTTCACTAGCACATCAAAACCAGTATTGTATAGATCAGTCTGAGAACTGGGCTCTTGAAAAAGCACTTGCTGTTCAATCTGTACTCCCCGGAGTTCCGAGTCGCGTCAATCGAGATTGAATGCAACTACGGCCATGATAAAGATGCACTTAACATGAATTTTGGGACATTAAAATTACCAGCCTTGAGTCGGCTCCGATTTTGTACTGAGAATCTGCCAGGGGACAGATTATGAAGGGAATGACGCGAAAGGGTAGAAAGTCGGGGCTGGAGGGCCGACTCGGCCGAGGCCAGAGTCTACCCCTAAGCTATGCCTGATGTGACAAAGGTCTAGAACTCTAATTACCTAGTAGAGAGGAAGAGAACTAGTGCCGCTCGTGTGGCTTCCTTTGTTATGTACAGAGTACTGACTATTTGGTGTATTTTAATGCCACGCCTATTTCATAGGGACAGGGGGGAAAGGCCAATCATGATTGGTCTTGGCATCACGGAGCGCGCATAACGCTTACCAATTTCAAAAAAGGTGTGGTATTATTTTCAGACGGTGTGGCAGAAAAAACCCAAGTTTGAAATTCTTTGGTGAATCAAAACGAGAAATTTCACAAGTCGACATAACAGTTGAATAATTTGAGTCTGAAACCTCAGAGGATCTCTCGTACGTTTGATGTCTGTCTCCATAGCAAGTGAATTCAGTTCTGATGGAAACATGCCCATAGTGAACACCAGATCTAGTACGTAGCCTAATCAAATTCAGATCTCGCTTCCTCGAGTGATGTAAAGCCTAGTAGGTACAAAGTGGAAGGGAAAAACAAGTGCAATTGATCGAATACCTGTTCGCTTGGATGTCTGTTTCCGACCGCGCTGCTTTGGGTTCCACTCCACACGCAGTACGACTAACTCGAAACATTTGGACGGGGTTGGACCGGGAGATTCCGAGTCCACTAAGTATATACTTCAAACATCCATGGATCTGAAACGAGCTCGATCTATTTTCAGTTGTAGCACGCAGAGCGCAGAATGGGTAGCTCGAAGTAAGTCGAACTTGATTAGATTATTTTGCCTTTCTCGCCTGACGGATGAGGCAACCATTGTCATTCGCTTGTTTCGCTTAAGAGATAATCTGATGATCTGATTATCTGATTGATAACCGGTACCAACCTTGCTTGAGGGGAACTAGTCAAAAAAAAAATAGTAACGGGCGAAATCTTTGCTCCACTTGTGAACAGTTTCCTTGTTTACGATGCCTGGCTTCTTCCCGCGAGCTGGGAAGCTGGACCCAGACCCGCACCGTTGGACCGTTGGTATTTACCTCACTTTTGACGATCAAACATGATTTCCTTTGTTGTAAATGCTGCTACTTACCTTCAACAACGACAGCCGCTTAAAATGACTCCTCTGCGAGATATGAGCTAGCCTCATCACCACCCGGAAATAAACCGAACAAAGTGATCCTGCCTGCATATGAAGCTGAGCCCAGACCCACTACACCATGAAGGAATTAGCGTCGATCGAGCACGAGTGGTCTGAGTGGCCTGACTGACCCAAGTGCTATTTTCTCTTTGCTTTTTTTTCTCTCACTTTTAACCCTCAGTGGAGCCCTCTTACGCCAGTCAGAAAGAAGAATCTCCGCCCACTCATTTCAACGTGCAGGGCCAAGAAGGCCCCCGGTCGCCTTCTGCTCGTGCGAGAATGATTTCCGGTCGGCCATCCGACTTCGGTGCTAGTACGCTAGAATGGATAAGATCAGCCTAGCCTTGTTGCCCTGGGCTTCTACTTGGCATTGATGATGAGACTTTTCTTTTCGGGGCATTTGGCCATTTTTTAATCATCTACTGCTTGTTCGCCATTGCCATCCGTTATGGGTGTTCGACCTTTGGTCCGCAGAGGTCGTGCGGTCTGGCAACATCTGTCGAGGAAAGATGAGGGCGAAGATGGTGCTTCTATTCAAATGAGCTCAGTGCAGGAGGATAAGGTTGGAGTGGACTTGTCTGCCCCGCCAAGTTACAGTACTTCCGAACCTCACGACCAAATACCCGATGAATATGCGCAGAGAGGTGTTCAGGATGTCGAAGCTGTCACTATTACTTGGTCTAAGGGGATGTTGATTGGAGTGTTTATCAAGTATGTTAGCTGATTTGGTCGCGTGTGATTGTTATTTGTTTGTTTTTGAATTCATACTGACATGAAATCTATAGTATCTGGTTCCTGTATTTTGTCAACGCATTCATTTTAACGATCCAGAACAGTCTCAATCCGTATGTCACAAGCTCTTTTCAAGCACATTCGCTATCAGCTGTTCCCACAGCGGTCGGCGATGTTCTGGCAGCTGCCACTTATCTTCCCATGGCAAAAATGATGGATGTGTGGGGTCGAGCAGAGGGAGTTCTTGTTATGGAACTCTTCCTGGTCATTGGATTAGTTTTGATGGCATCTTGCAATAGCTTTGAAGCTTACTGTGCCGCAAATGTAAGTCTTGCCGAGTTGTACCGATGTCTACAAATACTGATTTCAGATTTGGTTAGGCCTTTTATTACACAGGTCTCTATGGACTGGAATACGCAATCGATGTTGTGACAGCCGATATCTCAACGTTACAGAACCGTGCTTTTGCTTACGCCTTCACATCGTCTCCGTATATCATTACAGCTTTTGCGGGACCAAAGATTGCTGATGAACTTTATTACAATGTCAACTGGAGATGGGGATTTGGCATTTGGGCAATTGTTGCCCCTGTTGCCGCTGCCCCTCTGTATTTTATGCTCAAGTATAACCTACACAAGGCCGAGAAAGAGGGTCACCGCATCAAAAGGCCAAGCGGTCGGACAGTGTTTGAGAGTATTTGGCATTGGACGGTTGAATTTGATGGTAAGTGCCCATCATCTTGTTTTTCTTTTCCGGAAAAGTCAATTCTCACATGGAACTTAGTATTTGGAGTTTTCTTGTTCACGACCGGCCTCGTGCTGTTTGAGCTGCCTTTTGATATTGCAGATTATGCACCTCATGGCTGGGCAACAGGTTATATCATCGCCATGCTTGTTGTTGGGTTCGCCATGTTGTTCGTATTTGCAATCTGGGAAATATGGGTAGCCCCGGTACCGTTGGTAGGGAAAGAGTGGCGCGTGCTTGCGAACCGCACTGTCATCGGCGCAGTCCTCTTGGATACAACGTACCAGGTTTCAAATTATTGCTGGAGTTACTACTTTACCTCATGGCTCCAAGTCAACAATGATCTGACGATTACAACCGCGAATTATGTCGATAACATCTTTGATATGGTGTCAGGCGTGCTTCTACTCTTCCTTGGTTGGATGATCCGCCGGATTGGCCGTTATAAGTGGACCCTGTATATCGCCGTCCCGTTATACATCTTCACTCAGGGGTTGATGATCTACTTCCGACGCCCCAACATGAATGTTGGTTACCAAGTCATGTGCCAAGTCTTCTTAGCAATTGGTGGCTCCATCTTTATTCTCACCGAGCAACTGGCTATTTTAGCTACTGTGGATCACCAACATGTTGCCACTGCATTGGCCATATTGAACGTTGTGGGTACAATTGGTGACTCTGCAGGCCTTACCATCAGTACCGTTATCTGGCAAAACACATACTTGAAGGGTCTCTACCGATACCTCCCCGAGTCAGCCATGTCAAACCTGGAGAACATCTACGAGAGTCTCCCAGTGCAACGGGGTTACCCCGTTGGGTCTGCGACCAGAGAAGCCATTCAGAAAGCGTATGCTTACGCTGAGCTCAGGCTACTGGCAGTTGGATGTGGTATCATAGTCTTGGCAATCCCCTGGACCATCATGATCAAGGATGTGGACCTCAAGAGGAGGCAACAGACCAAGGGCATGGTGTTCTAGGGTGTTATAATCTATTATTGAGAGCGCACAATTAATGGCAATTAAAACGGTCCCCTCTGTACCTCATTTGAATACCTGTGGTATTTTGATACATAGTATCTAACAAATGTAGTAGTAAAAATTGCAAGCAGCATGGTGATATTTATGAGGTAAAAAAAGGTAGACGGGAATGAGGGGTGGTTGAAACAGCTTACTACAACTGACCATTTAAATTCCACGCCCCTTTTTGGGGGAACACAGAAATAGGCCAATCAGGGTTGGTCTTGGCATTTTGGATCGCGCGCATCCTGCCAAATCTCAATCCAGGATGTGGCAATATTGTCACATGGTGTGGCAAATAACCCAGATCACAAACAACGTTGGAACGTTTGAAGAGCCTCCAAACTTCTATGATTAATAAAAGCACCATAAATCTTTTCAGCGATTCTGGGCCATTGGCATAGCTACTACATAGCCCTTAGCTTATTGTCGGTTTATCTCAAGGTTTCTCCAATACTGCATCATCATCCGTACTAGTATGAATTAAAATTCGATAGCTTTGGGGGACTCATTTGACATTTCAATTCACCGGGCCTATACAAAACCCCATCAAACATTTAAAGGCCCGTTCAATGAAAAGTACCGCCGGGGTAAGTTGTCTCGTGCACACGCGTCACAAAAGCTGGTGGGGTCTCCGTTCGCTTATAGGTTACGTCAAGTGGGAATGATTTTCTCTACACGAGAATTAAAATTTATTTATTATGGAGATTTTTATGGTCCGACAGAATGGCATCGGGCCGAAAGAACGCCGTTCGGCACTAGAATGAGTTTACATAGTGTGTTGGAAATGACAGTATTTTTCAACAAAATTCCATGCTGCTTGGAAATTGCAAAGAACCGAACCCCTCGCATCTAGATTCAACGTAAACGCATGTACGCCAAGGTGGCGCAGACGCGAGATCGGAGATAGATTAAATAGTCCAAACACCGCTCTGGGCGCGCAGGGCCAGATTCACTGAGAGCGAGCTGGAGTGGAGCCTTGGCCATATGCACAGCGTGAGCAAGAAACCCCACTACCCGAACCAATGTTAGTGCACCTTCTCTTCCTTTCGCGCTCAAAAGCCTGGAATGCCCAACAATTGTTGCTTTGGTAAGGAATAGCTCTTGTGCTCCTGCCATTTTCCCGTTCACCTCTTGGAACCAAAGACCATATAAACGAACGGATGACGAACAACTTCGATGCTTCATATCCGGTAGTTCGAATCTTACGGGGCACCGTCTTCACTATGAATGAACAAGATAAAAAGCTGGCGGGATATGACTCTGATCACATTGAGTCCCAGGAGGAAATTATTTACGACCACAATGGGGGCACCGAAAGTGTGAAGGCGGGCACTCTGGCAGCATTGGTTGAGCATCTGACGCGCCACGATACGCTGGACGCCGTCTTCAATCGCACATTTCTTACGACGTACAAGTATTTTATCTCGACATCCGCGCTGATTGATCTTCTTATCGCTCGATTTGATTCTCTTCCATCTAGCGAAGTAGACGAGACAAGACCACTAATACGAGTACGCGTGATCAACATCTTGAAGCAGTGGCTCGAGCACTTCTGGACTGAGCCCAAGAGTTCTGAGGCCGATCAGAATCTGTTGAGATTACGGGAATTTGCGTCTCGCGCTACAGTCGCGACGGAGACAAGCGCAGTTGCCCAGCTACTTGAAATTATTCAACGTCGAATGGCGGGCATCTCTCACATGAAAGTATCACGGCTATCCATGTCAAATCCACCTAAACCGATTCTTCCACGGAAACTGGACAAACTTTCATTCCTCAAAATTGACGCCAAGGAGCTTGCTCGTCAGCTCACCATTATGGAAGCACACGTCTTCGCCAAAATACAGCCAAAAGAACTCTTGAATAAATCATGGCAAAAGAAACAGAGCTTTACAGATCCCGAACCGGCACCCAACATCCGGGGTCTAATTCAATACTCAAATCAACTTTCAAACTGGGTTGGGGCCTTGATCTTGGCTGAATCTGAAATGAAGAAGCGGGCTCAAATAATAGGACATTTGGTAAATATAGCAAACGTATGTACTCTCCAAATACCTAGCCCTTTTTTGAAAAATGAGATTCGTATAAATACTGAAACGAACCTGCTTTATAGGTATGCCATGAGCTCCAAAACTACTCCGCCGTAGTATCTATTCTATCAGGATTTCAAAGCGCCCCCATCTACAGACTGACTCGCACATGGGCTATAGTCACTGAAAAATGCTGTAATATCCTAAGGCCATTACAAGCCTTGACATCAAGCACACATAATTACGGTGCCTACCGCAGAGCACTACGCACCGCAGTACCGCCTTGCATACCCTTTCTCGGTCAGTCACACTAGCGGAAAAGCATGCTCCGGGCTCTCAAACACAAATTAACAAAAGAACAGGTCTATATCTGAAAGACCTGACCTTCATCGAAGACGGAAACCAAGCATTAACACCGGAAGGCCTGATCAACTTCCACAAATACACAATGCTAGCCGCATCTGTTGACGAAATTCAGCGCTTCAAAGAAGCACCTTACTGTCTTCAGCCTGTCCCGGAGTTACAAGAATTCCTCGCATCCAAGTTACAGTCGGCGACCGGACTAGACGAGATGTGGGACCGGAGCTGCGAACTAGAGCCGAAGGGTCGCGGAGAAACAAGACCCAGAGATTTTTATACCCCGACCGGAGGCATGACGACCTCCATGGTTGTTGCCTGTATGGTTTTAGATGATTGATGACCGATGAGACGTGATGCGATGCCAAGCCTTGGAACCTTGAAACTTCTCCTTTCCATCTTTGCGTTTGATTTTGGGCTCGGTTGAAGCGTCAGTGGCCATAAAATTTTGGTTTTGGGTTTTGGGTTTTGAGCTTAACCTTTGTGGCGCAGTGAATACATGGATCCGAGCGTTTCTCAAAGAAGGTTTGTTATTATCTGATCCGAGGCATGGTAATCGCGTCGTTGGATTAAAAGGTATTCGCACCTAATGAACGGATCGTCCATGCTTGCTGCCCGACAGTGGAGTAGAGTGCAAGAAAGCGGAGGGCAGGTGTTCTCTTCAACTGTGATGTCTGTAATTTAACAGGCTATACGGCGGGGAATGTGATGTATGCCACGCGAACTCTCTATTCTAGTGGATTTGCGATCAGCTAGACTAGTGGATATTCAGGCCCTGCATTTCAGTTCTTCGCACTTACATTCCGCTTTCAAATGTGAGCTATGCCAGGCCGATAATCGGATCAGATAACAATTTGGGTTGTGGGTTTAATAAGCTAGCCGCTCGTGCCGTGTCAACTCCACTTTTGGTGGGTTGTTTCTACTGGGTATTAGGCACCACATGAAGACTAGTATATACTCGGTAAGGAGCAAATAGGATAGTTGACCCTGAACTCTATCTTGTTTTCAAGGAAGGATTTCATTATGAGGAGCCTAAGGAAACGCTAGATTTATTCGGGTCATTTATACGATGAAGGTTTGGGCATCATGCATTTTTGATCTCTCATGTACGACAATACGACGCCGAGCAGGTGCTAGGTAAAGAATCTTTAACCTTGGAAGGTAATGGCATTCATCCAGATGCGTCCAGATGTCAAATTAAATGTTGATGCCGCTTGGCATCTCCATGTGGAATCACCTCTATTCTGGCTGAGCCCAACACCTACACCTAGTATGTCGATTTGACTTCCCTTTCGCGTGCACAGATACCGCAACGCTTACTAAACGGCCAGACTCTAGTTACATACTATATGTACCTTCTACCCAATCCGGAACGCATGGATGTCAAACCAATATAGCCCTGTTTTCCCGATAGGTTGGCTTGCAAATATGGATATCCACTCATATACTGGCAAGGACCTTAGATATAAGCATAAAGAGTAAAGGTCTTGCCAGTGCCGGCTTTATCAGAGACTTCGTGCTAGTACATGAGCGGAAATCCATATTTGCAAGCCAACCCATTAGGAGAACAGGGCTACATTGGTTTGTCATCAGTGCTTTCCGGATAGGGTAGAAGGTATGATATGTAGAACATTCCTGGCCGCTTAATTCATAGCGGAACCACCACACAACATTGAGCATGTGATCAAGAACCTTCTCCAGACATCCCATCAAAGATCTGTACGATTTGTAAGGTCATTCAGCCTCTTCAGCAGTTCTGCTCCGCCCGAGGCGCCCGTGAAACCGAACGATGTCAAACCTATCGAGATAGGTATAAAGCACCAGCACCAGCTGCTGGTGCATTCCTGTATCGACAAAGGTATCGTTATCTACCGGGGTCCAACATACAACAAAACCAGAATGTCCAAAGAAAGAACTTGGGAATAAAATACAAATATATGCAAGAGAAAGAAATGCAAATGCCGCTTGACTCGAAACATCTATCCTATCTACATGTTATCTTCGCTCCAATGACTCCTAGTCTTCTTCCAAGCCTCACGATCCTCCTTACTCCCCTGTTCACCCATTCCAACTCCCATCCCGCGCTCAACCCACTCCTTACTTCCCATCTCCGCGAGTCTCGACAAGGCACGCGCAAACGCAAACCGCTCCTCATCACCACTGAAGATAGAAGTATTCTTGAGTGCCTGCACCGACATACCCAAATCGTCCATAAGATTGCGCATAGCATCGGACAGGTCAGAATGGTCGCCACCCTTCATGGAGTCCTTGATATCAGACGCAGAGAGGAAGAGGTTGGTGAGCGGGACTTCGGTGGTGAGGACCAGCTTCGCGCGGCTCTCGTATACGGCATCGATGAATGTGATGAATCGGCGGGCAAGATCACGCTGGTTCAGATTCATACCCGGAACATCGGTGATAATGAAGCCGTCGTAGTGGCGGACCAGCTCGAGGTAGTCTGCTGCGCCAGTGGCTGTGCCGATGAGCTGGTTGAAGGTGAATTTGGCGGCTTTGCCGCTTGCGAGGGGTACTTGGATTTTGCGGCCCCAGACTTCTTGGGTTTCTGCGTGGGGTGGGTCGTTGATTGGGTCGCCGAGGTAGTCGAACCACTTTTGGGCGTGGGCGTTTGCGTCGTCACCTAGTGGGTGGTGATAGACTGCGGCTGGAGGACGGGGGATTTTACGGTAGTCCGTTGGTGAGTTTAGGTTGATGACGTTCAGTTGGCTTTTAAGGAGGTTGATGCAGGGGATGAACGATTGGCGTTGGATGCCGTTTTTGTATAGGTCGTCTGGGTGACGGTTGGACGTTGTGATGACGGCGACGCCGTGAGACATTAGAATCTCCAAGAGTCTAGTTGACAATTAGTGAACCGGTGAGTTTCATGTAAGACGGGACAGGAACTCACCTGCGCAAGATCATCGCGTCGGCGACATCGGTGCACTGGAATTCGTCGAAGCAGAGCACGCTGGCGGTCTCGGCAATATCTGCAGCAACCATGGGCAACGCATCAAAGTCGTTACCGTACTTCATCTTGACAACATGCATGCGCTTATGTACATCCTGCATGAAGTTGTGGAAATGGATGCGAGTCTTGGTCGTAATATTGGGTGGCAGGGTATCGAAGAACAGATCCATCAGCATGGTCTTTCCACATCCAACATCGCCAAACATATAAAGACCCTTGGGAAGGGACTCGGGTATCGCTGACTTGTCCTCCTTGTTGCCACCGCGGTTGAATAACGATCCAAAGAAAGATTGCTTGGGTTCAGGGTCCAGCGACTCGACGGTAGGGTGGATGACCTTGGGCGCGGAATAGTCCTTCAGAGCCTCGAACAAGTTCTGCAGGTTCTGGATAATTGCTATATAGAAAAAAAAATACTAATCAGCTCGGAGTCCATCAAAGACAGCAGCGCTGCGGTTGTGTCTTGTCCTCGTAATCTCGACTGACCTCTTTGATACGGGTCATCCCGCAAGCGACCTTCCTGCACGCGATCATCATACTCCTTCATGGGCCCATCCTGCGGGGGTCCAGACACCTTCTCAACACCCGCATTCTTCGCCGTCGCATCGCTGGTAGTAGCCAGGCCCCGGGCTCTCTGCGTCGGTCGCAATGGTAGCTTCTCGCCCACAAATCTGCCTGTAGACAGACTGCATGGCGATGTCCGATCCCGACGGGTAGCAGAAGAGGAGATCCCACTCCGCTGGGCGACGTAGGTCCGCTCACGGGCAACACCAACGCCCCGCAGTGCCCGGGACGGCCGCAAGGAGCCCGGGAAACACTCGGCGCAAAGCTTGGCAGACGGCCGACTCATTTGCGATTTCGATATTGCTATGTGTATATACGACTCAAAAGACAGAATTGGGGCTTGGGGGCGCGTGATATTGTCGGGATGTTCAGGTGAGGGCGTAGCCGAGGTGTCGCAGGAATTGTTTTTCTCCGGGGAAGCGGCAAGCGGCGTACAAGTGGATAGAGATGCTGGCAAGTAGGCGCGAATATAGAGGATTGAACAAGTTCGGTGGCAGGCGCACTGGTAAGTGAGATTACCAGGCCAAACGAGCGTAAAATCTCACAATATCTACAATGGAGAAAGAATGTACTAATCGGAATGCAATCAATGGCTGTCAAGGCGAGAAAAGAACGGGCCGATGAACCGAGTCATGTGACTCGGAAGTAGATCGGTTGTTATCGGCGAACAGAACTGGACGCCGGGAGGTTGCCGAACAAAAAAACATATAATTTAGGTGATCCAAGGTGAAAGTTTTAATAAAATATAACATAAATTGTTAGATAAGAACTAATCCTTTCCTGGATATGCACGATAAGAGATAGGCGCAATAAAATATGTACATGTCACCGAAGCACACAGACAGGGGTATATAACCCGAGAACAGATATCTTGTCGCATATGAGAAATGAAGAACAGATGAAAATGGAAGGCGAAGAAAGAAACAAAGCCTCGGAACAGGATCACGCAAGCATTTGCAAGAAAAGAAGGCCTGGGGGAAGATAAAAACCCATACCATACATCACGCATCATATTCGTAACACCATCCTCTCCTTCGAAAAAGAATTATAGCAGAAAACGAAAACAATTTCAAGTGCAGAGCGCTGAAAGGGCTGATGGAGCACAGAGAATGTCGAAAATGGAATGCCCGAACTCCGATGCGCCATACTCGTTGAACTTCCATGGGGGAAAAAAAAACAAAGAAAAACAAAAACCGCAAAACATGAGTCGTGCCAATTGGTCCAACTCTTGCACCGAGCACGACTAGTCTATCGCAACACTTCAAAACGACTGCTTTTGGATTCATGCAATGCTGACGAATAGAGTGAGCTTCGTATTGCGCTGCATTGCATTGTCCAGATCTGAGTCGGAGAGCAGGTCGATGTAAGTGCCGGTAGATTCATCCTTGTACTGCACGATGATGTCTTCCTGAATCTTTAGACGATCTGAAAGCTTATCCTTGAGATGTTGCATGCTGACGCCGTTAGGTATACGGATGGCGATCAGGTCATCCTGGAAGAACACCTTGACCTTCATGGCGGTGTTTGAGGTAGAGGAGACCTGGGTGAGGGAGCTCGCCTGTCGGTTCATTGGGGGCGGAACACCATTGCCGTAAGGCGCTGAGCCTGGTGCACTGAGGTTCTGTTGTTGTTGCGAGATTCGATCTTGCGACGCATTCATCGGCATCTGAGAGGACTGTCGCGACACACTCTGACTGGGCTCCGCTCCGGAGGAGTGGTGAGAGTTGTCTGAGTAGCGCGCCTCCTCACCAAATGCGTTCGGGTCGATTTCGAAGTCACCCTGTCGAGGCGCAAGAAGCTGGCGAACCAATGTGCAACGCGCAATGTGCGGGGGCATGGCCAAAAGCTTCTTTATGTACTCGTCCAAGTTCTGGCGACGGCCATTGGAAATAGCATCGGTCACATGGGTAACGGGGCCAGGCATGAATGGCAGCGTGCGTTGGCGTCCACGGTTACCGGCCTCATCTTCGAATTGGGTCAAAAGCGCGATTTGGAAGTCATAGAAATCATGGTAATAACGTGACAGTTCCCAGCATCGACCATCTTCCATTTTCGCCTCAATAATATACCAGTACTTGTCATTGTCGAAACAGTAACGGGGGATGGAAGCGGCGACAGGGGCGAGCAGCGGGTAGTTTTGCGCGGGCGCCTGTGAAGGTTGTTGAGCTTGCGAGGACAGAGTACCTTTACTGGCATTGCGCTGGTGATATCCCTGCGGCGAGTGAATCAATTAGCAAGGCCGCATCCACTGAAAGCGAAAAGGAATTGGTGTCAAAGACTCACGTAGGTATTGCCATTCTGGCTCATGTGGCCAGAGTTCCCAGAGCTCATGGACATCTGGTCCATTGCGCCAGTCATTTGTCCCATGCCGCTGTTGGTGGGGGAAGAATCGATCTTGCCCAGGGTGATGCTGCTGTTCTTGTATTCGGCAGTCATCTTCTTCCACTCCTCCACCTTTGGGACTCCAGCGCGTCGCACAGCTTCAAGGGGGTCAGTGACGGCCTGACCTGATTGCATGTCGCGCAGCTCGATATAGGAGACGGGAATCAAACCAGGCCCGCCGAGGCGGCCGATGGGTTTCGCGACAAACCATTCCGGGTTGGATTGAGCAATAACAATGATGGCCTCGCCGGCGCGAGCGTCCAACTCGTCGGGTCGCTCCGCCTGAAAATCGTACTGGACAATACCATAAACCATGGCGCCCTGGCCCTTGGCAATGGCAGACATCCTGAAAACTGGCTGTCGGTTGTTGTTGGGAGAAGAGTCAGGAGCGGGACCGCGGTCGGCGAAACCAGAGTCGTGGTGTTCCTTTTTATGCAGATCGACCGAACCCCCACTATCCCTTTCGTTTTTGCCGATAACTTCGAAGAAAGACACGGGCACGAGCCCCCGGGCACTAGGGATGAGTGGATTACAGGCTTCGTACCAATCTATGTCGTCTTCCCTGCTAATAACGTGAAAGAAATCTCCCTTGCTGAAAGCCAATTCCTGGAAGGTGCCGGGTTCTGGTTTGTAGTCGTAAAGGGCTTTGATGACCTGCGCGCGTACACACGAGATACGGTTAGCCACTAGCCAAGCGCGGGTTACACACAAGGGAGAAAGAGGGGCGTCGTTTTTTTTTTCCTCTCTGGAATATTGAAATTGTGGAACTCTTTTTTTTGCCCCCTCTCCTCCTTTGGTGGCTGGGTGGGGGGCAAGGCAAGACGACGCGATTGCTCTAACCGGGGAAGGAAAGGGAAAGGGAAAGCATCAGGGACACTCACCTTCTTAGGAGGTAGAATGGCAAGGGCGGACTTAGGGGTAATGGAGATGTGGTGGTGATGATGCTTTGGATCTTTGTCGCCCTTCAAGGACCGCCTGATAGCCTTTAAGGATTGCGGGTTAATTAAATGACACACAATACCATCTCAAAAGTTGGTAATGTTTCAGTGGCGGGGAGAGAGAACTCAGAAGAGATGAAACTTACCTTCATGTCGACCGAAGACCAGGCGTAGTTCAAGGATGAAGAATTGTCAAGATATTGTAGGAGAGTAAAGAAGAAGAAATAAGAAATGAGGATGTTTCTTTTTGGGAAGCACGAGCGCGTTACTGAGCAAAGAAAGCAGACGCCGTGAGTGACCAAGGATGTAATCAGCGTATTGCGGTTCCAACCACAGGAACGGGCTGGATTGGGATAGAGGTTGGTGTTAAGGCCCGCTTTTTTCTTTTTCTTTTTTTTTCGATTTTCTATTTTGTACTTTCTTTCTATAGAATAAATATTAAATTCTATTCTATTCTAAGGTCAAGGTACATGGGAAGTGCATGTAAAATCCTTTATATGGATCCCCTCCAAAACCTTCCAGAAGCCTACGTCAACCAGGGAACCCGGACCGGGTTCCTAGCTGTGGCAAAAAAAAAAGAGAGAACAAAAAAAAAAAAGGAAAAAATACAGAGAAAAAGAAAGAAAAAGAAAAGACGAACAGATAGTAGCTGAATGATGCATGAATTCTAGATTTCCTGATTTCCTGATTTTCCTTTAAAGCATCCACTTATATAACTGACATGAGTTATGGGGTACAGTTAAATTAGATTGATCAAATGCCAGCTGAAAAAAAACGAGCCTTAAATTGATGTAATTTAAATGACAATACCAGTACCTGAGTTCCGGGAATCTCCCTCGTTGGGCAGAACCTCCACCTCCACAATCATCGCGGCGGCTAATCCATCAATCATCCCTACGTTATTCTCCTTTCTCATCTCACTGGTTATCTTTTAATATCCTTACAAACCACCGCAGAACGCTGATTTGCACATTTCCCGAGCGCAAATCTCGTGCCCCAAAATCATATCCAAGATTCCATGTGTCCAGTGTTCATGTGTCCATGTGTCCAATACCATTCAATCTTCGCCCCCACCTCTCTCCTCAGCCAGCTTCCGTGGTCCGAGAACCGCTAGGACCGTGGATCTCGGCCTCCCAGCCCAAACAACGCTGTGATCGTCTTTGAGTGAACCTTGGAGTCCCCGGGAAAGCCATCAACAAAGAAGATTGAGAGACTTTGAAAGACCATATACAAAGAAAGTCACTTGTTATTGAGACATTTATTCAAGCTTGTTTCTTCGAGGGAGAAATCTAGAACTACATAGACAAACATGAAATAAGTAATTAAAAACGTCAGGTTTAGATCCAAATAAATTAAAATTCTGAGACTCGCATGCGCGGCTTCTGCACTGGCCCGATGAACTACAGCCTAACGGAGCTTTTCCAGTGGGCCGCATGCCAATTCCCCTGGGTGGCTTCCAGGAACGAAATACGCCGACATAATCATCGAGATAGAGTTGATCATGTCTTTGCACATCAGGGTTCATGGGGGAAGTATCTTGGGGGCCAACAAGTGCCAACGCATGGGAATCCTTACTAATGTACTACCATATTGGGAGTTGGCTGTACTGGTACTTGTTTCTCCGTATAAGGGAGTGAAGAAGATCACTACCATCAACCGTCAACCATATTGGGTCAAGACAGCGCCGATCATGGGGGAAAATATGATGTCAAGGTTTCCTGATTGGATTTATTTACCAGGGTCAGTAATGATGGCAACGCCCTTAATGTTAATGTAGGTTTTTTTTTTTCTTAAAAAAAGAATCCGCCCTTGGATACCCTTGATTCACTAGCCACAAGTCTATTTGCTAGTGAATCACCTGGTCCTAAGACCCTTTAGCGCGTTACGACAGGGTCTTTCTTAATGAGGCAAATGCGATAAACGACTTAATTTTAGCAACTTGCCTCGGTATCCCGTACTCGTACGGAGAGTACTTGTAGTGTAGTATCCGTAGTTAATCTATCTCCCCCGCCAACATTGTCAGCCTAGGTCATGTCCCCATGTCCCCATGACACTAATGGAAAACGGTACACGCCACTTGTAAAGAGCCCCTCTCTGCCCAAGTAGTTGCCATGGGCGTGGGCCCCACGTGGGTAATGAGCCGTTGATGGACTATTGAAGGTTGTTTGCTCGAGCCGAGAGTAGCGTGGAGAGCCAAAGTAGAATAACCTTGCTAGGGTTACGCAAAATCTGGGGGCAAATTACCAATCGTCTTTCATACGGAATACGGATCCATAGGTCAAAAAAACCCCCAATGCCGAACGCAATTTTTAGGTTCTGGATTTCACGGCAACCTCGGAATTAAGGCACCCATCGGTAGATCAATCAACCTACAATCCCGATGCCCAAGTTCAGCCCAAAGCTTGTACCAGTGGCAAAATATATGAAATCATTCTTGAATATGGGATTCATGTTGAATTTTTGGTTCTGAATATGCTCTGGTGTAAATGATGTAAAATGATATCTACTCAGGCCAGTCATCACCCACATGCGTTCCATCGCCAAACCCCATTTCATCTTCTTGATGGCGAAAATGCCAGTGGGTATTAGTATTGCCATGGGTCGTGCTGGGGGATTCTGGCTTTTTGTTTCCAAATGTAAAACTCGAGGAGGCTGAAGATGTCGGCAAAAAAAAAAGAACAAAGCTGGAAAGGGGGAATCGGAAATAGATAATGATGCCACTCAAGGGAGAAGTTGAGGATGTGAGGGACCAAAATAACGCCTGTCGCTCCGAAAAAGAACGTAATGGACAGTAACATAAAAGAAACCAAGGAAACCACGGCGGACGCAAATATCAAAACTTGAGTGACCGGCCTAAATGTGATTAACTTGAAACTCCCCGGACGGGAAACTCGGGATTTATCCCGGCTTTAGATCTGCCCTTTGATATCGACGACGCGGTGAGCTTCTGCCTTGGCTTGTTCGAATAGCCCACCCGCTTTGCCAGTCAAAAGCCTCACAGTTCCGCTTTTCTCTTCAAGCAACTCCGCGGAGGAGTTGTCAATGACAAAACGTGCGGTCTGCTCATCGGACTCAAAGCCCAGCTCTTCGGTGATGAACCGAATATTCACATCAGGCTTGTAGCTGTTGACTCAGTTAGTAATCATGTATATTCTCAATTTCCAAAAAAAAGCATTGGATGGAACGATAAAGGGTTCACTCACGCTCTACAGATGGCGGCAAGAGCACTCAGCCGCTCACGGTCCACAAACATGTCCATGAGGTACGCACCCATATTGGGGGTGTCCAGATAAAGCATGAAGAACCGATGATAGTTACCAAGCGCGAGAGCAGAGCGGACGTTAAGCGCGTGCTTGACAGCAAGGTCTTTCTTGTCTTCAGCGGTTACGTCGGCTAACGTATCATTCATAGCGGTCCAATTTCGGGTGTAAATGAAATAAAGAATACGATATGCTTTGAATTCCGTTGGGTGGCCACCCAGTTGCTGCGAGTAGAGAACCCGCAGCTGGGTTTGGCACTGGTTGTACTCACCAAGATCCCCTTTCTCCAGGGCGATGCGGGCATGGATTTCATAAACAGACACGGTGAATTCATTCCGGATATGCTGGACGGTCAAGTCCTGGCGAAGGGACTTGAACTGGTCACAGATGTAACCATAGTTGCCCTCTTGCTTCCACTTCTTCTTCAAGAGATCCAAGGTTTTTGCCAAAACCGGCAAAGGACGAACAGTATCCGGATTTGGGGCAGAAGTTAGACGGAAATAGTTTTTCTCTAGGGTCTGGCATCGTCCAACGACAGGTCCCTGATCCACTTCGGGCTGGGGAGATGAGGTGGCAGATTTCCCATAAGTGGCACCAGCCCCCTCGAACCGCTTCTTCCTCATCTCCAAATTAGCTTTGGACTTACTAGACGTGTCCAGTTCCATGCGGCTTTTCTTCTCTGTTGTGGGTTTAGTGATTCGGTCTTCAAAACGATTGCGATTGTTAGTTTTTCTCCACGGTGGCGAGTCAGGCTCGGACTGTTGTTGGTGGATGTCTGTCGATTTGCGCTTACGCGAAGCGTCTCCGGGGGATGCGGGCTGGCTGGACATGGCCCAACTCGAAACGCTGGGGTTGGCCAAGATCTTATTCCGTTCGTTTTGGATTATGACCTGGGGTAGTTGCAGCCTTTCCCAGTCGATTGCGTTAAGTCGATCCTTTTCGGCGGCGTTTGTGATGACTTCTCGTAGCTTCTCCTGCATTTCAACCATGCTCACGCTGGCGATCTGATTCTCAGGAGCAAAGCATCGCTGCACATAGGTGCGAATAGCAGGAGAGAACTCCACTCGAGGCTGGGACATATCCGGTGTCGATGATGAAGGTTGGGGTGCTCCGTTCGAGGCTGAGAGGTTGGTCTTGTTATGATGATTCAGACTACGACGGGCTTGTACTGGAATATAGGCGGGTGCTGCTGTATTCGAGTCAGCGCTGTGATAGAGTTGGAGTTCTTCTCTTCTCGGCTTACCAGATGGGAAAGCTCCTGCAGTAGAAGGAGCCACAGCGGTCGCTCGCCAGGGAGGGATGCTGGTATTCATTCCAACTTCTAAGAAACAAGTTGTTGATGACGCAAAGATATAAACGAGATGAAAGAGATGGAAGAGATCGAATGAGACGAGAGAAAAGAAGACGGCTACGTTGGGAAGGGGGGGGGGGGGAGAGAACAGGGAGTGGTCGAGGAAAAGGGTGACAAGGAGGAAAATAAAAAATCCTACGCCACTCGAGGTATTTGACGGAGAGTGAAAGTTGTGATTTGGATTCGAAGGTTTGAGAACGGTGTTTAGGACTTGGAAGACACGGTGAGAGTGGAAAACACACAAGAATCGAAGGGACGATCAGCCTTTCGCTTGGCGGGAACATTAGTTTCACCGGATCCCGACATCTATGCTTTATCTGTTATCGCAAGCCAAGCCAGAGCTCCCACGTCGTGTGAACCTGCTAGATGTTTTTCAAGTCTCTAGACCTGACAACTGCGTTGAGACCCTTGCTGTTACCTGACGAGACTCTTCTCTTTGTCCAGGATGCGGTGGGGCTTTATGAAGGGTAGGTAGTCCCATAGTGGACATTGTCATTGTGCTCCGAATACTTGGCGATAAAGATGTACTGATATCCGCCCCGACCAGGAAGTACAAAATCCCCGATTATCAAGATGGTCATGCCTACTTGACATCGCATCGGGTATGCTATATCGCGACAAATGATCCGCGTAAATATTCCGCGGCGATTGATCTAAAGGAAATTGACCGTGCAGAATATCAGGTTCGAACTAACACCCCCCTTCCCCTCCCCCGCCCTATGATAAGCGATCGCCGGGTCTAACATTGGAAGAATAATCAAAGGCAAGCTTTTTAAAATCATCACCGAAGATTACCATACACCCGAAACCACAAAAGAACAAGACCGATAAGGCGCGCAGTGCAACGTCTAGTCCTGCTGTGCCTCCACCATCGTCCCTCTATCCATCCTCAAGCAAGCCGCTTTCTCCTCTTCCATCTTCGATCCTGCCCCATAAATCACCTTCAACTCCTCTGAACTCGACATGGATCTGTCCTATATGCTCCTTTTCAAACCCTGTGCCTTCGAATTTCGACCCTGCCACTGCAAGTGCGACAACCCATTTGCCACCGTGCTTGGCCTGCGGCATCAAGCCCCCTTTTACAACTGTTCTTAAGGCTGCAATAAATGCTGCAGCTAGTCGAGACCCCCCTCTTCCCCGACCAAGCTCCGTGCCTATTGGGGATAATACAAATCATAGTACTGATCGTCAATCAGTGGCTGTCGCATCAAACTCCGTATCATGCCCTCGGTGTACCTTTGTGAATCATCCATCCCTCATAGAATGTGAAATTTGCGGATCGCCATTGTTAGCTGCAGCATCATTAATTCGGATTGGTGATCGTCGTGCAGATTCCCCGGCCCCATTTTTTGAACAGTCGCGAATTCCCAACACCGAAGTGCGCGAGAGTATCAAGCTCTCTTTTCGTGGAGGTGGTGAGAAAACGTTTCATGAGAGATTAAAGAATGCTCTAATCCAGCGAAAATGGCTGCTTCAAAACGCACCTCCGGTGCCACCTCCATCACAGAGCACACCCACTGCACCCGCAACTACGGTGCTGGAGAGTCCTCAACCAGCAACTCCACGAGTAAATGCTGTGGGAATCGCAGGTCTGGAGCAACGAGGGCTGGAAGCACGTATGAACAATCAACTAGTCATCGGCAATGCATTCGAGGACCTGGAAGCATTGATGGCTTCGGCCAAGCAAATTGTCGCACTTGCTGAAACCCTGGCACGAGAGTCCGGGATGTCCTCGAATGAGGGCTCCGCTGAGACTAATGCAGTCTTATCCGAATCTGCAGCGGCCTTGGGGATGGTCACCACCAAAGACATGCTCAGCTCCGGGTCAGAGAATCTTTATTTATCAGAATTGGCACGCAATCTTGCAGAATATCTGACTGATGATCGGAAAGGGATTTTACAACGAGAAGGAGGTATTATGAGTCTTATCGATCTATGGGCAGTCTTCAACCGATCCCGAAATGGAGTTGAACTCATCAGCCCGTCCGATTTTCAACGTGCGGCAGAACTGTGGGAGAAACTGAAATTACCGGTTCGCCTACGACGCTTTAAGAGTGGACTCTTAGTGGTTCAACAATACGACTGGAGCGACGAAAAGACAGTGCGTCAAATACGAGAGTGGATGGAGGATCTACGGCGCGTCCCGCCGGAAGAATCGGTCCCATGGGACTGGACGGTATTTGGTCAAGCCGTTACTGCACAAGAAACAGCACAACGTTTCAAGTGGAGTGTCGGTGTGGCCGCTGAAGAGCTTGAGATGGCAGAGGACCGTGGAGCCCTTTGCCGTGAAGAGGGAGTTGAAGGACTACGTTTCTGGATAAACGGTCTTGATATTTCCACTCTTTCTTCCACTTAGTTTCCACTTCTTAAGTTTATGTGGATCGGCCCAAGAATACCAAGTCCAACCCAGAAGTAGATCTGGGCTGCATACTAGATGACGGTATGGAAGGTCAAGGAGGGAAGGTTATGCGGGCTGCCGCGAATGATATGTTGACTGTGGAATAATGTGACGTCAAAGTGCTGACTTCAGCAACCCATTATGATTGGTTGACCGCGTGATCAATTCCCTTCCCCGCCGTGTCGGAGAGCTGTACTCCTATGGTATCTCGCTCGTCATACCCTCTTTCTTTTTTATTAAAAATCCATTTTCTCATCTGGACGACTTTCTCGTTCTATTTCATCTTCACAATCATATTCACATCAGCCGCGTTTCCTTACTCCTAACGCCCGCTCCTCTGTTGATTCCTTCATTTGTCCAACTAACTCAAGTGGACCCATCGACCCCAGATAAGCCCGACCCGCTTTCAAATAGTGTGGATTTGTGTGGATACCATGATCGACGGACGGCACCTTTGAATACTATACCACGCGCAAACTGTCCTACCTCCGCGAATAGCTATTCTTTCAATCTCATTGAATACTCCAGGCGTCATGAGTTCCTCAGCGGCACTGTCTGTTGCCACGGCCTCGAGATCTGGTGTTACCCGCCCGGCCTTATCTCAATTAACGTCTTCCCATGCCACTCAAAACCGAAATATATGCCGCACTGCTCGCAACACGCAACTCGGTTCGCAGGATACATCAGAACAAAACAGACCCTTAGAAAAGTCCTATCGTACCCGCCTCGCCAGTACCCGCTCCAGATTCTTGGATTTTTCCGGTGGCGGACAGAGGAGCTTTTTCGAATCTGAACGTGAACAAATGCTACAGCGAATGACAAGCCTGAAAAGTCATTTTTCCGATCACCCCTTCGGTGCCATTTTTGCGCATCAAGTAGATTTTCTCAAGCGAATGGACAAACTTCACCATGCCCGGCCAGGATCACTGTGGTCGTACATCGATACTGAGCAGCCTACTCCCAAGTCTCATGTCCCTCTCAAGGCTCACCTCCAAGATTTCAACTTTGCTCACTCCCCGGAGAATCCTGATATCACTCGAGATGGTTCCAAATATGATCCAATTAGTGGTCGTATGATCCCAGAGCCACCCCAGCCTTCTGTTGACTGCACCCCTGGGGGTGAGATAGAGGCGAATCTTGTTCACGACCCATCGTGTGTTGATATAGATCAGTTCCGTTCAGTATCTGCCCCTGAAGACATTCTTCCTGACGCACCACTCACCCCCCATGTGATTGACTGTCCTCCTGGGAGCGAATTAAATGCCCTTTTCACGTCCATCCCCAGCAGTTGCCAAGATGTTTTGACCGAGACTGGAGCATTCAAGAAGTCTACCCAAAGCCCCAATATCAACATTGGGTGTCCTCCTGGTAATGAGCTAGAAACTGCGTACATCTCTGAATCCGCTCTGACGGGTCCACCCCAAGCTGAGAGCTCGAAACCGTCAAGGCATATGAAGAAGCTATCTGTCAATGCCGGAGTGAGATCCGGTGGCAATGTTGAATGTTCTCCTGGGTGTGAGTTGGAGGCTATGTTCTCCTCCAATCCTGCCCTTGGTGTGGCTCAAATTTCCCCCTTGGATAGTCACAAGATGGATCCTCCAGAAACCTCCAACCTCTCGGCTGACTGCCCCCCGGGAATTGAATTAGAGGCCAAGTTTGCTTCCTTGTCTTCTGATGGAGTATCCGGCGCCAAGAGTGAAGCGACCATTTTGTGTCCACCAGGCAGCGAGCTGGAAGCCAAGTTCATAGCCGAGCCAGCCTCTACTACAGAAGATGGACAGTTTCAACCATCCCTGGTCGCTGATGATATCCACACACAACAGACTAACATTGCCCTTAACTGTCAGCCTGGTAATAAACCAGAAGCTATGTTTGCCTCTCAACTAGCCGATCGCAACCCTGCTTTAGCCGAAGATTTGAGCTCTTTACAGGCTCGCGATATCCGAGCTCGTTATGCCTCGGTAGACGCGGACATTGAACAAAAATCATATCTATCTAAGGACATTGAAGATTCTGGCGCCGAGGACCGCGTTGGTGACTACATTCAAAAAGCCACCACCAATATCACCCCTCCTGCTCAGCAGTCGTCCGCTGCTATCTATCGTATCCTGACCTATGACACTTCCCTATCGCAAGTCACCACAGCCGAGTCCGACTTGTTCTTTGGCGTGAACGAGTCTACTCCACTGGCCGAGGTCCTATCCCGCCTGCAAAATCCTGCCAAGTTTGTCCCATACTTCGAACAAATGCAGCATGATGGCTATGAGATTGCCACCGGTGGTGGTAACATTCTTGTTTTCAGGAAAGTGGACGACTTTACCCCATCAAACGCTCTAGATCAGGGCCCTACTCCACATACCAATATTTCCAAATTTCTTCGCCATGACTCGTATCAGACTGGAGCTCCCTCTAGCTCCTCGAAACCATCTTTCACCAATCAGGTGAGCGGACAGTGAAGCTGTCTTTTCTACTCGCCATCCTAACACTGTACGACTTTACAGCCACCCCCAGCATCTGGATCAAACGGCATCAGAGACCACACCAGTTTTCATTCGGAATCAACTGCCAGTAAGATGTTACGCCGAACGATATTTACTGGCACGGCCACAGCAGCATCTTTCTACGCCATCGGAGTGGTTGTTGAGTACTTTCGTACCGGGGGGCAAGATGGCTACGGCATTGACGGTTTCACTGTCTTTGAATCGGAGCGACGCCACCGGGATTGATGGCCACCTCGAGGTGGTTGTAAATTTCATGCCGGTTCAAGTAGCTTGCCTGAATCAGTTATCTAGCGTTTTCATTTGCCCATTGAATCACAACATTCAGATACCCACTTGTAAAACGAGGAAAATATTTTAAAAATACATAAGTTCATACATAAATGATATTAAGAGCATATAAAGACAATAACTTTCCATAGCAAAATTTCTCCATCTGGCCGAAATCTTTCACCCGCTTCTCGGGTCTCTTTTAGATCATCCTCTCATGTCGTGCTCATCATTCCAATCGCAGTCATCGTCGTTCCCCGGAACTTCCCAAGGGAGATAATCAGGCGTTACTCCCTGGATCGGTCTCGGAATCCAACTTGGGGAGCTCGCAGCAGCCTGTTGTCCCGCAGGTATGCTGGCCTGGTTGCGTCTCAGATCGTCCTCGAGCTCCATAACTCTGCGCTCTTGGTAATCAGCATGTACTTGCAAATACTGCCGTCTCTCCTCTTCCGTCGTATCTTGAGTGAACATAAAGTCATCATCCATATCTGTGTCGTGCTCCTCCTCCGATTCCTCCGGATCTTCTTCACATTCAACATCAACAGGGTGCCGCTCAAACACATCCTGCAGATTCCCGCACTCAGCCTCGCCACTAAGCAGGTAAAGGTGCAACGCAGCAATCATCTCTGCCGCTTCAATGAAGTCATCCTTGACCCATAGGTCGTACTCCCGTGTCCCCAGAACTCTAAACGTGCGCAAGGCTGTCTCACCATCTACACGACGAAGACGGGCGGCTCGGTAAAGTTCCTCAATTCGCTCCCATTCCTCTTCGTTAAAGGAAGGCGACTCCTGCATGGATGCGGAGCTGCTGCGGGGTGGGTAGGCGGTTCGAGGGACAACCTCGCCTGCATTATCTTCTGTGTCGGCGCCGTGGTTTTCGACGTGGACTGCGTGCGGCTCGATGGGCGGTGATGGTGCTCGGGGACGTTGGGGTGGCTCGGGAATAGGGTATGGTCCTTGTACTTCCCGGCGGCACCAGAGGGTAGAAGTTTTCTGACCAGGAAAAAAAGCGCGTAGGAGGTGGAGCTTTGAGCCGTGTATGCCTAGGAGGAAGACCTCCTGGTCAGGGATTTTGTCAGGGTAGACGCGGAGAAATCGGATATTTTGGTAGAGTTGGCCGAGCAATATTTTGAATTTGCCGGCAAGACTGTCGCTGAGGTGCTCTTCTTTCACTGTCTGTCAAGAGAAGTGTTTTATTAGATGGGGGTTCTTCGATATATATTGATGGAGAAATGTGGTGCACTTTGTGTTTAGTAGTTAATATGCACCACACATAGAGAGACTTACTGCAGATGCAGGTATAATGATTGACTTGACCCCATTGCCGGGGTTGAATACCAGCGAGACAACTCCGGACGTTAAGGGAGCATCATTGTATTTCTCACGAAAACCTGTGCAGTAATCCAGTGAGGTAGCAACCATTCGGGGCCTGAGGTTAAAAATGACAGCGGTCAGTAAAGATATCGTAGGTAGCCCGAACTTAAGTCAAATATATATGTTCGACATTGAATGTTTGATGCTGATGATGTTCACGGTGCTTGAGGATGCTTCACTTATACTCACTTCAAGGTAAAAGACGTCCGTCCATCCCGAGTGAGTCTGTAGACATCCATCATCGCTTCAATCTCTTTCACCATCGTGAAAATAACTTGAGCCTGGTTCCGGCGGTTCTTAGGCGCATCATTATCATTCATGGGCTCTTCGGACCCTCCTTCCCAGAGATCTTTTTCGAATTCGGGGACTTTGTGGAGAGCCTGGAAGACAGTTTTGTAACGCAGATCGACTTCTGACCAGGCGTCAAGCTGCACATGGCGAGGATATTCGCTCGAGGCACGGAATACCCAGGGTTGACGTCGAACATGGACTGTTGAAAGAAAGCATGTAAGTAATTATGTAAGCAAAACAAGAAGACTCGGGGTAGTGCAAGAGGCCCCGGGGTCGGTTAATAATGTTAGGGTCCTGAGTTAGCGTTCTAGGGTGCTAATGTAGGGTGAGTTGGAGGCCCGGGGTGTTTAGGGTTGGAGAGAATTAGGGCCGGCGGTTAAAGGCTTCCAACTTACCGAATCTCTCTGCTTCCCGGAAATATCTCTCCGGGATGAGTTCCTCGGGCGCGAAATTCAGATAAAACTTTGCAGTGATACCGTGCACTTCAGCAACGTAAAAGTCGGGGTCCATGGGCATGGCGTTGGTCCCAGGGCGAGCCGTGCTAGACTCGCCCATAGACTCCATTGTGGTTGGGAGAAAAACAGACAAGTAGATCACGATTCACGAATGGCGGTGGAAACCAAGCGCACTGGGGCGGCGGTCTCGAAATTCAAGGATGTCGAGACAGGAAAATGAGAAAGTGAGAAGTCAAGATTTAGTTCTTAAAATAGGAACACGCACGTGCCTACTAAGTCGCGTTCTCATATATCTCAAGTGCTCTATATAAACGATGCTGCCACGTGCTAGCTGGCTGCTGGTGCTTGTTATCGATAACAAATAAAGAAACTCACTCAAGTGCGTTTCCAAGTGGCACGCACTGTTGGTTTGAAGATTACTACCAGTAGTATATACTTTAAACTTCCATTAGGAGTTGGGGATATACATAATTATTAATATTGCAGCACATCATACATGGATGTTCAAGGTTTCGGAAACATTGAAGATCGAACATTCAAATTAACCCTACAACCTTTCAGTGTTCACAGGGCCCCCAGGAGGACTGATCAAGGAACCGGGGTTGTCCATAGATGTACATATCCTACTAATAATCCTAGGCCGCTAGGCGCTTACTCAGACGGGCAGTAGTTGATGTTGATGATCAATGATGACGATGATGATGATGATGATGTTCTATCAATTGATTAACCTAATGCTACCTAGCTAGTCATCGCCGTGGTAATGTAGGCGCTTCTTCCGTCGAAGCATAGAACGTCCATACGCCGGTAACGCCACGCATAAATGAATGACTAGAGACAAAAAGAAAAGGGCGACTGCCCGTACAGGAGATAAAATCCCAAATTCCACGTAAATCCCACAGTAAATCTCACAACAAAGCCCACATTGATCCTGCTTTCCCATTCTCCGTATTCCACTCCTGCCAGCGTTCCTGGCTCGTACATCCTTGCTTCATCAATGGCGTTCGCTTGTTGTATTTGCGCTGTCATTCTCAAGTGCTGGTGACCGTCTCGGGGAACATCGTTTTTAGTGGTTTTGTATTGCGCAGCGTCTTCGCCGCCTGTCCTTGCCAGTCATTCCTGGTCTGTTGTTTCATCGTCTTCCGGCTCGTCTTCCACTTCGCAGTGGCGGAACTGCCCCAGAAGGCCTGTTTGGAGCATGAGTTCGGCGACGTAGCGAGTCGCGTGCGGGTGATACGGGCAGTAGTTAACTAGTTAACTTTGAAGTAACTTAAGAAGTATCTTTACAGTAAAAATATTATATCGTCACCCAATTTCATTATCAGGTATTTATATACTAGTAAACAACATTGAACATTGAATATCATAGTATCATTTTAGGGGAAAATAATGATTGATTTGACTATAGTTAAAACTAAAATTCTAGCATAGAGAGAGAGTCTTTTGAGGCCTAAGTAAGCACTTTTTATACTCCTCAATCACGATTCACCAGCACTTGAGTGCTCCTAAGGCCTATAGTAATTGGAAATTGTACATCAATGATAGGTACTATATCTGCATATATTCTGCCATACCTAGTACTACTTAATAATTGAGTACTAACATTGAAGTAGTAGGTAGGCATGAGGTTGGTGCGTAACTGAACATAGATGCCAATTGATTATGTAGATATGAAAATTTCAAATATATTTGACAACATTGAATAGTGCGCACGCGTATGTATGGATCTAAACATTACGTACATGTTGATGTATCAACCCATGGATGATATGTATCAAATGTACACCGTCTTTACACCCACATGGGCGTGGAACTAGAATGTACATGTACGAATCTCATATACAAAAGTTTACGTCAAATTTATTCGGGTATCCGGATAATCAGCCAGCCCTAACCACATAAATCACCGTTCTAGACCTCCATGTCCACGTAGTTCAAGCAGCATGACGTGCCTGGCGTGGCTAGGCCTAACGGGTCTCCACGTACCAGTAGGGCAGAGCATCCACAATGCTGCATGAAATTTCTTTGCTCGCAAGACCAAAGCCCAGACTCTAGACCACGAGGACGATCTCCACTTGACAATTGTCTAGAACGCGGGAGATCACATGACCGGGAAAATTGATTTGTGTGCTTATGTCAGCCTGTCAACGCTACGACCAAAAAGAGGTGGGTGGGGCCGACAGTCTTGGTGTTCTCAGGAACAGGCTTAGTGTCGCTTCAAGTCCGTGGTACGGCTGATGATCGTGGCTTTTTGTGTAATTTGAGGAATCATTTGGGCCATGGAACGAGGTTTTTAAGGGGTTCAAGGCGTTGCTTGGCTCAATAGCGAGGAACCTTGGAAGATTGAGGGTTCTACAGTATTTGCATGTATGTATGTATTATATTAGGGTTCGAGTGCATACCGGAGAAAGCTGAGCATGACTGCATGGCATGACGGGGGGCTGAAAGAAATAGTGGCTTAGTATACCCTTTTTTTGACCGTCTATAATTAACACCGGCATCCCAAGCAGCTTTGGGCAAAGTGTCCGAGTAGTTTTCTTTTGCCAATGTTGGTTTCTTTGTTGAACGGGAGTTGGCTCCACCAATTTGTATGGTTCAGGAGTCTATTTCCTCTAGCGAAACAAACTAGTATAGACCAGGGTGAATAGCCACCGGTGCTTCCACCGGCACGTACATGAGAGAAAATGCGGGCGCAAGGAATTGAATCACCCTCTATTCAACTCGCGCGTATTTTGGACTCTGTGAATGGTCCCTCCCCCACCAAATATTTACCAGCAAGTGTAGGAATGATGAGGGACGCGCTTTCGCGAGAGAAAAAGGTTCGCCCCTTCATTCCGATCAATTCATGGCCTCTTACACACGTGGAGTTTGGATTTGGGAAGTTCTTTTTGTTTCCTTTTCTTGTGGGCGTCTTTTTTTCCCCTTCTCTTTTTTGGCTTTGATTTATTTTTGTTGTGATCGTCGATCGGAGGGGGCAGAAGTGCGCTCATCCGAGTGATCGTCGATAGCTGGTCTGTGATGTTGACCCTGGCTCATACTTGATGTAGATGATTATACGTCCGTAGACTACATCTGCGCCTTGATGGCGCTATTTTTGGAGAGTTCCGGGTAAAGCTACTTGGAGATGGCATTGAAAAGGCCCGAACAGGAAGTAAACCCAAAAAACCGCCCTCCGACCATGACGTATGCTAGAGGGCGAAAAGTTGTTTTTCTTCTATTTTTTTTTTTTTCATTTGTTTTTTGTTTGGTTATTTTCATCCAGAAATCCCATGTATTTCATCACAAGAAGGGGTCAATATCCATAAGGCAAAAGGGGGTCAAGTGCCGGAACTAAAGAAAACTAGGAATCAAGAAAAGACAAGAGCTCCCAGTTTTGCTCGCTAAGAGAAGGATTTCACGAGGCTCACGACCGAGCGTTTACGGAGGGTAAGTAGTTTTACTAGGCCGATTCTGATTCGATCTCCTTGTTGATCGATTACCCAAAGAAGCGGCAAAAGCGAATTTGGCGTCCAGGATCAATGACGCTAATCCCCAATCAGGTAAAGTGGGGACCCGTACCTGCTTGAAATCCCCGTGTATCATGTCTACACGGGAAGGACCATGGTCCCGCTTGCAATCTACCACCACGCACTTTCTCATTCATCCACGCTCAGGAACGCGCAAGTTTGGCTTTTCTTCCGACTCCACTGCCAACGCCGGGCCCATAACCACCGGACTGAACCTTGTGCGGTAAAAAGTCCTGGTAGCGTCCAAGAACCAGGCTGGATCGGATATGGTTTAATTAGGATGTGCACACATCTCAGGGTGGAAATCAGGGTTGAAAATACAGAAAACACCTGGGGAAAAATTTGGGTAATTGATCGTCAAGCCGCGAGCACGCAAATTTCCCTAGTGAAAGTCGGATGGGGGTTGAAGAAAAGCCTGCAAATAAACCCCTCTTCCATCTCAAGACCCTGACCCGGAGAGAAGATTGACTCTTTTGCTCCGTAATCCATTTCACACCAGGCTGATGTTATCCGTCCATTTGCACTTGTGAGAATCCTTTTCTCTTATGTACAATTGGGCTTGCTCCTGCTCCACTCCTCTAATTAACCCGGTAACGGATCTGGAGGTCGATCGATCTCTCTGGCTTTTTCTCCCTCTCTCTTGCCCCTGAGCTCTCGACACTGAACATATCACAAATTGATCGACTGGGCCGAGCTGACCAAGGACAAGGTTGTACAAAACGGCACAACGGGTCGGGAAGGGTGCAGCTCTAACGCCCCCAGTGTACTATTGGTGATCTCGACCGAATCCAGATTAGAGGGGAGAGGAAGAGGGGAAAAGAGGCCAAAGTTGCTTCATAGCTCGCTAGAAAGGTACAATTGGGCATTCCGTACTTTGTAGATTGCAGTGGAAAGTGGTGGACAATCTCATTCCGGAATCCTGCATAAGTATGGTTAGTACGGAAAACACTGCCCAATTCTGGGGGAAAGTACTAGTATGTAGGAGATTGCTGTTGAGTGCGCTCTAGCACACATACTAGTAACCTCGATAGTTATACCATGTGGCATACATCTTCTCACCCTACTAATACCTGCTAACTACTACCATATATGAATGCTCAAGAATCAGAAATCGTATTCGTAATGCAAAGACCATAATCATCCAATACCTGTATCCATCGTATCCTCTTGGTCTCCATTTTTTAAAATCCATAATTGCTTGGTCGTGGGTATTTGGTGCGTGTAGATAAAATTGTGGATAACGCTAATTTGTTAATTTACGGTAAGATTGGTAAGATTACGGTTGTTGTTGACTTGCCCACACGTGTCCGCCCCCATTTCCCTTCAACTTCGCCCCTAATTCAGATTGCTCTGCGAAGTCATGTTCCCTTAATTCACCTTTATTCACTCCTTTCTGTTCTCCCATTTTCGTCGTCGACGACGGCACTTTTGACCTGGGTCCAGCCAATTCTGCTCCCCTTGCATCCCACGGTCGCGCCGCTTTTTTTTCTTCTCGCATTTCTTTGTTGCTCATCTACTAAGTAGACTGTCGCTCGCTCCTTACTGCTACCCAGCCCACATTCACTTTTGCTGCTTTTCCGGTCGTTTCAGATTCAACGACCCCTTCCATTCGTTTATTCAAGTCGATCGCTTTATTCGATCGATCCATCTCACCTAGATTCGGTTGCCTATCGTGACGGTTTCTTCGTCTGTATAATTCCAAGTTCTCAAATCTGAGACGTTGTGACTGTGTCCCAACGACTTCTCGCGGATATACACCAGAATACTGCGCCGGATTCGAATTTGCAGATACCCACAAGGCCTCGGCCATTTTATCAACTAGAGGTGCTGACAGACGAGTGTGAATTGCTCGTACTGTACCCTCAATTTTCGGACTCCCTAAGCGCTTCCAATCGGCATCATCAAAATGCGTGGTAACGCTTTGTCCATTTTCGCCGCCTTGTCCCTCGGGGGCTTCCAGCTGGTGGCTGCGCAGCGAGCTATTCAAGATGACGATGCGACGCACGTGGAACGACCGCGCTACTATTTTCCTCAGAATATCAAGCGTACCGTTCGGAACAACACCTACACCGACACCGACACCAACCCTCTCGGCTCTTTGGTAGACGACCTTACCGGAGCTACCCCGACTACCTCCTCTGCTGCTGCTTCATCAACCGGAGAGGAAGTTGTTGTGGTCATTTCCATTGACGCCGAAGGACACCGTCACACCATTACCACCGAGACCCGGGCAAACGCTGCTTCAACCACCAAGGCCACTACAACCACCGCTGCGGACGACACCACCGACACGACAACAACTGGAACTGACACTACCGCGGCGGATAGTACTACTGCGGCAACCACCTCGAAGAGCTCCACCCCCGTTTCCACCACGGCCAGCTCGACAGCTACCGCTTCCTCAAGCAACATTATCAGTGACGTTGAAAGCGATGTCTCGGACCTCCTGAGCGGCAGCACCACCACCGCCGCTTCCAACGGAACTTCTGCGACCACCGCTACGGCCAACACGACTTCCGCCACTGCTTCCATTGCTGCTTTGTCTTCTCCCTCTGCTTCCACTTCTGGTTCTGTTTCCGCTTCTGCAACCGCCTCTTCCACTGACGACATTCTTGGTTGGTTGTTGGGAACGGACTCGGCCACTGCTAGCTCAACGGCTCTGAACAGCACTGCTACGGCCACTAACACTACTGGTTTGGCTACCATCCCTGTTAGCGTTCCCGTGACTTCTAGCCCTACTGCTACTGGTGATGCTCTCACCAGCCTTCTCAACTCCGTTTCGGCCATCTTGAACAGCACCGAATCTACCACCAGTGGAATTGGCGCAATCCCTACCCCCCAGGCTAGTCTGAACCCCTTCAAGTCGGGAACCGCCAGCGCTACTCCCGTTGGTACTGGCAGCGGCAGCGGCACAACTAGTGGTAGCACTAGCACCGGTACTTCTACCAGCTCTATTGGTATCATTCCTGTTCCCCACTCCCCTAGTGCCGGTTCTGGAACTGGCTCTGGCAAGGCCACCGGATCTGGTGTCATTCCCACTCCCACTGGAAGCCAGACCGTCAAAGTGACCCCTACTTCCACTGCTTCCCCGACACCTATCCCCGTGGTCGAGACCACCACTTCCTCTCACGCTGAGTCTACCACCAGCACCAGCACTAGTCACACCGAGAAGCCCGCTGAGACCACCTCCTCCGACAACACCAGCGACTGGATGCCCTCTAGCATTCTGATCCAGCCTTCCACCACGGAGAGTGCTATTAGCACTAGCACTGCCACCACCACCGCTGCTGCCGCCGCCCTTCCTGACTCGATTACTCCTTCCAACAGTGTCACGCAGGCTCCTTCTGACTCCATTATGCTTCAGCTCGGTTTCGACGGAAGCCTTCCCTGGTCCTTCGTTGCTACTACCCCTCTGTCTTCGTCTCAGATCTTCGAGTACATCCCTCAGGCTCTTGAGCACGCCCTGCCCTACTGGGGTAGCAAGGCCGCGATGTACGCCCTCGAGCCTTACTACAACTGGCAGAAGACTGGATACAACGCTACCATTGCCATCTTCTACTTCCCTCGTGAAGGTTACACTAAGCTGCTTTCCCAGAAGAACAACCCGAACTCTCTCCTTTACACCGAGGAGCAAAGCGCCACCACCAAGGCCCTGATGACCATGATTGACTCTTCTATTCCTCTGGAATTCACCGGTAACTGGCCTAGTGATGACGGCGAGTCTTCTTCTGGTTCCGATGGTGGCGATGGCAGCAGCAGCAGTGGCAGCAGCGGTAGTAACGACGGCAGCGATTCCTCCTCTGATGGTACCTCTAGCAGCAGCAAGGGCAGCGCCAGCTCCGCCGGTATCGCCGTTGGTGCTGTTGCTGGTGCCGCCGCCTACGGTGCCGCTATGTTCTGGGTTGCTCGCCGTTACCGCCAGCGCAAGCAACTGCACCAGCGCTCTAGCTCTGTTGACGCGGGTAGCCAAGGTTCCTCCGTCGTCGGTGCTGGTAACCGCGTGTCCGGTAGCCAGCGCTCCCAGATGATCAGTGCCCCCGTTATGGCTGAAAACTCTCTGGGCTGGAACTAGACGGTCCCTATAAAGGAAAACAGCAAAAAAAAAAACATATATACCAACATGGATAGACCAGATCTTTTCTTGTCTCAATTCCTCCCCCATCCTTCAGCCGAGAAGAGTCTCAACCCCCTGACAACACCGGTACTTTTCCATTGCATGTCAGTCGATTCGGTCTTTTCTATTTAACGCCGAAGCTTGGAAGGATGAGAGCTTGCACAAAACTTTATTTCATTGTTTATCATCCCCTCCAAGGATACACTATGTCATATATCATGTATCTTCCCATTGTGAAATTCTCCATTGGCCAACATTTATCCTTTTTTTCTACCATTCTTCTGATACTCTGAGCGACGTCACATCCCTGCCGGCGCTGCTTGTGTCATTTCATTTCCATTATTTTTTGAACTATTCCCCCTTCTGTTCTCCCATACCCTTTTCTTTCTTTCTACCACTTTTCCCTGGCACTAAGACCGCTGAATGAGACTAATGCCTTGTTTTGTGTTTCTGTGTCTTTGGAAAAAAATCTTACTTTTTTTACTGGTCATATTATGTTTGAACTCTTGCACATCCCTAATGGTCTGGGTGGCCCCAATCCTTGATGAGCCGACGCTACTTTTTCTCATTTCATTACCTCTCTCTCTCTGTCTCTGCGCTGGTTTGAACCATTATTTTTAAATTATCCTTTTGTTTGTACAGATGTATATCTTGTGTTGTGTTGTGATGGGCTTCCCAAGGTTGTGTGTGGTAAATCTTGAGAAGCCGAGAATGAGAGGTGTAGATTTCCTACTTAATTTTTCCCTCCGAAGTTGTTTTCGTAGTGCTGTAGGGGTGAAGCTTGCAGCAGGTGAAAAGGAGTTGTTTCAAGGTTGTTACAAGACATTGGAGTGCCCTTGCTTCCTCGTTAGCTAACCTTGGCCTTAATTTCGTCCCTGCATCAATGCATGTGAGATGTCCAATCCCGCCTAGGTACCTAGGTGGACTTCAAGTCGGAAGGGTTGCCCAACCAACGGGTGATACACGAGTCCCCATCAAAATGTCAGACTTACATGTAGAGACTCCAACCCTTGGAAGTTTAAGACAGCTTTTTCAATTAAAACCGACAAATCATCTCTTGTCTCATAGTTCGGAACCAACGGGCAAAGTTTTTCAAGATTTCAGGATCTATTTTCTATCATTTCTTCACCGTGACCCTCAGGCGGAATACACTTTGTGAAAGCCTGGTCTAACCCAATAGCAGCTCGTCGAACACTTTCGAGAAGTTCAAAGAACGTGTCTCGAACGCTCCACAGCTCGGAGTCCGAGTTATCAGATCCAAACCTGGTCATCTCGCCTGCCTGTCGACTAGCCTTTGTTTTCAGAAAGACATAATTCCACGTCTCCCCATCGGCTCCTTCGGGAAAGAAAATAAGTCGTTCACGAATTTGATGAAGTAAGCCACCTGTGCTTACGAGGTGGGAGAATTGAAGATCTTTTAAGTCCTTGCTCGGAGTGAAAGAAGTCCTATCAATGTCATTCCTTGACGACCTGTATTCACCGCCATTTTCATTTCTATGGATACACCCCACTATGTACTATGCATAAAAATAGTGTTGTAACATTGAAGTATTCCAAACTTCGTTTTGAAGTGGATTCAGCATTTGAGTCTAGTTATGTACCTTGGAACATACTTTTTACAGAATAAGGCCCTAATCCAGATTACAATTTTTGGGACTTTCTTGTTTGTACAAGTCTTGACGTTACTTATTCCAGCATAAGAGAACAATAATATACAGAGCGGGGTGATGATATAAAGAATGCAAGGAAAAGATACCAAAAAAAAAAAAGAGATGCTCTTCACGACTCTATTGTAATCTCGTCATGAGATTACTCTTTCTTGCTCTTCCCATCACCTCCCGACCATCCGCCAAGTATACCCCACCACTTCCCCGCATTCTGCTCACGACGGACCTCCCGGACGTGTTCACGCTCGACCTTGTATTCCTCCCAGGAAAGCTTCGCCGCAGCCGATGTAACGGGGGTTTCAGTCTCTGGCACACCATTGGCATACAAGTCGTGGGCATGCGTAGGCAGCGGCCGAACAGCGTCTTCGCCCCCGTAAGCGCGGAGGGCGGTACCGAAAGCCCAGTCCACAGCCTCCTCAACAGGGTGATCGAAGAGATACGGAAGGAATGGAACGACAGATAGACCAAGCTGTGCGATGATAAATTAGTATAAATGCCCATATCAAAAAAAAAAAAAGAAAACAAGCAAAGTGAAAAAAAAGGGAAATAACATACTCCGATGGGCCCCCAAGTCCGCAAAAGCGTGTATTTGCTCCCCTTGAGCATACGTCCCGAGTATTTAACCACGCTGTGGATGGTGAACGCTGGCAATCCCATGCTAGCAACACTCTGGAAAATAGCGCGTTTCGCCATGATCATGCGATAGTCTTCCGCAAGCGAGATTTGCACCTGTGGCCAGGGCTCCAGCGAGTCGGATGAATTTAAAGAACGAGAGAGATTTCCAGTAGCCATGCCACGAATGATCTGTGCCTGTGATGCATCATCGGGCTCGCTGGCGTCCTTGTATGCTTCGCCCGGCGGGGTAAGAGCGCGACGGTTGCGCAGGTAAGCTTTATAGCCTTCGTGGCTTACATCGCCGACTAGATAGGCCCAGGAGATACCGTAGGCGGAGCGAATGAGCCATGGGTGTGCGACAGGGCGAAATGACTCGCCGACGTCTGATGTGTAGGCGACGTAGCGGTGGGCGGAGAGGAGGATTGTGCGAACGCGGCTTCCGTAGGCTGCATAGCGGAGGTTTGTGTCGGTTGAGTCGACGGAGCTGGAATTTGAATTTGAAGAGCTCATGATTAGCTTGTTTTCTTATATCGTGAAATTCGGAGAGTGAGCTTTTGAGGTTTGGAGCTGTTTATGAATCATAGAGCTTTGGTGGAGTAGGGTCGTCGACTCGTGTCATAGCAGATAAATCCGGGAAGTGGAGTCGCCGGAGTTAGCGGGTGAAACCGCTCGGTCCCTTCCGCTTTGTATAAGCAGAATGACCATACCGCCGACCAAAATCCGATCGAAAACCGTGGAATGTCCACAGAGAATGACATGTCAAGGGCAAGGAAAAAGGCAGCTTATATCAATTCGTACTCACTAAGAAGCATAGTGGTCCTCGTAGATGTCATAGCGATGGAGAAGCTCTTGCAGAGCGACAGGAAGTTTACCCGGCACAGAAGGCTTGTCGGCAACCGGCCACGCCGTTTCCTGGTCATCATTGTCATCTGGGGCCTTCGTCATTTTCAAATCTCACGCGTCAAAGATATAATTGGAAGGAAAGAGATTGTATGGGCGATTCAGTGGTTGAGAAAGGACGGAGGAAATTGAGGGGTGATGGTCTTGACTCTTGTGCATGCAGGTTTCAGTCGCCGCGGGCAACACAAATGAAAAAAAAAAAACCGCCCAACATTTAAAAGACCAAACGTTAGAATTAGCCTACGGTGGGCCTGAACTACTAGTAGCATATCCATTTTTTTAAAGCTATACTTCGTTCCCGACAATACTGTATAGCAGTTAAGAGCGTTGACCATGGAATAGCATGCCTTCCGACGCCGTTCCGCGGACGAACTCTTCCTAGCCGAGTTTCGGATAAACAACAAACTGTATTTACTTTAGCCGGAGTAAATATGAAGCTTATCTGATCTGCATTCCATATGAAGGCTTTCAACACAATTCCAACTGATCTGATCGGAAAACAGTGCTCTTGGTATAAGCGGCAAATAGCCGATGGAATTACTCCGGGTTCTCTCGGGAGATCTTTGCTGAGTCATACACCTAAGTTTTAACCAATCAACTAAGAGTCAAGACATTGGAGCCCCCACATTTGAAGTATACTGTACATGCTAGTATCGACTGGAGCTTCTATGATGCTCAGTGGTATGGGTTTGTATTATAGTTTATCCTAGATTATGCAACGATTGGGTCTGTTCCTTCCTAGTTTGCCACGCACAGCCAAAAATCTCTCGACTTTACATATCGCCGGGCGTCAAAGCTGGACTTGCACAACTTTCCAAGCTTGAAACTGCCAACGAAGCCAAGAGACGGCCCGCCCACTGTCTGTCGGTATCTGGGTTGGACCTCCAATCAATCGGTCTCGCTAAAAATGTTGACTGCAGAAATGTCTGGGAGAAACGATCACTTGACTCGAGAACCTTGGAAGATCTTTACCAACGGCGAAAGATATAATAAGATCACGTCAGCATCATGCACAGTATTCATTAAATGTAAGCTCTAGCAAGGATTTAAATACGAGCTGACAAGAGAGATTGGCGGGGTAGCTACTAGCTATAAGTACATATAAAAGGTGGACATTCCACGACACTCCCAAGTTGTAACAACCTCAGGTCAATAAGAGAATTGAGCATTGGAACTCCCGCCGAATACCAAGTACCGAGGACCAAACTTGAAATCGCTTCAAGTAAATACCGAATATGCCCTATCTGACACTCCGAGATGGAGCTGAGCTCTTTTATAAAGACTGGGGTAATCCCGACGGAGCTATCATCACCTTCTCCCACGGCTGGCCCTTGAGCAGTGACAACTGGGAAAGCCAAATGATGTATCTGGCTGATCAAGGCTACCGTGTCATCGCACACGATCGGCGTGGCCATGGGCTGTCTACTCAAACCTGGGACGGAAACAACATGGACAACTTTGTCGATGACCTTGAAGAGCTTTTCGCACTCCTGAATGTCAAAGACGCGGTGATAGTGGGTCATTCCCACGGAGGAGGAGAGGTCACCCGTTACCTTGGAAAGCACGGCACAGGTCGTTTCAAGAAGGCTGTTCTTATCGGCGCCATACCTCCTATCATGTTGAAAAGCAGTATCAACACCGAGGGAACGGACAAGACGGTCTTTGATTGGTTCAGGGAATCTATCCTGAAAGATCGCGCACAATTCTTCCTGGACATCCCCAGTGGACCGTTTTTTGGGTTCAACCGACCTGGTGCGCAGAAAAGCGAAGGTCAGATTCGTAGCTGGTGGAGACAAGGAATGAACGCCAGTTTCAAAACGGTATATGACTCAGTCAAGGATTTCTCGGAAACGGATTTCACAGAAGATCTGAAGAAGATTGATATTCCTGTGCTGGTTCTTCATGGTGATGATGATCAAGTGGTTCCAATTCAAGCATCTGCACTGAAGTCAGCAAAACTTCTGCCTCAAGGCCAGCTGAAGATTTACAAAGGGGGATCCCATGCTATTCACAACATCAATGTTGATGAAGTCAACAAAGATCTTCTTAACTTCATTAAGTCATAATTTGGAGTGTATTTTGTGTGAGACAATTTCTATTGCTGTTTGTGACTTGAAAAAAATCCAATGAATAAACAAAAAAGTAGTAGATAGCAAAATCACTGGTTTTGTATATACCTCCTGGAAAAGCTCAAGTCTAGTATTAAATGAACCTCTGTTCATTCATCAGGAATGTGGATTTGGCTTATTACTCTGATCAGCAAGATACATAATAAAATTGAATCCCTCGGAAAATATCTTTCCACCAAGATGTGCAGAACCTGTCACGTGCTGTCATGCATATACACGTTCCTTTCGAGTTTCGACAAATCCATCCATTTCCTTGATTGTTATTTTTTCCATAAGAAGAGCTACAAATAGTGAGTTGCACTATGGATTTGGCTCATTGCACTCAAGATCGCGAAGATGAACTTCAGCTATCATCTTCGCAATTAGAATTCGTAACAAACCAAGCTCGAAATTACTGGTATTCGCTCGCCGATGATGCCAGGGCACGTCTACAAAACTTCAACCTTATTGACACGGTCTCGCCACAAGATATACTTTACAAGGTTCCTGCCTTTCCCGCCAGCCAACTCGCACTCCAGGAGGTGCTTCTCTCAGATTCCGGCTCTAAGGCGATTATGACTCTGGCGTCATCCACCCTACGCCCTACTGAGACAGAGAACTGCAATACCCAGGGCACAACAAAAGAAGTCCAATCAGCATTGTTAATTGGCATACAATCTCCCATTTCTTGCCATTTCACCGGCACCTGCTTTCAAAAATTTGGGGTTCAGGGAGGTGATGACCGCAAGCTTCCAAATTTCACTGGTATCATCTCGCTTGCTTGGGCTTATATCCTCTCAAGCCGCCTAGCTGAACTTCAACAGCAACAAGGCGCAGGTGTCTCTTATACCTCTTCGACCGCGATTTGGCAGCACTGTGATATGGAAGATATGACTGCCATTGAAATTGAGATTGGTGAGGTCGATGAGAGTACTGCTCGGTGGTGGGCGGCTATTCTGGCGCCTAGACAAGGATGGAAAACTCTTCTTTTAAAGAAGGAAGATAAGGCTTACTATCCACCCTGGTCACTTTCTCTAGATAAAGGTCCAAAGTTCAAAGTTGTTTGGCACGAAAATAGAACCTATACCCCCATTTCTACTATCTCACCACTATCATCGGAAGCTGCTATGAGAATTCTTGCTCAATTTTGCTCTTTGCATGGTCTGTACAAACAACTTTTTGCCGCATTATTTACGGCCTTGACATTTCCTACGCATAAACAACTCGAAATAACTGTTGAACTGCCATTGCCTGAAGTGACTCTCACTCAGACTCACTTGGATCAAGCTCTAGACACGTCCCAAGTCAATGAATTACTCTCTTTGAGCAAAGATATTCCTTCTTTCATGGCCCTCAGTTGCAACGACAGTGTTGTGATGTCTAGTCTATGTGGTTCATTTTGGGAGCCTAATATCCCATGCAGTCTTGTCAGTCCATGGTTACATCCGATTTTGGAGGAAATTCCCAAGGCCCCTTGGATATGTGAGGAACCAGGGCGATATTATGAAATGATTGCTCTTATGTGTGGGCAGCGCCGTCCACGCCTCCGAGCCCTTTGGATCGGAGCTGCCCTCAGCGGGCTTGTGCCAAAGGTCCTTAGGTATGTTCGAAGTGGGACACCACCCCTTGATCCTCATGGCTTCGCTTGGACTAGTTCTCCTCAGTCTTTTATGGATCTTCCAGGGTCAGGACCATATTTCTACAAAGATGCCTTGGAAAATAATGCTATAAGACGTGCCGATGCCTGGAGGCTCTTGTACCTCCCGACCCCAGAAGACGACGGACTTTACTATAGAAGTCTCCCTTTCTCACCATGGCCACCTGTTGGCCAAACAGTTGACAAAAATTGTGCACTACGAATTCGCGTACACGAATCATGTCCAAGGCATCGTCTGGAATACACTCATTGGACTTGGAAATTGCTGGACGGGTCTTCCTTGAATGACCAGGGATTCTTGCCGGGCGAACCCAGTTATCCCGAAGAAGGTTCCTTCGTGCAATTACAGCGAAAGGAAAACTCCCAATATCCAAATATTCCAATCTCTTCATCTCAGGATGCGTCGCGTGAGGCATCGTTTGAAATCTTCCGATGGGTTCTAGCCAATCACGAAGGAAAGCCCCCTGAGCCAGTATATGAACACGAATGGATTGCGGGTTGTGAGTCTGACACTGGTGATGAATGCTGTTCAGAAACAAGAGATGAGGCCAGCAGTGAAGACAATTATCTGAATAAAAAGGAAAGTTGTCGACAAGGACGGAACATAGATGGCAGTTTGATTCCCGCCTTGCAGGGAACCAAGGTAATGGAGTGGATGGAGAATACTTTATAATACGGCTTAAGACGGAAGCTCTGATCGCCCATCATTGATCTATCGTTTAATCGCATTCTATTTTTCATTGATGAATTTCAAAGGATATCCAATCAAGCCATTGCTGTGGCGAGGCGAGGTCCAACTTTTGGATTTGTCGATAATAGCGAATTGAGTGGACATGAACCACAATGGTCGCGAGTCGCGACTTGCGGGTCTCATCACCCCACAAAGTGGATCTGCGGACATCTGGAGAGAGACATGTAGCGACGCAAAGAAAAGGAAAAAGTTTATATATTCAACGATGAGACCAAGGCTAAGGAGACCTAGACAACAAATAACGGGAATTTTGGAATAGAGAAAAATAACCACAGAAACTGGTCGCACCTTCTATGCCCAGACTGGGGTGCCTCCGTGCTAGACTTCAATCAGATGTCTAATGATGAAAGTAAAGCTCCCGTCTCGATGAGCTCGGCACATTGGTCAAGTACATCTTTAGCCTGTGGTAAGGTGTGGCCACCCTCGTGCCGAAGAACATGCGACCGCTCTGACCGACACAGTTCAGAAACCATCTGAGATGAGGGCGAGAAAGGATCCTGGTTGCCGATCACATGAACGGTGGAGATGGGGATCCGCAGTGGGTCTGTCGGCGCAAAACAACGCGCCTGAGACATCAAAGAATTATTATTTTGTTCATCGGCCTGAAGTAGAGCGCGATAGTGCTCTTCATGCCCGCGAACAACCTCACTCAGGGAATTTAATGCTTCGTGTTTCGTCTCGACCAAATGGTCGGGGATTAACGGCATAACAGCATTGAAAAACGCAGCTATCCGGACGCGTGCAGGACGACCCGCTTGTTCGTCGCAGAGCAACAGGCTGGCGATTAGCGCAGCGCCCTCCGAAAATCCAATCAACCCGTCATAAGGCCCATCCTCGTCTATTATGGTACACAAATAATCCAGTGCAGCGGTAACTTCATCAGCGCGGCCGTGCTTGTACCAGCATAAAAACGGCGGTGGATAAAGACCCGAAATTCCCGGGGCAGCCGAACAGACAGTTTGGGCGTCGATAAAGTCAAAAGTGTGCTGGCTCAAACGAAGACACAAGGGTGCTGAAAGAATTAAGTCGCGAGGTCAGTGTGCCCCTTCTGTATGGTCAGGGGAGCAGAGATCATCTTACCGAGCTGGGCCTCTAGTATATCCGCGTTAGTGCCTCGGCCGTGCAAACACAAGAACCGCATCTCTAAAGCGAAAAGCAGGAAAAATTATAAAAGATCTGGTTATGAAAAGTCCAAAGCCAGCTGCTGTTGTGGCTTTTTTATGGATGTTCTTCGACCATGCGCGAACCTCTCATCGTCTAGAAATGCCGTGGCGGTTCGCTCTGGCAGACGCCACAACACACTAATTGTAGAGTGTGGCTGGCTGGACGTTCACCTGAATCGCCTCTTTGCATTAAATTTTTCGGAATTCCAAAATGCGCCTCGTATACCGACCAAACAGTGAGATGTAATTTTCGATTGGCTACCGGAATTACCGAAGGAACTAACGATGCGTTGTCACTAGACAAGCCCAGACGTTGGGCTAGTTTAAGATTCGCCTCGAAAAGCCATGATTAGTATATCCATAAACATTAAGTGATTATGTATCATTTCTTAAAAGATAAGAAAGTCCTCAAAAGCAACTCGGGGGAACACCTTGGACGGTTGGCATTGCTGTTCTCCAAACTCTAGAAATCAACATGGGGGACATCAACCATACTCTGCCAGATGATTCTGGCGATATTGCTATCATTGGTCTGGCCTGCCGATTCCCTGGCAGTGCATCAAACTCCGAAAAATTCTGGGAATTGCTCTCCAACAAAAAATGTACGTAGTATGGCCCTGCGATCAACCCATTGTGAAATGCTTCTGACACCAATTCCTCACAGCTGCCGCTGGAACGGTACCAGAAACACGATGTAATGTTGATGCTTTCCACCATGCGGCCAGTGAGAAACTTAATACTCTCAGCGCTCAAAACGGGCACTTTATTGATCAGGATGTTGCGGCATTCGATGCCCCATTCTTTAATATCACGTCCCAAGAGGCTACAGCGATGGATCCCACAGCTCGGCTCCTGCTCGAAGTGACATATGAAGCGATGGAGACAGCTGGTCTGCCACTAGAGGGCCTTGCGGGTAGCGATACCAGCTGTCACGTCGGCTGTTTCACACGCGACTACCATGAAATGCTAATGCGTGACGCCGAGACGGCGCCACTGTACGCCGGAACAGGGACAGGCTTCTCGCTGTTGTCGAACCGCATTTCCTGGTTTTTTGATCTGCGTGGCGCAAGCATGACTCTAGATACTGCATGCTCATCCAGTCTTGTCGGCTTGCATCTTGCATGCCAAGGCCTACGGGCTGGTGAAGCCACCACGGCCATCGTGTGCGGCGCTAACTTGATCCTCAGCCCAGATTTGGGTATGTGGCTGGGAAACTTGCGAATGACCTCAACCGATGGTCTCTCGCGCTCCTTTGCTGAGGGTGTGACAGGCTATGGCCGGGGCGAGGGCATTGCTACTGTAATTCTCAAGCGTATGAGCGATGCTCTGCGCGACGGGGACCCCATTCGAGCAGTCATCCGTGGCACTGGTGTCAACCAGGATGGCCATACAACCGGTATCACAGTGCCCAATAGCGAAGCCCAGGCTGATCTGATCCGCTCTACCTATCTTTATGCGGGGTTAGACGTTGGGCAGACGGCCTACTTCGAAGCTCATGTACGTCGTTCTTTTATTCTTTTTTACTTTTCATCGGAGAGTATGCTAACAAACTGCTGAATAGGGAACAGGAACAGCCGTTGGTGATCCGCTAGAGCTAGGAGCTGTAGCCCAGGCCATAAGCGCGATGCGAGATTCCGATGACCCGCTCTATGTAGGATCTGTTAAGTCAAATGTGAGTTTATGCCTGCTGTTGTCAGAATGAGAAACCTGCTGACTCTAAGCGTTTAGATTGGTCATCTTGAAGGAGCTGCTGGACTTGCGGGAGTCATCAAGTGCGTATTAATGTTCGAGAACGGGGCCATTGCCCCTAATATCCACTTTGAGAAGCCCAGTCGGCGCATCCCATTTGGCGACTGGCATATCGCTGTGCCAACTGAGGTTACCCCATGGCCCTTGCACAAGCCGAAGCGAGCAAGCGTCAACTCATTTGGCTATGGCGGGACCAACGCCCATGTTATTCTCGACCACGCCGCCGAGGCGATGGCATCTAGAGGCCAGTCTCACTTGGAAAACGCGGTAGATCACGATGTGGACCCTAGGTTGTTTGTTCTCAGTGCGCCAGCAGAGTCAGCGCTGGACCGTATGATGGATCGCGGCCGAGAATTCCTCCAGAATGAGGCAGTAGAAAAGAGTCAGATATCTCTTCATCAGCTAGCCTTCACTCTGAGTGACCGCCGATCGAAATTCTCGTGGAAAGCAGCAACAGTGGCCTGCAGCGCCGACGAGCTTGCTGGAAACTGGTCTAAGGACAACAAGCAACAACAACTAATCCACACACCTCAGCGAGCTCGCTTGGGCTTCGTTTTCACAGGCCAAGGTGCCCAATACGCCCGCATGGGCATAGAGTTGTGGAAGTATCCCGTGTTTCTTGAGAGTGTGCAGGCGGCAGACCGTTATTTGAGTGCAAAACTGCACAGTGAATGGTCGATAATTGCCGAATGGGAAGCGAACGGCACAGCCTCTCAAGTTAATCGCGCCCACCTCAGCCAACCACTCTGCACAGTGCTCCAGGTTGCCCTAGTTGATCTGTTACGTTCATGGCACATCACACCTGCTGTGGTAGTGGGTCATTCAAGTGGTGAAATTGCAGCGGCATACGCCAGCGGTGCTCTCTCACGAGAAGACGCATGGACCGTCGCCTACTGCAGGGGCAAGGTTTGTGCAACTCTGTCCAGCGATCCATCGCACATTCCTGGCGCAATGCTTGCGGTGGGGCTCTCTGCAAGTGCTACTGAAGAGTATATTCGTACTGTCCAGACTGGCACTGTAGTAGTCGCTTGTGTTAATTCACCGGCCTCCGTCACAGTCTCTGGAGACGCGACTGGTATTGATGAACTGCTCGAGATGCTGGAACATGCCAAAGTATTCTGTCGCAAGCTAAAGGTGGACCTTGCCTATCACTCCCATCATATGCAGCGTGTTGCCGACACGTATGCAGAGCTTCTCGCAGACATCCGACCCATTACTACCGCCACACAAGTTCAAATGATATCCAGTGTGACAGGAAAATCAATCAAACCTGAAGAACTCGGACCTTCTTACTGGGTCCAAAACCTAGTTTCACCGGTTCTTTTTACTAACGCATTATCCACACTACTGCTGGATGATCCATCAAGGCGGCGCCGCCGCCCTCGCGCGGGCGAATCTGCTGTAGACCTGCTGCTGGAAATTGGGCCCCACAGCGCACTGCGAGGTCCATTGCGTCAAATTCTTCAGCAGCATGAGATAACTAGTGTGTCATATGCGTCTGTCTTGCAGCGTGGCGAAAATGCCATCAAATCGGCCATTCAAAGTGCCGGTGAGCTTTACACCCGTGGAGTGCCAGTCGGCATCCGTGCAGTCAACCGAATAACCACTGCACCAAAGCCACTGACAAATTGGCCTTCTTATCCTTGGGATCATTCTCGCCGTTACTGGACTGAATCGAGGCTTAGTCGCAATTACCGGATGCGCCGATTCGGGCGCCATGATCTACTAGGGGCTCCGGCTGCGGATGCCAGCGCAACACAACCACGTTGGCGAAATATTCTGCGAGTCCAGGAACAACCTTGGCTACGTGATCATGCAGTGGACGGGCGCCTCCTTTTTCCTGCTGCGGGAAGTCTCGCAATGGTCATTGAGGCCGTCCGACAACTGACAGTCGAAGGTCGTGCGGTGGCAAGTATCCATATCGAGCAGGTTCGCATTACCAAAGCGATCATTGTTCCTGATGATCCCACAGGAGTTGAGATTGTACTTCAACTATTGAAAGATGAGGGAAATGGATCCAACACAAAAGTACAGGAAGACTGTTGGCAATTTATCGTGATGACTTGTTCTGACGGCCTGGAGCTGGAACAGAATAGCTCCGGTCGAGTGCGAGTGCGATACACTACAACCACTGAACATACCTCTGTAATTCCAACAAGTGGCAAGCAGATTCTTTGGCAGAAGGCACGAGAGGCATCCGAGGCCGTTATCAACGAGTGCTCACGGACAATCGAGCCAGCCGACTTTTACCACGCCACTAAAACAGCCGGATTGGAATACGGCCCCCTCTTTCAGGGGCTGACACAAATCACTGCCGGCCAGGACTGTTGTACAGCTGTAGTCCAGGTCACTGACACGAAGGCGTCGATGCCTGCCAGTGCCCAAAGTCAACACTTGGTCCATCCTACCACGTTGGATGTGATTTTCCACTCTTTGTTCGCGGCTATAGGCGGCGATCACTTTGACGTGCAAGAAGCTGCAGTGCCCATTGCACTCGATAGCCTTATCATTTATCCCGACCTGTCTTCTGCAGCTGGAACGAAGCTGAGTACCTACTGTCGTACCTACCGGGAAGGATTACGAGACCTCGTCGCGGACATTGTTGTCACAGATCAAGCTCCGTGCGAGGAACCTAGAATGATTATCAAAGGTTTGAAATGTAGAAAGCTCACGGGTACCGGAGAGACCGCCAGTTCTCCACTAACAAAGGCACCTGTTGGAACGCTCCTGTGGAAGCCCGATCTCGCATTCCTAGATGGGCCAAAACTTCAGCGCTATGTTGAGGGTCGCCTTGCACAAGGCACAACATCAGATTTGGGACATAAAATTGCAACTGTGAGTTGTTTTCCCCAGTCCAGGTCGTCTGAAGTACTCACAAATATCAAATAAAACAGGTCGTCGACATGGCAGCTCATAAGAACCCTGATCTTGCAATCTTGCAAATTGGATACTCCGAGGCGCTTGTTGAGTCCTTGCTCTCAATCTTGGTAACGGCAGATGGTAGGACGATGCGATGCTCCAGCTATACCCTTCTCGACCCAGATGCCAAGGAGCTTGCCCAGAGCAATGATATTCTCAGTAAATTGCAGGGTGTTCTCTCTACAGACTGTCTGGAAGATCATGTGCAAACTTGGACGGAGAAATCTGTGGATATGGCTATCGTGTATCAAGATTGTCTCTCTGACGAGCAGTTCATTCGGCTGAAGAGATGTATCCGACCTGACGGAATATTGATCATGCAGAAGCATCCAGGGTGAGTGTCACCATCAAGAGATTGGAATTTCATTCGCTGACGAGTCTCACCCAGCCGAGACATTGACTTGAATGAGCATGGCGAGGTAGTCTCAGAGGCCTGGTCGTGGTTTGACAGTTTGTTTCCTTCCAGCTGGTGTATTGGCCGAAGAAACCGTGAAACCTTGATCAGTCTCGAACAGACTGTTACGTTAATCGAGTCGACCAACCCCGCGCCGAGAGAGATTGAAATATCACACCAACTTTCGGCACAGCTCAATGCCAAGGGGTTGCGTACGGAAACCGTGCGATGGCCGATTGACCTCGTTGCCCTACAAGGCAAACCGTTGATATCTTTGTTAGAGCTGCACTCGAAGTTCCTGCAGGACATTAATGCTGATGACTATGACACTCTCAAAACGCTGGTGCTGAACAGTACACGCGTGCTCTGGGTGGCCATGGGTCAGGATCCAGGAATGCAGGCCGCAGTGGGTTATCTGAGAGTTCTTCAGAACGAGAATGTGAATCTCGATCTAAGATACCTACTACTCGAAGACGGCCAAGCTATAATAGGTTCGCCAGAGGGCGTAGCACAGACAATTGCGAGGCTGGCACTTGCTCCAACGACAGACCGAGAGTACATAGAGCTTGCCGGTAGTCTCCATATTAACCGGTGGGTGGATGATAATCGCCTTGGCAGTATCATGACAGGCGATGTAAGCTCACCTGAGTCTGATTTCATGCGCCTGGGAGATTCTCGGAGCCCATTGCGGCTTTGTGGATCGCGATATGAAGCCTTTGATCATAACTCCATGTTGGCAAATGACGAGGTCGAGGTGCAACTGATTGCCTTCGAATTTGAGTAAGTTTGAATTTTCCGTAATTCTACCTAGTATTTCAACTATTTTCTGACTGTTACAGTGGCCACAGTGATCTATCTGCGCTCGGATTCAGTGGCATCGTCGCCCTGGTTGGCAGTTCATGCTCACGTCTCCGTCTTGGTGACAAGATTTGGGGTTATGTCTCTGTTGACGGGCCTCGAACCCATCTCCGTCTATCTGAGTCGTTGTGCCAGCTTCTGCCTGAGAGTGTCTCATTTGAACAAGCTGCGAGCTGGGCCATCGGGCTTGGGGGAGCATACACGTCCTTGATCGATATTGCACAGCTAAAATCTGGCCAATCGGTCTTTATCCAGGATGCCGCCAGTGTTGTTGGCCAGTTTTCAGTGCAACTAGCTCAATCGCATGCTGCGATTGTGCTAGTGAGTGTGAACACCGATGAAGAACGCCATCGGATGGAAGCTCTCGGGGTCATCCCTACGCACATCCTCGATAATGATGATCCAGACCTTAACATAGCCATATCTCGCATGTGCTCTGGAAAGGGCATAGACGTCGTTTTGCACCAGTCAAAAGATCGCAAGTCTCTGCCATGTCTGTGGAGTTGTATGGCTGCGTCAGGAAAGTTCTTGGACATCGATAACACATGTGCAGTGAAAGAGGAAAGTGATCAAAATGGCAATGAACCGGCACTGTCAGTTGCTCCTTTCCGCCGCGGTGCAACATACTCTGTGTTTAGCACGGGTCATATGCTTCGCACAGATCCTTCGAGGGCAGCTGAGATTCTCAGTCGAGTGTCCCAGCTAAAGCTCTATGGGTGCTTTATACAGCCAAGTTCTGTGCGGGTATTCCCAGCATCTGAGATTGGAAATGCCATGCAGAGGAAGCGGGCGGAATCACACCCCAGCAGCGTTTGCGCTATTTACACGTTCAATCCTGATGACCGGATCCCGGTCACGCCCGAAACAGCAAATCCTCTTGTTCTCAACCAGGAGGCTACTTATCTGCTGGTTGGTGGCACGGGAGGTCTTGGTGCTAATCTGGCAACATTTCTTGCAAACAAAGGAGCACGTCACTTGGCTGTGGTGTCTCGATCTGGCTCCTCGGCAGCAAGTGCCAAGTCGGCTGCCCAACAGCTAGCAACGATGGGCGTGCAGGTCCGGTTCTACGCAGCTGACGTTTCAGACGAAGAAGCCATGCAGCAGGTGCTAGAGCGATGTGCTGCCTACATGCCTCCAATCCGCGGCGTAGTCCAGTGTGCGGCCGTGCTTGAGGACTCCATCTACCAGAATATGACACATGAACAGTGGCGTGCTGCTACTCGACCCAAGATCCATGGCTCCATTATCTTGCACCGATTATTGTTGTCGCAAGAGCTGCAATTCTTCGTCATGCTCAGCTCTATCGCTGGCGTTGTCGGCAACCGCAGCCAGGCCAATTACGCCGCTGGAAACACGGTACAAGATGCACTGGCACACTACCGCCGCAGCCTAGGGCTACCAGCGGTTAGTGTAGACCTCGGCCTGATGCTCGGTATCGGTCTCATCGCTGAACGTGGCGGCGCGACCAATTTGAAGAAATGGGAGGCAGTGGGTATCCGCGAGATGGAGTTCCACGCCCTTCTAACAGCGGCCATGACGGGCTACTGGAGCGGTTCGCCAGTTCCCACACAACTTATTTCTGGCCTACCCAGCGGAGGTATTCTTGAAGCCGAACGGCTGGACCGGCCATTTTACTTTGATGATCCACGCTTTGCTTATCTCCGCAAAAAGGATCTCGATCAGTCAAAAATTGGCAAGGACGGAGACCAATCAAGTAATGGTGTGACGCTGGTGTCACAGCTTGCTAGTGTGCAATCACTTCGCGAAGGCGCCGATCTCATTGTCGAGGCCTTAAAGCACCGACTTGCTCGGGAGCTTCAGACTGCCGTCGAAAACATTGATGCGAATCAACCCCTACACAGCTATGGCGTCGATTCGTTACTTGCAGTTGAAATTCGCACCTGGATCCTTGTGAATCTTCAAGCAGAGCTTAGTCTGTTTGATGTATTGGGTGGTGGTAGCATTCATGTGCTGGGAAGCCGAATTGCAGCTGCTTCTAAAGCGATTCCGATCGGGTTGCACTGATATTCCACTTGAAGCCGACTTAGACAGTTAGACTGTTCAAGTGGAGTACGGTGTAGCAGGACTCCGTTTACGCTACCGCGTGGTGTTCGGCCCCGGGGATTCTGCCAGGCGGAAAAGAAACAGTAAGCTTACCATGTCACTAAATAACATCACATACATGATACTACTAGTTAGTAGATATAAAATGCAAGAGTCAAATTGGGGATTCTGTCAGGCAAAAAAGAAACTGTAACCATGCATAATACTCAGGGCAATCGCACTTAATTCTGTCTGTGTAGAGTGCTTGGAGGCTACGCTGAGATGTACTTTCTATGCAATGTAGTACATACTACTCACGCTTATCATTGTGTCGTTGATTCATCAATAATAGGATATGCGATTGTGATCTTGTTGCGTGATAGGTGGATTACAAGCGAGCTTTTTCTGTGATCCTTGCGCGTGATATGCTGATTGAAAAGGTGAGCTTTTGAATAGTTGACTTTCTTGATCCTCTCACGTCATTGGTCGATTCTAAACGGTGTTGGTGATCTGGGGACGCGTTCAGGGCCTTCCCCTGGGGTATAAATACATTCTCCTTCTCCTGATTTCTTCTTCTCTCCTCCCTCCTTTGTCACCCTTCTCTTCCTTTCATTCAAGTCTCTCCTCAATCTTCCATCCATCCATCCACTGATCTACTCATACATGATCAACACACATCTTTGGCATCCATCACCACTATCTCTAAGCATGACATCTATCATGTATGTTTTTTTTTCTTTCCTCCCCTCCCTCCATTCATACTCGTGCCTTATGCTGATCATCCTATAGGCATCTGAATGTATATCATCATTCAAACATTGAACTTCATCAAGTCTGATCAACCTTGCCAAAAAACACCTCATTTATTTTACCTCAATGAGTCTTACCATGACAAAATTTGATCACTTTGATCAACAATACTCTTCAACCAATTCCCAGCGCATGCTTCAACGAGTTCTTTGGTATGTTTCTCATGTCCATTCATTCTCTATGCAGCCCTGTTGACCATTTAGTTTATGACATTCATGCCCCTCTCGGATGACACCAAACAAGCTATTTCCACGCCAACGAGGTCTGCTAAGAACTTAGTCTTTTGCAACCTCGTCATTTCCACCTGCGTCAAAGCAATTCTTCTCACTTGAGCTTGCAAACATTTCATATCTCAGAAAACAACTCTTGAACTTGTCGTCGCCATCAAATGTCTGCTTTCTCGATTCATTGCGGTGGGGAGGCACAACCCGCAGGTCAATGCATAGGCAAGCGGTGAAGAAGCATCGGCCAACTCATGGGACAGACAGCCCACGACCTCTCTGAACAGGCGTCACGTTCATCTGCTAAGCAGGCTTGCGTGTCAGGACAAATTCAGTGAGGCCGTGGGCTCAAGAGTCTATGAGAAGACCCAGCATGATGAACCACGCCATGGATTCCAGTTTCAACTAAGCACGCTTCCCTCTTGAAGCTTCGAGTTCCAAACATCTCGACATCTGGGGACATAGCTCGTTAACTGTTCACCAATATCAATATTCACTGACATACAAACACCATTTCAAAAACACGAGGCAAACCAATCAACAAAGTTCCCCTGTCGAAAAAAAAAACAGACAAGAAGACAAAAAGACAAACTGATCACTGTTCACTGGACTGGTGAGACTGGAAGAATCAGACAAATTTGTTAGCTCTGCCTTTCTGAATGCTCAATGAGAGATTTGAAACCGGTGGAAAACAAGCATCCAACGGAGGTTATATGTACTGCTCGATCTTTTTGATCATTTTGATATGTATTGCCGATATTTTGAGGCCATTTTGAACAAAAATCAAATATATCTGAATTTCACCGACAGCTTCGGGGTGATATTGAATAACACTGTAAAGTCTTTGGACTTTGCTTCTCCATGTAGTGGCTTGGGAGTTGTAACTCTTTTGTTATCTCGCAATTCATACAGTCCCCGAAATAACAACGTAGTACTGGTAAGCATTCTAGTAATTAATCGCACCAGGCTCAGATGTCACGGGCTTTCTCGGAAGGTCACATGATATCCATATGCTGAGTCATTCAGATACGCTAACTGGATTAGGGAAGGCGGTCTCGGAGCCAACTTCGTCTCTGTCAAGCCTGAGGATTCCACTTCCACATCGCTGCATTTAATCTTCAGCTACCTCATACCAGTCAATCAACATGGTCGTCTACTACCAGATCGCCGGCAAGAAGGTCGGCTCCCACGTCGTAAGTGGCCATATTTAACCCTCCTCCGCCGCTAGCACCGTCGCTCGCCTATCCCTTTTTGAGTTCAATTCGCGGCTACAGATGGAAACCCCAGCAAGCTAACCAGATACCTTTGCGATGACAATAGCTCGCCATGGCCACTCTCGGCTCCATGTTCGCTGGTTCCTGGGCCCTTGCCGGTGGTGGCTCCAAGCCCAAGACCGCCGCTGGCCCCCCCATCAACGCCTCCTCCAAGGAAGAGGGTGACTTCATCCAGTACGTGAACTCGGCTTCCCAACGAACCAATTTACAACCGGACCAGCTGGCATAATATCCCTAGCTGGTCTTTTTGCGCAATTGAAGCTGTGGGCGTGGTATTAACAGTTTCTTTAATAGGACCTTCCTGAAGGAGGTTGACGGAGGCGACAAGAAGCCCGCTTCCGGACACTAAACTTTTCGTCACCTTATACGCGAATTTTTACTATGGATCGACACGATATGAAAACGCGTGATGCATGAGTCGAGTCGCCCCATCCCATTCGTCGTTTTCCTGCACCGCTGCATCGAGACGTATCGGTCTGGGAGATGTTCTGCGAAACCCGCACGGGCTGATCCCGGAAGTCGATGGATGGATTTTCATGGATCTGTACATAAGAAGCGTGTACGCTGCATTGAAGAATTGTTCCTCCTAATCATTCGATCTGATCTATGATCTTCTTGCCTCTGAAAGTAGCTCTTCCAAGTTAGAAGAGCCTCCGTCCAGAACCCGAGTCCAGCAGTGTCGCGTGCCCGGAAAGTAAAACGATCTGTACTCTACATACACTGCCACTTTCGCGACGGTGTCGGCGGGAAAGACGAATTGTAGAGAAGAATGGTTGGGGTATTGCCGTAGCTTCGTCGATGTCACCTGCAATTAGAATCGACATTTGTAGTATCGTAAGCAAAGGGCCCAGGTCCAAATAAATTGCTTTTAGCTTAAATTACAGCCCGTTTCAACGAACGAGGCAATACCCCACACTGCACAGTTGTGAAGTCCGATATCCAGGTTAGCTCCAATCTCCGCCGGGATCCCGAACCTTTACACCTTCAGATCCAACTTCCTTTCCGACACCACTCCTCCCTCGCCGCAAAACACACGATGAAACCAATACCTTTCCCATTCGCTCTAAATATCGGCACAGATATCGTGCACCTCCCCCGAATCACCGCTCTCCTCACTCGCCGGGGGAACTACCTCACACGCTTCACCCGCCGCATTCTCTCCGACCAAGAACAACGCGATTTCCACCACCGCTTCAAAGACTCCCTCTCCCTCCAATCACAAGTTAAATCCTCCAATCCCTCACCCTCATTTGTCACAGCCGACATGACGCGCTGGCTCGCTGGCCGATTCGCAGCGAAAGAGGCCGCGCGCAAAGCCGCGCCTGGCGGAGCAGCTTCAATTGGGTGGAAGGATGTCATGGTCCGGGTTCAGGATAGCTCGGACTCAGATAATGGTATCATTTTGGGAGTTGCGCAATCACATCATACTGATGGTGTTAGTCGCAAGCCGGAGATCATATATTTGGGAACTGAGGAGGATGGGAGTGACAGTCGAGTTGGGCAACTTTCTATTTCCCATGATGGGGAGTATGTCGTTGCGACTGTCCTGGCAGCGGGATGAACTTGGTCATTTGGCAAGCCGATTCGATCCACTATCTAAACCAACTTGAAATTGCATAAGTTGTGTGTTGTCCTTACCCTGGTGGTCTACTGCGACGCGGCTGGATCTCGGATAATCCATCCCACACAACGAAGCGCCCACAAATGATATCCCGTCTTCGTACGAAGAGCTCATAATGTGCCACTAGGCTGTCCACCGGGAATCAAGGGCTATGTCAATACCTGACTCCTCTATATTTGGGTCCCAGGCGCCGTACCTCTCACGGTACTAAGGATACTATTGTGGGCCTAAATTAAATGCGACGCCTGGCATAGTACATGCGTGGCCACCTCTACATATTAATATTTATCTCATATACCCAATCGCAAACAAATATCATTGATTCCCCGTGAATTTTTCAAGCGTAGTGTCACTAAGTTTTCCCATACATTTGTCGCGACTGGTAGTGGAGGCTCGGAACTTCTTATCAGCCCGCTATCAACGCATTTGTTCCGCGGGGTGCTCGTGTCACACAGCACACACTCCTCGAGGAAACCAGACAACGAACACATTTGGATTACACTGTATGCTTCTCGAGCCTCTTCATTATATTGAGCGCCACTGAATCCCAATCCAGATCCCTCAGCAAACATGCCATTCTCCCACCACAGCCACTCGGGCCAATTCTGCCCTGGCCACGCGCAGAACACCCTCGAGGAAGTCATTCTGACTGCAATCAACAAGAAAATGCAAGTCTTCTGCCTCACAGAGCACATGCCCCGACACAAAGAAGACTTCTACCCCGAAGAGATCGAAGCCGGTCAAACAGAAGCCTGGCACGAAACCAACGAAGCCGCTTACTGGGAAGAAGCCCAACGGCTCCGCACAAAATACGCCTCTCAAATCAACATCATCGTCGGTTTCGAATGCGACTGGATCCGACCCGAATCTAAGCATCTTATCAACCGCTCATTGTCCCGATTCCCCTTTGAGTTCTTTATTGGCTCCGTCCACCATATGCATACCGTACCAATCGACTTTGATCGGCCGATGTACGAGCGCGCAAGGGAACTCGCAGGCGGCACTGATGAGCGCTTATTTGAGGACTATTTTGATGCACAGCTCGATATGCTAAGGGACTTGAAGCCGTTGGTCGTGGGGCATTTTGATCTTATTCGGCTTAAGAGTGATGATATGGAGCGCAGTTTTACGACATGGCCTGGAGTGTGGAGTCGGATTTTGCGAAATTTGGACTTTATAGCTTCCTATGGGGGTATGATTGAACTGAATGGAGCTGCATTGAGGAAGGGGATGAGTGAACCGTATCCCAAGGCCGAGATTTGCAAGGTATGTTTGATACGGTCAAAAGCATGATTTGAAACCCCAAGCTAAACGACATTTCTCTGGCTAGGAATTTTTGGCACGTGGAGGTCGCTTCTGTCTTTCCGATGACAGTCATGGCGTTGACCAGATCAGTTTGAACTTCCACCGAGTACTGGAGTTCTTGGATCGCACGGGCATCCCGGAGCTGCACTACCTGCAGTTGACGGATGCACCGACTCAGTCCACTGCACCCGATGCGCGCTTTCCGCGAACACAGATCGCTTCAGTCTCTCTGGAGGACCTGAAGAAGATGGAATTCTGGAGCACTGTATAGCTACTAGTCCCAAAGTTTGCATGTGCGGCTAATGATGATTCCCCCCAAATAATTTGATATATGATTACCCCAGGGCTTCACACTCCGGATGTACGAAATGAAACCGGGCTGGCATGCATGGTCTGGAACTCAATGTTCACCACCGCTAAGCACATATAGTAAGATCGACTTATCACTCCCAAAATAGCATCCGCCACGTTCCAACAATTGAATGAGGGGTAAGGTCAATGTATGTACATGGCGGTCAAGCCGATGCAGTAGTGCAGCAGTGCGCTGCACGACGAAAACCTTCGTGCACGTAAGCCCTATCCCCAGATCTGGATAGAATCTCGGGGAAAGAACTGGGTCTTGAGTCTTGACTCTTAACCAGAGTGGAATGGTGGAGCCTTATTTTCTGACGGTCCGTATCTTATGAGGTTTATGACGTTCCAGTCATGCCAATGAGATCCCTGTTTAGCGCCATGCGGACTGGGGGGTGAATTCTCCTGGGCCATTCAGCCAGCCTTAAAACACTCGAATATGCACCAGGATCTAAATGGATTTCACCCCTGCAAGATATCATTTAGCTTTGCACTGTACTATGTCGAGAAACTTTGGTTTACGGAAGTTAGTAGCTGTACCGTTACCCCCTCCTTGGTATTGGTAGCCATTGCAGAACGCAGATATGATCGCCGTCATCCGCTTTACTGTACTTTTTAGTTAAATACTCGGAACCGAGTGGGCCAATGGGCGTTGAGTGGGATGGTTGAATGAAGCCAGTAGGCCCAGGGCAAGAGAATTGTGGTTTTTGGCTGTGAGTGGTTGCCGTTCATTACGAGGGCAAATAACCCCACTTGGAGAAAAAGCGGATAAAGCTCTCGGCGCCCCTCGTTTTTCTGTCATCATCTTCCATACACCTCACTCTTCAGCTTCAACAACAATCCACAAAATTTCACAATGGGTATCGAAGAGTTCCAGAAGGTCATCATCTCCGAGGGTAACAAGACCGATTACCCTCCCATTGGAGCTATGATTGAGATGCACTACACCGGTTGTCTGTATGACGCGGATGCGCCCAACAACATGGGCACCAAGTGAGCATCATTCTTGTCCATGTCATTCTCTTTCCCTCTGCTAACTCGGTCTTTCCTCAATAGGTTCGACAGCTCCTACGACCGTGGTACTCCCCTTCCTAGCAAGATCGGTGTCGGCCGCCTCATTCAGGGTACGCCTTTTCTCCTAGAGCAACAATTTCCTACTCAATCCTGCTTCAACGAATTCGTCCGAAACAAACGATGTGTCTTGTCATGCATAAAGAGCTACAAGTTTGCTAACTTTTTTTTTCTTTGGGCAGGCTGGGACATTGGTGTCCCCCAGATGAGCCTGGGCGAGAAGGCTTACCTCCGCATTCCCTTGTAAGTCTCTGTTTCCCAGACTTTACCGCACTCATCAGCACGAAGTACAAATGACTAATTGTTTCATTTCTATAGCCACATGGCCTACGGCGAGCGGTACGTGATATCCCATGACTTCTACGGAGCTTCCGTCCAGTGACAAAAACGATATACAAAATCATCTGCTATGTATGAGATACTGATACTTTATAGTGGCTTCCCTCCCGTCATTCCCCCCATGTCCGACCTCGTCTTGTGAGTTATGATCGAGTTATCAGCTAGCAATGCTTCATGGTTCTAACACTTTCAACTATAGCCAGGTCGAGCTCGTCAGCATCTCCGGAAAGCGCGCTTAAGCGGTTTCGCCCCGTGTTTCTTGGATCGTCTTCTTTTCTATTCGGATTTGGACATTCTGAGCAATGTGAAACAAATGATCGCTATTCAAACGATTACAATGGTGGACTGGAATCTACGAAGATAAATTTCAATCAGGCAAACCTTTTTCTTCCAGCTCAGCGAATAGGTGTTCGTAGCAACTGGAACATCCGATCTATACCGTGCTCTGTAAAGGTCTTCGTATAAATTATGTCTTCTAATGCTCGAGAGGAACGTCCTTTGAGAATCTCAGTATGAAAACTCGCCCTGTCACACAACCAAGCACCACGGTACTGCCTGATATTGCAATTGATTTGGTGCCATCGGCTCGATAGTCACGTGGTAATTCCAATATATCAACTCCGTTGCGAGTAATTGAAGACCAAGACCAATTGATACCGAATCCAACCGGTTGTGGAGAACAAACAAGTTGTGTCGATGTGTCTGTTGTGGAATCCACATACGGCTCAATACTGAAGGAGCCCATTGTCGTGTGAAGATAGCCGGGGTCTGTTTCACCGAACAAAGGGCCTCGAGGGAAATTGAAATGGAACGTTCGAGGATCATCATCAAGTTCAAGAGCCAAGATGCACTGCCCAGTTGTAACATCCCAGATCTTGATGGTTGGCCCCATTGCAGAGGCAAGTTTCGTTCCATCGCGTGACCAAGTCATGATAGGAAGCCGTCTTACCATCAAAGGAATTTTGTCAACTTCCGGACCCGAATGTCCCTTAAGATGTAAAATACAGTTACCAGTATATTGATCTTGAATCATGATGCTCCAATTCTCTGCCACAGAGGCAAACATTGTTGCATCATGCGACCATGTCACTCCATGTCCAATTCTCTCTGCTTTCACAGTAGACAAGTGCTGACCGGTGTTTGCATTCCATGTGTTGATGAAGTTGTCGTATGAGGCTGACATCAGTCGTTCTCCGTCTTTTGACCAAACCGGCCAAGCCGTCGGCTCAACGGATTCTATTCTTGTGTAACAATGCCCAGTCAACACTTCCCAGACTTCGAGGGTACCATCAGAAGATATTGATGCGAGTTTTCCACTCGGTGACCAACAAATCTTTGCGAAAGTGCCACTGCGGCATTCAATAGTTGACAAACACTCTCCGGTCAACGGATCCCAAATTTTGGTCTCCATGTTTGCATGCGAAGCAAGGTATCTTCCATCATCTGACCAAACGATGCCTTCCACGTACTGACTATGTTCTTCAAAACCAACCGACGAGTTGAGGTCCCAGATTTTGACGTTCGACTCGTATTGACTCGCAGATAGGATTCGTTTCTCGTCGGCTGATAATAGCAGTGAGCGCACTGTGCCTCCATGGCCTTTCAAGGTCGAAAGACATTGACGAGTAGATGGATTCCATATCTTGATAGTTCTGTCGTTCGACCCGGACGCAATTCTTCCATCCTTGAGCCATACCATAGTTTTAATGAAACCGGAATGCCCCTCAAGCGTTGTTATAGACTTATTCGTGGTCAAATCCCAGATCTCGATAAGGCCATCGGCTGACCCCGAGGCAAGCCGTATGCCGTCGTATGAAAGTGCAAGGCATACAATGAGAAAGCTTTTGTTGGTATCGAGAGCTGTGATGCACTCCTCGCCGGATCTTCCCAGAATATTTATTCTGCTAGACATCCAATCTGAATAAATTATACTCATGCCATCCCGAGAAAAGAGGCTCATAGAGCTCCTCGGACTGTAAATATTCCGAGAGCTCAATATATGGTCAGTGAAGATCTCCCAAGTCTTGGATATACCATGACTTGAAACGGACACGAGGCTTTTCCCGTCATGAGAGGGGAGAATGATGCAATGATCCATGTCGTCGCCACCCTCTTTGATGGTCATCAGGCATTTTCCTTTTTGCCGATCCCAGACTTTGATAGTCAATGGTGATTTTCCACATTCTCCAGAGACCGAGACAAGTCGCATTGTGTCTTGTGACCAAAAGACAGCTTTGACGGCAGAATCATGTCCAAGTAGACTTATTAAGCATTGACCGGTGTTTGGGTCCCAGATCTGTATCTTGAGGCTACGCGAAGTCGTAGCTATGTATGCACTATCGTCTGACCAAGCTGTGCATGTGTTCCATCCACCACCCCCATCAAGAGACGACACGCAGCGACTGCCTGCCAGGTCCCAGATCTTTATAACACCATCTGACCCAACTGACTTAAGCGATACTCCATTTGGTGCCCATTGCAATGACTCAATCGCAGCTTTGTGCCCTTCGAGTGTTTCGAGGCATGGATTCCAAGCTTCAATGGCGGGTTTCATCGTCACCCAGTCTGGTTCCTCTTGCCGGAAACAACCCCTTGTTTTGCTACACATCGGAGTGAAAAACAGAACAGAGGTGTATACTTCCAGAGGGCTTCGTTCAATCATAAATTTGTGGTAACGGAAAAATCGAGATGCGTCGAGAACTTGATCAATGACCGGCGATGTCTGCATGAATATATTAGTTAGTCTGAAATCCTGTCTTCAAATAAAATTAGGATCAGCTTGCCTTGGCCAAAGTCTCCAGTTTCAGCATATCTTCAAGTCCCTTTGAAACGCTCCTCAGATGACTCAAAGCTTCAAGCCAGAACAGAAATTTATTCGAAAGAAACTGATCCACCAACCCTCCATGATTAAAATAATCACGAATAGCCGTCCCCTGATTACAGGATAACAAGTGATCAATCCAGTAGACGCACGAATATCGAAACGTTGAGAGAGGATCAAAAGGTAGGACTTTGCCATGTACTGGTTCAATGCCTCTGTGTGTATTTTCAGTAGTGAGCATGTCTCGTCGAAGTTTCTTGTCCATTATGTCAAGAGACTTTTCAAGAATGAAGATGTTTTTGCCCACTAATCCAGATGGCAAGATATCCAGGTTGGCCTTTTCCAGCAAATAGTCTTTTGCAGATTGGTGAACAAAGAGGATGATGTTCCCAGATATAGTCAGAAACGACCCACAGTAGCCTACAATCTCCTTCAGCGACTCATACCCATCTTCCAAAGCTTGTTCAGGAACATCAACGAAAGTTGTCAGCTCATGGATGGTAATAGGCCTGTGGGTTATAGCCACCAGGCCAAGAATATCTTTGCAAAGAAGCGCTTCCTCGTGCTCGCAAACCTGCTGCATCATCCTTCCATACAGCGCATCGAGCCCGGGTGGGAAGGCAGTGAGCTTTTCAATAGTCCGCATGCGAGATATGCCGGCGAGCTTCTCACATACTAACGCGACCCACAAAAAGGTTCCTTGAGCATTCGATAACAAATAAGAATGTACAGCATCAAAAATCTGCTGACTGTATTTCTTGAGCTTGGCCAATTGTTGGACTCTGTCGTAAATGAAGATTTTGACTGCCTCAGATACGGAGCTTTCATTTATCTCCAGGGTGATCCTTTTCTTTTTTGGAATCATGATCATTTTTTCTTTTATCTCTGGCCAGTTTCGACTTGAGATAACCCATTTCACATGAGGATGGGTTGATGAAACTTGAACGATAAGATCCAGCAGTGAGGAAAGATCGGCCGTGCATTCATCTAGAGCGTCGATAATCAAGCATGGGTCATCAATATGCCCCAGCATCTCGACAAATATTGCTGACAGTGCATGCCATGCGTTTGGATTTTCAAAAAGTTGCTTTCCAGACTCATCGTATCTTTGTCGAACATGAGAAATGAGGGATGGCTCCTGGTCAATGAGCATGTAGATCAATCCGCGCAATACGGCCGTTGCGCAGTTTAATCGTGTATCGGTGGCTTGACAGAAGAAATATGACATAGATCCTTGTTTCATAGCCGATAGCTCATCGATGATCCCACATAAAAGCATGGTCTTGCCTTTTCCCGGATCACCTCGGACCCATAGAATTCCTCCACCTTTTTCTCTGCGGTGCCACTCTTGGAATCTTTCATCCCCGAGAGCCCAGGCATAGGAGTCCTTCAATAGACCACCCTTGGTGGCCTCAATGCGGGATTTATCATCCCGAGGGTTGGTCGTCTGTAGATCCTTTAAGCAGGCTCGGTCCTCGGCGCCAAGTGTATACTGGTCCATCATTTTTTCGTCTTCAAGGAGGTTAGTTTGGGCTTGTACGATAACAATGCGCATGGAGTATTTTACCGACTTGAGGGGTCCAAGCAAGAAGCTTCCACAGCAGCCTCTTGAACCCAGGGTCCTCTTCAGATCCAAATCGGACCATATCTCGATGGTTAGCATAAATGCTGTAAATTTCATACCCATCAAGTGTCGCCGACTCTTCTGTCACAATTCTACCAACAACAGGGAATGGAAGCTCTTCAAAAAAGCAGGTGACGCCAATTCCCCTACCGCTTTCTCGCAGTCGTCGGATCATAGTCAAAAAGTCCAGTTGTATAGAGTTTAGAAGTTGGTTGTCTCTTTGCAATATGTCCAACAATGTCACATTAGTGGATTTGACAAGACCAAACACAGAAGCAGGAATCTTGGCCCAATCTGCCATCCAAGCCCCCTTGTGTGGCGTACCCATAAATGCAATTCCTTCCAGACAATCGAACAGAGCCCGTGATTCACGCTCGGCGGCATTTTGCGAGAGCAGAATGGCCTTTTTGCAAACCAGACCTCCAAGGCTGTGGGCGACGAAAATGAATGGACGTGATGATGCATTGCAAATGCTTCGATCGGCTGTCAAGTCACCCAAAAGATTCTGTGCGTGGTTGATAAGGCGGTTTGACGACGCGACCGATTTTCGTGTAACGTGCGCATCATATCCATACATTAAAAGTCGAGCATTGAGCTTCGAAGGAAGGAGTAGCTTGGGCCATGGTGTGGTTTGGCCTACCGCGATCCAGGTTTTGTCACGGTCGCCGGTCAATCCGTGAACGAAACAAATATCGACGTCCGCATTAGGACAGTCGTGGAGAAGTTTCAACCCGAATTTCAAAGAAGACGGTTGATGAGGTGCTGGAAGTGGAGGGTCCGTTTCATTGCGTGGTGGGGGCGGCTCTTCGCTGGCTGTACTGCTTCTGGTTAGATGTGTGGTCTCGCGCACATCACTGACATCGGTAGCAGATTTCTGTTTCCTCCGCCATTTCTTGAATTTATCCATCGTTAAAAATAAGACAAATATTAACAAGGATTCTGGGGGCTATAAAACGGTCCTTATAATACAATAGCGAGGCTGATATCGGGTTGGATCATCTTTTAAAATGAGGGGTCAAGTGGGAAGTAGTTAGCGCCGGCGATGCGCTGCTGCTGCATGCGTGGATGACAGGGCTATGCTACTGTGGCTATTTTCATTTGCCTATCCTTTGCACAGGTATCTTCCTCCCAAGGGTTGGACGATTCCATTGGCCAAGAAGATTCCAGTAGTCGCTCATTTGTTTCAAACATCTCTATACTTGGCATGTGTTAATGCCCATCAACGGGTATCAAGTTTTGGACATCTTAAATTCAAATGTTTCCAGTTCCGATATATCATTATCTCATGCCTCTTCTCAAGTCAAGGCTATCTTTCTGCGCATCAATTGATTGACACATACTTCACTACCTACTAGTAAGCTTTGTTATAAGTCGCTCTCAAATGGAACTTTTTATCCGATCAACAAGCGACATATGTCTATAAATGTTGAATGCACTCGCTTGGGCATAAATGACTGACATTTCAACAACAATCTCAAAGCCGTGATCCCTTTGGACATTTTCCATTCAATGGAGGTGATCTAACGGTCATCACAAATGAGGCCCTCTCAACATTTGAAGCCTTCTTACATCCACCCCTATTATACACCAACTGGGTGCGACGACAGTTGTGCGACTCTCGGAAAATCTGGCCCTGAAGGGTGGACTTTCCTGTCCAGCGAAGCGGAAACGCTTAATCTTATTGCATCTAAAACCTTAATTCGAGTTCTACGAGTTCAACATTTGCTCATACCAGGTCGAATATGTCTGGATAGTACAGCCCCTGATAATTGGGGCACTAATTGCACCACACGCATTATTACAGCTTCCAAGATTCTCTTTCTCCGTGGTTGGAATGCTTCATCTACTCAATTCGAATTAGGTAAGTCCCTTCCTTGTGCAGATTCTCACGCGTGTCTTCAACTGTTAAGATTACTGTCGAAAATCCTCATCCCCGCGCAAGTAGCGCGGTTTCCCAAGTTTAATTTTCCCACCTATGAGCGCTCTCTACAGGATCAATGCGGGCTATTCTCCACACCATACCTCAAGTTAAAATCCATGAAACATGGTTCCAAGAAATATTGCATCGGAAAATATCCATAGTTTGCATATGATGATCTTCCGGCCGAGTCCGATTGCGGGGTTGATATAGTATTGATACGCCATGGCAGGTGAAGGCGCGTTTCTTTTAAAGAATCTCTTATTCCATCATATTGGCAATACTTGCATATCTGCTCAAAAAGCAGATTTATGAGAAAATCCAGTTCAACAAACATCAATGCTTTTCCTCCGTGTGGCTAGATGGCTTTCTCTTGCCTCTTTGGCGTACTCCACCCCTTTATCAACAACGAAGACATCTTCCAGCGAGCCACCAACGGCTACCCTCACGTCCAGCAATTCACAGAACAAAACTGTCTTCGTTGGTCGTACTTTATCCGAATTCAGTCAGGATGTCTTCCTGGGCGTCAAGTTTGCGGATGAGCCAGTTCGGTTTACGCCTGCAAAACTGAAGGACGAATACGCATCCAGTGATAGCGACTCCGGTGTATATGATTTTTCTGTTGTTGGAACCAAGCCTCAGAACCATGAAATATATTACAACGCAACTGAATACGGTTATGACTGTCCTGGATATGGATCTGATACTACAACTCTAGTCGAAGAGGGCTTTGTGCGGCTGGGTGAGAATTGTCTGAACCTGAACGTTATAAGACCCCAAGATGATAGTGAGGAGTTACTGCCTGTTCTCCTTTGGATCTTTGGAGGTGGATGGCAACAAGGATCTACTGCAGATCCGAGGTTCGTGTGCATAAATCACAATGGAGGAACCGCGGCTAATGCTTGGCTAGATACAATATGAGCTATATCATTCAACAGAGTGCAGAGAATGGTAAGCCTGTAATTGGTGTGTCCATCAACTATCGACTAGCTGCCTTTGGGTTTTTAGACTCAGAAGAAGTGCGGGTAAGTTCAAGTCTTTTCTCAGAACAGTGCTTTGAGTGTGTTTGATAACATCTATCTAGGCTGAGAAAAACACCAACCTTGCTCTTCGAGACCAGCGGGTTGCCATGCATTGGGTCAAAAAGAATATCGAAGCTTTTGGTGGTGACCCTGACAAGATCACTATTTGGGGCGAATCTGCGTTAGTATATCATGGCTACCTCTTAAATTCTTCAGAGGGACTGACTATTTTACAGAGGTGCTTACAGTGTCGGAGATCACCTAGTCACCAACGGTGGTGATAACGAAGGACTCTTTAGAGCCGGTAAGAGCACTAGATCTAACTTGATAGTCAATCATATATCAAGCTAACACCTGAATTTAGCGATCATGGATTCAGGAAACGCGGTTGGACCCCCATACAACGGAACTGAATGGCATCAACCGATGTACGACGGAATCGTGGAACGCACGGGCTGCTCAAATGCAACAAACACCCTTCAATGTCTCCGTGATCTCCCATACGAGACATTTTACAATGCAGCCTATGTTGGCCTAGAGTGGTTTGCTACCATCGACGATATTTTTATCTCGCAATACCCGCAAATAAGCTATCGCGAGGGCAAAATCGCAAAAGTCCCGATCCTTTTAGGTACAAATACAGATGAAGGAACAAGCTTCGGAACAACCGGTGTGAATACAGACGAGGAAGCTATTGCACAGCTAATCTGTTAGTGCAGTCTTATTTGGAGCCATACTTACGTTTGAGATAATAGAAACTAACAAAATTTCCCTAGCTTCAAAACGTTGGGACATCTCTACTGAAGAGGCCACTGAGATTCTGACTCACTATCCTAATATTTCTGCGATCGGTTGCCCTTATGGCTGGGGAAACGTTACTTGGCCATCTCTGGGCTATGAGTACAAGCGCTACGAATCCATCGCTGGAGACTTGTGCATGGTAGCGCCTCGTCGGATGCTGGCACATACCATGTCAGCCTTTGAGGAGAATGTATTCTCGTACCGGTGGGACGTTGCTGCTCTGAATACCAGTTCGTTAATTGGAGTGCAGCATTTCGCAGAGGTAAGTAAAAAACTTCTTCCCCTTCGAACTTTGCTCTCTAAGCTGGGACTTACGTGCTTTGAATACAGATTCCTTTTGTCTTTGCCAATCCAGTCCAGAACATGACCTCCCTGGGGGCAGAGCTACCTGGCAGACTGGCCTTGGGTCAAATGGCCGCACGCATGTGGACATCGTTTGCCGCGGATTTGAATCCTAATGGCCATGGAAGTATGTCCCACAAGAGCGATATATCACTCTACCCTTCTGATTGATCAATTTATTCAAGTCAGAGTCACTAATCGAATTCATGAGTAGTACCCGATATTCCCAATTGGCCTCGTTACTCTTCACAAACAGCTAATTTTGTCTTTCGTCTTCCGCGAAACGACAGCTATGTTGAAAAAGATGATTATCGTGTCTCTGGAATGCAGTATATCAACAGCATTGCGCGGTAATGATGCTTTTCTTTTGTGTGAGAAAGTTGGCTTAGAAATTTCCAACATTTGAATGATAATCTCCCTCCGGGGCTTTCGAATGTTCCGTCAAATCAGTACATGCTCTATTCTGGTTTACTACACGATGTGCTTATTGATGTAGTGGTACCTGCAGCAACTTTGGTGGCTACTCGAGTTGGTTCACTGGATCAATCAATACATATCATTACGGCCTTGGCAAGACCCCCATATTTGTTGTCGTCAACTAGTAGACTGCCTGAAGTGACTTGAATAATCAGAGGATGGTATATTCAACATGTCCCTACCTAAATATAACGGCCAGAGCCACCAAACGACTCCAAAACGAAGGGGGTAATGGGAATGCGACAGAAATGGAGAAGAAAACACCAAGCCGCTCATGAGGAATCGAGAGATTTGAATAGAATAGGAAAAAAGGGACATGCAACATCTGTGAACTATACAATGAGTCCACATACAACAAAAACCTTCTATTATGTACGCTTGCTGCCGCAATCAAAAGCCTCACTCATCCTTCGCTCTGTCACCATAAGATGTGGAGCCCGTTGCACGAGGCCTGCTCGATGCGGAGGTAGAGGCTAAGGGGTGGAAGGATGACGAGGAGGAGGATGTGCCTTGTTCTCTTCTTCTCGTGGTTCCAAAGACGCTAGGAGACCTTCGGCCTTCCGAGGCATCATCCAACTCGATTAGATCATTCATACCCCATAGTCCCGGGCTCCGACCTCGGCCAGATGCTGACAGATTGGGGGAACCTGGCATTTCATTGAAACCGAGCCTGGCACGCGTTGCCACCTTGCGAACCCATCCCTCCAGCGCTCCCCCTATGTTTTCCAGACCCGTTGAAGCGTTTGAAGCGACGGACTCGGAGCCGAAAGAAGGTCTTCGGGGGTCCGAGGGAGCTGGGGGAGGTGCCAGATGGGGCATGTGTTGCGAAAAGAACTTGCTCAGTCCATCCATGGCAGGTCCAGGTGCATTTGAGGCTTGGTCAAGAGTACCGACGCCGGTCCCAGAAAGATGAAGACTACTGCGTTGACGACGGTGCTTGGGACGAACCGGGTAGGGGCCACCGGGCTTGGACGAGCCACCACCACCAGGGCGGGCGCGTGGGAGTGTATGTTGGGGGGAATTAAGATGAGATGATTCAGACGGAGAGGGATCACGCGTGGGTTCTTGTGATGAGATCACAGAGAGGGGCTCCGCATCAGTGTAAGACACAGATTTCCGGCGTGTTCGTGGAAAGAATCCAAGTGCTCTTCGTGGAACACGCCCGATTTCAATGGCCACTGGGAATCCCTCTATCTTCACCCAAGACTCGTGCCTCCAGATCTTGTTGGTTTCTGATTCCGATTGGCCAGTGGTCTTTCGTTCTGTTGCAGGCTGTGTGGCAGAATCAGCTGCAGGCGCAATACAGCTGCCAGTTCCATCTTCAGAATCAGGACTCAAAAGATCCACACGCTCCTCTTCTCGAACGGGCCGACCTTTCACGGTGCATGCGTCAACTGGCAATAGAACCGTATTCTTGCTCTGAATGTTGTCATTTGGCCAGAACCCATTCACCTTCCGAAAGATAGCGGCTTGACAACCGTATTTGATCGTCACTCCAGTGATGCTATCCGAGGCTTGAACATGATGGATATATGCCAACGCGTCCTCGTCGTGATCTGGGTCGAGTACCTGATCAGAATAATCACCAGAGTCGCGTTTTTTGTGTCGAAAATTACGGCCAGATATTAGATCAGAGTCCGCAAGCAGTAATGCTTCCCGTTTCTTAGCCTGGACCAGCGCCTGCCGCTCCTCCTTGGTCCCACTTCCAATCTCTGGGGAAGCGGGCGCAGACGGCCCCCAAGCTGAAAGATTCACCCGGGGAAGACTCCTTGTATATACATCCGATCGCGACGGTTTCCTTCGTGTATGTGTCTTTCCTGTATTATCTGCTGCATTCCGCCCAGTATTGCTCCCTAGAACCGATGATGCAAGGTTTTGGAGCGAAGACCATGGAGAGTCCAAGAAGTCCGACCCCCCTCGTGCCGGTCTAGATGATCCGTTCAAACCTAATGATGTAGGTTCATTGCGGCTGCGATATTCTGATTCGGTGACTCTGGAGGGATGTCTCATGGGCAAGGGCGATGTTCCACGGGATGAAAGCGGCGAGGGGGTGGCGCCACGAGAGCGAGCGGTTCCCTCGGTCAGAAGAGTGGTGGACAGACTCGAGGTGAATGGTTGGGAATCATTGTAGGGGTATAGACTGTTTTTATTGGAGATGTCATCTTCGTCGTCCATCAAGGAAGACACCAAGCGACGAGGGCGCGATCGGACCGCGGAGGTCGAGGTGGAGCTTGCGCCTATGGTATTGGAGCTTATGGAAGCATTGGCAAGGCTATTTTGGGAACTCATTCCTGTAAGTGAGGTCCGAGGAGGTCTGCTTCCAAGGACGCGAGTCAAAGGCTCCCTTTGGAAGTGTGTGTGTTGCCAAGGCACTGATTGCCATCAGTAGTCTCCGAGGATAGACCCATTCGTCATCTACCCGCCGTGTCGCATTCGTGGCCTCAAGAATAGGCGGGGCGAAAGAAGCAGACTGTATTCTTTCCGCAACGACCCCGCGTTTTTATAGTCACAATTTGGTATTGGAGGTGAAGGAGGCGGGGAGGGTGGAGTGAGGAGTGGTGGCTCAATGATGCGATAGGAGACAGAGGGAGGCGTGGCCGTCGTGACGATAACGACCCACACCGGACAACCCCGACTTGAAAGCAGACAGGGCTCAAAAGTAACAAAACGACAATGGGGGAGATTTGAAAGGGCAATGAGAGTGTAGGAGAGATATATTGTAAATAAAAAACGACCGCAAGGGCAGGGGTGGGTTTCGGGAGACGCTGTTAAATGATCGGCAGGTGACTTCGCCGCTTTACACAGGTAGGGGTACATGACGTTGACGGTCCGTTCCAACCACACTACATGTACCCGGTACCCGCCGTGGCTTTTTATACATAGGTGCCTACCAAAGGCCGACGATTTACAGAGGTAGCAAAATCCCCCGTATGTAGCCAAGTATATACAATAATAATATACATGTTTCGTAACTTGGTAGATCTTTGATCAATTACTCTACGAGATAAATAGCACTAGTTCTATGCACCAACCGGCCCTGCCATAAAAAAAATTGCAATCCACCAGAGTGACCAGCAACATGAAGAAATTGTAAGAATAAATCCCATGAAAAAACACCCCTTCCATCGCACTGCGTTCCAAAGAGGTTGAAAAGAGAAAATTAAAGGCAAGTGGATCATCACTCAGGAGATTCAGGTCGCATGGAGTGTGTGTCAGTCGAGGCAGATTCAGATTCGGTGAGCCAATCCTCTCTCTCCTCGGTGAGAATCTTTACGGGTGCCGCCACTGGCTTCACCGGGATTGACTTGATTTCCACGTCTTTGAAAAAGTTGCTCAGGCGGACGGGATCCAGAACTTCCTCTGAGGCCACTTGGTTCAAGTCTTTGCCTGTTGACAACATTGCTTCAATAGCCTCGTAGGGTGTGGTGGTGTTGACTGCTCTGACACATGCATCCTTAATATCGCTGCCGGTCCAGCCTTCAGTTCGTCGGATCAACGGCTTCTGCAGTAATTCGCTGATGTCCATCTTCATCAAATCTTCCTTCTCCTCTTCAAGATCAAGGTCTTCCCAGTCCACGAAATCGTTCTTAAGAAGCTTCTTGAAAAGAATGGCACGGCCTCTTGCATCTGGGGGTCTCACTTCGATAGGCTTGCCGCCCAACCGTCTGATGAAGGCTTTGTCAATAGCGTCGCTACGGTTGGTAGCTCCAAAGACCACAATGCGCTGGCGCCCTTCCGTCGCACTCTCAGATTGAAGACCGTCCCAGTGTGTCATGAATTCTGCCTTGACCATTCCGCTTGCTTCGTGATCACGTTCCGATCGTTTCGCAAGAAGCGCATCGATTTCATCGATAAAGATGATGCAGGGCTGGACCTTGCGCGCGAGAGTGAAAACCGCCCGAACAAGCCTATTGGATTCACCATACCACTTATCCGTCAATGTAGAAATATTCAAGTTGATGAAAGATGCCCCGCTTTCAGCCGCCAGCGCCTTAGCAATCATAGTCTTTCCGCAGCCAGGTGGTCCCTCAAGGATGACACCAGAAGGGGCGCTTCGAAGAGTTGCCGGGTTCGCAGCGAAGAGTTTTGGGTACATCAATGGCCAAATAACAGATTGCTTGAGATCTTTGATAATGTCGTCGAGACCCGCTATGTCGTCCCATCGAACGGGGATATCCTTCGGGTCGACGAGTTCCGCCGCGATAGCTTGTTCATATTGGTTGAGAACGAGCTCGCTTTTTCGGACACCACCCTTTGAATCATCATCTCCGTATAATCTGCGTAAAATGGCCGCTGACTTCTGCCGTTGTTCCTCCTTCTTCTGGTTCTCTGGGTCCGGGGGAGTAAGGTGATTTAGCACTAGTTTAACACCACCGTATGCGACCATTCCCTTTGACTATTGTCAGATATTTGCGATCTTGAAGTTGGGTGGCATGTTGGACCCTTAAGGCTGGGAATCGGGGGTCAAGTACTCACCGTAACTAGCATCATCCCCAGTTCTTGGACAAACCGTACCCACGGGAGACCGCTTCGATCAGCTTGTGGGGCCATGGCGAAACAGCTCAAAATATGCAGATGTCAAGAATGCGACAATAATTAAGAAGGGTGTTTAAAAGCCCCGTCACCGAGTACGGGGGAACAGAACTTCCCCGGAATGACCGAGATGAATCGGGCTGTGGCGCGGCCGATCTGTGGCTCGGAATGTCACATGTCCAAGGCGGAGAAGTTGTTGATGTTCGCGCGGCGCGCGTATCGCACCGTCCCTACTAGCGATCTACACCACATAAATAAGCTCCAATTGCACACCATGCCTAAAAGGAAAGCGCCCACAAAACTTTCTGGGCTTACCGGCTCAGACGATGAAGATTTGATGCAGATGACGGCAAATGGGAGTGCATCTGTACAGGAATTACACGACGAACCTGCTGCCAAGAAACGACGAGGCCGACCGCGAACATCAGGCGACAACCCGATCGTATCCCAGTCGACAGCTCAGACCAAGAAAAGAGAATCAGTTGCAGCTACGCAAACCGAGTCTTCTCAAGCTAAGAAACCAGCTGGTCGACGAGGGCGACCACGCGGTAGCAGTCGCCTATCTGAAGCCCCGGAGACACAAATGGAAGCAGAGCCTCCGCATGAGGTAACCGAAGAACCAAATGACGAAGAAAACGAGGAACCCGTGGCTCCTAAGCAGACAAAGACAACCCGCGCAACGAGGGCTGCTAAGCCTGCACCGACTCGTCGGACAGCTCGCACAGTCAGCGCAGCAAAGCAAGTAACCGCAGATGGCGAATTCGAGTATACGCCCTCCGGTTCGAGGCAAGCTGCAGGTCAGGAGTCTAAGGAGGGACCGGAACCCAGCCCCCGTCCACGTGCCGTTCAACGACGACAGAAACAAGTTGAGGAGGTCAACACAGCACAGGAGGATGAACCTGCGGTAGATGTTGTAGATGAGTCTATCCTTCCCGAGGAAGCGCCTCCTGCTCGTCATTTGCCTTCTGCTGCTGTGAAAGATGCACGATCCCGGTTGTCTTCGATGCACAACGCACTAGAGCTTTCTCCTCGTAAACGCAAGTCAGGCGATGCTGAGCAAGGTGGAGATCCGGAGCTGAGGCGTAAAATTGGTGATCTCACCAAGAAGCATGATGCCCTGGAAACCAGGTATCGCAATCTTCGGGAGATTGGAGTCGTAGAGGCCAACACAAACATGGAAAAGTTACGCAAGCAGTGTGAGACTGTCACTACAGGTATGTTTTCTATTAGCGAATACTCGATCTCTAGTCTTGCGCTAATTGATCGTAGCTTCCAACGAGTTGGTAGCATCTCTCAAATCTGAACTGGAAGCACAGCGAGCTCTGGGGCAACGGAGCCGTGGACTCGAGAAGCAACTGAAAGAACGGGATGCTGAGATATCCCGTCTGCATGCTCAGGCAGATGAATCACGTTCTCAACTTTCAGCCTCTCAAACCGAGGTCAAGGCCTTGCAGACTAAGTTGGCTGCCGCGCGCAATACGGCCGCCAGCCTGGAGAAGACCGTCAAGGCTCCCGGCAGTGCAATCAAGGGCGGACTTGCAAACCGTGCAGTGGCAGCCGCCAATGCTGGGGCTGCGCAGGCAGCTCAAGTCGCTCAGCTCAAGGAAGATCTATATAGTGACTTGACTGGTTTGATCGTCCGTGGTGTAACGGACCGAGAATCCGATCACTTATATGATTGTATACAGACCGGAGTCAACGGAAGTAAGTCCCCACTATCATATTTACTCGGATTTTACAAGCGTGCTAATTATAATCCAGCCCTACACTTCAAGTTGGCAATTCCCAAGGTACCTAGCTCGGAGTATGAAAAGGCAGTGTTTGAATACCTGCCTCTGTTAGATGCCAGCCGTGATCGGGAGCTTGTTGATATTCTGCCCGACTTTTTGATCGACCATATTACTTTCGAGCGGGAACAGGCACCAAAGTTTTATACAAGGGTTATTGATGCTCTGACTAAGCGGCGGTCCAGCACGGCATCGCGTGCGTAACTTTGAAAAAGTCATATAGTAAGCGTCCAATTGGCTGAAAATCTGGAGTCAGTATCACTTATGGAGTTTGTGAGCGTTTCATCCAATCAATCTCAGAGCCATCCAATGCTCTAGTATCAATCTTCCACATAATTCTATAAATGACCGTCCTGTAGATACTTGTATATTGTCAGCTCTATGGTCCTGCCTCCTCGGGCTAAACATCTTTCGGGTGTACATATGGCAATTGCAAAACCGGGAGGCTGAAGCTGACCTTCAAAATTACAGATACACCTCTCCTGTCTGTGGCATCTTCACATTGCCACTAGTGAAGCTGCAATGGCCCACTGGACCATTAACGGGCACCGACCCCCACTGAACTGGTAAAAGCGACATATCCTCACCATTCATGCTTTCATCCCCCTTGCCAAGATTTGGATCAAACCTTGGATGACACGCCGCTGCAATCGCAAGACTGCAACTTCCAGCGACAGGCATGGCGGAATTGAATCGCTTGTAGCTCAGCCCCAAAAGGCTTAGAAACATGAAGCTTCCAACAGTGATAACACTGACAGTTCCAACGGGGGACCAGCCGCAACCAAAGAAGTCAGTCAAGGGGTCGCGCAGCATGTCAGAATTCCATGCCTCGACGCCAATCACAAAGAGGCTCTGTGATATAAGCCAGTGCAGCAATGCTGAAATTGCCATTAGCGGGGCTGCGTAGCGAAAAGGTATGGACAGGAAGTATTTGCTCCGTTGGGATTGCTTGGGGCTGTTCGAGACGCGTAGGCCCTTTCTTTCTTTGGCGAAGCTACTCCACTCGGCAGCGAGAGTCATTGCTGTTAGTTGGCCGTTGCAGATGAAGTAGAGGAGGGAAAAAATGACTTGGGGCGAGTTGGCGATCATTGCATTGAGGACTAAAGAAGATGGCCAGGTCGTATCATATATAAGGGTGTTTACGTCGGCCGTTCCTAGTGGCTGTGTCCACGAGTTTGCTTCGGAGTCATTTTTGGCTACCATTATGACACCGTAGGCCAGGAGTAAGATGCAGGTACATATTGCAATCACCCACAGTAGGCCTAGCAATACCCATTCGCTAGTGGAGACAGCTTTACTCCACCGCCACCTTGTGTTACCGAAGACCTTCGTTTGGTGTAGGAGCTTCCTTGTGGGGATCGATTTCATATATCGAGGTCTTGACTTCGCCTCACGGCTAGTGAGTAAACATAGATTTTGTGATTCGGGGTCAGGGTGACGCAAGAAGGAAGCAATCGCGTCTCCAATCGTCAGAATAGGAGCATCAGATATTCCGAGCCACATGTATAACAAGACCGCGGTTTTAACCAGATTGAATCCTATAACTACTATGACGAGTGGGAATGAGTACCGCAATTTGCAATACTGTCCCGCTTTCTCTGCCATGCAGGACTGGATGTGGTAGGATTCACTCGTGTTGCCATTGGAATTATCGATATTCCAATCGTTTGCATAAACCTGTGCCCGAAATTGGTCCAGTGTGCTGTCCGAACAAGCAGTATTGTTGGCGCTCATGGTCGCGCTGTCACACAGCCACTGATATGGGCTTCTTTGGCTTGGTGACAGATAGGCATATGTCGATAGCTCAAAAACTGGATTGGTGTCGACGTACATGTAGTAGACAATGGGGTCGGTGAGATTTTTCGTAAGCTGAGTATCGGTCACAAGCAACAACTTCTTATAGGCTGATTGAAAGGTAACGGCAAATGCATTGAAACACTCAGTATTGCTCAGAGGATATAGAGTTCCTTTTTCTGCTTCATCGTAGAGTTCCTGAAAGGACACTAACTTATCGTTCGGTTCCGTCGGCGTAAGTTTGAGAGAACTTTCTTGGAACATTCCAAGATCGGGGGGACCGGCGAAAATATCATAGGCAGCGACGGATGTCGTGGGGTAAATGGCCGAATTGTACCTGTGAATTATTTAGGGACAGCTTAAAAATGAGGTCCAGGTGGGGAAAAACTGTACAGTAAGTGGAATGGAAGTGATGAAATAGCCAGACAAAACCATAACAGGGATCGTTTGACAGACACACGGAATAGGTTGCGAGCACTAGGTACGCCAATATCGAGCCACTGACCCTTTCTGTGCGCTTCATCTATATTCTGGCGGGTTGGCGCAGCTAAGCATTGCTACAAGAACTCATTAGCTTCTTCTAAATCATTGAAAACTCTCACACGGAGGTTTTCTCTCTTCTTACCATTCCATAATTGCTAGCACCCAGCAAACCGGTACTTAAGATGTTGATGATTAAATGGAACCCGGTGCTGAGGCGGTGCACTTTTGTACAGTCCCCCTCGTAAATAGTTGTACTGAAGTAATTCTTCAGGTAGAAGGCTTGGTCTTCAACAGGATAGAGATTTATGGGATCATGCTTAGGGTTCGTTAGACAGTAAAGTAAAAATCCCATATTGAAAAACAAAATAACCAAACTTGTCGTGGAGGCCAAGAAAAGAGTGAATTTCCATCCTTCGAATCGGTGACTATCCAAAATTCGAAACATAAATCTGCTTGCTCTATTTCGTGGCTCTCTGTTCTCCAGTAATGTTTGTCCGGGTCCTCTTTCCATGTTCTCCGTGAGTTCGTGCTGGACCAAAGAGCTCGAAACTTTGAGATATTTGCGAATCGGCATCATTTCAGTGCCAGTGAGTTGAACATAATCCATTTGAGTCTATCTTGAAAATCCGAATGAGCCCCTCTGAGCTCAGGCCGAAACAGGACCTTCAAGGGACTATGTGCAGGTATTGTGAGTTCAAGTCAAAGTAATGCAGGTGGAGCATTGTGGATCAAGGTTGGAGACAATCCAAATATATGTATGGGATAGTACTGGAGAAGTTAGAGTTCATGAGGCTCAAGCCTTGAGAATGCTGTCATTGATCATCTGGAGGTCTGTACTTTGTATGTTTTGAATCTTACTCTTGAGCAGTGCGGCGATTATTAGCGAAAGGGTCAACACCTATGAATGGTCAACAATGGCAGGCTGATTCCAAGGTTGTTTCTGAGGGGCTGTATCCTCCAATCGCGGGATAGAAAGCTTTGTGCTGGCAAAAAGTCTCTTCGTATTTCTTTAGGGGGCTCATGTGGCTTCGAAAAAGCCCCGAATCTGCAGGGTTGCTAGGGCCGCAACTCTAGAGCCGGACCCAACTAAGCTTTCTTCTGCAATCTGTTAGTACACTCCTTCGTGTTAGAAAGTAAAACGATAAACAACACGAGAGGGAAAAAAGTCAGCATATTTGGAGTATTTTCGTCGCTTCTCTCGTTTAGCCCCCCGCAACACTCAAAGTTATAGGGAACTCAGCCGTGCAGCCTCCCATGCGATGAGGCTGAGATCTCAGGTGACCGACCAAAGTAACGAATGGCTATTTGAGCCTATTTCTGGCACGATGACTTTGGCGTTGATTCCCCTGTGCTTCCGAGGTTTTTGGCTCTGGTACTACATACCAGTAGTATACACTAGTAATTGCAGTAGAGTTGAGGTAAGGATATAGTCCAAGTACAAGTAAACATTGCCGTGCACAATTGGTGCGTCGTGATTGGTGCTTCACCGCCCGTCCCGCAAGTTACCCACCAATTCGATATGTGGTTCAATCACTCCATATCCGTGCCAGTAATGACCTCCTTTTTATAATTGTCCTCTTCTTTCTTTTCTTTCTTTTTCTTTTTCTTTTTCTTTTTCTTGCCAGGGGCCCTTATTCATTCTTTCATCTATCGAGTCAGGTTACCCCTCGTGAGAGGTGAAGATCGATAGATCATGGCGCGTCTAGGCCGCGTTGGGTTCCTCGCCCTAGCGGTGGTCTTCCACTTGATCTATACATACTCAATTTTCGATATTTACTTTGTTAGCCCCATTGTGAGTGGCATGCAATCATATGGCGTTGAACGACCCGCCGGTACCAGTGCTCCAGCTCAACGATTGGTCCTCTTCGTCGCCGATGGCCTGCGCGCCGACAAGGCCTTCCAGGCATTCCCCGACCCATCCCCCGAGAACGACGCCGAACCAAGCGACGAGTTGATCCGATTATCACCATTCATTCGCTCCAGGGTTCTTTCGCATGGAACCTTTGGCGTCTCCCATACCCGTGTCCCCACCGAATCACGACCAGGACATGTTGCGCTCATTGCGGGCCTGTACGAGGACGTCTCGGCAGTTACAACAGGGTGGAAGCTGAACCCGGTCAACTTCGATAGTGTGTTCAACCAGAGTCGCCACACATGGAGTTGGGGAAGCCCGGATATTTTGCCCATGTTCAAGGAGGGTGCTGAACCAGGTCGGGTCGATGCGGATACATACAGTGAGGAGGAAGAGGACTTTAGTGTGGATGCATCCCACTTGGATACCTGGGTATTTGACAAAGTACATGCGCTATTTGAGTCTGCTAAAAGCGACCCTGAATTGGATCAAAAGCTGCGTCAGGACAAGGTGGTCTTCTTCCTGCATTTGCTGGGCCTTGATACCACTGGTCACGCATTCCGACCATATTCCAAGGAATACCTCAGTAATATCAAGTTGGTGGATCGCGGTGTTCAGGCAGTGACACAGTTGGTGGAGGAGTTCTATGCGGACGACAAGACCGCATTCGTCTTCACTGCTGACCATGGCATGAGCGATTTGGGCAGTCACGGCGACGGTCATCCAGATAACACGCGGACTCCTCTTGTCGCGTGGGGCTCCGGAGTCGCCAAACCGCTAACCAATATCCCAGGGGCTATGACCGGACATGAAGATGGGTTCTCATCGGATTGGGGATTTGACAATGTCCGACGACACGATGTAGACCAGGCCGATGTTGCCGCTCTCATGGCCTACCTTGTGGGTGTTGACTATCCGGTCAACTCTGTCGGTCAGCTCCCATTGTCCTATCTCGATGGCAGCCCCGAAGAGAAGGCTTTAGCCGCACTTGCAAACACTCGAGGAGTGCTCGAGATGTATCAGGTCAAAGAAAAACAAAAGAGAGAGGCTCTGCTCCGCTATGTGCCTTTCCAGCCTCTTTCTGGAGATGGCGAGACTTCAATTGAAGGACGTTTCGCCAATATGGAGGTGCTTATATCTAAGGGTGATTATGAAGATTCAATTGCCCTATCTTCTGAGCTGCTAGTATCGGGACTTGAAGGTCTGCGCTATCTGCAGACTTACGACTGGCTGTTCCTGCGGAACATCGTGACTCTCGGGTATCTGGGCTGGATTGCCTATTCTCTGACCACCGTTATTGACTTGCATGTTCTCCATGGAACGTCCGACTCCCACCGGACTACGGCTAGCATTTCATTCTTTTCATCTATCTTGGTGGCTTTGTTCTCTGTGTTCTTGTACCAGGGTTCATCATGGCGTTACTATTTCTACGGATTTTTCCCAGTCTATTTCTGGGAAGAAGTCTTTGCCCGCAGAAAGGCTCTCATTGCCGGCCGCGAAATTGTTCTTGGTCACGTCCGCTCATTCGGCGGCTATGTGACCTTCGGAGTGCAGCTCTTGGCGTTCCTTGGTGTATTGGAGGCACTCGTAAGTCGATATATGAGTATTCCTTGTTAAAAGCGTACAAGCTAACACAGGCACAGGTCCAGGCTTATTTCTATCGGGAAATCCTAACCGTCTGCTTTGCCTTGGGTGCCCTCTGGCCTTTGGCGTACGGGTTTGGTTTTATCCGCAACCATGCCTTCCTGACTACGGCATGGGTTCTCGGATGTTCTCTCATGAGCATTTTCCCTATCTTGCCCGTCAGCAAAATGGAGGACATTGATACCATGTAAGCCTCTCTGCCGACAGAGTTACCTTCAAGTTCCTATCATTGCTGACTTCTTCTCTCCTAGTACCTATGGCGGTCTTCTGATGTTCTTTACTGGTGTTCTATACTTGATTTTTGAAGATTCTATCCTTGGAAAAAGCAGCGCTGCACCCAAAAGCCCCGCAGCAGTCAGTACCCACGGTTCACGAATCATCGTGGGCACTCAAGTTGGTTTGGTTCTTCTTGCCTTGCTTGTCACTCGATCAAGCGTGTCCTTCCTTCAGGCTCGCCAAGGCTTGCCCTTGGGTAACCAAGTTGTTGGCTGGGGAGTGTTAGGTAAGTCTTTTTCTCATTCAACGGTTACATGGACAGGGCTAATTATCATTTAGCTACCTCTGTTGCTCTGCCATTCTTGCATCGGCTGTATCCTAATAGTCACTACTTGCACCGCCTCCTGGTCATCTTCCTGACTTTCTCACCCGCCTTTATCATTTTGACCATTGCATGGGAGGGCTTATTCTACTTTGTATTCTGCATGACCCTGGTCACCTGGGTCCGCCTCGAACACGCTATCTACGTCCACACTGGATCCAAGGCGGCCAAGTCGTCGAAGTCTAATGAAACCGGCCCGATCGCCACCGCGACAGTTGATGGTCAAACATACCGCTACCGCGCCCTTACCATCTCCGATGCACGCGTGGCACTCTTCTTCTTTTTCCTGCTACAATCAGCGTTTTTCAGCACTGGAAATGTGGCATCTCTGTCCACTTTCACCCTAGAGAGTGTTCGCCGACTCATCCCTGTCTTTGCGCCCTTTAGCCAAGGAGCGCTTCTCCTCTTTCAAATCCTCATCCCCTTCGCCATTATCAGTGCTAACCTGGGCATTCTCAACCGCCGACTGGAAGTTGGGCCTAGTGCACTGTTCATGATTGTCATGTCCATCTCGGACGTTATGACACTGAACTTCTTCTATCTGGTGCGCGACGAGGGCTCCTGGCTGGATATCGGCATGACCATCAGCCATTACTGCATTGCCAGTGTCTTGTGCATCTTCGTTGCAGGACTTGAATTCCTGAGCGAGCAGTTTGTGAGTGGCGTGAAATTTGATTCTGCCGCCGCTGCTGTGGTGCAGGTTGTCAGCGAAACTGCTGAGTGTGGCCACGAGCCCGAACCTGAACCCAAGGTGCAACAGGTGCAGCAAGCGAAGCCCAAAGGCAAGGGAAAGAAGAACCGGAAGGCTCAGTAAAACATAAATGATGTTTATCTGGAACTCAATGTACTTTATCTCTCATCGTTTCATCGAGGCCACCTTGTTAATATAGATCATGTTTTTGAAGATCACCTCCGCCATTTCGTATCATTCCAATTAATTCTTGTCAAACGACGTACCTACCTAAGGTTTGTCATATGTCAGCGGAAACACAAAGACCGTTCCAATCATTATAGTTCAAGTTCAATCGGAGAACCCCGGAAACTTTTGCCCCCCATCGCGGATCTCATCTCATATTCTGCCCAAAACGGCTAAAGCCCACAAGCTAAGGGCACATCCCGCCAGGGCACGACAGCGGATGTTCGATCTGGCCCCAGCGAACGGACCATTACGGGACCAAGGAATTCAAAAATGGAGAGAGAGGGAAAAAGCGGTGCCTGACAGCGGTGACAGCCACGCTCCGCATGTCATTTGGGTCCTTCACGAAGCCTCAATCTGACCAATGTGGAGCTGTACGCACTGTGATTGGCCAAAGCTGCCCCGTTAATTAAAAAAAAAGTTGCCGAGGCATCACAAGATAGTAGAGGTGAAGGCAAGGCAAGACAGATGCGGTAGTAACACACCGTTGGGTCTGCAAGGGGAAGCGGTTTGTTCCTTATCGTTTACCTTTCAAAGTCTGTTGCTCATTTTGCGCCCAGGTAAAGAAGTGTGGCTTTTGTTCCCCCCGCAGTCTCATACCGATCCCCGGGTTTAGGGATTTGTCCCCGCAATGGAGGAGGGTGGGCTGTAGCGCCACGGAGCTGGGGAGTGTATAAGCTCCCAATGTTGGAGTATTGTGGCGAGGGTATACTCCGTACCTGGAAATATTCACATGCTTATGCGCATGCATAACGGTCAGCGGTCGTGGTGGAAATTTTCCGGGCTTGGAACCTTGGAATGATCTACGCCCGGGCGTTGCAGTAAGCACTTGAGTGCTTTGTAGTTCCAAGGCTAGCTCCTAGTGGCTTGGGGCGCAAATATTGTAAACAACTTGAATTTCCAGGGTTGATATCCACGTTGCCCCCCGACACGAGGCCAAGTTGCTTACTGCAGGCACAGATCGAAGCCGCTGACCTTATGCAGGACACATAGACTTGCATTAAACAGTATGAAGATGGCTGGGTTGTTATGTATATCCGTTACCTACTATCAATGCATGTGTACTACACAAGTACATATGTGACACAGCATATCCATGGATGTCTGTCATGCAGGACGAACAGAAATTGAGTATAGTTGCCGAAGCCCCGAAGTCACTCCATTCAATGGGTCTTCTCCTTCAAATGTTTAATGTAGGATTACGGAGTTCAATGTTCAAGCTGAGTCCATGGATTTTGGTATTATGAAGTATTAAATACTAGTAGAATTGTGACTCTTCTCTTTATACCCCGTCTTCAATGTTTCTGCGTTGCGGTTAGGATCAATTGATTGCCCTAAACTTCGATGAACCGGGAGGATCGGGGGCTCGGATCACACTATTACACACATCCGGGGATGTTTTTTGATCATGCCACACAGAAAGGCTACTGTAACTTTACTTAGAAATTGGATTCTTCTATGCCCGCAAGGACATCTGGAAGCTCCACGGTAATTCCAAGAAGGATTTCAGGATTATTTCCACGGGAGTATCGGGTGGATCTCCAAAGAGGGTAGCGTACCTGGTCTCATCCATGGGTTTTCCTGTACTTTTGCCTTCAAATGTTAAGAAATTCTGCTTTTCCTCCAAGGTTGTGGCTTTTTCCCTTCCTTTTCTTGTTTTCTCTTCAGAGGATCCAATATTTCTGAGCTTGGAATCCTGAGGTCTCGATTTTGAGATACCCCTCCACATTCTAAGCCCCTCCCCCTTCCTGATTTCCTATGTTTCCCCTCCGTCGATCCTTCCGCCGAGCGGGTAATGTAGTAAGTACGGGAATTCGGTGTGTTCCATCGCTTCCGGGATGTACTCTTTATAAAGATGTGTGGATTTAAGGTGACCGTTTGCTTTTAAAATAATTGTATATAAACACTTTCAGAAAGAAGTTCAATGTTGGTCTGTTTGGCTTTGAGACATGATCTGGGATTTAGTCCGTGGCTAGTGGTGTAAGTGGGTTTTAATGGAGACTAGGGGTTAAAGGTCACATTTGGAAAGTGTTTGACCAGGGAATTTCCCCCCCGGTACAATAAGTATTGTTGAGGTTATGTTCGAGTTCAAGTCTATAGAGATGCATAGATCTATGGAAGAATTTACCGAGATTTAATATAATCCAAGAGCCGATAAATTAAAAGTAAGCAAAAAAAAAAAAAAGATCCCAAGAGTGCAAGAGCGCAAGAGCGCAAGAGTAGCGGAAATGAACCAGTCAGAGTCGTGGTGATTCTGCTCTTTTAGTTATGGGGAAAGATCTCCACAAGTGACCTCAGTGCTTCCTATTGCCACTACCCATTTTCACTTTCTCTACTCCGTAACGGCTTCTTCTTCTTCTCCGGTCCTTTTTCTTCACTTGATTTTGAATCTGATCGCGTGGCGCTGGTTTATGCGTGAGACCAGACCTCTTCCCCCCTTTCTATATTCCATAATTACTCGTCTGGTGGGAGCCTTTTGACTCTGCCTATATATCGGTTACCGACCCCTTCCACCTGCCTCCCTCTACCGTCCCATATCTCGTGCACCCGACAGCTCACTGCATGGTGACTGCGCGGCCATGAGCGCTACCCTCGAATCTCAGACCGATCCTGCGGGCAGTCCGGCCCCTAGTGCCACCGGCTCAACAGGAACCTCTGGCATCACCGTGCGCAATGGTGCTGCAGGCCAAGCGCTCAGCTTTAGAAGGTGAGCACCCGGTTCTCATCAAATCACCACAATATCAACCTCCGCTTGAATGTCCGGATGCGAAATAAATGGAGGAAGGTGCTGTGAATCTGTGATGTCGCGGGGGCCTAAGTGGTGGGCGCGACGGGGGATGCAGTTTCGCACAGGGTTTTCACTCTTTCCAACGACTTTCTGGCTGAGAGGGGGGATATAAGACCGATGTAAAGAGGTCAGGGATTATAGATGCTAATTCGTTTTATCTAATCTCCAGACAACGTGCATCACGCGCGTGCGAGGTACGTTTTTTATTCCTTTTTTTCCCCTTTGCGACGCGATCTGGCGAGGAGAGCCGAGGTTGTTGTGTGCCTCGGTCCCTCTCTTATCTACATCGAATGAGTCTATCTCCAAACAACAACAATCACTAACATTCGACTTCTTTTCCAGACATGCCATGCTCGAAAAGTGAGTTTGATAAGAAATGTCCCTTTGGATATTTTAATAAATTTCGAAATGATCCTCCCGGTCGGCTTCAGCTAACCACTTCTTCCCTCGATTCCAGGTTCGCTGCGACGCCGCCAGCCTAGGCGTGCCCTGTACCAACTGCGTTGCCTTTTCCATCGAATGCAAAATCCCCTCCCCTAAAAGAAAGAAGAACTCTTCCTCCAAATCAAAAGACGACGTTCGATATGACAGCCCACCCCACACAGCCTCCTCGCTAGTCGACGCGGCGGTCGCTCACTTCCGGCCCTCCAGCACCGAGGACTCCGCCGACAACGCACAAAATGACCAACGAGGACCATCTCCAGAATCGGATCAAAAGGATGACACATTTGGATACCGCAAGAATCGCATGGCCGTCGATGGCATGCCTGTCACGGACTTGTCTGAAGCGGAGGCCGCTCAGGAGGCTTCGGCCAATAACGCCTATGCCCAATTCATGAAGCCCAAGTTTGCACGGGCGCCCATCAAAGAAGCTGGTCGGGTCGCATATCTTGGCGAATCATCCAATTTATCACTACTGGTTCAAGACCGCCACGGCACCACAGATGTCGTGCACTACCCGCTCCCACCGAATATCAGAGGGTCGCGCGCTCGCTTGACAGACTTGGATAATTTGGAAATCGAAATTCTACACCAGCGAGGAGCATTCTTGCTACCGCCGAAGCCACTTTGTGATGAGTTGGTTGATGCGTACTTCAAATGGGTGGCGCCGGTCGTCCCGATCATTAACAAAAGTCGTTTTATGCGTCACTACCGCGATCCGAAGAACCCGCCGTCACTTCTATTGCTGCAAGCCATACTGCTGGCAGGTTCGAGGGTTTGCACGAATCCTCAACTTATGGATGCAAATGGCTCAACCACTCCGGCTGCGATGACCTTCTATAAGCGGGCCAAAGCGCTGTATGATGCTAATTATGAGGATGACCGAGTTACTATCGTTCAAGCATTGGTGCTTCTAGGCTGGTACTGGGAAGGACCGGAAGGTAAGCCTTGAATCCAAGGTTCTTCTATATTGTTTCTTGTTCTGACGATTTTTAGATGTAACCAAGAACGTGTTCTACTGGACTCGTGTCGCAATGGTGGTCGCTCAAGGATCAGGAATGCACCGCAGTGTGGAAACATCACAGCTCAGTAAACCTGACAAGAGACTCTGGAAGAGGATTTGGTGGACACTCTTCACTCGTGATCGCTCGGTAGCCGTGGCTTTGGGTCGACCCATTGGGATCAACACAGACGATTCGGACGTTGGCATGGTGACCGAGGACGACTTTATCGAAGACGAACTCGATGTTGCAGCCGAGTACCCGCCAGATCCGGTGCATGTCCAGTTCTTCCTGCAATATGTCAAGCTCTGCGAGATCATGGGGTTGGTGCTGTCTCAACAATACTCCGTGGCGTCCAAGTCACGGCGCATGAATGCCATGGACCTCACACACTCCGATATGGCCTTAGCCGATTGGCTACAGAACTGCCCCAAGGAGGTCTGTTGGCAACGTTCTAGGCACCATTTCTGGGCCGCTCTCCTTCATTCAAATTACTACACCACGCTTTGTCTTTTGCATAGAGCCCATATGCCACCGGCGTCCTCTGCCTCTAACAGCTACAGAGTCGAAGAAATGGCGTATCCTTCACGTACAATTGCATTCCAGGCTGCTGGAATGATGACCTCGATCATCGAAAATCTACACAACCACGGAGAGCTTCGCTACGCCCCAGCATTCATTGTTTACAGTCTGTTCTCCGCTCTGATCATGCACGTGTACCAAATGCGCTCTTCTGTTCCATCGATTGTGGCAACTTGCCAGGAGCGTATCAATGTGTGCATGGGAGCGCTGAAGGATGTTTCCAAGGTGTGGTTGGTAGCGAAGATGGTCAATACCCTGTTCGAGTCTATCCTGGGCAACAAGATTTTAGAAGAGCGACTCCAAAAGGCAGCAGGCAGACGGCACCAGCGTCGGCCGCATGACCACTCAAACACAGCTGCTGCTGCTAAGAAACCGGATCCACCGAAGCGAAAGTTTGATGATATGGACCTGGGATTGCCAAATGGTGGACCCACGCCTCCCGTGTCGTATGAACGATCTCGCCCACAAACCCCAGCTGTTACGCCCTCTCATGAATTGAACCAACCTCCGCTAGCCCAGGTCTCACCCAACCTGCAGCGCGGTCCTGTGGATCCCATTGTGGGAACCGCTAATTCACGAAGCAATACTCGACCTACGACCCCTTTCAACGCTCAATTTTCTCTTCCCGCTACACCACCCGACTTTTTCCTTGTGACCCGTGCCTCGCCCAATCTGTCTCCATCGTTATGGGAGAACTTCCAGCCTGATCAACTTTTCCCTGACGGCACGGCGATCTTCCCAGAGCTGACTTCCCCGCCTCCGCCCATGGATCCACAACTGCCTATGCCCTCAATGGCGCCCCAGAATATGGGCCAGCGGCCTATGGGCAATCCACAACAGCAGCCCGTTCCCGGACGCAACATGTCGGGCTCTCAAGGAAGCCCTCAGATGATGCCGGGTGTTCCTGGAGGAATGGGAATGCCACCGGGTCAACAACAGATGTTCGGAATGGAAGGACAACCATGGCCGATGCAGGGCATGGATGGAACGATGAATGGTGCAGCGCTGGACGCCGGCAGCCAAGATAATGACAATTGGAGCAACAGTTCACGCAGTGGACCGACTGCGCCTACGACATTGAATGTGGAAGACTGGTATGTTACCCCCTTCAATGCTAAACTTTGTTTTTTTTTCTCTTCTTCTTTTTGATTTTCAATAACTAATTGTTTTGCAGGTTTCAATTCTTTGGTATCAATGGTGGCTTCGGTGATCTGGCTGCATAGGCCATTTCCTGATCTTGCCAGCTGCTTGCGCGAAACTTTTATCACAATGTACATTTGAATTGCTTTTTCCGTCTCATCCTGCTGGCTACTCAAAATGGAATGTTGGGATGGTGGTAATGCCTGGCGTTTTGCTGGTGTGGGCTGTTTGGATTGATTCAGGATGATTAGGTTGGGATTTATATGACGTGGCCCATTATTTTTTATTATCAAATATGATGTTCACTGTTACAACAAATGGATGCTGTACTACGTGAGTCAGTATAAAAATCCCACTAAGCTCTAAAAGACTTTGTTATGATGATTATAAAAGTAAAACCTGGATGGCTTAGCCTAATCGGGACTAGTAAATGACGAAATCGCAGTGCTCACCAGCCGACCAATCAGAAGCCTCCGAGAGCGGAGTCATAGCAGCGAGTTATCCGGGGGAAAGAGAAAGTGGGAGAAGTCATCGACATTTTTGATCCCAATTCTCCAATTCTCCTTCTCAACATACCCTCTCACTCTGTGCCATTCATCTTTTTCCATTACCTGGAATCACGCCCTATCCCGTATCTTCCTATTCCGCCCTATCTCACCCACCCTCTCTATATCTGCCCCGCCCTGCAGCGAAGCGATGTCGGCATCAGGATCCGGAGCCCCCAACAATGAATCGGGGGCGTCAAGCTCTGTGAAGAAGCAATTCCCCCAGGTCGACCTCCAGGGCAATGACCTTCCCCCTTCCCCAGCTCCTTCCAGCCCCCACGGCAGTCGCCGATACAACATTGCCACCGAGTTGGTCTACACTGAGGGCAGTGACCAGTACAACGCGAGCAGCGTGCCAATTTATCAGGTATGGATTCCACAAGAAGGGATAAGGACAATTAAGATTGAAATGTAACCGAAATCGCTGACATCGGGTGTGTGTTCTTTGTTTTTTTCTAGAGTGCTACCTTCAAGCAAACATCCGGAGGTGGGGGTGGTGAGTATGACTACACTCGGTCCGGTAACCCTACTCGCACCCACCTCGAGCGACACCTAGCCAAGATCATGTCTGCCCAGCGGGCTCTCGTCGTGTCCTCTGGCATGGCCGCCCTTGACGTTATTACCCGACTTCTGCGTCCTGGCGATGTGGTCGTCACTGGTGACGATTTGTATGGTGGGTCACACCGCCTGTTGAAGTACCTCTCGACCAACGGTGGAATCACTGTGCACCACGTCGACACCACCAACTTGGACAAGGTGCAGGAGGTTTTGACTGAGAAGACTACTATGGTACTCCTGGAGACCCCCACCAACCCATTGATCAAGATTGTCGATATCGCCAAGATTGCCACAGCCGCCCACGCGGCCAACCCTAACTGTCTGGTCTCTGTTGACAACACTATGATGTCTCCCTTGCTGCTCAACCCACTGGATCTGGGTGCTGATATTGTCTACGAGAGTGGTACCAAGTACCTGTCCGGTCACCACGACCTGATGGCCGGTGTGATCGCCGTGAACGATCTTACCCTGGGCGAGCGTCTGTACTTCCCTATCAATGCCTCAGGCTGTGGACTGTCACCCTTTGACTCATGGCTGCTGATGCGCGGTATTAAGACGCTCAAGGTCCGCATGGATCAGCAGCAGAGCAACACACAGCGCATTGCCGAATTCCTAGAAAACCACGGCTTCAAGGTGCGATACCCCGGTCTGCGGTCTCACCCGCAATACGAGTTGCACAACTCCATGGCGCGTGGTGCCGGTGCTGTTCTCTCGTTTGAGACTGGTAACGTGGATGTTAGCGAGCGTATTGTGGAGAGCGCAAAGATCTGGGCTATCAGTGTCAGCTTTGGCTGTGTCAACTCTCTTATCAGTATGCCTTGCCGGATGAGCCATGCTAGTATTGACGCGAAGACGCGGGCGGAACGCGCCATGCCTGAGGATCTGATTCGGTTGTGTGTGGGTATTGAAGATGTAGATGATCTCATTGACGATCTTCAACGAGCGGTATGTGAATGTCCTGCCAGTGAATGGCTAAAGACAGAACCCTTGAACTAACTTTTTTTTTGCCACAGCTCGTGCAAGCCGGTGCAGTAAATGTGACATTGGATGGAATCTCGGCGGCAATCCAAAACAGTGCCTAGGTTATTTAGTATTTCTCTTACTTTTGTTTTTTAAACGGATGTACATGGCGTTTTTCTTGGGGATTAAAACATATCACGGTCATGAAATAAAACTACAAACTCAAGTTCCAATACGAAAAGTACGATAAGCAGTACCATAGTTCATATACTGATACGTTAACGTTTATCCGGCAAATAATCCGGCATCGGAGACTCGGCACCGGATCGCGCCCGGTCCTTTCTCGTCCGAGTTGTATTGTTCTCCGGTTTTAAAAAGAATAGCGTTGGTAATTGCTCCTCCTTCATTCGGTTTGGCTTCTTTTGCTTTTATCCTTCTCCTTCATGCACCGGTGATCTGTACCCCGGACTTTTTCGCATTTCTGCATTTCTTGCCTGTTTCTTTCCCTTTCCCGAGTATGACTCGCGATGCCATCGCGCAAAACACTCTCAACATGACCACGGTCTCAGAACATGTCGCCATGTCGACTTCGCAACACAAGCCCACCCAAGCATGGAATACAAGGAATCTCGGCCTCCGACTAGGTGTCGACCTCGCCAGTGCAGCATCTGCCGGCGCGTTAACATGTCCGTTGATCACCATCATTGATCGGTGAGTACAGTCAGATCTTGATTTTTTTTCCGCTCTCCAGCTCCTCTTCGGCTTTTCTCGATATTATTCGAAGCAATAGCTAACAGTCATCCTGCCTAGCGCGATCATCGAGAAAGCCTCCAAGGGATTCCCCATCCGAGAAACAATCACATCCTGCCTGCGGTCCATGGTCTCAAAACCCAGCGGCTTCTTCTTCAGCACCCCATTCATCCTCATCTATACCCTCTACACTTCAACATATCTCACAGCAAACTTCATGGACACCATCTCCTCCACCCTCCGCGACCAATCCTTCTCCACCGTAACGGCCGGTCCCGCAAAATTCATCTCTACAACCGTCGTAAACATGGCAATCTGCGTATACAAAGACGCGCGCTTTGCCAAACTCTTCGGCGCCAACCCTCCCCCAACAAACACCCCAGGCCAACCCAGCACAACCCCTAGCTCCAGTCCATCCGCAGGCGCAGGCGCATCAACAGAAGCATCAAAATACAGCTGCCACCCCCACCCGACAGCCAGCGCTCCGAAAATTCCCAAAATCTCCTACGGCCTCTTCTGTCTGCGCGACAGCATCACAATCTTCGCCTCCTTCAACGTCCCCTCCCTAATCGCACCCTCAATACCGGACTGGATGGCCGAAACCGCCCGCATGAAATCTACCATTGCCCAATTCTCTTGTCCTGCGCTTATGCAGTTCGCCAGTACACCCATGCACCTTCTCGGTCTGGATCTGTATAACCGTCAACCACCGGGCGGTATGCCGTGGACAGAGCGCGCGGCCCGGATCCGCAGGGATTATATTTCTAGCTCGTTTGCGCGAATGGGCAAGATCGTGCCGGCTTATGGTGTTGGTGGTGTGGTGAATGTGCGGATGCGGGCTGCACTGATGTCGAAGCTGGAAGGAAATTAAGGTGGAATTTTTATGAACCTCTCACGACTTTCTTGGTTTCTCGTTTCGTTTTGATTCGATGGAGCGTTGTCTATGCGTCTGATCTCCCCTCCTCTCCTCTCTCGAAATATCCGGTTTTTTTCTCTTCATCTTCATCTTCTTCATCATCGTCATCACTTCTTCATCTTCTTTTTCATGCCTTGCAAGCCAGGACAGTGACTTTTCAGCTCCTGTGGTTGATTGGAGTCTGATCTGTGTTCTCATGTACCATTTCATTTTCTTTCAGTCAGTCTGTGCTTGGGACCGACTTCATCTTTGCATACATTTATCTGCAACCATTTCCCTGCAGCCATTTATCTATTCTACATCATCTGCTATGGCGTTGAACAGAATATACTAACTAGACCTCTTCTGATTCGACTGTAATTTTATGTTACGCTTTCGGGTTCAGCTTATATAGGCTGTTTCAAATGTTCCATTAGACTGTGCATTATCATGATACTTCTTGGCATATTGACTGCGCTTAGATGGGTGCATCTGGCTTTTAATTCGATTCAGTGTTTCATCGATCTTGTTGTTACTCTACAAACATCTTCTTTTCCTCCCATCATCATTTCATACATACACATTCCCTCATTCTTGGAAAATATTTAGTATACGATATGACGCAGGGATTGTAATCATTGTGTATTTCGTTCATTTAAACTAACAATATGTCTACGGCTAGGTTCTCCCTACCTAGTAGATGCCTCTGTATCGATGCTAGCGTTTCAAGTATGCAAGTGTATCCATCTAGGACCTTGCTTCCAGCCCCACAGCCACCACCAACCTTGAAGCAAATCCGAGGCTCTTAAAGTGCCTTGAACTGGCCCAGAACTAGAACAAAACAACAATTAGCTTCACCTTCAAGTAGTATAACCCCAATCAAGCCAAGTCATATAGCACACATACTCTTAGCATGAGCCAAGTCCGCCTGTGTGGCAGCCTGGACATGGAGACTAATATCCGAAAGAGCCCTGTAAAGGTGATCCTTATTGGTAGTATAGTAAGCGCGATCATGAATGGTCGTTCCCTCAGGAACCCTAAAGCCAAAAACCACATTGAATCATCAGCCACTGATCCTCTCTCTCGCTTGAACAATAAACAACACGACCACGTGCTCACATACCATGTGACAAAAGCTAATTTGTGTCTGGGTTTGTCATCACCCGGGAAGTCATACTGGAGCTTCACAACAGCGTAGCGGGGGGTGTCAATCTTGAAGTGAGCGACGAATTCATCGTAGTCTGTGTATTTGCCAGACTCGGCGACGGTGATCTGCTTGTCGCGTGCGGAGGCTTCGTAGATGACGTAATTGAGGGTGTCTGTCTCGGCGACAGAGGCGAAGGTGGCCTCGCACTCGGGCACGATGGTTGCGAATCCTCTGGTCATGGTTGTGAGGTTTGATGGGATTGGGAATATGGTAGGTTGTAGGTTTGAAAAGGAGAAAAGAAGAAGTTGGAGTGAACTTTAAAGGTCAAAGGATTCAGGTTCAGGTTCAGGTCCAGGATCAGGTTGAGGTCATGGAGTGGATCTTACCCCGACTTTGCGGGGAAGTTGATCTGCGTGGTAACATGGTTTGATTGGCTTTTGTTACATCTTTTTGTTATGGGCTTTGCCCCTCTTTGTCACACCTGCAGAGGGTCACGAGGTACACAGGGGCATAATTCTTTTAATTATATACTAGTAACCACCAAGGGCAAGGATTGAAGGGGAAAGAATAATAAGATAGGCACTTATGTAGCACAGAATGGGGAAGGAAATCAAAAGGGGGAAGTAACTTCTCCCGAGGATGGATATGAAGAGTAAAGATGGATAAGGATAGCAACTGGGAAACACTGGCTGTAGTAGCAATGGGCAAGGGGAAAGGGAAAGGGGAAAGGGAAACCCAGAACCCAAGTAGCTAAGGGCTCCCTTATATTTAATAATTTGAGGAAGAATTCCATCCTGGCACCCACGTAGTCCAACTGGTTCCACCCTTCGGGACCTCAGCCAGCTCTGGATTTGCGGCCCCCACTTCAGGTACACTGGGCCCATCCACGATGGGGATACTGAGTAGTACGGCGAGCCTAAGAGTCGAAGCCTAAGTTGATCCTGGCCTGAGCGGGACAGCGAGAAAGTGCGCCGCGGACCTACTACGAAGTATCTGCCCCTCTTTTTTTTTCTTTTTTTATATTATAAGTTTGTTTTATTTAAATCTTTTTTATTTGATTTGATTTTGATTTTTGAAGTTGGGAGGGGAGTTCTTAGTATGAAGCCGTGATGCCATCATGCATCGATGGCGGGAGCGAGTGACTTGTTTCTTGGGAAATCTTTACGTATTTGTGGTTTTTACCTCCCTGGAAGTCCCTGGTTCGATTCCCAGGCGGATCTTTCTTTTTTAAAGATTCCCTGCCACTAGGGCACTCACTGCTTGCTCTTCTATGTAGACTGGTAGACTGGTATTAAAGACAAGTGTATGAAAAGGAAGGAGTCCCGTAAACCATTAAATAATTGAATTCGAGATAGAAGCCCCACGGCTTGATTACTAAAATATTAGCATCTTGATGAAGACACCATCGGATAATCATATACATAAGCAATACAAATAAGCTACAATAGAAAGGAAAGAGTGGGAGGTGTAGACCAGCAGATAGCCCCTACTCAAAGAGAACACAAGTTACCACCTTAAATATTGTTAGTATATCGAAGCTTCAGAATTCGAGTCTGGAGATAGAGGAAACTTACGCAAAAGGCTCAGAGTGCAGATACAGCTCCTCAACCTCTCCGCCTAGGGCGCGGGTCTGAGCGAGAGCTGCCGCGTTGCGAGTATCATGAAGCATAGAAGCAGGACCACAAGCAAGCACGCCGATCCGCTGCTTCTTCCCCACCCGTCGTCCCTGCGCATCTCCCACCGCCACAGTACGTGCAACGAGACCAGGAATATCAGGACGGGCATTGCGGTGGACGTTCAAGCTAAAAGTTCCCGTTGTCGTGATCTCCGTAGGAGGCAGTTTGCTCGGGTCCTTCTCATAGCCAATTGAAGGCGAAGATGAGGCCGTGTTGACCCGGCACGTAGTATGTACGGAAACTGCAGTCTCGTACCCATTGTCGGGGTCCGAAGACAGAGTCGTGGAATGGGAAAGGCGTGATTCGATCTCTGCAGCATACCAGTCTGCTATGGCGGTGTCTCTGGTTGAAAACACGACCTGCAGATTACGGCGACCTCCGTGCTCGGAGTTCTTGCTTTCTTTTGCCTCCATTTCGGAGAGGCGTAGGGCTTCGTCAACCATTGCGAGAGAAAATCCACCTCCCGAACCGCCGGCGATTACTAGAAGGGTATCGAAACGGGCCATGTGGTGTGCGCTGACGCCTCCGTAGGGTCCTTCAATCAGAATCTTTTTCGAGCAACCTGGGTTCTTGGTGGCAATTGCTGCTAATCGGCCAGTCACGCCTCCACGCGCCTTGATATAGAATATTATCTCGGATGCTTTTCCGGTTTCGTCGGGGTCTCGACAGACGGAAGAGATGGTAAAGGGGTGTGCGGTGAGTAGATGTAAGTCAGATGTCAAGAATCGTACGAAAACGTGTTGGCCTGGTGTCCAGTTCATGACGGTTGGGACCGCAACGCGGAGAAGACCACTGGGGAGGACCTCGAGGGTTGCTGTGTGCAGACCGTTGATCAGGTAAGTACGGGCCTGAGAAGCGAATATGCACAGTAAATAGATGACACCCGTGGCGATGAAGTAGTCCCTGATATTTGTAAGTAAAGGCCATCGACAGGATCAGATACTTTATACATACCATGAGGAAAGAGTAGAATTGCAATGGAGGAAAAAGAAAACGATAAAAACGACAGCCGCAATCATGTGTGTAGCTTTGAAGAACTCATAGAATCGATTTCTGCCGGCAGTCAGTACATCTCCTTCAAAGAAAACTTCAAAAAATGTTTACCGAATAGCTGGCAAGGACATTATGGTTAGATAAGTCTGTGCAATGAGTGCAACGACTCCCGTCCAGTACTCAACGCCGGTCTTCCATGCCTTCATCATATCCCCCTTCCACACATGAAAAACGATGAATGGGAAAGTGTGAACCAGAGCTAAAGCAAACATGGCGTAGCTGGTCCAGTGGTGAAAGACTTGCAACTTTTCATGGGAAATACCAGTCAGTGCAGATATCATGTTAGACTTGACGCTCAGAGCACTGTTTGAAGTATTAGCCCGGTACATGGATTGTTTATATCACGTTCAGAGCACTCACAGGACAAACGGCATCAATGCGAGAGCCATCCACCCCGCTCGAGTAGCAATCGGGGGACTACTTCCAAAGTTCGCAGTCGTCGGCCAGTAATAAGGTTGCGGGCCGAGTGTCATTCCTGCCGAGCCTAAGTCAGTCTTCTTTTTTCAGTCTTCTGTTTATTGAGCCAAGGAATACTTACCGAGGAAGAAGCCCATTCCCACGAGGCCTAGCAACAAAACTCCCAAGGAGGGGGTCCAGTATCGCATCTTTGGGAGTCCGTATCCACGATAAGACAGGTACCGGGACACAGAAGTAGTCGCACGCCATACTCGAGTCCGCTTAACCCAGTCTGGAGAGTATCGAACAAGGAAGTTGGAGAGGGTGAATAATCCGATCACGGCACAACAGAAGTAGACAGTAGCCAACGCGTACACATGGTCAGCTTGATACCTGTAGTCGATCTCTGATTAGCATGTATAAGCAGTAGAGGAGGGGTAGTTTCGGAATGTAGACCCAAAACATACCAATACCGCCAATGACCGCTGCGATAAGCACACTGCTCGGCGGACAGCTTGCAGGTATCTGCACGGGAGGAGTGAAGCGACAACGGGTTTCTCAGCCAGGGAATCCCTCCTCCCTTCATGGCCATACTCATGTCCATCATTTTGCCGGTATTAAGTTCCCCGCAAAGATTTTGTCGTTGGACGTTTGGGGGCACTTAACGACACTCACAGGAGTTCATGTCCTTAGGTTAGGTGATAGATATGGAAAGCGACGGAGAGGAGTTGGTGGATGATCGGTAGCTTATGATTCAGTACCAGGTCAGACAAAAGTCAGGTCCTTCGTGTAGAACGTTGCACCGAAAACGGGACTGGGGAAGATGATGACGGCGAAACACATGAGATTTTTTCCCGCATTCCAGGCATTCCTGGGGGTCGATCTACGATCCGTTGGAAATTGAGCAGATTTCCTACCGTTTTCCATTTATTAAATGTGGCTCCTGTGAATCCTATCCTTATTTTCTTGATATGCTCTTATATGGTTTCGGTTGTCAACATTTGAACATTGGAAGATGAGCATATTTGCGTGCAATCTCTATGATCTAGGCACAGTTTCTGGTTAATAGGCTCCATGGCTACCGTAGTTCTGATAAGGTATAATCATTGTTTGAATCAATGTTTAAACTATGAAGTTTCTGTTGTCATTTCAGGTACAAAGAGATTTACCTACTATAGAGCAACTTGAACTATTCAATAACCTACTAGGCTACACCATTGAAATTAAGCTACTGTAAACTGTATAGAAAGTGTCTGACGCTTGTGGCTGAGAATCTCCCCACATCAAGCATGACGTAAATGTCTACTTAGTATTCTTTTTCTCTCTCTAAACTTTAGACTAGAAATAGATCTTGGTTCGCAAGTCATAGGGTTGTATTCAGAGTGAAAAGAGAGAGAAAAGAGGAAAAGAAAAGAAAACAATACCTCTCGAACCAATGAAAATCCCATATTTACCCAAAATCTCCATAAGGGGCGCTTTCCGCATCCGGCCTAGCGCCTCACATGGCAGATCCAACCCTACATTCCCCCAATATTCTTTCCATATATACAATACCCCTAGAACAAAAAGGGAAAAAATGACGATCTCAATTAACTAATCAAGGGGCACCGCCGAAACAGAAACCGTGGCCGCAATAGGTCCAGGGGCCTTAGTGGACACAGCGGGACCCTCACTCCCGATCCCATAAATCCTCAGCGCATGGAAGCCCCCACGAACACTATCCGCTTCAAGGCCCTTCGCCCGAAGAACACTGGTCGCCACGCGTGCCGTATCTCCGTTGTAGCATACCACCAGGACATGATGCGAACCAAGCTGTGGGACAAGGCGGCCTTCGCGGAAGATCTTCTCCAGCTCCACCCATTGCGCCTCCAACACCGCCGCGTCCGAAAACGGTGATGTCGTGTGTGGCCCGATACTGGTCAGCGGCAGATTGATCGACTCGGGGAGATGCCATGCTCGGAAATCATCTGGTCTCCGTAGATCAAGGACCCGGTGCTGTGGTTTGAGCGTGATCTCGCTCAGCTGGCTTTCCGCGAGGGACCGCGCGGATCCGTATACCTGGGGAAGGACGTCCAGGGCGTCTCGCTCCCAGGCTTCGTCATAGCGGTGGAGATCGACTTTGGTCAATTGCTACGCTGTTGTGTCAGTACGGGTTTTTTTGGTTTGCGGGGTAAAGGAAAGAATCGAAACGTCATGCGAGATCTTTCAGGTGGGTTGGCTTTGCTTTTTTTTTTTTGGAATCTTACCTCATTGTGGATGGGAGGGAATTGTTCAGATCCCAGTTTCTGGAAATACTCCTCAATGTACTGGTATGGCAAGTCGCAGCACAAAAAGACGCAGTGCGTCACTCCATCGGGGCCTGCCAAATCACCGAGTGTACCGGCTGCCTTGCGCTTCTCTAACATCTGGAATAAACCTTGTAGATTGAATCCGGATGAGGGGCCGCAAACTAACCCCTCTCGACAAAGCTTCAGGGACAAAGTGTATGAGCCAGAGGATCCAACTTCCTCGACAGTATCCACTGCTTCTTTCCAGGGGAACTCGACTGGCCGTAATAGTGCATATGATCTGGGGCCAGGCACGCGGTCACCAGGCGCTGTGCAGACTCCGACGCGTGTCACAGAAGGCTTCACGCTCTTGAAATAAGTACCTAATCCAGTCAAAGTCCCTGAAGTACCCATGCCGGCGCAAAGGACGTTAATCTCTGGCAATTGCTTGAAGATCTGTGGTCCTGTCCACCGGATGTGTGCCTGCCAGTTGTCGTCGTTCTCGTATTGATTGGGGTTGATGATTGACTCGGACTCTTTGGCTTGTCTGTGGGCAGTTTGGATACCACCACGTCCATCGATGGGCTCTGGCTGTGAGGGCCCGCCAAACAGGGTTATGTCCAGACCGAAGAACTGCATCAATTTCAGTTTTGCGTCGCTTGTCTTGTTGCTTAGAAAGGCTCGGGTATCGTCGATGCCGTGCATTACTCGGGCAATCATCGACATTGAAATCACGGTTGACCCTGAGCTATACTCGATAATGGTTTTGGTCTTGTTTGGAACCACACTTGTCTCCAACATGTTCAACGCTGCTGAAGGTCAGCTTCTAATCTTTCCATTGCCGGGGATTCTTGCATTGTTCGCTATTGTCTTACCTGGCATGGCCTTGACGTTGTTTGCCGGGTGCATCGTCATCATCTTGGCATATATCCGAACCCCCTCATCATAATATGGATTGAGATGTATTGGAAGCTCAACAAGAGGCAGTGGAGGCTGACAATCAGGATCAAAGTACTTCTTCAGTGAGTCCGTACCGAAGTACACATTGTGCTCGTTTGAATTGGTCATACAAGGTGCCATTTTGCACATGTGTCGAAACAAACACCTGTCGAGCTAGGATGTCTTGATCTTGATTCTCAGTTGACTTGTGTTTTACAAAGCAGACGGAGAATTCAAGAAACTCTGGGAGATTGATACCTAATTATACCCCAACGGCACGCATGAGCCCCTCCTATACCTCGGGCCTCTGCTTAAAACCGAGAATAGGCAAGGCTAAAAGCTGCAAGAGAGGGAAAAAGAGGCATATTTTGCATGGTCCCACCTTGGTAGTTGTACATGCCACCTAACCAGGTTTTAGAGAGGGGCCGTCTCTGCCAGTCTGCCAACGAGAACGCTGCAAGCGCCATTATCCATTCCCCGAGGGCCGCAATGAACCAGGAAGGCAACCGGAGAGATTGACTAATAGCTCTTTCGGGGTCATAGATATTGACAATAACAAAGACCCATACCATAGACACTCAAATCGGTCCGTAATAAACTTTGTCCCGGGGTTTTAGATCAACACGATGAAAACGGCACATGCATGATCGACATCCCAGATAGCGTCATGAAGGGGGTCTGCTCTATCTCCACATGTCCCTGTATTCGGGTGAGTATTATGTTGATCCATTCCTCAAGGCTTCTATGAAGATATGAAGTTGCCTCTCTTCATCTTTCCAGGCACTCAAGTATGTTCTAGAAAACGTGGAATTCCAAGATTCGTAGATGTCCTCGTGTGCCGTAGATCTAGCCTCGTAATATCATTAGTACACACTCAGCATAAGATCTGGAGATGACCAAACTTGGAAGGTCTTTCAATCCGAGAATATGCCAAGAGATCAAAGCCACAAGGTCAATTCTCCAAACTTGAATGTCCGCAAACAACCTCAATCCAATGATCAATGTTCGCTTATACTTCCCTATTTTCCCTATTTTCCCTATTTTCCCATCTTTTCTGCAGTAAATTAAAATGACAAATGCGATGAGCAGAATAAAAGTACGCTGAGAGTGTTTGAGCAAGTTTGCTGCGCTAGTGTGAGCTAGTTCCACTATCGGTCAAGGTTTCGTTCCCGTGTCGATCCTTGTCGAATCAGGTCTTCTGAGAAATGCGCTCAACTATGGAGTACGTACTATAACAAAACTCACGTCATAACATTTCAAACATTTGTTGGGATTTTACCTATACCAGAGGATTCATCATATAATCCATGGGTGGTTGATACTTTCTTCTCTCTCTTTTGTATGTGTTCCTCCAGTCAACTCCGTCCGCGTCATGTCTGGGGTTCTCCAAAATGGATCAGGTGATGGAAGTCATTCCAGCTCCAATGCTGTTAGTGTTGAGAAAGTCACTTTAAGCAACGACCAAAATCATGGGTCAAAGGTCCTCCAATTCAATGAGCAGACGAATTACGTACCTAGACGGACAATCATCACTGTACGTCTTTGCCGCTTATTTTAAGTTGAATAAAAATCACATGTGCAAGAAACGATGTTAACCAGCTGTGATCTTCTTACCAGATCTTTCTAGCTTGCGCTAGCGTGGATTTTGTGTCATTGATGGACCAGACCACATTGGCATCGTGTCTGTATATCATTGCCAGTTCCCTAGGAGCGAGTAACCAGGCATCTTGGATCTCCGGTTCTTATTTTGTGTAAGTCGAAAAGTAATGAAGAAAAAAAAAAATCAAAACGTTCGGCGATTGAAGCTAATACCTTGCAGAACTTCAACATGCTTCCAACTCCTCTATGGAAAGCTATCCGACATCTGGTCTCGAAAGATTGTACTATTCGTCGGATTGGGAATATTCTTCATCGGATCACTAGCAGCTTCATTAGCTCAAACGGTCACTCAGTTGATCGTCTTCCGCGCCTTGACGGGTATAGGAGGCGGCGGGCTGATAACCCTCGCGCAGATGATCGTTAGTGACGTTGTTCCGCTCCGCGAACGCGGCAAGTATCAAGGGATCATGGGCGCAGTCGTGGCGATCGCTAATGGTGTCGGGCCCATTATCGGCGGAGCGTTAGCATCCATATCGCATGATTCATGGCGATGGATCTTCCGATTGAATCTGCCGTTGACTGCTATTTGTTCAGCGTGCGTGTATTTCTATATGCCGTTACGCGAGGTGGAAGGGGACTGGAGGCTAAAGGTCAAGGCCATTGATTTTGTTGGAGTGATACTTGCTCTTGGAGGAACTGCGGTTTTCTTCTTGGGTTTGAATTGGGGTGGGAATGAGTATGCGTGGGACTCTCCACATGTTATCGCGACTCTGGTGGTTGGGTTTGTCGTTTCCATTCTGTTTGTGCTGTGGCAGTGGAAAGGTGCCGTTGTGCCTTTGATTCCGCTTCATATCTTCCGCAATCGAATTGTGAATGGGTGCACTGCTACTTTTTTCATCCAGGGCTGGAACAATCTGACTATGATCTACTATATTCCCACTTTTTTCCAGTTGGTCTATAATTACAGCACTGTGAAGGCCGCTGCTATGTTGGTTCCAATGATTGTGGTGCAAAGTATGCCCTGGTCCTTCCAGGCTCTGTTTTATTTGACGTCATTTGCTGATAATTTTGCTATAGGCTTCGGTAGTACCATCTCAGGTCTAATCGTGCACTGGTTAGGTCGGTACAAAGACTGCATCCTCTTTGGATACTCTGCCTGGGCAATTGGTCTCGGTCTCTACTCAACATTAGATGAATCATCGGGACTTGGGAAGCAAGTTGGCTATGCCATTTTGACCGGAGCTGGCATCGGATGTACTTTGCAGCCGTAAGTCTATTAGTACTAGTATATTGCGGGTTTCCCAATTTCATCCATCACTTACACCATGCATAGATCTCTTATTGCCATGCAAGCCGGTGTCGAGCGTCGAGATATGGCAGTTATCACTTCATTCCGCAGGTAAGTTCTTCCTTTTTTCTTGCTTTTCAGTATCCGCGTTCTAAATAACATTCCAGTTTCATTCGAAATCTCGGTGGCACTCTGGGTATTGTGATCAGTGGAACAATCCTGTAAGATCTCATCTTTAATCCAGTCAACACTTGAGATTCTCTAACAAGGTACATGTAGTAACAACATCATCTCATTCTCTGTATTGGACCTCGGCCTCTCCACATCCGACTCACGTTCCCTGTTAGCAAGCCCCTCAACTTTCTTATCAACCCAATCTACAGAAGACGCTGCACGCATTCGCAGTGTCTTGATTCCGGCGTACCGAAAGGGCTTCCGGGTTATTTTCTTGATTGGGGCAGGGTTATCAGTATTGGCGGTCTTGGTTGCGGGCTGGCTTATACCCCAGATTGGATTGAACAGAGCCGATGATGACGCCTTGAAGGAGGAAGGAAAGAAGAGGGCTAAAAACGGACTTGATCTGGAGAAAGAGCACGTACAGGCTGAGAAAGGCCATTGATATGCAACAACGTCAGGATTGGGGGACGGTTCAAAAGGGGGTTACGATATAGGTGTAAAGAGATCTGCTACGTTGGACAGGTTCAGCTTTGAGCTTCATGATGTAGTATCAAAAATCATTCATGTATTAAAGAAAAAGAGTATTTCCCCATTAGCCAAAAGAAGAGCCATGCGTGTCATATCGGTCATCAGGTCATCCTAACCCGGGTTCGAAGGAAACCTCATTCTCCACGAAACGCCATCTCGAAAGAAAAACAAATTTGAACAATGAAAGAAATCACAAGCGATGCTAAACTCGCTGGGAGTCATGATCAGATGCAGGAAAAGTAATGAAGCCCCAAGAAAACATTGAGCATTTTAATAGCGAATAGAAATCACAGATTTTCGATCACAACTACTCGCTCCACGATCCAGTCTACTAGAGCCTGCCCTTCTAATCTCCATCCTCCATCTAGCCAAACATCGCTGAACCAGTAGCCCCATGGTTTTCCCGTGCTTAGATGCAGATCCCATGGGGACGCTGATACACGGCGAGTAGCAGGATTGCCTTCAGTTCCAGCTGAAAGGTCCTGGTTGACATTGCGAAGTCCCAAGGCAACTGCAGAGCCAGTTGAATTCGGATCACTTCCTTGGCGGGTCATCCATTCACGCTCGGCCTTTTCTCCAGCCCGACGCGCGACAGCCTCCTCATCTTCGGCCTGGTAGAGGTCACATTTAGTGCATTCGGTGCAGCGGGAGCCAGGATTAATACGGAAGTGCTCGCAGAAGTGTTTGTATCCTTCTGGCTCTTCAAATTCCTCGTCGTCAAAGTCTTCATCGTCTAATGCACCGTCAAAGCCCCCAGCAGGGATATCGTTTCGATCTATGTCAATCTGACGCCGCCTGCCGTCACGGTTGGCCTGTGATGGTCTGACGGGAGTTCCGAGCGCTTTGCGACAGAGGTAGCACATTGAGTACCCACAGACACAGGTGAGTTTGTTACAGCCCGAGGACTTGACGAAGGAGAGGCTGCAGCGAGGACAGGTCCGTTTGACGGCCGAGGTGCGGGCTGCCTCGACAGTTGCGCGTAAGTCGAGAAGCAATGGCTCATGACAGACATGGGGGTCTCGCCAGGCTTTCTGACATGTCATACAGCTGACCCGTGCGCATGTGGGGTTGGAGCATTTGAATCTCTTGGGTCGAAGCTTGAGGCAAAGGTTGCGGATAGAGTTTTTTAGTATGGCCGCTACAGAGGAGGGATTAAATAGAAGGAGGATTAGGAAGGGTATCACAAGTAACGGAACAAGGTCGAGTAGGAGAAGGGTCATCAAGATGGTAGGAATAATACCGCCATCACGACGAACCCGCCAGCCTATGCCACGAGTTGAAGGGTGGTATACGGGGTCGGCTTCCGCATAAGAACAGAATGGGCAGCGAATGAGCTTAAGCTGTGATTTCAGCAACGATTCAGACGCTAGACGGTCTTCAAATTTGCGATATGTCTCGGCCCCAGCTGGCTCTAGCAAGATTGCCTGACGCACAATTTGCGGGTGAAGACAACCCTCACAGGCGCCAACAGATAGCGGAGCAAGGCATTTTAGTGTCGAGTGCTCTAAATCCACGGATTTTCCCCAACCTTGACCGAAGAGGGCTTCATGAGTAGTCCGCTGGATACAATTATAACAAATTATATGGACATTCGACGAGCAAGTTGCAATCTGCTCGAAAGTCACGTCGGCGAAGCAGCATTCGCACTCATATAAGGCATCTGCCGCTTTAGCTTCTTGTTCATTCAGGTCCGAGGCGAACTGAAAATCAACAGTCTCCTGCTCCTCAAGCTTTTGCTGCAGCACCGGGTTCACGAGTGTCGCATATAACTCGCCATCCAGCTCAACGCATCCAGTATCTTTCAGCCTCGGCACAAGTACTCCGTCCGGCCGACGCTGCCACGTAACAAGAGGATGTTCCTCGCGGTCTTTCTTTCTTCTGAACGAGGGCAACATACTATTGAATGTAGCCCTCCACGTTCGCCGCGCAAGGTCCCGCAATATTGGTCGTGCTCGCAGGTAACTGAAATTCACTTCAGCCAAAACACCTTCGAGAGTACTTTTACTCAGGCCATTGAACTCCTTTGCCAGCGTCACTCGTACTGCAGCCTTGTATTCGTCGGACCGGAACCGTTCTTCGATCGGCACGAGACCTCCTTCCGGGAGGGCATCGTGAGTACAACCAGCCCGGTCGTCCGGATCCTCCTCTTCCGAGTTACCACTTTCATCCGATGTATTCCATCTTCCGGAAACCCAGTCTTTTTTGTGTCGAAGAAGCTGCTCAACGCAAACATGCAGCCTACTCTCTCCATCGAAGCGGAGAAGTAACTCTCGGAACACTTCGATCTTCACATCCGGAAAAATACGAGCAAGTGCTTCGAGAGCAGCATTCAACTCCTCCTGGTCCCGCTTATATTCCTGTGTATCGTTTATCGGTGCCTGATTAGACCGAGACGAGCGCAAAGGACTGCCAAACGGGTTATTTCGTAACGCCTCGCTTAGGGTGATGGAGTGGCTACTCTGAGCGGATGGGCTACCACCCAGAACAGCCGGTTTCCAGGAGGCTCGGGTGGAGGAAGAACTGGCTGAGGGAGTGGAAGCTGAATCGCGGTGACGGCGGGTTTGTGATGCGGGCACGCTGCCGTCGGCGGGGCGTGGGGGGGATGCGGAGGATCTGGAGAAGCTGGGGACCGGCAGCGAGAGCACCATTTTTTGAAATGGTAAAAACTCTGCTACATTTCGGTCCTTCACGAAGGGAAGATTGCTTGCTTTTAGGGGTGGGACGATGTTTGTGGCGGTCGTATGGAATGAAGAATGAAAGGAATGAATGGGTTGAGGGCGGTGACATGAGATTTGGGGTCGCTTTGATGGTTGCCTTAAGCCAACGGAGTTTACTAGTTACTAGTACTCATTCTCATTTTCTCATATGGCGATTTGAGCCATAATCAAATAATGAAACATGTCAAGTCCCATGGGTGTTGCTGGACTCAAGTACTCTTTGAATACTTAGTACAATGTGCTATGTATAGTATGTATCCATTTTCTTTGTTCGGTTTCCGCGTCTATATAGGTCCATCCCTTGCGCATACTCTATGCAAGATATTTGTCTAGAGCGTTCTAGATCTTCTTCAGGGGTGATAAAATAAATCAATCTGACAATAGCAACATCTTGAGGAAAATTTCATCCATTAACACATAAGGAAAAATATAATTTATGTACAATCAAGCCACATTCTGGCTGGAGTATTCCAGATCGCTCAGCACCTAGGTATATCTCGTTTCAAACGCAAATCCTTTATTTTACAGCTTGGCCTTGGCGCCCTCGAGGAGCTCAGCACCGGCACCGCTGATGGCGGGCTTGCCAGTCTCCACAACGGTGGCCTGGAACAGGACGGTGTTGCCCTCCTTCCACATCTCAGTGCGGAGAGTCTGGCCGGGAAGGACGACACCAGCGAAGCGAACCTTGAGGTTCTTGTAGGCACCGTACTTGGTGAAGACAGACTTGGCAGCCACTCCCAATGAGCACAGACCGTGCAAGATAGGGGTCTTGAAGCCGCCAACCTTGCTGAACTCGGGGTCGATGTGAAGCGGGTTGTAGTCACCGTTCAAACGGTAAAGCGCAGCCTGGTCCTCAGAGGTCTTCTCTTCCACCACAGCGTCAGCCTTGCGCTGAGGGGGCTTGTAGGCAGCGGTGGCAGCCTTAGGACGGACAGCAGTGGGCTTGGGAGAGCCGCCGAAACCACCGCTACCGCGAATGAAGACAGTGGACTCGTTGTAGAACAGGTCCTCACCCGTAGCAGCATCCTTGGTGGTGAATCCAGACACAACCAAAGCAGCGTTACCCTTGTCGACAACGTCGATGAGCTTGGGGAAAGTCAAAGTCTTGACTGTGGTGGGGATGGGGTACTTGCGAACCTCCATGTACTGCTCACCGTGGAGGAGCATCATGGGGGAGAAGTTCTTCACAATGTCCTCAAAGCTCCAGGGAACAGCAGTGTTGAACCAAGGGACCACACCAAATGAGGGGAGGGCCTGGAAGTGCTCGTGGTTCTCGTAGACCAGAGGCAAGTCAGTGCGCTTGGCGCCCAAGCTGAGGTTGTAGAGAATGACATCGCGGTCCGCGTAGTCAAAGGCGGTGCCCTCAGTAGAGGCAGCCTTGGCCTTCTCAATGTTCACGAGGAAGTCGTTCTTGGCCTCGCTGCTGCCGGAGCGGTTTTCCATGTTGGCCATCGCCCGGGCAGAGCCGTCGGCGGCATCTTCGGGGTGGTCAGCACGACCATCGTCGAAGTTAACAATCTTCTCCCACTTGCTGAGCACCTCCTCGGGGGTCAGCTTCACGTCGATGGGGAACCCGTGGCCTCCAGAGCGTTCCCAGCGGGTACGGCCGAACCAACCGCTACCGCACTCGAACAAACCCTTGGTGGAGGGCTCAGGAGCCGCATCAGAGCAAAGAAGGGCAACCAAGGGAGCAACGTAGTCGGGCTTGAAGGCCTGAACCATCTCCTCGGGCATGATAGTACGGGTCATAGCGGTACCAGCGTTAGGGGCGATGGTGTTAACCTTAATGTTGTACTTGGCACCCTCAACAGCGAGAGCGCGGGAGAGACCGAGAATTCCCAACTTGGCCGCGGCGTAGTTGGCCTGGCCAAAGTTGCCATAGATACCACTAGTGCTAGCAGTGTTGACAACACGGCCGTACTTCTGCTTAAGGAAGTAGGGCCAGGCAGCCTTGGTCACCTTATAGGTTCCACGCAAGTGGACGTTGATGACCGAGTTCCACAGGTTGTCATCCATGTTGGTGAATGCCTTGTCACGCAGAATACCGGCATTGTTAACCAAAAGATCAATGCGTCCAAAGGCATCAATGGCGGACTTGATGACAGCGTCACCATCCTCGCAGTTAGCCTTGTTGCCAACGGCCTCACCACCAGCCTTCTTAATCTCCTGGACCACGGGCTCAGGGTCCACCAGGTCGTTGACAACAACCTTAGCTCCGTACTTGGCGAACAGCAAGCAGTAAGCACGGCCAAGACCAGCACCTCCGCCAGTGACCAGGGCCACGCGGCCCTTGAAGTCGGGCTCCTCGCCCTTAGGGGCACTCGGAAGCTTCAGGCCATCCTCGAGCAGGCCCATGAAATCAGCAGGGCCGTTGGGGTAGTCAGGCTTGGAGAAGTCGTTGACATCAGCCCACTTGCGAGCGATGGCACCAGGGGTCAAAGAGTCATCAGTCTTCAGGAGAGCACCCTTAGCCCGCTGCCAGCGCAGCTTGGCCACGGCACCACCACCAAGCTCATAGATACCACCGCTCTCGGTAGTGTTTGACGAGTGAACAAGACGAGCGACAACGGGGACAACCCAGTCGGGCTTAAGGTTCTCCAGCACATCCGGAGGCATAATAGTGGCAGTCATACGGCTCGCAGCGATGGGAGCAATGACATTGGCAATAATGTTATATTTGGCACCCTCCTTGGCCAAGGTCTCGGTGAAACCAACCTGACCGAGCTTCGCAGCGGAATAGTTGGCCTGGCCAAAGTTGCCGAAGAGACCGGCTGCCGAAGCAGTGTTGATGACACGACCATACTTTTGTTTCCGGAAGTGAGGCCAAGCAGCTTGTGCGCACTATGAGGACATAGAGCTGTTAGTATTCAATTTCTTCTTCTCGGATGAACAATTTTGATCGAACTTCGTACCTTGTAAGCACCGTAGGTGTGCACACGGTTAATCAGGTCCCAATCCTGGTCCTTCATGTTCTTGAAGCTGATATCACGCAGGATACCGGCGTTGTTGATCAGCACATCGATGCGGCCGAAGGTCTTAATAGCAGTATCAATAATGGCAGCGCCGTCCTCTACACTGTTGTAGTTGGCGACCGCCTTTCCACCGGCGGCGCGGATCTCCTCAACGACAACATCTGCGGCCTAAATAAAGTTAGCTGGATGTTATTTTGATGGCTTTGTGATACCACATACCTTTGATGACTTGCCCTCGCCACTGTGAGAGCCACCAAGGTCATTCACGACAACGTTGGCGCCCCTTGAGGCAAAGAAAAGGGCATATGCTTTTCCGAGACCACCACCGGCGCCGGTAACGACGACGGTCTGGTTATCAAAACGCAACTCAGAGGACATAGCGGAAGATGTGTAGATAGTGACTTCCGACTAGTTCAAATGTAGGGGGAGAACTAAAAGTTGGGGAAGAGAGAAGAAAAAGCGGAGGGGGTCGACGTTTAAAGGACCCGAGCTCGGTACAGCTGGAGGGAACCTCGGCACGTTTTGGGAGTTCTCAGGCTGTGTAATGTAACAAAACGTTACGATTTTAACACGGGCAGATCGGGGCCACTTCACATGCCGACGATCGAGTAATCGAGTACACTTCTGCATGGTCTGACATATGCTTTTACAACAAATCAGTGTATACTATGTATACTATACCTGGTCCTACCTACAGCTTCCCCGTATATTCACAAGTCACGCAAGTAACAATTTGAAGTTTACCGACCAACCATGCTGACTCAGGCATGTGACCAACAACGTCATAGAGACAATACATGTATTATTTAATACAATGCATGTGTACACAATTTTAGGATTATCTGAGCCTACAATATACAAATTCATTCAATTAATCCTTGGAAGTAATAATCCACAGTGGTTCATATCAGCAGACGCACTGGAGTAAATACCCAATGTCTCTATCGCCCGAGAAACCACCCCCATCTCTCCGTATTAATAAAATTCCCCGCTAAGTCAAACCCCGGATTCCTGCCGATCGGACAACTTGCCGCATGCCGTAGCCGATAAATTGTAAAGCTCCCCGCTGAATAGAACTAAAAAAACACTCCACAATATTCAAAATGCCGGTCGTAGACGACAAATCGCAGCACTGCATCCCATTCCTACTAGAGCGCCTCCGTGCTCACGCGGCCCGGTATCGCGACGGTAACACCCCGCCATTCTTCCTGGGTCTCAATGGCGTGCAAGGTGCCGGCAAGACGGTCCTGGTAAGTCCCCCCCACCTGGGCAGACCTCGGGACAACCCTTGGAATAGATACCGAGACGAACCACCATCCCTCGGACATCCATCACTGATCCTTATGTCTCAATTGCCATAGGTGTCAACTCTTTATGAGACTCTCCGTTCCGAGCCGTATTCGCTTCCCGTCGTGACATTGTCCCTTGACGACCTCTACCTTACCCACGCTGACCAGGTTGCGCTCGCCGAGGCAAACCCAAATAACCCGCTCCTTCAACATCGTGGTCAGCCTTCTACTCATGATTTAGCTCTGGGTGAGAAGGTCTTCGCTTCGCTCGCGGCCGAACAGCCCACTGCCATTCCGCAATATGACAAGTCTGCCTTTTCTGGTCAGGGCGATCGCGTGCCTGAATCGCAATGGGAAATTGTGAATAAGGAAGGACAGGAGAAAGTCAAGATTATCATTTTCGAAGGTTGGTGTGTTGGGTTTCGTCCTTGGGATGACGAAACTTTGCGTGCCAAGTGGGAGGCCGCTGTGCAGCAAAAGGAGACCGGTAATTATCAGGGCCGACTAGGCCATGTGAAGTTGGAGGATGTACAAGCTGTCAATAATGCACTGAAGCGATATGACGCTTTAACTGAGTGAGTAGCTCTGAACGCAGAGGCTGAGATGCATGACTGACTGAGTGATATAGTAAATTCGATGCCCTGGTCCATATGTATGTGGTTCAAATTTCTCGGTTTTTATTCTGTCTAAGATATTTGCTAATTCTTTCATTTAGAGATGCTCGGGACTCGCGTTTTGTATATGAATGGCGACAAGAGCAAGAGCGCTCTCTACGGGCCTCCAAGGGTACCGGTATGACCGAGGAGCAAGTCAATAATTTCGTGGATGGCTGTTCGTATACTTTCAATCCCATTGCACCAGGGTCAGACACTAATCTCGCATTTTCAGATTATCCTTCGTATGAGCTTTTCACTGAGACTCTTCGTGAGGGTGTCTTCAAGCCTGCAGTACACCGTTTGTCTACGGCATCGGCATCGAATTGGCAGGACCGTCAACTTCGACTTGTGGTGGACCGAAACCGAAGAGTCCAGGAAGTGGTACATATTTGATTTGGATTTATTTCATTTCGGGTCTTCAAGACCTCTTTTATATACACAATCTGTCTCCTTGAAAATGATAGAATAAATGAGGACCAGGGCAGCCTTGCTCAAGCTGCACCAGGTCAAACTCTGCCCTTTGCAGATAAAAAAAAGTCCACAGAAAGGTAGAAGGCCTGCGTATTCATGATTTTTTGTATTTCCAAAACTTACTGTTCGCTCTGGGTGTGGAATTCAAATCAATGAAGTGTGAGCTCTGACGTATTATTTCTTCTAAAAAGAATTCATCATGTGTAGATGGTTTGTCAATAAGAACGGGGCTTGGCGTTATTGATCATTCTGGATCATCTGTGGCGAGCTTTTCAGTGGTGGTAGTTTGGAACTGTATGTCCGGGTTTTTGATGAGGAGCACTGTGGTTCACTTTCATCCACTGTCATCAAGTAGATTTTGAGGCGACCAGTATTCTTTCTCTGTCCCCTGGGCATCCAACCAGACAAGGCCATCCGCGACTAGGTCATCAATCACTGTTTGTGCACGAGCTTTTTCCCAGTTGAGATTGAGTTGTAACATCGAAACGCTCACAAATCCCAAAACCTGAATCACTTCGAGGACAGTGGCCTGGTCTGTGTTGAGCTCCTTTGGGATGGATCGGATATATCTTTTGGATCCAACATCGACGATCGAGAAACCGGATCCAAGAGGTTCCAATGATCGAACCGCGCGAAGAATATCATCACTAAAAGTCCTCTGGGCATCAGTAATCTGTATCTTCTGAACATTACGGAAGCCATCAGGTCAACCATACGCCGAAACCTCCAGCCCACTACCAATTGCCTTGCCCTTGCCAACACGCTTGCGACATTCTTCAACCCCGATCAACCCTCCGTTCTCACTTCTGGTTTCTCGGCACAGTTCTACGACGCGAACTGCAACTTCAAAGTAGAAGTCGTTCATATCCCCGCCGAGGATTTGGGTCCAGAAGCTGCCTCCTTCGCCTAGTCCACGGCGGCCATTCTTGCCTTTGATATTACTTGCAGCCAGAGGGTCGACCCCGATAGTGTTGCACATGCGAGCAAACTCGGCTCGGAATGTTGGGTTGGACTTGATTGTAGAGCTGTGCTCCAGGGCAAAGGTGTGTAGCAATGACTGGAAGACGGAAAGCTGGGTTTGGAGTGAGGCGAGGTGCGTGGAACGGAGGTTGGCGCCATGAGTGGCATATGATTGAGTGGTTTGGTTTCGGTTGACAAAGGCCCCAAGGCCAACACCACGGCGCGACATCGTCACTGTTCAAGGAGTCTGATAAGGTGGTAGGTTGAGGGGTGATAAACAGCCAGATAGGGAACCTATAAGTGGAGCGCCGATAAGGTCAGGTGATGATAAGGCCAGCCCTAGTCACGAGGTGATAAGGGTAAAAAGTCCGTAAAAGGAGTAGCGTGTAAATCACTGCAGGTTAATCCGTATCAGGTTAGCGCAGACCCGCTCCCACACAAGCGAATTTGCTTTTCTCCTTCAACTTTCCTTCCTGCTTTGAACTTTCTCCGACCATCCTCGACAACTCGACCTTCGCAATGGCCGCTCCTATCACGTATGCTTGCCCTTGATTCCTTCTCAATGTTTCAATCCTTCGTGGTTGTAAGATTGCAGGTATAGTCCCTCTCGCTGGCAATGCCTCGACCCTCATTCATTTGATGGCCGCTGTGCACCAGCTCGATTTTTCCGGTGCCCTCCCGCTCGAACGACTTTCGGATACGCGTGCTGCGATTCAGTAAGGCGCGACAGCGGTGGGCAATTGGAGTCTTGAGGATGAAAGCTTTTCAAGCCTTCACCTCCAAAAATATTGTTGTACAGTTATCGTGTTTCCAATATGTTTGATGCTTGAAAGAGCATTGATCATGCTTGGGCCGAAGAACGTCAACAAATATTTCCTGGACATCTGTCCGGGGTGTTGTCGGATGAAGGCGAAAATGATATTTTCCGTGGGTGTCCCAAGAAGAAGAAATTTTTCTCTTTGCGAAAAGTGCTGGAATATGCATACTTAGTACCAAAACGTGGACGCAAAACCCCAATATCATGGCCCTCACCGACTAAAGACATTTCGTCGAGTTTTTTTTTTCAATAAAATATTTTTTTGCCTTCAGTCGAGAATGCGCTATATGCTGCAGTTCTTACACTCGGCGGATTGTTTCATGTTTACATGATTTACATGGACTATACTCACACACCTGCACAGCTCCGTTCCTACCCAGGACCAGGTCCTCGTTCCCGAGACCCTCCTCAAGAAGCGCAAGAGCCAGGAGGCTGCCCGCGCTGAGCGCCGTGCTGAGGCCGAGGAGAAGAAGAAGGTTAGTTTCCAAATCTCCATTTACATAATTCCCTTCCCTCATCATTATGATGACAACACCAACCACGCGACTAGACCAATACTAGGTCGATGTTGTCGCCTGTTAACCATCTTTCGGGTCTGATACATTTGATACCACACATGATTGATATCACTCAAAAACCATGATGCAACCTTGTACTAACTCAAGATTCATCTAGGCCAACAAGGAGAAGCGTGGTGTTATCTTCAAGCGTGCCGAGTCCTACGTCCAGGAGTACCGCAACGCTGAGCGTGAGAAGATCCGCCTCGCCCGCGCTGCCCGCCAGGAGGGTAACTTCTACGTTGACGATGAGCCCAAGCTGGTCTTCGTTGTCCGTATCAAGGGTATCAACAAGATTGCTCCCAAGCCCCGCAAGATCCTCCAGCTCCTCCGTTTGATCCAGATCAACAGCGGTACCTTCGTCCGCCTGACCAAGGCCACCCAGGAGATGCTCACCATCGTCAACCCCTACATCGCTTACGGTTACCCCAACCTGAAGTCCGTCCGCGAGCTTCTGTACAAGCGTGGTTACGGAAAGGTTGACAAGATGCGCACTGCCCTCACCGACAACCAGATCATCGAGGAGCACCTCGGCAAGTACGGCATCGTCTGCATGGAGGATCTCATTCACGAGATCTACACCGTTGGCCCCAACTTCAAGCAGGCCAACAACTTCCTGTGGCCCTTCAAGCTGTCCAACCCCAACGGTGGTTTCCGCACCCGCAAGTTCAAGCACTACATCCAGGGTGGTGACACCGGTAACCGTGAGGAGAACATCAACGGTCTCATCCGCCAGATGAACTAGATTGTTCCTTCCGCATACCGGGTGGTTCACGGAGTTCGCTCCATCAAAAATTTTAACGACGTTATTGTCACGGGTTGTTTGTTTGCACACGGGCTGTGTTTTCTTTAGTCAATTAGCGATACGGTCTAGGTTTCCGGTAATTCAATGCTTCAGTCAACCCGCAATTGCCTTATCCATGTCTTGTAGAACTTGTAAATCTGGGAATGAGTAGTAGTAGGTACTACCTCCATCCTTACGAACGACCATCAATTATTGTGAATTTTACTCACCACACCCCCTTTCCTAATTTGGACAACATGTCTAATGAGTATGCTTGGTTCTGTGCACTGAGCACTTGAGGTTAGTACCTCTTACCGCTTTCCTCACCGCCTTAAAATCTTTACAACATTGAATCCCGTTGCAGATACCAGTTGACCGTTGTGAGTTTGAAATACCCTTCGAGATACCGCTACACTTAAAGTACCGTAGCCAACCAAACATTGTACCAGACCGACTATGTACCAGGAACATTTGAACGTTGGAATGCTGTATCTAATACTGGAATTCAAAGTATAATAACGCAGTAGCTACCGAATTTTAAACAATACCATCACGATGGCCGTATTGATGGGTAGGTACTAGTATCCATGGATATATATTGATTGATACATACTATGATATGTGCATGAAGGTGCCACCAGACATGGATGTCTTGACCTATCCGTCTTAGAATGGATCAATATTTTGTGCAACAACCCACATGTGCACCCCCGGTGGGCAACATCATCCATGGATGTGGGTTGGAATTTTCAATGTTTCAAACTTGGGTACCTGACCAACATTGACCATTTGAAGGCTCCCCAGGTCTCAATGCAAGCACTTGAGGTTAATATGCCCCGGTGGCGTGCGGATCGATTTAATCAGTCGACTCTCCCAACATAAAATCATCAACTTTCCACCTCACCAGCGTAGGGAGCATCCGGATCTATCGGTCCTAGATTTTCCTTCCGAGAACTTGTGCCCGCGTGCCGAATCCCTTCTGTGATACCTTTGTCTCCCCACCAAAAGCGTCCATTTTCGTTCAAGGTCCAGTCGTCAGTAACATCTGCAAGAGTCTGTATGTGACCATACGTTGCCGGCTGTGGACCCTTTGGCTTTTTGAATGTGACAAACGTTAGAGCCAACCCAAAGACAATAGCGCAGATGACATAAACAAATAAACGAGCATAGTTCATGGTGAACCAAACTCTGTTTTCGGCACTGTCGAAAGAAGGCTGAGATGACTGACCGAGCAGCCAATGCAGAAGGGATTTGAAGATCAGGAGCATATCATACTTCCAGCTCATCAGTGCAGCGAGGAAGGGCGGGGTCTCGAGGACGTTGGTCTGACGGCCAGACCAGCTTTTAGCATCAATATCTCTCCATACATCTTCATCGCGGGACAGGTTGACGATGAGCTCTGCACAGTGGAGTCCGAGGGTCTGTAGTCCTTGAATTGCGCAGATAAATACAAGACCGGCTATAATCGCAGCAACAAATGACATGCCTGAATTTTGCCTGAGATAATCCAGACTGAAGAAAACTGCGTTAAAATAGGTCGTCATAGAGATATTTTCCACGATGAGGTTTGCATAAGGGTCCCAAGCTAATGAAAAATGCCATTTCGAAGGCCACTTTGAGTTGGGCAGAGGTTGTACCTCGTTGATGGCACCTATCATATTGGATCGGCTGAGGAGGACGATTGTCAAGAACCACACGATAGAGAGTCCAGTCAGAGTCCAGATGAAGATCATAGCCTTTCTTGCGGAAGTGCTGATTTGCCATGGACTCGGTTGTTTCTCACGCGGAAGCATTGGTATTGCCTCTAAAGTGTCTTCGATTTGAACCGAGTATATGCAGCGACCTTTTCTATGCTGTACAAATTGCCGGTTTATCATCGTAATGGTGGTATTCAGTGGGTTGGCGCTCCACGAGGGAATGTCATGAAGATTGTTATAATAACACCAGATGGCCAACAGGGCTTGGCATAACAGAGCGAGTCCAAGTGCCAGCAAGGCGATCAAGTTGATGTGTGACTCGTAAGATTTGCCTGTATCCAAGTCGAACCTAGGCATGACAAGCATCGAAGTGGCTGCATAGCAAAGAATCAAAAGAATCGCTGAGATGGAGTTGATGTACCAGCTGTTAGGCCGAGAGAGCCTCGAGCTAGTGATCAAGCGGATGTTGGTGTTGAAAACGAGTCGACTTTCCTTGAGAAGGGCCCAGCGAAGAGATATTGAATGGACATATGCCAATCCTTCCAGACATTGAGTAAGGATGATATTGACGATAAGGGAGAGGGCCTCGCCAGGCAAGCCTTCTGGTAAAGGTATTACCGGCAACCCAGGGGCTGGAGCCAATACGACCCAGAAGCCAATACTGCAGAAAATACAGGCCAAAGAACATGCTACTCCAAAGATTATCGTGAAGAGGCACTGCCATTCGGTACTAGACCCGATGTCGACAGAAGGTAGATCTTGAGACTCAGCTCCAGCAAAGATTTTTGATTGAGAAGATTGGCTCCCGCCGTTTATATGGTCGAACTCATCCAACTCTACCCCAGGAACTGAAGCGTATGCCGTGCCGTAGTTTGTGTTTCGTCTCGAAGATGGGGATTGAGGGAATTCTCGCGGAGTAGAAGGACCGCCATCCTAATGCGAATCGGAACCAGTCAGTCCTAATGGCCGCAAGAATTGCCTGTTAACTTACTATTTTGCTTGTGTCTGTGGACGCCACAAGATCATCAGGTAAATGGTCCCAGTTCTCTTGGAGAACCACGTATTTGGAATCCATTGTTCTGCTCTAGAGAGTTTCAAAGATGATAGAGTAGATTAGAGGAGAGGGTGGCCAATTCATAAGAAAACACGCCCAGAACCTGCACTGTTAATGCTAGTAAGCACGTATTTTGCCCGCGCTGGCTCGTTTCAGCCATGCCGAGACATGGCTTGACTTGTCATCTCCCAGAACCTTCCAATTCCTCCACTTCTTCCCATCCCATTCAGGGCCCAGGGGTCTTCCCGCCGGACCGTGCGACAAGATAAGCACTAGAGCGCTGCAACAACAGTTAGAGCTTGGACCCTTGAAACGAGATGAGGAATTTGATTGGGCAGCTGGTAATTATAGATCCAGCCCCCAAAATAACAACATGATCGGGCAATGGAGCCAGCCAGTGATGGATGAACATGACAGGAATCCTTCAAAATGCTCGTACTCGCCTAGCCCTTAGCCCCAATTCTCCCTTGAAGAAACTGGGTTTATAACCCTGAAAAGCACCGGCAGCATAAGTTGAACCTTATTATCGACAATACTCGTCAAGATAGCACTCAATCTTGCCTCAAATGGCTTGCTTGGGTGTCTTTTGGAGGACCAGGAGTACCTGCACATGGAGGTAGACGAAACAAGCTTGGAAGGGCCCTTCAAAAGACTGACCTTAGATTGGATGTAATATCAATCAACACTCCATTGGAAGCTGATATCTAATGCTAGGTACTCATAAGGTTGACTGTGGCCTATGTGAGAAACTCCTTGATGATTCAATGTTTATAGATGGCGGAGCTACCTAGCTCTGTAACTGTAGTACTTGGTTACTTACGGTACCCATATTTTTTCCGATGTTGCAGTACTTAAGAGTAGTAGTGTTGGGCATCTTGTTCAGGGATTTTTCTATTTATTTTAGAGTCTCAGAGTAAGTATCAAGTCTAAGCTCTTTCTGAATCCTATCCAGTAGGGAAGCATGTGCCTCCCGGGACTCATAATTGCATACGAGCAATGCCCAAGGCTTCAAAACCACAGCCATTATCCCTTCTGCATACCATCTATCTACCTGCACTAAAATTTAAACTAACTCCTACACATCCATTAGCGATTCAAATTATCTATAATTCTCAGTGATTTACAAGTAAACTATGAGGAGCTCACATCAATTTTTTTAAACCCCCAAAATCGATAATGGTGGTGAAATGAGCCGATGACTGTTTTTCAATAGAATAATTATAAAGGGAATGCGCACCGATTTAGGCATTTAAACCTGATATCAGAAAATGCTTCACCACCACCCCCAAAGCGATCTGAAAAGGCTCCCGTTCTTACAGATTACCCCTCGGGACTTGAACAGATAGAACACCTCGTTTGGTAATAAATCAATAAATATTGTGGGAGTTGTGGGGTGAAAGCTGGTAAATCGCATACAATGCAGAGCTTATTTGGACTGACAGTTGAAAGTTGTGTGTACTAGTAGTCACCATTTTGTACATAGCGGTGCCAGCTTAACGGCCAGCTGGCTAGTGCTTAATCAAGATTATGCATACTTGGTTATTGAATGCGATTTATATAGAAAATAATCTTTGATTTTACTCTGGTTTTGCACAGAGGTTGAGACCAATACTCACTACAGTAATTGCAAAGAGACCAAAAAAAAAGAGTTGCTTTCTAACCATTTATTCATTCATTTTGAGTCATCGACGAACTGACACGAGGGATTTCCTTCGCGTTCGGAAACGGCATAAGAAAGGGCAAGAGGGAAACCAGGGCAAGGAAAAGGACAATGAGGAAATAAAAAGTAAAATAAGAAAAGAGTAGGCATGCCATTACATCAGAAAACCTTTATTCAAGCCTTGATAGCACCACCCAATGCACCACCACCGAACTGCTGACCACCAGGTCTCCGGCCCTGCTGGTTGTTTGGCAGTCGTGGGCCACCACGAGCCTGGTTGGGGCCACGGGGACCACGGCCACGGGCACCGGGGCCTGACTCGCGCTGGAAAGCGTTGGCCATGCCCTGGGTGCGCTGCTCGAGAGTCTTCTCGTTGGACTCGAGAAGACCCATGGACTTGTCGGCCAGGGTGACGATCTGGGATTGGAGGCGGGAGAGCTCGACGCCCTTGCGGAAAACGATGACATCGTTGACCTGGTCGAGGGCAGCACCGAGCTCCTCGTGGGAGATCATGCGGCTGATGATGGCAATAATCTTCTTGGTGGAAAGCTCGAACATGTCGACCAGGGAGGAGACGGACAAGCTGTCGTAGAAGGGGGCGTAGGTGAAGAGGTAAGTGCGCAGACCCTCCTCTTGAGTCTGCTGAGAGAGCATCTCCTTGATCTTCTCGGGTTGCGGCATCAGATCCCAGATCTTGATGGAAGACAGCATGGAAGCGGCCTTCTTCCACTCGCCGGCGGCAAGGAACTTGGCGCTCATGATGACACCGTCGCGGGTGTTCTCGGGGGGACCGGTGAACACCTGGCGCTCATTGTAGTCGAGCATGCGGCGGAAAGTCTTGGAAATCATGCGGCGGCGGACCTCGGGGGCGGAAGAGGTCTGGGCCATGAGAGGAACCTCGAGGAACATGCTGGAGGTGAGGTAGATGCACTCAAGCAGCTCAAGGTTGATGTGCATGTGGAAAGGCAGCTGGCGCTGGCGCTCCAAACGCTCCTGCTCGGGAGTGACGGTGGAGTAACGCTGGAGGATAATACCCTGAGCGAGCAGCTCCTTTTGGCGACCGCTACCACAGATGTCACCGAGGGTGTTCTGGGCCTCGTAGATGAGACCAGCGCGGAAAGCGCAGAGACCGATCTGAACAAGAGTGCGGTTGAAGAGGATCTGGGTGCTGACATCGAAGTTGGCGATGTTCTCAGTCAAGTGAGACATGAGCATCAGATCACGAGAGCGGTAGTACTGGTCGTGCAGTGCGAGGAAGTAGATCTGGCAAAGCATCGAACGGGCACGGATGATACCGTCGCTGTTCTGGAACAGGTAGTTGCAGACGGTCTGGATAAGAACAGAGACATCACCAGCCTGGGCGCGGGTGGTAATGGCAGAGTCCAGGTTTTCGGGCAGAGCCTTCCATGTGCCATCTTCCAGAATAGAAACAACCTGGGAAGGCTTGAAGTAAACGTGCTCCAAGCGGCGAACGACCACTCGGTTGACGCTGTCCTGGCGGGACTCGTTCTTCTCACCGACATTAAGGCTCTCAGCGTACATCTGAGTGCGCACAATGTTGTTGTACAAGTGCTGCTCATCGCTTAGACGCTCAATGTACTCAGCAGTGTGGGGGTCGATCTGCTGGAGCGAGCGGGTGAGCTCGTCATCCAGACGCTCAATGTATGAAACGATGCTGCCGGGAATGTAGAAAGTCTCTCCCGCAGCAACCTGGGGTTGCTTCTCGTCATCCTCCCACTCATCGGCACCATCGCTGACAATGAAGTTGCGGTGGTCCTCCAGAACGGCAAGAAGGGCACCGAATTCTTGGTCGGCGCTCTTCCATTGCTCGGCGCTCATGTAAGTGGCGGAGGAAGTGGTGGAAAGGTCGAAGCGGGTGGAAATGAGGGTCAGGTAGATACGGATGCGCTGGTAGGGGGTAGTGGCAACCTCGAGGAGCTTCTCCATTGTGCGAATTTGCTCAGTGCGGTCAGTGTTCTTCTTTCCGCGGGACTCAACAATGCTACGCAGGTGCTTGAGAATGCTCTCGGGGGTGTACTGCAGAGTCTTGCCACCACGTCCAACGGTAGCGAATCCATCATCATCACCACCGATGGTCGCGGAAACGAAGTTCTCGATCCTCTCACCCCTGCTGGGCTTGGGAGCGGGAGGGGCTGCGGGCTTCTCCTTCTCCTCCTCATCGGCGAGCATGTAGCTGTCCTTATTGGCACGGTATGTCTCGATCTGAGCGGCGTAATCCTTGTTGTTCTTCTTAATACGTTGCTTGACGGCATTGAATCCCTTTTGGTTGCTGGCGTTCATCTTCTTGTTGGAGGCCTTCTGCTTGGTGACGGCCTCGTTGACGAAGTCCTCGAGGTCGGCGACGAACTTGACGTAAAGGCGGGGGGTAGGGCCGGACTGGTTGACCTTGACGATCTGACGGTTGAGGCTGTCGAACTCTGTAGCAAAGGTTCTACATTAGCATTCGGTCCATAGGAGGACCTAGGGACCCCTCTCTCCCCGGATATAGCCCCGCGGTCGCGGTCTTCAATCCGCAAGCAAAGCCTCCCAAGTCGTAAAGGGCGTGTAGGGCGAACTCACCAGTGGAGATGACGGCCCAGTCGTTGATCTTCTGGGCGTTTTCAATCAGGCGAATGCTGTTCTCGAGACCCTCCAGACGCTTGTCCTTGGCACTCTTGACGACTGTGGCCTTCTCCTCGTCCTCGCTTTCCTCGCTCTCATCATCACTCTTCAAGAAGTCGAAACCATCACCGCCGGTGCTTTCCTTGTCGTCGGAATCGCTGCCAGAGTCGGAACTGGAATCACTGCCGGACTCGGCATCGCTGTCCTCCTCCTCGGAGCCTGAGCGCTCGTAAACATCCTCCTCCTCGTCCGAGCTGGACTCGCTGTCGCTACCGCCGCGGTTGAAGAATCGTGACATCGTTGCGGATTTAAAACGGGGTAATCCGGGTGCACGAAGGCGTAAAGGCAGATCCTTTAAAACTTGGAGTTGATTGTCCGGGTGAGAGCCACACACGAAATTTAAGCGAGGGGTTGTCCATACCCGATCGGGACTAGCGCCACCGAATCCCTATTTCCCCTTCCAAGTCGAACTACAAGTATAGAATGGGATGATAAGTTTATACTACATGTAAGTACTAGTAGGCTTAAAACAAGATCAAACGGCTATGATTGACTCTATATATAATATCTCTTTTTTTCGCCCTAGAAAAGAAGTAATGGTATCTGTTTTTCAAAATTCATATGCAAGTCCCACAGCATCAAAGGCCCCCAAAACTGAACATAGTATTCGACACAAAAACTCTTGGAGACGTAACACGCATCATGTATCTCAAGTACAGTACAGAAAAAAAAAAATTGAAATGAAAGGAAAAGAAAAGAAAAAAATAAAAAGATAGCAAGGTCATTCCCTAAGCAAAATGGGAAAATAAGAGCTTACTGAGACAAGCAAAAAGGGGGGAGAAAACGGGGGGTATGTTCTTTCATACTCCAGGCTATGCCGAATGAAGAAAACGAAGTTAAAAGGAACAAGATAAAAAACAACAAAGAATAAAAAGATTTGTAACAGTAGTCGTGGGTAAGCCGACCCGATCGACAAATCCAAATCATTTTGCAGGGCAAAGATAGCAAGAAACAAAGGTAGCGACATGATCATGGCCAGGAAGGTAAATACAGAATCATAACCACGTTGGATCGGTCACTGCATCATAGTGCAAATGATCGTGGAATTCGACACAATGCTACATCGATAATCAAAAATAAATAGAAAAAGCATTGTTTTTGAACACACGCTCTCTCTCTCTCTCTCAGCCCCAATGTCTGTTTTCAGATAGATCCAAGTCACTTGTAAGTCAAGACGACAAGAGCCGACCCATGGAGGACCATCAACCGAGGACTCGAGCCAAAAGGAATAATTTGCCAGGCTGGTCAATTTATGGGAGCATAGTGGGACGATGTGGGGGTGGGTGAGTCAAGCAGAAGTTGCATCAGACACGAGAAGACATTGGAACGGCGCTCTGGCACGGGCGCACGCACCGGGCGTGTAGATGCTTGACTGTAGAAAAAGAAATTTAACCAGTAAATCAGATTCCAAGACACCATATGAAAGCACCTGTTCATTTTCGGTAGTGCTCAAGGTGTCTGTTCAGGGCCCCTTTAGTGCCACTGGTTTTGGCCCATATACTCGCCCATCACCCCATCCTCAAGGGTGCGAATGAAGTCTCGGTTTCGTTGATTTCCATTGCCATTTCCACTGCCGTTGCTACTTCCCCCAGCCCGGCTACCGCGACGTCGCTGGGCATTGGCGTCTACATAACCATCAGGAGGAGGGGGATAGTAAGCAGGGCTAGGTTGTAAGCGGATCGGGGCGTTAGGATCCAAGTGGCTAGCCACGCGTTGGATAGTTGGAGGGATGCCCCCACCCTGCGGGTCGATGGTTGATGCACGTTGACGACCGGCCCTCGTTGTCGCCTGCGCGTACAAACTCTGTCCTTGACCATACTGTTGTTGTTGTTGTTGTGGGGGAATTTGACCCGGAGTTGGACCTGGCATCATACCCATCTGATGACTCGAGTAGCCTGGAGGTTGTGTGGGGTAAGGCGGTGGAGGTGCCCCGGTCTGCTGCTGATACATTCCATTGTACATGGGTGGCGGTGGAGGAGGAGGAGGCTGGGCATGGGTCGGGGTGTGCTGTTGGTATGGGTTCATTTGCATCGGGTACGCAGCTTGGGCTTGCACAGACTGCTGCGCCTGCGCCACCTGAGCTGCTCTCTGCTTGCTGGTGGCTTCTGCTTGCTGCTGTTGCTGGACGCCTGGCGCAACGGTCTTGTTGAGAGTTGAGTACTTCAAGTTCATTGGGGGGACAAATGGACCAGTGAACTTCTGCTGGGTAATGAACGGGTGTAGCTTGGCCTGCTGGGGTGACCATCGCTCAAGGGGATCGATGGACAGCAGACCACGCACGAAATCGATAAACGCAACGCGGTTGTTCAACTCTGTGCATTGTTAGTCAGTCAACGACAAATTAAGAAAGCTAAAGGAGATGGAAACATACCTCGCTCAACTTCGTTTTGCTTCATGTTTTTCCTCGGCATGGGGTAGCTTCGGATGATCTCTTCCAACGTTGAGGCAGAGAAGTACTTCTTGCTGGGCTGTTCCTTGGTGTTATGCTCTCGTGAGTATTGCTCCAAAGTCTTGAGACGGTAGACCTGTCGACCATATTCATCTTGCGTTTTCTCAAAAAATTCGCCTGACTGTTTACCGTTCTCCAGCATCCAGGTCGGAGGTATGCCCATCATATCGACAATCCGAGAGATTTGGTTGTATTCGGAAGAGCCTGGGAATAAGGGCAACCCTAAGAAGAGCTCGACGACAATGCACCCGAGAGACCACATGTCGATGGCGGATGAATATCTAGTCCAGTTAGCGGAAGAGATTCACACAAGAAAAATGCATTTGGTAATTGAAGTGACATACGGCAGACCAAGAAGAACTTCTGGCGAACGGTAGAAACGTGATTGAATATATGTGTAAACAGTTTGGCGCTCGTCACATGCAGAGCCAAAGTCAATGACCTTGATAATTGGACTTTCAAGACTATTTTGATTATACAAACATCAGTAAAGTGTGGGGTCAAGAGTATGCTGGAAACTTTTGAACTCACTTCTTCAAGAGAATATTTTCTGGTTTGAGATCACAGTGGATCAAATGAGCCTTGCTCAAGAGACTCAGGGCATTCAGCAGCTGCTGGGCAAAGACGCGAACAAGAGTTGTGCTTAGTCCTCGGAACTGGTTCTGCTTGATAAGTTCGTAGAGATTAACGCTAAGTAATTCAAATGCAAGACAAAGATGCTGGCGGTGGATGAAGGTGTCCTTCAAACGAAGGAGGTGGTGGTCGTCATTCTTGTCGTATTTGCTATTTAGCTGTGGGACAGGTTGGGTTAGTGAGCGCCGGGGAAATCACTGTCAGTTATAGATGATGAGAGAACATACCAGATCCAAAACAGAGACTTCCATCATACTCTGGTTGAAGTAGGCAGTCTTATTTTTGATAACCTTGACCGCCACAACCTCTTGTGTTTTCAGGTTCTGGCATTTCACGACCTGACCAAAGGTGCCCTGACCCAATACATCGAGGATAAGATAACGGTTCCTGCAAGAGAATGGTCAAAACTAGAGCCTTGGAGAGGAATGAACGTAGAAAGCGTACTTGTGGCCAGCTTCCTCGCTACCGAGAATGTCGTTCACATAGAGAATATAGTCACTATCCTCATTGTCATAGCCATCGTTTTTGGTGCCCTTGCTTGGCTTAGTAAGAACACGGCGCGGGTTTCTGGACGACTCGTAGTTGAAGTTCGGGTTGCAGATGCGGTAGGTCGCAGGTAGGTGACTGGTCAAGGCATGGAGCGGCTAGGAAGGGTAAGTTGTTGAGCCGGAAGCAGGGATACATAGCAGATCACTTACACTTATGAAGCCTCCTTCAGGGTTTGCACGCCGATATGCCGGTTGGGCATGAACCCGAGGGTGGAGATCCTGCACCGACTTGATCTTCTGGAACTTGGGGACTGGACCTCGGCCCGGGGTTTGAGACGGCAGGGAGCCGGATCGCGTGGATCGAGATTCGGGCGCAAATGCGCTACCCAGGTGAGAGCCTGCGGAGGATGGGAAATACTGGTCGGGGCTGAGATCGGAGGCCTGGAGAGGAGGAAGTCTAGGGGCGCGGTTCGCTGTTCATAAGAGGTTAGCAGTTGAAATCCGCAAGGCGCACATCAAGAGAAACCGATCACTCACAGGGCGGCGATTGGTAACCTTGCGGCGGAGACGAGTAGTCTCCCGCTCGGCCCGGCGACCGTCGCGACTGGTTAGAGGGCGAGAAGTAGGAGCCCTGCTTCCCGGGGCTGGTTGGGTATGACATGGGCGGCGATAGAGCGTTCATCGGCGAGTACCTACGAGCGGCCGAAGACTCTTCGGTCTGAGCAAGGAATTGAGATGAAGCGCGAGTGTGATTGTTTGGCCTGGATGGATACTTGGCGCGGTTGTAGGGGTCAGCGTCCTCCATATTGGTGTCGGTATCGGTGACATAATCCCGACTACGTGGCGTGGCGGTAGGAGACGACGCCATAGATACTGGCTTGGAGTTTCGGCCGGTGGAAGGAGCCTTGGGGTTGTTGCCAGGAGTTTGAAAACTCTCGTAGGTGTATCCGACGGGGGGCTGTGACTGCGGTGGCTGACCGTACTTCGAGGCCTGCTGGGGATGAGCAGCCAATCCGGTATTGAACTGCGCGGGGCGACCCATCAGGGGATCCTGATAGGGTTGCCATTTAGAATCCATGCTGGACGAGAAGTCTCGACTCTATGTCGATCGGAGATTTGACGTAGTTTTGGAGGGAAACTGGAATGGGAGGATTGGGCGTCGTCGTGCACCGTGTGGCAGCCACAATGCGATTGGGGGGGGGATTGCGTGGGGAGTGCGGGAGGGGGGATCAGACACAAACACACGCGAGAAGCGCGATCGCAGACAAGGAGGCCGTAGGTCCCTTGGGTCCCTGCGGTAGGAGCGATTGGGGGGTTGGTGGGATGTGAAGGTTAATTTGCCCAGCGCCTCATCATCGGAAGTCTTGAGAACTTCGGGTTGAGGATTAGGAAATTGGAGGGGGCGGGTCTGCCACCGACGTAGACACCGACCAGAATGTGGTTTCGGCGAAGAGAAGAACTACCTGAAGGGGAGATAGAAAAAAAAAAGGACCCCAAAACCAGTGGAGATATAAGAGGGAAGGAAACTCGTCCAAGCGACTAGAATCCAGAACCCCAGAAGTACATAAAAATCCCCGATTTATATCTGGGGAGAGGAAGAGGGGGAAAAGAAAGTTGTGGGAAGTGGGAGTCCTTGAACTTCAATCCTCGCTCAATCTCGATCTAGCTTTTGACAGGGAAAAAGCGATCGTCATGAAGCCATTGATCAAAGAACCTGTCCCGCGTGATTTTACCACTATGAAATGCTCTGTACAACTTGACCAGGATGAGTGCAATGGATTCTACTCCGTACTGAATTTGGTGATCTCACGACTCGAGGATTGTGGTCTCCTCGGCGACGTGTCGCTCAGATCGTCGCGTCATTGCATACCCAACTGCCAAACTTGTAGCCAAAGCGTCGCAGCCTGAATGTCTAAATGTATTCCCTTATAAATGGCCCTTTCTCAAGGGTCGTTTGCCAAATTTCTATCAATTGCGCTTCATCGACGCTCATTGTCTCATTCATGAAGGGAAACATCGTTGGCTGAGATCGTCGTCATAGAATCTGGAGATGTTGTGGGCCTGGTCCTAGTCCAAGATTGCCCTTTATATTGGGTTTCAAAAATTTCTTCTGAATCTCAGGAAATTTATGAAAGACCAACATAGCTGTTCAAAAGTACTAGGAGAATTTGAAAACACAAAGAGTCAAAACCAAACAGATTTGTAGAGATGTCAAGTTCAAACTACTAGTATATGTGACCCATTCAGATCGGACATTACTAGTTAGTTATTCAGTGATTTTATGCGGATGACTAATGGATATGATAAATACATACTAAGATAAATCATGTGACAGTGTCAATTTAGGAAGGCGGTGGGACATCCGGGGTTAATTCTGCTGGTTGTATATGAATCATCGTCTCTCCGCTTTTCCTGCTTACTGCAGAGGTATTTACAGTGGAGAACTTTTCATCATTGATTTACTCGTAATGGAGGCATTTTATATAGCTTGTGTAAATTTTTAAATCCAAATGGGTGACTTAGGTCCCTTATTAACCTAATTCAAACATTGAATGCTAAGACACAACTTCCAGATGGCATGTACATACACTACAAACTGTAATAGGTAAAATTTCATTCCTACTGGTAAATGTAGGTATTTATTGTGAGACAGTCCCTTACTCTCAATACAACTTCGCCATAAGCTTCATCTTGGCTTGCATCTCTTCAATCAATTGTTTCCCCCAAATCCAGATGGGAAGCATTCTAGCCAGGCATTTCCCACTCGGATAGTATCGGCTTGGTTCACGTGCTGTCTTCAATCTTCCTTGCTGCGTCTTTGCGTTCGATCTGTTTCGGTACAGGCTATTTTCCCTGGTTTCCTCGGACAAGATCGCTGTCCGTCCATGGAACTATCGGCATGATCAAAATGAAAAGATGAACATCACACGGCTCATCTCCAAGAAAAAGAATACTCTCAGCAATTCCAAGGGTAACTTGGAAATTCTGTGGGTCGAATCACATCAGTACGTCGGCCAAGGGTTCAGGGGTCTGCATTGCGGATGAAACCCATGGTTACGTACTTTACGACCAAGTGCTGCATGTTCATGGCTTTTCATCTTATTGAACAAACCATCATCATCGCTTTTTTGTTCATGACCGAATCCTTTTGATGCTATTTTAGGCAATCTTTCCTTTTTTCACCTGATATGATCGCCCCTCACGTTTCAAAGCTTTTTCAATGACATCTGTCTCGGGTGCTGTTTGTTTCTTTATCCATGAGTGGGTATGATCGGCATCGAGTCTTCTACTTTGATTGGTGAGCAACTTGGAACTAGTGACGGGGGCAAAGGGCCATACCCCACTCACTGGAGAAAGCTGCCCATTTGAACGAAAGAATTCAAGCAGACGAGCTACGCTGTACGACACTAGCGAGGACTAAGATGAAAGGATGTGGCAGATCCCCTTGACTCGACTTGTGACGACGCAGGTGGACCTGCAGCTTCAAAGACAAAATGCATCAAACTCAATCATTATTGCCAACCTATAAAGATAGCCGGCCAGTTACTGTACAAAAAAAAATTGCAGATCTCTCACAATATCGTCAAGAATAATTCAGTACCAACCACAGAACTGCCCGCTTTACACTAAAGATCTCCAGCCCAGGGAACCCACGATCGCGGATCCTCACAAGTTCACCCACTCGGTGGCGCGTTTCTCCACACGATTTTCCAGCTTTTCGCAATCCCCCATCGCCCTTTCACGCTTAAATACCTCGCGCCTTCCCCCCCCCCCAATAACACCTTCTCTATCTTTGTAATTATTATCATTTACTCCAGGACACCCTTTGCTTTCGCTCTTCCCTCTCTCCATCAAAAGTTCTCTTTGCCATCATCAAACCACAGCTCAAAATGAAGTTCTTCGCAACTCTTGCTCTCCTGGCCGCCACCGCCACCGCTGGCCCCGTCACCAAGACCTTCAGTCTGCAGACAACCGGTGCCTCCAACAGCAGTTTGAACGGCTTGTACCTCACCACCAAGTCTACCGGCCCTCTCAACAGTTTGGCGGTGTTCACCGGCGGCGCAAGCGACGCTGCCACATTTTACCTTTCGAACGGCACGGTGCGGTACCAGGCGGAGAATGGCGCACCGTGGGCCATTGCACTCGTTTCCGAGGATGGTAAGTTACTCTTTAAACCTGGATCGTTCGCCACCTTGATTTCCAGGGTAAACTAACAGATCTCCCGTCTCTTAAAGATCGCAAGGCGCCTGTCGAAGTGAGCGTGAGCCCCACAACCGGTAGCACCGGCTTCGGATTTGCCAGTGATGGCGACCTGGAGACCTCAAACAAGAACTGGGGTGGCTGGCTCGGTAAGTCTAATTTCTTTCTTCTTTGGATATTGATCCAAGGCTTGGTCCTTTGTTGTAAAAGCTTTCGGAGGCTGACTTGTACTTTTCTAGCTTGCACTGATGACGCCCTTTACTATGTCAACCTTGCTCAAACTGGCAGCTATACCGGTTGCGACAAGGTCGAACTCCAGGCATCTTCCTAGAATTCTAGAATCCTAGAATCGATTAGGGGGCGTATCCTTGGAGTTTGTAATGCTATTTTTTTTTCCAACCCGCTTGGTTATGATGATGAAGAGGCTTCTTTCACGACTGTACATTCACTGCGATCCTGGTCAAATACTGGATAGACTGGAGTTTAATGATAATATATTTTGATCAATTGACCTTTTCCCTCTCCATGCCTCCAGTACTACATATATGGTAGGTACCTACATGGAAGCTACCTACCTAAGTAGGTAAGAGAACAACTTCAAATGTTGCCTTAATCGTGAACGTAAGGCTTGAAATCAAGTGCACGGCCCTGGAGAATTGTTTCAAGGTTTCCCAGGTGGTTCTTCTGTCTCTATGTTGAATCTTCATTTTATTTACATGTAGTGTTCAAATGTTTTATCTTCTCATTGCTTTCCTCGGTGGGTGATGAAGAATCTCCAAGCTTGCCAGACTTTTCAGGCAGATATCATTCCAATATCACTCTTTTCTCACTTCAAATGTTTAGAAAAAAATTCAGCACCATTGTTTTCGTAGCCATTGGAGACCTCATCTGGGCCACATTTATCTTCCAAGGTTGTGGATACCTGAAGGCTCTGCAAAATCGTATCGGTGAGTGCTATCTTACTATTTCTCTTTTCTTCTTCTCCATTTCCTTTGATTGACCATATCTAAATCCCGATTAGCTGATTGTTTTTATGAGTATCCGAAATCATGTACTGCAACAACAAATACCGATAAATCTAACGTAATACTACCCAAGTAGTAGAGGGGCTATATACCATATTTACAGCTGATAAAGCATTCTGCCAACACCAGGACTTACAATACCAAAACAAACAAAGAATAAAGCTGTGTTCTAAGGAGAACAGGAAAGAAGAAAAGAGAGAGAGAAAAAAGAAGGCTTCATAATTTTCATATTGATACCTATTCCTACTACATGTCCTAGTGAAAATTAATTGATCTGTTTGACTTGGTGAATTTACCGAGGGTGGGTCAATAGCATTTATTCCCGAGGACATTTCACTTATGCATTGATAATGTACATTCAGGGTCCAACACTTCTCACATTACACATGAAGAAAATAGCAAATTAGATTATATTCCTTATACTTGAATTTAAAGATATTTTTTTCTCATATATAAAGTACAAGATGCCATTATGGCATGTGTGGTTCAATCTCCAATGGAGTTTATAAATAGGCTTGATGTCTCACACGCCTGAACAGCCACCATGGCCAAGTTGGGCTTAGCCCCGCAATACATTTCAAACGCCCTTTTTCCCTTCGGCCTCAACGACCTTCAATTCTCTTTCACTTCCCAAGGCTATTTGCTCACGTCGCTCGTTTGACTGCAATCTGTCGCTGCTGCTTGCGTCTTGGTCGTTGGTCTTTTTCTCATCTTTCGCTTCTCCCCACAAAATCCACACATTCCTCCGTGATCGACAGAAATCCAGGGTCCACCAGATCGCCCTGACAATTTTGCTCCCTCCACTTCGTCTAAATCGCTTGCTTCTTCATCAATTCACTTCCTCGGCAACCCCCGGCCAAAGCCAAAGAACTTTTGCAGACATCACAATAGACCGAGGCCGTGACCTTTCGACAATCACCGACAGCCATCTCCACGCTGCTCATCGGTGCAAGGGGTTGTTGATTCGGTCGTTCGATTCCAATCAGGGGGACCTTAGACTTCCCATCTGCTCCCAGGCCTAGTCTCTTTCTTAACCGCCTGCTACCATTCACATTTACCGTCATCATGCGGCTCATCTTGAGTATTTTGTATACGTTCTTGTTGCTGGGGACGATCGCCTCGGCTTGGCCCTGGTCCAACTATGGACAGGTATTCGGAGGTGGCATGTTGGAAAGACGCGCAGGTACATCTACCTCTGGTCCGCTCTCATCACGCTCTAAGACTAAGCTGACTTAATCCCCCTAGACGAGACAACTACTGCATCAACATCCGAACAAACCACCACAGTCGCTTCTAAAACCACTTCCACGTCCTCCTCCAGTGGGACCAACACCAACTCAGACACTAGCACCGCCAGTGACGGTACAAGCTCTGGGTCCACCACCTCCGGGTCCACCACCACTGGTACATCCAAAAATACCAAGACAACGGCATCTAGCAACACCACCACATCCTCGGTCTCGATTAACGCCGCTGCTGGTGAAGGTGGTATCTCCATGCTCACCCCGGACTCAACTTCGACCACCTACTACAAGATCGGCCAGAACATCACCTTTGTCTGGAACTACACATCTGTCACCGTCTCCCCTACTGCCGTGGACGTCGTGGCATCCTGCAGTTTGAACAGTGTTACCTATACCCTGACCAAGAACATGAGCATGGAAGCCACTGGAACCGCCATTTGGGATACCGGCGATTACGAGAAGACCGCCACCATCCCGCTGCTCACAGCAAGCTACACGCTCTTCGTCTATGACTCCGACAAGTCTCTCACCGACACTGCCAGTGCTGGCTACCTCGGCTCAGATACCGGATATTCTTTTGGAATGTACTTCCCTCAATCTGCCACACCACTTAACGGTATGTTTCATTAGCCCTCGCCCTATTCCATTCTCCATTATCTTTACCAATGAACCCAACTGACAACCCCTTAGGATACTTCTGTGTCACTTGTAACAGTGCTATCTCCGACATTCGCAGCCAAGGCCTCAAATTCGCCGTCGGCATGGCCATGATCACAGTCTTCTCCTTCACGTGGTTTGCGGGCAACTTTGGCTTCTTGGCCTTCTAAGCCCATTCAAGGCAGGGCCAGAGCGACATGAAATTCTTATGGATATATTCTTTCATTTAAGGCGTTGTCCATTTCTTGAAAGCGAAACATTATGATTAATAGCAAGAAAATGGCGTTTGGATTTTCGGATATATTAGGGACTGCATTTGTGTTTTTTTTTTTTGGTTTGAAGTTTTTGATTGTCCCCCTTTTTTCATTGGAAAAATTTTGCATCCTGTTTACATAGTACTTTACTTAATAGTCATTACAATGTAATGTCGAATGAGACTGGTATCTACTACATTTTAAAACCGATGTGTTTTATTTTCAGAGTCAAGTATGAATCCAAAGGATAGACTACTAGTAGACGTTCTCTAAATAATCTGCTCTTCATTTTCCCAGGCAGGCATGATATCCAGTTGTTCCAATCGCAAAACTCTTACAATCTTAACCCCTGCCACTCGATTCCAGCTTGATACCATTGATCCGTTATGAAGAGCCTCCTTGTTCATTGTGTAAAGACTTTCAGCATTCTTTCAAGCAAGACAGCCTTTCCAGCTGCAAGTCATGACACAGAAGTTCTATGTCTTTCATGTCACGGGTAGGTTTCACCTACATTGAAAGATGGCATTGTCATTTGTGAGACCACGGGTATCTAGTAGAATAAGCATACACTTCAATATCCATTTACTTTGAGTAATAGTCACTCTTAGGTATTTGGGCTGTTACACGGCGAATTCTGTACACCAGAAAGACTCAAAGAAGAAGAACAAATGAAAGAGATAGAAGGAAAGAAAGAAAGAAACCTCCATTTGAGATTGAAATGTCTAAACACAATTGATCCTGCAGAATTAAAGCAAAGACTTTGTAAGAATCAAACACTCATATTTTCCTTTGCTATATCAAGTCCCGAACTCCCCAGCGAACCAATTCGGATCAGATCAAGCCTCATTGACATCTTTAATTATTCAATTGTATCTTCCTGCCACTCTATTCTCTGGTATACGAAAGCCACAACCACAGCCCAAAGCAAAAGCAAAAGCAAAAGCAAAAGAAGAGAAAAATGGCACGACAAAACCAGACCCTGGGCTGGATCTGGCCCAAAGATCCCCGACCAGGAAATCCATCGAGCTGGCCACGCCGCTGGCGCCTCCGCGATGTCCTCACGAACAAAGGCCCAGACATATACGTCGGTGTCATTGGCCAGAAGACCAAATCCCCATCGTCTGCATCCACATCTAGATCCTCATCTGTAGCGAGAGGACTCACACCCTCAACTACGCCCTCAAGCACGCCCTCAGCCCGGACCAGACGATCTCATAGAACAAATTGGGATCGCTGGGACCACGAGCCCACGCCATTCGAGTCTATCAGCAATGCAAACTCCGCAGCCTGGGGCCCCAGTGCAGGTTCTACCTCTGGCTCTGCAGGTTCTTCTACTGCTCCCGTTGCCGCTCCCGTTTCTATCTCGAACAGGAGTTCCAGATCCAAATCAAAGCCCAAGATCGAATTGCCCTGGGCCCGTCGGGGAGACGGGGAGAGATACGATTACCGTCAACGCAAGTATACCGTTCCCGACATGGGGACGTGGAGTCGAGTGGAGTACTGTGCGGGGCGGGGGGAAGGGTCCGAGAAACATTATGTGCCGAGGCGGTATTGGGATCGGAATGGCAACGAGTATCCGGCCAATTACTGGCATGATATTATCTATGGAGAACATGATGATCATGATGTTGGAGATGAGGAGTCAAATGGAAGTACGAGTACATGGTGAAGACGTGCATTTGGGCATGGGGACAATCCTTGTTCAATTATTCGTTTGTTGATTGGCCTGACTTTGAAACACCTATTCTCAAGCACAGCTAGAATGGAGGGCGTCAAATGCGAAGATTCGGACCTTTTCGTCTGTCGATGGATGAGTAGATTGTGCGCGGCGGATTGTTGGGAGTTGTGCTGCGTTGTTGGTGAGTTGGGTACACTTGGTACAGGGGGTTTGTTTGATATCTGCATATGAAGCGATCATATCCTAGGAAACAGTTAGAATAGATTACACACAGAGACGACCAATGTCAAGTTTTCCTTTTTCCTTTGATCGAAGATTGCACGTACTAATAAGAAAGCAAGATCCCACTTGCGCGGCCTCGAGTTCAGGCATTCGAGCACGGCTTGCTCAAGTTTTGTTGTGGAGCGACCTGGCGCCACTCTGCTAGATACCTGCCACCCGGACACATCGGAGGACTTGAAGTCCCGCACACCTGCAACGAGGAAGACCATTCCAGCTCTTGCAAGTGCAACAACCAAGGAAGTCTGGTTCTGTCCTTTGATTATACGGACACCGGGGATATCGCGCTGGACAAATCTTTCAATGACGGCAGTCCACTGGCCCTCAGAAGATAAAGCTTTTGTGCGTTCGGCGTCTTCTTCTTCACGCAGCCGCTCGTCCTCTCTGGTTTTCTCGGCCTTGGTCATCTCAGCAAAAAGGACGTCATAATCTTTCTCCCACATTCCTGTGGGCTGGATAATTTGACCGTTGGCTTCTTTCAGTCGCGCTTCCACGTGCGCCCAAACAGGCTTCATTTCCGGGCTGCGCCACATGGATTGGAACTGCTCGAGACTGGCATATCTAGCGTTTGCCGATTGACCGAGATCATTGCGTAGAACTGCTGGTGATTCAGCGGCTGGGTTGTTGGTGGATAGTTTGTTTGAGCTTGATATTGGACCCAATGGCTCTAAGAGTCCAGCGGGAACAAACTGTCGAATTTCGTGGATCTAGGAACATTAGCTTCAATTCATAACTTATGACGCATTTTTCTTTGATTTGGAAGATGCATTGGCAGATATGGGTAGATGTGATATGCGATTTTTAACGTGCGTAACACACCTTGCGTTCCAGTTCTTGTAGCTTTGCTAGTGACGAGACAAGTTGAATCTCAGATTCCCAGTCGATGGGCTTAGAATCAACGTCGCTGGACTGCGTTGCGCCATTCGTGCCGACAACTTGTCCTTCAACCTTTGTGGGACCAGAAGCAGTTGTTGGATTCGCTGCAGGCGCAGACGTTGGTGCAGTAGACATTGCAGAAGAAGGAAAGAAGACACCCGAGACCAAAGTGTCGATTTTTTGGCGAAGAATGTGCCTAAATACCACCACCAAAGGTTTATCCAGAGACTTTGAACCTGCAGAGCCCCGGAAAACGGATGTACTAGGCTTGACTGGGGATATATGGCAATGTGTCTGGCCAAGTCAATCGTATAAGGTTTTTGAGACGACCGACTGTGTTGGCAACGGTTTCTAATGGCGAGGTAATTAGACTGCACCCACGGGATTCTAAAATGTATCAGCGAAAGGAAGGACGCCCCCAAAAGACTCTTCTTAATTGATTGTCTGCGTTAATCACGTCGACGCCTCAGTTGAGAGGGAGATGCGGGAGACATAGCACAGCCACTTCTACTATCTCGTCGCTAGCCATTGTGGCTGGTTAATTGGGAATTCTGCTCACATTGGCTCACCGCTTTCCTTTAAGGTGAGAAATAGAAAGCGGTAAGAGTGCGAGTTTGAGATTGTACGCTAATCCTGATCGGGTATGACAGCCTCAATATTCGGGCTCAAAATTTGTTTTAACATGAATATACAACTTCTTAGAAATACTTCTCCGCTGTTTCAAACAGTCTTAATTATTTCCCAATTCTAACTTCAATCTGTGACAGACTAGATTGTGGTTAGAACTTGAAAATTCGACCATGAAACATGTAAAATAGTACAGTCTACTAGTGTAAACCATGTGATAGTGTCGATTCATGGTTCATCGTCACGAATGATTTAGATCTTAGAAAGAAGATATGATGGAAGATGATCCCAAATAAGCTTGGAGGCATCGCTTCGGCTTTACATTGTAAGACGCTGAGCTGTTCTTAAGACAATAACGAATATCGATTTTATCTCGGACCGAGTCAATCGCCATTGTCTTAGTCCAGATAACCGCTTCGAGCAAAAGACTCAAAGAGCATGGCAAGTAAGAAAAAACGCCATATCTGTTTTTGAAGAGCTATGTGGTTGATTTGGTTTGTTCAACTTGCAACGGTCACTTATCTCACTTCAAACTGAAGCCGTCAATCTCCATCTTCAACAAAGAATAGCTGCTCCCATCAATGACGAAGTGGCAATCGTCTGCTACAATCCACGATGGTCAGTGATGTCTCAAGCGTTGAGAATGTGCCTTTGTTGCGAAGCTTCGCCATGCAGTACGTATGACTCCCATGTTGAAAATGGCTTTCTAGTCAAGCATATATAGACATCTGGAACGAACCTCATTCATCTCAATGATCCTCAATTCAGACACCATTTCAATATTACAGTTACAAACAACGACCGGCCTTCATCTTCATCTACTCAGGTAAGCTCTGAATATATACTAATATATGCACCACTCTTGCATCAAAAGACGAACGGAAAGATGCTGACCACAACAGCATCGTCAAATTTATCCAGAAATCCTCCAATATGCATATGCAAAACCCAGAACCTGGCGTCAGTACTACGGAACCCTTGAAGACTTGCCAAAGATGTTTCCTCCGACTGGACAAATTTCCCGATCACCAATGTGTCTATCAAAAGGGCCACAAGGCGTGCCAGTATTGCCACAAGGTCCGCCATCGCTGCATCCAGGTAGTTACATTTGAACAGAATTGTTTGGTAGGACAATCCAAACTGACACATGTAGATTCCCGATGAGCTTCAGGCTGAAGCCAGAAATGTCATTGACATCGATGAATTATCTAGCCAACGTCCGCGGCTAGTTCAGGGTATCCTTCAAAAGATCCGTAGACGCACCTACTTGATTAATCAGAAGAAGAAATTGGAAGGATGCTCTGGGGTTATCGATGCAAAGCCAGAACCCGATCTTGAGGAATCCAACCAGGACGACGATGGCGATGAGGATTACAATGTGGATCTCGCAGAGGAAGAAATTCCTAGCTTTGACGTGTACGAGTATTCCGAGATGGATGCCGCTTCCGAGGACCAACTTCATCTATCTCTTGATACAGCTGCAATAAATCATGATGACGAGATGGACGACGCTGCCGAAGCGCAACTACACAGTTCTCTTACTGCATCTGCAAAGCTTAGTGACATTGAGATGGGTGAGGCCTCTGAAGAGCAGCTCCACGGTTCTCTCAGTGCAATTGCAGAGCATGGTGACATTGAGATGGGTGACGCTTCAGAGGAGCAGCTTCATAGCTCCCTTGATGAAGAGGCAGAAAACCCAGAAGTGAACAAGAATACCTATTCACGAGTCACTCGAAACTTCTTGAAAAGGGTGGGGGAGTGTACCAACTGGCTTTGATGGAGGGACAAACTTGGAAGTTTCCGCACATGTCGGGTTGGATTTTGCAGAGTGAATTTATCATAGATTTCATAGATGGAGATGATTCAATGTTTGTACTTCAGAATTGATCTTTATTTTTCGTCATTGATTGATACCCAGGTGAACTTGTGTGTTTATCTCAGGTATGTAGTAAGGTCAGGTCAGGGGTGGAACAAGTCTGCATGATTCAAGTTACTCTCATCATTCATGGTTCAGAAACCATTAAGCGCCCTGTAGTAGTATCTGATCAAGTGCGGTTGCACCTTCCTACCAAAGGTTCCTTCCATTTCAGGCAAGTCAGGCACCAGGAATATCCTTAATCCGCGTCATGACTTGTGACTTAATGCCCAAGTAGGAAACCGCAACCCGCTTCGGGTGTTGCCGATCGAACTCTTTTTAGAGTTCCCGAATCTAATGTCAGGACAGCGCGTGGCTTGCCAAAACCGGCGCCACGAGTCACGACTTATACCACAGTGGAGTATTCACCATTCAATGTTCCCCAGAGTCCCCCCCACAGACCTCCTTCGCCCGCATCCCGCGTAAATGGCCTCTCCAGATTCCCCAGAATCAGTGACAGGACCCACCGTGGATACTGAACACGCGACATCGATTGGACCATGTGAAACGCTACCCTCATCATTCATGACGATGTTGCTCGGCTGTGCATTGGGCTTGTTCCTGGCGCTGGTCCACGCATATAAGACAAGGGGTTGCCCTTGAATAGCGAGATCTGGTACAGAACCCCTTCAAGATATACAGTATGCGTACCTGGTTTGGACGGGGCAAATCCCTGCAGGCTGCTGTCACGGCATGCTGTCTTATGGCTTTTATCTTGTTTGGATATGACCAAGGAGTCTTCAGCAGTATTGTAACCAACGAGGATTGGATAAGACAGTTCAATTATCCCAATGACTCTGAAGAGGGTATTATCGTTAGCTGCTATAACCTGGGATGTCTTTTGGGATGTTTCAGTAAGTAGGATCACCGACCACGCCTGGGCATATCTACAGATCATTTCAATTAACAAAAAATAGTCAATTTTTTTATTGGAGAAACCCTTGGCCGTCGAAGAACGATGTGGGTTGCGATGGCCGTGGTCATTGTAGGCGCAATACTGCAGACTACTGCGTTTACGGTGCCTCATTTGGTGATCGGAAGACTTGTCACCGGTGCAGGTACAGGAATGAAGACCTCCACTGTGCCAATGTATGCTTCGTGGGTGGAGATTACCCTGACCGAATAATGCTGACTCCTAATAGGTATCAAGCAGAAATGTGCGATGGCAAAACACGGGGTCGCCTTATCTCCTCCGAGGTGCTTTTCACAGCTGTGGGCATTTGCATTGCATACTGGTTTGATTTCGGCATGTCCTATGCCCGGGGTCCCATAGCTTGGCGTCTTCCAATTGCCATTCAGGTTATCTTTGCTGTCTTCGTCATTGTTCTTCTGTTCGGTCTGCCTGAATCTCCTCGATGGCTCATGAATCATGGTCAAGAAAAAGAGGCTATCAAGGTGCTGTGTGCAGTTTACAACCTAGAAGAGTATGACGAGTATATTGTCAAAGAGCGCCAAGCGATTCAATCAGCAATTGAGCTAGAGAGTGCTGCTAGTAAGCAGTCTATGTGGAAAATCTTCCGCAATGATGAAGTCAAGACGGGCCAAAGAGTCCTTCTTGCGTGGGGAATGCAGCTCATGAACCAAGTCGGAGGAATCAATATGATTGTTTATTACGTGCCAAGTACGTACATCACTGAGTCTATGTTTAAGACCTGATTGAGCTAATCATTCATCTAGCCGTCTTGCAAAAGAATGTCGGACTTACCGGAAAGCTTCCTTCGATCTTGGGTGGATGTATTGAAGTCATGTTCATGATCGGCTCTCTTCTTCCAGCCTTTATGCTAGACCAGATGGGTCGGCGACGAACAATGATGATAGGATCATTTGGCCTGGGCGTGTGCATGCTTATGATCGCAGCACTACTATCGCAGGTTGACGAGCCGAACGGAAAGAATTACGCCTCGGCCTCAGTGGCGTTCTTCTTCCTATATATGCTCATTCATGGGATGTCCATAAATTCTGTGCCCTGGGTATATGTCCCCGAGATCTTGCCCTTGGACGCTCGAACAAAAGGAACTGCCATCGGTGTCAGCTCAAACTGGCTATGGAATTTCACTGTGGTCATGATCACGCCCGTCATTATCAACCGTATCCAATGGAAGGCATATCTGATCTTCATGATTACCAATTTAATCTTCATCCCGGTTGTCTATTTCTTTTATCCCGAGACTGGCAATTTGCGCCTGGAGGATGTTGATTTGATCTTTTCTCGGGGAGGCGACCCAGTGAAACAAGCACGAATCATGGCTGCGGAGCTCAAAGCGCACGGCCGGATTGAAGACTCCGATTGTTCATCGAAGCGAATGGATTTGAGCCCATAACCTATATTACTGAGTTTAGGCAGATGAAGAGCAGTAGCTTTAGTCTTCAGGGATAGTCTATTCATATTGTGCATGCAAGAAGAGCCTTGGAGGTTTCAAAACTTCTGTTCCCTTACTTCCTACCTCTGGGAAAAGCGAATGCAGCACTTGGGCACTCGAAAGGTCCCAGAACATTTGAAGCGGTGCTCGAACTTCGCATCGCCAAGGTTGCAGCACTGTGCACATGTGCAGCCCACCATTCAATCTCACTGTTGGCCTCAAGTGCTGTATCGACTCTGACTTTTACAAGTGCTTAGGGCACTTGCGTATTTCTGGTTCTGATTGCGACAATCAATCAATACATATCCAGTGCACCTGGGCTATCGCGGGTGGTGAATTGATTACATATACGCTTGAAAATCCAAATATGACCATCTGACCTTTTAAACATTTGGAATAGAGATGATACACGGAAAAAAAAGCTACTGTACATGGATAAACTGAGGTAGGTGGGGTTGGGGTTATAGACTGGTAAAGCAATTATACCCAAGACTCTTCCACATTAGATATAGGGTATGAGAGGCTGCGTAGGTATGGAATATCAAATAGCTGCGCGTCATCTGTAGCAAGATTTCGCCCTCGGGGAATATTAGACTATGATATTCTTACCACTGATGATGGCACTCGGATCCGGTGCACTTGGGACAATCCACCCTATGCTAGATGGTATCCCAACAGTGGTTTATCCCAGGTCAACTCTGAAGAGACGGTATCTGCGTTTTGTGCATGATTGATGTCCGGGTGGCCTGCACCCCCTCCGATTATCACGAATATACCGAAATCATATTATGTTGCCACATTTCACCGGTGAGAGGTAGGGGACCACGCATCAGGCTGCCAGTTACCTCCTGGATTCTGTCGATCTGCCTTTGCCCATGGGTTCTCTTCTTTGCGAGTCTTCGGGGGTGCGCCTGTAGACTCGGGCTGTGGTGCTGGAGCGGAGGACGAAGGCCCATCTGCGGAGATCGGAGCCGCTTCGGAGTTTGCATTTGTGGTCGTAATTCCTGCACCCTGCTGCTGAGTCTTCGGTTTGTCGAGGAAAGAGGGTTTGCTGGCCCAGCGCTCATCGGCAAGTCGGGCGAGTTCTTTCATTTGCGCCTGGCGAACCAGATCCTGTTGCTGTTCCTCAATAGTCGGCGGAAGAGGTCGGACATATCGGAGCCATTGATGCCATTGTGCTAGATTAAATGAGCTCGCGTCAGTCAAGCTGGATAGGTATTGATTGGTGTTATGGTTTCTTCCACAGCGCGCCTTGCCACTGTAGGCCACAAGCGTAATGTTTTCCAAACGCGATCGACTCACGAGTAACTTGGACATCTCCGTAGTGTGTCTTGGGATCAAATTTCACAATTCGTCTATATCGGCCAGCGTTCAGTTGATCTTTGAATTCCCAGAATGTGTTTCCGGCGAGATCCTGACCTGTAAGGTGACGGGTGTTGGTTAGCATAATACGGAGGCAAAGCGCCAAGGAGAAGACCGTAAATACTAACCGACTAGGTAAGATTTCCGCCAGGGTAGCCGAAGGCCTTTCCACTTGAACCAGAGACTGTTGACCATTGTGATTATTGTTGTGTAGAGTGGATGACCAAAGCCGTGGAGAAAAAAAAAAGCCGCGGGCAAAAAGAGCCAGAACGTTTGGAACGTCATCGGCCCCAATAAACACAGCCCCGGGCATTCCATTCCACCTTCTTTCCCTCGAAACTTCCTATTTTCCCAGACTCACTCATTTTGATTTTTGGAGAAGATCAAGTCACTAGGATCTCAAAGTCTGGTGCCCTTTTTTCATCAAATTTCTAATTGGATTTTGCTCTTTGCTTTTACTCTATCCTCTTGTACCCGTACCCAAGTCTCCACTCTAGGGCCGATCAGGCACACGCCCGCAAAGGGATACGTACTCTTGTCCCTTGCGATTCTACGACACCAACACCACTCACCTGCTGGCTCGGATTGCAAACACACAGTCAGGGATTCATCATGGCGTCGGTAACTTCGCTGGATAAGGATTTGCGCAACATGCGACTGTCCCGCTATACCCCGCAGGCAGCCGCGGAGGTACGCGACTGGATCGAAAATGTGTTGCGCGAGAAACTCCCATCGTCCGATCTACTGGAAGGATTGAAAGATGGTGTGGCGCTATGCAAGTGAGTCTCAATTGCGTCTTTCCATCTATTTGAGTGTTTATACTCTTCTGCTCAGCTGTGCAGGTAGACATGCATGCAGTTGGAACCTGGACCAAAACTAACCCCTTGTCCACTAGATTGGTCAACATGGCTGTGTCCCCCGGCGTCAAGTACAAGCAGTCGTCTATGCCATTCGTACAAATGGAAAATATCTCGCACTTCCTCCGTGCCTGCCAAGTGGCACCGCTGAGCCTTCCTCCGCACGACGTCTTTCTTACTGTTGATCTTTACGAGGCGAAGGATCCTGCGCAAGTTCTCCAGTGCCTGGCTGCGTTCAGTCGGAGAGCAAATACCCTGCAGCCAACCAAGTTCCCATCTGCTGTCGGCCCACAAAGTAAACGGGGGGTTGTGAGCCCCAATGCGACAGGCTCTTCAACTCCAGGATCGTATACTCGTACTGGCCGTGCCTTGAGCAATGTCAGCGATACAAACTCCGGCCGACCTGGAGTCCCTGCCAAACCATCTGGATCCTTTAGCTCTTGGAGTAAGAGGGACGATCAGTCAAACACATCACCAGCATGGAATATTCACCAGTACGGCTACATGGGCGGGGCCAGCCAAGGCAATCAAGGCGTCGCATTTGGTGCTCGGCGACAGATTACGACCCCCGGTCCGGCTGTCCCTAGTCTTGCGGAGAAGGAGAAACGTAGAAAGGAAGAGGAGGAGATCACTCGTCAACAGAACCTGGAGAGGGAACGGGCTCATCGAGAAGTTGAAGAGCAGGAGGCCCGCGCCAAAGCTGACGAAGAACGAAGATGGCAGGAGGAGACTGCTCGCCAGAGAGAGGAGGAACGTCAAAAAATTGAGAACGAGAAACAACGATGGGATGAGGAAAAGCGTCGATGGGAGGTAGAGGAGCAGCGCCGTCTTGCGGAGGAGAAGGCTGCCGAAGAGCGCCTAGAGGTTCAGCACGAAGAAGACCGCCAGCGTCGACGGAAGTCTAACGATGCCCGTCTCAACGGTCAATTCCTAAGCCAATACCAGGCGGGTCAGACCACTGCTTCTCCGAGTGGAGCTACATCAACGGACGAGACCGCTGATAGTCGTCGCATCAAGGAACTTGAGCGCGAGCTGGAATTAGCCAAGGAGCGAGAACGCCAGTATTCGACTGAGCGACAAGGGCCCCCACAAGAAGAAGAGGATTCTCAATCTCGCAGCCGCAACAGCGGACGCCCTGTGCCCGTGCCTCCTAAGCCGAGCTATAGCCTTTCCTCTTTAGAACAAGAACGACGTCTCCTCCGTGGCGAATGGCAGAAAACCCAGGATGTACCAACAACAGAGGAGAATGTTGATGATTTCGAAGAACAAGGTCCCCCACCTCCTCCTCGGCCTCTCCCACAACCCGGGTCACCCCAACAACAAGCACCAGCACTTCCCGCCAGAGCTCTTCCTCCTGCACCCCGTCCTCTTCCGGATCCCGTAGCATACACTGCTAATCACGGTTCAAACCGTACCGACCGCTTTCTGAGCTCAAACCCAGCACCCGCAGCACCCACTCCTGCTTCTCACAGACCCCGAGACTACAGCACAACGAGTGAGGTCGACGCAGAGAACAGTCGTCGTGAAGCTTCCCAAGAGAAGACACGGGCAGGTGGCTGGGCTTCCAAGTCTTTGCTTGAGCGTGAAATGGAGCGTGAACGTGAGCGCCAGCGCGAATGGGAAGAGAATCAGAAGCAGACCGAGGTTGCTGCTCGTGATACTTCGCATGGCTCAGGCCCAGGCCAGTCTTGGGATGTTCACCAGTACGGCTACCTAGGTGGAGACAACCAGAATCGTGGTGGTCAGGGACTTGGCATTGGAGGTGCCAGGCGCCAGATCATTGGACCTCGGCCGCCTCCATAATTATTTGTCTCATCCGAGCCCTATCATTCAACTTAGGATGTTATCTTGCATTCCCCTCCCCACCCCTGTTTTCTTCTGGATTTCTTGTCTCTTCTTGCCTCTTGGTCATATCCGACTTCCAATGTTCAATTTGCGCTGGCGATTCGGAGAATTGTATTTCATTCATCATCGCTACTACGTCCTTTTGTCAAGTGAAACTTGAAGTTACCTTGTAGATAGCTATGAGTACCTTTCTAAACTCACGTGGAAATCAACTTTTTATGCTTCTCAACTCGGGCCTCTTACGTACTGCTAGTTAATAGTTTTATTTGATGCTTAGCTAAATGAGGTTGGGTTTGTACTAGCACTCGAGTAGGCGCCATGCTGAATGTTTAGCTGTCAGGTCAACTGGTGGCACCTGTGTACATTGGAAAAATACAAAGGTATTAATACATAGCTCTTGGCTAAGGCCACTTCGCCAACAGCTTCAATGGTATTTGCAAATGTGTCTGAGTAAAGCTAGCATAAATATGTAGGTCATAAAGATCATAGCTGTCGTAAAATCCTCCGGCACCCTCAAGATGCCTACTTTTGAGCCTGTGTTGGCAGAAGCCCGGCAAGAGAGGTGAGTCTTTCGTGGCTTTCCAGCAACCAGGAGAATTCAAGTGGTTCCAGGTTTCGACTGTTTTTACTGGACATCAGGCCATCTTGTGTCTGCTCACTTCTCCGAATGATTCCATCTTCAACCGCTTTCTTGAAGGATGGCGTGGCGGTTAAAAATCCACCGTTTCCCAAAAGCATAATCGCTGCCTCGAGAAGAATAGACATCTTCGTGTTATTCACTACGCTATTGGTAGCTGCGGCAAAGGGGAGGAAGCAAAGCTCCAATTTCTCCTGGCTAAGATAGCCCTCGGACTTCAGAGAGGGAGCAGAAGCTTCCCGCAAGCCTAAAAGCATCATTTCGCAAAGAGTGGATTGTTCCTCGTTTGTGAATTCGGGGAGAATGAATGGGCTAACGAGAGCCTGGAAAATCGGCAGAGGTTGGACACTGATTAAGTCCGCGAATAATGTGTAGAGATCAAACCAGTCGATGAACTCGCGGGGGAGCTGATTGGAGACATCGGAAAGGATTCCAAAGAGCCGTTTGCGCAAACGAAGAGATGAGATGCCACCCATTGGCGCAAGTCCGGCGCTATGTTGTGGGAGAGATGTTTGCGCTGCATCGTCTGGCTGCGCTGCGGCTCCAGTCCTTGTCCCCCGTCTCGTGCGCTTCGATCGTCGGGCTGGCCCGGGCGTGAGCTCCTCATCGTCATCTTCGTCCATCTCTGGGGTCATGTAATCGCCATACTGATCCTTGTCGATATTGACCTCACGTTCTCTTTTCTTAACCTGATCCGGCGTTGGCGGAGCCTTCAACTCAGTTTTAAACACCTTTCGGAACTCATTGACCGAAAAGGTACTTCCGTCTGCAAAAATAGCTCTCAAAATCCGTCGGTTTCGTCCGGTGTCGGTACTGGCGTTGATAAACTTGAAAATCAAGCTTTCCCGGAATATATCGCGATCTTGATCTGTCTTCTTGGCGGCTTTTTGGTCGGATTTCACCTGGCGAGCAACATTCTTCCACGCATGACCAGTTTTGCTATTGCCTTTGGATTGTCCGGCCTGTTTGGCGTCCGATGCCGCATTACGGGCTTTTTTAGGTGTCACTTTCTCTTCGCTGACTTCTTCGGCCTCTTGTGCTTCGGCCTTTCTGCGGGCTTGGATCTCTTCGTATGTTTTCAACCGATGTGCCCAATCATCTTCCATTATGTCGCACATGTACTGCAACCAGATCTGCCACCGCTCCCAGCGCTCGGGATGAAGCACCGAGCAATTGAAAGCCCAGCCTACAGCATGCCAAAAGTCCTCCGCCCGCGACCACAGCGATTCCTCCAGGGCTAGTCTCACATTCAATAGCCCGCGCCCCGGGGATTGCAAATCGCTTTCCTCTTCAAGTGTACGATGTTGGCGTCCAGACCGCAACGCCTGGTGTGCAAAGGTGAATGCATGGTTGAGTCCGCAATCCTGAGGGCTGACGAGGGTGGAGAGGAGTCGAAGGAGGCGCAGAGCTAGAAAAGCCGGGTCTTCTAGCTGGTCGCTTTTGGCGCTGGTTGTGGTTGATGGATGAACGAGGAAGGTGACTGCGAGCGCTAAATGCTGTGGCAAAGGCGAAAACACCTTTGGAGAGGCGTATGTTCCCGAGCTCAGGGTGTTATACAACAGGTTTAGTCCTTGATCGTCTGTAGGGAAATTGTTAGCGGGGTTTCGTCCCAGAGTCAAGTGCCGGGGGTTCGGACACATCTCTTCCTCAAAGAAGATTCCAACATGTTGGATCAGCTCAAAGGGTAATTGCGCTGGAGTGCGGTACGGCCTATCGTCCGGAGGAGGCATGATCTCTGTTTCTGGATGAGAGACGGCCATTTTGCGATCGTTTTCGCGTCCTGACGCGCGCCTTATCGATAAGAGAATTGTCAGATTTGTGGGGATTTGGATAACGTAAACGTTGATGATGGCTAAAAGCATATGGAATAATGCTAGATCTAGATAGAAGATTCAGGCATTGAGATATTTGAAGTCTACAGTATTCTCATCGTCTTATTTTCTTCTGATTTGTCTCTTCAAGTTGGTTCTTTGTTCTTTGCTTAGTCAGCCTTGAATGGTGCAACAAACAGGTCCAGCCCGTTTAACTGTATAGATCTATCATCTATAGAACATGTATGCTAACAAATTCGCAATCGCCCCAAATTTTCAACATTCATTCCCAACATCGATCCCCCTAGTAGTTGGGGATACAGACACCATCGTTCCACTCAGTGGCACCAACGCATCGCCAGCCGTCGCAGCAAGAGGGGCCACTGGGCTGGCAGGCAACCTTGTAGTCTAAACAGAGTGTCAGCCAACTACACTTTCAATATTTGTTCCCCTTTCCTTCTACTATAGACAGAACTCACTACCAACACATGTGCGCTTCTCAAATGCATCGGGAGAAGGGGTAGCAGTGGCAACGGCGGCCAGAGTAGCAATGATAACGGTGATGAACTGCATTTTGATGGTGATGTTGTTGATCGGGAGATCAGTTGATGTATTGAGGGAATTGGATTAGATTGAAGTGGTTGATGAATTGCATCCATATCGTTCAGCAGAATCTCTAGCTATTTATTCTTAATAGATCCTTCCTGGAGCCCTGAAGGTCACCTAATGGGGTTCAACATCAGTGACTCGATTCGGATATAGAAGATCAGATGTTTCAAGATGGTTACTCTTTTGCCCACGCTAGGTAGTTCCTTTGAGGCCCAGTAATATCGCCACTGCAGAGAGACCTGTATTGGGGAAGGTTGAAACACCAAGATCTCCAACCTTACCCAAGTAGGCAATGGTGTAGGTAGGTACTAGATTGGGGGCCAGTGAAGATGGCGCCCCAAAATTACTTTCGCCATAGGAAGATTAACGACATACGACTCTCCAGCTTGATTACTGCCACTATTCCGCACAAGGAAGTGAACCTTAGAATTGATACACGGGCAAGTACCAATCATGGAGATGAAGTCTTGAATTGTTCCGATCGTCATGGTACTACAATGTACAACCACTAGTCATTTCCGAGGTTCTTAGAGGCGGGGTAATCAACGAAATTCACATAGACATTGACGAGAGTAAATGAGCTCGTCAGACAGAAATAGTTCAGGTGTTATTCGTAGGTATCATCACTTTAAGAGCGACTACATTGCATTTTTAAAGTATTTAGTACCATCCTTGATATGTACGTAGAGCGTAGGCGAATCGTAAACAAGCCAGCACCAGCGATGATGCAATGCCCCCGCATGGACCCAGCCAAGACAAGTGACCTGCATTACGGCATGTTCAGAAGCTCTGCAGAGCCCCATTTTTTAAATTCCAGGCTTAAAGCTACAGGAAGCCTTGGAGATTCCAAAAGACTTCGGGAAAGAAGGAACGTTGTGCAGAATATAAGATATGCAGGGCTCTAAAACTGGGCATCTAGACAAAGGACAGGCAGGAGCTAAAAAAAGGAGTGGCCGGGCCCACGGCTGCGTCTCATATTTTCCAAAAAAAAAAAAAAAGAAAGGGAGAAAAATTTGCGATAAGCCAATGACGGATCATACTCCGTAATTCAACGCAATGCAACGAACTCTTTTGGGAAAGAGGAAACAGGAGAGGAGGGACGGAGACGAGTCGAAGACAGGGAGTGAGCTTCGGAGGCCGGACGCCAATGTAGCAAAGAATAAGAGAAAGAGAAAGAAAAGAATACACTATGAATCATCTTCTAAATCGGAGAAGAAGCCTATTCGCAACCGATGCGACTAGAGAGATGTTAGCAGGGATGTCCTCGTGACACTTCAATAAAGAAGAGAGATTGCAACGCAGGCTATAAGAGACACTTACGAAAGGAAGTTTCGGAATGACCACCGCTAGCGTGGCCAAAAAGTTGATGGTGAAGTAGGTAAGGTCGTAGTGGGTATAGTGGGTGCTCACGAGGAAGAGCACAATAGGCACGCAGAGCAGGAACTTCTTGGTTGGCGTGTACTGGTCGCCGTTGTCAATTTGCTCCCACATGTTGAGATTGTCGTAGGCACCACCGTTGAACTCGAACGGGATGCCCCGCACCCAGTGGAACATGAGGAAGGAGCCAAACATGTAGCTGATGTTGGTAAGGGTCCATGAGGTTTCCTGCGAGACGCCGGGGATGATGTCGCAGAGGACTTTGAGCGCAGCGATGAGGACGAAATGGATAGTCCAGGCACCTATTCACGCGATCGAGTCTCGTTAGCCATATTCCAACATTTTGAATTTCACGACCTGTCCACCGTGTCCCGATCGGCGGATATGTTCGGGGGGGACGGAGAAAGTGGCACCACTCGCAACTCACCCTTAGCATTGACCCAGTTAGCATTGAGATTGGGTAAGGCGGCCTGGTCACTCGTGTGTTCGATCGATTCAGCGGGTTCCTGGTAGATCAGACTGCTGGACCGCCGGCGGCGGCCCTGCTTCTGGGTGTTGGGAGACAACCGCTGTGGCCCGTCCATCTCGGGGGCAAAAGAGATGGCACGAGGAACCAACAGGGAGGATTTGGAAGAGTCGGAAGCCAGCGTGACGGCGAAGAGGTGGTTGATGGGAAAAAGGAGCGTGGGGATGGAAGTGGCACACACGGCCCAGAACTGGAGAAAGGCGGATCGGCTTTCGGGGTCACGGGGCAGTTTCTTTTTTTATTTCAACGGAACGATGGAACCGCGGGCAACTTGGCTTTGTGGGGTTGAGGGAAAGAATTTGGGTGTGTTCTTTGACTCCAATGATTTTCCAATGAGTCAAGAAAAAATTGAAGATAGGAAATGGACAAGAATGGGTTTGGCCACCAGGGCACGTGCAGTTATCAGGTCCAGCTCAACTAAATGTGGACTAAATACGTTGGAGCTAAATAAAATAGTCAAAGCCACTTTCTCCTATTTATAATCCTAGAGGTCCCCCTATTCTCAGGGCTTCCATTGATCTAGAACAATTTACATTGTCCAAGGCAATTCTCAGCGATCTAGAATTTTTGCAAGTCTCGTTTGTATTATGTTGTTGTTGTTTTTTTTTGTGGTTTTTCTTCTTCCAGTTCTTCGGCATATACATAGTCCGGAGGTGCGGAGAATCGCCACGAAGAACATCAATACTCTTATCTTTCTTTCTTTCTTTCTCTCTCTCTCTCTCTCTCTCTCTCAAGAACACATCATTTCTATGACAATCGGATTCTAAACACTTTAGTAGACGACGACGATCCAGACTCCTTCGATCGTGCACGACCGGGGATATCACATTAGTCCAAAATAGCAGAGTGAAGCTGACCTATCACACGATTTCGCTTAGCATTAGACTGTAAACAAAAAATATGGAATCAGTCCACATGGCATTTTGATCCTGGATCTACCTTAATAATACCTCGATCTAGACCAACATTTATCTTTAATTGTAGTGTTCAGTTAGCTACAAACCTCAATCTTAGGGCAACAACGACCCTACAACCTTGAAAGCTTGTGGCAAACTCTAGATCTCAAGGCTATAAATGATCAGTCCGGAGTATCACGATTACCAGTAACGCGACAGAACTTGAAACATGATTCGATGACTTCGTCTCTGCTCAGTGATTCTGCGTTGGGGTTAGGGACTTTCATCCAATTCCTATTTCGCGCGTTACCTAACATTTTGTACCCGAGCTCTTAATAAAGCCTGGACTTCCCTTTCTTCACTACCTCCAAGACTTGCTTATACTTGATTTTTGAGAGATTATTGACATCAGCTTCGAATGTCAGTTCAAACCAGTGATCGGGGTGGATAGGGTGTTTAGGGTAAGTCCAAAGCGCGCGTATCACAGTAAATCCCACCCAAATGTATAAACACATACAGTGAAGAGAAGACTCAGGCAGGCTCAGGGCCTAATGGATCACATACTTCAAATGTTCAAAAGTTGCACACCTACCTTCAAATGTTCCTCCTTCTTTATTCTCTTTCTTTATTCCCTTTTCAGCGCTGATTACCTCATTAAATAAACTCTTTCCTCTTGAGTCGACTCACAATTTATACTAACTGGTTGCCTAATTCCATTCAATGATACATGTCCCAGAGTGGCGAGCCATGTACATATGGATCACAAGAAAGCTCTGGTAAATACCTGGGTAAACAATTGGGACCACCCAGGTCATTGATAGCACAAATTGTAACACAGTGGATGATAGGTGCTCAAACAAAATATTGATTTTGATAGGTACTAGGTACAGTTGACCGTGCACATGTGGAATAGACTCTTAGCAACGACCTAGATATATGAGTAGTATATTCCAATGTCGTGAGATACATGTACTACATGTAGTATATAGTAGGTATCTAGTACTAGTAGATAGTAACATGTTTTGAAAGGCCCGCCGCCAATGCCTGTACCATCATCGTGCGCCCTCCAGACCTGGAGCTCATGGGTGCTGACACCCTTGAGATCAGTACTACTAACATGTAGATAGAAAGATACATAAAGAAATCAAGAATTTTTTGCATCGTTCTGATTCTTTCAGATCTGTTCAAGGTGCCAACATCTGGGCAAACGTCACTTAACCACTCTAAGGTCAGGTATCGTCGTATCGATTGATCACAATCCATCTCCACTGCACTGCGGCACTGCGACATATCATAGCTCATCTATGTAGCTGCTTATTCGGCTTGGTAGACAAGGTTGATTGAGTTGACTATCAAATAAGATCTATGCTTTATGATACTGTTTCTTGACTGATAAAGATGGAAAAAATAAGAAGTCCCTTCAAATTAGCATGTCTGTGGTCTGAATCGTCTGATACACCTTATCAGCATCTATCGATAAGCGGCCCCACTAACGCACATAATATTGCGTTTATGGCATTTAACGCCACCCGTAAAGTTTTGATTGCAATCCTCGGGTCCAATATCCTCCCCAAGTTTCTCCTAAAGTTGATCAATTCGTTCAACCCACACCATGGCAGACTCTGGGGACGAGGCAGACTCGCGAACAGCCTCAGTCGGTATCCAGCGTCCTCGGTCAAAAAATTCCTCCAACCGAGGCTCTGGCGATAATGACTCCCGACCCAAGAAAAGACAGCGACGGAATCGATCTCGCGCAAGCGACGTGAGCGACACTCTTCCTCGAGGCGCGTCTTTCAGCTCGAGCCCACTCGAGATTGATCCTGACGAGACATCTTCTTCTGGATCAAGCGCAGAATCTGGGAGCAATTCGGACTCGGACTCGCCTGAAAAGCCGGCCCCCGTCAATCCTCATGCAGGCAGCACTGCGCCTGCCATCAGCTGGAACCAGGGCAGGAAAGCGCCCGTGCGGACAACACTTGGGAAGCGCAAGGCATCGGGAGAGGTTCGACCGAAGGCTCAGGCTACAAAGCCCGAGTCTGAGCAGTTCACGACAGTGAATGCGTTTTGGAAAAGTCGCGATGGCTCAGCTTCACCTGAGCCTACCGATGTCGCCGGGAAGCAAAAGGTCCAAGATAAACTGGATGAATCGAGTGACTTGGAAGAAGGCGAAGTGGACTCGAGAAGTGACTCTGACGCAGTGTCTCTAGATTCTGAGGCCGATGATTCTATACTGCTGAACATCGACCCCAAGGCCGAGGGTGGCGCCGTTGAGGATAGTAACCAGGAAGATATGGCTGTTACGAATGGGCACACAAACGGCGCCGTAAATGGTGTGTCAGGTGGCTCTTCTGAGAGCAAGGAAGCGGCATTTGAACTCTACGCAAAGAAATACCCCACAACGCCAGCTACCTTGGTCGATCTGGACAAGAAAGATATGGAAATCCAGGCTCAATTCATATACTGGGATCGTGATATCAATGACATTGATCTTCAGCTCCCGGTGGGCTGTACTGAATGCCTTCAGTATGGCCATCAGGCTGCAGTGTGCCCTACAAAAGAGGTATGTCTTGAAGGAAGCAGTATTGTTAAATGATGAACTATTAACACATTTTCTCAGTGTGTGCACTGCAAAGCATGGAATGAGCATATTAGCACACAATGCCCCTCATGGAGAAGATGCCAACGGTGCCGGGAAAGAGGACATACTGATAAAGAGTGCTCATCACCGTTGAAGAGCTCCGCTTCTGAGGTCCCTTGCGATCTCTGCGGGTCCTCAGAGCATCTTGAGTCTTCATGCGATTGGCAATGGAAGTTCCCGCTGCGCGAAACCTCCTCAACAGAGGTCAGGGTATCGATCTCATGTGCCAACTGCTGCAGCGGAAGCCATCTCATCGGTGATTGCCCATCTCTCCGCCGGCCTCTCAATACCACATGCTTTACACTCAAGGGTATCGACCCTGATATCATCGTCAACCTTAACACAGCCCCCAAAGAGGCCCCGCCACCCATCAACTACAAACAGGGTCGTAGGGGGCGAGGAGGGGCTCGTGGCGGTATCAACACTCGCTCATCATCCCCCTCAAGTGACGATTTGCTGCCTCGCAAGGGCACAAAGCCCCAGCCCATCTCTCGTGGACGAGGCCGCGGATCGCACATCCGATTTAACACTGGTCCTCCACCTCCTCGCAATGGTCCTGGGCCCGATAAATCTCGGGGCAGGCCCCCACCAACTCGTGGCCGGCCACAGTTTCCTGGGAATAACACCCGCCAGCGTACACTTTCTCCACTTCCGCGACAGAACTTCCCTCGTGGCCCTCCTCCAAGGGGTCGCGGTCGCGGTGGTAATGGTCGCGGAGGGCCGCCGTCGCGCGGTGGATTCCGAGGTCGCAGAGGAAAATAGTCCAACAAGCTCCATGTAATGAAATATCATGATTCCCCTGTACCTTACATCTTTACACATTCTAGATTTTTTTTCTTGTCGCATAGCGATTGCGAAAAGATGTTGATTCAAAGATACATCCAATACTCCCAAGGCTCTTTCATGGTCAGCACCCATTAAGGTGTTATTCTATATGAAAAAGAAACGAAAGAAGGCAATGGCCATTAGACATGCTCGGGATCACACTTCTGACCAACAAATCCTTGCTCAAGGATTTCAATCAGATCATCCAGCCGATTGATGCAAAGATCAGTATGGGCATGTTCCTTCAAATGAGCATTTCGTTCATTCACAAGCAACACCGTGGCCGCGCCAGCCATATGCCCAGCCGTCATATCATCAATACTATCTCCAACCTATCACAGAACATTAGACCTCTAAGATACCCAGCAGATAATACCGTTATAATGCTCATCAGTGCAAGGGGTGTGAAATTCAGTTTCCCTCACTCACCATAATCAAATTCTCGGCCCGATTGGTCAACCCCCATTCCTGCGCGATGTGCAGGATTCCCGCAGGGTCCGGTTTCGGGATCACATTCGGGGTGTCCCGAGTAATTATAGGAAGGAATATATGCTCTGGCAGGTGGTTATTGAGAAGGTATCGGACCGGGGATCTATGACCCGAGCAATGCGTCAGCGTTTTTCACAACCCGGAACTAAGACCGGCCTTGAGGGGAAGAAAAACAAAAGCTATATTGACTTGAGTACTACTTACTCAAAGTTCCGCGTGCACAGCCCCCGTCTTAATCCGCGCGACTGCAGATATTCCATCAGCCCCACTAGACCCGGCTGTGGCACTTGCTCAACCATCGCGCGCCGCTCAACGGCTTGGATTTTCTCGACGGCAGTAGCGCGGTCTTCCACCGGAAGAGCTTGTATGTGGTGGAGGATGTCAATTGACTTGTCTATCCCGAGGGCGTCTCTTATAGATTTATGCAAGTCAGATACATGGATGCTTCTGTGTTCACCGGGTGGTGTTTGGATATAGTTGGCCTGCCGCATTGCGGACCGCTCGGTATAATCTCACCTCATCTCTGTGAACATGTGGTGTTGTGGCAGGCTATTTTCACGTCAGTTTGTAATCTCAATGATGATGCGATCATCTTCAATGCTGCAATGAAGAGCTGTGGTTTTATCGTCTGCGATGGAGCAGCCGAGGTCCAATTCAAAGCTTCAACACGATGATATGGAATCCTCATGACCGAATGAATAGTTGGGCTTCCAAGGGCAGCGATTTGAAGTCATATTCAGGACTACGTGTACACAGCACAGGCAAAAGAAAGCGGATATCGCCTTACCACAAGGTTCCGTCGACATCGAAAACGATGCCCTTCAGCCGCGGGGCATCTGACGCTTTGGTATCGTCGAGCGGAGCGAAGCTCCGCGGACGCACATGATGACATTCTACTGCCCTGCCAGCCATGGTGGATAAGGTGGAACGGAGAGCTGCTAGACGAGCTGTCATGAGTCAAGGAAAGGTGGAGGTGTCGGAGCTCGGGAATCGGGCCGAGATTAGATATGAGCGTAATCTATGTAATCTATGCATTTACGGGTGTTTATGTCATTAAATATCTTCGACAACGACATTCCCCCCAATGCCTACCGGAAACTTGTCAAATCACTAATCGAGCCTTCATTAGTGATAGCTTTGCTGACCAGAAGATAGGATTGGTTCACCGATCAGCCATATTCCTGGTGCTCAGAGTGGTTTCTTGATCTACACATGTGCAGAACAAAAACAAAAATGTTCCACATTGCCTTATCAGGGCGACTGAAGTACAGAATCGAGGAGATCGTGAATATGAAACGATTCAATGTTTTCAACAATATCAGATTCACTAGCGAAGCAGCTATGAAATACTGTCTGGACTCAATGGCACTTATGAGCACTTACGAATATGCTCAAGCAAAAAAATCACCTTGAATCGAAACATGGTCTGAACACCAGCAAAGGAAAAGACCCATAAGGATAGATATTCTGCAGATTGCAGCCCAAGAAACAGACATTCATCATGTTCATTTCACTGATTGAAGATTCATCAAAAGTCCAGATGTCTGTGGTGCCAGTACTTGAAAGCTCGAGGGGTATTATACTCCTTGTAATGGTGCAGACTCGCGCCTTCCCAAGAAGTCAGAGGCCAAAACCATCACATCTAGAAGTCAAAAGAAAAATAACACACCAATCTAACTCAACACACTCTTTACACTCAACGAAATCAATCCTCATTACTACCAGTTGACACTACCAATGTCAACCTGACCGAAAATGCCTCTCGTCATCTACAAACGATCGGGCCGAACGCACGCCGTCCTCCCCGTAACCCCAAGAACAACCAACTCCCTCATCATAACCCTCATCTACCTCCAATTCCTATACTGCATATCCTTCATCGCGCGACCCCTCTGGTCTTCAGCACAAGAGTTCCCACCCTTCAAGTATGGCATCGAGCGAACAGAAAAGCGAGTCATAGACCTCATCCTCACCATCGTCCCCTTCTCAAACTACCGCTCGCCAAACCCATCAACCACCCTCCGCCACTCCCAATCCGCCCAATCAGCAGCATACACATCCGAGTCAAGACTTACTTCCGATGTCTTCCCAAACATGCTCCAGCAGCCAGTGACGGCCTACACAACCCCGCCCACCATGCCGCAGTGCTATCCCGAAACCGCTCTCGAGCGCACTCACTCGCCCACCCAGCCCCAAGTCCCGGATCCCAAGTACAGCCCCAGACTAGCAGCGGGAGTTGGAGGCTCAGCTGCTGCTTCCGCCGGCAAAGCCGGCACCAACGCACACACAGTGGTAGATCGGTACGCGAAGAACAACGTCCCAACATACGACACAGCCGTCAAGCGCATGTCAGCCCCCAACCGGCCGCGCGTCTCAGCAATCACAGACCTAAAAGAGAAGTCCAGTCCGCTGCAAGCACGCTCAACGCCAGCCCTACACCTCGCACGGCAGTCCATACACGAGCACAAGATGGGCGCGAGCATCGAAGAGCAGCGCAGTGAGGACGAGAACGAGCGGTACGCGCCCGTGCCGTCGGTACAGAATATCTCGGAGATGCTACACCATGGTTATCAGAGCTATGGTGCGCCTGCGCCTGCGCCCGCGACTTTGAAGGCGCATATGCCGCATATAGGGCTTTATAGTGGGCAAAAGTCGCCTGTTGCTTCGCTGAGGTCGTTGGTGTCGCTTGATGGGCCGGCGGATCTTTCGTCGGCGAGGTCGAGTACGGAGGCGAGCGGGGGGACTGGGGAGGGGTCTAAGAAGGGGGTTAGAATGGGGCATGGGACGAAGTGTCATTCTACGGAGAGTTATCCTGGGAATTTTCCTGTGAGCGAGGGGACAGAGTATAGTGCGCTTGCGACGGCGGATTTGATGTTTCGGGAGAGAGGGACTACAACTGTGAGGCCTTTTTCTGATTACTAGGGAAGATTCTATTGATTGATTGGTTGGGTGAGGAGAACAGTTTGTACTTTGGCTTTTGTTGCTTGGGGTTTTGATTCGACGTTTTGGTTTTTATGTATTCTTCCTCTCTGGTTTCTATGGATGGTTGGCAGCTTGTGTGTATCAATTGACACGATGTTGATATTTGGGAAGGCTTGAAGTATGATTAGCCAGTGACAGTGACTATTACTCTATCCTTGTATCACCTTTCTACAAGATTCAAGCACCCTTTCTTTACATAACTAGCGAGAACCAAAGATCAATATAGCATCGAATCATGAATTGGCATTGACGACAGCCACACCGCGTACATACACAGCCTCACCAGAACGATGATAGAAAAAAAAAAGAAAAAATAAGAATTATCCTCAGGACATGCAAGAGGAGTAAGGCACGTAGCTAGACATGAACAGAATCAACAAAAAGCAATACATAGCTGCCCCGCCCACCATCATGAAGCTTATAGACATCGAAAACAGAAAGAAGCCTCGAATAAAAGCAGAAATGTAATTTTTGCACGCAAATGGCTCGTAGATGGAAGAGGATGATTGTTTCAAAGTCAAGGCTCAATGGCAAGATATCAGGTAGGGGTACGGTCGTTCACTGTCGTAATAGGCGTGGAGGCCAAGCTCGTCACATGGAATAGGAACAAGGAAAACATGAAAAGGGAAAATAAATCAACGCAAAACTCGCTAGACACAAATACAACCTAGGGTATCATCACAATGCGATCTCAGTAGTCTTCCTCATCGTCGACATGCATCGGACTGCCTCGGTAGCGGGTGCGCTTGACGTTACCGGGGCTATAGGGGCCGGCGGAGGTCAAGGGGCGAGGGCCTGTTGGTTTGCGGGTAGGAGGGGAGCGGATGGCGGAGCTCTGTGAATGAGTTAGTTAGCTTGTGTTTATTTCAATTTGTAAGGACTTTCTTTCTTTCTGAGTGAACATACCCGTGAAGTAACACGATCGCCATAGGTAGTGGAAGCTTGGTCCTGTTCATCCTCGAGGACCTTAGGGGGTCGCTCGGGGATCAGGGGGCCTTCATCCTTGAGCTTAGGGGGACGCGGTGGGCCCGCTACACGAGAGCTGTGCTCTGAGTAGCCTGCGTCGGAAATTGGCGAGAGCCGGCTGCCAGTGCTGAAGCGGTTCTGGTTGGGAGGCTGCAGGGGTGGCAAGCTAGGGTTGGAACCCCAGCGCTCGGAGCTGGGGGAGCCGGGGGTGGCGTAGGTTTGGGCCTGAGTCTCCAGTGCTGACTGGAAGCGTCCAGTTGGACCCGGTCGAGGCTGAGGGTGCTGGAGATCGAGACTTCCTCGGTGGGCGCGGTACTTGGGGGTCTCGGAGACTTGAGAAGGCACCAAAGGAGATGGGGGCCGGTTCTCTTGCTCGTCCCCGTATGGGGATCCGAGACGATCATCGCCCTCGGGATCGTAGTAATCACCGGTCTTCTGGTAGGTATCGTGAGGAAGATCAGATCCCGACCGAGAAGATTCTCGGAGTAAGGTCGCTCCTTGCGTCCGGGTTGGATGCTGTTGCGGATGTTGTCACCCATGGAAGAAGCAGTTGTCTTCGACCAGCGAGAGAACTTGGGGAAGATAGAAGAACTGCTTGACTTGTGCTTGCGAGACTTTTCAGCCTTGTCAGCAGAAGCCTTAGGGGTGGTCTCATTGCTGCGAGTTCCGGAGGCCAGTGGCTTGCGAGGGGGTGTGTTCAGGGGAAGAGATCCAGCTCTTTCGTGGCGGGCAAAGTCTCGCACAGGCAAGTGTGAAGTCATGTAAGGATCAGCTTCATCAAGCTCATCCTCGTCCTCATCTTCTTCAGGCACCGTGCTGACTCGCGGATCGGCATTGGCTTGCGGGGCTGGACTGGAAGTGTAAGGAGAGGAGCTACCCTGGGTGATGGCATTCTGTCCATTGTTGTCAAGGGTGTTCCCATCACCACTCACTCGAGCTGGCGCACGTGGGCTAGACACGCCCTGACCTTCCCGCAGAGCTTCAACTTCGTCAAGCAATTGCTCCAGCATGCCTTCAATCTTAGACAAATCATTGCCAGACTTCAAGCTCAGACCCTTGAGGGCACGCTTGAAAATGTTCTTGCGCTTAGACTGCAGGTCTTCGTCGTCCTCCATATTCAATTGGCGAGTACGAGACCCGCTTGGAGGCAACGGCCGAGGGCCACCGAGGACTTGGTTGAGTCGCTCATGCTGTTTCTCGGTAGAATCAAGGAGCGCCTCGTCTTGCTGGGCAATGAACTTCTTCATCTCGTCAAAAGAGGTGCGCATCTCAGCGGCACTGCGGACCAAAGTAACCAACATCTCAGTATCACGGGCATTGCGCTGAGCATCTCGAACAGTAAGATGATCCATAAGAGCAACAATGTCCTTGGACTTGATCCTCTCAATGCCATGGCCAGTAGCACTATCATAGAGCGGCGAGCCAACTCCATGAGAATACCCACTGAAGTTACGCTGGTGAGCAGGAGAGAATTCATCCACCTCAGCAGGGGCATCAAAGGCATCTGCAGCTCCGACTCCTCGACTTCCTTGCTTGGGAGTGCCAACGCTCGGGGACACAGGGTTGGCAGCTGAGACATATCCTTCATCTTTAGCTCCGGGTGGCGTGTCAAACAACTGCTGAGAACGCTGGTCAGGGTAATACTCATCGCCACCGAAAATGTTTCTGGCGGTTTCGTAGTACTCTGCATCGAGATTATGCGGCTGACCACTCAGGTCCTTGGCTCCGGCCGGGTTGGATTCGTAGTATGGGACCTGTCCAGCAGGTGGGGATCGTGAATCATATGCCCAGTTCTCGCCGTTTCCTTGAGCCATGCCACCGATTGGGCCTTGGATGATGGATGGGTTTGTGTTGATTTCAGACTCAGATTCCTGGCTGCGTTGGTCAACATCAGAAAGAGGACTTCCTAAATCACGGTCGACATCCCGAGCAGCTGCGGCCACCAAGCCTGCCTCGTCGAGGTCATCAATTGACTGTGTCACGCTCTGTGGGGGCGAGGTGACACCCATACGACGTGTGAAGGAAGTTTCATCAGGGCTGGATGCGTCTTGACGTTGCTTGAGGGGACTTCCTCGGTATCCCTCATTGACAACAGGCTTTTCGGGGCTTCGGCTTCTAGATCGTGGAGCGAGGTCGGTCTGTGAGCGACTGCCAGACTGGTAGGACTGAGTCTCCAAGATTGAAGGGTCCATCAGAGAAGCGACATTTGATTCGATACCCATAGCTTGGACAAATTGCGGATTGGCGGCAATGGCAGGGGTCACATGCTGGCCCTCCCTGACTCGATCCATGAAATCAACCTCGCTATCTTCTTGGCCATATGATAGCTTGGACTCTTCTTCATGGCCGAAGATATCATCCTCGGGGTAAGCGTGGCGGGATTGCTCATATCCAAGTTCAATGCCCTCTTCATCGTGGTGAGAGAAGCCACTTTGACTTCTAGGGCTGATTCCCTGGCGAGTGGATCGAGCAAGGTTGGTGCTAGGAGCAGAAGACAAGGACTCAATGGAAAGGCGGGGCTCGATCTCCTTTTGGGCTTCGGAATGGTGCTGGTTGATATATTGATGATCGCCATGTGTCTCGGTACGCTCGCTGGCCACACTCTGAATGGGGCTGAGTTGGCGACCAGTCTCGTATGGCTCGATAAATGAATCATGGGTTTCTGGTTGAGCAGCGTCAAGCAGGTTGGCGGCTGCAGCTGCGGCAATAACCCAGTGACCACCATCACTTGCAGGCGACTGGCTCTTAGCGTGAAGATCACGGTCGGAAGCACTGTGCATGGATAGGTCACGCTGTGACTGATTGCCATGGCGCATGCCAAGTTCATATCGTGAGTCCAATGGGGTCCGGGTAGGGGTACGAGCAGTCGGGGAGACGACTTGACGCGGCGAACCACGAGAGATTTCCGCCTGGGAGAGTCTCTTGCGGGGAGCTGGGCTCTCTGATCGCTCCGAGAGCAATGAGGTGCGAGTCAACTCAGAGTCCATTGCACTGTGCATGGGCATGGCGGGCACGTTGTGTTTTTGAAAGACGAGCTCTGTCTCATTGTAGACCTCGGGCCCCACACTTCTCTGAGAGCCGCTGGCTCGCCGTTCTTCTCTCTGACCAATACTGGACTGAGAATCGTGATGCCTCAGAGATGCCGATGTCAAAGCAGATCCTACTCGAGCTGCGGCATGAGCATCGCGGAGTCCCTTGCTTTTTTGCCTGCGAAGCTTCTCTTGTTCCGTGAGGTCCGGTCGGTTGTACTTCACCCACCCAGCATCAGAGGTCTCGCTGCTTTTGCTTAACTTGCGATCTTTGTTTTGAGGAACAGGTTCGCCAGCCAGAATAATGCCCTCGTCTTTGCTGTTCTTGTTCAGGACAACCTTCGGCTTCATGACATCGGGCGCACTTGCGTGTTTGGACAGACGGCGACCCAGTTCGTCGCGAGAACTGGTGGATGAATATGAAGTTGTCATGTCTCGGTCAAACTTGGATGTGTTGGACATGACTTTTTGATCCTTCTTGAGCTCTTTCAGCTCCGGAAGAATCAATCGTCGGATCGCATCTTCCACTGTTTCCAGGAGTTTCGGGTTGTTGATTGAAGTTTTTGAGGCACCGGATCGAACAGAGTAAGCGTCGGACTTGCGATTGGAAGAAACGGCAGATGTGCTAAGCAGACTGGATTCCGGGCTCGGGATGTATTCTTCTTCACCTGTCGCATGCCGCCTCCTTCGCGACGATGATTTCGTCGGTTCGGCTTCCAGATAATCCTTGGCCGCATGCTTGCTTCTACTTTTGCTCTTTCTGCTGCTAGAAACCTCATGGGGTGAGCTGTTAAGCTTCTCAGCAACTCTGTTTACTATACGCTCATGACTTAAGCTTCGGCTGCGTTGTCGGGAAGGAGTCTTCAGTAAATTCTTGCTTTCCCGTTTGGCACCACGCTCCATACTCTGACTGCGTTTCCGGCGGACACCCGCGGATGAGGGACCATCCAGCATGCTGTCCGCGGGCATGGACGAAACCTCGGATTGCATGTAACGGGCATCACGCGAAAAGGCGGACACTTCGCTACCCTGGTCGCGATTCATCAATTCGATTTCGACGGGCAAGTGTCGTGATGACGGACGTTGACCTTCCTCGGCAGAATTGCTGTCGCTACCTGTATGGTCATCCAAATTCGATTCGGTAAGTTGCCTCGGTTTGGACGAGGGCGATGTGAGCGAGATGCGACGAGTATATGAGGGCTTGCGACTAGATCCGGATTCGGTAATCTGAATGTGATCGTTGTCCTTGGACTTGGACTTCCTGCTACCCGAGGGGGTGACTCGCACTCGAACACTTGGTCGAGAGACGATGCCACTGGCGTTCTTCCCTCCCTCGAAGTATTCGATGAGGAGGGAAGTTTGAGAGTCGCGGTGTGAATGAGACAGCTTGTCGTCCCGGTCCCGATGGCGCCGGGTAGAAACCGTTACAGGGCTTCCGTCGTCCGGGATCGAGTACGACGTCTTGTCTGTGCGGCGAGAAATGTCAGTTGCCAGATCTGTGCCTGTGGCGCTGCCGTTGGTATCGACGAGGGATTCTGTAGGGGCGGGAAGGACGGGTCTGCGGGTGTTGACACCCATGGCTTCAGATGGGCCTCCCCCCTCTCTCTCTCTCTCTCTTTTTTTTGCTTTTTTTTTTAAAAAAAAAAGATTCTCTTGTGCTAATTAATTTTCTTGATTTGAAAATTATTTCCTCACTCCGACAATCGCATACTGCTAGAGAATGGATGCAAGCGAGACTGTTGGAAGGGGGAAGCAAATGATGGTCACTTGTTGATGCTCCGTTTGACAACACAATAGTGGGGGTAAAAGGCAGATGGAGATTGGAGAGATCGGGTACAGATGGGGAATGGGCAAGGCCGAAGAATGTTGGAAAGATGAGAGGAATTAAGAGCGTACCAGCGCAAAAGTCACGTTACAACAACGACGATAGGAATTCCAACACGAAAGAGTTGGAAGAAGGAAAGAGGAAAAGCAACGGTGAGATGGTTGCTATGCGGGCTGGAAGGTCGAACAAGCTGTGCTCTTCCGCTAATCCCTAACATGAACCTTGAAAACGGAGAAATCGAAATTGAAAATGAGAAAGAAGGGGAGAATTGAAGAAGAGTTTCAGGGATAGAAGAAAAGTGTTGAAAAAGAAGATCAGCCCAGCCTCTCTCTAGATCCCAACTTTCAAGGCTGAAAAAAAAGCAGATGGCTGGTTTCTTACCACCCCAGGTTCCGATAAGCGGTGTCCATATAAAAAGTACCTGTTAGGTTACCAAACAAACGAACCGTGGATCAGGAACGGATAATTAGGATTAAACATATCAAACCACATTATTCTCTTTGGATTTTACCTTCTAATACTAGTACGTGGGTAAAAAAAAAAATGGTCGGCGCCACCTCATTCTTGTCCACGTTCATTACACGCGGCAATTCTTTACCTTGGCTAATAATCTAAAATCTAATACATGATACATAATACATGATAAATTCTGGTGAGACGGACAACTCATTGAAATTAATTCGGTCACACAGAGGGACACAGACCATTTCTATCCGTTCAATGTACGGAGAAGCTGGTTCGACGGAGGAGAAAAGACAAAAAAGAAGAGGTGTTGGTCGCCCAGACGACACAGACACTGGGTGCCATGGAGCCACCATGATTGGTGCTACCTTCTCTGCACTGCCAACTCATCACATTTTAGCATCGGTCGCTTTCCCCGAGCAATTGGAAAAATTCCGGTAATGCGGCGTCCTCGCTATATTTCTTCTGTTTTTCTCTTTCTCTGAATCAACAAGAAAAAAAAACAAAAAAAAAAAAAAAAACATAAAAAGAAGCAAGAGTCCCTGGTATTATGCACTAAACGACTCTAGTGCGTATCAACATTGCAAGGGGCTGCAAGTCACCAAAGAAATTGTTATCAGGACTACAGTAGTTAGTCTTGCACACCTGCAGCCCTGTATATGAGGCAATCAGAATTTCAGATGGCAACCTTGGAATCTTTTCTGATCTAATGATGCTACATATCACATTTCATAGGTTACAATAAGATTGCCCCACAAGCACACGAACACCAAACATACCGTACATACATGAACCACTGTTTGAGGACAACCTTGGAAATAACAGAGATGGATACTAGTACATCCATTAGTACCTAATCATAAGTGGTCACATGATTTTCCCACATTGGAAGTGTAAATCAGCATGTCTTCCCTACTACTAGTAGTACTAAGGATTATGCACACTCGGCTTCCAAGGTAACAATGTTGCCGAACACTATGTATTTGCTCTACTTTGGCTCCCCACGTGGATTCTACCTGGCTTACACTTCCAAGTTTCACTCCGGTGTCTTTTCCCAAGGTTCCCTTCCCTGCCCACATGACCGGTCCTTCTTTAAAAACACTGAAGCAAAACTTTCCTGAACTCTATTACATTGTAGATGGTATTTACTAGTGGGTACGAGACAAAGATGGCCTTGTCAAGTCTGGTCAAAAATTAAAACATTGAAACATTGAAACATTTGAATGGCAAGTATATCTACACATTTTAACTCCACAATTCCCCAAATGATAAATGCAGGCGACCATGGACTTTTTTGGTTATTTTAGCATTCCAGTCATAGCACCCTTAATCGTCGCGCTTCCGGTTGAAGCTGCCCTTAGGCTGGCTGCCGTATGTGCGGCGGCCTTGCTGGTCCTGTCTCTTATCGCGGCTCATGCTAGCACCCAGCTGGATATCAATCCGTGGCGGGGTGTTGAAGCCGAAGCCCTTGCTGACCTTGACCAGGTCCAACTTGTTCACATCAAACACGGAGCGGAGGGAGTGAGAAGCGTACGCCTGGAGGTACGAGCGGTATCCTTCCTTGGCCGACTGTGAAGAGAAAGTAAGTATATGGGGTCAAGCGGCATATGCGGGAGAGGGACTTACCTTGTTGAGGTAGTAGTTTTGGCCAATGAGCTTCTCCAATTGAGACTGGACATTGACAATCTTCGAGGCCGGGAACTCAAACTCGACCACGGGAACACGAGCTTCCTTCAGGTGCTTCAAAAATCCAACTTCCGATGGTTGTAAGAACATGAGACTCCTTCCCTTGCCGTTGGCACCACGAGCAGTTCGTCCGACACGGTGAATGTAGTCACGAGGGTCGTCTGGGGGGTCGAACTGAATGATCCAGTCGACAGCGGGAATCTAAAAGGAAGATGTTAAAAAAAAAACGGATCATATAGGAATAGTAGGGAACGGGAAAAGACAAACATCAAGTCCACGAGCAGCAACATCGGTGCAGATGAGGGTACCCTGGGTGGCGTTACAGAACTCGAAGAAGGTGTTGGTTCGTTTTTGTTGCTTCTGCTTTCCGTGCAGCTCAAGGACGGGAAGATCGATGTAGTTCAGAAGCTCGGCATGGTACTTCACACAGTTACAGCTGGAAAAGAAGACAATAATCTTCTTCTTCAGGTTGCGCTTGAGGAATGAGAACAGAAGCAGGAAGCGGCGATCAGCCTCACAGATCACATATCCTTGTTCCAAACCCGCAACGGTACTGTGCTCCTTGCTGTGATCAACGTTGATGTACAATGGGCCAGGGCGCAAGGATATACGGGCCAAGTCATCGACCTTGGTGGTTTGGGTAGCAGAGAAAAGCATAGTCTGACGTTCTTCCTTGGGCAAGATCTTGATGATCTGACGCATCTCATCTTCGAAACCAACTTCGAGAATACGATCAGCCTCATCGATGATCAAAGTCTTCAGGTTCTTGAAAATGAAGCCCTGGGTGTTCTGGAGGTGATCAAGCAGGCGACCGGGGGTGGCAATGAGCAGGTTAACACCCTTGGCAAGCTTATCAGCCTCAGCACGGCGGTTGGCACCACCAATAACGATACCGTAGGTCTGAGAGTGGTGGGCCATAAGCTCACGTGCGACACCGAAGATCTGGAGAGCCAGTTCACGGGTGGGTGAAATAACAAGAACACCAGTACCGTTTCTGGGCTTGAAGCGCAAGGCACTGAGCATCTCAATCGCAGGAATCAAGAAAGACAGAGTCTTGCCGGAACCAGTCTTGGCAGCGCCCAAAACGTCACGACCAGCAAGAAGAGGTGGAATTGTGCGCTGTTGGATCTCAGTCATGGTCTCGAAACCCATGTCATTAATACCCTGCATGGTCTTCTCGGACAGGTTCAACTCGGTGAACTTCTGCAGGGTGGTGCTCTCGGTCTGGGGAAGGGAAACTTCGCCCATGGTGGGAAGATCAGAAACAACATTGTCCTTTTCCTCGGCCTCGTTGTCCTCCTCCTGCTCCTCAACTTCCTCAACCTCAACCTCGTCGTCGTTCTCGTCGTCTTCGCTGCCCGAGTGGCTCACTTTGCGCTTCTTGGTTGTCTTATCGGTCTTGGACTTGGGGGACTTCGGGGCCTTCTTTGCTGGCTTGGTCTCGACGGGCTTAGAGACATCTTCGCTGTCAGCAGTAGTCTTAGCAGCGTGCTTTCTCTTGCGCTTCTTGGCGTCAACGGACTTTGCGGTGTCCACTGGGCCGGGCATTTTGGTGTTTCGAGCGAACCACAAAGTTTGCGGTTCAATAAAACAGTGTTAAACAGAATCGCTTAGATCAAAGGGAGTTTGATCTGTCGATTTGGGTGTTTTGATCTCCGGGGATGCGACCTAACCGCTGCGGAAAACCATTCTACTACTTTTTTTTTCTGATCGGTGAGAGCTGGCAAAATCTCCACTCATCACGTGCTGATAGGGAAAAAAATATTCGACACCCGAATTAACAGGCATGAAACAAGGCATCAATCACTCTTGGGAAACGTTGACTCTTCCAAACTCCAACCCCTTGAATAATGAAGCTATTAATTACATCTAGGGTACAAAAGAGTAATTGGTCTTCATGAGTTTATCGGTGACTTTGTTGGTATTTGTACTAAGTATTCTCACTGTTCTGACCACTCTTGGCAACACTGTACGGTCATGCACCATCGTGAGCACTTGAGAGTTTACTACTCCGTCCTGGACTCCTGGTACTTGATTGTTCTTATAACCAGAGCAGCACTCGAGAATTTTCCTCTAGATTTCCTAACCCAGTAAATTTTGAACTGTCCCCCATCTGCTTTTCCTGGCCCTGGAGGCCGTTATTGTTGAACGAGAAGTGGAAGGCGTTGCGAGCCTTGGGCTTGTATCTTCATCCTATGTAATCAATTGATATGTCATTCGGCCGTCGTACTCAAAGTTTAACCTGGTTGATATCAATCGACATCAATTAATTCAATTGATTGATATTCGTATGCACATGTGTACGAGGCAGGCACCTATGTATGCACATATGTACCCTCAGTGCTTCTCTGACTGGTCAAACCATATGTAGTAATTGATTGATTGATCTATCAATACATGCTACTGCCTAATTAACATTGAACCAATTTTGATTGTCACATGCACATGTGCAGCTTTCTTTCATTCCAGATGTCAAATGTTCAAATGTTGGAAACAATCGCTGTTTCTCAGATTGATATATATGTATGTATGTATTTTGAACATTGAAACCACCAGATCTAGATTTTCTACCAGTTGACGAGAACTGATTTCCAAGGTTGATACTTCAATGTTCGGTAAAATGATGGCATCCAGGTCACCACTTCAAGTTCTATTTTGTTCAAATGTTCGCGAGCATGTAAATAGTAGTAGATGTTTCGGATTTTGTAGATACGGAACAATCCCTTGAGCTCTCACCAGTTGGTTCAACTTGTGTGGGGTGAGATGTCCATGGTGGCATGGCCAATCAGACAGCTGGACACAGTTGAACCCTGGCCCAGAAATTAAAAATAGCGGTGGCGCCGTGATGGGGCCCTTGTAAGGCTGTCAACGAACCGAACCAGTTTACATGAAACTTGAGTTTCCCACGGTCGCAAAGCACTTACCTTGAGGATATCAATTATTTAAACTGTTAATTAGTGAGAGAACATGATGATTTTATACTGAAGTAAGGCGAATGTGTGGTATAGTCTAAATTCTGATATCTAATCTTAGGGGGTTGTCTTCTTATCGTTCAAGTTCTCAACATCACAACCGTCGGACTTCAAGGAAGTAGATTCCGAACAATAAGATTATGGACATGACGAGTTGAATTGTCATGACTCATGGACTCACGAGAAACCGAGGCTGTGCAAGAAGCCAACGCCACAGAGTTACTCGGCTATTAATGTTATGCTTTTATGGGGGCCCGCTAGGGGAATTATTGATCGATTGAAATCCGTTAAGAACTGAAGATAATTCAAATGTTAAATTGGATCTCTGTGATCCTTGCGAGGTTGTACATGTAATCTTCTATCCCGCATGATATCCCAGGAAACTATACATATTGTAAGAACATGATACATTATTTAGACAGATCCATTCACTCTGCATTGACTGGAAAAGAAAAATCTCCTTCCAATTATCTCATAGGCCCGCTTTGTTGACTTCCCCCCTTGCTCCCGAGTGAGGGCCCAGGGGGGTTTCAATAAGGGAAGAGCAGAAAAAATAGTCTAGCTTCTAAGCGCGCCAATGTATGCCCAGCCCTGGCACCTGGGCAAGATATCCATAATCCATGTATTCCGATTCCAATAATACGAGCGCTTACGGTATGGAAAGCCCCCTCGACAGGCGGCAAGGTACCTATAATATTGCAAAAGACAGTCCACTCTCCTCGGGGCTTTTAATTTAGATTCCCCTCTTATTCGTGCCTTTTCTTACTCCACAGCTGGGGAACAATTCCTCTGGTACGTGAGATGAAGTACATCTGCTTGTGCAATATTTAGGGTATTGGCAGGGCCCACTCCTTTCAGCCACGATCCAGCTACCGCTTGTAGCCAAGAAGTCCCCAAGACTGCCTCTTCACAGACGCGTAGGCAGAGATTTTAAGGGGAAAAACAGAAGATTTGGGAAGTTAGGAAGTTAGGAAGCATGGTAATTGAGCCGACTCCCATTGAGTCGGATCCGAAAGGAGTAAAACAGCGAAGGAGCAACCAGCAAAACAAGCAGGGATGGATATTGTACTAGATCAGTGATCGACCCAGGAAAGGCCTAGTTCCTGTCAGAAAAGGGACTGGACCACTAGTCCCCAAAACGTGCAAATTACCGTTGTTACTATAAATTACCGCCTTCTCATTGGCCTTCATTGGTCTTTTCACTGGCGCCAGGAACATCATGACCATACCGGTAACAGAACCACATTCCACCATTCCAGATGACCCTGTGTCTCCAGGGAAAAAGCTACTCCTCTCTTGCTCTTCCTCTGATACTTTCCTTGGTGATCTCGTCTTTCCCTCTTCCTCATCACTGGGATTTCAACCATTTTTGGCCATACTGTGTGTGCTGCCAGTTCCACTCGCTGTTGATCCCCGGTTTACTTTCTCCACATCTTCCGATAACCTACTTCTGCAACTTCACGTACCTCCTTCGTCATTCTCCCTCGACTTCACTTCTCTCTCGACCTCGAGCCTTTTACCCTTTACTAGGGTCCTACGCGGTCGCATGCGACTTGGGATTATATTCCGCCAACTTTCCTTCCATTCCGGTACCCAACAATCGCTTCTCCGGCACTACCCCATTGATCTATTCGGCAACATCCAGTGAGAACAGTTAAGAAACACGCTGAACCCCACCAGTTTGGCCTGTCTTCAAAAAGACAAAGGGTTTTTTGTGGTTGTATCGGCGACCTTAAATCTCGCGAAATTTCTACAATAAGACAATCCGACAACTCGGCCGTTTGGGGACTTTCCGCATCCGGTGGCTGACAACGTGGTACTCTGGAGTAACCACCCCGGCCATCGTTTGCCGTGTCACCTCTTTTCTTTGTCCTTCTTCTTCTTGATATCCCTATACTCGAATTCTTTTTCCCGTTCTTGAATTCGGAGTTCGCCAGAATGAAGTTGATTACATTGCTCGCATGCGTCGTCGCATTCGTGGCGCCGGCATTTGCGGTCAACTTCCTCGAATCTAATTCCCTCAACTTATGCATGGAGAGTAGCAACTTCACAGCAACATACTTCCACGTCATCTTCTACCCAAACAACAATTCGCTTGAGATTGGTTTCGATGGCGTATCATACATATCCGGCAAGGTTGTGGCAGATCTTACCTTGACGGCCTATGGTTATAAGGCTTATTCCAGCACCCTCGACCCTTGCTCCATCGCGGGTATGGGCATGTGTCCCATGGCCCCTGGTCCCATTGACTTAGAATCGGTTTCCTTGACACTTCCGAATGACACCGCTTCGAGGATCCCGGGCATCGCCTACACTGTTCCCGATCTTGATGCGGACGTGCGCATTGTGATCAAAAAGAAGGACACCGGTGAGAATATTGCTTGCGTGGAAGCGTCACTCTCAAATGGTAAAACTGTCTACCAAGTCGGAGTCTCCTGGGTGACCGCAATCATTTCTGGCTTGGGTCTTACAGCATCTGCCATCACCTCCGGACTCGGCCATTCCAACACTGCTGCTCACGTCGCGGCGAATGCGCTTTCATTGTTCAGTTTCATGCAGTCCCAAGCAATGATTGGCATGACCTCAGTTCACATGCCACCTATTGTGGAATCATGGACACAGGACTTCCAGTGGAGTATGGGTATCATTCACGTCGGATTTCTGCAGACCATCTGTACTTGGTACCAGCGCTCTACGGGTGGCACTCCCTCCACCGTACTCTCATCTTTGAGCCAGACCTCAGTAGAGGTGCTCAAGAAGCGTGACTATGTCATGGACCCTGTGCGCAGTATCATGAAGAGAGGACTCCATATGCTTGGAAAACGAGACAACAGCCAGAAAGTTCAGGTAGTGCGAGGCATTGACCGTGTTGGCTTCCGCGCAGGTATCGAAGAAACAAACATCTTCTTGACTGGCCTTATTTTCTTCGTCGTCTTTGTTTTTGTCGTTGTCATCATTATTGCTGCCTTTAAGGGCATCTGCGAGATACTCGTGAAGCACGGCAAAATGAAGGGCGACACTTTCCAGGACTTCCGCAACGGATGGAAGGTTGTCACTCGAGGTATCTTGTTTCGCCTGACTTTGATTGGTTTCCCTCAAATGTGCATCCTTTGCCTTTGGGAGTTTACTCAGCGTGACTCGCCGGCTGAGGTCGTTCTGGCTGTGGTGATGCTTATATCCCTAGTCGTTGCCCTAAGCTGGGCAGCCTGGAAGGTCATTCGTTTGGCAAAGCGCTCGGTCACGATGCACAAGAACCCCGCTTACATCCTCTATTCCGATCCCGCGTGTCTGAATAAATGGGGCTTCCTCTATGTGCAGTACCGTGCCACGGCCTACTACTTTGTCGTTCCATATCTTATCTATGTCCTGATCAAGGGCATGTTCATCGGGCTAAGTCAGTCCGCTCCCGTGGTCCAGACCGTGGCTCTGGTGGTCATTGAAGCCGGTATGCTAGTCGCTGTCTGTGTCGTTCGCCCGTGGATGGACAAGAAAACCAACGTCTACAACATTTCCATTGCGGTTGTCAACTTTATTAACGTCATCTTCCTACTGGTCTTCTCCAACGTTTTCAACCCACCAGGTCTGATGGTCGGTGTGATGGGTGTCGTTTTCTTCGTCTACAACGCTGTATTCGCCTTGGTTCTCTTGATCCTTGTTCTGATTGCTTCAGTCTACGCTGTCCTATCAAAGAACCCTGACATTCGATACCAACCAATGCGCGATGACCGAGGATCCTTCATCAAGTCTCAAACACAGCTCACGACTGAGTTGGATGCATTGGGCGCTACTGCTCGAGGTGACATGAAATCCCAATCGTACCAGCACAACCCATTCGATGACGATACCCCCTCCATCTCCAGTGGTCACGGAAACGGCAGTGGCAGTAGCAACGCCAATGGCAACGGATATCAAAACCCGAACGTGGCCAACGCTCCTCACGGCGCTTCTCAACAACGGGCTCAGCAATCGGACCAGATCGACCCATCAGTACCACTCTTCCCCAGCAAGGGCCCTGGTCAACATAGTTCTCCTCCGAGCTACGAGCACCTAGGCCGGACATCACCATCATCCGCAGCGCGGACCTACGACAACATGCCTGTTGGACAGTCCGCCATGGCTCCCAATTATAGGAATCAAAACAACCCTAGTCCATGGCAACGAGGAGCTGGCTATGAGGGTTAGGTGGCCGTTCATTTGAATTTTCCCATAATTTCCTGCCATGAAGATATGTGATGTGTGTTTTTTAGCGTGAGGGTAGCAACGGTGGTCTTTGAGCCCTTTCTATTTGGCCATCCTTTTCGTCCGGTACCTTGTTTCGATTCTTTGTTTCTTCGCTCAAACCCGCCTCCGATTTCCTCTCATCAGACTTCTCCTTTTTCTACCCCCTTCTCTTCTTGTCGCCACTGACTAAAAAACCCCTTTTTCTTCTGTCCTCCAAGGGGAGCTCCTAGCTCGCCGTGCATTTCTTTTTATCTTTTGTGTCTTTGTACTTGGGTCTTCTGGTTGTTAATTGGGGCGGAGTACAGGGATCGGGCTTGGATTTCTTGAAATCCTCGAAAATATAATTTCTATTTTTTTTCTTCCAAATTCCAATCACTCTCCTTAATAATAATAGGGGTGACCTTAAAAGTAATGTTGTTGAAAATCACGACTTGGTTTGAACATTTGAACAGTTGAGAGATCAACCCAAGTGCCCTGATCCATATCTATGTAGAGTATTAGTACGTAGTGTAAACAACTTTGGAATGTTCCAAGGTTGTCAGGCACTTTACCAAAAAGGAATCTATTGATCGTTGAATCTATTGATCGTTACATATGCATCCATTTGGCCGGCTAGCATTTCGATCCACTGATTTGGATATACTAATATCGACTTATATGTAATCGACACGATAGAAAGGAATCATTCCATGGAAAACATGACATTGAGTACTGAGAGATCCACAGAAAATCCAAACCAAACGCTATTATACAACGCCAGGGAAATTTTTTATTTTCCAGCGACAATGAGAGCGTCCAACTCATGCGGACGTATTGATCATGACTATGAGATAAGATATATAAGAAAAGAGGGAACAAAAAGCAGAAAACACCTCAGAACAGCCCATTCAATCGAAAACGAAAAACCGATTTTACCATTTCTCATCCATTCCGGGAGGAGGCCCGCCTCCAGGAGGCATGGGGTACCCCTCTGATCCTCGCGGGCCAGAAGGAATCGGCGAATTCGTCATACCAGGCACGGGAGGAAAACCACCTCCGGGTATGGGCATGGGCATAGGGAAGTTCGCAGGGAAGCCACCGGGTGGCGGAGGGAAGTTTCCTGCGCCAGGGGGCATGTTAGGCAGGGCACCGGGGGGAGGGAAACCACCTGTTGGCGGGGTCCCTGAAGCGCCGGGGAATGGCGGTGGGAAGGGCAAACCACGGGCACCGGGGGCTATCCAGGGGGGAGGGAATTGGTTAGCTACTGCTGGGCTGGAAGGAGGTCCGGGGTATGGGTTGGGTGTTCCTGGCTGGCTGGACATACGAGGTGGCATTCCTGGTGGGGCACCGGGGGCTCCAGGAGGAGGGAGACCAAAGGGAAGAGGGGGACCTTGACCGGGGCGGCCTGTAGAAGAGAGAGGCGATTAGTTCTGTGCAAGTCTTTGCTGGATACGAGCGTCTTCGTACCTGGAAAGCCGAATGGTGGGGGGAAAGCACCCGGCACCATGGCGGGATTGGGGAGGGGCTGGCCTTCTGCGGCGTAGGATGAGGTGATGGAGTCAATGACGGACTGGGCCTTCTCCTGGCCGATCTCTGTGGACGATTGTTAGCATGGCCCATGCTTGGATTTGAGAGGCATCTCTGGAAAGCGACATACGCTGATAGTAGTCCACGACGTTCCTCAAGTGGTTACGACCAGAGTTGTGCGCCTTGCGCACGCTCATGGAGTCGTGCGTAAGGTATACATCACAGTAATCGCCTAAAATCAAATCATGGTCAGTAAAACTGGCCATGCGACTCGCATTGTCGTAATAGTGGTTGATATAAAAAGCTTGGAAAGCCGTCTCCGCACGCGGGAGGGGATAAAGGGATATATTGGATCGCGGTCAATTCGGGTTTGTAACCTACAGAAGAGTACAAAGGAGGTCAGTATCAACAGCGAAAGCATTCAAGGCAGGAGGGAACTTATATTTCGGCATCTTGGTAGCTTTCTTTGCGCGTTCTCGGCTGCTGTTGCGCTCGAGGAAAAATCCCGTTCAGGGTCTTGGGGGAGCTTGTCGGGAAGACGGATGGTTGACCGACTGTCCGGAAATAGGCGAGAGGTGAGAATCCAGATACTACCCTTGCGATAGGCCGCTGATAAGGAATCAAATGAGGCTGAAGTGATCAGTTTGGAGGTCGTCTCCCAATTCGGATGGTGAAGTTGAGGGCGGTGAGAGTGGCAAAATATGGATCCTTATCGCCCTTTCAACGTTATATAGTACAGATCGTGCCCTGAGGTTATTGGTTGAAGGTGAGAAACTGTTGTTTGGGTATCAAAATTTTATGCAACCTACCATGACTTCTTAGAATCGCTGACAGGTACATAGTCAAGCTGCTGAAGTATATCTGTATTGCTCAATTGCAAGTTGGATCATTCGAGTGTCTCATACCTACTATACCTAAATACTACGTAACTGCTCAAAGTTGACCACTAGGCCGCCATGGGTTCTTATTGCGATGACCTCGGGACATCCCTGGACCAAAAGCCATTCAATCCCAAGGACTGACTGCAAGTTTGTATAGAATCGGAACAAGAGAGAAACCTCAATATTGAATTTCTTTTGTGCCGAATGAGAGTATTCAAACGTGTAATAGGATACCAGAGCTGAGTGAATTACATACTGTAGCTTCAATGACGGACAGCCTTTGTAGTCAAACTGATCATCAAGATACCAGTGGTCTAATGCAGTCTCGAGCCTTCACAAACCTGGCTCGTACTAATTTCGTCTCTCAAATAAAGCCCAAAAACTTCTATTTTTGCTGAAGCCTGTTGTTGACGAGGTAGCATAATCAACGCTTGATTCCATGTTGACCAAGGTTGTGCAGTTCAATTGAAATGTTGATCTTGTTGTGTTGGCCCAACCGCCATGACCCTTGCCAAGGGTCTATGGCTGTAATGACGGCGGCTTCAAGTTTATTGATGCCACCTGGATATTTGAGTTCGTTGCGAGGTCAAAAAAGCCAAATGAGTTATTCACTCAACAGTTTGCTGTCGCATGAATCCAAGATAATGTTAGTATATGGCCACGATCCACGGACGAAATAGACATATCCAACTAAGATCCCCTTTCCGGATGCATTTCCAACCAATAGCTTTGTACTCCCTCTCACATGAGAGTCGAAGACGTCGACGACATGAAAATTCAAAGAACTTTGTTCAGGATCCATGTCGCACATCTGTCACATCAGCGGCCCGACATCTTTCTCATCGACCATGAAATTGCGCCATCGAAGGCAGCTGACGACATCAGATCGCGATACAATTTACATAATATGCCTCATCAAGAACGCAACTGGGGTGACAGAGCGACAAAATCTTGCATCATCGTGGCATGTTGCCGGTCGTGCATACTCAGCAGCACTGGTAAGAGTCGGTGACCGTGCCGGTGGTCGAGACCATTGCGCATCAATAATCATGTGTCATGACCCGGGGCGCAATTACCTAATAATGGGAGTCGATGGCTGCGCGACGCCCAGACAGGTCGGGGTACAGTACATACTTTTTTTGCTTTGTCGCGCATAGTATTTTGTGTGTCATCGCGCAGGGCTAGTGGAAGATCTGGTTCTGAGTGTGGTGGGAAAAAGAGGGGCGGGGGAGAAGGAGGGGGGAGTAAGGTGTTTCCGATCTATAGGTTGTAGGGCTTCTACATGATTCCACCAGTACTACACCGTATGGAAAACGGAGTTCATGGTTTCGCTAGCCAGGAGCGAAAGGGGGCTGGGTCATGTGTATGATGCTTTCAATATTGAACCAGGCCTGTCTTGAAACAGAAATAGAATGGAATCTGCCAGACTTACCCCAACATTCGGCAAACGGATGTTGAACCAACCATGGATGGACGGGATAGAATAAGGCACCTCCACGCGATGAGAGTACCCCCAAGTGACCCAGCCCAACGACCGGTTGAACGGGGCGACATTCCCTTTTCATTCCCTCGGCAGTCCGAGCCAGCAGACAACGCGGGGTTCCCGAGGCCCAGGCACAAGCGGTAACGCAGGTGGCCAACTAATTAGAGTAGTGCCCGCAGCACGTAGGGGCGCGTTCGTCTCCCAAATGCAGCAATGGGAGAAAAATGCAGAGGTGAGCGGGAAGAATAGACCACGGGATCTGCCTGCATGCAAATGCAAGTCCACGGTCCCATGGCCTAAGTAAGGAAGAATGAAGATGTAGCTTACAATAACCGGAGTCCGGGGAAACGGTGATGGAAAATCTGGGGAAGATGAGACGCACAGCGAATTCTGATTTGCCACAAGCACCGGGCTCGGATCCTTGGGCCACTCAAGGGACTTAAGCACATGAGCGGGAAAAGTTTTTTTCTCTCTGCGTTGTAGATCCACTTGGTTTCGTCATTTTGGAAATTTTTTTAAAAAAAAATTTCAAAAATTCCAAAAATTCCAAAAATCCATTTTCTGGTTTTTCCATTTTTTTTTTCTTTTTTCCTCTTTTTCTTCTTTTCCTTATTTATCTGGGGAACGCTTTACCTGTTCCGGTCAGTTCCTGGTTCGATTCGAACTGCTGAGAAAACAGCCACGAACGGTAGTTTACTAGTTAAGGGGGCGAGAAAAGGGGTATTGCCATCGTGGCGCTGGTCATGCTTCACAATTGAATCTTTTTTTCTCTTGCTAGGGCCAAAATAGTGTGCCAATGAGTTTTTCTTGGGAGTGGATGAATTGCGTGAATTGTTGGTGAGGATCTCAGGTACCATGTGGGCTAGTGTCAAGGTCCTAGACCGGATCGACGGTGCTAAGGAGAAATTATCCCGCAACATGGAGTCATCGTACTTGGATCAGCGGGCCCCTGAAAAATTCGATTTTGTATACAATTTACGGTGTACAATACAATGATCCAATATGTATGATTATGTGCTATTGCACAAAAAGTATGAAAAGATGCAAAACATGCATTACAGAATTGCAAATTGCGTAACTTGCGTTAAATTGCGAATTCGGGGCCATTTGCAAATCCCTCATTGCTTATGCGGTAGCACGACAGTATCAGAAGCATTTCTTCAACAACCCCCTGTGTATACGTGGACTCCGGACTATACAACCTAGAAATCTATAATAATAGGCTTTGACTTCAAGTGCTTCGGGCCGGAATGATGCAATGGTAACCAGTCATTGCCCTGGGACAGTCACACGGGGCAATGGCGACATGCTTCAAGTAAAAGCGAGAGATCCGAACCAGGCCACGAGGGCGCAGGCTACGGTGAACGGTGACTGTACTGTTGTAAAATGTGGAGAGAATGAGGTTTTTTTTCTTTGGTTGGTGTTCTCTTTGGGAGTTTCCATTACCCCCAGAAAACCGCCGCTCATCCCTGTTTTTAGACGCCGTGGACGCTGATTGGTGGTAGCCGGGGGTTTCGGTAGTTTCTGTTACGTGTGAGCGACTATTATTGGTGCTGAGGATCCAGTCAGATGATCCAGGCCACAGGGAGAGCAATTAAAGCAGCGAGTGGAGAGTGAATGGAGGAAAGAGGAGAGAGAGAAGAGTTTTTCATCCAATCAGGGGGGATCATGAGACCACAGGGCTTTGTTGCTGCGGCGTCAAGATGGATGACTCAGATCCACCGCTGTTTCCCGACTGGGGAGATGTAACATGCCGCTTTACAGCAGTTTTGGGCAATTCTGAGCAATTTTGGGAATTTGGAGCAGCGATGACGCTACTGAAAGCGAAAAATTCAAAAATCCACTAAAAACCAGAAAAAAAAAAACCAAAAAAGAAATAAATTACTCCACACATTTGTAACTGCCCCACTCGTCCACACCGTGTGACCCGTGGACATCGTGAATGCAAATGACTCTATGCCCCCCCAAACTCGCTAATTACTACATAAGACTCTTGGTCCCGCCGTCATGTTTGGGTCCATTGTATTGCAAACTTTTCTATCATCGTCGTACCTGAACACATGGCCTTGACACCTTCATAGCTCTTGCAGCTTTTCTACTTACATACACATCAATTAATCATGGCTTCAAATTACCGCGTTGTTGAGCCTCACCCTTCGGTGCCTCACACCACTCGTCCTGCCGTTTTCACTGGCCGCGGAGGCTCCGGCAATGTCGTCAGTCTTAAGAACACCAAGACCACCGAATCGCGCACCGCAACTGGTCCCGCCTCATTAACTCGCCTCGACTCCCGCGCTCCAACAACTTTCATCGCTGGCCGAGGTGGTGCCGGCAACGTCCACAGCAGCTCCGAGCGCGCCATCTTCAGCTTCGACGAGGAGCTCGAGCGCGACTGTCGCCGCGCTGCCCCTGTCTACCACGTTGGTCGTGGTGGTGCCGGCAACATGATCAGCCGCGCCGACGACTCCAGCAGCAACTACAGCCTCAGCCGCAAGTACTCCGGCGCCAGCACTGCGACAAATAGCAGCACCGGATCCGTGGCCGACCGCGCTCGCGACATGGCCCGCCGAGGCCTGGAGAAGGGATGGGGCAAGCTCAAGGGCACCGCATAAACGATCTCAAGATGATCGACTCTTCATCTACTTGCCTTGTGGAACCCACCGTTTCATGATATCACGACCCCATCACGACAAAAAACAAAAGTTCTTCTCCATTTTTTTCCTTTTCATGCTCGCCTTCGCTATCGACTACTATCTCGTCTTTTAATCTCGGGCTCCGACCTTGACCATGGACACAAATACACGGGCTGCTGATTCGATTTCGCTTTGCGATCATCCCTTCCGGCGTGTTTGTTCGATTCCTGTTTTCATTCCGTCGCCGATACCCAATTGCTGCGACTTATTCGCATTGCGTCTTTCCAAGAGAAATCCTCACTCCAATCCAATTACCATGGGAACGGCGTTTCTTTGTTCTTTTTGAGTCGACCACATGTGGTCCTCAATACTTGCATCGCGCCGGGTCTTCAAAGATCGATCTATTATCTTTCAACCTTTTTTTCAATATTTCCTAGGATGGCGTCTTATGGGGCTAATTTCGACTTTCAACTTTCATCGAATGTCTCTTTCGCATCCATCTGGAGTCTCATGTATTTTTTCTTCTTCTACTGGCTTGTTTCCTATTATCTCTTTTTAGTTTAGTCAGATTCATATTCCCCCTATCGCGACCCTTGGCTACTACTTCCTAGTTATGGGCCTAACAATGGAAATACACGTCCTCCATGGCGGTATTCAATGACTCGAATTTTTTTCCAATTTTTTTCTTTAATTTTTTAATTTTTTCATAATTTTTTTACTGTATGACCCAGTCGTAGCTGAGAAAAACGTGATTCTTTTTGGTTCGGTGGGGAATAGCCGATGGCGACATGGTGGCGTGGGTCCCTGGGTCGTAATGTGTTAGCCGCTCTGTACATCGTAGCCGACGACGACCGCTTGGTTCTCTTTGATTGAAAATTTCAATGACCAGGTGGTCCATGTCTTAGTTCAGTTGGCTAGAAGAATCTATCTGACAGATGTAATTTTTGATCTTATTTTTATGCTTTCTATGGCTTTTTATAGTCATTGTTGAACTTGCAGGGGCTGGCTGAGTACTTCGTTCAAGTTGTTACCCACTTTTTTCAGGACACCTCTGCGGTAAAAACCGTATGTCATGTTGGCCTTGGAGCCTTAGTCTTCATGCTGTAGTATACCATGTCCAGAAAAGCCAACGTCTCTTGCCCAGCCTTCTGCCCAGATCTATATAGCCCCATTTATTCTAGCCTCCTTCAATCTCTTCTCCTCTCGTTCGCTATAGCGATCGCCAAAAAGCCCGATATGAGGCCGTATCAGAATAGTATATTTCACAAATTCCTCCATACAATCCACCAACCGATCTCGATTGCCGCTAGGCATGAGTCGCTGATTATCCGGTTGCCCTTCATCCGGGAACTGTGTGTATGCCTTCGGGATTGAGGATTGATTGGGGATCGTAAACATGCGCATCCACCGACCAAGTATACGCAAAGAGTTAACGGCATTGAACGATTGTGATCCCCCACATACTTGAGCAATAGCCAGTGTTCGGCCCTGAGTTGGACGCACACTCCCTGTGCTCAGGGGGATCCAATCAATCTGATTTTTGAAGACGGCGGTCTGGTATTGGAAAGAAGATATGCGTAAGCGGTTGTCACGTTGGAAGCTTTTGTCATGCAGAGAAGGGGGAGAAAGAGAGGCAACTCACCAGATTACCGTGTTGCTCTGGTGAAACCCATACTTGTCCGTTACTCCAAGCACTAAGCTCTCGGAGTTCCTGCACCTTTGGATGATTTGTATCGCGGTCGTTCTTCACCGGCAGACCTTCAGGATCAAAGACTCGTACATCACAACCGAGTCGGAAAAGAATTCTGGAGGCTTCGAATGCCACAAGTCGTGAATAAGATCGTGTCCGGAGACTGCCATACAGCACCAGAACTTTCAACCGCTCCTTTGTGTTTTTTAGGTCACCTTCGGCCATATCGAGAGCGGTGCCCAGGTCTAAGTTGTTGACCCAGTCCTCGGTGCCATTATTGGGAATAATGAATGGCCGGTATTTCTGACGAATGCTGGAGTCATCTTCATTGAAAGATAGTTCCAAAGATCGGGAGATGGTTTCGGTTTGGTTGAAAGCAGAAATTACCTGCTGGGGGATGGTGGTAGACATGCTTTTTGAGAATATTGACAATGAAGGAGATGATGGTCCCTGCGCGACAATCGACCTGAAAGGCGAATGTAGCCTTTTGAGAGAATGGAAAACCATGAATTTGACGGCAGAGGAAAAGAAGCTACTACAAGGAAGCCATGCGATGTTCATTTTTATACGGGTAATGGAGTGTATGGGGGAAGCATGTCACTGGTGAATGCTGATTGGACAGAAGAGACGAGGCACGTACTTAGTACGACTTGCTAGTATGCTGCATGCACGCCTTCCCACGTGGACCCTTCATCGCCCCGCATGGTCTTTATAGATTGTTTCCTTCGTTTCAATTAATAGTAATATTCTTACGCAATTCAACCTGGTGGCTTTGGCCGAAAAAGACCAATATTGCCGCAGTTTCTCACAATTTAAATGCATCTTACACTACTGTATCTTATAGCCTGAAAACCTCGTTTGTCGGGTTCATAACGATGAACAATGATGCCAAGAATGGATACAGGTGCTCGGGTCAACTGGTAGTTATAATCTACTAACCTAGATGGGCAACGGCTCTAATTTTCTAACTACTGTATGTAGTAGTATCCTTTTAACAAAAACTGCGGCCAATTTGGATTACTGATTGTCCCCATAACCATATAATCTCTAAAATCCATATGTAAATGATGACTGCAAATACCTACTAGTAGGTGCAAATTTCGAGGTTCTCTAATTATTTCCGTTTCAGTCCTTCCAACCAACCCTTTTGGGTATAAATCTTACAACATAGACAAGCCCAAGCAGGACCGGTACCTCAATTAATGGCCCAACAGTAGAAGCAAGCGCCTGATTGCTGTCAGCACCAAAAGTCGCAACAGCAACCGCAATAGCCAGTTCAAAGTTGTTGCTGGCAGCAGTAAAGCTCTGAGTAGCGGCCAACTTATACCCAAATCCAAGTTTGTAAGTCACAAGAAGCGTCACAAAGAAAACAATAATGAAATAAACGACGAGAGGGGCCGCAACTCGGATCACAGATACAATCTGATGAACTACTTGGCGGCCCTGGGATGCGAATAGCACGAGGATTGTGAAGAGAAGTCCAATCAGTGACCACGGGCCAGCCCATTTCAAGAAGACCTCGTCGTACCAGCGGGGACTGGCGACTTTGCGAAGGGTGATGCGGGTGATAATTGCAGCTCCGAGTGGGATTCCCAGAAACACCGCAACACTCTTAGCAGCAGTGGAATAGGACAATGTGACTTGACTGCTAGAGTGACCGATGACCTTGATGAAGAAGATGGCCAAGGGCGCGAAGAGCACCATTTGTAAGAGGGAATTTATCGCAACGAGAATCGCGCAGTATTCGCTGTCTCCACCAGCGAGTCCGGTCCAGATAAGAACCTATTAGCGAACATCGAATGTTAATATTCGTTCAGCAATGTAGGCATAGTGTGGATTAAGAGGGGATAGTCTATTACCATAGCAATACATCTGGCCAAGCCGACTAGGATCAGTCCTTCTCGGAGTTCTGGCTCATCGGGCAGGAAAGCCCATGCCAGACCCAACTAGTCCGATCATATCAGTAAGGTTGCTCCGCCATGGCAAGTCGCGAGAAGGGTATATAAGAAACACAGAGATGCTCACCATTAAGAAAGGCGCAATGATCCAATTAACAACGATGCTAAAGGCCATTTGCACCCAGATACCACGCTGCCCCAGTATATGGTGTAATGATTCATATCTGACTTTGCAAAGAATGGGATACATCATAACCAAAAGACCGATCGCTTGGACTTGTTAGCTGATTTGAGATAAGAGTGTACCGAGTCTTGGATGGATAAGTACCGATTGGAATAGAAACCCCAACGAACTTCCCCTTTTGTAGTGCAGGACCTGTATTTTCCACAAAATTCCCCAATATAATCCCGATGGCCATCGCGAGAAAGATCCACAAGGCGAGAAAGCGATCTAACCAACCAAGACTTTGGAAGGCCGATTGCTTTGCCATGGTCTCTTCAGACTCATTGGTTTTCTGCTTCTCGGCATCATCAGATCTGGGACTTGACGATAATTCGTCTAATGCTGTGTTGTGCAGCTGTGGTCCTTCGTGGGGGAGAACAGTTTGATTGGCTGAGGCAATCATATTTGACATCGATGCCAAGTTCCAACTTCAGTGTTAATGGAAATCTTTCTGTCACCGGACAAGGTATAAAGATAATATATGAAGAGAATTAGAGAAATTGAAAGTACAAAAAAGCTGGACAAAAATTCCAGTTCTTCTACCATATGTAGATTGGGCAAAGTGGCCAATAACACTCAATGGGCTGAACTATAACATTGACCAATCAGCGTTGGGCAGTGACATGCTCAACGCCCGTGCTCCACAGGCATGGACTATACCGTGAACACTGGATAATCGAGATTTCTAATCGAAATTCCAAGATTACGAGTCACACTTCTACATTCTTTTGAATTAAGTGTTTACAAATTCATCCACATCTTCTATCAATGTCATCCTATCAGCCACGGATCAACGAAACAAAGAATGATTCCAGCAGCGTAACATTACCCGCCTGCCCTCCATGGCACGCAGCTTACCCTGCCCCAAGAAAAACAGCAGGCTCAATTTCTCGTTTGGAGATTCTTCGATGGTTTAATACGGGCAAGAAGGTCGGGAGAGACTTTGTCTTAGTGGACCTACGCCGCACAGACTTCGAGGTAGGTATAAGAACTCTGTTAAATCACCATTAGTACTTCCTCCTCACATATGAATCCTATACAGGGCGGTACAATCCGAGGCTCGTTGAATCTTCCAGCACAAAGCTTATATCCCACTATTCCAACACTTTATACCCTGCTCTCTCAAGCTGGAGTCCCCAAGGTGGTGTGGTATTGCGGTGAGTGTCACTCAATTTCTCTACTATGGAATGCCAGCTGATTGCAGAGATACTTGCAGGATCCTCTCGAGGACGGGGAACGCGTGCGGCTGGCTGGTTTGCCGGATACATTGAGGAGCAAAAAGACGGAGTAATGGAGAGCCTCGTGTTAGAGGGAGGAATCAAGGGCTGGGCGGCAGCTGGCGACGAGTATACTCGACTGATGGATGATTATGATGCATCAAAATGGAAAGAATAGGGTTTCCAGGACTCCAGGGGGAGAAAAGGTGCATAAATGCAAACATTGAATGGTTGCCTTGATCAAGAACCGTGACGGTGACCGATTATTCCAGTATTAGAGCAAGTCTTTGTACCCACTGGTAGGAACAGCATCAATGTGATTTCATAAATTTCAAAAGGCTATTAATTTACAACGACGGCATGATGAAACACAACTAATTAGCGCCCACCGCAACCATCCGGCTCGAGCTTCAAGACTCCGGAACAAGAAAAGGTTTATTTGCGCGAATTGAAATGGATAGAGTATGCCCAGTATGGTCTGAATGGTACCACATAGGATATGGATCATAGATCTAGTGAAAATGGGTGGGGGGAGTGGGTATCAAAAGTCGCAGATGTGCACTGACTCAACAAGTCTCCAAGTGATCGCTGATCACCTGCTAGTATGCATGACCCTCTTCGAAAACCAATATTGCTGCACAGCAGGTATCGATCTGGAGATAGATCCCCTCTTTCTTAACGAGGGTATCGGGATATGGGTCTTGTCTTGCCGACGTTGCAAGAGGCAACGGCGTCCGGGCGATGGACATAATTCGTCTATGCGAATCGCTTGAAGATGATCTCAGGGTCCTCATGCCATTCATCCGCACTCACCCACATCTGTTAAACAGCCATATGTTAGCTTGTGTCCCACATATTTGGAAATATGGCTAGGCATACCTTTCTAAATGTGCTAAGACCAGCAAGAATGCTGCCACCAATCCACGTAGTATACTTGCGCTCTGCGGGTGCCGAAATTCGGATCTTCATGTCCTCAACGGCAAGTCGCTTGATTTCGCGCATCAGACGGTCTGGGAAGTTCTTGCACAGTGTTGAACCACCGGAAAGCACGATGTTGAGGTATAGTGACTTGCGCAAGTCCAAGTCCGTGCGACTAATGGAGTCCTGAACGATTTGGTGCACACCGGGGTATTCGAGACCGATTAATTCAGGATCAAAGAGGATTTCAGGGGCACGGTAGCGTTCTTGGCCAATCTATAAGGGGGGAAAGTAAACATATCAGTAAGAGTCCCCCGATGAAGATAATAGGAGTATTATGGTGACTCACCTTGATCTTGTGCCCATCCGGTAGGACATAGTCAACTGCCTTGGCATCCGACTTGTGGTAGCTGTTCATCCACTCCTTTTCCTCGCGCTTCGGGTCCAGCGACACGTAGCAGACCTTCTCCTTAATCATACGCACCACCTCCTTTTCAGCACTGGTGTGCAAGACATGACCGGCTTTCCGGAGGAGTAATTGCAACTGCTCTGTAACATCACGACCAGCGACATCAATTCTGCGGATACTGTTGGGGATGGCGAAACCTTCGAACACGGGCACCGCATGGGAGACACCATCTCCGGAGTCCAGAACCACACCGGTCGTGCGCCCAGACGCGTAAAGAGAAAGTACGGCTTGAATGGACATGTACAAGGCCGGCACGTTGAACGCCTCAAACATAAGCTGGGCGGCGGTATCGCGGTTGGCGCGCGGGTTTAGCGGAGGCTCAGTGAGTAGCACGGGGTGTTCCTCGGGCAGAGTCTTGAGCTCGTTTTCATAGACGTAGTGCCAGATGGACTCCATATCCTCCCAATTTGTGACGATTCCGTGTTCGAGCGGATACCGGATTTTCAACAGACCGCGGAGGTCCTGTGCGCGCTGGCCGATGAACGAGTCGCCTTCGAGGCCACCGGCCATGACCCGCGGATGTTTGGGACGACCGACGAACGAGGGGAAGTAACATGATGGGATTTCCTCTCCTGCGAAACCGGCTCGGATAGTTCCACTGCCATTGTCGATGACAATTGGCACGTTATGTAGGGTAGCCTCTGCCATTGCGGGGGGTTGGGTGGTAAACGGGGGAGGTTCGGGGATGTTTGAGGCGCGGTAGTAGTATGAGACGGCCCCACGGCCTATGATCGGCAACTCAGAGGAATCGAGAGCAATGGCCAAGAGAAAGGATTATGGATGATTGCAATAGGTGTTGACCGTGGTTCACTTTGTCGAGGGGAGTAGGATGTTTTCGCGTCGGGGAGTTGTCAACAAGAAGCTTGGGCCAATGATGGCGCCCCATGCAACATCCACTCGGATCTTGGATTGAACGGCGAACCTACCACATGTCGATTAGTGCAAGCTTTGTTAGGAACTCCACGTATCATTTATTAAATCCTATGGCACTTGAGAGCTATATTGAAAAAACCATGATAAGTCGTCAGGTTCTTATAGAGCATTGAATAAAGTGGTTTTGTAATGTGCAAATCCTCAAACCTCGGACCGTTAAGACAACCTTGGAATAATCAGCTTCCAGGGATTTGGACCAGCTGGTGGAAGTTACGGAATCATTAATGAAATAAATAGAACAAAATACATGAAAGACTCATTCAGAACCGTGTGACCACGCCCACAAACGCCTGGCTAAGCACAAATATCGCTCCCTCCCCTCTTCCCAAATAATAATAAACAGTATTCCAGGTACCGTAAAACACACAAATCTCCAGACCAACAGGAAATGCAATTATGTGGTCGTCCGTTATAGAGCATAGTACTTGTTGCTTGTTGTACGCGCAAAGTATGATGTATGCCTAGTCAACAAACGAGAGTTGATCGCCCAGGGAGCGATTCATGAAATGCTGATCCATAGACTTGGTCGGTGAAAATCTGTGAGCACGCTGGACAACGGCTCTGCCAAAAGCATGCTCAATTTTGCTAGTACCAGGACACGTTAACTGAAATGGATCATCATAACGATACTACACACCCACAGAATATACTTACTCCGGAGCACTCGCAATGCCATATCCAAGCTTTTCCATTTGAGCCGCCACGTCTTCCTGGTGATTGCCTGCGAGTTTGGAATTTGGGACAATGATAAGTGGCACACCACTCCGCAGACCCTCCAAGATTGACCCGGTACCTGCTCAAAGTTAATTCGCATTTAATGAATAGTTCCCCAACAGGCAGTAGCATATGGCTAGAGTATGCATCACTTACCAGCATGGGTTATCATAAGACCAGGGAATGGGTCACAATGCTGTTTTGCCTGGCGCTTTACCTTTGCTCCTGTCATGGCCAAGCGTATAAAGGGACCCAAATCGTCTTTAAAATCGAACGCCTCGATGGTGATGCCATGAGGTAAGGATTGAAGATTGGCTACAAGCTCCTCAAATTCCTCAAATTCGTCACGTCCATATTGGACGGTGAGGTGAGTGAATCCAGACTTGGAGAGCCTCTCGACAAAAGACTCCGCAAGCACTGCCAGGACGAGCTCACGGAAGGGGGCTGTGGCACCCACAGTCACAAAGCACAGCTTTGGAAATGCATTATGAGGTTCTTTCCTCTTGAGTGTGTCAGTTGAGCTCATTATGAGGAATAATCCAGGCAGTGGAAATGGCAAATAAAGGGGACAAAGATTTCAGCTGAACAGAAGGTTTGGGGCATCTCTGAATAGTGTCAAGACTCAAGTTCCTCGCGAGTCGTGATATTGTTATGACGATAACCCGCCATCCGATAATCGATAAGCGATAAGTGGTCACGTGCATCGATAACACTTACCACGTGACCTGAGCCTAGCTAGGCTTAGCGTGGAGCGGACTTAGATGGAAAACATCGACAGCAATACAGCCATCTAGCCTCCTGTCTATGCCCCCAACAATGGCTTCAGCTACACGATCACTGGTACGGTCCACTCGATTCCTGTCCCAAAGAGGCTCAGGATGGATCTCCACACGCCAATTCTCGGTTTCTCCATATAGATCTGTCTCCGAAGACCCAGTGATCCCTCCTCCGCCGAAGGACTTGAAGCCAGAAGACTACCCGCCAATGCCCGAGTACTCCCCCGAAAACCTCACCAAGGAAGACCGCTCTATGTATGACATGATGTCTCCAGAGGAGCGCGCGGCTTTTGACGCCGAAAACCGTCGCCTTGTTGCCGACTACAACGATGTCGGCAAGCGTACCGCGGCATTTGCGGCGCTGGAGAAGAAGGTCAACCAAATTGATAAGGAGGAGGACATAAGATTTGAGGATATCCGAGCCAAAGCGCGTGGATTCTGGGCCGAGGACGAAGACGACGAATTGGCCCTAGTTGAAGACGGTGACGAGGAAATCAACGATGATGAAATTACTTCTATGGCTCATGCCGAAATGGAGGTGCACCGTGAAATGAGAGAATACGCTCGCATTGCGGCATGGGACATGCCAATGCTAACCAGTACGATTGATACTTGTGAAGTACTCTATGTTTATCCAAATTTGGCTAATTGTCCTCGCAGAACTCGCAAGCCCCTTCACCCTGCCCCCTCAAAACCACATCCTCCGCTTTCGCTACACTACCTACATGGGTGAACAGCACCCTGCTGAACCCAAGGTTGTTGTCGAACTCGCTTCCAAGGACTTGACACCTAATCACCTGACCGAAGCCCAGCGCCAAACCTTCCTCAAGCTGGCCGGTACCCGCTACAACCCCCAAACCGACATTGTGCGCATGTCATCCGAACAATTCGGCTCACGTGCCCAGAACAAGCGTTATCTTGCCGATCTCGTGAACTCTCTCATTAAGGAGGCCAAGACTGGTGATTCTTTTGCCGATATCCCTCTCGATCTCCGTCACCACAAGCCCAAGTTCCGCCCCCAGTTCCCCGACTCCTGGAATATGACCGATGAGCGCCGTAAACAACTTGCCGCTCGCCGTGAGGAACGCTACAACGCTGAGAAGCAACGTGAAGCTATTGTGGATGGCAACCAGATTGTTGGGCATGCTGTTCTTTCTCTTCCTGAATTCAACCCCGCGCTTAAGGCCAAGGCTGATGCAGAACGGGAACGAGTTGCTATCAGCGTTGGGGGTCGTGCAAAGAAGCCGCTTCGTCGGTGAGATGTTAGAAGACCCTGTACATTTCCTTGCGTGGTCTCATTATCTGGTGTGTTGGTTGGATAAAACCATTCGCGAGGCGCGGGCGCATATTTCTCGAGGCCTTACCGGGCTTCATGTTTTCTAGATGTACTATAGCCATTGTATTCAAATTTATTGGTGTCTCGCTGCCATTTGTTTCTCGGACTTCTTCGGGAAAAAAAAAATAAGAGGTTGATTTTGAGTACTTGCCAGTCCGTTTTGCGTAGGCCTAAAACCCGCGAGGCTCGGCCCGAACTTTAAGCCTCCGTCAACTTACACTGAATAATACTAGGTACTAAATCATCTACAATATCGAAGGAAGGGAGAGGTATCAAAAAACAAAATATTTTTTTATTGGCTTTTTAGCTAAAACCCCCAAACCTCACTTTCGTCTTGGCTGCTCCAATCCCAAGCTCTCAAACTCACCACCCCCGTGAGGGGTCCAGGCAAATCTGTCACAACAGGATCATCAACCGTAACAAAATGTAAGATAAAAGGCGTACGCCCTGCTTGTCCACGAAGCTTTGGCTTTCAATCAGGATCCTAGTCACAGGTAATGCGATCAACAACGTGGAAACAATTAGCAGGGTGTAAACTGTTTCAGATATCATCGCGATGAAAAAAAAAAAAAAATTAAAATCAGAATCAGAATCAGAATCAGAACAAATCAAACCGATAAATCGCAAAAGAAATCGTATCATCGGGCAACAGGCTCAGTGAGTCAGTCGGTGCTGATATTCATCCGGTACCCATGAGAGCGCAATTGAAAAGGTGTTGTCGTTGTTCGAGGCAGTTCTCATGATGGTATATCGTATCAGAAAGGATATAGGAAATGCCAGCATGAGACTGAGAACGGGTATTGGCGATAAAAAATATGGTGTGTAAAAATGCTGGAACGGGGTAAAAGATAATCGAAGAGCGAGCGAGGAACCAGAAAAGCAAGGAGAACAATCGCGAAGCAAGAGAAAGGAACAAGAAGTCAAACCAGTTAAGACAGGCAAAAATTCCGGAAAATCTTTGTAAACTTGCAGACAAATGAAAATATCTCACCATATTTTCACAACACAATATCACGTTGAAATGGAGAGTGACCATTTGAACATATGCTTTTCCAGGTCAATTAGATATCGAAGTTGTCGTACATATCGATGGGGCGCTTAGCAATGGGACGCTTCGTAACGGGGCGCTTGGTAGAAGTGAACTTGGGAGGTTTCACGTCAACGATTTTGTCAACTACAACCTCGGGATCAATAAGAGCACCAGTCTTGGGGCACTGAGACTTAGGAGGATAGATAACATCCTGACCAATGGCTCCAAAATTGAAGAGTACCGTGTGCGGGTGAATTGGGTCAGATTTCTTGACAAGCTCACCAAGAAGATAGCCCATGGTAGAAAGCACAGGACCAGACTCAGGACGTCCATCGGGGTGGAACAGGTCCTCAAGCTCATCAAGCTTGGAGTGCATACCGGTCTCAAGACCCAACAAATCTCCATCTGAGCCGAAATTGAAATTCTGACCAGCACGGACAGGGGGGAAAAGTCCGGTAGGGCTATCGGGGGGTCAGGAGTGTGGGGAAACCTGTGTTAATTGCCTGCGAACTATTGAAGAATGGCTTGTTGTGTTCAGGCTTCAGGGTAGAACGTCCATCCATTCCCTCTTTCGCGCGGGTCAGCGGAAATTCAGCAGGAGTCCAAGGTGGCGAGAAAAAAGGCGCAGCAGGAGAAAAACGAGAACGTCGAATGTACGTACCATCGCGATCCAAGAGGTGAGGATCCAGATGGGAGGAGATGTTGAGAGACTCGCCTCCGAATGTGGGCGTAGGGTACGAGGAGGCTGCATTAACTCCCGGGGCAACAGAGGAGAAACCATGGGCAGCATGAGGCGGGATAGCAAAAGGCGAACCCTGAGCATACATGCTGGGGAATCCGCTGTTCTGGCTATTTCCCTTGATGCTGCTATTGTTCCCACTAGTACCAGTGCCTGGGGTGATAGTATCTCCTTGTTCAGACTTCACAATACGAAGCACATCTTGCACAATCATTGCCTCATTGTTGTTAGTGACATTGTGAAAGCCATTGCTCACTCCAGTGGTCGAAGCGCGGTTGCCATTGTGGCCGACATTGTGATTACCGTTGTGGTTGGCGTTAGTGTTGTGAGTGCCTATGTGGCTACGGCCATTACCGCGAGCCTTGGCATTTTGACCAGCAGCACGGTTGCCTCTGAATCGGCCGTTGTTGGTGCCGCGGTGGTTGGTGTTAGAGGTCTCGGCAAGGTTGACACGTTCATTAGCCACAGGAAGAGGTTCCTTGTACTCGATAGCAAGTTGAGTCGGGGGGCGGTAGGCTGTATTCAAAAGACTTGGGAGGTTGAATTTCTCGCGATACCATCTGGGGATATCACGCAGACCAAGCTCGCTAACGAGGATGTCCTCGGAAGGCATCTCGTGTTTGTACATACATCCTATGGTTAAAGATGTCAGCGGGTGTATGAGTGTATCCAAGTGAAGAGTCAATGCAAACCTTGCTGAAGGTAATCACACTCGCCGTGACGAATCCAGTAGGAGCAATAGATTTTAGTCTTGGCACCAGTCCGGTTGTGCTGCTGAAATCGGAGTCAGTGCGTTCTTCACTTTGAGCAAAGACAGTCTATTTACCTTATCTCCATTTTGAGAATTGGCAGGCCCAAGGGGAATCAGGACTTTAGAGAATGGCACATTGTCCAAGTGCCGGGTCATGGTGTCCTTAAGAAGCTGGTGGTATCCAACGGGAAGAGCATTGTCTTCAAGGATCTTCACAAGAACGGACTTGAGTTCACCCAAATCTTTCTTGGGCGAGACCGCCATTCCAGCAGCAATGGGGCCTTCAATGACCCAAGGATCCTGTCGAGCAGGGGCAACGCCACAACTGATCATACCTTGGGTTGCAGCTGCGTTCATGGTTCTGGGGACTCCTCGAATCGAAACGCCGACGGGGAACTCGTCAAGTGGAGCCATAGGGGTCAAAACCCCATCAGGGCGAGTAGCAAAAAACAAAGGGCGAGTATCAGCCATCTTGGACGCGTCTCACAAAAGATGAATGCAATCCAAGACGTCTAAGACACAAACCTCGATTAAGAACGACTACTTGGTAGAGTTTTGCGAAACAAGAAGCTTTGTGCGCTTGATAGCCTTGTGTAGGCTGGCAAACAGTGACGATATCTGATGAAGATACCAAAAAGAAGGTTGAAAAATGATGGGAAGGGGAAGGGAACAGGAAGGGAACAGGAAGAAGTAAAGAGGTTGGAGAAGGGAACAGGAAGAAGTAAAGAGGTTGGAGAAGAGAAGGGGAAGAAAGGAAAGAGGAATCAACTTGGTAGATTTTAAACGTTCACTCACTTGGGAATCGTAGTGAATTCTTTTAGCGAAGAGTCACGAGCAGCACCTAGAAGACTATGGATTCCCTTAGTACTCTTGAATCCTAGTACATTTGAGAAATTTCCTAATACCGTGACTTTCCCACTAAGCCCATGCGCAAGAACACCTTAAAAAAATGCAAAGACCAGTATAATTTAGGGGCGTAAATCAAAAGCATACCAAAATCACATCAACGGGGAGTGGGGAAACATAGGAATTGTACTGCAGAGCCCATCCGGGCCATTCCCATACATTGAGAAAATCTGCCCACTACTTGTCGGGGTTCCTTATTTCCAAGATCAGACCTTTCAACTACGACAACTCAGCATACGACATAAAGACCACAATGTCTCTTTAACATGAAGGAATGCTGATAGAATCTGCAGAGGTTTAGAGCCGAATCGGATAGCCACAGATGTTGTCCAGTCAAGATCTCAATATTAACTTCCAACTGACACCTTTCATGGCCTCATCGATACCGAGAGCTTCAAATATCAAGGCTCTGAATCACGCGTCTTCCTCCATCCTGTTCACACCAAAACGCCAGATTACGCAACATGTCCAGTGTTAACACTGCTTGAATACAATCATGCTTCCAGTGTTCAACTAGGGTGGCTGAGCTAGAAGGGAGGTACCTATCTCAAAGGAAAATCCGCTTTCAAATACTATGTCAAGACTCTATGCTAACAGTGTGTGAACTTTCTTCCTAGAGACCCGATTACCACCCTGTTTTGCAGCGAACAAGCCTCGAGCCTCATGAAATGATCGCCAGCCGCTACTGTGGCTATTCCATCCGTGCAACATAAAGGACAAGAAAAGTTTTTGCTGGGGTAAAAAGGGGATGCCATCGTGTCGAGTCGATCCTATCTCATTAGGCTTGCCGCTTGAATGCCCTAACTCCAGTTTGCATTCCGAGGGCGGCTAGCCTGGCTCCTCTGCCCCACAAAACAGCGATGTTCCCGAGCAAAGCCCAAGGGCCAAGTATACAACTTCTGGTTCTCGGCGTGGTCTCAGAGCCCCCTTTGGCTCACAATCTAGCGAATCTTGTATTTTGTACACCGAGGCGTCAGTACCAGGAGGATGCTACAGGCGAGGGACTGTTGTTTAGCCCTTGGCATTTCCCAAATAACGGTGGCAAGACTCAAATGCTTTCAAAATTGCCACTGGAACTATTCTACCAGCCTGGACGTCCACGAAAGCCGTGGTAGATACAAACGAGAGACTCAGACTGCATAGTAGTCAAATTAGAAGCATGGAGGGGTTATCCACTAGTACAAAAGATGCTTAGTTCAGCTATCCATACTAGGTCCCATACATCAAATGCCCAACACTGAGTGACCTGTACCTACATGTACCTTTGAAGTATACATCTAACCAACCCATGGATACATATTTGCATTTTCAATGTTTAGAATACATGTCAACGCCTTCTAGATGTCAATAATATTTATAGAAAACTCGCACTCACCTTGGCAGTACTCACATAATATTTACATTCAATCACGAATCACATCTATCATATGTGCAATATTGAATAAGCCCTGGAGGTCGTGGATCAGTCTTGACTCTTGACTCTTCAAAGGAACCTTCCAGCAACTTTCTTATATTTTGACTTTTGATCATTGAATATAGTCAAGGTTATTTATTATATTCAATAGCTCTCAGCCTACTAGTAATGGCATGGTTGCCAATATTGATTGAATGGTCTCGGACTCTTAGGAATCACCGTTCTACCATTCATTTAGCGCGGCCCGCGGGGTAGCCCAAGGCCCCAAGGCCCCAAGGCCCCAACTTCCAAGTTCCAACGCCAAGTCCAACAGTACTAACTTCGATAACGATCGATAAGCAGATAATACGCTATCGATAAGGTCGGACTATAGTTCTTCCGGGTGAGATCGCGTCCAACGCGTTCATTCAACTCTATCATTGTCTTCTCTACCCACTACTCGACATTTAAAATGCCCTGTTCCCTTTCCTCTCTTACACAATCCATTCGAAAACTCCAATCCAACCAATGACTTTAGCTTTCACCAAGACCCGTTTGAACATTCTCGATTCATTCCTGATCTGACATATCGTTTGTTCACTTGACTAATACATAGATACCAATAAACTGATTGGAAGAGTGATCATGTCTGAGACAACGGGCGTTGAGTCGCCCGAGTCTGGAAATATCGACAACGCGGCAGAGGGGCTCCTGAACCAACAATGGCAAGCTCAAGATCAAGAAGGATTGCCCGAAGACCCGGCTGTGAAACCCAAGGCCGTTCTTCAAGTTCTTGTCCCGGCCGTTGATAACAGAGACGACTATGGATACTTGCCAGGTCACTTCGCCGTGCGCAGGATTCTGAAGTTGGACTCGGAAAATCCTAAGAGCCCATCTTACACCGTGAGACTCCAAAGTGGAGAGCGTGAAACAGTAAGAGATCACAATACATGCTTAGAGTCTTGTCTGATGTTGATTAACTAACTTTGTGGCTTCTTGCCAGATGTCCTATGATCGATTCATGCGGCTAGATAGCAGTATGCAAGCTCTGGATCAATTCAATCCGGACTCGGATTCGAGTGACGATCTCGTTGTCATTGATAGGAATTCCCGAGCGCGCAAAAAGAATAAATTCACATATGGAGATGGAGCAGCGGACGAGTCTGATCCAGAATTTCCTGCTGCCCGGAGCAGTCGCCGAAGCAGTCGCCCAACTCGGGGCCGAGCTGCTGCACCAGGAAGATTTACCGACTTTTTTCGTGTCCAGACTGAAAGTGAAGGAGAAAAAGATTCGGATGCTTTAGAGAGCTCAGATGACGCACTCCATATCTCTGCCGTCTCCAACAAGAAATGGCTACGACGAGGAGCGAAAAGAGCTAAACTTAGATCATCTGACAACGAGACCTCAGACCACGAAAGAGGCACACGCAGATCGAAAAGAACCACCCTCAAAAAAAATCTACGGGAACCATTTGAAGATGACTTCTCTGAATCCGAAAGCGAAGCCCCACGCAGGTCGAATCGGGAACGTAAAACCATTCGAAAGAACATGCGAGAGCGGCTTGAAGATGATCTTTCTGAAGCTGAGAGCGGCGGCCCACGCCAACAGAAGTACTCCGGCGCCAAAGAGTTCTTCCTCGAACTCGCTCCTGATGACGAGTTCAGAGTGAGCCATTTTGAATGTTGCTCTACATGCAAACGGTTTGGCAATGACGAAGAGAAAGGCATTCTTGTGTTCTGTCAAGGTTGTAGCTCCTCATACCATCAATCCTGCCTTGGACCACGTGCCAGTCGAGAGCATCTGGTCACTAAGATTGATGAAGGAAATTTTATCCTTCAATGTCGTCGGTGTCTCGGCATCTCTCACGAAAGGCATGACATTCGCCCACATCTAGGTAATTGTGCTGTTTGCAGAGAGGCAGGACCAATGTCGCAACCCCTGCGGCAACGCTTCACATCCAAGGAGGAGCAGAGACTCCGGGTGGAGAACGACGGAGTGGACCCTATCACTCATATTGACATGAATCGGGTCAATAATACCCGCAATGTCCTTTTCAGATGCACCACTTGCGATCGAGGATTCCACATTGACCACTTGTCATATATCAACACCGCGCACGAAACCGATGCAACCGGCGAAACCGATACTTTGCGCGGATACAAACACCGGCAATGCCATGAGTGCTCATCTACTGCGGGCGAAATCGAGATTCTCGTGGCTTGGCGCCCCGCTGCATCCGACATGGACAAAGTTGAAAAAAACAAATCGCGCTTGCCTGAGCTTGTCCCGGAAATCGACAAGGAGTACCTCATCAAATGGAAGAATAAGTCGTATTTCCGTGTGACTTGGATGCCTGGAGACTGGGTATGGGGTGTCAGTAGTCCTGCCATGATGCGGGCGTTTTATCAGAGGACGCCGAGAGAAGCAATCTTTACGGCTGAAAAGGCGATTCCCGAGGCCAACATGCGAGTAGACATCGTGTTCAATGTATCATGGATGTCAGAAGATATGTCATCCAATGACGAAAAAGGTCCTGAGATGGTTCAGGAGGCCTATGTCAAATACAAGGGCTTGAATTACGAAGATGCAGTGTGGGAAGCACCTCCGACACCAGATGAAACTGAGCGTTGGGAAGACTTCAAGTTAGCCTTCAAAGATTGGCTACGCCGCGGCACAATCCCAAGTTTGGACCGCAAAAAACTCAAAGATCATCTGACAGCTACCTGCCAGTTAAATTTTGAGGAGTTGGAACTAAAGGTTCAACCGAAGATGATCATCAACGGAAAGTTGATGGATTATCAACTGGAAGGTGTGAATTGGCTTTATTACAAGCACATTCGACAAGACAACGCAATTCTCGCAGATGACATGGGCCTCGGGAAAACGCTGCAAGTCATCAGCCTATTTGCGACCCTCATTGACAGGCATACGCGCTGGCCATTTTTGGTAGTCGCTCCAAATTCGACAGTTCCGAATTGGCGGCGTGAGATCAAGTCATGGGCACCAGATATTCAAGTTGCGACATATTTCGGCTCCAAGTTTGCGCGCCAAATGGCCTACGACCTAGAGATGTTCCCGGAAGGCGGAAATGAGATCCGCTGCCACGTCGTAATTGCTTCATACGAGAGCATGGTTGACAGTGAAGCAAAGAGGGTGTTGTCCAAGGTTCATTGGGCAGGTCTGGTGGTAGATGAAGCTCATCGTCTGAAAAACGATCACTCCCAGCTCTATGAGCGCCTTGCTCGCATGAAGTTTGACCACAAGGTTCTCCTCACTGGCACACCACTTCAGAACAATATCCGGGAGTTATTCAATCTGTTACAGTTCGTTAATCCAAAAACGAAGGCCGAAAAATTGGAGGAACAGTATTCTGACCTCACCTCTGACAATATCCGGGCTCTTCACAAACTGATTAGTCCGTTCTTCCTCCGTCGTACCAAAACCGAGGTGCTACCTTTCTTGCCACCGATGGTGCAAATAATCGTGCCTGTTTCAATGTCCTTTGTACAAAAGAAACTTTACAAGTCGATCTTGGGGAAGAACCCCCAACTGATAAAAGCGATTTGCACGACCCATACTAGCCAGATCAAGAAGCAAGAAAGGTTGAACTTGAACAACGTTCTGATGCAGCTCAGAAAATGTCTTTGCCACCCATTTGTTTACAATCGAGAAATCGAGGAAGTTACCAATGATCCAATACTGGCTCACCAGCGCTTGGTAGAGGCTTCTGGAAAATTTGAGCTTCTGAACTTGATGCTACCAAAGCTACAGGAGCGAGGTCATCGTGTTCTGATTTTCAGTCAATTCCTCGAGAACCTGGATCTTGTTGAAGATTTCCTTTCGGGGATGCAGTTGCTCTACTGCCGTTTGGATGGCCAATTGATAGCTCGCGAGAAGCAGCAACAGATTGATCTTTTCAACGCGCCTGACTCTCCATACTTTGCCTTCCTGTTGTCGACGCGATCCGGTGGTGTTGGTATCAATCTTGCAACCGCTGATACCGTCATAATCATGGATCCGGACTTCAACCCAAAGCAAGATATGCAAGCTTTGTCCCGTGCTCATCGAATTGGTCAGAAGAACAACGTTCTTGTCTATCACCTGACAACACGAGCATCTGTAGAGGAAAAAATCATGGAACGGGGTAAGAAGAAATTAACCCTGGATCACGTCCTCATTGAGCGCATGGAAGACGAGGAGGACGAGGAGGACCTGGAATCGATTTTACGGCATGGTGCCCAAGCTCTGTTCAACGATGACCATTCAGCCGATATCCATTATGACTCAGCATCTATCGATAAGCTTCTTGACCGAAGCCAAGCCGAAAAAGCTGATGAGATGAAAAGATCGGATCAAGGTGATAAGGATGCTACAAACCACCAAGCGAATTCACAGTTCAACTTCGCTCGTGTCTGGCAGAAGGATGCAGGAACTTTGGAAGAAGTGACTGTGAGTGAAGATGCGCCTATTGACGAAAACCTCTGGGCCAAAATATTGGATGCCCGCGAGATCCAATCCCGGGATGAGGAACTTCTCAACGCCGAAACTTTTGGCCGGGGGAAGCGAAAGCGCGCTCAAGTCAACTACCAGGCAGTAACCGAGGAAGCCCAAGAACTTGATGGAACGACATCAAATCAAGCATCTCCTGTCAAAAAGCGCAAGAGCAAGGGAAGTGGTGATAGCGATGATGAATTCCAGGGGAAGGGCTCTGATGAAGAGATTGACTCTGCCGATGACTCAATCGGGGAGGATGATCGCATGGACATTGATCCTTTGCTCCCGAAACATACTGGTCCCTTCAAGCGTGTTCATGTCCCCGAAGAACCCCCACTCTCGTTGGGCCTTGACGGTTCATCGGACTCTATGGCGTCTTGCCTGGCTTGCGAGAAACGCCATGAGCTTGGTCACTGTCCTTTGAAAGGAGCTGGTGTGGAACACTGTCCACTCTGTGGCCTTGCGCACCTAGGAGGACGGCGTGCTTGTCCGAACTTCAATTCCAAGTACCAGGTTCAACTTATGCTGCAAGCATTGTCTCAAAGCAACGAGGACCCTAGTCTGGTTCATGCTGCTAAACAGTACTTGCGTGGTGTCATCGGCCATTTGACAAATGCCGAGCGTAAAAACTCTGCAAATGTGAAAGAAACTGGTCAGTCCAGCAAGTCGCCTTCACTTGCGGCTGATCTATCTAGGTCAACAAGCAATCTAGGCAGCTCGGATCCCAGACTGGCTCTGCCCCTACTGGGTAGCTTCACCCATCAAACGCCCAAGACATTTCAACAACAGGCTGATCTGTCCAAACCTGGCATGCATGCCAATGGGATGGAAACCACGCTGGTGCAGCCTCTTTATGGTAGCTCGTCACAAGAACATCCCGCTCATTCAACTATGCCCCTTGTACCCTCGCAGCAGCCCATGCCCCTGAGCCAGAGCGCGTTGGTACCCCGTCCACTTACATCCGACGCACAGGTTGTTGACCTGACTGGGCCCGATGAGTTGGATGAGGTCCCCTACCACTCACCATATCCTCACTCTGCAGGCCATGGACAGTGCTAAGCTCACTATTATGTACTATCTATGATGACTTTTGTTTTATTTTTCTTTCATTGTTTTTTTTCCGGCGCAGTCTGTTTGGCATTTATGTTTGTGATACCCTATTTTTTAACTCATTCAAGATATGAATTTCAGTTTGACACATTTGGCTTTGCCCAGAGCCATCCAGGATATCCGTAAAACCATGTAGGCCGAGGTGGCTTCACCGCTACTAGATAGCTGGAGATAATCCACCAGGAATATAAATTGTTCTCAGGTGAGCAACGTTGTTAACATTTGAATGGTTCCAGGGGTTTTTGCCCGTAATGGGGCCAAGGTTGAAATTACTTGTACCGTCATCCCACTTAGCCCCTTCCTCCTCAAGTGCTTGCCAGCCACTGTTCTCACTCACCTATCTTTCCATTTGGTGGTGGATTCCAATTGAACTGCCTTCTCTACTACCTTCAAGTCACCATGGCATATCTCGACTTCCAACACAATGACGAAGAACATAGAGCCGACACAAAACCAGTCTTCTATGACAAAGACGGATCTTCACTCTATGAGAACTTGAAGGTGAATAGCAGCATTTATTATAGCGGCGCAAACAGAAGACCTGATCTCTCACAGCCCTGGAATCATATTAACATAGTCCGGGGAGGAAATGATCAAAATGTTAGTGGATGCTGGCGGAAGGCAGAGCAATTGCGGGTGGAAACCCTACATAGGCTACTAGTACGATTAAGGCATCAAGATTCAAGATATCAAAAAATAAGGGATTGGCCCCCACTTTTGCCTCACGCCCCCAACCACATGACGCTGGCTTTCACTTTAATCAGCAGTGGCAGTCTGTCAACATTGAAAAACCATATACGAAATTGGATTCTGTATCTCATCATGGTTTTCCGAGGGAAACGAAGCACGGCATGTTCACTCTGTCGCGAACGAAGAATCAAAGTAAGCCTCGGCCACGATTTTTGATTCGGCGGGTCTCCTAATCCAAGATCAGTGCGATCGTCGTCGCCCTGCGTGTTCACAATGTATCAATGTGACCGCCATATGTACTGGCTACAGAAAAGAGATAGACCTTATGTTTTACGATGAGACTGGAGCTGTGACACAAAAAGCCAAGTCACGCGACTCTAAATCATCCTCGGGGGCCAGCGCTCCCCGGCAGTCAACACCCCCACCACAAATGCAATCACTTGCGGATCCTCCTTCTGTGCGTGCGATCAATCTTTTCACAACTGCTTATGCTGGTGGTACCTATCTCGATTGGCTACCCACTCTGTATTTGCCTTGTGGGCGACCTGCTTCGCTAGACGTTAGCTTTGAAGCCGTTGCTTTAGGATACATGGCAAATGTGCAGCGTCGAGGAGATCTGCGGATCCTAGCCCAAGAAAAATATGGGATTGGGCTGCAGCATACCATGAATGCCCTTCAAGGGCCAAAGTCCGCCACTCCGGAGACCGCGGCTTCGGTTTTATTATTGGCGTTATTTGCTGTCATTTCGTCGGACTCGTACCATGACGCACAAAATGTCTGGTCCAAGCATATCAATGGGATCTTGGCGATATTTGAGTCGGGCACATCTTCCACAATGTTTCAAAGTCATGCTGGCCAGGGACTTCTTCATCATATCATTTCAGTTGTCCAGATAGACTGCTTACAGCGCCGTTTGCCTCTGCCTCCTCAACTTCAATTGTTGTATTCAGCCTCTTGGATAAATGAGAGTGTCCAGGCAGCGAATTTCTGGGAAGTTCTTGGTCGACTTGCTCTACTGAATACGCAGTTTGACGAGTCTTCAATCTCACTACTCTACATTGGGCAGTTACAAGAAGTGGAGAAGGATATACAGTCTTTATTGGAATTGATGCCCCAATTGTTCCCCGACCAATTTGCTTTTTCTGACACCACTGTCAGCCAAAATATTGATTTCAGTCGAACTGGGTATCAGCCTCCGGTCCACAGCTTCAGCAGCTTTCGAGTTGCTCAGACCTGGAACACGTTGCGAATGACACGGCTGTTTAATGCCAACCTACTTCATTCAAGCATCATGGCCTATCTATCTCATAGCTTTGCGATAGCAGAAGATGTCGAGGATACACTACTTAGAATACTCAATGAGGCATCTAATATTGCATGGCAAACAGCAGTTGAAATCTGTGCCAGTGTACCGGAATTGTTGAGGCCAGATGCTTGGGTCAATAACCCAAGCAATTCATTCCTATTTTCCGGGTGGGCAAGCTCTCTCATATGGCCACTGAGCCTAGCTCGAGCTTCTCCACATGGCTCAGAGGAATTGCAAAATTATATAGACAGACAGACTTACGTCTTGAGAACTATCACCGGAATGAAAGCCATGCGCCAAGAACCTCTTTCGCCTGACAGCGACAAAAACTGGTAAGGAGATTCACAGCCATACTATTTATGTCCTTGGATTCTAATTGAACTTTAACCAACAGGATGCACTTGATCTTTCTGTGCTAGTTTTTGATATTCTTGTCCATAATTTGCATTCCTACTATGTAGTAGATAAGACGCCAACTTCTCGCCTAGGCCTCCTCTGCTACTCTAGCTAAGACCTGTCCCAGATGCGGCTCTTCTATTGTACCCCAGTCTTCTATATATTCTTTAGAGAACATTGAATTTTAGTTTCGCCACAAATTGACTTTGAATGCTAAAAGTGTCACGGATTCCACTGTAGCATGGCGCTCACTGGAGTTCCTCCACAACACGAGCTCATTTAGAGGAACTGTTCCGTAGGAAAATGGATCAATATTCACCACACAATAGTCATTCCAGACTGTTGTAGAGTTTGTAGAGCCATCGTAATCGTCAATTACATCGATGAGCCGCCACACTTCGCCAACTTGACCGTCATGCGTGCGCCTCGTTTTAAAGGTAGGGAGGAGCTGGAAGTACATATCACCACTCGTACCGGCGGTTGAGGACACGAAGGGGATTAGGTTTGCCAGGACGTCTGTGGAATTCGAGATCCACGAGGAGATGTACAAAGACCGTGATTGAGTCTGAGTGAGAGTGATCGAAGAATTCAAGTTTGAATCAGTAGAGGAATAGATTCCTCCGTATGAACTTTCCAACTGGGACTGTGCCTCAGACTCTGCTGCGACGATGAGTGGGTTTAGAACATCCGTGAATATTGTGTTTAGTGCAGACAAGCCTCCAGCCACGCCCATGAAAACCACAAGGTTGTACTGTGGGATGATAAAACTGTAGGTATAGTAGTCCGTGAGGCCTCCGCCTTTTGTGTAGAATGTCACAGGACGTTTTGTGTCTGGCAGGATCGAGGTAGTCCGGAAGATTTCCCACGGATATCCAAGAAGCGAGTGAGATCCAGAATTCCAGGCTGCAGGCTGGAACCAGTTCAGCGATGGGGTTATTTTATCATAATTTTTGAGGACCCAGCGAAGAAATTTGATCATATCCGAAGAGGAGCTGTAGATCCCGGCACTCCTGTACAAATTATTAAAATTTGAATTGATCGTAGGGAGCAAAGTTGACTCACGGATTATCGGTACCTTCATCCACGCCCCAGTCAGAACCTGATCCAGCGCTAGCAGCAACTAAAGCTACAGGCACAGTGAAAGATGTTTCTTGCATGCCAAGGGGCTTAAATATTGCCTCTTCGATGTAGTCTTCATATTTCATATTGGTCACATTCGCCAAAACTTGACCCAGAAGGTCAAATCCAACATTGCTGTAGGAGGTTTCCTTCTGGGAAGGAAACACTGGGTTCACGTTGTGAAGGTTTTCATCGAGATCTAGATACAATTTGTCAGCTTCCAGATCAGCATCGAGATAGGTTGCCTACATACCTGCGTCCGTACACGCAACTGTCCATCCAGTATAAGCACCGCACTTTGGTAGATTGTTTTTCTCGGCTGTATCCAATGGAGGAAGCCCAATTGCGGATGGATCAGAGAGCATAAGAAGCAAATCTTCATCGCCATAGTTGTCCGGAAGGCCACTCAAATGGGCTAGTAGGGATCGAAGTGTGATACCCTTCCAGGAGATTTTGCTTGTACCGTCGAGAAGCCCCGGAATATACTTTGTCACCTCATCGTCTAGCCCAAGTTTTCCCGCTGCCTCTTGCTTCAAGATTCCCAACGCAGTAAACAGTTTGGTGTTGCTGGCAATCCGATATCGTGAAGAGCCATTGATTGGGCTTCCGCCCAGAGACTTGTCGAAGTGGTATTTGGTGTATAGAGTCTGGCTCGGGGAGGAAATCTCCAATGAGAAGGAACTCCCACTGTAATCACCCGCTTTGATCAGCTTATTGAGGCTGTTGTCGATCTCTTGGAAAGTGCTCTTCAAAGTATTCAAATTGTATATAGGAGCTGGATAAGAGATTTCTGGCTCACAGGACGAATACGCCCTATGAGACAACGCGAGGACCAAGATAAAGGTGAAAACAGCTTTGAGTGCCAACATTGTTGCAAACCGATGGCAGAGGAAAGTGATTTCAAGAATTGAGCTTCTCATCTCAGGCCTTATATAGCCAACATTTGGTCGGTTTGCCTATCCCAAAGTAGCAGGGAGCGCGTTAGTGTCGCCATGGGCTCATTTCCCATGTTACTAGTACGCAATTCTATGAATTTTAAGGCCCAGTTCTCAAAATAACATACAGTTAACATTAAATGTGGGATTCAGGTCTGGTGGATCATTAGATCAGAGCTTACTAGTAACTTGTAAGATCCAATGAAAATGCTTGGCAGAAAGTAGGCGAGCTAGATACCCTTTGGGGACTAGGGTCTCTCTAAGCCACAGCGGCCACTGCACTTCCAAGTCTTAATATACCTGCCTAGACACAGTATAAGCTCATTGCTCAGGGTATTCGACTTAATAGAGACCAAACAAGAATTTTTCAAAGTAAAGATCGTCACCCCCCTTGTTGTGTTCTTTTCCACGCTTAGGCCTTGTGCCCCGGCCCCCGAGCCCATTCCTGAGTCCTGACAAAGCAAAGATGTTCGTTCTAAGTACAGCAGCATTAGATGTCCTCCATGAAAAAAACAAGGGTAAAAAGAAGACTATTAAACTGACCTCTCACGTGTGGAGTTGTCTTTTTTCCGGCCCTGTAAAGAAGCAAAGTTGACTTAATGCTACCTTACATTTTTTTTACGAGAGAGTGAAATGGATTCAAGGCCATCTCTTTTTGACTAATGCTTTGACCCCTCCCAATTCATCAGTCTGTACCATAGTAGAACTCGATTTAATCAAGATTCACCTCTTACTAAGAGTTTTAAAATTTCCGTGCTCAACGACAAGCGAACCTAAACTTAACTATGGAAGTTGGTACTTTGGAGCCTGAAGATATAGGCAGCATTTATACCTAGCCGCCTTAACATTGCTACTTCGTCGCACGTCCTAATTTTTGACCACAACCTGCACTAAATCCATTCCAAGGTTTTGATCTTTGCATTATTTAAGGCGGACACCTAGGTAAAAGTGACGGACACGGCATATAATATACCTGGGTAAAAAAATCGAACAGTGTCTCCAACTTTCAGGGTTCCGGATACTGTTGTTGGAATTCCAAAAGGGGGCGGGCGCATCACCACCTCCAGTGACCAGTCTGCCAGATGTCGGTAGCCTTTTGAACAAACACCAACATTGGAAGACGTTCAGTATTGGCATTTGAGGTTACTAGTACTTGCTACTTTGACTACATGCGGACAGCATCCATCTATGATGACTGCCCACTCACAGCATATTCCAGGTTCGTTGGAATCCTCAATAGCGCCCGGGCCGGTGCGACAACGCTCAAGGCAGGCATGTCTTCCTTGTCGTCGACGCAAGAGGAAGTGCGATGGAAGAATGCCCTGCAATGTCTGCAAAGGATATGATTATGAATGCGAATATGATACTGCACCCCCATCAACGCCTATCAAGCGTCCCGCGCCTTTGAATGAGTCATCAGCCCAACCATCGTCCAAAACAACACGCTTGACGCATCCATCAAGGCAAAGCGCCGATTCTTCAATTCTGCCTGGGCTTATTGAGCCGTCGAAACCTCGTTATGTGGGAAGGTATTCATGCATTGCATTTCCACTCTATGTTGGCCTGGAAGTTCAGGCTACAAAACTTCCACGCCTACACTCATTCGCATATCATACTGGTGTTCGCAAAGAACCAACTTGTGCGGTCTCCCACAAGATCGCAGGGATAATTTCATGGAATACAGCAAGAAATCTCATCGAAGTCTATACTGCCGTTATCCATCCTGTCTTCGGGTTCCTGGATATGAATCGTATCTATATGCTATGCGAGAAGCATTGGCATGGGCAACCCCAAGACATGGCCTTTGAAGCTTTGATCAGTGGAATTATTGGGTTAGCGTCGTTGTTTAATGACTCTTTGGGCCAGGATACCGAACCGTGGATAATATCACACGCGAAGGCGATCCTTGAAGATGATGTGATCAGTCGTTTTCCTACGCTCGAAACCATCGCAGCTTGGATCCTTCGAACAATATATGTTCGATGCACCGGACGACCTCACGTTGCTTGGCTTTGCAGTTGCAGTGTTATGCATCTCGTTGAAGCGGCCGGTCTACATCATGCCCCCGAGTTTATAATGCAGACGATTGGCAGTGTTGCACCAAATCCGGAGACTTCAAATATCATCAACCGAACGGCACAAGTGGCAAATTGTGTCCATGTTCTTGTAGCATTCGAGTATGGCAGATCTATCATGACATTCAATCGGCAAATTCTTGAAAACTTGAATCCAACACAGCGAGCAGGGGACTTCACATCGCAGCTATGCAGTTTGGTTGCAGCGATACCCACGAACCAAAGCACCGATGATCTAGACGCTCTGGTACAGGAACTGGTCGGGGCTTTAGAGAAACTTGGGGATATAACCGTTGATCATGATTTTCTGATACTATTACGGGCAGATCTTGCCTTAGGTATCTATCGCCGTCTTCGCGTCATGGATTCAAGCCGTCGACAGGGACAGAATGACCGCGTGATCACAGCCGGAACGGCTGCGCTGTCTGCAGCACGAAGGCTCGCCAGTCAAAAACAGCCGTGGTGGAATGTTATCGGTACCGTGTTTCAATTCGCCTGTTCTTTGCTTGTTATGGACACAGTCGCAAGCTGTGAAAAGCTCTCCGAAACGATGGATACCCTGGAGTTTATTGTCGATTGTTTCAACACCCATTTAGCCAAGGAGGCTCTCTCGACTGCTCGGCAACTTGTCAAGGCTTCATTGGATAAGAAGCGTAAGGGCATGGAGGCGCTTGAACGAATCGTTGGAACATCTACTCCTGAAAATAACACCTCTGGTACGGAAGGGCAACTTTTACAGGATATTGCGGCACTCAGTCCATCATTAGCAGCCCAACTTCCTATTGATTTGGATTCCTTATGGGCTATGGATTTTCAGCTTCCTTTTTAAAACAGAGGGAATGCGACTCTATTATTATATCACGACCTCTATATGAATTACAAAATGTATACTACAGGCTTTTCTTCAACGAGACTTTGTCCAAGTCACAATCATAAAACTGGTTGCAACAATCACACCCAATCCTGCCAAGCCAAGTCCCATATATGAAGCTCCACGGTATCCTTTGAGAATATCTTGGCCGTCATCATTGACATAGCTTTCCACCACTCCAGCGAAACCCAATCCCAAGGAGATCGAGTAATTTACGGCCGTGGTGACGAGGGAACCTGCTACACCTTGATCCTCCGCTGGCATGGCATTGCTCAAAATCAAGATACCCGACGGGAAGGACATATCCCTATTCGTGTATTAGCAAGAGTCAATCGTTTTCCGGGGCTTTCAAGAGTTTCTTACATTCCCCAGGGTGTGATAATTGAGATCAAGAAGGCATTGGCCCAGTAAATCTGGCCAATGGGCAGCGAAACCAACAAAGCTTGGCCTATAGCGAAAGCCACCATGGCGATAAACATTATCACACATGCTGGGAGGCGTCCAAGGAGTATGCCAGTACACACAGCCGCAATGGCACCCGAAATTGCAACACCTGAAAACTTGGCTGTCACAAGAAGCCCAGTGTTCGATTCGATGTTGGTCATCACAGCGTAAAAGTAAAACACAACAACACCGAATGAAGACCAGCCCGCACAAACACAGCCAAGAACCCAGCCAGTCTCGCCTTTGAAGACCGAACGGGGCAGAAGTGGGTAGGCAGCCTTGCTCTCCACATACAGGAAAGCACCGATAATCAGGATTCCCACAATCAGCAGGACATAATTATACGGAACTTGCCATCCAACAGTAGCAGCCTGATTCCATGCAAAATTGAACAGAATCATGCCCGAAACTCCAAGTGAAGCTCCAAGTCCATCCAGACGGGCAAAAGTGGAAAGTTCAGGCCGCGGCTTTTCTTGTGGCATAGGAGGGATCACCAGGAACCCAAGCACAGCAAAGACAACGCAAGCAATTGCGAAGATCCAATATGCCCAGGGCCACCACAGCTCTTCAGCAATCAGTGACGATAGTGTTGCGCCAATGATGAATCCTCCTGGCGCGACAGCTCCGAACATACAGAACACCATGCCCTTTCGCTCACCTGGCGGGTAGGTCCTTCCCAGAATCGCAACAGCATTGGGAAGAAGAAATGCAGGACCAATACCCTGGAAGGCACGGCAGCAATCGAAAAACCTGGGATTGGACCACACAGAGAAGCCTGCCAGAAGAGACCAAACTGCAAACCATACAAATCCAATCATAAACATCAACCGGTGACCATATACGTCACCCAGCCTGCCTGATACCAGGATGAATGTACCAACTGTCAAGCTGTATGCTGACGAAGCCCAAGTCAATTGTTGCGGAGTGCTGTTGAAGCTATCGCTGATCTGTTTCAGGGGTGCAATCGACAATGCCAGACCAGCTTGTGTCATGAGCTGCGCGGCGCAGACAACAATCACAAAGGCGACTTCATGAGGGAAAGCCTTTGGTGGTGGGTATGGAGATACGTCTTGCTTCTCATCTGGCTCGAAATTGGAGGGATTCCGTTTGATGGAGCCTTGTTCGGGCTCCATATTACGTTCCACCGTGATAGTATCGTCTTGGGCGCAAAATTAGCTTCAAACGTTCAGTCAGCTCAAATGAAGCTACCTGACTTACCTGTGTCGTAGTTCATGTTGTGCCCTTTCGACTCAGGGGTCGCGCCTGTCTTCATGATTGAGAACACTCAACGTTGACAAACAGGAGAGCCATGCAGTCAAAATTTAAATAAATTGTGATTTGACATGTCACATGTGGGTCACCAATTTCCGTCGGCTCGGGAGATGATCGGAGATCAGTGAGTGATTGATAAATCTCGGCATCCCGCAACTGCCGCGTGGCCCGCACGGTCCGCACGGCCCAGCATAGTTATCTTCCCGATCATCACATACCCAATACTGAGAGAGGAAGGATGGCTGAGAATCAAGTGGGTCATGGACTTATGACAATGAACCTTGGAAACAGGCATGAGGTTGCTATCCGAAGATTTGATTATCACACACATGGTCATAAGTATAAAAGGGCTCGCGCGTCACATTGATTATCTTCAATAACTCACAGCAATGAAGTGCACCACGATGAAATCCCTTCAATTATCTCGCACCGATACGAGTGCGCCTCCAAATTTTGCGCAAGCAATCCTACCCATCCCCCGCCCGAAACCCGGTCATGCGTTGATCCAAATACTTTATGCTTCAATCCAACCATCTGATCGGATGAACGCACAAGGAGGCTTCCCATATACCACGTATCCCCGGATTCCAGGCCGCGACTACTCAGGCGTGGTAATTGATGTCGCCGACGAGAGCAAGGACGCCAAATACTGGATAGGCAAGAGTGTCTACGGAACGAGTGGTTCAACTCTGGGCTTTGAAGTCGATGGGACACACGCCCAGTACTGCCTGGTGCCTCAAGCTGCGCTTGTTGAAAAACCAGCGACCCTTTCACACATCCAAGCCGCCACCGTTGGTGTCCCGTTTACCACGGCGCTACTGTGTCTTCGCCGTGCGCAGGTGAGCTCAAAGGATATCGTCCTTGTGTTGGGCTCCAATGGAGCTGTTGGATCCGCAGCGGTGCAGATGGCTAAAGCGATGGGAGCCAAGCAAGTGTTGACTGCAGCGAGACGCGCCGACTCGAATCCCGATATAATATTGCCTACAAAGGACATCACATCTGTGCTGGAAGAAAAAATCTCGACTCTTACCCGTGGTCATGGAGTGGATGTGGTCATTGATACCGTGGGAGATCTGGAGTTGATGTCAGCTACAATGGAACAATTGGCAACCTATGGTCGCTTTGCATGGATTGCAGCTCCTAGGGGGAATGTTGACAAAAGCATTTCGTTGGACGTGTTCCAAACATATCGCAAAGGATTATCCCTGCTTGGGTGTAACTCAGTGTCACCCCCCGTTGAAGAGTTAGCAGAGCAATTGCGATCTATGAGCGATTGGATTGACCAAGGACTGTTGAAGGCTCAGAGTGAGAAGGACTTTGATCTAGTTACCTTGGATAATGCCATTGAGCATGGATATTGTAGGACTGGAAAGGTTGTCATTGATATGTCATGATGGATAGATTTTGGTTGAATAGATTTTGCTGCACCTGTGTCTTTAGTCTTCCATTTCAATCGTGATCTTTAGAATTTACCCGTGAACTCATACATGTATGAACCAACCTTGGAACTTTGGAAGTAGATGTCCTTAGTAACCTTGGAATACGTACTGGACTACATACAAATCCCTAGATACATCAAGTGGAAAAGTCAGGAAGATTGGCACTTGAATTGATAATACTGCTTCAGTAACGAGATAATTCGCTGCTTTCATAACCTCGGAAATCTCTTGCTAAGGAAAAACAACCACCATTGCATGTATCAGTTACCGACGTTCAATCATTTAGTCCGAAGGAGTAGCAAGGTTCTGGTTGAGCTCCTTGCGCTGAACAGCACCGAATTGAGTGTTGCCAACATCAAAGACCTATCAGAATCGAGATTAGTACTTTCCATATCATAGACAGCAGAGGAAGACTCACGGCATAAATTCCCTTCAGGAAGGTATCACCCAGAATATCCATGTCCATGGTACCACGGCTCTGGATTCCACCATAGATATATCCAGTCTTGGCCTCAGAGAAGCCAAGATCCTCCTTCTGCACGACGAATTGCTTGTCGCCAACGGCAAACGAAACAACGGGCAAGTTATCAACGGTGGTATCGGAAGGATAGATGTATCCCTGGGTCTCACTATCATATGTGGCTCCTGGGATAGCATCATAGATAGCCTTGCAAGTGGCATCATCCACAAGAGCAAGGGTGGTACCAGTATCGGCAATGGCAGTGTTGCCCGATCGAGTGATGGTCTTGCCATTCACGGTCGCAGAAGTGGAATCGAAGAGCCAGAATCCTTGGCTCTTGTCAACAGGTGTGTAGGTGATGTCTGCTCCGGCTGCCGTCACAGTGGCCTGGTCAATGTAGCCAAATGTATAGAAGGACTCGCCCTTATCGGGCTCATCGGCATCGCGCCATGATCCCAACTTGGCAGTGAACAACTCAGCCGTCGATGGGATGTCGGACTGGGTGATCATATTATCGACGGGGGTGGCTACCGAAGTCGGTTGCACGGTATTAATACTGGAGAATGCAAGGCCCAGCAGACCATCACCGGCCCCACTGGCAAATGTGGCCGACATGGTGTCTGCCAGCTCGATAGCCTGGTTCTTGACAACCACGCCACCGATGTTCACATCATCAGTGCCGACTGTACCGGAAGCAGAAGATCCATCTCCGTAAGAGATCTTCCAGGTCGAGCCTGCCTGGGTCTTAAACGTGCTCGACTTGCTGGAGTCAAAGACGGTGTGATTGGTGTACTGAGACAGGGTTGCCGACGGCAACTTGGTGGACCAAACCTAACCCAATCTAGTTAACAACCATTTTGTTTTCCCACAATGATAAGAAAAGCTGAGGAACCAGAGAGAAAGGGAAAGTCATAACAATAATAGATTGCACTTACCCATAGATCGGCAGATCCCGTGTCAAAGTCCAAGTTCAGGTTCTGGGCGGGGCTACCAATACCCACTTGGGCGAGATACATCGAATCATTCTGCACATCCTCGGCACTTACCTCGCCTACCTGCTCCGTATCGACGCTCTTCTTCTTCAACACCTGTTGCATATGGACGCGCCCGCCAACAGGCTTATCGGTATACTGTCGGCCGGTCTGGTGCATGGAATGGCCGAGGAAGTACGGACCAGGTTGGGTCGGGTTAAAGCGGTACTTGCGCATCATATGCACGTACGACTTTGTACCCGACTTCTTGTAGTGCGGGTTGGCGATGATCTTGATCTTTGACGCCGACATGGTGCGGGATTTGCGAGATTTGCAAGGGAGCTTTGACTTCAAAAACTTGAGGATAGACATTGTTAACTATGGGTTTCGTGGTACTTGACTGCGGATTGGATCCAGGAACGGGATTTCATACCTTTTTATTTTAAGTCTCTTCGGGGGAAGAATGTGAATGTGAATGGGAATTGAATGTGAATGTGATTCAATTCAGGTCAGTTGGTCTCCAGCTGCTTTAAATGATTGCGATTTCGTCATTGCAGGTGACAGGAATTAGCGTCGGAAGGGTAGCTCTTAGTGTCTAGCGTAGGTGGCGATCCACGTCGTATCAGGGATATTAGGGATCGGCATGAATGATTCTATCAGCCGGGCGGGGGAACGCCTCTGTGCAGGACCACAAGATAAGCCTTCATTACTTTCTATCTTATTGGACATTTTGTTGGAAATTCATCTTTCAACGCCAAATCCAAACCCCACCCTGGACCCTCCCAAAAAAAAAACAAAAGCAATTCAAAATATAACAGGAACAAGAAAAGAGAAAGGCGAGAAGAAGAAAATTGACTAAGAAACACCTGTCCTACTTATTATCTCTTCCGGGTCTTCGACTTGGGTGCAGTCGAAACACTTGCCGCCCGGGAGGTGGAGGCGGAGGCACCCTTACTAGCGACCTTAGCAGCAGGTTTAGCCTTGGTCTGAAACAGGTTAGTAAACATCGGGAAAGATCACCCAACGAGGTGTACTCACTGTGGCGCCATTCTTAGCCTTCTTCTTTGCAGGAGCTGCCGCGTCATCGTTCTCTTCATCCTCGTCGCGGTCTCGCCCACGGCCTTTCCCTTCTCCTTTGCCCTCCCCATTGGCCTTGCTCTCGGGTTCAAACTCCTTGGCAATTGTGTTCAGCAGCGTAGTGCAGCGCCGACCGATCTCCACTGGTGTACGACTGAGGAAGAACCAATCAAAGCGGAAAAGAGGCGAATCCCGAACTTCGTCGCGGATCTTATCGTACAGGCTGTCACCTTCAACGCCATACTTGTCCAGCATCACCAACAAGAAGCGATCCTCGTCTTCGGTATACACTTTCTTGTTGGTTGTAGATACCGTGTAGTTAATCTTCAGCTGCTGCAGGGGCACCCGGTACATTTCCATCTTTTTGCGCAGCATCTTGCGTTGGTGGTTCATCTTCCGGAGCTTCTCCTCGCCCTGCTCAATTACCTTCAGGTACTTGGGGTAATCTTGAATCTCGGTGTACCGGCGCCAGAAGACCTCTGCATATTCCTCAACCTCATCAGGTTCCTTGCTGTCAACTTCCGTAGCGATACCACTGTAGTCGGTGCGGCCAAATTTGGCCGAACCGTTGACAAATTGCTGGAAATCACGGCGGTTCCAGGTAGAAAAGCCTTCTTCCGACATACGATCTTTCTCGGACCGTTCATCCTCGGTGAGCGGCTGGGAATTATCGATCTCCTGTTGCTCAAGATCTCGCTCTGCTTCTCGCTCGCTGAGCTCTTCGTCTGGCCCTTCGGGCAAGACGGCCTTGTAACCGATCTCTTTGTGGAAATAGGCGGTTTCCTTCTCCTGCAACTCCTGCAATCCAGGAGGGAAGAACTGCCAGTCGTGAACAGTGGTCTGCTTTGGAGCCCGGGGAACCTTAGGCTTAGTGTCGGCAGTCCGCCCACCAGTGGCCAGAGCTTGACGGTAATATTTGTCGATCGAGTAGAACTGCTCCTTTCGTTCACGCTTGGCTGGATTAATCCAAGTCATGCCGATATCCTTCTTGCGCTCTGTGAAATCTTGGCCATTCCATTCATATGCGCTTTCAGAACTAAACTTTTGCAGGTCATCGATACCGAGTTTTTCGTACTTCTTGTTCAACAGCGCTGTTCGCTCCTCGCCCTTCCTAAGAATAGATTCAAAGTCATCCTGGGTGAGGTCATTGGAGCTGCCATCGCCGCTTCTTGGACCAAACACATTGGCGGCACCATGCTGAATCATACCGAGCAGGTCGTCCTTGGAAGCGGCGTTTTTGGATTGTTGAGCACGCCCTTGTTGAATAACCAGTTGATCCAAACGCAGCTTCTGGGCTGCACGTTCAAGAACCTTTTCTTCGATCGCATTCTCTGTAACAAATCTGAAGACCTTGACCTGCTTAGTCTGACCAATACGATGCGCACGGTCCATGGCCTGCAGATCGGCCTGGGGGTTCCAATCACTGTCAAAGAGCACCACAATATCGGCAGTCGTTAGATTAATGCCGAGACCACCGGCACGCGTAGTCAACAAGAAAATGAACTTGTCCGACCCTGGTTTGTTGTAGTCATCGATAGCAGCAATGCGATCTTCATGGGCTGTGGTGCCGTCAATTCGGCAGTATTTGAACTCGCGGAAAACGCAGTAATCCTCCAAAATGTCCAAAACACGGCTCATCTGGGAGAAGATAAGCACACGGCTACCATCAACTTGCATGCGCTTCAAGAGCTTATCCAAAATAGCCATTTTGCCCGAATTGAACACAAGGTGCTCATCCGTGGTGTAGGGAGGACCAGGCTCTGCGCCTTCAAAGAGATACGGGTGGTTGCAGCACTTCCGCAGTTGCATGACGATGTTCAAGAGACGAGTCTTAGACTCGCGCTTTCCAGCCGCGCCGTTAACAGCATCGATATCTTTCTCCAAAATCTTCTGATACCATTTCACCTGCATGTCGGACATTGGGACGTAAAGATTCATCTCCTGCTTGGGCAGGAGACTCTTTTCGACATCACTCTTCACACGTCGAAGCAAGAAAGGACGTAGGACACGATGGAGTTGCTGTATCACGGTATCCTGGTCAGATTCCTGGTTAGAGAACCACTGGTCGAAAGCCTCTGAATCACCAAAAACATCTGGCAACAAGAAGTTGAGCAATGCCCAAAGTTCGTGAAGATTGTTTTGCAACGGAGTGCCGGTGATCAACAGTCGGTTGCGGGAGTTGAATAGACGAATGATTTGCGACAAGGAGGACTCTTCGTTCTTAATGCGGTGGGCCTCGTCGATAATAATGTACTCCCAAGCAAACTTCTTCAGGTGTGATTTCTCACGGAGAATCATCTCGTAGCTGGTGATACACACGTCAAAGTTCTCATTAACTAAACGCTCGTTGATGAGGCGTTGACGCTCTTCCTTGTCACCCTGAAGGACCAGGACATCGATTTCGGGGGTCCACCGGGCAAACTCTCGCTTCCAATTATCGAGGGTTGACTTTGGAACAACGACCAGATGCGGGCCACTGATTTCATTCACATAGCGCAGATAACCCAGGAAGGAGATTGTCTGCAAGGTCTTTCCCAGTCCCATCTCGTCGGCCAGGATACCAGAAATACCATTCTCGTGGAGAGAAACCAGCCAATTCAAACCAGCAATCTGGTAATCTCGGAGCTGTCCGTGAATGAAAGCAGGTGACTCTCGGAACACGGTAGTAGTCTCTCCACCACTCTTTTCATCTTGCAATAGCTCTGCGTCTTCCTCTTGCTCAGTTCGGCGACGCCGATCTACACCTGCACCGCCAGAGCGTGACGATGCCTTGCGTGCTTTCTCGGATTCGGCGTTCTGGCGATCGATTTCAGCCATAATTTCCTTGATCTGTGGATTGGGGTTGGTCTCGATGAAATGTCGGAATAGATCGGTGAGGCCGAGCAAGTATCGGAATCGGCGAATGGAGTCATCCTCCTAGTCCACAGAATTATGATCAGGTGTGCACATATAAATTTCTTGGACATTGTTCAGTCATACCTTGGTCTCATCCAGACGACTCTGTTTCTTGCCCAAAATACTCTTTCTCAGTTGAGTAGCCTCTGACCTCCGTCGTCGGCCATCTGCTAGAACAGCATCGCCTGCGACGCTACTGGCTGTTGTGTTGGGGTTTGTTTCCGAGTCCTGGTGGGGAAAGGCGTTAGTTGCTTCTCGAGATGACAGCATTTCTCGATATATGATTTACCGTATACTCAGGGGTCGCTTGGTAACTCTAGACAGGGACAGCTATTAGTATTTTGGATATGTATGATGATTATGCGAATCTTATGTGGCTGCTGCATCACAATGCGATAACGGCGAGCTAAATTAGACTCGGGAATCAAAAACACGTACCGGCGCGTCGACGGGAATTGAGGGGACGACATCATCATTAGCATCTGTCATTGGCGTGTCCACCTGGGGAGGGGAGTCGGTCGCGGCAGGTGCCATAGTTAATCTTCAGCGCGCAGAGCACAAGAAACCTTTGGTAGGCACAAGCACGTCTCGGTCAAGTTGACCGCGTAGCTCAAAGATCGAAATCAGAAAAGAAGCTTCACAGTGCGAAAACAGTAGGGACCTGGATTAGGTAGGTCTGAAAGCAGCGGATGGGGTGGATTGAAGTTCAAAGCAGCGTAAGACACTAGGTTAATGGTCGCAATCTGAGAAAGAAGAAACGCCTCCAGTCGCGCTGAAGAAGAGCAAATGGGAAAGCGCGGCAGACTGCACGCGCTGATTGGTGTACAAGGCTTATGTCATCTGACTCAGTCAGCAACGGCACTTCGGAATAAGAGTTCCCCCGCAGTGGGGTCACGTTACCGGGCCAGTGCAAAAGATCATCATCTGCAGTCAGGTACTCACTAGTTCCCCTCTCTGTATACTCAGGACGTTGTTAGATTGTAGAGTTAGGGAATTCTTGCTGAGGCTTCACAGCTTCCATTTTTCTCTTCCTCTCTTCCATTCCCAGACGGTCTCTTATATATTCCTCTTATTTTCTTGATTGAACTTCCTTAAACTGGTGCGAGGGGCCGGACAATCTTTTGGCCTGCTTCATCACAGCACACTTGGTCTACCACAACCTTCTTCCTCGTTTCTTCTTCTTATCACCTCTCAGTTGTACACCGTGTCGAAATACTTACTCAGTCATGGATTCCATGAGATCCTTGAACACCTCTCTCCCGAGCTCGACCCCGCGCCCACAGCCATCTGAGCAACTCCTGCAGTCATTCAAGGCCGCCGCCTTGTCTGTGACCAACTTATACAAGAACGCTGTCTGTGATCAGGCCCAAGCTAGACAAGCTGGCTATCAAGATGCTATCGAGGATTTACTTCACTTCCTCGATCGGGAGAATCTAGGCCTTGGTGATGGAGAGGGGTGGAAAGTCCGACAATGGGCAACCGAGAAGCACGACGGAACTGGGTCACAAAGCAGCGATGAGGAGGAACGCGGTGACGCAGAGAAGCGTGACCGAAGTGCTACACCGGCCGCCACCCGGAAAGAGGCTGAGTCTACATCTCGTCAGCCCCCGGCCTCTGCACCCACCTCCACGATCCCTTCTACGCCAAACCCTACACCTCGTCCTGAAAACACCAACCCGACTCCGCAAACCCAAGAAACCTTTATGGGGGCCCCGACAGTATTCACCTTCACCGCTGGCCCAACTTTCCCCCAATGCCAGGATGATATGGATTTGCAATCTCCGGATAACTCTACGTCTCCCTCACAAGACGGCGCACCCGTCAGCGTTTTGATGCCTCGAAACACTCGCCAGCAACACCGTCACAACAATCTCAACCGCCCGAACGCCCGTTTTGCCCCACGCGAGTCCCCAAACAACCTCGGACCGAGCCTTGGAACCGGGTTGGGATCGAAGCGGAAATTCACAGTTCCGGACTTCTTTGATTTTTCTGGACTACCGAATGGCCGGGACTTGTCCGGGGGAGGCAAACGAGGTCGTTTCACATAGGAAGTCTTCCTAGAACATACGACGTTGACGAGATGACGAATTTCCTTTCCGATTGTCAGGCAGCTTTTTGGGTGGGTTTTGGGGGGCTTTTCTTTTTCGGGTGCATATCGACGAGGACTCTTGCATAAGGCTGTACTGCATTTCATTTTTGGTCTATTTTAGGCTTCCCTTCTTACCAATCCCCTTTTGCTTTCCTATACTTTTGTCATATAGCATATAGAGAGGATTTGTGTGGAGATACCCGGTGCGTCGGCTATCATAAATCATGATAGCCCAACAAATCAATACAGTAATTTTCTAAATGACCCATCCATGCCGTAGGTAGATTTCGTCCAATATTTCAAGGTATTAGTAGGTAGTAGGTAGTAGGTAAGAATAGAGGCAACATTTTGAAAGGTCTCCAGCACTTATACACATGTGTATTCCGTATAATGTTCCAGATGTCCAATGCATCTATGACCACTTGGAACGAGGTGTGCGACTTCTTGTGCTTGTAGCTACATGCCTACTACCACATGCAGGTACTACTTGGGCAACTACTATGTAGCAGTCTACCATATATTTCACTTCAACACTTCCCCACATGTGAGTAGTAGTATACGTGGATTACTATGTGCTATATACCACATATCAATGCGTATATTATATACTAACTATCAATTTCTTTGTATTTATACTCAAACATTGACAGAACTCAGTGCTATCACTTTCATATAGTAGATATATCTACTATGTATGTAGTACTTAACACTTTATATACACAGAAGACATCTGGATGGTGCGATTTTTTCTTTTTTTGTATCATGTGGAATATACATGACCCCCAAAACTTCATTTATAGCATAAACACATACTGTTGACTGATACCCTCGACCTTTTTCCTTCAAATGTTCTACATATTCACATGCAATATTGACACCTCAATACCAGTTGACTACTCTATCTAGATACCTTAAGCTATTATTCTATACACCTGCTACTGTATACCATCTCGGGGCCATATAGCTGTGAGTAATGAAATTTTGGAGGTAGGAGATGATAGTATATGGAAGCAGGTACATATATAGCACTTGAGAATAATAGGTAGATAGAGTATACACATGTGTAGTGTACATTCAATGTTTGAGCTGTAGAAGGAAACAGACATCAATCTGGAACATCTGGACATCTGGAGGACACTAGTATATCAATTATGACTGGTAGACATACGCTTCATTTCGAAAGAAAAGATGCTGTTATTATATTACAAATTCCAATGCGTCTTAGTAACTGTAGATGAAAACATCCACCTGACCTTATCATACAATCCCAATATGGACAATCCGAGATATGACTTCCATGGCGTCTAGTTAAAGGCACGCCAAAGTCCCATACCAATCAAAGTCGCAGATATGGTAGCAATTCCTAACTGTCGTGAACCCATCTTGTATTTGGTGGGGCCTTGCATGATCATCTTCTCTTGTTTCCGCAGGTTGCTCATGCCTGTATAGTAGCTGTAGATGCCGAGACCAACGAATGCCGCAGAGCCTAATTCATAGAGTCAGTATGCTATCCTGTTGATTTTCATAATGGTGGCCCCCCAAGTGCCTTGGCAAACCGAGGTTACGAATCACGAACCAGTTACTCTGCAAGACAAACAGTCGTCGTATTTATCGTCAGCCAACGCTTGCTTGGCATCCTTCTGTTGGACCTCCCAGGTGCGATTGTCCGGTTGCGAAGACATTTTGAATATGGAAATAGGGCTCTGGAAGATGAAAGCGAAAGAATAATCTACTGAAGCACAGATGCAGAGCGTAGGTAAATTGCGGAGGCAATCGCGCGCAGCCAAAAAGTAATACAAGGCGGGATTATGTGGCAGAACTCGCAGCTTGACATTGAGCTATACAACTCCGGCCCCGGGAATCTCTGTCTCAAACAACAGCCATCATGAGCGGCGAGATTGATGCCGTCTACATATATGACGAGCAAAAGTATGCAGCTGAACCTCCAAACTGTCTCTCTATACTGACATCCTTTCATAGTGCCCCTCTCGTTGAACATGTCTACCGAGCCCGCCCGCCTTCCGCCGCGGCCATCCTACCCCTCTACCTTGCCCATGCTTCCCCGCGCCCATCTTTACTTTACTTCCCGACGACAAGCCCTCCGGTGACGGTATTCTCGATAATCCAGTCTAACCTGCTTTTTCTTGCGGTGACCGAAGTCGACACCGAGCCGCTCTTGGTGCTCGAATTCCTGCATCGCGTGGTGGATGTACTTGAGGACTTCGTTGGCGCTCCACTTCTCTCGACCAAAATCCAGGCGAATTACGATGTGGTGGCTCAATTGCTGCATGAGATGTGCGATGGGGGAGTGGTATGCAATACCGAGCCCAACTCGTTACAAGAGGTTGTTGAAGTTCCGGGGTGGATGGGGAAGCTTCTGAGTGGTATAAGTGTACCTGGGTAAGTCTTGATACTGATCGGAGTATTTTTGATTCATTTCTGATGTCCTGGGCTACTTAGTGCTTCCACACCGACCACGAACAATCCTCTAAGACAATCTCTGGCCACGGCTAGTGCATCGCAAGGTCCCGCAATTCCCTGGCGACGACCCGGGGTACGGCACACATCTAATGAGCTATATGTTGATATTATTGAATCTCTTTCCGTGACTATGGCGCCTTCTGGAAGGCTGCTTTCTGCATTGGTATCCGGGACAATCGCATTCACCGCAAAAATATCTGGAGTTCCCGACCTACACTTGTCATTATCAGCCCCCGGTGGTCAACAGTCGCTCGCTAAAAAGATTGATTTGCCTGTATTTCATCCATGTGTCCGCCTAGCTCGCTGGCGTGAAAAGCCCGGAGAGCTTAGCTTCATCCCTCCCGATGGCCGCTTTATCCTGGCCGGGTATGAGGTCGATCTTCTTCCGATAGACCCGGATCTCGATAGCCCGCCAAGTCACATGGAGAAATTGTTCCTTCCCGCGATTGTTGATATTCGCAAGTCATTAGGCTCCTCTGGGGCAGACTTTGAGGTTCGGCTTACACTGAACACCAGTTTTCCCGGACAATCCTCTCGCCCGGCCCCATCTCGAGGCGGATCTGGAACTTCTACGCCATCGTTCCTTGGCGGCAGTAGCTCCAGTGGGCCGGTGTTAGAAGAGGTGGTTGTCAGCGTTCCGATTTCCAAATCTGTGCGTCACATCACGGACATGCAGGCTAGTCGTGGCGATGCTCAGTACTCCCCTAGTACCGGGTTGCTTGAATGGAGAGTCCCCACTGGCCGTGACGCCGGAACTATATCTGGCGTCGCAACTCTCCGCTGCACCGTTGCAGGATATCCATCAGCAGATGAAGACTTCGATAGTCTTGAGGAGGTCGATGAAGATGCCAACGCAAACCTTTTGCAGGGTTACTACGAAGACCCTGCCTCTTACGATAACCCTTCTACCACTACCACCCGCAAGACACGGTCTTCCGACCCTTCAAAGAAGAAGAAAAAGAAGAAGAAGGAAAAGTCGAGCAAGAAATCATCTCGCTCTGCTGCTGTTCTCGCCGAAGATGCAGGTGATGGCGAAGCCGTCTCTGAAGAACTGGTCAAAGCCTCTGCATCGCCTTCTCCCAACCCTTCTAAACCTCATACTCCAACACCTCCGCCCCAACCCCAACCTCAATCACCAAACCCCTCCCAACTCCCAGCATTCTTTGCGCCTTCTTCCGCACCCCGCTCCGTGCCCCGCAAGACCAAAATCCAAATGAATGCGAACCTCATGCCGAACTCGGCATCCGTCTCTTTTTCAGTGCGCGGCTGGCTCCCCTCTGGCATTAAAGTGGAAAGTCTGAATATTGATCAGCGACGCAGCCGTGGTGTAGGCGAGAGCGTGAAGCCGTACAAGGGTGTTAAATACCTTTGCGTAAGTCGGCGCGGCGTTGAGCGGCGTTGTTAAGCAACACATGTGTTTTTTGAGGATTTCCAATATGATTCATGGGCCAAAGCATGTAGCGTGCGATATTGTTTTATTCTTGGATATTATTTACTGAAGGCATCCATTAATATCAATAATCCCGCAATGTAAAGTCAAACACGAATAATGATACCGATATGTTATGAGTTCACAGATCGAGTCTTTGTAGTCACCAGACATCCGGTTCATTCGAGTCAAGCTTGGAATTATTAGGTGGCCGTTGTTCCTCTATATGGAGTATGGTGCCAGCTGGGCGGAGACAAATTCCAATGCATATTCGCATCGGCCTTGTTGAACACTTGCTTGCTTAAGATATTGCTTATGACGTGTGGGAGGTAAGAAGAGGGAAGGGAAGGAGTGAGAGTTACTTCCTACCACGCCGCACTCTGATAATACCACAGCGGTGCTCAAACCCCTTCAAACCCTTTGATAGGCTACGCGCGTTTTTAGGAGGGATTTTCGTCCCGACGTCCGCACGCGAGATCGTTTTTGTACTCTCAAGTCAGACATTTTGCGTGCCATTAAATTCCACTTGGTTGATAGTAGTCACCCTTATTATTTGAGAATCATCCTTCAATGTTTGATGCCATTGCCTATTTTGTTAGACAAGTTTTGACTGCGAAGAATCCGTCGATACACTTAAAACTCCCTTAGGTCACGTTGGTGAGGTCTGGTACTATACAATCATCATTCCCGCCGGTCATATTCAAAAGCACGCCCGAAAGGAGCTTGAAGTAATTCTAACCGGGCAAGAACATCACCATACACAAGCATCAACCCTCATACCATGGAAGCCGAAACCAGTTCCCATTACAAATGGCCTTGCTCTCTGTCAGACTCTATGGAGTAGTCAAAAGTGGGCCGTGTAATATCTTCAGTCCACGGGTCCACATGATTGTCCACTTTGATGTAGATCAATCCAGATATGGCGGTACGCCGTTGCGCTAGGAGATGGGTCTTAAATGACGATGATCAATTGACAGGCTCCTATTTCGCTAGAACTACACATTTTCCTTGGTACATAAACTAAACCTAAAACCGTTGAAATCATTCCAGTAATTCCACTTAATCGCTCAAAGTTTCGAAGATCGGCGTTCCAGGACCTTAAGCACGAGGTAGGCAACTACAAACAAGTTAGAACCATTTTCATGGAGAATGACATGTAAAAAAGGAGGGAAATTCCCCATTAATATTAAGGATTTTAAGAGAGTATTGAGATGACAAGGGAAAATGTATAGTGAGTGAGAGACAAGTGGACTTCAAGTCCACTGAAAATAACAGAAGCAAATACTTCCAGATATGAATATACAGGGTACAAAACAGGGTATCAACCGTTCCAGTGTCTAAAGGAAAGAAATCGGGGAGTTTCGGTTTTGGACAATTTGCCGGGAAGGAAAGATTCCGGACTTATCTGTCGTCCCCGCCGTCTGATGGAGATGAGAAGATGACAGGGTACATCCGAAAGAAATCGAGTGAAATCTTGACATAAATGGGGAATACGACGAACACATCAAAACATAGAGGGGGAGTGATCATGATAAGAAGGAGGTTGACTCACTGGCAGCGACTGTAGCAGCACGGCCTGCACCACCCTTGGCACTACCAGCACCCAGGAAGAAGAAGCGGAACCAGCCGAAGGTCAGCTTGCTACCGCTGCGGTCGAAATCGGGCACCAATCCGCTGGCAGCCTTGAAGATCTTCATCTTGCCCTCATACGGTGGGTAACGAATGGCAAGGATAGATTCGAGCCAGCTGGGGCTAGTGGTGATGGTGCGGCGGTGGACCCAGACATCGAAGCTGGCACGACCACGGTATGCGCCGTGACCACTCTCGCCGACACCTCCGAAGGGAAGGGTAGGGATGTGCAGGGCAGCGTCGTTAACAGAGACACCGCCGGAACGGGTAGATGAAATGACTACGGAAATTGTTAGTACGAGGGGAAATACGTGAAAATGGTAGGAATATGGACTCACTCTTGTCGGTATCGGCCTTGGAGCCGAAGGGGTAGATACCCAGAGGAGTGCTCTGGACACCGTTGGCCAGGTTGATGGCGTCATCGAGGTTTTCATAAGGAAGAATGGTAAGGATTGGGCCAAAGCTCTCCTGTGTGCATAGCGAATCCTCAATGGAATCCACTTGGACAACAGTGAGGTCCATGAAAAGCTCCTTCTCATCCATAGTACCACCCATCAGAATCTTGCCCTTGGTGTTATCAAGCATGGCCTTCAGGCGGTGGAAAGAGGCCGCGTTGACAATGCGAGAGAAATCAGCAGATCCCTTGGCGCCATTGGGGTAGAACTCCTTGTACGCGATCTTGAATTCCTCCACGACTTGAGAGACAATTGCCTGGTCCACCAACAGGTAGTTCTGCGAGGTGCAGACCTGACCAGCATTCAGGAGCTTACCCCAGAGCATACGGCGGGCCACCAATCTGGGATCGGCGGACTTGGTGATGAAGGCGGGATTGATACCACCCAGCTCGAGCACAACGGGGGTCAAGTGCGGCGCAGCCGCCTTGGCGACGATGCGACCAACATTGGTGCTACCTGTGAAGAAGATCTTATCCCAGCGCTCGGCCAATAGAGCCTGTGTTTCAGGGACGCCACCCTGTACGATAGAGTAGCATGCGGGGTCGAGACTAGCCTCGACGATTTTCTGGATCAGGGCAGCGCTGCGGGGGGCGCTCTCACTAGGCTTGATGACGACGGTGTTACCAGCAGCGATGGCACCAATGACAGGGCCGAGAGTCAATTGGAAGGGGAAGTTGAAGGGCCTGGCATGGGTAGAACACAAATTAGCTTGCAATTCTCAAGTCCAGAGATCAAAGAGTAATTGAAGGGTAGCGCCACACTTACCCGATCACCAAAACACAGCCAAGGGGATCCTTTCGGATCTTGGGGTTCATGAACTTGTAGGTCAGCTCAATATCCTGAGCCTTTTCATCCTTGACCCAGCTTTCCAAGTTGCGGGTGGTGAAGACAATGTCATTCAACAACCATCCGGTTTCAGCAAGCTCGACCTCGAAGCGCGGCTTGTTCAAATCCAGGGTGCAAGCTTCGGCGATCTCTTCTTCATTGTCCTTGATACTGATTTAATTTGTCAGCTGATTCACACCTCAAACAAAAAGAAAGAAAAGCCAAACTTACGCCCAGTAGAGCTTACGCAGCTGGACAAGACGGAACTCAACATCGCGAGTTCTGTGTTCAAGAAAGGCCTTGCGGGCAGTGGAGACGCGTGAGGGGATCTCCTCAACGGGAGTGAACTCCAGATCGGGGAGTGTTACACCCATGATGACTGGTCGCAGATATAGGTAGGACGAAATGAGGGATATGAAGAAAAAAAGGGAAAATATATTAAGAGAAAAGGAATAAAATAAGAAGAGAAAGCTTCAAATGAGCATTAAAGTCCCTCCAGAGTCCAACTTTTCCAAGAATTCCAAGGTGTAGGTGGACTCGTATTTAAGGGCGGTAAAGAACGGACCTACTCCGCATCCACATGCGCGCCTCTCGGCGTTTTTACTAAAACCGACTGACGATCGCCGGATGTCTTTTGCTGTTTTGGTGTGTCTGGGTTTTTAGGGGATTTAGGGGATTTAGTAGGATTTAGTGCTTTTTATTGTGGAATTTTTTTTTAATTTATCCTCGATATTCATGGTGAAAACTATTGGTGAGATTTGACAATGTACCCCTGTCTGTTCTTTTGTCACTTCTCTTCTTTTCAACTAGCTGCATTTTTCTTGCATTAAAAGCATTGTAATTTGCAAACTTTAGAAGGACTTTAAAATTAACGTGTCACTTTTTAAGCTCCACAAAACACTAGCCGCGGCTTCACACCACACGTGCCCCGCTTAAGGGGGCATGAAGCCACTTGACAAAAGTCTCGATTACTAATGCATGAGAAACAGTCAGAGGGTTTAGGTTTCCAACTACTTGATATGTACTTTTCTCAAGTACTGCCTATGTTATAATGTAGTACTAGTTATTCACACTTCATTCAAATGTAGTGTTGTCAAGCGGTCTAAGGTCTTATTCGGAGCAACAACATGCTTATCTCTATTCCCAACATTGAATGGGCAATATCATTGTTTTGTGCACATGTGGAACCTGGTCAGCGGCTAGATCTCATCTGGTCAACTGTTTAACGCCCTCTTCATTAGCAGATCCCGAATATCTAAGGCTGTAAACGAACTACTATGGTTGTTGAACCTTATGTGAACACTCCAAATGCGACGAATCCTCCAGATGTCCACATGGATGATTAACCCAGGTCGAATCCGCACCCGAAGCGGAAAGCGATGCCCGATTAGTATCCCCAGAGCCTTAATGGGTCCGGCAACGAATGATTTCGAAATATTTCAAGTCACGCTGAAAAGGTTAATGGCGTGGTCTACCGTTGCCACAATATTTGAGAGAGCTTGGCGAAGTCCAGAAAGACATGGCAGCGGCACTCAGTCTTCGATAATATCTTGAGCAACCTATGGATATGTACCTACTGAGTAGTTGCGTAGGTAATGAATACTTGAGACATGGAAGTATACATAACTACTTAATACTTGGGATGGCCCACATGCATGGGTACTAGTATGTATGTATATGCTCAATCCTTGAGATAAGTAGCAGAGGCTGTGTGATAAGCTATCGTAAACTAGAAACACAAAACACAAAACGCAATTCATTATCTTACCTAGAATAGGAGATATCTAAAGTTCAATACGGCAACATCGAGTATAGCCTTCAAATGTCAGAAAAATTCCATAAGTAGTGTAATTGAAGGGGGAGATCTCTCAGTCTCTTCAGCCTATTTCGGATTTTCTTGCCTATTCAAGTGGTATAACTATGGCATGTCCTGCACTTTGAGAGAGATTCCATTCCACCCAATATATTCAATCAAGTAAGCCTCATTTCCACCATTCAAATGTTGCTTTTATTCACTGAACGTGTTGCGTGTTGCGTGCTGCGTGGTTGTGGTGATTGGTCTTGTTTTACTTTACCCCTGGGTGGATCACGGAGCGTGCGTCCCCCACTAAGGAGTAAAAAAAAGTCTACTTTGATTATTCAAGTTCAAACCATAGGTGGCATCATTCGACATATCATGTAACATAATCTCATTCAAGTATCGGAATTATTCATTCACGGATTTTATCAAAATGCAAAAGACATTCGGCCTCGTGACAAGGCGTGCCGATGAGAATCAATCAAGCCCAGGATATACAAAAACATGCCAAAAAAAAAAAATTCAATCAAACGCCATATTCTCCCGGGGGCTCAAAGAAAAGAAAAAAATGTCCAAAAAAAATGTCCAAGAGAACTAGTCCAGAAAGCTTCTAGTTCTTGAACTGGTCCTCCGTGACACCCTTACCCATAGCGGCGGTGCTACTTACGCCACCGGAAACCATCTTCAAGAGGTTATCCACATAGTTGGCACCGCTCCACTTCTGGTGGGTAACAACGTCCACGCCCTCCTCCATCTCGGGCTCCTGAACCAGCTCACCATAGGCGCGCATACCATTTTGCGCATACGCCTTGGCAAACTGGTGCGAGATAAGCGCAGTCGTGTGCAGACCAGCGAGGGTGATGAACTGCCACGAGTAACCCAGGGCACCGAGACGCTTAATGTAGGTCTCTTGCTCATCGCGGGGCATGGCCTTCTTCCAGTTGAACGAAGGCGAGAGATTATAGGCGAGCTTCTGCTCGGGCCAGACGGCATGCACGCCATCGGCGAACTCCTTAGCCTGGTTGTAGTCCGGAAGCTTGCTCTCCATCCAGATCAGGTCCGCGAATGGAGCATACGCCACAGCGCGGTTGACCGCACACTGGGTACCTCCCTGGTAGCGGTAGTATCCCTCACGGGTACGGGGCGCCTCCCAGTTGAAGTAGACGTCGACACCGGTGATGCTCTTGGCAATGGCGCGGGCTTCGCTGTTGCTCTTGCCCTTGGCGGCCTGGAGGTACTGCTCGATGAGGGCCTGCTTGTTGCCATTGGGGCTAGCCTTGATGGTGTCGACGACGGCGTCGTTGAAGAGCTTGAGACCGGCCTGTGCGGTCCATTGGTCCTCGATGGCTTGAAGAGCAGCTCCGTTCTTACCGGACTGCTCGGCGGCGACCATCAGGTCATTCAGGGCTTGGAGGTTGGGGTTGGTGGCGCCAAGAATGAAGGCGTGGTCACGGTGGTCGATGGTAGAGGTGATAAGGGTGGCGGCTTCGGAGTCAGTGCGGGCAATGGCCAAAAGATCGGAGCCCATGATATCGGCCTGGGCACGGATGGCGACGAGGCGGTTGATGTGCTCGCTAATAGGGACCAGCACCTTACCGGCCATGTGGCCACACTTCTTGGTACCAGGAGCCTGGTCCTCAATGTGAATACCAGCGGCACCGCGCTCAACAAACAGCTTGGTCAACTTCATGACGGCAGTCAGACCACCGTGACCAGTATCGGCATCGGCAATGATAGGACGGAGGTAGTCCACATTTGCCACCTTGGAGCGCTCTTCTTTGGGGGTTGTGAGGCGCTCCTCGCGCTGTTTGCGGTCGTGGAACAGCTGTGCCATGAACAATTGGTTGACTTTGCGGGGAACAGTGTCCTGTGAAAAAGCATTCATATAAGTAAATATTCTTCCATGGTGCTCAATTCAATGTTCTGGTGCAACATACCATTGGGTAATCTGCCAGATCGGGAGAAGGCTCATCTGTCGACGAGGCTGTTGAGGAACTTTGCCAGCCAGAGACATAGATAGTGTCAAGGAACTTGCACATTTGAGTGATCATAGTCGGCTCAAGACAGCCATAGGTGTAGCTAGCCTGCTTGTTCTATTCATCGGCAATTCACATGTTAGCCAAAATATACCAACAGGGTTTTTGGAAGACGCATTGTCCATACCTTCCAGTTATTTTCGAGCGTGCTCCACAGCTTCTTAGCTTGCACATTAGATGGGTATTCAATCTTCAAGTTTCCGCGCTTTGCCACAATCTGCTCAGCAGTAAAGGGCCGCTTGGTGAAGCGCCATCGGTCATCCTTCCACCAATTCTGGACAGCCTGAACTTCCGCAGCGTACTGACGATCTTCGTCCTCGTGAAGACCCATGATGACTTTTGTTTTGAAGGATATTGGGACAATAAGACAAATAGGTATATATGCAATCGAGGTAGCACAGGCAAGGAGTCCTTGAATAAGAAGGCAAGATGTATAGACAATGCAAGTTGTCACAAAGTTTATAACAAGAAGAGAGGAGAGGAGAGTCACAAAAGATGAGGAATGGGAAAACTGAATGATAATTAAAAAAAAATTCACGATCACAAGCCAGCAGGGAAACCGGGGTACTTATTTACTTTGTGAATGCGTCACAGTCTTGGTCGGTAAACGCTCGGCTGACCGGGACAAGCCCAACCCCAGGATACCTAGGCTCAGTACGGTACTGTTCCAGATCCATTCTTGACCAATGTTCACTGCTCCGAAAGGCGGAGTTGGCGGGTGCGGTTCGGGAGAGAGGATCCAGGCGCTGATGATCCTCGGTCTAATGGACGACTTTTTGGCTCGGCGATTTTAAGGCGCTTGTCCACAACATCGCTCTTTGCACACTTTTCTCTCTCTATAGCTACTTTATTTTAATCGGTATCTCATCAATGAGGTCTAATAGCTTCATTGAATCTTTTACAATACTCCAAGACGACGTCTGTGGCTCCGTTGAGGGACGCGAATAGATCGGAACGACAAAGAGGCAATGACGTCGTCCGACATGTGCGTCGGGACACTTTACAATACATGGTATTTTTCACATGCATTTAGCCAAGGGAGCTAAAGGTCTGAAAATCACCTTTTTGCGATTTTTGAATGGGGTAAGAATGGTGTCATGAACTTGATCATATCCATTTGATTAGTCTATTCTACTTTTTTCTCATAAATTTCCTCTTACTGTGACTGAAATGCGGAGTTCTTCTAACATCCAAAAAGTCTCAAAGTGCATGAGTCATCAATACAATCCCGTCATGCCCCGGTATTCAGCGTATCAGTGTATCTCCACCCGCCATCTTGGCCTAGACAACCCATGAAGAACCCGAAATCTTCAAGCAGCAATCGTTTCCGATTTGACGGTATTGGAATAACAACTGGAACTCTTACTCAAGATGACATGATGGAGCCCCATCCTGTAGCTTGACTACCCTTTACCCCTACTGTAGACCCCGGCATATACGTTCTTCCCTGGGGAAAACGAATATCCATCTGGGGTATCCAAATAAGCAAGTCCCGTAGACACGCAAACCTTCCAAATGATCTACGAAATCTTGAAACCATGAAACAGACGTGAAATACTTCACGAATTCAGGCCGGAACAGCTGACGCTGATGGTCATTCTATCCTGAACACCCCTCCAATAAACATGATGTCCGAGGCGATCACTAAAATGACTCAGTCTAACCGCCTTCGTTGAACCTCGGCTCATTGATGCTGACTGTACCTCTCATTGCAAGTTACTCCAATTAACGAACAACCATAGAAGGGAATTGGCTATGTCCCACCGCATAGACACCCCTGCTTGGTGTCAGCAGGTAATCTACCAAGATCGGCAAAAGGGGTCCCAGTACCGAGTACAAAATACTTCGTATATGTACATCTGGATGAGGAAATGTATCAGATGTCTATTTTGTCTGCTCTGTCTTCCATACTTCTATACCCTATACCGGGGCATACAACCCACCTAAAGGTTAATTTCAACATTTCTCATCTACCTAATACCTAAAATAACATCCCCACATGCATTTTAAAGTGTGTCTATTCTTCAAAGGTTTCCATTAGTATGTATGAAGTATACAAGTACCCAAGACGTACTACTGTATATCCAAACGGTCCCCACGAGAACAATATCGGGAAAACCAGGGGAGTATTTAGACTCCACCCGCAAAATGTCTTTGTAGGGAAGTCGCTGCGTCGCTAGCCTCTCGTCGGGCTCCTAATGGCGTCTCTAATACGGAGTACGGATCGGAAGTTCCTGGCGTTTCGGGCGTTGTCCGGGATGAGGGTTCCCGAACGGGGCCCGGGTTATTTTCGCGGGAGCCGTGATATACTTCCAAGGTTCGTACAAATTGCGGGGTGGAATCTATGTGGAGTCCTGGGATTTCTCAGTGGAGGAGTTGAATAAAACAAGAACAAAATGATGTTTTTGGTGCTTTTTATAAAATCACGCTGTTTTTCCAAGGTTGGAGCTGAGCTCCCTCTCAGGGAAGCCAATTAATCAACGCAAAATCAATCAATACATAAACCCGGCGCCTGTACACGACGACACCAATTTTGAATGCCACCCATGCCAGTCTTGGATGCACTTGTTGTTGTTCTTTTTCGTTTCCAAGGGAGGTAAAGCGTTTCTCAGCCGAGTGACGCAACCTCCGTATCTTCAAGCTCACTTGTAGTTGTACACGATTTCTTTCAAAAAGCTGTCTTACCAAGCCTCCAATGAAATACTCAAAGAACCAAGATTCCAATTATAATGCACCGTTTAGATCAGTACGCACTCTGTGCGTCAATCGCCTTTTTGTACGTATCATATGGCGTGATAGTTCCTAGAGAGCGGCGCTGGTGCGCATTGAGGATCTCCAGCCCATACACGTAACTAGCATTGACCCATCCAAAACTGTAGGGTATATATTAGCATGAGAAGCCGATAAGTGGGAAAGTCGGTCCGAAACTTACCCTTCACGTGGTGCGCCCTTGAAATCAGTGCCTTGGTTGCCGTATTCGGCATCGACGCGGTGTGGATCAATTGGCCGTGTCACATCATACTTCTCCACAACCACACCGTTGAAATCGACGAATGCCTTGGTAATCATATATAGCCACTTATACGCTAGCCGCTCTGCATCTTCCTGGTATCCATAGCGCAGGAATGCAGTCCATGCAAGCATCTGCTGTGGCGCCCAGCCGTAGGGATAATCCCACTGTCGGTTGGGTCGCTCCAAGCCCACTGGGCCTCGGGATTTCTCCGTGCCCGATACGAGACCACCGAAAGCTTCAAGCCGAGGCAGTGCCTTGAGCACCATCTCGGCTGCTTGCGGGGGCGTCGCGAGACCGGCCCACATGGCCCAGAAGGTCGTTGCGGTTTCATAATCGGTCTGTTCTTTCTTTACAGTGTCGTAGTCAAAGAACATGCCCTTCTCTGCGTTCCAGCAGAATTGGTCCATCCGCTGCTTGCGCTTGCGGGCACGGCGGTCCCAGGAGGCCGAGGATTCGGTCTCAATATTCCGTGTCTGAGGAGTGGTGAACTCCACTGGGATATCCAGCTTATCTTTGAAGTGGGTTCGAATGATCCAGGCAATATCTACCTCGTACTTGTAAAGCAGAGAGTTGAGATCGACGGTAGCGAGATTGGCGCATACACGCTCCAGGCGATAACTGGTATCGTGACCAGACTCACGCACCGCTCGGTCGTGCAGGAAATACTCGTCCAGCTCAGGCTCGCTTACTTCGCGGGAATTGTACGCCTTGACAAATTGTTCAAAAGTCATGCCATGCTTCTCCGCATAGGGCATCAAAATATGAGTGAAATGAGTAGGCTCCGTCTCCGGCGGCACACCCCATCCCTCCGGCCGATATCTCGAGAGTCCAGAGACTGGATCCAGACGTGGCTCACATGCCCAAACACTGTGGTATTCCTTGATCGCAGCAAGAACTGCATTTCGAAGGAACTCCTTGGCGTCCGGCTCTTGCTTGATCCGCTCATAGACACGGAGTGCCATGTCGGTCAGGAATGGAGGCTGTGAACGAGTCAGGTAATAGGATCGATTGGCGTTAAGAATCTTTCCGTAGTGCTTGATTTCAAAGCAGAAGTTAACAACCATGCCCTTGGCGAGATCGACTCGGTCGCTGACAAGGAGGCCCAGAGACTCCATGTAGCTATCCCATCCATACAATTCGTTGAATCGACCTCCTGGCACCACGAATGGAACGCCCTCTAAGTCCTCTTCTCCAGTGGTTTCATCGACTTTAGTCTGCATTGCAAGCGCTAACAAGCCTGGTTTCTCACTGAGCTTCATGACATAGTCCGGCGTGACATCGGCGTCTAGCATCACCACATCTAAACGTATCTCCGGGTGTTTCTCTGCAATCTTGGTATAATATTCGAATTGTGCCGGGGCACCTGGTGGAATGTAGATGCGAGGTCGTGGATCGGATGTCCAATCCTTGGGATCTCTTCCCGCCACTTCAATATTCGAGCCATCAATGCGTCTAGTCAACGCCTTCCAGAAGGAGTTCTTGATCAACCGCGAGAGCCGAGACACTGGGTTCTCGCTGAGGCGAACCTCATCAAGCTCAATGTGCTTGCGACCGTAATCTTTCGCGATTGTAAGCTCCTGGAGAAGGTTGGAAAGCATATAAGTACCGCGGACATCAACGCGGTTGTATCCCGACGAGGCCGCCGTTCCGATCGAGAGCGTCTATTCGAAATTAGAAAATAGGAAAACAAGGAATGGAATCACCAGGAATTTTACCTTTGGTCCCAGATCCTCAATGGTGATCTGCATGTTTTGATCGGTGTCCTCCTGCTTCAATAGTGCGTCGAGGGTTTCGTCCACGTTGATGAAGAACTTGCGGGGTTTATGGGTGGCCTCATCTGAACGTTCCTGTTAATTGCTTTTCACGAGATCCGTTGTATCGAAGCTTACCATGGCTTCCTCGCCTCGATGGCAAAGTCCCAAGAAACTCAGAGATGTCTTCCCGGCTGTAATCCTTCAAACTCTGTGTATAGAATCAAGAGTCAGCGGGGTTGCCCGATCGTTTCTCACATAGACAAGGTGGCTGCTTACCGCTGAGAAAGCACGCCCACGACGGATTCTGGCACGAGAATCTTCATTTCCATAGTAGATATCAGGATGAGAAAGGGGATCGATGGAGCCGGCCCGTTCGGGGCGTTCGGAGCGACCGTTTGACGAGCTCATGGTCTGGTTGCGCAGAGGGGGGGTGGAAGCGGAGAGACAATCCAGACTCCGAATGTGTGGCAATGCAAGAGGCGGGTGTGTGTTTCCACACCGACTATTCGCTTTCTTGCTTTTTTCCCCCGGGAACAGAATCCAGAAAGGAAAAGCAGAGCAAAAAGAACAGATAGTACTTTTGAAATTTGTTGATACAGCCCACTACCCCGGTTTATGTAGAGAAGGCGATTGGAAGCAACTGGGGATTTTGGAAGGTCAACGAGAGAGACAGGGGCAACCTGGTTCACGGAATGAGACAGTCTCAGTCTCAATTGGACGCGGTGTACGGCAAAGTTGAATGGAGTCAAAAGAGTCTGTTTAGAATCCGATATATGCTGTGTGAAGGTGGGATGGTCGGATGATCTACTAGAATGACGGCATGAAACGATGATGTCGCCGCTCCACAATAAGTTGCCTCCGATAAGCTAATGATAACAGCAAAACCGGATAACCATATTGGGAGAGGAAGAAGGCAAGTTAAGTAACGGGCTTTTAAATGTTTACAAATCCTTTTGCCCTGATGCTTTGTTTTTTTCTGTTTTGATGCTTATATCCACCAATTGGCTCTACACCGACTTTGCTCAAGAAACCCAAAAAAGCAACCCTTTTCTCGCCTAGTTATGGTTTGGTCTCACTGGAATGTCAAATACATAGACAAACCCGCTATTCGGCCCAACACCCCCGCATCGGGGCCCCGGAATGTTGAAATAGGAAAAGAAAAGCATGGACGTTGAATAAAGGTAGCTTCCTATTGGATTATGTACAGATCCAGCCCAAAAAAATACAAAAATGGATTTGATCACCTGGCGCGTTTAGCGACCACCTTAAATCTTGGCAGCGATAACACTGCCACCATCTACAGGAATGGTTGCACCATTGATATAAGCACCCGCCCGGCTGCTCAAGAACAAGCAAGCGCCGGCCACGTCTTGGGGAGTTCCGATCCGGCCCAGTGGGATTCCAGACTTGATAGCGTCGCCAAAAGACTTGAGCGTCTCAGCCATCATCTTACTCTCGAAGGGACCGCAAGCCAAAGTGTTAGAACTGCAGATAAAAAAAATGAGAGTTAGCAATTGGTATCCAAAGTATATCAGAGTGAACCCTTACGTGATGTTGCGTCTGCCAAGGTGGTTTGCTAGTACCCGACTCAGGTGGTGCAAACCGGCCTTACTGGAACTGTAGGCAAAGGTCTCTAGCGAAGGGACACGAAGGCCGTCCACGCTGCCAATATTGATAATGCGCGCCGGATCGTTCTCCGCGGAGGCCTTCTCCAACAATGGGGTCACGAGCTGAGTGAGATCGAAGACGCGGTGTAGGTTGAGGGTGAGGACGCGGGTGAAGGCGGCGGTGGGATACTCGTCGTAGGGGGCGCCCCAATTGGAGCCGGAGTTGTTGACAAGGATATGAAGCTCTGCAATCATTACTATTAGTGATTGATACTGGGATCGAAAAATAAAGGAATTCACTGACTGCTTTCGCGCTTGCCAAGCTCCTCCGCCAGCTTCTTCACGTCCTCGTACTTGTAGAAGTCGGCGGGGATGGCATGTGCCTTGCCCTTGCCGAGAGCATTTAGCTCGTTCACTGCTTTCTCGCAGGCCTTTGCATCGCGCGAGGAAATATAGACAGTGGCACCATTGGTCACATAACCCTCGGAGATCATGCGACCGATACCTTTGGCTCCGCCGGTGACCAGCACCACTTTGCCCTGCAGGAAATGTTAGCAGGCGGTATGGATTATTATCTGTCAAACTGAACTGACCTTGACATTGAAGAGACTTTCTGAATCCATGGCTGCGAGTATGAACAGTTTTTCGGGGAGTCCGGTAAGCGTGTTCTTGTCTCTTTATGATTCCCCAGCTTCCCCCCGTTGCACTGCATGTAATTTACCCACGGGCCGAGACCCATGCGGGCAAGCCGAGGCTCATCGGTGAAACACATTCTCCGAATCTCCGTTGATTATTCATATCATTCCAAATCGGGACACGACTTAGGGCAGCAAAGTCAGGGTTTCGCGGGGCGACTTTGCATTCTTAGTACTTACTATCACTTTGTTGTTTACCACTGCATTTACTCGAGCGTTGATTGCGTGATTTTTTGTTTTTTATCTTGCTCAATAGATCAGTTTCTTCCGCCCATCATGGATGAACTCCTGGCAAAGCACCGCAAAGAACAAAAAGACTTGCAAGGGCGGATCACTCAGAAGAAAAAGTCAGCGACAAAGAAGACCCGCAAAGGCATCAACGATGATTGTGAGCGCATGCAACGAGAGCTCACCGAGCAACAACAAGCGGAAATTTCACAATTAAATGGTACTTCATCTGACCCAGTGGAGGACATGGAGAATCTCAATCTGGAGGACGAAACACCCACCAATCCCGAATCTACCGAGGATAAGGCCACCGAGGATGCAAAGCCAAAGACAGAACCAGAACCAGAACCAGCCTCCGAATCCACCCCCCAAACAAAAAAGCCCAATCGTCAAAAGGCCCGCCTCGCCCGTCGTGCAGCTGAACAAGCTGCTGCAGCCGAAGCGGCTGCCGAGGAGGCCGCCAACCAAACAGACTACAGAGGCAACGAGAAAGAGGTGATGGATGCGGTCTTTAAGAAGCTTAGACTGAAGGAAATTGAAGTCAATCCCGACGGGCACTGCCTCTATTCCTCCATCGCCAAGCAGCTGGACGATGCCGGACTTGGCTTGCGGCCGGACCCAAGCCGAATTGTTCTCCAGTCGACGACCGAATCACGCATCGAAACCGTGGCATCACCACAGCATGATGGCTACCGTGCAGTCCGAGCTGTGACGGCAGATTTCATTACGCAAAACAAGGACGATTTCGAGGCATTTATGGAGGAGCCATTGGATGTGTATACGCGGAAGATCAGGCTCACCGCTGAGTGGGGTGGGCAATTGGAGCTGCAAGCCATTGCTCGAGCATACGGGTTGGAGATCAATATTGTCCAGAGCGATGGACGAATGGAGAAGATCGAATCGGGAGATATGGACAGCTTTGACGAAGAGGAGAAGCTCAAGCGCGTTATTTGGCTGGCGTACTATCGACACTCCTACGGGCTTGGTGAGCACTATAATGCTCTTACAAAGAAGCAGTCTTAAGAGGAGCTTCAAGTCGCACAACATATTCGTGCATGCATCAACCGGAAATAAAATAAAAAAAATACCTCATTCTTCCGAGTTCGACCGATCACGGGAATTGACGTTGGATTATTTTCTTTTTATTCAAATATTGTCGTCCGCTGCAGCTGCCTTAAGGCAGATCTAATCACGTCGGCGCCAGATAGAAACCCTATCATGAATAACCCCATTATCGCCCTGTCCAAATTCATGGGTTCGCTCTGGCTGCCAGTAAGCCACTCTCTCGAGACCAGATTTGCTTGGTGCCCGCAGCGGGTCATGCTTGATCAGACCCTTGGCATCGTAGGGGATATCTTCGCCTGGGTGGCTCAAGTGTTCCATGTACACCTCTGAGGACAAGGGGTAAGGCGGTCCAGAGGACAGAGGATCCTTGTGGCGGGGAAACTCGAGACAAATCAAGTTACCCTTGGGAGAGGCAGCTAGAAGCTGTGTGTGGCGGAGCGCCCACTTGGGGCGAAGTTCCGGACTCAAGGCACAAAAGAACTAGATACAGTCAGAATGCAAATGGGAAAGGACGGGTAATAGATGGCATCATTGCGTAACTAGCAAGCTGCAAGCTGAAGGGTGGCTGCATCAATCAAGAAAAACAGCAAAAATAACGGTTTACTCACTGTGTAATCATAGACCACATCAAATCCATTAAGTGGTACCCCAATGGATTTTAACCAGGCATCATCAAAAAAGTCACCTTGCACAAATGTGACTTTCCCCCGTCCAATCGTCTGGTCTCGAACACGGTACCAGCTGTTGTTCTCAGCCTCTTCCTTCTTGCACAGCTCAAGAGCAATTGGGCTGTAGTCTAGGCCATAGGCATCAAACCCAAAACTAGCCAAGAGGAGCACATCAGTACCTCTTCCACAGCCAGGAACTAGGACCTTGCGTCTGTATGACTGGCCTTGTGCATCCTGAGCCATTGGCCCGCCAAGGGTGGAGCGTCGTTGGACCAGTAAGTCTTCCAGCGCTGGGTTGGGGAATCCCTGGTCCCAAGGCAGCTTGCCATCCTTTTGCCAGACAGATGCCCATCCGTCAATGTATTTCTCGTCCTTGTATTGGGCCATGTGGGCTTGGACCTCCTCGACCTCAATGGGGGTAGGGGCAGTCATTGTTGGAGATGTTTTGATGCGTGTGCGGGGTTGTAAATTGGTGTTTTGGCGGGTGATGGGGTATTTATATGTCTACACAATAAAGTTGGAAGATGTGTGACGTTGAAAGTGATACGGTATACCTCCCGAGGCGATCTTTTTCTCCTTGCTGATTTTGATTCAAGAACACAGAATATTTGAAAAGATTGAATGGACGTTGAGTTCACCGTCATTTCCAGGCCACTTCATAACCTCGATTTCCCGTGGGCTTATTAAGCACCTCCTTGCAGATGACCGACCGTGCGAGCGGCATATATGCCTCGCAGTTTGCTAAACTGTGTTTTTGGGCATTAAATTTGCTCATTCGTCACGAGAGACTATGACTTTCGGTTCATTTTCGACATATTGTCAGATTGAATCGAGTTGATATCGTCACCAGATGTGCCAGGTTTGGGGCCATGACCAAGCCGTCGACTGGCCAATAGTGAAATGGGGTTCCTCTAATCACGCAATGACTCGATGAGTTTATTCAGACGTTCAAGCTTCGTCTCGAACATGACAGATATGTGCCATCTGCTATGTTGAGTGTTCACAGAGACTGAGATGTATGGAAATTTATGCACTGTCCAAGTCTCCCGTTACTTGACAACGACTGACTCATTCAGACACAGGCCCACGGACCCATTGGGGACCTCTAGTCAATCAATACAATATGGACTACAATGTGGGGAGGCCAGGACCCCGAGTCTGGGCTTTCGAGAGATTTACCATTCTCCTCATCAAAGGCATAGACCAGGGGTTAATGTGCCTCCGTACTTGCCATGACAAACATGACGTGTTTCGCCCTCCATCGACCCGGTCAGAACCTTGAGTCTCCAACTTCAGAATGGATCTTGTGATGGTGCTGATTTTTTTTCAATTGAGAAAATGCATATTGTGTCCTGCCTTCCACTTGGAATAATGCACTGGAACACCAATCAAGAAATGAGCGTTGATGTTGATGATCACTTCGGATTGAGACCGCTTCAGGCACTGCCCAGGGTCGTTCCTGCCTTTCAAATTAGTCCCTTAATTGCCATTCAATCGCGTGCCTGCCTATTTCGGGTTCTGCTTCGCACCATGGCTTCTTGAATTGCTCGCATTACCAAGGTTCCAATCCCTCCAGGTCGATTCCCAGTCTTAATTCTCTTTGCACACAGGTTAATGCCTTTGGTCTGTACTTCTTTGCATGTGATTCCATCCGCTCTGGACCTAATCAATCTGCTTGCCTTTTTCAAATACAGGACAACTAGTACCTACTAGATTGGCACAAAGTTGATTAGCACGACCTGCAACATTCATACCACCGTGCTATTGTTATCGATCTTTAGGGGAATTGTTACAACAGTTTGATTGTCACCACAAGGACGTTACCTGTCTTGAAAATCCTACTCCGACTTCGGTACATTCACAAAATAACCCGTCAAAATCCGTTCAGATGCTTGGGTTACAACAGCTCAGTACCATCTTTTCTCGAGATTCGAGCTTAGCACCAACCAGCAGTGCCGGAAGCACTGAACCTATCGTGACCGGAAGTCATGGAATCGAATCACAAGTCCATGACTCTACTCTCACTGGCTACGAGCAGGAGAAAAATGACGATGCCGAAGCGCCACGAACTTTGGTGCGCCAATATACGGAGCTCGGACCGCCTGTTGTGGTGCCACGACTCAAACGAAGAGGACTCTTTAGCCAGCTGGTGCTCATCGCCGAGATCGAGGATCCGAGAACGTATTCTCGAAACATGAAATGGTTCATCACCTTTATAGTTGCAACAGCTGGAGTACTTGCACCACTGGGAAGCTCGATTTTCTTTCGTAGGTTTTTTTTTGACTGGGCCTTGTCTCTTCTGATACTGACCCGATCTTCTTCCTAGCTTCGCTTTCCCAAGTATCCAACGAGTTAAACACAACACCCACTTTGACCAACTTGTCCATATCCTTGTATATGCTGGCAATGTCGATCTGCCCTCTGTGGTGGTCGTCCCTCAGTGAACGACTGGGGCGAAGGACAATTTATCTGACCTCATTTCTTCTGTTCGTTATTTTCAATATTCTCTGCGCCATTTCCCACACAATCGCCATGTTGATAATCATGCGAATGCTCATGGGTGGTGCAGCCGCTTCGGTTCAAGCTGTGGGTGCTGGGACGATTGCAGACATGTGGGAGATTCACGAACGAGGCCATGCAATGAGCATTTTTTACCTGGGGCCTTTGTGTGGACCATTGCTGGCCCCAATGATCGGCGGCCTTTTAGCCCAACGCTGGGGCTGGCGGAGTACCCTGTGGTTCTCTGCCTTCTTTGGTGGTCTCATATTTCTCTTTATTCTTTTCGTTCTGCCAGAAACGTTGAGTGTACAAGAGCCGATGCTGCCCTCGGTTGAACAAGATGAAGATACCTGCATCAGCCGCTCACTCAGTATCATATCGAGCCACAAGGTAACCACAGTCAGATGGTTGAAGCTGTTGAAGATAAACTTCATCGACCCTTTGAAGATCGTCTTCTACTTGCAGTACATCCCGGTGCTCTTGAGTGTGTACTATGGCAGCATTGCCTTCGGATCCCTTTACGTGTTAAATATCAGCATCGCGGACACATTTAGCAAGCCACCATACAACTTTGATACCGTTATGATCGGCTGTCTTTACATTCCAAATTCCTTGGGTTACTTCATTGCCAGCACATTTGGTGGACGGTGGATGGATAGCATCATGCACCGGGAAGCGAAAAAGGCAAATCGATACAATGAAAAGGGAAGGCTGGTGTTTCTCCCAGAGGATCGGATGCGGGAGAACGCTTGGCTCGGCGCTTTTCTATACCCTGCCGCCTTGATCTGGTATGGTTGGACCGTAGACAAAGGAGTCTTTTGGCCAGTACCGGTATTTTGGTCATTCCCTTCATAATCCCTGTTCGGCGATCCTAATTTTACCACTTACAGATCATCGCTAATTTTTTCTTCGGCATCGGCTCTGTGCTAATATTCAGCATGGTTACTACTATGCTCACTGAATTTATGCCGAACAAATCCTCCATCGGGGTGGCCCTGAATAACTTTGTGCGAAATATCTTTTCTTGCGTGGGCTCCCTCATCACAGCACCTCTCATCAATGCGATTGGAAACGGTTGGCTCTTCAGTATTTTCGGAATCATTGGATTTATTAGCGCCTCTGTCATCCTTTGCATGCAGACATATGGTCCTCAATGGAGATTGAAGATGGACGAGCATATGAAGTCACCTCAGGCGAAATCCCATTCGGTATTTAGCAGAGGTGTTTAGCGTACATATCTGGCTTCCTTTCTCTGAGAAGCTTTTCTGTCATTGACGGATGATTACATCACTCTGTCCTTATCCTTTAGTTCTGAGATATCCTGTGCATGGTCGCTCACTTCCTTTCTACTTTTGGCGTTCTCTGCTATTGCCCACTGTCTTCAAATGTTAGGGGCTGGTACTTTATTTTATACGCGAGTTCTCAATGATACTACCCGGTTCAAATAACTCTAACCGTCCCGAAGAAACAATCCTCATCTTAGAATGGGCAGGTCAAAACTTGGAATTCACGTTAACTCATCTTGAATTGATGCAACCTGAGCTCCCATGGCTTGACCGAATGATTGTAGGGGGCCAAATTTGAAGCTCAATCCCCTGGTTGGAAGGGTTCCATTTAATCGTCCCCTCTCAAAGATGTACCTCCTTCATGCTTTCCTTGATTGCGATGAAATCATCATTCATCAAATCGTTTCAGCATCTGCTATTTGAATATCCCCATTGGAGCTTCCCAAGAATGTGTGGGGATATGGTTAAAAATGTACGGCGCAAGGGGGTGAAAGTAGCCTATCAAGCCCCAAGAAATGGAAATACACGATAGGGTCAAGCATTGGATTTGAATGGGATCTGCAAACATTCAATTGTTGAATATCTGGGGAAAAGTGACATCACCGAGTCAGCCCTGTACTTTGTAAGATCTGTAGTAGTAATTCAGTCAATGTTTTTAACTATATAATATGAATGCCTTTCACCACCATGACACCAACTTATCTTTGCTCATCCATAACTACACCTGGGCAACATTGAATATTGAAGTCATTAAAAACTCTCCCTTTCAAATTCTCAACAAGCCAAAACTCAGCACAATGTGGACACGTACATTTATGCTGCCCCTGGCCTTCATGTTCTTCGGGTCTACAGTACGCACCATCTCCTCTTCCAAGCTTGAACACATGAAACCTTTGTTTGCTAACTCAAAAAAAAAAGATGGGAAGACCTACCGCTCCAACCGCGGAGCCAATGCGAGCAGATGACCAATCTCTGGCACAGAACCAAGAAGTAATGAACGCCGTCATGGAGAAATATTCCGAAGCTCGTGCAGAGTGCATAAACGAGGAGAACATCCCCGAAGATGCCGCCAAGAAATTTGAGGAGACGCAGAAGTTGGAACCTGAACTGCATTGCTATGCCGGGTGTGTGGGCTACAAGCTTGGGATCATCAAAGAGAAAGGGGGCTTCAATGAAGAGGCGTGGAAGGGATTTGTTTCTAAGACTGGTGACGATGAGAAGCAGAAGCAGAAGCTGTTGCGCGTGGGAACTATCACGGCCAATGCGCTTGATGGATTGGATCGGTGTGAATCTGGAAATGAGCTTTCTGAGATTTCGCATGTTTTGAAAGAGCTCAAGGACTATGAGTGATAGGTCTATAACCTGTGACTTGAGAAACGGGTCTTTCTAGGGGTCTTGTGATGGATTCAAAACGTTGTAGGATATATCAGTCTTTGGTTATGAGATTATGAGCGGGTTTGCATTTACATGTCATATTGCTATCAATTCAAATTTAACAATTCTTGAGATACTAAAAAATGCTAGCAAGGATTGATGTTCGTCTTGATTTAGGGCTTCCGTGGACCAGTCAAGAGTAACTCAAGATCCCTCAGATCAATCGAATGACTTTGTGCTGCCCAGAGCTGGCTTCAAGAGTTCCCGCAACATGAGCTCTATCAAACTTTGGATACCTTTTTTTTGATCCCTAGTTTTGCACTATTGAAGCCATGGAACAAGGCAGCCAATAAGGCCAAACTCAGGCCAGAGCAAACAGACCCCTCAATGCCTGCAGATCAGGAGTCGAGCGGGGTAATTTAGTTGCAGCGGGGACTCGGGGCCATGCATGACTTGGGGCCGGATGATTCGTCATCTGCAGTAGTTTATGCAGTACTAACTTGCGCTAACATGGCCATTGGTCGAGTGTTTTGAAGTGAGATGGGGAACTCGGGTATTGAAGTGATGGAAGGTTTGGAAAGCTGAAGAAGAAAGGAAGACATGCTTTCTTCAAGGCAGATCTACAATGCGATCGCTTCAGGTTAGAGAGCTATGATGTAGGGGTTCTCGATAATTCCGATGAGATCGCAAGGTCTGTCGAACTGGACCCTTTCAAAAGACTACCAGATTCTCCGATTCCGGACATGGAATCCAGTTGGGCCGTTTGCCCGGGACCGATGATGCTCCAGGATTACTTCCATTATAGAAAGATAGTTTGGATGGATGAATCAATTGAAATCAATAGCGTTGGGTTGCGATCCACTAACAGTTGTACAGTACTACCACAGGATCGCCATTGACTTGTTACTTTTGACGTGGTCAGGCACTATGCTACGGTTGATAGAGATGACGATTTAGGATCCATCTGATTTCGAAGACATTTGTCGGGTTGGATGGATCTAAAATAACGATCATCAATTACATTCCGAAGCGAGGCGCCCGTAGAAAGCACTAGTGCTAGACATTGGACGTTTACCTCCCGAAAAACATACTACCTTCCGCCATCAGCAAGCCTGACATGGATGCTCGGCCCGATGCAGAGCACCGTATTGTTACTTCCAATTTTGGAACATGAGGTTTCAGAGTATTCCAAGGTTGGACATAGTAATTGAATGTGGTACAATCAATTGCTGGAAATCGGGCCGCTCCGTGACCACAGAAAGCGGTTTAGGTGATGCATCCCGCTTAATTAGGGAAGACTAGTACGGAGTAGGATAGGACTGTATTGATCTAAAGGCCCAAGTTGAAATAAATGCAAAAGTGGAAGGTTCAAGTTTATTGATCAGATAAAATAGAAACATGAGTTGTAACTTGCCAGTGAGGTGTAAAAACGACCGTTACGATCACACGGGGCATCACCTGATCGTGACCACCAATTCTCTCGTTCCACGACTTCTGACTTCTCCTGCACGATTGATGCATTGCGCAGGATGATGCAATCTTCATTCCAACCATGTGCGCCCTTGCTGGATCCAGCGTTTTCCTTGAAGCATCTCGCAGCGTACATTTCTAAGGGAATTTCCCTTGGGCGAAGATGATCGACCTGGTGAAGTGTCGGTGTCGGAGAGTGGAGACTTGATGACTACGAATTGACTCCATTTGCTTCATTTCCCGCCTTTTTCCATTGAGTCAATGGGGTCCATGGGCCAAAGATTACCCAAGGAGGTATCAGTATCTTGTGTATCGGGTCCTCTCGGTCGTGATCCTCGTCTCTTTCGTCTCCCCACCGCCAGGCCTGCATCCTATTTGCCGCCGTTACCGGGGGGCGTTGGGCAGGAATGGATTTTTTTCGACTGCATCACTTTTCTCTCTTTCTACTCGGGCAGTCTGTGGGAATTGTTTCCCCCTGGGTGGCACTGCAGGTGCTTTTTTTTTTTTTCGGTGTGGCTTCTTAGAACACCTCGGATTTGTTTGTGACCCACACTCAATTCGGGTCCATTTTTTTTCCTTCTCCCAACCCCCCCCACGGCCTTGCCTGTGTTTGTACCGGTACAGATGGCAACCAAGCATGAACGAAAAAAAAGGGAAAAAAACGTCAACACAGACAACAATACAATACTCTATAGAATCTCAAAAAAAAAAAAAAGAATAACAATCGAAAAATTGACTGGTGCCACTCTAACTCCCCACTTCGTCGAAACTGTGTTCTCCATGCTGCAGCATTTGCTTTGACCTAACTGGGCAATTGTGTTTCCCTCCCAATCCGATTCCACCGCTTCCTGCAAGCTGCAAGTGGAGACTGTGCTGCTCTCACCCGGCCCTAATCAAGGCCCTTTACTAACCCCCTCAAAGTCACCACATTATGGAGACGGCATGCGACGTGGCCCAATGGCATTCCCAGTCATCGGGCAGTTCGTTGATGACGTTCAAGGGCCCAATAGACACAACTGCAGCTAGTTGTCGTTGCCATCCACCACGTAGGCCGGGCGAACCCTTATACGCTGCCTCACCATACTTGTCCAATTGCAATCGTTTTTGTCGCCAGAGAAACAAGCATATGCTTATTACCCGTTCGGTCTTCTAATACAGGAGTACCTGGCCCAAGTATTTTGACTTCTCAACTTCATCTTCTCACTCAATTTCTTACTCCTCCAAAGTACCCTTGCAGCTAAGCCCGATCGTGTCTTGTCATCTATAATTTGTTTCATTACTATCTCACGCCACTTCAGCATTCCTCCGCCCTATTTTATGATACGTCATTAATCCGAGGGTATGGCCGGCAAGAAAAAGAATAAGAAGAAGAACAACAATAACAACAGCCCTCCCGCCGGAAGTGCACCAAAACCCGACACCAACGATAATAAAGAAGATTCCATCAAGGCCGCTGGCGAGCCCCCGGCTTTGATACCGGAAGATGCCAATGGGTTACAAGTATGCAAATTGCTCTCAATTCTCCTACCAGACGCCACAACTTAAATATCAAACTTTCGATTATGAAAAATCCCAATTCTCAAATTATTATGTCAATGAATCGACCGAACGTCTGACGGGGGGCAATGACCAGGACAATCAAGACCCCAACACCACCGAACCAAAGGATGACGCCCCGGCCGAACCCGCAGCAGAGGAACCTAGCCCACCAGCCGAGGAATCATCTGAATCCCCAGAATCTGCTGGTAAGTATCATTAGCAGAATGTTGAATGAAGATTGTATCAAAAATCTCCAATCGGAAGAGTTACTCACTTGAGGGACAGGATCAACAGAGGAAACAACACCCGCCGAGCCAACTGACGCCCCCAATGACACAGCCGACGCCGACGTCAAGGAAGAAGGTGCAGATGCGCCTGCTGGCGATGAGCCTCCGCCGAACGCAGAGGGGGAAGGTGTCCCAGATGAAGCCCCTCAAGAACCGCCTGCAGAAGCTGCAGAGCCCGAGCCGAAAGACGAAGAGGTTGTCCCAGCAGCAGAGGATAGCGCCCCAAATCCCGATGACGGTGGAAACAATGGTAGATATTAACGCATCAAATTCACCATATCAATAATTCTTGACTAATCTGCTTGACAGACGAAGATTTTCCAGCTTGTGACCCTGAAGAGGGAGCCGACAAGGTAGAGGCCGAGAAGGAAGCTGAAAAGGAGGCCGAACGACTAGCAGCTGAAGAGGCCGAGGCCGACGCTGCCAAATCCGAAGCAGCCCAGGGTGACGCTGATGAGACCAATGCCGATGCTCCAGCAGACACTCCAGCCGAAGGCAGTGAAGAGGCTCCAGAAGAAGCTCCGCCGACAACCGAGGAGCCTGCTTCCGAAAATTCTGAAGCTACAGCCCCACCAGATGATGCGCCTGTAACTGAGGCTGCAGATGAGACTAAACCTCCGGAGGGTGAAATCGAACCCGAAGCTCAACCAGACGAACCTCCTGTGGAGAGTGAACCTGCGCAACCAGAGCCTGTGGAAGAGGCAACGCCGGAACCAGTTGTTGCATTGACAGCAGGCCAAAAAAAGAAGAACAAGAAGGCCAAGAATAAGAAAAAGAAGGACAAGGATAAACCCGAGCCTGAACCTGAGCCCGAATCCGAACCACCAGCTCCTATTCCAGTAGTAGAGCCTCCAGCAGAGGAGCAACCGACAGAAGAACCTGCTGAGGCAGCCCCCGAACCAGAAACGATAACCGAGCCGGAACTTAAGCCAGAAGAAGTTGCTGAAGAGCCCGCAGTCGCTGCACCAGAAGAAGCCAGTGATGCTCCTGCAGATCCCGCCCCTGAGCCAGAGGCTACAACACCAGAGGATCCCGAAAGTCCCCCTCCAACCGAAGAACCCGCGCCAGAATCTGCCGAGCCAGAAGTTCAACCAACCGAAGAACCCGCTACTGAGCCTGTTCCTGTTGAGGCAGAGCCAGAACCTACTCCCGAGGTAGCTACTGAGGAAGAGAAACCCGCTGTTGATGACATCCCAGCGGAGACTTCCGAAGAACCGGCACCAGAGCCAGTCTCAGCTCCTACTGAGGAGGTACCTGAGGAACCGGTCGTTGAAGCTCCCGTTGAAGAACCCGCCGCTGAAGAGCCTGTCATCGAAGAGCCGGTTGTCGAAGAGCCTGTCGCCGAGACATCTACTGAAGCTCCTGCTGAACCTGCCCCCGAGGAAGTTCCAGCTGCGGAAGAAACGGCACCAGTTACTGAGGAGCCGACTGCCGAAGAGCCTGTAGCCGCTGAAGAGCCCGCTGTTGTCGAGCCTGCTGAGGTGGAGGTACAGGTTGAAACTGTACCCGAAGAATCCGCCAAAGAGGAACCCGCAAAAGAGGCTACACTAGAGGAGCCTACGGTTGAAGAATCAGCACCAGTCCCTGAGGAAGCAGTCATCGAAGCACCAGCTGCAGAGGAGCCTACTGTTGAGGCACCAATCGCCGAGGAGCCAGAGGCGGAAGAGCCAGTCGTCGAGGCACCAGCTGCTGAGGAGTCACCCGCCGAAGAGTCAGTCGCTGAAGCACCAGCTGCTGAAGAGCCACCCGCTGGAGAGCCACCCGCTGAAGAGCCACCCGCTGAAGAGCCACCCGCTGAAGAGCCACCCGCTGAAGAGCCACCCGCTGAAGAGCCACCCGCTGAAGAGCCACCCGCTGAAGAGCCAGTCGCTGAAGCACCAGCTGCTGAAGAGCCACCCGCTGAAGAGCCACCCGCTGAAGAGCCACCCGCTGAAGAGCCACCCGCTGAAGAGCCAGTCGCTGAAGCACCAGCTGCTGAAGAGCCACCCGCTGAAGAGCCAGTCGCTGAAGCACCAGCTGCTGAAGAGCCACCTGTTGAAGACCCTGTCGTGGAAGCACCGGCCGCTGAGGAGCCTGTCGTCGAAGCACCAGCTGCTGAAGAGCCACCCGCTGAAGAGCCGGTCGTCGAAGCACCAGCTGCTGAAGAGCCAGCTCCTGAGCCAACCCCTCCCGTAGAAGAGCCAGCTGCTCCAGAGGAACCCCCGGCTGAAGAGTCTGTCCCCGAGCCAGCTCCTCCTGCAGAAGAACCACCAATTGAAGCAGCCCCGGTTGAAGAGTCACCAGTGGAACTTGCTCCGGAGGAGCCTGCACCTGAGGAGTCATTTGCGCCCGATGAAGGACCACGCGGAGAACTTGCACCAGAAGAGCGAGTCGAAGATGTTCCCTATTTCGAAGAACCCGTGGAGGCACCAGGAAGCAAAGATGGTACCCGCCGCCGCAAGAGACGCTCACCAGGAGATCGTGGAGATCGTGGAGACCGCGGAGATCGCGGAGAACGCGAACGACGCTACTCCAAGACATCCTCCGACGGAAACAAGGGACAACAGCTCCTTCAGCGCCAGAAGAGCGAGCGTAGCGTGTTCACCAACCGATGGGCCAAAGCCTTGGAGGAAGCGAAGCGGCAACACGAGGAAAAGAAGCGCGGCGAAGTGCAAATCAAGCGAGCCAAGGCAGCTGTTGAAGCCGACAAGGAACGGAGTGGTATCTCATCTTCAGAGAAAGTCAAACGTCCGGAGCGCTCTTCCTCAAAAGAGCAAGACATCCCGATTATCGAGCCCAAACTGAAGCGCAGTCTTTCCTCCAAGGAGAAGGAGTCAAGTCGGTCTTCCAAGCCGCCTCCTTCTTCGAAACCACCTTCATCATCCAAGCAGAGCTCCACTTCTCCACCCAAGCCCCGTCATTTCCTTCGATACATGGGCAACGGCCAATCCGACACCCCCAAGCCACTTGTGCGTGCCAACACGACCAAGTCATTGACTCCAGCCTCCGATCGTCCCCGTCGGTCCTCGACAACCCAGAGTCACGGAAGCCACGGCAGTGGTGACCGGGCACCGAACGAGGAGAGAAAATCTAGCAGCCGATCTGGTGGCTCGGTTTCCCGCCGGGAAGAGGAGGCCCCCCGTCAAGAGAAAGAGAAGGAGAGGGAGAAGAAGCCTCGTCGGCGGTCTCGTGAAGAACCCGAACCCAGTCGGCCCCGTGAAAGGGAGCGGGAGCGAGAGAGAGAGAGGGAGAGAGAGGTGGAAAAGGAGAAGGAGAGGCCCGAAAGGGAGCGCCGCTATCGTGAGCGTGAGGCTCGCGAAGGTGAGGACGGTCGTCGTCGTCGGCACCGCCGGGAACCCTCGCCGCCGAAGGAGTCGAGGCTGAAGGGTCTTCTCAGGACTATTACTGCTCATTAGCTTCAATTTTCTGACTGATTTTGTATTTCAAACTTGTCCTTTTGATACTTCGTGTGATATGATGGATGGTTCGGGCTTTTTTTAGGCCCTGTGTATGATTTCACGGTTGCTGCATGTCATGGAGGAGCGATGCATTTTAGGAGTACTTATCTTTTCTGTTTTACAAGACTGGTCAACATCTATGATGTTCTTTCAGAAATGATGATTACACATGAGATAATTCATGCTATACAAGATCTTATCTACACTTTCCTATTTCGTTCTTTTTGATTGCTAAAGTTTTATTCAGATATTGATATGAAGTATTAGTACATGCACTGAGCATATGTACCCCGTAATTTTGCAATCTGCCTAAATGTAGGTACTAATATTTGAAGGGTATACCGTATAACTAGGATCGCATCCCAGCGCGTCTCTCTTCTTCCCTTATATGTCCTTTATTAAACCAGCATATCACGCGCTGACAGAAACCAAGACCTCTTTATCCCTCACCATTGACTATGGCGCACGATACGCAGTGCCCAGACTCAGACGACGAAACCATGCGTTTAGCTGTGGAAAGATTCCGTACTAAAATGGAATCTTCCAACCGGCAATTTCCGCATCCCCATGTGTCATGAACTCGGCCTCTGTCAAATATGCCAGTGGTGTTCACGATCCAGATTCTCGTAACTCTGGTATATGTCCGTTCGAGCCAGTTTGCTTTCCTGTCGGTGCCCGGGAATTTGCATTTCCAGATAGCCCAGAGGTGCTTGCAAGGCCTCCTCCTAGCATTGATGATGATTGGCCAGTAGGCTCAGATTGATTGACATTTTTTTTTATATATATGCATACATATTTACGAAGCATTCAATGTTGCCAGTACCAGCAACTTCATTCAATGCAACTTTATTCAAGGTTCTATGCCGGAATCACCTTGGAACACCATCCACACCAGGCCCGATATAAACCACTCTCTTCTCTCTCAAGATAACTCCCCTTTTCCCTCTCATCCTCATACTCAACCACACAAGCACCAACCATAACCCTCTTTTTCGATTTATGCTTCACAACGCCTCCTAAACCAATAACCTCTTGCCGGAAGTACCCCGGTTCCTCATCGTCATGACTATCAGAAGAAGCCAGTTCCTGCTGGTAAAGCGAAGACGCCGGCGCCGTTGCTGGTGTATGGCTAACCGGACTATGATAGCCCGTGCTGCTGGTATCACTTGATCCCTCATCCGCTTCACAGTCAACCTCAAGCTCAATTTCCTGACCTGCGAGACAAAATTCCCCACGCCCGCATTTAACCCCTTGGCATCCTTCGCCGATGCCGGTACCCAGACCACCACCGAGATACGTGCTGTACCGGGTGCGCCAGGCCCAAACGCGGCGGTAGGTGGTATCGCTGCTGCGTAGATTCTGGCCGCATTGCACACAAAGCCAGACTGTGTCAGTACAACGGCAGATATTTTGAGACAGTACCACTGCCTTGCGGTCGGTATCAAGTGCGTCATATGACCCGTCTGTCCATCCCATGCCTGAGAGATGTTGGGAGAGCGGAGCTGTGTTGCATGTGCGACATAATCGGCGAATGCGTCCCTTCATGGTTGATTGTGATGGAGGTTTTATAGTGCAATTCTAGATCGAACAAACAACAATATCATCAGCGACCACTCAGCAATTGACATAGCTTGGTACATTTGCACATATCTGATCGGGTCTGGGAAGATAGAAGATACTGTACATACCCTACAAACAACCTTGCTGCAACGCTGACACTCGCCCACCATGTCTCGTGCGCACCTGCCCACTTTGCCGCGCGTCATGCGGCCCGGCTCTGAGTTACCATTGCTCAGCAATTGTAGGACCGACTTGACGCTGCTGGGAATAGCGGTCCCGGCATCTAGCATCTCGGAGACCGTCTCTATATACTGGTTCTCGCAGCGAAGAGTCTCTCGCACCAGCTGGTGCCGGAAGGGTGCCAGGTTTGCGTGGAACTGGCGACATGTGCGCGAGAGGTCGTAGAGGGTGTTTAGGTCGATAGCGCGAGCGATTTCCTTGACAATGCTACATGGCAGATTTACATGATTAGCGACTTGGGGCCGACTTTTTTATTTTCTTGGGTTGGAATCCATCCACGTACGGGTAACAGCTCAGAGCAGCAGAGAAGGCACTCCGGTTCAGATTTACCGGCTCCTCGGCAGGGATGTCTGATGTTGAGGATGAGGTCTGGATATTTGTGTGGCGGTCGCGGTCGCGGTCGCATTCGCGATGGCGATCATGGTCTTGGTCTTCGTTTAAGAATGTGGGGGAGGAAGAGAGCTCGGCCGTAGCTGTTGCTGCGGTCGCGACAGACGCGCCGGTCAGCTTGGACGGGTATGGGAATGGGATGCCCGGGATTGAACCGGGATGTTCGGTAAAGGCATCGCTGTCCAGGTCGACGAACACCACCATGCTGCTGATGCCATCAGATGCACGATGAATCAGCACATCAGATAAGATGAAGGATCTCTGGGTGGGTTTGGGGCTTTTATAGTGGGGATTTTGTGCCAATCGTGGTTCTGATGGATCCTCAGCGGCTGTGCTGTTCCGAGTGGGATGATTGTGGAACTTGGGAATTTGCTTGCTCCGTCTTCGGGGCTATGAGTGGAGGTTCCTGAGAGTGGCTAAACAGAGAGGAAGGAGGAACATTAGGGGTTTCAGAGACGTCAAAGCTGAAGAGACGGTGAGGTTATTCCGATGATGTGATGACTTGCTTCCCCTCATTCCTGTGCCCGATTCCTTGCGACGATAAGCGCGATAAAGCACAATTGGTGCAGTGTCACTTATCTCAGTACAATTGACTTGTTTTCTTTTTTTTTCTCTCTCATTTTTTGTCCAAAGTCATAGTATTGCTTTACATATTGATATCTATTTAGAGAATCCATTTTATGACCCCTCGTGGGGTAATACCTAGTATACCTAGTAGTTTTGGGGTAAGGACTAGTAGAAGTGGCCCACATACTAGCGCGTTAGTATAAACTCAAGCTCGTACACTTTTAAAATAATATAAGAAGCAAAGCCTGACCGATTACTCTCGTTGTCTTGTTTGACATTAAATCAAGCAGCAATTGGAATTGAATGTTGTTTTGAAGCCAAAACGTGCCCGCATACGTGTTACATGTATGGGGTTCATCAAGGAAAGGCAACGCCGAAGCTCTGGGTTCTATCAAGGACTGAGTATCTTGGAAGTAAGTGATAAAACCGAATTACTAACAACCAACATTTGACAACATGTGAGATTTTTCTGTACCCTAGCCTATGTATCACAGAGTCTTGGAACTCTCAAGGGTTCATCAGCCCCGGAAGGGTCGTCACACAAACACGATTTCAGCCGTTGACTTCCATGTGGATCAAATGTCGTGTAAGGTGAGACAACCTGAGATTAGGCGTCTTACAAGATTTACTCGAAGGAGCCCTAGGCAACTTCTGCATGGTAAGCTGCCAATCTGCCATGTCCCGGAAGGGTCTCAAGTGCTTAGAAGAATGGGATCAATCCATGGAAGTCCTTGCATAAGTCAGGCCTCCTTGATTCTAATATAACCCCTCCATGAATCATGTTGACTCAAATTCAAAAAGGGAAATAAGTAAAAGAGACAAAAAAGAAAAGAAAACAAATCAAAACGTATACGGTAAAAGGTGCAAGGCAGTGGCTTGTAGGCCAGGCCCAAGGCAGTAGAGCCACAGCCCGATTCCAAATCACCGCAGATCTTGTCTAGTTTTGGTTTGTACCGTTGCCCTCCTTTTCCCCACGTTCTTCCAGATGTGATATGATTTTTCAAAATCAAACTAAAGTGAACAAACGAACATTTCACGAGCGAACCAATGACAGATGTAACTGGAATGAACTAAACTAGAGCTTGCGGCTAAGAATATACGATTCTACCAATGGCAATCGCCCGTCGCTATCACATCACCCAAGTTGGAACGCCGATCACTCCTCCCAATTCAGAACTTGCATGTAGAACCCACATATTTAGTTCTGTGCCCAAACAAGGAAGAATTCGAAGAATTTCAGAGAAAAAAAAAACAAAATCGTTTGAAATCGCTTACTACGTTGAGCATGTTGCCCGAAGAGCCTCGTGACAAAATTCCCCCTGATCGACACGGCACCTCCACCCAGGTTAAAATGAGCCTGATCGAGCCCGCGGACCGAGCCTTTCCATGAGACCAATCACATTCCTCTGTATCCGAGACTCGTGCGCAACTGGCTTTGCGTACTTTGTCCCTTGATTACATGGAGTGCTGACTGCACAGGTTCTCGGCTATTTCGTTTGCTGTACACACATAAGAAATACTACATAATTTATACCGAGTTTGCCGGTTCTGCCGAGCCTCAGTGATTGTAATCCAACCCAGTCCAGTCCAGCTTCACTATTTTGAAGAAAAAAAAAGAGTTACGATATGAACCACTAGAATCGTGAAATGCCCCAAATCCGGCAAGAGTCAATCCACACCACCCACACCAACATCCCTACTAGCACCACAGCCTAGCACCATCCCACCATCCCACAATCTCCATCTCAATCGCATGACGTTATGAGTCCAGCACTAGCAGGGGTATGTCAAAACCCACTATCCCCAAACCGGCATCCAAGTCGTATACTCCGTACATGCGTGGAACTTGAAGGAGAAGGATGGATAGGCTATTCGGACCCATGTTCTTGGTTCTTGTCCCCGAATTGATTTGCCACAAATCCTCCTCCCCCCCCCGTTACCCCTGCTGCAGCAGGGCCCACCAGTCACGGCGACCGCGAGGAACGGGGTCGTGTCTTAGTGGCAGATTTAAAGCGGATACTTAGTCCGTATGTGGACCGAGACAAAGAAAGGCAAAAGGACAAAGGGTGAAGGTTCGAATTTCGAATGTGGATCGACAAGTCACTATGAACATGGATCCCGTGCCAGCTCGATACTCCGTACTTTGGAAGTTTATGACTCCAAATCACCCGCTCTCTCACGGGCCAGGATGTGGTGTGTGGTGTGTGGTGATTGGTTCGGGCGGTCGATGCAGGTGGACGCCTTACCGTATCTTATCAGCTCTATGAAGACTTGGATTAATTACTTGGTTTTTTGTATTATTATTTTGAACGGTTAATTGACGGTTGCTTATGATGGAATGCAACTTCATCTATAATTTGACTGAGAAGAAAGTTTTTTAGAGTGCAAATGGGTTGCTCGTTGAACAAAGAAAAGATTTGCCCTGGGGGTACTAGTAGTAGAGTACTTTTGGCGTTGGGGACGGGATCGACCAAATCCTCCCCCTTTGTAGATCTAGTTCCTCTCATCTGGAACTCCTGAATTCCGTGGGAATATGACGTTGTTCTAGACTTTGAGTCTTTCAGAATATTAAAATTCTCTTTTGAACTTTTTCTCTTTGTTTAACTAGGTCGGGCTTTACTTGTAAATCGAATCCGTGGTAAAGTGGAAGTGCGCGTGTCTTTGCCGGGGAAATTAACTGGCGCGCTTTCCACTTTTCTTTTTCTTTGTAACAGCCGAGAGTAGGCGACGCAGGCGAGTTGTGGGTTGAGCTAAAGACTAGAACAATCTAAAGCACGTCGGGCTTTGAAGCGAGAAAGCGAGAATCTCCGCGATTTGGAATCTGCGGTTTAGCCGACCATGGCTCGATCGAACGAACCATGGGTCAAGAAGGAAGCTACTATGAACTACTGATTCAAATCAAATCAAAATCAAAATCTTAGTGTGATATCACTTTGTTTTTTGCGTATATCAATTATGTACAAGCGAGAGTCGTAGCTCAGAGATTCGGTTCGGGGTATACAGCCAACGTGAAGGAGACGCGTAGAAAATCATCATCGTCATCCGGAGAACAAAGGAAATTCCAGGGGAAAAAAACCCGCAAAAAAAAAAAAAAAAGAAGAAGAACCAAAAAAAAAACCAAGCAAAAAGTCTATAGCCCAAATAACGTTCCCTTCTAGAGGTCCAGTCCAACAAAGAAAAGAAGACAGAAAAACAAAAAGCGTGGGAAAAAAAATTCTGAGATGAGAAAGCTTTCGGTAGGGAGCTTTGGACTCCAAGTGGAGCTTTCTCCACTACAAATTGCTCCCCGGTCGCGCCTTTTGCGCTCGAGACCGGGATCCTCCGCCCGACGAATGGAGTTGAGGCATTTGACGGGGGGGCGCCATGGCGGCCGCGGGACCCAGTCAAGAGGGTGGAGAGAGGGGAGAGGGGACTGGATTGCGCGCTTTTTGTTTTTTTTTTCTCTCTTTCCCTTCTCCTTTGCGCATCCAGTCCCGGGTTTGTTTCGGGGCAAAGATAGATTAGGTGCGGGTCTATCCGCCCACACCCAATGAGAAGAGGGGGGGGGGAGGGCCAGCCTTCACAAGCTGATGTAGCTGAGAGTGTCGTCATAAAGTCGTGTCAGATGAGTAAAAGCCATAGTCAAATGCTTCAATTGCAAAGAACCCGTTGAGAGGGGCTTTACATTGCCCATTGCTTCCAACCGAGGGGCTGGAAGTGCGCCAGTGACTGGACTTGGTCCTCATATGGTAGACAGTCCGGGCTGGACCAGGAAGGAGAAGGATAAGAAGGTGATGGGTAAGAGGGGGATGGGTAGGAAGGAGAAGGGTAGTGGCACTGAACGGGTGGCTGGATGAGGCTGTCGTCTAGAGAGATGGACACCATGTGCGAGGTAACATCCGAGCCGTCCCAGCGCAAAGGCGAGTGCATTTGCATAGGAGAAGCAGTCAACTCGGTCTTCATCATACTCTTGGGATAGGCATCGATCAAGGAGATAGAGCCAGAGGAGATGGAGCTGCCGTGGGTGGGAAGAGAGAAGTTGGTATCTGAGAGTGGGGAAGGGCAGGTCTCGGCGGGTGAAGAGTAGAAAGGGCTGTCATCGGCGTGTTCGGGGAGCTGGTTGTGGAAAAGGTTGGTAGAAGGGCGAGGGTGCTGTAGAGGCAGATCCATGCCACTCCACACCAGAGAGCAGTCGTTTGTGAGATCTGGGTGAATCCCGGGAGCCACCAGGGAACCGATAGACATAGAGTTGGGCTGAGAAGTGGCCGCCATGAGGGAACCGTTGTCCATGGAAATGCAGCGCGGAATTGAGGCCGAGTCACTGGGAATAGAAGTTTGTGTCTGAGGAGCCCATTGGGATTGTTCGGGTTGCGACTCGAGTTCACTGTTATTGTTAGCTTCGAGAAGCTTAAGATGTTGCGCAATATCGCCCCAAGACAGAAGGAACTTACTGTCGCTCCATGTGGCGCGCAAGTAAATCAGGTCGGTGGAAGGCCTTCTTGCAGCCCACTTGTGTGCAGCGGTAGGAAGCTTCGGGGTTGTGGTTCAATTCATGGCGTCTGCGGTGTTCGGCGCGAGTAAAGACCTAGAGAAAGGTTCAAAGTTAGTTCTTTGTTCTTTGTTTTTTTGTTTTTTTTGTTCTTTTTCTTTGCTTGCGCACAGTAGAAGTTGGGAGGAAAAAGCGCATACCTTATTGCATCCAGGGAATTCGCAAGCGTGCACCCGCTTACCCTTCTTTGCTTTGCTGATGCGGTGGGTTGTGGGAGTGTAGGTAATGGGCATGGAGGAGATATCGGTCTGCGGGCTGTGGCGCATAGTGCTCTTGCGGCCAACCATATTGGGCGAAGGTTCTGGGGATGGTGAAGAGGAAGTAGCGGGGGAGTTGAGAACAGAAGCAATGTTGGAGGACAAGGTAGCGTTGGAAGTCTTGCGTTCAGTAGAGGAACCTCTGGCCATCTCGTGGATGGAGTTGAAGAGGGGAGTGGAGGAGCTATATAGGTGGATATAATTGAAGAAGGTTGTCGAGGGTGAAGAGGATCTAAAACTGTGAAGAGAGGAGAACGAGGCCTGATATAGACGAGAGGCTGTTCCTGTGTGTACAGCGATCTACCGGCGGATTAATAGGCTTTCCTAAATTAATCAAAAATGAATTAAATAAAAAATGATTATTTTATTTTTTAAAAAAAAAGGAAAAATAGAAAAATGAAAATAAATCAAAATGATTTTTTTTTTTAAAAAAAAAAAAAAAAGAAAAGAAAAAAGAAATCGAGAATTCTTTTCAGAAAATACCCATAATTACTATTCTGGGGCCACAACCTTAGATCAAAGGGAACCAAGCACGGGCGTGGATCGCGGGAGGATCAAGCAATCCTAAAATTACACGAGAGTTGCGGCTGAGGCAATTTGCTTGGTTTTTTTTTTCTCTTTTCTCTTTTCTTTTTTTAATTTACTCCGTTAACCACAGCGATCCCTCCAGTGACCAAATTAGGTCTAGAGGAAGAAATTGGTACATGCGGTTGGCGCCAGAAGGGCGTTCTGGCCATCAGTTGTTGGTTCGAGGGGGAGTTGTGAGTGGTTGAAAGTCCAACAAGCACTTGTTCTCTCGCTTACTGATATCTTGGGAAAACTAAAGTAAATTTGGTTTTGGTTTTTTTTTTTAATTAATATTACATGCAGAAGAAATGATATTAATAAAATCATACCTGACAAAATATTCATCATAATTATTCCCAGGGATTTCTTATTCACCCTTCACTATGGATAAGTTTCTTTCCTTTTTTTTTTTTTTTTTAATTTTTCCTTTTCTACGGCTTGGACTCGGGACAGTTATGAAGACTAGATTGAACATTGAGCATTCCAAACATAAAAGTTGTCCAAGCTTCAACGGGTTCAAGTCCCACAAAGTGGAGAACTGGAGAGACCATGGTTCCTTTCCGCTTTGGGAATCTCGAAGGATCGCACCCATTTCCTAATCGGGCGTAGTCTCTATTTAGTGGATGAATCTGATTGGCTACCACAGTTCTGGCTTAACTCATTCCCCGTGTAACATGTACACATGTAGCAGGGTGCCTTGTCAAGTGTGAGCCTCAGCCTCAGTTCCTTTGCTTTCCCCCTGCATTTTCTTACAATCACTTTCTTCTGCAAGATTCAAAGGAAGTCTTTTTTTTTTATAAAGAATCAAAAAAAGAATAAACATCTTATTAGATTATCATTCAAACAATAACATGCCTTGTTAACTCGGAAGATCCGAAGAGGAATTCTGGTCCGTGAGTCCTGTCCTGAGTGCCAAAGATTGCTGGTCAGCCTAGTGGGTCCGCAAGTGGTCCGCCTTAAGGGAAAAAGACGTGGTGAGCCCTGCCACCCTAGGCTTAGCCTTGGTGCAGTTTACTTGCGGTAGCTTGTTTCAAAGTGATGATCCTTTACTCGATGAGGTCAATGAACCTCCCTCAGGCAAGCTTACAAGCCCATCTTCGGCCCCGAGCCCCCAACCAAAACATCCACGATCGGCCCTCCGATTTCCAACCCTCAAGAACCTTGATCAACAGTTAAGATGCACCCCGAAATTTTTTAAATTTGGTATCTATATTTGGATCGGCTTTGGAGATTTCCAATGCCCGTTTTTTTTTTTTCATGACTTCATAATTACAAAAATAATTTTAATTATAACCTGGGGTTTGGGTTTAGAATACGAGAACATAGCATCTCCAGCCTTATGTCTGCGCCCTGCTGTATGATCCCGCATTAAAGAAGAAGAAATAAAAAAGGTCCACATTCCAAATATCCCTAAGAGGCAAAAATACCAGATCCACTATTATGCTACTTGGAGCAGATTATGGGGGGAAAAAATGGAGGGGTGAGAGAGAGAACCTCAAGGGAAGGAGCAGATACCTTACGGCGCCCAGTTGCATTGCATTTGACCTGCATACCTACAACCCCTTTCGTCATATCTCATGCCGCGTGGCAGAGAAAGCCCGGGGAATAGCTCCCCTAGCAATGGACATAGTTTACATGCAACTAGTGACCTCGTGGCACGATACAAGGGGGTGAAACCGTGGCAAACATGCAGGTGATGATAATTTAGGAACATTCTTGAAACACATGTAGGTGATCTCTGCAGACATTCTGGAATGAATCCTTCCTTCTGCACAGGCCTGCCACGCGAGAAAAAATGCTGATGCTCCAGAAGAGGACCATCATGCAGGGGCCATTTCAGTTTCATGTCTATTTTGTGTTTTGGGAATCAAGAAAAACGGGGTTTCTATCATGCTTCGAGTGCTGCATAATAGTCTGACTGTGCACACACATGAGGATTGATAGGATCATAGACATGTCAGCATGAAAATCTAATTGCACGTGGAGAATAAGAAAAGTAACATTGAAAAGTCAAAAAGAAATAAACACTTGCTCCACCTGATCCATTTCTCTTCTCTTCGAGTGCCAAATCTTCCTTAAACGGTAAATGAGGATTGTACCTTTCCCTATCTGCAAGGGTTTAAAATCCAATGTGATATCAGGAGAACTCCAACTCCGTGCCAAAAGGAAATCCATCAACATTGGAATAGACGCTAACCTTGTTAGAAGCAATAGTTTCCAAGTATAGATTTGAGATGTTTGATCGTCCCTGTTCTTATGCAAGTTCCTTAATACCTCCCGCGTGGCAGGCATGAATCCTGGTGGATTAGATTTCACGGCCCCACATGGCCAACTTGACACTGGAATGAATCGCAGTCTATGCCTAACTGAGAATCAAATCAATTGCCCACTTCTGTTTTTCGTTAGGTCTCCAAAAATCGACCCGTGTAGTAGAGAATTGATGGTTGACTCCATTTTCATTTCCATTTCCCCTCACGTGGCTGACCCTTGTCGGATCATGACGCCATAATCCGAACAACTGCACTGTTTACGGAAAACAGATGTGAGAAGCCAAGGTTGGCCCCCAAAAATCCTTCCATCTCTATCTCTACCTCATGGAGTCTCCTAGACTTCTTGCATACTCCGTTACTCCGTGGTTCTATCCTGGACCTCATAATTCAATAATGGATTGGGAATTTCGAGCATTTCCGCGATCGACGATCGTGATGACAGCAATGAACTCGAGGAGACTTGCACTAAGCCTATTCTATCCAGCTTCTGGTGGGTCGAAATCACAATCAACCTCTGTCTTTTCACGTGCGCAGTATCTACCCTTAGTCCCATACTAAATGAGTGGAGTTATGATAACTTCCCGACAAAGGAAAGAATTCAACAAGAACAAAAAAAAAAAAAAAAAAAAAAAAAAATAAGAAGCTAATGAAAGACTAAGGAGACTAGAAAAAAAAATTGAAAAAAATATAAATAAAAAAAAACCAAGGGCCTCGCCAAGCAGTCTACTCCAGTCTATTCCCCATGTCTTACATCTAGAATGGACAAGTTGAAGAGAACGGGGCTATATGATCAGCATTGTCATAGCCCAGATGACGGCTCTGCAGATAATTAGTGTTAGTGCTGGTGTTCCCAGATTCACGAGTCAGCGTCGAGCTTTGAATGTTGGTTCTTTTTTTAGCGAAAGGGCGATCGTGGACACGGCTGGGATGGGGGGGAAACGCTAGGGCGTCGTGTTGGGTGCAGGTCTGCCGCACCATTTAACCCTTTCTAGATGATGGATTTTGCTCTGGAGAGAAAAGCAAAAGCAAAAAAAAAGTGCAGATTTGAAAAGTATTCCGTAGTTATTTTTGTCATCTGGGGTGGCTATGATTCTGTTTTTCTACATGTAGCTTGATGCCAGAAGCCACGGTCGGCTTTTTCGCAACTCTCTAATTTTGGATTCGAATTGGATTCACTTAGACTTGGATTGGAATTTCTACTCGGTTCCGGGGATTCGGGTCCTACCTCGAGCCGACAATAACAAAGCACAACAAAGGCAAAGATAAAAACAAAAAAAAAAAACCACCATCGCTATGTGGGATAAGCGCATAATGGGGTCACGGATTTTAGCCGGGCCCCGGTGGGCCCCGGTGAACAGTTACTTAGTATTACTTAGTGAGCAAAAGAGGAGCATGAACGGAGCATGAACGGAGCGAACTACGAACTAAAAAAATGTCGGAGCCGTTCCGTTCTGTGCACATTATTACCTGAAACGAAAGCGATTCCCCACTACGAGGCTCTTGGGGATCAAAATTCTGCTTTCCTGTTCCCCCGGCCGATCGCTTGTCCTGTTGTCCCTGTGGAGAAGAAATAAAATGAACAAAAGTAAATATAGAAACACGAGATTTCTACTCGACTTTGTGAATTGATCGAAATATTAATCAAGGTATCTCGAGATATTCTACCAATATAGGCTATGCTGACGGAGTATACTCCAGCCCTAGAAGGCTATAAACAATTACATTAAGATATAATGTGTACCAAGGTAGACTTACTCAAATGCTCCATAAGGCTTTTTCCTGGTTCCACAATCTCACCTCAGATCCATGCATCCTTCCCGCGTTATGGACAATGGCATGATCCAAACTTCCCAACTTGAATGACTCGTGTTTTCTCAACGTCCCTTGGGAATCTGGGCCCCGTTGACCCCGTTGACCCTGACGTTTACCGTTGTCATTGCTCTCCCAATTTGGATCCAGAAAAGAACCTTTTCGAGGTCTATTTCAGGATGCACGTTGGTGGAGATCTACACCAAACCCAACTCCCTTCATTTCTTTTATTCTTTCCCAGCCATTTCCCACCAGGGCTTCACGGCTGATAACCGGACGATAGCCGGAGTTTCAGTGTCGGTCGCTCTTGTCGCTCCTGTCGCGATCGTGCTGACAATGCTCCCAACGTCTCGGGAGGCACTATTGGAATCACGGACCCCTCTAACATGCGCGCTGCATATCAGCGAACTAGACGTCACACTCTCAACTAACGCTGTATGCGCCGAGATTTTACTCTGAAAAAAAAAAAAAAAAAAAAAAAAAAAAAAACAGGGAATCACTACC